TACTACTACTACTACTACTACTACTACTACTACTACTACTACTACTACTACTACTACTACTACTACTACTACTACTACTACTACTACTACTACTATCAGACGAGGCCGCGGCAGGATGTATGTAGAGAATGTCGTTGGACGTGGCGGCCAGCTGGTCATGCGGTTGATAAAGTCGACACGGGATGGGCCAAACTCGCCCTCATCGCATGTGTACAGAGTATCCATGGGATGCATTTCTGGATCCCCTCTCTGTCAAATGGTCATCTAACAGATGTGATCACTAAGTAGTAGTGTGTTGCTGTGATCTCGTGCGACGCCAGTTATGCGCGTTGACAGCACACGCACATGCACACGCGTTTGATTCCATCCCACTCGAGTCCCGAGGGGCGAACAAACACATCAGCCGGGTTCGACAGCGAGCCAGGAGACTCGACGCGTCTTCTGGTGCCAACCAAGTGGGATGTTTGAATTTAGCGAGCGAGTCGGATGTGAGTGGCATGGCATGGCTACCAGGGTAGATTTTCGAGGGCCGATAGGAGGAAGAGCGAGAAGAGGGAGAGGAGGAGAGGAGGGAGAGGCAGGGAGGCTCCCTTGTGATGCATGCGGTGTGACGTGCCAGTGCAGATGGAGGGCGGAAGACGGACGCTTCAAGGTTGTTCGATGGACGCTGAGATGGATGGCGGAATGGGAGACTGACTGTCGACAGGTCAGTCAGTGTCAGGATGGGCGACGGCCACCGAACATAGGAGAAGAGTAGGTGTAGTGTATACAGAATAGAGAGAGAGAGAGAGAGACATCTGCATGGAATCTCTATTGTGCCTGCTCGATCCAATGTCGATCTCCTTCTGCTCATTTCTCGTCCCTCCATCTCATTGTCCTCATCATAATCAATACTTGACCTCTTGTGTCTCTCCTTTCGACTTCTTCTACATTACACTCTTATAGTTTCATATTGTTATCCGCTCCTCTGATACACTCCTAGAGCTGTTCGTGTTCTTCCTACAACTATACTACACTAGACTGCTATACCCTCCTTTTCGCTCCAGCATTCCAGAGTGACTGCGGGCCTACCGGTTTCCTGGCATATCTCCCTCCGTCAACAACATCTCTTGACGCGCGTATTCACATGGAGTCCACCTGATAGCTCTGTGTTAATCTGGACAGTCGTCCTCCTCCTTTCGCTTCCTATATGGCTTCGCAGCCTACCGCGCACAATGGGCCCGCCAGCCAAAGGGAGACCCGGGGTCTCTCTGAAAACACATCCCCTGCGCCGTTGGCCTCCTCCGATCCCTCCATTAATGAGAAGCCTCGCATCGTGAAATGGAGTCTCGGCATACTCAACGACAAAGAGACGGAGGAAGTCCCGGGCACTGTCCTCCTTCTCTCCGCAAAGCGCAATGAACCTCTCGGTGTCGCACCCCAGCCTGCCCCGAGGCTCGACTCCTCGATGCCTCCTCAGCCTTTGACGCCTAGACGGACCTCGTTCTCCTCCCAGCCTCCGACTCCTAGGCGATCCTCCTTTTCGGACTCGGCCAAAAAGACAAAAGATGGCCGGATGATATTGGTGCCACAGCCGAGTGATTCATTGAACGATCCCCTCAATTGGCCGGCCTGGAGAAGAGACGTTGCTTTGCTTTCTCTCGGCTTCTATTGTATGCTTGGGGGAGGAATGACTCCCATTCTTGCGGCTGGATTCAACAATGTCGCCGAAACCTTTGACGTGAGCTACTCAAGGGTCGCCCTGACCACGGGGCTTTACATGATGGGCCTAGGAGTTGGTAGTGTCATCTTCTCTCCCACCGCTATTCTGTACGGTAAAAGGCCTGTCTACCTGCTTTCCGCCGTCATGTTCATCCTGACCTCCGTTTGGTGCGCCAAGGCTCCGAGTTATGCTCATCTGGCGACGGCCAGAGTGTTTCAAGGTATATCCGTCAGTCCGGTGGAATGCTTGCCGTCGGCCACGATCGCGGAAATCTTTTTTCTCCATGAACGAGCATTTCGGCTGGGCATCTACACCTTGCTTCTGCTCGGCGGGAAGAACCTGATTCCTTTGGTGAGCGCGGCCATCATCCAAGCAAAGGGTTGGAGGTGGGTGTTTTGGGTCGTCACCATTGTCGTAGGCTTTGCACTCTGTTTGCTGTTCTTTTTCGTGCCGGAGACGTTCTGGGACCGCACTCCAAGACCCAAATCGCGTGGATCGACCGCTCGACGAAGCTTGAATGACCTGATCCATCATCCGTTTCAACAGAGTAAAACAAACGTGCCACCAACGACCCCGCCGAATCCGGCTGCGATAGAAGCCGCCCTCCTCGAAAAGACCCTGACACCTCGCCAGCAAATGCTGCATGAGCAGCAGGCACATGCGAGGTTCGAAGATGCCCTCAACAAGGAGGATGACCTCGAGAAATCAGAGGGTAGCTCAACCCAGATGACTTCTAATGTCTCGGGAAGGGATTCTGCCCCTCAAAAGGCTCCAAATCAGGTGGACGGAGCGGACGATGTTGTGAAAGAAAGCGAAGCCGCGAAGACTGACGTTCCATCCAAGACAGGGCTGATTACCGCTCCTCGCAGGAAAGCCAGACCGACCGGTCTAGCCCTTCCACCTCTGCCGAATTTGGGCTCGGCTTCTACACCTGGATATGGCATGACTGGGGAAGACGGTGTGTCTGGAGTAAGCCAGGCGGAGATTGAGCGGTCGGTGCCGCATCTTCACAATCTCAATTCGCCGTACTACGTGGACATTGAAAAGAATGACGACTATCTCAGTCATCATGCTAGTCATGTGTCTCCCGCGGACGAAGGTCGCGACAGCAGACCGGAACTGCTACACCAGGACTCAGGCATGTCCATACCTGGTTCACTCCATAACACCCTTGAGCTGGAGAAATCCCGAAGTATAGACGATGCCGGGTCAAGTTGTGCCAACCTAGCCCATTACACGGCCAAACTGAAACATTCTCCGCCCCAACCTTACCTTGCGACACTTCAACCTTGGAACGGAAGACTGTCCCAGTCAAATTGGTTCCGGGTCGCACTTCGACCTTTCATCCTGTTTGCCTATCCGAGCGTCCTCTGGTCTACGCTGGTCTACTCTCTGTCCGTTGGCTGGCTCATTGTCCTCTCGGAAGCCGTTTCGAGTATTTATCGATCTCGGGATACTTACAACTTCTCGGCTCTGGGAGCTGGGCTGGTGTACATATCGCCTTTTGTTGGAGGCATCTTGGGTACGGCCATTGCCGGGAAGGTGTCTGATATCATTGTGAGGTACATGTCGCGTCTGAACGGCGGGGTTTACGAACCCGAATTCCGTCTTGTCATGGGCATCCCAATGACGCTTACCACTGTCATTGGATTGATGGGGTTTGGTTGGTCTGCCCAGGAACGGGACAATTGGATCGTTCCCACCGTGTTCTTTGGGATCATATCCTTTGGGTGCAGTTTGGGCAGCACCACCGCCATCACCTTCTGTGTCGACAGCTACCGACAGTATGCTGGCGAGGCGTTGGTGACGTTGAACTTCAGCAAGAACATCTTTCATGGCCTGGTGTTCAGTCTCTTCTTCGCCAACTGGTTGCGGAGCGACGGTCCCAAGACGACTTTTCTAGCCATTGGTGGGATCCAGATTGCTTGTCTGTTGACGACGATCCCGATGTACATTTACGGCAAAAGGGCGCGGATGTGGACGGTCCGTAAAGGCTTCATGGAGAATTTTTGAGTTGGTCATCCGCTCTCGCATCGAAATTGGCGTCTTTTGGGTGAGCCTAGGGTAGGTTCGGGTTGGACTTTTGGAAATTGTTGCATTCGCACCGATATACCTGTGGGTTGTGTGGTGGCAGAGTGGTTTGGTTGCGGCATTCTGATGGCTAGCGATGGCGTTGCAGGGTCAGGATGATATTTGCATGACTGGTATGAAAACAAACAGGACGACGATGATGAAGGCTGAGGTGATGATTCAAGGTTGGACATGACTGATGGATAGATGGTAGACAGGCCATTACTAGGGGACTCTTGGGAGAGAAAGGCGCCTAATACATAATAATATCCGAGTTCCATACACCAGAGAAGGACAACTCGCAGTTTTGGCTAGGAGTGCTCATACATACCCAGTATATACCATGAGACACATGGGAAATCCTCGAGAATACTGCGGTACTGATTGTCCCGAGTTTGGGAAGCAAAACCTATCTTTAAATCCCATCCCTGTCCAGTGTCCACGAGTGAGCCTTGCATGAATCAGGCAGACATTGCCCACCAAAAATTAGTCAGCCATCACGTGCGATAACAAGCCTAGTGGCTACCTAATTAAGTAAGCATTAGACCTGGTGACTAACCAACTAGGCAACTTCCTCCCTCCGTGCCTCCAGGCATCAACATACGTCTTAAGGTATTAGGCAGCCAACATTCCATCAAATTGATTTTCGTTACCAGGGAACTAAGACTGATGTAGAGGGAAGGAAACCTTGTACTCCATCTGTATTATTGGGACCTCCCTGCCTGCCAATTTTCCCAGTTTCATGGGGGAGTCAGTCATCCCGTTTTCCGTGTCGAAACCCCAAGAGTCATAGAACGACAATCATGTTAGTCTGACTACTACCTCAATCAAACAACGAGCAAGTGGAGGAAGAGGAAGAGGAAGACGTTGGTCATGGATGAGAGTACTAAGGTAGGTGCTGGACAACTAGTACCACGACCAAGGACTGCTGCTACTACTCCTAAAACCGAGAAGGACCCTTTCCGTGGGATCGATCGTCCCATGCTATGCTATGCTATGCTACTAGTATGCTGCAGCCTTGGGATGGATGGTCTGTGAGTTATATCTATCTATATTTATTTATAGATCTCATATACGAACGATGTCATATCCCCTACCTACCTACTCTCCTCCTTCCCTCTCTCCCTCCCTCTCTCCCTCCCTCTCTCCCTCCCTCCCTCCCTCTGGCAAGTAAGTCTTCTCGCTCGCCTGCCCTTGTGGTTCCTCAAACGGGGGGACATCAAGTATATCACAAGAGTATCTGTCGTGAGGACCGAGTGCGATTACGATTACAATCACGCTTGTGGGGTTGAGTTTGGTGTTGATCTTGCCTTGTCTGTCTTCTGTCAAGTGAGATCTATATCCTCTCATCCCTGAACCCACTCTGGCCCCAAGATCCATCTCTTTCGGTTGATGATAGCCTGTACCCTGCTGTTGTCGTCTGTTCTTGGTTGTATCGATATCAATTGTTGCCAAAAGCTTTTCCAAAGGTCTCGTGCTTGTGTCAGAGTCAGTGTCAGACCCTCAAGAGTGGTACCGATTCCCGAGCATGGACGAACGATGTCCAGATAGATCTCCATCATCTTACTATAATCGATATCCTTACGACGAACAAGAACAAGAGGCTTATGGTCGACGGCGGTCATCGGCTTCACATACCACCACGCCCACGCCTGCTGCTGAGCAGAGACGACCACCGTTCGAATATGAATATGGGCTGCAGCAACATCGACAGGACCATCAGCATCAACAGCAACAACCACAACCACAATACCAACACCAACAGAGTCCTCGACAGAGAACAAGTCCCCTCCCAACTGGGTTTGAGACTGTGTCGTATGGATCCGGAGCAGAACGATACGACGAAGACCATAGATCTTCTTGGAGCGTTTCTTCAAGACCGACGAGCAGAACTCCACAGAGTCCGAGGGAACAGGTGACACGGATGTCGGGCAACGACAACAGCAACAACAGCGGCTTTGGCAAAGAAGATAGGGCATGGGAAAGGGATTGGGACAGGGGACAGCACCAGTCACACTCACAGCAATCAAGCTGGACCAGTGCTAGTGCCAGTGCCAGTGCCGGTGCCACTACTGGCTTCAATACCTCTCGACCAAATATGACGATATCTTCGTATGGGACGGAAATAGAGAGAATGCAGTCCTCAACGAACGTGGGCCGGCCTGAGATTTCAGCCAGGACGAGTACGAGTATGAGTACGACGATTGGTGGTACGCCAACCGCAACGACAACGGAAACGACAGAATCGCCTCAAGGTATTTCAAAAGAGACGAGAAATAACAGAAGAAGTAGAAGGGATGGACGGGCTCGCGGTGGCAGCGGTAGTCGCTCGAGACTCGTTTCTGGCGTCTTTGTGAGATACTGACGTGAAGGGACGCGGCGCGGCGAGGGCTGGTGATACCCACGCACTCTCAGCTTTGATGATGACTTTCCTGACGAGTCGACGACGACAACAATGTTGGCTCCACTTATTTCAGGACTGTATTCCTAATATCCCTCTTCTTCTGTACTGTATATACTTCCACCTGACTCAATCACCACCAAGACTCCTCTTACATCCATCCTACCTACCTAGGTACTGACATGTATTAATTACAAATTACAAAATGACACAGCAGCGCTCGCTTGTTTATGGGTTGTATGCTCATGTGCAATTCATCTCATCACTCTATCTACACTCTCATGATGAACCGTCCGTGAGGACTCTTAAACTTCTGAACACATTGCAGAAACCACAACAGATTCCGGTTCTGTCGTGAAGGGCCACCAACTCCGTGGCGGTATGCGAAAAAAAGGGGGGGTATCATCCTCCGCGGCCACAATATTGAACAAAGAAATCTAAGAAAGGCACATGTGGCCTGTCTGAGTATCGTGTCAGTCATCGCTTGCTTCCTTCAAAAAACATATCATAGTCTCATCTGGACGGCGGGGGAGGACTTTGAGATGGTGTCTGCAGTGTCCTCTTCATCTCTGGCATGCCTGGGACTGGTACTCGTGGAACCTGCTGCTGCTGCTGCTGCTGTTGCTGAGACGCATAGGCTTGTTGCGAGAAAGCATTCCCTGGTACATATCGAATCGTACTCGACGACGCTTCTCCTTCCTCAGGTGGCGACATGTTACGGCCGGGCGGTGGAGGCACGTTGCTGGTCGACTGTTGCTGATAGTTCATCGGAGCAACATTAGACCACCCTTGCGATTGTGAGGCGGCAGGTTGAGTTGTGTCCTCGAAATAATTGACATGACTTGAAATAGACCCGTCTGAACGTTCGGGCGGCGACGGATCAGGCACCGTAGGGATGGTGCGAGATCCAGATCGTGCTATGGCACTGTCTTGCAGAGCCAACCCCGGTTGCGCGGGCCGACGGCGACCCGTGGTCGACTCACGTCTCAGGATATTGCGCACTTGGTCGATATCGTTCGACCGTTGCCTGTCGATCGAAAGCTCTCGGTCATGATCAAGCGTGTCTTCAGGGTCAACCGCCACACTGCGCTTGATCAAATGGTCCACCGCTGCCGCCTCCTTGACCTCCGTGCCGCTTGATGTACCAAGATCTTGTGATGGGCCAGACTGCGTGTTTGAAGACTCGGCGTCCTTCTTGTGGTTGGGCATCAAAGGTACGAGTCTGTTCTTGTCCTTGTCCTCTTCAAAAGCAGCCTTGTTCCGGTTCGCCTCCTCGTCAGAGATGGCGACAGAGTATGTCGGATTGGCTGGATCGCCCGCAGCCGCGCCGCCACCACCGGGCCCAAAGATAGGAATCTTGCGCATGGCTAGCACCAATGCACACATGAATTTGCTCCTCCTGGCGGCACGTATAGCTTCATTGGCCCAGTTGGACTTGTGCCGAATCTCAAGGGTTAACTCCATCTTATCCATCTCGTTGAGTCCGGTGACTTCAATGTCGAGGTCCGGCTGGAAGTCGCGCGCATTTTCCTTGTCTCGAACAAAGGCGGTCATTTCTTTCTTGAGCAAATCAATATCTTCAAAGGTGGTGTCGAAGCTGACGTAGAGCTTGATCCTCTCACGCATGGCCTTGCTGCGGGAAACATTGTCGATCCATAGAGTGTTCAGCACATTGTTGGGGACCTGGGTTCGCTTCTGATCTACAACTCGTTTGAAAACGGTGTAGAGAAGAGACATACGCTCCACAATATACTGGACATCCCCTACGTCGACTCGGTCTCCCACATCAAACGGATGCTTGACGAACAGGAAGATGCATGAGCCCAGTACCTCCTGAGCTGTGACTGAAAAGACGAAAGACAATGAAAGTAGAGTGGTGCCTGCCGTGGCAAGGGTCGTGACAAAGTTTTTGTTCAGCCAAGCGATAAAAATAAAGACGCTAGCAATGAACACAATGGTGCACAGCAGATTGTCGAGGACATTGATTGCTTGATCCACGTCGTGCATGCTGTTGGCGATAGCCTTGCGTTCTCGGCCGCACTCGGTCACGCGCAAGACCATCTCGTCGAGGGAAATATCACCATTGCCATCCACATCGAGAATTTCGAACGCCTCTCGAGCCTCGTCCTCATGTGAGTCTCCAAGCACGTCAATAATGTCTTGCAAGAAGAGTGCCTCTTGCCCTTCCAGAACAAAGGACATCCATATGCGGCGAGCAAGAGCTTCGGCCGAATGTTTCCTTTCCAAGGCTTGGATGACGATTGAATGGGAGGCGGTCGGATTGAACACGTTCTTTCCAGTAATCTCATGTGCAACATTCCCAAACGCTGAAGTGACTTTATCACCCACGCGCGCAACATTCTGAATCAACCTCATAGGAGTCGCAGAACCCGACCTCTTGCGGCTATTAGACATGCTGTTTCGTTTGCTGGTAAGTGCTGCGAGATCTAGCACATCGTTGATCAGATAGTCGTCGTCAGCAAACTCCCGACAGTACATGGGAAAGAGTTGCCGGGAGGCGTCGTAGAGCAAGGTGATGAGATAGACATGACGCTTGGATTCCTGGATTCGGTTGGCGAATTGCTCGCGGTGGTAGCTGATGGAGAGAAGCTGGATGAGCAGCTTTTCCAACAGCAGTAGCGCAGTGGAGAAGACACAGGCGAAAAGGATGTCTTTGATGACCCTCTCCCAACTTTTCAGGCTCGTCTCGTGTCGTGCTCTTTGATCAGGATTCAGGGTCATGATAGGCACAAAGGTGGACAGGGCGCATATTGCCCAGGCGAACAGTGACACGGGGATTTCGAGAGATCTGATGACCAGCGCATACTTTCTCGTGCCGGAGCTGACTACCCCAGTGAAGAATTGGAACAGATGTGGTAGGATATGGGCCACGAATTTGGACACCCAGAGCGATATCCAGACAGCCTCGATCCAACTGAAGAACCAAACAATCTTGACACCTCCGATTCTTGCATTGGGCGCACCCGTCGCGCCGATGATGATAGGGATGGCAATCACCCCCGCCAGAGGTGCGACATAAAGAAGGTATCTCGGTATGACGGAGGTATTGTAGATTTTCTTGTAGAACCTGCCAATAGCATTCAGAGGACTCTCCTCTTTGTCCCTGGTTTCCGCAGCATGTTGTTCGCGCCTCCTCCTCCGACCTGCATGGCCTCCGAGAAAGTGGTGAGACTGCTTCTCATCCATCTGTTCAGGAGTTTCCGAGTGTTGCGACGGTGGTGCAGGTACGAAACCATCCGGCTTTCGGGCGCCGGTGCGACTGGCGGATGTGCTGACCTGGGTCAAGGGAATATCGATGGTAGCGTCGTTGGGGTTGTTCATGTCCCTCGAGGTCTGGAGGGTGAGCGGTTGGAAGCCTTCTCTTGAGAAATTTCTGTAATGGCTCCTTTGGGACATTGCTGGCGGGTGATGTCACCGAGAGTCACGGACGATGCGGAAAGGATGTGGAGGTGGTGAAGCCCCAATTATACACAAATGGAGACGAGGAGTGATCTGCTACACCGCCACGAAACCTTCTACCAGAGAGGATCGTGCGGGCTCAGAGATGGATTCGGTTGCGTCGTGAATAGGCGAGGACGCCAGCGTGCAGATGAGGCAAATTCGACAAAGAAAGCCCTGTGACGGTGGGTGGTGGAACAAAGAGCTCAACGAGTGTAGTTTGTGTGACTTAGTGAAAGCAGTTTCGCAAGATAGTACTGAGAAGAGCGAGTGACGGGGAGATGGTAGAAGAACAAAGCAGTAGTGATATGAATGAACTGACAGCGAGGTGAGGAGAGAAGAGGTGGTGGAAGAGTGATTGAATACGTAGTGAGTGTTGTAGCAGTGAATACATTTTGTTAGTCCAGAAGCATCCATGCAGATGCATTGCTACCTAAGGTAAGTATCTTCATACTACTACTTCTGTACTCAGTTACAGGGTGCCTCAGACTTCAGAGACTTCAGAGCACACCAGGTACCTTGTTCCATGCATGCAACAGCGTTGAGCCTCCAATCGTCACCCCTGCTCTCTCGGCAATGTCCCCAAGACCCTGTTCTTCTCGCTGTTTGGTGCCCTGGCCGGCATTTATTTATTGCCAAATGATCGATCGAGGAACATCGCGACGATGACAGGCCCCCCTGGCGAATCCTGTCCCCTGCAGCGCCCGAGGTCTGGGGCGTTAATGCTTATCCCAACCCGCAATTGAGGCTGACGAGGCTCGATAATAATCAATAAGTTCTCTGCACAGGCGTCATCGGCCCCGGAATTGGAGACAGGCCGAGCACTTTTCAGGCTCCCTAGGCTTTGATTAGTTGACACTGGCAAAAATTCTAAGCGGGTCAAGCCCTGAAGAAGGGTTTCTCCCCCTCTCGCCCTGCCTATCAAATCCCCCCTCTGAGGATTTTCGAGGCAGCTGTCGTTCAAAATGCTTGCCCACAATCCTTGCCCATCACTCCCACGACACTGGTCGTCCGAACCGAAACTGGAGTCTCGAGAAGCTTGACAAATGGCACCGGCGGCGTGTGGCTTGACGCCAATGGGTGAAATGACTGCATCTGATACAACATCTGAAACATGCACACGCAACTTCCAATCCACTGCTAAAAGCACCTACCAGAGACGGAAAGAGGTCTGATCTTGGAGGTACTGAAGTATGTGTTGTTTGTGGGACAACACTTTTCAATCTCAAGTCGCACTCTCCAGTACGTTCCACAACATGTCATTAATCAGCTTCTGCAACCTCCATCATGGGATCTTCGTGCACTGGAAGCCACCGGTTTCGGCATGAGAACGATCGTCCTCAATCTCAAGCTCTGGGACATTCCGAGATTAAGGCCCTGTATCCCTGTTGATCATCCTTGATCCTCTCACGTGTGGCTTTCCTAGAGCAGGTACCGCGTTCCTCCAGGTTCTACGCAATCCCTTGGGCAGCTGAAACGTCGTTCTTAAAAAGTTCTTCGGAGGTCATCCTATACCGGATGCCAAATGGTGAAGAGTTGTATGTAGTACAATCCACTGATCAACGTCTGGTGCAACACTGTCTAAGCTGCCACGATACTTAAATACAACTCTGTCCGTGGACTTTCATTCAACTCACAAAGACCGAGTTTATGTCTCAAAAACATTTCATGAGTCTGGACATTGGTTCTGAATGCTTTAAAGACTGTACTACTGTGAGTATGAAAAGCGGCACACTGAAGTTTACTGTGCTCACCCTAGGACAAATGGTTGATATGTTATCATATATTGGTATCTAGTACAAAAGCCACACCGATCAAGGTGGCTTGCTGATTCTGTGGCATCCGTCGCTTTGGTTCTCTGAGAGACCACCTCGTGGGTGGTCAATTACCATGCCCACCCAAAAGCTCTTACTTGTGCGTGTCGCGGCGTCCATGATACCACTGTAGCATGTTGGGGGCCCGTTATGGTTTCAGGGCGACCAATCTCCCCCTAGGTGTAGTAGTAGCGTCGCAGGCACCACTGCTAAGCTCTTCCACAGCATGAAGCCATAGGGGTTGTTGAATTTGCCCTACGCTTTCGGTTGGCATGGCACGTTTTCTCGAGAACATATCGATGGCCACAAGTTGGTGGCGGCTGTGCGACGGTTGGGAGCAGTTTCCAGACATGTTGAGTTGATACGAGGGAGGCCGTCACTCGTCAACATCAAATACCTATATATAACTCGTAAGTTGAGTTATTGGACGTTCTTGTGAGCTCAAACTCTTGAGTTAGCCGCAACCCTGTCTTGCGGTCCTGTCGCCTTGTCTGAAGTCAAGCCAGTGCCAGCACTGATATTCTTGCAACAGCCAACAACACGGACGGGTGAGGGAAAACGGGGGCAGCGGCTCCTCTCTCCCTAATGTTGCAAAAGCCAACACAGAAGGATGAGGAAGAGCGGGGGAAGCCGGCCCATCCTGTCCTTGATGTTGCAAAAGCCAACACAGAAGGATGAGGAGCGGGGGGAGCAGCCTATCCTGTCCTTGATGTTGTAAAGGCCAACACAGAAGGATGAGGAGCGGGGGGAGCAGCCCATCCTGTCCGTGATGTTGCAAAAGCCAACACAGAAGGATAAGGAGGAACGGGGGAAGCAGCCCATAGGTGGCTGTGATCTTGCCCATCATTGTTCCTCAGAGGAAGATCTGAAAAGTTGCTGCCATGCTGCGCCGAGCTCGAGGACGGTGAAGCGTCTTTCCATTGTGCTGTGAGCAAGTCGTCGATATATACGTCGTAAATGTATATATATAAACCACGGCTGCAGATTGATTGAGGGTTCGCGTGAAGGGAGCGTCTACCCTGCTGCAGCTGTGCCGGGCGCTGGTGGCGCCCGCCTTGTGGTTGTGAGAGGAAAGTTGGAAGAAGTCGAGGGTGAGTGTGTTTTTATAGACAAGTTTCAGGTTCACGATTCACTAACTGCCCACCAGCTGCCTCACAGGACAGTGGGATAGTTATTACCTTGCACCAACTTCCTGACACGTATTGCCACTACTCGAGTTGGCAGTGCTAAGGCAGCATTATTGCCAGTTCACGGCTGCTGTCACTGAGGATCGGCTCTCCAGACTGCCTCACTCCAGATGTCGCTCGACACGTAGAAGAAAAAGAACTTCCTGTGACAGTGCAATGCAAGACAGTGACTGTTCAAGAGACAAGGAGACAACGACTTACCTATGTTGCCTTGTCTCATGAAATATCCTTTGTCAACACTTTAGACTGTCTCACTCTGCCTCTTTCAGCCACCTGGCGAGGGCAGTTGTTTACCCAAGACACTGTTTCTCAATGCCTCGTAAATCAAGCACTGGGATGGCGCTGCTTCACAAACTGTCTCAGGCGCTCGAGCAAGACCAGTCGTCTATAAATTCGTGGATAGATTCTCTTCTCAGTACCTACCTCTCATCTTCCTCAACAACTCCAAACCAGCCTTCGAGATCAACATCGGTAAGTTCCATCGACAAAAGTCTCAAACACCTACTCTGATCATTTCTCGAGCCGGCAATCGTCCAAAACGCAACCTGCAAACAATCATGTGTAAGTGTGCAATCATTCTCACTCGACTGGTGTGCGCCAAATGCAACCATGCTAACGAACAGACCCCTCAGCGCGAGGTGGCTATCGACAAATCCTGCAAGGTCCATCACGACATGAGATTACCCACTACCAAAGAGCATCGGACAAAGTATGTCGAAGACCGAGACTGTAAGAGGTGTCGCGACCGGGCCCAGGCAACCACTCGTATGAAATCGGCCATGGCATCGGGCGGACCGAGGGCATATGAACAATATGTTCAGATGCCGGTGCGATCTCACACCAACGGATTTTATGGACCACCCCCAGGTTACCAACAATCCCGCCGCGGCGCCGTTTCGGGTCCTTCGGGTGCAGATGCTCCACGATCTCAGAGACCTGATATTGCCAGAACTGGACGATCTCAGGCGGTCTCGGGTTCAAGACATGCGACAGCAGTTCCACCATCTCGTCGACTTGAAGTTGCCAGAGTTGAACGTCCCGGTGCGGGATCAGCTCGGAACGGCAACTCTCAGGCACCTGCTGCATCCGGACGTCTTACAAGCCGCCATGTCCCGGTCCAGGTAAGCACTGCATCTCCATATGATCCAGGCTCTGAATATTTGGGGGGACGCGGTGTGCAAGTCGAGTACAATGTCACACGCATGGAGGCAACTTGGGGCAGTCAAGGCAATTCCCTGAGTGTAACCCGTGAACACCGAGTTGTCACTCGAAACCCAGGACAAGCCCCAGATCACCAGCGACGCGTCACCAGAACCCGTCGGGACTACGCATGAAGCGTTCATGGTGGTGACGGAGACTCGACAGGCTTTCGGGAGACGTCAACATGGTTCAAACCATCTTCCATGACCTGGAGTCTGGAAGGGATTCTACTGACATAGGTGACGGGGTCATTGCTGCTTCGTGGGCTGGCCGTCGAGGCAGCAATGGACCGGGAGAGTAGGGACTGAGATACACGTGGAGAGCAGTCGAGGGAGAGCAATGTCAGTGTGCTGCGATGGGATTGTGCTGGGAGTCTGGGATTTATCTGGAGGATGGAGGGAGACGGTGACGGTGACAGTGACGGCAGGTCTGCAGTCGATAACATCCAATTAGGTATGTACCACTACTAAGTGTATTGCGTAACCCAAAAAGGAAATTCCACAAATCTCCATAATACCTCTAATCATTTGCCTGTTCTCCTCTAATCTGGATTCAAGTTTCATCCTCTTTGCTCCGTATCATCAGTATAACAATAACAATACTGCAGTCAGTCACCTTTGGCAGCATCATATGCCTCACAATCACAAGCTATGACGTACAGACCCTGTTTCGATTACTCTATGCTTATTTCAGGACAGGTTGGATCCAAAGCACCAAGTTCAACGTCAAGTTCGGCTATCACAGGGATTAATTTTTCAGGACGTTGTTAAGTAAGCGAATCTTTCGGCGCACGATCCTCTCGTGTAGATTTGCCACGATAGGAAATCTCAAAAGTCAACATCGAGTCATAGGCGCCAGTTTCAAACCGGCACCATGGCAGATCCCCTTCTCACGCTTACCCGCGGACAAAGAAAACCCAAACCCAAAGCCAGGGTGACATCTGAACAAAGAAGACAAAATTGACAGGTACCTGAGGTAAGTAATGGATGGGAAGTTGCTGCTGGGACCAGCCATCATCCATTGCAACTCCGATCTTGCACTCGCCGTCTGTTTTGCCTCGTTCTAGCGTTTCCTTGTCTCCTGCTTTCCGCTCCGCTCATATTTCCTTGAATCCAATATTTCATTTTTAAAATACACACATACCACGTCCAGATCGACATCCCTTCGCCATAGCAGCGCGTCCACATCAGAATATACCTACTCTAGAGGAGTACGGCTTAGACGAGGACATCAATTCCGCTGGCCCGTTTTCGCCGTTCTTCACTAGTGGCCTATCCAAATGTCGCCTCATTCCTCCTTGTCCAACACCACCACCAACTCCACACCTTGCTCCCCTCCTTCATTGCCGTATACACGCATCTCCGCCGACTCTTCCAGCGACCTCGATCACTTCATCAGCATCATCACCGACGCATTTTCAGTGACACCTCTAACCACCGCGTTCATCATCGACAATGACGGCACGGCGCCTCTGCCACGAAGGATTCCCCGACCCCGGCGAGAACGGCATTTCGCCCAAGGCATTCTGGACAGCGCCAAGTCGAACGCCGAACTGGTGCACGCAGGAGACTGGTCGGCCGTTGCGCTATGGGAGCCACCGAACTTCCAAGGCAAAGCATTCATCAACTCCAGGACCCGTCCGGGCCCCCTGTTAGGTGAATGGCGATCACGAGTCAAGGCCGCAAAGGCAAGACATCTGGCCGAGGCTTCTTCGTCGACGGCTTCCACGCCTTCGACGGCCTCCGAGACCAATTCCGCCTCCGACCTCGAGACTGAGACTCTTCCTTCATCCACCAAAGAACTCCCGCTCCGGCCATTCTACCATCTCTCCTTCCTGGCGCGCAACCCGTCAGTCCCCCGTGTCCAAGGCAGTCTCAACGCAGTCATCTCTCCGTATCTGGAGCGCGCCCGGGCCGAGCATGTCCCGGCCTGGCTCGAGGCTACGTCACGTCAGGCTAGCAAGCTCTACGAACACTACGGATTCCGCGTGGTCGAGGAGATTGTCGTCGGGAAAGGAAAGGTTGATTCCGAGGGCTGGCCCACTCCCGATGATCAGGGTGAGGGCGTCACTGCCTGGGCGATGATCTACGATTCGCATCTCAGAGAGTGATATTGCCTTGACTGCAGTAGCCTATGCTGGTTCTCGAGAAGTTTAGGATTGTTGACCACGGAAGTTTTGGAGAGCTTGCCGATCCAGTGCAATCAGCACCCAAGCGCCGAACCCAAGATACCTCTTATTCCACTTCACCGACTTGGGGATATGATGGCAGCCGCCACATTGGCGAAAGAGCCCTTCCCAGGTCAGGCTAGACTTTTCATGTGTCTCATCTGGAGACATCAGGCGACACACCAACGCCTACATCCATGCTACGTGATATACAGGAAAGAGAATAGAAGCCCCTTTTCTGGAATGGACCCCTGTGGTCAGTCATCGATCTGCAGAGACCGGTTGTTCAATGAAGGAATGGTCTTTCTGCATAAAGAGCTCGCCGGCTTTTGTTGGATACGAGTTGCGAATGGAGAATACCACAAGCAGGCTATTGTCGGGCAGATAACGTCAGGATAAAGTCCACACCGTCTTGAAGACCCCTACAGAGATTATTTGAAGGGGCACACAAGAACAAGAACGAACTCATGATTCAAACCCTGGCACTCCTACAAAAATCCCAAGACATAGAACATTGGGTAGCGCCAGATCCATATCGTAATGACATTCAACATCAATTCCCCAACTTGACGGGTTCTGGCGGGTCTTGGTTTGTTTCCTTTTTATCTATTCCGGTTGCATCTGGAAAGTGGCGTTGCATACTGTGTGCATGCATCCAAAGACGCCCAACTCTTCGATTAGATCCCAGTAGTAAGAACGCCCATCTCCCGCCTCCGCTCATAGCTCGGTCATGGACTGTCTGTTGGAGACATCCACTGGCAGAGACAACCGGGTTTCTCAGATTGCGTTGATCTGGTGGCCCTCGCAACTTGCCAGAAGCCGCATAGTTCCCGTCATGGGTTTGCACATAGGCACGCGCCTGGAGAGGTTCGCAAGATCATGGCCGTTCTGTTTTGCCGTCATGCCCGACGCCAACGGTAGTGAAAAAGACCACGTGGGACTCGCGCGCTCCGGGTTCTTTAGTCCGCCAGCATACCGCATACTGCCGTCTCATCCCATCTACTTGACATGTCTGACGACGTCATCCAGTGCTTCAGCGACGTACTTAACGTTTGATGTGTTCAAGCCAGCCATACTGATGCGGCCATTCTTGGTCATGTAGACGTGCCACTTCTCTCTGATGGCCAGCACCTGAGCCTCGGAGATTCCAGTGAAGGAGAACATGCCGATTTGGCTGGTGATGTGGTCCCAGTTGCCGGGAGTGTCTAGCTTATCCAGTTCCGCCTTGAGACTCTTGCGCATCTCGATGATCCGGCCAGACATGGTGCGCAAATCCTCCTCCCATTCGGCAAACAAGGCCTTGTCGTTGAGGACGATGCTGGCAATCCGCGCACCATACGCTGGAGGGTTCGAGATTTCGGATCGTTGAAGAACAGCAAGCTGGCTGGCGACCCGCTTGGTGACGTCCTGTGCCTTGGATCCTGGAGCGGCGACAAAGTGGAAAGCACCTGCACGCTCACCGTACAGGCCAAAGTTCTTCGCGAAGGATTGGGCAATTATCAGCTCCAGGCCCTGCTCGACGAAGTAGCGGATGGCCCAGTTGTCGGTGGCTAGGTCCCCTGAGGCAAACCCTTGGTATGCGCAGTCGAAGAAGGGAAACAGGGATCGTTCTCTGCATACCTCGGCGATTTGTTTCCACTGGTCCTGCGTGGGATCGACACCGGTAGGGTTGTGTGCACATGCGTGAAGCAGGACAATGCTTTTCTCCGGGGCCGCTTTGAGTGTCGACAGCAGCCCGTCAAGGTCCAGCATTTTCGTCTTTGCAGAGAAGTATGGGTACGACTTGATGGGCATACCGATATTGGTGAAGATTTGGTTGTGATTCGCCCACGTGGGGTTGGACAGGTAAATGGCCGGAGTGGGCTTGGGCAAGAACCTGGACAGGAAAAGACCTCCCAGATGAACAGCGCCGGTTCCTGAGATCGTCTGCAGGGAGGTAGCCTACAGTAACGGGGTTAGCAAGGGAACATAACGAGAGAGTTTCTCGTCGCGCGGTGAAAGCATACCCGTCCTTCTTTGATCGCGGGGCTGTCTGGACCGAGGATGAGTTTCTGTGCAGCCAAAGTGAATTCTGGGAGACCGGCGATGGGAAGATATTCATGGTTCAGATCGGGGTCGTCTCGGAGGATTTTATCTGCCTGCAAAACACTCCTGTATTAGACTGCTTGTTGGTATGTGTGCATGTGGTGTGGTGTGCGCACCTTCTTGACCACAGGCAACACCCATGGCTTTGCATTGTTGTCTCTGTATGCACCAATCCCCAGATCGACCTTCTTCTCATGTGTATCTTTTCGGTATGCGGCCATCAACCCAAACAAAGGGTCCTCTGGAGCCTGAGGGACGGCGTCGAACAGCTCGACCGGACGGTTTGAAATGGAGCCCATGGTGTGTTGCTGAATCTGTGATAAGCGGGCGTTGGTGTCAGTGTGCGTAGATGCGGCAGAGGCAGAGGCAGAAGAAGAACGGGAGTCGGCGGGGATGGGAGAGATCTTTGATGATGAGGGCATGACTGGATCAAAAAGTATTCCTGATTGTATCACTGAAACAAATATGGTACAGCCGAAATGCAGTATACCTGAGGCAAGGACAGATGGATGGAGGGGACATACACTTAGGACGGGCGGATGCGCTGCACTGCGAGGTGCGGTGATGACTTGTCTGATGCGGGTGTACAGGCACAAAGAATGGGGGAATCTAGGCAAGCCCAAGATACGGACGAGATATCTAGGGTACTAGGTAGTAGTAGTAATGATGCCGACGCAAGCTCTAGGTTCAAGAGTTCGGTAAGTCAATACGATAACGATGGAGGGATCGTTGGCGTGGTGTGCAGTGGATAGCCGTTGGACTGCAAATGATGGGGATATGTTGACTTTGCTGTGACTCTTCTGCCAGATAAAATAATGTGTCTATCTAAGGTAGTCTGTCTACCCCGAAGCCCGAGGTTGGAGAAGCAGTGAATTATGGTGGATTTGCTGGGGGCAGTGAGGGGGAAAGAACCAGCGCTTGCAGCGCAGGCAAAACTTGAAGGGCACCTGGAGACCAATCGCGAGTATACAATTTCTCATGCCATTGACTATCAAACGGCAATGGGGCCTCATGTAGTACGTTATTGTACGCTATTCTGCAATCATCATTCAACATCTGTCTGCAGTTGAAGACTTTGATGCCAGGCCTGTTCTCTCTTCTAACACTGAGCAGTCACCAGGCAGAATTAGAGAGGGACTTTATTAGCCGCCAACTCCCACCACTGGGTCTCTCGACGACTCCAGGTGACCTCGGGAGAGACCGGATGGATGGCATGATCTGGCAAACCCGGGGTACTATTACACTAGCATACCATCGTCTGGAGCGGAGAGCCAAGTGCAATGCCAGGAGACGGTGCCGTCGGTTCCCTTTTCACCTGCCCAGTCGGACATACGTACCATTTACAGAGATACCGTTGCTGGCGACCTAAGGTACCTAAATTGATATCCCTAATCGGTCACTGACTGTTCGGCCTTCCGCTCCAAAAGATCTTTGTTGCTCGAGCGCTCACAGCCTTTCATTGTGACCCTTGCTGGCTGAGACGGACTAGAAGATCAGATCCCAGACCACCAAGAACGAGCAAAAGCCGACCGTCGCATAGAAGACCAAGCGCGCAGTGCTACCTCGCTCACTTGCCCTCTTCAGTTCCCGATTCCCCTTGCGCACATTTTCATCCGTATTGGCCGCGTCTGTTACCAAGCTCCCAATCATCTCGCCCTGAACGCTGAGATGCCCGACCAGCGTCTGCTGTAGACTGCTGATCTCCATCAGGCTCTTTTCCACCTGGGTGACTTTGGCCAGCTGGTCGTTGAAATGCTCGAAAATGCTCCTATTCTCTTCCTCAAATAGTTGTAATTGCTCGGCCGACAGCTGCTGCGTCTGGTCTTTTCGAGGAGTGTCGTTCCAAGGTCTGTATTCGTCGTGGCCGCGTAAATCGCGGTTGGGAAGGGTCTCTGGACCGTCTGTGTTGAATTCAGGCTCTCCAGCGGCCCGGACGCCTTTATTTCGAGGGTCATGGAGAGCACTCATCTGCTTCTGTCGTTCTCGTTCCAATCTCTTCTCTACCATCTCTTGTTGGACCATGATGGCGTCATTTAGCCTCTTGCTTAAGTACCACAGGACCCCGTCTCGGACCGATTTGAGTGTCCTGATCCGGCCCTCTTCCTCAATCTGTTTTGACGACTTCCCGGCGTCGGGGGCATCCCCGTCCCCTGCTGCCCAGCGCCAGAGAAAGCCATCTGGCCGCCCATACTTCTTCTCCAGTAATTTCATCGCTGTATCATGCTGCAGGTTGACTGCGGAAGAGAGGTTGGTGATCTTGGTGTTGATTTCCCGGAGCACCGAGGAGGTCTCGTGGTCGATTGCTTCCCGTTGGGAATCGGTCAGATACTCGGGCACATCTTGACTGGTCACAGCAGCGCCAGTCACCGCATGAGCAGCTGCGTCTGGCCTCTTGGGGTGGCGGGGTGGCGGGGCATTGGATAGGTAAGGAGAACGTAAGGAGCGCAAATAGGTCAGGAGGGACGAGATGGATCGGTTCTATCAACACGCCAGTTAGACATGGCGAGTACCTTCACGAAGATATTGGCACATACAATTTCATATGCCTCTCTTAAGAAGGCATCGAGTTTGTTGCCAAGATCGCGTCTGCGTCCTCGGATCGGTCTCGACGAATGTTTCTCAACGAGTATCAAGGACAGCGTTCCAGACTGGTCGGTCATCGCACCGGGCGATGGAATGGTCAACGTCCTGGAAGTGCAAGGACGGAAGCTTAGTCTTCGCTTGACTGATCTCGACGTAGACCGGAGCTGCTCACAACACTTCCCCCGAGCGATGCGAAAGGTATGATTTAACTAGGTAGTAGATCAGAATCATACAAGTTCGTCAATTTCGTATCGATTTTGGGACACGTCGCGATCGTCATTTGGGCCTCCGCACAAAGCGACGTACCTCCACCAATCATGATTCACACTCTTGCGGCCATCAGTCGCAGTACAACCGCATGCTAGTAGTGGTAAAGAAGCATATTGGTCAATGCTGTCTCTCTGACAGCTGATATGTATTGAAGCGGTCCAGAAAGTCCTCAAATATCTGTACTATAACTCCCAGTCCACGCGCGGGTTGTACGCCCAGGTCTAGAAATCTAGTGCTCTCGAATAGCGTCTCCTCAACGCCTCATGCCGTCTCTGTCTGCCGAGCACCGTCTGATTGCCCCTTCAATTATCACACTGACCGAGCAGACAGGAGCCCATCGTTATACATTGCCAACATAAAAATATAAGTTAGGACTCTTTGCTTAGTCCAACTGGTTCGTCGTAGTTGCTGTCCTCTTCCCATATCGCCGCCCCAGAAATCTGTCGTCCCAGGAAGATACCCAAGCCTGTGACGACCACGGCGAGCATGAAGAAGCCGTCAAACCATCTTTGCACCCAGGCAGGCTCCAGCAATCCAGCCCCCAAAGCGCTGTTGATCACACTGCCTACCTCTTTGGGCATCATGCCCCTGAGCATCAGAGCAGAGCTGATCACGTACATTCCACTGATTTGACTGATCAAAAGGGCGAAATTCGTCTTTGTGGCGTGGAGGACCCTCGGCATGAAGCGAGCGAAGAGGTGAAATGTCTGCGTCACAGCCGAGAACGAAGCCAGAAGCATTGCCCCTGAGAGTAAAAAGGAGATCTGCTGCGCCCATGAGGCTTGGTCCAGCGACGGATAGACGTGTCGTGCAAAGAGGGCAATGGTGGCGGTAACAGGATCTGTATGAGGAGATGTTGCAGGGACGCTGGACAGCAGACGGCGACCGATGTTCACTGTAGTGGTACAGATGCGATAGACGCAGTAGCAGGAAAAGACGTAGGAGAAAACCAGGGACATGCGGCCCCAGGCAGTCGTCGCCCGCAGTTGGTCAGCACGACGTGCCCGCAAGATTGTGAGCGAAGTCTCAAGGGAGGAAGCCATAGTCTCGAGGCCTGACGTTTCCATCTCAAGCGTCTGCTTTTCTTGGGTGTCAGTGTTCCCGCGTATCGAGCCCACCGTCCGGCCCCAGAACCCCTGGGTTGGGGCGTCTGCAGACTTTCTCAGCAACGCTCTGAGCCGTCCCTTCTTCTCCGCTATCATGTCCACGGTAGCATCCAAACCAGCTTGTTTCCGATTGATATCTGTCTCGGCGACCAACCTTGTCCTGGGTCCGAATGTCTGCCAGATGGCACTGACTGAGGCAAAGCCGGACAGCAGCGCCATTAGCGAAACGCCGGTTATACCCAGTCTGTCCAAGCAAGCTTGGAAAAGACCATCTGAACTGCTGATACTTTCGGTGATGCTGGGGGAGGCAGGCAGTAGTGCCCCAATCGCCCAGAAGCCAAACAGAAATACCGCATAGCCAACAATTTCCAGAAGCCATGCAAGACGAACACGACTTTTCCCCTCGCCGCGAAACTTGTAGCCTGATTTTGAGACGACGGACGATATCCCCAGCAGCGGGATGGCCACGACAAGCAGACCGAGGAGGCTCACTACCGTGGCTTGTAGCGCGATATTCCTGGCTGTGGCGTTGAAAGAATTCGAGATCTCGCATAGGAGCAGTTCGGTTAACACTGCGGAGAGCGCGATAGTAGAGGAGAAGGTGATTGCCGCGATGCGTCGAGCGATGTGCTGCGCGGCAGGTTCGGGAGGGGATGTCGCTGGCCGCGGAAGGCCTTTGTCGCCATGCTGCGATCGTGGAGGAGTGGAAGACAACAAAGGGTAGACTTTTCTGTACGCGATGAATGTCAGGCAGGCGAAGGTCGCGAGAAACGGTGTGATCGAGAGAGCAGCTTTGGTTCCGAACTGAGTCGAGTGTGGCATGTACGCTGGAACGCACTCGTCGCAGTCCTCAGCGGGGGTGGGTAACATGTCGAGCAGCGCTGGCACAAAACCGAGGACGTCGACTCCCGAAATGCATAGTCTCAGGGTGAGGGTTCGAGAAATAGTTCGGTGATCTATGAAGCTGGAAGCACAAGATAGTAGGGAGATGACAACTGCGCAAAGGGGAAAGCAGTGGCTGTCAAAGTGGCGTTGCTGAACTGTCCGATGTAAGGTACCCGGCGCCGTGACAGGTCAGTGCGTCTTATCATTTGTTGTATTCTACAACTCACTGTACTACTAGTACTTGAAGAGTACTATTTTAAACGATAAGAGTGAGGGCCCAAAGAATTCACTCGGTGCAAGCCGAGTGCAATAATGTTGGACACGTAGCAATCAGTGTCTCTGCTTGGCCAGAGTTGTAGACATACAGCCGAAAAAGAGGTGTGGTAAGTGTGCACTGCCGCTGATTCACCTCCGCGTATCTAAGGTATGTTCTTCGAAGAGTCGGATTTGGCCAGTGCTGGTTACCGACCTCTCTCTACACGGAGGAGGCCTTTTCCGTTACCAACAGCCTCCAGAGTGCAAAGAGACCTTCCCTTATTCAGCGGCAGTGTCATCAATCCCACCCAGGGGGCTCATCCTGTCCATCAAGCCAGGGCCCGTTGCGTCGCATCAGCCTTTGCACCCAGGCTTCGGGCTGTCTGTGTTCCCCACGACTAGTCCACTGGCAGAAGCATCCCAATCAGTCTTTTCACTGGAGATGTGAACAAATAGCAGCCTGGAGGCATCGCACAGCTTCAGAGAATTGGATACCTGTTGGGAGGACGGCGTGGAGTTGAGAGATTTCGGCCAAAGAGACAGTAATATCCCAACACTCCATTTGCATGTACCAGGCTTGGGCCATGCAAGCAGGTCGCTGTGTAGCGATGCACCCATAACCATTCTTTAGAAATTCTTGCAATTCGTCAGAAATGCTGTTACTCCCTGGTCCTATCAGTAAGTCCTCAATCACCTTAACCACAGTGGATGACGCCTGCATATTGGGCAACGCCACACTCTGTCCAAGGCTACCGTGAACGTGATCGACCATGGCTTGGAGATCACCTTTGTGGTTTGTCTCGCAGGATTTCCTCCAGCCAGGGGGTTGTTTCTCGGACAGAAGGACGTCGTTCTTCTAGAATCTTTTGAGGAACTACAAGATGGCTGTCTTCCGTGTCTGATATCGCAGCATCACTATCTCGTCTCTCGTGACGTTTCCCAGTAGGCTTGAGAGACGAAGCAGATCTGGGTGGAAGCAGCTCGTCGTCATCCCAATCTTCCTGAAGGGCTATGATGCTGGGACTTTTCATGGCGAGGTCGGCTCTGGGTGCACTTTCAGTGGTAAAGTATCCGATCGGTAACGCAAAACTTCGTTCTGGTGACTCATCATCTGAAGTGACATCGCTTTTTGCCGAAGTGACTCGCGCAAGCGGTCCGCCGTAAGTTCCTTTCAAGATACCCCGTTTGGGGGCTCCGATCGCTCTGGTGACAGCATCAGCTTCTTGCTCAGTAGCCTCCATCGAAATCGAGCTGTCGTTGGCCTTGTCGCGGAGATGGCTACCCCCAGCGGTTTGAGCTTTCTCAAGCATGCTGCTGTATAGACTTCGGCCGCTTTCCAACTGCCGTTTCATCTTCTTCTTCATCCTTTTGGACGTTGGCCGGACGACGATCACCGGCACGGGGGAGTGCTGCAGACAATATTTCGAGACAGAGCCCGGAAGCAGGCCCTGCATGCCACCTAAGTTCCTGCCTCTTGTTCCCACAACCAGCGCTGCCGGCTCATATAGTTGTATCTAAGGAGGATGTCAGCCTGTTTCCACTGAAAGTGCAAAAGCCTTCGCCTACCATGCGCTGGAAGATCTCCTGAACCTTGCCAACAGCTAATTCCATAATAATGCTGATGGCTTTGTCTTCGGAGCTGTTCTTCCGTATCACGCTATCGAGCAACCTCTGAGCCTCATCGCGATATTTGCCTCGCTCGTATGTAGTCTCGCTGGCCGACTTTGCGTCTTTCTCCACGACGCGCAGGCAGACGATTTCGTCCCCGTCTTCGATAAGTTCGTCCAGCACCCACTCCAAAGCATATTCTGAGTAGTCTTTGGCATCCGTTCCGCATAGGAATGTTCGGCTTCGAGACGTAGAGGCATAGTCACGGTGCTTATAGTTCAGGGTAAAAGATTCGGTGGATGCATCTCTGTTGTCAAAAGTGTCGAAGGAGACGCCTCGGTGGTAGTTGCCAGGAGGAGGGGGGGACGACATTCTCCGTTGAGTGGCAGATGACCGTTGGCCTTGTGCAACGCTCTCTCTTCTTATAGTATCTTCGGCAGCCGCGGTGTGGAATTGGATCGATGACTTTCGTCTTCCATCTGCTGGTTGTTCTGCAATCTTTGGTCGCTGAGGTGCCTTGGCCGCGTCCTTCCAGACTTGCCCGAACGCAAGCTCTCGTTCTTCCTCTTGCGAAGCGGCATCGGCCGAAACGGCGGATTCGTGCGTCGGAGCAGAAGCCATCTGGTGAACACGGCACAGCGCGGGGTAAATCGGTCGAGCTGTTTTGTTCGCTCTTTGTACTAATAAGTGGTAGCTTCGCGGTACAGCGGGTTGTATCGATCTGATGAAGGCCGATGGACAGCAATAGCAACAGAGTTAGAGTCGACCGTCGCTAAGAACACTGCCACTCTTCTCATGTGAAAGAGTCTAGGCCTTTCAATTTTGACGCGTCTCGCGGACCCGTCCAGTTTTCGAAGGTTCGCTCACGTGAGGTATGGGGAAGGAGGAGTCAACCAGCATGCAGCAGCATCAAGTCAGAAGTTGTTGAAGAACAGAAAGACTTCATGACCCTTTATCCAGAGTCTCCTCCAAACATTGGCATGAGACAACCAGCCCTGGAGTGCACTGACACCCGGACTGCAGCGTCAATGCCACGGTAGGTCGGAATTGAAGGTCTTGGAAATGCTTGGCCTGAAGTACTATGTCACTGCAACGTACCTACCACAGTACTACTACTCGTAGGTGACCTCACTGGCAGTGCAGTGCCTCTCAAGCCAGCGGTAGACTGAACTGGGTCAGCTTCAGGAAATGGCGGCGGGGCTGTGCAGCTTTGAGGTGAATATAATTGCACGATCTGAAAGCTGCTCAGCACGCTGGCTACGGTGGCGGTCGGGATGTCAATCAACATGGGTTTTCTACATGCTGTTCGGCTGGGTGCATCGTATACACATGATTCGGGTAGGTACCTACCTACTTGTGTATAACAGATATACAGGTGCTCCCTTGACTTGCAAGTTGGTGTGGCACACCGCCTGGTCCTTTTAATAGCATATCCCCTCTTGGTATTGAGCGGCCACGCCTGGTGCTTCTACTCCCCAATGTTCCAGCATTCAAGTAAGTGTAGTGCTCATATGAGTTTACGTTAAATAGCGTCGAAGGAAGATCTGTCATAGCATACCCTGATCAGGTTGACATGCGTGGTGCCAGTGAGACACAGACTGACGGCGCTCATGGAGGCCGACAAAACGACATCATTCGAGCTGCGCAGAGCGGAGAACTCTACAGCTTCGTGACTGAGGAAAGTGGTCTGTCTAACAGAGTTGTTGGTACAGGAGGCACGCCGATGTGCCGCGAAGCCATTGACGGATCGGAACCGCCTCGAAGCCGTCAGTCTAGCCATGTAGACCTTGGTAGTGCGCGAGCATGTACGCATAAACTATCTTCGTCTTCCGCTTTCGCAACAGATGCCTGTGGCTGATGGTGACTCTTGTAGCGTCACGCGAGTGGTCGGTCTTGTCAAATAGAAAATGTTGAGGAAGACAACTCGACCATTGGGACGGTAGCCTCGAAGGCCGAATCTGACCTTGTCGCCGGAGTAAGCCGTTGGACGCTCCAAGCGGAAGGTACCAAATGAAACTCAAACGGTGAGACTTTGACAATGTGGCCAGCACGATACGGCCATGCGTGTGCATCGACGACATTTATCTCTTGAGCTCCGCATAAGGGTATGTCACCGGATCACCCTGTGAGACAATCAGCACTGAAGCAAGGCTGTCAATAGATATTCCCGGCTCACCTTGCGAAGCCATATTTTGGTCCGCTTCTTGGTTCCTTGATGCTCAACAAACACTTCCCGAGCATGTTCGGCCTTGAACTTTCGAATGAAACGAGGATCCCAGAGCTCGCTAGCGACCCCGAGGTCTTTACAACACCGCATCATGGCGTTAGATTTGCAACCTTCCGACGCCATAGGTATGTTGTCTTTGTTGAAGTACACCTGCTCTCCGCGGGCGATAGACACCAGCCTGTCCGCTTGTCAGCTGTGACTGTTGGAAACATCATGTCCGACTCACCGCCCATGGGCCAGTAATGCATATTCCCGGGTGACGGATTTATCTGTGACAATAGTCTCGCCTCTTGGAGCCAATCCCCAGCCGCCTGGGCCGAAAGCCCTGTTCAGGATCCTCCTGTATTTTATCTCGGGCAGGTAGACTATGCCATCAGGTTTGATTTCGATATCTTCTGGGTCGATTGGCGCTTGCAGAATATCAGCGGCTTCTTTGGAGAAAGGTTCGGTGGAGAGTCCGTGGAAGGATTTCGTCCAGTCCACCCTGGATGGGTCGTCTGCCTGCGTATCTAGCGGTTGGACATCGAAGCCGTTCGACGACTGGATGTTTTGGCCAGTTGAGGTGTCTTTCGGAGGCACTGTTGTCTTAGGTGTGGTGGGACTTGAGGCTGCCGCAGGGGCGGCGCTCTGGACTGACGACGTCGAAAATGTCGAGCGTAACGCATCTCGGGCCAGATATCTATGCAAGGAGGTGCGAGACGCGGCCGAAGGGAATAGAATCGGGGTTGTTGCTGACGGCCGCAAGAAGTTGATAGAGAGTCGAACACTGCGTGACATGATTGCAGTAAGGACCGGACTTTTTGTCTCAAAGAACACAACAAGCTGAGCTCGGTTATCTGACACACCGACAGCAGCAATTGAAGTAACAGTCTAGTGTACAGGAGCGAGCAGGAACTTGAAAAGCGAAAGGTGGTTGCGCAGAAGTGAAAGTCAGAAGACGCGAAGTTCCCTTCAGATCGCCATCCGTCGCGCCTTGACGAGTCTCCAAGTCAAGCTGTCCATCACCAGCCTCGAAATCCTACATCGATCCTCGGGTTCTACTTCTCAAGAGCTGCATCTTTCGTTTGCGTTCGTTCCTCGTTCCCTTTCCGCTTCCAACACTGTCTGAATGCCTCCATCTGTTTGTCCCATCAGCTGGGCCCCTAAATGACCGAGAACTCGGAGCAAACATCGAGCGTGGAGAAAAGCCTCGTGCCAACCAACCACTGCACCAACATTGCATTAAATATTGACGTTGGGATTCACCACTTACTTCGTTCTTACACGCTCGCCAATCCTTTTTGTCATAGTAGCAGTCGTTCATACGCAGTTGTTCCTCTGTGCATCCAAGGTTAGCGATCTCGTCATTGATCGAAACCTCTAGAGAGCCACTACCGGCACAGCCTGTACTGAAGATTCGCTGGTCCCTGAAAGCGTACAGTTAGCGCTTGCTGGCTGAATGATACAGTATCGGTTGGACTTCGTCTACCATTCATCGAGCTCCTCATCGTCAGCTTGAAGCTGCGTCGCAGCTTTCTCTTTCGACATTTCTTTGGGTTGGCTTTATGTTGTATAAGTCCAGGTGGATTTAATGCTAAAAAGTGTTGTTGCGCTCCGCTCGTTGATGGTCGCCTGACATATTCGGTTTTTGACTTCATCAAAATAACCACCGAGCAAGAACAGCAACACCGTCAACAATGGCTACTAAACGAATGAACATCCTCGTCTACTCCGGTGCGCTGACCCAAGAAGCATGGCGAGCGAATCAAAATCTAATGCTCTCTTCAGGAAACGGCAGCACTGTCGAATCTGTCCGCCATTGCCTGTACACACTTCGAAAGCTGCTTTCTCCGAATTATGCTGTGATACCTGTTACTGGTGATATGCTCATCAAAGAACCATGGACAGCGAGTTGCGCCGCAGTGGTATTCCCAGGTGGAGCTGATCAGGGTTACTGCAAGACACTCAATGGCGAAGGCAACAGACGCATTCGCCAATTTGTGGAACGGGGTGGCATCTACATTGGATTTTGTGCTGGTGGCTACTATGGCAGTAAAAGGTGTGAGTTTGAAGTCGGGAACAAACTTCTGGAAGTCGTGGGTGATCGCGAGCTTGCATTCTATCCTGGCATCGCTCGAGGCTGTGCATTTCCCGGCTTCGTCTACCACAGCGAGAAAGGCGCTCGGGCTGCCGAAATGAAGGTTGACAAGACAGTCTTATCGGAAGGGACTGTTCCAACCGTGTTCAAGACCTACTACAACGGGGGCAGTGTCTTCGTTGACGCTCCGAAATACAAATCGCAGGGCGTGGAAGTGTTGGCGAGCTATACGGAGCCTTTGAGTGTCGATTCTGGAGAAGGCACAGCAGCTGTTGTATATTGCAAGGTCGGTCAAGGTGCAGCGCTCTTGACGGGTCCGCACCCAGAGTTTGTCTTTCTCGGAAAAGCAGTAGATGACTGGCTATTGACGAAGCCTAGATTTGCTGCTGCCAACCTTGAGCCCAAGCCGGAAGTTCCTGGGTTCTCTAATGTCATCAAGACCCTGGCCGAGGACGAGAACCAAAGAATGAATTTCATCAAGGCGTGTCTCACAAAACTTGGACTTACTGTGAGCGGCGAGCATAACGTACCTTCCCTGTCTCCTATGCATTTATCTTCATTGCAACCTGAGAACACAGCGGCGGTGGTTTCATCTTTGAGCCATCTCATTCAGAAGGATGAGCATGGCGAGGAACTCATCCACGACGAAAATGACACATTTCGTCTTGTGAGATTTTCCACGTGGAACATGAAGGACCTGGAGAAAACCTTGGCTTCGCAAGCAGAGACAAAAGAATCTGCTGACCATGACGACGGCAGCTCCGACCGGATTATCGATTATAAGACCGTGGTCAAGGACATTCTCGTTCATGACGACAACTATCCCCAAGCCCAAGCAACGCCCTACTTTAATCATCAGGCGTTCTATGCCAATCTTCAGAAATACCAATCTCAAACGCCGAGTGCTTCCAGCTTTGGCACTCACCTACTTTATGGAGACGTGGTCACTTCGACAAATACACTGCTTGAAAAGAATACCAAGATACTCCGCAATCTTCCTCAAGGGTTCACCGCAACAGCCACGGTTCAGGTGGCAGGTCGAGGTCGCGGATCCAACGTCTGGGTATCGCCAGCCGGGAGTCTTATGTTCAGCACTGTGATTCGCCACCCCATGGCACAAATGCAATCTGCACCCGTCGTCTTCGTCCAGTATCTTGCTGCAATGGCCATTGTCCAGGGCATCAAATCTTACGAGGGGAATCAGTATAAGGAAATGCCGATCAAGCTGAAGTGGCCGAACGACATCTATGCCCTGGATCCTACCAAAGCCAAGGGAAATGGTGGTGATCTGAACGAAAACTACACCAAGATTGGAGGCATTCTGGTTAACAGCCATTATAACACCAAGGAATATATTGCCGTGTGCGGGATCGGGCTAAACACCTCCAATACTGCGCCGACCACCTCGCTAAATCAGCTCACGCAGTTCCTCCGCAAAGAAGTGCCTCCTTTTACTCTGGAGAGACTGCTGGCCCGCATTTTGACCGTCTTTGACGACCTCTACGCACGATTCTTGCGGACAGGTTTTGACGAGGTCATGGAAAAGATGTACTATGAGCACTGGCTTCACATGGACCAGATTGTGACACTGGAGGCCGAGGGCGGGCAGCGAGCACGAATCAGGGGCATCACTAGAGACTATGGTCTACTGATAGCAGAAGAGCTTGGGTGGGAAGACCGCGAGACTGGGCGCAGGTGGACTCTGCAGAGTGATGCGAACAGTTTTGATTTCTTCAAAGGTTTGGTAAAGGTAGGCCTCAAATCCTCTCTGTGCATCAAGGGTGTGTTCAAGCTAACTTGCCGTCTCTGTACAGAGGAAGATATGACAGCATCAGCCCTCAGAAGCCGCCAGCCAACATTCAACAACCAACACACAAAAGACGACAGCGTGTACTCCGTATGCACACAACCGTCATCCTCCCTCCACTACGCACTACACGCGGGGCCTTGATGCTTAGCGACAGAATGCTCGAGGGTCCATCCGAGGTGGAGATGATACGTAGACCCTGGAGAATTCTATGACTATGCCCCAGCCTTTGGCAGGGTCTGGAAGTACATGTCGGGCGCATTACCATGCGTACTTGCCGACAAAGCGAGCAGCCAAATACAATCCAGGCCGGCATGAATGACAGGGCGAGGGCTTCACTTCGTCTTACTGGAGGAAAGGAGGTTTTATATCCGCAATTGCTCGTCCCCGAACCCAGTCACACAGCATAAGCTCCTTTCTCGGATTCGGGGAACGTCAGCTACCGGTACCTGCAAAAGATGGCGCTCTATGGAATTTGTGAAACAGAAGCGGGTGGGAGTAGCACCTGGGATACTAGGTCATATGTTCGTGAAGGCTGTTAAAACTCCGTTCAACAACAGCACACATCTTCCAGGTGCAGTTGCGCTAGTGATGATACCTGAACTGCCATGTAACATTTCCCGTGGTCAGGGGCGCGGAGCTCTTCATGAAAGCAATGCAATTTGATGAAGGGGACAACCGGCTAGCAGAAGCGCTGAGGCGGTCAGCCTTTCACCGTGGCTTCCAGTGAGACAACGGTATGGGCCCAGGAACGGGGCACAGTTGGCCACAGATCAGCAGTGGGGTGGTAAGGCACTGCCAGTGTTGCATGGCAAGATTGATGTAAACTCTGGCAAGGGACGAGGAAATGCAGACGTCCTTTTTGACGCCCTTTCTCATCAGCTAGCAAGGGATGTCTTGCGAGACAAAGGGCTCTGGCTTGGCTTTGATGCATGTCATCGGCGATTCAAACGAGGGTACACGCTCGTTCTCCGGAAGATGGATGCAATTGACGAATTCAAGCAATGTCATTCTGAGGCGATGGATGAACCCTTGGGGGTGCTGCTGGGATGGTGAGGATCGTGTAGGACGTGGGCAGCCAGAGTCGCTTTCCGCAAGATATATACAGATCAAGAAGCCGGCCGTCAGCTGCACTAATTTGATGTTTTAGGACCAGTCAAATTGCGATCTGATCACCGCCTTTTGGGTTTGTTGACGGTATGTAGCACATCTTAAAATGAACATGAGAAAGCTCTCTCCATCAGCCTCCACCCGGAAGGCATGGTACATCTGGGGGCATATCTTTCCACGGACCACGACTGTCGGCGATTGTCTGCACTGCAAAAGGTGCGATCTTCCGCACGACGAAGTGCGGATATTTCGAGTGCTTGCGGATAGCTCTGAGAGAGATCTCCCCGTTTGCTCTCGCTTGACTTCGTTTCGAGACGATGAACGGGGCGGCTCTGGGCCTCTGCTTCAAGCACGACGGAGCATCGTTAGTCCAGTGCAGTGCAGTGCAGTGGAAATATGAGGTTGGCAAGGTGGCGCTCGGATAGGTGGTTCCGCCTCCAAGCCGTTCAAGGGACCCTGCGCTGGTTGGCATATCCTGACAGTAACGGCTCTCCAGTTATGCACTTTCCTTGACCACTCTTTCGCACGTCCTCGGCGCAAGTCTCAGGACCTTGTGCTCGGCCTGGACGATCCCTCGTGCTCGAGCGCTACACATTCAATTAGCGTCTTTGTATTATGCGACACGTCATGTCGCACATTGGGAGCGGAGGGCACGAGGTAACGATGAGGGCTTAGGCTGTCGAGTGGTCCTGAGAAGCGTTGGATCTTTGTGAGGGGATACTAGTATGGCTTGAATTTGTTCTGCTCTCTACCGCACTAGGTACCGAGGGACTCCACGAAGGGTGACGAGAGCAGTGGCAGAGTCCCCCGCAAGGATAAGGCTTGAAGACCTGAACAGGAAATTGATTCAGAGGTAGCAGTTAGAAGGAGTTTGAAGGATTGAACGATCTACACATTAGTTAATAGTAGTATGGCAGTACGCAGTGTGGTAGTAGTACGTACTGGTAGTGGCAGCAGAATGTGCGGCCAGGCACTGACGTAGAAGCCGCAGGAAATAAGAAGCGGCGTAGGGTTCAAGTTGGCAGGACTTGACCATTCATTTGCATTCCACCTCCTAAACCTCCGCCTCCACGACCCCGTCGCCGTCGCCGCAGCCACTGACATACTACTTCTATCTACGGTACTGACCACTAACTGTCAACTCTTACCCTGAAGTTTAATACCCCTTCGCCTGACTCCTGGGACAAGTCACCGCTGGAACCGGGCGCGTCGTGGTCCACCGTCCTTCTCTCCCCTGCCTTGTCCAATCGTCCAACCAGAATAGTCCTATCTGCGGACCTCCAAGTCAACGCTGGTAGTGGACTCGACGAGAAAAAGGCCAATGACTATGGGCCAATGACTATGGGAGAATACACTGCTTGATGGGTGGCGACTACAATTCCCATCTACGATCATGACCTTCTGCACCGAGATTCTCGCAATTCCGCTCCAGGTCACCCCGTTGTACTATGCTCCTACTTGATCGCCCTTTGCCCGGATTACGTCGTCAACCTTGCTCGCACCAGCACGTTATATCGACCCTGGATGTCAGTTGGAAGGCCTCCCGTAACACGGAAACCAACGGCGTTCGTCTGACCTTCCACAGCTCCTGCATCGCCTCTAGTGGTTCTTTCTGACCACGTCCAGCCTTGTGCGCAAGCCTGAACTTGCAGTATCTTCTCCCAATCACTACCTGGTCCTGGGTTGCAGAGTAGAGCACACTGCCGCCATCCATTTTCTCTCGCTTCAGTCGTGGGATACCCTGGCCCTTGTTCGCATACGCATGAGCGATACATGCGCTGGAGCTGATCTCAATACTCGCTGCTTCAGCTAGTCGCTGAACTATCACGCTGCACCGCTTCAGAGCTCTCGTCCCAAGACCTGATTTGTTACACAAGACTCCTTCACCTCGAGCTGCTATCCCCCTCCAGAGGGCATACGAACAACTACTAAAGGGTTCGACTTTCCCTATGTTTTGGAAGGAGGCCAGCGTCTTTTAGGACTGCTCGGTGCGCAAAGGCCTCTTGTTGTCTCTTGTGTCTTCTCCTGCTCCCTGCCGCCAATATGGAAACGGTTTTCATCACCATTCATGGTTGGTAGCTCGTCCTTAAGCATTGGAAGCCGTCACTGATCCGTCGGCTAGATTTGTCTTTGGATGCGCGCATTCGGTACTGCTCGGATTCCATTGAGGACATTCTGGGGTACCTTCCGCCTGAAGTCACCGGCAAATCATGCTGGGAATACTTCCACCCAGATGAGATCCCTTTCGGGCGGTCCATTCATGGCCGGGGCATCAGCCTCGACAAGGCCGCAGTTATGAACTACTGTCGGATCAAGCACAAGGACGGCTCTTGGGTTGCCTGTGAATGTGTCTTTACCGTGGTTTATGATGTTTTGGTCGCTAGCACTGCAGTCTACCGACGGGGTCCAAAGGCAAGGCGTAAGTTGCTTCTTTTGAATGGCCTTCATCATAGTCGGCGCTGACGTTGAAATCAGAGAGGGCTCTTGATGGAGCTGGCATTCGTCGGATCTTCTCTTCGTCACCGCGGGATCCCCGATACCACATGCTCTCTTTCCTGTCCAACAAATTCTATCAGGAACCGGCTGTCCACAATCCAGAGCCGCGAGCCGCAATATTCCTCAATCGTTTCACCCGCACCTCCACTGTCATGTACGCCACCGACGGATTGACTGCCATTCTTGGCATCCAACCATCAGAGCTTATTGGGAAGAGCTTCTACTACTGCATCGAAGAGAACTGTCTGCAGGATGCGATCAAGTGTCTTGAAAGCGCAAAAGCTAACGACTCCATTGCCTACCTGAGGTTTCGGTATCGCAACCCACTTCAAGACGCGAATAGGGCACACTCCGAGTCGGTGCGCGGTCTTGATGAGAGCGACGAAGACGACGACGGCGGTGTCCCCTTGACAAATGGAATCAGATCCGGGTCAAGTGTCTCGATGACGGATGCTTCCACGCCGCGTGTAGCCGAAGACAGTTCTCTGCAGACATCCACTCAGGCTGACACGCTTCCTGATGGAGTGGGGCCAGCGCAAGCTGATGGGACAGGACAACCAGTTGAAGCTCAGGCTGTCCCAGCTGGTCCCAATCCCCTGATACAGAGATCTACTTCTGGCGACAGCACCGATGTGGAAGCAAGCCATCAAGACGGTTCTTTTGATACTGCGGAGTCCGGAAGATCTTCATCGTCTCAAACCCTTCAGGAAGATCTTGCCTCAGAGCCGCTGGAGCTTGAAGCCGTCGTCTCTTGCACTTCAGATGGCCTGGTTGTGATCCTTCGTCGTGCAAGACCTCTCGTACCACACACTCTCGGTGCCACGGAGGCCCCATATTACTCCAATGGGGTCTTCGCAGCGCCTTGGGCTCCGGAGCCAATGCTGCCTCCTCACACGACCCAAGCCAGTGTGGTTCCTGCCACTCCAGTCCCAGCCGCCCAAGACACCGCACAGGACGGTTTCATGGCCGCAATCAGAGACGTTGCCGTCTTCGCTTGGTCACTTACTGGCATCAACGGCTCCGTTGCACAGTATGCTCATGGTCAAGCTTCCGGCGAGGCGTTGCCACCAGGAGGCATGCCCGTTTGGGACCCTGATGCCAAAACCGACCCCAGTTCGGACGAACTGTTCAACGGCTTTCTCGGCAGCGCACATCGACCGTTTGCTGGTATGGAAGAGCCAATGCCGCGGAGAGGCGATGAATTCAGCAGCAGTGACGATGAGGTTGTCTGGAAGCGGGTTTCCACGCTGCCCGCGTGGCGGCGGCCCAAGCGAAGAGGTGATGATGCCTTTGGCACTGACGGATTCGATGGAGACGATGGCGAGAACGAATCTGGAGGCCGCAAAAAAGCAACCATGTCACAGACCGGTTCTCGATCAGGAGGAACGTCCGCTTCGGGTCCTACTTCTGGCTCAGAGTCTAAAGCCGGGTCGACGACCGATTCGACCTGATGCTGCTGCTGCAAGATTACGACTGTTACGAATGAACGCCTGCCGGCGCCGTTGGTGGAACCAAAAGTACTCCTGCACTGTTTGTGCCTTGGTCCGGTATGGTGACTGCCAGGGATTCCTTGTGGTCGGTTCAGGATCTTTGGAGACTCCAGTATTTCTACCTCAAATAAACAGCTCGACAGTAGGAAAGATATCTTAGTGATTAGTAGCCATCGTGGTACGTATATCATCCTTTGCCGGAAAACAGATAATCCGTAACCGAAGCACGTGCCTTCGCGTTCGGTCGCGTTTTGGTCTGACGCAATTATTTTGGCCTGCGCCCATACTGATAACTCCGGCGACTTCATGTCGCTGGCATCAACACTTCGCAATCACATAACATTGCAGATGCGTCTGCTGTTCCCACCGCAGAAATGCCTCTCCAAGCAAACATGAAGCAATTCGTACAGAATCGTGAAGGTGCAAGCAGTCAAATGCACCTCGCAAAACGCTCCTTGACACCACAACCCAAAACCCACCGTGATCGGACAGTGCAACCTCAGGAGGATGCGGGACCAAGACCCAGAGCAGGAAGCCAGGATGGCAGAGACCGCAACAATACCAATCGTCAAGAGGCTGCGAAGTTGAAGCTGCCAGTACCAAACACCATTGGCAAACTTCCCTCGAACAATCTACATATCGCCGAGCACGATGTAGCTGAAGTCGAAGCCGCTATCGCACATCACAAATCCTCTCGTACGGTGCCTCACATGCAAGCACCGCACCAGGTCAGAGTTCCACAGCGACTTGCAGCGTGTATAAAGAGCTAACTTCTCTTCGAAGCCCATTGTATCTGCTTTCGACGATACACAAAGCATCCACTTCGACGACTCAACCAGCATAGCAGACGATCTAGACAGCCAGATGGACATGGACTTCGATCCCCGACAGAGACGCAACTCATCGCATCCTCCAAGAACATCTTCCGTTCAGCAGTATAACAACTTGTACGAAGAACAGCCGGCTGTGTCGCTTCAGAGAGCGGGACGTCCTGCTGTGGGCTGGCAGGTCATGGTAGATGCTGAACGACACCGGCATGGTCGACCTTCGAAATATGGAACTCAATTGGATGATGGTAGTCTTGACTATACGTCCACAGACCAGAGGTACGACGAGGGGTATGATCCGGAAGGGGAATACGCCGAAGGCCCAGGGCCATTGGAAAACACTCCGTCACGGACGCGAGGTCCTCTTAACCCGACTCCTGTCCGAGATCTGAAGAAAAGCATCGCAAAGACTGGTCCCCGTCAACCAGTTCCCGAGGAACCCCCCAGTCCTCCTTTACCCACGAAGAGGAAGCCTTTGAGCGAAGTTGGCCTCAACGAGGTTGCCGAACTTCCACTGCATCCGCACGTGAACCGTTTCAAGACTTTCAAAGCATCCGATGACAATACCTTCGCCGAACCATCCAAGGAGACCCATTCGACTCTCCAAGCACCTCAACAAGGACATCCATCCAATATCCAACAACCGGCCTTTTCTTCCAAAGAATCCTCCTACCATGAGTCATCCTCGGAGGAAGACCAGCCACTTAGTACGGATTCATCGAACACCACTCCATCCCTCAAACGATCCCATCACAGTCGCGATCTAGACTTCGACCCAGAAACTCTTCCGACCAAAACCTTGGCAGACCTAGATGCCATTCCTTTCACAGTCGACCCATCGGCGCCCCCGCCACAGCCTGCCCTCGACGCGAACGGCAACCCAATGACGTTATCGGCAAAACTCACGAACCTCACCAAAATGCGGCCCGAGGACCAGCGCCAACTCTTCAAGTCCCAAACAGATGAAGAGCGTGAGCAGACCGCCACCTGGTTCCTGGAGAAATTCCAGTCCGATATGCAGAAACTGATGGCTGTGAGACTGGAGCGCAGGAAAATCGCCCTCAAGTTCGAGCTGGAGGTCAAGAAGCGCGAGAGAAGAGTCCAGGTCAAGCGAGCTGATGTGGATCGCGAGCTGGAGGGCCTGAGGAGGGGCGGGGTGGAATTGATCGGAGGGAAAGCACCAGCCAAGTGAACCAAGTGGGTTTTCTGGTGCCGGCGCATGCCAGTTCTCCAGGTATGCTGGGCAGGAAGAACAGTCTGTTGTTGCAGAGAAGTGTGCTGTAAATATGGATGACTCAAATGCACGGGAGTCCAGAAACGGTTTACGATGTCACGAAGACTGATTCCATGATACCCATATACTGTTCGCATGTTTAATGTCCATAGATAGATATCAAAGCGCTTAGACGAGCCTCAGAGCCAAGGATCCTACCATTCCTAACCACCAGCTGTATGCTACGAATAACATGATCCTGGAGATGCTAGAGTTTGTAAGCTAGAGTGTGTAGTCTGCCTTACCAGAAGAGGAAAGCAGGAGGACGGGAAACTTTGAGAGATCTATGCTGTCTAGTATGCAGACTCTATGGACGAACATTCTAATCCAGGAAGTAGGACGGATGTTCAAATATTATGGTGTTCTTGCCTTATCCCTCCCATCTATTCAGGCGCCTTCGTTTCAGTGACGCGAACATCTCGACAATGCCAGAGAAAACCCGCCAGGAAGCAAGGTGGGGAGGAGAAATCCCCTGAACTTGTCGGGACTCCAGCAGCTGGTGGACCAATCCAGAGCGCCTTGTGGTCTAATGGCTTGGTCATGCCTCCCTGGGAAACATTCCGAGCTGTTGAGGCCATTACACGATGCCTCAAAGCAGATGTGAATCTCTGAACCCTGGCTGTGATATGCAATGCAGCTTCGAAGGGCTCTGCGTTCGCGACATTCTCTTGCTGGGTCCGGGTTTTATCTTCGGGAACCACCGCTGCATGAACAAAATGCATGTTCGTGGGAAGATTAACCAGGGGGTTCTCAGTCCCTAGAGGGCCAAAAGTCATCGTCACCAAGGCGTGAGGGACGGAACCGCTGCTCCCCTTTTTCAGGTCTTCTCCCCATCAGTTCCTGCAGCAGAACCCACAGCGTCGCCTTCAGCCTCCTCGATCTCGGCTCCTGCACGCTGGACAAGCATGCCAAGAACCCTTGCCAGACGCTGATAGTCCAGGAGTAGATCGTTGACTTCACCGACCTTCAGGTCGTTTGCGTCTGTGAGTTTCATGAAGCGTGATACCGGCGGAGCCGCTTTGATGCTGGACAACTCGGCCTTGTCCGGGCTTCGGAGAGGAACGTTCTTGGCCTCATTGCCATCCGGATCGCTCTTCTTATCATCACTCTCCACTGCGGCAGGCTTGGTGTCCGCACCGACCAAGGTTGTCGGAGTAGGCGGCGTGCTTGCCGGAGGAGAGACGGACGCGGTCGCTCTGCTTCCAAAGCGTCCAAATGCACCACCAAGTGCAGAACCAATATGGTTCATCGGGTTTAAGCTGGTCCCGAAATTCTTCACTGACTCGAGCGGATTGCTGCTCGCTGCCTGAGAGGCAGGTGGCGGGGGCTTTGTTGGCGGGTTTGAGGCGGATACTGAAGCAGCTCCCGTTGGCGGCGAAGTCGAGTACGTGTTACCCGCCACGAAGGCCACCTTTTTCCCACTTCCATTGCTTTTGACACTATCCACACTCCGTTCACGCACTGCCGTCTTGCGTCCTCCGAGGAGGCTGAGTATCTTGTCTTCTGTCTTGGTGAGATTCGAAGGCACCGGCGTATGATGGCCATCCAGGAAAGAGCTCGATTCGCTAAGGGCGTGGTCATCCTCGTCTGGTGTTAGAGGTCGACTGACCAATTGTCTGGCCTCGTCCAGCGTCTTGGGCACAACAACTTCCACGTTGGAGTCCACAGTGCCGCGCTCGTTTAACTTGCCGAGCAGGAACTTGAAACTGTTGTCCAGCGTACTTGAAATGTTCTTGAAACCTTCCTCGGCTGTGGAACGCATCGCCTCGTTCGCGCTGCTGATGGGCTGCAGGAGGTCGGAAAATGTGCGTTGACGAGTTGCTGGAACAGAAGTCGACTTTTCGGGAAGTGCATTCAGAGTGGATGTCGCCGGACTGAACTCTGCACTGGTGCCAGTTGCATTGGACACTGAGGTGGCCGTTGTTGGCGTGGATGGTGTCGGTGCTGTACCGGGAAGGGGAGGAAAGGCTTCCAGCTTGTCTGTACTCTCCGTTTCGGCCAGCGATGAGGCCTTTCTAGGACCTTCCGGGAGCTCGTCGGCTCTGAGACTCGCCAGATCGACGGTTTCGAGAAAACTGATTGCAGCCTCCAAGTTCGTCAAACAGTACGCCGCTTCACCGTCGATTTTGGCCGCCCCCCGGAACCGCTGGATAAAGTAAAGATTGCTGATGATATTGATTCCCTCCATCGGAGACGTGATCAACGTATAGATCAAGGTAGGCAGGATCTCGTCGGCAGAGGAGGAGGAGGTGTGAATGGAAGAAAGAGTGTCGACAATAGCCTTATGGGCTGCAGTCAGATGTTGCAATTTTCCCAGAGGATAGTGCTCCTCGTTCATTCTTGCAAGACCTTCTCTTGCTGGTATAAGAGACGCTTGAACATCCTCCGGCGTCTTTTCGGTGTCTGAACTCCATTCAATGCCTAGATCTTTCAACCCGATGCCGACGAGTGATAATGCAGCCGTCTTCGACCGCAGTTTCTCATCTCTCACCTCGTCCAGCGTGCTTTTATGCCTCCAAATCTTGTCGTATATTCTCTCGCAGACTCTCTTTTCCACTGCCTCTTCCAGCAATATTCTCTTGTGTTCTAGCAGCTTTCTCTGTCTCCGACGCTCAGTCACCTCTGAAGGCGTCAGCATCTGTTGGAAACTTCCTGCCTTGTCTGGAGGTGCTAGCGAATCGCTGGAGGATGCACTCTGTAAGGTCTTCGATCTCAGGGGGGCCTTCGAGGGGGACGGTGCTTGATCCCGATTGAGCCGCGACTTGAGGGCAGAGATGTGTATTGAAATGGCTGCCGAGGCCCTGGCATAGAATTCCTGAAAGAGCTCGGATAGTTGGTCAATTGAAGGTGGCTCATTGTATACTTTGGCACTTAAAGAGTCTACAAATCGGTCGGAAAAGCTGGCCAGTTCGACTGGAAGCTCGTCAAGCCGGTCTGGTAGAGGCGGGGACCGGCCCAAATCTGGTGAAGCGGGTTCATTCTCTTCATGGATCGTTTTCTCGAATACATCCTCCTTATCAGTACTCATTTTCTGTGGGGATGTCGAAGGGGTGACGGATTGAATTGTGCTGGCTCTGCTTCGTCCAAGGGAGGGTGACGTACTTTCCGGCTCGTATCGAGTGAAGGAACGAGTCGATATCGCAGCTGGTCTCGACTTGGTAGACCCGGTAGACACGGTTCTCGACATACTGCAAAGAGAGCTGCGTAGAAGCAGTCATCAAGAGTCGGGGTCAGATTTGTTGGATTGTGTACATGCAGAAGTCAACATATGAGACATTGACTGAGGAGCATCCCGATCCGAGCATCCAACATCATCTGTCCAACAGCAAGTCCGCAGGCAGCCAGTCGATCGATCACCAGGACATCGAATGTGCTCCAGCAAGTGACCACAGAGACCTGACCCAACTCATCCGCTCAAAAATGTATTGTTGCTGTGTGTGAAGGAGTTGCCGGCGCAGGACATGTGATGGATTGATTGCGTTCTCGTGCATCTGTCTTCGTAGATTCCATGCACGGGGTGGAGGCGACCGGCATCGATTACTACGTAGTACTTCGACGTACTCTGTATTAGTATTGTTATGATGCCCATTATTGGGGCTGGTTGCCACCTCCGCAATCCAAGGCATCACTCATTCACTCACTACTCAACTACCTGCCTGTTCTTATCAGTCTCCAGCACTCCTCCCCTCCAGCGTCATTCCTCTTCTGATGCTCTTTGCTTCTGTTCACAATAACAACTGTCGATATGAAGACACGGAAACCTCGAGATCAGCCCTGTCCATCCAGCCGTAGGATCTCCGCCGCCCTCCTACTGTCCTTCCTCGCACTCGCAACCCCGAATGCAGCCAACAGTGTTCCCGCCATCGTCGACCCGTGGAATCCTGTACCTCTTCCCAGGCAGGACACCCACGACTTCACTTTAAGACATGTTTTTCACCGAGGCACATACCGAGACCCAGAACTGCACAAGCGCTACGATTTCCGCCCTCAGGCCCCGGTGTTAGTGACGACAGATGACGATGAGTTGGTGGCCTCCATCGAGAAGCCGCCACACTTCACAGCTCGATCCAGCCCTGTGGAAATTGAAAGATTGGTCGACCGGCAGCCGAACAGCATCGAGGAACATCTACGATATGCTCGACTTACGGGGGCTCCAGCGGTGCTCGGCGCTTCGGCATGGACAATGGATGAAGTAAAAGGCCCGAATGTGACGGATAGAGACACTGTCATCAACCTTGCCATTATGGCGGCAGATGCATATTCACCTGTGCCTGGTGAGGGAGACTGGCTGGATGTGTCTCATCCCTACAATCGGTCGAAAGACTTTGGCTGGGAAGGTGATGGCTTGAGGGGTCACATCTTTGCCGACAAAGAGAACGAGACCATCATCATCAGTTTGAAGGGCACTTCACCCGCAGTTTTTGACGGAGACGGAACGACGACAAGCGACAAGCTCAACGACAATCTCTTTTTCAGCTGCTGTTGCGCTCAAGGCGGGCAATATTTCTGGCGACAAGTCTGTGACTGCTATAGCAGCACTTATACATGCAACCAAACATGCCTTATCAAGGCTTTGCGGCAAGAAAACCGATACTATCGTGCGTCTATCGATCTGTATACGAACGTCACCGAACTATACCCCGACTCGAATGTTTGGCTTGTTGGCCATTCCTTGGGCGGGGCGGTGACCAGTTTACTCGGGCTCACCTTTGGCCTTCCTACTGTGACTTTCGAGGCACCCGGTGAGGACTTACCAGCGAAACGGCTCGGCCTTCCAGCACCTCCGTCGTCAGATCCTCACAGGCCGCGCACCAAATATACCGGAGCCTACCACTTCGGCAACACTGCCGATCCTGTGTTCATGGGCACGTGCAATGGGGCTACGGCAACATGCACGCTGGGTGGTTACGCAATGGAATCCCAATGCCATACAGGAAAGCAGTGCGTCTACGATACGGTGAGCGACTATGGCTGGCGTGTAGGGATTGGCAATCACAAAATCCGGAACGTCATCGAGAGCGTGATCAAAGTCTACCCAACTGTGCCTGAATGTATCCCTGACGATGAATGTGTCGATTGCTACAACTGGAAATTTTTCGAAAGCAACGGATCAGATCCCACGACCAGTACGACCACCACAGCCAGCTCTTCCACACGCACTCGGACGACGACTTGCAAAACACCAGGCTGGTGGGGCTGCTTAGATGAATCCTCCACAACGGGCACAACCACTACACCAGTCGTCACCACCACCTACACCACTACCAGTTGTGCCACGCCCGGTTGGTTTGGATGCAAGGAGACGGTCAACGTCACAATCACCACAACAACAGCTGCAACAACAAGTTCCATCCCATTGACTACCACTTCCACCTCCGCGTCTTCCACGTGCGATCATCCCGGTTGGTTGGGTTGTCGGGATCCAACAAGTACCAAGCTTGCGTCTCCTTCCCCTACTACGTCGCAAATAAGAGCAACCAAGACGGCGGATCCGGATAAGTGTGAAACTCCGGGATTGTTCTTCGGTTGCCGCGATCGTCACCCGCACACAGGTTCAGACCATATTTCCACCACCCCCGGAACGACAGCATTGACCAGTCACTCGTCAGCTCCGAGTATCTCTAGTGCCCAGCCTAGCAGCACCGTGGCGGACGACGGAGGTAGGAGGCATAAGAAGTGCAAGCATCGCGCATTCTTTGGGCTGATATGCCTTGACGAGTACGAGGACGTGGAGCTGGAGCTGGATGCACAGGAACTGTGAGAGCAGGTCAGGGACGATTTTATGGACATGGAACACGAATGCATATGAGCACAGCATTGACAATTGGCTGAGGGGCGGGAGTTCTGGGCGTGAGCATTTAGGAGGGTATAACCGGGACGATGGTTGGTGACAGGCGCAAGTCGATTCTACATATACGGGTAGTGTCACTATGTTGGAGTCAAGGAGGTCTCGCTTCAAATGTGGAAGCTCAATCAATACCTTGCTCCTGGATGGTCTCCTGTTTTGATGTCGCATCTGCATAGCAATCCAATCATATTTGCTACAATTTGACCGTAAGTGAAACCGAGGACTTCCTTCTGGTACTATAGTGTGCCCACCGTCAACATGACATATCAGGCGCACGACAATTGTCCCGTCTCTAAGGCAGCTTGATCCAACCACTCTCCTATCCTTGAGGTACGGTCAGGTATCATTACGTCGCAATCAAGATATGAGAGTCTCCTATTCCCACGCAGCCTTGTCAGAGAAGACGCCTTCCATCAAGAGACCAAGATTTCCTCTATCACTGCACCTCGCGGCTGTCGGCCATCCAAACGTCTTCAACCCCATTTCCGAGTGCTGACTTGTCTTTACTGAAGATCAACAGTCATTTTTCTCTGGGTGGATTTGTCCACATCCCCGAAGGAGATGGCGACTCTCATCATTTGGTTTCACACGATTCATGAAACAACTGCAGCGTTAGATCAAACATACAAACCACAAGTACCTGCTATGACATGACATATGATATCTTCAACATTCAGGAACTTGAATATCATCATTATAAAACCTAGATTGCGAATGTTGGGTCAATCAAAGAAACAGTCGTGTATAGGTAGGTGGTACACTAGTAAGTAGTAACCCTAACCCAGATCCGGCTCATATTTCTTCTCTTTTCCCCCTTTTCTTCAAACATCAAATGTAAACATCATCATCATTCCTATTCTTACATCGTCAAACTACTGGCATTGAGAGCCATTATCCTGAAACACTAAGGGAGAGGTTCCGAGAACAACCTCACACCCAAGATCGGCATATACAACAACCTGGTGCTCAGCTCACAATCCAAGCGGATTATCCCCTGACTGTTTCTTGCCTCCAACCGAATCGGTCGCACCTCTGGCAGTATCGCCTACGGCTTTGGTGGTGTTTCCGAGCTGTTTCGGTCAAAGAAGTACAGTCAGCACCGAAGTAATGGTTCGACAGACCTAGATCTGATCTTGGATGACAGGAATGAAAACGAAAATGAGAGGGCGATCATTCTAGAAGAAACATACACCTTCAGTCGCGCCACCCACGGTCTTGCCCACGCCCTGGCCCACGCCTGAGATGGTGTTGCCGACAGTATCCTAGAAGAGAGGCAAGTGTGTCAATGGTCAGCAAGCATGATTCAAACCCCGTTCGAGATTGATAGACTCGTATCCTACTCGACGTGCCAGGACAGGACAGGATAGGACGAAAGCAAAGAAAAGAAAAGTGAAAGACAAGGTACGGTAAGAAGGCAGGTATGGTATAATAAAACGTACAGTGACTCCGCCAACAGTGCTGCCCACAGTACTAGCCAATCCGCCCAAGATGGCTCCTGGACCTGGAGAGAGAAATATATCAGCATTTCTTCGATTCTCATTCTCATTGTCATTCTTGATGGGACGCAGTCCGTCTGGAGTTTTTGTCTTGAACAAGAGTGCGAGACATCAGGTCTCCCCCTGCCCGGCACGCAGCTGCATGCAGAGCGTGAGAGCATATGACAATGAAGAGTGGTACGTACCGCCCTGCTTCTTCTGCTGCTGCTGTTCAGCCATATTGGAAAGGATGTGTGAGATGTACTCAGTATATCTTCAGGGATGTGGGGTTTAATATATCAAGAAAGATGGATTTGATAGCAAAGTAATCAATCAGTCGGATGGCTATTTCAGAATCCTTTTTGAAGATCATACGAGTCTGCCTTGTCAATCTGCCTCATATATATACATATATATACACCTTGACTCCCAACCCCTCTTGAGTGCAGGTGGGTAAATCATGCTGTAGGACAACCGGTACTCGCAGACTCAGAGACAGGTTCAAGTTGGCAAACCAAACCATCGCATCATCCACAGCTGTGGCTTGACGTCAATCAGACAGTTGATAACCGCTTGACCCCTCAGCGGGCGACACGGCGTTGGATATGACGGGGGAATGATGACCAGAGGATATGCGACAGGACCGTAAGAGCCCTGCAGGATCAACGGGATCAACAGGGATCAGGGTCTCACTACTCGGGCCATGGCCACCAGGTAGTACTTAGGTAGGTGCCTTCAGGCGGTTGGCGACTCGCGAGCGTGTACTAGTAGTGGCTTAGCATTATAAGATCCCGGGGCTGCAGACAAGATCGCTAGGCGAGATCACTTTAGTAGGAGAACCAGAGTACAGGTTGAGGGGGCCCTGTTTAGGTGAGTTGAGTCTTGAAAGGATGGGTGGGAGGTTCCAAGGTTGTTGAGTTCATAAAGAGTCAAGACTGGGATGCCGGGTGGGATATCCCTGGTAGGAATTACGTAGTTGGATGATGAGAACGAGGCATGGAAAAAAAAGAACAAGACATATCCGGGGTTGCAGAGGCTGCAGAGTCATCGGTTCGTTGGCCTTAAGACATACATCCCTCCGTCGGTCCAGGCAAGCATACTAGTACAGCTCTGGCGAATGGGTTGGAACGGTCACGAGCGAGACAACAATCCATGCAGACTCCCATTTCTCCTTACTACCCTAAACTCATAGCAATATCCTCCTGGACGCCAAACGGCCTGGGTGCCGTAGTAGTATCTCGCCATTGATCATGCACATCATCTTCCGGCCCATCGCGACTTCGGTCACTTCGAGCACTGTAACGTCCCGTATTCTTCCCGCTGCTGCTCTTACTGTCACTCCGCTCTCGCCTCGAGGACGTGGAGAACCAGCCGCCGCTCTTTTTGGTCATCGATGATTTGGAGAGGCTTGCGGTATCGCTGTCTTTGGGCTTTTCTCCTTCGTCCCTCGCAGGAGCCGAGTCCGCGGCAGATGTGCCAGTCGGCGTCGCAGTACCCGTATCCTTGGAACCACCAAGTCCTTTGGCAAACTCCTTGGCCTTCTTCACTTTGTCTTCTTCTGGATCGGAAGACGGTGGTACCGGTGTTGCACTGCGACTCACCTCCATGCTAGGGGTAACTTCGACCAACTCGGCATCTCTACACCATTTGCGTCTCCTGGTATACCTGCCCCATCCATCCTCGGTTCTTCCGTCGTCCCACTTGTTGTCGTAGTATATCCAGCCGCCGCCATCACTGGCTGCGTCTTTACCAGCGGCCCCGGCTGCGCTAGCGGCTCTCTGGTGCTGCTTTGCATCTCCATGTTCTATTCTCCATTCAGAACCTTCGACCCACCTCCATCGGGAGTGTCCTCCTTCCACTTCTGGCAATTCGAACTCGTCCTTGGATGGCGCAGGATTGAGATGCTCATCGGTCCATGGAGCGCGCTCATATGCGAATAGAGACGTGGTCCAGCCGAGACCCAACCAACGACGCTGGTTCTCGTAGAGGATGAATGTAAATCGTACACCCGACGAATTCGGTCTTCGTTTAGTGGCAACCTCCGAAGCAAGCCCAGCCTGAGATTTAGAGCGCGTGGATCGTGCTGGAAGATCGGGCTTCCCGTTAGACGAGATGGCGAAATTTAGGCCGGTGATAATTGCTGCTGTTCTGCGCAGGAACACTGATCGCCAAAGGATAACCCGCGATACTCGAGCCGGCTTGGAGTGCCAAGTTAGCAGTATAGTGCCAAATGTGAGGATGACCCGTCGGGGAGTCAGGATGTAGAAAGGCGGGAGGGTCAGTAGGATCCAAAAAGGGGTGATCAGGAGGACCCGGATGAAAAGCGTTGTTAATGCCGGCCGGGTGGTAGCAGAGGTGGGAGTGGTTTGGGTAGAGAGGAAATCGGTCAAGTTGAGGAATGGATCGAGCAGGATATTGCATCGCGCAGTAAACTCTTGAAGAGTATCGACGATCTCATCCAACGTCTTGTGTTGAGAAGTGGCTTCCGAAGATTCTCTTTTATGGGTGCTGGCCGGACGTTTGTCGCCGGTTTTGCTGGTCGACGACAGAGGCGAGTATCGTCTCGAGTACATGGCCAAGATGAGCCCGACTACCACGAGGATTGGACTGCCAAAGCGGATGACTTCGCTACCGTACAGAGTGATGGCCCAAAAAAGGGCCACCAGAAGGTAAGACTCCCAAGGGTCTGGTGTACTCCATGACAGTAGTCCGGCGACTTTGTTCAAGGGCAGCAAGAATGGATGCGAGTGTGCCAATGCTCGAGTGATCTCAGGAGGGGTAGCCACCAACAACGGAGATTTCTTGTGTACTATGATGGTGGACCGCTGTTTCGATGCAGCCGAATACCCTGAGGCAGACGAGGGAGAGAAGGCGGCATATGTAGGAGTGTTCGGATCCCAGGTCGGCTGGGAGCTCGACGGGTCAGTCGCAGACGCATACGAGGCCGGTTTGGACATTGATGACATCCAGGGTGTTTCTAATGAGTTGAACCGTCAGTCTCGCCCATGGCTAGCAGCTAGAATCGAATGCATTACCAAATGCTGCCATACAAATATTGCTGGATCATCTGAAGAGCGAGAGACAACTGAGAACACTACACGGCCTATGTAGACAATGAATGTCTCTGGTCATTTGGGAGTAGAAGTGGATGAGATGCCCGGAGTGTCGTTGTAGGCATTGTCAGCGGTCGAACAGGGATCAAAATGACCCTTTTTGGCCTCATGAGATGGTTTGACAGACGAGCGGACGACGAGGCATGTGAACACTGCACAGCACACACCGAACGCAGGCAGACAGCAGGGCCGAGAGAGCGACACAAGACGGGTGCCGACGTCAGAATCTGGAGCCGGCGCGGGCGAGGAAATGACACATCACGTGAACCTAGATCTTTCTCCGACACCAAATTGGGGAAAATTAGATGCTGCTAACAACTTGGACTGAACCAGCATGTTGCTATCCAAAAGATTTCTCTGTTCATCAACCAACCCATAAGGTGTCGCAATCCCTTTACTCGTATAACCTCCTAGACTGTTCTCGCGCTTCTTACAAGAGTAGATGGTGAGTGTCCCGCTCGAGACAACATCTGCTTGCATTTCATTCTTTCATGCAGCTAACATTTTCAGGCGCATCGAATCATCACGCAAATCGTCCTCACCGGCGGCCGTGTTTTCGGCAAAGCCTTTGCAGAGGCATACAAGCAAGCACAAGCATCCTCTCAATATGCGAAATCTGCCGCCGGAAGCGGATCGGCCGCGGCCAACAACTCTGCGGCCTCTGGCATGAGCCTCGACGAAGCCTGCAGAATCCTCAATGTGAAACCTCCCCAGGGTGGCGTGGCCAACATGGAGCAGGTTCTGGAACGATTCAAGAAATTATACGACCTTAATGAACCCAAGAAAGGTGGTGGCGGCTCATTCTACCTGCAAAGCAAGATCCTCCGCGCACGGGAACGAATAGAGATGGAAGCGCAGGCCGCCGAACGGAAGGCCGCTCTGGAAAGAGAAATCAAAGAAGGTTGGAAGCCCAAAATGTACAGAGATTGAAATTCCCTGTGCTAACCGTCTGCGAAGGACGGTGACCTTACTGGATGCACGCCGGATCTGGACGGACCCTTCAGCAACTTCCCAGACTTTCTCCTTTCCGATCTTCGAGATTCATTCATGCATAGCGGACGGCGTTGGAGCGTAAATATCACATTGTGGGGTGTACAATAACAGGCGGATGGAAAGCGTTCAGACATATGCTTTTGATAGGCGAGATGATGTGCAGATCTTGCATTCGAATGTTGGGCCCGGAGAGGCCACGGTTCAGTCGAGAGCAAAAGCTGGTTCAAGTGGATAGTCATCAATGTTCGGAGTCAGCCTGGAGATATAGGTGTTGACGGGGAGAGTCAGCAATAGAACGCTCTCCACTCAGGTCGAGGGCAGCCGCGAGATGAGATAATGGAAGATGAATGGCCACCACAACCAACCATATGATTTGTTTCATTGGGATTGGAGGGCATTGCTGTAACCACCTGCAGTGCGTCAAATATACCTGCTGTCTGCTGCCGACAGTAAGGAGCGAATGTTGATTCTCTTTTCTCCACAACGGACTCCCGTTGAGCATGTCAGAGGGCAACCAGCATTCAGTGCACAGCGTGTGTGAGTGACATGGACAGCTTTCAGGCGCGGGTATAGACGGGTATAGCAGTGCAGGCTCTCATAAGCCGCATCTGCCTTGAAGGCAGTCCTTATAATAATGCAGGGAACGTATCTCGGCCCGGGGTTGCTAGTATGCCTGGAGGATCTCCCGGGTGCATGGACAGCACGGTGTAGTGTACGCAAGATGAAGAAGGGTCCAGGCGGAAGGGTAAGGACGGAGGGGTGTGCACTCGTGCCGGTTTCCAGATGGCCAGAAGGCAGATGGGCAGATGGCAGGCACCAATCTCACCGCATCATGGATCTGGGTGGCGTCGTGCTTGATTCTGCTTCGCCATCGCCGTCAAGGCTGCAATATCTTGTGTGACCATTCATCATTCAGCTGCGTTTGCTGTTTGTAGCGCGTAGATGCCTGAATTGCCAGAATGCCTGAGATGGTAAGTGAAATGTCGCTCTATCTCGACATGCCCTTCATGTCCTCCTCCTAAGATCTCCTCCGTCTCTTGCGCTCTTCGCATTCGCATCGCCTTCTGACAGAAGCATCTAGGCATACTGCAGGCCAATCGCACTCCTCCCTCTCCCTAGCTCAGTGTAGCCTCCCTCTCTAGTTGGCAGTCCGTCGGCTTTGCGCAGGTACCAACGCCCCCACCAGAATCTCGCAATCCTGCCCCTTCGATCCATCTAGGGAAAAAGACCGTGCCGGCCATCGATAGACAGCCTTCCCGATCACGGCCACATATCAAACCTGACCGCCGCCGTGATTAAAAAAGTAAAACAAATCCAACGCTCCTTTAAAATCCAATTCGCTTCTGTTCACTCCTTTTCCGTCCTTTATACATATATACACATAATATACGTCTGCAGGCCCAAACATCATCCCTGGCGATGACTGACAAAGCCATGTTTAGGCCAACGGCTCCGCTGTCTGACTCACTCCCTCCCTTGATCTTTGGTACCGCCACCTTCAATTACCAGGTATTGAGCAGCCGTCCATGGCAAGAAAGAGTAGCAGCTGATGTTGTGTCAAGTATAACGTCGATCCTTATGCCCTGAGCAGCACCTCTCTCGTCCAGAAAGCTCTTGCTCAAGGTATCCGCGCCTTTGACACTTCTCCTTACTATGGACCCGCCGAAGAAATTCTTGGGGCGGCGCTGGACTCTGACATAGTGCGAAACCACTATCCGCGAGACCAGTATTTCATCCTCACAAAAGTCGGTCGAGTTGCTTCTGATGGCTTTGACTACTCTCCTGCCTGGGTCCGGGAGAGTGTCCAACGGAGTTGCAAACGCTTGAAAACCAATTACCTCGACGTGGTTTATTGCCACGATTGCGAGTTTGTCTCGCCTCAGGAGGTACTTGGCGCCGTACGCGAACTGCGTCGTATCCGGGACGAAGACGGCACCCTTAAATATGTCGGCATTTCCGGCTACCCAGTCCACGTTCTGTGTGAATTGGCCGAGATGATTCTGCAGGAGACCGGCGAGCCCATTGACATCGTCCAGTCGTACGCCAACTTCACACTCCAAAACACGAGGCTGCTGTCGGAAGGTCTTCAACGTCTGGTTGCCGCCGGCGTCGGCATCGTGACCAATGCCAGTCCACTGGGCATGGGGTTGCTGAGAAGAAACGGACCTCCGGTTGGGGGTATGGGCAACTGGCATCCAGCACCTGATGATCTGCGACAGGCTTGTATCGATGCCGGAAAATGGGCCAATAGCAAGGGGGAAAAGCTGGAAGTGGTCGCTGTTCGCTTTGCTCTTGAGAATTGGCTCCGCGAGGGCTCAAAGGTCGGTGCGCTAGGAAGTCCCCTGGGCGACAATGACACCACTTATGGTCATGTCCTAAATCTGCCTCGAGAGAAGCTTGGGGTCTCCGTCATGGGTGTCAGCAATATGGAAGAACTGGACGAGACATTGCGAGTGTGGAGGAGCGTCCTCGATGGGTTGGCCGACGACCTCGATGCTGAACCAGGTACCATGACTCCGTCAGACGCTGTCAGCGATCACGAGTGGTCTCTCTCGCGGCGTCAGACCATTCGCATGCTTGCAAAAGGCATTCGAGCAGTCATTGGGTCTCAATGGGTGGACTATGCCTGGCCCTCCCCTGATCCTGGGTTCGTGAATCGACTGAAAGCTCAGCGTGTTGTCGACGACGAGCCCGAAAACACGGAAACGACTGATGCGCAAGAGGCTACCATGTTGACACCGCCTGCAGATGCAGACGATGATGGAAATGCGACGGATGTGCCTGCATTGTGCGGTGAATCTTGATCGCCAAGGTTCAGGATTTTGTGAGGCAGTGTCTTTGCCTGTATTGACTCCTTTGTGCGCGTCGCGCAGCAGCCTTTTGAGATCTGCTCCTCATTTCACCGCAGTGCAGACAGCCTCGTTGACTCCACCACCGTTCGTTCCTGTCAGCAAAGATATATCTCATCGCACAAGCGGCATATCTTCAATTCCTGGAGACTGGCAAATACTCCGACCTTGTGATCGAATGTCAAGGAGTTGAATTCAAAGTCCATCGCGTTGTTGTGTGTGCGCACTCTCCAATGCTGGACGCAGCATGCGGCGGACAATTCCAGGTATTGCCATGAAACTCCTGACCCATTCAATCACCATTGACAACCATCCAGGAGGCTCAGAGCGGGCGGATCACATTACCTGAACAACAGCCACATATCATGGCACGAGCCATTGAATACATGTTGCCGGGAAATACAGTGATGAGGATCTCCCTCTCTTCTATGCAAAGATGACCACACAACACGATCCTGATGACATCGTGGACGACCTTCCCGGTCAACTCACTGAGCTTGAAGAAGGTGGATTGCGGTATCCTCTCAAGGTTAACGCCCTCCTCTATGGGTGTGCCGACATGCTAGGAATGGCAGAATTGAAGACTCTGGTCTCGGAGACGTTCCGGGAGGATGCCGAGGCTGCAGTGGCGATGGAAGGGTTCGACGAGTCTACGCCTAGTATATGAGAACACCAAGGTCGACGACCGGCAACTGCGACTCGCCGTCACCCGCCTGTGCGTCGAGCACCATGAACAACTGCAGTCCAGGCCGGATACGCTCCAGGTCATCCAAGAGCACGAACCGACCGTCTGGGCCGTCTCCGTCGACGTTCTGAAGAGTTGGCTGGTCGCTCCTCCGCCGGTCCTGCAGGAGAAGATCGCGAAAGACGCAGTGAACAAGGCGGTCACCAAGTTCAACGCAGAGGCCAGACCCCTCCCTCCATGCGGCCACTCCGGGTTCTTCGCGAACTACGTTCGAATGGCTGTCGATGACCGGGGAGTCCCGACTGTCGAGTGCCGACAATGTCACAACCTCCTACATGGTGTTTGATGGGCTGGGTCCCAGACAGAGAGTCCAAAGAGCGTGGCCAGGCAGGTTAGGGAGGGAGAGGAAACCCGGACCAAGGAGAGACAGAGGAAGGGAAGGAACCGTTGGGGGTTAGTACTCGGGCGCAGATCTGACTGCCGCTTCAGATCTTACATGGCGATGCTGTAGCTTCAGCAGCTAGGTTCTCACGGTTTCCAAGAGAGAAAGCCATGGCGCAGCCAGGGTGCTAGGGGCTGACAGCCATACCAATCGAGATTCACGTTCAGCTGCAGCTTCAGACTCATGGTAGTTGTCCAGCAAGTCCTCCGAAGAGGGAGACAAATCAGACAACTTCATATTGCATGACATTAATGAATTAATTTAAGAGCATAATATCTAAGTGCCTATTTCGTAGCAGAACTCCCAACGCCTGGCCGGGTATCATAGCGCGCTTCTCTCTCTCCTTGGTTCACCTCTCGACTTCCCCGTAAAAGGGTGTAAACCCCTTCATGCTGCAGTCTAAACAAACAGTAGCAAATATCCCATCTCCTCGAGTACAAAAGTGCTGGTTTGGTTTGGTTTGGTATGGGTTTTTTTTGCAGTCTCTCATGCCTTCAGTCAATGTCGACCACAACACATCGTTCGACAACGGCATCCACGACGCCCTGGACCGTCCACCTGCCATCCCAAAAGCGTTTCCAGAGAGTATCTTCGCCGGCGACATTACCGACGGCATCCTCGAGGCCCTTGACGCCGACCATGCCCTCCCTCTCCCTCCAGAGGCGTTCGGCCTCTTCGCCAGCGCGGCGGACTTCAAGATCCTCGTCTTCAGCACGATAGAGATCGCACTTGTCACACTCGGTGCACTTGACGCCCGGGGTGGGGCGGAAATGCTCGCAGAAATGACGGTAGCCTTCGCCGCCGCCCTCGAAGTGGGACGAAGAGCCGGCCTTGCCGATGTTCTTGCGGCACAGGTAGCACATGCTGTAACCACACACGCAGGTGAGTTTGTTGCAGCCGGACGACTTGACGAAGCTGGTGCCGCAGCGCGGACAGGTGCGTTTGATGGCCGCCGTGCGCGCCGCTTCCACCGTCGTGCGCAGCGATACGATCAGCGGCTCGTGGCAGACGTGCGGGTCGTGCCATGCTTTCAGGCACTTGAGGCACGATTTGCGCGAGCAGCCTGGTCGGCGGCAGACGAAGCGCGTCGTGCGTTTCTGGAGAGCCAGATTGGCCAGCGCCGTGTAGAAGATCGCGATGAAGTAGTGGGGGAAGAGAACCAGGAATGGAATCAAGAGGAACATTAAGGCGGGGATGAGTTCCAGTAGGAGGATCAGCGTGAGTGTATTGATGCCCGTGGGTCTGCGTATGCGCCACGTCAATGTACTTGCGACCGAGTTGCGGTCGTAGATCTGCTCCGCTTCGGCGTACGAGCAAAACGGGCATCGCAGGATCGGTAGGCCGGACTGTTGCAGGTTGTGTTGCGCCAGACGGTCCTCGAATCGTGACCATGTCCCAGACCCGGATTTCTCACGAAGGACGGCCCGTCGCACGAGAGATTGAGGGATCCGGCCATCGCAGGTATCACTGGCCAGGCATTTCAAGGCGCCGTGTTCCACGTCGACGGACTTCGCCCAGCCTTGTCCGAAGATGGCCTCGTGCAGCGCTCGCCGGACACAGTCTAAACAGATGATATGGTCCGATTGAGTACATATTGATGCATCTTCGAACGGCACGTCGTTGTAACAGACCTGGCATTCGAACAAAGCACTGGCTTCCTGGGCTTCTTGCAAATTGAGTGCCTGAGCAAATTCGAGGTCAACGGTCTGCTGGTCCTTCGATCGCTGCGACTGCGCGGGGTGCACGAAAAGCGCCGCCAGTTCGTGGTCAAGTTCTTCGGAGCCAGAAGCAAGTAGCCTGGGTCCTCCTGGGTCCGCCTTCGTCCTATCCAACAGCGAAGATGGCGTCTCATCCTGAGCCCTCTTCTTCTTGAATATGCTCGTCAGCGCCACTTTCCACGATTTGTTTGCCAGCCCTTGTAGGATCGGTCGAGCATTGGTGTACGAGAAATTCGCTTCCGCAAGGACTGCGTCCACTGCACTCTTGCTCAGTCCGCTGAACTCACGCCCGACCGCCCACTTGACCCCGTCGATGTAGTCTTTCGTTCGGAACATTTCCTCTGTAGGAATCGGATCGTCCATGCCTCGTGGCGGCACGTTCAAGCGGCCCTTAGCCCATTCCGCCTTGTACTTGTGAAGCTGTTCGGTACATATTGGCAGCCTGCTGTCGCCGTCGAACCGCAGCAGCAGCTCGCGAAGGACTTCGACTTTGACATCGGGGAAGAACTCGGCGAGAATCAACAAGTCCTTATTCAAGGATACGGACGCATCTTGCTCTGCTGCACGGATGAGAGACTCCTTGGAGCCTGCTCGGAACGGATTCTTGCGCAGCACTTCGGTAAGGGTCGAACCAGGAGATGTTGTGCGGGTGGTAGAGGATGATGAAGAGGAAGAGGATCGACGAGCCGGAGTTGAGGTCAAGGATGGAGGTTTGGCGGCACGTTTGGATGAACTCATGTACAGCCACATCGCCGTCACAGGAGACTTCCCGACATGGTCACAGACTCGACATCGGAGGTAAGAGAGGAAATCAAGCAAACAAGCACCTTTCTGCCAGTGCTGACTATATACCTACTCTAGACTCGTCGTCATGCAAGCGCAGGCGTGCGTATAAGGCTGACGAGGAAACGCTGCTGCCCCCACCAGAAACTTGTCTCAGGTCACCCGGGACGTGCTGCTGAGCCCCGAGAGTGCCGCAGAGCACCCTATTATCCTCTATTATTCTCTCAATAGTGTTGCCCCCCCACATCCACCTAGAATCACATCAACAAAAAATCGCTCAATAATACAATCATTCAGCAAGCACCTCCCACTATTGATTCAGGATGAAAATAGCAGTCAAAGAAAAAGAATGTAAATAGTCCAAAAAAGAAAATGGGGCTCAATCGGGATTCGAACCCGAGGCCTGTCACAGTTCATGGCTTTTTCAACCAAGAGGCACCCGAAGCGACAATCATACCACTAGACCATTGAGCCACCGTCGAATTTGTGATCGAGAAATCTGCGTTTTTTTGGGCCGCATATTATAAGAACCCTAAAATCTGGAGGCTCCGGTAACCTCCGCTCAGCGTTCTTTCTCAACTCTTCGCAGCCCATATGGTCCGCCGGAAGCCTACAGAGCACGGCTCGATGCTGCTAGTAGCCGATCACGCACTGAGAAGCTCAATATGTGTTCGCGGATAGACGAATGTTTTACAGAAATGAGGTGCCTTGGAGGAATAGATCGATATATCTCACGAAGTCCAATTTCCAAACCGATCACGCTACCTCAAGAAGATATTTTCACTAAACCTACAATTTCGGTTTGGGACCCTCAAGCAGCTCTGCACCAGCGGCAGCTATGCACAGCTTGCCTGTCTCCTTCACCTTTGTCTGGAAGATGACCTTGTTACCCTCCTTCCACATCTCCGTGATCAAGGTCTGTCCGGGGATGACAGTGCCCGCAAAGCGAACCTTGATGTTCTTGAACAGACCATAGGTCTGAACAATGTGCTTGCCGCTGAAGCCGAAGAAGCAAAGTCCATGAAGGATGGGCTCCTTGAAGCCACCCACCTTGCTAAACTCGGGGTCGATGTGAAGAGGATTCCGGTCGCCGTTGAGTCTATACAAAGCGGCCTGGTCTGGCGAGGTTGCCTCCTCGACAACGGCATCCGGGGCGCGCTTTGGCGGTGAGTAGACCGCGGTGGCGTTTCCACGGTTGCCACCCTTCTTTGGGCCTCCGAATCCGCCAGATCCGCGGATGAAAACCGTGGATTCGTTATAGAACAAATCTTCCCCGGTATTTGCATCCTTGGTGGTGACACCAGTGACGACGATGCCAGCATTGCCCTTGTCGACGACTTCAATGAGCTTGGGAAAGGAGACAGTCTTCGCCTTTGTCGGGATCGGATACTTCCGTATTTCCAGGTACTGTTCGCCATGGAGTAACATCATTGGTGAGAAGTTGGGCACAACATCATCCATGTTGAATGGCGATTCTGCATTGAAAAATGGGATGACGCCAAATGTCGGCAGCACTTGGAAGTGGTCATCGTTCTCATACACCAACGGCAACTGGGTCCTGCGGGCGTTCAAGGACAAGTTGTAGAGAATGACGTCGCGGTCGTCGTAGCTGTATACCGTACCTTTCGACTCGGCCTTCTTCGCCTTCTCAATTGCTGCAAGGTAATCTTTGTCGTCACTGGAGCCTGCAGATTGCTCACTCTTGTTCTCCATGTTGGCCATAATAGCCTTGAGGCCGTCTTGAGGGGACTCGGGGTGATCCGCACGACCATCATCGAAGTCGACGATCTTCGCCCATTTCCCAACCACGTGCTCAGGAGCCAGTGGGACGTCGATGGGGAAACCCACACCTCCAGACCTCTGCCATCTTGTCCGGGCTTGCCAGCCACTGCCGACCTCGAAGAGCAGACCAGTAGGTGGGTCGGGAGTCTTGTCGGAGCACAGCAATAGCACAAGCGGCGCGACATACTCGGGTTTGAATGCTTGCACCAGCTCATCAGGAAGAATTGTTCGAGTGAGCGCTGTGCCGGCATTTGGTGCGATCGTGTTGACGAAGATGTTGTTCTTCCGGCCTTCCAGTGCCAGAGCACGGGAGAAACCTAGAATGCCGAGTTTCTACCTTTATTAGCACCCAGCACAACTGACATAGGATGGTCGACTTACCGCGGCCGCGTAGTTGGCCTGGCCAAAGTTGCCATAAATCCCGCTGGTGCTGGTGGTGTTGACAATTCTGCCATACTTCTGCTTGAGCATATAGGGGTAAGCGGCCTTGGTCACTTTGTAGGTACCGCGGAGGTGGACAGCCAGGATGATATCCCATTGCTCGTCTGACATGTTGGCGAAAGCCTTATCTCTAAGTATGCCGGCGTTGTTGACGAGGATATCGATTCTTCCGTATGCATCGATGGCGGTTTTGACGACGGCCTCTCCATCTTCGACGGAGGCCTTGTTTCCCACCGCCTTTCCACCGAGCTTCTGGATTTCCTGGACAACGGTGTCAGGGTTCACTAGATCATTGACCACAACGGAAGCGCCCAGTTTGGCAAATGCCAGACAGTATGCACGACCGAGACTGGTGATGTCAGTATCAAACCATGCTAGGAGGCATACGGAACATACCCAGCACCGCCTCCGGTCACCAAGACCACTTTGCCGTCAAATCTGATCTCCTCACCGGGATCATTGCTTCCCATCTTGAGCGAATCTTCCAGTTTTGAGACCATGTCTGCCGGACCAGTAGGGTATTCAGGCTCGGAAAAATCGTTGACGGCATCCCATCTCTTCAAGATAGCACCTGGCGTGTAGGTGGTGTCGGCTTTGAGAAGGAGTCCCTTTGCACGCTCCCACCGCAGTTTCGCAATGTGGCCGCCGCCTACCTCAAAGATCGAGCCGCTCTCGTGAGTGTTGGAAGGATGAACCAATGCTGCAACAAGGGGAACCACCCATTCAGGTTTGAGGTTGTTCAGGACATCGGGGGGCATGACCGTCGCAGTCATTCGACTGGCGGCAATGGGTGCAATGACATTGCAAATGATGTTGTATTTGGCGCCCTCCTTGGCCAAGGTCTCGGTGAACCCGACCTGGGCGAGCTTCGCTGCCGAGTAATTGCATTGACCGAAACTGCCGAACAAGCCCGCCGCGGAGGCCGTGTTGATTACTCGGCCGTACTTTTGTTTTCTGAAGTGTGTCCACGCAGCTCTTGCGCACTTGTATGCGCCCTTGATATGTACCGCGTTGACCAGATCCCAATCAGAATCTTTCATGTTCTTGAAGCTGACATCCCTCAAGATCCCGGCGTTGTTGATGAGAACATCGACGCGACCAAAGTTATCAATGGCGGTCTGGATGATCTTGTCACCGTTCTCGACACTGTCATAGTTGGCCACGGCTTTACCACCGGCACTCTTGATCTGGTTCACCACCACGTCGGCCGCCTGGATGGTCATGTCAGAAAATGCCACCTCGTGTGGTTCGGAGCATGTGACAATGTAACACGCACCTTTGTGTCCGCACCCTCGCCTTTGAACGAGCCACCCAAGTCGTTGACGACGACATTGGCACCTCTGGATGCAAAGAAGACGGCGTAAGCCTTGCCTAGGCCACCGCCGGCACCAGTGACCACCACGGTCTGGTTGTCGAAACGCAGTTCTTGGACCATCTTCACCGGTAATTCATGCGGATTCGGGAAAAAGGGTCAGAATCAGGTGTGGACGAATTACACCAAGGGAGACAGTGGAGGATCCAGCAGAGACTCAAGAGAAAGATGCGATGATGGCAGCAACAAAGGAATGGTCAATGATGGAAGGAGTTGATGCTTGCTTGATGATTTGGACGTACAGTTCTGAACTTCAGAATGTCGCTGAATGCCCCATGTTTTGGACGTCACTGTCAGCCGTGCCTGCCTTCCGCCTGCGATGCAACTTCGAGTTGTGGCCGGCATTTTGATGATTTGGGGCCGAGGCCCGGGGAACCTCGGCTCATGATCATGTGACGCGCCCGCATGCTCATCCTCCGCCGCCAGTGCCACCTCCGCCTTCGACTTTTCGAGCTTCTCTTTCCTTATCATTAATTATTCTGCCCCAAATACGGGGTCACGGACAGCTACCCAAAACCCCAACTGAACACCGTACCACATGCCAAGGGGAGCCTGGGAAGCCCGAGGATATAAGGGCTGATCACTACTGTAGGTGCTAAGCAATAGATGCTATCGGCCGTCCATACCATCGGCCAGCTACAACAATTTGAAGAAGACGGAGAGTTCGTGATTCTTATAAAGCAATAACATCCGGGGGCATTTTTTCCCCGTTTCAGTCCTGCAACGAAGCAACTTATGGCATGTGGAACGAGATTCAGACGTGGGAGGCGGAATGTTGCGCCTTCGCCCTATCACCACTGCATGGAGTATAGAGGTACGTACCGAGCCATGCCCTTAGCGACTTACTACAAACGACAGATCCATACTACTATAGTACAGACAGACCTCAGTACGTAGCTGCAAGTGCCTGGACTGTGGACTATTGTTGGCTACTCGTGTCCCGATAGCCAATATATCAGCCAATTGTGTCGCAATTCCTGGAGGTCACCCGTACACTGTATATCAAATGCAACCTCGCCCATTCCGCCATGTGTAGACAAAGTGAACTTTCACTCTATAGAATTCACCATAAGGTAGAGTTCCCTGAAGCCACGTTGATATTGAATATTGATGTGTGGCAACATTCATTAATGAGGTGAATGATTGGTTTGGACAGGACCACTGCAACCGGAGTCGAGGCCGCGCAATCAGATAACTGATATGACATTTTTTATCGTCAACCGGGCTGCTCTCCGCAATTCAACATCGGCCCATTTCTTTTAGGAGATTCCAACCCCAACCCCAATCTCACCATTGAGAAAATAAGATCAATGATATACTGACCAGGCTTTTCTCATATTATCATCCTATATCACCAGTCTCATAAAGGATAAAGGGCATGTGATGACCCGACCTTCAAGCAAGACTCCAAAATGCCCGAGATCCAAGACGATAAAGCGCAGTATGTAGTGCCCTTCATCCTGTCGCTATTATCCGACCACCACGCACGACATTCCCCAGCCGCCAATCCAGCAGCACCGCCATTCTTCATTGGCCTGAACGGCGTGCAAGGCGCCGGGAAATCGGTGCTTGTTTCCATTTTGAAGAAGACGTTGACTTCTCCACCACACAACTTATCGACCGTCGTCTTTTCGCTCGACGACTTCTACCTGACACACGCGGACCAGGTCGCTCTGGCCCAGAGTCACCCGGACAACCCACTGCTGCAGCATCGAGGGCAGCCATCGACGCACGACATCCCGCTGGCTCTGTCGGTGTTTGCCAGTCTGAAGCAGAACAAACCGACCAAGATCCCACAGTACAACAAGGCCGCTTTTTCGGGCCAAGGCGACCGCGTGCCGGAGAATGAATGGGAATATGTCAACGCCGACCCGTCGTCACCTGTCCGCGTGGTTTTGTTTGAAGGCTGGTGTGTTGGATTCCGCCCGCTCTCCGACGAGGCGCTTGCAGCGAAACACGCCGCCGCGGTGCAGGCGCTGGACAATTCCACGCCTTCGAACCCATACAAGGGGCGTCTGGGCCACAATACCCTGAAGAGCGTCATCGCCATCAACGAGGCGTTGAAGTCTTACGACGCTTTGACCTCGCAACTCGATGCCTTCATCCACATCGACGCCGAGGACCCGCAGTACGTGTACAAGTGGCGGCTGGAACAAGAGGCCGGCCTGCGCGCGTCTCGAGGCAGTGGTATGACGGACGACCAGGTCAGGGAGTTCGTCGACGGCTACTATCCGGCGTACGAACTGTACACGGACACGCTGCGCGAAGGATTGTTCAAGGGCATCAGGGAGGATTGGAAGGGCAGGCAGCTGCGTCTGGTGGTCGGTGAGGACAGGAAGGTCAAGGAGGTGGTGAGGATCTAAGAGACAATGTCATAAGCAACTAACCGTTCAAGGCATCACATATACTTTTCACAGCTAATACCAGAGGTTGTCTCTCTGCAGTTGGACCTAAAATGAGATCCCGGCCGGGAATCTCAACGCATCAGACAACGTCCAACCCTGAACCATGCAGACAGCAACATACGCATCGATGTTTTCCTGCGATTACATAGAGAACTTCAACCTACAAAAACGAAATACATGGTTATGATGACGCGAACACCAGGTAGGCAAGTAATTCGGCTACCATACCATTGAGACCGATCCCTTCTCCATGCCAGAATAGAAGGCGAGAGCTCAGCCGCCACAACGCTCGAACATAGAATCTCAAAAGCTAGGGGTGCCCGGGTTTTCTTTGCGTTCACAGACAGGACGGTGTCTTCGAGTTCTAGTTCTTTGCGACCTGAGAAGAGCAAGGGAAACTGCACCACTGCAATCTGGTACCCACCTGGTCAGGCTCCAGGCTGAGTGAGATTTGCAAGTTCATCACCATCACTCGAGGTCATAAGTGCCGACACGCAGTAGGCCTACTACGGTCGGGATGTGCACAGTAGTGGTACCACCTATGCACCTATGAAGATACCTACATGACTCATTGGCAAGTTTTCCATACAGAGTACGATACTGGTATGTATAGGTAGGTATGTATGTACGTCGACAAATAATGGATGGATATACTAGTAGCGGAGTACTCGCTCCAGGCCCAGACGCTCGAGCCTCGAACCCGCCAGCCGTATGGGCCTTGCTTACCTTTCAAGATTTCTTCTTTTCGTGTATGGCCTTTTCACGCCATGGCCGAACCAGTCAATGATGATAGAATGATGGTTTTGCCAGTGGCGACTATGTACCACTCTGTCAACTCCAGCGCGGCATGCATCAATGGGTATCCGAAAAATGCCCGTAAAAACCTCGAACGCTTTGACCGACGCTTGCGTTACATGGCATTATTGCAGGAATCGTCCGAAACCCGAAAAAGAAAAGAGCGAGAAGAAATTGAAGGCAGATCATGCGACGTTTGCGACGTCTACTACTCGTGAACTTGAAGCAAGGGACACTGGCAGCGTCAGTCAGTTTAGAGTTTGATATACAGGATTGCCGCACCAGTCAACGCCTCCACCTCCGTGGGCACGAGGCTCTGCTCTTTTAGGCTTTCTTCTCGCTTCGTCGATGGCCAGAGCTATTCTCTAACACTCTAACGGCCATGACATCCGGAAGCGAGCTTTTGACCAGCCAAAATAACTCGCTACGCCCTGACGTGGATTCCTTCCGACTTTGTTGTGCCCACGAAATGATGGGCTAGTATGTCGTGGCCTGATATCACAACGCGCATTCCCCATCCTTCTTCCCTTGGTTCTCGCACCGCTACCCTGGCAATCGAGCATGCCAAAATTTGTGATAGTGCATGGACCTAGGAGCTGGTCTTGACATTGATTGATGGTATTATTTCCTGTCCCTTCCCGGCACCCTCAATATGGGAACCCGCGCTCACATATCGACCGTGTCACGAGATATATATTACAGAACGTCTACTAGTACGACTAGGCACTCACTGCTACCTAGGTAGGTCAGTTCAAAGGACGTACCTAGTAACGTACCCAGTGCAAGTTTGGCGTTGACCCCATCTCGCTTAACTAGGTAGGTACTGCTATCAAGCCGAGTGTGTGGTGTTCAACGGCGTACTAGTGGAGAGTGGCCAACCGTGGCTCGCAAACATCCTTGGGTCCCGCATCTTACTGAGACCGCCAGTGTGGTGGTGTCCTTTGGGCAGTGGGTGTCTAGAACAGGCTTGAATCATTCTGTCCACAGCATCGCTTATCCTCAACCCCTCGCCAAAATTGCCCCCACAATATCTGCGAATCCCGAGTCCAAGAACACGAGTCAGATGGAACCTACCTATCTTAGGTAGCTTAGGTGCCTTAGGAACAAAGATCAAAATTGTACCCATAATACGGGGACAGCAGCATATTGCCCCAGCATGCAGTGCTCCGCTGCGCAGATCACGACATTGTCGGAGTGAAACACTGCAGTTTCGCCCCTTGCATTCACAGATTTCAAGTTGTGCTTGCGAGCCACTAAGGCCTTGAATGTGTGCGATGTCCCTCCCAATGCCCTTGCTTTTGCTCCTCACCGTTTCAACATTCTCATCTCCTGCACAACCGACCGGTCGGATCAGAGCAAAAGAGTGGCTTGTCAGACTAGGTCTTCCCCTGTCCGCCGTAGTGAGTCGCAGACCTGGAGATGTCCACCCTGGCCGGCCGATAGCGGGTTCAAACTCGGACGGGAGTTGCTCAAGGGGCATCGAAGGGAGGACTAACCATGACAAGGGCTGTTTGTGTAGATCGTGGTATGAGGTGAAAGATCTCCGGACTGTCCTTCCGTTGCTAGATACCAGTCTGTCGTGGTCATTTGAGACTGGACTCCTTTACATCAGACACAGCACAAGAAGAGAGAGACATCCCTGCCTCTTTGTTACTCGGTATCTAGTGCCGTGCTAAACCGCCCTAGAATGTAGTGAGGGATGAGCGAGCGCCAATGATGGTGTACCCGCGTTTGCTGGTGGGGTCCAGAGCCACCCACGACGCGCGCTTTATAGAGAGCCGCCAAAAAGAGGCCACGCGCAGAATCACGGAGTCATGGAGGTCGATACTTACAATTGGCAATTGAAAGATTCTGCGGGAGACCCGGTGACGAATGTAGGCCCAACCGAGCTGCTGAGTCGTCGAGATTGGATTTGATCTTGACCTTGTCCAGTGACATGCTTCGATGCCACACCTGCACGTACCTGGTCACACCACATTAGGGCAGTATAGAAGCGAAGCAAAGGCTGGGTGCCTAAGCATTGGGTGACCTCTTCGAATGGGTATTCATTCGCCTCCCCTCGCCTCGCCTCGCCCCTTGTCATGGACAAGCTGGACCATCCGTCCCAGAAGACCAACTCTCAATGTTATTGGCAGGATGTGTGACGGATAAAGGGCTGTCTACATCACCAGCAGGCTTACCTGCACCTGGGCTGCCTGACCTTGTCCGATAGAACCAGCAGCAACTAGATGCGGTTAGACGCACCGAAGAGCAAGTTTTGCTGCAGGGTTGGCGGCGTCGATGATGGTGTATTCCAGATCTGGGTCTCAGACCGGTTTCGCTGAGCTGACGGTGGCAGTTGCCTGCAAGCCCAACTCGGGTGTCCGGCAGCTGCCTGGGTAAGATCCCTTGTAGGCGGCAGATTCGTCACGATCTTGACGAATGGAGAAGGGCAATTCAACGAAGCCAAGAATCGTCGCAGAACATGTAGTATGCAAGAAACACAACGGCCAAACACATTGGCTAAAATGCATGAGAAGGAGTGAACGATGCTCACTGCATCTTGATCGAGTAATTTGAAACCTGCTCGTGCATCTGACCAAAGCCGGCGGCCACCGGGCATTGGAATCTCATTGTCCCTCATGAGTAAAAGACGAGCTAGAGAAAACACCTGCTATCTGTTGACGCCAGACGTTAAACCTTGCAAAAGATAGCCTCCCATCCGTCATGTCGTGCCATAATAAACAGAATGCCGCCGTCCTAATGATGTGCTATGCCGTTACTGTCCCAGCTGGCCAAATGAACCCAGGTTGGATCTCAGATCCTCTTGTTGTTGATACCTTTGAGATGTACGTCACTGAGGTTCAGAAGAAGTGTCAGCAAAACAGCCGTGCTGGGAAGTGATACAGAGGTTTCTTGGGGCACGGGAATGTTCACGGGGACAGATGGCAGCGATGTGGATGCAGATCAATGCCAACCCCGGGCCACAGTGTAGAGACGAATGTTGATCAGCGCACGGTCGTGTGAGGTAAAAGAATGAGTAGGAAGGAACATATGTAATGGTTGGAATGAAATGATGTGACTTACAAGATCAGCGTGGCATTTTTGGGAATGAGACCAGGAAAGCCACTAAACAATCAACATGTCAGCGACCTTGTCAGAAGATGTCAAGAAAGGAGATTCGTGTGTTGAAAGTGTTCTCGCCGACACAGTCAAATCAAGTGACTCTGCCTCAACGACTGCTCGGGGATACGGCACGCTGAGTGTGTGGACAATCGCTTGGTAGGGGTTGTGAAGCACTAACCGCTCTCCATATGCCATGTGCCTAGATAACAGTCAGCGAATGTTGCTTGATTTCGAATAGAACGGCGGGGCAATCTTGGGAATGCAAGCAGATTGAGTTTTCTCGATCTGATAAGGACCCTGTCGAGGGTTGCGAGACCTGCGGATCACCCCCACGTTGCGCATGATACCACGGCTAAAGGTGATATGCGGAGAGACTCACCCTGGAATGATCAAAGTAGCTTTCTCGCCCAAAGACATTTGCGGCACGCCAGTATCCCAACCTGCTCGGCAAACGGAAAATCAGAAAATACACTACCAAAGCGAGTATTCCCTGGGGGAATCTACCTGGAATGACCCTGCCGACGCCGATTTGAGTCTTGAAATCACCACGTCCGACGGAAGAATCGAATCTGAGCCAAAGAAGTCAGATATCCGAGGATGCGCGCGCCTTGACATTGCCACAGGTGGACATACTGTGTGCCTTTGTTTCCGTTGCCGGGGTTGGTGGGATCATAGAGCCAGCCAGTGTATTCAATCGTCACTTCATCGCCGACTTTGGGATAATCAACTCCGTTGCCGGGAGAGATGAGCCTCTTTTCAAAGCGAGTAGCCATTGTGGTGACTTTAAATGTCGCGAGTGAACTTTGTAGAGCGTACCGGCAGGACCTTGAGTGGGAAGAGATGAGCCTCGTGGGAGTGGCAGCGTGTCAAGGTGAAAAAGGAATAGAAAGCGTTGGAGCAGGAGCAATCTGTGATGTGAGAGTTTAGAGAATGCTGTAGGAGTCTTTCACCGCAAGACCATCTGAGAATCTGGAGGTAGGGATGTGCTTTTAAGTCCACCAGAGCCCCTTGGCAAAGGAAGCTCTTCTCCTTGATTCGACCAACGAGATTAGGTATGCGACAGGACAGACGGACGGAAGTCGTCGGTACTAGTAGTGGGTGTTGTGTCTAGCGCAATAGAGGCCAGGCCGGAGGACGATCGATCAGGATGAAGGCGGAGAGGATTCGTTCGCAAATGGATATGACAGGTACGAGCCGCAGATTCCTTACAGGGAAGGGCTGGCCTAAAGGAGAGACGGACGGGGCCAGATCGGAGAAGGGAAGCAAGCCACTGAAAGAAAGAACCTGGGAATGCGGATAGAGAAGGCTAAACGGAGGAAAGACGGCCGGGTTGATGGGGAAGTACGGATAGCGTTTTGACACTCCTGCTGGTGACGGTGGTGGTGTTACCGTGCGTGTACCATCAACGTGTAACGTGTTTTACACGAGTGACAGGCCGTGTTGGGCGACGTCAGGCTCTGACAGCGCGCGAACAGGGATCAGTTTCCGAAAAGCCATGAGCGTGCCCATTGCCTGCAGGGATCAGGGGCGGGACGGCTAACAGGTACAGATGATTGGACAGAGAAAATGGAATTCCGTGATGGCAGGCGATCAGCGATCATGAGATGGAGAAATGCAGGCGCGGGACAGTAGTGACAACCTGACAAGTGCAATAATAAACCAATTATGTGCTACTAGCCAGCACGGTCGGTATAACGCACTGGCAGCGATGCGCAGGCACAGGCACAGCCAGCCTAATTAACGCCGAATGGGGGCCGCTGCAAATGCTCATCAACGATTGCTCGCGCTCGCTCTCCCTCGATTGAACTGTAACTAGACACTTGCGACATACGCAAGCAGCGACCACACTAGTACACAGAGATAGTTGAGGACAGGAATGACTCGAGGGCGGCCGTACAGGTGGCAGGAAAAAGGGAGATGACAGTGCGAAAGCTGAGTGGAACGCGCGATCGAGGGTGCAGGCGCAGGCGCAGCATGGATGGTGGGGTGCAGTTGGGGGAGCTGAGAAATTTCGAGAGGGAAAGCGAGAGGTGGTTACCTACTACGTACTAACTTCGGTGAGGGGCACTCCAACCTGACCGCAGGCAGGTGCAGCGCAGCGCAGCGCAGGCACTAGCATGCTAAAAACAAAAAAGAAACAAATTATTCTCAACAAATAGCGGGGCATCATTGAGCCTTTCTTGCCAGCTAACACGCAGCGGGATTAGGGTGTTGGGAGCGGTCACAGCACTGGCAGCTGCTGTGTATGTACCACAGTATGCAGGTGGCTGTCCTCTGTAAGGTAAGCTGCGTCTGCACTTACTACTACTAGTAGTACGTCTGTGTCTACAACCTTTCTGTTGGCTTCAGAACGACACGGATCGGCAACTACTACCAAAGCCCCCTACCGCATACCTTAAGAGCGAGCTGGTTGACGCATGCCTTACTGTAGATGGTGTTTTCAACGCGACCTTCACTACAGGTAAGTACGTAGTACTACGTACGCAGTAGTCGCTGACTTGGAAATAAACTTGCGTCAGCCACTACCACCCTGGACAGTAAGGAGCGAGTCCTCTGTCTTTCTGTTCGATCTTAGATTTCCCTGGGCAGTCTGCCTGGAAATGAACAAGTCACCATGCCAGCCCGCGCTGCCTGCATCCTCCACTGCAGGATGCTGCTTCCCCTGCTGCAACAGATGGTACAACACCGATCCTTGCCTTCTGCAAAGGATGAGTACACCCAATCAAGGTGGTGGGTACTGCATCGGTCAACTAACGAGGTAGTTTTTGGCGTGATCGCGTCCAGCTGCGGGAGCCAGTCGCCAGTGCGCTGGTTGACATGTCACCAAGTCCCAACCAAACAGAACCAAGGCTAAGTTAACTCCTGTCAGCTGGGCTTAGGAGGCCCCAAGTGCTGTCCCTTGAACCCTCTTCCGAGTCCCACAGCCCTTTCCGCGCGCAGAGATTTATCGGTTGCAATATCACCACATCGGAAGCTTAATCCTGGACTCGCTGTGCAGTGGGCATGGTAGGTACGTACCAGGCCGAACAGTTCAAAAATGGCCATTCTACAGGGCGCTGACGGAGCAGCTGAAGCTGTACACAGGATAAGGAGAACCTCAATTCAGACCACTGCCGCTTTGCCAATCCTGAACTCTGTACGCGACCCGCTGTTCAACCGCGCCAGGGACGCGCCAGTCACCGCCTGTCCATGTCTTCGAAAAAGAAAGCATACCGTACCGCACTTCATGCTGCACCTCCCACGAGCTATTGCCCGGAAAGAGAATGGAGACCGGAGCCCGGGATATACGTACAGTGGATAAGATTTGTTCGGTAGTTGGCGAGCATCTCCTCACTCCCTAATATGTTGCCTTATGCCACTCTGCGCCCAACCCGTTCTTGAGCTGTTGGAGAATCAAAGTTGTGTCCATTATGATTGTTGACGCCATCTGACAGGTCTAGGCGAGACCCCTTACCTGCGAATTGCACCATGTCAAGGACACCTTTGATCCTAACCTATCCTGGTAACGTATTCTGCATTATTTCTTGTTGACGCCAGGACAAACGGTCACTAAGTTTGCCGGTCGCCCCAGATTCGGGATCGCTCGTTATGTCTCGGTTATCTTTCGCCCGTGGGTTCTGATCGTCAAGCGAGGTGTTCCGCATTTCTCTGGGCATCCGGAGCCCTACCACGCTCTTGCTACAGCATGGCACTACGTGGCGCAAGGCGGACACCGCACAAACCCCAAAGATATCGACCTCTACATCTGGTATGAGGTACTCGAGAAAGTTGCATATTGCAAATGTTGCTCCTTCACGACCGAGATCCTCCGCTTGTTCGGGTTGCAGAAACCCCCGAGATGACCTAACTATATGCGGAAAGACTTGGGAGTCGCGCGAAACGGCATCGGATGAGCGTCATAATGCAGGACCCAAGAAAAGCAGGCCAGGATGCTTCCGTCACACTAAGTGTTCGCTGGTATCCAGTCACAGTGCAAACCTGCACACGGACCCATCCCTCTTCGGATCGACGCTCATTATTACCATCTGGTGGACCTCCCTTACAGCAAGCATGCTCCATATGTTTGCTCGTAATCAGTCTTGCCTCCTCCGCGCCCCTCCCGTCCTCAAGCCTGTCATTGAATGAGCCCCCTGGCCACAGTCATCGTTGGGCACGCAGCGATCTTTGAGATGATTCTCTCGGGTCGTGATTCCACCCGCTTCAACGTGCATTCTGTCCTCGGCCAGTGTGGTTTCCAGCACAAAACTTGTCGTTACTATGGTACAAAAGGTAACACGATCGGCAAGGACAAGTGGGTATCAGCAGACGCACTTCTAGGACAAGGTAATGCGCCTCATGTACACTCATAATATATCTTAGATTCGGGTTTCACTCTGGCCGGCTACCTTGGTGCCCTGCAACGGGCCGATCACACCACATCTTGGGAAGATCAAACAACGGTCGAGGGATACCCAGATCGACATGGGATTGCTGATCTGCGTGGTCCCAGTACAACCAATATCGGTGTTCATGCTTCAAGCAGCTAGACATGCGAGATACCCATCTCACCACCAATAAGCGTGGGGTTACTCTTGAGAGCTACTTGACGCAAGAAGTCGGCTTTCGGACATGCGTTTGTCCCACTGTAGGGCCATGTCATAGACCGATGAGGACTCTGGTCTCAGACCGCGTCAGAAGAGAAGTAACAAACATGAGCAAGGTTACCAGGTTTTCCTCTCGTCGGGGTTCAGAGATTGTATATTGGCGATCCACTGCACGCAAGGGCGGTCTTTACGTTTGCTCCAGATCGCTTCTGCAGAATGCTTGCGCGCGCACCTCGCCGAGCTCCATCGAATCTACTTTTAGGCTAGGGAAGCGATCGTCGTGACTGACCTCTGCGGTTGCAGCATGCCGCAGGAAAGTGAGAGATGTTATCCCAACCTCGTCGAGAAAGGACAACGCACGTGCATAATTCGAAGCCAAGTGATCGATGCCGTGGCTGTCGTCAGACAGGCAGAACCGTATTCCTCTTTTCATTGCAGCCTGTACTAGTCAGTCACGGTTGGACCCGGCAGGAACCGGCATTTGCCAACATACCCGGCATATTTCCATGGTGGGATACGGTTCATTCAATCCTTTGCGGAGCGCGGCCGTGTTCACCTCCATGATGCCTCCATAGGAAGCGATAAAATCGAGATTGCGGAGAATGCGTTGCCAAACATCCTCCATACTTTCGAATCTTGCGTTGGGATGATCGCTTTTGAGGCGAATGAGATCGAAGTGGCCCACCACTGGTGGCTTCACCGCTTGTAACATGGTCAATTGCGCATCGAAGTAGTCTGCAAAGAGCAGCTCATCTGTTCCGCCAGCTATGTCACGCGCCTGTTCATACATTGGTTGGTCATAATCGATCGGGATAGTGTGAACGTGGTGGACGGAGCCGATGAAAAAGTCATATTGGTACGTCTTGATGCTGTGGTTGATGAGATCAAGAGTTTCAGGTCGGATCCATTCGCATTCGAAACCAAGCGGAAGCCCAATCTGAGATTCATATTTCTGTCGCAGCCGGCTGGCCTCGGCGACATATGCGCGCTCATTGTCCAACAGCGAGGCAAGCGTCCCGCCCGCCTCAATTTCCTCCGGATATCTGTCTTGGTCATGACGAGGCATATGCTCCGTCAGTGCAAAGACTTGCATCCTCTTTGAGATTGCTGTTAGGATGATATCTTCAAGAGAGTCCCGGGCATGGCCAGGACAAAACTGTCCGGAGTGGCTGTGATGAGAGAAGGGCATGCTGTCCGTCGACTCTTTCCCGTCGCAATGTTCCAATGTTCCAATCTTACCGCTACTTGGACGGTCCTAACGGTTGTTCTTTGGTGAGGGCCGTAAGGCAAAACGTTAGGGGCGATTAACACACCTCGCTGCGTGAAAAGGGTGCCTAGTTGAGATAGGGTTCGCATGGAGTGCGACGTTCGCAGTACGCCCTAACAGCTGGATAAAACGTACATTATTATTGACGAAATGCACAGCGCCGAAGTAGAGCCGAGGGATGTGAATGGCTGGTCTCGAGGCTGCACACTCCTCCCTCGACCGCAACCGATCCTACTATGCTAGCTATCCCACGAGGCTGCTACTTTCAACGTTATAGGAGCCTCACCGGTGCTGCTACGGTCGTCCTGCATAATCATGCTGTCGCCTCGAGCCACAGTGCGACAGACCGCAACATGGTGTGCATGTGCCTTGAGACCCCTCGTGGTTTGACCTCTGTCTTTGATGCGGAGACGGGCGGACACGCAGTCCTTGTTGTCAGGAACCTTATCAAGAGTACGAAGGACAGCAGCAGCAAAGCATCTTGGAACACTGCCATGATGAAACAGTGCACTCATTGCCGTTCGGTTCAACCATATGGTTGGTTTTGTGAGGTTTGATGGGTTGGCACACTACCTCGCCTTCATGCCTCAACCATTGCATTGGACGGTAAACAACGCTCCCAGTCTCAAACATGTCGACAGATATCGGGAAGAGGTAGGACTCGACCCACAAAGTTTGAGATCAAGCAAATGGTGCCGCCAGGAACATCCTCGGTCCCGACCACTGCTTGTCGAGCCTTACTATGCAAGTCGGACTAGATCCAAGATCTTCTTGGTCAAAAGCAGATTTGCCCGGATGAAGTCAACCAACCGAGTCGTACAAAGGAGAAACAACCACCAGAATGTTCCCTGGCATATGCCTGCTATGATTCTTGATCTTAGTGACAGGGCCCAACAATAGTCATCCACATGGCATCTGTCTCCCGAAACTTTGAATCCGATCTTACTTTTCGGGGTGAAGGCGCCACGATGCTACAGCACAAGAAGACTGACAGTTTGAAGGCTCCTGAAGCTACAGAAGCGGGACGGTTTGTTGATGCAATGCACGACATCAGTTCTAGGCCTCTTTCCCTCTTGAGACTGCTCTAGAGTCCAGCTGAAGTCACATTTAGGAACAATGTTCCGGCACGGTAAGGAAGACCCTCATTCGCCACCCCGGCGGTCAGGTCGCGCGGCTAACTTAAACCCTGTGGGGGAAAGGTTGCGCAAAAGTGGAAGAATGAAAGGAGGCTAACTCGAAAGCTTGCGTCTTTGTAACTTTCACGAACAGAAGAGAAGAAGGCTTCGAACGCCGCCGCCAAAGGCCCGCATGCCGCGTCGCCGAATTAAGGTTTTTCGGGAAATACATGGCAAGATAAAGTTGTGTGCAAGCTGATGATTCTCTCCCTTCCTCAATATTTGCAGCCGCGGCTGCTCGTCGCCTCGATCGTGCTCGGCATCACTGCCGCTGCCGCTGCCGCCAGCACCATCGATCTAGAGCCCATGCACTAACAGCGATCTGTTACTCCTTACCCTTGCTCTTCACTTGGCGAACTCACACCTTCCTTGATTCGATGACATGGCGCCGTTCCGGTACCATCGCCTGGAGAATCCATGAGGTCAGAGACATCGGTACCTGCATCCTTCTCGGTCACCAGATGATGGGACGTCCACAGTCTGGGCTTTCTGATACTAGTGGGCACCCGAGGCTTCAGAGTTGAAGAAGCATGTCTTCCCTAGCTCCCCCTTTCCCTTGCCACGGCATTGCCCACTCCCCAGGCTCTGGCATTGCAAATGAGACTGGCTACGGTTGGGAAGTAAGCTCGGGATGTTGGGGTAGCAAAATACGCTTTCCTCCCCTCCTACTTACTACAACCGGGGCAAAGGGTTCACCCAGCTGGCCCAGACAGTAGGTCTATTGCACGACAACAAGGTTTTCCGCCGAGCAAAAAGTCTTCGGCTGAAGTATGAAAAGAGGAACCCGTCATGTGCCAGGAGGGTACAACAGATTGTTCTGGGCCTGGCAATGACGATGGGTGCCATGTCCCCATATGCCTGTCAGCTCCAAGGACAACTCCAGGTGGAGGCTTCATCAGGCTCGGATCCATGATCAGTGAGCACCCGTTCCCATTCCACGCAGTAAGTACACAGGGAGGTTGGTCGCGACATCATGGAAGGAAAGTCCGACCGCCATGACGCTCTAGCCTGGCATCACTATCTGGCCCACAGTCAAGCCAACTTCTACATGTGGATAGCATTGCACTTCAGTCCCGCTATTGGGAAGTCTGGACCGAAAAAGGATCATTCCAATACACAGTAGGGTTTCTCACCAGTCGCGAACTTGCCGACAGCTTCACACTTAACCTTCTCATTCCCCTTGAAAGCAGATCCTCGGGGTGTGCATATGGCTTGAATCCAACCTGGCGTCATCGCAATGTCGTTAATGGGTGTCGAGAAAGGGGGTGTTTTTGTTTTTGCCGTTACCACCAGTTTAGATCGCAAGGTATGTCCGGTGTTTTGACAACGTACAGTCATCGATCTCGAACTTGGTCGCGAGCGCGTCACAGAATATGTGCTGAAATTTGAGAAAACGATCGTACTTGAGCCACTGCCTACGACATAGATAAAAAATGACCTTGGTCTACAGGATCACGGATAAAAAGAAAAAAAAAACCAAACGAGGAACATGGGACTCGAACCCACAACCTTGGCTTAGCACTCATAAATCTTTTAAGATGAACAAGTTTAGGAGAGCCACGCGCTACCATTGCGCCAATCCCCCTCGCAGGCATCAATAAACCTATATTAAATCTCTGTCGATTTTCAACATGGTTTCGGAGACTTTTTGCGCATGTTTAAATTATATCACTATCAGCGTAGACACGTGATCAGACTAAATTGATGTGGCTCTGGGCTACCAAGTAACTTCCAAGGTTGTCATAACCTGACATTACCTGCTACACCTGGCCACCTACCACTTTTTCATGGCTCTGATCATATGCTTGCCGACTTTTATGGAACAAAGACTATTCGCAGGGCTTGGACTCTTGCCCGTGATGCTAACAGCAAAAGGGATTACTTCTACGACTGACTACAAAAATCCGGGCCGTTTGAGAAATACATTTCATTTCTCGACCAAACCCTTCACATCATATAATCCCAGTGAACGATATAAAGAAGACTCCCCTCGGCCGCCTCATGCGGCCGAATTTGCGCTTAGAATAAATCAAAATGTGTTTTCCGGATGTCTCCACCAAAGGACTCCTTTGATAGTCACTTTTCTTTTCGCCTCTATTCTCTCGTTCCGTCAAGGCAATGCAAACGTTTTGATTCCTCTCGGTGATACAAGATCCCAATGCAGCTTTGTTGATCATTCTTTCAAGGTCTTAACTCTTCAGATTGTTTAGTAATCGCACTAGAGAGAGAGAGAGAGAAACGAGACACATGGCCTCTTATGGCTCGTTGATGGCGGCGGCCTTTGCGGCCAAAAGTTCGCCTTCTTGTGGGTGTTGGTCGCCGACAGTGGCGTTCTTTGCATGAACCCCGTCAAGGGTGACATTCAGGGCACCAGCCTGGACCAGCGCGCTGCGCAGATCATCCAACAAATCCTCGCCATCTTCGATGCCGACGCAAAGACGGATCAGATCCTCCGGGACGCCGCGCTCTTGGCGAGTTTTGGCATCAATACTGGCGTGGCTCATGCGGCAAGGCATGCTGATGAGAGAGTTGACGCAGCCGAAACTGACGCTGATGGCCCACAGCTTCGCCGATTCCACAATGCGCTCGGACAGCTGGATATCACCGGTCTCAAAGGACAAAACAGCTCCCGGTCCCCGAGCCATGGAGTTGAAGAGGTCGTACTGCGGATGACTCTTCAGTCCTGGGTAGCGAACTTTGAAGCCAGCAGACTCGAGGAAGTGGGCGATCATCATGGCATTGTTCTGTTGCGCATCCATGCGGACCTTCAGGGTCTTGATACCGCGCATCAACAGCCAGCAGTCAAAGGGTGCTAGTCCACAGCCTGAAGCGTTGATGGTAAAGTAGAGCTTCTCGCCGAGGGCTTCGTCGTTGACGGCCAACACTCCGGCCATGAGATCGTGATGGCCCGACAGATATTTGGTGCCCGATTCGTAGACGACGTCCGCACCAAGTTCCAAAGGGTTTTGTAGCAAAGGAGAGAGCATGGTGTTATCCACGCTCACAATGCATGATGGGTTGGCCGCATGCGCCATGCTGGCGATCGTGGGAATGTCCACAATCTTGATCAGAGGATTCGTGGGCGTCTCGAGCAAGACCATGGCCGTCTTCGCACCGAGAACATCCTGCACCTTTTCAGGTGTTGTGGTATCCACGTGGTGCACAACAATGCCGCCATGCGTGGATAGATATTTCAACAATCTGTGGCTCCCACCGTACAGATCGTCGCCCGTCACAACTTCGTCACCAGGCCGAAGCTGGCGCGAGAGCACATCAAGTGCTCCCATTCCGGAGGAGACGACCAGGGCTCGCTTCGCGCGCATAATCTTCGCCAGGTGATTTTCCAGGTGCGTCCGGGTGGGGTTGCCACTGCGGGTGTAGTCGTATTCGGAGGCGCCTCCGGTGGCAGAGGTTTGCTTGAAGGTAGCGGACTATTGGACGGTCAGTACATGCTCATCAGCTCCAGACGGAGGGCATCCAAACTGACCTGGTAGATGGGTACGCTGCTTGCATTGTACTGGTCATTCCCTTCGGAATAGACCAGTTGCGTTGCGATCGAATATTGACGCCCACTTCTTGGGCTGGAGGGTGCCGGAGACGGCGGCAGGTCGTGACCGTCCAAGTCGACTCGCGCGAAGGCTTTGCTCATGGCGCTGAGCTTTGGGTCTTTCAACGGCGGTGTGGAGGAAGCACCTGACTCAGACATCGTGGCGGTGGCGGGGAAATGGAGGGATGAGCTCGACGACCTGGAGATTGGATATGAGGATGCACAGTGACATGTGAATTCAAGCAAGTATCGAGCGACTGGTCAATACTCGAGAACGGATGGTGAGGAAAGCAGGAAATGTGAAGACCATGCGGGACAAAATAATGACTGTCTGATGGCGGCGGGAAAAAGCTCACCAATTATGCCCCGACTAGGCATCTTTAGGACCCCTCGCAGAACGATCTGGAGTGTGGAGTCAAGGCGCCGGCAGTTCAAAGGCGCAGGCGCAGAAAGCGAATGACGTGCTCGCACTTCTCCGAGCAGAAAATCCCCGTGTTCTTTTCTTCCATCTTCAAGCCAAACACCAGGAACGATCTTGGTGCAAGATGAGATGAATACCGACTTCATGAGATACTAGTATAAGGCAAATCATGTATATATCGACTGAGATATCCTCTCACTGGCGAGCCCTTTCATTTCAAGCCATGGTGCGTATACTGAGATCGCTCCCAAAAGGAACAGCAACGATTATTATGCCAACGGGATGTCTGCTGAACTGCCATTGACCTCCAGGAGACAGGTTACACAATATACTTTGTCAAGGCATGCTATGGTATTCTTCGGGGTTGGCTGTTGTCTCATTCTGAACACTCCTCGCGTCGTGACCTTAGCCAGAAGTTTGTCAAGGTGATGGAGTGCTTCATACTACACGTATAACCCAGAGATCTGACTCGAGCATTTCGCCACTACCCCAACAGCAAGGATATACCAGGAGCAATGCTCCCTCATGATATGCGAACACTGATCTACGCTTCAGCGCATTAAAGCTGCGAAGTCCCTTCTTCCCTCTTCTATAACCATGGCCGCTCAGGGCGACGAGGACACAGAATCAGCTGGCCGACAGTTCGTTACCGGGTCTTTCTGGCGAACTCAAGATCAAAGCACGGTCGTATACACACACGTATGGTCGCCCTTGATCCAAAACCCCGAGACGTACGTCAACCATGGCCAGTGCGATGGAGTCTGTGCCGATATGAAACGCTTGAAGGATACATACCCAGAGATAGACATAGCTAACCTACGACGGGTATCCCAGTATGTGTAAAACCTTTCTTCCCTGGGGTATTTCTGAGTATGAAATGTGTGCACGGTGAGCATCCTACCTAGACAGCTTGCGGTCAAGTTCGAGCCACATTACAGGGATAAATCCTCGACCTGGGAAGCGTGATTCTTCCATGGATTTGGTTTACCCCTGAGTGAAACAAACCGGTATGTCGGCCGGTGGGGCTGAGGCCTGCCAGGCGGATATCTGAGAAACAATGTCCTTTCCTTGCTTGTATTACGCGCTGGCCAGACCGACTTCTGATTATTGGTATGCATTGCGTTGTCTGGTGGAATGTGAGCTCATCATCATGCAAAACAAGAGCATAGCTGATAGAATGCAATGTTGTTTTGTACCCCTCTCTTTACAGACTGCATCTGCAGTGCCAGGGCAAAAATGACAGGCCCTGGTGTAAACATCGACCACTGAAATGTGGAGGCTGGCCGTGAGATTGCGAACAAGGCGGAAGATGGAGAATTTGGTCCAATCCAAATAGACCATTCGAGGCCATCGGTGCCGCCAAGTGAGTCGCGGCGTCTGGCTGACACGCCGCAGGCTCCTGGTACCTGACCCTAAAATTGCCACGCCTTGTAGTTCTCCTCGCCGGCTCTGTGCCACGGGGCTACGCATGCTGTCCGGCGTCGGACACTTGGATCAGGAACACGGTGGTGGACTCCAAGGTGAACAGTACTGTAGTTGCGAGCTCAAGCGCGGTCAGGCCCTGGCAGCCCCTCGGAAGCACAAACGGTCTCGAACAAGAATGTCTCGTCCCAAGAAGCGAGTTCCGAACTCACAGCGTCGCTGTTGTAGTACCCACGACCGAGCGATGTGCTGCCGTTTGGTGCAAAGGAACTGTTATTATTCATGAGGCACAAAGAGGGTCTTGCTCGCGTCGGCTTCGACACTGAACGCTTAAAGGATGGAGAGGCATGCCAATGATACCAAAGTCATAACGGAGGTGGGAACGAAATTGCGCGTTGAAATTGGCTGGAGCCCGACCAGCCAGGGTGATGGGGCGCAGCCAGGGCGTGTCACGTAAAATTACGGTTTGACAGTATTCTGTTCATGCCTTTACAGGTTAGCAATCTCATCTCCGGCTGCTTGGGGGTCGCGACAGAGGTTGGATCATTCCCCAGAAGGGCTAGTCTGGTACTGTACCGAACGCATCCTGACCACACCAATACCACCCTTTTTCTTCACGGGGAGCACCCTGCGCCTCGAGTAGCAGCAGTTAGTAACAGCGGGAGGCTAAGGCCTCAGGCTTCTGTAGCGGGAAGCCCTGGTGCACGCCACGTCCTCCTCCTTTCCCATGGCCTCTGCCCTAACAACGTCTGCCAATTCAGTTGATTGAGGACCAGATGCTTTCCTTTCTCACCTGTTCTCTTTCCACTCTATACTCACCACTCGGCACTCTAGGTCCTTCCCGTTGAGCCTCGATGATCCGCCAACGTCGCCGTGGTCGCTGTCTCTCGTTCTGCGACCGATAACCTCCTCCCTCGACTGTCAACTTGCGCCTCGACGGCCACGCCCATCTCCTGCGTTTCGCTCACATTGCCAGCACAGAAAACCCGGTGCTCGCGTTCACTCTTTCAATCAACTATCTTCAACGTCTTGTTCGACATACTCGACCGCGCTGTTTGGGTCGTATTCTTTCTCCTTTCGACAACTACGGCATTTCGTGTTGCGAAACCTCCTGGTCCACGGCCCCCTTGCCGCTCCCTCGCGACGACGGACGAGTATACAACACTACTTTTGAATTGCAACTTTGTCTCTTCAATCAATTGGCTGGACCAACCACTCGAGAGAGCGTGCAAGCTACTACGGCTTCTTTGTTGTTGAACGCACTCGGATAATATTAGGTCAAAGAACGTTCAAAAGTATATGCATTGAGTTCCTTGATTGGAAGACGTTTTGGGAACAAAGGAAGTCTCGACCATATTCGCACCGACTTGTCACCAATACTGCAGTCATCCCTTCGAATCTATCGTGTGCCAAAAGACGGCCAGCTTGCAACTTCGTCGAGTCGATTTTACTCGTGCACTCAGGATCGGTTGATCCTAGCCATTCTTTTGAAGTAGACGTTCAAACCATACGCTCGTTTTCCGAAACACCACCCAGTTGGTACCCCGGTGTCCAGATTGGCGATCCTGTGCTGACAATCTCGGCAGCAAAGTCTTGGACAAAGGATATCTGCGGACATGAAGGTCTCAGTCGTTACTCTGTTTTCTGCCGTGGTCGCGGTATCTTTCGCTGAAGCCGTTCCTGCATCTCACCCACGACGACCAGACTTGAAGCCCCGGTATTATTTCCCCAAGGCTGTGAAGAGACAAGTGACTTCCTTCGCCAACACAACAACCACTACAGATCCCAGCAGTTCTGTCAGCGATGACTCGGGAGTCGGGAGCCTTCTCTCCACGCTAGGGAATGTTCTCTCCGGGGTATCATCAGCTCTCTCGGATGATACTACCACTTCGATACCCGCCAGCACTGATGCATCAGTGACTGATTCAGCTGCTACCCAATCGGCACAGGAGACGACTCCCATCTTCATTCCCACCTCTACAGAGTCCGCTATAGCGTCTGTGACGGACGCGTCCGCATCCACGTCCACAACCGACAGCACCGACACCACGCCCACGAGCACCGATCTTTCTGGCACCATCACCGACGCCGCTAGTAGCAGCACAACTGATAGCGAGGATGGTATCACGCTTGGTCTCAGTTCTATCTTTGGAAGTGACACTGCCACCGAGACCGCTGCAGCGACGAGCACAGGAACGGAGGCCGCTTCTGCCTCGTCTGCGTCGGTAACAGATGACGCCTCGTCTGTGCTTTCCTCTGCAAGCGATGCTGCAACGTCGATCCTCTCCGTTGCGAGCTCATTGCAATCGGTTGCTGCCACAGCGGCTAGTTCAGACATGGCTTCAATCTCCTCAGCCTTGTCCTCTGCTGCTTCTGTTGCATCTTCAATCGCGTCCGAGGTGAGCTCGGCCGACTCGGACATCACCTCTTCAGATCCAGGAAGCGCAGCCACCACGACGTCGGACATCGCTGCCTTGACATCCGAACTTGCCTCGTTTATCTCGAGCCCCACTCCGACTATCACAGACTCCTCGCCCACGTTCACACCGACTGACTCGTTTACGACAATTCCCACGGACTCGGTGACTGTGACGCCCAACGACACTACATTGCCGACGGAGACAATTACGTCTCCAACGGACACCGCAACCTTCTCTCCTACTGATACCGCAACAGTGACTCCAACAGACACAGTCAGTTCGACCGATAGCAGCATGGTCATTCCTACCGACACGGGCAGCGCCACAGCGACAGACACCGACACCTTGGCACCCACCGACACGAGCACGGTCACGCCTACTCTCCCTCCTGTTGTGGCCACCAACGCTACCACTGCCACCCCTCCTATCACAACTCCGACAGATACCACGACTTTCACACCGCTGGATACCGTAACTGACACACCTACAGTCACTACAAGTGATGTCCCTACGATCACACCCACGGAAACCCCGTCGGTGACGCCATCGATTGTTGGTAACGTTACCACTCCCGCGATCGCGACAAGCGGCATCACAACTGAGTCATCTGTACCTGTCAACACGATCCAACCGACGGGAACAGACTCGGCTACGGCTCTCACACCACAGTCGAGCATCATCTCGGCCAGCTCGACTGTGGCGCCTCCTGACTCTACATCAACAAGCCAGGCTGTGATCCCAACCACACTTCCTCGAGTCATTCAACCTCAGGGTGGTGTCCCTGACGCTCCGGAGAACTCCACCTTGATTCAAATCGGATTCACTTATGCGCTGAATTACGCCTTCGTCGTCTCCTCTTCCACTGCGGTCTCACAGATCTTCGCGTACCTCCCCGTTGGTGTCGCAAATGGGCTTGGTCTCGATTTGGATGGAGTCGTCATGCAGTATCTACAGCCATACAACACTTTGGATACGGTTGACTACATTACCACCTTGGCAATGGCTTTTATTCCCGCTAGCAAAGTCGATACACTCTCCATGGAGTTGTTGAATCCAAACTCGCAGCTCTACCAGAATTCAAATCCGTCGGTGGTCACGCTGATGGGCATGATTGATCCGTCTATTCCTGTGCTGCCGGGGTCTGCCATTGCGGGTGCAGGTACCCCCGTCAATTCGGCAAATACTGCGGCTACCACGACGGAGAGCAACAAGGCCGATGACGGCTCTCCCGGCTCGTCAGACTCTGATAGTTCCCCCGTCCGGCCTTCATCAGTTGGTATTGCCGTCGGGGCTGTCGCCGGAGCTGCGGTCTACGGGGCCGCAATGTTCCTGGTGGCGCGACGGTACCGAAGGAAGAAGGCCGGCCATCGAAGGGCTAGCAGCATGCAATCAGGTCAGCCCAATGGCCCGGCGGAACAATCCAACCTGATGGCTGCAGGAGGCCGAGGTAGCTACGGCACACGGTTCGGTGGACGGACTTCTCGGAACAGCGACCGCAGCCATTCAAGCCGGAGCGGTCGGACGTATATCAGCCCGCCAGTCATGGCAGAGAACAGCTTGGGCTGGAACTGATTGAATTGGGTGCCGAAACGAGTCGATGAATTCTGTACAAAGAGCGTGTCGTCACTCATCCCATCCAACATCCATGCCCGTTCATGAGGAGTCAGCCATACCCAGTTTATTTTTCTTTCACCGTTGCTTTGCTTTTGAGAGACGCAGAGGTCAAATCCATCTGCCGGGAGGTTTGCATTGTTTTAAGAGGCAGAACCTGGGAGTGAGTTGAAGAAGTGGTTGCCCTGTTGGAGCAGGCAATCAGGAAGGGAAGATGAGCAGGCTTGGAGCTTTATGTGTGAAGGCCCGCTCTTGCCAAAGAAAAAGGACAAGCTGCGCGGGAGATAGTTGCATATGTGGAAGAGCGAGCTACTACCGAGTATTTAGAGAGAGAGAAAGAAAGAGAAATGTTCAGAGCCAATCACGCATCCTGCCGTCACGATTTCTAGTTGTTGAGAGACTTGATACCCTACACCTCTGTAAAGTTGCTGGAGCATCTTGCTCCGGCCGTGATGCCTGTGCACACTGACTGCTATAGTAGCACGCCAGATGCTGTATACAGGCTTGTGAACGTCGAATCTCGATGCATGTTGGACTCAATTGGACCTTGATGATAGAGAAGGGCAAACGTACGGGACACGGGGGATCTCAAATCCAGATGCGTTATAACCACAGATATTATGTATACCTTGATGTAGATGCTCACACACGTATACCACGATGAGACAGACCCTAGCTCTCAACTCCTCAGATACTATACCAGGGTAGTCAGAGCCAACCGTATGTATAAGAGCCATTCCATCTATGTCAATCCCGACACCACCCAGAACAATCCCAAACCCGCTTCTGTCCAGCAGTACAGGACGTGCATATTGAACCCAAACATGACATGCACTCATGCACACAAACTCCCTATACTCCCTACGCCTTAGTCCTTACTCCCCACTCCGTCCATGTGGCATTTCACGTTCATGCTCGGACCGAGCCCCTTAAAATCCAAAGATCTGCGGGAAGCAGTTGGTAGACGAAATGTCCAAGATCAGGCGTCTTTATCTTTGGCCGAGGACGAATCCGTCCGGGCATACGCCGTCCTGACCCTCCCGCGCAGAGGAAAGCGTTCATTCAAGAGCGCTTCTTCGGTCGCCGACGCCGACGCCGAAGTGGTGGCCGAGACTGGCGTCACCCCGCTGCTTGAACCAGGGCCGTCTTCAGTATTGGTCTCCAACTCGATGAGATCGCCCATCTTGTCGACAGCGGCGCCTCTGTCCCGCTTTCCGCCCGTCATCTTCCTCATCCAGCCTTCGATGGCCCCTCCGACGTCACCCAGGCCAGAGCTGTTCGAGTTTGACCGGGTGCTTCGCATCGAGTCCGTGCTTGCGCGGGGCGTCGTGATGTGTGGAGTCGGGAGACGCAGACTGAACCCGTGCCGCGGTGGAGTCGTCGATTCTTGCGCCGGCGGGAGCAGGTCGGGCAGATACTGGGCGAAGTTGCGGTTCAGCGGGTCGTCCGCGGGACCGGGGCGGGCGACTTCGGTGCGTAAACCGCGGAGGCTTCCCACGCCGCCGGGGCCTCGCAGCGCGTCGGCGAAGGAGCCGCCTGCGGTGCTGGACGAGCGGTGCCGGCTGCTCGAGGCGGAATTGACGCGAGAAGAGATGCCCGGCGGGCGGACGGGGGAGTTATTCAGGGACGCTGTGGTCTGCGCTGCGTGGCTGGGTGGATGACGGAGCATGTCGAAGGATGTCTTTGGTGTCGAGGATGTGGAAGCATCGGTGAATGTGGCGTTGGATTTCCGCCGCGGCCGGGGAAAGTAGCCCAGAGCGCGGCGGGGGACGCGCACGATCTCGACGGCCTCCTTGAAATTGGGCAACATGACCCAGGAGTCGTGTCGGAATTCCGTCTCTTCAGACATGGAAGTGATGAGTGATGTGGGATTGGTGGGATTGCTTTGCAAAGGTGTCTGGGTGCCACTGACGGCAGTGGATGAACCAGGCTGTGAGAGTGATGGAGAAGGGTTGGGGTTTGTTTGAGAGCTCGACTGGTCCAGCCCGAACCCAGAATCAAACAACTCTTTGGACAAGTAAGGGCTGTCCACCTTTCTGCCCCTGACCGAACACCCTTCCAGCGGAATGACGACGTGGGATCGTGTTTGGATATTGTCGTTGGGCCAGAATCGATTGACCTTTCGGAACGCCTCGGTTTGACAGTTGTATTTGATGATGACGCCCGCCAGGGTATCTTCTTTCTGCACTTTGTGAAGATATACCAGAGCGTCGGCGTCCAGGTCATTGTGAGCAGTGGGGTTCGTAGGGGATAGACCCGCGTTCGAGTCTCTCCGTTTGTACCGTCCAGAGCCATCGCGACTTTCCGTCGTGCTGGCAAGTAATAACGCTTCCCGTCTCTTTGCTTGTACCAGAGCCTGTCTCTCTTCGAGCGCCCCCTGAGCTGCGTCGGCCGCAGTCACCGTCGGTGGGTTGGAGCTAGGCCCCCATTTCGGAGGAGGTGGTTTGGGACCGTTCCGTCTATCCTGCTTCATCCAGACCGGCGTCTTGAATGGCCTGTCAGGCTTGTCCTTGGACGATCCAGGGACGTCTCCCAATAGTGTTGATGCCAGTTCTTGTAGTGACGACCATGGTTCCCATAGTCCTTGGTTTCCCGCTCCTGCAGTGGTCTTGGGAATATCCGACGGAGATCTGATGTGAGGAATCTTTGTCCTGGCACCCTCTCGTTTGCCCTCCGTAGACTTGGCTCGATTTCCGGTCGTGTTCGGGGAGACACCTCTGCTGGGGAATCGCGGCGGGGTGGACAAGGAGGATGTGGAGACAGCCGTTGCCTCGATCGCGGTGTCATCTTCGACATACGATATCAGGCGGGAAGCACGCGGCCGGAGGTTGGAGGTGCTGCTGTTCAGGGTGGACGGTTGGTAGGGCCCAGCAGGGTGGGAACTGGTGTTCATGGTTGGCCAGGGTGCCAACTCGCGACATTGGGGGTTGAAGACATGGAGAGCCGTGAGTCAAAGAGCGGAGAGATAGGAAGCGCGGTCCGTCCCTGCGACGAGGGGAGACGTTACCCAGGGGATATGTTGTTGGATGCCAGTGACTTATGGTTTGATACAAGATGGCAATTGGACACGGTCGATGGAGGTACAGTGAAGCGAGGATGGTAACAATCACAAGTAGACGGTTTGGTGGAAAGTGAGTTAGTTGGCTAGATGTGTGATGTGGTATGTGTCCAGCGCAGTCCGCAGTCCGTGGTGTGTCCTTACTGTACCAGACAGACGGAGAATTGAATGACAGCCAGCGACGGCTAAGGAGGTCTTTCGTGTCTAGTTACAACCGACTGATGGACCTATGTATCTGTTTATCCTCTTCCGCTTCCCTTGGGGCCCCATAGAAGGTGTCTTCTGATTCCCTTCACCGACTCCTGATGAGATGGGTCCTGACTGCGCCCGCCACGCGTCTCTCTATCACTGCACTCAATACCTTACGCAGCTCTCCATGCCGCCATTCATCTTGTAATATCAGGTCGAGTTCTCCATCCAAGGGGAACAAGCCTGGCATGGTTGATATGTGTATGCTGCTCATGTCCAGTCAAAGGAATCCCCTCCACTACCTCTTTCGCTCGAGACCTCTTCGTCTTTTCTACAGCCACAAGCCTCCCAACACCAAAGAATCCACGATATCCTGTTTACTTTGTTGGTTCCACTTCGACTCTAGCCTGAACCAGCACGATAGTGACCCCTATCTCTGTTCGTCGACAGTATAGTCAGTAGTATGCAAGATATTGAAGAAACACTGTCCATGAACGACAACGAAGATATTTGAAGCCCTGAATGATTTTGAAAAACGTTCACATTCATTTCCTGTTTTCTGGAGCTCTTTTTTGCGGGAACCGTCATGTACCTTCTGTATACCAACTTAGATGTCGAGCTAGCTTCATCCATCCCCCGTCATCTTCCCGTCACCACCCATCCCGGCCAATTCGCCATTAATCCCAAAGAACTGGAACCAGTCCTCCACATTCAGCGTCGTGGGCGCCACAGGAGCATTGCCGATCGAGCTGGTGGACCAGCCGTCGCTATCGGGCATCTCCAGCCCCGAGCCCATGACCCCTTGTAGCCCCGAGGGCCAGGCCTGCGGTTGCCCCGACATGTCCATCTGCTGCGGCATTTGCTGACCGCCGCCCATCCCGGGCGTCTGCATCTGGAGCTGAGGGTCCACCGCGTGGTTCATGATGGGGCTGGCGAAGTTGGCGGCATCGCCAATGGTCCCGTCGGGGAACAGTTGGTCGGGTTGGAAATTCTCCCATAGCTGCTGGGAGATGTTGGGCGAGTCTCTCGTGACCAGAAACAGATCCGGCGGAGTGGCGGGGATCGAGTATCCGTTGAAGGGAGAGTTGGCTCTGGTCGGTGCCCGGGATGGGAAACGAGACGGTCCGCGAGACCTGGAGGTTGGTAGATATTGCTCATTGTGGAGTGGAGGAGAGCCGAGGAAGTTGTGTTGCTGTTGATGGTGTTGGTGTTGCTGCTGCTGCTGCTGCTGTGGTTGTTGTTGTTGTTGTTGCGGTTGTTGTGGTAGATCACGGGAAGGCGTTGCGGCAGGTGTCTGAGGCCTCGACCGCTCATACGACATCTGAGGAGCCGGCGGTCCTACGTTGAATCCCAGGTCGATGTCATCGAATTTTCGCTTGGTAGGGTTAGCTGGTGGTGCTGGAGTGGAAGACGGTCCTGATGAGGAGTGTCCCGTGCCGTTGGCATTCCCGTTTGCGTGGAAATGGGCCCCGGAAGGTTGAGTCCTGGCACGTTGAGCTTTCTTGCCGGTTGCCTTTTGCAATCTCTCCTCCAGTACCTTGTTGCCGAGGATAGATTCGAACAGAGTGTGCACCATCTTTGCGACCAACCATACTTTAGAGACTTCCTTCAAAGCGTTCATACATACGTTGATACGTTCCTGGCTGGCCGCCACTACTGATGGCACCGAAGACCGCATTTGATATACGTGCATGATGAGCGCGGAGAACAAACTGTATACACTGCGTGACGAGTCAGATAGGGGCGACAGGATGCGGTGGTCAACGACTTACATGAACGCAGGGGCATACTTGACTTGATCATGAGCCAGAAGGTTTTCCACGATCGACGTGATCATCCCAGCGGCTTGGAACGCTATCGTTCTGGAAGGGTAAGACATATCAACACTGTCGTAGTCATTCGGTTTTGTAGTGGCAGGCGGCATGTGAGCGCGGTGAAGCAAACACAACGTGGTACTGGTCTCGAATCAGCTCAGACTCCGGCCATCCCATCAGGGTCATGCTTACTAGTAATTGGAGTGTAACAAGGCCGACCAGAAATGGTGTCGGGAGCGCTCCCAATACACCTCTCGAGGGCAATTTTGGAGCCAGTCAGCGAGGGCCATGTCGCTGTGAGTCAGATCGATGGCATTTGTTCGCCGAGCTTTAGACGCAACCGAATATTGCTGAGAGAGGACAAGACCCATAATCTCGCAGAGCTTAACGTACTGCAAAAAGAACTGGACATGTACCGGATCGGCCTGGAAGTCATTGTTCGGGTCTCCTTCATCTTCGATAAAATCCTCTTCGGTGATCATCTCAACGTCCGAATCGTCCGTATTGATGGAGACAGGGCGGCCGAGGGCAACGGCGACCGACCGATCTCTTGTGAATAGAGACCACCATACTCTTTTCCAGAGGCGCTTGTCTTGTCTACTCAACTGAGAGCTTTCGACACTGGAGAGCAGCGCTGTTAGCAATGATGTTCGACAACTCAGCAGACTCGAGCATACCTGCGGTGCATACCGGCACCTTGAGCGACCACAATCGCGACCCTCGTCCAATAGAACACGTTTTTGGTGACATCTGCCGCAATGTTAGACCGAGCAGAGTCGGCATATTCGGTTGACGCCTGGCCCTTACCTTCGGGCCCCTCCCAATACCACCCCATCAGGACCAGAGCCTGTACGATGGTTATGCGGTCATCTTCGTAGTTGGCGTCGTAGAGGGCTTTGGCGCGTTTGTAGAATGTCATTGCCGCAGGAGTTGTCGAACCAGTCGCATCCATCAGCTGCGGATTTTGACAGACTCTTGAGCCAGCGAGCAAGATGGCCTGAAGAAGCAGCAAAGATGGCGGGTTCTTGGTGTCTTTATACCGTTTCATGAATCGACTTTTGTTGATGACTGGCACAATAGGAGCGACCCATTTGAAGTAGGCGTCGACAAGTTCATCACACAATGCGCGAGGCGGAAGTAAAAATGCCCCTCGCTGTTGAAGGATCTCTATCTCCATCTGATCTGGCTCGGTCAACCGGGCTCGAGCACCTCTGATGTTTTCTGGTAGAGGATAGTGAACCACATCTGTCGTGCCATGCCGGTCATGGACCAGCAATGACAGATTTGATGACTCGCCCAGGTAAGCTACTCGACCGGCCTCTTTTATAGGTGCCCGTGCGAATTTGGGCTTCATGAACTGGGCCATGGTGCCATTATTGGCGGCTTGCTGGGCGGCTTCCGCGTTGGATATCTGAGTTGAGGGGATGCCATCTGGAGAGTTGTATCCAACCGTTGGTTTCGCTTGCGAAGGGCGGGTGAGCCTGGGATCGGTTGGCGTAGCTGGTAGTTGGGACTCGCCGGTCTCACTGATGCATTCATGTCAGATCTTGGACAACACAATATCATGCATGTGGCTTTGGGGTGGCCCATGCTACTGATACACGAAGACGATCACATACCTCCCCTCTTCTTTGGTCCGAGCAGTACCGGCTCTCTTCCTCTTCGGGACGGGGATTCGGCATTCGATTGAGAAGGCCACACAGTTGGTGCAGGGGACACTAGACGTTGTCAATCGTGTCGTCCAGTCTGGACGGGAATTTCGGTGGCTTACCCAAGAGAGGCGGCATCACAGCGGACCTATGCGAGAGAAGGTGGTTAGATCTTGTGTCAAGTGACAGCGATTAAGCAGTCCGGCGACGACATCGCAACATACTTTGCGGGCGTGGCATGTTTCTGCAAAGACCTTACGTTAGCCACTCCATTGCAAAGATCAAATACGCATTGAGAACGTGGGTGTTGTGTATGCTCATTGGTCCTGGACGTTGGAAGCGGTGGCCTCCAATACCGCAGAATCGAGAAACATCTGAACCGAGGTTCTCGGTTTGTCGCGTCCTCCAGACGAACAAACGTAATAATAGACGCTGTCCGCCGGCGACATTCCTGACGATTGTGCGACGTGCAATGAAAGCAGATATGTTCCTCCTGTTTAATCCAGTCTCCAACCTTTCCGCCCGGTCCGATCGTGTAGGAGAACGAAGAGTGCAAAGGAAAACCGAGGAACAAGCTTACCACAGGCCCGAGATGCGCGCTGCCTGTCTGGCGTGTTAGCAAACATGATGCGCAAAGAAAGGTTGGTCCGCATAGAACATACCTTCTGAAGCTGGGATGGCCAGGAGTCTGGTTTGCCGGTGCCTTCTTGGTTCCAGACTGGTCGTTGGAAGCCTGCGACGGAGCTTCCGCAGGCGTTGACTGCGATTCGGATGCTGGGCTTGGATCGCTCATGACGGCAACGGGGAGGGCTTCTGATGCAGCAAGAGGGTTTAAAAAAGTTTGTTGTCAACCAGCGCTGGGGCAAACCAGCATTGCGGTCGGAACCAAGAGCAGACAGAAACGAGGCGACAACGAGGTGGAGGGTTGTAACAGAGATTGATGATGCAGTGGGCGGGCGCAGTGGCAGAATCGACTGACCAGATTTGGAGTGTCTGGAGGGAACCGTTTGGTGCCAGTGTCAGACTCTACGCTGTGTGTGTTCGGCTCAAGTTGGGGTCTGGGGTTTAGCCTGGGACCACCTAGATTTGAGGAGACCAAAGCTTTGTTAGGCGCCTAACTCGCCTAAGGAGCCCACACTGCCAGTACACTACAGAGGGGTCTTTCCCTCTATCTGCCCATGACTAGCAAGCCTAGCAGCCCATCTTGTGGCTAAGGGGCACCCTAGGCCTACCCTGTCCAGACTTCCACCGACACACCATCATGTCCTACCAGGCCACGTCTAGGTCTTAGCTGCTTGGGGATCTTGGTCAAAAGAGTGTGGGGTAAGCCTCATGAGCCTGAGCAACCACCCGGACTGTCCATCATCCATCACGCGCTCAATTAGTTGTATACATGCTTGTCCCATCACCACCTATTCCGGTACTGATTCCGCGATTTGCTCCGATTTCCACATGCTCCTACAACGGCTTGGGTTCTCATGGAGACATCTCCCATGCCAGGTTGCGACTGCGAGGCGACTGGCCATCTCACGCCCGATAAACAATTCGAGACTCGAACTCGATATATAACAGAGCGCTAAGTGTGAGTTATCGGGCCCACAGTCAAGAACGGAGCGGATTGTACTGTAGATTGACCAAACCCAGGGCTGGTGAGAAGACCTTAGTCTAACAGCGCCAGAGTAGAGCCGAGGATGTGAAGCACATGCTATTATTGTTCCTGCTGCTCCAGCGTCTCTTGCATGGGCGAACTGACACCTGACGACGAGGCAGTACTCCATGCTTTATCGTCGCCGTCTTCTTTGGCCTTGCTGGGCCGTCGGATCTCAGTTCCTTGCTTAAAGAAATCGGTGGTACGCAGTCCTCGCACATCGCCAGCCTTCATCTGATCGATCCGTTGGCCACTCTGTCTCTGACGCTGTATCATCTCGCGCACCGGAGTCATGGCCGCCTCTCGACAAGCCTCCTTGATATCGCTGCCGGACATGCCGGACATGACGCGCGCCAGATATTCCATGTCGAACTGTTCCTTGTCGAGCTTGGTGTCTCGGAGGATGATTTGCAAGATCTTCAACCGCTGCGACTTGTTGGGCAGCGACACGGGAAACTTCTTCGGCATTCTCCGCAGAATCGCGTCGTCGATATCCTGAATGCGGTTCGTGGCACCAAGAACCATTATCCGTTGAGGCCGGCCGGACGAAGAGGCAGAGGCCAACCCATCCCAATGTGTCATGAACTCTGCTTTCACCATCCCGCTTGCCTCATGCTCGCCGCTACGCCGCGTGCCTAGGACCGCATCGATTTCGTCGATGAAGACAATCGCCGGTTCCAGTTTCCGAGCAAGACTGAAAACTGCATTGACAAGCTTGTTCGAGTCGCCAAACCATTTCTCGGTCAACGTCGAGATATGCAGGTTGATGAAACATGCGCCACTCTCGTGCGCCAGCGCTTTCGCCAGCATTGTCTTTCCACATCCGGGTTGTCCGTATAGTAGTACTCCGGACGGTGCCGTCAGTAGGGAAGATGAGGTCGAGTAGAGTTCCGGCATGGTCAACGGGTATATGACCGACTCTTTCAGTTCCTCTATTATGTCGGACAATCCTCCAATGTCGTCAAACGTGACGGGTATATCTTCTGGGAACACCAAGTCTTGTAAGATGGTCTGTTCGTACGGCGACAGCTTCAACTCTCCGCGGAGAGCGCGTCGGTCGTCTCGAGCCTGCGGCTGTTGGCTGCGTTGGGGATCATCTAGTCTTCGTAGAATCGCCGACGACTGTAAACGGTTTTGTTCCTTTTGCTCCGCCTCCGGGTCATAGTTCATCTGTCTCAGCACATATCTGACGATATAGTAGCCCCCGATGGCCTAAGGAAGATTAGTCTGGCTGGCAGGACGGAGAACAGAGAATGGACATTCGTACCAGAGGGGCTGTGAGAGCAATTTCCTCGAGGAGGCGGTGCCACCAGGCACCTCCTCTATCTGGCGACATAGCTGAGACGCTAACAAGATGAGCTGGTACAAGGAAACATATAGCGTGAGATCTGAGAAGAGTCTTTGAAGACAAAAAGACCGTCTTCAAGTTGATGGCGATGCGCAACTTGGAGTCCCAAGCCAGTCTCGGGATTGCCGCCTTCAAGTTGAGGAGCCAATTAGTGGCATGGCATGTGACGATAAGCGAGGGCTCACTAAGCCCAAATCGAACTATCCCGCATCGGGACCACTGTTTACGTCCCCCAAACATCTCGTGCACTACAGCGCACCCAGGAAGCATTGAAGATTTTGTGTTCCTCTAAACCGACGCTGTAATTCTTTTGACTTCACTTTACGTACGACCGCAAACATGAGAGGTATTGCTGATCTCGTTGAATCCGCAATGGAGGACTCGACCAACTTCATCGACGAGAACTCGATCCTCTCGTCCGCATCGGACGCGACCGCCGCAAGTGCGTCTAAACCCGGCCTGGCAAAGAAAGGGAAGAAGCGACATCGCGTGACCATGCCTTCCAAATCGAGATCGAAAGTCCAGAAGCCTGCGTCTACAGCTGCGCCGGCCAAAAAGACTGCCGCAAAACGAATGCCCGCAACGAAACGGAAAGCATTCGAAGAGCACGCAGAAGAGATGGACGCCATTGGAGAGGAGGACCCGGAGGTCTCTGAGGTCGCGCAAGAGGATGTTGCTCCCAAACCGAAGAAAGCTCCACGCGCGAAGGCTAAGGCGACTGCGAATGCAACTAAAAGGATACCAGAGACCAGCGATCCCACCGAAGACATGATGGAGGTCGAGGGATCGCCTGTCGTCGCACGCTCAAAACACGCCGCGAGTCGAAACACGAAAGACGCGCCCAAGGTTACAAGCAAACCCAGGTCCGCGCCAAAAGCGAAAGCCGTCAAGACGGCCAAGGCGGCGGATCCAGAAGTAGTAGTGCAAGAAGACGCGGTGGATGAGATGGATGAAGATTCGCAACCCGTCGTCACGGTAGCCATACCGAAACAGAAAACCACGACGAGAGATGCGTCCAAAGCACGACAAGAACCGGGCTACAGGCGATGCGCAGGAAGCGCGTCTGACACGGAGCGAGGAGATCCCAATCTTCGACGCAGACTGGGCGACATTACGCGCAAACTCGAGAACGTCGACCTGAAGTACCACAATCTGCGAGAAGTCGGGATCCACGAGGCGAACGTGAACATGGAGAAACTCCGCAAGCAATGCGATGCCGCCATGCAAGCGTCCAACAACCTGGTCGCTTCGTTGAAGAAAGAGCTGGCAGCTCAGGCGCCTCTCGCCCAAGAAGCTCGGAAGCTGAAGAAACAGATGCAAACCCAGGAGGAAGAGATGGGTACTATGCGCAAAGCTCTTTCAGACCTGGAGAATTCTCTAAGCCATGCGCAAAATGAGAACAAAGCACTACAGGCGAAACTAGCAGCAGCCAGAGCCCCCTCAGTCGACAATGCCAGAGCCAAAACGCCAGGGAGTGCGATCAAAGCCACGGCGCAACGGCCACTCATGATTGGAAGCGCCGAAGCTGCTCAAGCCGCGCAGGTGGCGCAGATGAAGGAAGACCTGTACAGTGATTTGACGGGTCTCATCATCCGCAGCGTAAAGAGGACTGACGAGGGTGATACCTATGACTGCATCCAAACCGGCCGAAATGGTAGTAAGTGTTGCTTTCCCCTTCCTCATGCTTGGGCAAAAAACTGACAAACCTCCCAGCATTGCATTTCAAGCTATATGTTGATCAAGAGGACGCGAGGACGGCCAGTTTCGAAGAGACCGAGTTCCTCTACACGCCTCTTCTGGATGCCAATCGGGACCGTGACATGATAGAGTTGATGCCCAGTTATCTCACCGAGGACATCACCTTTGCCAGACAGAACGCGGCCAAATTCTATGGACGGGTGGTCGACACCCTGACCAAGCGGCGAGCTGAAGATTGAGAGATGTTTGTATTATGATGTGTGCGTTATGGATCATGATTTCTGCGGTCGACAGGACAAGACTGGCGTTTGCATGTTGGACATATGCTTGCCTTGTGGCACACGGCGGATCGCATGATATGGTACGGGCATAGGAAGCGGGGGGATTTGTAGCGTCGTCAAAATCGTTCTGGTTTCTTGTCTGTAAGCTCAAGCTGAAGAACAGGATATGAATATGGCGTCTTCCGAATGCCGGAATGGCGCACAATATTGTGGCTTTTCAGTGCCCTGATACTGCCACCGCCTGCATCCATTCCAGGCAGAATGGGTGTCATGTTTCTCTTCCCGCCGTCTGCGCAGCGACGTGCTCATCATGCCCATCCTGCACGGAGCAATTCTGGCGGAAGCCTTAGGCCCCAACAAGGGCAGGACGAACGGGACAGTAGACACGAGTGAGTGATCTTCAAACATCCGCGTATCCGGCCATCTCAGAAAACAATTCATCCCAATTAATATCGTCGAAGGACACGATCTCGCCGTCCCCACTTGCAACCAATGTATCGGGTTCCGTGGTCTGGACCCGGTCAAGCGAATGGACTATCGGAAAAGTCGTCGTTGACGAAGTCGCAGTCGTTGTTGTTGTTGCTGCTGCTGATGTTGCTGCTACTACTACTGCCATTTCCTGCGTCTTCGCCAGCCAATGTCTCGCACGAAAGACGGCGCTCAGCGTGAGATTCGTGCCCATCCTCGACACAACAGGCAGGAATCTGTCCGAGTTGTCTCCGTCTCCACCGAGCTCTCGCCCCAGTCTTTCATCGTACGAGACTTTCCCGAAGCGGTCGACAAGCTGACAAGCACGCGAGATATAGTCTGCCGGGGTGATGGACAGACCTTTCAGAGCTAGATAGCCTTGGGTGATGGAGTCGCAGAGCGTGCTGTGTTCGACCAGAGTATGGTGTCGCGAGTACTTCAGCAGGAGCAAGAAACAGACCGCATTGACGAGTGTTTTCTGGACGCGCGAAGGGGCGTGGAACATCTGGTCATGGATCCCCGATGAGGTCTGGATGGTGGCGGTTGCTGTGACGTACGCTTGACTCAGCCAGTGTGATTGGAATTCGACTCCAACATCTAACCCCTTTGGTCTGGATGGTGACGATGCTGAGCCAGGAATGCCTTGGTTGTGGTTGTTATCTGCAGAAAGGGCGAAAGTGTACAGAGTCATCCGACAACCGAGGAAGAGGATGTATTCGGTGGCGAACCACGACGTGTAGAACTGGCATTCCAGGGCTCGCAACTCGGTTTCGAAAGTGCGAATCACCGGCGTGGCACAGGGGAGTAGTCCTGTGCTAGAGGATTCGCAGTTACCAAGGGTGGAAGAGATGTTGAGAGCGTGCCGCGACAGATGGAGCTGCTGGTGCAACCTAGTCGGCAGCCAGGCTGGTTTGGCCGCCAGACATTCCAGGAGGCCTTGGTCTAACTTGACTGTAGCCGGGAGTCCAAGGCCGTTGTTCACACTGCAGTCGAATTGACGCTCCGTCAGTACAGAGTACATGGACGGGCTGTGTAAGAGAAAAACAATAATCAAACTCCGTGAGATTGCATACCTGAGATTCGTGATGAAGCAAACCACCCACGTCTTGCGTCGGAGGATCTCTGTCTCGGAGTCAAGACAAGTCCCATTGGCATATTCGTTGCCGTGACGTGGTCGGTGAAGACCCATCCGGAGCCCGATGTTGGTGGCCAGCGTGACGAAGGAAAGAGAGGGGTCGTGGGCTCGTTGGAAAGGCAGAGGCCACTGGCACAGCAGCACCAGGGCTTGCATGGCATGGAAGGACGCAGATGCCGGTTTGATGGTGTCGTACGCCATCGACCGGACCGCGTCGGCGATGGTCGAGTAGAGGTCTCGGTCCTCGTCCTTGCCTCGCAGCGCGGTGACCAGCACCGTCCAGAAGAGAAGCGGACATGGTTTCGAATAGTCCAGGAACTTTTGTTGGGGCGGTAGAATGGGACAATATGGATGATACCCTGTGAAGAACCTGGCACGACAGCCTGTTAGTCGCGCGATCAGATGGGCCAGACAATGTTATCCAGAGGAGGACTCGGAAGGACGTACTCGTTCAGTAACTCGTTGATGCGCTGGGAAGCGAGTTCGACTCCTTGGATCGTCCCAACTGGCAAAGACGAGGTTGTGTTGTTCTCTCCCTCCGCTGCAGGCATTGGCTGCGATGGCTTTATGGGATGACCGACCGACGGTACGGTCGTAGAAGTCGGATTTCCATTATCGGCGACATTGCGTATCTGCTGGCGCTCGTTGTCGTTGACGGTTCTCATGCTCTGGCGGATCTCTCGCAACTCTTTCTCGACTTGCGTGAGCCGTCTGGCCATCAGGATCAGACATCGGATGGCGACGACCATGTCAGGCCAAGGACGGGCGACGTACTCTCTCTTTCTTTCGCGTCTGAATGCCGGGTCGACCGTGCAGACTTTGCCGAACACATTGCACCTCGTGCATGATGCCGGGAACGTCTCATGCCTATTGCACGCCCGCTTCTCGATCTTAGTTTTCTGAAGGACGCCCTGCTCCGCAATGGACTTACTTTGGCCTGCCTGCAGGGAATGCAGGCCACGAGATTCGACTTTCTCCCACGCACCATCGGATTGTGCCCGTTGGCATTGGAAATAGATGTTGGGGCGGGAGAGGAAAGTAAGGAAAGTACTGTAGGATGTCGGGAGTGCACCAATCATCATACTGTATTCGCCTCGCGAGGCTGAAGGACCACCACTCAGCGCTGGCTTGGCTCATGATTGGCCAACTTTCATGTGGAGGCTACCAACACAAAAGTAGCTTAGCTTAATTTGTCACGTGACATGAGCTCAACATGTGACACTTGGGAAAGTGCCCGGAGCCTCGTCGTACTAATGCTATGGCGCTAGCTGTGCTAGTCATCCCACCCACCATATCGCCGCTTTATCCTGTATCAGGGACAGCAAGACCGTGACTCCGCACCTCGGGCCTGTGAATCGAGCGCGTTACTATTGATCGAAGGAAGCAACACGGAGAGATACGGGAACGGGAGACTTGCACCGCCAATAATATAGAGTAGTGTTGTTGATACTGATGTCGCAACTGAGGCTCAAAGAGTCTCGGATGGCTTTCTCCATCAGCTTCTCTTCTCCATCAGCTTCTCCACGGCGGCCATGACGTCCCACAGGATGATGTACTGTGACTGTGATTGTGACTGAGTACGTGTGCACACACACGGTAGGCTCACGGATATATCTTCAACACTCCCCTCCCCATCTATCTGTAGATAGTTTGTGGTGAAAGAATCATCGACCTCCTCCTCCTACTGCTACTACACTACTACTGCCACCGTCTCTCCCTCATCCTCGACAACAGGAATTCGACTGCGTATAGACCCTTCGGCCAGTGGTGTTGCGCTGATCTTCTAGACTATTACCTCTTTCCATCCATTCGAACAGCACACAGTCTGCAACTCTCTACGCTCCCTCCTATAGAAAGATGGCACCTCAAATAGCATGGCTCGGACTCGGGAACATGGGCAGGGTAAGCCAAACACCGCACGGCACCGCACCGCACCGACAGAACGAACACCCACCCATCCAGCCCTAAACCCGAGCGTCTCTCCTTCTGCTGCTTCGTCTAACAAACATCCACGAACAGGGCATGTGTAAGAACCTCGTTGAAAAAGGCAACCTAACCCACCCACTGATCATCTACAACCGCACGACGGCGCGCGCGCAAGAGCTATCCTCGAAGATCGGCCATTCCACCGTCTCCCCCTCGATCGCCGAAGCCGCCCGCAAAGCCGACATCATCTTCTACTGCCTAGGCGACGACGCAGCGGTGCTGTCGACGCTGGACGAGATCCTACGCGACGACAACAACAACCTGGCCGGCAAGATCCTGGTCGACTGCAGCACGGTGCACCCAGACACGACGGCGCAGGAGACACAACTGGTCGAGGCCAGGGGCGGCACGTTCGTCGCGTGTCCCGTGTTCGGAGCCCCCGCGATGGCCGAGTCGGGCCAGCTGATCTGCGTACTGGCCGGCGCGAGCGAGGCGGTCGACAAAGTCAAGCCGTACTGCAAGGGCGTCATGGGCCGCGCGAACCTCGAATTCTCCGGCCAGGAGCCGAGCAGGGCCACTCTTTTGAAGTTGATCGGCAATACCTTCGTCCTGAGCATGGTCGAGGCGCTGGCCGAGGGCCACGTCGTCGCCGAAAAGTCCGGCTTGGGCGTCGACACTCTGCACCAGTTCATCGAACTCATGTTCCCCGGGCCCTACACTGCTTATTCGAACCGCTTGCGCACCGGCGACTACTATAACCGTGCCGAACCGCTGTTCGCTGTCGATCTGGCCCGCAAGGATGCCCGACATGCCATGGCGCTCGCCGAGAAGACTGGCTGTCGTATGAAGAATGTCGAGTTGGCCGATTCCTATCTCAAAGTCGTCAAGGAGACCCAGGGCCAGAAGGGGGACATTGCTGGGATCTATGGCGCCAAGAGACTGGAGAGTGGCTTGCCTTTTGAGAATGCATCGTGAGAGAAAGAGAATGGACCTCTTTTTACAACAAGAAGCATCTGAATTGTTCTCCTCAAGAAAAGAAGTCGGGAATCATCCCCATGTATATCGACAAATGCCGGACGAATACGACCTATATAAGATATAATAGAATAGCCAGATCATTTACAAACTGTCTACCATGGAAGAAGGTGTTGTAGGTCAGATTTTAGCTGATGAGCGCAGAGTCTCGGTAGCCCGACGAGGCTGAATGGTCAATCGTTCAACAGGGAGGTATAAACAGGTGTCTTCCCCCTATACTCTGTGTGTCCACCAACCCGAATCGCCATTCCATTCGTTATCCAATTTCATTCAGTTCAATCATCAATTCATTCGTCAACATGATTTCCAGAAGTAGAACTCCTTCTACCAATGTATACACACCACTAGAAAATACTACCTGTAATATACAGTAGTAAATGTGGTGCGGAGCTGACAGCTCTCTTCTTTCTGTACTCTCTTTCTCTCTGGCTCTATCCACCTTCTTTCAGTCATTCCTTCCAGCCAGTCAGCCAGTCCATCTGTTCCACTCCGCTGTCGGACTGATCAATCATGAAATTGTCGAAATCTGAGTCCTTCAGATGAAAGCTGGAAGTCGGAGTGCGCACTCCCTTCCTCTCGACCAACAGCACAGTCCCGTTCTGTCTCCTCTTGGCTACTCCTATTCCCCTTCCAATCTCTCACTAATCAAAAAGCCTGGGTCTGGCTGCCCGTATCATCTCCCAGATCCATGCTGGTACGAGCACTGCCGACGCCGACACCGCTACTGCTAGCCCCTCCACCAAAATCGGTTCCTCGGGAGAGGGGCTGGTTGTCCCATTTCTCATCCGGATCCCATTCGAAAAGATCTTGCATGCGGAGCTGTGCTTCGCTTTCGACGAATTCGGTCTCCGTCATCTCTGCGGTGATAACCTCGTTGAAACAGAATCGGGGCGGTCCCGTTCGAATGTCTGGTGTATCAGTATTGTTGTTTCTGCTGGTGCTGTTGTGGTTGCTGTCGTTCCTGTCGTCCTTGTTGTTCTTATTCTGGTTGGGTTTGTCGTTGTCCTTCAGCGACATCCCTCCGCCGCCCGCCCCTGGCTTTCCCACCTTCTGTCTCCTCACGATCCATTTGCCCCTCCTCTTCAAGAAAGTCTCCAGATCGGACTTCATGCCTTGAGTATACTGGTGGTTGCGACCAAGCATTCGGACCCGGCCTTCCAAGACGCGCCAGTACAGGGACTCGGCGACATCCATCTGCCCACGTCCTTCATGCATGATCGCCAACAGACGAATGCTCTCCAGCCGGCGTGGATGGTTATGGCCCAACGTCTCGCGCGCATTGGCGATGGCTTGCTCCAAGACGTGAATGGCTTCGTCGATCCGGCCTTGTCGTTCGAGTGCACGGTGGAGGTTGGTCAATGCCGAGATGGACTGAAGATGCCGCGCACCGAGATTGACGCAGGACAACTCATAGACCTTGCGCAAGACCAGTTCGGCTTGCTCGACCTGCCGTTCCACATTCAGCATATACCCGTAACAATACAGCGACGCTATGGATCGTGGATCCGTGGTTCCGTGCCGTTGCACAAATTGAGTATGTAAGTGGTCCAACGTCGAACTCGTGATGTCGCGGTCTCGCATGTTCAGGTCGGCCACGTACACCATCCACCGAACAATGGTGGTCAAGGGATCGTCAGGCCCGAGCACGCGCTCCGCCACGTTATATGCCGAGCAGATGATGGTTCTGGATATGACGCCCTGGTCGTGGATGTGTAGAATCTGCAGCGTCTGGGTGAGGGCGAGTAAGACCTTGGGATCTTGGTGCGGAGTCAGCATTTTCTCGAATTCGGCGTCGGCGTCGGCCAGGCTGATTCGCGATAAGGCGTCATTGCCACGACTCAGGTAGATGCACGCCGCGAAACATCGCGCCACCCATCTCCAGGAGTGCTCGTGTCCACGAGACGATGCTGGTACCGAAAGGATGGCCCCGCTGGTTTCGTTGAGAATGTTTCGTGGCTGGCGGGCAGGGAGTTCGAGGTTCGGCAGGCTGATGAAATGGTCTCGGGTGAGATCATGACACGTCGGACAAATCACCTCGTAGTCTTCCATGTCGGTCGAAGACGTGTCACTCATCAACCGCCAGGATCGAATGTCGTCGTGTCCGCAGAGCGACTTTAGCGGGGGTGCATCGACCACTTGAAGTGCCATGTATTCAACATCTCGGCCGAGTCGCTGGCAAGTGATACTGGGACTGATATCTTGGTCGCTCGAAGCAGGTTGGTCCTCATCTCGCAACGTCAGCTTGGGCGGATTGAGGAGCGGGGATGACTCGAACGGCGTCGGTCGAGACGACCACGCAATGGCAGGAATAGCTTTCGACATGGCACTGTCTTTGGCTGGTGAAAGGTAGGAACAATGGGATTGGGTTGCTGACGGTGTCAAGTGCATCATCGAAGAGGAGGATACGAAGATGGAGCCCGGCGAGGCATGATCGCTGGGTGATGGGTGATTAGGCGAAGGTGTATATGTATGTGTATGGGACAAGACGCAAGATGAGCCCGACGCTGATGACCCGGACGGCACCGACTCTGTCCACGATGTCAGATCCGTGGGTGTCAACAGGTCGTCGTAACTGAGGGTGTCGAGCTCAGGCTCCGGCGTATATGCTCGGACGTGAGCATACTGGACCGGTGGTTGCTGCTGGTCCCTGTAGTCGACGGTTTTGAGCGCCGATGCTAGGAAGTCTTCTTCGGACATCTTCCGGCCTTTGATGTACTTGTGCAAGTCCCGGAGCGTTCGCTTGTGGCCATGGATCATGAAGGCGGTGCTTGCTTTACCCTTCTTGTAGCGGTGGTGGCTCAACACCGCGCATATTTGATAGTCTCGGTCGGAATAGTTCTTGCTGATTCCCCACTGCGATAGCCGGGCTTTGAACATGCGCTCACTGTGTCATCAAACAGCAGAAGGAAAGTCAAGTCAGCCCAGCATTCACAACGCGGTAGCACGTCCGTGGAAGGGGAATCAACAAAGGGATCCGAGGGGACTTCGGGTGCGGACATGGCCAACGTACGTCGCGCGAAAGCCGTACTGTTGCTCCAAGATCCTCTTCACATCTCTCAACGGCTTCTTCTCGTACAGGACCCGGATCACCTCCTTCACCGCTTGCCACTGAGCGGCAGCGGGGCCTTCGCGCGCCTCAAGGTGAGAAGGAGTAGGCGCGGGAGTTGGCTTGGCCCTCCATTGCTCCGATGTCGAGGTCGCCGGGCTCGAGGACATTGACTCGAGGTTGGAATGCTCTCTGTTTCAACGATCATCACTGCCTAAAGTGAAGGGCGGGATGGAAGAGCACCTGTAGCTGCCTGTCCCAGCTCTGAAGCAGTAGGCTCGGCCGACACTCGCCTTGCCTGGCGGCAACCTAAGGGTCTGACAAGGCGGACGAAGTAATATTGTTTGCCTGGCGAGAGCCGGCTCATCACCTGAAAGCCCCTAGGACCCCCTTGTAGGGAGAGGAGGGGTGTGTGAACCTCTCTGGGCGATGGGTGATGGGCGATGTTGGCCGATGGACGATGGTTGGGTCGTGGTCATCATAGTAGGCTCGTTTCCCACTGTGTCGTGGCCCTCGTGAGACATGCATCTCTGCGTGACAGGTGTGGTCTATTAGCTTGGTGCATATGCAAAGTCCCTTATGTTGTCCAATCATTCCCATGGCCTAGACTCTGTGGCGCTGGCCTCAAGGCCTGGTCGACAACGACTCCAAGAGGTAAGATTGCGGCCGTCAAGGGCTCAGGTTCAGGTTCAGGTTCAGGCCCCTCCGCCTTCTGGAACCGGTCACGGTCCAAGAGCATGGTCCCGGGCTTTCAGGGATCGGATAGTCAAGGCAATGTATATCTGGCATGCCCTAGACGACCATCTTTGTTGCGTCCACTCTCGCTCCATCACTATCCATTATCGTGGACCCGAGAACAGCTGGGAGGGAGATCAGAGAATGCCTTGTTCACCCGAGACCCTGGTTCACGGCTGGCTCAACCTTTCTCCTTCTCTGCTTATCATATGATACTAGTTCACGTACCCAGTACTGCTGTCCAGCCAGCTCACAAGGCGCCACACGCCTAGTCGATGGTTCGTTGGGCCGACACAAGCCATCGACCATTGGACACCGAATGGTGAATGGGAGTGTGCCGCGTGTCAATCCTCTGACCACAACAAGGCAGTATAAGTAGGTTTTCGTAATCAATGCAGTGATGCTGAATGACCTCCAAAAGTGGAAAGAGACACTATGTCCGTTGATCCAGGAGAAGGTGCGATGGAGAGAGAAATGCTGCACTGTAACGACATGTCTAGAGCGGTGCCTCAATCTGCAGCTGAGGTATATATATATATATATCATAACTCTCCCTGCTTGTCCAGTTCAAACAGTGACCTGACACGCCTCCTTTTTGATCTCAGCCATATACCAGTCCCTCTTGGATTGTACAGCACACGAAGGCGTGAATCACAATGTATTGTCGCCAACATACATCCAGCAATCGTCCCCTCTATCAACAAGGTTTCCGGCCCGTCCAACTAAAGTCAACACCAACCTCATCGGACTTGGACTGACATGATTGATATAGTCAGACATTTTACCAGGAAGACTATTTCCCACGCTTCTGCTGAGCACTCTGTCATCCCTCCAAAGACCCAGATATGACGGCCGCGCAGGATCTCCAGGACCGCTATAGAGACATTCCCGCGACGGTGGGAATGATCATGCCCTCGACATGAGTACACGAAAGCGTAGATCGTGAGAGTCGGGTGGGAACAGGGTTACTGGGAGTCGGTATCTGTCAAACAGTGGTAGGACTAACGGCCTCGAGGATATAAAGGGCCCGTACCGGCGTGGAGAATGGATGTCCATATCAGGAAGCGAGCCTGGGCTAGGTTGTTGAGCCCTTCCACATATGACCGTCTTGCCCTTGGGCGCTGATGTCCCTGCACAAAGTAGACCATCCGGAGAAACTAGGTTGTCCTCCTTCCATCCAGAACTACTACTCTCTATGACTTGGCCGTCGCTTCATATCTTCATAACTTGAACGCCTTCGAGTCTGAGAACGGTACGATCGGTCAGGCTCTTCTCCAGGAGGTAGTGAGGTCATGTCCGTATGCTCGATTGTGCTTGGCTTGCTATCCTGGTCAAACGTATCAGGATCGGGCTGCTCTGGCGCATGAGGTCGCGGCGGCCCCTTTGTATTGGATTGCTCGTACGGTGGAGGAGGATAGTCGAGGGCTGTTGGTCTGGACGCTGTAGAATAAGTAAGACTGCCATAAGGGTTGGGCATGTATGTTGCTATGCCAGCCATAGGTGAATTCGCGGTGTAAGACGTCGATGCCATTGTGTTGTAAATGTTGTAAGTTTCCTGCGCCGAGCCCGGCCTCGACGAATTCGGGTAGTAGGCAACCGGGGGCCTCTGATATGGATGAGGCTGAGAAGACTGATATGTCCCATACTGAGCAGAGACGCCACGCACGCTCGGCTGCGGACCGGAGGGTCTTTCCCCTCGATAACCCTGAGTTGGCTCGCCCGAGGATGTCCGTTGTTGCTGTCTTGCTGCTGGTCGAGTCGTCCCGCCCTCGGATGCTCCTTGACGGGCGCGTCGCTTCGCTGTATCTGACTCTGAATATCGATACGGATGCTTGCGGAATATTTCTGAACCGGCGTCAACAAGGTATATCCGTCCATCCCCCGAGAGAATGGTTCATACTGCTCTGTGTTTCCAAGTCCCAATCTTTTGAGTCATTGATAATATCGCGGAGGCTGACCTGGAGCACAGATCAGTTCTCGGTGCAATCCGGACGACTATGTTGGGGTGGAGCTCACGGCATTGAGGGTTTTCTTTGCGAGAACATTAAAGCCCGTCCGTGTTTTGTCCTAGCAAGCCATCAATTACCTCTCTTTTTTATCACAATGCCCCGCCGAAACTCACTCACAGTTGGATGATGGCTCGATGTAATCTTCGCCGTCCTGTCGACATATTGGATGATGTATTCCACAAGCACCTCAGCATTAATTCCCTCGCCGGGGATGAAGAAATGGATCGATTGGAGCTCTTCCTCGCTCTCGTCGGAGTCACTTGGTTCGTCCCGCTTTTGTTTCTTCCCCGAGCGAGAGCCTTGCCCGACCATGGTTGTGGTGGGACGACAGCGTGAGATTCGAAGCAACAATCACGAGAAAGGCTGTTGCAGGCAGCGGTGATCCAGCTGGTGAATGGCCTTGGCCGCACCGCAGACTGTCGATTCGAAGAATAGGGTAAGGCTAGATCGAATGAGCATGCTTGAAAGGATGACGCAGATCCAGACCTGATGGAACCAGAGTGGGCATCAATTCAGGTCACGAGAACGGACAGATGGCAGTCAGGATCACTCGATCAGTCAGAATACCAACTGCGCCAGTGACCGATGCATTGCGGTGTAGGTAGCCACGTAGGCAGAATTGGGCCGTAACGGGCGACACCTAGGCATGTACAGTAATAGGTAAATGGTAGGTGAGATGGCGAGCTCTCAAGTTGGAGTAGTTCAGGCGAAAATCAGGCGAAGTTCGCGTTAGTGGGCGTCAACCGACGACAGAAGGAGGAGGCCACTTGAAGCCGGTCAGTACAGTCAGGTAGCGAGCGAGCTGGAGGGAGAGGGAAGTGAAGGGATGCGAACACATGATTGTGTTCTTACCGCGGGCACACTGTGTTGTCTACCCCGCGACCTCCCAACGAGCCTACTGACCTTATTTCACAGCCTAACTTGCGTCCGATGGGGCGTTGTTCGATAGAAATCAAGACCTGTCGAGTCGAAAGATTGGAGGTTGGCGCCAGGAAGAAGCACAAAGTGTACGACCAATCCGTCCACTGGAATAGAGGGAGGATCGTGGAGAGGCCCCCAAGATCTGATAGATTCCTCCAACTCGAGATACCAGAGTTGCTCCGTATATCGAGGAACGTTGGGCAGGCGCCGGGTGCCAGCGCCAGTGCCAGTGTCGGATTTGTTTTGTTGTTTGTTGGCAGCAAAAAAGGCGTCAAAAGGCAACCAAAGCAGGGCGTTCTCCAGGCAGGAGGCGCAGTCAGAATGGCTCACATCCAATGTCCCCGAAGGGCTGAGTCTGCCTTGGCTCGTTCTTCTGCAGCGCCAGGGGGCAGATGCTCGGGTTCGTTGGCCAGTCAAAGCGCGCATCGGGGTGACCATCCAGCAAGCCATCATCGATATGTTTGAGATATAAAGGATGTGATCCTCGCTCCCCTCGGCCACTTGGAATGTCAAACCCCTGAGAGAGGGTCATCTATTGCACATGCCACGCAGCAGCAGCAGAATGATCGAGCGCAGCAGAAGAGTGAGAGTGAGACAGTGACTTGAATTCGAACTTGAACGGTGCTTGTCGTCGTCGTCGCGTCGAAACAAGGTTGTCTCCATCCCATCGGCCCGCCAGGGAACTAAATCTTTATCTTGACCGATGTCAAACACGTTAGCAAGAACTGGAGACTGTCCACAACTCCATGTCAATTCCCTTGCCTGCTCACGGCCAACCCTTAGCAATCTGCTGGATAATCTGGATTCGATGCAGCAACTACAGATATGTACATGGCGATGGGATCACAGATGGCTTGGTCACAGAATCGTTTGGGCTAGTGACACCACGATCACAGCCGCAAGAACTTTCCAGCCTACGGAGTTGGGCAACCAGGAGGAAGCTGCCGACTTGTGACCTTCCGACTCTCCGCCTTCGCCTTCGCCTTCGCCACGGCCACGGCCACCAGATCCTCTTATTATGCCACCGTCTTCGATACCAGTTCCTGGAGCAATACTGTCTGCCTGTGAGGTGGGCAACTGGAAGATAATGTTCCGAGTCAGTGGGAAATCCGTCTCGATCGTGACAACCTGAGTGTTATTGTCATAGCTGTACACCGCATAAGGGCTGATTCCAGTCGGCGCTGTAGTCACACCGCACAGACTGATCCTCTCGATGCTGACATTTGCGGCATAGCAGTACTCTCCTGTTATTGTAAACAATCCATTGTTGTAGGTGAAGTTGATGACCGTTATGCTTGGCTGCTCAATGCTCAATCCGTCGTCAAGGTACAGCGAGCCATGGGCTTTTCCGTCGATTCCGGGGGCAATCACGATGTGGAAACCCTTGTTGCGCAGCTCCGTGGTCGTGTTGGCGCTCTCGACCCTCAAAGGCAGAATACTCCCTCCCCGTATATGTAGAGGGATGGTGGTGAAGTTGACGTCGGAAAGTGTGACCACGGAGGCATTCCCTCTTACGGGAGCACAGCCATTATTCCAATCATAGAAAACGTCGTCGGGTAGGTAGATGTCCACCGAGGTGCTGTTCTCTTTGGTGACTGGAGATACCAAGATCGAGTCGCCATAAAAGTATTGTGCATCAATGCCAAAGGTTCTGGTGTCGTGAGGGTAGATGTAGAACATGGGGTTGAGAAGAGGCTTGCCAGTCTGTGTCTGAATGTAGAAGGCCGTGTAGAGATAGTCTAGCGTTCGATATCTGATGTCAATGGCCTTGCGCGAAGCCTCTGCAACTGTCGGCCACCGGTAGGCCTCTTGAGAGATACTGCCGAGTCTGTGAAGGAGTTCAGATCATCCACTAGTCGCGGGAGCATCATGAAGCACATACTCGTTGTGGTTGCGATAAAAGCTTTGGAATGCCCCAAGCATCATCCATCTGGCACAGAGAGTCTCGGTGGTGTTTCCAGAAAACCCACAAACATCTGGAGGAAGTGGTCAACCAAGGAGTAGGAGGGTTCGAGATTATACATACCGGAGCCCACCATTGGCACCTGGAAAATGGATGCAAAATTCAACATGTCGGAGATACTGATCTCATATTTGGCCCAGTTGGCAACGTTGTCTCCAGTCCAATGGCCAACATGGGCACCTGCACCGAGATATGTGCTTCGCGTTATGACCAATGGGCGCTCGCCCGGCCGACGGTTGAGGAGTGCGTTGCGGGAAGCCGTCGACATCAACGTTCCATACATGTTGTGCGTATCATACTCCACGAGACCATTGTAATGGACAAGGTCCGTGTTCAAGGTCTTGTTCGACAGGCTCCCTGCAGCGTTGCGGATTTGGTATGGAGGGTCGATCAGCTCTCGACCAGAGAGGCCCAACATGCTGCCAGTGGCCGTATCTTGCCGCTTAGCGTTTGCAGTTGGTTGGAAGTCTGGGGGAAATCCTGGAAGAGTGATTGTAGAGTCGTTTCTCACGGGCGGTGCCTCGGGAGGGAAGCCATTTTCCTCGGCATATGCGCTCGCGTTGGAGCACGGATAGTTGCAAAAGCTTCGTGAAAATTAGCTTCTGGGAGCAGACGAGAGGGACACATGGATGATACTTTGATGCCTCATTCATGTCAATCCACAGACCTGAAATGTCAGCGCCCCTCTGCGGACTGAAAAAGGTTTCGAATTCGATATTCCAATACTCCTGAACGGCAGGGTGAAACCAGTCTGGGAAGACGGTCGTCCCCGGCCAGACGACCCCTTGAAAGAGAGAGCCATCAGGATTCTTCATGAAAATGTCCCGGTCTCTGCCAATGTTAAAGGCAGGATAATCTTGGTACGCCACTGCTGGATCCACCATCACGATGTAGTGTTGTTGGTGTGCTTGCAGATACGCCACCAACTCCCGCACTTTAGGCAGGGGGAACCGGTCCGGATCCAAGGTGAAGACCTTGCGGGCGTCCATGTAATCAATGTCAGTCCACATGGTCTCAAGAGGGATGTTAGCCTGGCTGTAATTGTAGACCACCTCAGCCACTTCATACACATCTCGATAGCCATATCTGCAGTTGTGAAATCCGAAAGCCCAGTAAGCCATCATCGCAGGCTTACCAACGACTTCCGAGATTTGCTGAGAGACCTCAATAGGCGAGGGTCCGGCCAAGAAGTAAAAGTCGAGAACTCCGCCCAAGGTGTTATACTCAAGGTATTGGCCATCAGTGTCGTTGATTTTGATATCCATCCCGTTGGAGTTGAGAAAGAGGACGCCATGGGTGCCATTTCCGCCTCGATGTTCAATGTAGACAGGATGATTCCCGTACAGATTCGTGCCCTGCGGAATGCTATACGCGTCTCGAGACCATAGGGTTCTGGTGTAATTTGATGTGTTCAACCGAAAGTGATCCGAATGTTCACCAAGACCATAAAGGTTTGGCTGATCGGGCAAAGAAGTTCTGAGGCGGAGATATTGTGACTCAAAGATCATCGGCGAGCCCGATGTATTGAACAAGACCTCTCCTCCCAGGCGTGACACGGCAAACCCGAAAGGGTTCTCTGTGTAATTGAACTGCAATTGTGAGTGTGATACTGAGACCGTGTTTGTGGCATTAGGTCGTGGAACAACGGATTCGGGGACTTGATAGACAGTTTTGTTTTGATCCTGAACAATAACATGTAGTCTTGTTTCTAGAAGAGTCAGTGGATAGGCAGCATCTACGGTCCTTGGCCTATAATACCCGACTGATATTCGACTGTAAGTGTCAAGTTGGGCAAATCCATGCCGTATATGTTACACGCCGGCCCGGCCAGATATAGATCAGCCGTCAAGCCATGCTCGGTTTGCTCGACATTGCTTGCAGCATAACCTGGACAACGGGTCCGAGCGATGACCAGTCTGGCGGCCCAGAGACAGACGAAAAGTGAGTTCAGAAACATGATGCAAAAAGACAACAGGCGTCGACCGCAAGGACGCAGCCAGAAGCAGTGGAAAAGAAGACGATTAGAAAACGAAGAAAGGCTGAGGGCATCAAGGAGTGCATTCAGATCCGGAACATGTAGTATACCATAGTAACATTGACTTACATGTTGTGTCACCAGGTGACGCGTCGTACGCATCGACAAATGACTTTGCGGACGGTGAAGAGCAACCCAACCAAGTCATCGGAACTGGAGTAAGCGATACTTTCCCCGCAACATGGGTTTTATATGCAGTATTCAACTGGCGAATCTGCGGGCGGAGGCCAAGTCACCGGAGCAGGGCATGTCAGGCGTTGTGGCGCAAACCCAATAACAACGAATCGGCCCCTGACCACTTCTATACCAGCGATCCTTGTTCTGCCGTGAGCAAAGCTTCGAGACAGGGGAAGAAATGAGGAGAAGCTGTGACGGAGTGACGTTGGAGTTGTTGCCTAGCTGCCACATTCACGCACAGCTTGATACTAGGAACCTGGTAGATGGGCTGGGAGCTCTGCTGGGCTTGTCTGCAAACATAATCCGGAGTGTATACACCAGAATTATCATCGGCTCTGATGGTGGTCAATGGCAGACTTGATATTGAGAAAGTGAATAGGGGAATGAATGGATGGCCTGGCATGATTGATCGGGAAAAGGAGAAGCTGGGCTCGCACGTGACTTGTAATATCTAATCTCTTGCACGTGATTGATATTTTGCACGTGACCACTCCGATAACTTCACCCTCCTTGATACTTCCACCATTCAACACACATCTTCCATTTCCAAGTTCCCGAGCTGCCGCCCGCTTCAAGTTGATCAATATATCAGCTTGCCTCGCAAGCATGTATGACGCCAAGAACATTCGGACAGCCTGAGCTCCATCGCGACCTCTTCGCCCGCGTCCTATCGAATGCTAAGACTCTGGGCAACTCTCGCACTGGTCAAATAGCTTCAACTCCAGCCCGCCTTCTGAATGAGGAAGGTCAGAAATTGATAAGGTGAGGTGGGCATCTCCCCGCCCAGCATTCCGGTGACGGGTGTTCGGTGAAGGCTTCCACTCTTGGACCCTCTCGTCATAACGAAGGCCACACTGATGGATATATACGTACTGTGAGCCAGTCCTCGGGATATACATCTAGAGCATGACTTCGAACCGTCGGCAGCAACGGTAAGCGAACGGTTCGGCGCTGGAATAGATCTCAAGTACACCTCACACGACACTACAACTGTGAACACCATAGCCGGAGACATTGTCCTTCAGTGAGAGAGAGAGAGAGAGAGAGAGAAAGGAAACCATGCACTTCGCAAGGCTCCTATCGCTGTCGCTCCTCCCAGCGATAGCATATACACAACAAGCGCCGATAGATGTGCGGGAAGCGACCATCTCAAGTCTCCACGGCCCACTATACTCCGGACTCACGACATGTCGGGAGATCGTGAGCGCATTCATAGCCCGGGTTGAGCGCTTCAATCCCGACGTGAACGCAATCATCACTCTGAATCCCGAAGCGCTCGACATCGCCAACAGCCTGGACGAGGCTCTGTCCCAGGGCAATGCCACCGGTCCGTTATTCTGCATCCCGATCCTGCTGAAAGACAACTACGATGCCGTGCCCATGCCGACGACGGGCGGGTGTCTGGCACTGAACGGCTCCACGCCGACGCACGACAGCCCGGCCGCGCTGGCGCTGCGGCGCGCGGGGGCCGTGATTTTGGGGAAATCGAACCTGCACGAACTGGCGCTCGAGGGCATATCGGTGTCCAGCCTAGGCGGCCAGACGTTGAACCCGTACGACCATTCACGCACACCGGGCGGCAGTTCCGGCGGGACGGGCGCGGCGGTTGCGTCGTCGTTCGCCGTGTTCGGCACGGGCACCGACACGGTCAATTCGCTGCGCAGCCCGGCGAGCGCCAACAGCCTGTTCAGCTTCCGGCCGACACGGGGCCTGATTTCGCGCGCCGGCGTCATCCCCATCTCATATACGCAGGACACGGTCGGTGCGATCGCAAGATGTCTGGCGGACCTCGCGACCGCGCTGACCGTCATGGCCGGTATCGGCTACGACGCAGCCGACAACGCGACGTCCGCGCAACCGCCCACGGTCGCGGGCACAGACTATACGACGTACGTGACGCCCGCGGGTACAACCAGTCTCGTCGGCACACGCGTCGGCGTGCTCGAGGGCTTCTTCAACCGCACCAGCACCAACGAGACCGACCCTGTGAACGAGGCCATGAACAATGTCGTCTCCGTGCTCCGCGCGCAGGGCGCCACCGTGGTCACCATCACCGACACAGCCACGTACAACGCGACGGCGATCAGCGCGCAGATGGACGTCCAGCAACTCGAATACCGCGAACTGCTCAGCGGCTATCTCTCCTCGCCGAACCTGACGGGCGCCCGACCGCAGACCATGCCCGAGCTGTACAGCACGCCCGACGAATTCCTCGTCATCCCCGCCCAGTACTCGTACGTCGAAACCGCCGTCCGCTCGTCCACTTCCAACAGCAGCTACAGCAGCAAACAGACTCTGATCGCGAACTTGACTCGCGCCCTGTACGCCACCATCGTCTCCAACAATCTCGACTGTCTCGTCTATCCGGAACAGAAGAACCTGGTCGTCCCCGTCGGCTCGGCGTCGCAGTCCGGCCGAAACGGCATCCTCGCAGCCCTGACCGGCAGCCCCGTCATCACAATGCCCATCGGGTTCTCGCCATCCACTGCATCGGCCCCGATCGGGATTCCCATCGGAATGGAGATTCTCGGTCTGCCGTGGACCGAGGGGCCCTTGCTCCGCATAGCCAAGGGTATTGATGACCGCTTACACGCACGGAAGATGCCCGTGACCAACGGAATGAATGAGACTGTCGAGGTCACGGCAGCGTATACCCAGGTTCCGCGCATCACGCCGTTGAGGAACATCCCCAGTGCTTATCCTTTGGGCGTGTACTGAGCTCAACCACGGTCGAACATGTAGAATTTGCGGGAGAAAAAGTGTATACCATTCATTACAGGTTGACGAGTGCATCCTGCTAGTCCTACCATGCACGGTGCTATACAGAACAGACCCTTGCTTAGGCATGAAATTACCCAGACAATCGTGAAGTACACATCCTCCCTCGATCTTTTCACATGCATAAGGTAGTCATTACCTCTTCAGTCGTCTCTTTGGTACCTGAGTGATCAATCCCGCATCCAAGTGGTCAAGGCCGAGCCGGAAAGGATATATATAGGCGAGATCCTTTTCACATATCAGAAGATCATATCCTGGCAAGTCTAGCCTCATTCCACAATCCCATACCTATACTTGATAGAGCACGCCTGTTCGATCGCCTGTCAACACTGCTCGCAAGGATATTTTGGTAGATCGCGTCATCATCAGGTATTTTTAGTTCATTCAATCATAGGTATATCTCATTCAATCATTCATCTGTATATCCACATTTGCTGTCACGACGCAGAGGGCCCCGAGGGTGATGTTTCAACATTTGTGGAAGATGCCGCCCTCTTGGCCTTCAACTGCTCCTCCAGCAAGCTCTGCTTTTTGACATATTCCATCACGATTTCCTCCTCGGTCTTCTGCTTACTCGCACTTTCCTGGCGGATCAGCTCATCTTGTTTGGATGCAGTAATGGCTCGTCTTAGCTCTTCATCCGTATCACTCTCAACGGCTTCCTCATCAGCCTTTTCATTGAGATCGCCATCCCCACGACCACTCCCGGTGGATGCGGTGGTGGCGGTCGTCGTCGGCGTCAAGACCAACCCTTGTCCTGTCAGGTCTTTCTTCTTCTGCTCGTTCTCGGTGTGGAGTCGTTTACTCTCCTCGATCACGCGTTTGAAGTCCTCATCATAATCCGTGTCGACACCGGAGTCGCTGCCGCTGCCGCCGCCACCACCAGCAGCCCTGGCAGTCACACTCTTTTGCCGTGCGAACTGTGCAGCTTTGAACTCTTTCAAGCTCTGTCTCAGCACTCTTTCGAGTTCGTGGTCATCCTCTGTCAGTTCTTGCGGTGCGGTGGACGTCGGCACCACACCAGTCTCTTGGGCTTCCTCCGCTTGTTCGGTTTGTGCCTTCTTGAACTCCTGCATACTCGCTTTGATCGCGGAGTTGTAGGCTGCATCCTCGTCCGTTTCGGCACTTTGACCCGCTGCATGCAACTCACGCAGGCTTGCACGTAGAGCTCTTTCGATGACGGCGTCCTCGTCTGGGTTGCCCTTGCTCGTTGCCCCAATCGAGGTCTGGATAGCTTGCTCATAGTCATGAGTCGCGGTCCCAAGATCTCCTCCAGATCGAGACTGGGTAGAGGTGGGTGCCGAGGGCATGCTCAAAACAGAGTTGCTGTACTCGGCGTGGTGACTGCTGTCATGGTCAAAGGGACAGAACTTGCACCGACTCTTGACCTTGCCCGAGCGATTTGCCTCCGTCCTCTTGATCTCCTTCTCACGCTGTTGCAGGTCTTTCTGCTCTTTTCGGAGTCGGTCCCTTTGCTCAGAAAGGGCTTTCCGTTGGTCCCAGCTCAGATGCCTCGTATGTTTGAAGCCACTGAGCAATTCGGGGGAATCACTCTGAGTCTCCGTCGGAACCTGACTGCTGGTGGCTTCCTTACGCTCATTCCCATAGAGCTTTCCTCCTTTGCGTATTTCAAGTTTACTGTCCTTCCAAGCAGACACGATCTGGGCCCTCTCCTCCGGGGTGCTGCTCTTCCATTCATCATAGCCTTGTGCAACTCGGGCAGCAATAATATAGTTCTGCACTGAGCTGCCAAAATACTTGGCCACCTCGGCGTAGATACCCTTCGCTGTGTAACCTGGAAGTCCCCAGATACCTGCACCAGGCTTGAGAATCAGGCCCCCAAAGCCTTTGGCAGCGCCCTTGAAGAACCCGGCAGGGCCCTCCTTCTTGGCACCAGCCAGGGGATGAGTGACTAGTCCAGTAATGCCATCGTAGAATCCATATCCAAATTCCCTCCCTGCGACCTTCAAGCCTGAGCGGAGATCGACGATTTTCTCATTTCGCCGGACTGTCTCATCGCCATATAGCTTCGGTGCGTTGTGAAAGCCCTTGGCCAAAGACAATGTAAAGTCCAAAGGCGATTTCATGCCAGCCGAAACTATGGTTCCTACGGCTTTGGCGCCTTGCAATGCTGTCTCCAGTGAGACTTGTCCCACCTCCTCGCCTGGACAAGGAGTGCGATCACCTCCGGCATGCGGTAAAGGCGACCCTGGCCGAGATTGCTGTGACGCTGACCCAGATTGTTGTGACCACGTGCGATGGTGTTGCCCGTCGCTCCGTGTTGACCCATCTGGTGACAGTACTGTTGAGATGGAGGACACTCTCGAAGTAGACGCGCCTGCATCCTGGGCTCCTGTGGCGGATGGGTCAGGGGTTGTAGCGGGACTCTGTGCCGGTGTCGACGTCTCTGCAGTTGACTGCTCGTCCTGAACAGCGTCAGGCCCTGAAGAAAGTACAGGGGTCGAAGTTTCGTCGGACACCTTTCTCTTCTCGTGGATGTCCTTGACCTCACCAGAAGCGCTCTTGAGAGATCTCAAAAGCTCCACAGGAAAATCTGCGACACCCATGGAGAGATTGCCTATTGTACCAATTAGTGCTGCGGCGCCACCGGATATTGGTTCCCAAGGACCCTCCTCGGTCTCATATTCTCGGGGGCGGTAGAGCTTCAAGTCGGAGAAGTCTAACAGACCCTCGGTGCCCAGCACCGTGGCTGCAAGAGGCGACAAACGGATGTCTGTTCGCTTGACACGCCAAACAGCTGTGCGAGTAGGAGCCAAAGAACATCTGATATCCGACAGGTGAATTTGCTTATGAAACGAGGCGGCTCCAGCACCTGTACCGTCATCTGCTTGGATTTTCAAGCTCAACTCTTGCGCACGCTCAAACGACTCCGGCTTCAATGCTTCCGTGATCGAGGCGGCAAGTTTTTCGGCCGTCAGATTCTTGTATGCAATGGGCGCAGGGCCTGCTCCAGCTCTGGCTACCATAGCGCCCCAGAATGGCTGATCGCCGAAAAAGGGGACCACAACGGTGGGTCTACCGGCCAGGATACCGGCGGCAGTGGTACCAGCACCCCCGTGGTGAACAACACACGAAACGTGCTTGAACAGCCAGTCGTGAGGGCAATTGCCCAACATAAAGACACCTTCCGGGATGCCCACTTCGTCAGCTCCCAAGCCACCCCACCCTTTGGAGATGATTGCTCGCTGTCCTGTCTTCTTGACAGCCTCGAAGATCATCTTGGTCATAGCATTTGGGTCGTCAACCACGATTGACCCAAATCCAATGTACACAGGAGGAGGGCCAGCGGCCAGATAATCCGCCAATTCCTGCGGCGGGGTGTAGCTTGTAGATAGGTTCAGGAAAAAGAAGCCCGAGATATCTATGTGGTCGCCCCAGTCCGCCGGTTTCGGGATCAGAGCTGGCGACCAACAATAAGTCCAAGGTATCCTCAGTCGACTTATCATGCCTGGAGCCCACATGATACTGACTGGCTCCAAGCCAAGGCTGTGCTCACGAAATCGGTTTATGACATCGCCCAGTCCTTGCCAGGTGAGCATGTCTACCAAGGCGTAGGTAATGAAGTTGGCCATGTTGGGGTCGGTGTTTGAGGAGATGATGTTAGCAAGTGGATGGGGAAAAGACTGGGTAGGCGACCAGGGCATGGTGAACATCAGATGCAGAGGTATGCCCAATTTCTCTGCGATGTGGACGTGGGCAAAGCTGGGTGGATTGGCAATGATAGCGTCTGCCACGAAAGGCTTCTGTGAAGGATCAGTACTCAAGGAAATGGCACTGTCGAAACTGCGAGTATCCATGTTGTCGTCCGTAATCTGGACGCCAGTGCCATCGCCAGCTTCAATGCATGATCTCCAGCAACCTGTGATGATTTCGTAAATACCCCTCCTTCTCTTTCCGACGTCGCCACTCTTTAGCGAGTCCCAGCCTGGCATAAGGCCCGGGTTCTTGACCATAAACGCCATCAGCTCGGCGGGATCTCCTCCAATGCTGAAGAATTCCAAACCGTTTTCAATGACAAACTCTTTGAATGTAGGATGAGTGGCAATCCTGACTCGGTGGTTGTATTTGTTCTTCAGCACTTGACCCAATGCCACAAACGGCTGGACATCTCCCCTGCTACCCACAATCTGAATGACAATGTTCATGGGAGGTGGGGGGAGCCCCTCTGTCTCTCCCAGACCTTCTGGAACGGGAGGCTCCCCAGCAGCTTTCTGTCTCTGGAGTTCGAGCTGGTGACGAAGGGCAGGTATAAGAAGGTTCGTGAGCTTGCGACTGCGCTGATTGATCTTGATGTTCACTCTGCCATCGCTACCGACTCGTGCTCCGGTGTCCAGACCATTCTGGCTAATATCCAATTGTCCATACTCTGCACTATTGTAGGCCGGGGGAGGCACCTCCTCTAGGCGAGGAGAAACACCACTATGATGCCGGACATGGCCCTCCGGCGTCGATGTGGCGGGATGTGTGTTCTCCTCGTCTTCCAAGGCAGCAGCAGCGGCTGCTCCAGCTTCTTGGATGAGGATGGGAGGGATCGCGGGCAACTCTTCGAGTTGGGCGGAGGGAGGATCTGGGGAAGACATTCTTGTGGCTCCTACAACATCAGAGTGAGAATGGTTAGGTAGTAGTAGGCTGACCAGGTCATGTAGGAGCGAAGACCAGCTGAGCGGTAGTGAGTAAGGAGCGATGTATGAATACGAGAGTTGCCAGGCCGCGGCACAATGTGTGACGATACTAGTATGTGACAGAGGGTCACCACGAAGTCAATTGATCACTGATAATGGTATGACGATTGTCATGACCGAGAAGGATGGTCGTGGGAGCGATGACGAGGCAACATGTCTGGAACAATATTGCTGCAATATCAAGAGGTTCACATAGTAATATGATACTCCTGGGGATACCTATATGGCTACAGGAAGTGCGTAGGTATTAACAGGCCATCGTGGCGGTCGACAACTCGAACGACGACATCGATGAGGCGCGCCAAAAACGCATCGCAGCCTGCGCCACTGCGATGTCATAGCACAACAGAAATGAAAAGCCCATTCCCGGTTTTGCCCAAGTTCCTCGATTCAAAACCTCCACTTCTCCCCTGATTCGTGCATCTTGCTTTCTGACATCTCGATGAATCAGCTCCCAACCGCAGGCATGACAGGCTACAGATGCTACAGTCAGCAACACACATACACGAAGACTCAATTTTGTTGATCAGTTCCTCCGCGTTCGTCCTGTAGTGCTACAAACGACCGACCCTGCGCCGCCTTGATTAGATCACAGATGAGATAATCTGAATCGAGCGGCATCGGTGTATTCATCGATGGTCTTTCCAGCTTCTAGCCACGCTATCCATTGTTTCGAACGTGATCTCGCCCTCTTCCGCCGCATCCCTTCTAGCGACCAGCCTAGCGATAAATCGATCTATCATCCCGACAATATGCGCCCTGCCTGAGCTTTCCGGATGCCAGATCATCCTAGTCACGCTCCCGTGTCAGCGCGAAATCCGCTTGCTAACGTTTGTAGAGCATGGGGGGAAAGTCACTCACGGGTAGACAGAACCATAGCCTTTACCAGGCTCTTCATCAAGCCAGCTTTCATTCTCCCACAGCCATTCAAATCGATCCATCCACATCTTCTCCACAAGATCCACGCCGACGTAACCTTGCGTGTTAGCCGAGTAGGGATAGAATCCGAGCTGAAAACAGTCTGTTAGTTGTGCGGGTCAAGAGTGCATCGTCTGAACGACTTACAGGGGTCATGTCTTCGGTATACCAGCTTCCCGGAATTTCCACAAGAGCCTTCTCAGCTTCCGCAGTACCGAGTGCTGGCTGCTCCGGTATGGGTGTCGGGATCATCCAGCTGCCAGCATCCTTGGAGTAGTCCGGCACATGCGGTGGCTGTCCTGGGAAGGGATTCGGCAGGAAGTAAGGGAGCGAATCGTGTGCGTTCATGCTGCTATCGTACAGAAAGCCGTGGTCCTGTAGAAGCTGGACGGTGGTTTCGCGGATTTGATACAAGGGAGCCCTGTATCCTGTAGGCGTCTTCCCACCCTTCAACTTGGTGACCAGGTCGATGCACTTCTCCAGGACGTCCTTCTCTTGCTGCACAGTCATTGCATAGGCGCCTTCATGGCTGTATCCGTGGAGTCCAATCTCTGCACCACTGTCAACGACGTCGCGCGCTTGCGCAGGAAATGTTTCCAGACTGTGGCCAGGGATGAACCAAGTCAACTTGTCGGCGATTCCGTGCTTTTTGAACAACCGCAGCAATCTGCCTACTCCCACGTTTGCGCTGAAGATGCCAGCGGAGTAGTCTGACAAGGTATTGGCCGGGTCGTGTCCAGTTCCTAGATACCCCGAGATCGCATCGAAGTCGACAGACAGGCAGATTCTTAGGCGCCTCTTCCTTCTGGGAGGGCTGAGAGATGCAGGGATCACTGTACTGCGTGAGACACCTTCGGTGGTGCTGGGCTTTGACGCGGTCCCTAGAATCTGGTCTTCTCTCCAGATGATTCGGCCTTCCATACCACCATCGACTGAGATACATTCTCCAGAGATGTGACCGGCAGCTCGGTGGCTCGCTAGAAACGCCATTGCCCGCGCGACGTCTTCGGGTTGTGCAATCTTCTTCAGGGCCACTGTGGCCTGGCATTCTGCCCACATCTCCTTGGGATCATCCAGACGGTCGCCAATCAAGGCCGTGTTCACCCATCCAGGAGCAACTGCATTGATCCGAGCCTTAGAGTTCAACCGCACGATCTCGTTCTTGACCGTGCGCACGAGGCCATATTGCAAACCTGCTTTGCCAGAGGCGTACCTATTGCCATCAGGTCAGGCCGGCCCTTGGTCGAAGATGGTCACAAGATTGAGATTTAACTGACTCTGCGTGTCCTTCCTGGCCAAACTTCCCCGTCTCGGAACCCGTGATGACAAGAGCCACATTATCGAGCTCGGCACCTTGAGCTTCCTGTGCCTTTTTCACAGACAGCAGGAAGTGCTTCACGGTCAGAAACGTGCCTCTGACATTATTGCCATTGACCTTCGACATGTCAGCAGCCCTCCACCCGTGCGGAACCAAGAAATGCTCTCGTACTTTGTCCCACAGACTTGTTTCTATCTCCCAGATTGGAGGATGCGCACTCTCGTCGGTGATCCCAGCATTGGCAATCAGGATATTTGCGGGGCCAAATTTCTTTGTCGCTGCATCGAATGCTTCGCTAATGGAAGACTCGATTGTAAGGTCGCCCTGGGTGGAAAAGAGCCTAGATGACTGCTCCGGTGTGGAGCATATCTTGGACGCATCCAATGGTCGGCGATCAAACGTCGTAACGCGGCATCCCAGATCTAGATTACCCGTTCAGACAGATTGTTCACCTCCGGTCGTGGCAACCACTGTTCTTTTGCTCACCCAGGAATTCTTTCACTGCAGCACTTCCAATTCCTCCCGCAGCGCCCGTGAGAAAGACGTGCAGTCCTTCAAGTCCAAGGAATGACTTCGGTTCTCCTGCCATGGTGTTGAAGCTGAAGAGTCCAGTACAAGCACGCGTGGCCTACGTCGTCCGATACCGTAAAGCAGTCGAACCAAGGTTTCGAGACTCATTTATATCATTCGTGATGTCGTTGGAATTGGTGGGCATGTCCGCTCAGCGAGTAGTGGACCCTGTAGGTCCGATTCCTGTATCCTCCAGCAATTGGGGGGAGCAAGTGATTTCCGCAATCAAGTCTTGCCGCCCACCAATGGTATGCGTCTCAGCGAGACCCTTGAGGCCGTTCTGGGGGTGATAGGGGCTACGGGGCTAGATAGACGTGAGCCTTGCCCCGGTTCTGCGGCCACTAGCACATTCATTGTATCTTGGTAGAGATGCCTACTAGAGAGTGGAAAACAGCCCTGTACTTCCACGTCGACCTCTGTTTGGCGGTGTGCATTTGCTTAAGATTCTCTAAGGACTGACCGAAAGAGAGAAACTTGAACTCGAAGGACATCACTGGCATTGCATGATCTGCCTAGTGCCAAGATCCTCGGCGCGGGGCGTGTGCCAGGAGCAAGATATAAACATCCAATATTCGCTGAATTTCATTCCTTCTCGCAACAACCGCACACGCTCTCCTCTATACCTCCATCGCTCCATCACCGAAGTTTCGCCCGTCTCGGTTTATCAACTATATGTTCAAAATCCCTTGGCAAGAAGCAATGGATCCACGATGGGCTGAGTTGCCCCAAGAAGTCCGGATTCTTATTCTACAAGCCCTGATGCAAGACGGCTGCTCACTGGGTCGCTTGGCCGGCAGTGTCTCGAGAGTGGCAAACAGAGCTCGAGAGGTATAATTTCGCCCGAATCAAAGTGACACCATCGCGTCTCGTCGATTTAACTTTGAAGATTCATCGCAATCGGGCTCTCGTCAAGTATATCTGGTTCTGCTTGGAGCTTGATGACTATGATTGCACCAGGTGCGCGCCTACCCCTGGAATACTCACAGAGCTGGAGTGGGAAGAGGCATTCAGTATCAACGATGCAGGTGGCTGTCCTATCACCACGGCATTTCAGAATCTGTTCTCGATTCTAAGCACATGGGATCTTCACAGCGACTTGGTACTCGACATTAGTATCTACTCGCCCAGTGACTCGAAACATTGGTTCAAATATCTGACCTTTATGCCCGATATGGCTTCAGACATACTGGGTTGTGGTCTAGAGCAGACGATATCAAACAAAGTCTACAATGATCCTCAACATGGCTGGTTTGCTGGTTTTCGAGAGTCCGCCCCTCCCACCTATGCTATCCGCAAAGTTTTCCATTCCATTATGGAGGAGGGACCGTTTGATAGTGAGCAGTTGGAGCTCCAATGGTGGGATCAGCTTCCATCGGTCCCGGCTGTAACCAGTTTACTTCTCCGGCAACAGAACCGCCGGAGATGGAAGCCGGGCTCGCTGGCACATATGTTCGCGCGTTTTCCCAGACTCCAGGAAGTCCACTACGAGCCCTGGAGGGAATGGGACATGCTACAGGGCTATACAGATAGAAGTGAGTATTGTTGCATACTAGTACCTGCCCAATTTCTTGCTCGCTCTCATTGGTATGGGTACTCCATTGCTACTAATCCGCATCCGTTATCTTGATTTCCAATATATTTTCCAGTCTATCCCACGACTCAACCATAATCTCAAGAGACTTGTGGTCTTCGAGAATTTCAATCAACAGTATCCGGCTATCATGCAGCGATTCCAGTTTGGGGAGGAATTAAGCGGCTGTGACAGTATCCGCAACCCAGCCTCAGCTGTAAGTCGGATGGTTGCACTCGCCAGCCTCAAGCTTGAGCATCTCGCAGCATCCTTCATCGTAGATGCTAGCCATTTCTTTGAGATCGAACCCTCTTGGCAGTGGCCAAATCTAACCTCGATTGCGCTTACCTCAACCCTACTTACGCCCGACAAGGATCCCGTTGAGATTGGAGTTATGCTTCAGGCAGCGGCGGCAGCGGCCAGAAAGATGCCACAACTGGAAACAATGGAGATTTGGAACGGGAGACAGGGGTTGGCGGCGCTCTTCAAGTATCAGGTGTTCCACGATATACAGGAAGCTACAATCACTTGGAGAGGTACATGGGAATTGACTATGGAATCATCGATAATCCGGGCTTGGGAAGCCGTTATATCTCGGTATGATGGTTACAGACTCAATCTGGTTCAGGAACGGCTGGATGAAGCTGCTATCAAGTCTCACGGTGATGCAATTCTCTGTCTCATGCTTTCAAGCCAGGTCATTCGGTCTATCTCGTTGCAGCAGATTCAGATGGAACAGAGATTTCTAGAGGGCGTGCCGACCTGACCTTCAAGTAGAAGTCTTGCTGGAGGTTGAAACCTTTGATTTCATTATTGGTCTATCTGGCGAGCCACCCTACAAGATAAAATGGCACCGCCAGATCTTGGTAGGGGCGCCCTTCAAAAATTCAAGAGACGGTACTAAGGTACACCTACCCGACGTCGAAGGAGAACGCCTATTGTATCAACCTTCTGGACTGCTTACCTACCAGGTAGGCACCCATATCATTTTTGCGGTGCCTCTTATTTTGTAAGCTGGCTCGCCACCCTCTCGACGTTGTGGCGGTAGATCGCCCGCCTCCTCGGCGCGGGCAAGTCCGGACACAATGGAGAAAATACCGGCAGAAACACTGAGGCTGTGCACACCGCCTGATTTGAGGGAACGGGAAACCCTGTTCTACGGCTCGACCATGTGCACAACACGTGGTGGTGTGGCATGAGAGGTGGAAACGGGTTCCTCACGCCGAGAAGAGCTGATGGAGAGATAGAGAGATAGAGAGTACTAGTAGATTGCAAAGCACATTCGGCCTGCCTAATTGATACTAGCTGGCGGAAAAGCACAAGCCCGCTCGTCATCTACTGATAACTGGCATTCTTTTCCCCTGACTCGTCGTTTCATGTCAGTTATCTCTTCTAATCACGGTAATCGTTCTATCAACATCATCTTTTGTGTCAACATCCGCAAACACCAAGGCCGTGGGAGGGTTCCGTTGTCTTGGATTCCGAAAACTCCGACCATGAAATTGGGTAGGCCCGCGAACGACCATCGAAAGTCTCTCCAGATATCTGGGATCTGGTCCTATTTGGACCATCCCTCCGGCGGATTCATGAATTACTAGTACCTAGACGGTAGTACGTAGTAGTAGTACACCATTGTGCTTGGATGGCACGATCGTATCACGGACATGTCAGCCCGGTCCCTTTTTACCTTATCAGATATCACCCTCGTCTGTCTGATATCCTAGATGTTCTTTCTTCTTGCTTCATCCTTTTGATCCAGCCTGCATCACACGATGGCTTCCACCAAGGAGAAGACGGACATCGTTCCCAACGACACCAGCACCCAGACACATGAAGGAGAAATCGCAGATCTTGTGAATGCGTCCGGTCACGTCCAAGAGCTCGATCGCAACTTCAGCTTGCTAGCAGCAGCAGGCGTCGGGCTCGTCGTCGGCAATGTCTGGCCAGCTCTCGGGGGCTCGATCCTCGTCGCCATTTTCAATGGAGGTCCGCCCGGCGTCATTTACGAGTTCATTGTAGTTTCGGTCTTCTACTGGATAATTGCGGCTTCCATTGCTGAATTGGCTTCCGCCATCCCCTCCAGTGGCGGTGTCTACCACTGGGCCTCTGTGACCCCTGGAAAGGCATGGGGTCGTGTGGTCGGGTAGGTCCTCTGCACAAGACACCGTGGGTGGTCTCAGGCTAATGATGTCGCCGCTCAGGTTCTATGCTGGTTATTGGAATTGGCTGGCATGGGTGTTTGGTGCAGCGTCCATGAGCTTCATCTTTGGTTCGTGTCTTGCCGTCGTGTCGGTAACGACCACTGACCTTGAATAGCCAACACCGTCGTCCAAATGTATGGTGTCACGCATCCCGACTTTGAGGCCAAGCAGTGGCACGTCTTCGTGACATATCTTGTAAGTACCTTCACGAGAGCCACTCAATGCGACAGGAGGGTGTTCGATACCTTTGGGGGGCCACACTCACATGATGTTCAGATCGCCACATGGATAGCGTGCGCCTGTGTTTGTCTGTTCAACAGTGCAATGCCGCACCTGAACACCGTTGGTATATTCCTGATTTTGTGCGGCTTCCTTGTCACCGTCATCGTCCTGTAAGTTGGGCCTCTATCCACCGAAGAGAAGGTTTTGCTGACAATATCCAGAGCCGCGATGCCGGGCTCAGATGGGCGCCCTCCTCATGCTTCGTCCAGTTTTGTCTGGAGCGACTGGACAGCAGATATTGGGTATCCAAACGGGTTAGCTCTGATCAATTGCTCCGCTTTGTGCGATCGATGCTAACGGCGCCGTCCGACCAGATTCGTGTTCGTGGCAGGCATGCTTAACGGCGCGTACGCCGTAGGGACTCCGGACGCTGTCAGGTGAGCAAGTCTATGCAATCAAATCAGAAGCGCCTGCTGACAAGGAGTCTTGTCTTATCAGCCATATCGCTGAGGAGATTCCTTACCCAGGGAAAAATGTTCCTCTTGCAATTGCAACTCAGATGGCAATTGGCTTCTTCACGGGCCTTTTTTATCTCATCGCGCTAATGTACGCAATCAGCGATTACGACGCCTTGTTCGATTCGGCATTTCCAGTCGCCGAAATATACAGACAAGCCACCGGCTCATCCGGAGGAGCTATTGGTCTTCTTTGCTTGTTGCTGTTTTGCGTGGCGGCCTGCATGGTTGGAGGGTACATCACCGCAGGTCGCGCGCTCTGGGCGTTGGCGCGAGATGGTGCAACTCCATTTCCCCATCATATTGGCAAAGTCTCGACAAAATTTGGAATGCCACTCGTTGCCACGCTTGTCTGTGGCTGCATTGTTACCGTACTAGGCTGGTTCGCATTTCCCAGCCTGCTGTCTGCACTCTCACTGACCGGGTTACAGCATCTATGTGGGTAGTACCACAGCCTTCAATGCCTTTGTTGGAAGCTTCGTTCTCATGTCCTCAGCCTCGTAAGTACTTTCCGAGATGGAAGGGTTTGTCGATGTAGAGCACTGCTGACCAGTCAACAGTTACGTTGCAGCCATCCTTCCCCACGTCCTGACTGGCCGGAAGAACATCACCTATGGGCCTTTCCGTCTGGGAAAGCTTGGACTTCCGATCAACCTGATTGCGTGTGGGTACATCATTGTCTGGTTTGTCATCTATTGCTTCCCTTATAGTCTTCCCACCGACGCCCAAAGTATGAACTATTCATGCGTGATTTGGGGAGGGTTGACCATTTTCGTCACTGTCTGGTGGTTTGTGGGAGCCAGAAAAGGCTACGTTGGCCCGAAGAGCACGGGAGGCATCGATGCAGAGGTTGAGCACGTCCGAAGAGCCAGTGTGGAGAAACGAGCAGCTGTGTAGACATGGTTCGTACCTTTGGCGTAATTTCGACTAGCAAAGCGCTCTGAGGCGGTTGGTGTCCAACATCTCCTATGTACACAGTATCATCTTTGCGAGACTCTCAAATTAAGTTTTATAGGTACACGGTGCCAGTGGTAGATGCTGTGGAAATATCTGTGGAACCTCTAGAGCTTATCTTATCTCCACGTGACAGCATGTCTTGGCGGCTGCAAGACTTGGCACAAGATTGATCCCACACAGACACTGAAGTTATTTCGCGAGTCACTACACACGATCGCAGCACTGCGGACCATCTCCCTTTCGACATACCATACCAGCAAGTCGTCAACATGTCGGACAACGGCGAGGTCGAAGTCGAAGTGCCCGTCACGGGTTACACTGTCCTGCCCAAGGAGGTCACCTCCGAGATTGGCACCATCAAGCTCTTCAACAAATGGAGCTACGAGGATGTTGAGATCAGAGATATTTCTTTGACGTACGATACCGACCGCCACGAGAAGAGAGGAAGGGAACGAGACTGACAAGACTTGTTTAGCGATTACATCCAAATCAGAACCCCCGTCTACCTCCCTCATTCCGCAGGACGATATGCCGCGAAGCGATTCCGAAAGGCGCAGTGCCCGATCATTGAACGCCTGACCAACTCTTTGATGATGAACGGTCGCAACAACGGCAAGAAGCTGATGGCCATCCGAATTGTGGCTCACTCTTTCGAAATTGTAGGTTGAGAAAAGTGTGGTGGGGGATGGTTGTACTTTGGAGAATAAATTCTGACTTTTACGCCCACATCCGCAGATTCACATCATGACCGACCAGAACCCCATTCAAGTCGCCGTTGATGCCATCGTCAACTGCGGCCCGCGCGAAGACAGCACCAGAATCGGAAGCGCCGGTACCGTGCGAAGACAGGCCGTCGATGTGTCTCCTCTCCGCCGTGTCAACCAAGCCATCGCTCTCCTGACCATCGGTGCCCGTGAGGCCGCTTTCCGAAACGTCAAGTCCATCGCCGAATGCCTCGCTGAGGAGCTGATCAACGCCGCCAAGGGAAGCAGCAACTCCTACGCCATCAAGAAGAAGGATGAGTTGGAGCGTGTGGCCAAGAGCAATCGGTAAAGTGGTTACTGGGTTCAGGTGTTTTGCGGGATCAAGCATGGTGCGACGTGCCTTTCTGGCAGTCGCTGCGAGCATGTGGATGGTGAAAAATACCATCTCTGTCATGAGGCATGGAGCGGAGCCGCATACCGCTTGGTCATCGAACCGGCAGGTTTGCAGATTCAAGGCTTAGATTACGCTGATGTCCACCAAAATTCAAAATTCCTCACAAACGTGTCTGTTCTTGTTGGCGAAGTGTTGTCTGTTATGCCACCTTTGACTTTCAAAATCGAAAGCTCGACCCATAGGAATGAGGATTCCGTCTACGGTTGTCAGTAGTTGGGTAGGAGATCTACTGTGCCGAACGCGTTTTCTGCGGTCACAGCCTGTACTATTTCTGCCTCACTCTTGCGGCGGTACTGACAATCTCGCTCGTCCTGGCCTTGTATGCGTGCTTTTACTGGAAATGATTGTGGAGGCATGGTGCTCATTGCTTTAACACAGCTGCTCTGCTATGCGATTGCTCGCTCGAAGACGTTCCCCTGATGTTCCAAGCCCGCGCCGCTCTCTGTGACACTCTCCCATGGAAGGGTTCCTTATGTACAGACGGCGGTCATGTTTGTGTATCATGTAGCACGTTCGATGGGGCCTTTGAGATGCTGCCAACGAGCCAGCTCGTCAAGAACGCCCGTCCCCCAGTGCTGTCTATCATGTCGGCTGCCTCATTTCTCATCCGTCTTGGTTTGGCGTGGAATGTCGTTTGCAGGGAGAACTTGACAGGACTATCTCATCTCGATCTGGGTATTCGCTTTTGGATGATGACAATTGCTCCGGTCCCATGCTGATGGTGTTGCTCTTTTTCGCGCATCCCTGCTGTTTCGCCAATGTCGGTGTAGACTTGATTCGGAAAGCCGCACGACACCAGGTAGGAAAAATGCGCCTCTGTCGATCTAAGGCATCTCTTCAGGCACCAACGGGACCCGCACGGTGGTACATGGCCTCTCCGAAAGACTCCTGCTGATTTCTCTGGCGCACTTCTCTCATAAATTGTGTCTGGAAGGCTGATCTCTCTTTGAAACCCTCGTCTTCAGGATCTTGCCTGCCCCAGAGTCTCTGAAAAGCGAAGCCAACGCAAACAGAAGCACCCGCTCCGACGATGCAGAGGAGGACTACTACCGTGTCTGGGATGGCCATGTTGAGTGAAGACTGGCGATTGAGAGAGTTGAATGAGTATCGAGTGATGCCAGGCCCAATCTGTCTGAGGATTTGTTCAAGTAGGGTTTTTTTGAGAAGGGCGTGCCCCGCAACTCTGATGGATGGCCGGCGAAGAGTGTTGGACTTGGTCAAGGTCTTTTGATGCAAAGGAGGGCAGCGAAAGCAAGTAGGAGGAAGTTAAGGTAAAGCTCACGAAGGTAAAGGAAATGTGAGAAGTTTGTAAAGAAGGCTGAGAGAAGTATCCCGTTAGCCCGTCAGCCTGTAGCGCACTATTACCGTCTGTTGTCGCATTTATACACCCTAGAGACAGGGGGCTTGTAGATAACACGCGACACACATCACACATCACACATCAATTCACCAAGCACTGTCTGAGGCCGACTTGCTACTTAGCTGTGCAACATTGCGTGGCCCGCCTTGGAGTGGAACCGAGTATGGCTGTCAATGCCACTTGGCTGCTATTTCTGGGAACTAGCGCTTCACGAGTATGAGGTCTGGGGAGAGACTGAGCACTCTAGACAAGGTTTCAGCATTGATATTCAGGGAGCCAAGTCGCAAGTGCGAGTGGTAGGGCCCCTAAGGTGAGGAGAGTAGTGAATGGTTGGAAAACACTGTTGACTGAGGAGGGCGATATCAAGCCCTTCTAGTCCCAATTCGGCCACATACGCGAGGTCGCCAATCAGCATCCTCCACGGGAAAGACACAAGGCTCCACCCCCTGGCCATGAGATTTGCCTTGGTCGTTTCTTTTAATCTCTACCTCTGTATGGCATTCTGACACCAACCCAATAATAGTTGCATCTTTGTCCGGGAAATCATCGAAGTTTGTCCAGTGTCTTGTGCGGCGTTCAGGCAGATATCAACGTGGCGCAGCTCACCCGTTATCTCGGTTACAGCCTTTGTCCTGCTGTGTGGGTTGGGGTTCTGCCCAGAGAATGTTCCGCGGACAAGCCCCGCGATAATGCGTCTCCATCTCTATTGCTTGGAGAGGTCCAAAGTAAGATACGTCCTAACGAAGCCAGGTGGGGCGGAGGCGGCTCAATACGAAAACGAAGGGACTAGTCAGTAACAAGCATTGCTTGGGAGTGTCTTCCGTCAGGTACTAAGTGGTATGTCAGTGCCCATGTAAGGACCAAGGTCATCCCATACAGACCGAAGTTGCTATCTCCCCAGATCTTGCAATTCATTTTGTTTGCCATGCACAGCCCTGTGCTGCGGTAGCAGTCTCTTCACATATGCTTCCATGCCGCCTTGGAAGAGGGCACACCCTGCTTGAAATCATGACAGGCTTACGCGTGAAAGGCGCATGCGGCATGCTCTTTACAGCACACATCGATGCTGGCATGATATTTGATCTGGCTGCGCTGACCTGGCAGTGTTCTGGCGCATTCGATATACAGCAACTATCCAACAGAGGATAAATTACAATCTACAGTTTCGGGTGAATGTGTCGGGATCGAGTCGGTCGGCTCATATCTGATGGCCCATTTCCCCTAGCCTTGCTTCGCTGTCCCAAGTATCAACCTGCACATGGCAAAGAGAAGACTTGATGATCTCTGCTGGTACTTTCTCCCATCAGATATCCAGACTTTCTTGGACCCCAGGATGCATAAGGGACCACCCGCTTCGATGTCATATCACTGAAAGAGGAGGTTTTGGATTTTCCGCGCAGATGATCTAAACGCACGCACTGATGGCAATAGAGTAGGTACAATTCGGGTCGCACCAAGCAAAACGACGTGCAAAAATACATACATTCATCGGCTCAGGAGGTGGTATCATGTATGTGTCTGTATTAGCCGGACTTTGCAAGATGGTGATGCTATTGGAGAACAAACATCCTTGGATGCTTGATGCTGTTTATCGTCTCAGCCTTCGCTAACCTCCGTCGATAGAGCTTTGCCGCCCACCCGAAACAATCAATACTCAGTCCGTCGTCGCCGTGCATCCCCAGAATTCGTCTAAAGGATTTATCCAGAGATACAGAAACCTCGGAATCCGCCGCATATCTCCAAAATGTCTCGTGTCCTACACATGATACCAACGTGTTGAATTGCCCGTCCAGGCGCGAAGCGTCAAAGCCGTCGATATACTGTGGCTCGATATGCTAAGGTCTTTTTACCGGAGCATCCAGCCACATACCGAACATTTCGTTCCCCATTCACCAAATCCTGGACAGTTCAGGGTGTCGCACCCGACTATAAATTGTGCATTCAAGCCTTTCGGCTTTTGGCCCATGTTCAGAGGTGCCATGTCCAACGAAGTCGAGTTTTCGCGATGTTTAGTCTAATAATATACCCGGATGTTGAGGTTTGGGGTTGTGGGTGATTGAGTGGACTTGTGATTCCTGGGAAGTCGAGTATCGGGTATGTTGTGTTAGTCAACGAAGACATGTTAGCTGTGCTTGCGGGAAAGGGGGTTTATATATGTGAGCAGAAGTCTCTTCTGTTTGCATCTCTGTTTGAAAGGATGGACACCAGTCATTGGTTTTGTCGAATCAAACGGTGCTGGCCAGGTTTGCCGTTGGTCCTCACTCGTCAGTGCTGTGGCACTCTGGTCTGTTTGCCCATAGGCGCAACGTGGGGACAACCTTGTTTCGTCCCAGCCTGAAAGTTCTCACCTGGGTCACTGGTGTTTGGTCCGAAGTTGCCTGGCGTTTGTTATCCTGCCTGAACAGTATGGCTCTGCCGCTCTGGTGACTCCCAACCAGCCTCAGGTGTCAGGTACTGATACAGGGTCTTGTATGTCGAGAGGGTCCATGTTAAAAATTATGTTAAAGATGTCTTCTGTGGTCACCACAGCAAGATGGGCGCAGAATGTTCGCAGTCATTGTATACATGCATATATACACATATATTAGATAGTAATCCAGCCCCAGCTTCATTTCAGAAAGTGCTTCCGCCCAACGGGAAGCCCCCAAGCCTACATATCAGAGAGCAGAGCAGCCCTGCTTGACTGGCGGCGGAATGCTTCTACCCAATGCGGACGTCAATGGCTGGATACTATGGAATGGCCCCGCCCACGCTGTCAGACAGAATACTTTGCTCCTGGATTGCTTGTATTATCTTAAGTAGCGGAGAATGGCCAGCCTGTCAGACATCCATATTATGAGTTTGACAGCATCCCTGAATCGTTGTTTCCAGTCTTCGGCATTTCTCCATCTTTTTCGTACTTCTAAAAGACAACTGGCGAAACTGGGATCTCCTCCATACTGTCTTCACTGATCGACATTGGTGAGATGTGGAACCCATTATGCATCTATGGCCGCCACTGCAAATGATACGAACAGGCCGTCGCGCGGTGTCACCACGAGGTCTAAAAATGGTTGCCTAACTTGCAGGTACGTGTCTCTACAGTTGTTGCTCTCAAACGAGAGATCACCGCTGACATGGTTCAACCATATCCAGGATCAGGAGAGTCAAATGCGACGAAATGCGTCCTCATTGCCGCCGATGCATTGAGTCGGGTCGAAAGTGTGAGGGCCCTGTCGCGCATGAGATTCGCTTCATGCATGACCAGGCCGTCGTGTCCCATGCAAAGTCGAAGACCACAACGCCGGGCTTGCACCGCGATGTATCACTTGTGGCGCCGCAACACAACAACGAGGAACGACGAGCATTTTACTTTTTCCTGAATCGCGCCGCACCCGTGTTCGCTGGGGGACTCAATGCCAGGTTCTGGCTTGACTTGATTCCCCGGCTGGCTCAATCCAGTCCGTTCATATGGGACGCCGTGGTCTCGATCAGCTGGCTGTTCGAGCGCGTGCCCTATGATATCCTGGTCAGGAGGTTCGAAACCCAGCCGACTTGCATCGTGAGCTCGGATCACAGAAAGGCTGTCAAATGGTACGGTCGCGCGATTGCCGGTCTCCGTCGACATATGGAGCGCGGCGAAATCGACACCCCCGTTGCGCTTCTGAGTTGTATTCTATTCATCAGCGTCGAGTCCCAGCAAAGGAACATCGGAAACGCTTTGAGTCTGGTGGAGACCGCCTACAAGCTCTTGTGCCAGAGTCTTTCGACGTCGGTGTCACGCTTGTCAGCAGACAGTCTCTCAATCCATGAGGTCGTCACACCCTTTGTTTCGCGCCATGCCGTCCTCATGGCAACTCTCGGAACTCCCCTTCCCCCGGATTGGAGCTGCCAAGTGGAAGAGAACGTTCTGAAGCCGGCGGTGCTTGCGTCGTTATCTGAGCTTGACGAATCGAGGGCGCGACTGTACAGTCTCACATATCAAGCATACGAGATCATTCGGGTGGAGAACATCCAGCCCACGGAAGACCGCATCGTGAAGATGCAGCGCGTGAAGCAGACACTACTACTCCAAGATCTGAGACAGTGGGAAAGTTCCTTTGTCAGGACATGGCGCCATGAAACGAGAAACGAGATGTTATGGGCAGTATCGAATCTCCTGATGCACTGGGTTGTCTGTTATATTTGGCTGTCGACATGCACGAGTCAGCTGCAGACCACATTCGACGATTACAGAGACCAGTTCTCAACAATTCTCGACCATGCCGAGAAAGTCCTCAAATACAGTATCGGATCTACGACGGGCCAACCGATTTTTAGATTCGAGATAGGGCTGATCCCGCCGTTATACTTCTGTGCCATAAAGTGTCGCGACCCGATGCTTCGCCGGAGAGCGTTGGCCATGATGATGCAAGCACCTGAGAAGGAGAGCCTCTGGTCTTCTGTGGCGACAGAGACGATGATTGAGAATGTCATCGCCATGGAAGAAGGCAAACCTTACGATGCCTCCCAATCCGACCTGACCGGGCCTCTGCCATTGCCGCCGGAAGAGAATCGCATCCATAACGTCGCTGTGGTCGGGAAAGATGTCCTCGGAGGCACCCAGCGGTTTGCCCTTGAGTTGAGCAAATACGTTACGGGCCCTGATGGAGTGAGGAGGATGGTCAGCGAAACAGTCTGGCTGGAAGAGGCTGCAGCTGAGCAAACATGATCCAAGTCAACGCTCGCAGCCTGTACGACCTGCATACATTCAACGCATTGACGATGTGCATGGATGTTCCGATCGATGCAGGCTTCAAGGCGACGACTGGATGCATTGTCATGGTCAAGTCTGCGACAGGAGTTTCCGCAGGCCGAATGCAGATTCTGAAAGAGCATATCCTACTACCCGCTCACTTTCCGGCACACTGAGATGGATGCACCAGACAATCCATCCGCGGTGACATGAGAACGATATACCTGGCTGACCGGAGCAATTTCAGTGTGGGTCGGCTTGCCAGGAAGCCTCATCGTCAACTTGGTCGGGAACATGGGGGAGCTTTCTTGACCTGACAGAGCCTCGTCGACAAGCATGCATCCGCATCAACTATAGGCATCATACTATTTGAATGACCTATGGCAACGAAAGAATCAGCACAGTCCGTTCATGGCTGGCCGCTTTGGCCAGGACTATGGGACTGCAAGGAATCATATGATGCCCAACGATGATATGGGGCGTGCTCTGGCAATCAAATTCAGATTGTTATGTGGTTGCCTTGGTGGTACACCGTCAGTCGTGCACCCCAGACAAGTCTCAACACAAGGATAGTGAGATTGTACGAGTTATCTCATATGTACCCAGTAGTAAGACCATACTTGTAATAGACGCAGTGGACGACCCGGTCGTTCACAACTTGAATACCTAGTAGTAAGTAGCCCTACATAATTCATTTTGTCAGACAAGCAGGAGGACTATTAGATGTCGTCGATGTCGCAGCCCACATCTGTCAGACACGAAAAATTCAGATAAGATCGACCCGCTCAGCGATAAGATAAAGAATCTCATCTAAAAAAGTTGCCTCGCATGCGGTGAACTTTTCCTACCGTCGTCGTCTCTAACAGCAACCACTCTCCCCACGAGGACGAAACCCCCAACGATAACTACCGACAATGGTCAAACGCAAGCTCGGCGCACTTGAAAAAGTGGACGCAGATCTCGCGAACCTCCAGAACAAAATCAAACGCGACCCGAAATCGTACCAGACCGACTTCCTCTACCAGCACGTCCAATATGAAAACCAACGGCAGATTTTCATGCAGGCGCCGACGTCGGCGTCAGACAGCGGCGTCATCTCGTTCCGCGAACTGATCGAGTTCGTGGCCCACGTGTCAGACTGCTATAAGGAAGAGACGAAAGAGTTCCCGCGGCAATTGATTGAGATTCTGTCCGCACACCACGCTACCCTGGAGCCGGAACTACGTGAAAAGATTGTGGGCAGTCTAGTGCTGCTGAGGAGAAAAGACATCATCGACTCGAACACGCTCCATCAATGCCTGTTTCCCATCTTGATCTCGACGCCGAGCAAGTCCCTACGCGCGCTGCTTTTCCAGAAGATCATCAGCGATCTGCGCACGGCGAATACCAAAAGCATCAACCACAAGCTGAACCGGACTGTGCAGACGACACTACACAATTTGGTGACGGATGATCGGTCCTCGCCGAAGGCGCTATGGGCCGTCAAAATCACCCGCGAGATGTGGAAACGGCAGATCTGGACGGACGCGAAGGCCGTCGAGATCATGAAAGAGGCGGCGCTGAGTGACAATGAGAAATGTGTCGTTGGAGGAGTGCGTTTCTTTCTTGGAGGTGACAAGGAGCGTGAAGAGTTGGAGGACGAAAGTTCCGACGAAGAGACGGTCGATATGGGCAAGCTGCGGCATCAGATCGGGGTGAACAAGAAGAGCAAAAAGGCCGAACGGAGACTGGAAAAGGCGGCCGCCACAATCCGCCGGAAAGAGAAGAAAAAGGGACAGCCGCATCCATTGAACTTCTCGGCCCTGCATCTCTTGCATGACCCGCAGGGGTTCGCGGAGACGTTGTTCTCAAAACACCTGCAGAGCAGCAAATCGAAGTTGAACTTGGAGCAGAAGCTGCTCGTCTTACAGCTGGTGTCGAGGCTGATTGGCTTGCACAAGCTGACGGTGATCAGCTTCTACTCCTACTTCTTGAAGTATCTGACGCCTCGACAACCGTCCGTGACATCTTTCCTCGCCTCACTAGCACAAGCGACGCATAATCTGGTACCGCCAGACGACTTGGAACCACTGATTCAAAAGATTGCAAACGAGTTTGTTTCAGAAGCTGCGGCCGGAGAGGTGGCCGCGGCAGGCTTGAACGCGATTCGAGAAATATGCGTGCGGCAGCCGTTGGCCATGAATGATACCTTACTGCAAGATTTGGTCATGTACAGAAAAAGCAAAGACAAGGGAGTCATGATGGCCGCCAAAGGTCTTTTGGGGTTGTACAGACAAGTTGGAGCGGAGATGTTGAAAAAGCGCGACCGTGGCAAAGACGCCGCACTTGGTCTGCGTTCTGGCGATCAGAAGCAGCAGAGGTTTGGCGAGGAGGCGGTAGGAGAAATCGAAGGTCTTGACCTACTGGAGAAATGGAAACAAGAGGAGAAACAGAGGAGAAGACTCGAAAAGGGACTTGATCCAGAAGCTTCCGACCAAGAAGGCGAAGATGACGAAGAAGATTGGAATGCTTGGGATGTGGAAGAAGACGACAGCGACGATTCCGGCGGTTGGATCAACGTGGAAAGCGATGACGAAATCGAGATCAGCGATAGCGACGACGACAAGCCATCCACGAAGAAAGTCAGGTTCGAGGCTCAAGGATCGAAAAGCGACGACAAGGAGAACCAATCCACCACGAAAGATGACCCTGACGCAGAGGCGACCACTACACAGTCGAAATCAAGTCTGGCCACTACGCGCATTCTGACCCCGGCCGACCTCGCCAAATTGCAGGAACTTCGGACTACCGCTTCGGTGTCGTCGCTGATGAAGAACCACAAAGCTCACCACACAGCACGGACGGCACAGACTAACGCGCAACGACATATCGACGACCCTCTGACGGCTGCCGAGATCGAGGGTCTGGCTTCGCTGTCACAGGGCAAGTCGACGCGAGCCCAGAAACTGGCATTGCTCCAGGAACACAGGGATGAGCGGGAAGATCATAAATCCAAAGCCGCCAGGAAGAAGGACCGCAAGGAAAGTGAAGGCAAGAGCACCACCAACAAGGAAAAGGCGCGGAAAAAGAATTTCCTCATGACTTTGGGCAAAGCCAAGTCGAAGGGGAAGAGGAGTTTGGTGGAACATCGCCGGATTTTGAAAGCTCACGCGGACAGGTCAAAGAGGGGCGGAAAGAGAGGAAACAGGGGTTGAAGATGACCCTTTCCCCTTTCCTCTTTCCGACCACCATCACAATTCTCGGGGAGAGTATGATTATGATTTCGAGAAGGGAGTGATGACCACATGGTGGATGAGGATGGTGGAATCTCTCCCTGCCCAAGGCAGCCTTGCGTGTCACATGACTCTAAATGGACGAGGCTGCCGCTTGCAGGGGTCTGATACGATACTTCATCTCCCATCTCCATCTCCCAACTCCCTTCATCCTTCATCATATCAATCCTATCCGACCATAGTTATACCAAGACGATAATGAACCTTGAGAAGCCAGTGAACATTTGAAAGTCCATCACGCTTCCAGGTGACCAACATTTCTACTTCATGCTACACGATACCAGTACACTACAAGTGACTTCCACCAAGGTGAATCCTTCGCTTTGCTTCGCTTCGGGTGTAGAATCCGACAACCACAACGTCATGATATACCAGACCACCACAGTGATAACATACATTCATTCACCACTACCAGTCTACCTTCTCACTACTACTACTGTTGACTTCTCTTGATCCATATTTCAGTCTCTTTCACACGCAGTTGCCATACCGTTCCTGCGAGTTCATGTTCGTTCGACCAAAACTATATACGAAGAGATATTCTGACTCTCTAGACACCCACGCATCCAACTTCAAGTCGGCCAGCAAGACAACAAGAAACACCATAACGAATCTGCAATATCAACTTGAAACCTCAATCTAAACCATGCCTGAGAACTACATCAACCCAGCCCGGCCCAAGATTCGGTTCTCCCTGATCGAATGTATTACCATCGGCCTAGGAGCCGGCAGAGTGGGTGTTGCAGCGTATGTTATTCCACTACTATACCCTATACCCTATACCCTACTACCCTACTATTCTAATATTCTACTTCTAAACCCTTCACCCTACTATCCTTCCACCTTAGTACCCCTTTTCAGGCCAAACATCGCATTCATTCGACAGAATTTCGACTCTACTGAAATCCATGCTCTCATATCCCCACGTCAATCGGAATTGGATCGATCCTCAGTTTCAATCTGACAGCCACTACTAGCCTACCAGGCTGTACGGTTTTTCTCTTCTAAGGGAGTGGAAACGAAGCAGAAATGCCACCATACTTGCCTGTCTCTCTCTCATCGTGAAAGAAGTCCCTCAATCAACCCATATTATTCTCCCCCGTGTTGTTATTCAACTAGAACAGTCCATAACCCACCGTCCCAACTCCTACGTGCCGGGGAAGACGCTCGCGCGCCTGTTCAATCTCGACTTCTCCAAGTTACCGGACACCATCAACCTCGCGATGCACTGGGGCCAGGGGATGCTCGCTGCTGGAGTGCGCGGCTTGATGAGCTATTACGGCATCGTCGGCCCGTTTGGGAGCTATTTGTTCATGGGGGTGCGGTTGTTGGTCGATCAGACGTTGGAGAATTATACGGGAGTCGGGGCGTTGCCGTGGTATGTTGTTCAAATTCTTGTTCTCATTCTCGTCCTCGTTCTTGTTGTCGTTCTTGTTGTCGTTCTTGTTGTCGTTCTTGTTGTCGTTCTTGTTGTCGTTCTCGTTGTCATTTGTGTCAAGATTCAAACGTTCACTCTGTTCATCCCTCCAACGGAGGAGTTCTAACGGTTCGGGGTTGGTTCACCTTTTGGTTTTAGTAATTCCACCCCAGCCCTGATACCGGGATATCCAATGGTTCAAATCTCGTTCTCGTTCTCTCTTTGTCTTTCTCTTTCCCGCCATCAATATCAATATCGCATGATGCGTAAGCTAGCATCTCATGACACACCCCTAGGACATGGCCTGTCAATGAACAGATCGTCGATCTCCTCCACAAGGCAATCTACGCCGCCGTCACGGGATATGTGGCGGACCGGTTGATTCTGGGGAGTTCACTGAATGCTTGAACAGAACTGAACAAACTTCTACGATGGCTTGCCAGTGATGATTTGACAGCCTTCGCGACCACTACCACAGAGATATGAGTCAGAGATGGACAGGCGGAACAAGAACAATAGTCGTGGAATAGATACCCTGTGATTCCATACTTGGTCATTAGTCACATATCGATTCATCCATGTAGTCCAGGATGACATGATGACAGGATCTGGTAGGCAACATCATCCCTGGACCTAAGCCTGTGGCATTGCTGCAGTGCTGTCAATGACAAAGTTGATACATATGAACAGTCGAATGATCTACTGAGAGCAACAACGGTGGACAGCAAAGATCTTTGAACTCTACTCAATTAAGCTGAGCCTTCGGTATCGATTGAATTGGTATCTCAATGCATGCCGAGATGAGCAATCTAATGCAGTAGACTCCTCCGAGTCTGCCGTAGGATAGCACGTTCTGGGCGGTCTTTCCGGCATTCATGTATCGTCGTGCTTCAGACCGATGGTGACCCCATGTTGACCGTAGTTGTAGATGCAACTGCAATTCACCCTGAAATATGCAGTTCATTTCTTCTTGCCATCACCCAAGTTCTCCTGCACGGATCCGCCAACAGAACCCTCAGGGTTGAAGTGTTTGCCAACAGCGCCCTTGCTGGAGAATGGACCACCCACGGCCTCTCCGACTTGACCAATGTTTCCGTCGGCTATTTTTCAATCGAAACATCAGTATAAAGTTATTTTGGTCTGTCCAAGTCTTCGACAGGGGATGGGATCAAGGAGTCGTGATGGGGAGGGTGAGGTGAGATCTGGGAAGTAAACGCAGGACTACTAGGTAACGGCTTACCCTTGAACTGCTTTCCGATTGCTCCATCTTTGTCAAACAGATTCGGCTTCTCTCCCTGCATATGCTCCGCCGCAGACTGCGCCGTGCTGCCCACACTGCCGTCAGGCTTGAATTGCTTTCCCACGGCGCCCTCTTTGTCAAATGGTCCGCCGACCTGTTGTGCCGTGCCGCCCACGGAGCCCTTCTCGGTGAACTCGGAGCCGACGGAGCCTTTGTTGGCGTCGAGCGACGAGGTGTCTTTGTTCGAAGCCATTCCTGTATAGTAGCTGAGATTAGAGTCTGAACCTCATAGCTCAAGATGAAAGCAGAACAGACAGACACTGTAAACCAAATCTCTGGTATACCGGTCTAGACCGTGGAGAGCAGTTATGCTGAGACGAGGGAGAGCAGGTAAGGTATAGCTTACTTGTGGTGGCAACGGAGAATGCTCTCGTGCTTCGGAGTCCCGTCAACTGCGCAAGACCCATGATTGAGGTTCGTGGAAGACGTAGAAGAGACATGATGAGGATCTGAATAACTCAGGGTAAAGCGACTTGGTCGACTTGGCTGCAATATATGTTGAACGGTAGTGGTCGAAAGGTTCAAACTGTTAGCTTGAGGTAGGTACTTGGTGGTGCCAGACTGTTTTCTAGGAGTTCAACAGTACAATGCTAAGGTATGTCATGTAGTAGACGTCAGAGGCTGGTTCACTTGGCGAGAAGCGTGTGAGAGAGAGAGAAGGGGAGGAAGGTGTTGCGATTGAGCGTGCATGGGGGCGAAGGGCTGGATTGAATTTCCGTGCGACCATTTCACTCGCTTGATGGAAGTTGAGCCCGGCGCCTTGAAGAGCAGAAGTCATGACGACGTTGGTTGGACGAAAACGTGACTTGTATAACTTCGTCATTTTGTGGTTTACGACCGTCAGTTCACTTTTGATTGGCAGGTCGAGCTGTTACTTATTGAAACATTCAGATGTGATAGCATGAATGGCATAAGGTACCTATCTCGAGTTAGCATCGTGTACGCTTTCATCATCTCTCGCCTACTATTCAGACCTCAAACTGAAGTCACGGGAAAGGGAATCTATAAGGACTGGAGATTCAATAAACTGGGTACAACAACGATTCATCTATAGACTAACCACTAACATACTAGTAGGATATGCTAATCTCCTAGCGGCCCACAGCTGAGGTGCTACTATGACGTACACTGCGATGAAATAACGACGATAACGATCACAATAGCGATCGATAAGCTACTAGATATCTGTTCTCGACCACCACCACCGTACTGAAGGCATCATCATATCATTCTGCTTAGAATGTCTTGTCTCAATTGTGCTCATTCTCGTCTCATTGCATGTAAATGCAGACGTGCTGTCTATGAATCATGAATCGTCAAGTCATGCTATGCTTCCACTGCTGCATGCTGTCCTCCGTCACCGGCGAATGACGCTGCTTACACCTCCTGATCCCATAGGACAAGAGCATCCTCACCCACCTTCTCCGTGATCAGATTGATGCTCAAGTTCCACAGTGCTTCGGCCAACGCTCGATCGGACGCTTGCGACGTTTCCTTGCCCGGTTGTCCCTAGATATCAGTTAGTCATGTGAAACGTCGGCAGGCGAAACACAGCTGCTGGAAGAACGTACAGGGTCAGCAAAGTAATATCCTTGGAGATCCTTCTCCTCGATTTCGGGACTCGTGGCCGCCCACAGAGCACTGTATGAGCCTTGCTCGATATCTCTTCCCACCGTGGTCATGGCCCAGGTGAGCATCTTGCCGAAAATCCCTGGATATGCAGACTTCCACTGCTGCTGCATGTTGGTGTTGACCGTTCCAGGATGCACGCTGAGGGAGTATACCTTGTCGCCATTCTTCTTGAACACCTTTTCCGGGAGCAGGAACTTCGAAAGCAGTATCAGGGCCAGCTTTGAGCGGGCGTAAAGATGTGTGGGTCCAAAGTCTTTGTTGTTGATTTCTTCCAGTGATCCAAAGTGGACATCTGACGGGGCCATCCGATGGACTTCGGACGCCTCGAACACAATGCGTGGTGGTGGGGTGTCGGGCAGCTTGGAGGTCTTGCGAATAAGAGGGTAGAGAAGGTTGAGTGCGTAGAACTGTCCGAGGTAGTTGACTCCGAAGTGCCGATCAATGCCATCTGCGTCGAGATCGAATTTGTCCGTGTTGATGCCGGCTGACAAGATGAGCTGGGAGGGATGGTCAGTCACCGCTCACTCAAGGTTGTTGCACGTCTCTATTGCGTACCAGATCCAGTCGGTCGAGCTTCTCGCGCAGATCGCTGAAGACTTGCTTCACCTCTTTGAGGCTCCCGAGATCACAGCCGACCCAGTCGACGTCCGCACCTGGTGTTTCTTCTCGGATTTGCTTGATGGCTTCATCTCCCTGGTCCTCTTTCCGGTTCACCATGATCACCTTGGCTTTGGCTTGCGCGAATTGGCGCGAGATCTGAAACCTAACAACTCCATCAGAATGAACGCCAACGGTATGGTTGTGGCAAGCTTCAAACCCACCCGATGCCATTAGCACCACCTGTAACTATTGCAGTCCGACCAGAAAGGTCATGGAGTTCTTTCTTGGGGCCGATGACGGAATGGAGTGCTGACTGCATGTTGATTCTGTGAGTGTAATAATTTTAGACGTTATATTGCCAAAGCTGGATGCAAAGGTTCGTTTAGACTTGAGGGAAACTTGAATATAAAGGACTCGCTGGAAATCACTTGTGAACAACTTCTTGACCGTTATATTAATTTCATGTTGTTTAGATGAGATCACAGCATGCGTCGGAAGAAGAAGCCGCGGCGCTGAAAAAGTAGGAGTTGAAGCCATGACATCGACCACTTACTGCTGTGTGTCTGCTATGTTGTCATACTCACGCCGGAAGCGACTTACTGGCCAACCATGTCGTTTCATTGCGCATCAGGGCTGTAGGCCTCTTGACATGATCGTCAACGAAGCCTCGTGGAAGCTGTGTGCCCTGTCCAGGGACTTGGACTCGATGTTGCTTGGCTCTGCCTGATGTATGAGTTCCGGACCCAACGATGGCGGGGGTATCTCGTTTGGGCATGCAGTGTTGTAGCACCGTTTCCAACACCACCATTGCAGGAGGTGGACACCCATTGCCTGCACGGCTGCCGGCCTCAACTTTAGTCGCCATAGCTGTCAGTAGACGACTCTGTTGAATAAAATATGGCAACCAGTTCCCCGCCAGTTCTGGTGCTCGTCAAACCCTCTTAGAGGCTGTGGAGACACGAAAAGGTACGGTACTTGCCCCGGCTTGCCCGCGACGCGCATCTGCAACCACTTTCCAAACACGCGTGGGTTTCGTGTCTGCTGAGGGTTTTAGGGGCGACTTTAGATCCGGGAACGACGAACTTCTTGAGCCCCAGTCGACCGCTGACAACAATTCGCCAGGGGTGGACCTGCCAGCCCGGACTTTTGCAAAGTTTGAGGCAGACAGACTTTGAAGCCGAGAGCAGCCCCCACTGGCACTGGCAGTCCGGAGGCTACCTGACCAACCAAACCCAGGTGGGCAAAGCCTATAGCAGCCTACAGCAGCCCTAGCGGCGGAGGCGAGAGGGCACTATTTATACTGTAATACGACGGGCTCAGGCGTAAATTTAGGGGGCTGGGACGACACTTGCAACCCCTTTGCGGCTTAGCGTTCAGGTACAAGGGCCCTAAAGCCCCAGCGGCACGTAATTTCCAGGGCATCGTGCTGCAAGCACTTACAAGCGAAGGGGAAAAATAGCATCATTTTGCACCGCAGTCCACAATTGACACCTTCAAGCCCACGGGAAAGTGCCCACCAGTTGGTAAATGGCATCCAGCCATTTCGCTCCTATGCTGGGATCCAGCCCTCAATCCAGCATTATTGGTATTCTTCCTCGCTTGGCCCTGGCAATTCTGCTCCGCCGGGCCTTGGGCTCATCCACCTGCTGTCCAGGGGTTCATGGGGGCAGATAGTAATCGATAACTTCGATCGTGTCGTTGGGGATTGAGCAGGCGGGATAGAGAGTGACCTTTACTGGCTGTAGGTGGAAGTCGTAAGATCGTGAGAGACTAGGAGCCGGCAAGGATAGGATTCCATGTTATTTGAACAATAAACACCATTCATCCATTGGGGAACTTGAAGGGAACAGCCCAAATCTGCTAGTCACGGCTTCTTTGCCGGACGTCGGAGTCGCGCAGTGCAGTGCAGCTTGTCTCATCTCAACATCTCAGCCTCTTTTTTAAACTTGCGCTGGGGACCCTTTTCTGACCAACTCCCTCCTTGCCTACGCTTCCTACCTACCTACCTACCTACCTACCTACCTACCTACCTACCTACCTACCTTGCTTACTATCCATTCTTCAATTAATCCTTCTTCCCTCTACTCCTATCCTTCTCATCGTTTGACTTGTTCAACGAGCCCTCCAATTCCGGTCGCTACAATATACCTCGTCTTTCATCTTGCTATTCACTTAGCAGGACCACTTTGGCATCACACTTTCGCTCTGCCAGCTCCCAGCGCCGCCAGTTCTGCCCCCGACTTCATTGTCCAGAGGCTATCCTATGCAACTTCGCTTACTCCCCCTCTGAGGTTTGAGCTCAAGCAAGAACACTTGCTCACTCTTCCTGTGACGTCTCTCGCGTGCGACCATAACCAGTTCGACTCCAGCTCACCACTGGTTCCGCCATCCCATAGAGATCTTCGCAATGGACCAGCCGCAAGGTTCATCCTTCACGAACCCCTCCGTTGAAGTGGAATCACATCTTTCCAAGCGTCGTCGCTTCGCACCACACTCTCTCCCCATCATTCCTGTTTCGGATAACACGGACATTGAATATCATACCTTCGACTCGCCATTGCTGCTGCAGCTATGCGAACAAGCTCCTGATCAGGCGGAAATCGAAGCTGGTCTGCTTCAGGTCGGGATGCGCGTGAGGAAGGCCGTCGCTGAAGGGTACAAGACACAAGTGAAGAAGTTCACTCCTCGGCCATTCTTCAATGTCAACGGACTTTCTCCCGAGACCCAGGCGGCCCTTTGTGGAGGAAACGCGGCCGCTACCAACGAGTTGGCCCCATATTCCGCATCCCAAATCCAACCTTTGAGCACTGCGACCTTCTGCGGCATCAATCTGGCCTTCTTGTCCCATTATAGCGACGATCACTCAAGCGCCTCTGTTTCGGAGCAATCCCTGTGGTCATATTCTACCAGCCACAAGCGCGGTTATGAAGCTGACTCGGACAGCGAGGAAAGCCAGGACTGGCAGCCCCAAACACCCAGCCTAGTCGCCGATGCGGGGATGGCCATGCCTGTGGACTATTTCGCCATTGATATGGATACTATGAGCCAGGTTAGCCCAATGACGCAGATTGGAGACCATATGAGGCAACAATTCCATGGTCGAAGAATGGCCATGCCCAAGAGTCGCAGTCGTTTCGCTCTAGCAGCCGAACCGCAGCTGCCGCCGACTTCAGTGTTGAATCCATTCTCCAACATGGCCGTTGAGCAGCCTGGGCCTCACACTGGTCACAATCGAATGATGAGCTGCGGTATGGAAGCCATGGATTTTGGTGAGGCTCCTTTTCTGCAACGACGAGAGGACGTTGAAATGGACTGCTCCTGAAAGGCGGTCTTTGTGAAATCCAGTTTGGAATTGTTTTGGTTCATGCATCACATTGTGGTGTGAGATTATTTAACAGGAGTTCAATGATGCTCGCGGTGGAGCCGTTTAGCTGCGTCGCGCAGGTACCTGAAAAGGGTTGGATGTGCGATTCGAGACGGCAAACGCTGCAAAAGCGAAAGTGGGACGATCTAGCTGGGTGAGACGACTCAGTCTAGGGTCTGTTTGTAGGATATGAAGGATTAGAACAGCCCTCGGAAACGGGGACTCGGCATTGTGCAGAAGACAGGAGTATCTCAGCAGCTCCAGGATCAGGGGAAGGCCCCCGAAACCAAGGGACCGAGAGAGTGATTTTACAGGAGTTGGCGTATAGTGCTCCTCATCTGTGTATCTAGAAAGCTCATGAGTTGGATCAAGAAAGATTGATCAGAAACGCATGAAAGAGTTACCTTAGCTTCACAAAAACAATAGATACAAAGCATTGCACTTCATTCACCACCAAACCGCCCCAACATTCTATTATGAGATTGGCCAGGGAGGGCTTCATGCTCTGCCGTACTGCTAGGTAGGACAACGGGAGCGGCACGTGATCTCGCTATGCCAAGCCCTGCGTTACGGGATTTCCCCATTTGGGTGTCCATGTAAACAAAGACTGGAGCGCATTGCACTGCATTCTGGATTATTACAGTCTGTATTGCAGCACGCACACAGCACACTGCAAGTCAACCTGCAGTACAGTTGTAGTATCAATTTTCCGAAACATGACAGCTTTACTGCTCTACTAAATTTTGCTTTGCTTTAGATACCACAGGGACATCAGCATGGAATCACCCATGATTGCAGAGGATAACCCCATTCAATCCAACAACCACGATGCTACCGCTGTCAGTCCGAATCCGTTGAGATGTCCGCCCCCTCAATATCAGCCTTCAGTCGAGCTGAATTATCCCCTTGCGCCTCCGCTGGGTCAGATTTCACCGGAGCGGCTGAACCAACAACGTATCCCGCTGTCGCCGTCCCTGCACAGCTACCTTGCGGAGAATGATCGGCCACGCAACCGCGATTCCATGACATCGGATGTCCAGACTAAGATCGCGCTCCTCAACAGTCTCGCTGCCAATCCCGGTGCACAAGCTTCGCCGACAAGAGCGCCCAGAGGCGTTGGCGGATTAGGACTGAACGGAAACTCAGCCGGTGGTGGAGGAGCTGTACTCGGCGGAAATGGTGCGACGACCAATGTTAACGACAACAGTGCCCTGCAACAAGCAGTGATGGGATATGAAGAGGCGCAGGCCAGTTTGGCTTCCATTACTGCAGAGTTGGAGCGGGCGCGAGAAGAACTGACCTCGCGAAAAAAAAGAGAGAGGTTGCTGTCACAACGAGTGGAGGACTTGCTGGAGGAGTTGCAGGCAGAAAAGCAGAAGAGAGCTCGCGACCAAGAATCATACTCCAAGGAAATCAAGCGCTGTCGCAAGGAAGGTTACCGAGCAGAGCTGGCTGTGGTCGAATCTAGACAAGATCTGCAAGAGGTTAGGGCTGAGCTCAAGCGCTGCCAGGCCGAAGTTCAGCATGAGAAAGCGGAGAAGGAGAAAAGCCGCCAGGAGAGTTTTGAGAGAGCATATGCCCTTGCCGGCACGGTTGGGGAGGTGGATCAGCTCAAGGACCGTCTGAAGGCGATCGAGCAGGAGAGGGATGCTGCCCTGCTCGAGGCCAAGACAATTGCGATGGACAAACCTGCTATTGTGAACAGTCGTGAAGCAACAGAGCCGGAATTGAGCCAGATGGATGGGGCAACTTCTTGGGCTCCCTGGGAGGACGATGGAAACGAGACTCCGTATGATCTGGACGAACCGACGCAGTCCAACAAACCCCTCCGCTTGCATGCACCCGTCTTCCCCAGCTTCGAATCAATCAGGTTCCATCTGGATTACTTCGACAAGAAGGTGGAAGGGGTTCCTGTGACGCCACAAGAACAGATACAGTTCCTAAAACAAGAATTAGGGTGGGCACGGAGACAACACGCGGAAGACGCAGACATGATCCATTTCATGCATATGCAATGTCAGTTCAAGGCTTGCCCGTGTCGGCTGGCAGAGAAGAAGGGCGAGCGCTTTATCCATGATCATGCATACGAAGCGAGCTTGCAGCAGGAGAGATCATCTAAAAAGCGGAAGATCTCGATGGAGCCGGCCCAGACAGCGATGCCAGCCCGAAACCCTGCAGAGGAACCGAATATGCATTCATTAGACAAGGGAGATAGATCTGCTGCAGACTCGCCCCAGCCCGAAACCGCGGAGAGACAGGGCGTCGAGCTACCTCCAGACCCAACACCTGAAGTGCTGGAAAGAGCACGAGAAGAGCTGCCATTGCTTCTTGAGGAAGCCAGCGAAATTCCTCTTCCTGAGGCACAGCCTATGGAACTCGCTACAAGGGATGAGACACCGGAGCCCACCGCTCAGTTGGAAGAAATTACACAAGTTCTGGTCGAACCGGGGACATCCTCGAAACCCTTCTCCTTTTCAACCTCCACAACAAGCAATCCAGCTTTGAGAGCGACAACCCAATCTCCTCGACACACGGAAACTGCATCAGAAACTATGGAACAAGAACTATTCGACCTCTCACCCCCGAAACACGCCCCTCCTCGACGCCCCTCCACTGCTATGGGCATATTGGCTGTTGACTCTCCCATTCGTTTGGTTCCAGATTCGCCTCGTTCTGTTCGGGCGTCCCGTCGAGACCATCATAATGATACACAGTCGATGACCACAACTACGAAGGTAGCCTTGAAAGGCAGTCCTTCTCGGGAGAGTCAGCACAGACGAGCACAATCTCGCCCAATCCTACCAAGTCCTTCACCACTAGTGTCGTCAGTCATGTCTCACGTTGAGGACGAGGGAAGATTCACAAAAGAAACATCTGCCTCTCCCGCACCTAATACATTGTTTCCTGTGACACCACTCCACAAACACTCGAGATCGATGCACAACTTCACACATGGCCATCAGTCTCTGCAACAGACTCAGCCGAACAACGAGAGTCGTAGCTGGAATCAGAGTCCACCGCAAACCATTGCAACCACCACCACCACAATAAGAGTTCCCTTGAGAGGGTTCGAGGATGCAGACGAGCCGTCGAGTCCTGAACGCGATGGCATTCTCAACACACACAGATACGGCTACGAGCACGCCCACACCGAAGTCTTGAATGTGAACATGGACATGAGCACGATGACCATAGACCACAGCTTCACAAACCCCATTCGCCCATTGCAGAACTCCTCCACGTCCATACTCGGCAATATCCCCGGCACGCCTATCTCGCGAGAAGCGGCCTTGGCCCAGATCCGGGCACGACGGGATCGTGCGCGAAGCATCAATCTGAAACGGTCTACGGATGGCAACAGCAATGGCACTGGTAACTTGGGGAAGGGTGCAATGAAGAGCCCGACCAAGCCTAAGGCCATGAATGCTTTAGTGATGGGCGGGCTGTTTGCTAGAGACAAGGAAAACGCGTACGGGAAGAGAGAGATCAGCCAGGCGAGCGCGCCGGGCCGGTTCGCCGGTTGATGACCTGGGGAAAGAAAAGTGGGCTCGTTGAAGTGCTGAAGGAGTGTTCTGACCTTGGAGACAGGACAGATGGTTTCAACATGTATTGAGGTCCGGGCTTTGGGTAGGAAGTCCTGGATGTGTCCTGTAGGAAGCGAAGCAGACATGAACGAGAGGATAATTAATAATCGATCAGAAACAAAGCTTGAGAGGTATTGTGCTGTCTGTGTCCTGGTGTTCTTTTTTCCCTGCTCGATTGTTAGTCGTGAGGCCTTTGCATGGCATATGGACTCCAGAGAACAAAGGTCTTAACACTATAGTAGTTGGGATCTCAGGCAGCGATGGTGGTGACCACTGGCATGCCGTTCCAATCTGAGGCTTGGAGAGAAGGATAGAGTATTTTTCACTTTCGGCTCCAACGTCCGGCTTCTACTCTCCCCTTGTCTACTTGTTATCTGATCAAACACGAAACACCTCAGGGCATTCATCAGGTTGGGTACATCCGCTGTGACAGCCCCCATCAGAGTACATGTTCAGGCACAAGTGGCCAAGCGCGGCTCTCCTCCTCTCGGCGCTTCTTGCAAGGTTCATTTGACCGAGAAAAGAGCCGGCTGGATATGTCAACAACCCTGAGAGAATAAGCTCTAGCCCTTGAGACGCATCGAATGATGAAGCCGAAGTGCTGTCAGGGTTCCTTCACATTTGTCCCAACTTGAAATTACTGAATGTGCATAGTACCCGATGTCCCAAATTCCCACCGTAAGTATGTGTCCTTGACGGTGAGATGCAAGCGGTAGCACCCACAAATAGCGAAGGGAGTCCTCCCAGCCCGTTTCAATTGTTCACTTATTCAAGCTCAAGGTGGCTGTCCTGCAATTTTCTCCTTCAATGGTTATGAACAGCCTTTCCGTCGACCAGCAGGCGAGGGCTGCCAAAGCATACGTGTTCCAAGAACTCGCAAAGTCGAAGCAGGGACTGGAAATCCTGCAGGACAAAGACTTTGTCGGGCGGTTGGACATCCATTTCATCAAGATCTTTGCCATCTTCGCCGAACTGTACGGCTATCGACATGATTGTCTTGATCAGCTTGTCGATTTGGTGACAATTTGTGGAAAGAGTTGGCTGGAAAGGTCCCCGGAACTGCAAAAGATCGATCAACAGCGTGAATCCGACCCTCAGTGGTACATGTCAAACCAGATGTTGGGAGGCGTCTGCTACGTTGACCGCTATGCAAAGAACTTGACTGGCATCAAGGAACGCATACCATACTTCCAAGACCTGGGACTGACGTATCTCCATCTCATGCCTCTGTTCCTTTCTCCACAACCTCTCAACGATGGCGGCTACGCAGTCTCCAGCTATCGAGAAGTCCAACCAACGCTGGGCAGTATGGAGCAACTAAGAGAGCTTGCGAGCGAATTGCGAAAAGCGGGTATCAGTCTGGTATTGGATCTGGTCTTCAACCACACTTCAAACGAGCATCGATGGGCAAGAAAGGCTGCAGAGGGTGACCCAGAACATTCCGCCATGTATTGGATCTTCCCGGACCGGAGTGTGCCGTCAGCCTTCGAGCAAACGACGAGGGAGATCTTCCCAGACGACCATTCGGGATCGTTCATCCAACTGCCCGATGGACGATTTGTCTGGTCGACCTTCCACCACTTCCAATGGGATCTGAACTACTCCAATCCTGCCGTCTTCAGAGCCATGGCCGCAGAGATGCTATACCTGGCCAATGTCGGCGTGGACTTTTTCCGCATGGACGCCGTGGCTTTCATGTGGAAACAGATGAACACCGACTGCGAGAACTTGCCCGAAGTCCATAAGCTCCTGCGCGCATTCAATGCTTTGTGTCGCATAGCCGCCCCGTCGGTCCTGTTCAAATCCGAAGCCATTGTGCATCCGGACTATGTGGTCCAGTACATCGACCGGTCGGAGTGTCAACTGTCGTACAATCCCCTGCAGATGGCATTGGCATGGGAAGCCCTGGCCACTCGCGATGCATCGATGCTCTCGCAAGCCATCGAACGCAGACACAATATCGCCCGAGACTGTGCCTGGGTCAACTACGTGAGGTCTCACGACGACATCGGCTGGACCTTCTCGGACGAAGACGCGCAAGAACTAGGTAGGAACGGGACAAACCACCGCAAATTCCTCAACGCCTTTTTCGTGAACCGATACCCGGGGAGTTTCGCCCGCGGTGTCCCCTTCCAGGATAATCCGAAAAACGGGGATTGTCGGATCTCAGGTACGACTGCTTCACTGGCGGGACTGGAATCAATGCAAGACCATGCCATTGAGCGGATCCTGCTGTTGTACTCGATCGCCATGAGCACGGGAGGCATTCCACTGATCTATCTAGGTGACGAGGTCGGACAGCTCAACGACTACAGCTATATCAATGATGCGGCGAAAACAGATGATAGCAGATGGGTCAATCGAGCGCATTATCCGGAGTCGAGGTATGCGGAAAGACATGATCCTCATACCATTCCTGGTAAGATCTATGCGGGGATCAGACATCTCATACACCTGAGAAAAACCACAGGAGAGCTGGCCGGTGGGAGAGCTGTAGGGTTCTATACGGGCAGTCCGGCCATCCTTGGATATCAGCGGCCAGGGCCTCACTCGACGGTGCTGTGTCTGTGCAACTTCGCGGACAGTGCACAATGGATCGGTCGAGATCGGTTCATGAGGATGCCGGTCGAAGCCATGGACTTGGTTTCCAGATATATGATCAATCTGAGGGATGCAGGGATTGAGCTGAGACCGTATCAGTTCTTGTGGTTGAGATATTAGACATTTAGTATCATGAATGAGATAGTGCAATACGGTGCAATGGGTACTTAGGTATGGAGGGTTGCTTGAATTCATCACCCTGAAAGAAATGGATGGAGGTTGATGTTTACCTGTACGTGTATGAGTGCTTCAGGGGTAATAGGCATCACGTGCACCAACTATCAGCACGTGATGTCAGGTGACTGCAAGTGGATTCCGACCCGCCTGTCAGCCAGTTGCTGGGTTACGGGCAAAGTTTGCCCCGCCATTTACGATTCACTGCGACTTCAATTGTCCGTTGTTCCAACTTCACCTTCAAGTTGTGCTGGAGCCTTGAGCGTGTGCGACTAACCCGTGAATTTCCACGCCGCAGCCAGACACAGAGGCCAGGCACCATCACCATCTGTCCTGATATCTCTACTCACGCACCCTGGACGAGTATCTTCTTTCTCCCACTACCACTACCATTCTTCTGGGTAGAGTGATGCTATCCATCCATCCTCATCTTACCGCGGCATAACTACCGATCTGTGATCTACGATATCCGCGCCAATGACTGCAGTCATGGAATCGCCTGTCCTCATACCAGGCTCTTTCATGGCTGAACACGACACCAACTCACAGGCGACGCGCTGCCGGACGTCCATATTCATCTCTCCTACCGATGACAGTCCCCATGCGTCCACTCCCACGTCAAATTCTTTCTCCTCGCAGCCGATCTCAAACTTCTCAAACTTCACCGAGCACAACAATGGCCGCAAGCGACCTCGCCTCGGAGCCACCAGTAGTCGTGGTCGCAATCCCAGTGCACTGCGACGTGACTCTTATATCTCAAAACAGTCTCTATGTCGCGACGCTCTAAGTCCACCACCGTTCGTAAGCACGAACTACCGTATGGCTGGAGGCCTTGATGCCCAAGTTCTGTCAATGTCGCAACAAGAGGAAGATGAACGTGAATACGATTATGAAGTGGACTGCAGACCCAACCGATTTACACAAAAGTCTTCTCAGCCGACCGACTCCTACTTTCCGGATGCCTCTGAAAACGACTCTTATTTCCCAGCTTCCGCTTCGGAGAACTTGCCACCAGAGTTCCACCTTCCATACACGCCTGGAGTCAATGGAACGGGGCAAAATAAAAGAAAACAACCCTCAAGTCCACCAAAAGGCTGGGGCAAGACCGTCTGGGCCTTGACTGGCGGTATTGCCGGAAAAGTGATCAATTTCTGCTGGAACACCACCTTCGCAGGATTCCACGCTGGTGGAGGGAACGGATACCGATTCGACATTGGGACACCGGATGTCGCCGCCGGTAACGCATGGACAGAAGTCGACGCCCACCAGGATGTGTTTCACGCCGACTACGATGGCCTTTCTGATCGGCGACAACGGCGAGAACTTACTCCCGTTCCAGGAGGTTTCCCTGAAGAACAGCCCACCTTCATCGAAGATTACATGTCGAATCCATCAGGACCGAGAATGCACAACCCTGATTCCACTCCCACGATGAACGTACAGGGTGCATCGTCTTCCATCTCACACAACGACTGGGTCGTCATAGATCGTTCCGGAGAAAGCACTTCGCGAGAGGACAGCCCGGTACGAAAGAAGTCCCGAGCAAGCACGGCGAATCTCTACTACGCTCGTCCAGCACCGGCAAGACACGCCAGCGCCTCGGCTCGTCCACGCCTGGTTTCACGATCAACCCCTCACAATCACAAATCAACGGCGTCTTTCGCTTCTCCTCGCATATCGTCTCTCAACACGTCAAACACTTTTTCTTCGTCTATGCAGCCACGTCAGCCACTCTCCGCCTCTGGCGGCGCCGGGAATGCCAACTTGCCAGCACATGGGTGTACGCCTCCATCACTCTCAAAACGTCCATCTATCACCGGCAGTAGAGCATCACTAGCTTCCCCGCGTCGATATGCTAGTCAACCAGCTGCCATGTGCTCGGCCGTGTCGCAGTCTCCCAAAGCGTCGCCGGAAGTGCGCAAGTTCGAGCAGAAACTGCGCCGTAAAGAGGCCAAGCAGGATCAAACTATGAGTCGGTTCAATGCGCAGCTCGAGGCTATGATTCGTGAAGGACAGCAGGCTTTGGGATCGACTATTGAGGTGGACCTGGAAGGCGGAACGGAAGCGGACGGTATCGTCGTGGTTGACGAGAAAGATGAAGATGAAGGTTATGGATATGGGGAAGACAATGTGCTCCGTTACAACAAAGTCGGTGGCATGGGCAAGAGACATGAGAGAGGCTATGTCAGGCCTGGAGTATGGGCTTGATGGAAACTCGTCTCTGAAACACGGCTCATATTGACACGGAGACGGGTCTCTCGACAGCAACAGCAACACGACAGGGAGCGTGGTTCTCTGTGTGAAGTACAAAAGTCACCACGAGATTGGTTGACAGCATTTCCGACTGCCCGTGCTCAAATCACTTTCTCTACTAGCGACGATCAGGCAGATGAGCTGAAAAGGTGCACTTCCCAAGTCTCAGTCCCGGTGCGTGGACAAGAGTGGACGCAAGGACGGGTACGGGCACAGAAGTCTACCGGTAACCCATGTGTCTACCACGGTAGGGAGCCAGGGATACCGGGAAGCGGATTGAGACATAGGGAGAACTAGCTGACTACCTGAGCTGAGGAGATGAGGAGAGTTGATCGATTACACTCTACTTCTTCTGTAAAGACTTCTTTCGAACATGACTATTTAGATGGCCTTTGAGTTCCCGATGTTTGTGCCAGTTGATTCTTCCTGTCTACTTGTGCCTGTGCCAGTTCCTGATCCGCCACGTCCTGGAGCAACGGCATGAAACTGACTGTATTCACTTTGGGTAGCTGGGGGTTTCATGGTCACCGTCATACAAGCAAGCATAAGGCAACCCTAATATCGCTCCTGCACTATGCAGATGCTAACCGTATGGTTGTTCCTGACTACATAAGGCACCTATGTACGTACCTAGTAACCAACCTTCCTCCTCCCTCACCAACCAACCTACCAACCTACATCCCTCTTCAACTACTATCATCACCCTTCTTCGACCTAAAACACAATGAGTACCAACACATACAACTACTTGTACGCGCCCATACCAACTACCGACATCGATCTCGAAAAGAACAGCATCATGGAGTCGCCTGAGGCATGTTCTCTATTCATTCTCTCTCACTGATCACTAACACACCTTAGACTACCAAAACCCCTCAAGGCACACCTCAAGACACACAAGCACCCAACTTTCGTCACCCAACCTCACTATCCGATATGTTGACATGTTCGCTCGTGTCACATTCTACGCCCTTTTCCCTCTTGCCTGCCTACTTTACGTCAGGGTTTACCCGGAGGACACTTGCTCGCACTCCACCCTCAAAAGACTTGTCCTCGCGACCATTGCCGGTTATTTCTCATTCGGAGCCAAATATCTGATCCTGCATGAAGTGATGGAGATGGTCGTGCAGAGTGAGGCCTGGCGTGAGCTGGTGAATAAGCGCTATGGATTGATATGGTCTCTCATCTCGAGTTGGGTTATCAGCCATATCTTTTCTTAGACCATGAATCATCGGTTGGACAGAACATGATGCAGGTAAGTCTGATGATTGTGTTGCTCGTATGAGATATGCTTTGCGATCAAAAGATGGATTCCACTAACTGCCGTGCAGTATAGAACGGCAAAGTGGCCCAGTCACACTGGTAGGCTGGCCAGCGTGAGTGCTTGGTGTCTGTTGAATCGTGGTCCGTTGGAGCTTTCCTTCTGAGCTGTCTTCCAAAGGGGGGGCCGAGCTTGCTCGGACCCTGGTGTGCCGGTAGACGACGGCTGGGGTGGTAGCTGATGCGTTTCATCGAGCAGACTCTCACGAAGGCGACTCAAGCGCTGAGCTCGCGCTTGGTGGTCTAGTACGGACTGCTGTAGTTCAATCATTGCTTGGTTGACTTGCGGGTTTCCCGATGTTTCTTCGAACAAACTCTTGTCGTTGGAGGCAAGGCGGGCTGGGCTCGCAAATAGCTGCTGAACGGCCTCCGCTGTTGTGACCGGCAAAGACGTGGCTGCAGGGTTTCCCTCGAGGATATAAGCCGCCCATTGCCGATCAGCTGCGAATGCCTGGTTGACTTGGTCCTTCAACGTTTCGTATTGCGGTGTCGACAGCTCCTCGATATTTTCTGGCTGCGAAGCAATCTCTAGCCTTCTGCTGATGTTATCTCGGAGCACACCCAGGCTCTGAATCTGGGTATGTGCCTCTGACTGTAAGTGCTGACGCCTCTGAAGGGATTGCCGTAGGGAGACCCGATGGGCGAGGATCAAAGCAACCGTAGTTTCTCGATCGGACATTTGCCGCGTCTTTGCTTCCATCATCGCCAACGCTTGGATACCCTTAACACGCCCTGACTTCCTGGCCAGTCTCTTGCGCAAGACAACCATGGCGAACGCGGCCAGCAACTCTTCAAACTTCTCGCCTTTGCATTCATCCAGCATGGTCTTCCGCAACACCGTCTCGCGAGGGAGGACACCATCCCTCTTCAACTCTGTCAGCCACTTGTATATCGCGGTGCGGAGGTTCAACGATTGAATTGGTGCACTGGGAGGGAAAAAGCCCGCCAGTTTCGCGCGTGTTGCTTCGACATCGTAGACTTCGAAGAGCCGGTACAGACTCCACTCCACGGCTTTGATGCGCGATTGGAGATTCTGAGGCTGGCTATGGCTAGATATGGTCCTCACCGCCGCTGCAGTAACAGATGTGCTTGTGCTGCTTCCAAAAGTCGATTCCGTAATGCCAGGGAAATCTGGCAAGAGGTCGAGATCCAGGAGATGGAGGGTTCTGACAAAGATGGCAATATCGTTTCGGGGACGCCATTGGGTTTGAGGATTAGCCATCACAGTGCCGACTGTTGGAGCTCAATGTTGCTCGATCCATCGGCCTCTTTCGATATCCATGATGGGCTGGCAAGTCTTTTGTCCGGTTGTATCCACGGCTTTGTCACTCTTGTTGCGATGACAATAGGTGTGTTAGGTAGGAAACGATTGGAAATAGTAGGTCAATGAGAGGCGGCGGCGGGACGGAACGCGACGTCAGTTGGTAAACAACTTGAACCACTACAGAAAAGGAGAAATCAGCGATTTTCTGTTTGCTGCGATGCCATGAGACACCAACCATTCAAGTTGCATTCAACACCGGCAATACACGTCTACTCCTCTCTTGTTCTTTGTCTTATATGTTTGTCGCTGTACATATCCCCTAGGGTGCGGCGTGTATAAAAGCTATCCTGGAGGCTTAGATACTCTTCTTCTTCTTTTCTCTGCTATCTGCATTTAACTCTCTGCCTCGTTCTGTCCATACAAGTCGACCTACTATCGCAACCACTATGTCTTCAGACCAGCCTCAAGGTACGGCAGTTGACGCATGATATTGATAAAAAGCACCTGCTAACCGTATACAGTACCTGCAGGCATTGTTCGGACATCTCACACCTCTCTCCTCCCCAAACCCAACCCGTGGTCCGTTCGCGCCGTGCTCAAGGATCTCCCGAACCCGCCAGCAGAAAACACCTCCTCCCCCGTGTCGTTCTTTCACTATGTCGAGCGACTGAAGGTTGAAAAGCGCGAAGGCTGGCGCCGATTCGGCATTGCCCACGGAGAATCGATCGCAGATCACATGTACCGCATGTCGTTGATCACGATGCTTGCCCCGCCGGCATTGAGTTCCCGACTGGATATCCCTCGATGTACGAAGATGGCTTTGATCCATGACATGGCTGAAGGCCTGGTGGGTGACTTGACTCCTGTGGACGGCGTGCCCAAGGTCGAGAAGAGCAGACGCGAGGGTGAGACCATGGATTGGGTTGCGGAGTCGTTGCTCGGTAAAGTCCACGGCGGGGTCCCCGGGAAAGAGATCCGCGCCATTTGGCAGGAATACGAGGACAGCGAGACCGAGGAGTCCAAGTTCGTCCATGATGTCGACAAGGTCGAGCTGATCCTGCAGATGGTCGAGTATGAGCGGGCCAGCAACTGCACTATCGACCTCAGCGAGTTCAGTTGGGTCGCGAGGAAGATATTTCTTGCGGAGATGAAGGCTTGGGCGCAGGAGATTCTGGATGAGCGGTCCAACCTGTGGCAGAGCAAGGACTTGAAGCCGCGGGAGCCTACGGCGGCGGCGACAATCAAGGAGCAACAGAATCAGTACTATGGCAACGGGAAGACGGAGATCAATGGGTCACAAGTCACGAACGGACACGTGGAATCGTGAAATCGTGAAACGCATTGCATTGCATTGCAGGACATGGACTGGATGGTCATGATAGACGTGGTGGAATGGCTTTGTAAACCAGTGATACCCAGGGAGCAATAGATGTCTATGACTGCGGCCGTTCTCGTTGTGTTGCCGACTTCGGTCCTCGGTCCTTTCCGGTGTCATTGAACTGTGACACCTATTTCTCTCCTCTATTCGGTGGTCTTGCGGTGCAGCCTTCGTGAAGCTGCTTCAGGGCGGAGGCCGCCGCAGCTTTGTTGGTCCGAATTCAGTCCGCGAGCGAAGCCAGGAGATCGTAGAAGGTATCGGCTCTCGTGGGCAAGTCAGTCCAGGCAACCATCCTCGAACGCTGTCTCCTTGTATGGGCTGCTTCTTGCATATCATAACCGCAAGATGTGCCGGACCTGTGGTCAGCTCGGTCCATGTCCCAAGGCGACTGACGAAGGCGTTTTGCTGGTCTCCTTACGTCGGCCATTGTCAGTAGTGGCCAGACGCTCTCATTCCAAAGCTCAACTGTCTTCTCCACCATTCACGCGATCATGCTCCATCTCCTCCCTCAGCCATTCAGCTTCTTTCCTCATCTCATCCGCCGTCCTCGGTTTCCTGTCGCTGTCGGGACCATTGGAGAAGTCTTTCCTCTCCTGGGCCAACTCACTCCTCCGCCGCTGCATCTCGAGGAACGCTTTTCCCACGTCTCCCTCCTCGCCATCCATGTCGTTGTAAATCTGATCCCCTCCCCCTTTATGGTCGTAGTCTCCTTTCCGTCGCGGAATGACATGAACATGAACGTGCGGAACAGACTGACCGGCCTCCACGCCGTCCTGGACGGCAATGTTGAAAGCACTAGCCGAATACACCCGTTCTAGGGTCCGCGAGACACGTTGCACCGTTTGGAACAGGTCGGCTGTCTCTGCAGGGCTGAGCTGTGATAAGCGTGGCACACATCTGACTGGACAGACGAGGACATGTCCTGGCAGCAAGGGTTTGAGGTTCACCAAGCCATATGATAGGCTGGAGCGGGAGAGATGGAAGACTTGATGGGGGACAGGGAAGGGACCGAACTTGAGGTTAGGCGGTAATTGGAGAGGCGGCATGGTAGATGTCTGTTTGTCCGTTGGTACAGGTGTGTCGTGTTCCGCGTTGATTGACATGATCTGCCGTCAACTTGAATATGAATGGCTGGCTGCGAGGCTGCGAGGCTGCTGGGGATGATGATCTGGCAGCTCGGTCTAAAGGAGCGGCAGATGGATGGGATATTTGGACCTGGTACAGTCACCACAGTCACTACTAGTACAACAAGGAGTGACTCCTTCACTGGCAATAGATGCCCAACTTGAGGAGCCGTTCAACTTGAGGTTGCGTCTGTAAACATCCGAATCAAGGGTCTTGGCGCCACAAGAACAGTCGCAGCTAGTACCCCGAGCTCGCCCCCTTGCTCAGCCTCCGCGTGCCGCTTAATCACCCTCTACTTACCTACTCTATACGGCGAGCCCTCTCGTCGTGAATACCCGACGGACTCGACCTAGCGCGAGGCTAGGATATAGGATAGGGCCCCCTCTAGTTACCCGGTCCAATACTCCTGTTAGAATTTGTCGACCTAATCCCTTCGCAAGGTCGCCCGTCTATAAAAGTTAGCACAGGCCGCTTTCTCCCTAGAGACCTATAGTTTGATCTTTCGTTTTCTTTTCTTCCTCTTCGGCCTCCTCCTCACAAAGTTCCCATATGATGACGTCATTATGGCTGAGACATCAATGTAAAAATGCCGAGAAAGGTCGCAGGATCGTATGAATTCCCAGGCAGTTGAACTTCTGACAGGAAAACTACATATACCTTACACACTGGAATGTTATCACCGATTCTTGCTTCATCGTTGAGCTGGTCGCTGTCGGTTGATGAAGTCTTCTGACTTCCGCATCAAATGCAGTATTCCGCTTTCTCCTCAATGAGTATCGAACACAGTACAAGGTGACCGATTGTAGAAACGCTGGTGTCTCAAGATCTTTACTGCAACAAGCATACAGGCAAGTCGAGCTGCAGGTACCTGCAACGACCAGTGCAGGCTGGTCTCCGAGCTGTTGTCTGAGGTTCTCGCCGTCAGATCGAACAATATCCAGATGACGTGACCGGGAATGACGCTACCGGGTTGCTGGTTGAAGGCGATCTGGCGCTGCTTGCTGAGGCGAGTCCGGTACAGCTCGTTGCGATGCACCCGATGCTGCCTTTGCTGATACTTGATACAATCTCGGGGTTGGTATAAAAGAGAATACGCTTCGGAAATTGCCCCTGTATGCATATTAGCAAATCACTGGACTGAGTGAGCGAACCTTTTGACGTACACAGTCTGCCAGAACCAGGCGAAAATGACTATGCCACCTGCAAGGGAGGCAAGCGCCAGCGACATTATGCCAATCGCGTCATGGTACTTCCTCAATGCTTCTGCAATGGCCAAGAACCCTCCAATGGGTAACAGTTGAGTTATGAGTATTGACCAACTCAGAAAGACCAGCAGCCGGTATGACCCCCATTTCCGGTTTTCGGCATTGGCTGCATTGATCCTGTTGATTATTGAGGTCTTATTTACACTCACCAGCATCGCAACGAATGTGGTCCAGCCAATAGCAGCCACAAACATCAACCAGGCTGCAGCTAGACACGTGCGTATATACTCTGTACACGTGTTCGAATCCTTGCAGTGGACTGGCGCTTCAATGCCGGAGAAGATGATCGTGAAAACGAAACCTGCGCCGAGTGACGCGATTCCAACGACTGCACCAAAAAGCTGCGAGTACCATTCCAACCACTCTTCAGGAGTCATGGCTGTCTCGAATGACCTTTCACGTGGTTCGGTGTGAGTTACTGGGCTGAGGTGTAAATACACACACAGTGGTAAGTGGGCGTGGCTTCGCTGAGCTCGAAAAGGACGCGAGTGTTTTCAGTCAAAATTCGAGCCAGCTGAAGAGACGAGGTCGTTTATAAAGCAGGCTGTACAGCTTCTCACAGTCATGTGCCTTCAATACGAGCCAAGCCTTGGCTGCCAACAAAGAAGTGATGAGGCTGCAGAAGACACGACTGTGGCTGCATACTCGCCTGCAAGATGTTCTAGGCGCACTTCAGCTGTGTCAGCAGTCTTTGTGATCCTCGAGATACTAAGGAATCCTTGTGTAACTTATACCTGATTTCTGGTATGATGTCTACGCTGCAGGAGTCTGAGTTAACACGGAAAGAGAGTCTTTCGAGACGAACAAGGAGCTGAAAAAGTTCTGTGACCTCAGTGGCCTTGAATCTGGCGGACATGCGTCTCGAGACCTCGTGTTGCTCACTCCATGTTGCACACTGCAGGCTACGGACTAGGCGTCACTTGGAGCGACTCTCTACAAGGTAATAGGAACTCGACCTGTATCGTTCGTCGTCCGAAATTTATGAGAGAGCTGTGCTTCGTCATGAGACAGCTGATTCCAGGCTATAAAGCTCGACCAAGCTTGAGACTCTTTACCACCACCATGCAGGCACAGACATCTCCAATGCTCATCATTGGGAGCGTCTTAGATCCTGGCTGTTACCCCTGGAATATTCAAGGTCGTTGGATGCAATGATCTACTCGTGCCAGAATTCCAATATGTGCAGATCTTAACATTGGCGAGACTTTCGGCCTTGCAGAAACAAGAGCTCTCGGACATCGGACTGTCATTCCAGCGCAACCTGGCATACATTGTCGACCTTTACAGCTTCCGCGCCAGCAACACAAGAGCGAGAGCCGAGCTCCACAATCTTGGGTGGGCTAAAGTTCGACTGGAGGATATCGTGATCGACGCCTCAATAACAGAAGAACCCATGGCTACGACCCAGCCACCTGCGATCTCAGTCGAAGATAAGCCCTTGATTAGCCCTTCGGAGGCCAAGTCTCATGTTGATGGAGATGCAATTGTGCGTTTGATCGAACCCTTCACTATGTCGTGGGTCTTGGTAAAGATCGCGGACGGGGCAATTGCGTGGGTTGGGTCGAAAATCATGGACCGCCTCTTTGGGGGAGGCAGTAAATCAGCAGGAACTTTGTCCCAAGAGTCGATCCAGCAGATCGCTGCAGCCTTCCAACAAATCCTTGAAGCCCAGAGACTCCAAGATGCCAAAACTCGTCTTGATGCGATACAAACCAATATCCTGGAATACAACAACTCTCCTACGACTAGTCTGGACCGGCTAGCCTTTGCTACCAACCAGTCGCTTGACTCGGTCACGGAACTGGCTACGTTTAAATGGGCAGGGCTTCCATCATACCTTCTTGCCGCCACAGTCAGGCTGACGGTCCTTCAAGAACGTTACACAGCGTTTGGGGACAATGGTGAACTTCTCAACATTCTCTCCCATATCGAAAGCGCGTTTGATGCGACAGCGGGAGCGGAAAAAGATGGGAGAGTGACTCTGGATCTTGCTTTTCCGCTCCCAGTTATACGTGTACACATTCCCCGTTTCCCGGTAAGCTATTACTATTACGACCATGGAAGAAGTATCTGGGGTGGCTATTCAGAAGAGCAAGCCATGACCGCGAGGTCGATTGCCAAAGGTGCCTTCACGTTTCAGGAGCTGGATCCGGTCTGGAAATCCTACACTCAAACCAGGGATGCATGGAACACTGTCAAGTTCGCAACCCGACGAAAGGGCGAAGACGCGGGTCTCACACTGCCTCCTCTTCAATGAGGTCGACAAGACAGAGTCTAGCGTTGGACGCTCAAAGCGCACGATGATTGGAACCCCAGTTCTTGGGTAGTGAAGTAGGATGGCAGAGGATTCTGCTGGATACTCCTGGCATCGACATGCATTCAGTTGAAGCCCATGCTATAACTCATATTATCACTCATTAATCGCTGTAGTGACTACCTACCTTAGTAGGCTAAGGAGGCCCGGCCGGGGGTGAGCTCCGAGTCCGAGTCGGGGCAGTCGTTACTTCTCTTGGCATCTCTCTGGGAGGCTGACAAGGAGGCCGCCACTGGCACTGGCACTGCAGCATCTCTCCTTCGTCCACTCGCGCACTCTTCGACATAGTACTACCTACCTTACCAGTAGATCAATCTTTGTCGCCGCAGACTCGACCATACATCTCTTCTAGACTGTTTGTTTGCTCCATCTGTCTGGGTTGGTCCCCCCAATTGCATCGGCTCTTTGTTTCTAGCTACAGTATAATTGGGTCAGATCTGCTGCTCGTTTCTCCACGTCTCATCAATCAGCAAGCGAGCCAGCATTCTCCTCGACCCGCCGCGCGAAGTGTCCCCATCACTTAGACTCAAGGTGGTGCCTGCCGACTGGGAAATAGAACGAGCGGTCTCTGCATGACCGCGAAACAGTACTTCATAGAGAGCAATACACCTTGTATATTCTCCCGCAACATGTCTCAAGAACAATCCGTCATCCACCCTGCTACCTCTTCGAAAACCGGCACATTCTATTTCGCTTTTGGAAGTAACCTGTCACCATATCAAATGTCCATTCGGCTGCGACACAATCCTTCCTCGAGCGTCCCGGTCGCCATCGCTCGGCTCGATAGTCATGCTTGGATCATCTGCCAACGAGGGTATGCGAATGTGGTAGCACTGCCTCCGTCTAATGCAGCCACTGACGACAATACTGTATGGGGGATCATATACAACATGGATCCTGTCGATGAAGCCCGACTGGACATGTTTGAAGGACACAACGAAGCAAGGAACCCCGACCCGCAGGTCAACCCCGACCCTGCCACGCAGCATATCAAACAGTATCTGCAGGGAGGCTGGGATTATAACAAGCATTACCTGCCCGTGACGGTCACCAAGTGGCTGCAAGATCCCAACCAGTATGGAGTCGGTGTGCCGGACTGGGAGCGTCCTGGTCCTCAGAACACGACGATCCGTGCTCTCGTATATGTTGATGAATTCCGCACCAAGCCTGGGAAAATAGCACAGGAATATATCGGCAGGATGAACAGGGCGATAGACGAATCCGTACAGCTGGGGTTGCCACAAGCTTGGGCTGACAATGTCATGCGCAAGTTCATTCCCGAGGGCATCTATGTGGACGACCATGGTTATGTCGGGACAGAGGATGGCTACGTGGAGGCTGAAGCAACGGAGGCTAGCGAACATGTCACGGAGGCCACAGTAAGGGAGCGGAACTGACATGGGTCCAGCCATTGCGAGATGAACTGGGTAGACCGACCAGCACCAACCCCGAATATCCATTCCAGTTGTTTTCTATTGAGTTAGAACCGATTCGACGGCAGAGGACTTCCTTGAGTCGATATCCAATCGTCGTTTCTTTTCGACGTCGAACAAGAGGAGAAATGAGGAATGCACTGACCCCGGTTCATGCATATCCGACTCTCCTCCATTGGAAGTCTTTCATGAGGGCGCCTTCCGGGTTGTCTTGCGCAGACGTGTACATTCGGCGGTTGCGTCCAAGCTCTGATGCGCCGCCTGATCGCCAGCAGAGCTGTCAAATACAGATCCCTTCACTCCATAGACAGCAAGTCATTGGGTGCTGGATGTGATATAGCGTCTGGTTGGTCAGACGGCCGAATCGACCGGGATCGATGAGCTAGTTGCAACAGGTCAGTTTGTTCATAGAGCTCGCTAACGATGTCACCCACCACACACTCGACACGGCTTCGACAGCGGGTGAGCCGGAACGAGTCTGTCCTGACAGCGTCCTAACAACAATGACTCTCGGATCACAGGGAAATCTACGTTTGAGGAAAAGGCAAGCTCCCCGGGAGCGGGCAATCCGACTTTGGCAACAGCCTGGAAGGCCACTATCCATACCAGTAAGCAAGGCGCGTCGTGGTCCACCCATCAAGATCCCTGCAACAATGCTGGCCACTGATTTGCTCACCCTTGCGCTCGATACTGCCCATATCGCGCCGGCCATTGATACAGCAGCCCAACGAATCAAACACAAGAAAAGTACCCCCTTCTCAGCTAGCCTCACGCATGCTTCATAGACAACACAGCTCCAGCCCTCGCTTAGCGAGAGCAACACCATTCGCGAAGAAATGCTCCCAAGGTCCTTCATTCCCCAACGTGCCAGTGTACATCTCGAACAGGAATCTGGCTATTGCACCCCGGAGACAGATATGGCGGGCGGGCGATCAGATCTATTGTGAAGAATCGTTTCTTTTCCGTCGATCGCTGTGCTTTTGACTCCTCCTCGCAGACCTCCCGGTTTATCTTGCTCTTTATAGACCCACCACCCTCAGTCTTTGGCTTCTGGCGCGTGATGGATATGAGCGCAGCAGCAGCAGACGTTTGATTGTTGAGTCACTCCACAGATCTTGTTGTCAATCATTATTGACCCCTTGGGTAGAAAGTCAAAGACGACCCGACTCCCGCCAGATCAATTACACTTTTCAGCCTTGCGACGCCGAAGTCTATTATCCTCCGCCTACCATCCTCACACTCAACCTATCATTGCTCCGTCGCCTTGATACCAATCTCCCGCTCCGCCCAACAATCATACTACCAGCAAAGCCAGAATGCCTCCGCCGTCCTCGTTGGAAGCCTACCGAGTAGGTTGGATATGTGCATTGCACACCGACTTGCTCGCCGCCCGAGCGATGCTAGACGAAGACCACGGCATGATCCGCGGCCACGGCCAGGACGCAAACACATACGCTGTCGGCCGGATCCACGACCACAACGTGGTGATAGCCGGGCTTCCAGCGGGCATTGATGGTCCGGTGTCCGCGGCCAGCGTGGTCAAAGACATGATCCGGGCATTCCACGACCTCCGTTTCATGTTGCTGGTGGGCATTGGCGGCGGCATCCCCAACCTTCCGGCCTTAGATATCCGGCTCGGAGACGTCGTCGTTAGCCAGCCGAACGGCACCAATGGCGGAGTCATCCAATACAACCGCGGCAAGAATTACCACGGCGGGGCATTCGAGAGAAAGGGATCCGTCAATGCGCCGTCGAACGTGCTGTTGACGGCCCTGACGGCCCAGAGAGCCGAACATCAACTCCACGGCAGTCAGCAGATGTCTGCCTTTCTCACCGACATGATCAACCGCCATCCCAACCTCAAGAACGACTTCGCCTACCCCGGCGCCATGTGCGATCGCTTCTTCAGGCCGGACTACGTCCATCCCAAAAACCAGCCCACCTGCCAATCCTGCGTCCCCGGTGCGGAGGTACCTCGTGCCCAGCGAGGCACTAGCACTCCGGAAGTCCACTACGGACTCATCGCCTCGGGCGACCAGGTCGTTAAGGATCCCGGAGTCAGGGAGTTCCTGCGGACCAAATACGGTGCTTTGTGCGTCGACATGGAATCCGCCGGCCTCATGCACAACTTTCCCGGTCTGGTCATCAAGGGCATCTGCGACTATGCCGACTCGCACCGGAGTGATCTCTGGCATAAGTACGCTGCTGCCTCGGCCGCGGCTTGTACCAAGGAGTTGCTGCATTACGTCTCTTCCGCCAAGATCGACCACGAAAGTCCAATCCACGAAATCGTTGGCGAAGGTGGTCGCTTTCTCGAGAATTACTAGTCGAGATACCTACAAAGCAGTCTCCTCCGTCATCTGATGCTGATTCGCCGTTCACCTGGGTACCACGTATAGTCGTCAGAGTTGTATTCTGGGATCCTGAGATGTCTTCCGCCTTCCGCCTAGCGAAGATGGCGGCATCGAGACCAGACAAGAGTTCGGCGGCCAACTCTTCACCGACGAACTTCTGAGACAGAAACAACATTCAAAGGGAAGGGAAGATTGACGACCAGCCAACAGCATCTCTCATCTGAACAAGGAAACAGACCAATTGATGAAAACGCATTGTTTGGTCGTGATGACACAGTTTTGACATAGTTTTGATTTATATGCACCCAGCGTATCAACCCCAAGTGCTTCACACTCGACACCCTTGAATACCTAGTTAGTTATCATGTATTTCGATTTAAATGGTCCCTTCTTCCTTTGTCGAGTCTATCCCATAAATACCACACTAATAAATCCCCTCTGAAGATAACGTCGAGTGTTTCACGTCTGGGAATCAGTCTCTCGTGGAAACCACACAGCGCACGAAATGAAGCCCGCCATCCTCCAGCAGCCATGTCGCCGAGGGTATCCCGACTCACGAGTGAAATATTGCTTGCTACAAGGAGATGGACACAATAATCAGTAGTTGTAAGAAGTTGTTGTATCTGTATCTGTGTTCTATTCAGGCTTATGCAATTTCATGGGCTCTGCTCAGTCGTTGCTACCTAGTACTAATGAAGGACCCTTCATTTTGATACCGAATCATCAACAGAGCGCCGTCCGTTTCCTGTTGCTCCTGTCAGAGCAACCGCAATTGAAATACAAAAGAGAAAAAAGGCGCTTCCCATCCTGCGATTATCCCTCGCCCAGACCGTTCAGATCAAATCATACATTTGTTCCAGATACGAGCTCTGCCACTTCTGCTCTCTACTCCTGGAAGGCGGACACGGCGACAGCAACGGCTTGGCTGTCACTGTGGCTGATGCTGACGTTGACCGTCTTGACACGGACAGACTTTGCGGCTTCGAGAGCAGCTCCGTGAAGCTCGACTTTCGGGGCTCCATTCTCGTCATTCAGGATCTCAATGTCGCGCAGCGAAGCCCCGGCTCCTTTGCCGGAAACTCCCAACGACTTGAACACAGCTTCCTTGGCACTCCATCGCCCAGCATAAGAAGCTTGGGGAGAAGGTGCTTTGTCACAGTAGGCGCGTTCCTTTTCGGTGAAATTTCTCTCGAGGAAGGTCTCGTTGTCAATGTTGATGGCTCGGATGTCCTCAACATCAACTCCAACTTTCGATCCTTCGGCCGCGCTTGCCTTGGCCAGAGATTCGAGCAAAGTCTTTGTCTCCACGGCTTTCGGACTAGATGGACTCTTCGCCGGTGTAGCCGGGAAGACAAATTCGCCGGTCTTCTTGTCGGCGGTAACCCGTTGTTCGGGGTTGAGGAACACCTTCTGCATCAACTCGTCTGGATAAGGTGCCTTGGACTTGGCCACAAACAAGGAGTTGTTGATCATGCCGTTGTGGAAGTATCTGTAGGCCCGCTTCTGTCGGGCTTCCACCTTCGCCTTGTACCGCTCAAACTCGCCTTGTTCCAAGGCGGCATAGAGATATTTGGGGTGAATGCCAATTGCCTGAGCACCCTTCTGGCCGAAACCGAACGAGGTGACGGAGAAGGCCTTGATGCCGTCAGTTTGCAAAGTCCGATTCGGATAGACAATGTAATCAAACTTCTCCATGACTTGATCGACATTGTCGGCATTTCGGTTCCCCGGGACAAGGCCACTGTTCAAGACTTGCAGGCAGCCATTGAACATCCAGGCTCCAGCAGCACCCTTGGGGTGACCGGTCAAGTACTTCTGGAAGATACCGAGCAGGGCATTGCCCTTCTTACGGCCCAGGTGCTTCATCTGTTGGCAGATGACATCGGACTCGTTCTTGTCATTTGCAACCGTAGAGGTACCGTGGAAGGATGCAACATCGAGGTCATCAATTGTAAGACCCCAGGTGGCAAGGGCCCCGCGCAAAGGAGCAATGGTAGGATCTTGTTTCCAGAATGCATTGCCCAAGCTATATTGGGCTTCCTTCTCTTGTCGGATGGCCTCACGTTCGATATGTGCGGCACGCTCTTCCATGTATTCGGTTTCATCAAAGCCGAAGCCGGTCTGACTCTTCATAGCGGCCACCTCTTCGTGGAGGTACAAGAGTTCCGACTCTTGCCAGTTCTTGATGGCTCGTCTTCGAAGATCCAGCTGCCTCTTTCGGTAATTGATGTCGAGCAGAGGCGACGGATACTTGCCAGGGTTCTCTCGAGCAGTGGTCAACACACCTTGGCCAGGAGCAGGGACGGAGCGGCCAATCTTGTCGGTGGCGGTGGTGGTCAGACCCAAGATACCATAGATGGGGGTTCCCATATCCAGGGCCAACCGGGCGGACATGATAACTTGCATACCGCAACCCTGGGACTCCATGAAGCCGTTTCGGGTTGTGGTGGTGGGCCGAGACATCTCCCTAGGCGTACGGCCGTGGGCGAATTCGTCCTCAGCGTTACTAGTGGCTTTCATGTTGGCGAACTCGTAGGAGCCTTCCTCTTGGAAGTCATCGAAACCACCGACGAAACAGACACGCGCCTTTCCTTCAACAATGGTCTCATAACCGATGTCAATGGACTCAACGGCGGTGGCGCAAGCACCAACGGGTGTCTTGATAGGGCCAGTTGAAGACAAAAGCAGCATATTAACCCAGGCAGCCATAGTGTTGATGAACGATTCCTGCAAGATGTCCTTCTGAACAGGCTTGTCCATGAATCGATCCTTGTACATACCACGAAGAGCTGTAGTACCACCAATACCAGAGCCAACGCAGTTGCCCACTTCGGAAAGGTGGACATACTTGTAGAACTCGTAAGGATCGGTGATACCAGAGCACAGCAGCGCCTCGACTGTGCACACAAGCACAAACAGTGTAACCTGGTCGACTTGCGAAATGATGTCGTCAGGGACGCCATAAGTCTTCGCGCTCCAGCCGGTAGGAATTTGACCAGCAACGAGACGATCAAATCTGAGAGCCTTGGGAATGAGCAGAGTGGCCCCCTTCTTCAGGCGGACGGTATACTCTCCTGACTCCAACTCAAACACCTCGACCTTGTCGCCATGTTGTCGCTTGAACTCTTCGGCATTCTCCTTGGAGGCTTCGAACTGGTCAAGGTCTTCCTCAATCTGGATTTCCTGTAGAAGCTGCTTCTTCTTGGGGTCGTATCCATTGAATAGTTCAGGTTCAATCAAACGAATGCCGGAATGCTCGAGGATAAGCTTCTCGTACTTGGTTTTGACGTCCTTGTCATCTACAGGCTCGTTGGTTTTCGCGTCAACCCAGCCGGAGTAGGATTTGCCCTTGAGAGGTCCGTTGTGATTCTTAATGAAGCCCATCATCCAGGCCATCTCAACGCAGCCTTCCAATGAGAACTCGCCATAAGCCTCCATATCCCAACGGGTTCTGGAGTTACCCCACGGACCGATCTCAGCAAAGCCGGTGACCACAACAACCTTGTCGAGGTCGACCATGCCTTTGAGTTTCGAGTTGAGTGGCTCAATGTCCTCCTTCCACCTGGGTAGCTCAGGGAAAGGAAACTTGAGGTTCGCTCTTGGTTCGATGGTGACTTTCTTGTAGAGAGCTTCACTGTCTTCTCCGTTGACGACCTTGTTCTCCAGGGCCGTCTCTTTGGTGACAGCTTGTCGGATTGCGCTCGTCTCCATGATTTCGGCTCGCAGTTTAGTCATGAGATCTTTCAAGTCCGGCAAGAATTGCAGGCCGCCGTTCAAATCGGCAAAGACCGGTTCGGTCTGGCACAAGTCAACGATAGCCGGAGACATAAGCCCAAGCAGGTTGAAAGCCATCTCTTGCTGCGAGAAAGTCCTGACACCGTACTTCTCCACGCCATCTGCGACGATGTTGTTGCCGCTCATTAAGCCAGTTCCACGAGTCCAGCCAATGACAGCGCCACAGATCGTAAGGTAATCACCCCAGCTCTCCGAGTGCCAACGGTTGAAGAGAGTCTCCAAGGCCAGCTTGGACTCTGAGTACAACCCATCATTGCCAAAGGTACCGTGGTTGGGGGAGAGCGGCAGCATAACTTGTGCTGGTCGGGTGTTGAACGCATTCTCGAACTTCTTGGCCTTGACAGCACCCAGAAGGCGGATCAGGTTGGTCAACATGATACGGTGCGCGAGCTCTGACTTGGAGTCAATGCTGTCGATTTCACGACCGTTCTCCGGAATGGCCGCAAATGGTATGATGAAGTCTAAATCCCATCCCAACCCTTTCTTGGTGTCATAGATGTAGTCGATAAGTGCATCAACATCCTGCTTGCTACCTTGGTTGAATGGGACAACCACGAGTTGAGATCCACGACCGCCATAGCGAGCATACATAGATTGGTAGTACTCTGTGACCTCACGAGAATAGCGGCTGGTAGTGACCACAACTTTGGCACCACCACTAATCAGTCCTTGAAGAACCTCAGCACCGATGGATCCGGCGCCAGCACCAGTCATGAGGGCCATCTTGCCTTGGAAACTCAGACCAGATCTCGCAGCGTTCTCCATGCACTCAAGATAGGTGCCGGTGAGCTTCTTACTATACTCCCAGCCATGCTGGTCCTTCTTCTTGAGGTGCAGGAATGGAATCGTTTCCGTTTTGCCTTGCTTGACCGTGCCAGTCACTGTCGCTCGGGTGACGGATCCGTTTCGACCAGGCTTCTTGACGTCTCCATTTTCTTGCGGCATAATTTGAGATTCATTCATAGCCAGGGCGCGAATGACGTCCTTGTACAAGGTGTTGAACTGCAACTGAGCTGTTTTTGACAGCTTATGTTGCTTCCGGATCAACTTGTAGACCTGGCGAAGATCATTCTGCACCTTCGTGCGGTTGCTGTACTCAGTAATCTTTCCACCTTCAGCCATCTCACGAACATAGTGCTCAAGTTTGCGAGCACTCTGCCTCGGCACTTCCTTATAATCGAGGTTGCCGCGAGCGTCGATCGTTGTCTGCGGGCCTGTGGGGACTGACACATCTTTGTAAACTGGTGCCTCGTGGAGCACGTCCTTGCAATTCTCGATCAACTGCTGGCCCAGTTCTTTAGCCAACTGGTAAGTCTCGCCTCGGTCGGTGGGGCAGTTGTCTATGTGGTATTGCATGTACTCGATCAATGTGGGATTCGAGCGGTTCATGATACGAATGCACTGGCTGACAATTTCTCGGTCCACGACCCTGAGACGACCGAAGATGATGTCATAGTACATGCTCAGAGCATCCTGGCGAGCCCAATTCCATGAGGAATCATAAACTCTGGCCTTCAATGAGCTGAAAGAAGGCTCGATGCCGGAAGCATAGAATTCGCCATGCTCGGTGTTCCACAGATCGAGCTGAGCCTGGAGAGCCTTGTTGGTCTCCTGAGAGCCGAGGAATGCCTTGTCACCGGAACGTAAGTCCATTTTGAGATAACGGGCAAACAGCTCGAGTTGTTGCTTGAAAAGCGCCCGTTGGTCTTTTGTCAGGGCATCGATTGCGGCAGGATCCATCATCATACCTGCGCCTGCACCGCCCGCTGCTGGGCCAGCAGCCGAGGCGGAGGACAGGCTAACCCCTGCTATCGAGGCGTATTTCTGGGCGACATCAGAGAGATAAGCTTTGGCATCAGACTCGGACCCTAGACGAGACGGAGGCTCCATGGTCAACGCGAGCAAAAGTGTCCCATCCTGTCTGCCAGGACCCAGGCCAAAGGTGCTCTCCAGGTATTTTCTCACAGCTGTGATGTTGAAACCACCCGGCATTTTGGATGAAACCAACCGAGCAATCAATGATTGTGACTGTTTGCCCAGCTGGCCATTGAAAGTGGACTGCATTGAAGCACCCAACTCATCAAGCGGTGTATCTTCCGGCTTCTCGGGCGTAGAACCAAATTCTTTGCCCAAGTCACCTAGAATCTCGTTTTGCAGGGTAGACTTTCCACCGACCAGGTCTTTGATGGCTTTGTTCAGCGGGATATCTGCCAGAGGCTTCTTGAGCTTCTGAGCGATCAGGGCTCGTACTATATCGACAGCTCCGACTGGTGCATCAGGAACAGCTGCAGCAGGCCCGGCGCTGGCAGCCGGTGGAGGAGCGGCCGCGACCGGTGCGGCAGCCGCAGAAGTTGGGCCAGAGGGTGCTGGGGCAGCGGAGGATGAGGCGGCCGGAGCAGGCTCTTCTTCGATGGGGTCGACATCGTAGTAGATTTCTTTTAAATCTTTGTTGTAGGCCAAGACCTGTCTCTGTACAGATGTAGCTGCATCGTATGCTTCATATTTCGAGGCCAAAGTCCTCTTTGCCATTCCACCGAGTGTATCCGCAGGACCAATCTCCACAATCCGCTCTGTTCGATTCTTCTCGAGGATAACATCTTGAGTCTCGATCCACCGGACGGGTGAGGCAAACTGATATGCTAGCAGCTCCACAAGGAGCGTATGGGCGAGCTCTTGCTCGATTTCGGGATGCATTGTAGCGGATGCGGTCGTGGTAGAGTGATTCGAGAGGTAGAGAAGAAAGTGAATGTTCGATGTGAAAAGTCTGCGTCGTCTTATGCCCAGTGCTGGATGAAGTGAATCAGAGCACTGGCAGGGCAAATAGACAGAAGGCCGCACAGGTGAGGGAAAGAAAGAACTGTGCTAGACCAACTGCGACGGCTGTAGTTGGTGGTCGAGGTGAATTGAGAGAAATGGTGGATTGGAATTTAGGATGGAGGACCGATCAATCAAAAGGTGACGAGTTTCAAGAACAAAAGTAATCAATGACCAGGCCTCCGCTGCTCTCGCCGTAAGGTCGGACAAGAGGGTTGAGTTTGAGGATTTGGTGGAATCTGGAAGGAGTTGGTTGGGATCGTAGTAAGGGAAAATTCGCCCACACCGGCGTCAGAATGCCTAACAAGAAACCGGGTAGCTGTGTTAAGCTAGCAGTAATAGTGTGGTGGTGGCCGATGGTGAGGCTGAAGCGCACTGCAGGTAGAGACTAGGCGAGCCCTTTCAGGGTTCAGTACATGTTACGGGCCGTTCTCGTACTGGTTGACAAGTGTGATCTCTTCCCCAGCCGTTGGCCGGTTGGAGAGCTCAATGAAGGTTGAGAAAAGAAGTGGAGTGCATTGATCAATTGTCTGGCCACCGAGCGTCGCCCCGCCAAAATTTGTGCTAGGGATCAATTGGAAGTTTAGCTGATGAGCCGCCGAGAGAAACCCCCGAGGCTGCCTCCTTATAGGCGTCTTCTACGCAATGCAGGGCTGTCTGCTAGTACACGAGAACACCACAGAAAGAGGTACGATATACGACGGCCTCGTATGCTAGAACTCCATCAGCCATCTTGGAATCACTGTTGCCTGGCATACTAGGCATCAGGATAACAAATGAATCAATCGATTAGTATTCATCAGATATTAATCATCTCAAAGGACAGACTGTTCCTTTTTTTGCATTGCGGTTGGGAGAATGGAGCGAAATGGTGACGCCTCTGGGCCTTGTCCCCTGCAGCAGCGTTGCCCACCAATTTTTAGCCTTCTCCCCGCCGTGAATCTCGGTGCCCTGATTGGTGAACATGGTTAATTCAGCGACGCCGGGAAAAGCTCGTCGCTGCCCTCAACCATCTTGAAGCCGGGGCGCATAATTCTGACGGTGCAGGGCCTCGTCCGATCCATTCCAAGTCCAACATTCAACTTGAAGTCGTCGTTGCATACTTCAAACTCACCCCGTTTCAAACTCAACTTCCGTTGCTCCAGCGGGCGTGTTGCTGTCCTCAATAACTGATCACTTCATCAGTGTCTTCCTCACCTCTTTTCCAGCCCACATTCCTTCTCTACTACTACCTCACACATCTCCCCATTGAGTGGGCTGTTTTTTCGATTTCGTATAGCAGCCGTTCGCCGCATCAAGAGAGCTTCCTCACTCATTCTTCTACACACTGAAGTGGCATTAGCTTGCTCACTTTAACTGCATTCAGCTACTTTTCCAGCCGTCGTCTTGTCCCGTTCCGCGATCATGTATTCCGGCGGTGCAACGGGCACACACACCCCTCGATCGTCACAGAATCTGCGACCTCTAAGCCTCACCCATGGCTCCCTCGAATATTCCTTCCTGATACCAACCGCCCTCCATTTCCAAGCTGCACAACTCCACGACACCTTCAAGGCATCTCTACCCGAACCTACAGATGAATTGGCTCAAGATGAGGAGCCATCGTCGAGAGCGGAGCTTGTGGCTCGTTTCATTGGCTTCATTGCCGCTGAACTCGACGAGGACGAGGAGGCTTCTGGCTTTGTCGAGGTGCTGAAAGTCGTTCTCAACGAGTTTGAAAGGTCATTCATGCACGCAAACGACGTCCATGCTTTGGCTGCGACTCTTCCCGGAATAACTGCGAAGAAGCTGGAGGTCGTTAAATGCTACTATGCTGGCCGCGCCGCAGTTGCAAGGCCGATCAAACCCCACGATTCTGCTCTTTTTAGAGCCGCGGACGATGAGGAGGCTAGCATCTATACAGTTTTTGGCGGTCAGGGCAACATCGAGGAGTACTTCGATGAGCTCAGGGAGATTTATAACACATATCCTTCCTTCACAAAAGACTTGATCGAGGCTTCCGCGGAGCTGCTGCAAAATCTAGCCAGAAGTCCAAAGGCAGACAAGTTCTATTCGAAAGGCCTTGATATTCTCCGCTGGCTGGAAGATCGAGAAACTCAGCCCGACACTGATTATTTGGTTTCTGCACCTGTTAGCTTGCCTTTGATCGGTCTGGTTCAGCTCGCTCACTACCAAGTTACCTGCAAAGTCCTTGGTAGGACTCCTGGCGAGATCAATGAACATTTCAATGGAACCACCGGTCACTCGCAAGGCGTGGTCACGGCAGCCGCAATTGCAACTGCGACGTCCTGGGAGAGTTTCTCCAAGGTGGCGAGAGATGCAATCACAATGCTTTTTTGGATCGGTATGCGAAGCCAGCAAGCTTACCCTCGCACGAGTATTGCGCCATCCATCTTGCAAGATTCGCTCGAGGCGGGCGAGGGCGTTCCGACACCCATGCTGTCAGTACGAGATCTTTCTTTGAAGCAGCTCCAGGAGCACATCGATGCTACCAACGAGCACTTGCCTCCCGATCGACATATCGCCATCTCCCTGATCAACAGCGCTCGTAACTTTGTTGTCACTGGAGCACCCATCTCTCTCCATGGTCTGAACCTGCGACTTCGGAAGGTCAAGGCTCCCACTGGGCTGGACCAGAATCGCATCCCCTACACAGAGCGCAAAGTACGCTTTGTCAACCGGTTCCTGCCAATCACGGCTCCTTTCCACAGCCCCCTCCTGAGTGAAGCCTTCAAGACCATCAAAGAAGACCTCAGCGAGATCCGGGTTCCAGCCTCCCGGTTGAATATACCTGTGTTTGACACCAACACCGGCGAGGATCTCCGCGCACAGCATGACAAGGACATTGTGCCGTCTCTTGTGCGTATGATCACACAGGACCCCGTCCACTGGGAGCAAGCCACAGTATTTGAGAATGCTACGCATATACTCGACTTCGGACCTGGAGGCATTTCCGGTCTGGGAGTACTCACCAACCGGAACAAGGATGGCACCGGTGTTCGCGTTATTCTGGCAGGTGCAATGGACGGCACCAACGCCGAAGTTGGATACAAGCCAGAGCTCTTCGACCGCGATGAAGAACACGCGGTCAAGTACGCAACCAACTGGGTCAAAGAACATGGCCCGAAGTTGGTCAAGACGTCTGTTGGTCAAACATATGTCGACACCAAGATGTCACGCTTGCTCGGTGTGCCCCCATTGATGGTTGCTGGCATGACCCCAACTACCGTGCCATGGGATTTCGTTGCTGCTACCATGAATGCCGGCTATCATATTGAATTGGCAGGTGGTGGCTATTATAACGCCAAAACTATGACTGAAGCCCTGACCAAAATCGAGAAGTCCATCCCTCCCGGTCGTGGCATTACTGTCAATCTGATATATGTCAATCCTCGTGCCATGGGCTGGCAAATTCCGCTACTGGGGCAACTACGTGCAGACGGTGTGCCTATCGAGGGGCTGACCATTGGTGCCGGTGTGCCATCCATTGAAGTCGCGCAAGAATACATCGACACTCTGGGGATCAAGCATATTTCCTTCAAGCCTGGTTCGATGGACGCAATCCAAGCAGTGATCAACATCGCAAAGGCCAACCCAACATTTCCCGTCATACTCCAGTGGACTGGCGGCCGTGGTGGTGGTCACCACTCGTTTGAGGATTTCCATCAACCAATCCTACTAATGTACGGCCGTATTCGGAAATGCCAGAACATTATTCTGGTGGCAGGAAGCGGATTTGGTGGCTCTGAAGACACATACCCATATCTTACGGGTGCTTGGTCTCGCAAATTCGGATATCCGCCAATGCCATACGACGGCTTTCTTTTTGGCAGTCGAATGATGACTGCGAAGGAAGCTCACACCTCCTACAATGCAAAGAAGGCCATTGTCGAGGCCCCAGGCGTAGATGACACTGAGTGGGAGAAGACCTACAAAGGCCCTGCTGGTGGTGTCATCACCGTGCGATCTGAGATGGGTGAGCCGATCCACAAGCTGGCCACTCGCGGAGTCAAGTTCTGGGCGGAAATGGACCAGAAGATATTCAGCTTGGATAAGAAGAAGAGAGTCGCGGAGCTAAAAAAGCAACGCGATTACATCATCAAGAAACTCAACGACGACTTCCAGAAGGTCTGGTTCGGCCGGAACGCCGCTGGCGAGACTGTTGACCTCGAAGATATGACCTACGCCGAAGTCGTTCGTCGTATGGTTGAGCTCATGTACGTCAAGCATCAATCGCGATGGATCGACACGAGTCTGCGAAATCTCACTGTCGACTTTATCCGCCGAGTCGAAGAGCGCTTCACTGTTGGCTCTGGCAAACCCTCTCTCATTCAGAGCTATGCTGAGCTGGAAACCCCGTTCGTAGTCGTCGAGAAGGTTCTCGCTGCCTACCCTACGGCCGAGACTCAACTAATCAGCGCCCAAGATGTCCAGCATTTCTTGCTGCTCTGCCAGCGCCGTGGCCAGAAGCCTGTGCCATTCGTTCCTTCTCTGGACGAGAACTTCGAGTTCTGGTTCAAGAAGGATTCATTATGGCAGGCTGAGGATTTGGACGCTGTGGTAGACCAAGATGTTGGCAGAACTTGTATCTTGCAAGGCCCCATGGCCGCCAAATACTCCACCAAGATTGACGAACCCGTCAAAGACATTTTGGATGGCATCCACAATGCTCACATCAAGGGTCTCGTGCAAGATGTTTACGGTGGCCGTGAATCTGCAGTCCCGGTGGTTGAATACTTTGGTGGCAAGATCATTAACTCACCAGAGAGCGTCGTCGAGCTTGACGGAGTCACTGTCATCCCGGATGGCTCTCGCACTACCTACAGATTGTCCCAATCTCCTTCGGCACCTCTGCCAGATGCTGACTCTTGGACTCAATTGCTCGCCGGCAAGACCTACTCGTGGCGTCATGCCCTTTTCACCACCGACGTTTTTGTCCAAGGTGCGAGATATCAAAACAACCCCCTGAAACGCATCTTGGCCCCTATCCGCGGTATGACTGTTGAGATTGCCCATCCTAAAGACCCTTCCAAAACGACCATCGTTGTCAAGGAGCCCAATCAATCCGGACAGATGGCAAAGACGCTTGACATTGGTCTGGTTGGGAAGAACGAGATACTCATGAATATGTGGAAAGAGGACACTGCAGAGGGCGAGCCTGTGGCATTGCCTTTGAGATTCATCTATCACCCCGAAACTGGATATGCACCCATCCACGAAGTGATGGAAGGACGCAATGACCGAATCAAGGAATTTTACTACCGAATTTGGTTCGGTGAAAAGGACGTGCCGTTCGACATTCCGACCACGAACACCTTTGATGGTGGAAAAGCTACCGTCAATGCTCAGGGCATTGCTGACTTCGTTCATGCTGTCGGTAATACAGCGGAAGCTTTCGTCGACCGTCCGGGCAAGGAGGTTTTCGCTCCCATGGACTTCGCCATTGTTGTGGGATGGAAGGCTATCACCAAGCCTATCTTCCCGCGATTAATTGATGGCGATCTGTTGAAACTCGTCCATCTATCGAACGGCTTCCGCATGCTTCCTGGAGCCGAGCCCTTGAAGGTTGGGGATGACCTTCACACCACTGCTCGAATCAATGCAGTCATCAACCAGGAATCCGGTAAAATGGTTGAGGTTTGCGGCACAATCACCCGCCAAGGGCACCCTGTTATGGAGGTGACGAGCCAGTTCTTGTATCGCGGGAACTACACCGACTACGAGAACACCTTCCAACGCAAAGATGAAACCCCTATGCAGGTCACCCTTGCGACCAGCAAAGATGTGTCTGTTCTGCGGTCCAAGGAGTGGTTCCATCTCGATGAACCTGATATCGACCTCCTAGGCCAGACGCTGACTTTCCGTCTCTCAAGCTTGATTCGATTCAAGAACAAGACCGTTTTCGAAAACGTCGAGACGGTTGGCCAGGTTCTTCTGGAGCTTCCAAGCAGGGAAGTAATCCAAGTCGCTTCCGTGGAGTACGACGCGGGCGCCTCTCATGGCAACCCGGTCGTCGATTACCTTCAGCGACATGGCCAGTCAATCGAGCAACCGGTCAACTTTGAGAACCCTATCCCACTGAGCGGCAAGACCCCTCTATCTCTGAAGGCTCCCGCATCCAACGAGACTTATGCACGCGTCTCTGGTGACTACAACCCCATCCACGTCTCTCGTCTCTTCGCCAGCTATGCCAACCTACCTGGAACCATCACGCACGGCATGTACTCCAGCGCTGCCGTTCGAAGCTTGGTGGAGACGTGGGCTGCCGAAAACAACATTGGCCGTGTCCGAAGTTACCATGTTTCTTTGGTCGGTATGGTCCTCCCCAACGATGACTTGGAGGTGAAACTCGAGCACGTGGGCATGATTGCTGGTCGCAAGATCATCAAGATCGAGACCAGCAACAAGGAGACTGGCGACAAGGTCCTCCTCGCTGAAGCCGAGGTGGAGCAACCGGTGTCGTCGTACGTCTTCACTGGTCAAGGTTCGCAAGAACAAGGTATGGGCATGGACCTGTACGCTCGGAGTGCTGTGGCCAAAGAAGTCTGGGATCGTGCAGACCGCCATTTCTTGGACAACTACGGCCTCTCCATCATCAACATTGTTAAGAACAACCCCAAGGAGCTTACCGTCCACTTTGGAGGCCCTCGTGGAAAGGCCATCCGGCAGAACTATATGGCCATGACCTTTGAGACCGTCAACGCAGATGGCTCCATCAAGTCTGAGAAGATTTTCAAGGAGATCAACGAAAAGACTACCTCGTATACTTACCGATCCCCGACTGGCCTGCTCTCGGCCACCCAATTCACCCAGCCAGCCTTGACCTTGATGGAGAAAGCCAGTTTCGAGGACATGCGCTCCAAGGGCCTCATCCAGCGGGACAGCAGCTTTGCCGGCCACTCCTTGGGTGAATACTCTGCTTTGGCCTCCATTGCCGAAGTCATGCCCATTGAGAGTTTGGTGTCGGTGGTGTTTTATCGTGGATTGACCATGCAAGTGGCGGTGGAACGTGATGAACAGGGTCGAAGCAACTACTCCATGTGCGCCGTCAACCCCAGCCGCATCTCCAAGACGTTCAACGAGCAAGCTCTACAATATGTCGTGGAGAACATTGCCGAGACCACTGGCTGGCTGATTGAAATTGTCAACTACAACGTCGCCAACATGCAGTACGTTTGTGCGGGTGACCTTCGTGCATTGGACTGCATGACCAACGTGCTCAATGTGCTCAAATTGCAAAAGATTGATATCCAAGCCTTGATGCAACAAATGTCTTTGGAGGACGTCAAGGCGCATCTGGTTGACATCATCGGTGAATGCCGCAAGAAGACCGATGCCAAACCTCAACCTATCGAGCTGGAAAGAGGGTTTGCGGTGATCCCTCTCAAGGGCATCGACGTGCCATTCCACAGCACGTTCTTGCGATCAGGCGTCAAGCCATTCCGCTCGTTCTTGTTGAAGAAGATCAACAAGACCAGCATCGATCCCGCCAAGTTGATTGGCAAATACATCCCGAACGTCACAGCCCGACCGTTTGAGATCACCAAGGAGTATTTCGAGGAGGTTTATCGACTGACCAACTCGCCTCGACTGGCAAAGATACTGGAAGACTGGGACAAATACGAAAATGCGAGTGAGGCCGGAACTAGACGCCTATCTACCGTGGCATAAACTTGGGACCGTGGGCGATTGAGCGATTGCGAGCGTGGATCAGTTGTTTCTTTTCTTTGCGGTCCATCCAAAACAAGGGGTTGGTGGTGCAAAGATGGCGTTGGGCAACGGTTGATACACCCTGTCTGGTTCAATAGGTAATACGTATGTAGATTTCCTTTCCTCCTCCCATGTACAAAGATCGTGGCGGCGACGACAGTCCCACTTGTCGAGAGATAGTGATGGATAGCGGCAAATCCATAACCTCCACCCCGACGCTTAATATGTTCTCATTCTTGTGCCATGTAACTCTCTCCCGCTTGCGCCATGCCCAAGGGGGTTCTGTGTAGCGAGGATAAGATGAATTGCGGATCTGGCTGGGTGAAAGAGAGGGAGCCGAAGAGGATGGAGGTCACAGGCGACCAGACCCGGTACCAGGCGAGGTCGACGACGGGCGGCACTGGGGCTGCTGAAGTAAAGTTGTCGCTAGCAACGACAGCGACAGGGAGATGCCATGGTTAAGGTCGCATATTGACGCCTGGTGGCTGAAGCTGGACGGCGTCTAGGCCCGAAGCTCCCAGATGACTGCCGGGGCTCAGAAGGGGTAGAATGTTCTCCGAGGTCTTCTCGAAGGATGTCAGTGATCTTGTTGTCCAACAGCATTCAAGTGCTCGCAGCGTGGAGGAGAAAAGAAAGCGGTCCTTACCAGGTGCCTGGTGGTAGTAGAAAAGCCACCAGGATCGCCTGCGCCCAAAGTGTTGATAGAGGAACCTCGAAACAACCACTCTTCAAGTTCTCATCATCCTCACACATCTTCTCCCATACATTTCAACCACCCCTGGTTTCTCGTGCTCCAGTTCTCCGTCCCACTAACGCAGGTCAAGGCGTATCACTTCCCTTGCTCCACGTTTTCGCTGTCATGGGTCCAACCAACAGGTCTGCCTGTCCGCCTGTCCGCCTTTGACCTGGCTGTGCTACTGTTGCAGTCCGTCCAGTCGTCAGGCCCTTTTGTGAGAGGGCACTTGAGGAGTAAGGCTACCATGGCCAACGGATGCCTTCTGAGCCTCCTGTTGGACCTGGGGCTGATCGAAGCCATGACATATGATTTCTCTTCTGTCTCTACGATGGCCCCTTTTCCCATATGCTATCATTCTTTCATCTATCTGTGATCGCATCCGTTTTGATTGAGCGTTGTCTGCCTGAATGAGGATATGCGCCCCTACCCTCCAGATTGACCAGTACAGCAGTCTACTCGAGTATCCACCGTCAGCAGCAGGCTGAGATGGACATATCGACTCTTGTGCGGGCTGGTACGTGAGTGCCCTCCGCGGTGAAGGTCGTTGTCTAACCAACGTCTACAGTGATCGCAGCATTCGAAGATGCCTCCAAGCTGGTACGGCGCATTCACGACCAAAGAGAAAGGGGAAGCGGCGCATGCCTTCCCGAAGATCCTACTCGGGAGCTATTGGAATCCCTCACCCTTGGGCCTGCCATTGTCCGTGGCCACTACGAGCATGACCTGAAGCGCTTCGGAGAATCATATGCCTGTGGGGATATACAAGCCCGGGAGCAGATGAAAGATGTCCTGATCAATCTGCAAATGACCCTCATCGTCACCCTGAGGAATGTGTATATGGACGAGATGGATCTTGACTTCAACACCGTCCGGACAGCCTCGGATGACTGTCGCGTCAATGCCAGTGTCTGTCTCGGGCAGTTGTCTCAACGTCTTTCCGACGCAGCGAAAGTTCAAGCGTATTATCCTCAAAACATACCCTATGGCTCTCGTGCGAGTCTGATGCCGCCATCATCTCCGTCGCTGGGATATTCCAGTAGTCGGAGTACCCAATCGTCGGCAGCCTTTCCAACCCCTCGAACTCCAGATCCGAGCGTGGAACAGTTCGGCAATCTGGCCGTTTCACCACCGGGACATCCACCGCTTGTAGATGGAAAGATATCGATGAACTCCGAGGGCTTACAGGACAAATGCGAGCGGGACAAATGCGAGCGTATTCCATTGTCCCGCCCGACCGCCGGGCTCCAGATCGAGGTGCCGTCAAGTGCTGTGCACAGGATTAACGATACGGATGCACGGAGTTTGCGGCGGAGGTCATCCCAAGCACTTGCGCCAGAGGACAATATTCTGCTACTGTTTCCTCAACCGGGTCACCCCGCCCCCATTGGCAAACAAGCAGAACGAGAATATTTCGGGTCTTCGGGCAGAAGCAGTCATGCGTACTCATCTCCGGACATCTCACGAGCCTCAAGCGGTCATCGAAGTCGAAAGTCGCGAGATCGATTCGGTCCCGACGATTATGATGAACACGAACACACTATTCGGACAGATGGGCGACAGTATAGCCACAGTACAATCTACGATATGTATCATCCTTCGACATCAGAGCAGCATCCGTCTGCTCCTGCTTCTTCAACTTCGTATTCTCAGAGGGCTCAAGCCATCAGTCATGCGCCCTACGAACACGTACGGTATCTACAGGAAAACAGCAGACCACCTCGACCACAACCCCGATCGGACTCACTGAATGCATCCAAAAGAATGCATCACCTCCACGAACTTTACAACCATCCGGTCCGTCTGGAGAAGGATGTCCAACAGCCTCCCTCACGACAGTTTGACAGCCGACCATCCCATGCCGCCCCGATTCCAGTTGACTCGGTCCACCACGAAATTAGCGGCCCTCCACTGTACCCTCTGCCTCAGCCTCCATCACATCAACATCAGCATCATGCATCAACCGCTTCACGACATCTTCCACCCACATCCATGAGTTCATACACGCGAACCACATCCACACATACAGAAGCTTCGTCCACGCCATCGGTCACCCTTTCCATCATCACTACTGGGCCCGTGACCCTACCGACCGACAAAAACCTGCTGGGGTTCTGTAAAGGTGCGTTTCGTCTGCAAGCGGGCCTGGAGCGGAAGGCGTTCAGTCTGGTGAACCGTCCAGCCGGGTTGGTGGGGATGACCACGTCGTGGAAATGCGAGAAGTGCAATTTCGAAGGACCCATCCACGAGACCATTGTGGTGCGCGAGGGGAAGAAAAAGGGCAAAGCGGAACGATCGTTCGATCCCAAAGTCCGCACCTCCCAAGGCGGCGGTGTCCGGTATCGATGGGCCTTTCTGGCCCGATGCCACGTCACATTGAAGGCCATGGTCCCCAGCAACACGGCGCTGGGGCGGGAAGGTGCTTTTGGCAGTTTCGGCTGTATCTTCTGCTGTGCGGAGGGGAAGAGTCGGGGCTGGTTGGATGCGGGCGACGCGCTTTCGACGTGCAGTGGTAGTGCCGGTGCGAATGGACGGTCAATCGCCAGTCGCAGTGGTAGTGTCAGATCAGGACATACGGCCAACACGGCGATCAAGATGGTCAGTAGTGGCGGAAGTAATGGACTTTTCAACCCAAATGGGCACGGGTTGGGTAAAGGAAAAGGAAGAGGAGAAGAGACTTCAATGCTGACCACGACGGCGTCGCCCACCCCGATTTTCGGCAATGTCGCCAGTTTCATGCAGCATCTCGAAACCGTGCATCGTGGACAAGACGGCTGGCCTAATGCCGAGATGGTCGGGCGGTTCAGAGTGGTTGTTGCACGAGTCGCTCCGGCAGATGACCATGATTGGGAGGTCAACTTAGTGCCGTATTGAAATCACAGGAGAGGAGAGAGCATGTAGGAAGTAAAGAGAACATCATATAGTTCGAGATTGTCATCAAGAAGCCTCTTCACCCGGTCTCGGGAATGTATGTGTCTTGCAGACATTTCGAGAGTCATGTTGACCACATTGGCCACAGGGTTGCCTGGTACTCTCAATCCCATACAAAGAATCCAACATCCTACCCTTTTCTTCTTTTTCCTTTTCTGTTTTCTTTCCCTGATAGACTATCTTTATTCATCCATCTGCCATTGATACTTCAATTCCTCGACCCTAGCACTCTTCGAGCGAGCCTGGAACCATTCCTTCTCGAACCCGGTGCTGCGATCGACGCCATCCCACCTCCACCCGGGTGCTATACCGTAGCGATTCGGCGGGGCGTGGCCTGTATAGACTTTTGATGCCTTGGTCTTGGTCTTGGTCGTGGCACCAATTGCCATTTGTTTCTCCTTGCCCTTGGATCTTGACGAATGTTTCGTCGTCGTCGCCAATTGACCTCCTTTTTCTGTTTCTTCTTCTTCCTCGGCTTCCCTTTGCGCAATATATCCGGCCATGGGATCATCCCACCGTCTCTGCTTGCGCAACATATCGTTCATTTCCTCATCATCCGCGCCCCTGGCGAGGGTCATGAACTTGGCCTCTTCGAGCTGCTGTTTCCGCGCCTCCTTCTCGCGCCGCTGCACGTCGCCCATGGCCTCTTCGCGCGCCTTCCGTTCTGCGCGGAGCTTCTCTTGTTCCGCCGCCCGCGCCTCGGCGCGTTTCATGCTAATATCGATACGACGGCCCGTGGCATCGCGATAGATTGTTTCTTCTTCTTCCGGTGTCTCTTTATGTCTGGAGTGTTTGGATTTCTTGCGCAGTTGACGTTGTTCTTGTTCTTCTCGTTCTTTTTCTTTCTCACGTTCCATCAGGGCTGCTGTGTCTGCGGCCGTTTGTAGGCCTGCTCGGACTCCAGACGCCATTGCCATCACCGGAACATGAGGATGAGGATGAGAAGATCTCCCGACCCCGGTTTCGTCATCAATCCCGTCTACTACGGCGGGGGCGTCTTCGTCTTCAAGTGCGCGGCGACGGAAGGTTGCTTCTTCTTCGGCTTCGGCGAGGATGCGGTCTGCTTCGGCGGCTGCTTCGGCGTCAGAACCGGTGCGCGTATGTGCATGTGCATGTGCATGTGCATGAGAGTGTCCTTGTCGTGTCGTAGCAGTAGTCTTGTGGTCTAGTTGGGACTTTGAAGTCTCAATTGTAGTGTCGGCCACTTCAGGAGTGGGAGCGGACACTACTTTCCAACCACTTCCGCTCTTCTTCTTGCGGAACTCGGCCGACCTGACGCCTGTTTCGAAGACCGGGACATCGTTGGCATCGTCGCCATCACCGTGTTGTACGGAAAGAGACAGATCTTCGTCGTCGTCTGCGATGATGAGGCCGCCGGCGCCGACGTCTTTGTTCGTCTTCTTCCGCTTCTTCTTCGGGCGTGTCGAGTCTGCAAAGTCTGCGGCTGCGTCTGCGTCTGCGTCTGGACGGGAAGAAGGGGTCGACGCGGTGAGGTAGTTCTTTGCGAGATAGGCGGCGAGATTGGAGTTCGGCATGTTTGCAACGAAATAAATGGAATGGAATCAGGACTGCAGTGGTGAGAACGGTCGTTCAAGTTGGTCGTAAGACCGTCGCTGAGAGGGTTGTCCTTCTATTCACATGACATCTGGGTCGGTGATCGGTCAATACCGAGACATGGACTAGACGGCAGAGGCGGTAGGTTGAATCTCGTTCGTACGGTAGAGTTGTAGTGCTTCACAGTTGATGCGATCGAGATGTGTCGAGTGCTCAAAGTTCAGTTTCCCACTGACAAGTTCTTGAGAAATGTTTGTCGCGTTTGCACAGTTTGTCGCCAGTTTGTCGGCAGTCTAGTAGCATCACTTGGCAGTCGTCATTGTTGACAGGCGTTCGAGTCCCCCACTGCACGCGTCACATGCTACAAGACTCGGTTCTGAGACACGGTGCCGTCTCATGCAGTTTGTATCAGTGATAATGCCGGTCGAGGCATCGATTGTACAATCATAACTACTCTGTACCAGCATATACCTATGCCAGCTCCGTGTCTGCGATACCCTAATCCATCAACGCCAGCAAAGTCAAGTCAAGGACACCCGTGATGATAACCGGGGTCCACCTCTCCAAGGTCCTTCATATCCTCAAGAAGCGCCGGTTCCCATGACCATTTCTAATGGTGGTTTCATGATTCCTCATTGTGGTTCCCGCTTCCCTAATGAGTTCTTGGGTATATTGATGAATGGAAATAACACCACTCCACTCTGTATGAATGCAGTCTCCGTACTGCGGTGGTAGATTAAAAGATGCGAGTAGAACAACCAATAACGGGAACTGACAGTGTAGAGAACGGAAAAGAGGGGCAGCCTGTTGCTCAGTTCAAGTGAGAGTGGTCAATCATCTCAAAGTCCAGCTCGTCCTCATCGGTGGAGAGTTCGGCCATTTCCTTGCCATCGACGACATCGTATTCTTTGTTGACGAGGTTCTCGGTTTCCTTGTTCTCGAAGCGTTGCACGGCCTGGGTGATGGCATGGCTCAAGATGTCGACGCCATTGCGAGGACCGGCTTGGGCGTCATAGCTGTACATGAAGTCGGCCTCGGCAGGGACGGGAGCAGTACACGCGTCAACGACATCTTCTTCCTCCGAAGTGTCCGAGACATTCGCCAGAGGTCCGTCAAATGCATCGCCGACTTCATTGCGGAAAGCCTTGCGTGCAAGAGTTGCAGCCTGGCCGCTGAGCTTGTTCTGGGTGCTATGCCTATGTCGTGCAACTCCCCGGCCCACTCGTCGATCCAGGTCTCGACGATTTGGCCGGCCAATGCATTTGTGGCAGCCGCTGACGGGGTATTCGTGTTGATGGCAGTGTTCAGCACAGGCTCCTCGTGCCCATTTGGTATTATGGTTCTTCTCTCGTTGGTATGGTTTGGCTGCGCTGCGGAGATCGTTGGAGTTATAGGTCGACATGGTAGAAGACATTAGGTATAGGTCGAAGGAGGTCGATTGCACGATTGGGAAGGAAGCTATAGTGGTGATGGAACTGGGAGCTTCGGGAGCTGGTGCTAGGTCTAGGAGAATGACGCGTTCGGATCAGGAGAGAGGGTGTTGTAAGGTGAAACAACAAAGACAGACAGGTACTGAGGCAAGTGTAATTGGTGGCAGGTGGGTTGGTCCCAGACAAAGAGAGGAGACCACCAACTCAAAGAGTGGGAGACAGAAGGAGAAAGGAACAGGTAGGCTTGGTTAGTCGTTGTATATAGCTGGTCAATCGAGGGACTTGAATGACTGGGTCGAGTCACACGCGCATGTGGCCGCGGATTCGAGGGGTACGTGATTCAGTCGGGAGATGATACTGGATCTTGATAGTACTGGTACTGATATGGATGTTTATGGGTCGCGGGACCAAACATCGCTATCAGAGTTAAGGTTGTCTACTAGTACGTACCTTAGTGTGGAGGAGAGCGAGGAGCAGGAGGGGGAGATGATGATCGAGGGGCGCAGGCAGGATGGAGGATGGAGGATGGAGGCGCCTGCCATGGCAGTGTGAGTGAGAAGCTGATGTTAGGCACTGGCACACGGCAAGGAACAGGATGAGGATTGGCTGCACGCTTGAGTCACGGCTGCGGCATCACCCACGCTACGAGAGCGCCAGATGCAGTGCAGCAGTTATTAATGGGTGCGATAGGCACGAAACGGGGACGAGATGAGATTGAAACAACACGTAATTAAGCCGATGGGGAGATTACACGATTAGGCAGCCTTAGCCTCGGGCCACGGGGCTCAGGCTTGACGATAAGAGCAACAGAAACGGTACTGTGGTTACGTAGTACACACAGCCTGGCCAGCATCGTGCCTTGCTTTGTTCCATCAGTGTATTGTGTTGATGTCTTCTGCTTCAAGATGTTGCTGTTGCTCCTTTCCATGTAGAGAACGTGACCTCATATCCTGATGGTCGGCTGTGCTCAGGCTGGCCTTGTGATGAACCGCATTCAGCCACTTTCAGGTACGTACATGAGTACCTACGTCTGCTTGAAATGCCACTCGTAGCTTCACACGCGTTCAGTCCGCATGCAGCCAACATCTCGAAGGTCACTTACTACCTAGTATGCCCCGATCACTGTCCTCGTTCTCATCTTGCGCGTCATCAAGGGACCACAGACCTAGGCTCACTAGGCCACCATCTTCCAAGCTTCAGTAAACCACTTGTTCGCAGCCTTGCCAAAAATACCTGCACCCCAAGGTCCAGTCTCTCTCCTCCTCATGACGTTCTGTACACCCATGTTGCTTGGTTTGACCGAGTCTTTGTGCCACCCATGACTCACGGTCTGTCATCGTTTCGTGGACAAAGGCCCCGTGTTAACTGGTGACTCGAATAAGCTGCATTGGTCGCGGAGGCCTCATGCCCAAGTGCCCTCACTCATGAACCAGTCAGGCCGGCACTCCGTGCACCCATCTCCAAGCGTGGCCGTCGAGCCGTCTCGGATAACAAGATCATGGACCGCCATACCGGTGACATTGGTAACCATTTCCAGCCCAAATGAATCGAACATGCGTACTTCGTAGAGGAAAGGTCGTTCAAAGGAATTGGCTATTCACGGCATAGTAAGAGACCAGCTCAGCCGGCATCTGTTCCCTCAGCCTCGTCGCCATCTTCACTCTCTTCTCCAGGAAGCCTTTGAGGAAACCAACCATATCTTCCAAAGTCAACAGTCATTTCTTCAATCCCTCTGGCATCGTTCACGTCCACCCCTTCCGCTCGTAGTTTCTCAGCTTGTCGGGTCGCTGCAGCCCCATTGTCCCCACGTGGACTAATTCCCCCTTTAGAATTGACCACCCGTTGCCATGGGACGTTCTGGTCGTGAAAGAAGAATTGCTCGGGAGCGGCAGGGTCGAAGGTCGGCAAATGCTTGAGACAAACTCCGACTTGACGAGCTCGACGAGGGAAGCCCAGTAGTAAGGCGACATGACCATAACTGGTGCATTTACCATGGGGGATCTGTTGGACGGCAGAGTAGACTGCTTCAAACCACCATTGGGCCTCTTCTGATTGCTCTCGTGGCATATTGTATTGTGCATTAGGTAGTGCGTGAAACACAGGTATGGGAGACGGAGCAGGTGTCGCAGAAGAAACTTGAACCTGAAAAGATCGAAATCACTCTTCAGAGGCACCCGGGGAATCAAATCCGAAATCCGGGGCTTAGAGCCTCCCTAAGAGACCCTAGCCGCCTAAGTTACAAAGCAGTGCAGGGGCCACGGGCGTTGTCGGGCAGGCCTCCCGCCAAAAGTGCATTGTTTATTTTTCCTGGGCGACTCTCAATTCTGGCCCTTGGGAGTCCTCCATCTTCATCTGGCCAGACCAGGGTTCGACGTTCAAACCTTGCCAGTGTCTTTTTTACCTGTCCTTCGATTCCTCTTCCTGGAACCATGGCATTTCGCGGCACAGAAAGCCCCATGGATTTTGAATGGCAAGGCCACGGCCCTATGGATCCCACCTCTCCTTTCCATAAACACATCATGGATGCACAAGCGAAGAAGCGTATGTCTACGGTCTGCCTTCGCGTGCGAGGCTGTCTATTCTAACTGGCACCAGGTACACACAGCGAATACGATTCTCCCAAGAAACCTGCCCTTCCCGCCTTGCGCGAACCCAACAACCAACCTTTCTTCTTTTCCAATCCTCCCGCCTCTCCCTCGCCGGCATCACCTTTCCGCGCGCCTTCGTTCACCACTCCTCGCAAGCCGTTCGACATCGATTTTTCTTCTGGACCAGAGAACTCCTCCCCACTCGATCAGACGGATAACGACGATACGCCCGACGCCAAACCCCTCCCGATTGAATTTAAAAGCAGTCCCCGAAAGGCAGAGAACAAACGAAGCTCGTTGTTCGGTCTCTACGGCAGGTTTGCGGCGAGCCCAGGACGAGGAGAGATCCGAAAGCCTCATAGCGACGCCATTGCCCGGCGCATCCAGAAGAAACGCCGACGAGCACAAAAGTTTGACAAACAATTGGTCTTGGGCAAAGTAGACCAGACCGACGACAGCGAAGACGATACTCCCCCCAGCCCATCCAAGCCGAAAGGACCTCAAGTCGAAGAAGTGGGCTGGATTACGGGTCTGTTCACGTTCATTCACACATATCCTGATGCGCCTTCCATCATAGCCAAGTATCTACAGGTCTTCTTCAATGCCGCCATTCTCGGAGGATGTCTCTACATGTTTTGGTCCTTCTACGCCACCATCCGCGCCGATGTGGACCGTGCCAGTGACGACGCAATGGCCGAAGTGCTGGCCGAGATGGCAATATGTTCCAAGAACTATGTCGAGAATCGATGTGGCGCCGACACCCGACTGCCCGCTCTCGAGAGCATCTGCAGCAACTGGGAGTTATGTATGAATCGGGATCCCAGCGCGGTGAAGCGGGCAAGATTGAGTGCGCATACCTTTGCAGAGATCTTCAATAGTTTCGTGGAGCCGATCAGCTTGAAGACAATGTAAGTACGACCATGTTTTCCCATGGCGTAGACGCTAACAGGCCGACAGGATTTTCACCATTACGTTGGTCGTGGTTGGGTTGGTCGTCAACAACGCGACATTCACGCTATACCGACGACAACAAGAGCAGCACCACGCGGGCATGTACCGACCACCTTCAGGCTCATACATGCATCCAGGACCGCAGGACGGACAAATGGGTCATTTTGCTTTGCCTCCCGGGACGCCATACGGTCAGCCTTACGTGGGCTGGCACACGGATCAGGGTTATGCCGGTCAGCAACAGCTCGAATACCAGCGAAGTCCGAGCAAGGAACATCGAGCACGGAGTCGCAGCCCGGAGAAGAGGGTTCTTGCGTGATGACGATGATGTTGGTGGCAAGTTTACAATTGACGGCGTCAATGATTGGGGTTGGCTGGACACTGGATAGCATGGTGTTGGGATGGGAGACTTGGCCAATACTGCAGATGTCATGAGTCTTGTATATAAGAAATGAAAACAAAAGCAAAAGTCTGGATACATGGACATGTTCGATTGCGAACTGACCCTCTCTGTCGAGGCTGTACTCTGTAAACTTGAACTGGATTCATTCTCTGATGTGAAATCTTTGAAATCTTTCAAGCGGTCATCTCCATCCGATCATTCCATCTCTCTGTAAACACCAGGTACCTGTATACTTGTTTGAATAATGGATATCGATCCACCATTGCAGTGGCAACAAGGTTCTCTGTAACTGTATCCATAGTCTATACTACCTTACTACCTAACCTATACTCTTCTTGGACCTATATTGAATTGTCAATGTACTTTCTACGCCCTTCATCACCTCCACAATTGAAAACTGACATGGTCAAGTACGTGTACGTACCACCCAAAAGCATTCACTTTTTTCCAGCAATACCTTCGGTCTGTACGTAATAGATGTTAAATTTCTGCTTATGCTTTGACTGCCAGTGCTATAATAGACCCATGTCTCTTCTTCCATACTGTACCTCATCTGATTTTTCTATATCCACTTCACTTTCTCGACGTCTGAATAACTTAAACTCCAGATCTGACCTTCCTTTCTTCTTCGTGCAAGGCTACAAGATCTCCAGACTATTATACTATACTATAATATAGTGATTCTCCACTTTCCATCACAACACTTGTGGCCTCATATACAGAGTACGGTCTTGACTTATCTCGACTCGACTCAGGTTGACTCTCTTCCCTCTTTAAATATCTTTCTCCACAATCCCTCTCAGTGGTTTGAACTCTTCCCAGCAAGAAGAGAGAAAAAATCGAAAAGGAAGAGGAAAAGAAAAGAAAGAATCTCAATTCCATCAATCATGGCCGAAATCACCACTCCAACCTACACCATCCGCTACGCGCGACAATCCGACGTCCCCACCATCCTCCAAATGATCCAAGAACTGGCAGACTACGAAAAAGCCCTCCACGAGGTCCTGGCGACCGAGGAATCGTTGCTCAAGACTTTATCGTTTCCTGATCCAGAGAGCGAGACGGGGTTCACTCCAGGCTATGCGAAGACATTGCTTATTGTGCCCAACAATAGTGGTAGTGCTGGTACTGTACAACAACCACAACAATCAACAGAAGAATCATCACCAGCGGTGGCCGGAATGGCACTCTACTTCCACAACTACAGCACCTGGACGGCCGCCCCGGGAATCTATCTGGAAGATCTGTTTGTCCGGCCACAGTACCGCGGCACGGGGTTCGGGAAGGCCCTCATCCAGGCGCTGGCGCGCGAGTGTTTGCGGCTCGGGTGCAAGCGGCTCGATTGGAGCGTGTTGAAGTGGAACAAGCCGAGTATTGACTTCTATGTGAGTGAGGTGATTGGGGCCACGAGGATGGAGGAGTGGGTTGGGATGAGGGTTGACGGGGAGAAGTTGGCGAAACTTGCTGGGAGGAATTGAGTGCGTGAAAAACAAAGACAGATAGATGGATAGATATGGCGGTGGGACTGGAATTCCAGCAATGGATCTGGGGTTGCGATACTGGTACTGGTACTGCCGTGATCGATTGACATGGTGGTTGGAGCATGGGCAATAAACGGATGGATGGATGACGAGGTTGGCTTCGATATGCAGGGGGGAAAGGGTTGGTTTGCGGACTACTCTGTACTGGGAACATGGAGGGGGTTTGACCTGCTGTAGATACTCCTAGTATGTAAGATACGTATCTGGATAGATACTACCGGAATGGAACATGAATACTTTATCCTGGGAGTGTGGTCCTGGATTGGGTGCAAGTTTGATGGAAAATGCAGTGTCTGGCTGGCAAGGAACTGTGCGGACCCATGTGTCTGTTCTCTGTTCTCTGTTCTCTGCGCTGTACTCTGTAAACCAACGCCTCGACTCCTGATCTTTGGCCCCGCATAACTCGACTTCAACATACAAGCATTTGCTTCGCATGGGATGGAACAGTGCCGGTCAGCGCCCTGCTTCGCACGGTATACCCTGACATGTCTGAAACAGCTTGTCCCAGGGATCGACGTAGAGTCGCTGCTGAGTCCCATTATGCGCACTGGAACTTCCTCTCTCTAGGTGCTTGCTCATGGCTATACCTCCATGTCTCTGCATATGATAATGTCGTGTCCGGTGATTCTGATATCCCGCCATTCTCGACCACTCGTACTAGTACCCGCCTGCTGAAGTCCGCTCTCAAACACAAATCAATAGCCCAAACATGGCAGTGGCACCGACTTGAATAAAGCCTTACATGACCACACAACAAGAATTCTGCTTTTTGGCCTGCTGGTAAAACATCTTGCTCTGCGCGCTCAACCCATCACTCTTGGCCACCAGACTGTCAATCTTCTCGCCCCGTTCCAGCACGCTCTCGATGGTCTTGTGCAACACGATCTTGGTCTCGTCCAACTCTCGCTGCACCTTCATGATGCTGTCCGCTTGATGCGGGTCCTGGTATTTGACCAGGTAGTCCTTGAGCTGGGGAAACGGCCGGCTCGTGACGCCGGGGCTGGCGTAGCTCGACCGTGGGTTTTGCGACGTGAACTCGTCGATGATCTTGGACAGTACTTGGTGAGCCACGAGTGCAGGATACTCGGCGTCGCTGATGATGATGCCTGCCACGCCCTGGCTTGACCCGTATGCGTGGAATGTGTATGACTTCTCTTCAATGTCCTGCCGCACGCCGGGCCGGGTGCGTTCGGCGACTGTCTTTGCGAACATGGTCATGAACTCGCCATAGCTATGCCAACGCCATTAGCAACGCCAGTACTACTGACTACTGCGCGGAACACACCTGTCTCGAGTGAAGCGTGAGAAGGACGATAGGTCGCGTTCGACAGCCAGTTCGACGGCGGGGACGGGGTCATTTCGGAGGATCTGAATGAGTGGTCGTGTCAGTGCGATCATGGACTCGACAGGGGAATCAGTCTATGTAGGATGTGCTTCTTGCTTACTCCGATGTAGTAGATCTTCATGATGGCGGTGTGGGGGGTCAATGGACTGGGGAGGTTGTCGTCGGTCAAGGCAGAGGAGACTTGACTGTGCGGCGAAGAGGGGTCAGAAATCTAGTCGTTGGTCGTCGGTTTGTACCAGAGGTCTTATGTGGAGGGCTGCAAGAATTGACAGAGTTGCTGTTGATCTAGAGACGGGGGTGAAGATGGAATCCAATTGTAGTGCCTGGAAGCGTAGTAGGACGTCACATGTGGCAGTCAAAGTCACGTCCGCAGTCGGAATTGGAGACGCAAGTCTGGCCTCTCATCAAGCTGCTTTGTTTCTCACAGTCCGAGTCTTTATTGGTCTCTTCTGACCGGACGTCTGCTTTTCTGACAGACGAAAGACTCAGGAAACGCAACTGCCCGTGAGGCTGTTGTTACCTCAATACTTACTGTACGATCATCAAACGAGATTCTTTCCTGCCTCTTTAGCCTGTCGATTCCGTCGCCTATGCCCAGGCATCGTGCGAGTCAATAGTCGAGTTTTCACCACTTTCACTTCAAGTTCGGAGTCACGCCGCCTCCGCCAGTCTATACCACAGGCCAGGACTGATTGTTTGACTTGCTCGATTGGTTGTTTGGTTTGCACTTCTCATCATGGTGGAATCAGCTTTTCAGTCCGAGTCACAATGGTTGTCTCAAGTGGCTGCCATGAGGCAGGCCATCGCCGACCTGAAATTGCCTCCCTTGAACGACGCCTCGCAGATGTACGGATCTGACATTGATCTCGATGATGAGGACTTGAGTGAAGGTCTGGACGATGATATCTGGGACGTGGAAAGTGCTGTGGATGAGAGTCCTGCTAGCGATGTCTTCGACGAGCCCGTAAACGGGTTCAAGACCTCGGATGTCGTTGATGGCTCTTTCAATAGATCCTGGTTACGCAGCAAATGTGATACATTTGCGCGCGCAAGATCTGGGCTTGACGCTACTGATCTCGAAGGACAGATCGTTGCTCTCCTCGCGTCAGACAGCTCCGACGACGAACTACAAATGTCTCTTGCCGATATTGTCGGATACGACGCCCTCGATTTTGTCATCGAGCTCATTTCTCATCGCAAAGAGATCCTAGCTGCTCCTACAGGCGCCAGCCATCAAACGGATGGACTATTTGCTGAGCTCGAGACTCGTCAGGAGCGGGAAGCCGCTTTAAAACGACAGGATCATGAACATAAACATGCGACTCTTCTTCCTGCTTATGATCGCACCGAACGAAAATATCCTCATGTTTACAAGTCTGAGACGGCCGCAACTGGAAATATGGTCGATATCTCTGGAAAGAAGTACGGTTTCCCTGTGGGCACCACCAGGAACGACTATCCAAAGTACGAAGAATTCACCATTCCGGCCGCAAAGGTTGGTACTTTAGCTGCGGGCCGCAAACTAGTGAATATCGACGAAATGGATGGCCTCTGCCAACGAACATTCAAGGGATACAAGAGTCTCAACCGCATGCAGAGCCTGCTTTATCAAGTAGCATACACAACTTCAGAAAACATGTTGATCTGTGCTCCGACTGGTGCTGGTAAGACAGATGCTGCCATGCTGACCATCCTGCAAACCATCTCCAAGAACATCGTTCCAAACCCTATCGAAGAACCCACTGCTACCGACTTCACAGTCATGGCTGACGATTTCAAAATCATATACGTCGCCCCAATGAAAGCTCTCGCAGCTGAAGTGACGGGAAAATTGGGCAAGCGTCTGGCATGGTTGGGCATTCAGGTGCGAGAGTTGACGGGCGACATGCAACTCACCAAGCGTGAAATTGCCGCCACTCAGATTATTGTCACCACTCCTGAGAAATGGGATGTTGTGACTCGAAAGAGCACAGGTGATACTGAGCTGGTACAGAAGGTTCGACTTCTCATCATCGATGAAGTGCACATGCTGCACGATGATCGCGGCGCGGTCATTGAGTCATTGGTGGCAAGGACTGAACGACAAGTCGAGAGTACGCAGTCATTGATCAGGATTGTTGGTTTGTCCGCCACCCTTCCTAACTATGTTGACGTCGCAAAATTCCTCAAGGTCAATCTCAATGCCGGCTTGTTCTACTTTGACGCTTCCTTTCGACCCGTCCCGCTTGAACAGCACTTCATTGGTGTCAAGGGCAAAGTGGGAAGCAAGACCCAAAGAGAGAATCTTGACCATGTGACTTTCGAGAAGATCAAGGAGCTTCTCAAAGAAGACAAACAGGTCATGGTTTTTGTCCATTCAAGAAAAGATACGGTCCTGGCCGCTCGAACACTCTACACCATGGCCGTTGACGACGGTTGTGTCGAGCTATTCGTCCCCAGTCCCGACGATCCCGCATATTCCAGAGCCATGACGGACTTGAAAACGACACGCGGACGCGAGCTTCGTGACATCGTTCCGAAAGGATTTGGTTGCCACAATGCTGGTATGGCACGATCCGATAGAAATTTCGTCGAGAGAATCTTCGCCGACGGTGCTATCAGAGTGCTTTGTTGTACTGCCACACTGGCGTGGGGTGTCAACCTTCCAGCCGCTGCGGTGATCATCAGAGGAACTCAGCTGTATAGTGCCGAGGCCGGCAAGTTTGTTGATCTCGGCATCCTGGATGTGCTGCAGATTTTCGGTCGAGCAGGCCGTCCTCAGTTCCAGGACAGTGGTATCGGGTATATCTGCACCACACAAGACAAATTGCAGCACTATCTATCTGCGGTCACCCAGCAGCGACCCATAGAGTCGAGATTCGCCCGGAAGCTGGTCGACAACCTCAACGCGGAGGTCAGTCTGGGTACCGTAACTTCCGTGCAAGAGGGCGTCACCTGGTTGGGTTACTCGTACCTTTTTGTTCGAATGCGACAAAAGCCAGAAGCCTATGGGATCGACTGGAACGAATATCAAGACGATCCCCAACTCTTCCAACGTCGACGCAAACTCATTGTCGAAGCCGCCCGAACTCTGCACCGGAGTCAAATGATCATTTTCAACGAACGCACCGACGAGCTTCGAGCCAAGGATGTCGGCCGCATCGCCAGCCAGTACTACGTCCTGCAGACCAGTATCGAGGTTTTCAATACCATGATGCGACCGCAGGCCAGTGAGGCGGATGTCTTGAAGATGATCAGTATGAGCGGCGAGTTTGACAATATCCAAGCGAGAGAGAATGAAGCCCAGGAGTTGCATCGATTGCGTCAAGAATCCGTGCCGTGCGAGGTAGAGGAAAGAAATCCTGCCACTCAGGGTTCAAAGGACGAAAAAGAGCAGAGAGTCATTGAGAACCATGCCAAAACCAATATTCTGCTCCAATCGCACATCTCTAGAGCGAAGCTCGAGGACTTTGCTCTCGCTTCGGATTTGGCATACGTCGCGCAAAACGCGGCCAGAATCTGTCGAGCATTGTTTATGATTGCCCTCAACCGCGGCTGGGGCTACCAATGTCAGGTGTTGCTCGCCATGTGTAAAGCCATTGAGAAGCAAATATGGCCTTTCCAACATCCTTTTCACCAATTCGATCTGCCTTTGTCGGTACTGAAGAACTTGGATGAGAAAACCCCGTCCTCAAACATCGAGAGTCTACGGGAGATGGAGCCGGCCGAAATTGGAAGTCTCGTACATAACCATAAGATGGGCAACACGATATCGAAACTTCTCGACAACTTTCCCACTCTGTCTGTTGAGGCTGAAATAGCTCCGCTCAACCGAGATGTGCTCCGAATGAGACTGTATCTATACCCGGAGTTTGTGTGGAATGACCGCCATCATGGTACCTCTGAGTCGTATTGGGTTTGGGTGGAAAACTCGGACACGGCTGAAATTTATCATCACGAGTACTTCATTCTCAGTCGCCGAAAGATGCATGATAGCCATGAGCTCAATTTCACGATACCTTTGGCCGACCCGCTACCATCACAGATCTATGTTAGAGTCATATCTGACCGATGGGTCGGTGCAGAGACGGTTCAGCCAGTTTCCTTCCAACACCTTATCCGCCCAGATACTGAAAGCGTTTACACTGACCTGCTCGATCTGCAACCACTTCCTATCACTGCTCTGAAGAATCCGCAGCTTGAGGAATTGTATGGCCAACGATTTCAGTTCTTCAACCCCATGCAAACTCAGATCTTCCATACTCTCTACCACACCTCCAACAATGTCCTTCTGGGCTCACCAACTGGTTCTGGCAAGACCGTGGCGGCCGAGTTGGCAATGTGGTGGGCATTCCGTGATCACCCAGGAAGCAAAGTGGTCTATATTGCTCCGATGAAAGCCCTGGTTCGGGAGAGAGTCCAAGACTGGCGCAAACGACTGGCTCTGCCCCTTGGCTTGAAGCTTGTCGAGCTGACGGGTGACAACACTCCGGACACTAGGACGATCCGAGATGCGGATATTATCATCACTACGCCTGAAAAGTGGGATGGTATCTCCAGATCGTGGCAGACCAGATCTTACGTCCGACAGGTCTCCCTGGTGATCATCGACGAAATCCATCTTCTGGGTGGTGATCGTGGACCAATTCTGGAGATCATTGTGTCTCGAATGAACTACATTGCAACCCAAGCCGAGGCGGGCTCGATTCGGTTGGTTGGAATGTCCACCGCCTGTGCCAATGCCACCGACCTGGGCAATTGGTTGGGGGTGAAGCCTGGGAACAATCAAGGTCTCTTCAATTTCCGTCACAGTGTTCGACCTGTTCCGTTGGAGATATACATCGACGGTTTTCCTGAACAGCGTGGGTTCTGTCCTCTGATGCAGAGCATGAATCGACCAACGTATCTGGCCATCAAGAATCACAGCCCTGAAAAGCCCGTCATTGTCTTTGTGGCTTCCAGAAGGCAGACCCGTCTGACTGCTAAGGATTTGATCAACTTTTGTGGTATGGAAGAAGACCCCAGGAGATTTTTGCATTTCGACTCGGAAGATGACCTGCAACATACGCTCGCTGCTGTCAAAGACTCCGCGCTCAAGGAAGCCTTGAGTTTCGGTATTGGTCTGCATCATGCTGGGTTGGTTGAATCTGATCGGACCATGGCCGAACAACTCTTCGCGGCGAACAAGATCCAGATCCTCGTCGCCACTTCGACCCTAGCATGGGGAGTCAATCTCCCGGCCCATCTCGTCGTGGTCAAGGGCACACAATATTTCGACGCCAAGATCGAGGGCTATAAGGACATGGATCTGACTGATGTCCTGCAGATGCTGGGCCGAGCTGGAAGACCACAATTCGACACGTCGGGTATTGCTCGCATCTTCACCCAGGATTCCAAGAAGGCGTTCTACAAGCACTTTCTGCATACTGGATTTCCTGTCGAAAGTTCTCTCCACAAAGTGCTGGACAACCATCTGGGCGCCGAAGTATCTGCCGGCGTCATCACCACGAAACAAGACGCGTTGGACTATCTGACGTGGACGTTCTTCTTCCGCCGTCTACACAAGAACCCCACCTACTATGGTCTGGAGATTTCGGCCGAGGAGCACAAAGAAAACCAGCTCGAGGCAAGGCAACAGGCTGCAGATTACATGGTGACTCTGGTGGACAAGTCGCTAGATGACCTTGCCGAAAGTGAATGTGTTCTTGTGCACAGCAACGGGGATGTCGACAGCACTCCGTTTGGCAAGATCATGTCATACTACTATCTCAGCCACCTGACCATCCGCAAATTCTTGTCCAAGGCTCGCAAGGCGCCAACCACTACCTTCGCGGACGCGTTGGCTTGGATCAGCCTTGCCACCGAGTTCGACGACCTTCCTGTGCGACACAACGAAGATCTGATCAATGCCGAGCTGGCCAAGAACCTTCCCCTCGATACACCAGGTCTGCTCGACGGGTTACCGCTTTGGGATCCGCACGTGAAAGCGTTCCTTCTCATTCAAGCCTTCATGTCTCGAGTTGACCTTCCCATCAGCGACTATGTCGGTGACCAGACTTCTGTGCTGGATCAAGGCATCCGTATCATTCAAGCCGGCATCGACGTCATGACCGAACTCAACAAGTTCGACGCCGTGGTTCAGATGGTCCGACTGCTGCAATGCATCAAGAGCGCACGCTGGCCCGAGGATTATCCCCTGAGCATCCTACCGGGCATCCATGAGATCCTGGACGCTAAGCTGGAGGGTAAGGTGCCCAAAGACCTCAACACCACCGCGGTCCTGGCTAGCAGGCATGGAATGAAGACGATAGACGGGCTGTTGAATGTGTTCGGACTCAGATCGCCCAATGTCCGCACGCAATTCGTCAAGGCTGTCAATGCACTGCCTGACATCACCCTGACCGCCAACGGAGACACGGAAGTCCTACATTTGACCATGAAGCGTGGGAATCGACTCGTCGACCCGGAGGCGAGGATCTATGCGCCTAAGTTCCCCAAGCCGCAGACTGAGGGCTATTTTGTCCTTGTTCTTCCTGCGGGTGGACAGTCTGATATCCTGGCGCTGAAGCGGGCCAATTGGACTACGACCAAGAATAGGAGGCAAGGCGCGGGTTCATCTCATCAGAGTAGAGCGTTACAGGTCAGCAATGTCAAGCTCAAGATTCCAGTGTCGGAGACTGTCAATGTCGGTGGTCCAGATCAATCTGCGGTGGTCGGGGCAGGAGAGGTTGGAGTGGACATTGTTGTCATGAGCGATGCGTATCCCGGGATGGAATGGCGACTGGACAATGTCAGGGTGCCGGTTACGAAGCCGAAAGCCGTAGACACGGTCCAAGTCGAGGTTGATGAGAGTTTGGAGAAGAAGAAGATGAAGCAGGCAGCATAGAGCTCAGAGGTTTACTTCATGACTGATTTAGTGGACGAAGCAGACAGAGTAGAAAGAAATGCACGAATGATCCGTCAAAACGCAGTCGTGCTTTTCTGTTCCTTTTCCGTCTCATGGGATTCCAGTCGAGTCGTGTCGTGTCTAGTAGGAGTACGTTCGCTGGTAACAGATTGAGCAGGCAGCAAAGTCTGGACGTCCTCCTTGACCTGCGCCTGCGCCTGCGCCTGCCCACCACCCTGCGAGCTGACAGTGATGGAAAACATACCTTTTTCTTTTATCCCAGAACTATCTGAGTAGCAACATCAACGTTGATCGATTTGTTTTGCTGTCAGTGGTACATCTTCCTCGTGGCCGGCATCTCCCATACCATCATCCATGCTCTACTTACTAGTAATAAGCAGTGGCGACGCACCTCGAGTCAACGGATGACCAGGCAACGACGCAGGCACACAAGACGACAGCAGCCACTACATCTCACCGGAGCATCACTCTCTTGCAGTGTTCAGTCCACATCTTCGTGCAAATCCTCGGGTTCGTCCTTCAAGGGAAGACGAAGCGACGGTGATCGAAACGATCCCCGAATTCCAACCTGCCAATCGCGAGCTGTAAGCCCGCCATGAAAAAACCGACCCCTAAATCAGTCATTTGCACCCGTAGAACCAAACCGGCCCCCGACGATTCGATTCCTCGCCGCCCTTCAGGATGGCGTCCTCTCATACCTCAAGTAGGCCGATTGGTGGTCCAGTCAGCGTCCAGACATAGACAGGACGGTGTCAAGTCAATCTTCCGTCAACCACAAGAGAGTCGAGAGAATGCCCCTCAACAGCTGTTCAGACTTTGATGTGGCGTCTGCAGGCCGGTTTGTTTCAGGGGTCGACCGAAAGCTCCGAAGTCGACATGGATGATAAGATTACAGGGTCACACGATGAGAGAGGCAAGACAAGGCAAGAGATTGACTCCTGGCGGCAACGACGAAACACCGTCGAGAACTGTTGCGTTCATCAACAAGCTGACTGTTGTGATGGATGTTAAGCAACAGAAGAACCGCAGCTCATCAAAGACGAGATTTTTCCTTTTGTCTCCCTGTCAAGTCGGTCGTTCTTCGTCATTGACGTTGTCATCCTCTCGGAACATTTCGAAGCCATGTCAGCGATGCGAGAGGACGCCACGCGAATGACTAGACGAAATCTGAAGCACGCCAGGCCATCGACCCTGGGAGACATCTGGCCCGGTGAGTGGCTAAGCCAAACCTCCCTTCTCCAGATTTCAGCAACGGTTCCCTTGTTCGACGGTTCCCATCCTTTTCATTCTCTGACTGATGACAATGTTCGAGGATTAGTCTCAGTCATGCTCGGGTTCTTTCTCTTTTTCTACAATGGTCCGACCTCGTGGCTGGTCATCGTCGAACGCCCAGTGCCTATTCGACTCTCCTTGATATGGTCGTCTTGACAGCCATGCCAGATCTCAGGAGCCTCATCAACCCGGTCCCATGCAAGTCATGTCGCCTCGGGGTCGTCTGTTAGCACACAGTTGCATCGAGTTTGATTTTTGTTGCACATTGTGCTTCGAGCATGGATGCTCTCTCTGTTCCCTAGCCTCCATGCCCTTCTTGGACCTTTCACGCTCCCGCCAGAACATACACATGGCTGTTCCGCCATGTTCGTCCTGTAACTGTTTCACTCTCTCACCCATGGACCTCGCGATTCAAGTTTCACTCCTTATCACCATTCTGCTTGCTTTCTTGTCCTTCATTTGCCACCCTTTTAATTCGGCACCCCTTCCATTTTTCTTGTTGTTGGCTGGCCCGCCCCATGTTGAATCATGCCCACCAAATGGTTATCGCGTCGGCACAGACATCCTGCTTCCCACAACCATTCCAACTCATACTCAGCGCCGAACTACAGGCAGGACTTTGATTTTCCTTTCCAGGAACAGTCATCCAGCGTCTTCAGCGGTCCAGGCAGAAATCGAGCTGTCGTGACCTCAAGGCCGGTCGACATCCGTCCAACAACGGCCGGAGCGCCCACAGGAAGGCGAAGGCAGCGTGCTCCAGTGCCTGCCACCCGACCAGAGACATCTGACAACCACAAACCTATGCCTATGCAGGTCAGCAATGTCATGTTAAGGTCAGACGATGGTCTGATCGGCCTCGCCTTCGGCAGCCCGTCCCATCCTCCTCAGTCCTTTTGTACTCCTAGCATGGAATCCGTCCCGCTGGAACTCAATCCCACCCTCCGACACAACCATCCGTCCCCCGACAAATCAGCACAAATGCAGTCGAGGAAGTGGAGGAAGCTGGGGAGTCTGTTCAAGTCCCGGGAAGCTGTGGTTCGACGGGATGAGGTCCCTCCAGGTCCAACGATCGGGTTGCCGACCGGATTGGTGATGCTGGATAAGAGTCCGACAAGTCAGAGTAGAATTCTGGACGCGCATAAACTACAACCAATACAGTCGGATTCACGTCAAGGTGATACTCCATCATCGCTCGACAAGAAACCAGCCGCGAACCTTGAAGTTCCTGAGAAGATGGGAATCAAGTCGGGAGATGATATGATATCAAGGCCGTCGACAGCCACCGATGCCAATATACAAAGTGAGCTGCACAGGAGACCTCCTTTGCCGAAACTTGAACTGGAGATCCCAACGGAGCCTCTCGATCGGTTTAGTGTCATGTTCCGCAATCTACCAGCCGCCACCCGCTCTTCGTCTCTGCTAGCCAGACGGAGCAAGACCCTGAGGAGTCTGAAGTCCTTTGAAGACATTGCACCCATGACTGGTCCAGACAAAGACAATTACATGCCTCATTCAACCACCGAGTCGCTGACGCCCCTCATGCCACCGAGACTCTTAACAACACCAACGAGGGCGAGATCACCAGCAGGTTGCAAATATTCGTTGTTTCCCACCACATCTTCTACGCCAGTGAAGAACCCTGGGCACGGCGCGACCTTGGAAAATGGTGGCCGTGGCAGATCTCAATTGAAAAGATCAATGACCTCGCCGGCCCGTCTGTCTCCCATGCAAGATCACTTCGCGGCGGCAAAGCCAAAACCTCTCAACCTCCTGAAAAGGACATCATCCAGTGAACATGTGGATACTAAATCAGGCGTCAACGGAAGGATCTCTAACGAGCAAATTGTCAGCAGTCCTGAGGATAACACGGCTTCGACGGACCGAGAGGCTCCATGGAGTTCGACTCATTCATTCCAATCATCCCTCTCGTCTGCTACTACCGTTGACGAGATCTTCTTCGACATCAAATCCTTTCGGGATTCAAAAGGGGTTGAGGATGGTCAGTTTGTCATGACCAGGCCAGCGTCGGCCGCCATACACTTGGCTCGAACCCGATCAAAGCGTGCCGGTCCTACATATCGGATTCGACGCCCGGAAGATGCGCCCTCTGACGAAGTTGACGAACCCTCGACGCCACTTCCTCCACCTATGCCATCAGCGACCTTGTCCGTTATTTCGGCTGGCACCACCAAACATACCTCTGTCAACACGGCATATTTCGATGAAGCCATTGCCGCGGTTGAATTGCTCACATCGCCCACCGCCACAGCCGAGTCCGAGAGGATTCTCCCCATCACCTTCGCCTCCCCTCGGCCTGGCATTTTTGCTCACAAGGAACCATCTGGTGCCGCCCCATCGACGGATACGTCGTCGCCTAGTGCCAGAAATCAATCGACCGATCCTTTAACGAGCCATGCAAACCTTACTCGGGAAGAAGTCGGCCAGCTGATTCCTTCGCCCGTTACCGAAGTCAGGGAGGATCTCTCACAGTACAGTGCCTCTGAATACACAGTCACGCCGAGCTCCACACCAGTGCCGCCACATACTCAACCCGAAGCGAAGATCAGGGCTCTCGTATCTCCCCAGATTGCGGCTGCGAAACGAGTCGATCGACCGATTGACGACTCGCCGACCATTCCCCAAGGTCCTCCCAGTCTACGACATACGCCCACTGGGACGTCATCACCAGCGTCAGCCGATGACAAGCCACCGCCAGTGCCGACGAAGGATGCGAAATACATCCCTCTGTCGAAATATGCCGCAAAGAACACTGTCTTCAAGATCGAGCAAGCGGGTATCACACCCACCAGACCACTCCGGACCAACACCGACAGTAGCTTTAATGTCAGCCATCCTCCACAGGCTGCGACGCCAGGAAACAAGGAACGATCCGCGACTCTCCCTTCATCTCTACGCCCTCCCCGTCCGCCTGCTGAGGCATCGTCGCCGTCCTCGGCCCTCCGAGGTCTTGAGAAGACCGTTCCGCCACCGCCATCTTCACGTTCTAATCCTCGCTCCGCTCAACCGGCACCAATCAAAGCAGAAGTGGCCGTTGCCCGCACCATTTCCTTGTCTCGCAAACAGAGCGCCCGTGTCCATGTTCCTGGACCCAAACTTGGTGTTCGCCGCGCCGAGGCTGCCGCGCGTCAACAGCGACGACATTCGCACCAACAAAAGCGAAGTGAGTCAGAACCACCGAAGCCGTCGATGATGGGGGGTCATCGCCACCGCCGCACAGGGTCTAGGTCTGTGTCTAAGGACAAAATCATGTCTTTTATCCGCGGCGAACAGTCTGACTCGGATAAGGAGAAGGAACGTCAGAGGGAAAGGGAGAGAGAGAAGGAGAGGGCCAGACTGCAGATCGAGAAGCAGGTGGCCATTAGGGAGAAAGCCAAAGAGAAAGAAAGGGAGAAAGAGCGAGAGAAAGAGAAGGACCGATCAAGAGAAACGCCCGTCGTGACCCGCATTCACGACAACGATGATGACGACAGCAACGATCTTTCGCCGCAAACTCGAAAGTGGGAGATGATCGATAAAAGCAAGTGGGAGATTCTGGAGAAGAAGGCATATTCCCCCGTCGTGGTGCAGGCCCAGCGCGGACACCGGCCTGGCTTGAGTGTCGGCGTGGTCGTGGAGGATGTATGATTTTTGATCTTTTGTTTCATTTATGAGGTTCGAGGTTCGAAGTCTGGGTTTCTTTGTTTGTTTGTTGCGATATGTATATGGGAGTGTGGAAATTCAGCTTGTACTTAAAGAGCGAGCAGGTCTTGGTTTATTGTACATACACTCCTGCTCCATCTGGCGTGGGAACGGGGCTCGCTTGGTTTTGATCTGATCTGGTGAGCCAATAGTGTCTGCCGTCTGCTGTCTGGCGTCTCTGGCGTCTCTGACTGGAAGGCCTTGGATGGCTTGGATGGCTAACACGATGATGGCCGACATATGACATTTAACCTTGGTCCTTTTGATCGGTTTATAACGGACCCAGCGGCAGAAATGTGGCGGTCAGATCATCTGGCTGCGTTGTAACATATATCTTCTAAGGTGTTAATATTGTCTTTTAGGTAGAGGACGTCTCGACGGACGAACAGACGGGATAAATAGAAAGGGGGTAGTAGGCCCGCTGCACAGGTTTTCTATCGTCTCGAATCATGTAGGATGGGGAATTTCCCGTTGGCAGGGAGAGACAACATGAAAAAGACCTGCGAGATAGTGTCAAGCCTTGACAAGACCCAGAGACAAGACCCAAACCCAGGGCTATGGATGCATTCTGGAATCTGAATAGATGGTGAGGTCTGATATCCATGAACATTGTGCTGCAGAGCGAGATTGTTAAAAAAAATTTAATTGGGAGAATGGGAAGACTTCTTGGAAAGTGAGACGGAGATAGTGTACTTTGAATGGGTCAGGCCCAACATGCTTTGCCAATCTTCGGCGTTGATTTCCCAAAAGGATCTCCTGAAGAAGGAGACGATACTAGGATCAAGGCCAAACCACTCCCCCATTCCTCAGGATCAAGTTCTAGAAGACCCCTTGGGGGCTGACCTTTTCTCCCGTTCCTCAGAGATAAACTGCGAAAGACCGCTTAGGGGCCGACATCTCCTTCTCCCTATATTAGTAGCCTTCATAGATAACAACTCACAGCCCGGCGTTTGCTGGTCATTGAATGTCGAGCCATCAGTTCACCACAAGAGCCTTGATATGGATATGGCATCATACACTTTACACCTGTGACAGACCTTTATCCTCAATCCTTGAGGAGATTCAAATCCCATCTTTTCCGATCATCAAGCGCCTTCCCATTCACGGCGACCAGAAATCGATGCAGCATCAGACTCGGCGGCAGAGGGTTGCGGTGTTCCAGAGCGATATGTGCGATCAGGTCACGCGCTGTGGCGAACGCGCTGTAACCCCGGACCAATTGATGATGTCGAGTAGTAGCGAAACAGAAAACACAGCCATACTTGAGCGACGTTTTCTGTTGTTGCTGCTGCTGCTTATGACCGACAGCAGCAGGCAGGTAGAGATGGGACTTGGCCAGGAACGAAGAGCGATACTGCACGGCGAGGCGGTCATGTTCGCGAATCTCGTCCGTGGTGTGGATGTTGGACGTGACGCTGCTGGCGACATGATAGCGCACTCGATACGCACACTGGCCGTCGCGACACTCCCAGTGGAGAAAGGCGCCGCCGAACGCCTTGAGTTTCTGCTGCTCGTACTTCTCGCCGGCCAGGTCCTTGCGGTCGACGAACGAGATGCGGCCGCGGTCGCGGTTGTTGCTGATCTGCAGGGCGCCGCGGCAGAAGGCCCGGCCCAGCTCGTGCGTGCTGGTACCGTCGCTGGCGCGGAGGTCTTCGGGCCGCAGCCGGCGCGGGTTGCTGGGCGACAGACCCGGCACCTGTTTCAGCTGGTCCTCGCGATAGTTCAGCGTCTCCCAGATGCTCGCGAACGGGCGGCGCTCCTCGAGGTCGCGGTCGTAGTGGTTCACGAAGATGCTCTGGATCCCGTGGATCGCGTTGAGCAGTTGTCCGACGATCCCCATCAGATACTGTGCTGCTAGACCGTCCGAGTCGTCGATCAGGTACGGCAGCTGCGTGTAGGATAACGTGGCGAGCGATTTGAGGCGCGATTGTAGAATCACCAGTCGTGGGTCGTACGCTTGGATCTCGTTCGGCACGATCTCCGGGTAGATGTACCAGTCGATCAGCGTCTTGAGCCGATGGCGGACCTGTAGCAGAATTAAGAGGAGGTCGTTGATGGCTTGTGGGATCGTGATTGGCTCCGGTGGCGGGAGCGGTGCTGCTGCTGCGGCTGCGGCCCCTTCTGCTCCAGCTCCTGATAGTCCGAAACCAGAAGCGTCGGCGGGGAAAGCCATGGTTGCGAATTGGGTTGTGGAATTGGAGTGATGCTACTACGATGAGCGGATGGGATGAAAGGGCTGTGTCAATGACTTTGGTGCATGGGTTCCGTCACAGCCTGATGCTGGTGAGTCTGGTCTGGTGATGGAAGGGTGTGGGACGCAGTGTGGTAGTCGAGCGGTATGAAGGCGCTTGAAATGTGATCCGGGTGGCACATCATGTTTTGAAAGTACGGCTGCGTATGTCAAGATAAGGAAGATGTTGAATCAATTCCAAGACGAGACAGCCCGTTTGCGACACAAGACGAAGGAGGAGAGAAGACGAGAACAGACGGAGGCAGACACAGAATCTTGTTCACAGCCCGAGGAGGGCATCCTACCTCTCATGGATGTTCGTTGATGGTGGTCACGAGGCTAGATGCCTTCCATGCCGGCCGTTGGGCTAAGGCAGATTTCGAGAGTTTTGCACACCAAGAAGGTCATCAGAAAGGCTCACCATAGGCCTCGCTTGGCCATGCTGGACCGCTGTCATTGCATTTGCCAGCAGCGTTCATGCCAGCTTATGCATGAGAGCCCTGAGGTCGAGCTGGTTCGCACGCCAGCGAGAGTGTACATTGGCTGTAGCTGCAGCTCTGCCACGGTGGCAGGCTATGATTGGTTATGGATGGTAGCGGGTGGGATGGGAGAGTGGTAGAGTCGATTGTTGGAGATAGAGGAGAGCGAGAGAGAAGACGGGGATGTCGAGGGAGAGATAGGAGATGAGAGATGAGGAGGGAGGGGGGGGGGTGGTCAGGGGGAGAAGATGGTGGTTCCAATTAACACTGCTCTAACTGCTTCAGGCGATATATCTCGCCATTTTATGGCATTCAACGCTAAACTCTTTTGGGGTATCAGACTTCACGATATTTTCTGGCATCGCAATGCATGATATATCCTCCGCGGTATGCAGCAGCTAGTCGTGGAATGGTAGAGCCAAAATGCCGACGGAGTTAGAAGATGTATGTGAATGGCTCTGCGAAAGTGTTGAACTGTGAATGGACGCTGATATCTGCCAGCTCGTCGAATTCCTACATCATGGAAATACTCAGATCAGGCAAATCGGTAAGTACAGTCGTTTGTCTTGTTGTTCAAAGCCTTTGACCGGGAGACTCGAGCAGTATCATCGAGACTGTTTGTTATATACCCAATACTGACACTCACTGTCTGTAGCTTGCGAGCACCTGGTCGGCTATTCCTCGGACCCGGCCATCTTCAAGATACACCAACTACTCCCCATCCAAGACCTGAAGTTACTCGTGAGAGACTACGCCGTGAGTACAGCCTGAGCCACATTCCACAGACACACTATTGACAGATGCCTGGCGCTAGCCTATTGCGCAAAATGTTCTCACCATCCTCGTCAACCTCAGTCATGATGCCGAGATCCTAGACAACCTGGCCGCCGACGATTCGTTCATTGAGACGCTGTTGAAGAAGATCACTGTATGTCGACCACAAATCTGTTCTACCTCGGTCGGGGTGGTCCTCTGAGGTGGGATGCCATTGTCTGACATGACTCCCAGAATCCAAAAGAAACAGCCGCCAACGAGATTGCCATGCTTCTCTCAAATCTGGCCAAGTCCGACCGTATGGAGAAGCTGATCACCCTCAAACGCTCTGTACCCGATAAATCTGTCTCCACATCTCCATACGCCCTCGATCAACTATTCGACCTGTTCGTCAAGGGCGCTGACGGCAGCTTAAACAAACACGCGGACTTCGACTACCTTGCCTATCTTCTGGCCGACATGTCTAAACACAAGGCTGGTCGGGATCACTTCTTAAGCAAGCGAGAATACGATGGCGTCGTACCCATCAGCAAGTTAATGGTGTTTACGGAGCACAAAAGCCACATCCGAAGAAGAGGAGTCGCCAGTACGATTAAGAACGTGGCTTTCGAGGTCGAGAAGCATCCATTACTTCTGGCCGACGACACCGAGACTATTGACGATACCCCCGGTGTCAATGTGTTACCCTACATTTTACTACCTCTGGCAGGCTCCGAGGAGTACCCAGAAGAGGAATCTGCAAACATGCTTCCCGACTTACAACTTCTACCACCAGACAAGGCGAGAGAAAGTGACAATGACATCCTGACTACACATTTGGAAACACTTCTCTTGCTTAGTACGACAAGGCCAGGAAGAGACAAGCTGAGGGCCGTCCAGGTTTATCCACTGGTTCGGGAGACCCATTTACATGTGGACGACGAAGGGGTGAGGGAGGCTTGTGACCGGTTGGTCCAAGTCTTGATGAGAGATGAAGAAGAAACTGTGCGTGTAGAGGAGATCGATGAGGATAAGAGAATTGAAGAGATCTTCTAGACGACACATGACCATAGATCAATAATGCAAGTACAGACAGACATAGCACAACAAGAATTCATGAAGGACTGTGGCAGCAATGTCATCGGGTGAAATAGACTCCCACTTTATTTACCATCCCCGTCAGTTAATGGTACGGTGAAGTACGGAAGTCGTTCGTGAGCTGTACGGTGAAGTGTATGTCGTGACGTGACATCAATTGTAACTTCATCTTTTTCTCTGGACAACGCGTCGTTTGTTTTGTCCTTGCTCATAACAAAAAGATAATCCCTCAATGTCAATCTAACAGACTATGGCTCTGGCGCCTGGGGCAAGACAGCCACATGGATTTGAGCCTCCGCCATCGTCTATCTTGGCCACTCATGTCGTCCGGGGACAGGGTGTCCCAGATCTGGATCGACACCATTTCAACCAGTTGTTGACTGAAGTGCTCGGCTCCAACGACGAGGGCCAGCCTAACCTGGGTGATGATGTCTCCGTCAATCACAAGCTCATCTGTATCATATTTCAAGTCGGCATCGAACCAGCCCTTGAAGAAAATCCCTTTAGAGCCGCGGCTGCTTCAGGTAAGGTCGATGCTCAGCTGAGACGATGCCTCGCCGTGCTGCAGGTCGCTATCGAGAGATCGCCCCAAGTTCTTTTTATGATATCGGATCCTCCTGGCAAAGACGTGACTGGTCCACCATGTCCACTATACTACTGGCTGATCCCTAGACTTCTACCGGTTATCCCCCTGTGCCAGGAGGTCGAGGCTCGAGATGCCGTGCTGGATGTCTTCAATGCCATGCTTGAAGTTGACAAAAAGTGTGCAACTGCATATTCATGTGGCAATGTCTTAGAGTTCTTGAGAAGGTGCATATCAGGTGCGGCAACTGAAGTCCAAGATCCTGCGACCGGATGATGCTAACTCTACCCAGGTCTTGTCAAGATCACAGCCTCTCTCCACATCCGACATCCCCGAAAAGCCATCATCATCGATCCCGAGGACTTTGCCACTGCAGTGTCGGATGTCACCCGTGGTACTCCTGTCACCATACCAGCCCTCAAGTTCCCTTCGCTCCGCCTGCTGTTCATGACCCTCGCTCGTTCGTTGAAGGTCGTTTCCAAGCATTCCGAAACTGCTCAGGACAAATTGCAATTTTGGAAAGTCTTCACGCGGTTCCGTCAGTTTGTGGACGATTACAGTGATTTGACAATCGAGAAGGATCCATCCGAGGTAGATTTTACAGACCTCCTACATTTCTCAGCGCTGATGTCTGCTTAGGAATTATCCCATGAGATTCGCAGCTTGAACAATACACCGCGTCGGCCCCGTTCAAAGCCGGCCACTAGCAACATCGCCGAAACGTGGCCTGAGAGCGACAGGGCTCGCAAACGTCTGCGCCTCTCCACCGACACTGAAGATGGCCTCCCAAACCAGAGTTCGCAACAAAAGGTCTGCCGTCGAATTACCATGGAGCTCACAGGCCGCGCCGTCCCTGACCTCGATGGACTCAGTCAGGCAGCGTCGGCGAATTTCCGTCGTCTATCCGAAGACAAGCAGTGCGCTGCCCTTGAAGCATTGGGGACAGCCGCCTGCCAACTGGCCCTACAATCGCAGGAAAGTCATTGTCAAATATGTGACGAAGGAAGCGATTCTGCAAACACTTCTGAAATCCCTGTTGCAGCCACGAGTGAAGAGCTACTCAAGACCTTGGTAGCCCTTGTTCAAAGCATTTCGCGGCAGTCGAGGGCTCGAGTGGCAGCCATGTCGGCACTGCGTCGTGTTCTCATGCATACGGACTCGGCCTCGGATTTGAAACTGAGTCAGACACCTGCCGGTGACTGGTGCCTTCAGTCGCTCAAGAGTTCATCTAGAGATCTTCGCATCACCGCAACTAGAACTTTGCAAGCCTATGTGATGAGGAGGAGGAGCGTCGACGTTTCTCTAATCCGGGAAAACAGAATCACCGCATTGGACCTTCTGCATATCCTCTGGGAAAAGGCCGAGGTTGCCGTACAGGAGACCTCTGTGATGGCTCTGGTACAAATGGCTCAAGTGGTTGGTGATGAAGAATTGAACATCATTCTCGTCAGATTGATCGAGTATCTCGGCCACAGCAATCCTTACCTTAGCGGTGTGGTATATGCGGAGATTCAACACCTGGCGGTGGCTATGCATATGTCTGTCTGGCTCCTTTTTCGTCCGTTCTGGCGGACTCTGGGTGTTGTCCTGGCAAAATCACTAACGAACCGCCCGAACGTGGCCGACCAGTTATGTGATCTTCTGGGCATGGACATGACTGGACTGATGGGACATACCGCTGAATACGCCCTCCCCTACCTTGTCCTCCACAAGGAGCTAGACACCATCAGACGCTTTGCAGAGGCAAATGGTTCGTCCACCACCCCGTTTGACCTCTGCACCCAGGGAAAGAATCTCATTGCAATACTTTCATTCCTACTGGTACAGCCCTTCTCCGATGCCGAACAGTCAATCATCTCTCTGTTATCCGAAGTCTCGGAAGATTTTGGGAAAAATGATCTCGCCAGTTGGGTTGCCCTGGATCCAATCCACATCACCTGCGAATTGCTCAAAGTCATCGGCGACAGTGGACAGGGGAAGTCATCGCGCGTCTATCAAGCTCTCCAACTTCTTGCACAGTTGGTGGCTCGTCAGCGCGGGCAGTCTTCTGGGTCCAAGCGCAGTGACAGCATGGGGTCCTTTTTGGAGAATAACGTTCTCGCAATCGTCACCCATTTCACTGTTCTTTTGAATGACCTAGAAGCGAAAGAGCCCAAGGTGGAGAAGCGCAGATGCCTCGCAGCGCTAGGAGAAGTGGTCAAACTAGGCAAGAGTCGTGTGGTCCGAGCCTTGCCTCAAATTTGCGCCTGCCTAAGATCAGGCCTTGATGATAAAGAACTGTGCAACGCAGCGTTCAGCTCCTGGGTGGCCATGATTAGGTCACTCAAGAAAGACGACTTGGCACCCCTTATTGACCAGACCTTAGCAATCATCGTCCGGACCTGGGACGTGCTGGACAGTCCTTCACAGCAGCTGGCTCACGATGTGGTCGGCGAGTTGTTGCGCAATCATACTGCACTGATTCGAGAGCAATTCAGCACCATGCCGTCGCTTGCTTCGATCCCACTTCTGGCCAAGTACGAGGCTGAAATCAGCGCCCTGAAACGCCAGATGGACGAGCGGCGTCAACTCGCTGCATTTATCCCCAGACTACAGGACGAGAACCTGGTTGTCGTCCAACAGGCCTTGAACGAACTTCCACCACTTTTGGCTCAGAAGCAAGATCTACTACAGCGCTCGATCCTGCGAGAACAGCCAGACGAGTTCGTGGCAAATTTGACGCGCGCTTTACTTGAGTGTTGCGTCCGGTTCAATACAAGCATCGAAATCGGTACTCTATGTGGCCAGTGCCTGGGTCAGATAGGTTGTCTGGACTCTAGCAAGATCGAAAGCGTGAAAGAGCGGAAGACCATGGTGGTCCTATCAAACTTCGGAAAGGCAGACGAGGTGATCGAATGGGTCTTCTTCTTCCTCCAACATGTCCTAGTCAACGCATTTTTGTCTGCAACAACGACCAGAGCGCAGGGGTTCCTTGCCTGGGCCATGCAGGAATATCTCAAGACCTGCGAGCAGGACAACCCTTCTCGACATGGCGAAGGTAATCTCGCTTCACGGCTGTGGGCGAAGCTACCGGACAGCATCCAGAACACACTAACGCCGTTCTTGAGCTCGAAATACACCGTACAAGAAATCAGACCGCCGGAGAAAAGTCAATACCCAGTTTACCGGCCCGGCATGAGACACCGAGACTGGCTTCGGACCGTGACTCTGGACTTTCTCCACCGAGGATCTGGGGACAACGTGGACATTATGTTTGGAATCGCTTGTCGTATCATCCACGGTCAAGACTCTTCCATACCTGCCTTTCTCCTTCCCTACACCGTGGTCAATCTCATCGTCAGCGGCATCGAGCGTGATAGTGAAGATATCCTGGAGGAGATCACATGCATTCTCAGCTTGTCATTAGACGGTCAGGAGCGTCGAGTTCAGGATGACATCAAACTGTGCAGTCAGACGGTATTTGAAATCCTAGACTATGTGTCTACCTGGCATCAACAGAAGCGGAAGCAATATGCCATGGGCGTGGCCAGATCAGACCGCGGACACAACGATCCCCTTCTGGAGAATGCTGCAGCACAGATACGGAGCATTGAGCGAGTGCTGGAACGAATCCCCCCGGACATACTAGCAAAACGGGCACTCGAATGCAAGTCTTATTCCAGAGCGCTCTTTCACTGGGAACAACACATCCGCAAGTCAAAGGCTGACGATATGGAAACGGAGCTGCAAAGAATGCAGGATATATATGCTCAGATCGATGAACCGGACGGTATCGAAGGCATCTCATCCCGGATGTATGTCCTCGACATCGAGCAACAAGTCCTCGAACATAAGAAAGCTGGTCGATGGACGGCGGCTCAAAACTGGTACGAAATGAAACTGCTGGCTGATCCAGACAATAACGACGTGCAAAAGAACTTGATGGATTGCCTCAAGGAATCTGGACAATATGATGTGTTGCTCCATCACTTTGAGGGAATCAAACGCCGAGGCACAACCTCTGGGACTCTTCTTGCACCCTATGCACTGGAGGCTGCTTGGGCCACTGGTCAATGGGATCGTCTGTCCAGCTACGTCCCGAAAAGCGGCGGGTATGATTTTGCTTCTCATCTGGCAGAGTTGATGCTTGCTGTCAAGAACAACGATACCGCAAAGGTGACACAGCTTTTCGAGGAGTTGTACGGCACTGCAGTATCGGAACTGACCCCAGCGACCATATCTTCATTCCAAGCCAGTCATGATACCTTGCTGAAAATGCACGTCCTCAGCGATGTGCAGCTGATAACGTCGAGTGGTAAAGATGACCGATCGTCTGTTCTGGAGACTTTGAGAGGCCGCCTCGATGTCCTGGGGTCGAATGTAGCTGATAAGCAGTATGTCCTTGGAGTCCGACGCGCTCTGATGTCTTTGCGACAAGACACCTTCACCTCGGACGATGTTGCAGCAGCGTGGCTTTCGAGTGCCAGGCTGGCACGAAAGGCTCGATCCACCACTCAAGCTTTCAATGCCGTTCTCAAAGCGTCGGCTCTGGGCGACAAGTCTGCGGCGATTGAACAGGCCAAACTCATGTGGCTCGAGGGACACCATCGAAAGGCAATCCAGATCCTAGAAGGAGCGATCGAGTCTGGTGCTTTTATAGCCCACGACTATATTGCCGAGAATGGGCCGGTCACCATGACAGTCGAACAGCGTCATTCCCAGAACGAACTCATTGCCAAAGCCCACGTCTTGCTCGGCAAATGGCTTGATCAAGCCGGCCAGACCCAGTCGGATGCGATCCTCAAGACATTCCGCAAGGCCACGGAAAGCTTTCGCAGATGGGAGAAGGGTTGGTATAACGTTGGGCGTTACTACAACAAGATCCTGGACTTGGAGAAAACGATGCCTCCTGGCAAAGAAAGCCAGACATATCTGACTGGAGAAACGGCGAAACTGGTGATTGACAACTATCTGAAATCACTCACCAGCGGGAGCAAATACATCTTCCAGACATTGCCCAAGATTCTGACACTGTGGCTGGAACTCGCAGAGATGGCGGACTTGCCGAAAGACCCACGACGCGGCAACGACAGTTTCCACATGCACAATTCGGCACAACGAAAGCGAGTTATTGAGGATACAAACAACCTGATCAAGAGATACATTGACCGCCTTCAACCAGTCCTGTTTTACACAATTCTGCCCCAAGTCGTTGCTCGGATTTGCCATCGAGACCATACAATCTCCGGAATGCTGGGGAGCATCATCGTCAAAGTCGTGCGGGCGTTCCCTCAGCAGGCGATGTGGACACTTCTGGCCGTTGTGCAGTCGAAACAAAAGGACCGAGCAAAGAGAGGAATAGAGCTTCTCAGACAGATATATGAGACGGAGAAGAAGTCGTCGAAAGGCGGAACGGCCAGTGCTGTAGAGCTGAGAAACCTGTCGACCAAGGGGCAGACTTTCATCACAGAGTTGATCCGAATCTCCGAAGAGCCGATCAACGAGAAGGTGTCCCGCATCAGCCTGTCCGCCAAGTTGGGCTTCAAGCACGAAATCGCACCACCGAAACTGGTCGTGCCGAATCAAGCCTCCTTGATACCCAGCATGCCGACCAACTTCGAGGCAGCCCAGCTCAAGGCGTTCCGGCCATTTGCCAAAGAGCCGGTGACGATCTCGGGATTCCTGGACGAGGCGCTCGTGCTCTCGTCTCTGCAGAAGCCACGAAGACTGACGATCCGCGGGTCCGACGGCGCCCTGTACAACGTGCTGGCCAAGCCCAAAGATGACCTCCGCAAAGACCAGCGACTCATGGAATTCAACACGATGATCAACCGGGTGCTCAAGCGCGACGTCGAAGCGGCCAAGCGCCGCCTCTACATCCGCACGTACGCGGTGGTGCCGCTCAACGAGGAATGCGGGCTCATCGAATGGGTCGACAACCTCAAGACGTTCCGCGACATCATCCTCAAACTGTACAAAGACAAATCCATCCAGCCGAACTACATCGAGATCCGCAACCTGCTGGACGAGGCGTGCTCCGGCGACCCGGACAAGATCCAGATCTTCCCGACGCGCGTGCTCAGCAAATTCCCGCCCGTGTTCCACGAATGGTTTGTCGAAAGCTTCCCCGACCCGTCTGCGTGGTTCAACGCACGCCTGCGCTACACGCGCTCCGCGGCCGTCATGTCGATCGTCGGCCACGTCTTGGGGCTGGGCGACCGACACGGCGAAAACATCTTGTTCGAAGAAGACAACGGCGGCACGCTGCACGTCGACTTCAACTGCCTGTTCGACAAGGGCCTGACCTTTGAGAAGCCCGAAATGGTGCCCTTCCGCCTCACGCACAACATGGTCGACGCCATGGGCGTGTATGGCTACGAAGGCCCGTTCCGGCGCTGCTGCGAAATCACCCTGACGCTGCTCCGCTCCAACGAGGACGCATTGATGACCATTCTCGAAACCTTCCTGCACGACCCCACCACCGACTTCATTAACTCTGGCGGCAGGAAGAAGAAACAGGTCAACGGCGTGCCGAATACGCCCGTCGAGGTCCTCGAGGGCGTCAGAGCAAAGGTCAGGGGCATGTTGCCCGGTGAAAGTGTGCCGTTGAGCGTGGGGGGTTATGTCGATGAACAGATCAGGAGGGCGACCGATATGGCGAACCTGGCCAGGATGTATATTGGCTGGTGTGCTTTCTTTTGATTGATTGTCATTGAGTGTTGGTGTGGTCGTTAGTGGTAGTATTGATTATGGCTGAGTGACCAATACACTTAAGTACACAATACAAGTACTCAATAGTCGATAGTCGATGGTCTGCGAAAGGAACAAACTAATACTATTACGAGTCGTCTCTTGGGATTATTATGCCGGATGGTCCGGCTTCTTTTTGTATGATTTCCGAGGTTTAGGAAAGATAGAAGTGTGTGCATTCTCATGCATAAGACACACAGAGTGTCGGGACTGAATACATTAATCACAGAGAGAACAGCCTTCAGAGAAGAAGGCGTGCATGAGATGAGATGTCTGAAGTCAAGTAGGAATGGGATTGTATCGAAAGTAACCAAATTACAACGCCAGATCCCTCACCAGCAGGCTCCTGTTCTGAGTCGCGACAGGCACATGGAATAGGTACCATTCACTCAATCATTCTGCACTGGGGAAGATGAGAACATGTCGTCTGCCTCGAGATCTTCTTCGACCTCGGCTTCGATATGGTCTTTGGGTTCCTGTTCTTTTAAGTCCTCTTGCCGTTGGTCTTGCTCCTCCTCGTGCTCATGCTGCTGCAATTGGACTTCTACTTCTGCTTGTGGTTGGAGTTGGTTCTCTTGTTCTCTTCCGCCTTCTTGTTCCTCAGTATGCATGTCTGCAGACATGACACCTTGCTCTTCCGCTCCATGCTTAGCCTCATCCGCTTCTGCATGTGGAGATCTTTGAATTGTGTCATCGGCGCCAGCGCGAGCCTGAGTGGATGTCGATACCGATGCGGCTGCACGTGTTGAACTTTGAGTCTGTTGGAAGTCTTGCGTGGGATTCGCAGTGCCTTGTACCGGTGATGAAGAAAACATGTCGTCGCCGTCGGCCTCGGCCTCAACCTCGACCTCGGCGTTGTCTCCTGGTGTTTCATCCGTGATCGAGTGGCCGGTCGTCGTTCCTGGAGGCGCAGAAGATTGCGGTCTGGTGCTGGCCTGCTGAAGTGCCTCTTGATCGGCGAGAACTGCGTCGAGGTCATCGTCAATGTCATCGACGATCAGATCTTCGTCCTGAGTTGTCGTACTCTTCTTCAGTGTTGTGGCAGAACTGTTCGGCGCCTCTGTCGCCGGGTCTGTAATGGCAGTGTTTAGATTCGCACGTGTTTCCTGCTCCGCCAGTAGAGCATCCAAATCATCCATGTCTTCATCGTCGTCGTCGTCATCATCAAAGGGAGACGTTTTGACCTTAGAAACGGGCTTAGATGCCGATGTGGTCGACGTCGGGGCTTTTCGAGTCTCTTGCTCTGCTAGTAAGGCATCAAGATCATCTTCGCCTTCAGAGTCCATATCCATTGCAGTCCGTAGTCTAGACGGAGCAGTGTGTGTCATAGAGGTGTCCTGCTCGGCCAACAGCGCATCGAGGTCGTCGTCCTCAGGCATGTCGTCGAATATGGCAGCCGGTTCATGGCTTGCTCCAGTGTCAGGAATGAACAACGAGTCGTCACCATCCACTGCAGCGCCTGGGATATTCTTGTCGGCGGGGGGGTTGTCGCCATACAGATCGTCCGTTTCTCGCTCCTCGTCCTGCTTCTGCCGTCCCTTGTCCCTGGCATAACCGGGCTTGCCTTGGTCGATCCACTCCTTCCTCATAGTCTGCATTCGCTTACTATGCCCGACCTTCTCGATCAATTGGAGGCCATCTGCGAACTTGGCCCGCGGGTATAATTCGTCCAGCCACAGTTGGTAGTAATTCAGTAGCCGAGCCACGTCTGAGAACTCGTGTCCTTTGCCTTTGAGATGCAGTTTCTTCGCGAACTTGCCTGAAAGCGCGAGCGCGCGGAGTTTCGGGATTCCATTTGCGGAAAGGAGTCTGCCATACATGTGTGAGATGTGTTCGGTCGGTCAAGAGAAACTGGACTATGCTCACCTCGCTTCATCCAGTTTGGCAATGGGCTTTCTTTTCTTGGTGATTTTCACTTCCTCGTCCAAACCAAGGTCGGCACCGAAGCCGCCATCTTCTCCGGCTTTGCGCTTCGCTGGACGAGGGTTTAGGGTTGTATTATCGTCGCGAGCCTTGCGCGTCTGCTTGTCCTTGAAGGGATCTTCGTCGTCGGTCGAATCGAAGTTGAAGAGCCCATCGACGGTTGCAGAAGTTAGAGGGTCGGCTGCCATGGTGTACACTTTCTGTTCCGTATAGTTACCAAGGGTGCTGAGAAGAAGGGTGGTTCGCTGTGTCTCATGTACTGGTAGTGTCGATATGTATGTTACTACTACCCATTGTAGACGCGTCTGGGAGACGCGTTTGGTGAATGTTTAATTGAATCTCTCCGACTGGCTGCTACGTCATGGGCCCCTTGGCAGACTAGTCCCAATATGATTTAGTGCTGTAAGTTTGAGCTTGGCATTGAAGCTCCGCAGGAGCCCAGTTGCAAGTGCAGCGAGTGGAATGAACCTCATGTTTCAATGTCGCAGAGTGTTTGCACTTGAGCCTCGTCAGTTGCAGCCATGACGGACGAGCAGAAGGTCTTCATCCCGCCCAAGCGGATCAATACCGACTATCCAGTGAGTTCCGGCGTCCTACAAAACTAGATATACAAGCTAACAGGCTACTCCGAAAAGGTTATCGACACCGACCCGTACGTTCCTACTTGTCCAACATCACAGCTTTGGACAGACAGAGACTGACAGACATTGTGACTGCTATAGCCACTGGAGGCGGGCTTTCAGATATGCACGACCAGACGACTGGGCATACGGAGCCGGCATGGCTGCTGTAGGACCGGCGTTCATGCTCACGACCGAACGATACGCGCCATCATTCTCCGGCAAAGGTGCTTTTGGCCCTGTTTTCAGACTCAGTTGCGCCATTGGGTTAATAGCAGGAGCCGCCTTGGTATACCAGAGGAGCTGCCGTATGTCGAATCCACTACTGGGAGCATATTGTGCCAAACAACGGAAACAGCGGAACTAACCTCGATCTTTTGCGTTCACAGTGAGGTTCTACGGATGGACGGAGAACGACCGAGAAGTCAAGATGGATATGAGGGAGATGGTGGATAAAGTGAAAAAGGGAGAGCCTTTATACGGACACACCGAACTCACGCCCTACATGCAGGGTGTTGCTGCGCGGAACAGCAGATACAGTGCCCTGATGGCTAACATTGTGCCATGGGCCAACTTTGCCAACCACAACCAGGTGAGTCGAGAGTACAGTGGCTGGAACCACGGTCGGTAGGCTGATTGTGCATGTCCAGCATGGCGTCGATACCGCCAAATACTATCAACAGGCAGAACGAGAACTGGAAGCCGAGAAATTAACAGGTGGTCGATGAAGGAAGCTTCAGTACCACAGCAAGCTACACTGCAAGGTTGAATGATGAAAACACAAATACACCATCGTTGTGCTGGTGGTTTGACGGTTGTACATATCCTGATGGAGGGGAGAAGAGAGAAACCGAGCCTTGTCATCAAAATGAGATGGCATACATACCTACTGTACTTCGAATTCTGATCTCTAAACCAACCCTTGTCTCTCTCCAACTCCCCGGCTTTGTGTTGATGATGCTAAAGAGTCTACCCAGACCAACATCTGCTTCTGCCTATCTGTTGTTTGGCCATTTCGTCCATGATCTATGTGGCTACCATTTATCTGCTCCTCTGAACCATAGGAGAGCATGTCAGAATCTTACCAGAAGGACAGCCCTGGTGTCAACCCGCCTCATAACGGGCTGCCTTGTTCTGAATGTCCCTGTGTTGACCACCTCATACTGACTATGCCTGTGTCAATTCACACGACCAGCCATGAAAGACAGTCCCACGACGCGACGGCCAATCTACTGCCTCTACTCTACCCTCACCACGACCTCACTCAACCCGCCTCACCCTTCTACTGTCACAGCTCGTTCGCGCACATACTCCTCTTCTCTTCCTTCTACAGCTGAAACCTCTCTCCTACTCTGACGGGATCTCCTACTTTATCATCCGCGTCGCCGACCAGCTATACGCTTCTACTTCCACATCCGCAGCTGATCGACACTCCTTCTCTCCCGCGCTACATCTTGGTCTTCAGATCGACTCAAGATGAGGGCAGACATAACCAAAGCCACGGAGGACAAGTGGGCTGACATGGACGTCAACTACACTTCTAAGATCTGGGAAGAGCGTGAGTCTCCTCTTCTTTTTCCATCTTGTCGCACACACATAACACTAACACGATGTCGATGTTGCTGTCGTAGATCTCCAAGCCAGCGAGGTCTTCATCATGCCAACCGTGCACACCGGCCAGGGAACCCGTCTCCTCCTTGAGATCACTGAAAAGGGCATCACCGATCTGACCAGTCTCGGCGACGACATGAAGAAGACTGCTGCCGTCACAGAGCGCATCTACGTCGAAGTTCGGATGCAATGGCTAGCGTATCTCATGGTCATGCGTGGCCAGCTAGGCTCTACGTTCGACGAGGACAGCGCACAAACCCACGCCTCTCAGGTGTTCCGCCCCTACGAAATGCAAGCACACAACTACAAGCAATGCTGCGACCTGGCTCAGCGCGTCATCGACAAATTCGTGCAGCTCCAGAAACTTGCTGGCACCGTTCTGGCTGCGCAGGAAGAGATGGGCGAACAGTTGACGCAGACGGAAGAAGGGGTCAAGAAGCTCACGATCGGCATCAAATGCATCGACACGGTTTGGTTGGACATCACAACCTCTTTTGCGCGACTGAAGCTGGCTGTGGACGAGCTGGAGAAGACCGAAGTGATTGGTGCTCTCATGGGCGAGGGCGAGCCTGGACCAAGTGTTCAGGAGCTTGAGGAAGATGACGGCATCACGCAGGCTGAGAACGAGAATGACAGTGGCAGTGGTGCTGTCAGCAATAGCGAGGAGGAGGAGGATGATGATGCTGCTATTGCTGAGCAGGAGGAAGAAGAGGAAGTCTCTGTTTCGGACACTACTACTGCTACTACTGCTACTACGGTCCCGGAACAGGGCTTGTTGCAGACCAATTCTGCCTTGTTGGGAGGTGGAGAGGGTGTGCTGTTCCCTGTGCGCTGTCTGCAGACAGTCTACGAGGAGGATGAGGAGGCGGCTTAGACTTGCCGCAGACATAGTGACGATAAAGAGAATGAACTGAGATTCAAGTGAGCTGAAAGCAAGTTATGATTAAGACAGAGTGCCTGTCACTGTAAAATTTGCTAATTACAGGTATATGACAGGCGCCTGGGCCGTAAATTAATCAAGCATTGTTATGTTCCTGTTGCCTCCTATATACAAATTTTATCTTAATTACCGTTGAGGTGCGGAGTCGGCCTCGAACTTGACTACCTGTACAAAGGGACTGAAGAGGACGGTCCTTCTATCCCTATCCTCTCGATTAGGTCCACGGTGACGGAGGCACCCCCGAAGAGGACGATGCTGATGATATTGTTGTTGATGGGATGTTTGTTGTTGATAAGATGGTTGCTGTTGTTGTTGCTGTTGTTGTTGCTGCTGTTGCTGTTGCTGCTGTTCGTGCGCTTGATTTTGAGGTGCCTGCTGCTTCTGACCAAGGTGCTGTTCATATTGCCGATGGTGGTATTCCTCCCACGAGACGAAGTCCGGAACGCTCACCCTCCGTATCTCGGGTGTATCCTCCTGGCTTCCACCGTATTCACAACCAAAGGCTCCGCCATGAGACCGCTTAATGCCTCGGGGTCCTTTGTCGATCGTGTCCAAGCTAATAGCCTGCTTGACCGCTCGGACGATGGGGCCGATGTCGACCAGGGTGGTGGGTCTGATACTCGCGACGATTCTTGTGATCGTGCGACAGACGGGGAAGTTGTCGAGGCATCGCGGCGGCGGGATGCTGTATGTCCAGACCCGGCTGACCTCGTCGCCGAGCTGGAGTCGGGATAGGTAGAATATAATGGCAAGGAGGTCGTCAGGGGTCATAAATTCGTGTTCGCTGAGGAGCATTCTCATGATTGCTGCATTGTGGGCAACAACGTTTTGAGACATGATGCAGAAAGACAGGATGGAAACGATAGCAGAGGGCAGGATAGCAATGGCGTGTGTAATCCGGTAGACAAAACGTAGGTCGTGAGTCGTTAAGTCGTTAAGTCGTTAAGTCGTTAAGTCGTTAAGTCGTTAAGTCGTTAAGTCGTTAAGTCGTGAGCGAGTGTGTTCGGGAGGTAGAGATGGGAGAAGGAGAGGTGCTTGTTGGGTTTGGGGGGTGCGTTATTAGCAGATAAACAAGCAGAGCAGGAGCGTTGTAGAAGAGGCGCTGGAGGTTGAAGAAGAGAGTAATAGAAGTGATGATGGAGGTTGAAGAACTGGGTAACAGGATTGATGACGGAAAGGATGTTGAAGAGCATAGCGAGCGGCAACCATGGACAAACGGGTTTCTATCGTGGACGGGAAGTGTGCAGCGGACCTTTTCATCGGCCCTACGAGAGTTCGATAGTGTCGGTGAAATAGCCTGGGAACCGTACCTTTGGAAGCTAGGCAAAGGAAGGTCGACGTTGGATTTGCTACCTCGCAAAACCAGCCATACAAGCTTGCGGCAAGCCCTCGGGTGCCATCTGTTCTCTTGGCCGAGCCAGGTGTTTAACGGTAGATAGTCCTCGGTAGGAGGAAAGCGAAAACCCGTGGACCAGGCGATCAGCCCGAGCCTTAAGGATGTCCGGGACTTGTTGGAGGTCGACACCGTGATGAAGGAGAGAAAGGTGTGAGCGACCGCCGAGTCAACGAGGGCCATGATAGACGGCAGATACCATGATGAAAGTCAGTAAGTGAAGTCGACGTTGATGTCCAGATGTTGTGATGTGTGGAGTTCAAGCTGGCAAGGCTGAGCATCACAGCCTTGTCGTCACCCGAAAAGGGGAAGGTCGAGTCACATGACGTCTATGCCCCCTGAATCGACATGATCGCAGGAAGGTTTCCCGAGCGCTCTTGCGGACAACTTTCATGTATCATGCAGAGGAAGCATTGCAGTGGTGGTACAGTAGGAGTTGTGCTGCCTGGTGTTCCAACATGATCCTCAGAGCAGAACTGCTCTTGCTGTGGCACGCTGTTGTGTTTCCTGCTTGGGCAGTAGAGACAAGATCCGGCGAGTCGTCACGGCCCCGAGGCGTTGCGCCTGAATGTATGTCAGAAGAAGTCCCCAGATCTCTGGTTACAGACAGGGAGCTGCGTTAAACTCCATTACTTGGAATTGAGACCCTTGGGAAGCTGACACTTAGTTCTGGGAATAGTTGCGAAATTCTACAAAAAGACACCTTCAGACACCTTCACATGCATCTCGAACCCCTCCATAATCATACCCTTCTCACGGGTCAACGACGACTTCTGCGATTGTCCCGACGGCTCAGATGAGCCTGGTACCGCCGCATGTTCCTATCTCTCCCTGCTCTCTCCCCCTCAGTACCATCCCGGACCAGATACTGTGGCAGCGGCCATCAACACCACTCTAGCACTGCCGGGCTTCTACTGCAAGAACAAAGGCCATATCCCCGCGTACCTGCGTTTTGAGAGTGTCAACGATGGGAAGTGTGACTACGATGTATGTTGCGACGGCTCGGACGAGTGGGAGCATGTCGGAGGGACAAAATGCGAGGACAGATGCAAGGAGATCGGAAAAGAATACCGAAAGCATGAGGAGGTCCGGCAGAAGGCTTATCAGGCAGCATTGAAGCGGAAGAAGTCGTTGGCAACAGAAGCTGCAAGACTACGGCGCGAAGTGGAGCTACAAGTGCACGATTTGGAGACGAACCTGAAAGCATACCAAGTCAAGGTCGAAGCCGCCGCGGAGAACCTGAAAGATGTCGAGCGGAGAGAAAAGCTGAAAGTGGTCCGAGGAGAAGCAGCAGGCAAAGGTGCTGGGAAGCTCGGTGTATTGGTCGGCTTGGCCAAATCTCGGGTCAACGAGCTGCGTGCACAGCTGGAGAAAACGAAGAAGCAGAGAGATGCCATGCTGCAGAGAGTGACGGAACTGGAAGGCCTGCTTGCCGCATTGAAGGAAGAACGCAACCCCAACTTCAATGACGAAGGCGTCAAACGAGCTGTGCGTGGGTGGGAGGACTATGCCTCCCGCGAGACTGACGACCAATGGTCCGATGCGGAGGATCGGGACCTCGCGGCCGTCCTGCAGGAGGATACTGAAAGCAGCGGCATCAACTGGGCAGAATTCGAGAATGTCCCCGAGGAGCCCGAGTCAGACGTCGCGGCGCTGTACCAGTTCAGTGCGTACCTCCCAGACGGGGTCAAGCTGTGGCTGGACGAGAAAGTCGCGGCGCTGCGTCAGTTCCTCGTCGAGAGCGGCGTGCTAGCCGGCCCTTCAGATCCCACGGCCACAGCTACAGAGAGCAAAGCCGTCCAGGACGCCAAGAAAGTCCTTGCCGATGCGGAACGCGATCTCCGCAACACCGAGAACGACCTTAAACGCCATCGCGAAGACCTCGACAAGGACTATGGTCCGGACGGCATCTTCCGCGCATTCAGAGATACCTGCATATCCCGCGACAGCGGCGAATATGAGTACGAGCTGTGCTTCATGGGTCAGACGAAACAGAAGCCCAAGAAGGGCGGGGCCAACACGAACATGGGCAATTTCGTCGGCTTTGACACCGAGTATGTCGACGAAGGGGTTGGCTTGGATGGCAAGGGCCTCGGCACGGGCGATCGGCTGATCATGAAGTATGAGAACGGCCAGGGGTGCTGGAATGGCCCGGCTCGCTCGACGAAGGTCTACCTCGCGTGTGCGGAGAAGGAGGAGATCTGGAAAGTCAGCGAGAGTGAGAAGTGTGTGTATCGAATGGAAGTGGGAAGCGCGGCCGTTTGCGAGCAGCAACAGCCAAATGGGAGCGCGAGTGGGAGTTCGTCCAAGGCCCAAGCAGAGCATAAGGACGAACTGTAGGAGTATGATTTGCTCTCGTCAATCAAGATGTAGGCAACTCAAGCTAGCCAACGTTCCTAAAATGACAAGTGGTCAAAGTATCCAGCTGTTTTGACTAGTAGTGAGCGGTAGGAGGCCTGCTGTTGCTCCTGGCTGCTCGCTCCAAGGTGCGTTGCTTCGCCTGGCCGGAGTTCGATCAACCAACCCTTTGGACATGGAAAGTCGACTTCCTCGCCCAAATTGTTGTTTGATGTATTGTGAAGCGAGAAGTATACTCCTAGATAAGGTAATGGACTTCAGGTAATGAGGGTGTCAGGACTATCCATTAGGTGGTCTATCTTGCTGCCTCAGTCTTCGACTAGTATCCGGTCAGTGATGGGGGGGGAGAGGAATATCTGATTACTCTTCAAAGAAAGACGCTTCGTCGTCCCGTGGTCCCGACTGGGTCAACGATTGCGCCACGTAGACTTTTGAGTGATTACTATCAACCACATGGCAACCTAATGATATACACTTCTGCCGTTACGTGAGCTTTCTCGGTGCAACCAGCACCTGGAGATGGCTGTTGGTGCCGATTAGTAGGTGACCCGTATCCGACATGCATCGCGTAGTGGTAGAGTTGCAGTCCTAATTGAGGACCCTAAAAGACTGACGAAAGAAATCAGGGCATGATGTAGCCCACGTAGGTATTTCCATCCTCTCTGATCGAACAATATCTTCCTTTCGTGTTCCTTGTGAGTTCGAAGTCCATGCAGTGGAGAATGTTTGTATTGACATTTCTCTATTTCTGACCAAGTCCACGGCGACAAGTGAACGCTCTTATAGTATTCCGGGATACATATCAACACAGATCCGGCGCTTCACCTTCTGGTGTACCATCCATGCTCTTAATCGAGGGGCAGCATGGTCTTGTTCACAGACCTACCAGTCGAGATCCATGTCCAGATCATCCGCCATGGCAATATCATTCCGAATTTGAGGCTGTGCTGTTCCCAGTTTCTGGACGTTATCGTGCAAGAAGCACACTCGTTGCTCACGGATCTGTGTTCGGTCAACGACATCAGCGCCCGCGTCTGGGATCTGTTCCTTCTTCACATGGTCAGAGGAGAGAGAGAGAAGACCACGATCGTGCAGGTCATGGCATTAGGTCGTTTCTTGCGGAACATCGAAACCGTGGCGCCAGATAGACACCAAATACCAACACGATTGAGCGGGATTGGGTTGGCTCCGTCACCATTGATCAACAGCACTTCCTTCATGCTCTTCGCGGTGACCAGTCGATTGCTCAAGACATCCCAAACGGTGGAGTATGGCAGGGGAGATGTGCTCACGCCGTCCGACGACGCAAAACATGTTCTCTCCAAAGTCCTGGCGGAAGAGTTTGTTCAATTCTTCAAACGTGATCTCACGCTGGAAGAGCTGGAGTCGGTAATTGCAGCCATCAACATATCTGTGACCCGGCTGTGGAGCACGGTTTTCATTTTCCGTCCAAACGATTTGACAGTCAGTACTTTCGGCAGCTTGAGTGGCGTTTCGTTCAACACCGACCAGGCGATTCTCACTGAACATGTCATCTGGAAAGGCCCGGAATGGGTGTCTGCAATGTTGGTCAATTATAGTCTGGGTCAACGAGCCTCGGGTGAGGGGCGGGAGAGGAACAGTGTTCAACCAGGACGGCTTGATACCATGCTGGTTGACAAGGGCGTCTGGAACGGTCAGCGAGAGGAAGGAGCTCGATTGGCAGCGAACGGAGTTGCTCGGCTCTTGTGGCAGGAGAGACAACAGAAGATCGAGAATAGAGCGAATTTGTCCAGGGAGCGAGGGACCATGATGGAAATGAGAGTTGATCCGGCTCTGTGGCGTGGATCGTCGGGAGATATGTAGCTTGTGGAAAGGTAAATCTCATTTCATTCTTGCTGTTGAACTCCTGCCAGTGGTCGGATCTCGGATCCCGTTTGCTGTTGGGTGTCTCCAAGGATTCACTCACCTCAGCTACACTGCTTGAATCAAATACGATATATGTAGTAGGGTAGACAATGCAGGGGCAAGCCATGTGTCGCCGTATCATTGGACATCGACATGGACGTAATGATCTAGTAGTAGGACAATCAAAGAACATATATGTGTACCTGGGTACGTAGTAATAGTATACGACTGTATGTACCTGCTCAGGGACGATAGCCTTGCAAGTTGGACAAGAAAGGCGCTGAATGGTTTGAATGCAAGATGCAGGGATGGAAATAACAAGCTTTAGGTACCCGCGCGCTAATGACATTTCTGGAATAGTCAGCCTGGGCATTGTTTATATCAATCACGTTTTCAGGATAGTGCAGCACTAGTAATACACCACTATTGACAGCTGAGGAGTTCAACAGGGGGCGCCGCCATCCACATTGCACTGTATCAGGAGAGTTCGCAGACTGGCATTCACTGTCGCCGTCGCCGTCACTGTCACCGCGCAACCCGCAACCCGCTCTGCATGACAGCCAGGTGACAGCGCATGTTGCCGTAGAACATTGCTGCCCACTGGCACTCACTGTCATTCAACCAACCATACATTCCCCGCAGCGAAAGAAACAATCATTGTGCTTCTATGGCTCTACACATCTTTCATTCCTACACCTCCGTCTCAACATCTATCCCACTAGACTCTGCTGCTCACCAACTGCGACTCCGACACCATGCCTGAGCCACTGTCGACCCTGTCTCCTGCGAAGCAGAACTCCAGATCGTCGCCGGTTAGGCTCGACTTCGCACAGAAACCAGACCTCTCGTTATCGACGGACACGCTCAAGTCGCCTTCTCCTTCTCCTTCTGCGATGTCCGCCGTCGCGGTTGCAGTCACGTACCCCGGTCCGGTAGACACAATGACTGATTCCCCGCCGGCCATGGACTACCCCATCTCTCCTTCTGCGCCTTCTAGCCAACAATCAAGTCCCAGAAAAGCATTCTCGCCCATAAAGTACCGTCTACAGGATGACGCGAAGGTGGAGAGCTCACCGCCTGGGTCTCCCGCCGAACCCACGGTGCGATTCAACGAAGGCCTGACACAGGCGATTGATACCATGACAATGCAAAAGGAGGCGCAGCCTGACTGTTTGGATGAGTCGGTTATACACCACACCATAGACGACAGAGCTACTCCCTCGCCCGATCGCATTTCAAATGGAACCAGTCCAGACAAAGACGATTTCGACGACATGACTTTGACGCTCAGTCTTGACGATAAGACCGTTAACGTTCATGACGACACCACCGTTGGTGATTTAAGCACAATCTCGGCCATAGCTACAGACACAACGCGCTTCGCCAACATACGCAATTCTCCTTCCAAACCGCCGCGCGAACCATGGTCGCCTTCGAAGCACATGCGTACCTCGATCATCTCCAGTACTCCTGGCACCGCTCAACGACCCTTGCGATTACTGTCTATTTCGGGACGAAGCAACTCTTCAAACGAGGACGACGAGATGACCCCTCGGAGACCTCGTAACTCCAACGACACCCAAGATCTGTTGAATTTTACCGGCCAGACCAACATTGTGATTCCACCTCCCAATTCGGCACCTCGAAGCATGAGACGAAGCCCGTCTGGGAGAGGAGCGTTTCCCATCAAGGTCAACCCCAGTCCAGTCCACCGGTCACAGGCTTCGGTAGAACGAGAAAGAGCTTCGGGCCGATCCCCTCAGAAACAATTCCAAACTCTATCCGGAGATAGAACTGTCCCTGCCACTCCTGCCGGACAAAGACAGAGTATGTACTCGCTGGCGGGTGCTTCGGGGCTGGATCTGCTGGACATTGACCTCGAGCCCATGGCCACACCGCGATCAATCCCAACCATCACACCACGCGAGCTGGAGACGTTGCGGTCTGAGCTGCAATCACGCATTTCGGGATTGGAAGCCACTTTGTCAGGCAAAGAGGCAGAAGTCATGTCATTGAAACGCTCCATTACCGACGCCGAGGTGCGGGTGGGCAAGACCAGTGAAGAGCTTCGGACAGAGCGTGCCTCCCGCGAGGAACTGGAACAGGCAAAGGACGACTGGGAGCGCCGAAGCCGAGAGATGGAAGAGGTCCTGCGTGAAGTCAAGCAAAATATCTTTCTGGAGGAGCGGGAGAAAGAGAAGCTACGGCGGCAAGCAGAAGAAGCAGAAAATAGAGCCGAGGAACAGGAAGTCCGCATTCTGGAACTTCAAGCCTCCCTCGACACGCTACGATCGGAACGTATTAGGGCCACCCCGAGTCCGGAAAAGGGGAATGCTCCAGCCACCCCAGGGGTGAACTCTGACATTGACTTCGCGGTCAAAGATGCCACAGAGAAGGTGGCTCGCGAATTACATGCCTTGTACAAGAGCAAACATGAGCGTAAAGTGGCCGACCTCAAGGTCAGCTACGAGAAGCGATGGATCAAGCAGGTGGAACAGCTTCGAACGGACCTCAAGGCATCCCAGGATGAAGTGGTCAAGCTGCAAACCGAGAAGGAGGCAACCATGACTGGAGTCATCCCAGGCCAGAGCGAGGCTCTTTCCCGAATGGAGGGGCAAATCGAAGAGTTACGGCGGTGGAACGAGGAGATCTCGGCCGACAAGAAGATGATCGAAGCCGAAGCGGCCGGACTCAGAAGCCAGGTTGAGTCTCTGGCCGCCGAGACTGATTATCTCCGGAAAGACCTGGAGCAGGAACGTGTGGAAAAGGGAGAACTGGTGGCCCAAGTCGATCTTTTCCTCGCCATGAGTGCTCAACAAGAAGAACAACGGGTGGTGCAGCAAGTGCATCGACCTGTGAGCCCACCAAGGAGTGAGGATGGCCATGGCCGCCCAAACTCGGCAGCTGCAGTCGCCAGCCCAAACAAATTTCGCAACAGCATGAATGGCGGAATGATGGCAGCAGGGTCTGGAGGGACAGGAGGTCGCGCCCGGCCGATGACTATGTTGCAGAAGCCCACCGCGGGCAGATACTCTGGTATTCCTGCCCCTGGATCTGGGCTGAAGGCGCCGTCAAGCAAGGCGGCTGGTTATGGCGGAGGCCGGATTATGGAAGGCATTGCACGCATGGGTGCCGGGGGTCGATGAGAATGTAATCTTGAAGAGTTGTGGAGCGATGCCACGAGGCTGGCTGTCCAGGCCGTGCAGGTCAGACTCTAAAATTGACTCGCATGACTGGCCCCTTGTACGAATCTGATGAAAATGAAAGCCATGGTGCCGGCGTTTGTGTTTGAGATCTTGATGGCGAAAGGAAGGAGTTGATATGATCGAAGCATGGGTGCGACGCGGTGTGCGGTGTGCGGTGTGCTTAAATTGGACAACTTCGATCGGAGAGGATCAGGCTAGAGAATGGCGGAGGCAGTGAGGCAGCTGTAGATGTCGGGGTATGCAGTGCGGTATGTAGTACTAGTGGGTAGAGAGCAGAACTTGGAGACGATATTCTTTTCACGACGATGAGGGCCGTTGAGGTGGTGGTTGTAGCTGTTGTTGCGGTCGTGGTGGTCAAGGTGTGTGATGTTTCAAGTCGGCGATGATGCGGCACGAGTCGCTCGCTGGTCAACCACATTTCAACCTTCTCAACCTCCAACCTCCAACCTTCACCCCCTTCAGCCCCTTCACACACTGATTCAATCTCATTGAAGCCACCACTCCCCTCCACCCCTTTCAGCTCGGAGCTCTAGGTACCTTATGGGAGCTGATTTTCTCTCGTATACTGCGCAGCTGGCGGCCATGACGTCTCCAAGTCACGTTTTTCCCAGTCCCCTCCGAGGTCCATCCCCTACCTCTACCATCGCTTAGGCCTGGCCTTCGGACGAAACACAGCGGTAAACAAATCCTTGGTCAAACCACCCGACATCGTGCTTGTGAGACAGCCTACTCCTGACGTGGCCCCCTCGAGGGAATTGCTGCCGGCCGATGGGATCTGTAACCTCTGGCGGTATGGAGCACCGTCCAGCTGCAACGTAGTGTCGAGGTGGATGAGCCAGGGAAGAGACAGGAAGAGTTGAGTATATATGCCACCCTCATGCTCGATCCTCATCGCATACCTCTTTCTTTCGATATCAACAGTTCAGCCTGGATCCAGCTCCGTCATTCTTTCAGCAGCTTGCTTTTTCCCTCACTCTTTTTGTTCTATTCCAATCGTTCCTGGAGAACTGATTTCCGGCCTGGGCCATTTTCTGATACTTCCACGTTTGTCCTTCTTCGAAGACCATCACGCTCTCTACGAATTCACGGCAATTTGACCAAAAAAGAGACCATAGTATACCAACGGCACAATGAAGCCAGTCATCTACTTTTCCCTCCTTCTCGTGGCGCTGGGCGACCTCGCGTTTGCCCGACCGGCCAACCTCGAGACTAGACAAAAGCATGGTCGGGATTCGCTCCCCTCGGTTCAAGTGTCCAGCAAGCAGGCACGCTCTGCTCCCGTCTGGAATGCCCATCTAGGTCGTCGAGAAGTGCCACAAGAACACTCGCACGAGAAATTCCTCACCACCGTCCGAACGTTCCTGCAGATGGACAACCCGGACGGCATTGTCGATCCTGTCTTTGGGCTATTGGGAAATGCTGCCGCATCTGCAGGCCAAGGCAAAATATCCAACACGGATTGTCTTCAACAAGCCACAGCTGATCGTGCATTTACCAATGCCAAAGCAGCCGGCAATGTGGATGGCATGACGGCCGCCTTGATCTACCGAGCTCTCGAGCGCAACACCGGAGCCGTGGGACAGGCTTCTGTTGCTTGCACGGCCATCCAGGCCGTCAACCCGGAGATTGCTGCTATTTCTCAACACCAGGACCCGGCTTCCGCCGGTGCAGCCGATACCAATAAGAACATTGCTCTCAACCTTGCAGTACAGATTGCGAATATCGGCGGAAACCCCGTCGAAGCTCTTCAGTCTGGCACATTTGCTGCCGGCCAGATCGGCGACCCTACCGCAAAGGGAAACAGCTGCGACGACCAAAATGACCCTGAAGGTTGCATTTTCACTCAGAACCTCCTGGTAGAAGACGCCACGGAGGATGAGATCGCCTCTGTAGTGGCTGCTTCTGCCTCGGTCACGGCTCCAGCGTCTGCGACGGTCTCCGCTGTGGCTGAATGTACAGTCCCTTCTGCTGCTGCGTCCAACTCGAGCGCAGCTACCACTACCACCGCCATGGCCGCTGCCAGCACTACTGCGGCTGTAACTGCGACGGCGACCGCGGCTGCTATGTCAGGATCCTCGAACCTAGATCTGGGCTCATGTCCTGATCCCACTATCGTGTTTGCCGACGGCTTCGACGGGCGGAAGGAGAAATCCTTCGAGCCAAACGACACAACGGCTTTCACGCATGGCTCCGCCCTGAACATCAAGGTCATCACCGACTTCATTTGTAAGTGTGCGCGAGCCAATATGTATACTGCCCCGCTTGCGTTTCTGATTGACTGATTATCTATTCCCACAGGTCAACAACTTGATGTTAAATGCAAAGCATCCCAGGAAGCTATTGACGCATGTAACACCGGCGCAGCTGCGGCACAGGGTCAGACTGGGCAGGCAGCTGCGGATGCTTTCAACGCCGCATTGGGGTTCTAGCTGCCTCTTCCGGAGCAACAGCCAGATGATAACTCTATCTTGAAGTAGGGTACAGGGGAGCGCAAAGGTATTGTCCCTGCGCATTGAAGCGGGATGATTATTCCGGGTTCCTTCGCTGTATATATATATATACCGTTTCCCATGACACAAAGTCACATCAGCTGCCCCTTCATGATCTTGGTCCTCATACTCTTGCACGATTGCCGTGCTTCATGTCCAATACACCGATGGAATTTGTGTCAGAACGCAAGTTAGGACATGACCCCCGGCTCATTTTACAGAGTACATAAAATGGCAGACAAGGAGTATACTGTACGAACGCGTTGCCCATACAGAAGTATCCTGCACCTTTCCCAAGAGATTCTTATCGGGAAGCGAACCACTCACATATTGCAAGCATTCCTTTTGGCTACATGTCTTGACAGGCTTATTTGCTTTTTGTCAACTTCCTACCTTGGTGGCACCTGTTCGATGGATGAAAAGACGGAGAACAGAAGAATACCTGTGAAGTATACTGGTCAGGGGCATCTATTTCTATTTCTGATAGAATGACCTGCCATCTGATCAGTAATCCCTGTGCAAGTGGTGTTGAAATTCGTTGTTGGTGTCTGTCTTCAACGACCCTCCCTTTTTTTGATTACTCTTCTAGGAGAGGCCCTCGGCAAGACACAGGGTGTTGAATAAGGGAGCGAAGCTTTCCATTCAAGCTACACTCTTTTTCCGCCATTTTCTTTTCTTGATTTTCTTTTCACCATATTCACCTCGACTGTACTTTGCTCCTGGTCTAGGACTGTCTTATTTCTGTTTTTCGTCTGTCGTGTCCCCAGCTCCCCGAACTTGCTAGTCACTCCTACGACGTCTGGCTCATTCTTGGTCGTCCAATTCCGGATAATGACGATAGATGCCCATACTGTACTTCAAGCGTCGGTCACTGGCGAGATACGCCTTGATCGGCTCTAGCCCCTTGACACGCTCATACAAGGCCCAGACCTTGTCGTATTTGCCGCTCTTCCGGAGTTTGCTGATACAGTTTGGAAAGGCGAAACTGACGCCGTCAAGGGTCTGGAACAGGACGAGATCGGCATAAGTGAGCTTGCCGCCGTATAGGTACTCGCCGCCACCGCTCGCCTTGCCGGAGAGCACGCGTTCGAAATAGCCCAAGAACTTGGGGAGACGGTTCTCCCGATAGTCCTTTGCCTTTTTCAGAGCTTCGGGTTTCTGGTCCTCGTAATACAAGGTGGTGGCAATGGGATGGTGGACGTCGTGGGGTTCATTGGACAGGCCATCCAGTGCGGTCAATGTTAGTGCATTGACATGATACAGTCCCACGGGATCGTCTTTCGGGTCTGGCACCAACCCGAGCTTGGGACCGAGATACAAGAGGATGTTGGGTGTTTGGGAAATGGTGATGTCGTCCCCGTGCTGGAGGATCGGTGGGGCCAGCGGTGGTGGGTTGCTTTCGTCGCCCGTGTTGTCTTCGCTGACCTGCTTGATCACGGCTCCGACCCCCTCCTCGGTCTGGTTCGATACATCGGTGTACGGCGTGCCTGTGGCTTCGAAGGCCAGTCGGATGTGCTCGCCGCGGCCGGGAATGCCGGGCCAGTAGACCAGACGGAAAGGTTTGTCGTCGGTCTCGGTCTTCTGGCGTTTGCTTGAGCGGGTGGATGTAGACATATTGGTGAGTTGGGAGCGAGGATACTGCTGGTGGTGGTGACGGTGCTGGTGATAGCAGTGGTGTGGGGAGATGGACGTGGTTGGGGTTACAAGGAAAGATGATCGGGTGGAGAGCTGCTTGGTCGCAAACTGTCGAGCTGATTGTTGAATGGGGGAGATGTGTCCTACTATCCGGGATGCGAGGGTGGTACAATGCCTCATTCGATCCTCCGACCTTTGTGTGTCCGGGTTCACAGAGAAGAGATGAGACGAGGAATCAGTCAACAAATGGGATCGATGAATGAATGTAGCTTGTCTGGTATCGTAGCTCACTGCCGCCTTTATACCGAGCAGACGCCAACACGTGATATTGTTAGCAGTGGAGCAGCTCATGTCCGTTTCGGGTCCGGCCGCCGATTCGCTCCCGAGAGAAAGCGACCGACTGCGCTCGAATCTCTCTTCTCCATCTCCACGATTGACTCTCCTGACTCTCTTCATTCCTCCATCGCCAACGGTCCATTTATTTTGCCCGTTGAGATGACACGGTGCGGGAAGTACCTCCCTTCAGACAGGGTGGTGAGGCCTCCTCCAGTCAGAAATGACCCGAGTCCAGTGGCAGGGACTATCGGCGGTACAATCGACGCTTCAGTCAATGGCCGATTTGTGGCTGACATCTCATGGCCGCCATTGGCCCGAACATCTCGCACCTGTGGCACCAACCACTCTATTCGTCATGATTGGAAGAACATGCCTTAATTCACGGGCACGGTACCTGGTCTGCAACCCTGGCACGCCTGTCAGCAGGTGACCGAGACCGCCGCGGGGGACTCATGTCTGATGATGTCTACTGTGTACCTGTATATCTGTGCTAGCTAACAATAGTAGTAGAGTAGGGCTGACCTCTTCCTCCGCTTGTCAGATCCGGATCGCCACCTGGGGACCTGGGTCGAGTTCTAACCGCAAAGTGCAAGAAACATACTAGACACAGATTTATGAGAAGGCCAAAAAGTCGGACGAGGAGACAGCTGATATACTGCAGTGTATGCGCTGAACTGTGAACTGGCTGGCCTCAACAAGTTTACAGCGCCATGACATCGGTCCAAGACTCACTCATTTTCGGGAATATCTTGTCAACGCGCGAGTCCGCTGCAATCTGGTCGGACAGCACGCGGACCCAGTGTTACCTGGCATTCGAAGGGGCGTTGGCCAAGGCCCAGGCTCGGCTGGGAATCATCCCGCAACGGGCGGCCGACGAGATCATCAAGTTCTGTATCGACGTCCACCTCATAGACTTCGAGGAACTGCGCAGGTCGACCGAAGTCATAGGCTACCCGGTTCTGGGGGTGGTGCAGCAGCTGGTGCGCTATGTTAACAGTATTGAGCCGGGCTTGGGCGAATGGGCTCACTGGGGCGCCACGACACAGGATGTCACGGACACAGCGACGGTGATCCAGCTTTGGGATACCTTGGGCCTATTCGAAAAAAGTCTCGATGCTATCGTCGTTGGACTGACGGCGTTGGCGGAGAAGCACAAGACTACGCCCATGGCAGCTCGCTCGAACCTGCAACAGGCGGTTCCCATATCGTTTGGCTTCAAGATGGCACGGCTGCTGGCCACATTCCTGCGCCATCATGACCGATTAAAAGACGTCGAAAGGCGGCTGACCGTGCTCGAGTTTTCCGGGGCTGCAGGAACACTGGCGACACTACCACCTTCTGACGACCATCCGCTGCTAGGCCTCGAATGCCAGCGGGAGCTGGCCAAAGATCTCAACCTCAAAGTGCCCGAGATTGCATGGCACACAGAACGTGACCGGATCGCCGAATTCGGGACACTGTGCGCCATGTTGACAAGCACGTGTGCCAAGTTCGCCCTCGATGTCAAGCTCATGATGCAGACAGAGGTCGGCGAGCTATCGGAACCATACGTCCCGCACCGAGGCTCGAGCAGCACGATGCCACAGAAGCGCAACCCGATCTCGTGTGCATACATTACCGCCATGGCGGGAACGGTGAGACAACTCAGCACGAGTCTGTTCGAGGCAATGGTGGAGGACCACGAGCGCAGCACGGGACCGTGGGAGATCGAATGGATCGTGCTGCCACAGCTGTCCACATTGACGCATGCCACGCTTAAACACACCGCCGAGCTGGTCTCCGGACTTGAAGTGCATGAATCGGCCATGGCGAAGAATCTCACCCTCTCCAAGGGCGCCATCGTCTCCGAGGCTGTCATGATGGGTCTAGCCAAGACGTTGGGTCGACAACATGCGCACGACGTGGTTTATGATTTTTGTCACCGAGCGCAGCAGGAAGACCGGCCGCTGCTCGATCTACTGTGTGAGGATGACGCGATCAGTAAGGAGTTGAGTCGAGATGAGTTGGCCAAGTTATGTGACCCGGCGAACTACCTGGGTTACAGTGAGGTGATGGTGGATAAGGTACTGAAGATCTCAAGCGAGCCTCAACCGGAAAGGACGCCGAGCTTGGTATAAAAGACGCTGGAGAAGCAGAGTTCTTGACAAACCAGGGATTGTGTTTGCAAATTCGGACATCATCATATATCCGGAGAGGTAAGGAGAATGCGATGATACCCAGACGACACAACACATGCCATTCACGAATCCAGCGGAGACGGACGTATTCTGGCAATTCTCTTGAGTGGAACAGCAAGCCGGGCGGGCACCGTGCATCCAACGCAAGGCTATCGCTCCTTGTTGATATCTTCAGGAGTACAGCCCTTCCATCCTCTATTGGTGCTGGGCCAAAAACGCCCAGACGGCATTGTCTACCACCCGGATATACACAGTGCCATCCCTGCGCAGGCGTCATTTCATCAAATACGACGAGGCTTCTCTTAGGCCAAGGTGTGTGTGCGCGAATACTCATATTGACCAGATCTAACAAAGTCTAGTAGGTCAGTCTGTTGTCTGACAATACCACCTAAGTGTACCACGTCGGTTCCGGCACCTCATCCAACAAAAAGAACCTCCCAAGCTCTCGCTCCTTATACGCGACCGGGTCATGCAGGGTATGAACTCTCAGATCTCTCCAGAACCGATCCAAGCCGACTTTCCTGCTCGTCGAGCTCGCTCCAGTGACTTCAAAAACGCCATTCGCGACACGCAGCCCCGTATGCGTCGTCACGACCTTAACACTGGCCACCCATTCGGCAACCTCACCCCTCCTACGCGCACTGACATCTCTTTTCTCGCCGTGGTCAGCAAACAGGTCGCGAATCTGCTCTCCGGCTCGATCGGCCAACGCCTCGGCGGCCCTCAACTCGGCATGGAACTGTCCATACTTGGCCAGAATGTAATGTTCGTCTGTCGCCTTTTCCTTGTTCTCGCCGCCATACGGCCACGCACGGGTCTTGGTAGTCGTCCACTTCTTGGCCTCATCGAGCGCCCCTAGAGCGATACCGAGGTAGAAGTTGGAAAAGACCAGTTGGATGGTAGGCAGCAACGACGAAGCGAATGGGACTTTGAGGATCTCTGCGATGGGCTGTTTCGTCTGGCTGTCCCAGCCGAAAGCGTCTGTCCAGGGAACTTGAACCTTGTCGATCTTGACGCTCCCGGACTCGCTCAGCCGCATGCCGATGTTGTCCCAGTCGTGGCTAAATTGGATGCCGGGCTGCCGAGTCGGCACGATAGTAAAGATGTGGTTGTCCGTTTCCCTTCCTTGGAGCACACCTTCTAGAATGGTGGCGTCAGAAACGACACCCCCGGTATTGAAAAACTTGAATCCACTGAACACAAGGTTGCCATGACCGTCCTCGACGACTTTGAGATCCGCACTACGCGGATTCACTGCACCACCTAGAAACCAGTTCTTTTCCAGAACATGTTTCTGGATCCGCTGCGCCTGTTCCTGGGTGCCGACAATCTTCACGGTGTAGAACCAGACCAGGTGGTATGCTAACAGCATCCCAATCGAGCCGTCGCCGCGGGCTACGATGCGTATCGCCTTGTAGGCGATCGACCAGTCTTGACCGCCGCCTCTATATTCGCGGGGACCCAGCAGCTTGGTCAGTCCGGACGATTTGAGCAGTTGGACTTCGGCAGTCGGAGTTTTGCCTTCAAAATCGCGCTTCGCTGCGTCCAGTGAGAGAATGTCGGAGACTTGTTGGGCTCGGGCGAGCCATGCTTCAGGGGTATTGGGGAGACCAGCTTCTTGGAATTTGGTGTGGACTGATTCGTCTGATACTGTCCCAGGGACGGTTGCTGAGGACATGGTGATGTAGTGAGCACTAAGACAGGATAGAGTCAAGATGATAAATGAGTAAGGATGCTGAGATGGATGGATGAAAATACGGATACGAGAACTGCCCCCAAGGGTCTGGGGGTGTGCTCTATCTGAGGTATTATCAGGATCAATATATATCTGCCCTACCTGCTCAGGCCTGAAGGTGTCAACGGACCACACGACGGTGGACAAAGATGGGGACAGCAACCAAGATGGAGATGGAGATGGATGTGGCTGTCTTGGAATCCGCTTGGAAAGGAAGACTAGGGAGTATTTCGGTACTTATGACTTCCTTTTGTTCCAGCCATGGCCTAACACAATCGACTCTGGCGTGTAACTTGCTCCTCACTCAATGATCCGATCGCAAACGATATGGTCGGGCTGTTTGACGTGCTTTGGGACAGGCCAATAACGACCCACGAATGCCGTGTACGGTGGTTTGTCGCCGACAAGAGGATAATAGACATCCGCTCGCTCATCATCTCGAGCCCAGAAGGCGTCATCTGCCACGAGTTCTTGTCATACAAAGAAAGACCAGAAGCCGTGACCAGCAGGGCCACAACAAGTCTCAGCTTTTTTCTGGAGACCGGTTGTCGGTGTCCACACGCAACCCCCCAAAACCCACAGTCTCACCAGCTCACGATTGTGAGTTACGATGTCGGCGAGGTCGAATCAGTCAGTACTCTGGGATGGTATTGGTAGGCGGTGCAAGATCAAGATCAAGATCATGGGAGAAACAAAACCATGGCATGAGATGAGATGAGGTGATGTCTGCCATCAACCAATCATCTGGTGTCATTGAGATGACGAGCTTCTATGGATCCCAGACCGAGGTCAGTTTGACATGAACTTACAGTACCACCACAGTACGTACAGAGAGAGCTGTTCCAGTTGCAGACTTGCAGTGTTTCCAGGGCTGTCATGGAATTCTCCGGATTTCGGATCTGTATCGATCGTCTCCCATCCCATCCCACCACTAACAACCTCCGCCGACGACGCCATTTCTCCAGCGTATGTCGTCAACGCTCAGCCCTCTTGGACCCAGACTTGTTCCCCTGAGACTCTTGCGATTCCCAGCCAATTAATCGGGTTGACACGCACACAGGGGAGTGTTTGTCTGGGCAATCAGTCGACTCAGGAAACCATATTCTCCATACTACCTACCACTGCTGATCGGGCGCCAGGATAGAGCCAGTTCCTCGCCGGGCCAGAGGCGGGGTTCGGATGTAGACATGCTACAGACAGTACTAGTATTTCGAAGATTTGGAGGGGGGCTCTTTCTTCGCAAAGATGATGCCAATGGTCCAGGTCCATGCTGAAAGAGGCCGGAGATCCAGAACTGTGTCTTTATCATTTGATTATTGTCGGGGAATGCTGTGAAAGGAAGCTATTGACATTGATCCTGTGACAGTACTTGTTGCGGCTACAGAAGTGAACGACATCCTCTATCTTAACACACCCAAACAACGATCACTCCATTCTCATCGAGTGTGCTCGAGAGCTTGTCTTTTGGGAAGCATCTGGTCTCAACGAGTCCGCTCCAGCTCCGATAGAGAGACGCACACTCCTCGACCATCAATATCAACATCATCAATATCAATATCAATATCATCATGTCAACCAACGCCGGCCTTCAGAGCAATGGCTCCTCCTTCGCCAGCGACATCAACGCAGACCCAAACCGGATCAAGTTCGCGTAAGACCATTCATTCATTCAATCAATCATTCATTCATCGTCCCTTTTCGTAGCTATTACTTCTCAAAACTCCAACCCCAGTCCATTGTTATTGTCACTGTTTTTACGCTTCTCAATCCCCCAACCCCAACTCCAGTACTTACATGATGATCCTCATCCTAACCACCAACCCCCCTACAAAACAGATACTGGGTCCCCAACGTCTCGGGCGGTCTAGTGATCTCCAAGATCCCACAACGCACGAACTGGGATCTCCCGTCCAACGTCCAATACGCCCAGACCGCGGAGAAGGTGGGCTTCGAATACGCGCTGTCCCAGATCCGCTTCATGGCCGGCTACGGGGCCGAGTCACAGCACGAGCCCGTCACGTTCTCGCAGGCGCTGCTGCACCAGACCAAGACCCTGAAGCTGATCGTCGCGCTGTTGCCGGGCCCCTGGAACCCGGCCGTCGCGGCCAAACAGATCGCCAGCATCGACAACTACACGGACGGCCGGGTCGCGGTCAACGTGGTATCGGGCTGGTTCAAGGCCGAGTTCACCAGCATTGGTCAGTGGTGGCTCGACCATGGCGAACGGTACCGGCGGTCGCGCGAGTTTATTGCCTGTCTGAAGGGTATCTGGACGCAGGACAAATTCTCGTTTCACGGCGACTTCTACCAGTTCCACGACTATAATTTGCAGCCGAAGCCGTTGAAGTGGGAGGGCAGACCGCATCCGGAGATTTTCCAGGGCGGGAATTCGATCGATGCGAGAGAGAATGCGGCGACGGTGTCGGATTATTATTTCATGAATGGGAATAGTGAGTTGTCGTCCCCTTTCCTTTGTTTTTCTTTCCTGCTGTCTCTTGTCTTCTTCTTCTCTGCCTCTGCCACTGCCTCTCCCTCCCTGTCCGTCTTTCTCCTTTTCTTCACACTCTCCCTTTCCCTGGGTCTCGTCTGGTCTGGTCTGGTTTGGTCTTTAACAATCTTCTTTTTCTCGTTTCAGCTCTCGAAGGTTTCCAAACCCAAATCGCCGACGTCAAAGCCCGCGCAGCCCGCGAAAACCGAGCCGACCAAGTCAAATTCGCGCTCAACGCGTTCGTCATCTCGCGACCCACCGAGGCCGAAGCCATCCAAGTCCTCCAGGAGATCCAGGGCAAAGCCGACAAAGAAGCCGTCCTGGCCTTCAGCAATCAGGTGCACAACAACGCCGGCGCCGCGACCGCCGACAAGACCGGCATGTGGGCCGACAGCAAGTTCGAGGATCTGGTGCAGTACAACGACGGATTCAAGACCAAACTGATCGGCACGCCGCAGCAGATCGCCGACCGCATCCTGCTGTTGAAGAGTCTAGGCGTGAGTATTTTGTTGACGGCGTTTCTGCATTACGATGAAGAGATCGAGAAGTTTGGCAACGAGGTGTTGCCGCTGGTGAGGAAGTTGGAGGCCGAGGGACGGGGGAGGGACGTCGAGTTTGAGATTAAGTTGACTGGCGATGTTTATCGGAGTAGGGGAAACAAGACTACTTGAAAAGTCTTCATTTTTCGGATCCCGGGAGTTGAGATAGGGAGACCGGCGAGGAGAGATATGAGAAATCAGGATTGAGGGTTCGATATATTCAATATCGGGACAGAGAAACAAAAGTAGGTATGATTGAATGATTGCCTCGTGAAAGAAAGAAACGTCTTTTACTTCGGTAACAGCCTCGAAAAGTTTTACTTGAGAAGGAGCTCCTTTCCCAAAGAGCCACTCAACTCTCGAGGAAGAGATGGACACCCCGGGTGTCCATATTTGGGGATACTAAGGGAGTTCATTCCGTTCAAGACTAACAGGACAGAAAGACCCGGCTTGAACCGCATATCCTGTCTGTCTGTCTGTCTGTCTGTCCAGCCAGATGACTGAACCTGGGCGGATATGCTTCGTACGTCCAAGACTACCATCTCCACGCGAAAGGGTTGTAGAAATCAGAATAAAAGCTCTAATTCTAACGCCATCACAGCCGGCTCAAGTTGTTCAAATCAGATTTCTGTCCAGCAATGTCCTCACTCAACCGCCACAGCCTCTCAGCCGCCTGCCTCTTCAATCTTGATCATCAAGAAAAGGGGTTCAGGGTTAGGGTTGACCAGCGAAGCCTTGAGACCAGACGCGCAAGTATGTAAAGATCCGCCGTAGAAAAAGGAGCAATTCTCCCTCGCGACATCGACGTCGATTAGTTTGTAACTGAAACGCTCGCTGCCTGTGGACATTGATGGACCTAGAGAATTTCTAGAGTGAGTCGAATGTGCTGTTGCAGACATGCCATGTTTGGTCTGCAGTCATGGGAATCCCACGCCTGTCGCAGGACCTCCAGCCTTATATGGAGCGAGTCATCCTAGGCAAGACTGTACAAACAAGCCCGCCACATGATGCTACTAACATACACTCCCTGATCCTCGACGGTCCGTCAATCGTCTACTATGTATACAACAAACTACTAGCCTACAAGACGGTTGGCTCGTCCACAAGCACAGCAGCGGCCGTACCGGTGCCGACGTACGAGGAGATCAACCAAGCCTCTCACCGTTTCCTGGACCAACTCACCAGCCATGGCCTGGAGATTGAAAACATATTCTTCGACGGCGGGCTACCTCAGGCGAAGCGGGACACCCGACTCACCCGCATGGAACGGCTTCGACAGCAGCTCGACGCCTACCGAAAAGCGCACCCGGAATCCTTCCCCATCGTGAGTTCTCGACTACTGCAACATCAACATGTCGATCTCGACAAAGCGCTATGGAACACATCAGTCATGGCGACGAGGAAGGCGAGTCTACCAGCGCCGCCGTTCATGGTGGCAAGTGTCATTGAGTCTCTACGAGGGAGTCCTCAATGGGGTGATAAAGTCCAGCTCGTCCCCGGCGAGGCGGACCTGTTTTGCGCCCTCGCTGCAAAGGAATCCGGCGCCGCGATCCTCACCAACGACTCCGACCTGGCAGTCCACGATCTGGGCTCTGAAGGACGTATCGTTCTCTTACAATCTATCGAGAAACAGTCGATAGTGGTGACGCCGACGCCGACTTCACCGAAAGAGACCATCGTCACTGCATTGGCGCTAAATCCGAGCCATATGGCGGAAAGGCTGGACGTGACTTCCCTCCTCAGGTTCGGGTTCGAGAGGTCCATCGACCACAGCCTGTCTGTATCTATGGTCAGAGAGCGAGCGCGGGACGATTCCCGATTGGAGAAGTATCGTGCCGAATATGCACTCTTTGCAGAACAATACCTCGCTTCTCCAGCTGCTGCTGGGCCAGTTCGCGTGTCCCCTGCAGCCTTGAATGCGACCTGCATCGACCCGCGAACCGCCGAGTTGATAGTGGATATCGCAGACACGCCGCATATCTACCTGACTCCACTGGTCGAGGATCCTTCACGGGACTCATCCTGGTCGTACGGCGTGGAGATACGACAACTGGCATACTCGTTGCTCGCGACCGTCAATGCGAAGACGGAAGGGGTTACGAAGTCTCAAATCGTGACCGAATATGCCAGGAAGGGACAAAGGATTGCTGCAACGAAAGTCACAGCCTTAAGTATAGCCAAGAATCATGATCGGGTCAGGGAAACGCTCGGGCTCCTGCAAAACTGCGTCTCGTCTTCGACAGACAACAAGTCCATTCTGAGCTGGTACATTCTAGCAATCCGCATCATCTACCAGCAGAAGGTTGACGCAGGTAAAAATGTCCCTACACTCTCACAGACGCTACATCTCTTGGGCCTGACAGCTTCGTCGAAAATTCCTGTTTCATGGGATGAGATCCATCTTCTCGCCAACGCCCATGCTGTCCTATATTCGTGTCGCATGCTCAAACAAATCATGAGGTACGTTCTAGACCACCGAAAACAGACGTCAGGAACACCCTTCTACGATCAAGGCAGTCCTGCTGTCTCAGAGGATCATAGCCTCTCGCCGGGGTGGGATGACGATCTTGCCGAACCCATGGATCAACTGTATGAGAGATTCGAGCTGATGCCGAACATCGAAGCGCTCTTCCTGGACGTTCCTCATCTTCGTCGCCAGATTAGACAGTTGGACCTGGAAACTCGGAACTATGCCATTACACAGCTGAAGGGCATAACCGGTTTTCTGGACGAAACAGAACAGAGCCCTTCATCACAAACAGACGAGGGTCTCGGCTCGGATCATGTACCCAGGTTCCACGAAGCCGGTGACATAGATCAGGACTGGGTCACGGCCAAACCGAAGAAGAAAAAGAGGAAATTTGGACAGGAATCCAATGCAGCGACACCGTCAACACGACGCGCTAATCCCTTCGACTTGCTAATGGAAGACTGAGTACTCTCACATGTCCTTTTCATCAACCTATCAGTCTGGCTGACCCTTGCATGCTGCACTGACAATGCGAGACCGGTTCGTCGGATGGTCAAAGGACACCGCGGCATCTGAAATGAGCCGCTCATGCGCCAAAAATCCTATCCCTGACCTGTCCCGTCATATCTTGACTCAGTCCGCCTCGGCTTGGCTTATCCCGTCTCCAGCAAGGCCATCAGTGAGTTTCCACCACTCCCCGGCATTTTGTAGCCCAGCTCGTCTTGAGGAAGTTATCCACAAACTTCTCCACCAACTCAGTCGACCAGTCTGGAACAGTCGCCAATACTGGGGACAACTCCACCGCCGCAGAGGTGACATAGTCCAAATTCCTCCGCATCGTCACTTCAGTGTCATATTTGCTCGTGAAGAACTCGACGAGTTTGACGGTCAGATTAGCTTCGGGATCTGGATTCGAATCGCGCAATCTTCGGATCCATTCTCTCTGACCGACCTCTTTAAACTTTGGCAGACCCGCCGCACGAAGAGCTGGTAGGAGATCACGCATCCAGTGGAAGACACGAGGGTTGAGAACATTGAAGATCTCGACCTGCGTCTGACTCTAACTCTGGCCCTGTCTTGCCACTCACTAGAGGCCCCAGACGACAACGACAGCCAGAGATCGGTGACCACTCTCGCCACCGTATCAACCGGCAGCCAGCGCGGCGACTCGTCCAGAGCAGGCAACGCCCGATCGTCACGGCGGACCGCAACAACAGCGGGATCGCTCCCGTATCATTACAGATGCCGTACCGAGTATCCGCGACGTTCTGGCCCATACGAAGAACGCGTCTGCATTCCTGTCTGTTGCGCGGCATTGCAGACAAGTTGTTCCGTCATGAACTTGGACTTTGCAACACAGCAGCCATCTGCTGGAAAGACGGATGTATGACAATATGTGAGGATGCTCCTCGTTCCGTCCGACATGTTTCCGTGAGCCGACGGAAGACGTCATTACTGCTCAGGCACATCATACGCCGACCATTAAAGGTCTGCCGGCACTCAAGCTTGGAAACCAAAGATGTCTTCTTCGCCCGGGAACCCGACAGTATCAAGGTTCTCCCATCCCCAACCAAGCAGATTTTGTGACATGTAGTCATCCTTCAGCGGAGTGAACTGTCCCATTGTACCGTTCATATCCCGACCAGGGACTTCAGGGTTGGTCGTTGCCCACTGGTCAAGCCCATGCAAAGGACGGCCGATTGATTCGTCTGTCTGTTCTGAGTATCTTGTCGGCCTCTCGGGATCGGCCATGGCCGAAGAGACTGCTGGTGTTTGCTCGTAGATACTGGTTGCCAGAGGTGGAGGTGCCATGCTAGCAGGACCGTGTCCGTCTCGCTGCAACCGACCGGCGTCCTTTTCTGCCCGCTTTCGGAGACGGTCGAGAAGAATATAATGCCGACGCGCCTGGCTTCCATTCGGCGACAGAGCAGCCAGCTGCGCCTGACAGTATTTTGCTTTGTCAAAACAGGAGTCGATGTCAGGAAACAGGCCTTGCGGGATCGAAGAGCGGCTATTCTGGATCATGAAGACATACAAGGTTGAGAGGGCCACGAGCGCAACATAATGAGTGAACCAGAATGCTTGATACATCGATCCTCTATGACTAAGTTGGTAAATCGTATCGAGGATGGCACAGATGGCGCTCGCACATTCCTGGATCGGCTTGAGCGCTCTGTCATCCTCGCTCGTTGGCGAACTGCGACCCAGCCGGCTGAAATCCATCAACAAGCAACGTCGGGTGACCAGGATACGCAAGTGAGCATATGCCAGCTTCAGAATGGTGTTTTGTCGCTCAAATGTACGTTGACCTACCAGCGTCTTCTCCCGAGGTTTGAGGAAGTCAGGTAGACCATCCCTCCAGCTGTACAGAGCCTCCAGCATCAGCACCGTCCGTTCATACACCTGATCCTCGGACAAAGGCTGGAGTGGGTAGAGCAGGTCGCTATTTCGCGCCATCAATTTGGCCAGATTCGCATGAGCAATAAAGCCCTCAAGGTTCCCATGTTGGGGCAATTCCTCCGGGGACTCGGACGATAGGAGATCTTGATCGTCAATGTTCCGAGGGTATGGCTGGTCGATCTCTTCATCGCGGAGGGTGCGTGGTCGGCCGAGCATGACGCTCAAATAATCATCCAGCACATAAGCACACCAGAACGTTCGCTTACGTGACTCCAAGGTGACCAGGTCGAGCTTGTGCGCCGCCAAAGTCTTTCTATGCAGCCCAATGGATGTCAAGATTGTGCAGGCCAGACTGAAACAGAAGCGGGATTCGTTGATGCGGAAAGAACTCAGGAGGTATAAGCACATTGCAAGTCGAGCCTGTACGCTGACAACCGTGGCTGGTCCAGGTTCCTGGTTGAGCAGGGACTTGGCCTTTTCAAAGTAGAATCTGCTTCGGACCAACTCCTCGTCACCACCATCCTTGTATCTATCACCATCGGCTGAGTACAGTAGCGACTGTGCACATACGATCAAAGCGCATGCAGCTTCCGCCACCGGCAAACGAGCGCCAGCGATCATTTGTGACATCCATCGTTCGAGGGTGGGCTGATGGAGGAAGCGATACGTGGGTGTTGCAAATCGAAAATATCGTTCCAAAAGTGCGGTTGCCTCTTCTTGGGTAGGGAAAGGTTGGTCTTGCCGGATTACCGGCTGAGGCATGTCTCCATAGCAGGTCAATGGAGCCGCCGGCAAGACTTCTCCTTCATTGATCTCACTTCGATTCCAAACATGGTAGAGAAATGACACTCCGGCAGTAGGGCCAATATGTTGACCTGCAGCAAAGGTTTGAGGCGGCTCCGTTGATATGTTCCTCGTCAATCGAGGCGCACTCTCTGTTGAGAGAACTGTGCGCTGGAGAGGTTGATGTCCCGTAGGAGTCAGAGCGCTGTAGTCTCCCGTGCGTGGGAGGTATCCCGAACTGTGGTGAACTATCGGGCTTGTCGTTGTAGGAGACAGTGACGCCGAGTTCGCTGGCGCCCCGGGTCGAACCCTTTCAACACCATCATCATACTCGCATCGTACCCCTTCAGCGCGGCAGTAGTCGCAAGGTTGCGTACCGGTGCATCTGACTTTACGTCTAGAAGAGAGACATTAGCGCAGAGGTCCAATATCTCGAGGCCGGTATATTCGCAAGGAATGGAAGGAAATTTCTCTGCGTGGTATACGGCGCAAAGACCCTTGCAAGCCTTGGGCGACAATAAATGCAGCAACGCACCTCCGGCAGAATAAACAAGCTCGAGCAGTGCGTGGATGCTTCAACTTCCGTTTCTTTGGCGGGGCTAATGGCAGGTCGTCGTTCGCCGGCACCACTGTTGACTTCGAAGAGTCCATCGGTTGTGACGGTGGCCTTGCAAGTCAACAAGGCTCTGTAGGATCATGGACGACGTGACAAGAGTTGCCGTTGATCGGAAGGAAGACGGCTCGTTGGTCCCCTGGGCCGCGGGGAAGTGTTCATCAAGCCGTTTCCCCCCATCTCTTCCGAGCCGGATCCGTCGGCAACTTGGTAAACAGCATTTGCCTAAAAAGGAGATGGCATCCCTGCATCGGGTAAATGGCCGACCTCACCGGTTGAACATCGTCGGCATGTCTTCAAGCGAAGTAATTACGTGCCTCATCGTCTCGCCATAGAGAGTGGGTTTGCTGGAAGAATTGCACTCTCTTCCACCGCTTTCGAGAAAACCAGTAGACCATTTCACACTTCACCAATTGGCTTGGTCAAGTATAGATTTTGAACCCTTTAGATCTCGACAGTCATGGCCCTTGATAGGAACTTTCACATTGAATACTGGTGCTAAGATTTCTGCCGTCGGGTTGGGACCTGGCAGGCAGCTCCTCACGAGGTCGAGGACGCTATGGAGATCGCGCTCAAGGCTGGGTATAGATAGACATCTCGACTGTGCCGCGATCTATCGGAATGAGACCGAAGTCGGCCACGGCATAAAAAAGAGTGGCGTGGACCGGAAGGATATCTTCATCACGACGAAGCTATGGAACACCAAGCATGATCCGAAGGATGTCGAGGGTGCACTGGACCAGTCTCTGAAGGATATCGGCGTCGATTACGTAGACCTATACCTAATACATTGGCCCCTGCAACAACACCACAGGAGAACAAGGTGGTTGATGACCCAAAAGTTCACGAGATCGCAAAATCGCTGAGTTTCGACCCTGGTCAACTGCTTGTGAGCTTTGCGGTCCAGCGTGGAACTGTTGCCCTGCCAAAGAGTGTGACGGAGAAGAGGATCCGGAGTAATTTTCAAGATGTGACTCTTCCCGACGAAGTGATGAAAAGACCGAACGCTCTCGAAAGAAATAAGAGATTCAACTTCCCGGGAAGATGGGGCCAAGATATCTTCGACGAGATCGGAGAGGAAGAAGCACGCAAATTAGCACAGGAGGCTGCTGCTGGAAATCTCCAAAAGTTCACCGTCTGATGGCATGAGCACAGTCGCTAGCCCTTGGGCAACATCCGTATTCCTTCAATAGAAGTTCTTTGATCAGGTCGGGGACCTTGCAAAGAGCGTTACATTCCTCGGCCGTTCGCGTATCTTGACAGTGTGTCGTGAACGTGGTTTGGTAATATTCAGTCAGGGCCATCGTTTATAGAAGCATGACACCCATAGGAAGCCACCGTCTGTCGTGTACCTGATCTTAGTAGATCAATTTCTCTGTGCGCCGGTGATGTGGCCGACCGCGACTCGGCTCTCCTGGGAATCGCTCTCGTGGGTACGGCTTTATTTCTGGTGTCCATTAGTGATTTATCGGACAGACTCTCTGATTCTCGTAGTTCCAGTCAAATGCCGCCCAGACCCCGTATAAGTGCACAAGGCTTGCCAAAACCACAAAGATATGGAACAATTGGTGCGAGGAGAACCAAATGTCGAAGGATCCCGGCCATATCGACTCTGGTATACGAGTGACGAAGAAGAAGGCACCGATCCCGTACACCAGGCCTTCCAGAAAGAAATAAGGCATTCCTGACCTTATCCACATCTCCTTCCAGCCATATAATAGCAATCCATGGACTATGGGTGCAAGTCCCGAGAGGGATGTGAGAATAAACGCCCATGTGCGATGGTGCCGATAACTCAATCCCTGCAGTTTCGGGTGCAGGACCAGCGCAGATGTGGCAATGCTAAGACTGAGTATCATCGCCCAGTATGACCAACGGATCGTGGGTTCACAGTAGAATGCAACATATATCCCGGAGAAAAAGCTGCCCACGATGAGGATGAGGATACCAACATAGTCCACTCTCAACATCAGGTGGGAAACATGCATGGAGTGGTTCATCAGAGTATGGTAAGCGGACGAAAGGGCCATGGTGACGATGGCAGCGCCCACGTTACAGTGGAATACAATGTGGTCCAACATTGACGCCTCGGGATAGAAAGAGTTGATGCCCTGATGCACAATGGCATGGCCAAATATGAGACAGATGGCCGGGATCAGGTGAGTGTAGATGTTGAGAGACTCATTGTGTAAATAGCCTAGCGACTGCGCGCAACTAAGGCAGGAGTTTGACACAGGGCGATAACCAGATTGCAGAAAGTGGTTGTCTCTGTGCCATTCCGGGATGTCCTCGTAGTTCAGGAGTGGTACCTGCTGTGACCGAAATTTGGAAAGTTGCTCTTCATGGTTGTTTGTGTCGTTGCTGGGATGGCGTGCCCTTGCCAACTTGGCTTTGGGGTTTCGATATGTCAGAATAAAAGACATGTTATAATCGCGACCAATAAACCCAAATTATTGCCGGAAAAAGCCACGAGGCTGGATCGAGGTAGTGACTAGGATTCTTGGACTCAGTGGTCGCTTTGTAGTATGCAACGAGGCCCTGGGCCAGTAGCGCCGCTGCCACCAGAGCCTGTTGGGGAGTTTGTGCACAAAACTGTTGAAGTTTTTGCGAGGTCGAGGAGGTTCGTTGGGATGTCGCTGAAGCTGCTGATAATAAATATGCTAATCTGCAGATCGAGGGTACAAGGGTCCAACGATACCAGATTTGTTCAGAAGCGGACGTTGACTTCGGCCATGGGTGCCGGCCATCCGGCGAACACCGTAGAATCACCGAACTTGAGTCCGAACTCGAAATTGGCGTCTGTTGAGGTCCGCTTGGATTGTACCATCATTCTACACTCCATGCTGAACGGGAATACGACCTATGATGGATATGTCTGCGATAGCTTCAATGTGCTTGCTGTCAGCCAGCAGAACATATCGTCATATTGCCAACCTGGCCTCTGATGCTAACTTTTCCGTCGTTCGAGACCCGAGGAAGTAAAAATCCGGCAGTTTTCTGTATCCTGGTTCGACATTCTCTATTTTCAGTCGCCGTGGTACCACGAATGGCCGCCTGGGCGTGACCCCCATCCGCAACGGTGCCTGATTGAACCGACATCCAGCAGCCTTGTGATGTTTGCATGCTCGCCCACGGGTATCTGCCGCTTTGGCCACGATGTGATTCCCATGGGCGACATGACGAAGAAGGCTAAACACATTCGCAGCTGTTGCTGATATGCTCATTGGACTATAGTCCCTGCAGATTCGATTCGGCCCGTAGTGCGGGTCCATTGGAATGATATTGAAACGCAAAGGCTCAGACCAGATTATGCCAGACGTATGGACCGTCGGTTTCTGACTTTCGTGACGCATCAAAGGGAGCCCTCGCGGAACTGCAACGCATTGAAGAATTGACGAAACACTGTGATATGGGAGTGGGAGTCTTCGCCTCAGCCAGACTCACAGTATGATCGATCTTCCAACAGTGTCCGCATTCTTTTTACAATACAATATTTGCACAAGAGGGCGTCAAGACAGACATCTCAAGTGCCTTCAACGAATTGACGTTTCACAAGTCAGGAGTTCAAATCGGTTCTCCACATAAACTGCGCCTAACGGTCGAATCTGACATGATTTTCGAGCCAGCAACAGCAACATGTCGGTTCAGTCAATGCAGGGAGCAGTAATACGAATTGAGGCCCACTCCAAAACAACTCATCACTTGAATATTACCCGAACGCCATTGCATCATGATCCAGGTATACTTGTGTTACGAACAGTGACATGCTGAAAGCGAGCTGGACGCAAAAGCCATCTCTTGAGTCCGAGAGTGCGCGGCCGTGCCCATGGTGTTGAGAGGTATACCGGATAGATCTGAGGAGAAGGATGCCTATCACAATGACTATTTTGCAAGCGAAGACAGAATGGGGGAGAACCGAGGTCGGGTCAGTGGTTCCGACTTCCACATGGACAATGGATGTCGTGAACGAAATAGTAGAGGCCGTCGAGAAGGGGGCAATGCCCAAGCTAGAGATGGTGAGCACGAAATGTTGCCTCAATCAATGAAGTGGGAGAATTTGTAGCACAAAGCCAGCTCGTGGCAGCATTGATGAGTAGCAGCCAGGCATCAGCACCTGCGCGAACAGACGCGTTTGCTTCACCGTTGCAAAAAGGTGCCATGCTGGATGACGCGCTTGGATAATTCAAACAATTGGCACCGCATCTTTTTGGCGGCTGCGACAAACCTCGTGCTTTTGCAGTGTATCTTCGTTAGAACAAAATCATAACAGTTGTCCACGCCCTAACAAACCGGATCAGTAACGGGAGTCACAGCTGTTTTGTTGAAACTACTATGGTCTGATTGTTCCACTCCGATACACACATCTCTTGCCAATATGCCTTCTCGGTCGCCATCCCGGGGCAGGTCACCCACACGCTCTCACACCCCGACATCTGTACGCCGCGCGCCTACACCCCCTTACAATCACTCCCTTTCTCCCCGTCGTTCACCTTCACCAAGATCGCGCACAAGATCATACACCGGGTCTCCTCGACGTGACTCGCGCAACGGTCGTGGGCGAGGACGAAGTCTCAGCCGGAGCCCGAGCCGCAGCAGAAGTCCCAGTCGCGGCGACCGCAGATCATATCGAGAGCGCAGCTACACCCGAAGCCCGAGCAGAGACAGCAGACGAGTCCAGAGCTCCAAGATTGTGGTGGAGAAACTCACGAAGAATGTTACGGAAGCACACCTCCGCGAGATCTTCGGGTCGTACGGTCGCATCGAGTCGATTGACCTTCCCCTCAACAGACAATGTATGTACAACCCCATGCGAGGGATGATGGTCTCTAACGTTGAACAGTCATGACAAATCGTGGAACGGCATACATTCTTTACGACCATCCGTCCGGTTCGGAGGCTGCCATCGCACATATGCACGAGGCACAACTTGACGGCATGGTCATTTCAGTCAGCATTGTTCTACCACGTCGCGCATTTTCGCGCTCGCCGCCTCCGGCCAAACCCATGCGACAAGGTCTTCCTCCACGATACGGTCCACCTCCCAGAGGGCCTCCTCCGCCGAGATACCGCAGTCCACCACCAAGAAGAGGTGGCTACGGAGGTGGAAGACGCGGCGATGACAACTCATACGTTCCACGTGCGCATCATTCTAGATCACCATCACCACCGACACGACGTCGAAGATCTCTGTCTTATTCGCGCTCACCTTCCAGAACTCCCCCAAGACGACGAGGAGCAGCAGCAGCAGCACCAGGAGGAGGAGGACGAGGTCGGAGTCCCCCACGACGGAGGAGACGAAGCCCAAGTTATACTTCCCAGAGCAGCTACAGCCGCAGTCGCAGCCGAAGCTTGAGCCGAAGCCGTTCAAGAAGCAGAGGCCGATATGGGAGCAGGAGATGAGTTGATGTTATTTCAAACAATTCCACCTGAACACCTCAGCACTGAATTGCTTCGTCTTCAACCAAACTGCCACGGGAAGGTCTGTTGTCGGTGGAATGGATGGCATGTGAGGAGACATGTCACATGTGCAGTATCTCCAATGGCCCAACCTTGCAGCATCTGTAACGATCATTGTATTCACGGAGATGTCACCATTGGTGATGTATCAATTGAGTACTTGTGGGCGAGGGCCCAAGCCGGGTATTTGAGAGCTGCAGCACGATCCAAAGGAACGGGATGGACTGATGAATGCAGAAGAACATGGGTGAATGTAGCTACGGGGTACTTTGGTGACAGGTTTGACTTAGATAGACCTGACCTCTCAAGCCAGTGCCGCACATGAGGTTGCGACTAGCTACAGCTTGTATGTGTCTGAAAGATAGAGCCTGACAACTGCCTCATTTTCTTGTCCTTCCACTTTGTAGTCAATAAACTTGAGGCTCTAGACTCGAGACCACCCTACCTGTGACCTCGATGTCACTTGCCAGCCACTCACTCTAGCTGAAGTGGTGCTCAGCCTGACATTTATTGCCCGACTTGGAGTTGGAGTCCGAGTCCCTTGCAGGAGAACAATTGCTTGGCGTGGAGAGCGCGAACTGCAGTGCCCAACTTCAACCTGCCGATCAACTTCGCGTGTGAATTCGTCGCAGATCAGCTTCCTCTCACGCTCACCACTGAATCTTCTCACCACAAACCTCAGAGGCGCAGACACCAACTCACTGGCGTACTCGTCAGCGCTGTGGGCTGGTCACGCCCTTCAGTCTCCCAGCGCGTGTCAGCGCGTCGCTGTCACAATAGTAGCTTGCACGCTCCGCCTAGTGATAGCGCGTCTGCAGCTAAAAACTTTGTCCTCTACAGTGTCTCTCTAATCGCATTGACGCGGTTCTCGATCTTAAAACCACTAGGCTACCTCATTCACAGCTCATTTTCGCGTCCCTCACCATGAGTAGCGATCCTGAGACTCCTGATGCTCCTGATGGGCCGGATCATCAAGGCGATGACCAGCTCGACACTGATGCCGAAGACGATGGGGGCAATGACACCACAATGCACGACGACGCAACTGGCAATGATACCATGATGCAAGATGAAGATGGTGGTAACGACAGCGCGATGCAAGAGGACGAACAAGGTGGAGGGGAGCGGACCTTACAGAATGGAAAACCCTACGCGGTGGCCGAAGAAGACACCAACTACAGTGTCTTCGTGAACCCTCCAGACCTCGCGCAGATGCGCCAACGATTCTTCGACCTGGAAGAACCGATCGAGCTCGCAGTGGCAGACTTTGACGCATACTTTCCATTCGTCGACAACATCTGGCGCAAACTGCGGGCAGGAGAGGCCCAGCCAGAAAGCAATGTAAGAACGGACTACTATGCCTGCAGACTACGCAGAGGTGCCAATCAAAAGCCCCACGTACCACGCCCTACCCCAGAAGGCAAACAGACACGGAAGAAGAGAGCACGTGATGACAAAACATGCGGCATGACCATGAAAGTCGTCTACAACGCCGGGCCAGTCGAGAGTTGTACTGTTTCACGCGCGGTCGACAAGTTTCAGAAACACTCGCATGACCTCGACTACATTGATTCGACCAAACGCAACTCGGGCATCATGGACACCGCGCGCCGAGAGGCAACCAAAGGGTTCCTGCCGGCCTCTATTTTCTGGAAGATGTGGGAGGAGCCTGACAAGATGCTGGCAGCAGGCGGGAAATTCATGAAGGTATCCGACGTGCGCAATGTTCAATACGCTTGGAGGCAGGGTAATCAGCAGGCTGTATTGAAGGCCCACCGAGGCTTCAACCAGACCCGCGCTCCTCGTCACCGACCACCGACGCCGCCCCAGCCTTTCCCGCCGGCGATGCAGGCAGGAGTCTTCGGTCGATTGGAACCGGTCAAACAGCAGGCATCGACTCCTGATCGACCAACGGTGTCCCTGGATACGCTCCAATACCCTCAACACGCAAGAGCTTTCCTCGAACCATACCTGCCCGACCCCAGTCTCTCTGCTGCCCGAACCCGTCCTCATGTCACTCTTACCTGGGCCAGCAGCTTGGATAGCCGGCTCACTCAAGTGCCCGGTGTCCAGGTCGCCATTTCCGGGCCGGAAACAAAGGCCATGACACATTATCTTCGAAGTCGACACGAGGCCGTTGTAATCGGTGTCACCACTGCCATCGCGGATGACCCAGCGTTGAACTGCCGACTTGCAAATCCCTCCGGTTACGGTGGACTACCGGTAGAACAACAACCCCGACCAATCATCATCGATCCACATGCCCGGCTCCACATCCGTCCAGAGTTGAAGATACTCAGAACCGCGGCAGAAGGTCGTGGGAAAGCACCCTGGGTTGTGGTCGCACCGGGCGCCATGCTGCACCCTCTGGCGGTCAGCACCCTCAAAGCCCACGGCGGTGAGTATCTGATGATCAACGACTATCATCCTCAAGCGGGAGGTCTGAACTGGGCCGGCATTTTCAACGTGCTGTTCCGGGAAGGCATCAAGAGCGTCATGGTGGAAGGAGGTGGCACTGTTCTCTCCGAATTGCTGAGACTGCGACATGCCTACATGATTGACTCGGTCATCATGACCATTGCACCCACGTTCTTCGGCAAAGCTGGTGTTCCAGTCTCACCCGATCCGACGTTCGACGCCGCCGGCCGACCGATCGCGACCAGACTAAGAAACGTCCGGTGGCAGCCGATGGGCGATTCTGATGTCGTCCTTTGTGGTCATATGACGTTTGACCGTCCTACGAATGGAATCTTACCTGGCATCGAGGAATTCTCTCGTACCGCAACGGAGACACCGACCCAGCAGTCCAAGCAGCAGGCACAGGCACCTCGAGCAGCGCCACATGTTCCAGGCCAGCCATCGGTCCCACCACCAGGGCAACAGCAACCTCCATCGGCGGCAACCACGGCCTCTCCATCCCTGCAACCTATGCCCCAGCAATCCGCTGCGCCCTCTGCGCCCTCTGCGCCCTCACAACCGTCCCTTGCAGAATCAGCAACAGTACCTACCACGGTTCCCGGCCCAAGTTGACCTGGCGTACCATCCGAAACGAACGAGCAATAGCTAGGAGCATGAACAGAGCTTTCCTGCATGATTGAAGGTGGCGGGGGTTGGTAAAAGCGACGCTCGAGACATTGTGCTTTGATGGGACAGACGTCGCGCGTACGGCATGGTATGGCTGGACACGGCCTGGTGCGGCCGTTTAGAGATTCTCCTCGTAACGCAACGAGCTATGAATTTGACGATGGAAACAACGCCGGGGATCGGGCACTGGACTCATTGCGGAGTATGCGGCTCAAGGAACTTGGGCCGTGTCGGAGTGCTTATTTCAACTTGCAATCAGGGGCCCGTGGCAGCTGCTGATATCCCATTGCCGGCTCGGAGCGAGGTGCGCAAGGATGCAGAGCTTCTATGAACAATACCCAATTTACCTTGATGCGTCGTTCGGTCGGATTTGATAAGATTAGATCAGCAACGCCTAAGCAGAGTATCAGTAACTGAAAGCGTTCGAAGGAAGAGGCATTCAAAGTTCTTTTCCATACGTGGCTTGCCTCTCTCTCTCTTCGTCCTCCACAAAAGTTGAACTCCGCCGCGTGAGCAAGACTCGTTGTGCCCCGCCGTAATCTACTACGGCAGAGTCGTTCTCCAATCTCCGCACTTTGCTGTCAACGACCAGGGGCCGAGTCAGAGTCAGTAGTACGACAAGTAGTAGTGCACGGTAGTGAGACAGAGACCAAGATGTACCGTGAGTCACGGACTAATTCTCCTCGCCATGGGCTTCACCCCCTAGTCTGAACTGCAGTGGTGGACGCTGAGCCTCTTCACACAAGACAAATTCCAGACAGCACTCAGCAGCCCTTTGAACAGTACATCTACGTACATAAACCACGGCCACGTTTACACTCACAACGCCTCTGGTAACGCGTCAGCCATTCCGAAGACTAAACTCACATCGCGTATCCACCGGCGTACGCACGTCTATCTGGGTGACAAGGTGACACAGTTGTCTTGAAGCTTAACTTAAGTCTGTCCTTTCGGCGACCTACATGCAGGGGCCGTTGCCCTTGGTTGACAAGGGAGAGAGATAAGATGGAGTTGCTAAGGTGATTGATCGATCCCCTGGTCCTGTCCGGTCCGACGAGAAAGAGTCATGCAATTACTCACGGCTTGCTGGTTTACAGATGTGCCAGCCGGATGAACCGCCTCGCGACCTATGCAGCGAGACCATCGTCTTGCGTGAAGGGAAGCGTGAGGTCTTCGAGCGTCTATTCCCTGGGCTTGGGCAGGAAGATGTGCTTCTCCAGCCATGCAGACCGCAGGAAACCCTTTGATGCGGTGGTGGTTGGGAGTGGCGCGGCGGGCATTGCGACGGTGGGCAAGATGCTCGATGTCCAGAAGTCGGCGCAGGTACTTTGGGTCGACCCGGATTTCCGGGGAGGCAGAGTTGGCCAGAAGTACGGGGACGTGTCTAGGTATGTTATTACTGTGGATGGCAATGGCATGTTGGCAAGGAATTCAATCTCCATCCTCCCTTCCCCCCAGACCCAGATTTGACATATCAGAGGCTAACCATGTATGCGCGTATGTTCGAGGCATCAGCAACACCAAAGTGTCGCTATTTCTGGCGTATGCCTATGCATTGGAGTCGTTTCGCGAGGTCATCCGCTCCACACCGCCGCCTAATGCGATTACCGCTCTGGAAGAACTAGACGCCGACGCCGGCTGTCGCCTTCACTATGCTTCAGACATGTTGCTGATGCTGACAGAAGGGCTGAAACGCCATCCCAATGTCAAGACTGTCGTCGGGGAGGTGTTGTCAGCCACTCTTCAAAACGAAGTATGTGCATTGGTCACTCATCCCGATTCCCCTCAATACTCTCATGTAGTGTGCTTATACCTGTGTACTAGGCTTCATTGTGGTCTGTGACGGCGAAAGAGACGGAATCGCAAGCACCCACCACCTTCCAGTCGCGAGCTTTGATCTTATGTACCGGGTCGGCACCTGCCACCGAAAATCCTTCTCTTCCGGCCGGGCTGACATTGAAACACATCCACCTCGATGACGCCCTTTCGCGAGATGGTCTTCGACGGGAACTACCGTCTGACGAAGGTGTGACGATAGGCGTGGTCGGGTCTTCTCACAGCGCGATCGTGGTGCTCATGAACCTGTACGAGCTGGCCACCACGAGCCACCCGCGCCTTCGGATCAAATGGTTCACCCGTCGCACGCTGGTCTATGCTGAATACATGGACGGCTGGATCCTGCGCGACAACACCGGGCTCAAAGGCGCTTCGGCCGACTTCGCCCGTGCACATCTCGAAGACGAGGCTTTGAAGACCTCGCCTGTCGCCCGCTACCTCGAGAAGGTCGACTGCTCTGGGAACGACGCGGACGTGTACCAGACACAGCTTCCCAAATGCTCGCACTTGGTCCAGGCGATTGGATATAATCGCAACCCTCTCCCGTCGCTGTTCGTCGACGATCGACCTCTGGAGAAGCTAGCGTATGACGGATCGACGGGCTCGTTTCAGAATGAGCAGGGCCAGTATGTGCCAGGTCTGCATGGCGCTGGTATTGCTTTTCCGGAAAAGGTCGTCGATCCGGCTGGTAATGTCGAGCATGCCGTCGGTATGTGGAAGTTTATGAAGTACTTGGAGAAAGTTGTCCCGCTTTGGGAGGTTGGTAAGCAGGCGTGAAAGGAAGATCTTGTTCTACGAGGGAGTGGAAATATGGCGACTAAAGTATTAATTAGACCATGGTATAGAGCTGGAGACATCTTTTGTCAGATATCCAGTATACATGTTATACGTAGTATTTGTGTACCGGTTGGAGTGTCTACCATAGCTGCCAAGGTCTGATAAGCTGGATATATATTCGCCGAGTTAGGTACGTATATGTATATGGTTTGCAGAAGTACACTACTACGTACTACTACGATGTGGTATGAACATTTCAAGTAAGCTCAGCCAAAAAGTCCCAAAAAGTTGACTCGAACATGTTCAGTGGAAACTGAAAGCATATCGAAAAAAGTAAGTTGCTTGGGTTGCCTCCATCTGGATTTGAACCAGAGGCCTCGTCATTACTAGTGACGCGCTCTACCCCTGAGCTATGAAGGCTGTTAAGGTGAGCTCTGGAGATCTGATGATCTGAGAACTTGTTGGGAGCAATTCCAACAGTTTAATTTAAGAACCATAATTTTTCAATGTGTGGAGACTGATCTTATTGGAGGGCGCTAGGACTAGCCCTTGCCGCCAAGCCTGCCTAAACATCCAATCTACTACTATAGTACCAGTAGTAGTAGTACTGGCAGGCTAATTTGGAATGTCGCTGAGCTCTACAAATGAGAAAATGTTGACTTGTTATTAATGCTACTGCAGTGCAGTGAGCCTTGACTCAGTGCTTTACATGGTCAAGTATGTATGATTGATATCTACTATCTGCCTACTCAGTTCAAGACGGAAGTCGACCTCGAAACTTTCAGAATCGAGATGTGACCGCCTAGATAGACAAGCCACTAATAAGATGTTGTCTTTAATCCGACTCTAGTATTCGTTGTCGCCCATGGAGACATCGCAACAGGACGAAGGACTTGCTTCATTTCCCTGGCGCCCTAGGGCATCGTTGCTACCACTCTCCAATCACAGATCAGACCTCCAGCTTCACACCCCGCCTCCAGACACCTCGGACATTTAACGAATCCGTAATGGTTGTAGTTGGATCTCCATCCACCAGCACCAAGTCTGCCAACAGTCCCTTCCCGACTTTACCACGATCATTCAGGCCAAACCGCCTAGCTGGGACACTCGTCGCTGCACGCAGCGCTTCAGTGGCAGACAAGCCGGCTTCGACGAGTAACTGTAATTCATGGTGAACACTTGCGCCGTGAGCAAGGCCGCCAAGCTCCGGGACGGGAACCGACACATCCGTTCCAGCCAGAATGTCCACACCCGCCTTGTGAAGAGCGAGGACCGTGTCGAGGCAGTCTTGAAACTTGCCCTCGGGGAATGTGTTGAAGCTGCTGTTCAAGGTTTTGATCCACGGAGGACTCAACTTGGCGCGGACGCGCTCGTCGGAAGCAAAGGCCGTCGGGGCCTTGCCCATGATGGATGAATTGAGGACCAGGCATGGGGTGACGAACGCTCCGGCAGAGGCGATGCTTTCCACGACCGTCGTGGTATGGGGTTGGTCGAGAAACAGGTGAGCCAGCCCGTCCGCGCCCACTTCGATTGCTTGAAGGGTGGCATCTGCCGTCAAGACGTGGGCGACCACAAGTTTGCCGTTGCGGTGGGCTTCGGTGACAGCTCCGGCCAGGGTCTCTTTGGGGAGAAGTGGAAGCCCCGGCGATTCGAGCACCGAGCCTTCTTCGATCATGATCTTGATGTAGTCGGCCCCGTCCGCGACTCTGTCCTTGACGAACTGGACCGCCTCTTGAGGTGTCGAGGCTGTTGGGGCAACAAATCGAGCAGGAGGATGTTTGTGGCCTGGACCTGCAGAGGGAGGCGGGCCCCGGGGCTTGCCTGGTGGAGGGCCGACTTTGCTGTGCAGCTCGCTGGGATGCCCTCCGGGAGCTGTGAGTCCAAACTCGGCCGTTCGCAAGTCGGCCACGTCGTTTCGTTCCTCGATCTCGCGTCGCTGCTCGGGAGTCCAGTGTCCCATCATCTCCAGCTCGGTGGTGATTCCGAACTGTAGCGCCAGCTGGAGGTTCTCGATTTTGGTGTGCACATGGGAGTCAATCAGGCCGGGCAGTAGTGTCATCCCACTTCCATCGATGACTTGTCCGCCATCGGGAACGTCGTCGTTCTCCCCAATGGAGATGATATAAGGGTGGTCAAAGATGACCGTAGTCGAGGGAACTACCCTTTCGCCGTCGAAGACACGAACGTTGGTGATTTTGGTAAGCATGGTTGTGTTTGGTCTGGGTTTCTGATCAACTTGAGCACGGCGCCCGTCGACATTTTATATACCCAATCCACCCCCCTGGCGAGGGTGGGATGCAGTGATAGACAGGGGATGGACTAGTCAGTACGTTACTACCCAGGGCCGCTGAAACTCTATCATCAGACGATGCTAAAGCTAAATGTCCAACTACAAAGTACTAGATGCACGCAATACAGGCAAGGCGCGACCACAATCACGTCTCGGGGCCGAGCTGGCGATGGAGCCGACTTCCCAAAACGGCATCTTACTGTTATCGGTCTTTGCCCCTTATCTACAGCTCGGGTCCGCCACAACAACATCCCGCCCTCTTATGATACTCCGAGCACCCACTCTTGACAACCTTGTGACAACCGGGCTATACTCCTTGACTGTTGGTTGGTCAACAGCAATTGCCGTGAGATTGCTAGCCAGGAACAAGACCAGGCATTGGCTATGACGGGGCGGTAAGATCGACGTACAAGTTCCAACGCCACATGAACCGTCAACGAGTAACATCGTTGTGACTGGAAACTGTCCATAACGCAGAAACAATGCCCCGAGGACAAAAGAAAAGTAAGTTGACCGCAAAAGGGATGATCGTCGCACGCTGAGGGGCTGGGCTGTCTCCGGGCAACTTGCCGACACTTTCTGTCTGGACTCGTCCAAGCAGTGACTTTTTGTCGAGCACTACGAGTCGCGCGGGGATGCTACGAGGTGATGCATTATATCCCAGAGCATACCATATACTGTCAGTTTGGATGCTATGTTTCAGGAAACGCCGTCATGATATTGGAAAGCCGTGGCTTTTCTATCATCCATGCATGGAAACGGCATTCTGGATCTCCATCAACCTCAGGTGAAGCATACACTGCGCTGCTTCCACTGTGCGTCGACGGTTTCGGCGTCCGGGGGAGACTCTTCGTCGTCCTCGACCAACAATCGAATCTCCCACCCCGAAGAAAAGTCATACTCCAGCACTTGGTCGTCCACTTCGCCGAGTAGTCCAATGCCAGCGGCCATGAGCAGTCGGCTATTGCCTTGGAGAATACCATGGGGTGTCTCGTGGGAGAAATGGCGCACGAAAATACTGTTGAGCCGACTGATCGTGGGTGAAGTGCATGTGGCTGGACGACTCAGCTCGTACCGGACCCCATCAACCTGCAGGATAAACGTCCTGGTACTGCCGGTACGCTTTGGCTCAGCCATGACCAGGATCATCAACTGCACCGTGAGGCCCAGATCTGAAATGACACCCACTGCCTCGTCGTAGTGAAGCCAGACAATCTGGCCCGGACTGATCCAGCTGGCAGGCGCCCATCTGAAGGGTCGGGACTTCATTTTCGGTCGGCGATCGAATAGCACGGTCCAGGGAATCTGCCCCAGACTCAGATAAAATCGCCTCCAGCGATCTTCTCCTGTCAGCCTCATAAGGTCTCGGGTGTCTACGTCCAGCAGCAGTCCCATCACCAGAAGCTGATCATCAGGTCGACTGGTCCTTCTCCGCGTCAGGGCATTGAATGTGTCGACAAGCTTTCTTTGGGTCGGCCGGCTCTTGGCCTGGCGGTCCAGTGGCCGAACTTTCTGTAAGACGGCAAGCAAGTCACGTACGAGGACGGACGGGAAAGGGCTCCCGGCGGATTCATAGTAAGCCTTATACAACGCTTGAATCAGGCCGTACAAATCATACAGCCCGTCGGCCAACTCCAGATCTACCCAGCGAGGGAGGAAGCCCTCCTGGTAAGTCCACAGTCGGCCAAACCAGCCCGAGGCGAACACCGCCCAGGCCATTTCCAGGATCGGGCCAGAGCTATGCAGACGTCGCATGCCTTGATCCAAAACAATCACCCCGGTGGCGTTCTGGTAAGTCGATTTCATCATCTCGATCGCTTTGCCTCGATAGGGCTCTCTTTTGGGCACACACAGCCCGTCAATCCAAAACGAAGCTCCGTACTTCAGTCGTTGGCGCGCAAGAAGGTGCAGCCGGGAAATCTGGCACTGTGGGAGGCCTACTTCGCTGGTACTGCCCAGTCCGTCAGCCCAGACGTGGGAGAAGGCAATGTAATCTGCTGCGGAATCATCGGGGTCGACAGCTAGCAGTTGAAGAGAGATGTCTTCTTCAACGAACTGAACGAGCGGTATCTTTCCGGCGTCGAGAATCTCAAATACCTCCCTGAGCTTCGGCTTCAGGAGCTGGCACCGGCAGTTTACTGCATCGTGTTCTTGTCTGTACGTGGACATATCCACATTGTTGCGTTCGCACCGGTCAGGGCTACACTTTCCATGACCTCCTGTGGTCGTGCCAAACCCCACGGCGTCTACGTACCGCAAAAGCGAGGGGGGCATGGTTTCTTCAGCAGTGGCAAGCACGAAGCGACACCAGCCTTTCGCGATAAGCCTCTCCGAGTGTCTCCGTGGGAAATGTGCCGTGCCTGCTCCGAACGATCGGATTTCTAGACCAAGTTGTCTTTCAGCATATGCGACGATAGCTTCATGGAGGGCGGACACAGCAGGCTCGAACCCGACCACCATTTCAGCAAGCTGTGGGAATCCTTGATGCGCCGTGGTACGGGCGGCGGCCGTCAGTCTGCCATAGATTTCATACAAGATTGTACTTGCTGTAGTGGCACAATCACGGGCCGCTGTGAGTGTCGATTCTCGAAAGTCGTCCTCCACCGCGGCGAGGCCTCGATGCCAGGACTCCAGCAGGACCGCCAGATTGCGCGAGTACAGCCATTGACGATCGCCGTCCGCGCTGCCACTGGCTCGCACAAAGTACGATGGCATGATGGCAGTCGCGCATATAGCCTCGAGAAGACCGAGATAGAGCCATGCCTGGATGAACGCTGCGATGGATGCCACGGCCTGCGGCACTGTCTGCCCTTTCAGCGATGGATGGGCGGCGTAGACATCGCCCTGGTCTAGCATGGCTTCGACCTCCCAGTCCGCACCGTAGCAGTCTTCGAACACCGTCTGCATCGCCAACGGCTGGTAGTCGCTTCTCTGGAGATAGGATGATCCACAATGGTCGTGGCCTAGCCAAGGAACCCTCGGCTCGACGGCCTGGCACTCTCCGTGCAGCCTATCATGCAACGTCCAGTCTGGGACTTGAAGCGGCCTTCGGTCCGTGGAGATCTGGCGGGTCTCGGCCCGCAAGGCTCGGGGCGACGGACTATAGATCAGATGCTCCATTGGGACAGGTAGATCTTGGAGTTGGCCCCGTTGCTCTGGATCAAGTCAGGGGAGTCTGCGATGTGATGCGTCATGAATACCGTATGGTGAGATGGAGTCTGATGGATTTGCAATCGAGAGAGGGAGAGACAAGGCTAGGAGCCGGCCTTAGACTGTGTGTGTAATGAGACAGCTAACAGGGAATGCCGGTGTCGTCTCTCAGGCTCTATATATGTGCTTGAACGAGCATCTAGGCCGGGCGCAACAGCAGGGCGCCTAAGATGTGACCGCTCATTGCTTGTATACAGAGGTAGTCGCGGTCTTGCAATTGTCCCCTGGTGCAGGCGGCCTGCTTTCAAGTCATCTAGATTGAGGCGCTGACGGCACACTACACATACCGAGGCATTCGGCGTCAGTTAACCTCAGTGTTTGTTCGATCGCCAGGGGTACGTACATGAGGGGAGGCTGTGACACTGACTGAGGGGTCGCTAGAATAAGACCAAGGAGGAAGGTAAGTTAAGTTGCTCGAGAAGGAAATCATATCCTTCCGTTCGAGACGGTATCTCTACCCAGTCCAGAGCCTCGCATTTACCTCTGGCCAAATCAAATTGGGCGCTTCCTCTCGAAAGGGGCCCATTCCTGGCAGTCCATGTTACGTGCGGCATAACATTCACGTTCGGTGGTCTAGGCGTGGAGCCTCATACCACACAGGTCATGTCAGCCGTCACTGAGAAGCCTGTTCCGGGCCTCTTCTGCTGTGGTGAGATGTTGGGCGGCTTGTTTTTTGAAAACTATCATGGCGGTAGCGGTTCGACTGCTGGTACAGTTTTCGGAAGAAGAGCCGGCTTGTATGCAGCTGAGGCGGCCTCAATAGCTTTGACAGACGTGCAGGGCAGGTGATCCAGGCCAGAGTCAAGTTGTGACTGCCAGTCGCGTTTTCTGGCTTGGACGACTTCTGGCTCGAGACAGACTGATACACCCTCCATCATCTGCTACCCAGTAGCTCACAGATCCTTCTTGCCAGTATGAAGCACGGCGTGCATGAGTCAGCGGTAGGAGCGTCTGACGAACTCAGATTTGGAAGGCACGATGGAAGCCGTTGCATGGAAAGCCTGAGGGTAGAACAACGCCCTGCAGATTACTTACTGTGTGGAACTGTTGTGATTCAAAGACCGGTTTCCCAAGTCGGCCACACTGCGTCGCCATTTCCTGCATTCCCAGCGCCTCTCATCAGGCTATCAAAGAAAGCCATATCAACGCCCTGTAAAGCCCAGTCGTCCGCGCCATCGGTTGGCCCAGGATACGGGTACTGCTGCAGGAGCTCGTCAGCCACTGCACTTGGTTGTGGTGCAAACTGTGTGCTGATCTCTTCATCACTGCTAGTGAAAGGCACTGAAGGCTCTTCATGTGGCACCTGTGGCCCAGTACGAGGGCCAGATGCTGCTCGTGGCCATGAGGGAAACTCCCTCATTCCATCATTACCCGCTTCGTCGGCACCAAGTGTCATGCCAGACCCAGTGGCGTAGGCGGAACTCATTGCAGCGTCTGTCTGCAAGGTTGGCGCTGTTGTTGCGCTGGAGCTGCCTGCAAAAATGGCCGGGTTTCTGTTGCTGACGTCGCTTCGGGCGTTGGGTGTCTCCTTGGAGATCACACCCTCATGGGCAATCTTGATGATGCCGAAGTAAGGGATGTGCACACGCATAATGCCACCTGTGTCGTCTCCTTGGTCCGGCTGCGTGGTTCCTATATCGGGTCTCTGCACGCTCACGCTCATGGCACTGTGCATATTGCCTTCCGCGGCTTTGGCATCGATTGCCAGTAGTCGGCTTAGCAGGTCGGCACTCTGTGCACTCAGCGAATCCGCATTGAGGCGCATGACTTCTTTCATGTTCTCCTGTGTCTGTTCGATCATGGCACGGTCACTGAGGTATTGGTGGGCTAGAAGATTGTCGGCCTGCGAACGGCGGTGACTGTCTAAGTGCGCCAGCAGCAGTGTCATGGCGGCCATAAGGGCGAGGAAGTCCACGGTACGGCAGCTGAAGGCACTGCGGTTGAAGCTGCGTAACACGATAAAGCGCGAAAGCACCTCCCTCGAAGCATTGACGCAAGTCATTCTGGAATACTCGAATCTGCGCTCCGCTGAGGAACGAAGCATGTAAGGCAGATGGAGCTGGTTGAGCAGGTCATAGTGAAGCAACTGGTTAATCAGGCGCCGCATGCCCCAAAACAGAGTCTGCGAGTCGTTCACATCGCTGCCCAAGTTCGGGGTCAGCCACCACTTGCTGGACAAACACCTGGCCGCCCTCTGCAGCTCCCCGTCGAGGATCTGCGTCAAGCCAAAGTCACGGCGGCTCGGGTTCGATTCGTTGCGCTCCAGAATGCGAGCGGCGATGACGCAGTGCGTCCGCTCAAGACGGCCCATGGGTGTGTCATTGGCGAGCACCGCGTCGGCAGCCATGCTAAGATCGTTGGATCCTTGAGGGAGACCTAACAAGAGGCAGAGATGGCGGTCATAGAAAACGATTCGAAACCACATGAACTGTGGCTGAGCCCTCGTCTTCGGGTCAAGCACCTTGTATTGGGCCCGGCCCTCGGAGTCGACTCGATGCAGACCCATCAACTGTGCAATGAGCATCGCCCTCCGGACTGCTATCCAGCTTCGCCGTAGGTTCCCAACGTTGGCTTGATACAGACTCTCCATCATGACACATTCCAAACCTTCGATGCTACCGAGGAGCTCGTCGTTTGTCGTGACAAGACTGATGGCAGTATCTGCCAGTTTTTTCATCATCGCTCGTGGTGATGTCGAAAGCCCTCTTATCTCCGGGTGAAGATCAGGATGGAGAGGCTGCAGGAAAGTCGCCAGGAGCAACATATGTCTCGCTATCAGAACAGGGTGTACGTTCGGTCCCGGCGGCTCAAGCAAGATCTCTGGCGAATCGAGCCGGTCTTGAAGAGCAGAGTATGGCATGGTCAACATTTCGTTGAACAGAACAGAGAAGTGACGGCTGGCTTTGCATGTCCTCTGTGTATCTTCGGGCGAGGGCAGCGATTGGTGCAGAGAGCGAGAGAGCGCTTCATATCCTCCCGGCCCAGCAGTCGTCTCTGTGGCGACTGGAAGCCGATCAGATTTGGGGAGGTCATGGTGAATCTCGGTTTCGACCGTGTCATTGTCCTAGCAGAGGGAATCATCAATGGCCACACCACCATGGATTGGGTTTTCAGAACCCATGGTCATGGAATACGAACCTGTGAGGGTTTGTACAGAGCCAGAATCCGGGAAGAATCCGAGTCAATCGATGCAGGCATGGGGATGCCCCGGTCCGGGTTCCCAGCATACGGCCCTGGACCGTCGTTGGCAACTTTCTGAATCAACTGCTCAATCAGGTTCTCCACCCTGACAATGCGGTCGCCCATCTTGCGGTTGTTGTCTACCGGCTGGGAAATCTCCTCGGGGAACTCCTGGCTGACACATTTGGTACTCCGTCGCTGACAGCGGATGCAGATGGCGTCGGTGGACGAATCGAAAATACACTTCATCTTCCGCCGCTTGCACTCCCAGCAGCTCCGAGTTCCCTTTCTGATTCTTTTCCGCTTCGTCACGGATTCAGCCATAGTCTCGTCATCGTCGGCAGGAGTCTTGCGCGATGCGCCGGAGCGTTCGGCGGACATTGGTATTCTTGCCCAGTGCCACAGCACTGGAAAGCCCGTTCAGTGCGGCGGAAACGATGTCTCTCTTCGGTGGACATAGATAGATATCTGGCGATTGAGGACAAGGAGACGACATGATACGTATGAGCAATGCCGCGGTGGAAGGAAATCGAGCACTTTTGAAAGGGAACAGTTCGCTGACTAACAAGAGGGGCCCTTCGCCCGAACATTCGGCGGACGAAACACCACGACTTGTTCATCAACAAGCAAGCAATAGAGACTTCAGTACCCTGCTTGTCAGCTAGTTGCTCGGGAATTGATTGGCACCGAGACCAAACATATTCTACGCCCAGGAGGGAAACGGTATGATCTTTCCAATTTCCCCGGTATGTGGCGCCGACCCCTATCACCATTACCACTCTTTCCGCCGCGTCGGCCCTTGCAACGCATTTCTAAGAAGAGCGTCGAACTCGGCGGATGATGCTCAGAAGTCGAGACCCTTAACGGTCGGTACCCAAGGTATGCGGTTGTGGTACTTAGAGGGGGCCTGTTCGCAGCCAGTGCGAAACTCTGTTCTCTATTCACTGTATATTCATTCCTTTTGCTTTTCGACGGTATTAGTATTCTAGCATTTCGGTACAAGGTTCTCGGTTCAGGCGACAAAGAGCACAATGGCAGCCAGGACAGAAACGGGACAAGGAGAAGCGATCGAGACTCCCGATTCAAGCGCCCACAGCGACCACCTCGCATCCGATTCGCACAACGTTGAAGAAGCGCCAGATGGCAGTGACGAGGTACTCAAGCACAAAGGCGATACTGATGAGCCTGTATACGAGACAGGTTGGCGTCTGTGGGCAGTCATGACTACGATCTTTCTAACCAGCCTGCTGGCGGCCTTGGATATTGTCAGTATTCAACTACCTCCCTTCCCGTTCCCTCGTTTGGCCGATCACTGCTCACATGCTCGTGTGCCAGGGCATCGTCGCGACCGCCATCCCCGGAATCACAGACGATTTCCACCGACTCGACGATGTCGGGTGGTATGGAGGGGCATGTTTCCTCCTCGTCGGCACGACCTCGCCCGTATGGGGCAAAATGTACAAATACCTGTCGGCCCGATGGGTATATCTGGCTTCTGTCTTGTTGTTCTTGATCGGGAGCCTCGTGGCCGCCACCGCACCCAACGGTACCGCCCTGATTGTGGCGCGAGCAATCCAGGGCTGGGGATGTTCTGGCAGTCTCGGCGGCTCCGTACTCATGATCAACTACGTGGCACACCCCAAGAAACAGCCCATGTTGATCGGCCTCTGGATGAGCGTCTTCATGGCCTCGACCATCATCGGGCCCCTCATCGGCGGCGCCTTCACCTCCGACGTCAGCTGGCGGTGGTGTTTCTGGATCAATCTGCCGGTCGGAGGTCCCGTCGTCGGCATGGTGTTGCTGTTCTTCCACGTGCCAAAGCATATCAAGCCCGTCCCTGCCACGTGGCAGGAGATTGTGCGACAGCTGGATCTTCCGGGGTTCAGCTTGCTGCTGAGTTCGCTCGTTTGCTTCACCCTGGCCCTCCAATGGGGTGGTCAGACGAAATCATGGCACAACGGCTCTATTATCGCCACGTTGGTCGTGTGGGTGGTCTTGACCATTGCCTTCTTCATCACGGAATGGTTTCAGGGCGCGTACGCCATGATGCCCCTACACCTCCTAAAACCTCGCGTCGCCTGGACCAACGCGTTGTACGGCTTCATGTGAGTGCCGCCTTAGAAGTCGTGTCATTTCATTCCTTCTTCTCTGCTAACCAACAATCCCCTCATCAAGCGTCAATCTCGGCGATTTCCAGATTCTGTTCTACCTCCCCATCTACTTCCAATCCATCCACGGCCAGTCAGCCATTACGAGTGGCGTCAACAGTCTTCCGTTCATGGCTTTCTTTGCTTTGGGCTCTATGATGAGCGGCGCCATTATTGGTAAAACCCGCGTCTTCCAACCCTTCCTCCTCGCAGGTGGTTTGCTGGCCACTGCTGGCGCCGCCCTGCTCTACACCTTGGACGTCAACTCTGGCAAGGCTCGCTACATCGGGCCCCAGGTCCTCGTCGGCTTTGGTATTGGTCTGGGATGCCAGGTTCCGATGATGGCAGTCCAGAGTTTCAGCAAGCCTGAAGACGTGGCATCCGTCACCGGCATCTTGCTCAGTAAGTGAAGTGAAGTGACTTTGCCTGGAAATCCACCCACCCACCCACCCACACATACACACACTCTCTCTAACTTCTTCTCCTTCTTGACAAGTTAAGTACTAACTCCATAACCACTACAGTGTGCAATTCCATCAGCGGTGCCTACTTCGTCACAGCAGCGCAATCGGTCTTTGCCAACCGTCTTCTGAAGACGCTTGCCAAGGACGCCCCCCATATCGACGCGGGCATGGTCCTCGGCATTGGGGCCTCGGAAATCCACCGCGTCTTCAGCGGTGCAGACCTGGCCGCCGTGCTTCATGCTTACATGGTCGGCATCAAGGATGTCTTTGCCTTCTCCATGGCGGGTGCGGCGTTTACGGCGGCTCTGTCTCTTGTGGTGCCTTTCAAGAAGATGCCTCTTCCTGACCAGGCGAATTCGGGTTCAGAGGCAGGTTCGACGGACGAGAAGGTGGCAGTCGGTTAGAGCTACAAGTAAGTACTTGCCGACGACAAGAGGAATGTATGAGCTGACAAGGTGGTGCTGGCCAGCTTTATACCTAGATACAACGAAGTCATAGTACTAAGCTTCTAGAGATTTATTTAGTACCTACTAAGTACTTTCTACCAACCTAAATTTGAAATTTACGGTTTACGCTAAAAACACTAAAAGTGGATAGCTCGACTACTACTAAAGTTAATTAGAACTTACCTAGCTCTTTAACTGGCTACACTAATAAGCTCAAAACTTAAGTTTAGATACTAGTATACCTAAAATAGCTACTTAGTACTACAGGTAATTCTAGTATAAGTAATAAAGTTTGAACACGATTCCGAAACCGGTTCGAAACTAGATCGAAGCCGATTCGAAGCCGATTCGAAACTAGATTGAAACTAGATTAAAACTTTTAATCTAGTTTCAATCTAGTTCTAATTTGTGATATAGGTCCTACCTAGTACTTACTAATACTAGTATGGATCGAAACCGTGTCAAACCGTGTCCAAACAGTGTCCGATGATCCAATCCGAGATAAATCGTTTCTAGAGGTCATGCTACCAAGGAGTAAGGGCTTTATTCCGACTCCCACTCGACTTTCACCTTTGTGCCCTCCTTGTTCGCCGAGAATTTGACATGCCAGACGTCTCGAACCAGATCGCGGTTGACGAGGTTCACATACACTTCTCCATGAGCGACGGCGCTGACTTCAGATTCGGGAACGACCTTGCCCTCGGCGGTGACCTGTGAGGCAAAATAGAAGCTGTGCAGACTCGTCAGCCTCCGAAACAAGGCTGGGAGCATCTTATTTGATAGAAGCTTACCGGATCCCTGCCTGTTCGTAGGCTTTCATGCCCACCTGGATCAGATACGCGAGTGCAGCCTTCCCCGGACCCAGCGTCGTGGCCGCAGCATCGGGATGAAACGGGCTGACATCCCCTGTGGCGATGAAAACACAGTGGACGTCATCCGAGTCTCCAAATGCTTTCTTCAGGTGCAGAAATCCACGACTGGCGTGGTGAAGAGCAGAATAGGCCCCGGTCGCATTGACCGCCAGGTTGTGCTCGAACTCGGCAGGAGAGATTGCGAAAGGATCATCCATATGAGAGGGGAAGGTGAGATCGGCGGCTGTTTGACATCAAATAAGTATGGCAGGCATTGATCGGGTTAGCGAAAATGCAACTTGAACGTTCCTCACTTTCGAGGAGACATAAAGCAAATCAAATCGTCCTTACCATTGTAAACAACCACATTCGGCACCCCTAGTTGGGACTTGACCGCGTGGAAGGCAGCCTTGACCGACTGCCGGCTTGCCACGTCTACACTGACGAGGAAAACGCCTTGCGCTTCCGCTTCCGCTGTGTCGTTCCCGTCGCCGGGGTTCCGTCGTCCAACTGCGATTCGGTAGCCGTCCTGCAGAAACCTTTTGGCCACGGCATGGCCGATGCGAGGGCCTCCGCCTAAGATGAACAAGACTTTTGATGGAGCCGTAGGAGACATTGTTATCATTGATGCTCATGAATAATGAAAGAGATTCGCGAGTACTCAAGTACTCAGTAAGTTGGTTGATTCGAACCCAGATACTTACTAAGGTAGGTGCTACCTCACAGTCGGATTGGCCCGGAAACTTGACGTTCCTAATTCGTCACTGCATCTTCGCTCTCATTCGTTGGTCGGCAACGCCCACGCAGCGCAGCCTCGTTTGATTGAAACTTCAGTTCTTTCGCACTCCGCGGCATCAACTGGTATGGACTATGTCCATCATTTTAAGCTGCATCAACTGCAGCTTTGAAAGCTGGACGTGTGTTACAACAACAAGGACGACCGGAGTCGATCTGTGCTGCAGTCCCCAGTACAGGCAGCGAAGTTTTCAAATTTCTAGCCACATAGTATTAGTATTATTGTCCTTGTTCAAGGTACTAGTACGCTAGACATCCTCGGGGGCTGTCCCTGAAGTCTCTCACACTATGGCAGTTTAGGTGGAAATGTCCGTTCATCGAGGTGCGGCACGTTTGCTGGCTTCTAGATCAGTTTTTCGGGATCACGCACGCAGTCGTCCCGTTCGATACATGACTCGGTTGCGCAAATGTGGCTAGTGTGATGACGGTGGACATCGTGAGTGACTACCGTAGAGCCTTGTCAGGATAATGAAGAAACAAGGTGTCTCGCTGTCGTGAATGGACTGCCCTCGGCCGACTATACTGATAGCGGACTGTCCTCGGCCGACTGTAGCCTCTGACAGTGGACTATCCTCGGCCGAAGTATCTGTGTTTCATGAAAGACTGGAAACACCGTTCGAAATGGGGGAGATAGGGCACCTGCTCCCCGGTAAGTCACAGTGGAGGTTGATTCACGAGGCTGATTGCCTGGGAATGATTGCATACAGCCTTGTATACATACTTTAGTACAGCCTTGTCACAACCAGGCGCGCAAGCATTTTATATGAAGCTCTTTGGATTTGCAACACCCAAGTCGTCATCACCGAGAACTGTGCATGAACAACTCCCATCTCATTCGATCGCCTCGAGCAATCAATTCTTCTTGGCTGGTTATTGGCGATGGTGGCCACCCTGTCGAACCCGTCAGGCTGATATCCGTCCTCACAGCGCCAGCCACATGTCCCGACACACTCAATTGAAACTCGCGGAAACGACACGAATGGTGCTAACGTGCACTGCATGGATAGCTAGTTCTGGTCAGCCTCTAGGCCCTTGCATATGATACCCCTGGGGTGACCGCCGTTGACTTCGACACTGCACTCTCATTCACTGCTGTGTTCCCGGTGCCCTCCTCGATTCATCAAAGCACCACGATCACATGTCCCACAATGACATGCGATTCGGGACGATATCAAAAAACAAAAACATCCGGAGCAGTCGAACCGTGATTCGAAGCCGCCAACCAAAAATGCAAAAAACTCAAGGGGATGAGAAAAGCTCACCACCATCCAGCGCCTGCAGACTTTCATCTGCAAACTAGGCCTCCCTCGAACCCTCTCAGGCCTTCGGATGATAGCAAGGTTTTTTTGGTTGACACTATACTGGTGGCTTGCAGTCTGGCCCTAAGGAGTCCAACGTATCAGAGTACCCCAGAGCCATAGTGCCGTGGGAGTTGGTGGATGTTGAATCCCCAAGTACACCACACCACACTGCGTGTTGGCAGGAATTTCGTGACTCAAACATATATAGACATAACTCCATGGATTTCCTTGTGTTAGGCAGTGAATGCGCGCCAGGTCACATGTGACCGGGAGGGCTTCACTTCAAGGTTCTTCACATGGGCGCGGGCTTCACTTACATATCTCTCACTCATCTGACTGACCAGCTCCAAGTCACCGTCTTAGAAGTATACATTCATTCACGGATATGCTGAAAGCTCGTTCTCACAGATGACATCGAAACGACAAATCGCACTTATTGTATACAGTCAGAAAGCCGATACCGGCTGATCTTGCTTCTCACGGTCAAAGAGCATCGGTTGCCAGTTCTGGACAGACTTACAGAAAGTTCAGTAGCGTCATCTGTGTGGGGCATCCCCAAGCCGCCCAGTATTCAATATTGAAAAATGGTGGCCAGAGAAGACCACAGAGTAGCTGATTGCAGCCGGCACCATATACATCCAATCCACAATTGTGGATTGGATACAACGCGAACCTTTCGCCAGGACTTCGCCAAGGGCTCTGACAAAATGACAAAGTAACTCAATCGAACGCCATTGATCGCTCTTGATACCAGGTAGGGCCAACATAGAGCCAGACGACTGCTCCTGCTGCGATAGGAAGGCGGAATGGAGCATCGGCACCCTCCTCTATACAGCAATGTCAGAGGCGTGCTGTTACGCAGCCAGAAGCGCACGTTTTCACCAGATGATTGCGCCAGCTTCGTCCGAATCACCTTCGCCAGACATTTGAACGACAGGCCCATACACTAGCCCCTGAAGCCGCTGCTTGTCTTTTCAGAAGATCAGGCTCTGATCTAAGCAGCTTTTCATTGACCCATTCTGTTCTTGCCTACACTTCTTCCAAGGTTATGAGTAGGTCGCCAGGAACTAGAGTTGGATATTGCATGAGGTATCTTGGTGCGAACCGAGGCTGATCTCAGAGCGAGCTCGACAATCTTCGGTGGGTCGCGATAGAGACTTACCTAGCACGAACTCTGTTTTGGAGTTATGGTTCGCAGAAAATGTTGGCGGCGGCCGCCGTGAGATGTCTCGCTGCGCCTCCTTCGTACGGAGTTTCCCTATCAAGCGCTGTCGGCCGGCCTATCGGGGGATTCTCATGGCTCCCTTATGATAAATAAGGCAAGCATTCAGCTTGAAAGACCGTTCGTTGGTGAGATTCTAGTATCGAATTCTACCCTTACGTCAAATTCTGCCACATTGCTCAAAGGCCATTCGCGAATTGACAGGTTCGGACAGTATCTTTGTGACGACCTTTAATGAGATCGCCAGACCTATCAGCATAATGCGTCTCCAGCTTCTCTCCCTGCTCTTGCCTCTGGCAGCTGCACACACCACCGGCTCTCTGCAAGCTGTCATCAGCGACCAATCCCTCAGCATCAACGGCGTCAATTTCAGCACTCGCGCCTATTGGATGAGACAAGCAAATGCCGCCCTCGGTGAACTGGTGTCTCCCTGTCCGTTTGGTGCATTCGGGACAGTGATCGTGAACCACACGGCAGGCGGGCTAGGCGAGCTGGTCTGCATGGGCGCGAATAACATTTCGTTGACTGGCAACCCCTCCATGCATGGTAAGTCAATCTGATGGCAGTCTTTCAACGTTGATCTGTGTATCTGATGGTGCATTACAGGAGAGATAGCAGCCATCAAGAACTGTTCCGAGGTCTTGACCGACCCGTCGGGTCCATACAACATGACTCCTTCGGAAGCGCAACAAGCCTTTACCAGCTTGTCGCTGTACACGAACGCGGAGAGTTGTCCGATGGTGAGTAGATGTTGTCAACCTCCACATGACTACTCCTTGCTGACCATTTTCTGCTAAGTGTGCTTCGGCTATCCGATGGGCCGGGTTCAAAGAATACATATATGGCACGTCTATCGAAACGTTGATCGCCCAAGGTTGGGGTCAGATCCGGGTGTCCAGTGTGGACGTGTTCTCCCAGAGCTTCGACCTGACTTACCCGACGAGGCTTATCGGAGAGCTTCTCACAAATGAGACCGATCCTTACTTTCTGTGGCAGTACAACCCAAGTTATCCATGCCCGTCAGGCTGTCACCGTGGGTCGTCGGGTTCTTGTACAGCAGAATAACCAAAGAACAGGAAGAGATGTTGGGAGACTGATGGCGGGGACAAGGCTAAAAAAAGTACATTAATGCGTAGATTGCATGTTGCCATATCTCACGCCGTCAACATATGAGAGACATCTCACCATAGAGAAGTATAACGGATAAACGAGTCAAGAACGAGGCTGTCCAGAAAAGGGGAGCGAAAGGAGCCTTTTTCGCTTAATAAGCAAGACTGGGTCACGTTTTCGCGTTGAGTGTCGAAACGCGTCGCGTCGCGTCAAGCTGAGAGACTGCGCATCATCACATTAATACAATGAGGCTGCGATGAGTCTACACACGTATCACCACCCCCAACTTCCGCAATGATGGACATGGAGCATGCAAGATACTGCTGGCACCCTCCAGGTCGAGCTGAAGCCATGTCTTGCCGAACTTCTTCGCACCTGCATTCACCCGCCCACGCTCCTCCTCCGAGTCGAGCACGTATTCGGCAAAGCGCCAGCCGGTAGCCACGGGAACGCTGCAGTCGGTCTTGTTGCAAATCTGCCTCACGACGGCGGACATCCGCATGAACACCTTGAGGACAGGGATCGAGAGAGTCACCGTCCGTGGAGTCTTCGTCTGGCACTCTCCGATAGTATCCTGCAAATCCAAGCTGTCCTAGCAAAGCGGCTGCACTCGAAAGAGCTACTGGGGCTACAAAGAGGCGATCTTGTCGAGATAGGGGACTTTCAGCTCCGACGTGCCACTCGGCGTAGCGGTCACGGTGAGGTTGTCTACCTCGGGATCCAGCAGTGTGCATGGGTCGGAAGAGACCACATAAGTGCCCCGCAACTCGAGTTTGAAGGGGGCTTCGTCCGTGACGAGGACGAGGACGGGGACGACGAGATGGCAAGAAAGAGGCAAAAGACAGATCGGAAGGGCAGATCTCTTTCGAAGAGAAGTCCCTCGGATCTCAGCACTTTGGGTAAAAGGGGTTTCTCTGCCGAGAATGATGATCAATGTGTTTCAAAGAGACTACTGTCTGGTGATCGAACTGCATCATCTCACTCCAATTACAATCAGACCGTGCACAGTGACGACTCGGAGGACGACTATTTCGAGACGATTGTCGTATCTCAGAAACAGGCTGATGAACGTCGAGAAATGCTTCGTCAAATCAATCAGCCCGACCCTGCCCAAGATCCCAACGGCGCTGAAGTGGAAGCGGTCAGTGCGGCAGATACAGATGGACTCTCCACTGCTGCATCGCCCCTCTCAGAAGCGAGTCGAAATAACAACCTCAACACACATCCAACCGACAGATTGAATGACCTCGATCCCATTGGCAGTCAGAGCAGACCCGACCAAAACGACAATGAGCCGTCGGCTATCAAACATTCTCGACCTCCATCGTCTCTCATCCCTGCTGGTGCACCGCTTCACACGCTGGCCTCTCTCCTTGACCCAACATCCTCTCTACCACCGCGCAACTATGCTTGCACCATCTTTGGCATGATAACCTGGGTGTCGACCTCCTTGATCCACAGACTAAATACACCATATCCACCGAAACGGCATGTCAAGGTCCATGATCCAAGCATCTTGCATCGGCAGGCGGGAATCACACTTGCTGTCTTCATCGATGCCCAGAATTTCGCGCCTAAGGTCGGCACTGTGGCATTACTCAGGGGCGTGGTGATGCAGCGATACCAGGACGATGTGATCCTGAACAAGTATGGCAGTTTCGGAAATAAATCAAACGAGGACCATGACGATGTCGACAATCAAGACTGGTTCGTCAACGACGAAAAGACCTTGTTGGACGCGGGCTTTGATGTGGAGGGCATGAAGCAGTCGTGGCTGACGAGAATCAAGAAGAAGGGTTGAATATGCAGGGTCCGGCGGAAAGCCGGTGCAATCTACGCCTCCAAGCGACAGCACTTGAGCGGCAAAAAGAGGTACCGTTTCACTCCCCGGCAATAAGGCCTCGCCGGCGCGCGAGCAATCAGAAGATGTCATCTGAGCCATGGGTATTTCGAACCCTCATCACAACCCGTAGCCAAGAAGAAAAGCGCCCAGTCTTGCTTGATAATTGTCCCGTCACCGTCCAGATCATCAAAATATCCTCCCCCCCCGGAAAGGTAAACAAGTGCTAGTATTCAGCTCTGGTTCCCAGAGTGACGGAATTTCTCTACCGATTCGCCCTCCGTCGTCCTCGTCCTCATCCACTTCCGACCACGAAACAACTCCCAGACCGCCAACCCAGCAATCCCAACACCAAAGATGAACAAGGGAATCAGATTCCAGCGCCAACCGCGCATGAGACGGAGGTTGTTGCGGATGTCGCGACGGTCCGAATCGTGGGCGAGCGGCAGGGCCAGGACGGCGACGAACCAGTTCTCCGGCGTCCACTTGTCGTCTGGGTACATGAGTGGGTCGGAGTTGGCGGCTGCCACGGCGAGATCGATCGTTTGGTTGTCGGTCTGGGCGGTCAGGACGAACGTGTAGATCAGTGCGGCGAGGGTCAGCATGGCGGAGAGGATGGTGAGGATGGTCCAGAATGTGAAGAGGCCGGAATGGGGATGGATGGTTGTGGTTGGGGAGGTCTATACAGGTAATGAACAAGACATGTGTTAGCATCTTAGCATTGTATGGGGTCTTCCGGCACTTTCAGTTCTTGGGATCGGTCTCTCCTCTCCTCTGGCTGGGTCAAAGAGTCCAGACTTCAGCCTTCAGACTCGAGTGTTCTTCGGACATTGAAGAGAAATTGATAGAGAAAAAAGAGTATCCAGGGCCGAAGTGGTGAAGTGGTAAAGGCTTGTGTGTGGACTGAAGTGGTAAAGGCTTGTGTGTCATGACATTCTCATGTATGTGCATGTGCATGTGTTTGTGTTTGTGTATGTATATGTATATGTAACGTACCTTGCGAGTCCTCCGTCTTTCGTGCCATATTGTCAAGAACCCCAATATCCCAACCAAGATGACCGCCGTGCCTGCTGCTCCGTTGCTCGTGTGTCCCTGGTCGACGAGCAGGCCGGCGGGTTTGCCGTGTAGGTTGAATGGCCCGGAGGGAGCGTCGACGGTGAAGGATTTCCCTGCTCGGTCGTGGAGGAAGCCGACCATCGAGCCGACGAAGCCGACTTCGATGAGGCCGTCGATCATCAATACCGGCAAGGAGATGAGAAGTGGTAGATACGACATTGTGCTTGTGCTTGTGCTTGTGCGATCGATCGACCAATCAATCGTTCAGACCGGGTCACACTTTCTTGCCCAACGCTCGTTTGAAGCTGGTCTTGCAGTCGTCGGTGCAGTCGATAGAGGCCGTTCAGGAACTCTGCTCGATCTCCAACTCCAAAGTCCTAAGTAATCTCCTAGAGTATTCGTTCGGACTACTCCACGAGTCCAAAAAGAAGAAACGAAGTCAGTGAGAGGAGGTGACCTCGACCCAACAATGGAGAAAAGTGACAAGCAGCGACACAACAAGTGACCAAGATTCCCAAAATAGGATATATCTCAACAGCGACAACAAACGGGCTGCCTTATAACGAACACGTTGGCCACCCAGCAGAAAAGACAGTCACGGTAGGATCCTAAAGTGCTGGCCTGATATATGTTATAGCATTCATCAGGTTCCTGGTTTAGTCAGTTGGGCTGAAATCGACCCCAAAGACTGGTTTGTCTATCTCTGGTTTAGCAGTAGTAGTAGTGGTAGCGAGTGGGCTTGGACTTGGACTAGGGGCGTTGTTGATGATTGATTTGCCTGATAAAGATCCTTCCACCAAGAGGAACCTGTTCAGCTCTCAGAGGGGTGGGCAGGTCAGGGTGGGATGGAGTCAATCTCACCTACCTAGTACGTATCTATCCCTGACCCTGACCCGTTCCCGAGGTGTTGGATGGCCTGAAAAGGAGACGAACGTATCCAGCACCCTGGCACGAGGCACGAGATTCGTAGCTCCAAGCATCATCACAGGAGGACAAGAGTTTGTTCAAGCATTGCAGTGCACAATAATGCCTGCGTCGAGAGCTGAGGGCCGTGCAGATAGATTCCAAGACTTGGACCTGACTTCCTGAAAGTAGATACGAGGCATGGCAGATCCTGAACCCGGGTTGGGAGGCTTCGTCTGCAGTGCTTGGAAATACTAGTCCGCAGGCCAAGAGGATGGGATGGATGTTTGCTTACCAGTATCAGCCACAAGGCCACTTACGGTTAGAAGGGGGCGGCTGAGAAAGATGGCAAATTCCATCAACTCGACTTTGCCTCGTGAAGAGTCAAGACTGCAGAGCTGCAGCAGTGGTGTGGTGTTCACTGATCAACGGCCAGCGGCGACACCGATAAAGCTATTCCGTTTCTTTTGAGCGTGTCGAGACGGACGAGAGGTCTTCAGCTTGACATATCAATATATTATGACGGCATCATGCACTTCTGGGTGCCAGAGGACCACAACCCCAGCTCAGCTGATCAGCGAACACAGCGACCTACCAGTGCCCGTGGCGTAGTCAATCCAATTTTGGGGTTGTAACTCGTGTTGGTTTGGGCCTTCAGCTGATTGATCCCAGCCAGAAAAGCCTGACTGAGAGAAAACGAATTTCAAATCGATGGCTCGAGCTGATGGCAGTGCGTCCGTCCCATCCACATGGAGACAGCGAAGACGGCGAATGACTGTCGGACACCAGACACCAGACACCAGACACCACTGCTGACAGGGACGACGGTCAGCGGGCTTCGATTAGAAGGCAGGGATGCAGGGATATAGACCTGATGGACGTGGCTAGTGCTGACAGTCCGCCGGGGTGATGAAGGTCATATATGGCCCCACCACATTCCAAATCCGGCAAGTATTTGGTCCACCAATAAGAACCTCTCTCCTTCAACGAGGCTGAGATTGTTTCTTTCCATCTGCCTAGCAAACCACGGCAGCGAGGGATATAGACCGGGAGACTCTCATGTTGTATCCACCATTTAATGATGGTCATGGAAAAAAAGTAGAGCGACTATGCATCTGCATTGAACATATCATAAATACATCCTCGCTATGCTCCTTCTACCATGAGGCCAACACCCGTTGATGCCCGGCCCACACATCCTGGTGAGGGTTACCGAAACCACTTGTATAGACGTAGCGTCAGACACGTTCTCCTCTGGAATCTGTGCCCGTCTGAGACCGATCCTGACGCCGAATGCAACAAGGCTGAAGTGCGTACCCACTAACCAATTCTAATAACTCCGTCTAGGATCAGACAGGCCAGGTCTGTCCTGCCGCTCCGCATCTTGAACCACAAGCCACTGCAGCACACTTTCATAACACAGAACGAATTGTCGTAAATTCTGCACCATGCTGAGTCGTTGACGTCGAAAGTCATCCACCGTCTTCGCCACCAGATCAATATCGTCTCGGGACAACCAGTCACCACCATCCACGTCCATTCTATTCGGACTGTTTTCGTGAGATATCTTCTGCCGCTTCAACATGTCGATGACAGAATCAATCGTGCAAAAGGTTCCCGTCCTTCCACAGCCCGCACTGCAGTGTACTACGATAGGTCGGGAGCCCTCGGGAGTGGCCTCATCCGGTCCTACCACGCTAGACGGGCTGGAGGATCCTCGAACATACTTGTTGACCTGATCAACCAACCCCAGAAGCTCCGCAGGGCTGGCTGGAGCACCAAAATCCGGCCAATCCTTGTATTGGATTTGAGTGATTTGCCGCATCGGTTCGAAAGGATAGGCAGCATGACTAAGGCTGAAATGTCGTACCGTGGCGGACGGTGATTTGGGAGACGTAGGTTTCGCCTCGTCCTGCTGCTTGCGTTCTCCAGGGATATTGGCGGCGGTGGATCTGCGTGCGCCCAGGGTAGGTCTGCTCGGCACTGGAGCGTTGCTGGAGTATTTCTTCGATTCCAAGCTGACCTCACGTTCGGAAAGCTGTTTGAGCTTGAGGAATCCATATTCACCAGCATTCCAGTACACATGGCTTTTCACCTGTCCGCCTTCCGCTTCGGCGGTCAGCATTACAATGACCCGAACATCCTGTTCCCAAACAACACGCCAGAAGTCGTTGAACGTGGCAGGGATGGGCGCTTGTGTGGCAATGTAATGGCGATTGGAGAACTCGGCCTTGATGTGGCTAGCGTTGATGTAGTCGCAACTACCACTTGGGACATTCTGCAATCGTACACGTGCATGGTCGTACGGGAAGATGTTGTTGTACCGGTTCTTGGACCCTTTCTCAATGCCCGCGACCTGGATTTTATTCGGTGTCTCACCTCTTGGACTGCCGTATGATACTTTACCGCTGAGTGCTTCTTGCATGCGCTCCTGCTCCGATCGTTCGAGGTTCAAAAACTGGTCCGACACCAACTTACCCGCGTTGGACTGGGACGAGGCCCGTTGCAACCATTGTGGCATGGAATGTTCTGCCTCCGTGGACATGTTGCTGGGTATCTTGATCGGCATCTGTCCCACGCCGTCCAGAAGGTCCATGTTTTGTCGAATATTGCCAAAGAATGGGTTCGCCGCCGACTTTTCGGTGGGCATGGCACAGCCTCCAGCAACCGGAACAGCATCCTTGCCGGAAGCTGAAATGGACAGTAATTGTGAAGACACCCCTGTCCCTGAATGAGGTGGCCCTGAGTCAACCAGTTCGGGGACCATCTTTTGAAATGCAAGAAACCCTCCTTTGATCACCAGGCCAGTCCCTGCCCATCCTTCCGTTGCGAACTTCTTGAGAACGTTCAAGGGAGTCACCGCCTCTTTTGTGATGCTGGAATTGGCGTCGTACACGACGATGTGAGTACACTCTCGCCATTTGGCAAAGGTGTCTTGGTCTTCGGTCGAAGAAAATGTTTCTGCAAGTCTTTGAACATTATATGCTGGTCTTTTTAACAACGTCGTGGGAATACACAGATTCAGGGCGCCCCGTATCCTCGCCGTGGCGTACTGCTGGTATACCCTAAGATCGAGGATGAGAAGGCATTTCGGATTGTGTTTGATAAGCTCTGCGACACGAACCGGCGAAACGATCGGAGGGGAATCCTTCTCGCTCGACGACGGGAGCGTCTCGGATCGTGGGCTCGGTCTAAATGTTCGGATGGGTGGGGTCCGTAGTTCACTGCCCGGTAACGAGAGCCGCGCATGCTGATGGTCTGCAACACTATGCTTGGAATCGAGCTGCGCAGGCGATTGTTGTCTTGGGATGTCCAAAAAGGAAACATCATTCATCCGGTCATCTTGTGTCCTGTTTCTCTCGTCTCTTGACTCTGCTTCTGCTTTCGACTGGATGAAAAATGGAAACGCCGTGTCAGAAGCAGTCGGAGTATTGGAGGAATTCGTCCTCGATTGCGACGGTCGACCGAACGACGTATTCAGGGCAAAACGATGATTGTGTTCTGATTGTTTCCGGAATGCCTCAAAGTCTGGGTTGGCCTCGACGGGAATATGACGCGGCGTCGGGACTTGATTTTGCGCCGTCGAATGAGGGAATGTCCAGTTTTGGCGGGTATGGACGCCGGGATTGGAGTCTGGAGGTATTGACTCATCGCCAGCAACGACGAAGCCAAAATAACTGGGACTGGGACTCTTGGGATCTTTCGATTGATGAGGGGATCGAGGGTTCGTGGAGAGGAGAGGCGGCATGGGCTGCCCGACCGATGCGACGGCTGGCTGGGCGCGTGGAGTGGTAGAAGGCCGTGAGGACCGTGAGTATGAACGAGTATGGGATTGCGAGTGTCCTTTGGGATGAGAAGAGTGGGAGTGAGGGTGCGACCGAGAAGGCGACTTAAGGGACGCTGTCGTAGTGGCTGACATGGCAGAGGAAGAGGAGAGGAAGGAGGAGGCGGCGGCCGGTGGGCCTAGAGTTGGAGGAGAGGTCGCCTTCACGCCGTAGTACGTCGACCAGACGATGCCTATAGAAATGGACGCTCAAAGGCCGCAGTGTTTGTCGCTGGGGAGCTGTAAACTGTGATTCTTGTAATCAAGAGTCGAGATTGCAGCTTAGAGAAGGCCGCAGGAGCAATAATAGCGTAGTAGCAGGTGGATCGATGTGTTGAGTACACAGTAATAGAGTCGGTTCGTCGAAGAGTAGGTCAGGAAGTAGTCTGGGAGATTTCCGCGGGCTACGTCATTGTGGTCTAGACTGCGCACGCGACAAGGTGCACAGGGCGGTGGAATGTGGCCTCATTTGTCTGTGACTCTGTAGAAGTAACACAAAGAGAGTAAGCGGTGATTGTGGTCGTTGAACTTGAATGTCAAAGGACTGAGGTGAGGAAAAAAGAAAGGGCAGGGTTAAGGTTAGTATGTATGACAATGGCGGCCCAGTCTATCTGATTATTATTAATGCACCGGTTGCAGGGCAGAGAAGACGAAGTTCAGTTTGCGGGAGACCTCTGCCTTTGCCTCTGCCTCTGCCTCTGTCTCTGTGCTCTGTAGGCGAAGGGCTAACACTCCGAGTCGGCATAGCTGCACAGACATGCCCACTACGTAGTGCCTGGTGTTAGAGCTGAGCTAGTTGTTAGTGGCAAATTGACTGCGGTATAACTGCAAAAGATATGGGTGTACTGGAGCTGTTAGTACTCCACTAAGTCGTACGGAGTTAGTGTCTCCGAGAAGTGAAATTGGCGCAGCAGAATGACGTCGTCAGGGGAGAACAGTGGCGTCCGCGGTGGTGGTCGGTAAAGACCGGCGGCGGAATTGATCAATCACACTGACAATAATGATATGTGGACAACAATAGCGGGTTGGGGGCGGGAACTTCCCACCTGCCCCCTGCCTAGATGCCTAGATGCCCCAAATGGATCCCTACTGAACCTAAGTTGGGCGTCTCTCGAGCCCCCAAGCCCCCAAACTCCCAAGAAGTCAGGGTCTTCTAGTTAAGGGTCTCAGGCTCTCAGGGTCCGATGTGCCTTTCCCAGTGCCTGGAATCTTCGACCTTCTAGAATGGTGAGACCATGTGCCTGGAGGTTATCTACCTGTACCCAACTAGGATGCCATACTCCCGAGTCTGCACTCGCACAATAGTATACTCAGGACTTGTAGACATGCACCCAACATAACCTAACGAGTCAACAAGGATCTCTTGTGGTCCTGTTATGCAGTGTGTCCCCTTATCCCTACGGCGCATCCCCCAGTCAAGCGACCATACGCAACAGGCAGAGCCAGCAAGCACATCATGCCACCTGCCTCAATTATTTCTGCCCATTTCCACAGGCTGCGGTAGCCCGGTGCCGCCCACCCTCCTCCCAAGCGAGTGGAACTAGAGAGCATGGAGCATGGCCCAACTCGCTTGCAACTCGCCCCTTCCACCTCCCCCATAATCGCATTGTCTCCTGATCAGCTCCGGATGGCAACATCTCCCTACAGAGTAACTGCAATCCGCATGACCATGATGTACGCCATTCTCGTGAATCGCTTATGATCGATCGATAATCACCATTACCGTCTGGTCGAAAAGCCCACGGCATTGAGCGGGTGGAGATGATTCAGGAGTTCCTTCGTACTACTGGTGGCGAGGTACCTTCTCCCTGGCACTTTACACACCGGACTTAAGTGTGCAAGGGCAACGCAGGTGCTGTAGCAATAGGGAGTTTTTCGCTTCGTTGCCCAGTGCTTCGATACATGGCGCCCGGAGAATTCTCTTTTCCGACCTGTAAAGCCGGTCAATATTAACCTTGGAGATGAGAGTGCTCCTCCAGCGTCGGCAATGCGTCATCGCCCTTCTATTTCGGTACTGCTGGAACGACAGAAGTCTTTGGACTTGGGCCAGACCCCAAACAGACCCTCACTGCATGCAAGTCGACAGCCACTGTCCAAGTCATGCTTAGCTGCAGCCCGCCATTTTTCGTGCCTATGCATGCTTGGTATCGTTACAGGTGTGTGCGTTCAAGAACACCGAGTCGCCCCTTGTACAGGGTACATGACCGTCCCGGAAGCAGTCCTGTAGCTCCCCAAATTGACTCACTGCCTTGCTCCTGCACCGCAGCTTCGTGCCTGCTTGAGGACACATGCAAGTACTATGTTTCTGTGGAATCGTTGGGTCTTCCACCATGGCCAACAGAGCGCTCAAGGGTGCCAAAGCGGGCGACATTAAGCAATGTGCTTGTTCTTCCTGACAATCGCCTCAGCATGATTTGATTTCAACCACTGCTGGCCACAGCAGCTTATGAGGCATTTAACAGCGTTGTCGTCAGATGGGACGCTGTCTGCATCGAGAATTGCGTTTCTACCCCGGACTTGCTGCTTTCAATCCGGCGAGCAGTAGCATCAGTATCGCCCGTGACATCTCCATCAAGTGTCGATCGAAGAGAATGGATCGAAGGCTCAATAGCAAGTCAAAGCCTCCCGTCCGGTTCACCCTTAAGTCGCTCAACTCGCTTCTGCTCCCAGTTGTCCAAATCTTTGGCCATAAGCTTGTAGTATTCGTCTCGCTCGTTCAGCTCTCCCTTCAAGACCTTCCTGCGCCGAGGGTTGTATGAGAGATTCCCTTCACCCATAACACCACCTTTTAATCCAAGCTCCAGCTTTTCTTGATCGGTCAATTGCCGATGTTTGCGATCGTGCTTCTCATACCTCAGGGCTGCGGCTGGGGTGAGGAGGAAGGATGCCCCGACTATTATAGTCATAAAGGGAAGTCCGAAAAAGAGGAATGGGTTCTTGGTAATCTTCTGGCGATAAAGTGCAGCGATTCGTTCCCCGAAGTCCTGCGCATGGGCACGGGTGCTACGGAAGGGCTTTGACTGGAAGGTAGGCATCACGTGTGTATCATGCCCTGCGTGTTCAAGGTAAGGCGAAGAGCGATTCTGCCAATTCCCAGATCCAAGTTATGAGGAACATGAAGGTTGAATTGTAGACTGGAGGCACCGAACCTGTATGCAGTTTAAAGCGGCGTTGGGCCTCGCCAAGCCCGATCCTGAGTAACGCGGTTCCAAAAATTGTAGACGCGACACATCTTCCCCATTGTGTGGACGACGAGAGCCGTCTTGTCAAGGAGGTTCAACAACCTCGCCATACGAGATGTCGCTCTTCGGCCAACCCGCCTCTGGCCAAGGGAGCTCCAGTGGCCCTTTCTCAGGCTTGAACCTCAATACCAACACAGATGCACAAGGCAACCGAAAGTCTATCTTCGACAGCGCCGCACCTCAACAAACAACTTCCACGGCCTTTCCCACACTGAACACAACAAGCTCCTCTGGCTCACTCTTCAACCTGGGTGGCGCCCCCAAAACATCCGCTCCTACACTATCTTTCGGAACCGCTCCTACCACCTCAGCCCCTTCGACAGGTCTCTTTGGAGCCCCAACTTCAACCTCACAGCAGCCCACTTCAACGACGTCACTCTTTGGCGCTCCCGGGACGCAACAGTCGGCAAATAACACCTCGACTTTTGGGAATACCCTCTCCACGAGCACTGCTGCTGCGACAGGCGCACAGCAGAACGATGCTGCTCCTTCACAAGCTAGGGATGCGGCGTATTTCAGCAGTCTGCTGGAGCGACAGAAAAAAAAGCCTAGAATGAAATCGGAAAACAATGGTCGACTGCCTCAATTGCCTGGACTGAATCTCGATCTGGGGGATCTGGCTCGGCGTGCACAAGAAATCAGACAGCGAGGATCCAAGCCCACAGAGCCTCACACTGACAGTCGAGCACATTATCTGCTCGCTGGCTCTGGCATTGCCCCGGGACAGGCTTATAAGGATTTTCAGGCTCTTGGGCCTGATGATCGTGCCACGATATCCAGGACTGCTGCAGACACTTTTGCCGACGAGTCCAGTGCCTACCTCAGAGACCTGCGAACCAAAGGCCGTGAAGCTATGATGAGAGAGGGTATGGATCGTGTATATCGAGAAGTCGACAAAATAATCGACGAGAGCCTGGGGTTCGATTTGGAGGAGCAGAAATTGAGGATTATGGAGCACTTTGGCTTGGTGCCGCCCACTGAGGATGGGGGTGAGGATGGGGGTGAGGATGGCCGGACACCCTTCGGTAAATCTTCGATGCGAGGCAAGGAAGGGTTCTCCTCCACGTCTCGTGGGCCTCGGAGTGTATTCGGTCGTTCCGCAATTGAGAAGTCCATTATTGGCACTCCTGGCACTGGCGCTGGGTCAGCATCCTTCTTTAAGAGCGACGGATCAGCCCCCGCATCATCGGCCTTTTCGAGAGGCCAGAGCTCTCGCGATCTCCGCGAGAAAGAAAAGGCGATGATCGCAAAGGTTGAGGAATTGAACCGAGCGCGACTACAAGACGCACCATACCCACTTCTCCAGGCTTTCGCTGAAGCCGAAGAGGGATATATTGGGGACACTCCTCGACAACTCATTGACGCATACCACGCTCTCCGCGAGATCACCAGGGAAGGCAGACCTCCTGTCAGAGAAAGACAATATGCACAGGCGTATCTGGATGAATCCGGCAGCGTCGAAGCTACAAAGCTCAAGAAGCAAATCTTGGAAGGCTCTCGGACTTACTTGGAGAAGTCATTCTGGCGAGAACTGAGGTCACTCATTGAGAGAAATGCACGAGAGGCGGCCCTGGGCGGACAGCCGAGTGTCGTCAATATTGTTCGCGCTTATATTCGCTTGCGTGCCGTCCGGCGTGACCTGGTACCCGATGGCGCAGAGTTGCAGCAGGACAAGGACGAAAAAGGCGATTACCTTTGGGTGGTCATCTTCTACCTACTGAGATGTGGGTTTGCCAAAGAAGCGGCAGACTACGTCAATAACACCCCGTCTTTTCAATCTACCGACCGGAAGCTCCTCTCCTACCTTCTAGCCTACACCAACAGTCCAGACCGACGCCTCAGCCGAAAGCTGCAAGATATGATCGACAATGAATACGCGAAAATGACCAAAGTGGCTCAGAAGAGCGCTGTCGATCCATACAAGATTGCTTGCTACAAGGTGTTGGGGCGATGCGATTTGAATTCTCGGAATTTGGAGGCCGTCGGTCAAGGAGTCGAAGACTGGCTGTGGCTCCAATTTACGCTTGCCCGCGAGACGGATAGATCAGAGGAGATCTCGGGCGAGATCTTCGGTCTCGATCAGATCCGGGAGACGGTTACGGAGATTGGCGAGAAGCATTTCCAGAAAAGCCAGATGGAGGGTTCGAGTGCCTATGGCACATTTCTCTCGATGCAGGTCCTTGCCGGCATGTTCGAACAAGCGGTCGACTACTTGCATACCTTCAACCCCGTCAGCGCAGTGCATTTTGCAATTGCGCTGGCATACTATGGTCTGTTGAGAGTATCTGACTTTACTGTCGCGGGCAACGAGCTTCGTAAGTTGTTACTGCCCCACGACATCCTGACCCATGCTAACTCACCTATCCAGTGACATATTCGACCACCCAGTTGCCAATGATCAACTTTGTACCGCTAATAGCACACTACACGGCCACGTTTAGATCAGCACTCCCGGTAGCAGCGGTGGACTATCTCTCCTTGATCTGCTTGAACTCCGACCTCCAACCCGCCAGCCTTGGTCTGGTCCATACGAATGCATGTCACGAGTGTCTTCGGGAGCTGTGTCTTGAGACCCGTGAATTTGCCAAACTCCTTGGGGACATTCGCAGCGACGGGACCCGGATACCAGGTGCCATTGAAATTCGAGCCAACTTGATCAAGCTGGACAGCCGCGAAGATTTCCTCAAATCCATCACAAGCCAGTCGGCTGCCGTCGCTGATCAACGTGGCCAAATCGCGGATGCAGTCCTGTTGTATCATTTGTGCGAGGACTACGACAACGTGGTCAGTGTGCTGAACCGAGCGCTTGCCGATGCGGTGACATTGGATCTAGGGGAATCTCCCATGCAATTGCAACCTCTGAAACCTCGACGATTCGATGGTCAGAATGGATCATCGACCAGCAGTCAGGGCGCCGGGCCCCAGTCGTCTCTGTCCCTGACACAATCAACAACATCGCCGATCGAGCTGGCCAGGAACATGATCTCGTTGTACAACAGCAATGCGGCGTACTACAATGTGATATCAGCCACGAATCGAGAAGTCTGTGGTGCTCTACTTCGCCTGCTGTCGGTGCGATCGCGCCTGGAAGCCAACCCCCCTCAATTCATGACAGCCTTGGAAGAATTGAACGACCTCAACATCCTCCCACTACGAGCCAATGGATCTATACCCGTCATTCGGGCTGCAGCTACCGCCTTTGGGACGCTTCCACAGATTCTGGCTCGTTGTGCGGGCATTAGTGTCGTTTGGGCAGTCCGAGCCATCGGAGGAGAACGAGACAACATCATGAGGAACGGAAGTTGGGAGGCAGGAAACGGAGGTGATACAGAGGGCATGAAAGATCAATTGAGTGACATGGCCAAAGACTTGATGGTGTTTGCCGGACTGGTGAAATACAAGTTGCCCAGCCGCGTGTATGACATGTTGACCCGCGCGGGGGGCGAGGTCGGAGCCTTCTGAGGAGTGACCAGTCTACGACATGCCCAGCAGTGGTATTGCAAGGAGAGCACACCACAACAATAATGAATGAGTTATGAGGACTATTTACTATGTGCCAGTACCGAGAGATGTCGTTCTGTGCCCAGATGTTGGTTGCTTCGAGTGCCATAATGGTAAAAGGGACGGCCTTACGGTGGGTAGGCATCAGATCGCCCAGCTCGTCTCCGAGGTTCGGTGTTGAAGCGGCACACGTATCCACTTGATTGGGCAGCAACAAACAAAATTGTATGATCTTCTGATGCGTTGCTCGACATGGGGGCCTCGATGCGGTGTCTGCGGCACTTTTCCCAGCTCTGATGGCGTGTTCTGATGTGATTGGCTGCGCAAGGTGGATGGTATCTGATGGCGGCTGATGCTATCTGATACTAATGGTAATCTTATCAATCTAATCAGCTAATCACATCCGTTGCCTGCCTCGCATCGGGGCGTAAGGGGCGTGCGAAGGAGGTTGAGGAACCCGCCTCGCCGCCACGGCCACTTCCAACTCGCTGTTCTCGCCCACTTGGAACCTGCAACCTGTAACCTGTAACCACTGCAGCGAACCACTTGCACTCCCCTTTACCGCCATCACTTACTTCATTTCCGTCCCAGTCTGTGACGCATCCTCATTCCAGCGTTTGCCCACCCTTGAAACCCGCCGGTCACCCTCCGATCCGGTCCCATTATTCTGGCATAACCATCCTACGTTCTCGCTCATGCCTGGGTCAGGCTATGCTTCCGGGGTCCAGTCAGGCTACATCCCTCTCCCAGTCCACCGACATTGAATTGGAGCTTTCCCACGTCGCGTCTTCTTCAACACGATCGATTGCAGTGCAAGATGACACTGGATTGTCGGACTTGGAGCCCGAGATCAGTCTGGGTGCCTCATTACATGGTCGCGAAGCGCTCGACTCGTTTCCCCGGCACCCAATAACCCCTCTACCACAACGCCGACCGAGTCCTGGGATAGCATCTCGCGTTTGGGGTTTCATCATGTCCCGAAATCCTCTCTTGCTTATGCGGTCGTCCCCCGCCCTGGGGACCGGCTCCTATGGCGCGGTGCCGATGCTCAACGCCCAGTCTGCATCCGAATCGAGCTCTGAAGACGAAGGGGGGGTGAGGAGTCAACGGAGAAGTCACAAGAGCCGTGGGAAGAGAGTACAATCTGCACATAATCTACGAGATGACAGGGGACAGTCTTCCGATCCTCGGCGGCGGTATCGCAGTACAGAATGGCTGCGCGGTAGGTCATCGTCTGCTGCCAGCGACATTGGAATGGGCCTCGATGCCAAAACCTCCTTCGCCGTCAATCCGGCCATTGCTGAGCACAAGGCCGAGTCGTCCAACGCGAGCACGAGAACAGGCAGCGGTGACGATGTTGAGCAAGAATATACTCCTACGGCGGACGATCCCCCAGACAATTCTCCGTACCCCGAGGTTCGAGCTTCCGTCCCGGCGACGGACAATACCACTTTGTCTATAAACACGCCTCGCATGTGGACGCTGTCGTTGCTTTTTGCAATAGCAGGATCTGCGACCAATCTTTTCTTCTCCTTGAGATACCCCAGTGTTGCCATCACACCCGTCATTGCTCTGGTACTGGTTCAGCCATTGGGCAAACTCTGGGACCTGGTGTTCAAGAGGCAGGGCGACTCAGAAGGCTTGTTTGTCGATGGTTCGCTCCAGCCTGAGGAGCAACAACCTCCTCGCACGCTGACCGAAAGGCTCCGTTTATGGTTGGCCCAAGGACAGTGGAACGAGAAGGAGCACGCCTGTGTGTACATCAGTAGTAATGTCTCGTTTGGCTTTGCATTTGCCACCGACGTGATCGTGGAACAACACAAGTTCTACAAGCAGGCAGTGCCGATATTATATCAGCTCCTGCTGACCCTTTCGACGCAGATTCTGGGTTATGCCTTTGCCGGTCTAACAAGGCGATATCTGGTTCGCCCTGCTGCGATGATCTGGCCCGGCACCCTCATGTCAACGGCCATGTTTACGACAATGCATCAGAACGAAAACAAACCGGCCGGTGGATGGACGATCACACGGTACCGGTTTTTCATCTACGTTTGGGCCGCCGCTTTCGTCTGGTACTTCGTTCCTGGACTCCTCGCCCCAGCATTGAGTTATTTCAACGTGATTACCTGGTTTGCGCCAAAAAATGTTGTCGTCTCCAATCTGGTAAGGACTTCTCTCTGTGCTGTGAGTTCGAGTCTGACTGGTGTAGTTCGGAGTCGCTTCAGGATTGGGGTTGTTTCCCATGACTTTCGACTGGGCCCAAATCGCCTATATAGGCTCACCATTGTTGACACCGTGGTGGGCCGCTGCGAATGTCGTCGGTGGGCTTGTTCTGGTGATGTGGATCATTGCGCCCATCTTATGTATGTTTCGATCCTGGCGAACATGTGTGTTCTTGTGCTTACTGCCCCTACAGACTACAAAAATGTCCTCTTTTCGGCATATCTGCCCATTCTGTCGTCGGCGGTCTTTGACAACACTGGAAAGCCGTACGATGTCAGCAAGATTCTGACACCAGATTTCTTGTTCGATAAAGAAGCGTATGATGGGTATTCCAAGGTCTACCTTCCTATCACCTACGTCCTCTCCTATGGAGTACAATTTGCGGCGCTTGCGGCACTGCTGAGTCATACTACCTGCTGGCATGGCCGCGATATCTGGCGACAGTCTAGGCAGGCTTTCAACGAGAGACAAGAAAAACCTTCCGTTGCCTACGAGGCCCTCCCAACCTCGGATAACGATTACGACCTGCACAGAATCGACAGTTCGACTTTGCGTGCCGGAGGTGACGATGTCCATAATCGCTTGATGAGGAGGTATGAAGACGTGCCAATGTGGTGGTACGCGGGCACTTTTGTCACCATGTTGGCCGTCGGGATCTTCGTGGTGGAGTATTATCCCGTACATCTGCCATGGTATGGGCTCCTGATGGCCCTCGGGATCACGACGGTCCTGTTCATCCCAGTGGGCATCGTCATGGCTATCACCAACCAGCACAGCAGCCTGTACCTGATCTGTCAGCTCATATGTGGTGTCGTCTTTCCCGGCCGCCCAGTGGCCAATATGGTGTTTGTCACCTACTGCTACATCAGTTCGGCGCAAGGGATCAAATTCTCGTCCGATCTCAAACTGGGGCATTATATGAAAATCCCTCCGAGGCTGCTGTTCAAAGTGCAGATGGTCGCCACCGTGGTGTCCAGCTTGGTCCAGATCGGCGTTCTCAACTGGATGTTCGACAACATCCCGGGCATCTGTACTCCCCAAGCCATCAATGGGTTCAATTGCCCCATAGCCCGAGTCCACTTTAACGGCAGCATTCTCTGGGGCGTGGTCGGACCGCAACGGTTTTTCGGCCCGGGAGCATTATATCGACACCTGGTCTGGGCCTTCTTGATCGGGTTCGTCGCGCCCATCCTGATCTGGCTCATGGCACGTGGTAAAAAGAAGACCATCTGGAGGAAGGTCAACCTGCCCGTTCTGTTCGGCAGTCTCAGCTGGATTCCTCCGGCGACGGGGCTCAACTTTTCCATCTGGGGTGTGGTGTGCTTTGCCTTCAATCACGTGGTGAAGCGACGCGCATCGGCGTGGTGGGGCAAATACACCATGACCATGTCGGCGGCCCTGGACTCGGGCCTGGCGTTCTCGCTCGTCGTCGTCTTCTTCGGCTTTGTATACCCAGGCTGGATGGACAACTTCAAGTGGTGGGGGACGGAGATCTACAAGCAAGGCTGCGACTGGCGCGCCTGTCCTTGGATCAGTCTGAATCCCGGCGAGAAGTTTGATCAATAAGGAGGTCGACATTGGGCATCGAGTTGGTTGTCGACAAGTCTTGAATAGAGAATCGCCATTAGGGTGTGTGTGCATAGAAAGAAAGAAAGAAATGAATGAGCATGATGAGACACGAACGCAACATTGGGGCATGATACTGCTGATTACTGGCTATCTTGATAAAACTTGGATGAGGAGTAAGCCGCAGTCTAGTCTGTATACGCAAGAACTTCTGTGTTGCGAGACGCGCCTGAGGTCTATCCATACCCTTGGGTACAAGTGACTCGTGCCCCATCATTCATTCCACTATCTGAAGAGAGCGATGTAGTCTTACAAGCTCACCACGCGCTTCAGAGATGTTGTCACTGCCAATAAAGTCATCTTCGGACAGCGCGCTGAACGGCCAGCCCAAACGCCGCCATTTCTAGACGCGTCGAACCTGGAACGCCTATGAATGAGCGGTGAGACGCTATTACTCATTCCTCCTGTCAGAGAAGGTCGAAGGAACAGTCGAGTCTCGACACAAGCGGCGCCGGCCAGAGGCACTCGTGCATCAAGGTTCAACCGCAGCAATGAGACAAGGACGTCAGACCAACATATCCGACCTAGTCGAAACCATGCCCCTTCCAGATCCCCCAATCTAGCCCACCCCAGATCCTATGTGCAACACCCGACAGCCGACAGGAAGGCAGGGGCTGATAGTTGCCCAGCAACATGGAAGAGAAGAGAGAAAGCGGCCTGCTGAGGAGGAGTTGATTGTAGAAACAGGTCGAGGAGTCCAGATTTTGCTTCTAAGCGTGCGAGACAGATGGCAAGTGTACTGTGTGGGCAGAAGGGCGATGGTGTGTTGTAACAGCCGCACGTTGGACACAAGCCCTATCGAACAATTCCAGTTGCCATGGTGGTGTCAGGGTAAGGGAAATCTGCGCACATGCTCATTTTCCTCTCCGCGGATTTTCTTGACCAACGCGCGAGGTTAACATGCGTACAGACAGACGGATGAAAGGTCTCGGTTGTTTCTCAGTTTAGATATGGCAGGTAGACAGATTCCTCTGAAGCAGTGTACCAGCTCTTGCAATCATTTCTCCCCGCCGCCGCCGCCGCCTCCCATAGAAAGCACAGCAACAATCACGAAAACCCACCAGTACTTCTGGAAGAAACTCTTTTCTTGTTGCTCCTCTTGCGCAATTTCTCTCCCCTCAGTATCCACTTGCGGCGGTTTGCGAGTCGTCAATGCCGGTGCAGGGCCAGGCCCAGCCGCGAGAAGGTTGACCTTGATCGGCTCGTGGAGAGCGGCTCTTGCGGCGGCTTCTTCTCTTGCCTTCTTTGTATTAGGAATGGGCGGCGGAGGTGGGATAGGTTTTCCTTTCGCCTTTGCTCGTGCCACCTTTTTCTGGTAGCGCTCCTCGTCTGGAGTCAGCGGCGGTGGCGAGACACTGGACACCGAAGCAGAGAAGACCGAGCCGTCATCCGGTGAAACCCACAGGTCGATCTTTTGGTAGACATCCGCGCTGAACGTGTCCAGGGTCGTGACGGTTGCGCTGCCATTGGGAAGTAGGATTCGTAGAAGTCGTGACGAGGTGGGTTCTGGAGTCGTGGATTTTTCCGAATCGAGGCTCGGAGGCGTCCAGGACGATAGAGCATGTTTCTTGGATCGCGGGTCGTAGGAGAACGTAGCTAAGGGCTCGATGGACGGAACTCCTACCAGCTGATAGGAGAGAGTCACTGAGTTGGGCAGTTTGCCGGCATCGCTGCCTGCCACAGCGACACAGGCCGAAGCTGCCAGCAGCAACAGACTGCGGAAAGGGGAGATGACCATGGCTGGATTGTCTGTCTGTCTGCTTTGGTGTCCGATGAAGACAGTAGAGGCAGTCCATCGATAGTGAACTTCGTACGTCGTCGCAGTTCATGTCGTAAAGGGAAAGTCAACCGAGGCGAAGTTGTAACCACCTCAAGTCGCACCTGCCTTGCAAGTTGGTTCTTTCCTTCACTGCCAGGCAAGATGTAGAAGTTATGGACTTCCTCCAGGATTCTCCTGGGGATTCTTCCTCTCCCACACCCACACACAAGGACCTCACAGAATACGACTACTCGTCTGACTCGGACGACATGGCGAGGATCAGAGAGCCAGAAAGCAAGATCGACAAGGATAAACTCCACCCCGACGTCCTCAAGGACCTGGAAGTTCACCAGGGTTTCATGCGTCAAGCAATCAATGTTGCCGAGGAGGCCCTCGCCGGAGGAGAAACCCCTGTCGCATGCGTCCTGGTTTACAAAGGCGAAGTCGTCGCTCGAGGAATGAATGACACCAACCGATCACTCAACGGCACTCGACACGCAGAGTTCCTCGCCATAGCGGTGTTTCTGTCCAAGTTCCCGGCGGCTAAGCTCAAGGAGACTGATCTCTACGTCACGGTCGAACCTTGCATCATGTGTGCCTCGGCGCTGAGACAGTACGGCATTCGATGTGTTTACTATGGATGTGGAAACGATCGATTCGGCGGAAATGGCAGTGTTCTGGCAGTCAATTCTGACAAGGGTCTGGAGGAGGGCTACCCAAGTTATGGAGGGATCTTCAGGAAGGAAGCCATCATGTTGCTCCGTAGGTTCTACATCCAAGAGAACGAGAACGCACCAAATCCTCGAGCAAAGGGTAATCGAGAGTTGAAGCCCGTGGTCTAGCCGTCGCTTGGGAAACAATGGCTGCCAGTATGTGGTGTGCATGGCGAACGGCCTTTGACCTTGCAGGTTCACGGAAGGAGCAAGATAGACGCTTATTGCATCATACGTTGCTGGGGGCCCACCAGCCATGGTTGGCGCCTGCTTGTGCTCATTCTGGCCAAATGCTACTTCCTCAACTTACAAAACCATTCAATGGAGGCAGTCACAGTCTTGCTATGATATCAAATCATCCAGACTGCGACTTGCGTTCTCTGATGTCTACTTGCCATACAGTATTTGCATTATTCCACGGGATCTATATGTGTATCTCTTTTGCTGCTGTTGTGGTTTTCCAGATATATTGCGAGACGTCATAACCTTCGTCCGCTATTGGAGCCGCGCAGGTTGTACGGATGGCCAGCGACACGGTCGAGCCAGAACCCGACATTGTCACCCGTACCTGTGAGATCTGCTTTGAGGCGAAGCCCCAGCTGAACGACTTTCCCGCGTTTTCTCGATGCAAACACCCACCGGCCTCCTGCCGATTGTGCATTCTCAAGCATTTGCGATGGCGCTTGATGTCGTTTCGGGATTGGAGAACATTCACTTGTCCATCCTGTGGACTTCTTACATCTGTGCCTGAGTTGAAGGTGGCGTTAGGAGAAAGAGTGTCTGGGTATATTGACAATTGGATCAAGTATTCAGGCAGCTGGCGGCAAGGTACCTGGCAAGGTTGTCCTGAGATCAACTGCAAGTTCTCGGGCAAGGTCCGCAAGGGATCCAAAGCTAGGCTGAAATGTCCCAAGTGCGGCGCGGAAAGCTGCTTCAATCATCAGGACCTCTGGCACACGTCCATGACTTGCCGTCAATATGACATCCAAATGCCGGCCGAGGAAAAGATGTCTCAGCTGTTCCTGGACAAGAACACAAAACGATGTCCGGAGTGTCATGTACGAGCGTTGAAACCGGAGCATTGCGATACGGGTGTTTGTAAGTTCGGGGTGTCCAGCTTGTGATTAACCGTCAGCTGACAAAGAAAGGTTTGTTTTGTTCGACTTGGTGGAACTAGGAGAATGGCACCGTCTTACGCTACCCTGTGATAGGATCTGGATATCTCAAAGATGCGCTCGCTGATATGTGGGGGACTCCGAAGCGGAAGAGGAGGCGTCGCAGACGCAGAGTCACTGTCGACACTCCTCTACAGCACTTGAAGCCGCAACAGTCAGGAGTCCGGTCGACGTCTTCCAACTCCTCCGAAGAGCCCACTTATACTCCCGAAAGCAGCCCTGGCGGAGAAAGCCCCGTTGACACGGCACCGTACAGCGTACCAAGTGACCCTTATACTTTGACCGGCCTGAGTGCACTGCTACCTGCTCGTATGAGTCGGGCGGAAAAAGCGAAGGGTGCCTTCAATCTTGACGGCATTACGCACTGGATTGAACATCACAGTCGAATAAACGTGGCAAGCTTCCTGAAGAGAGGAGCGGGTTTTCTCCTGGCCGAGGACGGCTATTTCAGAAAACGGAAGCGATTAGGCTGGTGCCTGACGCATCGAAACGTTCAGGTCATCAATGCTCTCAGCAATGGTGGGTTCCACCCCTACGGATCAACAGTGGAACATTGGTTGGACGAGGTCTATCCGGTCAACGGCAGCTGGGGGCTCGAGCCCGGAGAAGGGACTCAATAGAAGCGAGTCACCGTACCGTGGCTTCAAGTTGATGACAACGGCCACTACATATTTAGATTCGATCCGGCTTCGCTCCCTCTCGATGATTCTTCCCCGCCTGGAAGAAGACGACAAGGCCGCAGAGGAGATCAAGTGAGGGCATCAAGCTAGGGTCGCAGCGAGCATTACGGCAGGGTGAAGGCAGTGTATTGCCAATGACGGGCATCAGATCTAGTATTCTAGGGACCTCAGTTTGTATGCAACACTCTTTCGCTCTCTCACTCTCTCACTCTCTCACTCTCTCACTCTCTCACTCCCTTTCCTTCGTCTTCGCACAAGGCGGTAAAAAAAGGGGCTAAGGGGCTGCTTAGTCAGTCGGAATGTCGGTGTCCCAGGCAGCGGCACTACAGAGATACCCGAGTCACTAATACCTCCTGCACTAACCATCTCTGGCCTAAATACGCTGCTAATTCCCCTTATTCACTGCGCAACTGCGCAGCTTTGACCTCCTGCGTTCAGTGCGTTGGAGGCTGTGAATAATTGGGCGCGTTTTCGAGTCCACTCAAGGTCATCACAACACTGGCAGAGCACAGCATCAGAGCATCTACAGAGTATCTGCTTTCTCTTCCTCTCCAGAAACTACACTGCCCTCTCTTCATCTTCCTCCTCAAACGCGGTACCGCGCTTAGACCTTACTGCCTTGTGACACAGTCCCTGTCCTTGTCTCAAAATCATCCCACTGTCCTGCGAAGACTCGGAGCAACTCATCTCCATCCATATTTTGCTCCTCTGTTCGCCGAATCTTCGTGTCGAACACAATACCTCCGTCAACACAGTGACAAGATCTCCCTTCTCGAGTCCTTCGCCCTTACTTACACCACAATGCCTCCTCGAAAGGCCGCTGCTGCTACGGCGACTAAGAAAACAACGAAGACTACCACGGCTACCAAAGCTACCAAAGCGACCACCACGAGCAAAACGACCCAAGCGAAGAAACCCACCAAATCGGCTGCTGCTCCAAAACCGTACCAAGGGGTAGCAGTCATGAAGCCCCCACCCCCTTCGAAGAACCCGGTCCGACCACTCAAGCGCAAAGCCGAAGACGATGTCGAGGACAAACCCAAAGTCAACGGCACTAAAAAGGTCAAGTCTCAGACTGCGGCCACTGCACCAGACCCGCCGAAGCCAAAGGCAGCTGCGGAAAAGACTGCCACTGTCAGGAAGACCAAACCGAAGGCAGAAATCAATCATGCTCCAAGTGAAAAGCTGAACGTCTACGTGTTTGGAGAGGGTTCTTCTGGAGAACTTGGGCTGGGAAGTGCCAAGGGCCAGACTGAAGTGAAAAGACCACGCTACAATCCCAATCTCAGCCCGGACACTGTCGGCGTGGTGAGCCTGTCAGTTGGTGGTATGCATACAGCTGCTCTGACGCACGGCAACCGGATCTTGACCTGGGGCGTCAACGATCAAGGCGCTCTTGGCCGAGACACGACCTGGGATGGTGGCTTGCGCGATCTCGATGACGCTGGCAGTGACAGCGACAGCGACTCTGACAGTGGCTCCGAAACTGCAGTCAACCCCAAGGAATCGACGCCTGGTGAAGTCGACCTCGCTGGCGTGCCTGAAGGAGCTGTCTTTACTCAACTTGCCTGCACCGACAGCGCCACCTTTGCGTTGACCAGCGAAGGGGAAGTTTATGGATGGGGTACCTTCCGGTCGAATGAGGGCATCTTTGGTTTCGACCCTTCGACACTGATTCAACTGCGCCCGAAGCTGATCAAGGGACTCAGGAACATCACCAAACTGGCGGCTGGAGCCAACCATGTTCTTGCGCTCCAAAGTAACGGTATCGTCTACGGATGGGGTTCTGGGCAACAGAATCAACTGGGGCGAAGAATTCTGGAACGGAGAGCAGCCAACAGTTTGATCCCGATGCCTATTGGTCTACCCAAAAAGATTGCCCACATTGGAGCTGGTGCCTACAATTCGTTCGCGGTTCGTGAGAACGGTGATGTCTATTCCTGGGGTCTGAACAACTTTGGTCAAACTGGTATACCTAAAGAATTTGATGAGACCGGAGCCAGCAAGAGTGCCGATGTCCATCATCCTATTGTCATTGAGACACTGAAGGGCAAAGGTCAGGTCATCTGTATCCAAGGTGGAGCCCATCATACTGTCGCCGTGACCGACAAAGGCGAGCTTTTGGTCTGGGGCCGACTTGATGGCAACCAACTCGGCCTGAAAGTCTCGGATCTGCCGCCGGACGATGTCGTACGCGACTCGGCCGGTCATCCTCGCATCCTTACGGTGCCGACGCAAATCCCTGACATCAATGCCGTCCATGCTGCGGCTGGATCCGACCACTGCATTGCCATTGACAAGAATGGCAAGGCATATTCGTGGGGCTTCAGCACCACCTACCAGACTGGTCAAGGGACAGACGAAGATATCGAGGTTGCAACCCTTATTGACAACACGGCGGTCAGAGACAAGAAGCTTGTTTGGGCCGGAGCAGGTGGCCAATTCAGCGTGATTGCGGGACTTCCGACCCCGGTGGTCAATGGTGTCAATGGACATGCGTAAGTCAGGCGCACAGGAACGGTTCTTTAGATGGAAGGGGAGAACGTGCGAGACGAAAAGGGGAGTGCAGGGCTGGAGACCGACTTCAACCATTATTCTGGAAAAGCGAAAAAGTCTAGACTTGCGTGCTTCCCTTCCAGGAGCCGACGAGTTGCAAAAGCTTTGTTTGAGCAAGGATTACAATCTGTACAACCATAATTCTTGATGGGGGTAAACGGTTCATCTTTGAGTTTGGCTGGCATTGGGTGTCGACAACAAGGGAGTTGCAGACGGGACCCGGTTGAGTCGAATAGCTAGCTGTCCTGGAGCTGTGGGAGGGAAAGGGACGTTCAGACCGTGGGTTTTGGGGATGCGATGATCTTGCGATGCTCATGCCAGGTTGATGCAGGGATGGATGGCAGGATGGCAGGATGGCTCGGTTGGATTTGTATCTTAAGCAAAGCTGCAGCACTGCAGTTCTGGTAGTCAATGAGGCTGAGATGCGTTTATCCCGCCCGCCATACTCAGAAGGCTTGCGAGACACTGGCATTGCAAAGGAATAGAGACGGAGTCACAGTCTGACTGGGGAGTGCTTAAAGCGGCACCGTCAGAGGTGAGTCGCACGTGAGCTCGAGGCCGACTTTACTGTCTTCTTCTGCCAAACTCGAACTACCTTATTGATACCTTTGTCGTAAGATGGCCCCGATATCTGCCATTGAACACATTGCAAACCCATTGGTGACCTCCAAGCAACTCATCAACCTCAAAAACTCCGAAGACGACAATGGCCAGTCCGTCCGATTTGCGCAAGCTCAACTCACCTCGGCGGCGGGCATACTGCTGCGTCTGTCGCAAGAAGTGATTGCGCAAGCCATAGTCCTTCTCCAGCGCTTCTCTGTGTCGAGCAGACCCCAAGACCGCGACGCGTTCAAGCCCAAGACTCTCTCTGCGGCATCGATCTATCTCGCTGCCAAGCTCTCCGCGACTCCAGTCTCTCCTCGATCTGTGGTCAATGTGTACGCCTATTTGACCTCGAAAGCGTCGCCTCTCCAATTCATCAATCCCCACGGAGTGCGTACAAATCCCGATCCGCAAGACTACTTCGTCACGGAAGGGACATATGAAAGAGAAAGACAAAGATTGTTTGTTTGTGAGAGCGTGGTACTGGCCGGCATAGGGTTTGATACTCGGGTCGCTTTACCTTACAGTCTGGCTCTCACATACATTCAGGCGTTGGGCGTATCGTCTACGGAGCTGGCGAGGAGGGTCATTGAACATCTCAATGCAGGGTTGCTCTCCCCTCAACTGCTGTACCTTAGCCACCAACCTAACGCTCTGGCCGTGGCAGCCATCTACCTGGCAGCAAGGGAGATAGGCGTCAAGCTCGTCGAACAGAACTGGTGGGAAGTCTTTGACGTCGACCGAGAGGACCTTGGCTTCCTCGTGCTGGCATATGGAAGTCTCGCGAATTTTGCAGAGGCCGAATTGAAGAAGTGGAAAGCCACGGCTTTGTCGTTAGGTTGAGAACGCCGGCCTGACGTTATCGCTACAACATGGCGCGATAACCACATGCAGTTGTCGCCGAACAGCTTCCGGATCAGTATCTCCCAGCAACGAGCAGCATCTACTCTCTGATACGGGCTGCTGGGTTGGACATATTGAGCAAACGAAGATCGACTCCCAGCACCATCAGTCTATGCTCACCGGGCCTGAGCCTGGCCCTGGCGGCGTGTGCATGAATTTGTTCTGCTGGGTGGTTGAGTACTGTCCCATCAGCTACGGTGAGAATCTCGATAGTCAATCGCTGATTAGGAGCGTGGCTGCTCGCAGCATATCGTGGTCATGATCACATCTGCAAGCCGAGAGCTTCAAGAATGTTGTACGATGTTGCGCAGGGGCGAGGGAATAGGCAATCCTCGACCCTCAACTGCCTCGTCGCATGGATGGATGCGTGTGTCTCGAACAGCCCGTGGTCGTACTTGTGCGCTCAATGGTATTCCCAGCTACCATCATAGCTGTTCGAGTGATCGTTGCAGCTCCCGGCTCTTGAACCCGTTGCAACTCTTGAATCCGTTGCAAGAATCCATCCTATGGACCGACCCTTGATTGTGCCTGTGTCCCGATCTTCAAGTTCTGCCTGTTCGCTGCTGTTGAACCGTGGGACTAACTGGGTGTAGATGCGGCAAGTCGAGGAGGGCAGTATTTCGAAGGCGTGAGACACAGGAGCATTTGTAGTCTTGTAGTCGTGTACTCGATGTAAAATCAAGATATCTCGTATCGAGAAGACCAACTGGTTGAGTTGAGTTGCACCGCCACACGAAGCATCCATGCAACCGATAAACGAGTCGAAGCAGAATCCCGAATCCCTGCCACCAAACGTCATCAAAACAGGTTTCCCAACATGCACACCGTCCATCAGCCAAACACGAGGATTTCTATTGTGTGCTTCTCGACATCAACTGTGCAGTCTGCATCTCCAGCTTTTATATTGTCTGCCCCCAATTGAAAAGGAACAAGCGCGCGCGAATAGTTGCGAAGAATGCAACGGACGATTGAGACCGACACAGCCTCAGCGAGAGACCAACAACACGATCAGACGAACAGGCTTTACAGGCTTAACTATCGCCTCATCTAACTCCGACTCCGTAGATTCATCTACGCTTTTTGAGGACGAGTGGCTTCAAGTTGCCGCTCCTGTTCAAGCACGCCTCTGCGCCCATTTGGTTCACTTGCCACCTCCCGAATCGAAACACATATAACGTCCTGTTCCACAACCAAGCCACCAAGTACACCAGAACCATTGCGTGTGCCTGACCTGACGACTAAGACCCTCAAAGATGAGCGCAGACAAAGTAACCTCGCTCGCCGGCGGCCTGAGCGGGTCGGGACTGGGCAGCCTGACAGGTGCTCTCCAAGGCGGCGTCAACAACCTGGTCAACATGGGCAGCGGATGGCTCGACAAGTTCTTCCCGCCGGAAAAGCGTGAGGAGTGGAAAGCATGGTTGACGAAATTCGCCACGGAGAAGCCGTATCTCGCATCGTTCCTACTGTCACAGATCGCATTGAGCGGGCTGCCGCTGGCATTGTTCGCCTTCATGACGGTCACGGTGTTCATCTTCGCGCTGCTCGCGGGTATCCTGATCGGCGTACTGGGTGCGCTACTGTTCGTCGTCGCCGCGGTGGGCTTCGCGCTGTTGATTCTCCTACCCATCCTGTTCTTCACGACGGGTGCGGCCGTGTTCATCTGGCTGTGGGGCGTCGGCGCGTATTATATCGTCAAATGGTTCAACCAGAAGGACGTCCCGGGGATTCATACCGATGCTGCGGGTGGACTGGCTAAGGCGACCGGCCTGAGCGATTTGCCTGGCATCAATGGGACTCCCTTGGGCGGTGGAGGAGAGAATGGTAGCACCAGCGCCAGTGCCAGCGGAGACGAGGCACATCCTTCCCAGCACCAGCAACACGCGAACAACTCCAATTCCAAGGGCCAACGTACACCGGCTAAGTTGGACAAGAAAGGTACCGGTACCGGAACTACTACCGGAGCTCAGCAGCATCATCATGACGCAAAAGAACCGAACTCGCACACCAATGCACATCAGAGGAAGCAGGTGAATCGCCCTTCCTCGACCGGTCCTGCGTCTAAAGTGACGGACACTGTCGATGGCGCTGGAAAGACAGCTAATGGGACTGTTGGAGATGCAAGGAAGGTCGTTGGTATCTGAGATGGGAGGGCAAACTGCGGTTCCGGCGATCCTGGAGATTGACACCAGACGTCATGAGACATGAGCGTTCATATATGCTCAAAAAGAGCGAAGTCCACGGACGATGGGGCAAAGGGAGAAGCAACCTGAAGGCTTGAGGGAGTTCAAAGCATGAGCATCACGACCTGTGGCATCACAGCAATTTGTATCATCACCAAACTGTCTATTGCGAAGCTTGCGTGGGTCTGATTTTTGCAAAGCATGGCAAGCGTGGAAGACGAGAAACTGCGCATTCGAGGTTGGATGCTATATTTGTACCATGGCCATGTGGAAGGACGTTCACCTATGTGACCTCTTCCAACGGACCACCGGCTGTTCACAAAATTCAAACGCCCAGTAAACCCCGCATATCGTTCTGCGTCTTCATGTGCCGTCATAAGCCATACTTCGTTCTTGAAAACGGATGCTCTGCCTGCGTATCCACCATCTGCAGTAAAGCAAAGCCTGTGCCACAAGGAATCAGACACCCATGGTGAAGTCATGCTCGATGCCGGGCGTGACACTGGCCATAAACTTCAAGAACACAACCAAGTACTGGTCGACTCGGATGGCCACCTTGTCAGTCTCGTCGTCTTTACCAGCATCTTGCTCGTCCAACACTTCCCACTCGTCACCACCAGCACCGCCAGTGGCAGCTTTGACGCCTGCCTCATGACCACGCTTCTCTTCTTTTCGTTTGTCTCCGACACTCAATTTGGCCGTGTCGTCGATGAGACCTTCCATGCCAGAGACAGTGTCGGTTGTGGCTTCGCCGGCTGACTGTTTCTGCAGACGCAGTTTCAACGCTGCGTCGGCACGGTCAAGCAGGATCTTCATGACACTGGCGTGCTTGCAAGGATGGATCGAGGCCATTTTGACACTGGTGTCGAAGAAGGGGAAATCTTCTAACGTCACGGTCTTGTCTTTGTAGTCGCCAACGATATCTTCCATCATCAGGACTGGAGGAAGTGGTTCCGAGGCCGAGAGGTATCCGGAAAGATACATTCGAGGCGTGCGGTAGTAGGGCGTGTACGTGATATAGAGGGTGTAAGTTCGCAGAGGCCTATGCAAATCTCCGTCAGTAACTTCGAGGGTAGTAGATGGGGTCATGAAATATGTGAAACTCACGCCGAAGTGCCTTCGCTTTTGTCTCGGATAATGGCCTCGTTGTCATCATCCTCATCCTCCATGTCTGGAATCTCTTCTTCGTCTTCTTCGTCTTCAATGGCCTTCTTGCCCAACTGCCCGCTCTCACTCATCGTGCGAACCTCTCCTCTCAGCCCTTCCTGCTCCTTCTCTGTCGTTCCTCCTGTCCTCAGCCAGCCCTCGTCGTCTCCAGCGGTCTCGTTCTCCGGACCGCCCAGGAATCCATCCCTGACGAGATCGTCCGCTGCACCGTTCCCGCCGGCAAAGTTCTCATCTAGACGTCGGTGACAAGGGACGCCACGCGTGACGAGGAACTGTTTACCGGCTGGTAGGTAGTTCACGCGTCGCGCTGGGCTGGATGCGTCCGACCAGGACCAGGAGGGAAACTTGTAGACGAGGTAGTCTCCCGCGAGCAGGAACTCTTCAGGGGTGATTTGGCCGGTAGATCGAAAGGTCGACGTGTGTGTGATAGGCGCGTATCTGTCACGAACTTTATCAAGGGCGGAATGTAGGAGGTTCATCTTGCAATACAATAGAGCCGGGTGGGGTCGGGATAGACTTGGAAGTGAGTGTTGGGAGGTTGGAAGGTGTAACGGCTGTATTCCCGGCAGAGGCAGATGTGAGGTTTCTTGCCGCACAGGCTGTTGGGCTTCTAGTCGGTGGGAAATATGTACCTAGGTACGTAGTGATGTTCTCGAAGAGGATTGTTGAAGTCACGGGAGACTTGAGTGCAGGCTGCACTCGAGTTGTTTGTACAGAGTACACGGCGTGACTCGAGGCTGCGGGCAGCGACACGGCACTGCAGGCGAGAGATGACGACTGTTTGCAGCGTTTGTACGCCCCCGCCGCTGCCTGGCATGTCAGCCTTGTCCTTATCGGTCTGCTATAGTATTCCACCTGCTTCGCCGTACTCACAGCCTCATCGGACTGACTTGACACACGAACTCTGTACTACTGGTTGAAGCACGGGATGAAAGATGGGATCAGGTTGAACTTGCAGCCTGTTCAAGATGTATGATATGCGTATTCTGCTTTTCGGAGTGGGATCTGTACTCCTCACCTATCACTCTTGATACCGCAAGATGGAGATGTTAGATGCACAATTCAACACTCTATCTAGGTGCTTGGATAAAACGCGCCCAGTCAGTCCACACTACTCGTCATCTGATATCCCAGAAATCAGAAACAACGATCCAGTAAACGAACGCCGGGAGCAGCCACTTTGCGATCCTCCATAGTTCATGACAGCAACACGGCGCCAACAGACGGAGGCTGAGGGTCGGTTGTGGGATTGGCCATGATTGATTTCAACCAGCAATTCCCGTGGCCCTGCTGGTCCGACTTCTCAAGGTTGGCATTGAACACAACTCCATGACACTGTGTATCCCCGGAAACTGTGTTGATACTGGAGCACGCGTCAATACAATCGTCGAGGCTGTAAGCAATAAAGTTGAGCAAGTCGTTGTCAGGATAGTTGATATTGCAATTGAGCTGGTACTGTTCGTCGGACCTGGAAGTAATCGTGGCTTGTTCAGCGCAATCAAGGGCGGTAGTGTTGACCTGATCCGGCAGTAGAGGAGAGTAATTGTTGACCAAGCCAGTTTGGGTCGTGGGGGCTGATGAGACGGTGTTGGTCACTGTCGCGGTGACTGTGGTAGTCGCCGGTGTATTCGAACTAGCTTCGATCAGAGACGCTTCATGCTCCCACCTCGACAGACTTACTCGGAGTGCTTGTGGCTTGTAACAACCCCGCCGAGGGCACCTCCAAAGGCTGCACCACATATCAACAAGGTCACCCCGGCCACAACCAAGGTATATGCCAGGACCGACAGTCGCCACGGCAAGCGGGAAGCAGAAGGCTGGGGTTCGCCTGGTTGAGAATCGACAGGTTCATAGGGGTATGCAGCCGTCATAACCTTGTCCGGAGCGACCATCTTATCATGACCGCCAGAGAAATATGACTTCTCATGAGGTCTGTCGTCAATCTGAAGCCCGTCCATCTGAGGTGTGGTGTGGGAGGAGCATTCCAACAGAAGAAGTGAGGACGTCGATCCAAGTATGGAGAAAGATGCCTTCTTTTGTAGGGAGAAGGCCGTCGGGGTCTATATGATAAGCTCCACGCTTAAGGCGCCCGCTGGTTGAGGAGCCAATGCCATCATTATTGCAGACTTTGCAGTCTGGGGCCGTAGGGTGGACATCGTTAGGATGAGGCGCCTAACGAGACCATGTGAGACCCATAGAGATATTCACGGTCGAACAAGATTTGCCGGGCCCGAAGGAACGGTCTTGCTGCTTGGAGAAGGGCTGGGTCGACTTGTCGCAACATAGGATGGTCATTTTTGTAACGGGATGTGGATAGGTACTCTGTACAAGTGGTGCTGTGCTTATGAATGACTCCATATATAGCTCCTAGGATTTGGAGGTGTCTCCATATGTATTTCTGTACACCTAAACGTGATCACTCTGCAACGACTCACTAGTTTTATGCGATCAAGGTGGTCTGGTGGTGTCCCTTGCATTATCGCATTCTTCGTAGCACTCTCTTTTCCACATGTAGTCAGCCGCGACGAGACTTGAGAATTAGTTGTCCAGGAGGGAAGCGCACCGGCGAAGGTAGGCGGCGCAAACTCTACCTTGTGCGAAAGGTTTTCCCTCTGGCTGTAGAGGACAGCTCGATGCTTCAGGCCACCCGTCGCTGCTCTTGCGGACGCGCCGTTTTGTTTCAGACCCATATAGCGCCGTCAGCCTCGCAGGGCTTGCTGTTTGTGTCCTCGCATTAACGCGACTATGACGGTTTCAATACTCCGCCGTTTCGGCGATGACCGTCGAGTACGGTGAACCAGAATATCTCTTGGCATCGTCCAGGTGCAATTTTGAACTTTAGTTGCAGGCCCGAAGATCGCTGGCCGCAACGCGAGAACGGCAAATCCATAGGACGCTCCAGCGGGTTCTCCGACCAAGCAAAAGTCGAGACTATCTGCAAGACTTGTCATCCGGCAACCATGGACGAACCTCCTATGAAACGGCCCAGACGAGCCGACAGTGCTGCAATGTGGGACAAGGACGAAAAGCCGGATCCACGTCTGAGTTCAAGCGGCAGAGACAAGCCTCGGGCGCAGTATGGCGAAGACAGAGAAGGTGGCCGACTCTCTAGACATGATGATGGTCGCCGGAAACGATCCAGGTCTCGCGATAATCATGAGAGGAGAAATGAGCGTGATCGTGACAGAGAGAGGGGTCCGAGAGACCGTGACGCCAATGGAGGCATTCGGCGTGACAGAAGCCGGAGCCGCAATAGACAGAGGGCGCCACGAGGTACGTGGGAATCTGCAAGAGACAAGGTCATGGACTCACGCGGCACAGATTCTCGCAATGAACGCTCGAATCGGCGGTCACGCTCACGCTCTCCATACAAGAACGGTGGTAACACCTCTGTGCGGACGCGCTCTCCCCCTCGGCGGGCAGACCACAATCGGCCACGGTCAAGAGAACGAACTGGTCTGGGAGGAGACTCTGCGCAGCCAAAACCCAGAGCTGAAGCCGCCGACAAAGAAACCCCAGACGTCAACGGTGACCGTATGGCGGTCGATGAGGAAGACGAAGAAGCACTTTTGCGGAAGCTGATGGGGTTCACCACATTCAAGACTACACAAAATACGAAAGTCCCCGGGAACCAGATTTACGGTGTCAGAAGGGAGAAGAAGATCGAGTACCGACAGTACATGAATCGTGTTGGAGGCTTCAACAGACCCTTGAGCCCTTCGAGGTGATTGTGGCGGCTCTGCTTTTGAATTACTAGTCAACCAGCTGGTTCTCGAAAATCCTTCCAGGGAATACCCAGAATGCACCTTTGGTCGACAAGGACCAGAAAATCAACGGATTCGATACTGTTTGACTGCACAATCAGCCTTTTCACTAGGCGCGAGGAATGGCGGACAGCAGCTTCCCCTACCCTGGCCAAGGAGATTCCAACAACCAAAGGACAATTCGCATTGACATCCCGGTTCTTCGACCAGCAGCAGATACTCTGGCGTGAGCGCGGACAATGCAGGCGTAAATGTCGCATTTGGGTTTGCACCACTGGGTGATGAACACGGCCATGCGAAAAGGATCAAGCAAAAACAAATGCCCCAGTCTGGGCTCAACGTTCGGAAACTGGATGTGGAGATCCATCCGCAAGCTCGCCTCGAAACCTCATGGCCACGGTTGAAGCGTCGCGTCCATGGTGGCCGCCCTCTACTTGCACTAGCAATGGCTATCCTGGTTGCATATTCGTTACATTCCTCGGAGCCGCTTGAAAGGCCCGCCCACTTGCCGAAGAGGAGGTTGACTCTTCGAAGGTGAGGCAGATGTCTGCCCCAACCATCTGCGATTGAATTGACCAAGAACAACATCACATGAACGTACACAGACGACGAGCCGACCCTTCCTTCGATTGATGGGAACACGAAGGTCGAAACTGATCACAAGAGCCCTAAACACTCGACTTGGACGGTCAGAGACCACGACGGGCTCTGTTTTTCATCAACTCGTTATCCGTCTTGCGGGCGACCAAGTATTATTCCTTCTGCACCTCCGCCGCAAGTTGTCGCCGCGTCTGAGGTGCGAATTTCTCGTCGCAAAACAGCGAAAGTGGTTGGTCATGGTGGACATGTTCCAACAATTGGGAAAGCAATCTTCGAGATTGGGGCAGAATTTACTTCATATCAACAAAGAAATTCAGACGGGAGCTTGTGCCATGCAGAGGTCAAGAAGCAGCCCGCCTCAGATATATTGGCACATCCCAGCAAATCGAGACAGAAGACATTAATCTTGAATCAGGGTTGAGAGATGAATCAAATTGAACATCTCTCAATATTCAAATCACAATCTTGCATGATCTTCAGTAGGAGCACGCTTCTCCAGTGCCCTCTCGACGTCCGCTTCTCACCTCTTGCCCCAGCAAATATGATTGCTGGGAGAACCCGCTAGCCTCATCAAGGAGCGTGATGGTGGTATGGAGCATAGTATACCCAGTATACAATACGTGGGTAGTGAATTAGCTAAGGACCAAACGCCGGTAAGAGGGAAGTAGTCGACCTGACAGGAGAAGACCCGAAATTTGAGAGATGGTAGAACTACCGTGGCCTCAATTTGGTATGAGACAAACACCGTGGCCTTAGTAGTAGACCAAAGCATTCCCCTCAACTGGGAAATCTACATATACGATCAGGAAACCAACCATGCCACACATGATGGTCAGGCCGTCAACATATACCTACACGGTGGTGATTACTGACCACTATCACTCTTCAAGGTCTCCTGCACCTCCACAACCACCTCTACTATATCCCGACGACGATGCCTTTGACAACTTCCAACGTCCTGCTGCTCCTTCTTGTGCCGGTGGTCTTCGTCTGGACCAGCCGTACCTACCACCTGATCGTCAACTACCTGGCCGCACGCAAGTTGGGCATTCCCACCGTGGTCATCCCAGTCTCATGGCAAGACACGTGGTGGGTTTTGATCTGGGGAAACTTCCGCTGGCTGCGACATGCACCCCTGATCGGGCACTGGATAGATTTCGGGCATCATAACTGGGCGCAGGAATTGCGCTGGCGACCTCACCGAACCTACGGCGACGCGTTTGTCGTCGTGTCGCCCAAGAAGAACGAGATCATGATCAACGACCCGACGGCCGGCGTGGAGCTGCAGACGCACTACAAGGCCTGGATCAAGCCGCAGCCACTATACAGCATCTTCGAGACATTCGGCAAGAACGTGCTCAGCGTCAACGGCGAGGACTGGCAGCGCCACCGCAAGATCGTCAACCCGGCCTTTCGCGAACAGAACAACAGACTGGTCTGGGAGGAGTCGCTCAAGCAGGCCAGACAGATGCTACAGGTGGCCAGCGGTCGGCCAGGTGCGTCGCAGACCCTTCTCGACGTGCGTCACGACTGCGTTCTCATCGCCCTGCATGTCCTTTCCGCGGCTGGCTTCGGGCATGCCCATGACTTTGACGGTGGCTTGCGTGTCATCCCGCCGGGTCATACCAGGAGCTTGGCCGAGGCGTTGATGTTCCTGCTCCAGAAGATCCTGCTCGTGCTGTTGAGCACGAAATTCCGCGTCTTTGGTTGGATCATGCCACGCAAACACAAGGAGGTCACAGAAGTTGTGCAGGAATTCCGCCAGTATATGAGAGAGATTGTCGCTTACAATCGCGCCACAACGCAGGGCGGCGGTGGTGGCAAGGCCGCCGATATCGTCAGTGCCTTGGTCGAGGCTGATGAGGCTGCGAAGCGAGAAGAAAAGACTGCCGGGTTGGGCATGGGTGCCAAACCAATGTATCTCAGCGACGAGGAGCTCTTGGGCAATCTGTATGTTTTCAACCTGGCCGGGTTCGAAACCACCGCGAACGCCTTGACCTATACCTTCCCCTTTCTCGCTGCCAATCGAGAAGTGCAGGATTGGGCAGGCCAGGAGGTCGATGCGGTGCTGCAAGGGACCGATGCTCCGGATTATGAACGGGTCTTCCCGTCGCTGGTCAGATGTCTTGCGCTGATGGTAGGTTCAATCTCGGAACTTTGACCACGTATCCTCCGATTAACGCCTCCTGCAGTACGAAACTCTACGCCTCTGGGGACCCGTGCCAGACAGCACTCGCTGGTGTGCCGGAGACTTCCAGACTCTACGGGTCAAAGACCACGAAATGATCATCCCGGCCGAGACGTACGTGTCGACGAACTTCTATGGCCTGCACAGTGACCCGCGCTGGTGGGGAGCTGACAGTCTCGAATGGCGGCCTCAACGCTGGATCCAGACCGACCGCAAGACCGGCAAGGAGTCTATCGCCCCGCCTCCTCCAGGCGCCGCCTTCATGCCGTGGAGCACGGGGCCTCGCGTCTGTCCCGGCCGCAAATTCAGCCAGGTGGAGTTTGTCGCGGTGATCTCGTCATTGCTGCAGGACTACCGACTTGAGCCATTGGTGATCTGGGGCAGGATGCAGACGAAAGAGCAGGCAAGACAAGCACTCCTGGACGTGGTGGAGGATTCGCACAACGTCATCACTCCTAAGATGAGACGACCTGGAGACGCGGGAGTCGTGTTCATCAAGCGGTGACACGCCCCGCAAGCGCATTGAACCCCGTCTTCGGGTGTGCAAGCGAAGAAGGAGTCCTCATTGCCTCCTCCTACCAATCGACACGTACAACGCATGACCATCCCACAGCTTCCCGTCTTGAGTGAGATGCTGTTCCCAGATCGTCGGCCACACCTGTCTGGCCTTCTCCAGGAGGGCATCATCCTCCATGACCCATTCAAAGGTAGTCCGTGATTGCTCCTCGAAAGCTTTCATCGCCTCGTCCGCCTCCCACCAGCGTTGGGGAACGTAACTCCTCGTCCGGAACGACTTGGCCACCTCCAATCCTGCATTCTCATACAGCTCCTCCAGGGAATGGACATTGCGCACCCACTCCCGGTCGAAGATGAATGGCTTGCCCATTGCACGTCGCAATGGGCCAGTGGAAAGATACTGGAGGGTATGGTCCTCAGTGGGCACATCGATGATGATCTTCCCCGTGCCAGGTTTGAGATAATTCGCCCAGCGTTGGATGTTTTGGCCTGGGTCTGGGAGCAGAACGAGGGCGGAACAGCATGAGATGACATCGAATCCACCTCGGTGGGTGACAACTTCTTGGATGGCGGCAAGTCCAGACAAGTCTGTGATGTCGGCCAGTACCCATTGCACTTGCCCGCCGTCCCGTGGACGTGTCTTGCGTCTTGCTTCGTCGAGCATCGCCGCTGTGACGTCCATTCCCACGACAACTCCATCGGGGCCGACGGCTTCGGCCTGGGCAAGAGTCACCAGCCCAGTTCCGCATGCCAGATCCAGCACTGCACCACCTTTTGGGGGAGGAAGCCAGGCCACGAAGTCATGGGCCAGTTCGGCATGCCAGCCACCATTGGCCGCGTCGTAGTTCGCGGCTCGTGGTGTGTATTGTTTGATAGTTTCAGAGATGAAGGTGTCGGATGGAGTGGATGATGACATGGTTCGCGAGATAGACAGTAGACCTTATGGGCATATTATTGCTAAGGCGCCAAAATCTGCTCAGATCTCGATCGCAAATTCTCCAAGAGTTTACAACCTGCAGTAAGACAATCTGCCATATCTATATACTGGTGGCACAAGAGGTTGTCAAACTTCTGTTCTTCCATCTATGAGATGGTAGAATAACGTGATTAATGTTAAATCTTGTATAGTCAAAAGTGTTGGCATCTACTATCAATTGCAGTATGAGCAGAGTTGTCTAGGACAGCGAACAGTTTCGCCAAGATATTTAGTGACAGTACTGAATGCCGAATTGGGCAAGGTGTACTACCGCTATCTATATCCACTCCACACGACTCTAATACCACAATATATAGAAAACCTCCAAAATTTGTCCCAAAAACGAGCCGTCCTTCCGGCGCTCGACCCGTCTGGATGGTCTAGTTGGTTATGACATCGGTCTCATAGACTCTACTATGATCTTGCGCGTTAAACGTAAGAAGTTATCCGAGGGCCGCGAGTTCGAATCTCGCTCTGGACAGATATACTTTCAGAATTACCTTCACTGTTTGCCTTTTTGGTTTTTTAGGTGGTCCTTACGAGCCGGGATGGGGACCCGTCTTTGTTTTTGTGCGTTTGGTTGTTGAAGTTCTGTGGCTGAAGGCTTAGTAAGTGCCGAGCAACGCTCGTGGAGTACAGTGGGGGACGACCACCGAAGTTGTCGAGCACGATGCGGTGATGTGACGCTTCGTCTCTCTCCTTCAATGGCCGAGAATGGCACCGTAAGTCGATTGGTGCCCTTGCCCGTCATGTCTGATACGATTTATATCTAAATCATACAGGTCAGCTGCAAAGGACTAGGTAGCTAAGCTAAAGCTAAAGAAAAGCCATTTCCAGCACGAGCCTGGCGCCGAAGAGCCCCCGGATGCCGCCACGATTGTAAAACGCAGCCGTGCGAATGATTCCGACCAGAACTCCATGCAATCGTACCACCATTTGATGCTTCAGATCTGTGGCCCCAGGGGCCTCCAGCAGTCTAGATCCGCTACTTGGTCGCATGTCAGAAAGGCATGCTTTCGTCTCGGCAACAGATCCATCGCCTCGGTCGCACCAAGACATGCTTTACAACATGAGACCATTGAGCTGCCGATGGGTGTCAGCGGCCACATCAGGCTTGAGTATGCGCAAAATGACTAGCTGGTTGTCGAGTCCAGTGGGCTGATTGTATGAGGTGAACAGTGTGATCTCTCCTCATCCGTCCACGATTAAGCCAGAGGAGCCACGGAACTTACTGGTCTACCTCCCACCCGGACCTTCAATTGGCCATGACAGTACAAGCACGCCCTCAGTACAGAGACTGGCATGTTTCCAGGCCTTCCTTCCTCCCACAACCTCGCATGTTGTCATAAACTACCGGCTGGGGCTAAACGAGGATTCGAGCGAAATCACACGTTTCCCCGTCCCTATCCACGACGTGTCGACCGCGTTTGAGTTTTTAACCTCCTCAACATCGCCCTTCAACCGCGGTCAAGACCGTGCGCCCCGAATATGCCTTGTTGGGAGCCACATTGGCGGAGCTCTGGCGACCATGCTGGCACTGACGGAGCCAAACAGTGTCCATGCCCTTGCTGCAATTGAGCCCATGGTCGATTGGGTCGGACTGGACGAGTTGGTGGAACAATTGCTTGCCGCGGAGTCTCGGAAGAGGCATATCCAGAAAACGGCAGCACGGTATGGGGTGGACAATCCTTCCGTGCTCGCCGCGGCGGAGGAGCTGATCAAACTACGGGCGAAACTGTTCGGCACCCCATCGTCTTATTTCGATCCGTTTGCAAGTCCGACGTTGTTTTTACGAGCACCAGGACGGGATACACCGTGGAGCACGACAGTAGGTGACCGCCTGGTAAGCGAGATGGGACTCGACGAGAACGACGGCGGCTCTGACAATGAGAGCAATGGGAATCAGTCCAGTGACACCATGTCACAGCCATATGCTTCGTCGACCGCCTCCACCACAAGCAGTGAAACGGTTGAAGCGGCTTTAGTGACCGACAATCAAGCAATTTCCTCAAAGGACACAGAGTCATCACCACGGAGACGTAAAGTCCTCCGCCGCTGGCCGGCCATCGGCAATCCGGACTCGGTGCTCCTCCCTCACGTTAAGGTGATTGTGCGAGGCCAGTTAACCGCTACTCCTGTTACTACTCCTCTTCCGTCTGATCGCAAGGCAGTAAGCATTGGCCTCGGCCTGGCGGCGTTGAAGCATGCGCAAGGCATCGAGCTCGCGGAGCTGATGCGCAGAGCGTGTTTTCTCGGGCGAGAGCGAGGTTTTGCGGAGGAGAGGGTCTCACTACATGAAGAGAAAGACGCCACGAACAGTGACCTCCCACACGATAGTACCGAGTGGGCAAAATTGTCCGTGCTGGGCAACTTGGATCCAAGGAAAGAGGTGGCTCCAGATCTACGGTCAACTGCCGTCAACTGGCTGCATGGGATGTTCCAACAAGAATAAGGTATCAGACGGTCAATGCTGGAAGTCCAATTCAGAATTCCTGCCATCTACCACGAAGCTCTGACCCTCTATTTCCTCTGTTACTTTGCTCATTCCTCCAGCTCGATCTTCAGATTCCGGGACCGGGTTCCTTCTTTATCTTCATCAGCTGCGCCCGATTCCGCCCGTGACCGCTGCCTCTCGAGGTCGCTCCGGAGACTGTCCAGAAACCGGGCCGCCTGGGCCGAGTACTTGCATTTCCGCCGGATGGCCTCGCCATACTTGTAGAAGAAGATGGGAAACGGGAAACAGGCGAGGGCGATGAAGCCTGGGACGGCGGAGGCCCAATGGATGCCGAGATTGCGGTACATGTAAGTGGTGAAGAGAGGGAAGATGGCGCCAAACGCTGACCGCAGGATCGAGTTTGCGGCCATGACAGAGGCGGCGTAGATGACGTACGAATCAATGCTGCCGACGAGAAGAGAAAATGCGTCAATGTCTCTCGAGAATCATTACCCAGGGGGAGAAGAAAAACACAAAGTCAAAGAAGTGTCAACTCACAGGTAATTCGCACAGGCCATGAAAATCAGCAGGAAGCCCGTCCCAAAAGGCACGCCCGCCAAAATCGGCACGATCCAATGCACGCTCGGGGACGTGGTTGCGGCGAACCAGGCGAGCCCGACGATGGCGAACACTCCGCCCAGGATGACCGGAGGCAGCCGAGACTCTGGCGGCGCGAAGCCGCCGGTTGCCTTGTGCAGCCGGAGGTAGCGTTTGTTGTCGTAGACGATGATGGCGATGCCGATGAACAGCCCGACCATCATTCCGAGAAAGGCCAGGCCGCCTACGCCGGCATTCCAGCCGCGACCTTCTTGAAAGACGATGGGGAAGGCGGCAAAGCAGAGGTACAGAGTGCCGTAGATGACGGCCATATAGATCTGTCGGGAAGAAGCAAAAGTCAGCCTTTCATTCCATGCATGTGCGACTTCCGCGTGGGCTCTGTTTCTTTTCTTTTTCATTCGAGGGCCGACGTCCTTGGCCAGTCATGTTGGAGCCAAACAGCGACTGGGGTCCTCCTCCATCAACTTACAGTGAGAAGCAAGACCACGGGTTCCCGAAACAGCAAGGCCCAAGGAAGAGCCAACGATTTCCGCACGACCTCGTGCAAGTCCAGCGGATGTTCCAGGTCGATGCGAGTCATGTAGGATTTGCCGGTGACTTTGGACAACAGCTGCGCGCGTTTGCGCAGCAACACGGGGGCATATGTTTCCGGCACGAAGACCATGCCCAAAACAGTCAGCGCCGCAGCATACAGGGCCAGCAGACCAAACACCCAGCGCCAGCCGGCGGCGTCGCTCAAGAAGCCTCCCACGACGGGCCCCAGCGACGGGCCCAGGAACGGCGCGGCGGAAAACGCAGCCATGGCGACGCCTCGCTGGTCGGCCTCCCACAGATCGGCGATCTGGCCGCCGGGAATGACGAAGACGGCGGAGCCGATGGTGCCGCAGAAGAAGCGGAAGACGATCAAGGTGGCGATGTTCTGGGCCGCCGCACACACGGCCGTCCAGAGGATGTAGAACAACAAGCTGACCAGCACGATGTGCCGTCTCCCCACGGCCTCGGACAGCGGCGCCCACACCAGCGGGCCCACGGCGAAGCCGAGCACCATGAAACTCAGGCCGAGCAGAAACACCTCTTCGCTGCAGTGGAAGTCGTGGATGACGTGCTTCGCCGCGCCCGTGTACGCGCTCGAGGCCAGCGACACGCACAGCGTCATGAACGCGACCAGGCCCGTGATGCCGACTTTCAGCCCGACGTTGTAGCTGATCGGGTTCTCGGGGTCGTCGTCCAGCCATTGCACGATATAAGGGTCCGCGGGAGTGCCACTGCCGCGATATTTGTGGTCGGCAATCTTCGCGAACTCCGTCACCCGTGGCCGCCATGGTCTCTTGCGCAGAGTATGTTGTGACCAGTCAATCGGAGCCGGGGCTTGCTCGATCGTCTGTGGTGACTGGCTATGGCTATGGCCATCGTCGATGTCGATGTCGGCGTGTTTTCCCCTTTTCTCTACGGGCAGAGAATCCAAGTCTACCTGTTTCTCAGAGTCATCGCTCAACGACCGGCTTGGGGTTGAAGAAGAAAAAGCAAAATCAGGCCGAGCTCGACTAGTCTCTGTCATGATTAAGGGTGGTGTGTTCTCTCTCTTATAACCCGCGTCCGTCCCCAAGAACTCCGATCGTTGGTGGAAAGAGACAAGAAAGTACGCGCAACGGCGACACGGCGTCAAGGTCTTTCAGACTGGCAAGGCAAGGAGAAAAGGACAAGGTCGCCCTTAGCCTCGGTTCGGTAAGGGTATGCCATAGTATATAAGGTCCCTTCAGTTCGGCTTAGGACATACAAGCTCTAGCTCTAGCCCTGCAGTGTGGTAGTGTGACTAGACTGCATAGGTACTGCCTTGTTGAACCATTGGTGTCGGTTCTCTCTCTTCCCTCTCTATCACTCATGTCGGAGATATCGGGCCAGGCTCCCGCCCTTCGGAATTTAGGTACTAGTAGTTGTAGAGTCAGTCCTAGTTACTACCTGCTTGCCGGGTGAGTAGCCTACCACTACCACTAGCTAGTACTTAGTATCTTTTTCAGCAGCCTACTAGCTGAGTCTGGGGTGTTTATTTCCATTCAATTTCAGGCTGGCATGGGGGTAGGGAGGGTGCAAGTGGAGCGAGGGGCGGGAGCTGCTCCGATGCGAAGCACTTACAAGTACGGACTGAGTACTGCATGGTATGGTATGCGACAGTCAGTTGGTTGGATGGGTTCCGCGCCCGACAACTAACAGGCTGCCTGCCTGACTTACTAAGTTAGTAAGGTACCTAGTAGTAGGTATGTAAGTAACGAGGTATCAGCACAGGGGTAAGAAATTGAACAACAATGATAAGAGAACACTAGGTATCACATTCAAGTTGTCCGTTCAGTGTCTGTCTACTACTGGCGCCCGTCGCCCCGCTTCCCCTGCTCACTTCCTCCCTTCTCCAGCTTCGTATTTTGTGCCAAATTGTACAGAGTACGTACCTACATAATAAGTTGAACCCCCCCACTGTGCCCTGCCCCCACGGGGGTCGATGAGTAATCGGTAATTGTCTCTGCGGACACGACAAGACACGACAGAACAGACAGACAGATACATGATGCCGGGCCGGAGGAGAGGGAACCTCCTGTCTATCTGTCTGTCTGTCTGGTGCCGAGTGTTAAAAAAAAAGAAGGAGAAATGATACACCGCTTGCGATAAGCCGGAAGCCTGCCTCCCCAGCCGAGGCTCCTGGGTCCACGAAACTCTGTAGACCGGGGTATCGAGGACACCAAGACACATATGCTATGGTACGTAGTACTACAAAGGACACAGTACACACACAGTACACCCAAGGCATAAGGTACCTACCTACCTTAGGTACAAGTCCGTCATATTCAAGGTCATGCATAGGTACCAAGGATCATTACGTGCTGTACACCGGCAGTACAAGAGGTCAACCATCTTCGAATGGCAGCTAATTCAGCAACGTTAGGTAGCTGTCAAGTTGCAGCTCAACGCTGTTTAGCTATGTAGGTAGCTACTAGGTCTCCATGGCAGCTGTTCGCCTTTCCAGCCCCCTGTGTGCAGCAATCCATGCATCGATCGATCGTGCCGTTCATCCAAGCCCCTTGTCCCTTCTCCCTTGCCTGTTGTCGGTTCTCTGAGCCCGGATTCGCCCCTGCATCGATCGACGATGGAGCCTTCCACCACTGCAGCCGTCAAATATACTGTGAAGTTATTCACTCTTCATCTCTTGTCATGGGTGCCCTCGTCATCCCAACTTTTCCAGCCGTATCAGCATGCACGTGCACGTACTCCGCCGACATCATCATACAAATGTCGATAATAGAGAACATTGCTAAACGTATATGTCGTATCATTTCGCATTCGTGACCGCGCAATCGATCCAAAACGAATCCAAAAGCAAGCGGGCGCCTTTCTTTTTGACACAGCAAATTCCAATCACAGTGACTTTGCCGCCTGGTTTCACATCCGATGGTGGTAACAATATAATAAAAACATGGGGTTGTATGGTGGTATGGTCCATGCAACGATCGAATTCGTATTGTCGGTTGCGGTCGTCTCGAGATATGTCGGGCCCTCCTTCTAGCGAGTCATGCGATACGTCAACCTCGACAATGGTCTGATCAACGCGTAGTCACCATCTCATACCTGCCACAGCCGTATCCAAAATTTACAGTCGGAGGCGACTCCATGTCGATACCCTGTGACCATCACCGCCGGTTCAGGAAGTTCATAGTTCCTGCCTGCTGCATGTTCAGCAGACTATCCGCGCGCTGGAACACGTCGCCTTTGAAGAATTGGTCCCCATATGCACTGGCCGGCGTACTCGGCACCGTCGCCTGCGCGGCTGGACCCAGGGCTGCAGACAACGGCGTGGCAGGTAAGGGCGCAGAGACCGGACCGATTCCATTGGGGCCAAAGTTGCCTGGACCATTATTGCCATTGACCATTTGTCTCATGGCCAGATTATTCGTCATTGCACCCGACGATGAACCGGGCGCCGCCGGCACAGGGGCCATGGGAGGAGGGAAGGGACTGGGAAGCGAGGGGTCACCCATTTGACCCGGGCCTCCGTATCCCGACATGTTATTGATGCCATTGGAATAACCGCTCCCATTCACGGAAGCCTGTTGACCCAAAGATTGATGAAATACGCCCGGAGGAGGCATCGCCGCGGCCGCACTGTCGGTCAGGTATCTCCACGGGCTGGTCTCGATCAGACGACCAGCTTCCCGACTCGCCTTTTGCACTGGTCGTAACATGGTGATGAGTTCCTGGGACAGCAAACGGAGAGATTTCGCTTCGCGCATATCGGTAAGTAGATCGATAAAGCTCATCAAGAAATTCTTGCACAATAGCCATAACGACGGATCGTTCCGGCCACTGGCATTGGGCGCGACATATTGACTAGGATCCTTCAAGCGCATGTTGACTAGCCTGATCTGGAGAGCCTCACTGACCTCGATGCACAGTTTGCATCGATACACAAGAGTAGACCATAGTTCATGGACCGACTTCGGCTGGTGATTCTCCTCGGCTACTTCCAGACATCGTAGGAATTGTTGTTTGGCAATCGGGATGGTATGCAATGCCGCATCATAGGCACGGGTCAGAGCAAGGAAGATTTGTTCGAAAATGGCCTCCTCCTGAGTATCGGTGAGACCGGTGGTCGGGTTCACTCGAACTGCGTACGACGCAGACGGTGGGAGACTGAACCCTTCACCCGAGCGGGGAGTGCCGGCAACGGATGAAGAATTGATTCCATTCATGATCTGCGCGGTGCGGGAACTCGACCTCGACCTTAAGCCGGTGGTGGACGTCGAGGTCATGGTACCACTATTCGAAAAAGTCGATGAAGTTCCGGTCAAGTTACCACCATTGAGGGTGGTGCCGGTCAGGTACATAGGAGTCGGGAGGGCACCCGTGTCCACAGGTGCTACAGAGTTCGGTTGATATCCCGGGTTGGTCCCTACCACTGGATGTTGAATGGTCGTGTCACTGCGCAATCTCGCACCCGGCCTGGAAGGCCAATTTCGGTCTCGGGTCGGCGTGCTGGCTCGAACCGGTTGCGAAGGAGTGCTGTATTCTTCAGGAATGGTCTGGATAGGATGGGTGTTCCCACTGGACATCTGTCTTCTATGACCCATGCCCTGTGTAACCCTCACATCCGCCCCGAAGCTCTGGATCGCATTCCTGACCTCCACCATGCTTCCATACAAAAGAAGCATGAGGGTTCGGACGTAACGAGGATCAACCCCGGCGACGATCTTCTTCACATTATCTTGCAGTTGAGCCGTCACATGCGCATATGCCATGATACATGTAGCACAGTCCCGCCGGATCGTTGACTCGAGGTTCTCCACGGCATCTCCATCCGCGGGATCAACCATGTCCACTTGTTCCAATGCCTCATTTAAGCGGTCCACGTGAGTCGACGCGTTGAAGAAGGTGAACTCCAACGTGTTCCGTCGGAATTCCTTTCCTCTGATCGCGGCGATCAGCCCGGATATATGCGGGTGGATCTGATACAGTGCATAGAGAATTCCTTTGGCACCCTCGATGACAGGGCTGTTCCAGTCGTGCTCAACCTTGTGTTCGGGTAGGCTGGACAATCGTTTCACAAAAGCCAGCCTATGTCTCCTCGCATCCCGGGGACTGTTGGGACTCGAAGCGCTGGCCCCACCAGGGGACGACAGAACGCCGTTACGCTTGAGAACGGAACCATGACTGAACCCCCGAAGATGGCTGTTTCGATTGGCCCGCAGTTCGTCAATGCTGTCCAAGTCCGGCTTGTCCTTCCTGAGCATGCCCATTCTCTTATGGCGGGCGGCGGCTGACGCTTGCAACACACTCTCGCTGTTGCTCCGATTCCTCTCACTGCTGTTCTGGCTGATCAGAGGCGCTACGCCGGGCCTCCGAAGGATGTTCTGGGTTCCAGAAATGACCCTATAATGTGAACGTGTGGGTATGGGAGGAGCATTCGGCTGAAGCGGGGATGATCTGTTGCCATCTGAGCCAAAGTCGATACTGCCCGTACTTGGTATGACGGGGAATCGGCTGCTCAGGGCTCGCTTGAGAGGCTTTGGCGTTTCCATTGGGCCCTCCTCGATCTCGGGCGATGCTTCGGTGTCGGCGACCACAGGGTGCGTTTCTTTCAGGTATCGCTTGATCTCGGTGGTGATGGCCGTTTCCCGTTCATGGTCGGTCATTTCTGAGAAGGATACCTCCGACTCCTTCGCTTCCACGATCTTTTTCAGCTTGAACCGGAGAGGGTTCTCTGCGATCTTCAGTATCTGCAATTTGGTCAACTCGCACAGCTCCGTGGGCAGGTCTTCGATCCGGTTGTGCACGATCGAAAACACCCGCAAAGACTTGAGATTCCGGATGTCGCTCGAGATCCTGCGGACCTTGTTGCGACTGATATCCAGGATTTCCAACTGACTGAGTTTGTACACCCCTCGAGGTATTTCCCGGAATACATTGGAGCGTATGTTGAGATATCGTAGATGCGTACATTCCGCAAAGCGTAGAGGAATATGCCAGATCTGATTATGTGACAAAGATAGTCGTTCCACCTCGGCTTTGATCAGGTCCACCACACTTTCCGGGAGTCTAGCAATGTTCGAGTGGCCCATATCCAGTGTGAGCTTGGGTTTCACCGCGTCACTGACTGCTTCACTGCCAGCAAGTGCATGCTCGGTATCTTGTCTGGCATCGGCCATCTTTTTCCTGAATAGCTCTGTGGTCTCTTCTAGAGACAACAAGGCCTGCTCGTTCTTCACGTTTTGTACCGCCGGTCGGTCTGCCGCTCGAGGAGAAGTGTTCACGGCTTGGGCTGGATTGGCACGCTCGTCATTTGCTCTGGCATTCTCGCTTAAGGCTCGAGGTCTTTCGTCGTCTTCATGACGAAACGGCCGACCCAGGCGTGTAGCATCTTCGGGTCGAAGCATGGGACGAGGGGTTGCCAGTTGGCCAATGTCTGGCTCCATGATGTCGGACACGCTCGTATCCCTGAACCCCAGGACAGATATGGGTATGGTGTCAATGGCCAGCATCGAAAGGGAGAATCACGCGGTGGAGTGGCCTGCGCATCCACAGCATAATCGGCGTTGCAGCCCAAGTGGGAAGGGGAGAGGAAGGAGGAGGATGCGAACGTCGAGGGTCAGTGTTCGTTAGACCATGGCAGAACCGACGAGGTCTCCGAATAAACGGTTCGTGTTGTACCTCGTGTCGTATCTCGCACTAGGATCGCGCACAGGGCTCGTGCAGAGGGATGACCGCAGCCAGTGGATCGATCAGTCGTGGTTTAAGGGGTAGCAGAAGCTCGACGAAGTCGGGCGGGTGTATGGACGATTGATATTCTTGACAAGAGCACAGGCGATTGCTGAACGGGCCAACAGAGGTTCTCTCTTCTCTTCAACGACCTGTTAGCAGAAATAACGTTGGAGCGCAGGCGTGACAGGGTATTCTGCGGGCATCACATCCAGGAGCCATGGGGGTGGAAGCGAGAGATGACGGATAGTAGTGGTAGTGCTACTACTTATTAGTATTTACCACGACTAGTACTAGTAGTAGCTGGCCCAACACTGGGCTGGCGTGCGTTCACCCGCTGTGATGGCGCGACGCCGTGGCGGAAGGAGGCAATCAGACGTTCCTAGTGATACTACTATACTTGATTGGGATAGACTGGTCTGGCTAAGACACGTCTAGCGTTCTTCAAAGTTGCCGACTATCTCTTCTGCCACGTGATCGGTTCCTGGTGCCTTGCAGAGAATCCAAACTTAACACTAACAGCGCGGTTTATCGTCATTAGAGGCTTGGCAACGGTCACTGCTTTAGTAGTACTACTAAGTACTAGTACTGAATGGCACGTGATTGAAATCCAATTTGATTGGCCCGTCGTTATGCCACCGAACGAGGCTGTCTACTATCGAACACTGCACCGCATATCTCTGCCCTCTCTACCACACTGCAGTCCATGTGCTTCGACAGGGGTTCGTCTCTCAGACACCGAGGAGGAAGATGGCCTGTCGAAGATTTCACCCACACTCCTGTTGACTTCCGTCCTCCATCAACCTGCTCTCCGTCCCGTATCCGTGTAGCCCTCCGTCCAGAATCCATTGCTCATTATCTTCATTATCATCTTGCACTCTCCGCCACACGCTCTTCCTAGGGACATGCCCGTCCGACTCGGCACTCTTGCCTTCGCTGGTTTGTTCCGGTGCCTTCCATATAGGACGGATGAGCTTCCCAGTCGCCAACAGAGGATTGTTGCTGAAGGCGCCTTTGCCTCCTATACTGAGGTGTTGATGCTCGTCGTCACCCTCATGCTCGTCGCCGTCATCCTCATCGGCATGCACGGAATCTTCCTTGTCCTCTGACGACGGGGCCTTTTCGCGCCCGTATGTTCTGACTAGTTTTCCATTCCGGATACTCATGCTCATCACCGTCCTCTTCTTTTCCCATTCCGGACGGTTGGCCTCCTCCAGCTCCCGCAGATACTTCTGCTGTTTCTTCAGTGCCGCTGCCCGCTGGACGGGACTCATCCACTGCGTGGCGCCTGGTGTCAAGCTCATATCGTAGTCCGCCGCTTCGTCATACACCCGAGTTCGTTGTGCGTTTTCTCGTTGAAACGCCAGCAGCTTGTCTCGATGCGCACGTGCTCGCGATGCTGCAGAGGACAGCTCATCCCCAGAAGCGCTGTCTGGTGTCGAGCCACCGAAGACTGGGGTGCCCTTGCCCGATTGAGATTGGGCAGCATTGTGGGCCGCCATTTTCTCGATTCCTCGTTCCTCTTTCAACGCCTTGATCATATCGTTGACTTGGTCTTTGCTCAGGAGGGGCGAGTCGCAAAACGAACAGGGCTGGAGCCCTTCGAAAGCACAGATGATCTTTCCACAGTTTATGCAGTTCGGTGCGGTGGTGAACAGAGGGTGTATCGAAGCGTTGCAATCACATCTTCTCCTCTTCGTGGACAAGGTCGGATTTGTAGCCAGCTCCAGAGCGGCAATGGCTGAGGTCAAGTCAGCCACGCTTGTCGTTGTTGTCATCGTGACACCACCCTTATTTGGTGTAGAAGCGCCAGACTGCGACTGTGCCTGCGAGTGGGTAGGGTGCGCGGGCTTTTTAGACTGCTTTGCCCGCACATTGGCAAATCCAAAGTCGGATATTAGCTGGCCAGAAGCCGACGGAGGCAGCTTATGTGACGATTTGGCTGGCGAGGCGTCACGAGAGGTTGAGCCTGAGACTATGCCTGCAGTAGTATGAGGTGCTTGTCGCGCTTCGGGGGCACTAGAGAGAAAAGGAATATTCCGATCTTGTGAGGACGGTCTCGGTGTTGAAGACGAGTAGTTTTCATCGTCATAGTGTTTCTTGTAGCCGCCCGTCACGTTTCCGTAACCTTCGGGGCGGCGAGCAGGGCCCGTAGAGTGAAGTGGAGGCTTTGATTTCTTCGTTGCCTTCTTCCTTGGAGATGCAGCTCCATCTGAAGTGCCGGTGGCCAGTGAGGAAGCCTGCTCGGGCGGGACGTTTGATCGTCGGGCGTTGAATGATGAGATAAATTCAAGTGCTTGCGGTGAGTCTCCCAGTAGGTTCTTCAAATGGTCTGCAGCCGCGGGCTTTGAGAGACTGCATGTATAAGTGACGATTTCTTTCAGCGAGCCGTCGTCGATGGGAAGCAGACGTTGCAGCCGCGGCAGTGCCCATGACTGTACGTCGCCACTCATGCTGGGTAGGATGAGCCAGCAATTGTCGGTACACGAGCGCTGTCAAGCACGTTTGCAAGGTTCTTTGCTGGGATGTGACCGACGTCGAACTGAATAGAGGGTTTTCTGGACGATGGGCGATCAGTGAATTGTCGGCTTGTGGTGCTGAAGGCAGCAGACGTTGGTGTTTGTCAGTGGTGTGGTACGTAGAAGGGCAGTCGAGTCAATTCATTAATTGGAGGTGCTTCTCAAAAAAGTGGTCCAGCATTCTACACACTGCACCGCAGTGTACGAACTGTCGTTGCAGACCACATTAAAGTCATAGATTCATCAACCAGCATGACTCCTGTATGTCTCTTCTACGCATCTAGCAATATTAGCACACCAGAATCAGGCATTAAATGTGCTCAAATTCTGAAATTATTTTTATGGCGTCTCTCGTAACAATACAAGGTGCTGAAGTCGACGGCAGCCGGGGTATCATTATGATACCTTCCATAGCCATTGACTAGGACTAGCTCCCTCACCGAGGTTCAGCATTGTGGGCGACCAAGGCGATCAGAGCAGCTCCGAGGCCACTGCCATCCTTTGCCAGGCCAATCCGTATCTTCTTCTCATTCTCCCCAATTCCTTCAATCTCACGGAATGCCTCCCGGATATAGTCCTCGAAGCCCGGGTAGTACTCGACCAAGCTGCCGTCAACACCAATGTCCACAATCTCGTCCTCCTCCAGCTTGTTCGTCGAGAGAATAACACCTCCTAGGGCCACTGCACTGAGCCTGGCCGCTCGTTTGCCGATAGCGTGGACCAACATCTTGACCGCCACGCAGTCCTCGGTGGAGGCGGCTTCAATCTTCAGCTCCTTTTCCAGGGTCTGCTTCGTGATTCGGAGATGGTCGGACTGGTCTTCCTCGACGATAGAGAGGAAAGAGGTGTCGATGCCCCACTGCTGGTAAAGCGGACTGTCCTCGCCCACCGTGGTGGTACTTCTAATATCATTGTCGAGCGACGATGCGTCCTTGAACAACGCCACACCCGCATCAGGATGCGTATGCAAACTAAGCAAGGCTCGGCGGAGGATCTCTCCCAGGAACATCCCCGATACCCGCTTCTCAAACATCTGCAAGCCGGGGTTGACCGACTCTCGATCCAGGTCGATGTCATATTGAGTACTTGGCAGAACGCTCAACCCATTGTCAAAGCTGCCCCATTCTGTGTTGATGACCATGAGGCCCGTAGACTCGTCGTAGTTGGTGACGCCGCCCTCCGCCTCCTCAATTGCCTTCATCTTCTTGACCCTGTCCAATTTCTCCACGTACGCCCCGTTGGTGCCGGTACCGAAAATGGCCCCAATTAATGTCTTGGTCTTGCCGGGAGAAGTGTACGACCGAGCCATCAGGGTCCCCACAGTGTCGTTGACCAGAGCTGCCACGCGCACATGAAGTCCCAAAGCATCGATTTCGGTTTGCAGGAGCTCGCAGACGTCCTTTCCCACGGCTTCATCGATATCATAGCCCTTGGTCCACCGCATCAATCTGCCCTTGTTGATACCAATCTGGTTGACGGGGAAGCTGAAGGTAAAGCCCAAGTCGAAAAAGTCCTCGGCCGCAGGAACGTTCTTGTGCTTCTCGAAATGCTCGTTGTGGTGTGTTTTGATAAAGCTCTCGATCTGTTTGGCAAGGAAGGAAAACAACTCGTGGGCTGTCTCCGCCTCCATCAAAGACCTTGGGACAGGGACCTTGGACTGTTGTAGCGAGAAGGAGTGGTTCCCGTGCAGCGTGATCGAGCAAACCCGGAAGTTGGTGCCACCGAGGTCGACCGCTAGATACACACCCTAGAGGTGTCAGCTATGCCGTCCGCCAGATGGCGCTGTTGTCCCTACCTTTTCTGTGCCATTGGGAACCGAGGTGACATAGGTTGGGATTTGGCTCAGCGTTGTTCCCTGCTTCGCTAAGCCTTCTTCCATTTCCCGCATAAATTCCTTCACGCCCTTGTTCACATCTTCGGCAGTATATTCAAACTGTGCCACCATACGCTTGGTCTCTGCTTCAAGCGCCATGTTGGTCAAGACGCGAGTGACGGGAAGTGCGAAGAGAGATTTGGGCTTGCACTGTGTGCCGGGTTCCAATTGTTCGAAGTACGCTTCTTGTCTGTAAACACTGTCTCCGAATGGGCTCAAATGATGCGCGTGATGCTGCACGGCCGGCTGGGAATGCGGCTGGACGTCTTTTTGGGATCCGAAGAACTGTGCAAGTAGGACGAGGAGGAGGATCACAGCCGAAGCGAGGTATAAGAGAGGGACTGGCGGTCGCGGCGACAGTTTTGCTCGTGCTCTATATTGTTCAGTACCAGAGATTCCACCAAGGAGTCTCTGCCATAAAGGATACTGTCGGGCTTCTTGACGGAGAGGTTGCTGAGAAGCCAGCTTTGCTTTGTGCGGGACAAGCTGCAGGTAAAGAGGGGTGCAGCTCTTCACACAGTAAGGAAATACGTAGTCATAAATTCGTAAGAGAAGTTGTTAGGATCGTAGGAGAGGGGCTGTCGCTGTCCTCGGTGGGAACAGACCAGGTTAGGGTAACAGTAGGAGGTTCGTGTGGTTCGTGGTTGGTTTGTGGGTTCGTAGAAGGCAGCTCTGCAGAGACATGACATGGGGAGGGAAGAGGAGCACAGGAAGCTGGATCTGATGATGATGTCGTATCGAGGGCTTGATGTCTGTGACCTCGGTGGCTTGTTGGTGGGCCAGTCACTTTACTGATTGTACTACCTACTACCTACTACCTACTGTGTCACACCATGAACTCGAAGCTTGCTGCTACCAGTCCCTCTATCATTCAGCCGTGTCGCAGATGGAAGGTCTCGGACTTTCATGTTTATCATACCCAAGCAAAGCGCAGGCGGAATGTGGTACTACCGCATTGTTCTCGCAGCGCAGGCTGCTACTATTGACACCATACACCATCTCTGCCATCCCAAGTCACTGCCATCAACCATCCCCCATCACTTGCAGAGAGCACTGCAGTGGAGAGTAGTGGTCTCTTCTCGTTTGCCGTGCCGACTTCGCATTACTCACTCGCAGGCACGACAACAAAAGAAATCGCCAGGACACTTTGCAGGTGGCTACCGAAGCCTACGCACATTGCACTCATACAGTTCCGCCGCCTGCGCCAAATTCACATTCCACGCCTACCTGGCTATGTTTATTTCAAGTGCCTCCCCTGCAGTAACAGAAATCCTCAGAGCTGGAGGTGAGGGACGGCCGTAGTCTCTTGAACCCCTACAAACGCCTTATTTTGCCGACAACACCCAAGTCAAAAAAGCATGTCATCCGAATCATCATTCATGGTCTCCCTCTCCGTCATATCGTAGTCGTCCAGAGTCTTCCTTCGTTTCACCTCGACGGTCCGGCCGCCGAAGTCAGTCATGTCGACCTCTGCAGCAGTCTGGACCCGACCGCCCCAGGACAGTCGTTTCAGGATGCTGCTTCGGCGCTGAAACTTCGAGTCTGAATTGGATTGTCCACCAACGGAAGAGGAGGAAGTGGACTGCCTCTGCGAAAAATACGACCGTCTTTCAGAAGTCGGCGATGCTGGCTGCATGTGCTTCTCATGGGGGGATGGTTTCTGCATTGTGTCGTGAAGCATAGATTCATTGGTGCTACCGGGACTGATGTTGCTGGGGTCGATATTCCATCCTGTCCCGAGGAGCTTCATGTCGGGGTCTGTCTCATACATGGCCCTCATTTCATGAAAGTCGTCTTCCCCACGGGGTCTGACGCTGCCTCGTCGTTTCCACATATGCCACAACAGATGGTCGTTCCCAAGTAAGTCGGCCAAAGTGTTGGTTGGAATGGAAGCGTTCTGCCGTGTCGATATGTGTGTGGACGTACGTGCGCAATTGACAGACACAGGTGAATAGTCCTGGGCGTTTCGGAGGAGCTCTGCGGTCGAGGATCGTTCGCAAATGTGAGAAGGAGAAGAGGAGGTGCTGCCTGCTTCGTGTGTTGTATGTTGAGGCCCGAACACTTGTGATTCGAGTAGGTCTCCGCTTGACAGACTCTCCTCCGACCAACCCAGGTCGTCCCTCTCATATAGGCTGCGGCCACTTTTGTTGGAGTCACCTTGCCGCACCAAAGACACCCCTTGTTCATGCTGTCTCAGCGGATGCATACGGAGGACATTCTGAGTAAGCTCACATGGTTGACCAATGACTCCCGTGAGCCTGATTATGCGAGCCTCTTCCACAGGTCCTTCTAAGGGCATCAGCATTGACACATCACTCTGTTGTGACATGCTACTCGTCCGACCTCTGTTTCTGCCATGTGCATCACCCGAGTCGTCGCCATCACAGGGGAAATTGTTGCTATTTGCCGTTGTCGGCCCCAAAGCAGTCATTTCGACGTCGCAACCATGATACCCTCTGCTAAGACCATCAGATATGACAAGGGGGGTGTATCTTGTAGAGCATTTAGTCCACACATCGATTATGTCTGTGAAGTCAACAAGGTCCTCCTCGTCACCGTCGTCACCGTCGTCATGGCTCGATTGGTTGTTCAAGGCAAGGTCTGATATCTCGCACAAGAGATCTTGGTCTTGCAATCCTGCACCATGATCTGTATAATGCCTAGTCTCCGCTGTTGAGCCAGAATTCCCGCCCTTCTCCGACGACCACAAAGGTGGCAGTTTTCGAGCATGTTTGTGATGCCGCAGACCCGTTATGACGGTCATCCAGAGGTCCTTTTCCAAGTCCAGTATCGATTGGTGTGCACCATCAGTTTCGGAGACGCCTGTCGATGAGGATTGTTCTGAGCCTTTGCGCATGTCAGGGTCGTGATCGCTCGAAAATGGAAGGAAGGCTCTCAGAAATCCTGAGATGCCTGGGATGAATTTGGTTTGCCCCTCGAACTTTGCCGTATAGTTAGGAATGAAACTCCCCGGCGCAATGTCACACAATCGAACCACGTCCATCTCAGAAGATCGACTAACACCTGCTGCAAATCGAGTCGCTCCCGGACCAAGGCTGTTACGAATCGAGGCATCAAGCAATCGCATGAGGATCGGCTTGTCCAGTGAAGATGCCTTCTTTCGAGTTGGTGCATGCTGACTTTGACCGGTGGTCATCACAGGATGTTCAGTCCAAGTTGGCGTAAAGCTCCGAGGGTGCGTCTCCTAGACAGGCAAAGCCCAAGCGGTGCCGCTGGACTGTTGCTGATCCTCAAGATCATCAAATGCCGCACCAAGCTCCTGAGATGACCCAAAAGAGCCAACGAAGCACAGATGCAGCTGCACCGACCGTAGCATGCTGAGAGAGACACCCTCAGGGCACAATGTGGACGAACCGTTGTGTTCTCGGGACTAAGGGTGGTCAGTAACAGTCAGACACGGAGCGTATACCGTACGCAGAGGTCCAACTCTATTCTGTTGTGCTCTCTCACCGACAGGTCCAGAGAGGCCTCGTATCCAAGCTGTTTCCACAACTGGCCTCATCAGGACAAGCCACGTAAGAACTCTGGCAGGCTTACATCAGCACCCTCCAGATGTGTCGCGATAATGCTCTTGACATCGTCGTTAGTGGGTAGTGTCAGATCTATGTCGTCCGTAAAGGCGAGACGAAGCGAGAGGCGGATGTTCGTGGCACGCGGAAACCATGAATCAAAGGACTGAAGCAAATGGAGAGGTTCCCGTGCAGCAGCGGCTGGACAGTCATCCCTACACAGTACCTGTATGTTGGCTCTTGTCCGGAGACAGATGCCGGATTTTCCATGTACGAATGAGCTTTCCCCCAGCTGGAAGGAGATCTCTTGCATCCTCAGATTGAAGCATACAATGGTAGTGGTTGACAGGCATGGTTACTCGAGAGGCTATCAGGTTAGTACGCGTTGTGTACATTTGTTTATATACGTTCGTCTCTAGCTCCAGGTAGATGTAGACAGAGTATACGGCAGAGTATACGGCAGAGCATACGGCAGATTATACGGTAGAGTACTCGTTACGTACCTCCCTCGGAAGTGCCACACCCGGCACGGATTTACTTTCCTCCACCCGGCAACTGCACCCCGAGAAACAATGGAAACAATCTTTTTCTACCATTCAAGTTGCTGTTATTTACCGCATTGCTTTTCCAGCTCTACTAGGATTGTGAGCCTCATAGTGGGCCTGGATCTTCATATAACGAACAATACTATGCAACACTTGCCGTGAGCGTTCGCAGCCTACCCCCCCAGTTTTGTCCCAACCATGTCCCTGAGCCCACTGCCTCGCCTGTTGCGGGCAAGGACTCTGTCCAGAGCGCTGCAATGCCTTCCCGTCACCGTTGCGAGAAACGGACCCCCGCGCCCTTTCCACTCAACCCACGACAACCTTACCGATGGCGTATACAAGGAACTCACTGAAATGCGAGTCCGGATGCCTTGGATTGAGGCGCTGCGCAGGAAAAGAGAGCAGGAAAACAACCCTACCATATCCGATGTTGAACCTGTCAAGCCCGACCTGACTCCAAAGAAGATGTCAGATAGTTACGTCAAGATGGTTCTGCCCTTGGCTGTTCGTATCCCCCATGCTACAGGCGGTGGCTATGTTGGCTGACGTGTCTCGTAGCAAGACCCGTGGCTGCTGGATGCATATGCGAATTATACCGGCCAGATCCGCACCGGCAGTTTACTTATGGACTTGGATGCGTTGGCTGGAGTTGTGGCATACAAGCATACCGGTGAGGGTGTGAGCAATGTCACCGCCGCAGTGGACCGGATCACCATCAAGAATCCCATTCGAGAAATCTGTGACTTGGAATTGAGTGGACAGGTCTCATTCGCGACCGGCAGGAGTAGTATGGAGGTGACACTGCAGATTTCCAAAGCACCCAAGGAAGGTCAGAAGCCGGCACCGGAGGATGTCTTCATGACATGCGCTTTCACTATGGTCGCGTTGGACCCGACGACCAAAAAGCCGGTGAACATTGCCCCCTTGGAAGTCACCACACCGGCCGAAAAGGCTCTGTTCGCCAAAGGAGAGGAGAATTACCAGAAGAAGAAGAAGAACAAGTCTTCGCACATTCTGGCCAAACCTCCTGATGCCGACGAGTCCGCACTCATCCACAAGATGTGGACCGAGTCCATGGCGTACCTGGATTCTACCAATCCAAAGCATCAGCCGCCCAACGTCCAGGCCATGTCCAAGTCGATGATCCACAGCACTCAGATCATGCAACCGCAAAACAGAAATCGACACGACTTTATGATCTTTGGAGGCTTCCTGCTGAAAACCACCTTTGAGCTCGCCTTCACTTGTGCCGCTTCGTTCTCCCACACCCGCCCTCGATTTCTAAATCTCGACCCGAGCACATTCGAAGAGCCAGTTCCGGTGGGCTCTGTCCTGTATGTTTCGGCTAGCGTGTCATACACCGAACCGGACCCGTCGGGCGGCACCCGCATTCAAGTCATGGTCCGCACGCACGTGAGACCTGTTGAGCATCAAGACAAGGAGAGGAAGTCCACGGGGACATTCTTCTATACCTTTTTCTCGCCCGACAACGTCAGTGTCCTGCCTCAGACGTACGGTGAGTTCATGGAATGGGTTGCCGGAAGAAGGAGGGCCCAGGACCTCGCCGCCACGCTCGAGGCCGATCAGCATCCTCTGCTTGCGAGCTTGCACACCGAGGCTATGAACGAGTGATTCTGTGGGATTTAAACTGTGGCTTGCTATCCTTTCGGATGGGTATTGCATGCTGCAGCCCTCATGACTGAGACTCACGCTTTTGGAAACATTCTCCAAGTCGTTGGTCGAAGTGTCTCCGATCCCTCTTGAACCACCCAGAATCTAGACTTCCCTGTGGGCTCGTGTCGGAGACGAAGCCTCCCTGTACGTATATTCGATCGAGTCGAACGAACAACAGCTGCACTTGGTTTGACAACTCCTGCATCCCCGTAGGATCGCTCGGGTGCGTACATCATCGAGGCAAGGCACAGGACGCAAAAGACCTCGAACGTCATCGCAGCGACTTCAGATCTCGGCCGACTTGGAAGCACTGGCTTGTCCCTGTCACAATGAGGAGCAGAGAGCTCCCGCTGGGCTGCCACGGACGTGGACCGGACTGTGTTTGTCTCGCCACACGTGCATGACGGAGTGCCGTGCTCAGATGGTGCATATCTACCTCTGGCACGGTCATCTTAGAACAAGAAGGGTTTATCACCGATATATGCTGTCACCTATCCGAATTCACCCTCTTACAGAAGATAGCCAGAGGGCCAGCAGCGACTCTGCTATTGTCAATAGATAGGTCGTTTATGAGAAGGAGTAACTCAGCTGATGTCAATCACACACATTGGAAATCACAACAGTGCTTTATGTTCAAGATCTAGATTCTGGTTCTCTGAAGTCCAGCTAGCTCTGCAATTCATGTCGATGCATGGCTTGTCCAAACGGATCCATCCTTCTCCGACCCAGGCATCTTCATGTTGCTCTCTCAAACTGGCATAACCGTCCGCCTTTCAGTGGCGCAAATGCGGTACACCCCCCTAATTCATTGATCTGCGCTGGTGCATATCCATGATGAGAATGACCACAACAGTGGCGCGCATGAGCTATCATTTCCACCGCGGCCTGCGAGTCGAGGTGTCAGCTACCCAAAACACACGCAGCTTAGATGAAAGACAGAGCAACAGGTCCGTGAGATGAAGTCTCTTGTCACACAGGTCCAATTGCGCACTCCGCCGGTACATTTATATTGCTTTTCAGCTGACCAAATTCCCTGTCCCTCTTCCTCCTTAGTTCATTCCTCCCCTTCTCCCTCCGCGGCTTGCCTTGCGGTCATGATGCTGTGGGCTGACGACCGCTTCGGGTCACAGTCAACCACGTAATGGCTGAGAGGTGAGAAGCATGGTTGTGTGCCTCGAATCACTCCATAGCTCCTTCGTGGCAGTGGTAGCAGTCAGCCTCAGCAACCGTCTGACATCTTCTCTAGTACCTTGGAGCATTGGCCGGTATTTGTCGACTGGGTCGAGTTCGGGTTTGAGGTTTTGTAGGATTCGTGGCCCATGGCGCAGCTAACCAATCAGTGCAGCTGACATGGACTGGGCTCAGGGGGTGCTCCTCGAACAAGGTCGATCAGGTCGGTGGCTGTCTGCGACATTGATGTGTATACTTCTTCCATATCTACGCAAGGAATCTGTTGATCCCGAGCTGATATTCCCTTTGACAAACCTCAACTCAGTCGTCATCGTAGCGTCGACTGCGGCGATGGCGCTGCCGATCTGGATCGCGACTCTCTCTCCGTCTCCTCCGGCGTCGATCCTCATCTGTATCCGGCAAGCCATCTGGGTTCAGTTTCCCACTACTCCGCCGCCCGGCCTGCGGAGGGAATCCGGCGCCTGGACCTGGACCTGGACCGACAGCCGCCCCGGCCATTTCGGGCGGCATGCCGTCGTGTCGGCGCGACCTCCTCTTCTCCTTGGGCGCCGACGGCGGCCTCAGATCCGAGATGTACTCGTAGACGCGGGGACTTTGTCTCAGAAGGACCAGCTCGGTCTCTGACAGACGTGCCTCGGGAATCTTGTCCTGCCCGCCACCTTTGCCGGTGGTGGTGTTGTTGTTGCCGCGCTTGGTGCTTCGATCGGTCCACACGACGAGCAGTCCATCCGCGTTTCCCCCTTGGCCGGGAGGCACGAACTCGGTGTCGAACGTCCAGTCCCGCAGAGCGGGGGGATCGTAGACGCCTCGATCCTGAGAGCCAGGACCTTGAAGACCTGAACGACTCCGGACACTGGCGTGGATGTATTCGTTGGTGTTTTTCAGCCTCTTGCCTGTCGGCCGGCCGGTATACGGATCGGTGCGGTAGTAGTTGCCCGGGGTTCTGGTCTTGGAGCCGGCCAGACTGTAGAAGCCCTTGAACGAGTTGTACAGCTCGCCGAAACTCCACCACCTCGTCTTCTGGCCGGTGCTTTTGTAATACGCACGGTTCTCCTCCCAGAGACTCATGAGGAAGTTGGGCCGGAAATCCAGAAACGGCTCCATCTTGGAGATCATCCATGCGAGCGTGATGTTGGCCAGTTCCTGGTCTTCATACCCGCCGCCCACGTTGCTGTGCACGCCGGGGAACCACACCTGCACGAGATTCGTGCGGTCGTTGTCGCGCTTCTCCCACAGCGCGGGCGAGAACGGACCCCGTCGCTCGTCCAGCGCCAGGGCCTGAAACGCATTCTCGATGCACGGGTGCAGTCGGGTGTCGTAGAAGTCGTAGTCGTGCATGTTCGGGTTGGACAGGTGCAGAGCCTCCATCCAGCCGAGGCGCGGGATCCCCAGACTGCCGACCGTGTCCCAGCAGCAGATGGCCTTGATGGGCACGTTGAGCGTCGTCAGGCCGCGCCGCGCGAGCTCGTGCACGTAGTGTTGGTCGAACGGGCCCTTCCCGGGAAACGGCGTGTTGGGGAACTTGGACTCGTACCGCTCGTCGTACCGGTGTTGCCAGTCTTCGAAGACCTCGTTGAAGCTGGGCAGTCCCTCCCGCGTGAGCAGGCCCAACGCCCCGATCATGCCGCCGATGCTTCGTGCCGTGAACGCGCCGCGACTGAACCCGATCAGGAAGATCTCGTCGCCCGCCCTCCAGTTGATGGCCAGGTACGTGTATGCTTCGCGCATGTTCTCTTTCAACCCCATCCCTGTGGCTCCTCCCACGACCCGCGCCGCCGGGCCCCCTGACGTGCCCACCCCTGCCTGGTAGTTGACGATCTGGGGGATCCCGTCTCTTGAGGTGTCTTTGATCGCCCAGCCGATTCGCGACACATTGGACGGAGGCTGTTTCTGGCCGTTCATCAGCCCATTGTCCGCGTCGAGCCACGTGCCGTCGCAGGTGACAATGAGTCTCTTTCGCGGTCCGGCAATGGGCCGCTCCAGCGTGCCCGGCATCGGTCCAATGGTCGAGCTCAGTGGAGGAGGCTCAATGCGCGACTGAGGCCGACTGGGGACGGCGCTGTGAGGTGGGGGGAATACGCCTGATCCGTGCATACTGTGAGGATAACCTGGGGGTGGAGCGGGAGGCACGAGGCCGCTGGCGACAGACGATCGCGGTACGGGAGTATGCGACATTGTGGAATTGAATGTCGACGTCGGTCCGTGCGTTGCATCAAAGGAGTAACTGTCTTATGTCCTCAGCATGCCACCCGTCAGCTCAAGGTCAAGGTCAAGGTCAATGTCATTAGGCAAGGCCGCCTTCGTAAGGAAATCCGCTGTCGCTGTCGCAACAGAACTTCCATCGACTCAAGTGTGTGATGCGGACGGCGAAGATGCGCGAAACAATGCAACACGCTGCAGGCAAGAGAATGAAGCGAGAGAAAAAAGGACACGAGCATGAACAGGGCGCAATATGTAACGGACAAGAGGTAATAGCAGGATTCATTGGAAGGAGGACGGGCGTTGAGATGCAATCATAACAGAGCAACGCATCTTTGAGACTGCGGCGCCCCACCAGATCAAACAACCAGCCTCCTCATCACCAGCGCAGTCAATCAATCAATGGTAGTAGTATGGAAGGTAATTAAGTGTAAGCCTGGACACCCGTTCGTTCATACAAGATGGCTGGTCTCGCTAACAGTCTGCTAGTAATCTGATGGAACCACCGGAACCACCGAACTCGAACCATCACATCCATTTATCCCGGCCGCTCATCCTCCCCGCCTACCAATCCCTTCAGTCAACCCTCAACCGACGTCGGCCGAGATTCGCATCATCGCGTCAAGAGATGGCATCCCTCACAGTTTGGCCCACTAGGGCAGCTGCTTATCCTCCTGCGTCTGCTGTCTTCGAGTCCGTCTCTTTATGGCGAGTATGTAATGAACAGCCCAATAGGACACGGGTTGAAGTCTTGAAACCACGCCAGATTGCTGTCGGAGCTACTCATCGTCAGGCTGATCCTGCCCGGCACGCACAGAGTGGTCCCAATCGTGTACGCATTTCCCGGTTGCATGCTGACTGCCTTGGGGAAGCCGTGAACGTACGCCGCCAACGGTCGAGCATTGAACGTGGTGTTGCCCTCGATTGCGCCGTCTCCAAGAGGTGACTCGGAGAAGCTATAGGTTCCAAAGCCACGGAGCTGGAAAAAGGATGTGCTCAGCTGGTCCAGGTGTGGGAAGAAGAACTGAATCAAACAGCGCTGCCCGTTGCGGCTTTCGGGAATGTCAAAGTTGAAGATCTCAGATATATCTCCGGCGGTGACGAAAGGAGTCAGGGTGTTTGAGTATGCAGTATCCGGGTTACTGGACGAGATGGGGATGATCAGATGGGGAAATTCAAAGTCGGGCATCGATGGGAGAGTTCCAGGGCATGATGGTGGCTCGGAATACATGGGGTTGTCGGCAACATCGCCGGCGTCCTGAGTTGGAAGAGCAGACAGTGCAGGGAGGAGAACGGCTATCAAGAAGATGATGGATGGAAGCATGTTTGTTCATGAAGGCAACGAGTGTGCTGATGTCAATGAACGACTCCAAAACGGTTCAGCATGAGCTGCAGGTTTTGAAAAAGGACAATCTGGGCAAGGCGGAAGACAAGACGTGACAGAGCGGAGGGAAGCTTTTGAATAAACCGCTGGTCGAGGAAGGCAAGCGCAATGCTGGATGTCGAGCCAAACGCAAACGCAAAGCAAGAGCTGTTGTTGCACAAACAACCCACGCAAGAGCGCGCCCCGTTCGACAATTTGGAAGTGATGCCTTCATTGCTGCTACTTCGCAAAGGATGGGTTCAATAGAACAAGGAGCACCCCTGGACGATGGCCAGAAGGAGACATATTCCATCGCAATGCTGTCAAGATCAATGATATTCAGTTCATGATAAGTCATGCCACGCCGCCTCACCTTCTTTTTCAATGCGCCGTGTTCCCATGCACGAAGCCATTCGTTTTACAGTAAATAGAACCGCTGACCCGAATCACGCCCCAGGAAAATCACCCAGATTGTGCAGACTGATGTCCATTCGATCTCGAGGAGCGGGGCTCTGGTGTTGTTCATGCTCATGCGAAGCCGCAGGCTTTTGCTGTGACACGTCCACGCCGTCACCATGGAAAGACGGTTTCTGCGTGTTGCCATTGCCATTGACGGCGGGGACCACTTGACCGGCGCGGTTGACCACGGCTCCGCTGGTGGCAAGCCGGATCTGGTCTTCGCCTGCCACGCCTTGAGCAACAGCCTGCCTGGCCTGATCCATAACTTTCATCTTGCGCGTCAGTCCTCTGACCCGCTCCAGATGTTCAAAATAGTCGTCATCCACTGGTGTGATATATTTGCCACAGAACACGCCAACCTCGAAGTCTTGAGGGGCGTCCCGGCTGTTGGCCTCTCTCGCAGCATCAAGACAGGCGCCTTTCAAATCGTCCAATGTCTGGTAGACCACACTGTCGGCTCCGATGTGCTTGGCCACGGCCTCAGCCCCGTGATATTTGTGTGCAACCAACTCGAGAGGCGATGCCAAATCAATGCCGTAGATGTGCGCGTGGGCAATTGGAGGAGCACAACTGGCAAAGTGGACTTTTTTGGCACCAGCCTCTCGGGCCATGGTCACAATCTCCCGACTGGTGGTGCCTCTGACGATACTGTCGTCCACCAATAGAACGTTTCGATCTTTGAACTCCATGGCCATCGCATTCAGCTTCCGCCGGACACCCCTCTGTCGGGCTTTCTGCTCAGGCATGATAAAAGTTCGGAAAACGTATCGGTTCTTGACAAATCCTTGACAGTACTCTTTGTCCAGTGCTTTGGCCACAACGGATGCCGAAGTGACTGAAGTCTCTGGAATTGGAATCACCACATCGATCTCCTCCAGTTCCTGGGGACTGAGCACGCGTTTGACCTGGGCGGCCAGTCTTGCCCCCATATGCTGACGACTCCGGTGGACGCTGATTCCATCCATGACGGAGTCTGGACGGGCGAAGTACACGTACTCAAAAATGTCGGGTGCATATGCCTTGCGCGCCTGAACTTGGCGAAAGTGCGGTTCATGACCTTTCTGGATTATGACTGCCTCGCCCGGCATCACATCACGAATGACGCTGAATCCGAGCTGTGCCAGTGCCACAGACTCGGACGCCATCATATAGTCCTTCCCCGGACCATCAGCAGAGTCGCGGGATCCCAGGACCAAGGGACGAATGCCAAAAGCATCTCGGAATCCGATCAAGCCGTAGCCAGCAATCATGGCGGTGCATGCCCAGCCGCCCTTGCACCGTTCATACATTCTGCTCAGGGCAGCAAACACGTCGTCATCGTTGACGCGAGCCTTGCCGGTTTCATTCAGCTCATTGGCGAAGATATTCAGCATGAGCTCACTGTCGCTGTCGGTGTTGATGTGTCTGTGCCCCTCCAGATCCAAGTGACGTTTCAACTCGGGTGCATTGATCAGGTTGCCATTGTGTGCCAGACAGATCCCGTAGGGACTGTTGACATAGAATGGCTGGGCTTCGGCGTTTGCGCTGCTGCCCGCGGTGGGATATCTCAGATGACCGAGGCCCATGAAGCCAGGAAGGTCGACGACTCTTGCGCCATCATGGAACACCCTGGCAGCCATGCCATTCCCCTTGCACTGGTATATTCTTCCTCCTGTTGCACATGTCGCGATTCCACACGCGTCTTGCCCGCGGTGTTGCAGGAGATACAGGGCTTCATGGAGCTCGATGGCGGCGGAGGTGGAAGCCGTGTTGGCAAGGATCAAAGCAAGAATACCGCACATCTTGAGTCGGAGTCAAGGGGGGAGTGTTCTGCACTCACTCAGGTCAGCCCAACACAGTTCTCTGCCGTTCTCTTGTATATTGATGTGTTCCAAATGCAACCCAATCAGACCCGATTTTTCTCAGCAACAATTTTTATGAAGTCTAACATCTAAAAACAAATATCGTAGGATCATCCTATGGTACAGAGGGCCCGGTGGCGCGTAACTCACCTAGTCTAAAAGAATCAGAGGGACAAAGCCTCATTCGAAGTGGTGATATGGTCAAGGTCGCGTGAAGAGCGTCTCAAGCTGGCGAAGACTCGAGGACCAGGCCGCTTCGGACCGAGAGAGGGTGGGGGATGTGAAGCGGATGAGAAAATTCTGAGGGACCGGTGGAGGTCAACGTGCTCGAGCACTGAGAGGGCGGTGACTGCTGGAATATCCGGACAGACGACATGTTGGAAAGTTTTAGAAAGGAAAGCAGCAGTTCAGGATGCGATGGAGTACTAGTATTTCTTCTGAAGGGCGGCGGCGGCGGCGACAGGAGAGCGGAGGAACGCTTGGGCTTGCAAAAGTTTTGGGACTCGGGGAACTCGAACTGCAGTGAGTGAGGCGTTTTACCTTTGGCTCCTGTTTTCGCCCGCATTTCGTTGGTGGGTTGAATCTTGACGCGACCTTAGTGAGCAGCTAGTCCCAAACAGGCGTAGTCCAGAGTTAGTCGGTAATTCGGATAAGGAAATTCTTTTTAGCAAGCTCCCGAGGGTCTTTAGCCTCCACAGCCCCTCATTTAGAGTGCTTTGGCGTACTAGTGGGTGCTTGAGTGACAATTGAGAGGAAGGTATAGCGACAACGAGACTTACGGACCGGATTATCTCCATTCCGCGCCCCTGACCCCTTTTCTCAGCCTCGTGCAGCTGGACGTGCCAGCATCTCTGTTCGCAGTACCTAATCAACGACCGATCAGTACCACACAAACAGTTGCACAATACATCCTGATGGAATATTCCTATATCTGCGCATTCCTTTACAAGAAAGGAGTATGGGGCACAATATTCGATGCCCTGTTGTGTCTGGCACAATGCAAACCCTGTGTGGGTTTGGCAAGAGCAAACATGAAAGAGTTGCGTGGATTCCTCAGAAGCATGGCTGACACGATCTCCGGACCTACAATGGCCTTTTGCGGGAGTCTCTGTTTCTCATGATCTGATTCACCAGCAAAATGACCAAGACTCCCGACATCTCTCCAGGCGTTGGGTTGGCCTATCTCAGCCCTCATCCTTTGGCTTTGCCTCTCGGTCAACCATGGCGACAGATGCGTGGCTGGTCCACCACGGAACTGCTTTACTAGGACCCCAGGCTGCTGCTGTTTGGAAGACCCTGCGCATGAGTGAATATGAGATGGAGAACGTGCTTCTCTGAGATATACCTTGGTCAACCCGTCATCTCTACCTTGGTCTGTCTTCCAGTACCCTCATTCTCTCTCTTCTTTGTTGACAGTCCCGTTCTCGCTTCTTCGACCTATGACTCTCCAAGATCAATTCCACTCTTCATTGATCAAGGTTGGTTTGTTCATCCTCTTCATTCTTTGTCAGAACGACTTGTTGGTGCTTCATCAACCTGTTCTGATGAAAACTGGTCAACTTCTTTCTGTTTCCAGTGTCATCCTGTTCTTCAGAGATTCCAGATTTTTGTCTCTACCAGACACCTCTTCAGCCAGGTCTTTCACACTGTCCTGCAGTCCAACTCTCTCACCTCTGACTGTCCTGAGCTTTTCAGTCATCTCTTGCCTTAGGCTTGGCTCCTCTCTTTTCTAGAGCTGCAGCAACAACTGATTAACCTCTGCCCGAGTCTACAGCGGTATTCTCTTCCAACTTGTGTTTGGACAGTGAGACTAGATTGAGAGACATGGGAACCGAGACCACTGTGTCGAGGGTGCAGTCCTCAGCCACCCACCTCATTCAACGACAAACTCACACCCAAAGAACCACCAACCATGGCCCCCGGAGAACGTCAATCATCCAGTCTTACCAAGTCGAGATCGAGGATGGCGATGACATCGACGACGATGTCATCATGCAAGATGAGATTGAGATTACGAGAGTTCAGAAGATCAGACATATCCGACAAGTTCAGGGGATATCATGCCAGTCTAATAGAACCACCTTACCTACCAGACAGCCAACAGCCGCACACATCAATCTCAATCCAGGCAATGATGTGGAATTGCAGGACGGGTCGTTTCTCCGTATCGAGTCCACTGGCATTGACTTTTTCAACCAACCCTTTATTCAGGGAAAGAGACTACTCCCTCACACTGCTGAGGAGCTGCTCATGCCAGAAATGGAGGGTGAGCTAACCTGGGTTATGCGGTTTGACGAAAATACTGGCACCGAGGAGTACCAGAACAAGGTCGGGTTTAGCCCTTCACACGTTCTCCGGAACTGTAAGGTATTGTTTACAAACCAGCTGTATGCGGACCTCAATGTTGGCCACAGTATTGAGACATTTCATAACGTGCCAGTATATTTCTGTCGCTGGAAATGCAGTCTCCCACCTGTTGACTTGAAGAGAAAGCACAACGAGCCTTACCGGCATAAGATAGGCAAGATTGAGCATTTGCGAGAACACGAGGCAGACAGCCTGACCATAATCTCTCGCACTCTCAGAAAGCATGTTCAACTTCGTATCCCGGACTCCGAAATCCGCAAGAGATGGCGCGGTGCTGAGTTCGCCCAGGACTGGCTAGGAAGCCACAAAACATATCAGATCAATGAAGATGGGGATTTTGACGTTCGGAGGAAGTACACCTTCGGAGATTCGTTCTGTGGAGCTGGTGGCACGACCTGTGGAGCAGTCAAGGCTGGCCTGGTACCGAAATGGGCGTTTGATCTGGACGAAACCGCCATACGTACGTACTCGTTCAACTTTGAGGAGACCGGGGTCCAAGCACGACGAGAGCACGTCTCAGACTTCCTCGCAGCAGCCAAGCGATGGCTACGAAGGTTCATTGTCGACATCGCACATCTCAGCCCTCCATGCCAACCGTTTTCGCCGGCGAATACGACACCCAACGAGCAACTGAATGAGAAGAACCGGGCTGCTCTGACAAGCGTAGACGATATACTGCGACTATGCAAACCAAGACTGGCGACATTGGAGGAGGCAGCCGGCATGGAGCATCCCAAGCATCAAGGTTGGCTTCGCAAGCTGGTGACCATGTTCATCGACAACGGATACAGTGTGCGCTGGAAGATTGTGGATCTCAAACGCTTTGGGGTGCCGCAGACTCGAGACCGATTGATTGTCATTGCTTCCGGGTAAGATGTGATGATACACTTCGTGGAGTCAAAGTAAATGTACTGACCTACCTTCTAAGCCCAGGGGAGAAATTGCCGCCGTTCATCTTGCCTACCCACGGTCTCGAGGCTGGTCTGAAGCCATTCCCATCCATTGCCTCGGCGATCTATGACATCGACCCTTTGGCGGTAGACCATGACATACCGCGCTCCTTTGATGCGCCTAAGCGCGCAATCGATGCAGCCGGACTCGCGGGCACAATCACCACCGGCGGTGGAGGGGACAATGTCTACCACCCGAGTGGCCTGCGATCGTATACCGTCCGAGAGCATGCTTGCTTGCAGACGTTTCCGCCCGAGTTCCTTTTCGCTGGCACGCCCACGCAGCAGCGGCGTCAAATCGGCAATGCAGTGCCCCCGGTGTTTGCTGCCGCTTTGTTTGGGCATCTGCGCACATGTCTGGAACAGGCAGATCTGGAGGAGATGAGGCAGAGTAGGCTGGGCTAGTGACGGTGGAAGAAGTCAGCGAGGTCAGAAGATTGAATGAGAAACTCGTGAAAGTCTTGTCGCAGAACAGAACGGTCAGTGACACACATTGCATTGGGGAATGGTCAGAAAAAGTTGCCATGGGTACTTTCCGATGCCGTGCTCGTTGGTGTGTGCGCATATGGATATGGGTGGTGATGACACTGTAGAAGGCATGCTACACATCGTGAGACGTCGACCACCGACGTACGGGCTGCATGAATACGAACGAAGAGAGCGGGTTGATCAAAGTTTCCCCAAAGCCTTTTCTGCCAGACTCGCCTCTGGCAAATCGTAGGACGGATTGCGCAGTTTCGAGCTGAAGAGACTTTCTCCAAGCAGTGCGAGTGCTCCGAGTGCAGACAGGAGGGAATTATCATTATGTGAGCTAGAGTAACAACATTGTCGAATACAACATGAATCGCATCCTCGAGAGCCTTGGGTCATTGTGGAGGACTCAATGCCACAACCTGACTTTGGTATCACACATCCCGAATGGTGAATTCCATTTTCATCTTCCACCAGTCCATTCACCCTTCATTCTGTCCAGTCCACACGCTTCTTCCCGTTGTTGGTTACAAACGTGCCTAGACACCCACTGTCCCTGACATATGAGTGGCCCTGGGCCGTAGCTGTAGCTGGAGATTGTCGATAGTGGAGGAGGATGTGTGAAAGCTGAGAGCTGAGAGCTGAGTGAGGGGAGAGTGAAACCATGACAAGGTAAACGGTGCTGCTGGTCGGTAGGGCGATAAAGTGGTCTGCTCGGCAAGTTCCACAAAGCTATGTCGCGCTGACTCGTTGGTGTCTTGCGTGGTTCCAGCTCCATAGTTCTGATTTGATGGGTGGTTCTCTTTATCAGCTCATTGTCGCGGGTCAAGCTCAGAGGCCGAATCTCAGTCCTGTGAACTACTGTCAGCGGGATTGGAAAGAAAAGCCTGGCAGTCAATACTTACGGTCATCTTGTTCATTCGGGTCCTTGTCGCGGTCAGACTGGATTAGTCTGTCTGGTGACTGGTGAGGCGCGCTTGATCACGTATTCGACGATCAAGAAGGCCAGGAGCACGGAGACAAGGCTTCCCAGCAGCACCAGCGTGAACAGATACGGGGTCGTAATGGCCATCATCTTGACAGACGTGGTCTAACAGGCGCGTCTCACAAGCGGGTCTCGTAACTAACAGTTAATGAACTGATGAGGAAGGTTCGCTTTGATGAAGATGAGGCGTGTTGATGAGTCGCGTGAGTCGATGGAGAGAGACACTGAGCAGTAGTACGCAGTATTTGAATGTGCGACTTGCGCAGGAAGTCGCCAAGTCTTGCATTCTGCCATTAGCGTATCGACGACTAGGTCTGATCAGAGAGACGACGATCACGTTCCCCTGTGTTGGCACATAGACATCCGCCCAACCCTGGTGTTGGCGTGTACACTTGTGTACCAGGAGGGTGCCCGGCACAAATCCACGTATTCGCACTAGTAGGCGGATTCCTGGAACATTTTGTCATGTTGTAGCCGATCCAAGGTCTTCATGTTATGAAAGTTGGTGAGGAAGTTCTGTGCGAAATAGATTACAGAGAAGTCATCGCCATATTGCCCGATTACTTGTATACCAACCGCCCGCTCTGCTTTCCATGGAAAATCAGGATGTCGAGGTCCAGGCACTGATATTGCTGGAAGTCCTGCCAGACTGGCGGGGACTGTGAAGACATCATTCATATATGATTCGACGGGACCGGCATCCTTCAGAAATCGAACATGAGGCGGAGGCGTCGGTGCGGTGGGCACGATGATCACATCCACGCCGTCCTTGTTGACAGGAGCTTCTTCGTGGAAAGGATGCGGCATTCTGAAAACAGCATCAAAGTCTTTCTGGACCATGCGCCGGACCTTCTGGGCCTGGATAAAGTAGTTGTCCATCGCCCCGGCGCTCAAGCTGTATGTGCCTAGCAGGATTCTCCTCTGAACCTCGGGCCCCAGGTTGTCATGACGATAACCCGAAAAAAGGCGGCCAGCATCGTCGTCGGAGGGACGAGTGCGCGGAGTGCCGTATCGAACACCATCGTATTTGGCTAGGTTGGAGGAGGCCTCGGCGGGAGCAAGAACATAATATGATGACAGCGCATGCTTGGTGGATGGTAGCGAAATGGGAACAATCTCGAACCCGTACATCTGCAAATGGCTCAATGTTGCCGTCCAGGCCCAGCGAACCAAGGGATGCATCTCGGCGATATTGTACTCTAACGGAACACCAATACGTCGGGCAAAGCTCCGTTGGAAAAGAAACATGTTCCGTGCCCTAGCTCGCTGTGCAGGGGGAGCTATTTCTCGAGGAGTAAAGGCCGGGGTGAAGAGAATGTTGGACTCCAGTACGGACACCCTGCGCCGGTTCTTGGCCGTCTGTATTCGCTTTCGAGACTGAGCAGTCAGACAAGTGGGATCGCTTGCATCCGGTCTCCGGAGAATATCTGTATCGATTAACTTGGGAGATATGACTTTTGCGGATAATACTGACCGAATGTGAGTCTGATATCCGCGGCGGACTTCGCGATGATTCCCACGGTGTCTAGGGAGTTGGCGTACGGCACCACGCCATATCGCGATATCATACCATAAGATGGCTTAAAGCCAACCAGGCTCATGTAGGCCGCAGGCAGTCGAATTGAGCCTCCAGTATCGGTGCCGATTGCAATGTGGGCGAGATCTTGGGCCACGGCAAGCGCACTGCCGCCGGAGCTCCCACCGACTGAGAGGGCACTTGCGCGCCGCGGGTCACCGTTGGTCACAGCCCCATAAGCAGAGTTGATTGAATGCGAGCCCATGCCAAACTCATCCATATTGGTCTTCCCTAAGACGATCATGCCTGCTTTTTCCAGCAGCTTTGTGACCGTGGCATTTTGAGGAGGACAGAACCCCTTGAGCACTCTGGAGGCACATGTTGTTGGCAACTGCTTCGTGAGGATATTGTCCTTGATCGCGGCCGTGTAACCATCGTTGGCAGACTTCAGCGCATCTGTCCAGAAGAAGTCAGTCAAGCCACAGACGGAACGCAGACAGATTCACTCACTGTAGTTGTTCCAGTTGGCCGTACTCCTGTGCAGCCTTTCGGCATGCTTCAGTCGTCCCAGCAAATACTCCGGCCGCAGCAAGGAGTTGTTGACCGAGATGTACGGGTTTCCATAGTGAGGGGAGAACTGCGAGCGCCGTAGGATGGCCTTCGCAGACTTCTTCAGGTATATGTCCCTCCAGTCACGATGGCCCCGATCTAAGCGCATCAGCCTCTAGCTGGACATGCAGCCACAGTCTCCGGCTCTTGTGCACTGCGATATCAGGGTCGGATCTCTTCTGGGTCTCACACCAACTTGCATGTTGCTACCATGTTCAATTGAACTTGATGTTCAATGAAGGTCTGGCCGCGGAGCGTGAACTGCTTGGCACGGGGTTCGGAAGAATGATTTCTCCGGCGACAACGACATACATCTAAGCAACATCTATCTCTCCAGGAACATGTTGCAGGTAACAGACTGGTTCTTCTGCTTCTCATTCTCGATATATACATATATATACGGTACGAGATCCCTACAACTTTGCGCTAAGGTAAGGGACCTGGAACGGTCCAACATCAGCACTGGTCTTCTTTCCCAGTAACATCTCAGTCATAACCAAACCAGTCCCCAAGGATAAGCTGATTCCCCACGGGCCATGGCCTGATGCAATCCAGACCCCGCCGTTGCCAGTATGGACACCGCCGAGATACTTCTCGGGCACTTTTCCTAGGATTGGCTTTCCGGTCGAGCTCACCGGCCGGAAGCAAAGTGATTCCCGAATAGTCTCGAGGTCATCTTGGTTCAAATCAGCGCCTTTCTTGGCCAATCCTACGAGCTGCACCGTGGTCTTGCGAAGATCTTTGATTGCTTCCGGGTCGATCATCTTCTTCACGTCGACCGCCAGTTCCGGCAACGGCAGGTCGTTATGGTTCAAGCCACCGAGCCAAACCTCGGCTTCTCCATTGCGGGCTAGACGTGCGTATGCTTCAGGGGCGTACGAGAAATGCGGACCAGGAGGGCAGTAGATGGAGTAGCATAGCCAGTTGTCGTCTCCGCCGCCGAGTTTCCGTTTGAGAGGGTCAATGAACGGTTTTGTGTACCGAGGCGACCTCACGGTGATGCTGTGTCCAGCCAGGGCTTGGACGGGGACACTCAAGCCACTCTCCGGGAACAATGTCTTGAACACTCTCGGCGTCCACACCCCGGCCGCTATCACGACGTTTTTGCAATCGATTTCCCTCACCGACGGGGTCTCTGGGTTGGTCGATTGTAACTTCAGTCCGGTCAAGACACCCTTCTCGTCGGTCAACACGGCTGAAGCTCTTGTAGACAGGTGCACCTGGACGCCCATCTTTTTGCACTCATCCAGCAAGAACTGGCACAACTCTCTCGGTTCGACCTGCGCACATTCTTCCGCGCCGGCAATCGTCTCCAGGGTTCCTCCCACATGTGGCGCGAAGACAGCCGGGGTGCCATCGGCATTCATGAGAGTGCCCGCGCCCGGAACATGACGGGGTCTGGTCGCTTCGGAATTGACCCCCACCAGTCCGGCCCGGCTTGTGCCCTCGATTAACCAGTCTTCGCCTCTGGTCTTCTTGCGTTTCCCATCGACGCCCGTCTCCTCCAGAGTGAGGCTGTAGACATGGCTCCCACTATATCCCCATCTCCTGGGACCGTTGTGCTTCTCGGCCAACTCACGGTGCAGCCTGTAAGAGAGCGCCCCGAGGTCTGACACTTCCGGGACGAACCAATCGAGGGCGAGGAAGCCTCCAGCATATCCACTGGCGGATTCGAACAGCGCTGGTGAAGATTCAATGATATGGATGGATTGGGGAGATGAGGATGTATTCTTCTGCTGCGCGAGGTAATAGGCGGTCGAGACCCCGATAATGCCTCCGCCCAAGATGACAGTCGACATACTGGCCTAGAGATAGATGAATGCCAGGAAGATTTCTCACTTGTTCGTCGAGGACTTGAAGGGACATCCGTCAAAGCCAGAGGTGTCGATAACACATATAAGTACCTACATACGTATTCCCTGTGCCTGATGTCTACCCTGGAGTGGCGCCCTTTGGCGATCGACACAATCAATCGCCGTTCTCCGCTGCCTCTCCGCTCTTCGCCCCGAACGCCGACTCGGTGTTTCGTTGACCGTTGCGCATACCTATCCGACTGCATCAAGGCTACAACACCGAGTTGTGATGTTCAAACAGGGCGTTCACCCAGATGTCATTCGTGCCAGTCGACAATGTTGGTGGTATGATGCTCCCTTGCTAAAGCATTCAGCCTCCCTCTTTCCGAAGCAAATATGCTTCATTAGATCCAGCGGCGGCCCAGAAACTCTGCACCGTGCCGCAAAGCCCACTAATCCGCGCGGATAGATGGCAGTCTGGACCATGAAGGACAGGAAGGCGTAGATGGACTGATAGGTGTCTTTGCAATACGGGAATCACTGTATTCCCATCTGTAAGCGGGTGTGTCCATCGCATGCCATAATCACCGCTTCTCGCCCTTATACTCTGTATGCCAAGGCTGAACCACCGCCTTTTGTATTGCCGGGCAGAAAAACACCAAATTCGCTTCCAGTTGCGTTCAAGAGAACAAACATCAATTGAAGCACGACTCCAGTTGACCGCAACACTACACTCTCCAACCCTACTCCCCGAACTAGAGACAATTGATTGGAATATGCATGACAAATAGATCGTTGCGGTTCCAAGGCCAGGAATGCCTTCCATCATCTCACCTCTGTCCCCCGACCCGTCGGTGCCGGCCTCCGCCATGCCTTTGATCTCTCCCAATGCCCTCCTCTACGCGCACCTCAAACAGAGTCCGCCGAGACGCCCCTCGAGCAGAACACCCTCTGAACCTCGACCGATCCAGCTCAACGTAGGCTCCCTGGCACACTGCAATGGGTCCTCGCTGGTCAAGATCGGCGCCACCACAATTGTCTGTGGAGTCCGCGCCGAGATTCTGCCCGTCACCGAGATCCCCAGCTTCAGAATCACAAAGGCCGGCGCTTCATATACACCGACGGCTCCTGTAGTGCGGGATACTCGGTATCAAGGCGACACCGAGAAAGATAATAAAGAAGAGGATGAGGGGGAGTACTCGCCCATTTCGCTTTACAACTTGGTTGTCCCAAACATCGAGCTAGCCACCGGCTGCTCACCGAGACACCCTGCAAACGCAGCACCTTCGACCGAAGCCCAGTCCATCTCGCAACGGCTGCTGTCGCTACTGCACACGTCGCAGCTGGTCCGGTCTTCCGATCTCGAGATCATCTACACGCCGCCCGCGCAGGCCGAGGATCTGGAGCTCGGCATCGACACCGATCCGCAACTGAAAGCCTATTGGACACTCTACGTCGACATGATGTGCATCAGCCATGGCGGGTCGGTCTTCGATGCCGCGTGGCTGGCGCTCTATGCTGCCCTCAAAGACACAATCATCCCGAAATCATGGTGGGACGCCGATTTGGAACAAGTGCTCTGCTCGGCTGAAGTGGCAGATGCGCGGAAACTCAGTCTGAGAGGGATCCCTGTGCCGAGCAGTTTTGGCGTCTTTGTCCCCGAGAAGAGGGTGCTTGGTCAAGACGGCCACCAGGATCCATATTGGGTGCTCATGGACACGGATGGATTTGAGGAGGAGGCGTGTGCCGAGACCGGATGTATCACTGTCGATGCTGGCGGTGGGAAGGGATCATCGTTAATATTACGCATTGAGAAGAACGGTGGATCTAATGTTGGCGTGGAGGAAATGGTCAACATGGTCACGTTGGCTGAGCGGAGGTGGCAGCAATGGAAAACCGTGCTGGACGCCGCATTGTCGAACAGCTAACGTGGAAGCAAACTGGCAGGCAGAAGCAAAGCTATCGAAAATGAGATTTGATACCCTGTATTTGAAAGGAGTATGGATTCTACTGTGGAAATGGAAATCAAAGTATGTGATGGCAAAGGCATCATATTATCACCTTGTCTAGCTTCCAATGCCGGCCTGAAAATAATCATGACACCTTTTCCAACTCCACGGTTAGCCATGCTCGCTGAGAAGCCTGATAGAACCTTGCATGGTCCGAGGTTGCTTTCACAACATCCCCTGGGCGGTATCACTTGGATGGCCTACGTTAGTTTTCCACCGGGACGTGTTCCATCCGCCTGGAATAACAGCACTCCCTACATGCAAGGGACTGCTATATCAGGGAATGTCTTGACCGGTCAAAAGGGAAGCATATCTGTAATCATAGAGCCCAACGTAAGTTGGAATAGATCAATTCAGACGAACGGAACAGAGATCCTTGGATACATACGTCTCATGTTTCCTGTGTTGGATTTGTAACAATTGTGCTCCGCGCAAAAGAGTCGTGATAAAGAGCATCTTGAGTTCTGCATAGCCTTCAGAACCAACCCCATAACCATAAGCACATCAATTCCTCAGCGCCCGCAACCTATCACCCAACCCTTCTTCAAGTTTGGCCCTGTCCGCAGATTCCGCCGCAGCCAGCTCGTGCTCGGGCACTTTCTGCTGGATTTCCTGCGACAGCTCGACGCCCGCCTCGTCCGCGACGCGATTTATCAGAGCCTCGACCTCGCCCTGGCCCTCGACTCCGATCTGCTGGCTCTCGACGCCGCCCGCCACGCCTTCATAATAGCCCGAGACAACGTCGAGGTCCTCGAACTGCGACTCGAACTTCTCCATGACGGCACCGATCTTTTCCAGGTCCATGCTCTTCAAGGCCACGTCCATTCCTTTGACAGTCTGTGCCATCGACGCAGTCACGGTCCGCATCGTGATGGCCGTTTGCACTCGCGCCGCGACGGCGTCGATCCGGGCGGCCAGGGTGAGTAGTTGGATCCTTTGCTGGGAGTTGCGGATTGAGTTGGTGGCATACAGGCGGGCGATTTGCGGTTGAGGAGGGGTCTGGGTCAGGGCTTTCTTGAGTTTGGCCTGCTCGGCGCGGGCATCGCGGTCGGCTTTGGCGGCTTGTCGGTTGAGTTGTTTCGAAGTAAACTGCAGACAGACAGGGAGGGACGTCAGTAGACGTTGGATCTCCAGGTAGACAGGTAACAGTTGCAGCGGGAGGGTAGTGCCACAAGCGAGTTGTTATTGTCCTGGGTAGCGGGAAGCTGGCACCGCCGCAGTTGTGAAGAAGAAGAAAACATACCTTCAGATTGAACAGCGCCTTCTCGAGGCCAGACATGTTTGGAGTACTGCTCGGGATTGAATGGTAGGTTGATCGCAGATGGCTGCTGTCTTGCCTATCTAACTTCCGTTGCGAGGGGATTATGGAGAAGGCTGATGCACAGATGTGATGATTCGGGCACTGGAGTCGATGGAGAATTGTCAAGGAGGAGAGAGTCAGCACGTTGTTGGCGGCGTGAGATCCGACGTCTGTCGTTCAAGTTGCTTGATGTTATATGTGTAGTCAGTAGCCTGGAGGTGTGTGTGTATTCGATGCCGTTCGATGGTACCGTCTGTATCTGGAGTCTCGGCTGCCAGTGAGTGACTGCCAACTGCCCGATGACGACGAACGGCGCCGCAGGAAACTGCACTAACGCGGAGCATAAGGACCAAGTTGCACTGCACTACATGGAGCAACTTTGCCGAGAGCCATACCTGTATAGCCCGATGTTCATCCGACATCAGCCTCAGCCTCGTACTGCATCTCTTGTGGCAGGGCAGGTCCGTTGTAAGCTGATATCTACTCTCGACATGGCCTTTGCTACTGTTCCTTGTGCTCCAAAGCGATAGGTCTGGGAGACAGAGTACTGTAAAGCTCTGAGAAGCAGAGTTTGAACGCATACCTCTCTACATACGGTCCTTGAAGTAGGAGGAATGCATAATCATACAAACATACGAGATTAAACTCGTTCCCTTTGTTTGTGGACCGGGTTCCTCTTGATTGATCTCAAAGGCAGCCAGAGTTGACTACCTTGGTAGTAGTAGTACTATACTGTACACATAACACCCGTAATCATACCTCCTATGCATCCATGAGATTTTTGTCTTCTCTTTCTTTTACTAGTACCTTCATTACCCGCGCAATGCATTTTCAATATTGATGCCGAAGATCCAAAAAAAGCAAGAGCAAGAGCAAGAGCAAAAGAACGCGCTCTCTAATGCGTCACATCCTCCCAGCCTTGCCATCCTCGGCCTTTGACGTGTTTGAGCTCTTCCTCGGTATATTGCTTGCCGGTGGTGAAGTAGCCGGCGTTGATCTTTGCGTCGATTTCGACCCGCGAATCTTCTGGGATCATGTCTATAAAAAGACAAAGATAGTTAGAAATCTGTGTGTATATATGTGTATGCATATGATTTCCTTGTGGGTTAAAGAGGACGGAGAAGGGAAAGGGTTTTTGAGAAGGTGAACAGAAAGAGTTCTAGACTTACGATCAGGTATAGGAACGCGCTCGTAGATAGGAATGCCCTGTTCCACAATAGCGTCGTGTTTCATGTTGGACATTGACAACATCCGGTCGATCTTGGTGATGCCGAGCCAGTGAAGGATGTCTGGCATCAGAGCCTGGAAACGCATCTAAAAGGCTGATTAGTCTCTTTTTGTGTGTGGTAGATGGTAGCTAAAACCCCCGACCCCGAAGAAGAAAGACTTACATCTCTGACGCCGGCAATGTTCTCAGTTCTGGTAAAGTACTTGTCCGCAGTGTCCCCCCCTCGCTTGCGCGAGTTGTAGACCAAGTACTTGACGACCTCGCCTAACGCGCGACCTTCCTTACGGAAGTAGATGACGACGCCGGACCCGCCGTTCTGGGCCTCCTTAATAGCCTCCTCTATACCGAAGGCTAGGTACGGGCGACAGGTGCAGATATCGGACTGGAAGACGTCGGAGCCGTTACACTCGTCGTGGATGCGCAGGGCTAGTTTGACGTTCGGGTCGGATACGCGCTCCGGCGGGCCGAAGATATAGACGGTCAGGCCGCCGATCGGGGGCAAGAACACCTTAATGTCCGGCCGCGTGATAAGTTCCGGGTAGCTGCCGCCGGTGTGCTCGAATAGGGCGCGGCGGAGTACGCCTTCGTCGACGCCAAACCGCTTAGACACGCCCGGCAGGTACCAGACGGGCTCGACGGCGACTTTGGTCACGCGTACATCGCCGGACGCGTTCACCACTACGCTGCCGTCCACTTGCAGCCGGTTCTCGCGCACGGCCTCCGTGACCTCGGACAGCCGCATATTGGCGCGCGTGATGGCGATGGTCGGCCGCACGTCCAGCCCCGCGTCTAGGTAGCTCTGGTAGTTCTTGACCACCTCGTGGCCGAACGGGTCCATGGACACGATCTTGTTCGCGTCCCCCCACGCCGGTTGTTGCGGCGGGCTGAACGTCGGCTGCGTATTCTGGAAGTTGGGCCGGAAGTCCGTCGGCAGGTCCCCGATCGCTATGGCCAGCGCCGCGTAGATCCCGTAGCTGCCTCCATGGGCGCCGATGGCGTTGCGCTTCTTCAGCGTCTCGCCATGTCGCGATACCAGGACGGGTCCTCTTTCCTGTGGATCGGCTGCTCCCCAGTTCAGGCTGACTGGGTCAACCACACTTTGTCCGGGGTATGTTGTTAACTGGTTGGGAAGATGAAGTCAGCAAAGAAAGATCTCTTGGTTTTTATTGACACTTCCGGGAGGTGTTGAACGATCGAGCCCGCTCGGAGCAGCAGCAGAGCAGCAACAGTAACAGACATGATAGACAATCAACAGCCCCGTAATAGTAGCAGCACCATGTGGACGACATGGAACGCCACAGAAAGGAAAGAGTAAGTGGGAGAGATGCATGAAGGAGAGCACAGCAAGGCTAGAGGCCAAGGCAAGGGGGGAGGCACAGGCCAGGCACATACAATAATGCGGCCCTTGTAGCGATTGTTGATCGAATTGGACCAAGGCTGCTGCTGTTGTTCGGCGTTTCCCTGCACCATGGTTTTGGCCATGTCGTTGGTTTTGCGGCGTTTGGGCAAGGGCGCTTCGGGCTCGACTAAATCCAGAGAGTATGTGGTGTTCATCTTGGAGGACCTTTTCTCCCTGAAGGCCTATTTGTACCAAGTAATTTATGTTGTGGACAGACCGAACAGTGTACCTGGCAGGAGATACAAGATTGAGAATCTTCGCCGTGCTCAACCCAGAGTGGGCATTCTTTTTAGAGGGGCAGCTCGATAGGGAGTGGCCAGCGTTGGCCTGCAGGCAAAGGTTACTGTCGGTAGAGCTGATCTGACTGAACAAAGAGCTGCTGATCGGAACGGCTGGACGTAGCTCCACAGTCCAGGTTTGCTGTGATGACTGCTACGTTGTTCGAACCGTGGTTGATTGTGATTGTGACTCAATTATACTGTGGAGGAAGGCGAGATAAGATATACCAAGGTGTGGAGGGTCAGCGCGGAAGGGAAGAATATGTCCAATCTGTGGAGTGACGATAACGAGATAAAGAAGGATCTCGAGGAGTCGCAATGGGGACTGGGAGAGACCAATCAGAGATGGTTTCAAGGGGGGGTAGGGGGAAAAGGGGGAATACTGATCTGTCCAATCAGGCTCCAGAGGTGGATCCCAAGGCTGCGGACAATTTGTACTGAGTTCTCGTCGACTTCAAGTTGAGGTTTGGTGAGATTGGTGATGAGCCTCACGGTAAGGCATACGTCTTCAGTATTACTACTTTGCCTAGGTATCATAACTTGTAGCTGAGAGCAGGGCGTGACGATGCGACCGGGCCAAGGAACCGTTGTCCAGTAGGTAGGTTTTGTGACCCATCCAATACCACCGACTACTAGTTATTGGCCATGCAGCATCATACCAGAGCTATCCCGAGGCTCACCAGAACTGTGGGATGTTGGCTTGAAGCTCAAGCACGTCGGGAATCTACCCTACAGCAATGACTAGGGTGATTCCTAGGAAACCTCCATGGAGAGCGAAGATGGCAGGGAAACTTTGACTTTTGTTTCGTACCCTATGCTTTGCTCCGACCTCGAGTAGATGGGCAAGCAACAGCTTGCTTTGTTCCATGTCTCCTATAGTAGTCCTCTCAAAACAGCGTCCCGTCGCCTTCGATGAGGATGGGGCTCGAACCGGTAGCCGGGCGATACTTGGCCGCAAGTTCGCGTCCGGCCTTCCAGGACCCAGCCTCGAGCATCTGCGCCATGCTCAACTGGACGCCTTGAGCCGCTAACCGTGAGGAGATGATGGCGTAGAGCTTGTCGAGCAGCGCCACCGTCATGGCCCGCCATTCGACAATGACATCGCCGGACGCGCTGAACCCGGGCAATTCCTCCCCGGACGCTCGCAACCCCTCGGCCAGGGCCTCGGGCTTGAGACGCAAAGCCTTCATGTCGACAAACAGGCCTCCGTTGCGGTACTCGGGCAGTCCGGTCAACAGGCCTTGGTTAGTCCACGCGAGGCCGAGGATCCTCACGAACGGCACCATGAGCGAGTACGCCAACCACTGCGTCAACTTGTGGAATGGTTGGATCGACGTTGTTGGGGTTTGTGGTTCTCCCTGCTTCTCGGCCTCGTGAGCCAGCACTTGCAGCGGCCATGCATCGCCGATGGGCTGTCCGTTGATGCGGGTGCGGCCTTCGGGCCAGGAAGGAATCAGCAGCTGTTGCAAGCATGACCAGAGTAGCTCCACGTCAAGAACCTTGCTAGATCCTGCCGATTTGACCAGGTGGTCTGTCGAGAGGGACAAGCGTTCAAAGGTTAGTCATGTCCGGATAAAGTGAGCAGTGGAAAGGGATGCGACGCTCTTACCGACGAGATTGCCAGGACGACCCTCCGGGCCGAAAATGGCCGGGAGTTTCCGTAACTCTTGTCCCACGCGGTTGAGGAGCTGGACGCGGGACGAGACGCCCACCATGGGGTTCTGTGGTGACAATTGGAAATGTCGACTGAAAGTGGCTTCGTCCAACTGTGACAGCCCTTGGCCTATGGTTTTGACGGTTAGGAAACATATCACTGATGACTTTCACATATGAAAGGCGGTGTGGGACATGAGGATGGGGCGGGAATGGGAGGGGGGAACAGCAAACATACCATTCACACTCTCCGGATTGGATTGATCCGTCGTAAAGGCACCTGCGGTGAACATGTAGAGAGAGGCGACCGCGATGCCTTCACTTCTCGAATACACGCGGTCATGGCCGGGCTCGTTGAATCGCCAAACATTCCCGGCGCCCGCGTCCAGCAAAACCGAGACGGAGAACAGGTCGATCAAGCGACGGGTGAGTTCCATCTCGTCGGTACAGCCGTTGTCTTTCCAGCGGGCGAGCAGTGGCGCGACCCGCGGAACGCCGCCGACATCGAAATGCTGCCAGCGGCCATGAGGTGGGATTTCGTGATATCGATCCGGCCCAAAGTCGCGCTGTCCGCAACCCAGCACGTCAGAAGTTGGATCCTTGTCGATGTAAAGCCTCGCGACAGCGGGACAATGCAATGGTCATGTTGGAGGGGAATTAGGAGAGGCTCGGTTCATACGTACCGCGATCACGCCCGACACGAAATCGGCAACGCTGGACATCTCGTCGGCGTCATAATCAAAATGGAGCAGTTCTCCCCTTTCGGCGGCGGCCAGGACTTTTTGAGCTTGCCTTCGCACGGCTTGGAGGCTGAGCAGCTCTTTTACTTCTGGTGTGACTTGCATTGTCGTTGTAGTGGTGGTTGTCGTCGTTGCTGTTCGTCGTTGCTGTCCGTATTTCGGCCGAGAGAACTGAACCCTCCCTCGTATCACAAAAGGGAATTCATTAAACAGCCTCTTCCCGTCGGTAATAGCCAGTATGCTGCATCCGTGACTCAGGACATTCTTTTCGATCAGCTATGCAATTTTCAAGAGCCCACCCGTGATTCGATGCCACCTTCGCTTGATATTTATTGCGTTATCCACAATGCCGGCGACGAGATGCCCCACACAGGAGAATGGAGGATCGAGTTTATCTGATTTCAGGCTGGTAGCGGATGTATCGTAAGCTGGTCGCAGCATGGAGAAGTATGCAATAAAATGGTGATAAGCGATGCAACCGTGTCGCTGTTGTCCATCTCCACTGACTGCGTCGTGGCCGCTGTGGGGAGTCGCTGTTATCTCTTATCTCTTATCTGTTATCAGCCCTCGAAGGTATTGCAGCTTACCTTATCGATACTTACTATAATGTTACTATCTACTATCTGAACACTGCAATGCTATACAAAGATCTAATTAGCATCCTGCCCTTGAGATTCTAGTGCCTAGGGAATCCCACAAGAACCTCCTACGTCCCCGCCCTATCTCTCGTATGCCCAAGTATGCCCACTGCCTGCAAGGGCTCTTTTTAATGAGCATCGAAGCGTGTCAATCCACCGGTGACCCATTATCCATACAAGCAAGCAGTCTCCCGGAATAAACGAAACTGTGGTTGCAAAGTATCTACTTAGTCCAACCTGTCCCATCCTCCCCTTCACTCCAGTCTACCGCATAACATTACGCCCTCCATCATACAGACGTCAGTCTCTTCATCTTTGCTCCCTCGTCCAACACCAGTTTCCCAGCCGGCCCAATTGGGGTTTGCTGACCATGGTTGCCGCCCTGAAATTGACCACGATGCCGCCCAACACCAGGATCCTGCAAGACGACTCTGCCTCGGCCCTACTGGAGCAACTGCGGGATCGGTCGCTTCGCTCGTCACAGGTTCGGAATCTGGTCGGGCAAATCACTCAGATCCTGGCCAAGAGCGTCATCACGCCGCCGTCGCCGAATGAGCAGATTGCCATCATCGTCATCCTCCGCTCGGGCATGGCCATGATGGAGCCTTTCGTCTCCCAACTCCCCAGTGACACCGACAATGTCATCTACCACCTGGGCCTGTTCCGAGAGAAGGAGACCCTTCAACCCGTCGAGTACTACAACAAGCTCCCCCGCAAGAGCCCCCGAATCAAGCACGGATATGTCCTGGATCCTTTGATCGCCACCGGCGGCACTGCCACTGCCAGCATCCAGATTCTCAAGTCAGTATCTCCCCTTCCCGCTGTCCTCTCGTGATGTCCATCAAGTCCATCTGCTAAAAGAGTATGACCAAAAAACAGAGACTGGGGTCTGGAGAAAATCACCTTTGTTTCCCTTCTGGCCAGTAATTCTGGGTTGGATGCCGTGGCAGGCACCTGGTCCGAGGGGGTCGAGTTTATCGTCGGCGCGGTCGACCAGGGACTGGACAGCAAGGGATTTATTCAACCAGGACTGGGGGATATCGGCGATCGACTGTTTGGTACAACCAACTAAAGGGTGTGGAGTCGAGATGAGGCCGCATGCCTGGGGGCACTCCTGACGACAGACAGGTAGCCCAACCAGCCAGATATGACAGCGTCATATAAAAGATTGAAATGAATTTTTGTTGATATCTCTCCAAGAACCAGCGCAGACGACATGTTCTGGGTTTTGGAATCATCGCGTTGACGATGCGGACGTTGGACGGTTGTAGCAAATCGCTTCTAGCACCGCCATCCCTTGCAGTCTTGAACGTCTGATCGTGGTGTTCGGAAGCTAGGGTCCGAAAAGGATCGTCCTATACTTGTGTGACAACGCTCTTCCCGATTGCGGGCAAGCCAAAAGTGCGCGCCAGGTAGTGTCCATTCAGTCAACGCAGGTAGTCTCGAAGAACGACATATCCTTCTGTAAAAGCCGAAGCCACAAGACTGGTCGACTACCGCCATAGCGATGTCACAGTCTTGGTCAAGGTAAAGAATTGCCAGCGACTCCTTCCGTTGACATTCAGGTCTGCGTCCCAAAGGATTTTCAGCATCGTAAACAATCGAAGAGCGGTTTGAGGACAATCATGGACCTACCACCGAGAAAAGAATCCTTGTTGCTCGTTCGGAGAACAGGGCCTGACGTGGCTGAAATGGTTTCGTCAGTATCTTAGGGTCTGCTCGGGTCAGATAGCCAGTTGACCTACCCAAGACTGGGACATTGATTCCAATTTGACCAATGTTCACCGACTGCTGGAATGCTCGCGCGCTGACCGGACTAGCAGTGAACAGCGTACAGCCGTTCCCATCTGTCATGGGCTTTCTGTTAGGGAGCTGAGTGGGCAAAGGTGAAGGAGACAGGCCACTCACATCTGTTTTCGTTGACAATCTCAACGGCCTCGTCCAGCGAGGCCACCTCCATACACGCCAGGACGGGCCCAAAGATCTCTTCTTGGTAGCATTGCATGTATGTACGGACTTTAGAGAGGATCGTCGGACCGAAGAAATTACCGTCGGCGTAACGGTCGACGGAAAGGTTCCTGCCGTCCAGTAACACTTGCGCGCCTTCTGCCTCAGCCGAATTGACGATCTCTTCCACTCGTTCCTTTGCAGCTGGTGTGATCAATGGGCCGACATCGACTCCCTCTTCGAGGCCACGACCGATAACGAGTGATCGGGCCACCTCCACCAAGTCGGCAATCCAGTCCTTGGTGGAGCCGACAAACAAAATAACGCTTAGAGCCATACATCTCTGCCCTGCCGCCCCAAAGGCACTCCCGGCGATAGCATAGAGCGTCTGGGTCTTTGACGCGTCCTCGAGGACAACGCCGTGATTCTTGCCCCCGCATTCGACTTGGACGCGTTTCCTGGTCGCCCTTGCATGTTCGTAAACCCGCTCACCTGCCACATCCGAACCCACAAACGTGATAGCCTTCACTGCCGGCTGAGATAGAAGGACATCCACGACGGAAGAGCTCCCATGGACGACGTTGAACACTCCAGGCGGAAACCCCGCCTGCACGAAATAGTTTGCCAGGAGCATGGCCGCAGTTGGCGTCTTTTCCGAGGGCTTCAATACGAACGTGTTTCCAGTCAGAAGCGCATACGGGATGGACCACAACGGTATGAGCAGGGGAAAATTAAACGGCGTGATGGCGACACACACCCCCTGAGCAAGCATCAGCGTTGCTGTGCTACATGATTGTGAGAACATTAGGAGTAGGGACATCTCATACGTACCAGCGGCTCATGGAGCGTGTGAACCTCAGTTGCTCCGGTGGACATGTGAATTCCAAACATTTCATTGCTGATGGCGCAAGCCGTCTCGATGGCGTCCAAGCCACGCTCGATCTCAGCATCAGCATCTGCGAGAGTTTTACCGACCTCGCTACAGAGGCAATGTCTCTGATTCCCGTCATGTCAGCAGAGGTCTCTAAACCCGGGGTTCGGCCGACTTACAATCTTGGCCGTATTCTCCCGTATGATATCAAGCAGAGTCAGCATCTTGTGCCTCCGTTTGGAGAAGGAAAGCAGAGCCCAGGCCGGTTGTGCCGCTTCCGCCGCTGCAACCGCTTTCTGCACCTCCAAGATGGTCGAATTGGGCACTCTCGTGATCAAATTCTGGGTGGCCTACAAAATCCATGTTAGACCAAGAAGGGCGGTTGAGGACGGGAAGGGAGAGGAGAGGCGAGTGCTACTGGATCATGGACTTTGAACCACGCCCGCGTGCGCGAGAAGCTGAGCTCGTTGTTGACGAGATTGCATGTAACGGCGGGCGTAGCCATAGAGTCATTGTCGATTTCCATCCTGGTGGTGGTTGACGGCGTTTTCTGTTGCCTCTTCATGTCAGTCGATACTCTTGCCAACACGAAGCCGTATAAAGTCTCACCTCGAGCCTGATGCGTTTGCGAGCCGGGCCTATATGGATAGACACGGGATCAATCAGCGACGTCCCGTAAGGCTCAAAAGACAGGGCTAGGGCCTGGAGCGAGACTCTTATACCTTCGTCTGGACCAGGGTCTGCCGTGGTATCACTGCCGCGGCGGTGTCGCAAAGCCCCGGAGGCTGTTGATGCGATCATGAAGCATGAAGACGATCCGTAAATTGAGGCATAGCACGCATAAACCGGGCAAGTGATGAAGGTGAAAGGTCTCATTGTCTACTACCAGTAGAGCTAATTTCAGCCTGCCAAGCACGGGGGAGCTCTGACTGGTAGTAAGGCTCTTTAGGCACTTGGCGACCCCTCCAGGCGCCGGCTGCCCTTAATTATCGCCCTAGAGTCTAGGTGAACTGCATAGATTGGTGGTGGCCTTGTTACTACAACCTAGGCGTCTATAGCGCAGCACTTTGCTACAATTACTAGTAGTGCCTGATGAGTTACTACAGTACTAAGATGTTGGCCGGCGGTAGTAGTAGTTACTAGTAATAATAGGTAGTAGAGGCATCTACAGAGCCAGCCACTATTACCTACCACCTACTACTAATTCAAGGTATTTACCTGTGTAATCAATTAGGAAGGACCCAATGCTCCTCAAGCAAGCAGCCCGCAACTTGAAGGTGGGCTGTAACGCTGTTCCTGCCGTGTCGTGCCTGCCTGCTTGATGTTTGAACACATGATGTTCAAACTCCCACCCAGTTTCATCCCATCCATGACACTTTCCATATGTGCAGTTGGAATGCCTGCCGACGTCGACTGGTCCTATGTCTCTTGAACAAGACCTGATCGGTAACCAAGCAACTTCAACGTGAATGAATGCCAGCCGCAAGCCAAGCCATCGCCGACTTCGACTTCGATTTCTGAAGCCTGAGTCCTGACACTCCATGCACTATTTCACCCGGACAAAATCTGACCTCATGATAGTCTCCTGCCCCAAGGATGTCGAGCATCCATACTGAACAATGTCAGGAGAAGAGAAGCGAGATGCTGTGCCACATTAGCTCGAGAACGTGTCCCGGGCAACAAGAAACCTACGATTCTCCATTGTGTGTCCTCCGAATCGCCTCAGCGATGGTCGAACCCACGTCGATTGTGTGTATCTTGGAGCAAGACTTGGCCTTCTCGGGCAGTGGCAGCGTGTTTGTCACGACTAGTCGTTCAAGAGCACTCTTCTCGATCACTTGGAGAGCTTGACCACTGAGAAACCCGTGGGTGACGATGGCTATGCATCGTTGGGCACCATTGTCGATGAGCACCTGCGCAGCGAGGGCGAGGGTACCGCAGGTGTCGGCAATGTCATCGACAATGATTGCCGTCTTGCCTGCCACTCCGCCCACCAAAATCATTCGACTGACCTGATTGACGACTTTTCTTTCCTTGTGGATCAGTGCCAGGTCGACCCGTAGTCGGTCTGCGATTGCGGCCGCCCTGGAGCAGATTTCGGGTCAGCCGATTTCCCCAGCCAACTGGCGTCAGACGAGGGAGTTTATGAGTCCGAAGCGCGCGCTGGTCTGGACATACCGCCGAGCACCGCCAGCGTCGGGCGACACAATTACCATGTCCTCCTGGGCGTATTCCTGCCTCAGGTATTCGGTCATGGTCGTTTCCGCATACAGCTGAACAGGAGACGCTGTCAGAAGAAGTCTCTCGACGATCCCATTCTGGGAGATGCCCGACTTACACTGGATAAGACTGCGTTAGCGCCATGCGGTCCAAACAGAAAATCCTCGGACAAGTGACAACAGGATTACTTACTTGTCAACTGGGATATCAAAGAATCCCTGTATCTGAGACGCATGCAGATCCATCGTCTAGCCATCCTACACATTAGTATGTGGAACCAACCGGACGCGTTTGCTCGGCAGCTGTACTAACAATGATGTGATGGCAGCCTGCACTTTCCAAGATGTTGGCCACGAGCTTTGCGGTGATAGGCGCGCGACTGCGGTCTTTCTTGTCTTGACGAGCGTACGGGAAGCAGGGTAACACCACTGTGATTCTCCGCGCCGAAGCGATCTTGCAGGCATGGACCGTGATCAAAAGCTCCATGAGCATGTCATTGACCGGCTCCGCCGCGGTTTGCAAAATGAAAACATGGGCATCCCGAACGGAATTCTGGATGACGGCACGTGTCTCACCGTTGGAAAATCGAGATGTCGAGAGGTGATTTCGGTTGATAGGACAGCCGATTCTGGAACACCACGGTCAGTGGGAGTTGATGTAGAGTGACCGAGCATGCTTCACCTACTTCTTCGCAATGGTATCGGCGAACTCAGGGCAGCTTGACCCTGTTCAACAGCCGGTTATGCATGAACGCTGGAGGATGGAACGAACTCACCTGCCAGAATCTGGAGCGCCATGCTTTGCAGAGTCTACCGGCTCTCAATACACTTCGACTGCGTCTCTTTCGATGGCACCTTTCGTTTGGCCTGGCGACTATTGATCCTCAAATTGAACGGAAAAGAGTGAACTCGATCCGGCCCCGTTGCAGGGAACCTTTCTGTCGGAGGCCATGGCCGCTATGTCCTTGCCGCGCAGATATATCGTGGCAATCTGGCGATTTTCACAGAAACTATGGACCGGCTGCTACGGATTGCAGCCAAACCTCGCGATGATGGGGCTTTATTGGGAATGTCGCGCTATGCCTGGTGAGCCCCAGTAGGTGAAGATGCAGCAACAAAGGCGGCATCAGGCTAGGGCCTGGAATCATGTGGGGGAGTATCAACCATTATCCTCGTTATCTGTTATCTGTCTTATCCGATAACAGGCGTCTTGGGTGCTGAAGCGGCTGAGCCCTTGTGCCCCCACAACGATGATCGATAATCACGGAGTCCTCTCATGCCCCAAGTACCAGTCCCCACTCGTGTGGTAGTGGTATCTAAACCCTTGCTACCTACTATCGTGGCTTGCCTGTGGAGATCGGAAGGCCTGCTGCCATCAGATATGCGAATCCGCCACCATGGTCTAACGTCTCCGGGGATTTGCGACGAAGATGGAGGTCGGCGCCGCCGCTTCGACCTTGGCAACGTCAATTGAACGCCAGATGGAGATGAGACCTCAATCACCTCACCAATACGGCTTGACTGCTTGACCATTCAAACTATGTCTCCGTCTCTTCACACCCTCGTGGTCTAAGAGAAGGACACGGAAAGAAGCTCAGTTGCTTACCCTTTGCTCTCAGTCTGCCACCGAGTTTCTACTGCCGGCAAACAACATTCCCGGCACCAGCTGGCATTTGTGGACAGTACACATCCTTCACTGGCCCTCGAACACCATGGGTTCCCTCAACGGAACGAAGAACGTCGTTCTTCCTACGCAAAATGCTCAGGTCGTTGTGCTGTCACCCAACAAGCAGCTGCTGTGTGCCATGACAGTGCTGAGAGACCAAGAAACTGAAACGCCTGCATTCGTATCAGCATTTCAGCTAGTGGCTCATCAGCTCATGACTGCAGGTATGGACTTTCAGCCCCAAATCCCGGTCACTACTACCTAGTATATATCTGACCGAGTCGTTGTTGTCTTCAGCCCTCGACTTGGTTCCCACCGAAAGCCTGGTCGTCATTACGCCGACCAAAAGTGTTTACCGTGGAATGAGGCCGACGCGACGGGTGTGCGGAATCAGCATTCTTCGCGCAGGAGCGAGCATGGAAGACTCGCTTCGGCAGTCGTATAGGTGTGTGGCCCCTTCTTATTGAACAAAGCCCTGCGGAAAAGGAGAGACACACCTCGCCGCTACGTACTACCCAGCACTAACATGACACCCAAATATAGCGGACCGCTCAGCTTTGGCAAGATCTTGATCCAGCGCGATGAGGAGACGTGTCTGCCAACTCATCTCTACTCCAAATTCCCCAAGGACATAGCCAATCGATGTAAGTCCATGGGAAACGCCTGATCGAGGTACCCTTCGTGGATGTGTTCGAGTCAATTGCTGACTGTGAGATCCGTTATTTTTGGCTACTTAGTTGTTCTGATATTGGAGCCAATGCTAGCCACTGGAGGCTCGGCGAGCAAGGCAATCGACCTGATCCTTGAAGCGGGAGTTCCAGAACAAGACATCGTCTTTGTCAACGTCATGGCGTCTCGAAAAGGCATCGAAGTCCTCACTCGGCAGTTTCCCAGATTAAAAATCGTCACCGCCGCCGTGGACGATGATCTTACAGCATCTGGGTACGTGCCTAATTCAAATCCTGCCAGACAGCTAGGAAACTGAGTATGGATTTGCTGATCGAACGTTTACAGGCATATCGCTCCTGGGTTAGGGGATTTTGGAGACCGATATTATGGAACAGCAGACTGAGAACCGTTGGCGTTTTCTCGTCTCTGGCACCTCTTATACTGCCAGTGCCTAGGCTCGACCTGTTGCTTTGGCAGAGAACAGAACTGGACCCAATATTGCCAGTGTTCAAGACACGTCTTACTGTCTGTATTCAGTTTCCGGCAAATGGACATATCTGGCTCAACCACCCGAAAATACACCTTTAGAACTGGGTTGAGAGGTTCTCTGTCGTCTGGCAACTCAAAGGGCCGCAGAAAAAGCCCCTGTCGACTCTAAGAGCAGTACCCGGAATTTACCTCCTACCATCAAACAACCCTTTTGGACTCTGAAATGGGCATATCGAAGAGTTCCCACGCAATAGAGAGCTGGCTGGACTCCTCCACGTGTTATACTACGAGTTCGACTTCCCGGAACGTCTACCTAAGCTCCCCGGTTCTTTTGAGGTACTAAGTACTACTTATACTACGGAAAATCTACTTATTTCCACCCTTCAAAGATCGAAACATTTTCCTTATCCACACCTAGTCGATCCTAGATTGATCCTAGATCGAAATTCGGCCTAATCGAACCCAGATCGAAGCCTTATCGAACCTACTAGATCGAGGATTTTACTATATAATACTCTTACCTAAATAGTTAGTACTTGCTACTAAGTAGTACTAAATAGTAAGTATAGGATTACTAGTAGAGAGCGATTGAGATAGATAGATTAATAGATACCTACTACTAAGTACCTATTTAGTCAAGTACTGTACCTACCTAGTTTTCAGATAGAATTTTTAGGATCTATCTTCTTATACTAGGTACTTACCTAGTAGGTACCTAGTACCTATTAACTAGTACTATAGTTTAATCTATTAGAACTAGATTAAAACTAGATTAAAACTAGATTAAAACTATAGGTAGGTACTAGATAGTACCTAGATATTAAATACCTCCCTATAAAGTAATTAAACCTATAGCTAGGTAGATGTCGAAACCGTATTAAATCCGTATCGGAGCCGTCTTAAAGCCGTCTCGAAGCGGTAGTATTAAAGCCGAATCAAACTCGTATCGAAGCTAAATCGTACTCGTATCGACCTCGTATTAAACCCGTCTTAAACCCGTCTTAATGCCGTATCGAAGCTCAATCGAAGCTAAATCGAACCCGTCTCGAACCCGTCTCGAAACCGTATCGAAGCTAAATCGAAGCTAAATTAAACTCGTATCGAACTCGTATCGAACTCGTCTCGAAACCGTCTCGAAACCGATTTAAGACTAGAGAATTCTTAGGTAATTTATAGGATAGAAGCTTCTCTAAGAAGCTTCCTATATACTAGGTAGTACCTACTACGTAGGATCTATAGGTAGGTATAGATCCTAGTCTAGGGGGTGGGCATAGTTAGTACCTACTTAGCTGCTAAACCGGGATTATCAATATCGAACAAAGAGGATTACACCGGCAAAGTCGTATTTTCTATGTCCTGTGCAGGAAGAACACCGTATTTACACTACTATCTTGGGCACCTCTTGAGCTACCTAGGCCTCCTTACCTAGTAGGTACTAGTATACTTATAACACTAAATCTACGGTACTAAGTACTATCGAGACGTCTGGGTAGTACTACTTAGAATACTACCTGGTATAAGTAGGTAGTACTAAGTACTAGTAGTCTACATGACTCTTGCACTGGCAAACAATCAGTCCGTCCCTAAAACTTGCAGCATGACTGGTAAGTTTGTGGACGCTTCCACTGCGCTATTTGTGGTGCCTCGATAAGTATATAACGCGATGTTTGGTTCACAACATCCGGTTTGGGATATTTGGTTCAGGCTACTAAGTAGTACTAGTAGTAGTAGGTATTCCGTCCACATCCAAGTTTTCTGTCCTCCTGCGCCACCGATGCAGTCGTGGTGCGAGTTGCCGCCCACGACGACAATAAAGTGAAGAGGAGGAAGCCAAAGAGAATTCGGTGAGATTTCTAGAGATCACGACGCCCGCTCGTGTCATAATGGCTCGGAAGTCTTCTATGTGTGATCACGTATTCGAGGTCGTATTTCTCAAAAACATCCGACCAGGCATTTGAAATGGCAGAAAGTGAACCGATCCGAGTCGCCGGGCAGCTCAAACAGCCAATGTAGTTGCAGCCTTTCCTGTAACAGAGCCTTGAATTGCTTGCATTGGGTGACGGCAAGGAGATCCGTGTTTTCAGGCAGCTCGAGATATCGGCTCACCCACTCTTGCGCGGCTGTGAGTGTGCGGTTCTTCCAAGACTTTGTACTAGTAGCTTCGTTTGACTGCTATGACTGCCAGCCTGATCCCAAAGATAGTTGGTTTGGTGCAGTGCTGTCGCGGGTTCCGGCGAGGAATTGGGAGTTGCAAGCTGCCATGTTGTCATTGTCGATAACAAGAGTAAATATTTCCCATCCACTCTGTGCACTAGTAGTATCTCCAGCTTCAGCGTCTCACTAGGACAAAACAAGTACTTACTAAGTAGTACTTAATTAGTAAGTAGTGGACGGTTGGGCCACGATATCGCTAACTCATATCATCGGCGGGAAATTTGCAGATCCGGTGCACTGTCGCCCAGGGGAGCACCCTGGTAAAAAGACTTCAATCCTATGCATACATTGTGCAGTGCCTAGAGATTCTGGACCTGTACTACTTAGAGTTAATATCTTGACATATAGTAAGTACCCGGGAGTCCACCCGATTCATGGCATGCACGTATGTTAGTAGGTACTTACTAACAAGTAGGTAATAGTACTTGTAGTACCGTGGTCTTCACTCGTGGCCAATACCTACTTAGTATTTGGCACAGCCTCTGGTGGCACGAGGCTCCTTCTTCTACTCGGACAGTGCCCGGTAAGTAAGTACTACCTAGTAGGTACCTGGCTCCGTGATGCAAACGGTCTTAACTCGAATCACAGTAGCCAGGCACCTGAGGTCGGCAGAGCGTACTAAGTAGGACACGCTGTGATTCTGCGTTGGGGAGTACTACTTACTAAGTAAGTACTCACTTAGTACTTACTCACTGCAGAGGCACTGTAATGGAAAAGGGCAGGGACAGGATAGGCAAGAACAGCTCACTTTAGTAGTGCAGTAAGCGCTACTACTACTTAGTACTGTAGTGAGTACTACTAGTACGTACTTACCAAGTAAGTACTTGGTATCTCAGCAGTCTTTTCTTTGTGAACAGACTGTTCTGGGCTGTCATAACCTGGTGCATTGCAATGCTGTAGGTAGCACTATACTACGGACGTACTTGTATCAGTGATTGAAGTACTCATTTCGAGCGTGGAGCGTGGAGCGTGGAGCGTGGAGCCTGTATGGACTGCGGTTGATCAGAGCTGACCGGGTGTGTGGCGAGATGTGCTTCTCTTTATTACAGTACTTACACTATAAGAATCATCCCCAAATCCCACTTACGGTCTGCCGGCCAAATGTCCACGAGCCATATGTACCTGCTGTGTCTTCGGAAGTCCGACGGATATAGATAAGTAAACAGTCCTCCGTCCGAGTCGGCTAAACACCGGCCTCCTCTACCCCATTAAACCCCTCGGTGGAGGTCGTTGGGTACTGGCGAAAGGAGCCCATTCGGCCAAGTCCTTTCTGTCAGATAAGACTACATACCTAAGTAGGTACTTAGTAAGTACTGTAGGTATATTAGCTGAAGGACCGCCCTTTGGCTCCCACCATCTGCACTTCTGCTGCCAGGACAAGAAACAGTACTACTACCTACCTACTACAACTTGTCTCTAGTACATCTCGACTCCTCGTCAGTCTACAACCCTCCCGAAATCCACATCGCAACCATGGCTCCTATCGCCATCAGTCCGCAGACCTCACCAAAGATCAAGCCGGCGGCCATCCCCGATATCATCAGGTGCGTTGTTTCCCGTCCCTTGCTTGTTTAGTCATCAGACTCACAGATTGATAGTCCCAAATATCAAGATTGGAGGGCCAACCTTCAGAAGGATGGATATGTCGTGCTCAAAGGGGTAGTTCCTCGTGATAGAGCGGTCGCAATTCAGGAAAAAGCATATGACTGGCTAAAGTCATTTGGGACCGATCTCGACTTTGAAAACCCCGACACATGGATTGGCAAGAATTTGCCAGTGCAGAGCAAGATCAACACCTTTACCGGGTACGGGGTCGCCCATGAGAAATTCATGTGGGACGCTCGTATGGAGCCCGGCGTCCTGGAAGCCTTTGAACTGCTCTGGGGTACCAAAGAGTTGCTGGTCAGCTTTGACTCCTTGAACATCACATTTCCTAACAGGAAAGATGTCCCGAGAAAAGCGGCATGGGAGCACATCGACCAGAGCCCCCTGCGACGAGGCATACATTGTGTGCAAGGTATCATCGTCCTGTCGCCATCCGGCCCCGAGGATGGAGGGCTGGTTGTGTACCCCGGGTCCCATGCCCTCAATGACGAGTTCTTCGACACAACGACTGATAAGTCCACATGGACCGCAAAGGATTGGTACGGGTTTAACAAGGAGCAACTCGCGTGGTTCAAGGCCAAGGGGATCGAACCACGTAAGGTGTGCGCAGACGTCGGCGACCTAATTCTCTGGGATAGTCGGACAATCCACTACGGCTCCGAGCCCACCGAGAAGAGCAACCAGATCCGCACCGCCATATATGCCGCATACACACCCGCAAGAATGGCAAGCGAGGACCAGTTGAGACTGAAGGCCCAGTGCTTCTCCAAGTACGCAGGCACTACACACTGGCCACACGACAACATTGTCGAAAGAGATACACAGTCATACCTGGAGGACGGTACCAGAGACCCTCGCGACCGGGATGCACCACTTGAACTTCCGGAAAAGACGGACAAGCTGTTGAAGTTGGCTGGTGTCAAGCCATACTAGATATCGGCTGTAGATGGAATCTGGCACACGGCGAGCGCGCCTGCCGCTTGTTGGTCCAATCTCCCAGATCTCAGAGATACTAACTGAAGACAGCCGAGAAGGTAGATATGAGTTGTGTACGTACATAGTAGTAGTATGAATTTGACGATCGTTATCCTTGGTTAGCAACGTTATACTCCACCATTACAATGTTTGCAAGCCGTTCTCATTCAACATAACTTTGACATTACAAGAGTGCTGAACGAGGAGTTAGAGAGAGGCCTGGCCAATGACCGAATGGCTCGTGTCACGTCACGCAGGGGTAGAACCGACCAGCAGTATACTATGCCAGAGGACAAGGCTAGAGCCTGTTTGCTCGCTTGTCTCTCTTCCAATACGATTTGGATGGCCAATGCAATATCCAAATCAGCGTTACCCAAGACGCAACATGTAGAAATGGCTCATCACAAGTGTATGCATGACTGATGACTCCCGTCAGAGCGCCGGTCACCGTTATGGTCTGACAGTGATCGTATGCACCTGTCGGTAACCCTGTGTTCAGATCCTCGAAACGTCTCATGAGCCGGTTCCAACAAGGCCATCCCGGCGAGTGTTATTTCGGGTCTCGTGAGGTCTGGACTGTTTACATGTAGATAAGGCATCGGGATCAGTTGCTCCTAGACTTTAGATAAGGAGTCGGAGGCCCGACTCCTAGCGTGAAGCCGTATGCCACTTCACTTCCGACTAATTCCCCGAACCTCCATACAATACTGTTGTATACAAGGACGACAATGGTCAACTTTTGAGCCAATCCTGCACCTGCTCAGCCTCGTGCTTGTCAAGGCGTCAACTGCACAGGGTTGCAGAACCTCCAACAACGTTGAAAATGTGTAGACCATCCTCCCACCGCTGTAGTGGGTGCTACTTATACGTGTTATGTCTCGCGCTTCACCAGAAGTGGTAATTCTGAACGACCAAGCAGAGCCTCGAGACTCCACTCGTTCCATAGTGCAATGGCAAACACATCAACTGTTGATGAGCTGTCAATATGTATGTATACTTACACATAGATGGTCATTGTTGTCCCCGAATCCAGACCACCAGGCTGGCCTCCTCGACGATGATGAAACCGAAAATCCTGGTCATTGGCTCACCACTGGCAGTCATCTCACAGGCTGAATGGGTTTTGTTTTCTTCTCGATACGAGGTAATTGAATACGCTTTTGCGACTCATGATGATTTCATCAGCTCAATGAAAAGTGGTGAATGCTTTACCATCGACGGTATCATGAGAGTCGGCATCAACCTGCCATCCGGAGCAGTAAAGATTGGCCAAGGCTGGACGAGGAAGTTCCTGGATTGTTTCCCGCCTTCACTGAGAGTCATTGTCAACTTCGGACATGGCTTTGAGCAGGAGGACATCGAGGGTCTTGCTTCGAGATCAATTAAATTCTACAACACCACTGGTGGCGCCGAGGCCACCGCGACGATAGGAATCTACTTGATCATCTCGGCGTTTCGCAAACTCAGTATCTACGAACGAATGGTTCGCAACAACGAGTTCCTTCCGGCTCTGAGGGATTCGGCCCACAGCTCCCGAGATCCATGTGGTAAGAGTCTGGGGATAGTGGGAATGGGCGTCATCGGACAAGTGGTGGCGAAGCAGGTCGCTGCGTTGAACATGCAAATCCATTGTCTCAACAGGAAAAGCTCGAGAGAAACCTTGAACGACAGCAAAACCCAACTACCGCCGATGACTCTACACGACACCCTTGAGTCGCTATTGCAGGTGGTGGACTGTGTCATCTTGACATGCAGCTACTCGAAATCCACTCATCATCTGCTCGGCAATGAAGCCTTCTTCAAGATGAAACCGGGTATGGTAGTGGTCAACATCGCCAGAGGCAAATGTATCGACGAGGAGGCGTTGTGCAGAGCATTGGAGACCGGAGTTGTTTCTGCTGCGGGACTGGATGTATATGAGAATGAGTAAGTCTCCTGTCTTTGTGAACTTCCTCAGACTGTCGCATACAGCGTCAATATCCCCCGGCTAACGTGAGATGATCATGGATCCAGACCTTACATTAATCCAAAGTTATTACAATACGACCAGGTCACTTTACTACCGCATGTGGGAGGGTTGACTTTCGATTCAATGAGGGTGAGTTGTGCCTTTAGCCAAATTGACAGCCGTATCAATGTTTGAAGACGGTGTGCTAATGAGTGCCTCCTGCAGAAGCATGCATTGATATGTATGAACAAGATAGATGAGTTTTTTAACACCGATAAGGCGGTCTAGCCTCCAGGACCTAAAAATATTGGAGATGCACCGAGTCATGATGATATCCTCTTGCATTACCGTGCGTATGTCTACTTGAATAGCCCTGTCGTTTCGTTCGCTCTGCAGCACATGGAAAAGAGGATCGAGGTGAACCTACACCAGCGCGGTAGAAACAGACGTTTGTCTGTTAGAGCCCATCAACATGCATTCTCCTTTCTGTTCCTGGTAAGAAGCACCAACAAGGCTAACTTTCTCGTCTCCTTCAGCAGGTCTTCCTAACTGACCTTCTCCTCGATTACATACGCCCAGGGGTGGTCGACTTTTCCATATATGATATCCTCCAACCAGCCTTTGAGACGTGACGAGTAATGGGACACGGGAGCCTCCAGCCCTGTTTCTGTCACCTGCATGGGAAACTCAATGTCTTGCTGTTTATGGCGAATCATGGCCACTGGAGAGATGAACATCTGTGTGAAAGATACCGAGTCAGCAATGCCACCAATATAGTCCACAAAAGATGTCCAAGGAAGGTGCACATGAAAGAAGAGGCGAGACAGACCGCTGTACCAGAAACAAACGCCTCGATAAGTCTTCCCTCGACACTCACATCGAGCATCTCCGCCACGGTGAATGCTCTTTCGACCACTTTCAGAGGTTTGAGGTCCCCCAGCACGTCCGGGTCAGCACTGGCTGTCAATCTCTCCCTCGCCAGCGCCAAGACGCTCCTTCGAGTGATTCCATCCAATATGACTTTCGTATCGAGGGAGCTCGTGACAAGTTCAATCTCGTTAGATGTTTTGGCTCGCCAGATCACGAAGAAGTTGCTGGCTCCAGCTTCGGTGACCAGCTTGTCTTCCCCGAACAGCCATAATGTCTGACTACAGCCTGCTTCACGAGCTTGGGCTTGGGCGGTCATGGCCGGACCGTAGTTTGCACCGACCTATAGACACAAGTCATGTTAATGGACAGAAAACCCATAATTACCCGGAACACATTCTATAACACACACACCTTTGCATATCCAAACCCACCGGGCCACGCTCGGATCTGTTCAGGATCGCTGGCAAGCAACTTGATTCCTGGAGAGACCTTCGCACTGCTGCTCTGAGGAAATAAAGCCGCGAACAGGAAGAACAGGGCCTCCCTTGGTCTCTGGATTCCAAGGGCGGATCCACTTCCGATCATTGTCGGTCGAACATAAAGATTCGACCCCGGATCGGGGAGCCAGCGCGGACATTCAAGAGCCAGAAATGTGGTGATGACGCTCAATAGCTCGACTGAGTCGAAATCCGGGAGGCATACTCGGTCGTTCGAGATCCTCATGCGTTCACAGTTGAGTCGGGGTCGAAAGAGACGCAGTTTACCATCGTAGCCTCGGTACGCTTTCATGCCTTCCTACGAAACAAGAGAGAATCAGCTTTTCTAGAATATGCATGTTCTATCGCTAAGCGGACGTACAAATGACTCGGTGGCATAGTGCAACACGCTCGCCGTGGGTTCAAGGGCAATCTTGCTGTAGGGGCTGATCTGAGGTGCTTCCCATCCCGAGTCGGCCGTCCATCGAATTGTCAAGATATGAGCGGTCGTTGCATTCTGGGAGAGCCGCACAGGATCCTGAGGTCCTGGAACTCGTTGTTGTTCAGACTCTGGCACGAGATTTTTGATCATGACTGAGGCATCGAGTCCTCGTGGCCCTGCGGTTCTCAGGATCGTGGATTGGGAGTTTTTGACTTCGGTTGCCATTGTCTTTGTTGCGGCTGGACGGGACTGGGAGGACTGAACAGTGTACACTGATTCCTTGATGCTTCCAAACTTTCAATCAGGGTATAGCGCTTCCAAATATAGTTCAAACCCTGAAAATTGGTCCCCAGTGTGTATAGAGATGGCTCGAGACACAACACTTGGCCTACAGCTCTCTCCACTTCAGGTGAGACCAGGCTCCTCACTAGCTTTTGCCAGGAAGAGATGCAGTATCGCCTGATTGGGAAACTCAGTACGAGGCGAACCAATCCACTCGTCCGAGGCTGGTAAACTTCTGAGCCCTGTTCTAGTCCACGTGTTCTTTGGATTCTGTGATTTAGTAGCCGATATTGCCATTGGGTTGGATCAGGCCACTGCAATCATCTTGGGAATTCGGGATCCTACCATTTACGGATGAGATACGGCGTCTGCGTACACTATGGGCTTGGAGCCATGTATGACCTTTCACACCGAGTGAGCTAATATGGCGGTCACACGAGGAACCAAGATACAGACACGCAGGATGCAGAAGAGACTAGATCAGCCAGAAACTGTGTCTCGGTGTTTCCTGGGACTTTGAGGGCTCGACCCAGAAAATCCAATTGTGTCTAATCAATGCATATTTTCTGTATTCACTCGGATTGCCCGATGACTATCCCACCAGATCATTTGCCTTGACAGTCTGCTGGCAAAGCATACTGTAGAATTCACCTCTTCTGGACTCGACCAAGTCTCTTGGAACCCCAGCTTCAACTATTCTTCCTTCTTTTAGCACAACCACCTTGTCAAAGTCCAATACCGTTTTGAGTCTGTGGGCAATGGCTATGATGGTGCAGTCACGCAGATTCTGGCGGATGAGTGCTTGTATGCGTTCTTCGGAAATAGGATCGAGGTTGGCTGTGGCTTCATCGATAACCACAACCTTTGACTGCGCTGCCATTGCACGAGCGAGAGAGATAAGTTGTCGTTGACCCTGAGAGAAGTTCTCGCCCCCGGACGTGACGTGATAGTCAAGGGTGAGTGGAGTACTAACGTCCGATGCCGACTGCACCTTGACTTGCTGGAGGATGGAATTCAGGGTGGCGTCGTCTTGTTGGCCGCACAGATCCATGTTGAACCTCAACGTACCCTCAAAGATTGCCGGGTTCTGAGGAATCAGGCTGATGCGTCGCCGCAGCAGGTCGGCCTCGATATGCTCGATGCCCACACCGTCAATCTTGATCGAGCCCGAATATTTGGTGGTGAGCCGCAACATGCTGAGAGCGAGGGAGCTTTTCCCGCTTCCCGTCCTCCCCACAAGAGCGACACACTCACCAGCCTCGACTTCAAGACTAGCCCCCTTCAGCACTGCTTGTCCATCAAGCGCGTAGCCGACGGTAAGATCTTGTATGCTGACCTTGCCTCGATGAGGCCATCCTTTCCCGACAGGGTGATCGGGGTTTCCCCTTCTATCTTCTTGGAGCACGTCGTGGATGTAGTCTTCGATGCGCTGAAGACTGTTCATTTCCACCTCCAAAAGAGTCGAGAGATATGTCAAGTAGAGGAGCGCCGTGCAAAGGGACGTTGAGGTCGTCAAGCTGAAACCAACGATGGATGGGTCGGATCCGGCGTGTGAGTATGCCAGGATAGCCGCGGAGAATGCGGTCAACGACGTGCACATGTCCATCCGCACGGCTAGCCATCGCTGACAGTCACTGACTGCCTGCCATGCTCGGACATGCTGCTCGACTTGTTTTTGAAAGCGCACCCTCGAGGCCAATTCTGCCCGAAACGCACGTACTGTGGTCAATCCAGAAGCAGTCTCGGTGATGTTGTGAAAGAGAGCCGACAGGCTTATGGCGTAGAGTCTTTTGGACGCCGTGAATGCGTACATATACCGCTTCCCGATGAAAATTGCCAGCGAGACAAATGTAACAGATGGTATAAGAAACGATGGGATCAGGAATGATACCGTCAGAATGCGGAACCCAATTGACAAGTATGTTTCGAGAACCGGGCGGAGAGCCGAGATCAATGTATCGTCAAGAGAAACCATGTCTGACACGAATCTGTTGATAATCTGCCCGGCAGGTGTTGTCACGAGCCATCCATATGTTGCTCCAAATATGGTATTGAGAAGCTGGGTGTGCTCGCGGCGACCAACCTTCCAGGCTCCTCTATACACCAAAAGTAGCGAGGCTGCGGTAATGAACACTCGGCAAGTCCCCAGCCCTAAATACACGTCAGTCATGCTTAGCATATCACCTCTAGTTCATTGACGCACCGCTGTAAATTCCAAGATAGACACCATCTCGGACCTTTGTGGTCTTGTTGTACGACTGAGACCAGAGGGAAATACAGAATGGGAGACCAATGTCGATGGCTTGGGCAGCTATGATAACCACAGCTGTGACCAGGATATAGAGCCAGTGGCCGAACATCCGAATGTACCTGAATACTTCTGAAGTGTGAGCTATCGCCCTTCGTATCTATTCGGTCTTGCTTACCATAGGCTTGCCCGATAAGCCCATCACGGATCTGTTCTGACTTGTCTGCACCCCGTATCATGTTTGCATTAGTACCTTCTCCAATCAGGAATGCCTCTTCTGATGGATCGACGTCGAGGAGAGAGGCATCCACGTCTTCCAGCGAGCCGGGTACTGAACTCTCAGGCTCGGACATTGCTTTTGCGCGGATGCTGACAGTCGGTGCATGGCCTGACTCGTCTTGCACTTTTCGATGCCAGATCTCTCGAATCCGTCCATGCTCTGTGTATACTATCGTATCAGCCACCTCAAGACACATAGGTGAATCTGTGACCAGAATCACTGTTCTGTCTTTGAGAATCTGGCCTAGGATGCACTTGTCAGTCACCCATCGGGCCGTGATAGCATCCAAAGCTGACAAAACATCGTCGAGAATGATCGTTTCAGTGTTGGCGTACACGGCCCGCGCCAGATTGACTCTTTGACGCTGTCCACCGGAAATGCCAGTGCCTCCCTCGCCCACATCGGTCATGTCACCGTCCTCCATGATCGCCAGATCCACGTCGAGACCGCAAACACGAAGTGTCTCCGCATAACGGTCTGGCATCCATGGAGAGTTGAAAATGATATTGTCCCGAATCGTTCCACTGTGGAGCCAAGGTCTTTGTGGCACATATGAAATGGAGCTGAAGGAGCTGATATCAATCGCGAGATCTTCCATGTCGCCAGACTCCCGGGACAGTAAATTTTGGAGCAGTGTGCTCTTTCCGGACCTGTGAATACTTAGCAAAGTCAGGGCTACGGAGGACGACATATGATACCCTGTCTCGCCGGATATTATATTCAAGCCTCCTTTTGTGAGCAAAGACGCTGCTGACTCTCCGGATCGGTTGTCGAAGCGCTTGTTGCCGTCTGCATGTAACAGATTTTCCTTGGGCAAAGTCTCACCTCCCTCATTCTCGGCATCGTATACCAATTCGCCCGAATCGAGAAAGCTCGAGATCCTCTGCAAGCTCGTAATTGCTTGAGTGTATTGACTGGCTCCCACCACAGCCAGGTTCAGCATATTTTTGATGAGATTGAAAACAGCCACCATGACAAATGCGATATCAGCATCCAATTTCTTCCCACGCACGAGGGTGTGCAAACCAAGACATAGTGCCAGAGACACAACAACCAATCCTTCCGACGTACTTTCTGCTGCAGCTAGAATCTGGGCCTTGTTCCAAATTGCCTGTAGCTCCTGGTTTCTGATCTTCGAGATTTGGTCGATGAAAGGTTTCGCCTGTCCCAGCATGGTGATTGTTGTGATGGCTCGAATACTCTCGGTAATCTTTGCAATTCGACCATCGGAGTTATTCAATATGCAAGATTGAACGGCGCCAAGGGAGGTGCTGATAAGCTTGGAGAGAGGATATCGGGTGCACAGCAAGAGAGCGAGTCCTGGCAGATATGCCCATCCAACGGCATCGTAGAGCATGAGCGATGCCACAAGGAGCTGGACAGGGACCATGAACAGCGCCATCACCGTATATCGAAGGGTCGCCAGCTTGTCGATGTCCACCAAGACATGGTTTTGAATCCGGCCAATGTCAAGCGTCTTGCTCAATGGGCTGGCTAGCAGCCGCTCGTACACGGCTGAGATGATCATCGCCTTTAAATTGCCGATGCTGTGAGTGGACAGATACTCGAAAGTCTGCATACACAGGCCTCTGACAATCGGACCAATTCCAAACAAGAGGATCGCGAACCATGGCCGAAACAAAGCTCTTTCCGGGTCTTGGAGGTACAAAAGCAGCCATCGAAGCCCCATAGCGCCCATATACTCTGTGATTCCACAGAGCACCATCATCAGAGCCATGAGGATGAGCCGCCCACGGAGGAGCTTCCACAATGCATGACCAGTCGAACGGCCCTGGCTCCTCGCAGCAATAAAAGCTTCAAGCCAGAGGCTCGGTTCGCTGTGCGGTTTGGTCAGTGGGAGGCCATCAAGTCGAAGGTCACCGTTGCGTCTATAACCCTCTGACACAAATGGGCTCATGTATGAGTAGAACCACCATCTGGAAATGGGAGAACATCTCTCATAGGGATGCTTTCGTCGACCAGTGGTTTCGGAGTGAAATGGAGTCAAAGCTGCAACCATGACGGAGCTGATGGTTGCTGACACAATTTGAGCCTGTTCTAGTCGAGACTGCTCGCCCCAAGAAGCCTCCTTGAGTAGTATGAGGGGATAAATTTGCCGTGGAAGAGTTGAAACCACAAATATCGAGACCGCCACGAGAGTGGCTGTTCGGTATAGAAAGTGTCGATATCTCCGTGAGATGAGATAGTAGATTCTACAGAGACAGACTGTACACTAAAAGTGTCATGTCAGCGGTTTCCTCTTTCTCCGAGCAGAGCTTGACAAACCCAAGAAACAGCGTTGACGATTTGCTCTTGCTGGATGCCATCCCGGCTCCAGGCTCTCAGTACAGCAATCGCAACACATGCTACCGACAGCCCAAGGGACACAAGACCCCATAAAGCGCGATTTTTGCTCAAGGCGCCAGGTCTCTCTGCCTTGTAAGGGTGGATGTATCGGTACGTGAACACGCACACAAGAATCAAAAGCGGTGCGAACGATACAATTTGATTCGGGACAGAATATTGCCCATGTGCTTGCGCACCATGTTGCACGTTGATCTTCATTCGGTGGTAGACTTACATGTAGCCTTTCGACATCACCAAAATCGCAACCAGCAAGGCCCAGGACATGGGAAAGTAGTTTTTGTAACATATATTTTTCCCTCCGGTGGAGTCCCGCAAGGCTATAGCCTGGCCACACTACTCCCGAAGCCCGCAATCGGACCCTCATGGCCATGTGGACGATGTGGACACCTCCGAGGAAAAAAACGATGCAGTCACCCATTACGAGGTGAGCCCTTTTCGGGACAATCATGATTTGTGGTTAGTCGTTATAGCTGCAGGGAGGAAGAAGATGTCGTTCTGATATTCCCAATCGGGAAATTGGGTACGACTGGACCTAGCGCGTATTCGAGACCCACGGATGCTGCATGATGGTGTACAGACTATGCGGCTCGGATGAGAGAAATCACCCAAGGGGATGGGAGTAAATCATAAAGCAAAAAGAAAGAAAGGTCTGCAGTCACTTTCATCGGCGAGGATTGTCTGGGAGGTACAGTTGGTCTTGTAATCGAGAATGAAGTTCTTTTCCACTACACTTTGGCCCCTGGCCTTCCAGCTATTTCTCGGCCTCGAGGCCAATGCTAAGCCTGGCTTTGTCGGCGGTGTGAGCAGAGACTCGTCGCAGTATACTATTCTCACACACGATGAGTACCCTACATACTCGGTAAGAATCCGAGAGCAGCACGACGATGTATGTGAAGCGCATTCGCGTCAATACACCGGATGGCTAGATTTTGAAGGGAAACATATGTTCTTCTGTAAGCAGAAGCCACTCTCGATATAGACGTGTCTTTGCTGAATGCATCCGTCCCAGGGTACTTCGACAGCCAGAATGATCCGGTGAATGATCCATTAACCTTATGGTTGACCGGAGGACCTGGAGTCAGTAGCATGATCGGTGAGTGATGTGTCCACTATGCCTTTATGCTATACTCAGTGACTGACGAAGCAGGGTTGTTCCTCGAACTCGGGCCTTGTCGCATCAAGGAAAATGGCACCGGTGTCGACTACCACCCATATGCATGGACAAAGAACACTTCTATGATCTTCATTGATCAGCCTACCGGCACTGGTTTCTCCTACGCAGACGACGGTGTTGAGCTACCATCGGACTCGTTCATGTCTGCCGAGGATCTTTATATCTTTCTGTATACCTTTCTCACCAAGGTATTCCCGGAGAAGATGGAGGTCCCTTTCCACATCTCGGGAGAAAGCTATGGGGTGAGCATCACCTATGTCACGAGGTGCCCTTGATCGTGGCTAATCGACACTGAACAGGGTCATTATATACCAGCCCTCTCTGCTGAAATCCTCAAGCAAAACAAGATACACCCCCACCGACCACAGATACCTCTGCAGTCCGTATTGATCGGCAATGGCTTTGTGTCACCGATGGACACTACGTTTGGTTATTACGAGACTCTATGCACCACGAAGCCCGGCGTTGAAGCACCTGTATTCAACGAAACAAGGTGTACCATTATTGCCGAGACGTTGCCGCGCTGCCTCTATGTCCACGAGGCGTGCTACAAATACCCCGACGAGAAGTTGTGCAAGGCTGCAGATGAGATATGCATCAGTATCCGCGACCTCTATGACCAGGAGGCAGGGGCTGGATCAAGGGATCCATACGACAGTGAGTTGAAACAAATGCCTGTCGGATCTCCATCTCTAACCTGGCCCGCGTCAGTTACAAGAAAATGTGAAGTCGAGCATCTGTGTTACGATGGCGCCGTCGAAGTGGAAACCTATCTCAACCAGCCTCATATTCTCGAGAGCCTGGGGATACCCGATGTTCTGGGCAACTTCAGCATCGAATCTCCCCAGATTGTGGACAACTTCAAAAAGGGCAATGACCTCTATGCCAACACCATGGAACAGGTCAAATACACCTTGGAGAACGGTGTCGACGTGTTGATCTACAATGGGAATCTGGATCTGGCATGCAACACTGCTGGGAATCTGCGATGGACAAATGCATTGTCGTGGAACGGACAGGCACCTTTTAGCGCTCAGGACCTCAAGCCTTGGTACACCGCCGATGAAAAAGGCAACAAGGCCCAAGCAGGCTCGTTCAAGGAGGTGCTTGCCTACGCTACCCCAGAAGCATCGACCAAGAGACGGTTTGCATTTGTGACAGTAGACAAATCTGGTCATATGGTAAGTGGTTCGGCTACCTTCAATCTGGGTCGCGTACTGATTCGGATGCGTTAGGTTCCTCTGCAACAACCAGCGGTCAGTTTGGAGTTGTATAATCGCTGGATCTTTGGGAAGCCGATTGACCTGTAGATTCCGATCGTTGGTAGAAGGGTCTGGCTTGATGAATTGGCCTGACTTGGAAGAATTAAAGACAACGTCTAGATGAGACCTCCGTCCTTGATTGTACTTGTAAGCCCGCACCAAAGACCAGAGCAGGCTCTGCGAGGCTTCTTAGGCTTACCAGGCGCTGTTGCAGGGGGTTAAGGGCTCCCTAGGCTGTATCATAGTGCATGGACTCACTCATTGTCACGCCGTATACCCGTTATTTGCACCCACCTGAACACGGTCTGATAGGGCGGTGGTAGCCTAAAGGAGACATAAGGAGCCTCCGCCCCACCGCTCCGGAGCCTATTAGGACCACTGTTAAGTACTAGAGCCTCCTGAGCTCAGAACTCACCCGGCATGGTCTAGATCTATTACGTATCTTGTCGTGCCCAGGTCAGCCCACTGAGAGCCTCCCAAGTTCATCTCCTTATCTTCGTCCGGCATGTGAACCTCGGGTTTTGGGGGGTTAATGACGGCTGGGATCAAGGACATTTCGCGCCCTTATCTTGCTGTACCATTATCTGTCGCTAACAGCAAACCAGCCCAGCATACCATATCAATCGTACGAACATACCCAACAGGGAAATCATAGACGGATCTTCTCATCCAGCAGCTGTCGCCTGTTGTTCGATTGCATATACAAAGAGTTCGCTTCTCAGTGAGAGCTATTACAGTCAATGCCCATGCCTAACTCTACCACCAACAAATTTTATCTTCTGTCCCATTCGAGGCAAGCTCGTGTGGCTACGTTGCAATGGCCGAGAAAACCGAAGGGCAGATGATCGATAGCAAGGCTGTCGGTCAGCCCCAGTTGACCACGGATGCCCGAGAATCAGAGGACATGAAGGATTACAACCTCGATGACAAGGAAGCAAGGGATGTGACCCAAGACGTGGAGAACGGATGGTCGGAAGACTCGTATGCCCCCCTTCTGCTTCTGTCGCCTGGTTCAAGTGCAAGTCTATAACAAGGCTGACATTGGCAAAGCCCCTACCCCGAAGTCCGAGCCAGTGTCCCTCCCATCGACGAGGACATTCCTGTCAACACCTTTCGGGCTTGGTTCCTCGGGGTGATCACGACCATGATCCTGACGGCCTTGAACCAGTTCTTCCAGCTGCACTCGCCCCCTAGTATGTTCCGGACTCGCCTCGTTCCCGCGCACAGGGACATGGTTAATGTATCTGAACCTCAGTCTTCTTATCCGCTTACCTTGCGATTCTGCTCTCGTTGCCGGTTGGACATTTCATGGCCCGTGTCCTGCCGGAAAAGCAATTCAATGTCTTTGGTTGGATCTTCACCTTGAATCCGGGTCCCTTCAACCGCAAGGAACACACGCTGATAGGTATCATGGCAATGTTGGTCACTGCCTTCGACAATGGCTCTCTCGCCTCCGATGTCTGGGTAGGGCTGCAGAATTTCCTGGGCATTCCCATCTCGGTTGGTTACAAGTTCATGTTTCTCCTGACCTCTCAGGCACTCAGCTTCGGAATGGCTGGTGCCTTCCATACATTCTTGGTCGAACCATCCTTTTGCGTCTGGCCATCGGCGCTGCCTACCTGCGCGATTCTTCATGGCTTCCACGACGGAAAATTCCAAAACATGGTCGCCAATGGCTGGAAGGTGTCTCGAATGCGATTCTTCTGGATCGTCTTCGGTATCGCCGGGCTGTACCAGTTTGTCCCCGGATACCTGTTCACGTCCCTCTCTACTTTTGCTTTTGTCACTTGGATCCGACCAAACAATGTCGTGATCAACCAGGTCTTTGGTGCCACGACGGGAATGGATCTAATTCCACTCACCTTTGACTGGAACCAGATCACCGGATATCTAACGTCTCCACTGGCAATCCCATATTGGGCCATCTGCAATGTCCTGGGGGGTGCGGTGTTCTTCTTGTGGATTCTGTCTCCCATCCTCCATTGGAAAAACGTCTGGTAAGGGATGTACATGCCATTCTCGTCTTCTGATACATTCGATAACACAGGTATGGATGCATGGCCCCGGGGCGTCTTTGGCTGACATTTTGTTGACGTCCATTGCGCGCAGGACTGTCTTACAACACTACAAGGGTCATGAACCCCGATTATAGCCTGAATGAACAGGCTTACCACGAATACTCTCCAGTCTTTCTATCAACAACCTCGGTGCTATCGTATGGGCTGGGCTTTGGATCCATCACTGCCATTCTTGTCCACACCTTCCTTGAGTATCGCGACACTATATGGGAGTCGTTCAGATACACTATCGGACGAGGAGAGGTCCCTAGGCGTGATGTGCACAACAAGGTACGATTCAATGCTCTCTTGGTGGAATAGATCGTTCATCTGACTTAACTGCCAGCTCATGGAACACTACAAACAAGTCCCTGGATGGTGGTATTTGATAATTCTGTTGGGAATGTATGGCATCTCGGTGGCATTCTGCTATGTCTACAACACTGGGCTGCCTTGGTACGGAGTGATCCTGGCGCTTGTGGTTAACGCCGTACTTCTGGTCCCTATCGGTCTCATGCAAGCCCTGTGTAACGTCTCTATCGACACCGGGTCCCTGGCTTCGCTGATTGCCGGTTATATCTGGCCCGGTAAATTGATGAACAACGTCGTCTTCAAGATTTTCCTTCTTGTGTCTACGTTCCAAGGCCTGGGGTATATTCGGGACATGAAGATTGCGCACTATATGGTACGACTGGACCGGTGAATGCGGGCGAAGACAAGAAACGCTGACTTGTGTGACAGAAAATTCCTCCTAGAACCACATTCGCGGCTCAGTGCTGCGGCATCATTGTTTCGTGGTTGACTCAAGTCGCAGTCAATCTTTGGGCCATTGGCAATGTCGAGGGAATTTGTACAGACTACTCAGACGTAAGTGTTTCTAGTGATGCCTTGGTGGCACAAGGTTCTAATGAGGTTGTTCACAGTTTGGATGCCCATTGGCAGCTGGATATGCGACAAATGCCACGTTCTGGGCTTTGATCGGTCCCAAAAGGCTCTTTGGCGACGGGTCCATGTATAAGTCAATCCTGTGGTTTCTTTTCATCGGCGCCCTCCTTCCAGTCTTTGTCTGGTATTTCAATCGCCGATTCCCCAACACTATCATGAAGAAGGTCAGTCCTGTGAGTTCCTTACCATGCAGCCTAAAGCATGCTGACTCCGTACCCTCAGGTTCATGTGCCCCTTATCTTCGCGTCCACATCGTCTATCCCGCCTGCTACAGCTTCCAACTACATGCTCTGGGGCATCATCGGTCTCATTTTCCAAGGATACATCAAGCAAAAGTACCGTGCATGGTGGACCAAGTACAATTTCATCCTGTCCGCCGCGCTGGACTCGGCTCTGGCGGTTGCCACTTTCTTCATATTTTTCTGCCTGACTTACCCGGGAGTGGTTTTGAACTGGTGGGGAAACACCATCGGCTCTACCACTGCCGATGCATTGGGAACGCCACTGAAGACGGTTCCGGAGGGCGGTCATTTTGGCCCCGACACCTGGAAATGAGAGTGAGATCGATGTGGTGCTTTATTAGTGGGTGCAAAGTCCTGGGCTTGGGTTGGTCCGTCAATCTTTGGGCTATCAACTCTCAATGCCTGGGACTTGGTGTGTCAAACAAAATCGCCGTGGTCCCGAATGATGGATGTAGTACTGTCGAAGAACTCCATGAGATGGATACATTTGGGTAGACTTGATCTCGCTTAGACACGCCAACCTTTCCTCCGCATGCCTAGACTTGTCAATTACAAAGCTCGAACACGATGCCATTTCAGGGTTCCGTGAAGCATAAGTATTCCAGAGAGAATACTCATCCACCTGACTCAGGTGTAGTATAGTTCTTGTATGCGTGGTACAGAACGTTCTGCGATCAATCTCCACGGAACACGCTCAGTAGATATGATTGGCTCCGTATCACCCAATAAAAAAAGACACGATGGGGTTGATTATATAGGCTAGTCTGCATTTGGACGGTCGTGGTGCCGCTTATTCCCCATTGCAGGCACACGAGAGCATTTGCCCGGTGCGATTGGCTTACAGTTTTGTCTCGGACTTCTTATCTTCACTTGTGCCGGACGTGGACTGGTTTTGTGGGTTCAAGATACTAGTATACTAGTGAAGGGCAACTTGACGCCATAATGATATATAATCCACCTCACCCCAGGTACTGCTCTGCTTTCCCCCCCGACCAGGCTCGGAAATGTCCCTGTCGACAATAGCCACCGCTGACTAGCTACTCCATTCGCCGGATAATTGACCGCCGGAAGACATTATCTACAGATAATTACATCAATGTCAGAGAAGCCTCGCCGAGTCCGGACCGTGGTATCTCGAAACCGGACAGGATGCGTCACCTGCAGAAGACGAAGGCTCAAGTGTGACGAGCAGAAGCCTCATTGTTTCAACGTACTCATCATCTCGCAGTCCTCCTTGTAGAGAACTCTTCCTAACGCTCGACTAGTGTTCTCGATCACATCTGACTTGCGAAGGATACGCACAAAAGATCTCCTTCAAGGACCAGACCACTCTTGTAGCCAATCGGGCAAATGGTCGAGATACGAAACGCAAACGACGACAAACTGGTAGTAAGTCGCCTGCCATGGATCGACCGACACCTCAGGCCCCGGCTTACACGCAGATCCTCACCGAAGCCAACACCAATACCGAAGACGAAAGCCGAATACAAGAGGTGTCGATGATCGATCAGCGCCCTCGTTCCAAGTTTGACTCAATCTCGATCGAAGCTCGTGCACCTGTTGCCGTTCCATTCATTCCCGAAATGTTGGATCCGATGCCTCAGGCGAACTACATGTCTGGTTTCGAGCCCGACAGGACCCAATTAGATCCCGAAGGCGCGGTTCCGTGGACATTTTCACTCGACGACATGCCCGACTTCTCAGCCGAGATGTGGGATGCTTTCACATTCCCACAGTCCCCGGGCGCGGATTTGATGATCAGTCAGACCTCTACACCAAGCAGCAGAGGCACCGACGAGTGCACAACCCAAGTCCTTGGCACGTTGGAACAGCCACAGGAGAGCCTGGGACCTCCAACCTTGTCACACACTTTTGTGTCTCTCAGCCAAGCCTTCCAATATCCCGAAGACATACTCTACTACCAGTTCTTGATGGACAGCGGGTCCTCGAGCCTGTCGAAGATCATCCCGGTGCTGGAAATCGTCAAGATCGATCATGTGTCACCATACTTTTACAATGCGGTGTTGGCGCTGTCGGCGTTGAGTCTGTCCAAGTCCAAAGAATACCGCCACGCCAGGTGCAAGGAACATGCCATGAATCACATGGCGCGTGCGATGGAGGGAGCCAACCAAGAGTTCTCCATCCAAAATGGCGAGAGAGCCGGAGACGGCGACAGAGGGTTCGAGATCGAAGTGCCAACGCCCGAGACGTTGGTGTCGTGGCTGGGCACGATGATGCTGCTGGCGAATTTCGAGCTGCAGCGAGGGGTGGTGCGGCAATGGCATTCGAGATTGCGTACGGCCGGCTCGTTCCTCAGCATTTACTTCCGCGCACTGGAGAAGAGACCGGCGGGGAAGCTCCTGATCCGGGCGTATGCCAGGATGTCGCTGCTGTTGGCCATCTACAACGACGACTTGTCGGTGACGATGACGTCGCTCATGAATCCAGGCCTAGTCGACCACCTGAGCAAGGTGCTCAGCGAGTCGCCCGAGCCACAGGACCGACTGTTGCCTCTGGTCAAGGAGATTGGGAAACTGGAGATCAACATCCGCCGGCAACCGGAGCTGGAGGAGAAGTGGGCGAGGAAACTGTCGAAACTCCTCGCAGCGTTGGACAAATGGCAGCATGGCCTGCCCGCCACCGAACTCCCCGTCGACACGGGTATCCAGGTTCCGACGAGCAGCGCAAGGGCCAACTCGGACAAGGGCATCGTCATCTCCCCGTTGTTGTTCCCCAAGTCTGCCGACCCGTGTACCTCGGCCATCAACTACGCCACTTTCCTGTGCACGCGCATGCGGGCCAAGACCAAGTTTGTGCTTGGGAAAGGACGAGTGTTCCCGGACGACGCCGAGCAGACCTCCTTCACCATCTGTCGGATCGCTGCAGGCCTGTCGCCTGCGGCGTGCGCGCGGGCAAACATCTACGGCCAGGGCATGCTGCCCGCGTTGTACGGGGCGTACGTGTGGACGATGAACGACCAGTTGCGCGAATGGATTTCGACTTGGTGGTCCGGCTACCGCACGCGGCGCGAGGGCATCTGGGATGTGGAGAAATCGCGCCGGTGTCTGGCTGTCTCGGACGTCATTTTGGCCCAACGGTCCATCTCCGAGTCTAATGTCATCATGTTCAAGATCCTCGAGGAACTCGAGGAGGAGCAGGACGATGAGGCTGGGGACGACGATACCGATGCAGAGCCCGTGGAGAAGCCGTTCCGCGTCGTCATCCACTCGCGGACCCCAGAGGGTTGGAGCACCGACTTTGCCATTGTTGAGTAACAGTACTATGGTGGTCCTCTGACAGATTGGAAATCTGTTTAGAGACAGTATCTAAACAGCTCTAGAGACTAGATACATCCACATTTCTCTAAAGAGAGTGGCGAGACTTGCTCAGATCCTACGAACGGCGAGAAAGGAGAATAGTTTGACCGAAAAAGTTGTTCTCCAAGGTTCACAGGCACTGGCTCCTTATGGTGTAAAACGGTCGAGTCACGGAGATCTATGGTATAGTACTGTCTGCACTATAAGTCCTCGGAGGCCTTGCGTTCCACGATCCCAACCACCGAGTTCCCTGCCACTGCAGGGCGAAGTCGCCTTGGTTGCTTGAGTGTAAGCTAACTTTGCCGAGGACGTCTTCAAGTTACCTACTACTATATAGGCAGACAAGTCTACTCTCCTCCTACCCGTATCTCACATCTTCTCGTTCCACCAACGTAAGATAAATCGACCCTACTACGTATCACGAACAGGTCCACGCTCGCTCAGGGTGCTAAACTCCCAGACCTGAAGTAGAGATAAAGGGGTTCGCGCGCGAGGCTGAAGGTGCATCTTGACGCGCAAGGCTGAATATGTGGGTCACAACTGACTCGCGAACCAAGCTTTACGCTATTGCTTATCTTGACCTGCCTTATGCTTTCAATGTCATCATGATACTACACAACTTACTACGTACTGTGCCAATCGACATTGTCCTTATCTTGCTGCAGAAAGCTCAACATCCCCACCCTGACGATGTAACGTAACGCATGATCGGTCCGATAAGCATTGCCTTCGACGGGAACGGGAAGCTGCCTCTCTCGTCCAGCTTTACTGCGTGTGCCTGGAGGGAAACATCTGAATCATCCCATAACCCGAAGCCTACGATGGAATCCTCTTCCAACTCGGCGCGGACACGGCTCAAAGTCCCCAACTGCCACATAAAGCTCAGTTGCCAGTTCAAGAATAAAGCCATCGGTGACGACTCGAAGAAATAGAGCTGTTGGACTGGACGGCTGGCTGCCTGCGCGGTTTTCATTAGTACTCACATCAGACTCTACCCCGCAATGTGTACGCCTGCTTGTCACTTCCGATTGGGATTGTCGGAGAGTCGCGGCAACGTAAAGCCGTTATCATGCCTCCGTCAACTGATCACTTGGTACAGTTCCTGGCGATATCCGAAGAACTAACTGTTTCGGACACTGGGACAAGATCGAGAAGCTTTCTAGGTAAGCCTCCGACGACAGCTGGGTAGCATCGCAGCTTCAATAGTTCCGGGCACCATATGTCCGTTCCCGCCACATGGCTTTCATTAGATCTTGATGTGTATGGCCCCTGCCTATCAACTGCGGTTCAACATGGAAGTCGGTGTCAATTGGGCCTCCCATTGAGCCGGTTCCTTGAGGCATGAAACCCTTGCCAGCATCTCAACTATTTGATCTAGAAAGACCCGCAATCCTGCATCGACTCCATGCCCACCTGCGCCAGGCCACACGCACGGCCAAGCAGTATTTGGCTAGCCAACTGGATCCCGTCTTCATGCTATCGCTTCCGTGGATTGTGGGACGGTGACCTGGAGACGATGTCATTGTGCATCTGGCTCAGCCGTATATCTAGGCAGCTTAGAGTTGCAACTCTACCTGGACTGCACTTCTTCCTATCCAAATTCGAGCTACCATCAAGGCCAAGATGAAGCTGCCAACTTGGAATTGGCTCACGCTTGTCGCCAGTCTTCTGTTGACTGTCGCATCAGGCAATCACCGTGATGTCTCCCATAGGAGAGGCTTCACTCCACAGGCACTGGAAGATCTCCGAGCCAGATCTCTCTATGGCCGAGACACTCCGGTTGCTGACCGCCTGTATTACACAAATGCCACCAAAGGTGAGTGTCAACAACGCTCTCACCTCCATGCGGGCGCTGCTAGACTCATCGTTGAAAGCTGACGAGGGTCCATATCAGAATACTTTGTGGAGTCACTACCGGATATCCCCAAAAGCTTCATGACCGAGATGTACAGCGGCATCATACCTGTGAACATGTCTGATGACAGCCGTGGCTTCTTCTATGTTTTCCAACCACGTGTTGGCCCGCCGGTCAAGGAGATTACCATCTGGTTTAATGGCGGACCGGGTAAGAAGGAAACCAACAAAGATTTTGTGATGGAGTAAGTTCCTTTACTGATTCTCTTCCAATACAGGCTGTAGCTCGCTCGAAGGCTTCTTCCAAGAGAACGGCCGGATCCAATGGAGCTGGGGTCAATATTCACCGCAGATCAATCCGTATTCCTGGGTCAACCTGACCAACATGCTCTGGGTGGAATACCCGATTGGCGTTGGTTTCTCTCCTGGGAACGCGACCGCGATCAACGAAGAAGAGCCAGCGGCCGAGTTTATCCAGTTCTTCAAGAACTTCCAGGTACGTGTGGCTAAAAGGGGTCTTCTCCATCGGCATGTCCACGAACTAACACGTGGCGTACAGACCATATTCAACATCAGCGACTACAAAATCTACGTGACCGGGGAAAGTTATGCAGGCAGATATGTGCCATATGTCGCCAATGCCATGCTCGACCAGAATGACACAACGCACTTCAATCTCTCAGGTAAGCTGACCCCAGGCGAGAATGTAATCTTGCAGGAATTCAGCAAGCTCACCAGCATCCTTTTGCCTTGACTGCAGGCGCGCTGGTGTACGATCCCTGCATTGGGTCCTTCGACTACGCAAACGCCCTCTCGGTGTATCCGTTCATCGAGCAGTACAACAACATTCTCGGCTTCAACCACTCATACGTCTCGTCACTTGCCGACCGAGACAAGAAGTGCGGCTATGCGGAGTACCGCAAAGAGTACATGCACTTCCCGCCCAATGCGACGCAGCCGCCTCTGTACCTCAACAGCACGGCCGATCCGGACTGCGACCTCTGGAACGAGGTCTACGACAACGCGTACGGAGTGAACCCGTGTTTCAACGTCTACGAGCCCAACCTGCAGTGTCCGCTGTTATCTGATCCCCTCGGATTCCCGAGCGACCTGATCTACTCGTATCCCGGGCTTCCACCGTATTTCAACCGCACCGATGTCAAGAAGGCAATGCATGCACCAGTGACGACCGATTGGGAACTCTGCACTGGCCCTGTCTTCGTTGCTGATGGTGGACCGGAGGATTACGGCGATCTGAGCGCGGATCCATTGCAGGGTGTGCTTCCTCGGGTCATTGAAGCCACGAACCGAGTTTTGATGTAAGTTGTTTTCGTTCTTTTCTTTTCTTCTCTTTGCTTTTCGGGTCTGTCCCGGTTTGTCTGCATATCTGCTCTCGACTCTGCTCTCGACTATTTGCGCAGACCGAGCTCAGGCTGACATTTCGGTTGGTCGTTCAGTTCCAACGGCGCTCTCGATCTCGAGATCCTCACCAACGGCACGATGCTTGCGATCCAGAACATGACGTGGAACGGCAAGCAAGGGTTCCAGAAGGCGCCGTCCAAGCCGATCGTGATCAAGATCGGCGACATTCAGTACGAGGAAGTCTTTGAGAGCAGTGGCCTGGGCGGGCTCGATAGCTACCAGGGCGTGATGGGCGTGCAGCACTTTGAACGTGGGCTAATGTGGGCCGAGACATATCTGAGCGGACACATGCAGCCACAGTTCCAGCCTCGAAGCAGTTTCCGTCACATGCAATGGCTTCTGGGGAGGACTGATGCATTGTGAAGCGGTCTTATATACTACTCTAAGCAAGCCCGAGAGAAACATAATGCAGCTGCTAGACCGCACTGGCTGGCTGTAGATTTAATCTCCTACGCTTAGAGCCTGACAACCAACCCCCCTTCGTTTCGACAGGAGTGCTTCGTTTTCAAATCCACCGTGGCCGTTTTGTTTGGAGCAGTGACCCTTTTTCTAGTCCATGGTTCCCAGATCCTCTGCAACGATGAACTTGGCACTAGTCTTCTCCCTGACCATATCGACCGAAACGCCCTCTGCGGTCTCAGTCAACAGCAGGCCCTTCCCACCGGTCCGATCGACCTGAAACACGGCGAGTTCCGTTATAATAGTAGAAACGACAGCCTTGCCGGTCAAGGGAAGATCGCACTCATCCACAATCTTGCTCCGCCCATCCCTATCGGTATGGTAGGTGCAGACGATGATCTTGGTCTTATCCGGATTGCTGACGAGATCCATGGCGCCGCCCATGCCGTTAAACGCCTTCCCCGGGATGATGTAATTGGCCAGATCACCAGTGGCGGAAACTTGTAGAGCACCGAGGAGCGAGACATCGACGTGGCCGCCGCGAATCATGCCGAACGACTCGGCCGAGTCGAAGGTCGACGCACCCGGAATCAACGTGACGGTCTCTTTGCCTGCGTTGACGGTGTCCGGATCGGCAGCCTCGCGGGACTCAGGGTACGCACCCATGCCAATGATGCCGTTTTCAGACTGCAGCCAGACCTTGGTGGCAGGCGGGAGGAACGAGGCTGCTAGGGTCGGAATCCCCACGCCCAGATTGACGTAGTATCCGTCCTTGAGCTCCTTTGCGGCCCGCTTGGCGATGCGGTTCCGCTTGACGGCTTCTTGGTTGTTGTCAGAAGCATTGGAGTCGGCACCGTCTTGTGAAGCGGATGGCGCGAGGACCAGTTTTTCGATATGTTTCTCCGACGTCGCGGGACAGATGCGATCGATGTAGATGCCCGGCAGGTCGATGTGGTCTGGGTCCAGGGCGCCGACGGGGACGATGTTCTCGGCCTCGACGATGGCCAGGTTGGCCGCCTTGGGCATGAGCACGCCGTACGCCTTGGTCGTGGTGCGGAAGATGCAGTTGCCGGCCTCGTCGGCCTTCCACGCCCGCACGATCGCCACGTCGCCCTTGAGCGCCGTTTCCATGAGATACGTGCGCCCGTCGAAGATGCGTGTTTCGCGCGGCCGCCCCGGCTCCACCACTTCGTGCTTGCCCGTCTGCGGGTCCTTGGGTCCGAGTTTGATCGGGATCCCGCCGGTCTCGATGAGCGTCCGGGCCCCCGTGGCCGTGAAGAAGGCCGGGATCCCTGCCCCAGCCGCGCGCAGCCGTTCGGCAATCGTGCCTTGTGGACAGAGCTCGATGGCGACTTGGCCGTCGTGGTACTGTTTCCCGAGAGGCTTGTTGTTGCCGATGAAGGAGACGATCATGCGCGACACCTGGCCTGTCGACGTCAATTTCGCTAGCCCCCACTCTCCCGCCCCGGCATTGTTCGAGACAACTGTCAGATCGCGTGTCCCTTTCTTGCGGATCGCGTCGATGAGTGTTTCTGTTTTGCGTGAGGACTGGTCAATATTGTAATGAATCCCACTGGCTAGTTGCCAGTGGCAAAGGGATAGGTTGCTTTTGGTGATGCTCTTGAAGGGAATCTGATTGACTTGATGCTTGTCCAGACAGAGATATATTCAAAACTCACCTGCTACTCCGCAGAGCCCAAACCCGGAACTCAGAATGGTGGTGCCATCCTTCAGATCCGCAATAGCTTCGTCGGCGCTGCTGAAGACCTTGGACGCACTTCGCTGCCTGGCCTCAGGCGCTTCCCTCAATCCTGAGCTGACACTGAACTCCCGTTTGTTGGCTGTCCGTCTCCTGGGCCACGACAATGCTGTCGCAACACCGACGAATCCATTGCAGGGGAGCTTACCCCGAGGCCTGACGAAAGGTGCCCTCTGAGAGCACGTCTCCAGCAGTACAACGGACATGGCGCCTAGATGTCTATGTATGTTTGATCTTATCCATCCTATATATACGTGATCGAAGGGCAAATGAGTTCATATGTAGTGGCCTCGGTAGGACGCCGGTAGGACGCCGACGGAGTCCCCGCTACGGCGATGTGATTGGTGGACCGGCCCTTTACCGGGAGGCGTCGGTGGTTTGTTTGGACGCCGACCGGAGAGACGATACTTACCACGTACCTAAGGTACCTTATATCTACTACTACCTCGATTCCAACAAGGATGGTTTGATGTGAACGATATCCCCACTGGAGATTTTATAGGTGAAGAAAATGTGACTTTTGTCTATTAGTATTTACTTAAAGGATTCTCGTGCAGCGAGAACCAAGATATGTCCTCGGTACACGTCCTTCAAAGAACATTCCTGACCACCTGTGCAAAAGTCATGTTCTTGCCATCGACGTCTTCGGCCGAGCGAGACTGGTACGTGCCGTCCCAGAACATGGCGCCCGCCAAATTCGGCAGATCCAGCTTCTTGGCCTGCTCGAGCAAGGACTTGTAAGTCTGCGGATCGACATAGCCGGCCTTCGGGGCCGAGTAGAAGGCGCGCGTGCCAATGAGGAGTCGGGGATACGTGATGTCGTTGTTGATGGTCTGGAATTTGCCTTTGGGCACGGTACATCTCTGGGCATCGCCGGAGCCGGTACATTTGAGCTTTCGGCCGTCCAACAACAGCTTCGACCAGGCCTGCAGAGCGTCGAGGAACCCCTGGCCACTGCCGAGTTGGCATGCCTGGGCGTTGTAGAACTGGACGTTCCAGAAGTCGACGTCGTTGATCAGTTTGGCCACTGGAGTCTCTGGATCGGGTAGGGCACAGATGGGCGCGGCGCTGATGTAGTACGACTTGGACTTGTCCTTCTTCAGCTGTTTGCGGAGCGACGAGACCATTTTCGGCAGGTATTTGGCGTTGGTTGCGTTCTCGTTGTCTAGTGAGAGATTGTGTTAGCACTCTGTCTCCAAACAGGAACATCCCAGGGACAACTAGTCCATGCTAAGCAGGAGCGGAAGACCACTTCATCCCAGCAGACGGGGGAAGGGGAACGACTTACCCAAGTCGAAGCCGTCGAGGACCACGTTCCCAAACGGCCGCAGAGGCTTGACTTTGGAATCCGTCCCGCCCAGAAACATGTTCCATAGCATCTTGGCCACCTTGGATGCCGCCTTGGAACTCGGGATGTAGAGGTCGCCGCTGGCCGATCCGGCACTGATCAGGACTTTCTTGCCCTGCTTTTGGCAACTGGCAATCTCGTCGGCGAACCCACCGCTCACACAGTCCAACAGATCCGGTTGTCCGGCGTCCACCTGGGCGGCAGACGCCTCGAAGCAGATGGTGTTGAAGTCCATGGTTATGCTGATGTCTTTGGTGTCGTCGGTCGAGTTGTAGAAGCTCTTGATGAAGCCCAGCAGCACCACGTCTATCGAGTCGTCACTGCAGACCTGGGTGAGCGACACGTTGGCCGTGATGTTGCTCTGGCCGTAGTAGACGATGTTGAGGTCGCTCGCAAGAGCATCGAAGTGGTACGAGGCTCTGCGATTGATGCTGGAGGGAGACTGTCCCTCGTGGTGAATCAGTGCTCCTTCACGGCCATCCTCGAGAGACGCGGATGAGTCCTTGATGGTGCCAATGCTCCCATCGCAGCGCGCAGGCAGTGCCGAGAGCAGACACAGAATCAAAGAGAACAGCGCAACCATATTTGTCGAACATGCCATGGTTGGTCAGAGTCGGAATGAGCGCGGTGAGAAACCATGGTACAATTGACTTCGCTTTTCTATTGTTCAAGTTCAAAATTCTGGACATGATCGCTTTTCATCGTCGTCGTCATCATCAGGCTCACGGACTCATCCAGGTCTCAGGTACATTGACTGCATCTGGGGACAATATTGATGTAAGAGTTGAACTCTTGGTCAGTGCGGTCGACTATCGACCGTTAAGGCGTCTATCGCCGTCAAGTTGAACGTCAGAACGTCAGAACGCACGGTCTCATCACAGCATCGCCCAGAAGACTCGCCTGGACAGTGAAAGCCCTCGCCACATCATTGAATGCATGAAATGGATTCTTGTACGGCGGTAGAGTTCGATTCCAGCAAATCCTTCTCTCATTTGATTTGTGGGCCGTCAAAACATGCTTCCTTTCACTTCCGTGTCTCCAGGTCGACGACCATTCTCAGTAACATTCTAGAATACTGCGACGCCGCAGTCGAGACGTCCATCTATTGCAATGCGGCTGAACAAATGCAATGCCTCCTTTTAGTCGCCCGTGGGTGTGCCACAGATCGCATCCATCAGTCAATCACAACCACAATCGTGTTGCACGCCCAGAAGCAGATAGATATACACATTGTCCCTAAAGGCCTCCCTAAATAGAACAGTCATGGATCCCCGTCGGTCCCAATTCGTTATACTCACTCCTGGTGAGGAATCCCTTGCTATTTCCTTGGTCGACAATGAACACCACCTTCGCCGCCACCTGCGCTCCCAAGAAACCCGCCTCTTCCATGCCATGCACGCTCGGGTCCTTCCATTCGGGGAAGTAATCGGGAGCCTTGACCATCTTGATGGAAGTTGGGGTTTGGCTGAAACCTCGATGTGTATGATGCATGCCAGGATCCATGACGGACCCAGGCTGAGGGACTTGCAGATGCTGATTAGGCTGCATCATGTTCTTTGTCGCCGCTACCAAGAGAGGATTGACGCCGTGGCCGCCCGGCTGGTGTAGAGAGTGGCCGCCTTGTCCGGGAATGGGGGTGTTCGTGCCAGGCGTGGCGATGGGTGTAGTGAAATTCGACGGTAGCTCGGACGTGAAAATGGTGGCCGTCGAAGGCGAGAGGACGTATCTGGCATGGAGAACGGACAGTAAAGCTGGAGTGAACCCTAGAATAAATGAGCACAAGGCACTCCACACGTAACACACGTAGACTTCGGACATACCTCTGATGCGACTGCCGTTGCCCAAGATGATCACGTTCTCCCACAACGTCGACCTCTGCGCCATGTCGGGCACGCTCAGAACAGTGTGATGCATCGCCTCCGCTATCGTATCAATGATCCCCTCGCCGACGCCGGGAAGTGGTGTCGCCGCCATGAATCGCTCCACGCCCACCTCGATCTCGCGTTTTCGCTTTCGGCTTTTCTGCTCTCCTTCGGCGGGGTCCGAATCCTCCTCGGGAAGGAGTTCCACATACGTAAACGACGCACGCTCCTTATCCGAATTTCTAAGCCTGAGTGCCTTGGGGCCGTCAGCTGCACTCTTTTTGGCTGCCGCCTTCTCCGCCTTCTCCTTTTCACGCTTGGCCAGCAGTTCAGCCGCGTTGTCTCGGGCAACGATGGCGGCGACGTCAAGGACGCCATCGTTCTCTTCTTCGTTGCCGTTGACACCCTCTTCACCGACCATGGTGTCTACACCAGGGCCTCTCGGCGCCTGGCCAGGTCTCAGGCCATCACCATCCTTGGCATTGACTCCTGAATCCAATGCACCGGTAGAAGCGGCAGCGGCAGGGTTAGGCGCCACACCATTAGCAGTGCCCCGGGGAAATTCCACTCCAGCGGGGAGGATCTCGCAAATTTGGCTCCTCTTCAGTTGCTCGGCCATTTCCTCAGTAAACCCCTCACCCTCCAGTACTTGCTGCAGTCGCTTGGTCATTGCATGACCTCCACAGTCAGGTATGGCAATGCCACGACCTATGTCGTTCACTTGGAATTCTGTTACTGCCGTCACGTCGCACTTGCCGTGGCCGACGTCGACCACCAATGCGGTGGGAACACCGTAGGCATAACAGGCCGTCAAGGCGGCATCCATGAGACAAAAGGCAGGAACCTTCCAGGTCTCGAAGACAAACTGAGTAATCCTCTCCTGGTCTCGACTAGTCCAGCACGGCTGTGCCACGAACAGCACCGGCATGTGGAAGGGGGGAGACATCATGTTGTAGATGTGTGACAGGAGAGCGAAGAAACAGGACCAGTTCTCTATTCGACCTTCTCGGATGGGATAAACAGCACCCTCGGTGGACCATAGATCGTCCTCGAACGTTGCCGTTGTCTCATCTTCTGCATCTTGTGGAGCATCTTGCGGCGCATCTTGCTGTGCTGGTTCTGGTTGAGACACATCCGTAGGCGGGGCTTCTGAGACTGTATCTGTTGCTGTTGCTGTTGCTGTTTCTGTTGCGGTTGCGGTTGCCGTCGCTGTTGCCGTCGTAGTCTCCTCTGCTGCTGGAGCTTCTTTCATCTCAACATCTTCAGAGGCAGCCGGCTTCGCATCGGCTTGTTCGGGTTCGGTGCCGGGCAGTTCGCCGGTGGCTTGTTGTCCATTTGGTTGGTCGGCGGTGACAGGGTCTCCGTTACTCGTAGGCTCAGTAGGCTTAGTGATCAAGGTTGATTTGGAGCGAATTCTGACAGGGTCCCATTCGTCAGGCTTAGGTCCTGGGAACATGCGAGTGGGAAAGCGAAATCGAGGAGGAGTGAAGGACTCGGGAAGCCCCAGTTGCGCAGCAGTGATCTGCGAACCGGGCGCAATGATCTGAGAAGTTGCGCGGTTAATACAGATTGCGCAGTCAGAGAGCATGGGGTGCGGGTATTACTTACGAGCACATGCTCATCCTTGAAAGGTGGCATTGATGCGTGGTCGCGCAATGCTCAGCGCTGCGGGAATCGATCTTGCACTTGCGTTTCCCTTCACTGCGACATTGATGCTTCGGCGTCGCGTTTCACGTTCAACTCGATTGCACGCGCGATACAAATTCTGGCCAAGATGGTCCTCACGTGATATTGTTACATAATCTAGATCATGTGACCAGTAGATACCTACTAACTCTGTGGTACATACGCTCCAACCCCTCTGGTATGGAATCGACACCGGTGCGCGGTGGGCAACTGGCAGTGCTGTCGGCCGTCAGAATATCAAACCACGAGGCCTTCCGTCTAATTCGCCGCGTAGGATTAAAAAGAAATGAGGAAAAAATGGTCGTCATCAAACCCCTTTTGGATTGTTCATCTATCAAAAGTATGGCCAATTTAGTGCACTTCCTGTGCTGGCACCCAACCCTCCGTTCTAGTAATTTTACAATTGGATTTCCCGTCCATGCCTTGTCCTTGCCAGAGCTGAGAGCTCCTGGCCACGGCGCCATAGTCAACGCCAGCCATAACCTCCCCTTCCGAGACTCCCTCCCGGCTTGTCCAGACCTGGCGTCGGATCTTCCGGTGCTCTCTTTCCAGCCTCAAGATCACCCACTTAATGGTCATCAGACTCGACCAAGTCCATCGACGGTCAGGATCTTCGGCGAAACCATCTTCGCTAACCACTTGCTGCAAAGCCCGGTCTGTCGCTGCCAGCAATAGGCGCGCCATGTGTGGGCTGCATGCGAGTAGTCGGCTCAGGAGTTTCATGCGGAAGACCGCTGGCCTGGTCGATGTCGAAGGCATCGAAATCAAAGAATGAATTAGTGGGAAGTTGGTCAGGATGGAGGAGAAATCCTGTTCCGTCGAGGTCATTGACAATCGCTGAGCCAAGATCTGGAAGAGGTTGCAGAGTGGCAAGAGCGTTGTCGCTGAGAAGGTTTGAAATATCGTCAAGGTCTGGAAGACTTGTAGGAGGTAATTGAGACCAAGGTTGGCCTTCTGACTGGATGGAACTTCCGGCAGCTTGATAGCCCAGGTCTCCGGTTGACACTGCAGGTCACACAATATCGCAGCAGGATATTGTGCCAAGCCGGAGACGGCTGGGAAGCTTTGGAAGGTTGCCATCGAGTCAGATGGTTCAGCCTCGGAATGTTCGTTGATCAGGTTGAGTTGGGGTGCCAGGACTGGTGACTCATGTTTGACAGGAGTGGTCATGTCGGATTGAACAAGTGTGGGGTGGTTGGACTCGAGGTCAGTGGTGTCGTAGGAAGATGGAGTAAATGGCGAAGGTGCTGAGTCGACCTTTTGATCGAATAGAGATGACACGGCATCAAAATTCGTGGCGGCCGGCTCGGCGGCCACTGGAGGAGGGAAGTCCTCTTGGACGCCGAACCTTGACTGATACCGCCCCAGGAGTTCTCGAAGCGCGGCATTCTCTCTCTCAATCCGAATCTGCCGCTGTTCGAGTTCGGCCACAGCTGCTTTTTGACGCTGTCGAGACTTGTCGGCGGCTCTTCTATTTCGGAGGATTCGTTCGTTCTTCCTCTGTTCCTTCTCCTCGGCTGTCTTGGCTCGCTTTCGTGGAGGAAGGATCTGTTTGATCTCCGGCACAGGCTGACCCCAGGCCTTCCGCTTCTTCTTGGAGGGTTGGTCTGCGGGTGGTTGGCTAGACTCCATATCATCGGACATGGGAGGGGGAGTCGGGTAGGTTTCCTCGTAGCCGGACATGCTCAGAGACGCAGGATCGACAACGTTGGGTGAAGAAGCCATGGTGGCCCGTGGCAGGTAGCTGTCTGATGGGATGGAAGCGGATGGAATAGATGACAAGAGTGTAGGCGTGAGTGGGAGTGTGGTTGGATTTATGGGAGGTCAAATTGACCACGTATCCTCAAGGCGGACGCATGGTGATCAGGCAGCACCGTTGGATGGAAAGTGGATATCAATCATACGCGGGCAGAGAAGAGGACAACTCAAGATGTCTGTGTGAAATGAGAGAAGTGTGAGCAGCAAGTCGAGCGTGGAGTGGAAGGGGGGTGGCAGGCAGATGGAATTAAATAAAGGCCAGAGTGTCCGATTCAGGGGGAAGTCCAGGCCAAGGAATCCACCAACTGCGCAGTCCGAGTCCAAGTCTCTCGCCATCGACGACGTGCCGCCCCTGCGCTTGATGGTGACAAGGCAATAGAGTCTCACATTCTGACCCACGCTTATCCATCAGCTCCTATCTCTGCCCACCAATCTCCATCACCTCTGGTATCCTCAGGTGTCCTCAGGCAGCCTGTCCCACTGTCGCCATCGCGTCCAACCCATACCACCCCTTGCTTCCGGCTTCGCTGCGCTTCTCTCCTCCGCATTCAGCTCAGCCTCACACTCGTCAGCTGCATTTGTGTATCTCCACTGGTTCCACTGTTCCTTGCCGATGAGATACCCTTTTGTGCCGTGGCGACGTACACTTGTAGCACATCAACCTGCCAATGATGCAGGGGGTGGCTCCTTACAAGAAAGAGCAGAGCAGTGCAGTGGTTGAATGATACCGGTGCTGTCAGGTCTGGAAGAGATCGAGGACCCCGATACCCGCAAGTCGCGATCGATCCAGCAGCTCAGATTCTGTCTGTTCGTAGTAGAAGCTGACTGCACTGCAGTCTTACGCGCAGCAGCAGCTGTAGGTTTAAGGATGGACAGCTACAACGGCGATGTCCTGCTGATAAGATACATGATGAGTTGTCCGTTACTATTCCTACATGCATTGTAGAAGGGGTATCTCGCTATGCTACAAACAATTTTTTGACGCGCCATGTCAGCCCTGCTCATCTAGTCGTAGCCATGCCGGTGACATTGCCCGTTGTGCCAGCGCCATGTCCTGCTATTTTCGGGGCTTCACATTCCGCCCATGGCTGTATCACGTTGGCTCCCCGTAAAGTGCGGTCTCTCAATACCTTGCACGACGCAAGAGCTGCACCCGGTGGTGCCACTTGAGTTAGCCGTGCTGGGGATTGACCTGGGCGGCATTCAACACTCGCTTCTTCATCCACTCTGGATCATTGTACAACTTTTCTTGGTAAATCTCGTCCACCAGGTCATTCACCATGTCCTCGACAATCTGCTCTTGATACCGTATGCCAATAGGGCGAGCATCCGGATGTTGGGGCCCGTCCTGACTGTATCCGTACCACCATGGCCCGTCAAATTTGCACTCAACCGCACCGCCTGTGTAATGACTAATCGCAGGGTAGTACCCCAGCAAGCCATCATCCACGTCGCCGTGACCGGTGACAGCGCGACTGCCTTTCTCGATGGATGATGCTGGTGGTAGGAAAGCAAACAGATGTTCCCAAATGACTCCGTGGTATTTCCCGTTCACCCAAAGTTCGATCTTGCTTCCTGGTAGCGTACGCAGATGCGGCAGTTCGTGGTTGGGGTGGGGGTCAGTAAGAAGATCATATTTCTTACCAGTCTCCGGGTTGACGGATTTGTTCTTTGAGTTTAGTGTTGGCCGACTCAGGTCGTGGTTGGGAGTGTACTCTGGACTTTCAAAATAAGTCATCCCCCTGTGAAGGAACGGGTTGCGATCGCGGATAATGTCATGGTCCGACGGAACAGCACAGCCAGCAACGGGCTGTAATTCGCTCCGGATGGCGCTGCGAGTATGTAACTTCTTGCTTGTCTCTTCCTTGCCTTTCCCAAGTTCGCCGTCTTTCGATTTGGGCCCGCTCTTAGCGGCCTTCTTGCCCACCCCTGACTTCTTTTTGACGATGGCAGGGCCGCATTTGAGATCTGGGTATTCTGCGGGATTGAACGTGCCCTCGACGACTTTCTTGTGCACCTCTAGCGACGGGAGAGTGATCATCAATCCGACAACATCTCCCGGTGAAAGGTCTTCGGGATCGGTGGCACCTTCGCCCTGCACGTGGTACATCAGGGTGTTGAATCGAACACTGCCATACTCCCTCGACCTGCCGCTTCGAAGGACGACGGCATAGCTGTATGCGTTCCCTCCCATATTCTCACTCCAGTGATGTTCCCGCCTGCAGAATCCAACTCGTAGCCCACCTCGATTCGTGGCGGTCCGGTCGGGGTTTTGAGTATCCGCAAGAGCACGAGTTGGAGGCTCTCTGCCCGGGGGTGCTATGCTGATGACCTTTGCCTCGAAAAAGAACTTGCCTTCTCTCGCAAAGACATTTGCTCTTGTAGTGTAACTGCCGAACTCTCCACTCTTGCCTAGCATGTCTTTGGTGAAGGTGTTCTTTAGACCCTCCACTCCACATTGGGGATGGTTCTCGTCGCTGAGGCGGGCATATCGAGGAGGAGCCTCATCGGCATGGAAGTAGTAGGTGTCGGGATCTCGTTTCGCGCGTACATAGTATCGCTTTTCTTTGCTCTCGACACTGGCCGGATTAGCTCGACTTCCTACCCAACGATGAATCATGCATACTGTGTTCCCAGGGAGTAGAAATCGATCTTGTCACCATTAGGTGCTACTTTCGTGTGATCATAGATTTTGGGCACCTCCTTCTGGTCTTGAAAGAATTTCGGATCGTTGGGCGCAATGTAGGTTGGTAGTATAACCGTCTTCTCGTCCTCGTATCTGTCTATCTTGGCCGATACTTGTTCTTTGACCTTTTCGCTGGGCTTCTTCTCTCGGTGCCCACGGCCAGATGTCTCGTCCATGCCGGGCTTTGGATGACATGAAGCGAAGTCGCCACGTCTATTTCCTTGCGTCAAAGAAAGTGAAAGTTACAAGAGACGCGCAGGAAAATGCGCGATCGCGGCACCGGCAAAAGTTCGGATGATTATTATTCCCGGATGCGTGTTCGACGACAAGGCTGTGGTTAGGTCTACAGATTCAAGACATGACATGTATTCAGAAGAGACATTGCTTCTTGTATTCACCCAACTCGTCGGACACATCCAATTCGACAGCACCGAACGATCACTCCGCCAGGCTGCTCTTATCCCCCGGTCAGCCAGCCTCGAAGGAGTCTGCAAGCCGCCACAATGTCACCCACGGGACCAGTTTCTCTACCCAAGCCTAGCAAGCTCAATACCCAACCTTCCACAAGCCACCTTGCCAGCACGCCAGACACTGCAATTCCCGTTGCAACGATGTAGCCACAATTGAGCAAAACCAGCAAAGCCTCGATGTTGTTGAGGAGAACTGCCCAGCCAACGTAATTGGTGGCCCTGAATGCGAACCCAAACGAGTCGCCTCCCCTCGCTTCAGTGGGCCATATGACGAGTAAGATAGGAAACAGCTTTGTGCAGCTTGACACCAGCAGTGCTGTGCTAATTGCACTAGGGCTGGCATAATTTGCTGTCAAGCCGGGCGAATATGGTGTGGTCTCTGCTGTCGAAGCCGAGACGGGTGATTTATTGTCGTTGCGGTCACCCTGTTCTCGTGTATGAGCTAGCAGGGCTCGTACGAGCATGCGGATGGTCCCATGCTGGGCGAGTGTCGCAAGAACATTCATGGTGAGGAAGAATAGATATTGCGTAAGGATAGGCATTTCGCTGAGCTTGGAGGCACATTCGGCACCACCTGCTGCGGCACTTGTTCTCTCGATCCTGGCCCAAGTGATATAGACATCAAATAGCACTAGCAAGATTCCCAAGCGTAGAATGCTGGGATCAAATTTGTCGTCGGAACGGCCAAGTCTATTGAACAATAGGTGACGGTAGACCTGGACTGCTATCAGATCCACGCCTTCCCCAGGCCAGACCGCACATAGCTGCAACACGTACTTGAGGTTTGATCAAGACCAGATCAATAAACAGCACGACAAAATCGTGCTCGACATATTTGTCGGCAAAGCGTTTGCAGTTGGGACATTGAGTGAGCCGAACGCCTTTCCCAAGGGTCCTATCGTCGGCTTTGCTGTAAACGGTGTACAGGTTTTTGACGGGAGTGCTGCATGTGATGCATATCGGCATACCTGTCTTGTGAATGCAGCCAGGATCACTTCTTGAAGTTAAGAGACCTGCAGGTCGTTGTCGAACTGCAAGGGATGGGATGCAATGATGGGTGAAAATGAGGCGCGGAATGGAGCCTTGGGGGTTGCTGATATATGCGCTATGCAAAAGAATGTTTCACCGCACTCTAGGCCCGTCGAGTACAGCGGACCATTCAACGAACAAGCGCAAGGATGCAAAATCCACCAAGGACAACTGCTTGCTGTCTATCTACGTACCTCTACCATGTACCTACCTAGGTACGTATAGAGTGTACTCCTATTGTTGACACCATGTCGAAGGAAGTCCCTCGCCGCTCTTCTTCACCTTCATGTCTCGTCTCATCCACTAAATGCTCATCCTCCGTGCTGACCTCTTCGTGAAATATACTGAAATGGCACAGATGTCGGATACCTTGCACCTCATGCATCGGCCGACAATCTCGCCTTTCGCAGACCTCATATCGGGGAAAACTCCTCGAGGATGGAGAAATGCTGCAGCCTATCCAACGGCCCAATAGTTGAAGACTATGAATAGAGGCCTTCGCGAAAAGACCTGTCCGGGGCTTGGGACCACAGAGACGCCATTCCTGTTACGGTTCAATTCGCGAAACAAATTGTCCTTCTGCCTCACCACAACGTTGCACGCTCCCACAACTGCAGAGGGCTGTGGTTCAGCTGAACTTGAGTTCACGCACAGACGCTCCAAGGCTACATGGTATCTCAAAAGGAAATGATAATGGGTTGTCTCTCCTTGCCAACATTCAGGTCAAGTCATTTAAAAATGCTTGCTCGCCCTGCTCTGGCTTTCCCAAAACTCTCCGGATTATTTCCATCCCAGTCATGATCAGGTACGCGTATCGCAAAGTCAAAGCCCACAGGGCGCGCAAAGCCGAGGAGGTTGCTGCTGCTATTGCACCTCCTCGCGATCCAATGGTCCAAAGCCCAACCCTCAACCCTCCTATTCCAACTGTATTTACTGTGTCCAAGAAGCCATGCCCAAAGTGCGCACAAGAGAAGAGCGCTGCTCGAAAATACCGGTGGAAGCTCTTGTTCTGCCTCGTACCAGCCTTTTTTGTTTCCAGTCTTGACTTGACCATTGTTGCTACAGCCCTCCCTCGAATCGCCTCACATTTTGGTACGTCTCAACCTCAGGTTAACCAAAGTGGAATTGAGCTGATGACTTTATAGATAGATTCAATCAACTGAACTGGATCGTGACAGCCTTCACGTTGACCTCGACCGCTTTCATTCCAGTATGGGGCCAATTGGCCGACATATTTGGTCGACATGCCACTCTTCAGTGCGCTGTTGTGTTCCTTACCATCGGCAGCATCCTCTGCGCAGCCGCACCTGACTGGGCCGTGTTGTTGCTCGGTCGAGCTCTACAGGGCGTGGGGACAGCAGGCGTCTCTAACGTGGTCCTGATCATCCTTGCAGACTCGGTATCGTTAAAAGAGCAAGCAGTCAATACCAGTATCTTCCAATTGATGAATGGGGTGGGGTACAGTAAGTCGCTCAACCCCCTTTGGCGCCAGCATCCTTCGCTGACAATGATAAAGGCGTCGGACCAGTCATTGGCGGTTACATCACGAATGCCAATTGGCGTTACTGCTTCGTGTTGGGCGCGGGCATCTCGGCCGTCAGCCTTTTGACAGTCTTCCTGCTCCGGAAGGAGTTGAAGGGAGGTCACGTCTCACTGTCCCGGCCACCCAGGGGTCAAACTCGCCTTCGGGCGTTCCTGACTGGCATTTCCACCGTCGATTTCGGTGGTATTGCCATCTTCATATTCGGCGTCGGCCTGGTCATTCTTGGTACAGCCTGGGGTGGATCAACCTACGCATGGAGTTCTGGTGCCGTGTTATCGAGCCTTGTGATCGGAGCAATTCTGATCCTTGTCTTCTTGGCCTACGAAGCTCTCCTTTCTCCGTCACGCCTCTTGAACAGGCTGTTCCCGAAGACCGTCCCAATGATCCCAGGCTCAATTCTGAGTGCCAAAGACGTGAGTCTGGTCTGCTGCATCGCCGCCTCCGCAGGCGCCGCTTTGTATTCGGTCTTCTATTTCATCGGCATCTACTTCACACTTGTGGAGGCGTACGAGGCTAGCGACGCCGGAGTCCAGCTGCTGTACTACGTGCCAGGACTCGGGGTGGGCGTCTACAGCGCCATACTCATCTGCAACGTGTGGCCGCGGCAGACTTTCTGGCCTCTTCTCGTCGGCACCATTGTTGAGACCGCGGGCATCGCCACCCTTGCATATGCTGTCAAGGCGCGGGACGCGACCCTGGTCAACGTGATGATGGCGGTTGCCGGCGCGGGCACAGGACTACGCTTCATGCCATCGAACCTGCATTTGGCGGGCATGTTTCGTGACCGCCTGGCTCCCGTGTACAGTCTTCTACGGTTTGCCCTGCCATTCGGCGGTACGCTGGCGTTGATAATCATGGGTTCGGTTTTCCAGAATCAGATGAGCGACTATTTCGGATCCGATACACTCAACTCGGGCAACAACGGGATCTCATTCAACTTGCACGACCAAGATTCACTCGACGCTATCGCGCAACTGCCGGACGCCGAGCAAGCGGTGATTCGATCACAGGGCGCCACCGCGACGATGTGGGCATTCATTTCAATCCTACCGATCTTGGGTCTCGGATTACTCGCCAGCGCCGGGCTCGGGAATGTTTGGATCGCGAAGAGCCCGTCCCAAAAGAACGACAGCGAAACGGGCGAGAGGCGAGAGGATGGCATGTGTCGGAGACACGCCAACAGCCTCACCGACACTGGCAGCGCTGCAGAGACGCCCAATGAGGTTGAATATATCAGCTCGAGATACTTGCTGGCTTTATTCCGTGGCAACGTCCAGCAATTGAAGCGGGCGGGTGTCAACGAGAACGCAGCCACCGGCCCGAGCGCTCACCAGCGTAGAGAACTGGATGCGAGCGCCATGACCGACGGGTCTCCTGCCGAAGTTGAGCCCAAAGAGTTCGGCGGAACAGTCTCAACTAGGACCACGGAGAAGGATTCTATCGTCTGAAGGAGGATATTCTAGCGTTGTGGTTCTTGTTTATTGTGGCCTTGTCTACTATATATCATAATTTGGTCGGATAGAGTGACTCAGAGAAAATAATCGATTGCTTTTGCACATCCAATGTCTAATCGGCGATTTTCTTTCCATCGGCCCAGGTTGGCTGTATATTTCGACAGACGCTCTCGTAATCGAGGAAGGTCTGACTCTTGTCCGGGTCTGAAAGTCCAGGAGTGGTCCAAAACATGGTCCAGTTGGTACCCGGGATCTTCCAAGTCCCCCGCGAACGTTCAAAGTACCACTTGTTTACAGGATTATCTTTCCTACTACGCCAGCACACGCCGTTGGGGAAACATGTCCTCACCATGGCATTGAAGACGATGTCGGCCACTCCACCTGCGCCTTGGCTTTTCTTAAGCACGGCAAACTTGTCCAGATATGGCACCAGCCGAGAGGTGTCGCTGTCGGACGCGCCCTGTGGGGTCTCCCAGGTCAGAATGGCACCGCCTTCGTAGTCTCCGGCTATGATCACTCCAGCTATTCGATCGTTGACTCGTTTCAGATATGCTGGTACATCCAACTTTCTGTTGAACGAGTCTTCGATCAGATAAGTGAGTCGATCGAGGTCGATCTCCGGGTCGGTCAGCTTCAAACGAGGCTTCCCCGCAGCTTTCCAGGGCTGCACGTCCGGATGAGGCAACATGACCAAGGGCATGCCTCGCTTGATAAAGGTCGAGTTTGTTGCCGAACTTAAGGGGCGATCTTGTCCCAGTCGCCTTGTAGGCAAAGACGAGGAATATGCAGGCTTATCGGTCAAGAGGTTGTGAATCAGTGGATTTTTCTGCCGTCTCGTTCCGACGTTAGATACGTCCTCGTCCGACGTCCTTGAGCTGTTTGCGGCTTCGAGCGGAGTGGTCAAGAGGCCTGACGCAGAATGGGGTAGCAATTTCAAAGCATCCCGGAACAACTTCAAGTTCGAGGCATGTTTGGGAGAAACACTCCCGTCTGTAGAGCTCCGCAATTCTTCCTGCATTGCCGAGTATTCTTGCTCGAGGTTGACGAAGACGTGTTTTCGATCAATAGATTTGGTGCTGGGAATGGCTCCAGTCTCGTCAATAACGATAATTCTGTCCACAGAAATCTGTTTGCGCATGGACTTCACTTCCTCGACCGCATGCTCAGAAGGCACGTCCATCCTCGGCTTGATGTCAAGACCAACAAGTTCTCTGGTCAGTGCGAGGACGGCTTCATCAGCAGCGATAGAGACAGCGTGTTGGCTCTCCTCGGAATAAGCAATTGGCACGACCACTGGAATTCTGCTCCTGCGTAGAGGCCGCGTCAACAGCTTGCGGAGGAACACTCGTGCCCTCCCATCTGCACCGAAGCTCAGCACATTGTCGAGCCTTCTACCTCCAAACTCGCTGACATAGTCAATGGCTCCGACCAGTCGATCCGCAGTCTGCCGTAGACGTTGGCGTCTTGTCGTCCCATCCAGCTGCTCCGGCTCCTCGAGCACGACACAAGGCACCATGCTCAAGCGAGTAAGAGACGACAGAGTTTTGGCTATACCCCTGAGAATATCCTCGGACATGGCACTGACATTGCTGATCTTGACTAGAGCAACGTGTAAGGTTTCTTGCTCTTCGATCGACTGTTCCGACTCCTTCTCGAACTGAGTGAAGACAGGACTGTCTTCCATGGCTCGACTTCGCCCGAACAAATCTCCCAAGTTGACATCACTCTGGTCCTCCGTGGGGACAACAGACGCAGGGGGCTTCGTCGAAGTCGAAGTCTTGATAGGATTTTTCAGCCGCGTTATGAAGGCTTTCGCATCTCGTTTCGTAGCCGCAGAGCTGAGCAAGCTCGTGAAGAACTCCTTGTTTGCCAATCTTTGCCTTGCACGACTTGGTAGGGAGTTATGCCGTTCATTCTGGGACAGCGTTTCGACGTCGACCGGAGGGGCAGGGTCTGGTCGGTCTGGACGAAGAACAACAGTCTGGGCAGAATAGGGTCGAGGACGAGACAACCGCTGCGAGCACACCGCCGGTCTGGAAACCGAGAGGAGGTGGGCCCTCAGGACATCTGCGGCGATGTTTGTATTAGGAATGAGGGAGCCATATCCCTTGAGAGAAACAGTTGACCGGGTCAAGGCGGTCTGTGTCATGTTTCATCATGGACAAACAATGCGGAAGGATAACAGGGGAATCGATGCATGAGAGAGGATTGCAGCTTTTTTCGAAACAACGTTTATGCTGATATGGGAAGACTGGGCAACATCAGCAGCAGAAAAAAGTCCACTGCAAATGATCCAGCATGCTGGCCAAAATAGATTCACCGCCTGCAAGGTTGGAGTCACACATCTCGATCTCGACGCTCCCCGTCAAATTTTGAGTAAGTCGGCAAAGTTTCCCACTGTATATAAGGTGCTGCAATTAGAGCTGGATTACTATCTTTTGAGGCTTAGTATCTCGTACTAACCATGAACCCCAATCATGACGCGTCGGATTCGGCGTTTCTCCGCATCCCGCGTCCATCGTTATCCATTATCCGTTATTCGTTATCCGTTATCGGATTGTTGCCTGCGATAAGAACCAACGCCAGGCAGGCGTGCTACTTACTCTCCGAGTCACTATCGCTACCCCTCCTCCCTCCTCCCTCCTCGTCCATCTCGTCTTAACAATGTAAGCGTAGAGCAGCCAATTGGTCATCACTAGACGCTGCATCTCGTCTCCCATTCTTCCTGGACGTTCAGAAGACGGGAGGATAGTATACAGCTCGCACCTCCTGGCATCAGATGCGCATGTCTGCCATTTTGAGGGCGCCCTCTGTATGGTGACCCCCCCTCTCTATACATCCTTGTCTATCCTGGCAATTTACACTTGGAAGCCATCCTAGATCTTTGGTGGTCGTGACCAGTGGTGCATCGACAATCGCCTTGAAAGCTGTTTGAATGCTCAGAGAGTACTGACCCAGCCTACTTCCAATCTCGTGCACACTCATCGATCGATATGCTGGTACCGTCCCTGCCGCAGAGCCATCTGCCCTCCCTCACCCGCCAGACACCTTTATGTCTACGTACGGCTATACATCGGACGAGCCGCAGCCATGCCCTCCAGATGCGAACGTTGTGGTGGTGGGGGCGTCAGTCGACTGAATGGCCATCGACTTCTATTGATGAGAACATGGAAGATCGCATCAGGCGGCACCAGAAGATCATGAGATCAAGATATTCGAAGTTTCTTCGCAGACGGTCCCTGTGGGAAGATCACGATTGTACACACCGGCACGGGCGTTTGTCGGACCATCTCGGGTCTAGAAGATACTGCGGGCAGAAGCCATCTCAGGTGACAAACTCACAAAAGGCAAAGCCAGCACCAGAAGTGCAGGACCGCTACGGCTTCGACAAGGATTTTGAGGCTTTCCGAGCGGCGATTGATAGAGCCATTGCAAGAGATCCTTATGGAACCCTCTTTGGCAGGAGAATGGCAAGACATCCTTGGATCACCAATCCCGCGTGGACTCCTTTGTCTTGGTTATCTCAACGAGAAAACCTGGCCGAGCATGAGGGTGTACAACCTAGCAAGCCAAAGCCGGCAGAGAATGGAAAGGCTTCTCCAGAGGAGCAACATACTGCCACGCTCAGGCCTTCGAAGCCATCACAAGGCGAGGAAACGACTACGTCGTTCGACGAGCAAGACTATCAATATGATCCGATCTCTATGCGAAAGGTGCCCATCAAAAAGCCCGACGCGACAGCTGAAACGGCACCGGAGGAAAAGAAGCCCCTCTTAGAGACCCTGTTCTCAGAGCACGGTGTCGATATCCCAATCAAGACCTATAAGCCTCACAAGGTGCATGGGTATGGTGCTCCCACACAGGAATCTGAGGACTATAGCCCTGAAGTACGGCAGCCGAACTTCCATCGCAGCTTCGATAGTTCCAAGAAGCAGGAAATAAGGGATCTCCTGGCTAGATCCAAAGGCAATAGCCTTGACACCACTGCTCGATTTACTGAAGCAGGCTCCGAAATGAAGGCTAAAGAAAGCCCCGAGAAACCGATTGTCTCAGAAGACGCTAGTGAGCCATTGGAGCCAGACGAGAGCGCACCATTGTTTTCAGGTACTACTTATGCCGACAGGTTTAACAACGAAGCCTCCAATCCAATCGAAGCAACCCCGTCCGAAAATGCAGAGCGTCATGCAGCATCTGAAGACCAGAGGAATATCACCGAAAGTACTGTCGAGATCAATGTCAAGGAATCCAGCAGTCGGCTTGAGCCTGCCTTGAACCGTATCCAGGCGGAACCAGTTAAGAAGACAGAGGAGGGACACTTTACGCTTCAGACGGCAGTAGATCGCCACGTCTCCAAGTCCAAGAAAGAGATTCAGAAGGCCGGTGCTGACACTGACACACCGAAATCCCTGAAAATTCCCGCTGCGACCACAGAAGAGGACATAGACCTCCTACGAGCCAGCGATGTACGTGCTGCTGTGAGATCCGCAAGAGTGACGAAGCAAGAGACGGACACGCTCAAGAATGAGACCCGAGCGACACTCGAAGCGGATTTCGCTGCTCGACAGTCGGGCAAAGCAGCGGTTGATGGTGAAGGGAACGATGATATGACTAGCACCCTCACGAAGAAGATCAATCACGTTTGGGATCATGTTCGTGACTACCCGCAAGGTATAGTGGCGAAAACCATGCAGTCTGTGAACGCCTTCAATGAGAACTATAAGAAATATGTACGGCCCGACGGGATCAAAGGCTTGACCGACAAGCTTGTGTTCCAAGATGAAACATTAAGCAGGTCACCTTCAATATATAAGGACGTTAAACAGCAGCAAACATTGGACCAGTTCACACCATCCAAGGAGGTTCTGGAGGCCGAAAGAGAAAGGTCCGAACGGACTGCCAACCTGAAGCGTGCTACCGTCAAGGCGAAAGAAGAGGCAGAAACGCGCAACGTGCAATTGTCCCAACTGGCTAATAATATACGAGCTGCCTACGAGCATGAGTATGGCCCTATCGATGTCCACCACCGGCAGCCAGACGCTACTACTGCAGAAGCCGAGCACACGGGCCCGGCACCTCCCTCAAAGCCTCACCCTCTGACCACCGCCAGTGTCAAACCCGGCGTTACCACCAACCCAGTCATTGATCAACACGTCAGCGAATTCGAGCCCAGGTTTGCCGAACTTGTGGACGGTGCCAAAGAGATTCGCACTCAACTTTGGCAGGCTGATGAAGAATTGCAGCAGGTCCGGCCTTCTCTCTCATCTTCTCCGGACTTGAGCACAGTTATCGATGGTATGAAAGAAATCAGGCGAGAATTACACGAAGCTCATCTGGCCCTTCGAGCGATTGAGAGTGGAAGACCTGAAACCGTTTGGAATGCTCCTCATAGGGCTTGCTCGAACTTTGGCCAGAAGCGAGTTGACTGGAAGGCAGAAGGGGTCTCTGCAAACGATGAACACGAATCGGCCGCGAATGAGAAGAATTCGGTCGAGCCTATGGAAGGCCAGGTTTCATCCATGTCAGAACCTCCCACGAAAGAGCCAAAGAAGGTGCCTAAGAAGGTGCCAGAGCCATTCATCACTCCTGATGGCTCACCAGCCTGGAATGATGAACAACCGCCTTCGATCGAGGATCTGAGGAAGATCAAGTTTGACTCACAATTCATCATCCTCGCTTTTGATCCATCCACGGGTAAGGTCGAGTTCTCCCCCATGAACGCACCGACGAGAGCATCACCAAAACCGGCCGATGCGGTGGGGATCTTGGGTAAGCTCAAGAATGCTCCTGAATTCTTGAAGCACTTTGCAACGATGAAAAGAGCCGGGTATTCCCTCTTCAACGGCAATGAGAACATGCTCATCTTCAAGAAGAAGCAGCCCGAGCAGGCTTCCGTTGTATCAGGGGCGAAAGCAGTGGAAGAGTCCAAGACCACCATTGTCATCGCTTCATCTACTTCTGTTTCCGGAAAGACCAATGCCGGGGAGGAGTCAACTATATCTATGGCCACGGTCCTTGAAGATGTTCCAGCAGAGGCTGAACCGACAGCGGGACCAGCGGCGCCGACAGCGCCTCCATCTCGCACTTATGGCAACCTAGGTCAAACCAAGGTGAAGAGGCAAGAAGACGTGTTTTCCGGCACCATTCGTCCAAATGCAGCATCTCAGGCCGGTGGTAATGATTCGTCCCCGCCAGAACCACGCGTCAACCCGTCGAATGAACACGGTGGCGGCCTATGGAAACGGTTCACGCGCAGCCTAAAACGGACAGCGATGATTGTTGCAGCTCTCACTGGCACCGCCTATGTCATCGGCTTTGTTGCCGAGGGCATGGGTGCCGAGACACAGAAGCAGAACGGTGTCGAGGACAGTCAAGCTCAAGGGCCGAGAAAGAGGATTGTGATGACTGGGCAGAGACCCGGAATATACAGTACCGAAAGCTCCAGATGATATATACGACAATGGGGGACTGTTTCACGAGATGGACCCTATGAAGGAATGAGCATCAGACTGGCGAACGAAGCGTGCCTTTTAGGTCAATCTATCGTCGATGAGCAAGCTGGCGCGAAAGGGGCGCAATATAACTTAGGTTTGTAGGAGTTGTACTGTTTGTAGCAAGGGGTTGGTCATCACCACTCATTATACCTATGATATACATGTGTCTTCGGTCTGGTCTTCCCTTTGTATTGAAATGAGCTCGCTTTTTGTATGATGCTGCCGCTGCTGATGCCAGCCTTTCCCTGCTTCATGACCTCCCCTCTCCTTCTCTCAATTCAGTTTCTTCCTACGTCAAACCGATCCGATCCGATCCAACCCAACCGCCCTCCTCCAACTTTGATCCCACCACCCGACCGGAAAGAAGGTATTGGCGAACCAGGTCCTCCACGCCCCGGTGCCCCTCCAGACCTCTTTCGGCGGAGCATCCCACCTGGACCCGGACACCAGATCCGCCACGACATCGCGGGCCCATTTCGCCGGATCCTCGCGGCGCGGGAAAGCATTGCGCATCGCCTTCTCCGTCTGCAGCCTGACAGGCGCGTAGATCGATCCCGGGGGTAAACTGGCCTGGCCGTCTTGATGGTTTGCGTGGAAGTGCGAGTGCACGCATCCGGTCTTGAGGTCTACAACGCGCACGTTGAACGGGCCCAGTTCGATGCGCATGTGCGTGCTGAACATTGCGGCGGCGGCTTTGGAGGCGTGGTAGGCCGAATTGTAAGGGGTGGGTTCGACGCTGGAAACTGATGTGTTGTTGATGATGAGACTGGGAGGTGGCCTAACGTTTGAGCCGGAGCTGGAGCTAGGAGAAATTGTCTTTCCTTGTACCTTCGCCGCGTTAAGGAGTAGAGGGAGGAAAGCTTGCGTGACGCTGATGTAGGACCATACGTTGAGGTCGAAGAGGGCTTTGGCTTCTGGGATGGAAATGTCGGAGACGGGCATGTTGTAGCCTGTAAGCCACGATGAGGGGATTAGCTGCCTGGGTAGATAGTACTAGATACTATGGGAGTAGAAGTAGGAGATCCAAGTATTGAGGAGCACCGAAAGAGGGAGAGAAAAAGGCAGATGGATGGAATGGATGAATGAGCAAGACATTGACAAAAGACATACCTCCGCCAGCATTGTTCACTAGACAGTTCAATCTCCCTTCTTCTTCTCCTTCTTCTCCTTCTTCTCCTCCTTCAACGTGGTCGGCATCGACACCTCCTTGGTGTGACGATCTCGTCATCTCTCTTACTTTCGCAACACATTCCAGGATCGACGTTTCGACACACACATCCATCGTCAAACATACAATGTCCGGCCGAGTGTCTGTCAATCCACCCATTCGTGCGGGATTCCTTGCGGTGGCGAAGACGCGGAATCCAGCATCGTGGAAGGCCACTGCTAATGCGTAGCCTAGGCTGTGTTGCGAACAGCCGGTGATTAGCACGGTGGGTTTATGTTGGGTCTTGCTGGAAGCCATTCTGGGGATCGGAATGCTTGTTTACGCCGTTGTATCAGAGTAGCGGTCTTGTGTCTGTAGAGGTGTGTATGCGTTAATAGGTATGTACGTATATAGTTTTGTCCGAGGAGTATATAACAGTCACCCACGCACACACAGGGTATTGATTTTTTTAGTTTGAATCGAACCTGTGAGAGTATGCAGCAGGGCAGTTGTATCAGGGATGGAGATGTACAATGCATATGAGACAAAAAGCCAGTCAGCCTGATCTGTGATTGGCAGGAGGAGCAAGTAGGGTGATATCATGATATAAGATGGATCTATAACATGAAATATCTGGTCAAGAATCCAAAAGCGAAGTGCATTTATTTCTTGCCGTGTCTAGAGGTACTGATATGGCCCTCCTGAGTCCGTTGATGTTACTCTTGTCGGTACGTACCTAGGTATATAGTTCACGTACTGTAGTGTCGACTTCACGCTCGCATGCAGATAAGCCGGAAGTGGACGTGATACATATATATAGTGGCCAATGCCACCGCCTTTAATCCTCAGGAGATCATGGGTGACTCCACCGTATAAAGGTACTCGTTTCGTGAGCATTGTAAGTCTGGCCATCTTTTTCAAGTTTCGTGGCGGAGAAATACACCGAAGATCTGGGGTGGCTTCTAAGTGTATATTGTTCAACTGTATCAGTCACTCGATCATCGCCATCGTGGTGATGACGTTCGTCATGCCTCGAGTCTGGTCATGAAACGTCGTCTCATATTGGAATTCACAACCCCACCAACACCAAAGGCGGGCTATGCACCACAAGTCAGTAACAGGCCACAACACCAGGCACAGATCGAGTAGGAAGCATGGACATACAATGATGCGTCCCATCCTGGCAAGAGCACTGATTCCCCAATCTCTGAGGATCCGGATATATCGTTGGCGAAATCCCAGATGGCCGTGCCGGTTGTAAAAGTCCAACCCGAGCAGATGGAGGGGAGTAGATATCACCTGGATCGCCGCGGGCGCCAGGAACTGGGCCGTGTTCGTGCGTCCGGTTTCAGTGTTAAGGAGGGTCGAGAATCGCGACTTGATGGCCGCAGGTAGATTGTCGAGTTGTGGTGCAATGAGAGGAGGTAAGTTGAACGAAGCGAATATAGTCAGACTGTCCCGAATGGCAAAGAGGGCGTAGGATAACTTGGGGACGGCCGTCGCCGCCACTGCGCCAGGTGAAGCAGAGGCAGAGGCAGAGAGAACGGGCGCCCCAAACATCCTAGCAAAGCACGAGTCTTTGTACACGCACATGCTCATGTTTACCAGAGACGTGGCGACGAACTTTGCCGGCCCTGACGTGACGCTGGAGGCCGGCTTTGATGAGATAGTCGACGAGAGCGTATCGACCGTATTTGCCGTTGTGTAGGTGCTGAGATATAGGGTGAATACGAGGAGAAATGGTCGGGAGAAAACGAAGGCGTGTGGACGAGTGATTGCAGGACGGAGTGATCGACGTAGACACGACGAGAATGAAGCACCTTTCGCCGCCTTTTCAACAATTGATCTAGACCTTGCCGTTAGTCATTGCTCTTGTCGCTTTGACTGACACGGCCGCTTGAAATTGACTTCGAGTGTCATTCTGGTGGAGCGGCTTCAACTGTCATGAACCTCCAGGTCCGCGCAGAAAGAATCAGGCAGTCCAGTCGAAGAAGACGCAAGTGTAGTCCGTTCCAGTCCCAGGACATAACCAGTGGTACTTACCGGTCTATTACACAGATCACAGGGGCCACCATGGCCGAAGCACTGGCAGCAGAGGCGAGGTCGGCGCCGAATCGCGGCATTAGGTTGGTGGTGTTCCATGGCAACACCTTCTCTGGCGTTGAGTGTCTTGAATCTCCGGCAGGGACGTGGATCTGTGGTCTAGGTACACTAGAAACCGGCCTCGAAGGCTCATCGCATTGTCTGGGCCCAAGGCTGGGCATGGCAGGAGATGTTTATAAGGAATGGATATCGTCTAGGATGAGTTTCATAGGTAGGACGAAGAGGATCGCTTGATGCTGAGGGCCATGGCTATGGTGTCGGATGCCCACACGCTACGAATCCAGAGGAAGATGCGGTTGTATTAATATTGGGATAGATCAACTTGGTGTTTTGTTGATTTCGCAGAACAGTCGTAGCATGTCATGGTTCACTAAGCGGCAAGTTATTTCTCCATTATTGGAGTAAGGCTGCGCTTGTGGGAAACTCGCTGTTTTAACTGCGCTTGTCGAGGCTGTCGAGGCCAGTAAGTGGTACATCTTATGAGGTATCTGGTATACAGTGAAGTAGTGCTTTACTACAACACTCTGCCCTGGATACCCCCTCGGCTCATTGGTTGAAACAGAATCACTTGCCCGCTTGCCAGGAATGACAATGAGCAGTCGTGCGTGCGAGGGAGAACAATGCAGACCTGACCCCATGTATACCCACGAGCTCCTGCGAGAAAAGTGTGCCTCTCAACTTCTGTAAGGCGTTGATATTGCAATGCACAATTGAGTAAGGTGGTATCTAACATTTTGTCATCGATTGAGATGGGCTGGTCGAATAGCCGCCATACACAAGACATCCTTTGGGCTTTAACCCTTGAACCACTCCAGAAGCTCCAGTCACATGCAACGGATGATCCTCTCGGACGGGACGGCCGCAGAAAGCCACGGCGGAAGAGTGTCCTCTGTAATCTCGTGTTTTGACGTAGGTTATAGTTCTTTCTTCGCTTTAGCCGCTTTCGCATCGGACTGTAATGTCTTTTCCCTCCCAGTAGCATGTCTATCGCCGACAGCGCTCTCGCCACCTATCGCGCGGAAGGCTTGGTAGAAAGTCCACTCAACAGCCTCCTCAACAGGTTTGTCGAACAGATATGGAAGTGCAGGCACTGCCGCCAGACCAAGCTGCGACCGAATTAGTGCTGCTGACCACACGCAACGGGAGAAACTTAGCCTACCCCGATGGGACCCCATGTCCGGATGGTGGTGTTCTTTGCATTCTTCAGTGCCTTTCCAGAGTACTTGACAATACTGTGGATAGTGAATGCCGGTAACCCCATAGATGCAAGACTCTGGAAGACCGCCCGTTGGACCATCACACTTCGGTAGTCTTCAATGGCAGGTAGCTGGACCGGTTTCGTCGGTGCCGGCGACTGAGCTGCCTCTGCTGGGCCCTTCGTTGTCGCATCATGATACTCCTCAGATTGCGGGTATAGAAGTCTTTGGTTCCTCTTGTAGGCTTTGTAGCCTTCATGGCCGACATCGCCAAGTATATATGCCCATGATACGGCGTACGCCCCTCTGACCAGGTAGGGGTGCGCAACAGGACGAAAAGACTCGCCAATGTCGGATGTGTATGCAACGTAACGTTGGGCGCTCAGCATAATGGTCCGCAGACGATTTGCATAAGCAGCATATCGCATATTCGTTTCGGTGGTATCTGGGCCCGCGCCGTCGTACACGTCCTCCCAGTAGTCATCTTGCTTGTCGACGAGCTTCTGGAGATCCGCTGGAAGCGTCGCTCGCGGAAAGGCATCATTCGCGCGAGAGCCGGTGGACGTGCTCGACTTGTCGCCAGCCATCTTGTTGCGAGAAGGTAAGTATTGTGCGTACAGGCTTGATTGAAGCTGCCTGTTGCCTTTGATCCTGCCGCCACATCTGCGACGTGCGGGAACGATGGGCGCAGCTCTACCTTATATTAAGGCCTCAATCCGGGGAACATCGGGAAATGTTCGGGGGGTCCATGACGAAGTGCCTTTGCCGGCTGCCACTGCCACTGCCACTGCCAGTATTACAGAGTACCCCTGGGTCGTATGACGCACCGTAGCTGTTGGAGGAGACTTGCATTCTGATATCACTGATTCACCGTACTAAATGCTATCCTTTCCTAGACTAGCGCCACATTGGCCCAAAGAGCTCGACTTCGAGCTGCGACGACGAAATCGCAGACCGAACATACAAAACCGTCTCTTCTGCAGCCAACACCCACGTCCCGCATCCTACCAAGTCGCCACTGCATCCCCTGCTATATCCGTCAAGATGGTTGTTATGTACAATATCGCAGGCCGCCAGGTCGGGTCACATTGGGTAAGTTTGTCCGGAGCGGCCGTTCAATCTTCACTGGACACCGGCACAATTCGACTTCAAGAAGCTGACCACACGTAGCTGGCCATGGCCACCCTAGGCGTCACATTCGGTGCCCCCTGGTTATTGACGAGAGGCGGATCCTCCAAGCAATCACCCACACCACCTATCAACGCCTCAAGCAAGGACGAGGAGAAGTTTATCCAGTAAGGACCGCTCCGCTCCGGCAGACTCGACTTCCCCAGACAACACTGACCCTGCGACAGAGAATTCCTGCAATCGGTTGAGCAAGAAGAAAAGGCCAACAAGATCTCCGGCAAGGAGGCTCACTAAGCAAGAACAAAGATTGGGCCTAAATGGCGACATCACGATCGAGGAATTCGCATCTTGTACATAAGATAGAGGAAAGAGAAAAGAGCTACATTGGCCCTGCCTCCGTGCTTGGAACATGCATTCCCGCGCTTGATGGTGCATGGCATTGTCCTTGTCCTATTTATGGCTTCAACTCAAACACTTCTCCGTCTTCCGTTGGTCGTCCCATCTTCACCTGTGCGAAGCCCTGTGTCAAGTCCATCACGATCGAGAACAGCGTTTCGCTGGTACTTTTCTCACCAAGTGCTCGGCAAATGGCAGTGGGATAGTTTTTCTCGTCCTTCAAGATCTCGCTCAATTTCTCCACAGACGGCTTGTCAATTCCGTTCATCAACTCCTGGATCCGGTTCAGTCTGAAAGGAGAGTCTTGGAGAAACAACTTGTCCTCTACCTTGTGCTGTTTGACCAGGTGATTCGAGTGTGTGCAAGTTCCATTCTGATCCATAGGCATTTCCACGATATCGAGAGCAGTACATTCAAGACCTATGCCACCCGTTGACGCATCGGCGATGGTGATATGACACGCTGACGCGACTCCCACTCGTCGCAGAATAGTCTCGGCTTCTTCTCTGGACGTACTGTTGAGCACGGTCCTGAGCGCCAGATGGCATGGGAGCTTGTCGTAAGAGACGCCAGGCGCCATGATGGCGTTGAGTGTGACCCCGACACCGGCCGAGTTGAGGCCAATCTTGCCAATGATCCCGCCTTCGGTCATCATGTGTATTGTTGGCTTGGGCGGTTGCTCGATCCTGAGTGCGACCATGTTCGGAGTTTGTTCAAACCTCCAGTCCCAATTCTGAGCCAGAAAACTTGCGTCCGACGTCTTCCAGGACAGAGCTGTACACCCATCACTCATCAAGCCGAATGCGATTTCGGTGCGGACATTGAGAGCGACAATAGACTCCAATTCCAGTCCAGCACCATCGGCCACGCCTTTCATCTCGTCGACGTATTCTGGAAACGAGGCTTCCAGCCATGGGAGAAACCCCCGTGCGACGTCGCGCACCTGCGGCCACGACAGTTTGGCTCTTTGCTCGAAAAACTCGGTGTAGAATGCGATACTTCCATCGATCTCGGTTTTGGCGGCCTGGCCGTGCTGTTGCCCTATCTTGACAACGTCAGAGGGCTATATTGATACTCACGTAGTGCTTCTCTTACTTGATAGGGGCTGCCCGAACACGTAACGTGCTTCATCTTGACTGACTCGACTGACTCGACTGAGGTATTTGACACGATGAGTATGGGACGAACCACGTCGACAAAGTAATGGTTCTTCTTATCGATCCCCAGCTGCTGAGATACATTCCACTCGGACTTGAGCACGCCGTTGCTGCCTTGGTTTTGGTTCTTCTGAAACGTGAATCAATCGTGAGAATAGATGGGATTGTAGAAGCGAGAAAGTTACCCAAGGAGGACTTGACTCTTCGATAGCAAGGGTGTTGTCGATTGTGAGTTGCCGAACGAATCATCGGTAGAAATATACTCTGTAGGCGAACTCGGCGATAATGAATGGATGTCGGTGTGTGGCCGCTGCTCTTGTTGGCACGCAGTTTGCCCGTGCATCTCAGCTATCTCCAACTGCAGTGTGTAACCAACCACATAACACCTTGACGCCTTGAATCAACCAACCATCAGTCCATCTTTTCTTCCTTTCTTCCACTATCACTACTATAATCAGGAGAATCTAGTTGACTCCACACCACCGATTGCTCGCCTCTTTAGTCTCTCTCGCTGGTCGTCCTGTTTCCGACAGAGCCAGGGCGTCGGTGGCCAGCTGCAAGACTACCATCTCGATGCGAGCACCGTTCCCTCTGTCTTTACGCATTGGCACCGATATTGTTGCCACCAATCGTATCTTATGTCCCTCGAGACCAAACTACAAGCGACTATCCAGACTAGCCGCGCGCTTTCTGCATCCTAGAGAGCTCGATGATCTGAACCATCGATTTCCCAACTGGGAGGACGGGCAATCGTACGATGGGCTGAAGAGACAGCAGCTTAGCACGTGGCTCGCTGGTCGATGGGCTGCCAAAGAAGCGGCCAAAAAGGCATGGGATGCCACCTTACTCAGTTTCCGGGATCTGAGAGTCGAGGCCGAAACCGGAGGGAGGGTGCAAATCATCTGCGATACTAGTACTCGCCTTGCGCGAGACCCTCTCCAAACTGATAACCGGATTACCGAACAGGCAGCACAGCTGAGCATCAGTCACGACGGCGAATACACTATCGCGACCGTGATGGCGACACCTCTCCACCATGACATCTCGGCCGAGCTCGCTCAGCGGAAGTCCGAGGCCGAAGCAAGACTGGCAGATAAGTAGAGTTGATCGTATTACAAGATCCAGAGCGAGACGTTGGACGTTCGCGAAGACAGGCGTCAGTCCAGCCAGGAAGAATACTGGACAACTGGAACCTTTACCAAGCAAACCTCACCCGCCATGGCTCCCAAGTTCGTCGACAAAGTCTCATTCGAGCAAGATCCGCGATGGAGTGCCGTCGATGCCTTTACGTCAGCCCATCTAATGGCCCCCTCACGGAACAAATACAACGATGCTCTTGAGTTTGCTTATGCCAACGCGCTGGCCAAGGGGCTCCCGGATATCGCGTCATTCCCAGCCCAGGGGAAGCTGTTATCCATCCAAGTGCAGGTTGCGCGGGCCAAGAATATCCTGGAAGTCGGCACGCTTGGAGGATATTCGGCCATCTGGATGGCATCAGGGGCAGGCGAAGATGCCCGAGTCACCACGGTGGAGGTCGATCCGAAGCATAAACAGGTCGCCGAAGAGAGCATTGCCAATGCTGGACTTAGCGGGCAAATCGACATCTTGCTCGGCTCTGGACTGGACGTCCTGCCGGAACTGATCAAGGAAGTCACAGCCGGTAAGCGGGAGCCGTTTGATTTTGTCTTCATCGATGCAGACAAGGAGAACAACCTGGCATATCTTGAATTGGCCCTGCAGATGGTGAAGCCAAAGACCTGCATCTATGTCGACAATGTCGTCCGGCGGGGCACGCTTGCCGACGAGGCTGCCGCACAGCATGACACACGGATAGCTGGCTCGAGGAAACTGGTAGAGGCGGTGGGACAGAATGACAAGGTGGACGCTGTTGTCATTCAGACGGTCTCTGAGAAAAATTACGACGGCTTCATGCTGGCGGTCGCCAAGTAGGATACAAGGTGTTCTACAGCATGGAATTGAGATATGTCAGATGGTGGATCTGGAGCTCATGCCCTTTCTGAGGAATATGTGCCAGACGGAAATCAGAGTGTACCCTCACGAGAGTCACGCGTGAAGAATAGAGGTTAGCAGTATACCATTACTAGATTGTCTACTATTTGACAAACATGAGAAGTGATATCTCCCAGAGCCTTACTAGTCTGACACCTATCGAGCGTTTCCATTGATCGAGACGTTAATATGGATACATACCAGCAGAGGTATCCACGCCTGACAGAGGTGGGAGTACATCCTTATCCTGTCCCGTTCACAGCAGTCTTGACCAATTTTTTCCAAATGTCGTCCTACTGTCTCATTCCCTGGTGTCGCTAGGTGGAAAAGTCACTTTCGTGGACCATACCCTGGATTCTCAGCCTTGGTGGACCGTCGAGGGACACGGGAGATCTTTCCTGTGCTCAGTTCCATGGAGTTCAATGAGAGCTCTGAAATCAACAATACAACGCTTGGGAGAACAGTGCTCTTCTGCACCTCTCACGACGAAAAGTCTTCAGCACAGAACAAGCGCTCCCCCTGGGTTTCGTCCTCAATAGCATCCAGCAGAGTACATTGAACAAAGGGGACGAGGGTTCCCAACCAAATTCGGATTCGAACACACACACACACACACACTCACTCACTCACTCACACACGTGTCTCACTTTCTAGACTCACTATTCTGAGAGTCTTTGCTGTTCCTAGGTGAACATCGTATACTTCGTCTTAAGAGTATCATTTTAACAGAGTTGACTTTCACTCCTTGTCCAAATCGGTCACCGTTTCCGGCTTATGCGCGACCTTCTTGTTGTTCTGGTCCGTAAACACCACTGCCGGGGCATGACTGGCGCCTTTGGCGTTGAGATTGCGCGCTTGCTCTTCGTCGGTCACGAGTTGTTCGACTTTGCCTTCACGTTTACCTCCACGATACTAGAATGATAGATATCGTCAGCTGGATGTGTGTTGCAAGACAAAAGGAAGTCTTGTGATTGTCATCATGATAACAGGTCACGACCATTATCTTTCGACGCCCTTCAACTCCCCGGTATCGTGATAAGTTCTTGTCCTCCCTTCGAGACTTACCGGTGTGCTGACTGTGTCGCCATTTTCTATGGTTGCGCCGCCTTTAGATTTGAGATCGGACATATTGTTTATTCTCCAAGGAAGGTAGGTGTCTTTAGGTGAGGGCAAGTGTCAAGCACCTCTAGAGAGATAGGTGTTTCAAGAGTGTGTGGAGAGTATATTAGACTTTCTTGAGGGTGTCAGTAGATTGTGTCCTTGCTGAGGCTATCCAAGCCTTTAGCAACTTGGATGAATATTGCCGGGTACAGTGGAGGTTTAAGGTGGAGGTTCAAGGAGCGTTCGATGATTTGTCTACCTCTACCAGGAGGGGGTTGATATACTGTCTGCTCCGATCTCTCTGATGTAATTCCCATTGTTTGATCAGCGTCCGATTCGGTAGCGAGATAGTTTCCAATAGTATCATGCCTGGTCTTTGGTATTACTTTCAGCCTCGTTGGTTGTGACCGGACTGTAGGAGGAATCGTGTTGTCGAGCCTGTTGTTTTCTACGGATAGTCTGCAGCCGGAAAACAGTAGTGAGTATAATTACCTGTGTATGAGGTCTCCTTACTACCTGCCTAGTATAGGTAGATACTAGATCCATGGTAGGGATCTCCCACAGAGAGGAGGTCACAATACATGATTGGTGTAGAAGTGTTGCTGCCCTTGTCGTCAGGCTCTGGTATAGACGACGTGATTGGCTGGGATGACGTCGATCTTGCATCATCCTTCTAGTATGGTAAATAACGTATCGTACACACGGCCGTATCACACTCTTTTTTCATGCCCTTGACGATCCATACTACTGGAAGCTTACTACAGGTTACGACGTGAGAACGAAGAATCTAGAAGATACAGTCAGTCAGTACACAGTAACTGCTATACAGTAATGTCATGCTCGCCGTCGCCGTCACAGCATGAGATCACTCCTCCAGCCTGACGTCACGCATGTCCCCTGCAACTCTCGATGATGATGACAGTCGCAGTCTCTTGATGGCAATTTTTCAATTCAATTCAGGCACCAGAGACCTTTTAATAGAACCATTTCCCCCTCACTGTAGTATTGTAGACTTCAAGTTCCTCATTCCCATTTGCAACAAATCACAAACCTCAAACCTCAACAACCAGAAACAGACACATCTGAAAAGACACGAACCACAACCACAACCACAACCACAACCACAGCGGCTCAAATACAAATCCATACACCATGGCAGCACGCAACGCAGACTCGATGACCAACGCCCAGGGCGAATTCAAACCATCCAAACCACGCTCCGAACCTCTCGAGACCAGCGGAGTAAGTAGCCATACTGCCTTTACCGTATACCCCTTCAGCTCCTCCTCTCTCCTCGTCCAGCATCCACACTCCAAAGCAGAAGTATGAAACAGTCCAACTAACATTGACTCAAAATAGCACCAAGTCGGCGTCAAAACCAGTCCAGCCGACCACGCGCCCGAATTCTCCGCCAAAACGCTCCCTGCCGGCACAGCGCCCTCGGAATCGACCTACCAACCCAACCCGGTGTCCGAGGTGCCGGGCCAAGCGAACAACGACGACGTCCTGCGAAGCCACGGCAAGGAAGGCGTCCGAACAGACCCGCTGAGCACCCTGCCCGGCGCCACCTCGGCAGACGTACACACCGGTCTCGGCCACCCCGGCCAGGGCCAGACGTCGACCGAGATCCGACATGAGGGACACCACACGAGCAAGAAGCACACTTCGGGCCCCGAAGGCGCGGGTGCCACGGGCGGGAGCGGCCTGAGCGATCCCAACGACGTCAGCCCCGAGTTCCGCCGATTGCAGCAGGATGGGGACCACCCGAGAGGACCGCTCGCCGGCCATAATGCCACGTTGGCTGGTGCTGAGTCCAAGCAGCCTGTGAGTGATGTCGAGTTGGCCGCCGAGGGGAACAGTGCATGACCACTCCAAAGGGACGAGTGGGTTGGCTGATCGGGGTGCTGGGACGGATCGAAAGGCTGCTTAAAATTCACATCAACAAAAGAATGAGAATGAAAGAGGCCGGATGCTGCATGCAAGCATGCATGAGATTTGTCCTTGAGAAATTAGCATCACCATCACCATCACAACCATCACTGATGGGTTGATGTGGTGGTATATTCCATGTTTAAAAAGCCGTGGCTTTTGAGCAGTCACGGACACGGAAAAAAATAAAATGGAATCCAAATCTGTCCAGGATAGCCGTCCAGCTTGGTGGTGACTAAGAAAGAAATCCGATCCTGTCAATGTTATCTTTTGTGTTGCTTTTCATCTGGTGTTAATCGCTTTTTGTCCAATGCTTCGAGACTTAATCAAATTTGTTCAGAGAAGATGGGATTTGTACTGCCTCCCAAGTATGCGGACACATATCTCGGGACAGAGACAATCAGCCGATTCAACAACTGGGCTCCGGTCTGCTTTACCGCCCAGCCGCCGCCTCTTGCACATTTCGATTGACCTCGTCATGGGCTTCAACCTCTTTCACCATGCCGTTGTTGCCATTGCCGTGGCCGTTGGCTTTGGCCGTGCCCTCCACGACATCCACCCCTCCAGCTGACCTGACCCTATCTTCAAATGCATCATCGACCTCCACCCCACTGATCAGGGCATGACTAACACCCTCCAGCCCCGCGACAAACACACACAACAGACTCCCAATGACAAAGTGGCTGATGGTCGTGCCAATGTCCAACCAACTGCCCTCGTCCTTGACCATCCAGAAGAAATTCAGCGTCATGACGTCGCTGACGGCCATGACGGTCATGAACAACGCGGACGACTGTAGACCGAGCCGCCGATTGAGAATGCCCAGCGCCGCGGAAATGATGGCGAACGGCACCATGATCTTGAACAGAAGCAGTGCTCCCTGGGAGAAGGGGTCGAAGATCGGGAGGAGTCGGTAGACGGCGTCGAGACTGAAGCTGGAGATGGAGGCGATGTTGCCGGTCGAGAAGAAGGCCGATTGCAAGAAGAACAGAAAGAACAGGGCGCGTCGGAGATCCGGTAGGGCCAGAGTGCGGAAAGTTGTTGCGGGATGAAGATTCGTGACCGACTGCGCTGATGTCGATGTTATGGTCACTCCGTTTGGGCGGAGCCTAGAGCCCGAGGAGGACGGAGCGGATGTGGGATGAGAGACGGTGTGTAGCTGGATGGCATGTTCCAGGCGCACCCAGGCAAGAAGAGTAGAGCAGAATGCAACATAAAACAGTCCTTCGTAGGAGATCGTCAAGATAATAAACGACGGCGAGAAGGTGAGGAAGATGATGACCAGTCGGTGAAGGTAGTGTCTGTTGGGTGCGCTTCGGTGGACAAAAGGCAAGATGAGTGACGCTACCAGCACGAACCAGCCGACGACTTGATTGCCGAGTGGAAGTCCCTGCTTCGCCTGTAGAGATGCAACGCTTGAACGCGTGACAATAATGGTGAGCAAGATGATGCCGCACTGGAGGCCCATCAGAACTCGGGAAACAACGTTGGGTTGCGATTGTGCGGAATTCGACATTGACCGCGCAGTGATGTCGTGCTCGAACAACAGATAGCCGAGACCGGCTCCGAACATCAACAGTCCCCCTGCGGTAATGGTGTCGGCGTCTTCCACCTTGATCACCGGCAAGAGGGTGAAAGTGCTCAGCACCAGGCAGCCAGACGCCCAAGCCAACACCAGAAACAAGTGCTTTTTGACAAAATCCGCTCCATGAAACACAGGATAGAAGGCGCCGAGGACGTAACAAACCGTGAATATCGTGCGGTGGAAATATGATTGAACCTGAAGTACTTGGTCAACCCGTGTTCTCAAACTCACCCAGGCTCGAACTTACCAGAGCTTCAATAACGCCGAGAAAGACAATTGCTTGGATGAGAAGAAGAATCCAATCCGAAGGTCGTTTGACATGGCCGAACAAAACACTGAATCCAGACACCAACGCATTCCTGCGGGCGAATACCTCCTCCCAGAAGAAGACGGGGAAAAAGGCATACGCGTAATATGTCAAGGGTGACTTTTCAATGAAGAAGAAGGAATATAGAGCGACCAAAATCGATGCGAATGTCATGGTTGACCCCAGACTCCTTCTATCAGGCACTGCCCCATCGAGGACGTGAAGATCAATGACGGTAGTAACAGCAAACGTGATCCAACCCAGATATCCTATCGTGATCAAAGCCCGGAGGAAAAGCCAGTCATAAGTCTGTAAGTAGCGTAAGCCCTGGAGAGCGTGATGGAAAAGTTCCAAGGACAGTTCGATGGCGTGTTCGTGATGATTGCTGTCAATCGCAGCTTCGATGGTCGATATCCGGTCAACAACGGAGCCGTTGACGTTCGAGAATGGCGGATATGGCTGATAGCGCAGAGAGGTCGACTTCTTCTGCTCTTCCTTGACATTGTACATCTCCAGCACCTCCCTGACGTTGACGAGAGCTGCACTGGCCTTCTCCTGCACAGTGGCTGCAAGATACGACAACGGGAGCTTTCCCACCGAGTTGACCGGGAATTCCAATCCTGCAAGATAGGCCATCAGTGCAGCGACGTCGGCTTGGTCGACATCGTGTCGTCGAATGTGATCCAAGCCCCAGTCGGCAGAAAAGCCATCTTCGTGGCCAGGCGCTATTGTGTCAGGATAGATGTCAGGCTGGGCGACACCAGCGCCCCAGGCAATCAAAGGAGTCCTCGTATTATCCGGATGACCGTCGCCGTGGCTACCCCAATCACTCATGCCGTGGTCTGCCGTGAAGACGTATGATGTTTTTCCGTCGGCGTAGAAGTTGTCAATCAGATTGGTGATGGCCTCAACACCCTGATCCACGACCTTGATGTTATGCAAATACTCTTTCGAATAGGGCCGGTAAGCATGACCAGTCGTGTCCAGCCCAAGTAAGTGTAGAAAGAAGACGAGCTTGTCCTCCCGTAGCATGGCGTTTAGAGTGGAATTGCTGCTCGCGGCCTCAAACAGTGCTTTCACCCTGTCAAAAACCCAGGTGTCCAACTTCGTGGCATCTTGTGTAAAGTCTTCAAACTCTTCACCATATTGATCCGCATCCACACGGCCTGGGACGGCTCCTTCTTTGAACATAGGCAAGATATCAGGACTGCCCCAGCTCCACGTATGGCGACTGCGATTGAAGACACTGTCGAAATCCACCGGGTTCAGTTTCCAGCCTGTCGTCACCGCCGAGACATCCTCGTACAGTCCCGCTATGAGAGCAACATGCCCAGGCCGTGACTCTGTTGGCACCCGGGTATGAGAGACTCCGAATGTACCGTGCTCCAGCACTCGGGAGCGCAAGAAAGGAGCGAGAGGTCGAAGGATCAAGTCGGCGTTGGCTGGGTCCGCAGGAGACGGGTCTGGGAAAGATTGGAAGGCTTTGTCTGCGCGCAGTCCGTCGCCGACGAATAGCACAAGTCTTCTCGAGGGTGCCCGGTCCTGTTCGACCTTATACGGTTTCATGCCATGGACGATGGGACTGACGAAGTAGATGTCGAAGATGGAATAAACATAGACCAGATGGAAGACGATGGCGAGGCCGAGGAACCCACCCCGCCCCAGTCTGGCCATATTTGCGAAGTATCAGTTGAAGGAGTGACTTGGGTCGGACAATTCCATCATGTCAGTTGCACAGCCAGAGTACGATATATTGTCGCGACACTCGGCGCGAGTCCTCGACGAGTTGATGTTCAGGAGTTCTCAAGTCCATAGATGGCAAGTGCGCCGAGGTCTCAGCCTTGCGGGCCAGGGGGTCGGCAGCCTTGTCACTGACTCTACTGTGGGAAAGAGAAGGTTGACAGCCAATGCAAGCAAAATGAATCAATGTAACGACGGCTGCAACAATTGCAAGTCTCTATTCATCTTCAAGCAAGAAGTTCAGCCAGAACTTCAGTCCTTCAACACCCTCTTCTCGACACAGCGCTCCCCGTTCCTCCGCCATCTCGAGCTCCTCGGTGGCCACTCCAAGACTCCATCCAAACCGGGAGGCCGCCTGTTGAGCCGTCACCCCAAAACCGTAGGTTTTCCAGTCCCATGGAAGCACTTGCTCTACTTCGGTTGCCTTCAAGTAGTTCAGCCACTCCTTGATCTGGCTGATTGTCTTCTCGTCGCTCGCATCGCGTCGCTGCACGACGAGGAGGCCACTCTTGAATCTTCGCAGCTTAACCGGAAGGCCAAGCTTCACCCAGGCTTCGGCGGCCTTGCGAAAGTCAGAGGGGCTGACCAGTTCCACGCCATTTTGACTCCTGTTGAACATGGCCCATAGATCAACGAGACTCATGGTGCCTCCCTGGCCTCGAAGAATTCCCCGTCGATCATCAGTTGCATACTCGGCAAGATTTCGGGCCAATTCAGACACGTAAAGCGAATTCGAACTGTCTCCGAGGACGTCTTTTGTTGTGACCATCCCTAGGGCAGCCGCTGACTGAGAAAGAACAGGATCAGAGGTGGGGCTGGAAAGGCCCAGACCAGTGCCTGATTCCACTGCAAAGCGCTCGGCAAGAGCTACAACGTCCTTTGCGGATGCCATTAGAGCCTCCAGATCCTCGAATGCATTACCCAGAACTGTTTCGTTGATCTTCCTTGTTTGTAGGCCACGTTGTTCCAGTCCAGCTATCCCAACGGAGACTGGTCGTGATGCAGGTGGTGTACTGCTTTCGCTATTGAAAGGTCTTGAGACAGGGTCGATATCCGTCCGAGGAATCGGAGGGGCAATCTGCAGCAGCCATTTGCGCTGTATCATTGCATTCTTTAACCGGTCATAGAAGACTTTGTCCCCGCCAGTGCGGAAGGAGAATTTCACACTTGAGGGCTGTTGTCCTTCTTCCAAGGTAAGCCCGGATATTTCGGGTCCTGGGGATCCAGATCGTGCGAGTGACTCCTCCAATTCGACTCTCTGGAGGTGAATCGGCTTAGGAAGCGGTGCAGAACAGATCTCACAAGCACGCATCCCTGGATGGTTATGGAACGTACAACGAGGACAAGGAATGGTGTTGGAAGTATTGCCATCGTCATAAGATCGATTTACCCTGGGCTGTGAGCCTTGATCTGAAGCCACCTCAGAAGGGGGTATGCTCTCAGGTACGTGCTTAGCATTCGCCGCGATGGCCGCTTTGAGCACAGTAGCAAAGGGTGGCTTGATGCCGCAAGCTAGACATGGCGGCAGAGGGAAAGCCTCAGTGGCAATCGTAGGATCGAAATTGGACGGCACAGGGTTGGAAAAGGAGCATATAGGACAAACCCAAGTCCCAACCACTACAGGCAGCTCCGCTGGAGAATCTCGAGACGGTCTGAATGGGCTCGTAGAGCGAGATGAAGGAGAAGACGCAGAGGTGATCCTTTGGAAAGCCGGTGATTGAGTGACGGCTGACCGACTTGCAGAACCGAAGCCACGCTTGACGGGTTTGGAATACAATGTTATTTTAGGCGATGATTTGAGGAAGCCCGCCTGAACACGCGTTGTCAATGGGAGTCCGACCGACGGAAAAGCAGAAACTACCTGATATTCATGTCGCTCCACGTCCTTCAGGTCAATGGCCCACGAGTTGGCACGTGGGTCGGCATCATCAACATAACAAGCTCGGTGAGAGGTCAGGTAGGCATGGCCTTTTTGACAAGAGGCAATCTTGTATTTCCTGGCGGACAATCAGGTTGAGTTTCCTTGTACTTGTTCAGACAATGCTAACCCTTCATAGAGGCCCACCCCGTCTTGCACAACGAGCAGCGTCTCATCTGGGGCGAGGGTTGGGCGACAGCCAGCAGTCAGATCTGGCTTCTTGAGGAACATCCGGCCTTTGGTGTGGGCTGGATATCATCTTTGACCGGGCGCCTTAACCATCAATATGATTGCTGAAAAAGTGGACCGCGTGGTCTAGTCGACGATGAACAACGCTTGAGGGAGGACGAGCCTCGATAGCGTTCGAAGTCGAGTTCAACTTAATATCCAACTTGGCAACGATATTGCGCCTGGGGAGAAATGTGCTTCCGTAGTCATTGGATAATATACGGTGGAGCACACACTTGCTTTGCATCATGTGCAGAACAAGTCTCACTCTTTTCCGTCGTGATCACTGTAGCTTGAGAGCGCATACTATCCGGGACCGAGCAATGCAAGCAAGCCATCAATACAACAACCAGCTGAGGCCATTGCTCTCTTGCACTAGAGAATAATAAAGCGGCGTGACCAGCAATACCAAAGCGGTGAGCGGATGGTTAGTGTGCACTGCACCGTATCCTCTTGGCGCAGCGCTTCTCTTCCGATCTTGAACTTGAACTCGAAGTTCGAGTCTTGCGTGAACCGCCTCTCAGCAAACCATCACCACCAACCAGACCGTCTTTCTTCTGCGCATTGCGTTCTCAGATTCACAGCGGCTTCGTCTCTCATGTATTCCAGCTCTTCTGCTGCTGGTCACCCTCCGTGGCAGGCTCAATCTTCTTACGCGCCCAACCAGAATGCTTACATACAAGTCCCAGCCCGTCAAACCTTTGGTGCACAACCACCTGTCGCGCAACCAAATTACTACGTGCCTCCCCAGTATATGCATCATCCTTCTACAGATACACCCATCGCGCAACCAGCTCCGCCTGCTAAGAAGAAAATGAACTGGTCCCCGGACGTGCGTGACTACGTCAATCGGTCATTTGCGCAGACCACATCAATCCCTGGAGTCACCAAAGAGCAAATTGAAGCAAAGCTCAAGGAAATAATCACCGATGCCACACAAACGGGAAGACTGGATACAATGAATTGGAAAGAGCTGCCGTTACCACAAGAGATGATCCAGGAGGAACGAAAGCGTGGTCTTCTTGCTCCCGTTCCCCATCCATCCTACGTTCCCTCTCTACCCACCACGACTTCGTCTCCGGTCACATATCAGTCTCATCCTGACGCTCCACGTAAGCGTAAATCCGCCGAACTGGCCAAAGAACCTGGATATACCATTGTTACACCGCCTTGGAGAACAAACGCTGGACCACTGGCAGACCGGGTTTCCTTCGTCCCCACTGAGAAGCGACCCAAGCTCGACATGAGCTCATCCGTAAGTAAATCAAAAGCAAGCCTAGAATCTCGCAGACGCCGGTTTGAAGACGCACGTGCCGGCTCCAATTCTCCACGCACACAAGAATCATCTCGGGGGGCTTCACCAGAGGCAAACATGATAGGACCGATCGTGGGCCGCTGCCAGAAGCTCGAAAAAAACTACTTCAGATTGACCTCGGCACCTAATCCCGACGATGTCCGGCCTCTGGAGGTCTTGCGTAAGACACTCGAACTGCTCAAGAAGAAGTGGCGCAGCGATGGGAACTACGTCTACATTTGCGATCAATTCAAGTCGCTGCGGCAAGATTTGACTGTGCAGCATATCAAGAACGACTTCACCACCAGTGTCTACGAATACCACGCTCGAATCGCCTTGGAAAAGGGGGACCTGGGTGAGTATAACCAATGCCAGACACAGCTTCGGGAGCTGTACAAACAAAATCTTGGTGGTCATCCCGTGGAATTCAAGGCCTATCGTATTCTCTACTTCATCCACACATGCAACCAGACTGACATGAATGACGTGCTCTCTGATCTAACCCTAGCAGACAAGAAAGAACCCGCGATCAGGCATGCCTTGGAAGTACGCTCTGCCCTCGCTTTGGGGAACTATCACAAATTCTTCAAGCTGTACCTCACAGTCCCGGACATGGGAGCGTACTTGATGGACATGTTTGTAGAACGCGAGAGATTAGCGGCACTGGCGTGTTTGTGCAGAGCGTGAGTTGGCCCTAGTCTCATCTGGGCATGGTTGTAACTAATTTTGGCATAGGTACAAACCAGATGTACGATTGCGTTTCGTGACCGAAGAACTTGGGTTTGAGTCGGATGAAGAAGCTTGCCAATTCATCATCGATCATGTTCCTGAAGAGTCACCGCCTCTGCTCGAAGAGCGTGATGGGGACGTTCGCTTCTTGACTGGCAAGGTCGGGTCAATCTTCCAAGTCGCCAAAGCGAGAGCATTTGGGCAGGTTGATATCAAAGGTCAGATTTGAGGTCCCTCTGCTGCTACCCTGTCCAGGCTCCCTTCTACTGGGACGCTGCGTGTCGACGGTAGCGGCCCTGCTGCAAGCGTCCTTCTGCTCCTCTTTGTGTCGAGTTATTTCAGCGTGTTGGACATTTCGTTTCATTCTGCACCATCGGGGTTTAGCCAAGTGTCTTCTGTTTGGCCATGGGAACAGCGGGAATGGAAGGCGCAATTTCAGTTGTTTGATTTCCTAGCGCGCGAGAGCGGATTGAAAGAGACGTGCCACATGGTACAGGATGGTGGCACGACGAAAACGATGCAGGCTACACTTTTGCCAGGTCGACGATAGCAGTCTGTGGCACCTACGACATCGATGGGTTTAACGGAGGCTATGAGATAGATGGGACAGTGGATATCAAAAGCTTCCCAGGTTCGGCCACTTCTGTGAACATGGTTGCCAATTGATGATCCAATGCAATCAGATTCGAGGCCGAGTGTCAGCACAAATTGAGCTATCAACAGCCACTGTTCAGCCATCGCGTCCCAGTCCATGATACGATTCGAGACGGAAGGCTGACCCTCAGGGGTGGAGAACGTAACAGATGCAATCTAGAATACCACAAGCACACCAGCATACTTGGTGCAGGTTGTGAGTATTGCCCGAAGCATGGACGATGATCTGATAGCATTTTATCGCCTACACCTCACCTTTCCTGGGATGTATCTTGGTCAAGTCAACAAGGGCTGGCCATGCCACTGACCGGGATCATGATCTGGGCAGGAAACATGTACGCTATAAGGCTCAGCTTGTAACTCTCATGTTTGACAGGGTGCGATTTCCGCTGCTGGCTGCTGGCGACTAGGAGCCCAGTGGTCTGCAAGAGAAAACTGTCTGGGCGTCAAGGGCTGGTGTACGTAGTATATTGTGCTTCAAATCTGCCAAAGTGCCCTGTGCTCTGTGCAGTGTGCAGGGATCCGAGCGATGATGCCGTCTGGCTTGAGCACATGGCAATGTTGTGGCAATGATGATGATGGTCCGTGTAAACAGAGAGTGACGCGTGAACGTGAACGAGGTGAGGACGAAGGTTCAACAGGGATTGGACAGAGACTTTGGAACATTCAATGCCGGGTCGGAGCTGGCCGTCGTGTAGTGAAGTCTCACGGCAGAGACATTGACAAGCGGGAGTATAGTAGGAGACAGTGAGTGAGTGGTGAGGAGAGACAGAGGTCGAAGTGCGACTTGTCAGGACTAACCTGCGCAGCTGCGTTGAGAGAAAGAGAAAGATGAAGATGAGAGCAATGTGTAGATATAACGACTTGTAGTAAGTGTGATTTGCAGCTGACAGTCGATCTGACGGTACTTGGGGGCCTCTTCATTCAACGCTTCTACATCTCCAGTTGCAGTCGTCTAGTCGATCTCGTGTCCGACCTGGAGACCCTTGTCCCTGTCATTGTCCCTTGTTTCTCTTTCTTTGCCGCCCTTGAAGTTGGGTCCGGACTTTCGACACACACGCCTTACACCTCACGCTTTGTTCACAATCTCCCTCCTGCATTGAGCAAAACGGCACAACCCTAGACCTAGACACCTTCCCCAACCCTGTCGTGGCCGCGAAACAACGTCCACCCCAACAACGCCTGTCTCGTCGGAACTGACGACCGCCGCGCCAACCATCGAGAAGACTTGTTTCATTCTGCAACTGTATATGCGCCCCATACCCATCTAGAACCAACAAAAAGCCCTCATCGTCGAAGCTACCTCTCAGGCCACTGCGGGGCCCCTCAAATGCGACAATGAAGGTACGTCGACATTACTATCCACTGCCATCTCATCGCGCGTCTGTGGGCGCGTGCAGATTCTACAGATGTCGTCGTCGTCGGGTCACTGACTTCAGCCGATCTGTCTAGGCCATTCGCCGATCTCTCAAAGGCGACAAAGAGTCGAAGCATGCGCCGAGTTTATCCATCACACCCAAGACGATCCAAGCCCTCCCACCCAAGAAAGTGATCAAGGCGCTCTACGACTACCAGCCGCAGAACGGAAATGGACAAGAGCTGGCGTTTCACAAGGGGGACTTCTTTCACGTCTTGAGCCGGGAAGATGACACGGAGTGGTACGAGGCGTGCAACCCGCTCATCCCATCCGCGAGGGGACTGGTGCCGGTGGCCTTTTTCGAGGTTGTGGGCAAACAACAGCGACAAAGCGGGAACTCTCTTTCATCTCCAGGCGAGAAATTGGATGCTCATGATTCCGGCTTCTCTGAGCAAGGCTCGACCAATTCCGGCCATACGCGATCCGAGTCAGCCGCTACCACCCGACCCACTGCACATCAGAGAGGATCTAGTATGACGGCCAAGGGCCCAGGAGCCATGGTGTACGGGGTGGTGCAGTATGATTTCAATGCTGAAAGGGCCGACGAGCTTGATGCCAAAGCCGGAGAAGCGATCATCGTGGTGGCTCAGTCCAATCCAGAGTGGTTTGTTGCGAAGCCGATCGGACGGTTAGGAGGACCCGGGTTGATCCCTGTGTCGTTTGTCGACATCAAAGATACTGCTACTATGCAGTCGGTCCCAGACCCTCTCGAGGCTGTTCGGAAGGCCGGGGTTCCCCGAGTGGAGGAGTGGAAGAAGTTCGCGGCTGAATACAAGAACAGCAGTATCAGTCTGGGCAAGTTCGACAGCCCTCAAGCGCAACTGTCTGCGGATATGGCTCGAATGAGTTTGCAACATGGTGGGTCGCAGCATTCGCTTTCCAGCAACAACTATGTAAGTGACATCCAGGAGGGGTTTGTGGCGTGGAAGATGAGCTCATGGGCTGATTCCAGGACTCGCGACAGAGCGGCGCACGAACGTCACAGCAACCGCAGATCCCCCTTGCACCGATCAGCGCATCCGTTCCGAGGTATTGCTTTGACAATGACATGTATTGGTACATCATTGAGTGCCAGATGGAAGATGGCCGCTGGTGGGAGCTGGCACGGTTCTATGCCGACTTCTACGACTTTCAGATCGCACTGTTGGAAATGTTCCCTGAAGAAGCCGGAAACAAGGGCAAGGCTCGCACGCTGCCTTTCATGCCGGGACCAGTGGCGCATGTGACGGATGCGATCTCGAACGGACGCCGACAGAATCTGGACGAGTATATTCGCAAGATCATAGCCATGCCACATCACATCTCCAAGAGCATGCTGGTACGAAACTTGTTCAAGCCGAGGCCAGGCCATGACTATGAAATCGATCCGAATGCGCTGGGCGAGGACTATCGACTGTCTGGAGGATCGCAGCAATCGTTGCAGCCGGCTTCGCGGTCGTCACTCAACCCACAGCAGCCCGGTGCTGGTGCTGGTGCAGGTGCAGGGTATGGGGGGATGCCCCCTCCTGGGAGCCGGTCGTCACAGCAACGATTCCAAGTGCCTATGCCGGCTGGAGCGGGGATGGGGATGGGAGGGCCACCATATCTACACTCTCAGGCCAGTAACTTGACGCAGGCATCCACATCGTCCAGCATCAAGGGCGGCAACGCCGGTACGCCGATGAAGGTGAAGGTGTTTTTCCAGGACGACATCATTGCCATCCGAGTGCCGCAAGACATCATGTTTTTGCAACTGAAGGAGAAGCTCATGGAACGGTTGAAGGTGAATGACGGTATTGTGATCCAGTACAAGGACGAAGCCACGAACAGCCTCCTCAACCTGGAGAATGACGACAATCTGGACGTGGCGTTACAGAGGAATCCCAAGTTGACCTTGCACGTCAACTTTGCTGCCGAATGAGCGGACAACGACTCGTTCGACTTGCAGCAAGCCAAGGTGACACGGGCTGCTCGACAAGTTGGCGATACTGATCGTCCTTGCAAAGGCTGGCTGGGGGGCCAATTCGGCACGACACAACAATCACACGTACACGACAACACAGCGTGGACCATGAGCTATGTATGTTTTTTCTTTACGCGGGCGACGTTTGGCGCATCAGGGGTTCCGGAGCTGGGGAAGACAGGATTCTTCTTTGACGCTCCCAACGCCCTTTTCTCCCAAAGCAAAAGGAGAACGCCGTCGCATTACGACGTAGGGGAAAGGGAGGATGGGAAATCGGAATCGAAATCGAATACTTTGCTTGGGCCATGTCATATCATTGGAGGTTCTTTCCTTTGTTCTCCGAGGAGCTATTTTGCTGGATGATTTGCTCAGATCAGGGTCAGGGTCAGGGTCAGGAAAAGGACGGGTTGGGCTGTTGACAGTGGGTGGTTATTGGCATCATTGGGCATGACATGGCTTAGCAATGGCTTTTGAGTCATGACTCGGAAAGCCAGCAGGAGGAAGCGAGCGAGGGCTGTAGAACTTGCGCTTTCCGATCGATCAATGGCTACAAATGCAATCAACCAGCTTGGAGTTCATCGACTTGACTTTCCTGGATATAAGGTGTTGTGGAGAAGTAGGCATTGCTACGTGATAGTGCACCGCATCGGCCACCTGTCCAGGTGTTTAGGAGCATTGTTGTAGTGTTTGTATCGTCGAATTGCCGTAGAGAGTGTAACAGGAAGAGATAGATGGAGAGTTAGTAGGTAGTCAGGAGTAAGAGGGAAGTCAGTCCATGGCCTTAGGGGTCCGTCGTCGGCAATATCCCTCTATACCTACGTAGGTACGTTCTCCGTACTCTGTAGTATTTCTATCGCCGAGCGCGAAAAAGCGGCGATGAATCCCCACCAATTAGGGCCTGTATTATTACTCGGGTGGACAATATCTGGTACGTACTAGTTAGTACCTGATACCCTGCAAGTCCTGGTCTTTGGCCTTCTGGCGAGGTCCCCGGTCCCTGTACAGGCTACACCTTACGTAGGTGGAGGATAGGTCGGTCAGATCGGTATCTCAAAACCCCAGCTTCATGAGCTGCCCACTTTCTACCATGCTCGAGGTCCTTCCTCGAACACCTTGCTCCTGTTGACTCTGTTGTCGCGTTGTAGCCCCCCTGCCTCTCTTTTGTGTGATCCCGTCTGCAGCGTTGTCTCTTTCCCTTTAGCAACCTAAGTTTGAACAATACACAGCGCATCGCACCATGAAGACCTCCTCTATGCGTCCCGTGCACAATGCCTTCCAGGCATATCTCCGGGCGGCTGTTGTCCCTGATTACTGCGCCATTCGACAAATACAACAGAGCCCCCGACATACGCTGTGCACCGACTGCATACGGACATCTCGATCTCGGAGTCGCAATCGACGGCAGCGGACACAAGCCCTGACACGGCCACATCCACAACCACAACCACAGACAGCTGGGACAGTGGAAATCGATCTTGGCGGGCGAGGCCGAAGCCTGCATACTCTCCACCGACGGCAGCCAGATCGTTTGAATCGGATAGATGAGAGCGGGCTCGGCGCAGACGGAGAAGCAGACGGAGAGGCAAATACAAGGCGCAGGGGAGGAGGAGAAGCAGCAGCAGTTTGGCCACCCGCCGTTGGCAGCAGCAGTGGCAGCGGTACTACAGGCAGCAGCCTGAGACAGGTGCGGATTCGTGTTCCCGTTCGGCGAGGACAGAGAAGATACCTTGCGACTGTGAGCGATGTTCCGGTTCATGGGCCTCTGGAAGAATATGATGAGAGAGTACAAGCGGGGAAATTGAGGGATGACCAACATCAAAGAGGTGAGTACGTACAAATAGCCAGCCAGCCAGGATTGGTAGCTTCAGGCGATGGTCTTTATCAGGTTCTAATCCCGAACGGAAACAGGCCTCGTGGAACATCTGCAGGACCTTCACGAAACTCTTCGAGACTACAACCCTCCAAAAGTGATACACCCAGATATCAACGATCTACACCCGCCCAAGAAGTCGCTATTCGGGAACCTATTCGGCAGCAGCAAAAAGAAGAAAGTGATCAATGAACTACCCGAGAACCTACCCAAGGGGTTATACATGTATGGCGACGTGGGGTCGGGCAAGACGATGCTCATGGACCTGTTCTACGACACACTTCCGCCCAACATCACGGCCAAGACACGCATCCATTTCAACAACTTCATGCAAGACGTGCACAAACGATCACACCAGGTGCGGATGCAATATGGCAACGACTTCGACGCGGTGCCATTTGTGGCCGCCGACATTGCGGAGAAGGCGACGGTGCTCTGTTTCGACGAGTTCCAATGTACCGACGTGGCCGACGCCATGATCCTGCGGCGGCTTTTGGAGGCGCTCATGTCGCACGGGGTCGTGCTGGTCACCACGTCGAACCGGCATCCCGATGACCTGTACAAGAACGGCATCCAGCGGCAATCCTTCATCCCATGCATCAACCTTCTGAAGAAACAATTGAAAGTGATCAACCTCGACTCGTCGACCGACTATCGCAAACTCCCGCGGCCACCGTCGGGAGTCTACCACCACCCACTGGACCGAGCGGCCGTGTCGCATGCCAACAAATGGTTCCAGTTCCTGGGCGATCCCGAACACGATCCACCCCATCCCGAGAAAATCACGGTCTGGGGCCGAGAAGTCGAGGTGCCGCTGGTCTCGGGACGCTGCGCGAGATTCACATTCCACGACCTGATCGGCCGCGCGACCGGAGCGGCCGACTACATTGAGATGATGCGGCATTTCGACGCGTTTGTGGTGACGGACGTGCCGGCCATGACGTACCGCGAACGCGACTGGGCGCGCCGCTTCATCACCTTCATCGACGCCGTGTACGAGTCGCACGCCAAGCTGGTGCTGACCACCGAACTGCCGCTGTCGCAGCTGTTCATGTCCAAGGCCGAGCTGGAAGAGTCGCTGGACAACGTGACCAAGAACGTGGCAGACCCCAAGGTCTCGTCGGACCGCAGTGACAAGAAGGTCGCCGACCATGCCAACTCGGTCGACACCGACGGCGAGGGCGCTGACGTCGACGATGTCATGCGCAATCTGATGGACGATCTGGGCATGAGCATGAGCATGCTGAAACAGAGCAGTCTGTTCAGCGGCGACGAGGAGCGCTTCGCCTTTGCCAGAGCCCTCAGTCGTCTGAGTGAGATGGGTAGTCAGGAGTGGATCGAGAGAGGATTGGGCCTGGAGAAGAAGGGCGGCCTCGAGGAGAGGGAGGGTTGGCAGAGAGTCAGGTCGAGATGGAGGGAGGATAGTTTGTAGTCAGGACAATCTTCTGTTTTCTGTCTGATCACTTGACGCCCACTGCTCTCAAGAATACTTTTCTATTCTCTTCCTCCACAATCCCTTTGACCACGTCCGCCATGGTTTCCACCTCGACGATCTTGCCTTGACCATGAGAGAACCGCCATTCTCCTGGTTCATGTCTATTGTTGTTGGTCTTGCTCCCTCCGCTGTACTTGTTTCCATTGCTGTGCTCGTGATTGTGCTTATGCTTGTGCTTGTCTTTTCGACCGTCTGCCTTTTTCTTCCCGGTAGCAGTAGTAGCAGTAGCAGCAGAAACATGATCCGACGCTGCTTCCGCCGCCCGATCCGCAGTGGTGGTGGTGGCACTGGTGTTGGTATTGGTGTTGGTATTTCCAGAAGTGGTGCCAGCCCTAGCCATAGACCAACCCATCCCATCTTCCTTCTCGTCGTCTGAATCATACCGCACCTGGAACGCCTGCCAATTCAGGCCCCTAAGTTCACGGACATGAGCATCGACCAGATCTTTGGGACCAGAGAAGACCATGATCCCTGGGTATCCTGGTTTAGTCAGGCCTGAGATTGAGATTGAGTTTGATGATGATGGTGAAGAGGAGGAGGATGAGGACATTGTAGTGCCGGTGGTGGAGATTGTCGTTGTCGTTGTTGTAGGAGTGACTGCCAGTTTCCGCTTCGACAGGGCTAGAAGATGATGGAGCCAGATGATGACTGTTTTGGGACATCGTTGCTGTAGTTCATGATGTCCGCGTCGTATCTTGTGTTGAGGATCGTTGTTCTTGATATCATTTTCAATTTCAATTTCAATTTCAATGTCAATCTCAGTGCCAATGTGACTGTCAGTAGTGTCGTCGTCACCATGGCCATCATTCCTCCGCGGTTGACTGCCTCTCTTTCTAGGGCGTCCGTGATTGTCCTTCGCCCCATCATGTATGCTAGCACCAGTACTTGCAGAGGTGCCTGTACCTGTACCTGTACCTGTGCCAGTCTGCAAATTCGAAGCCACAATATCCTCAAAAACCTCAATGATTTGGTCAAGAACTTCCCCTGGTCCAGAGTTATCTTGATATCCATTGTCGATGTCGATGTCGCCGTCAATACTCTCGTCGCTCTCATTGCTCTTGCCATTGCCATTGCCATTGCCATGACTACGTTCATCCGCCAAGCCCAACACCTCCAAAACACTCCGTTTGGTCACGTCACGAATATCGTTCTTCGCCCCGTCCCGCGCGGCAATGATCTCAGGAACACCTCTGGTGGGATACAGATCCGGCAATCTGATCGTCAGGACCGAACTGGTCGAATTGGTCGATGTATACGATGTATAATGCAGTTCACGACTCTGGGGAATGTAAGACAGTGTTGTGGGATACATTGCCTGCAGCAGGGAGAGTTCTGTCTCGAGACGGTCGGTGAGGGATGACGATGATGATGATGACATTAGTAGTAGTAGTAGTAGTAGTAGTAGTAGAGACCCTTAGCCCTTCTTCTTTCTGGTACCAAGGGTTGTTCTGGTCACTGACAGTATCCAACCTTGGGAGAGGTAGTAGACTGTGGTCTTGTGTTTTGTGTGAGTGGCAGTGCGTAGAGTGGCAGCGAGTGAACTGGGGAACTCTTGTTAACGTCTACTACGTCTTTGATTCAGTTAGTAATATAGGGTAAGGGGTGATGTCAGCCTTGCGTCTTTTCATTGGTTCCTGGACCAACGTACCAACCCATACTACCGTATGGCCATCATTGCGAAAGACTACCACTTGGAACACGTCCCACCTTATCAATACCACCAGCCCATGTTCGTACAACATGGGGGTTTAAGGTCCATCAAAAGTTAAAAAAGCAGTAAAATACTCGATTCATCGACTAGTATATCAGAGTTGCATGACTCCAACAAAGTCTTGCCTCATTTCCATCTTGAGTGGCCGGAGATTCTCCCAAGGGCGGTCGGTTACAGCATGTTTCCAGGATCGCTATCGCCAACCCGTTTCACTCCGACCCATTCCGTTTGATCTGCTTCCAATCCATCGTCTCGTGTGAAGAGCAAAAGACAAGACCGTGACCGGTGCCGATGTTGTCGCTCATAGCACTCAACCTCGGATCGTGTCGAGGAGAGTCTCACGGTTGCGTTGGCGGCTGACCCCAATGCTTCATCTCCTGTAGGCGTTTGTCTGTCTGAAGATGCAAGTGGCACGGCACGCCCTACGAAGCATACCTACAAGTCGTCAATCAATTCTCGGATCTTGTAGTAGATCTCTTTGACCGCATCCTCTTTGCCAACCTGTAGTGGAACTCACGTCAGATAAGTTCTCACGTTATGACCGGGAGAAAACAGCACGGGCAAGTTTCGGCCAAATGCTTACCTTGATCTGGAAAAGTGACGGGTTTCCCTCCTCCAGTCCTGTGAAAAGCATCGTCTTCCCACTCGGTTCTTTACCATCAGAGGTGCCGACGTTCATGTCCTTGAAAACAGGGGTGTTGAGAACCACTCGATGCACTCCATCCGTGCGCATGATCAGACGAGCTCTCCGCTCGACCGGAGAAAATGCCGACTGGCCACCGGCCTCAACATCCCCTTCTTCCTTTTCCTTGGCTTCGTCCTCGGAATCCTCGCTATCACTGTTGCTGTCGGCCTCGTCGCCAATCGCCTTGCTTTCGTAACGGATGTTGACCTTGAACACTCCAACCCCACGTTCCTTCCACTCCTTGTCAAAGTGGTACAACTTCGCTCGGCATTGATAGATGGTTTGCTCTCCTTCTTCACCCGTTTCCACTGTGACAGTGTCAGTTTCCTTGCTGGACATCTACACATACCAAGATCCAAAAATAAACTCACCCTCTTGCTGCTTGAACCGGGGATCTTGTTGTGCATCTTCGTCGCCTTCTTTCTTCTCCTCATCGTCTCCACCATCTTCACTTCCTTCTTCCTCATCCTGGTTCGCGGTTCCGAATGGCTTTGCTTTACCGAATGAGCTGGCCGCTCCGGCTGGACCTGCAAAGGACGACAACCCGCCACCAAAGGGTTTTGGGGCTCCGAATCCAGATCCTCCACTTCCAAAAACGCTGGCAGAACCAAAGCCGCCGGCGGAGCCGAACCCAGATACGGGCTTGGTTGCAAAAGGTGAGGCGCCCCCAAGGCCGGCGGAAGACGACCCAAAAGCACTCTGCCCTCCACTTACTCCGCCAAAGCCTCCCGAGGATTTGGCTGTGGACCCAACCGTGCCAAATGGTGACTTTTCCGACGAAGCGAAGGCTGACAGGCCAGATGAAGCGAATGCCGAGGTGGAGGTGGATTTTCCCGTTGATGAAAAGGTCGCCGTCTCCTTAGCTGGCGATTGGGTTGGTTTGAAATTGCTGAACGGGGATGCAGCGGCAAAGTTGGCAAACCCGGATGACGGGGGGACTGCTGGCTTGGACTGTGGTTCCTCAGATGTGGTGGTGGTCTTCGTAGTGCTGGAAGTCTCATCCTTCGCAGCCACGGCGCTACCATCGGTTTCATGATCTGATCCGACTTTTGTATCCTTGGTGTTAGTGTCGTCAGCTGCACTGTCCTCTTCTTCCTTCTGCGGTGCCGCGACCAAGACTCCCGGTCCACCAGGAGATTTTTGTGCATCCGTATCGCTCTCCTCCTGAACTGGACTTGCAATATCCTCCAGCTTCTCCAGTCCTTGGACAGGATCATCGCCGGAGATTTCTCTCGACCTCATTCTCTTATGTAGCCCCTTCTTTGGTAAGGGAGGACCTCCGTTCTCTACGCCGGCGGCGGGATCTTCAGTTTGCAGATCCTCAAAGGATCGCTTTTTGGATGGTCGGCCTCGGAATCCATCTTCGGTATGCATTTCTGGCAGAGCATCTGCGTTGGTTGATTCGCTCAAAGGGTGCGCAGTGGTCGTGTCGGCCTCACCAGACTTACTCTTGGATGATTGTGCCAGGCCGGCAATGGAGGTTTTCTTCAATTTTTCTCTCGCAGTTCGTTCCCCGCCCTCACCATCGGAACTACCTTCTGGAGGTGTTTGGTCGTGAATGTCTTCCGAGTGTTCTAAGTCCTGGACTGACCTCTCAGCCCCGATATCTGAGGACATTGTGTCTGGGAGCGTAGCCGCCGAGGCCTGCGTAGTGGTTGTGGTCCTCTAACGGCTGATCAGAGAATTCCCTATGAATTGTGGAACTCCTGAGTAGAGTGGAAGACGCTGCTCATCCAAGGGCTTTTGTCTGTCAAGAATTCGGCTCCTCGTGGTGGGAGGGGTAGGCTTGATCGATTCGACCGAGCGTGGAGATAGGCTGGCGTGTTGTGAAGGATGCGGCAACAGAGTCTTGTTCCTTTTGCACGGCCACCGCGTATTTCGATCTGCTAGAGCCTCTTCTGTGGCTCTGTCGATGGGAGAACGAGTGATGGCTGGACGTGGTCTGCAGATCTGTAAGGACTCGAGACCAATGTGAGGCAGCGTGGAAGGATGCGTGAAGGGAATCCGATCAGAGCCAACGTGGCGTGCGACGTCACTTGCACCGAGTGCTGCAGTGGCTGACAGACTCTCAGTGAGGTGTGATGAGAAGGACTCGCGGTTGTTCGTTAAGACGATGTGATGGTAGGTCGAGGGACAAAGCAATACTAGTAGTAGTTGGTAGTGACAATAGCGACAATCAGGGACTCAACAGGTCAACAAGTCACAACTTGAAGGGACAATAATGAGGCTGCGGCCTTGGGAATTGGGCTCCGCACAATCAATCACTACTACTATGACAATCATGATATGTGCCCCACCATCATTTGATCAATTCTCAAGAATACACAACTTGAACTCGATCGATAGCAGATGCGAATAGAAATGGAGTCGACGGTTGTCGCTACGTCTTCCAATTCCACGTCCATTCATTACTGTACACTTTTTTATGTCGAGTCCAGGGACGATCGAGTCTCTCGGATAGAAACACCCCATGCCATCTCCCATATCTAACTGATAAAACACAGACAGCCCAAGCCCAGGTAGAAGACAAATAGAGGATAGACACTGAGCGCGACCCGGTTCTTGACGACTCCTGATCCTCCGAGAATGCTAACCCCGGCGGCCATAGCCCATGCCACAAGAACAAGATAGACAGGAACACGCGCAATCATCGGCAGGCCCAGTGCACTCAGCAAGGCAGCGATTGTCAGAGGAAACAATGTGTAGCCGATGATCGAGACCGATTGCATGAAGGAACTAAGGCGCAGTCAGTTATCAAGGGGGGCTCATTGCGCAGACCCGGAGTGAGGTTCTTACATGTTCCCTCCCAGCAATTTAATCTGGAGCGTCACCGCGGCTTCACCGATCCAAACGACGGAGAAGACGCCCGAGAAGACCAGATCGGTCTGATCCTTGCTGGCTCGCATCGACAGAAACACACTCAGAAGCAGACAGAATATGAGAGGACCCCTGCGAATCAGTCAGACCATGGAAACCGACTCTTATGCTTTTTGCACCACTTACCAGAGATCCCAGTCTCGTAGACCCTCACTCAGACCTCCCTGCAGGATTCCATCTGCATCGGGCCATCTTCCGATCAGACCTCGGAGATCTCGACCGAACCCTTGACCGCCCTCTTCGTCACCCATTCCGGAGCCTTGTCTCTGCAGCATCCCACCGAGCAGGTACTTCGGGTAGAGGACTTGTTTCATCTTTTCCCACACGGCGAACAAATCCCGAGAGACGGTGTCCCACACACTTTCGTCCAAGGTGTTTTGCGGCGCGCGTCTGTCTTCCCCGGGTATCCTCGAGGTCAGATAACTCTGGTTCAGGGGGGCACTCGAGGACGAGCCCGAGGACTGGATGTTGCCGGTCAGGGGAGCGCGGTCAGAGCTGTTGTAGGACGGTTCATCGGGTTCGACTTCTGTTGCTGGTTGGTTAGACCCATTCTGCCACGGAAAGGAGAGCGCACGCATTGCTTCGTACCATCATTGAGGAAGTCGTCGTCGAGCACCGCGTGGTCGTCATCGTAGGAATGGTCAGCTAATCCGCCGGACATGGTTGCTCAGAGCTGTGCTCAGAGCTGTCCACATGCACAGGAGGGACGCCTAGTTGTGTAGCGTGTGGTAAAGGAGCTTGGTGGCCGGTCTGTCGCAGAGTCTCAGATGCCCAAGGGACAGGCACAGGCACAGGCGGATAAGCAGAGTTTCACTGAACGAACACGGTTGAAAGATAAATCCAGGGGACGAGTCTTGACAGCCGTCAATTGAACGGTCTACCGTGTTACTATCACAAGTATGTCAATGGTGGGTGAGTGTCAGTTCACCATACAAAATGAGCCGCAGCTGAACTCGACGCGTTGGGCATATTATGTAATCCGGACCCGGATTTACTTTGTAGCGGTCTATATCCGGATTGGGACATACCTAGATATCAGGAACCCATTCTTGCTGTCCGTCTCCTTTCACACTCTCTCCCTCATGTTACAACAGGTATTGTCTTCCGCTCACTTGCTTGATAGGCCCTGACTGAGGGCGCACATCACACGCAATGTCAATCTTGTCTGGACTCACAACCTCAAACCACTCCTCATCATTGCAGCATACGGATGTCTGAATCCCAAAGCAGGAATCAGCTCCGCTCCCAGCGATGATTCTCCACGTCCAGGCCATATCCATCTGCTTGACATAAGTCGGGGTAGCCATGGAGTCAAGCAATGTAGTACCGGCCTTCTATATCTCTCACTTCCTGTCGACGTGGAATGCACGAGGCTTTGAATTCGGGGCAATCCTGTTCCTCGCGACCGTCTATCCGGGCACGTTACTCCCGATGTCTATCTACGCCTTGCTGCGCTCTCTGGCAGCCATATGCCTCTCACCGTCCGTTGGCCGGCTGATCGACTCCGGCGACCGTCTCCGCACCGTGCGACTGTCTATCATCGGTCAACGTCTGGGCGTTGCAGCGTCATGCCTCACCTTCGCGCTGCTCTTCAAGTGGAAGCAGACACTTCCTTCCCTTTTCGTCATGCTGCTCCTGGGCATCTTGGTCTTACTGGCCTGCATGGAGAAGCTCGGCTCAATCATGAACACCGTGGCCGTGGAGCGAGACTGGGTGGTAGTCATTGCCGCCGACCACGATGCATTACTTCAGACCTTGAACGCGCAGATGCGTCGGATCGATTTGTTCTGCAAACTGGCCTCTCCCTTGGCCATTGCTCTCCTCCATGGCTGGGCCCCGATCGTTGCTGTGTGGATCACTCTAGCCACCAACGCTCTGTCGGTAGGGATCGAGTATCTGCTGATCGCGAGGGTGTTCCATCAAGTCCCGGCACTGGGTGATCGTGGTTGTCGACCACGACAACAACCAAGCGATGATCGAGTGTCTAGTAGCGGTATTGACGAAACCGACATATATATTAACACCCCGGGGCAACAGCCTCGTTCACAGTCACCCTTCGTTACTCAATACATGGAGCCACTCTTGACTCCTCTCAGCACCTATGTTCGACAGCCTGCTTTTCTTCCCTCGCTCGCCCTGTCAGTGCTCTATTTGACGGTCCTATCCTTTTCCGGCCAGATGACTACATTCCTCCTAAGCATACCAGAACCAAGGATAACATCGACGACGGTGGGAATATTACGCACCATTTCCACCGTGTCGGAGATCTCATCGACCTTCATCGCTCCGAAAGTCATGTCGAAAATCGGCCCAGTCCGTGCCGGCATCTGGTTTTTATCATGGCAGACCGTGTGTTCCAGTGCCGCCGTTGGGCTTCTATGGACGGATTTCTCGACATCGACATCGTCGTCGCCTCGAATCAGCCTTCCACTGTTCATCGGCGGCGTCATCCTCTCACGGGTTGGATTGTGGTCCTTCGATCTGTGCGCCCAACTGATCATCCAAGAATCCATCCTGCCTGCGTACCGTGGCTCGTTCTCAGCCGTCGAGATGTCGCTGCAGAACCTCTTCGAACTTTGCGCTTTCACGACGACCATCGTATTCCCTCGGCCGGACCAGTTCCGATACCCGGCCCTGGTATCGCTAGGAGCCCTGTATCTCTCTGCTGCACTCTATGCCAAATTCGTCCGCGACCGACGTGGCCATCTGTTGCACATGCCCTCGTGTCTCAAACCCGTTCGGGACAGGGGTCATCACGCATACCAACTGGTCACGGCGGGACCGGGGGTGAGTTAGTTCGATTTAGTAGGAGATCAGGAATATCCCATTCCCGGCTGTTGTTCATGGGACAACCATTTGGAGCATGGTTGGCTTTGACCACGCCGTGATGGCCTCGGCCACTATGGGCAACCTACTGTGTCAGTCCCCAGTCATGTCTCGAGAAAGTCGGCCGCTAGGACGAGCTACCAAGGGAGTCCGGCAAAGCTAGACATCACCATGATTACAACGTTACCACTCTGTACGACGTACGTACTCCGTTTATACCTATACCTAAGATAGCTAAGCACTTGAAGCCTGTCGTTGCATCTCTCCAATTGACCCGTATTCGGCATTTGTTTGAGGGGTCTTCAAGGATCAAAATTGACCCATCCATCATATGGAGCCTTCCCCCATAGAGACTCGCCCACCAGTGCCGCCAGCCCGACTTTGGCCTTTCAAATCCCAGGAGAGCGGATAAAGCGGTACGTTCCCCATCTCACATCCCCCAATCCACAAACCCAATGGGCAAGGAAAGTTGTGCTCCTGTGTACTAAAGTGAGGACACCAAAAATGTGTCCTCACCGGATGCCCCTCCTCGCTCAGGCTGGTCATTATCCATCATCATGCACCAAGCTGATGTTAGCTGCTCTGGAGCCACCCTAGATACCACGCTGCTGTAGCAGCGCGAAAGGTGCATTGCCTGAAAACCGCTGAATGTACAATTAATAGCAAGGTAGGTTGGGTTCACCGGAATACTCTGTAGAGGGGTCAATCAATGGTGAATGGTGAATGGTGAATGTTCTTTGATTAGAAATATATGTTTTGTCGCTCATAGGTGTCACGCCACCCAGGGAAAGGTACGTATCTATCTTCTCGTCTTGACAAGAAAGATCGCGATTTTCTCTGCCTAGCATCGCTACCGACCCAGGGCCAGCAATACTCAGTGTGACCTGATACCCACCGAATCCTCGTAGATCTGTCCTATTTTGACCGTAAGACTTTCTGGATCCTCCCTCCATAAGCAGACCACCGTCTGCAGAGAAACAAGTCCGTGTCATGCGAAGAAAAGGGTAGACCTCTTGTCACTTGCAACGGCCCACAGCAGTTAGTGTACACTTGATCGTATTGGATCTGTGTAGTCTTCTCAGTCAAGTTTGGATGTTTCGAATCGAACCCCCACAACCATCGATACTTCAAGAGGAATGGGTGCTACACTGTCCCAGACCTCGACCGTAAACTTCGCTGGTCAACCTCCGTTCGCGAAATGACATGCCTCCCTCAGATATACGTGTACCACCAAGACCATTGTGTCACTGTTGAGTTCTGATTGATCAAGGTCGCGCCAAGTCAGGTATCTCATCGGGGAGCGATGATGAGGCGTGGGGAAACGAACCGGATCACAAATAGAAACCAGGCCGTTGGTGTGAAAACAGATGACAGGGCAACATTCGCTGCCACAACCCGCAAGTCCTTGACTCCGGTGTCTCCCCCCGGTCTCTTCTTATGAGAGTCATGTCCACGCAGCCAGCACTGACCCGGGTCACCCTCATAACATAAGGAGCCGTGTCTCATGAAGGCCGAAATGATAAGGCCTCAGGCCATGACAGTAGGGCCCAATAGGACATGATATCCACCGTCACAATCATTACCTTCATGGTTTTGTATTTGTTCGTCTGGGCCTTCGCACATGACCACCCTCTTGCATCTGAACAAGAGAATTGTCGCCCCGACCTTCGCCAAAGCTCACATTTGTCGGGCTGAAACTGACATTGCTTCCTCGATCACTCATCCCGCCGGTTGCGTCGCTGGCAAGGCTAGAGTTCTCCACCGTCGACCCAGACGAGGTTCCGCCTTGTGTCCGGATGTCTAACTTGGCGAAGATGGCCTTCAAGTCTCTCACATTGGCCAGGGATTCCGTGCCGGACACCTTGTCATTCTCATGCCTTTCGCTCACAACTTTGCGAAGTTCTTTCAGCATCCTAAGATTTCCTGCATCGTTGGGGAGCCACCAATTTTCCACGGCTTCATTTTCTCCAACTTCGTCGCGTGTCAAATTCCATAGGACTGCCATGTTGAGGCGGAATGTTGGCGGGTAGATGTAGCCCAGTCGTTCCACAGTCGCGAACTTCTTGCGAGCCCACATAATATGAGTCGCGTCCTTCTTCAGGAATACCGAGGCGAGACCTAAACTCGCATGTGCCCCAAGAATGGCTCCATCCGGCGCTTCAGGCCACCGTTCTATCGTTTCGATGATGCGGCATTGCTCCAGACTTAGCTGTTCCAAGTCTGCCGGCAGTGGTTCTTTGAGAAGTTTCGCAGTTTGATACTTCTGCATTTGCTCGATACTATACCAGTCAATCCACATAAAGTTCAATGGCCACAGCGCGTCCTTGAACAGTCCACCTGGCGCATAGGGATTGACAATGTCATCGGAGGTCAACGGCCGAATCCGCTCAACCGGAAAATCTTGCACCCGGTAGTACTCGTCGTTGAACAACTCGATCTCACGCTTCATAGAATCCAATCTCTCGACGACCTTGGCCACCTCCATGCGGAACGTCTCCTCGGTGAATTTTCGTTCTTCGAATTTGGCAAACAAGAAGGCCAAATCCATACCGATCAGTCGATTAGCAGCCACGAAGTATGCCAGGGTATTTTCGATATCCAGGTCGCCTTCGGGGTCATTGTTGATTTGATTGAAATACCAAGTGGAATTCGCTTCGAACCACTGTCGGTCGAGTCGGGTTTGTTTGCCCGCCATCAGACCGACAGTTACATCGAGTCGAGCATACCAGCTGAAGATACGTCTTCCAAGATCGGTTTCCATCATCGACTCGCAAGTGTACAGTTCCATGATCATGGTACAAGCAGCGCGGTGGTGTCCCACTAGGTTCACCCAGTCTCCAATGTATTCTTCGAAGGTTGCCAACTGCAAAACCGTGAGAAGTGTAGCTTCCGTAATCTTAACATTCCTTTCCAAGGCCTTCCTGAGCATGGATAGCGATTTGCTGTGGTATCCGAGGAAGTGCGCTAGCTTGGGATCAGGCTGCTGCAGTTCATAGTGATAAGCAGCAAACCCAACGGCCGCATACAACAGCGGCTCATAAGTCAACGCGAGGTCAATGAACTCGCTGTGGACAAAGTCGGTCGGATCCAGCTTGAAGAAATAGTGGTAATATGTCATATACTCCTGCTGAAACTGTAGGTACTTTTGCAAATCGGGCCTGAGTGTTCTTATTTTCGCGTGTCGCGCTTGCATCTCGGCCGAGTTGGCGACCGTCCGCAGGGACGACGCTGGTGTTTCATCCCTTGATCGGGTGTCCGAGACGTCCGTGGACAAGGGGCTTGTATGTTCCTTGCTCGTCGGGGGTGTTTCGGAAACCTCTTTGGACTTGCTCGAGTGACTCACTGATTGAGCGCTGTCGGTCCTCAGGCGGCCAAGGGCTGGTCGTTGTGTAGGTGATTTCAAGGCCTCGTTGTCGTCCTCATCCTCGTCCTTGATAGTCGCGAGCCCCGACATGGTGTCGTGCTTACTCTCCTGCTTTGTCACCGTGTCCTTTGGACTCCGGCTGTCGCTGTGCTTGGATCGTTTCGAGGCAGATGGCGGCTGCGGGAATTCGCACTCACGATTCCCTTTCTTGCATCCTAGACATCAATCAGTAGGTTTTCTTGCATATGATCTTGATCCGCTAGCGTACTGTCACATATAGGTCGTGTTTCATCACACTAGAGCCATCGTCAGCAGGAAGAAATAAGCCGACAAGAGGCCAATGTATTACCTTGACTCTTCTACTACGACAGGTGAAGCATCCACTGCGAGTCCGGCGGTGTTTGACATTTGAAGCTTCCATACCCGCTGATGGAAGGGGCACTCCTCGACCACCGAAGATGCTTGCCTCTCGATCGTACAGTTGCTCGGCATTGTTGGGATTATACCAGAATGCGCTGCCATCAAAATGCGTAGTCGGAGGCCCCGTGAGCCTGGGATATGCTGTAGGAAAGTTGCCATTGTAGACAGGGAAGCCGGGATCCATTATGCTCGACAGCGGCATATTCATGCCATGGTCAAAGGGGCCGCTCATCCCGTGATGACTGAGTCGCACAAGTTATACCTAAAACGCTCCCGTGGCACAAGACGAAAAGCAAGCACGATAGATTCGAGGTCGCACTGTCCAATGGGATGGTTTTTGAGCGTGATTGGTGACCAGATGACTGCGTGCCAGGCCAGTACTGCCGGGTATTGGAAGGCGTCCCGCCAGCGCACTGAGGACTCTGTGATACTCACCGAGAGCCCGCAGTGGCTGACAGTCTCGTGGAACAAGAGTTGCGGCTGCGTAGACACGGCTTCCGCCGATATGTACCTTGTGAGAGAGAACAATCTGCGATCTGCTTGTCAGAGAGCTGATAAGATCAGACTGATGGCAAGTGCTCGGGGCGTGTCGCATGAACGTCGGACAAAACTCTGGTGACGATCGTGAAGTGATATGATGGCAGATAAATGCGAATCTTCCGTGCTGATGAAGAACGACGATGCTTGGTTCTGGTCGTGGAAGCAAGGCTTTACAGCTTGATAGGGCTGCGATCCAAGATGCCAGAGACCCCTCGGCCAAATGCGCCGCCCGGGCAAGGCTGAATCAACTCCCACAGCCAAGTCGTCAGTGAACCTGATGGTTTCCTGAACCGCGATTGTCGTCCGCGTAAAAGGCGCGAGCTGGTGGGGACAACAGCAGACGTCTCTCGAGGATGACATTCACTTGTCAAATCTAGCAAGTACCGTTCGAGGGCTTATCAAGAAGGCGACCGAATCCGCCAAAACACATTGTCGACTGACGGAATAATCTGGGATTCGTAGGCGCCGGTTCATCGAAGGTGGACGGACGTCTGCGGAAGGGCGTGGATGAGTACCTTCTACAATGCGACACAAACCGCAAATTGTACCACAGAGTCTGCCGGCTCTGGGACAAATGTGGAAGATGTCAAAGAAACAAAAGTCGAAAGTTGGAGGGGGTGTTCCCTCTTAGGCCTCGTTAGTACCGATGCCAAAACCCAGTGGAATGCACAACGCTATCCCGTGGCGGCCGTGCGTGGGCACGACCAGGGTGCTCTAACCCCCCGGCCAGCTTTTTAGTCGCAGTGTCGTCAGACCTGGATGAAGACTCGACCTGGGGGCCCATTGGAGGTCGATCCCACCTGTCGATCGAGCACCGGCAGAGAAGGACACCACCTGGAGCTCCGACAGTAGCCTAAGAGCCTAGCAGCCGGCCGAGTCCTCGCCCAGATGATTTTCGTTGCATCTGCTAGAGATTTTCGAGTATTGTGGCATCCTCTTTACGGAACCAGAGCCGCACGGCTGTAATCGCTCCAGATATCCTGCACTAGACGTTGCACAATGGGGTGTTGAGTGGCAGCCCATGCGGCAAGCTAAGCCTACAGTTGTAAGATCTGACTGTCGTTCTCCAGAATAATGCTTTCATCGATCTGGATGGACTCTTCACTCATGACGCCTGGCAGAGCGGATCTTTGTCAACCCTGATACTCTTGAACATATCTATCGCGCATTGATATTGGCTTGCTTGCTGGCCTGGTCTGGAATCCTTTCACAGTGCAGGAGATAAACAGCCTAAGATGGGATGCCTGCTCTCGCCCACAGGGGGTTGCAATATTTTTTTAGACATCTCGGTCCGGACCTGAATCACGGTGCAGTGGAAATTGGCTCGCACAGGAGCTCCAGTGCCCACACCAACGCCGGAAACATCGATGTCTTTTTGGGATGCAGAAGCCGCTGGTATACCGGTTAAGGCGACTCTGGTGACCTCCCTGTCAACTGCGGTGGGCCTGCAACCATTACCCTGGAAGAACAGTGTCTCTGCCACACCTTAGAATGCTGGTGTTGTGCCAGAGTCTTCACGTTTTCCACAACTCGTCGCAAATTGTTCAGACGGCCGAAGTGCAATGTGTTGCGGGCTGGCCAACAATGGTATCTGCTAACCAGGGGAACGGCGCTTGACTTTCAGCGCATAATGGCGTAGACTTGCACCGCCAGAGGAGGTAGCAATATCGGGCCTTTGCATAAGTGGTCCAACGGGTGCCTCCGGACAGGCATTGTTGAGGGTACACTCACACAAGATGACCCCAGAAAAGTTGTCCTTTCTGAAGGGCCTTCGAGTCCTCAGTCCTAGTCTTAGTACATGGTTGCAGCCAAAGCCAAAGCCACGTTTCTCGGACCGCATGGTTTGGCTGTTGGCCCAAGGCACACCCCGAACCGCTCTGCATAAGTGGCGCCAAATTGGAGGGCCGTCTTCGACACTTGAGTACGGATCATGTTCTCTACAAAGCATAGCAGTGTATGTGGTTGTTTGTGATGAAGTTGAACCCTGAAAGAGGACCAACTAAGCCACTTGACCGATTGGTTTGTGGCATCTGTGGCATCTGTGGTTGTTGACCGCAAGTAATGAAAGGCGATCGAGATGCACACTTGTTGTCATGAAGGCAGACTGTGCAGCAAAGATAGCCAAATGCATTCACTTCCTGCACAAGGTTATCCAGCCAGGTGGAAACTCAAAAAGGTCGTAAAAACCCCAACGAGTCAGGACGGTCAAGCCTCAGATGAACTATTGTATCAAAGGTTGACATTTTAGTGCACATAGGCGTCAGCACGTTCAGACAGGATGCCTTTCTTGCCCAATGACAGCGGCAGTGGTTGGACGAGTGTGAGCCCGTTCTCGGACAAGTGTTGGCGGATGATTTCAGTCTGCAGTCTTCAGTCTTCAGTCTTCAGTCTCCATTCGTGAACCCTTGTAAGGCCTTGCAGACCCCATTATTGCTGCCCAGTGCCCGGGACATCCCCTCTTCACTTTGTCGAAACGGGCACCTCCACTGCAGAGTCTTGGACATAGGCCTCAAGCGGGTGGTGCGGGAGGAGGTTGGTACCATGGTTACTTTGTTGAACCAATACCCATCATATCCTGAACGGCACCCAGCCATGGGACCCGAAACAAAGTCTGCAGCTTGCTAGAGGGCGTGGCTCGCAGTAGTCTTGTATTGAACCTTGCAGTCTTCTCTAGGTTGACAATTTGGATTGCAGCAACCCTCGCCAGGGTCTGGAAAACACGACGCTCGAGATGGGAGAACTCCACCGTCCACTGCCACCGCCCGGAGTGCGGCCATTTGGGGAACGTGGATTGAGGGCGCTCGGAGGCTAAGGAGGCTCCTTAGGCTTCCCTAACCCATAAAATGCTTTGACAGGTTCGTGATGATCTTCAGACCGTGGGGACGTCTAGTGTCGGTTTGGAAATGAGCAGACAATCTAGCTCGCTGGACCGTTGAGTACGTATGGAGCGCGTGTCTAAAGATAGGTCTTCACGCCCCATAGTATGGCATGAAGTGGCAGGGCAGGACTGAGGAGCGCAGGTCAACGAGGCTTTTTCGTTTCGTCAAAGTGTGCCGGTCTGCTCTTGCAAGTACGGCAGAAGGCTTGAAGAAGAACGAGATGAAAGGGATGGATCGTTGATGGGTTGGAGACTGAAGACATTGCGGATAGCATGGTTGCTACGACGGATGTTCATCTGCAGGCAGCATGCAGTCAGTTAGGTACGTAGTGGGAGGGCGCAGGCAGCACCGACGAGGGGTCGGTCAATCAGAAGCCTCTTACTACTACTACGTACCACCACCAAAGCCTGAGCAGTGAGCATGCACTCGCTGCAATTAATTGATCAATCAACGCCAACAACATCATCAGCATCAGCATCAGCATCATCATCCTTTCATCCATCTGCCACATGCAGTGCGGCCTGAATTTCCTGCTGTTCAGTGGCTATTGTCTCCTTACAATCCTCCGGCTACCTACTACGTGCCTAACACAGTGGTCTCCTCTTCTCGTATCGCACAGAGCCACCACGGTTGCACTTTCCAACCACCATCGCAAATCAGCTCGTGTCCCACAATCGCGGTAAGGCTCGAATCGATCCTCGCTCGTTAAGCTGGCTCAAAGCGATGCAAATGTAACACGGCAAGCATCCATCTGCGTGCATTCACCCCTGCATTTCTAGCAGAGTTCAGGGGGAGGCAAGGCCCGCGCTGCTGTCACAATATTGGTTTCTGTGGTCGATCTGTTCTATCAGCAACGTGCTACGCTTCGTTCACTCCGACCGAGGGCTGTCACAGTGCCACTTTGAAAGAGCTGCGGGTCTTCATTCTGGCTCGGACGAACAGTCGCCCATGGCTACATGGTCAGCAAACGACTTGCCAATGATAGCGTAGCCAGTGGCTGCGTTTCTACGAGGATGGGAAGTACCAAGTCCTAGTATCTAGGACCTGGCGGCCTTGTGCATGGCGGCAATACTGACGGGGGTTGACGTAGGTATACATGACACAAGTTCTGATGCATTGGGCTTCCGTTGCGTCTCTGCTAGATGTCGATCGAAGAAAAAGCGGTGATGCAATACGTACCAGGTACGCAGAATGAAAAGGACTGATCCGAGTGCATGTCAGGGGTTATCTCCAAGCAGGGGATTCCCTACCTCCACAAACGTCTAGGATGCCACGACCTGAGCACCATGAAGCTCATACATACAACCCAATTGCAAGATAATCGCCTCAATCAATCCCGTTTCCAAGCACTAGCACTGGGGTATGTAAAGACACAAACAAATTCGTTGCCTGATCCGGGGCATCCCAGATCCGTCCATAGCTTCCATTCCTAGGTCGGACGAAAGACAACCAGCATCCGCCCGGCCGAATAGTCCTCTCCCTGGTGCACGCCTCAATCAATTATGCACCTCATTAAAAACAGAGCCATGGCTACCCAACCAGCGCCAAATCGATAGCCTGTAAAGCCTTTCCGGAATATGCGGGAAGGGAATTCGTAAAGTGTCATGAGCGTCAGGAGGGACGCCCAAGAGAGGGTGTTGCTGAACCCAGAAGACTGACCCGTGCAGTATCAATCATGCCGTGGTTGGCGGTGGAGTACTAGTATTGACACTTGAAGCATTGGATTTCTCCGGCACACCTTGGCCGCGACACATGGGACAGCTATTCCGGCCGGTTGTCAGCCACTAGAGAAAAGTCAGTATTGTTCGGCGGGATACCAAGAAGCACACAAACCTCGTCAATGCAATCGCGGTGATACAAATGCTGGCACTTGTCCAGGCGCCGTACTTCCTCCAGTTCAGCATAGTCTGACAAGCAGATAAGGCATCGCTCTCCCGCACTGACCTCAATCGTGGAGGTGTCTTCATCGGAGAGTGCCTCTCCAAGGTAGCCGGTGCCCTGGATCTTCAAGCGGAAGAGCCCACCAGCGGACGTCACATCCTCCTGTGTGGCCACCGGAGGCTTGACTGGTCCAAGTAGTGTGGACAACATCTGCATGTCCTCGTATGAGGGATTGTCGGTAAACAAGCTGGGCATTGTAAAGGCGGGATGATCTGGTGAGACGTTTGTGCCGACAACATAGATCAACCAGCTGCGTCCCACTACTGCCGGAGGATGATCGGGCTCCACGACGCCATTCCGCCGTGCTGCACCTGATCCGAGTTCTGGACGACGAGCAAATTCCGAGTCGCTTCGCCTCCTCTGCCGAGCGGCGCTGAAGGAAGGTTCAGGTGGTGTAGAAGTCTCCAGATCTTGTTGAGAACGGTCCTCCACAAGGTCTGGGAGATTTGGATTCTGCACGGCTGATGCCGATGATGGTCGCCGTATCGGAGTCGCTTGGCCGCTCCTAATGTCGGCGGGGGTGGATGGAGGAGGATGAGGCCCTGGTGGACTTTCCGAAAGCAGATGGGACGCGCCGCCCGCCTCGGGGGTGGCGGGTATATTCGGATCCAAGTTGTTGGACGATCGACTTCCCTGTGTTCTCGTGCGTTGATGCCTCTGGGTCTCGTATTGTGCGGGAAAGCTGAAGTTAGTCATGGAGTGTCTTCGAGGGCTAGACCGTGCTCTTCCGTCAGACCGGCGAAACAATGCCCCGGAGCTGCCATTGCGCATAACATTTGCCGGCGGCAAGAAGGGTAGGCTCAAGAGGGTGTCAAGACTTGGACCCAATGCACCGCTTTCTCCGCCAGGACTGTCATGGCCGTGGGGCAGAGATCGGACCCCGACCAAGACCAATGTCACTGACCGGTCACTCTCACCGGGTCCTGCAATAGAGTCCAAATCCATCTGATCCGCATCTCTGGATTGTGCCTGGGATGCGATAGGGGAGCCATTCTCGTCGTTGGGAAACTGGAATACTCTCATGAAATTGACTGGTGGAAGGTCACCATCGGCTGCATTCATATCGATGTTTTCTCCAGCCTGAGCAGTCGCCGCATCTTGTAGCGTTTGAACGAAATTCTGGATACTGCCATCGAAGGTGTCACCACCTTGATGACGTGCCCCAGAACGGCCCGGCGTGGTATGACCGGAAAGCTGGGCTGCAATGGCCGCTGCCGCAAGTTGCAAGACCTGGGATAGCGGCGGGTGTTCGCCACGTCGGATAAGACGGGTCGAACGTGAGCGCAGACCAGGCTGAAAACGTCGGATAGTGCTCATGCCTGAAGTAGCCCGTGTCCCAGATAGGAGTGTTCGAGCTTCTGGTTCGACTGCATCCAATTCATGTGGAGCTTCATCATGGTCATGCTGGCGGTCGACGGACCCGAGTGAGGGAAGTGAATGATCGGAATAATTGGCAAGAGCATCTCTCGCTGACTCTGTAGGAGTCTCGTGAGCCGCTCGCTCTATGTCGAATTGCTCTGTGGATTGTCCAAATAGACTAGAAATCCTGGAGGAGATAGAAGCCGAGCTGCGGATCCGACTAAATCGGTTTCTTTGACGAATCGAGCTCATGATAGGAGGTGACAAATGTCGAATACCGTCGGAAGATTCACCCCGTGAGGTAGTGGAGTCGAAAGATCCCTGGGTACCTTGTGGGACGGGGAAGGGTCCTCGGATTGCGCGCCGTCTGAGATTGGAACGATATTCGCCTCGTCTTCTGATAGAGCCAGTGAGCGATATTCGACTGTTGGAATCTGAGTTTGGTGGCCTCTCGTAGATAGATGGGCGTGAGCCTTCCAAATTCTCATTTCGTGGCGCACGACCTTCCTGCGATGACTCGAACCCACTGTTTAATATGCCTCGAGCAACGGATTCAGGCAGCAGTCGCGATCCGAGTCGTGACATTGCTGTTCTTCTTCGAAAAGCAGGCTGGGGCGTGGGTGGCGTCAGGCTTGTGTCCAACATCTCAACATCTCCTTGATCGACCAGAGGCCTATGTTCTTGCTCGTAGCCAACATCATCAGCAGAGATCGCCGGATGTCCCGCATTCGGTCGCGAATTTATTGACTCTGCAGATCTATGTCGTCGGAAGTTATCATAAAGAGAGCTTGCTCTTTGCCCAGCCATCCTCAACGACTGAGTATTTCTTCTCCCTAGCCGCGAACTCCTCCCGTCGTCAGCAATATCGCTGCGTTGTCTCTGTGTGCCGGTCCGTGTACGTCCCAGTTCTTCCAGCTGTCCGTCATCGCCCGGCGCATGGGGTACAGAAGGTGTGTTTCCCATCTCATCGGAGGTTCGCTGGCTGGTCAATAGGCAGGCTGATACGGTGTCATGATCGAGAAGATTCGGGCAGAATAGCTTCGTAGTCGACCCGCCAGGAAGGACCCGATGGCAATCGTATGGTGAGAGGAAGATGATTTCGAGGCTGAGGGTAAGGGTGAGGGATGGACAAGGTCGGCATGAACGGGCGAGGTGTTTTGATGTCAGAAAGTAGGCCGAACCATCGAGGCGGTTCGAAGATGAAGGCGGGTGCCAGCACGCGTGTAGACTTCACTGCAATATGTAGGCAGTAGAATGCTATTGACGAAGCAATTCAGAGTGAATCATAAGAAGTACGGCCGTCACCTGAAGTTGAAGAGTTATGGTGAAGTTGCAGTCGGTTAGGTAAGAGGAAGGGTCCTGTAGTAGAGTATGTGCTGTTCTGTTTCTGTTGGAGGTGAAAGGCTGAAATGACAAAGCGGCCCCCGGACCCCAAGATGCTACTTGCAAGCACGGACACAAGCCTGCCAACAATTTATATATTACTACTACTAGTACCTAAAGGTAATATTGCAGCGACGGCCGCCTGATTGCTCAAATGCCTCCTAAGCCCATGGACATTGCTGCCGAAACAAGCCAGCAACAACCAATAGTCACGCCCTTCTTCCATAACCATTGATTGTTCCATCGGTTCCACCCTCGCCGCCATCACAGTCTACTCTGCGTGTATACCGTGCCAAAGTGGTGCAGCTTCGATGATATCACCTTGGCTTTTGCTGAGATTTCCCCTACCCGAGCGTCCTGCGCATGCGACCAACGATTCCACCGCTCGACCTGCCCATGCTCAGCGGAGGAAAAGGGCATTAGTTGCCATCGATGCCTACAATATTCTCTTTGGCTCTCGGTACCCAGCGTACTGCTGGCCTCGACGCACAACTGCAATCCGCCAGGAAAAAGCGAAAAAGGTTGCAAGCAACACAAGATGGAATGCAAGAGCAGGGACACGACGCATCACAGAACCAAGTCAAGAGCAACATTGAACTTGAATACACTGCTGTCGTATCTCCTCTGGAGAGGTTACAACGACGTGTTGCTGGCCAGCCGCTGGATCAGCCTCCTCCGCCGTTGCCGTTTCCTCACGCTGGAAGAGCTTCGACGATAAGTTGGACGGTTGACGAACTGCCTGGTACCGACGATTCGGCTACCAGTGGTTCTGCAAGCGTTGACAATGTTTCAAGGAGTTTGCACCTCCAACATCTTGCTGCACTGACGGCCATAGTGCATCGAAGTCTGCTAACAGAAGAATTCACCAGGGCATCAAGAGCCCTTGGCTTGATGTTCCGGGAAGACAGTGTCAGGCGCAACGCCGCCACCCGCAATCACGGCTATACGGGCATTGCTGCAGAGGTCTTGTTACGGCAAGGTTGTTCAAGAGAAGCGGCGGGTGATATTCCACAAGCAACGCTGCCATTCACTCGCGAAGGGTTCGAAAATGCTAAACGATTTTATGAGAGGCTTATCATCAAGCATCCCTATCATAAATCTTGGCCAACGTCCGTTAATGCTGTGGATTTCTACCTCGCGATGTTCAATCTATGGATCTACGTTACCCACGCAGAGAACAATGCCGCTCCCTCAGACCTGCGTCAAGAAGACGAGAATCTCGACGCATCCGCGCGTTCCCCGCGCATTGATAGAACGTATTCCCATGCTCGAGCCAAGGTGAGGGAACTTGAACAAGCTAATGAGATCGCAATCAGAATGGATACTTGCATGGCGACCCTGCCATACATGGACGAGCCTGAACTGATTCGACTCCGGGCCATGGTTGCACTGTGGACTGCAGATCTACATGACTATATAAGTGATGACCAACGAGACCCGGAGCAGCAAGTTTTCTCAGATCTCGCGGGCGAACCTGACGATGCCACCTCCAGGCGCGAACACGCCCGCGAGGCTGACCTTGCACGTGACCTTGCACGTGAGTTGCTGGCGCGATTGGAAGGTGACCCGAGAAGCGATGAATGATGTGCACTGGCAGTGGATGCGACGACCTTCTCCTGAGATGACTCTCGAAAGCCTAGCTGGTAGGATAATGGGCTGCTTGGTCGTGTTGAAACGGAGACAGCAGCACGTGTGCTAGAGGCCTCATGTTGTTCGAGATCAAGTAGCTGTGACTGGCACGACAGGGGAAGTCTCGCAGCCAAATCCAGACGTCGCATGGCCGGATTCCCATCGCCTATTGGCCTACTTCGCATCTGGAATGCTCCGCCGTCTCAACCATGGTTGCTCGAACGCCATTTTATCACTCAGCGCAGTGACTTCCGAGCTGCATAGGCGCACGATGCTGCTCTTGCTTGCTCATTGATCCTCTGTCTCTCACCTTCGAGCTTGTCGATCTCGCCACTCAATCTGGCATATGGCTGAAGCCATGGCCTTGATTCGTTGAAACCCCATCCAAGTATGGTGTTCCTCGAGACGCGTCTATTTTTGGTAGACTATTCTTAAAGTGAGGAAAGAATGAACCAGTCCACCGCAAAACTCCCTTTTCTTTCTCGTCCCCAGCATGCTCTGTGCTCGACGCGCAACGATGGCCAGCTCGAGTTTCGCAGAATGGCAACGTCGCAGTGACTTTCAACTCGGGGTCGGGCTACTAGGAATGGCTTCCTTTGTCCTCGTGGCTGTCTTCTGCGCCGTTTTATACAGAGTTAGCGGGTCATCCAGCATCAAGAAAATCACTGCACATCCCTACGTGCTGTTTGCATATGCGTGCATGCTCAAACCTCATGGAAGAAGAAGTGACGGGGGCCAACAGTCAGCTTTAGAAAACTTCTACTCCACTCAGGTAGGTCTACAAATTTCTTTCTTTCGTCGACTCATTCGTTCCAGGCAAGTGTATATGATGCCACGAGAAAACGTCTCCTCCAGGGCAGAGAAGATATGTTGGCGATTATTGCCGCAAAGCTACAGTCGAGGGCTCTCTCCAACAGAGGCCGCAAGCCGGTCTGGTACGATATAGGCGGCGGGACTGGTCACAACATCGAGGTCATGGACAGGTTGGTGGGCATTGAGACGTTCTTTGAGCACGTTTTCCTCGTCGATTTGTCCACCTCCTTGTGCGAAGTCGCGAACGAACGGATCCGCGTGCATGGCTGGAAGAATGTCACTGTGCTGTGTCAGGATGCCCGGGAAATCGCATGTACTCCCTCGTCGGCCGATTTGATCACCATGAGCTACAGTTTGTCAATGATTCCCGACTTCTATAGCGTGGTCGACATGGTTTCAAGCTTCCTGTCTCCGAGTGGCTTGATTGGAATTTGTGACTTCTACGTCCAAAGCATTGTCGACGTCTCTTCAAGAAATTACGTGGGTGGAACTTTCAATCGCCATGTCAACTGGTTTGGGCGGATGTTCTGGCGGACATGGTTCGATGCTGATCGAGTCAATCTTGACGGCGGTCGGCGAGACTACATCGAGTATCGCTTTGGCACCATTCTCTCGGCCAGCGAGCGGAATTATCTTCTGGGCGGGTAAGTCATGGTCATTCTCAAGAAGTCAAGTTATATGCACACTCTTTCGGTCCACCCAGCAATCACTCAGCCCACATCAAGAGCCTTTACCATTGCACAACCTACCTGCAGCGGCAAAAGCTAGGGAGGTGTTCCTATTGTTCATCATGTTCTAATTTTATCCATTACAGTATTCCGTATTACATCTTCGTCGGGTGCAGACGCGACGCCGATATCTTTGCAGAGCAAGGCGAGGATGTTCTTGCGAAACTTGATGCTGCTCTTACCGAGTCTCCCTACTTGTCGCCCACCAGATTCCAGGAGCAACGGGCGCAGGATGCTCAGCATAATGTTCCTCGGTCGAAATCATACGAGTCAGCTATTGTCAACCTCAGTTCCGACCTACCTCTTCCTGCGGCCTTCTACCAACAACATCACTGGAGAATACACTACAATGATCTTCTTAGCAAGCATCAACAGTTCGGTGACGAATACATTTATGCCTTCAACTGGGAGGATCCCAAAGTCGACCGCCAAATTCTAAACATCAATAAAGACGACGTCATTCTCACCATCACCAGTGCTGGAGACAACATCCTCGACTACCTCCTCGAAAAGCCCCGACGAATCCATGCAGTTGACCTCAATCCCAACCAGAATCATCTCCTTGAGCTGAAGGTGGCGGCATTCACAGCATTGCCATATAGCGATGTCTGGCAAATGTTTGGCGAAGGGCAGCATCCTGACTTTCGCAACCTCCTTCTTTCTAAGTTGAGTCCTCACATGTCCAGTCAAGCATTTCAGTACTGGCTCCACAGTGCTCACGTCTTCGGCTCACCGGGCGGACTTTACCAAAGCGGTGGTTCGAGGCACGCAATCAGACTCATTCGCCGACTCTTCAAGGCGTTTGGTCTGATGGCCAAGGTACATACAATGTGTCGAGTGGAAACCCTGAATGAGCAGAAAGAACTCTGGCCGAGTATCAGGAAGATCCTGCTGAGCTGGCCCCTTCATCGTGCAGTGGTGTCAACAGAATGGTGGGCATGGAAGGCCGCCGGTGTTCCTCCTGCACAACATGCACTCATCCTGGAGGACTATTCCCAGCGGACGGAACTTCCCAAGTCGAGATGCGGCGAAGCCATCTGGCAGTACGTCGTTGACACTTTGGATCCGGTGGTCGAGACAACACAGATCAGTCGGGACAATTACTTCTACTACCTCTGCCTCCAAGGAAGATATTCGAGGAAGTAAGTTGGCTCCTCTACCCTCTGTTGACTTGTCTATCGACGGAGACGTGCTTCAACTTGCTAACCACGGCAACCAGATGTCACCCGCGGTATCTCGGAGTCAAAGCCCATGCGACTCTGTCAAAGCCTGACACGTTTGACGGGTTACGCATCCACACCGACGAGATTATGGAAGTAATCGCACGGATCAGCCCGTCAACGTTGACCATTGCCATTGTTAGTGTTCTTGACACCCATGCGCCGTGTGACTCATTCGGGACGGACAAGCTAATGTTTGACACACACACACATAGCTCATGGACTCCATGGACTGGTTTAACCCCGGCGAGACGGTGGCGCATGAGCAGATCGTCGCCCTGAACAAAGTACTCAAAGTCGGCGGGCGCGTCCTCTTCCGATCGGCAGCGCTGCGTCCTTGGTACACGCAGATTTTCGAGAAGAATGGGTTCGAGGCCAAATGCGTCGGCAGAAGAGATTCTGGGAAGTGTATTGATCGGTACGTTGCATGAGACAGCAAACACTACATCAATTGCCCGGAGAGCGAGACCAAGTGCCCACTGACCTTTTTTGTCCTCTAGTGTGAACATGTATGCTTCAACCTGGATCTGCACGAAGAGATTCGATCTTTTGATGAGTCCAGCAGGTGGATTGAAGGTCGGCACTGTCGGGGCTCTTGAGGAGCTGCAGATCTGATTGTGGGAGTGTTGGGCAGATGCAGGAAGTGTAACTACCTCCATGCCCTGCTTCGTCCCTCGCCTGCGATCGAAGCAACTAAGCGCCATACTTGGACAAGACCTATATGATAAGAAACCGGTTAAATGATACACCGCCATGGATGGGACAGTCTTACTGGTAATATCATCGTCATTATATCAGGTTCAACTCCTTCCGCATTGTCCTCGCAAGGTGAAGAATCGTGTCAATATGAAGATGTAGAGAAGTAAAGAAAGAGACGAGAGAACATCCGTCTATGCTTGATTGCCGAGATATCCATACGTACTGCCTCAATGCCACAATCAGGTACACCCAACGTTGGACCACATTGCATTGCATGGCATTTCATTGATATAATAAATGTAAATGGTTCTTCTACTAGTATCTCACGCCCCTCCCTCCCGCTTCGCATACTCATCCTCCATCCTCTCCTCATATAATCTATCCCTCTCGGCCTGCCCTTCCGCATCAAGATCAGCGTCCTCTTTGTCGTCCGTGACATCTTCGATCCTCCTCCGTCCGTGTCCCGTGCTTTGCCCTTCATCGTCATCATCTTCTTCTAGTTCGGCAAACGCGGATCCCGACCCTGCTGCCCATCCCGTTCCGGACCCAGTTCTCGTTTCCAAGACATATACCCTCCCACCACCACCACTCTGGGTTGGAGGAATATGCGTCTCTTCGTGGATTGCAGGACGACCGGATTCTTCTTGGGTGCGGCGGATCGTGGTTCCGTCGCGGTCGTTGCCGGTTGCGGTCTGGGTCTCTGTGTATCGGTGCGTCGTGGCTGGTGGGTTGTTGGACGAAGATGAGGAATTGGAATTGAAATTGGAGGCAGACGAGCTGGACTGGGTGAAGCTTGAGGAGAAATATGATGATGAAGACGAGGCGGTGTTTTGACGATTTGACATTTTGTAGTTGTTCACTTTTCGGTCAAATTTTGTTAGATGAAAGTGCGACTGTGTCGGAGGGGTTTAGGTCGACTTGATGGTTAAGGTGTATGGTATGTATTTTGTGGCAGTATAGTGTTATCCAATAAATAGTTACGTAGGTAGGTACGTAGTACTAAAGCGTGGCCTGTTCATGCGCCGCCTCGTTCACGCTGCAGGGAAGAGAATGCGGGGGAAATAGAACTCGAAGATGGGGAATGTCTTTAGCAAACGCTGATGACGTAGATTCATTGCATTGCTGCACCAAGAGCACGGGCAGCGTCGTGTCTTACTAGGTACCTACTAACAAGGCTGCATTTACACAGTATGAGTTCTGAATGCGAGGATTTTCTCCACAGCCTCGTCAACCAGATCCATTCTCTGCAAATCTTGTCGCCATCGGTCAGGGATTGCATCAACGCCGTAGAATGCTCCAGCGAGTCCTCCATAGATTGCACCCACAGTGTCCGCATCGTCGCCCAAGTTGACTGCAAGTATGGCGCCGTCTTCGAAACCATCTGTCTTGAAGAAAGACCAGAGAGACGCCTCCAGACTGTCGACGACATAGCCCGTGCTACGAATATCTTCCGACGCTGTCGCCTCCCAATCGCCCAGTGTCCGGTACCTTTCGAGACGTTGCTTGAGGGCCGGTTCCAAAGGGTAATCGGAGATGTTGCCTGATGCATCGTTCATGGTCTCGCCCAGGCTGACGGCCAGTTCGGACTTGGTGGCCCCGTTGAGAGCTTGGTAGACCAGACTAGCGTAGATCATGCATGCATGCACACATCGCAGGTGAGGGTGGGTAGGCAATGAACTTTCTCGCGCGAGTTCGACAGCTTCTGGCTCGCTCCGGGCAACAAGTGCAGCTGGCAGCACTCTCATCAAGCTGCCGTTTCCGCAGAACTTCTCTTCCAAAAAGGCGTCCCTGATATTCTTCTGAATGGCACGAACCGCTTCCTGTGCCTCCATCGAGTCGGCTTGCAGTTGGTTGTATCTTGCTTCGAGCTCGCTCGACCATTGCTCCAGTGTGCTGGCTGTGGACACTCCGATGCCGAACGAAGTGCCGGTGGATGACATATACCCTTTCTTCCACCAGTCAATGTACCTTCGAACCTGGTCGACCAGGTTGGACCTCCCGTGGCAGTCGACCAAGGAGTGAGCGAGGCATAACGCCATTGATGTGTCGTCTGTGAAATAGCCCGGCCCGATGCCACAACTCTCATTCGGTAACATGGTAGTCACCTTGGGGAATTCACCACGCTTCTTGAATTCGACAGGCCCTCCTAATGCGTCGCAGACTGCGAGGCCGACGAAGGAGCCTCGGACTCGAGAGGAGAGGGACGGGTTTTCTGGCATCACGCCGGTGATCTTCAGTGTCGCACTGCAATTGATTCGATCGACACCGAAAGATGGTCAGGTTAATGCTCAGTGGTGCGTAGAGCCTCGTAAGGAGGAAATGAGCCAATCGGCACGCGTATTGTATCACAGACCGACAATCGATAAGCCGATAAGCAAAGCAACCCCGCGGCCCTTGATTGTTGCTGCGTCCAGCACAAACAACTCGAAGTCCACACATAATCAGGAGCTGGATGAGAACACAACTTACTAGTACCTACCTGTATCCATCAACACCAAGGCTTCCTGATTTGCGAAGCGCGATTTGGCGGGTTTCTATGCATGATCTATAGGGTCAAATTAGGTGGCGCAATGGAGGGTCTCTTCAGTGATTGCTCGTTTCATGGATTCATTTTCTTTTCTGTGAAAGCTAGGAAGCTATGTGATCATGCGCTTTTCCACTCTGCCAGCACGTGTTGTCCATCGGAGTTTTTCAATGAGTGTCCATCTTCACCTCATCCCGAGTAGTCGAGTGGTAGCATCGGTTTCTTTTGCACCATTGACAGGTATGTTTTGCAAGATAGAGAGTGTCGCAGGAAGCACCAATGGTAGGAAAGGCGTTTATTTCTGGGGCGCCAATGTTAGTATCGAGTCATCGGAGGAGGTCTCCCGGCTCTCCACGTACGCATGTGCATTTGCCGGCTGGGCAGGAGCCTGGTGAAAAAAGATCAGCTACCTTCTTCTCGGGCAAGTGAGGAAGAGGGCTCACAGTTAGGACCACAGCTACAACTGCAAGGACCTGGAACTTGAAGTCAGCCGCCGGAAGTGCCCATTGATATCTATATCGGCAGCGGCATACCCATCTTGTACTGGTCGAGAGTGCTTGTGTGCTGAATTAAGTGTTGTTTGTGCGAAGGCTTGACTGCGTGTGTTGCGAAATGCGGAGAGTAGTGCGATTTCTTGTTGCTGATTGTGAAAGGAGAAGAAACAGAACAGGAGAATGGAAGTGAGCACGTTTTTATCGACGGGGCCGGAGCGCAGCTGGATTGACCGCTGCAGTTAGTCCTAAGGATCCCTACAATAATGCCAGCCAGTGCGCGAGCTTGAAGGGGATAATCAGGTGCCCAGTCGGTGTTAGTCTGTTAGTCGCGAGTTGGCAGCGACTCAGGCCACAGACCCGACGGACCTGCGCACCTGCGCCCCTGCCATGCGCCCCTCCTCCTCCTCACTCCATCTAGCCATTCATACCTGCTTCTTCTCCCTACTACATACTACTAGTATTCGGTCTACTCGATCTGCGCAGCTCGTATGCTAGGTAGATACAGCTGCGTCGGTTTCAAAGGTCTCTTCCTACTTGGCTTGACCTTGTTTGCCCTGTCATCCATGCATTCCGGCAGTCACTCACTTGCAAAGGTCAAGAGACGCGAGTGTCAGTCCGCCATGTTCTGCATCCTGCGTTGTCTGAACCTCTCGGTAACCTATCCTGCCCGATGAACCCCCCTCTTCCACTGCACCTGCACGCTCTCCTCTTACGGGACCCTCTTCTATCAAGCCTGTCCTGGACACCTGAGACTGGAGCCAAGTATTTGCGTTCTTGAACACTCGTCTGTGGCCCAGGGCTGTGCCAGGGCCGCTCAAGGAATATGGCCACCGTTCGCGTCACTTGTTTGTGTGGAAATACCATCGAGACGTTGCGTTTGGTCTCCCAGCTCCCAGTTCCTGTGACTCCATGCTCTTGCAACACCTGCCGATATTCAAGCGGCGTGCTGTATTTCTCCTGCCTACCCCTTCCATCCCAACCAAAAACTGTTATTGAGTTGACCGGATATCGCTCTTCCACGAAAGTGACCAGGTATTTTTGTCCAACATGCGGATCACACATGTTTGTCAATGTCACCAAAGACGACTCTTGGTCTGTCTGCTCAGGGGTGATCGATCAGGTCGTGGGCCGTGAGCAAGTTTCTTGCCTTAGCCTGGAGAAGATCATGCAGCACGAGTTCGTGGGCGACACCAAAGACGGCGGACTTGCACTCTGTTTAGCTGATCTCCATGACCACTCGGTCCCTCTCTTCATACAGGCGTCTTGCGGAGCGTCCACTGAAAACGCCATCAATTTTCGTCGAGAATTATTCGAGCGGTCGGGTGCTCTGGGCGCATCGGCCACAGAGCAAAGAGGCGAGCTTGATGCAAGCTGCCACTGCGGAGGGGTGGCCTTCCGAATTACTCCCCCCAATGCTGCATCAGAGGCATGTTCCTCAAACTATCCTGACCTACTTGTCCCATATCATTCGTCAAGCTCGGAAAACCCAACAGATGCAAAGTGGTGGCTTCGGGCGGACAACTCGAAATATCTCGCCGGCACTTGTGCATGCAGGTCTTGCAGACTTGGATCTGGATTCCCAATTCAGACCTGGGCTTTCATCCCCAGGGCCAATATTCTGCAGGCTGATGGCAAACAACTAGATTACGAGATGGGATCGCTGAAGGAAATAGAGAGTTCTAAGAACTGCTTCCGCAGCTTCTGCGGCACGTGCGGTGCTACAGTCTTCTGGCACTGCCGGACGCGACCCGGGCTGGTGGATGTGAGTGTGGGCTTGTTGCGTGCGGAAGAGGGTTCGAGGGCAGAAAGATGGCTCCAATGGTGGACCGAAAGGGTCAGCTTCATGGAGGACGCGCTAGACCAAGCACTGGTTGGTGATCTACAAAGAGGGCTAAGTAGGATCAGGATGGAAGGCTGAGAGGAGCTTGGCTGCTGTGGCAGGTCTTGTGGGCGATTTAGCATTGGAGACGAAGCCGCCGGTATCTATATGAACTGCCTCGATCAGTCTTGAGGCAGATACCAGCATCGGAGGCATCGCGTTTGGGTAAGAACCAAGCTGGAAGAGAAGGATGAATGGCCATAATGATATAGCGTGATCGGGATAGCTTCACCCGAGCAGAAGCTGACGGGCTCTGAGAGTAATTACTTCCCCTCCGGATGGATTTGACATCAACTATTAGCACCACTTCTTCTATACTATTGCTGCGTTCAGAAGGATCTCACATTCATGCGTTGAAGAACAGATTTGCTAGGATCTGGCTCAACGAGTGATCGGCTATCTTTCCCGATACGGACTAGTCCTGCGCTGCGCGGGTCAATTTTTTGATTCCGTCTTCAAGTTCGACTGGAACTGCTCATCGACATTCTACTGCAATTCAGTTCCAGGTTCAGTCCCACGCGGCGTACTCTTCTTTTGAAGATATCACGCTTAGTATTGCTTGCCTGGACTGATGGATTCGTATCGGCCGGGCGGCGACAGCCGTCGCACGCACAATGAATTCGACTCCTATCGCCCTGTCCATCGCGACGATAATGCCTCTTCGCCGTGGCCGGGAAACAATTCAAGCAACGGAATGTATCACTTCCAGGGCAATCGCGATCACGATACCCGGAATGATAGCGCCGACCGACGGCGCCCGAGAAACTTCAATGCGCGACATGAGGCAACGCGCAGAGATCGGTTCCGCAGACCTCCCCCACCCAGGACCGCAGCCGAGCGACCACTATTTCGTCTGAGGCATGAAGAAGTCGAGAATGCTTCGTTTTTAGATCCCCACGCAGACTCTAAATTCCGCAACCTCGAGGAGTTGACTGACAGTGATGAGGAGGCGATGGCTCTGTCCGATGATGAGGAGCCGGAGAGAGATACAAAGCGTGCTCGAGTAATTGAGCCTGACACTGCGGCAGTCGCGACCGTGCCTAAATGGTCAAATCCAGATCCTTACACGTCCCTGCCTCCGCTCACGGCAGGAGAGTCGACTGCGAAGCACACCGACGTGCTAAAACTTATTCGGAAGGCGCGTATTGACTCCTCTCGCAGCCAGACTGCCTCTAGCGCCGATGACTTCATTTCCTTTAGTAGGGAGGGATCAGATGCTGAAGACGCTGCACCACCAGCAGCCTCATCTACTCCTCCACAGTTGGACGGAGCCATGGGTGTGCAATCGTCGAGAGAGGAGGGTTCGGCCACTGAAGGCAAGGTTCTTGGAAAACGAAAGAGGGGACAGACCATTGGCAGTCAACCGCCTAGACAATCCTCACACAACAAAATTTATGGAGACTCGAGGGTGCAAAAGCGGTGGGCAGTGGTTGAAGGCATAGCTTTGGCACCCTGGTTGACCGAGTCTTATGGTACTGATATTCCTGGCATCGCGTAAGTTTCTCCAGTTCCTTGAATTCGATTTGTGAGCTGACTATTCCAGCTTACACAAGGAGATCATCGACTTCTATGATTGGGTTAAGCCGAAGGACTTTGAGCAGCAAGTTCGCGCCAGTGTCTTCCGGCGCCTCGGTGAGAGTTTCGCCAAATGCATGAAAGGCGAACTCAAGGCTTTTGGATCTTATGCCGCTGGGCTTTATCTACCGACAGCCGACATGGACCTTGTCTACCTCACAAGTAACTACAGACCTGGACGATTGCCAACACGTGAAGATGGCCGAAGAGTTTTGCCGCATTTTTCCAGACACCTTCGGATGAACCAGATTGCAAAGCCCAATTCAATTGTCGTTATTAGCGGCGCAAAGGTGCCCATTATCAAGTTCGTTGATAGAGTCAGTGGTCTCAAGGTGGATCTGTCCTTCGACAACGATTCTGGCATTGTTGCTATCGACACATTTCAGAAGTGGAAGAAAGAATATCCTGCGATGCCAGTTATTGTGGCCATTATCAAGCAGTTTCTCATGATTCGAGGACTGAATGATGTGGCTACGGGCGGCTTGGGCGGGTTTTCGACAATATGTCTCGTGACAAGCCTCCTTCAGCATATGCCGCCCATAAAACAACGAATGAACCTCGGCGAAGTCCTGTTAGAATTCTTTAATCTATATGGCAATGTCTTCGACAAAGACTCAGTGATCATCCGACTGGAACCGCCTGGATATGTCGACAAGGTATTTCGCTTCCTCATTCATTTGAATGCACTAACATGCCTACGCAGAGGACTTATATGCCTACCGCCTTCAGAGATAAAGATGGTCGATTGACTATTGTTGATCCGAATCGCCCGGACAACAATATTTCAGGCGGCACTCGGTTGATCGACGATATCATCAATTGCTTTTCCCTAGCTCATCAGACTCTCTTAAGCCGACTCGAATCCTATGGAGACCAAAGTAGCCAGGGACGGGCCCAAAGCTTGTTGGAATGTCTCATCGGCGGCAATTTCACCATGTATGAGACCCAGAGACAGATAATGTTCAACCTCTCTCCGGCTGGTTCACTCATACCGCCCTCTGATGGTTCTAATCTGCCCCCACGCCCCATCGCCACCGTCAAAGGTGAGCCTACGACAGTCGCGGGTCCCTCCAAGAAGCAAAAGACCAAGCCATCCGTTGCTACAAAGGAGAAGACCGATACGAAGGTACGTTGACATTGGCTGCTGCAATATCGCCACAGCTTGACAACTTGTAGATGAAGAATAGTGACTCCAGTACCTCTGAAGAGAACTCAGCACCGCGAACCAAGAAGGCCAACAAGAGTGAAAAACGAGCAAATCGTCTGAAGCGATTGAGACCTGACCTGGCGCCGTTGATCCGCCGAACCATCACCAAACCCGAAGCAGTCAGACTAGGAGGTTATACCTCTCAGGACGCCATGGAACGGGACCTCCAAGCAAGGGAAGCTGCCATGCAGAAGGCGAAGGCGAAATGATGGTTATTGTATGAGAAATGGTCACGAATCAAACGAACAAACACCGTGCGGGCTAGCTATGACTATTGAGCGACTGCTCCTTCCAGAGCCAACCGGACCTCTTCGTCTGCTTACTTCACATGAGATTATGAACAGGCAAACAAAATTCAGAGCTCCCTCCGTTGAACAATTGCACTTGAACACCGAAGACTTCGAGATCGACGTTCGGCGATGGGCTCCTGGAAGCCGCGTCGATTCCTTCACAGGTGGAGGAAATTAATTCGCTGGCTTCCTCACCCACGTTGAGTTCAAGTCAAGCTGACAATGCCTTAGGCAACCTCATGGTTACGTAAAATCCTTGCTACTAATCTGGGGGCTTCAATATTGATTGCACTGACATATTCCAAGCTCCCTACTTGCAACGCCGAATGCCTCTGCTGCTCAACCTTTTGGTTTTCACTAATTGACCGCAAACTCCCAGAGTGCGAGATCCCGTCGTCGTTGGATCCCTCCTTGTGACGCTCTGTGGCAGCGGACGGTGCGAGAAGTTCCAAGCTGGAAGATTTGGAATGCGCAAGAGATGTACCTAGGCATGTTTCTCCTTCAACTCCGCACGCTCTGCACAACGGAGATCCTCAACCTTAGTAGCAAAAGGTGGGCTTCGGAATATCCAAACCTCGGCTTGAGTAATCAAGCTATGTGCGGTGTTTTCCTGGAGCCTGTCTTTTGCTGCTGCCACTACCCTTTTCTCATTGCTGCGGTGCTTGACGCACTTCAGCAGAGAGGAATTGAGAGTGAGGCATTGCAGGGTTGATCGACTTCGGTCATGGTCGATGCTGGGTCGCATGAGGAAGCGGACGGAATGTCCTTGGCTCTCATTTTCCTACGTGGGGTTTCAAGGAGTCCTCCAGGACAAGTACCTAAAGAAGAGAACCACAAACCACAGACAGCTCAGTCATGGCATGGATGGCATGGCACGGGTTGCCACGGTCAAAGCCGACTCTGCATCTCTCACTCACTGCTAGTGTGGTATGTACCTGACCGAACAGACAATGTTGTTCTACAGACCACGAGCGGACGGAAGCTTCACACTTACCTATTCAGTAGCCCACACCTATCTGATATACCTATGTATCTGATATAACCGAGTACCGCGATCGTGGGTGTGGCCGGGACAAGGCTTACACTAACCGGATCTAGACATCTCCTTCCCGATTTGGCTATCATGTACCTACTGGCGGGGAATAAGGTACTCCTACCTCCGTAGTAAGCAGTACGTAGTGGTATCTTAGTTTCTTGTGTCCCGCGTCGTGTCACTTGTGAGCGTGGCATACAGGTAGGTGGTGGCCTCCTTGGCCCGGGGGCGTGCAACTCCGTCGTACTGTAACAGCGACGGACCAAACAACGGCAATTGCGCAAGATTGGATGGAGTTCGAGGGGTCTTCTTATCAAAATGCCTGTTTCATAGAGTCCACTAGGAGTAGTGGGTAGGAAGGATAGCTTCTCTACCTCGTTTCGATAGCATGGCTGATGAAGGCTATTGGTGTACTGTGTGTTGTGTAGAATGTATATTTATATATATATATATATAAATACATATCCCGCTGCACACACCTTTAGTGGATGTGATAACTGCTGTTCAAGTTTGAGGTCGTCGGAAAACAGATCGATTGGAGACTTGAGATATCTGTATCTGTTTGCAAGATCATCCTGAATACAACTATGTCCTAACTGCACGCCGGTCAAGACTTGGGAGGAGGTCGCCAGGTGTATGTATTCGCCAGGTGCATGTATATTGGTTCACTTATTCGGTGGGATCTAATTACTGCTCTCTAAGTTGTCCGGTGGTTTTGAAGGTTGCTTCGACAATAAGCCGATAACCTCTAGACTGTTGGATTGTCATTCCAGCAGGCCGGCCTGAGACGTTAAGGATATTTCCTGCAGTCGTTGAATCATTCGCCGGTCATTTACTTCGACCATTGCCGGAGAGACATTGGCTTGTTGGTTGCTGCTGAGGACAGCCGCCGCTGGACTTGCTAGACTGTCAATCAATACCTTCAGACATCCTTCTCCACAGGTAGATCAATACTCCAACGTCGACGCGAGAGATATGTCGGACTCGACTACCACACCAACACAACACAAGGCTCTCGTCTATGACAACCCTGGCCATATCTCGACAAAGGTGGAATATGTCGACACCCTCACACCCGGCGTGGGCGAATTGTTGGTCAAGCTCACTCATTCCGGCATGTGTGCCAGCGACATGTCTGTGATGACAAACCAGTGGCACCATATGGCGCCGACGCCCAAGGGGCAGATTGGTGGCCACGAGGGCGTGGGTGAGATCGTGGCTTTTGGGCCTGGCGCTGCCGAGATCTCGAATCTGAAACTGGGGAGTCGCGTTGGGATCAAGTGGATGGCGTATACCTGTGGCAACTGTGTCTTGTGTTTGGCGGGTCTGGATTCTTGGTGCGAAACGGGAAAGGTCTCGGGGTGAGTGTGGTGTCGTGGACTCAGTGAAGACGGTGATAACGACGATTTGGAAGCACGCTTACTCACTGGATGACTGTCCAGGTATCTCTATCCTGGAACTTTCCAGCAATACGCCATTGCACCGGCACATTATGTCACGCCCATTCCTGATGCGGTGCCGAGTGAGATGGCCGCGCCGTTACTCTGCGCTGGGTTGACTGTCTATGCGGCTCTGAGGAAGACGGGCTGTGAGCCTGGTGACTGGGTGGTTATCCCCGGATCCGGTGGTGGTAAGTCCCCATGACATCTCCCAGTGGTTTAGTCTCGATGATGCAATGCAACACAACTGTCCCTGGCTTTCAAGGTCACCTGTAACAAATGGCTCAGTTCCGGAAGCTAATTTCGTATGCCACGGCTCGAACAGGATTGGGTCACCTGGCGCTTCAAATCGGCGGGAAAGGGATGGGATTCCGCATGATGGGGATAGATATGGGCGACAAAGAGCAGTTTTCTCGCGAATGCGGCGCTGAAGAGTTCTTCGACGTCTCCAAATATGGTGGAGACAGCACCGCCAGCCTGGCGGACGATGTGAAGAGAGTGACGGGGGGAAGAGGCGCCTCAGCCGTTGTCGTCTGTACGGCTAGCAATGCTGCTTACGCCCAAGCATTGAACTTCATCAGAATCGGCGGGACCGTCGTCTGCGTGGGCATTCCCGAAGGCGAAGAGGTCCCGATCCCCAATGCCACACCGACCAGGGTAATCTTGAGTTCTGGCCGGATGGTGGGGAGCTCGGTCGGAAACAGGCTCGAGGCTATACAACTCCTGGACATGGCTGCAAGGTAAGCAGACCGGGCAGGGCCATTGCGGGATGCCTGTCCCGAGAATCCCTCCGCAATTGTCCACTTAGCTGACTGCTGCTGTAGAGGAGTTGTCAAGACGCGCTTGAGGCTGGAGAAATTGGAAAATGCGACTGAGCTGTTTGAGCTGATGAGACAGAACGCGCTGCAGGGCCGGGTGGTCTTTGATCTGCAGAATTGAGCATGGTTAGCGATCTTGGTCTAAGTTGGACACAGGGGCTGGAATAAGATAGCCTCGATGTGGTTCTGTGATGGTACGGGTTCGGGTCAGCGTGCACACAAGCGAGTTTGAACAATGATGAAGGATTAACTGCAGTTCAGCTTAAGGCATGTTCTGTTTACCGTCTTACGCCTATACTTGCATTATATGTCCCAATGCTCCTCTCTACATTCCATTTATTGGGCGACGTCATATAGCGCCCTCCAAGTCCGAATTCCACGCCGTAGCCGGACTAGTAGGTACTAGCGCTAATGCGGAGTACTGTGCAGTAGTGGCAGTTCAACCGCAGACACCAACCTCCACCTCAAAAGTCCATACGCAGCATTTCCCGCATTTCCCTGCCAGTGTATGAGGCGCGGCAACTCTTTCAGCACATCCTCCACACCTCCAACCCTTGATTCCGCGCTTGGGGACTTGTGTGAGGACCATGGTCTTGCATGATGGCGTTGCAAGGTCAGGGTCCAGACCCAAGTGAACGCATCTTCGTCGAACTACGCAGCAAGAACGACGAAATCAAGAACAAGGCTGCCACCGAGCTGCGGGACCTCATCACCCTGCTGTCGAGAGGTGAGACTGCCCTAGCGACTTCATCCGTACCACTGCTGACACAAATGTTCCCCCAGAATGGCCTCCTGAACGATTCAGTGCATTCTACGATCGAGTCACCCATCGCATCAGTAACCTCATCGTCCAGGCTCCGGATGCAAATGATAAAGTGGGCGGAATCCTGGCTCTAGACCGCTTGATCGATTGTGAAGCAGTCGATGCGGCGCAGAAGGCCTCGAAATACTCCAACTACCTGCGCGCGGCATTGAAGAGCAATGACTACACGGTTTTGGATGCCGCCAGTCGGGCATTGGGCCATCTGGCGCGGCCGGGAGGGGCCTATACCGCGGAATTGGTCGAGGCTGAAATGACATCTGCGTTCGAATGGCTTCAACCGGACAGCAAACAGGAAAGTCGCAAACTCGCCGCGGTGCTGCTGATCCGCGAGATGGCAAGGAATTCCCCTACTCTGGTCTACGGCTTCATCCCCCAGATCTTCGAGTTGATTTGGCACGCTCTGCGGGACCCAAAAGATCTGATACGAAAGGCATCTGCCGAGGCTGTCAGTGCGTGCTTTGGGGTCATGGTTGCCAGAGATCCTCAGTTCCAGGCTCACTGGTTTGCGAAGATATACTCCAAGGCTTTAGAAGGGTTTCGGCCAAACACGACGGTCGACGAAACGCTGGGTTCACTCCTGATTTTGATGGAACTGCTCCAACAGGGAAACATGTTTATGCATGACTTCTACCGGAATACGTGCGAGATTGTTTTGCGGCTCAAGGACCATCGTGACCCAAGGATCCGAACGCAAATCGTCCAGATCATTCCTGTGCTTGCCGAATACGCGCCGCTCGAGTTCATCAACAATTACCTGCACAAGTTCATGATCTATCTTCAAGCGCAGCTCAAACGCGAGAAGGAGCGCAACCAAGCATTTCTGGCTATTGGCCAGATAGCCAAGGCTGTTGGGAGTGCCATCGCGCAATACCTCGATGGAATCATCCTCTACATCCGAGAATCGCTGAGTGCGAAGACCAAGAACAGGGCTGCCGTGGATGAAGGTCCAATGTTCAAGTGCATCAGCATGCTTGCTGGTGCAGTGGGACAGACTCTCAGCAAGTACATGGAGGCCCTCCTCGATCCGATCTTCGCCTGCGGCCTTACTGAGCCAATGGAAGTCGCTCTGGAAGACATGGCACACAACATACCACCGATCCGATCCACAATACAAGACAAGTTATTGGATCTGCTCAGTCTGATCCTGGTCCGCTCTCCTTATCGACCTCTGGGATGCCCTACCAACGCAACACCCCCACTTCCATCATTTGCTAAGGACTATGGTGGTTTTCCTGCCGAGCACAAGGACTCTGAAATCACTCTTGCCCTTGTGACTCTCGGGAAGTTTGATTTCTCCGGTCATATCCTCAATGAGTTCGTGCGGGACGTCACTATCCGCTACGCTACACATGATAACCCGGAGATCCGACGCGCAGCCGCCCTGACGTGTTGTCAGCTGTTCATGCAGGATCCGATCTTGCACCAGACCAGCAACAATGCCATACAAGTTGTCAGTGAGGTTGTTGACAAGCTGTTGACGGTGGCTGTTGGTGACCCCGACCCTGATATCCGGATGACGGTCCTGCGGGCTCTGGACAAGAAGTTCGACAAGCACTTGGCGAGACCAGAGAACATCAGATGTCTGTTCTTGGCCGTTAACGACGAGGTTTTCGCCGTCCGTGAAGCAGCAATTGAGATCATCGGGAGACTGACGACTGTCAATCCTGCCTATGTGTTCCCACCTCTGCGGAAGCTCCTGGTCAACCTGCTTACTGGGCTAGGTTACTCCAATACTGCAAAACAGAAGGAAGAAAGTGCCCGGCTGATTAGCCTGTTCGTTTCGAACGCAACTTCTCTGGTGAAGACGTATGTGGAGGCCATGGTCTCGGCCCTCTTGCCAAAAGCCACGGACCCTAATCCGGGTGTGGCCTCGACAACAATCGAGGCTCTTGGAGACTTAACATCAGTGGGTGGCGAAGCTATGGTCAAGCATATCCCCGAACTGATGCCGATCATCATCGAGGCTCTACAAGATCTTGGGTCACACGACAAGCGCGAGGCAGCCATGAAAACCCTGGCTTCCCTTGCCGTCAACTCTCAATACGTGATAGATCCGTATTTGGATTATCCGGAATTGCTCGGTATTCTCATCAACGCGATCAAGACTGAGGCTCATGAAAAGCTGCGGACCGATGCAATCAAATTGGTCGGCGTTTTGGGCGCTCTCGATCCCTACAAGTATCAGCAACTAAGCGAATCAGTCGCAGAAAAGCAGAGCTTGACTGAGGCCCAGCCTGTCTCAGATGTTGCCTTGATCATGCAAGGCTTGACGCCCTCGAACGAGGAGTACTACCCGACGGTCGTCATCAACACCTTGATGCAAACAATTCTCGCGGACCATACGCTAGTCCAGTACCACAGCGCTGTTATCGACGCTGTCGTGACCATCTTCAAAACCATTGGCATGAAATGTGTACCCTTCTTAGGCCAGATCATCCCAGGCTTCCTCAGCGTTATTCGCAGCTCCCATCCAACGCGCTTGGAGTCTTACTTCAACCAACTTGCGGTCCTTGTCAACATTGTGCGCCAGCACATCCGAGCTTTCCTGCCCGAAATCATCGAGGTAATTAGAGAGTTCTGGAACACATCGAGACAGGTTCAATCGACCATTTTGTCATTGATCGAGGCCATCTCCAAGTCCCTGGAGGGAGAATTCCGCAGATACCTGGCAGGTCTCTTGCCGCTCATGCTTGCCGTGATCGAGAATGATTCAGACCTAAGAAGAGAAGCTTCCATTCGGATCCTTCAAACCTTCCTGGTGTTCGGATCCAGCGGCGAGGAATACATGCATATGATCGTCCCCGCAATTGTTGGCATCTTCGAAAACCCAGCTGCTCCTCCGAATGCTCGGCGGGCTGCCATAGATACTCTGGGGAAACTGTCCAGGACTGCCAACGTGACCGACTTTGCCTCGCTCATGATCCATCCCCTGGCGAAGATATTGGCCTCACCGGAGAAGGTCGTCACAAACTCTCAGGAGCGTTCACTGAAGGCCGCGGCTCTGGACTGCGTCTGCGCCCTCATATACCACCTCGGACAAGATTTCGCACACTATCTGCCTCTTGTCGAGAGAGCTACCAAGGCTGGCCAGATCAACTCGGAACGGTTTCAGAAGCTGGTTGAAAATTTCAAGACGGGCAAGGCACTGCCAGTTGATTTCTACCCTGAAGAGCAATATGGCATACCTGCTGAGGACACTTCGTACTCGAATATAACGTCCATGCGACTCCCAGTCAACCAACAGCATCTCAAGAGTGCTTGGGACACTTCTCAGAAGTCGACCAAGGAGGACTGGCAGGAATGGATGAGGAGGTTCAGCGTTGAACTCCTCAAGGAGTCTCCGTCACATGCTTTGCGCGCATGCGCAAGTCTCGCTACCGTCTATCAGCCGTTAGCGAAAGACTTGTTCAATTCCGCATTCGTCTCGTGTTGGACAGAACTTTACGATCAGTATCAGGAAGAGCTTATCCGATCAATCGAGAAAGCCCTCACATCCACGAATATCCCCCCTGACATTCTACAGACACTGCTCAACCTGGCCGAATTCATGGAGCACGATGACAAATCGCTGCCAATTGATATCCGGACACTAGGAAGATTTGCTGCCAAGTGCCATGCATTTGCCAAAGCATTGCACTACAAGGAGCTCGAGTTTGAACAGGACCAGAACAGTCAAAGTGTTGAGGCTCTGATCAGCATCAACAACCAGCTGCAGCAGTCAGACGCAGCCATTGGTATTTTGCGTAGAGCGCAAGTCTTTGGCGAAGTTGAGCTCAAAGAGGCGTGGTTCGAGAAACTGCAGCGATGGGAAGAAGCATTGGCCGCATACCAGAAACGTGAGAAAATCGAACCGGACAATTTTGACATTGTCATGGGCAAGATGCGCTGTCTGCACGCCTTGGGTGAATGGAAGATGCTGTCGGAAATTGCTCAAGAACACTGGAACAGTGCGACGCAAGAAAACCGGAAGAACATGTCCGCTCTGGCTGCAGCTGCGGCATGGGGCCGTGGTGAATGGGATCTAATGGACAACTACATCAGCGTTATGAAGGAAAGCTCGCCTGATCGAGCGTTCTTTGGCGCCATTCTCGCCATCCAACGCAACAACTTCGGCGAAGCTCACAATTTCATTGTCCGCGCGCGGGACGGTGTCAATTCCGAGATTACTGCTACGATTGGCGAGTCCTACAATCGAGCTTATAGTGTGGTGGTCCGAACACAGATGCTTGCCGAGCTAGAGGAAATCATCGTGTACAAGCAAAGCGAGGGCCTGCCGCAGAAGCAGAATTCCCTGAAGATGTTATGGAACAAGAGACTGCTGGGCTGTCAGGCCAATGTGGAGGTATGGCAGCGAATGCTCAAGGTTCGAGCGCTGGTGCTGACCCCAACCGACAATCCCGACATCTGGATCAAATTTGCCAACCTGTGTCGCAAGTCGGACCGCATCGGGCTGGCCGAAAGATCTCTGGCTTCTCTTGGAGGCGTTAGTGATCTTGCTGCTGGTGCGGGTGCAGCACCACCTCCCGTGGCGTATGCTCGCCTCAAGTTCAACTGGGCGACGGGAAACCAACAGCAAGCGTTGTCGTATCTCCGTGAATTCACGATGCGTCTTGCCGATGATTTCCAGCAGGCCAATGCTGTTGTGGCCACTGGCAGCATGCATACGGAGAGGATGAATGGTATGAACGGGCTTGACATGAACGGTCATGACACAATCGCTCAGAGGCGGAAACATGAAGAGCTGGACAGATGCGCAAAGCTTCTGGCCAAGTGCTATTTGCGGCAAGGAGAATGGCAGTCTTACCTCCTCAGAGGTGACTGGACCAGTCCGCAAGCCCAAGACGCTGTGCAAGACATCCTGAACTCATACCACGCTGCCACACAGTACAACGAATCTTGGTATAAGGCGTGGCATGCTTATGCCCTGGCCAACTTCGAAGTGGTGACTTCAATGGCGTCACATACCGACCAGGAGAAGGTCCGCACGATCCCCGAGCAAGTGATCCAGAATCATGTTGTCCCAGCCATAGGAGGCTTCTTCAGATCGATTGCGCTGTCCAAAACAAGCTCTCTACAAGACACACTACGATTGCTGACGCTATGGTTCGCACATGGCGGCCATACCGAGGTCAACCAAGTCGTCACCGAAGGGTTCGCGTCGGTCAGCATCGACACATGGTTGGAAGTGATTCCACAACTGATTGCCAGAATCAATCAGCCCAATACGAGGGTACGGGCAGCTGTGCACCGGCTACTGGCAGAAGTCGGCAAGGCTCACCCACAAGCACTCGTATATCCTCTGACCGTGGCAATGAAATCCTCTGTTGCGCGTCGTGCGAATTCTGCAACTCAGATTATGGACAGCATGAGAGTGCATAGTCCGAGACTTGTCGAGCAAGCTGATGTCGTCAGCCATGAACTCATTCGGGTGGCTGTCCTGTGGCATGAGCTTTGGCATGAAGGTCTTGAGGAAGCTTCCCGGCTCTACTTTGGCGACCACGACGTGGAGGGCATGCTTGCTACGCTTGCTCCTCTACATGAGCTCCTTGATCGTGGCCCTGAAACCCTGCGAGAGATATCTTTCGCCCAAGCATTTGGCCACGATCTTGCCGAAGCTAGAGCCTTCTGCAACGCATTCCGTCGGTCAAAGGAGATTGGTGATCTCAACCAAGCGTGGGATTTGTACTATGCGGTCTTCCGTAAGATTGCTCGACAACTGCCCCAATTGATGAGCCTCGATCTCAAATATGTCTCGCCACGCTTGAAGGATGCGCACGACCTCGACCTCGCTGTTCCCGGCACCTACCAGTCTGGCAAGCCAATCATCAGGATTATCAGCTTCGATCATGTCCTCACCGTCATACCGTCCAAGCAGCGACCACGGAAGATGACTCTGAAGGGGTCGGATGGTATATCATATGCCTTTGTCCTAAAGGGTCATGAAGATATTCGTCAAGACGAACGGGTGATGCAGCTCTTCGGTCTCGTCAACACGCTTCTCAACAACGACACCGAAAGCTTCAAACGTCATCTCAACATCCAGCGTTTCCCAGCCATCCCCCTCTCACAGAACTCTGGCTTGTTGGGTTGGGTCCCCAACTCTGACACTCTCCACAATCTTGTGAAGGAATACCGAGAGTCGCGCCGCATTTTGCTTAACATTGAGCACCGGATCATGTTGCAGATGGCTCCCGATTACGACAATCTCACGCTCATGCAAAAGGTTGAAGTCTTCGGATATGCAATGGACAACACGACGGGCAAAGACCTGTACCGTGTGCTATGGCTCAAATCCAAGAGTTCGGAGGCCTGGTTGGATCGACGAACTAACTACACCCGCTCGTTGGCTGTCATGTCAATGGTCGGCTATATCCTGGGTCTGGGCGATCGCCATCCTTCAAATCTCATGCTCGATCGGATCACTGGCAAGATCATCCACATCGATTTCGGCGACTGCTTTGAAGTTGCCATGCACCGTGAGAAATATCCGGAACGAGTCCCATTCCGACTTACACGAATGCTTACCTTCGCCATGGAGGTCAGCAATATCGAAGGCTCATTCAGAATCACGTGTGAAAACGTCATGAGAGTGATTCGTGAGAACAAGGAGTCTGTTCTGGCCGTACTGGAGGCATTTATTCACGATCCCTTGCTTAACTGGCGGCTCAACACGCGCGAATCTCCCCCTCGGCCACACTTCCGATCCGAACGTAGACAGAGTATCATCGACGCGCCTGGAGCTCAAGATCCCGAACTGGAGCGCAGCCCGATGGAGACGACCAACAACCCGGCGGCCATGATCGGCGCCACATCGGAAAGCCATGTGGGTGCGCCACCGGGTCGCAGACATCGTCGCAGTAGCATCCTCGACCCGGCCATGGGCGGCGGCAGCATCCTGGATGCGGCGAAAGGGGTGGACAACAACCCTCCGGCGCAAGATGCAAAAGAAGTGCAAAATGCCCGTGCTCTGCAGGTGCTTGCACGCGTCAAGGAGAAGCTGACTGGTCGCGACTTCAAGCCCGCGGCTCCTGGAACCACCGTCGCTCGCTTGGCCGCTGATCTGCACGGCCTGGGTCTTGAGGCTTTGATGAACGTCAATGGCGGCACCATGAACAACGTGCCCGGCATCGGCCCCGACCTCAACAAGCAGGTTTCCATCGCTGGTACAGCGCCTGAGACGACCATGGCGGGCGTCGGAGGGCTCGGCGTTGCAGAACAGGTGGACCGACTGATTCTTCAAGCTACTAACGTGGAGAATCTGTGCCAGCACTATATCGGTTGGTGTTCATTCTGGTGATGCTGGAAGTCATGGACCGGATACGGGCACGGGCACGGAAGTGATGCAGCAAAAAATCAAATCCTGTCACAATAGATATGTTATCATCAGGCAAGGGAATGGGCAAGAAGGTAGCATAGCATGGTATTGGCAGCGTGGGCAATGTCTCGGAGCGTCAGCACAAAGGTTCTCTGAAGTCGTTCTCAACAAGTGAGTGAGCGGTATCGATATTTTAGAAAAATCATGATATAATGACCTGAACCATTTTCCATCAATGCCTGTATGCGATCCCGTCTGCATCTTTCCATGCTGGTCAGGTTCCCTTACGACCAACTCCCCGGGGAAGGTCCCTGTTCCGGCAAAGCTGCGATAAAAACTGGGACGAAAGATTTTCCCTTTAGCTTTTGATCTCTCCGCTCTATTGTATGCTGGAGTTGTCTCCAAAAACCAAGTCCGGCCGGCAGCAAAGCTGAGCCGGCAGGAGAACGCCAGGATTGCAGATGTCCGAAGTCATAAAAACAGAAAAAGCCGGAAGAATTCTACGTTTGAACAACTCAGTGGTGCCCATTCACACCATTCGTACCGTTCTGCTGCTTCGCCTTGACTTGTCGTCTCGTGCGGACAGCATCGGCAAGCTGCTCCAGCACCTCAACCGTGGTGTCCCAGTCAATGCAGGCGTCAGTGATGCTGACACCCTTCTGGAGGTTCGCGAGGCCACCCTGCGGAGGGACCTTCTGGCTGCCCTCATTGATGTTCGACTCGATCATCACAGCAACAATGGCGTCCTCGCCCTGTCTTAGTTGGTCGCCAATCGTCAGTGCAACGATGGGCTGGTTCTTGTGGTCCTTCTTAGAGTTGCCGTGCGAGCAGTCAATCATCATGACTTCGCGTTGACCCTTTTTCCGGAGCGCTTCTCGAGCAGCCTTGACACTCTCGGCGTCGTAGTTGGTACCCTTGGATCCACCACGCAGGATGACGAAGCCGTCTTCGTTGCCACTCGTCTTCGTAATGGCAGCCAGGCCCTGTTTGGTGACACCCATGAAATGATGTTTGGCAGCAGCGGCGCCCACAGCGTCAATGGCAACACTGAGCGAGCCGTCCGTGCCGTTCTTGAAGCCTATGGGGAAGGACAGACCGGAGGCAAGCTCGCGGTGCAGTTGGGACTCGGTGGTCCGGGCGCCAATAGCACCCAGGGAGATCAGGTCTGCTAGGAACTGGGGGGAGATGGTGTCCAGCATTTCGCTGGCAATCGGCATGCCCATGTTGGTTAGGTCAGAGTAGAGTTGTCTCGACACCCGCAGGCCCTTGTTAATTTTGTAGGACTCGTCAATGTCTGGGTCGTTGATCAGGCCTTTCCAGCCGACCGTCGTGCGCGGCTTCTCGAGGTATGCACGCATAATAATGCACAGGTCTGACGAGAGCTTTTCAGCCAGCTTCTTCAGTCGCTCGGCGTATTCGAGGGCCGTGGCCGGATCGTGGATCGAGCAGGGGCCGACCATGACCAGGAGCCGGTCGTCGCGTTGGTGGATGATTTCTTTACATTCTCTTCGGCCGCGGGCCACTGTCTCGAGAGACGCCTGTGAAGCTGGAATCTCGCTCTGTAGGAGGGCCGGAGGAATCAAGGGGTCGTAGCCTAGGACTCGGACGTCCTCCGACACCTCGACGGGCGCGGCTGCGTCGATGGCGGGCATGCTGGCTGAGGGATTTTGAGGTCTAACAACGTCTGGCTTGGGTGGTGAAAAAAAGGCTAATGCTCTCGTTGCGTTCGAGGAGTGAAGACAATGAGGCGAGGCTGAGAGATGACAAGAGACCAGAGGGAGGAGAACACTGGAAAAGATCCAGGGCAACGTGGTGAGAAATAGCTTCAGTTTGAGTGGAAGAATGATTCACACCAACGGATTGGAACTTAGGACTCATTGCAGTTCGGATTCCATTATTGCGGCAAAAAAAAATGGAGGTCAAGGCGGTGAGGCGAAAAAGGGCCCAGATCATAAGGCTAAACACGTGAGAGCGGGCCATTGATACGTACGGGTTATGATGTATCACGTGATATGACTGCTGCGAAGTGTGTAAAGTGTGGCTGACGAGATGTGGCTAGTAATGTGTGGCGGCGGCAGTGGCAGTGGACAGACAAGGAAGTGGCTCCCCTCACGCCATGATATGTATGTAATGTGTGCCTGCCTCGCTGCGCTTTTTGTCTCTGCGGCTTCTCCAAAAAGATCCCTCGCCCTCTCCCTCCTGCAAGTTTCAATCACCACCACTACTACTACCGCATAGAACTGCACTACAACTACTTCGTCGTTCTCCCTTCTATCAATTCCCCAAGTATTTCACATCCCTTTAATGCTTCATGATATGATATCCCGTTGAGGCTTTGCAGTCCTAATCCCCCGGAACACTCACATCCCGAACATCAAGGCATACAAGCGGTCATTCGCCTGTCCTCGAGGAACGCGCCCTGGTTGGTCCTCATCGAGATTGTCTATGTTTCATCAACCCTTCTCGTCAACTCGCGACACTGCCACCGTTTGATCGCCTCCCCTTTTCTCCGGGGCTTTGACATGTCCTTGGAGAGATAAAAGAGGCCACAAAGCTTCACCCCATATCACTAGGAGTCATCATGTCCGCTCCTAGTCCATTTGACCCCACCGATCCAGCCATGGCCGACGTCCATTCTGCTTTCGAGTTCAACAGTGTTCCTTGCAAGCGGAAACGGAGACCGGAGGATGTGGATGATGAATTCCTCAATCCACATGCGAAAAGGAGGTCGAGTCATTGTTTGCCAATCCGATTGTCACCATCCCGCTCACAAGTCTCCATCCCTCCGGCATTTCCCATGTTCACCTCGATATACCAACAACCCCCGACACCAGTCGACACCTCCGACGAGGAGAGTTCGAGCCACTCGAGGGACGAACATCGCTCCACTAGCAAGCCGTCGTCAACCCATGATCATCGGCTCAACAGCGACAGTAGCATGTCCTTCACGAACGCGGAATATGGGGACTCCCTTGATGTCGACATGGACCTCAACTTGGGCTCGGCTTCTCAGCCCAGAATTAGACGGGCCCGGTCCAACGATATCATCGCGCCGCATCGTGACTCGATCTTTCTGAACGCTGTGGACAACTCCAGCAGGGAAAGGGTCCCTACTCCAATCAATAGCCATTTCGACAATCGTGTAAACGACTTGCCCAACGTTCCACGGCATCATTTTCCTCCATTACGCACAAATCTTAGTCCGATGTTTGAGCAGGAAACTTGGATCAGCCGAGACGGGCTGCCTAGTCCGACGGAAGACCAGGACATGGATACCGTGATGATGCTTGACCACACCAACAGCACCAGCGGGCTACACGTGGTCGACAATGGGGTCGACGGCATTCAACTGATGGAGAGGTATGAAGATCAATCCAATGGAAGGTCCAGTCATGAACGTTTAAGGACGGCCAAGCTCCACATGGGGTTTCTCAACGGTTGCGAAAAGTGTATGCAGAAAGTCCCGGGCCATTACAGTCACATTCTACGCCCTTGATATGGCACTCGCACTGCAGTGCGTAGAATCACGATGATGCGACGACGTTGATGAATGATTACGAGAGCATGATGACACGCTATAACATGAGAGAAGAACGGGCGACGGGACTACATAGCCGGGAGCACTTTCCTTTGCGGGTGTCATCCATACACCGGTGAGAGTTCAGAGGGTCTGTCTTATTACAGGAGTCGATTTGATTTTCCGCACCATCGGCGCGACCCATAAATACATGTGCCCATAGTATGATACAGGCACAAAGGCATAAACCATGCCCTTGCCATGAAATCCATGTCTTTCCCGAACCCGTGGATCTAAGATTTACTGCCTCTGATCCAACTCAGCCATCCTTGGCTTTCAGTCGAGGGTTTGACAGCATCTGCCACATTGCTGGCGAGGGCGTCCAGGGGACCACCTTTGGACCTTGTATGTGCAGTGACTTCCTTCTCGCCCGCTCTCCTCTCCTCTTCGATCTTGGTAGCGAGATATTCCACTTTATTCGCCGGCACCGGTCGACCCTTGGAGTCGACGCCGACGCCTTTGATGCCGCTCTCCGCCACGGCAACAGGCCGCACCTCGCCTTCGACAAACCCTTCTCCGGCGATCTGTTGCTGCTGCCGTCTAGCCTGTCTCGCCTCTCTCTCCAGCCTCTCCGCCTCGGTCTCCTGGCCCATCTCGCCCTTGGCCATCTGCCCGCCAAGCATACCCTTGATCTTGCTCCAATAACTCTCGTTCTTCTTCTTCTCGGCCGCGATGTTCCTCGCCGACTCCATCTCATGACCGGCCCGCTCCTGCTCGAGCAGATGCAGCTGTTCGGCATTCGCCTCACCACGTAGGAAGGCCTGGCGGGCCGCGTCCAGCCGGTCCAGTTCGCGCTCAATCCAGGCCCGTTTCTGCCTCCGATTGTGGGCGATCAGACTCGTAGTGCCGTAGGCCGCGACCACGGTCGACACACCTGCAAATAGGAGCAGGCCGTACGTCGTGAACCGGTGGGCACGGTCGGCCCAGCGTCGGCCGACCTCGATCACGCGCTCTACGGGCGAATAGGCCGCTTGTTCCTTCGCCGCTCGTGCGGCCGCTCGTAGACGTGCTACTCTTTCTTGCGGTGTTTCGCCGGGCGGTCCTTGTGAGCGTGGAGGTTGTTGAGAGTTTGGAGGTGAAGATGGGGACGAAGATGAAGAATTTGGGGACGGCCGAGCGTCAGCGGCCGGGCGCGAGGCGGGCTGGTAGGTGAATGTCGTCGCGGGCCGCTGCATGGCGTGAGGTGTGGTCGAGGTGAAGCGGGTGAAGGCGTCGGATGGCGGTCGACGGGACATGGTTCTGGTTAATGATGGGATTGCTTTCATGGGCGGCGTCAATCTTTGGGGAATCCGGGAGTTCAGGAGTGATGCTGTACGACTGGCATTGGAGAAGTTCGAATGTAGATTTACAAGAAACGAAGAACTGTGTGTGCGAGACTGAGGTACAAGCAGTTCCCCGACAATGTACCAGGTGGCCGGTCTTAAATGAGGTGGTGATGTTCGACTTGAAGTTACAATTGAAGATTTCGGGAAAGTTGAGGACGACAGCTAGAGAGCAGTACGGTGCGGTATTGGGCCGCGATACGCACACTGTGTTTTATCAGTTTTATCACACCACCACCAGAACCATCATATCAGGAGGCCCAAAGGCATCATAACTGGGTGTATAGACCGACGTGCATCTCTCGCTCGATCCAAGCTACCTTCATGCAGCTTCAGTTCTTGTTGGCAGACAGACGTCCATTGATGAGGACGTAAAGCCAGTTTCGTGAAAATATTCAGCGTTTTACCCCTGAACTATCTTCGGCTTCAACGACAAGCTTCACGCAGACGAGCTGACGTCTTTGATGCTGATAGCTTCCCATAGCTTCCTCCCTGATTGAGCTGGTGTCTTGTCTGAGAGGCATTTAGCATTGAGGCGGCCCTGCAGAAGCCGACGTGAGTGCATGATGAGAACGATGGTCGCACCACATCCGTTCTGATATGCTCGATCATCGGCAATGCTCCTTGATTGCTGCGGAACGCTGGAATGCAGAGACATCACTGGGCTGAGATTGTCCAAGGTGACATATACTTCAATGACGTCCCGCCGATGGGCGTTGAGTGTCTTTCCTGCAGATGTCATGGCAGCGCTGTCCAGGCAAGCGCCTAATGTGAACGGCCACAGTCGGAATCGCTCCAGCCATACCAGGACCGATAGCTGTTGTGCAGGTCGTTCTGATGTGCCAGAGCCAGAATGAGAGGCGGAGAACGTAAGGCTGCTCGCAGGATTTGCTTTCGACCACACCTTCGTTGTCCGCCTTATCGAGATGCCCAGCATGCTATCGCGCAAAAGCCCATGTCACGAACAACACCACAGAAAAGCATAGCTCGAGGATGCAGTGCCAATAGCTCCTCTCCTCAGAGATACGAAGCATCAATCATTGCGCTGCATTGGGAACCGCCCAGAGCTCCTCGACATGTCTGGCAATACTTCCTCAAAAACTCGGTGCGACTCTGGCTCATGAGATGCAGCGCTGGGGATGTTCCGGCATACCGACTATCAGGAAGGTGTGTGGCATTGACGGAAGCATGCCCACTTCAAGTTGGCCGTGGACACGGTTTCTTGAAAGGGAACGTACCTTCTCTGTGTCGACTCGGGCTCCCACGAACCGCCGCAGCATGCTTGCGATGGTATCGGTTGAGGGCGATGATCAACTCCAGCTGTGAAAGAGAATGATCAAATGCAAGTCAAGATGCCTACCAGTATGAGAAGAGGTGTGCAGGTGCAGGTGCAGTGAATGGTTGCTAGTACTACTAGTACTACTAACCTCGCTAACCTTGTCGGCCGTCGACTGTGATTGGCCAACCACACACTGCACCCGAAATTCAGTGTATATGTTTTATTGTCGCAGGATTCCATTTAACAATCTCATATCTATCCCGGGTCCCGGCCCCAGCTCCTCTAGGGGAGTTGGACTAGCTGGGGCGTGAGGGTGTGGCCACCAGATATGAGACAGTTTGCACTTGGGCGAAGCCGCGAATCCTAGAGGCCGACCCCAGACTGGACTGACTCTGAGTAAAGCATTGCTCCTACACCTTGCTGGTGTAGCAGTAGTGAGACTGCGGAGGAAGGATGAAGGTCCCTACCGTTCATGGGCTCACCGGAGTACTTATGGTAGGAGGCAACCTAGCGAACACGATCGGAACAAAAAACATCTCTACACGACTGAGAGGTTTCTCAACCTTCGAACCTCAGCTACTACCGAGTAGTTGGGCTTCGGAGAGTCTGAGTTTTTGCTGGCTTGGGGTTCGAACCTCGCAGAGGACGATGATTCTTTTTTGTGCTTTCATTCTTGTTGCAGTACCAAAAGTCTCTTACACGTGAATGACTTCGCATCAACGCAAATGGCTCTCAAGCTCACTGCAACTTGTTGGCTGGTATCGAGCGGCACTTTCGAGTCTGACGTTACTGCAACTCGTTCATCCAATTTACTGACGCGAAATCCTACGTCTACCGCAGCACAGTCTCACCATCCTAAAGACTTTTTCATATACAACATGTCAAGATGTTTCTTCACTCCATGCTCCTGCCGATGCAAGTGAACTCTTTGTTTGGTCTAGACTTTGCCTGAGTCCTCGATCGTTTCGATCGATGAGAGCAAATCATAATACAGGGTGAGTTATCAAGTGCTCGATGGACTGCAGTGTGATGAACCCCTTCCCCACCCGCGATCTTGAAGAACTGTATATTCGGATCCGACACTATTTCTCATCGGCAGCTGAAGCTGTTCTCCATGTACCACTGCACACAGGCGCCTCTCCCAGCCAGGTGAAGATGTGAGGAAGCCTTGGTTCTCAGGCCTTTTGATTTTCAGCACTTTGGGTGGAATGACCACCTATCTCGAATTTGTTGTTACCAGCTCTCAAATGGACCCGCTGCGTGGCTGCTCTCTTGAGATATCTCCCCGCAAGTGAAGTCCCTCTGTGACTCGGTGTCAGCCTTTTGGCTCTACACTGAGTTCGATATCTGGAGGAAGTCAGAGTGGATGCTCTTCTGGCATACCCAGTTGAGTAGATACATGGCGATACAGACGTGGTGTTGTACCCGTTCTAGGTATGCATCACATGCAGAATCAATAGTCGTAGACAGGAGAGAGATACAGTCTAGAGGTCATGTACTGCACATTTCCAGACTATCTACAGAGTACCTAGATACCTAGCAGACAACCCACCAAGGCCTACCTACCTACCTAGATAAATCATATACTACATGTATTCGTATCTTAAAACTTGAAGTAGTGGCACGGACTCGAACATGGAAGCGGCAGGGGGCAATGCCAAGAAGCTCCATTTGACAACTTCAACTTGAAGTTGTCAGACTTCACTCTAGACATTCAAGTTCACCACTGCATCAGACCCCAACTGGTGCTGACGGATTTTGCAGCAATCTCCAGTTGCAACAGTTGCTGGAGATGCTGCATGGCCTAGCGGGATATTAGTTGACAAAACCTCGAATTGCTACCAGCAACTACTAATAGCGTCTGCTGTGGTTCTTAGAAGATGTCAAGTTGACCATTCATTCTGTTGCGATCTGCTCAGAATGGAAGGCCCGCGCAACCCGGATCTTCAGAGAGTGCTTGAGACCTTGAATAGTTATACTCCACCACCGTCAAACATTCCCGAACTCAGAGCCTTCAGTAGGTCACAGTATTTGCACCCGAGTGAGACCATTCACGCTTCCATCTTGCCTGGGCTGGATCTGCTAGCCACCCCAGAAACCCACGAGAGACCTATCACTCCTCCTCCTATCATTCGACAGCAAGTAAGAGCTCCTGCACAGATAAAGTCTGCTGTTCAACCAGAAGATGTTCCAAGCAAGCCCTCGACTCCTACAATACCAGACGCATCAACCATCACGACTTGGCCCGCAGCACTGAAGCACGTCACTCGCCATCTGGTCCCCAACGAGAAAGGTGCCGGACGCATCAAGCATCTCATCTCCGAACAGCATAAGCATGAGCGTCAGTGGTGGGCTGGCCGAGAGGCCATCGTGGCCAGGCAGCAGGGAAGGACTGGTACTTCGCAGCAGGTGGCAGCGTTATTGAAGTCCCTGGGCGGCAAGGAAGTAGCAGCGACTCCTTCGGACCCTGCGGCAAATCAAGCTGAGTTGGATGCTTATGACAAGAAAGTCTATGCGGGACTCACGGCGATGGCGTCGGACTTTGACAGGCAGCTCAGAACTCTTGGTGTACCTTTTTTTGCCATCAAACATGAGCTGGTGATCCTTGAAGAAGGGCCTGCAAAGACTGGGGCACCATTTGGAAGGATCGATAAGGGCGAGTTAAGAGAGCTCCAGAAGAGGATGTTGCAAACTCTGGAAGACTTGTTCGGTGATGTTGAAGACTGAGAGGTGTGTGTGGATATTGATTGAGTCGATGCTGCCTGCCTAAGTGCAGACATTATCTATTTCCATGTTTTCAAGAAGGCTCAAACATGTCACGCGCAGTCGTGTTTCTGCTGTCCGGAGAGCTGCGAAGTAATTGTTGAGGCTGAGGGTGCAGTGGTGCTCCTGCGAAGCGAGTCTGGCAACACCGCAGGAGACTTCGCGCTCAAGCACAACACCTTTCACGCGTCTACTACCTTACATTTCCTCTTCCGCCCTCCATCAATCCTACCACACCATCAATCCCACGTCGTCTACTAAGTTCCCTATCATCGCCACTGCTGAGATATTTCATCAAGATGGTTGGCCTGCGAGAACTGCTGACCACCGCCGAAGGCTGCGATCTCATCATCGTCTGTCAAGGGGAGTTTTTCTTCGTTCACAAGGCAGTCATCGGTCCTCAATCAACCGTGTTGAAAACCGAGACTTCCAATTCTCAGGTGACGCCCTCTGCGTCCTTTTTTTAAGCGTCTCTGCTAACAGGCACTCGCAGTTTCTCAATGGCGAGGCTTACATTGTGGCCGACATCTCCGCGATGGTCTTCCGCAAGGTCCTGACATTCCTCTATCGCGGCGATACCTCTGACTTTCCACCACTCCATCAAACTGCATTCAAATGTGTGCCGCCAACACTGGAATATTTCGCCAACACCTTTCCAAACACTGATAAATTCTTGACAACTGTGGTTGGCAAGCCTGTCCCAAAGTCCAGCGTCAGTATTCCCTCGGCGGGACCCGACATGATCGGCAACCGTGACAAATGGGCTGTTTTGATTGGCAAGCAGCGTGTGATGGGTAATCTCTATGAAGAGAAGACCTGCACTAATCTTGCTGAGGTTTCCAAAGAGATGGACATCTTCGCCGCAGCTCAGCAGCTCGACATGGCCGCTCTGAAAGAATTGGCAATGAAGAAGGTTTTCGCATGGTTCGAGAAAGAGCTACGACTGGGAACTCCTCTCTCTGAGGAGCTGAACAAAGTAGCGGAACTCGTGTTGCGTAAGGAGAAATCATTTGTCAAGCCATTCTTCCGTCTTTACGCAAAGTTCTTTCCTACGGTAGGAATGAACCTCACGTTCTCTAGGCTGATGAGGGAGCTGGATCGAGACACCTTTGATATGCTCGCCGAGCTTCATTCCCAATGGACGACTGAACGCAGCCGACTGGACGAGGCACTGGAGCAGACTACACGGAAAGCCGCCGATCTCGAAGTCGAAGTCAACCTGCTCAAGGCCCAAAAGGCTAGTTCCGAGACTCAACAGAAGGACCTGGAAAACTTGAAGGAAGCTCTGAAAATATCTCAGGCCAAGGAAATCGTATCCGCAACCAAGGCGGAGTTGTTTGAGAACCTGAACAAAACTCTGCAGATGGACTTGCTCATGACTAGAGTTTCAAACTTACATTCGAACGAAAACCACCCACCGAGAGCCGACCCAAGACCCAAGAAGGACACCGCTACTGAAGATGCAGAGAAGCTCAAGAGACAAATCACAGACACCCAGCAGGCTCTGCAGCAACATAAGGCTGGCCATAAAAAGGTAAAGAATGATCTGAAGAGGGAGAAGCAGTTGCTGAAAGAACAGTTGGATGATCTCAAAGATGCTTTCAAAATGTTCATGGATGATGTCAATAAGTCAGGCCGCTGTGCTGGCTGCAAACGGCAGTGGAATTTCACCATCGATCAGGACCACTATGATTCCATCAAAATCGCCTGCAAGTTGTGCCATGAGGAGGTCTGGTATTACGAGGACAGATGAGCGACGATTGCATTGCTTCTACTGCAACCAAAGTCTAGTGTCGAGGTATCCAGGGGAGTTATCGGGACAGTATGTGATGAGGAAGTTGGTGGAAACGGATGCCCGAGCAGCTTCTGGGGTGTGCTACTAGATAGCTGTCAGGAGGGTGACAGTGGATTGTGAGCAAGGAGCTATCCCATGTCGCTTTTTGTAGTGTCTTCACTGCGCAAACGTACCGGTTCCTGCAATTTCAGGTGCCATTGTATCCTGCGGACTCGTTGGCTGCTGTCGAGAAGGTGCAACGCAACTGCTGTAGTTCTTTACATTCACGAGTCAGAGAAAACAAACATTCGTCGTCTTCTTCCACTCTGTGCATACCATTTTCTGATAACCTGTTGAAAGGCTTCCAGCTGGGATTACCCTTCAGTATACTGCCCACTGCATTGGTGCATCGCTCCCATGGAAGAAGCCCCCGACGAAACTGCGGACCATCATGACCTAGCAGATCACGCAGAAACCCTCTGCAGAGGTCTTCGCAAGCTTCGCCACGACTGTGGTCATGAAAGCACCTCTATAGACATTGCGAATGTCGCTGGGGAGCTCATGCTTCTGGCCACTGAGCTCAGAACCCTCGATAGGGCCGTCAATGCTCACAAAGAGCAATATACCCAAGCCTTTGACGAAGATCTCGAGGAAATCCGCGCTCACCTGACTGGGATCTTTGAAGATATAGCAGACTGCTGCAGGGAAATGCAAAAGGCCGACGGACCAGGAAAGAGTACTGTTGGCTGGTTGCAAAAGAAGAGATATGTGAGCAAGCTACAAAAGCATCTCGAGGCCAACAAAACCGCCCTTGTCGTCATGCGGACGGTCCTTCACCACGGAAAAGTCTATGGTACACAAAAGTAAGGATACTTTGATGGGACTGAGAAAAGTGTAGCATCTAACCCTTCACAGCTCATCTGGACGTCTTGCGGAGTCTTCACCTCATGTTATGCAAGAGGATCGAGCCATACTCGAGTCCATCTTTGCGAGCAGGAGGGCGATTTCGGATCTGCATGATCTCACGAACAGATCCCATGAGCATAGTGCATCCAGCTCGTCAACCACAACAGCAGACATGGGACCCTCCTTCAAACCTGGTGCGCATGGGCGTAACCTATCGTCCGCAACTGGAGTCGATACACCCACTGTCGAAGATGTCCTCCCGACCAGCAATACGGTCCGCAAAAAGAGGAGTGATGATCCTCTGACGAGAAGATTCTCCCGCCGCGGAGTGCGGCTTGCAGTTCACAGCTCGATCCTAGATTCCAACGCCCATCAGGTCCCAATGTCCCTGAAGAAGAGATGGTTTCACCAAGGCCGTGCGAGAAGCAGTGGTGACGGCGATTTTGTGCAAGATCGTTCGATTGCGCAGCTGAGTCGGATATCCGAGGTGAACTCAAACTTTGTTACTGAAATCATTTCAGAGGAACCGAATCTTCAACGAAGTACAAGCACACCGGAGGATCCCAGCCGCCGAAACTCGGAGGAGCATTATGCGTCAAAGAAGGAAGTCCATGGCGAACCCTCGAAAGCCAAAAAGCGAAGCCTCACTCTTATGGAATCGCCTTTCGGCAAATCGTTGGGCAGGGCAATTACACGACTATCCAACATCACGCTCAGTAGCGACCGAAAAGACGAAAATGCAAAGATCGAGGCTGGAGAAGGCAAGAATGAAGCCATGGAAAAGCATGATGAAGACAAAAGTGGCTGGTCGTACCGTCTTTCGAAGCCGTTCGTCGAGCCCGAGCTAACCACACCTGACTTCAACAAAGATGTCGAAAACATGGCTCTACGTTAGAGGTTCACAAAACACCACATTTGTTAGTGGTAAATACTTGTGAGGATCACCAAGCGTATACGCCACTGGCCACGGCTAGCGAACTTCCGCCCAGGAAGGTGGGCGTCCGGCCCCAGCGCTCTCGGAAGAGTGGTGGTGTCATATCCGAGCAAACAATGTATATGTGAATTGCAGATTATAGGTTCGCAAACCGTGGAACAGACAGCCACGCATCAAATGAGTAAGCTTCAAGAATATTATCAATCAAACTGCACAAGAGGAACTCTGCCACAAGCAGGTCTAGTGTCTAGTATGTGGAGACAGAGCATTATCGAGGCTGACAAGGCTGGCACCCCCTGCCAAGCATTCAGGGGAGAAGACAACTTCAAGTTGAACATTAGGTATGTACCTAAGTATAAAATGCAGTGTACCACCCATGAGGTCCACTCCTTGAACCGTATCAGACAGTTCATCCCACTGCAGCAGACGAATACAAAGCTCTAAACCTCTTGCTGAAAGGATAAGCATCCAGCGAGAAAGGCTGGCTAAAATCTCACAGCCGGGCAGTCTGTACATTTGTAACAGATTCTATCCAGTCTAACGAATGTGCCACGCAAGATCTACCCTTGGGTCTCCATAGATATCAAAATCTAGGCAAGCATTCCATGAACCGCCTAGACGTGACGGCTGTGTGGTGTCCTATCCTAAGAAACGCTTGCAGAGAAGATGTGAGTAGCGTCGGGGACAAAAAAAGGGGCCCTTGCGAGAAGTGCGAGTGAGGCATGCTGCTATCCGTAAGACCTCACTTCAAAATGCCAAACGGTAGGACCATCCCTATTGATGATATCTTACTCTTCCTGCGGACATCGTTCCGTGCCAACGGTTGATATGCTGTGCTGTATCGTCTCGTGACTCGACCAGCCGCAGTGAGCACTCCATCCGGTGTGATCTGCATGCGTTTTCGATTTCTTCCATCGGCTAGATGCATATTTGTCATTTCCTGCGACAAGTCGAGAAGGATGCCTCGTGTCAGTCTGTTGAATGCCGCTACTCAAGCAATAGGCAATAGCGCTGCTTGTATGCCCCAACAGCTGTGACGGCCGGATTGGAGCATATTCAGGAACGCCCTCATGCAGCTGTATCAGTCTCTTTTGCCGAAACTGCTGCTATAACCGCCATATCCGCCATAGCCTGACCCTCTCGCCACACCATTTCCAACATTGCCACCAAGTAATCCGTTGCCATAGATTCCGCTCCTACCACTCTTCCGCCTTTCGTATATCAGCATGGACATTGCGCCAATCCCAGCACTGGCGGCCAGCGCGAAGAAACTCAACAATGAAAACCCAATGCTGTGGTCTCTAACTCCCAACACAGGCCGGCCGACCATCCCAGGTAAGACAGCACCGTCGATCCAGCCAACATTGAAGGTAAGCATCATAGGCTCGTTGCGGATGATCTTGGTCCCTTCGACCGGCGCTGAAGAGGTGGTGTTGGGAAGAGAATATGCGGCGGATGCAATCAAGTGCGATCCAGCATCGGCCTTGGACGACTCCGGCTCTTGCGACATATGAAAAAGGACGTTGATGTTGGTGTGGAGGTGGAGGTGAGACAATTGCAGCGTCCCCTGCAGCGCAATTGTGAACGGTGTCCAAAGAGTTTTATCAGCGCCCGTGCCGTCGACGTCTGGGAGGGACGAAGTGATGCCCAGCTCTTCCTGAGATAAGGGGTACGATGGGACGCGACATGTCAAGGGAACATCGCTGTGGACGAAGAATTCGAATAGATGGTAGAGTTCGTCGGGGAGGGCATCGATGGTGCAGGTCCGCGTCTGAGGAGTGTTGTAGAGGAAGGACAGCGGCTGGTTCGTCTCGTTACATGTCGGAAATGGAATATATTGCAGATTGCCATGGGCATCGGTGATCTGGTTATGGAGTCATGAGTACTAGTATTCGGAGACACAGCAATACTATACAAGCTTCGCTCGCGATGGGACCTCATGCCCGCGCTCCGTTCTCGTAAAGTGCAGAATGCAGGGTGACTTTCAACGTACATGTTCGCCGGTATCACTACTGGTGTCAGTGTATATCCATACTAATCAAGTCTTGTTCGGAACTCACATGGTCCGATTTAGGCAGCTGACGGGGATCAGGTCACCATTGAGATACCCTCTTTTTCTGGACGCGCCGTCGACGAGACTCGTCTGGTCGCTGGCGGCGCTCACAGAGGTGGCTAGCGACAGATAGAACACCACCAGGGCATTGAAAGGCAATGGAAGGCACCAGAGCATGGCGGGACTCAAGACATGGAAATGGTACACTGGCACATGTTCCCCTGGGGCGCAGGTAATGAATGTACTAGGTATCTTTTTGGTGTGGGAAAATAATCATGGGCGCAGTTCCAGTTCCAGTTCCAGGCTTGGGGTTCAATGTTGCTGCAACCTGGCAACTTTGAGAACTGATATGCAACGCTAAACACGGGCCGACCCGTTGCGCCTAGAGCTTCTGCCATACGTCATAGCAGTAATCCTTTCTGCGCTGGTGCCGGCAAGTCGTTGAGAGGGAGTATGGTGGCGGGGCGAACAGATACTCTGATCATTTGGATACATTTTCATTGCTAGCATATTGTGGGCAGTTGCTACCTCAACTTCGTTATCAGTGCAATTCGACCGTGGTATTAGTTTTCGGATAGACGAAATGCTTGACAACACAAAATCAAGTCAAAGTCGCGATAGTGCAGCTAGGTTGAGCACTGTAATGGTGTGCAGTGTTTCAGTCATCGGAGGTTTCGGGCAGGACGCCCAGGGCTAAGCGTCCATGAATAAATGACTCAATTGGGATATGAGGCAGATCTGCTGGTCGAACACTACATCCATGCACGAAGATTGGAAACGAAAGAGTCAGAAAGGCCGTAAGTGGGATGAAATAGTAGGAGTTTGTAGCGGGAGAGTTGATCAACCTTTAGCCATTGTATTGTGTCTCATAGTATGACATAGCCTCCAATCATCCCATTGCAGGCTTCAGTGTCACAGTTGCTCTTTTTTCTATGTCCCAGACCCGGCATTGTCCGTACACTGCTACACCCAGCATTCAGAAGAGACAATGATCATGTTGTCTTGCTCGTTGTTGCTTGAGAGTGTTTCTCGAGGATGTGGGTGGGGTTGCTGGACAAGCCTTCGGCCTGGTTATCTTTGCCTTCGTCCTTGCCGCTGGATTCATCGATCTGAGTACGGAAAGTTAGTATCTTGAAAACGAAAAATGAGATGGGTGGCGGTGATGCGAGGAAGTGCTGGTACGACTAGTATTGCCAGCGATGGCTTGCAGTTGGGAGGGCTGTGCTATCGACGTGATATAATCATACCTTTCCACTGCCGGGTTGAGGCTGTCCGTGCTGAGCGTTGGTCTGGGTCTCAGGCTCTGGGGACTGACGACCTGCGTTTGGTGCAGACATGGTGGCTGAGTTTTGTTCGTGAGGAGCTTCTTAAACCGGTCAGCAGTGCATCAGAAAAAGGACCGACGGAGAAGGAAGAAGAGGGATAAACCGACTTGTGCAGGTATCTCTTCAGGTGTTTCAGTTGGTCTCACAAAGGTCGAAGCTGGATGATTTGGTTGAGCGTTGATTCTTGGGAGGTTAGAGAAAGATAGAAGACAAAAGTCATGGGAAGTAGAAGCAGGAGGAGGATATACTACTAGTACTACGTGACAACATGAAGTGGGGAGGAGGGATGATGCATTGAGGCCTTTGGCGATGACGTTACCTTCAAGTTGGTGGATTACGAAGACTTGAAACCTGCGTATCAGCACAGGCGGCCTGCGCTCCGTTTTCGCCAATCGCAAACCAAATGAAGAGTAGGTATGTACATGTAGGTACCTTAAGGTACTACACAGTAGTAGACTTCCACAATGAGTACCTACCTACCTACTACTAGTAAAATGCATGTGAACGTGATTTGACACTGGCCTTTATGCTGCAGGCGTCTTGCTGCTTTGGACAGGTTGCAGTTTTCTGCTTGATGTCCAATGCAATGCATTTCTACATCGAAATCTGAAATCTCCGCCAATCTTCGAGAACGCCACACAGAAAGCTCATCCACTCAACTCTGTCAGTGTAGTTTCCACGTGCCCGAGCTGCAAACGATGCATCCCCCTTCAAGTTCATCCTGATCCTCATATCCAAACCTCCATCATGTAGCCACGGAACCGACAATCTGCAACACCAATTGTTGTCCTACTTTCCCCTCAGACTTGGACTGGCGATTCCGAACACGGCCAGACCATGCGCCTTGCAGTTAAGGCAGCTTCTGTTTTTCTCCTCGCGAATCTTGAGCTGGACGTAATTGGGGCATTGACGACCAGCCTGATATTTGCAGCCCTGCTTGTCCATCTGGTATGATTCATAGTGGCCACACTTCAGGCTGATCAAGCGCTCGAAGCACATTGTGAGGGATTTTCGGTTTTCCGTAGCTGTGACAAGTTTCAGCACAATGAAGTCCATTGATGGCGCGCACACAAGACACACATTGTTTATTGTTCGTAAGGGATTCTCAGTCCAGATTTGCCGCCTTTTATCTGTTTGCAGTCGCTGTCTGTACACTGGGCCCCAGTGCTCACGGCCGGCGCAGTTACCCAGGCTCGTCGCAGGCCTCACAGAAGCGGTCCGTGGAGATGGTGGAGGGCTTGTTCATACTCTGGCAGAAGGCGAGTCGATCAAAATCAGCAATGCAAAGTAGAGCAATCGTCCAGAACGACTGCGATGCGATGATTTAACAGAGTGTCGGTGAGAGTCACCAAAGGGGTGGGATGGATGTTTGGGTTGCGAGGCGCAGGTAGAGTTTTGGTCTCTTGGGGACTTGCCTTTTGCCGGTTGCAGCAACGAAATTGGGGCGTGACTCCGGCTGGCGACTGCGCCATCACCCCAACTTGCAGAGTTCAGCCCCAGGTCTCTCTGTCTCTCTCTTGCTTCCACACTTCCTTCCCCAGCACGTTCGTCATGCTGTATCACGCCTGCAGACCGATATGAGGTTTGCCTCTTGACAGAACTAATAGGTGCCACGCTGTGTACTACCTAACGAGCTACTATACAGCACCATATCCTTGATCGTTGCCATCTGATCTCTCGTGACCAGAACTGTCTCCTTATACTCCTTGTACTCCTTCAATTGACATGACACCTACGGCGTTGTTTGCTCCCCAACTGCGAATCCCCAGGGTGGCCAGCCTGCCTACGTCGGCCATACTGGTGGGTTGTGTGTGATCTGACCCTCCGCATCTGTCTAGCCGTCCATTCTGACAGCAGTGCTGGAGTCTTCGTTGAGGCACGGACGAACTGCCAATTCCTGGAGTATATGCTGATATTCGGCAGCAAGAATTTGCTAAATATACATCCCAGGTAGCATATTCGTCTGCATACACCGTCACTGACGAACAGGGCTCTCAGATAACCGTTGTCGTCGTTAAGACACAGTCCAGGCCTATACCTCCACAGTAACCAAATCGAGATGCCCTCCGGGTACAGTCGTCTCCCGATCAGATAAGGCGTACAGGTTGCTTTCTGACCGGCCGAACACGAACAAAATACATCGGTTCTGCTCCATTAGCTTTCCCTGTCTGGCAATCCGAGAGCGCAGGATCTCAAGCAAGAAATTATGATTTTCGGAATCATCTGAATATGGTACGTAGAAAGGAAGCTATGAAAACATCATACCGGAAGGGCAACGGTCCTACTCATCTCTGCTATCGTATACATCATCGGATCAAATACCTTTTGCATCACTTCCACAGCCATTGTAGCCTTGCTGCTGCCACATTCTGACGGCTCTCACCTGCAAGGCGGCTCCCGTTTTAGTCTGCCACGTCGGGTACCACTGGTCCCTCGCGGCCCAAAAATCTCTCTTCGCAGTCGGACTGGCGTCCACCCACGGTTTACCAGCCTCGCCGTCCCTGAACCAGCCGTTGGTTCCGCCGACAGCAACATTGAGCAACAAATAAAAATCCTGATCAAAAGGTGTGGCGGCATTCCCCGTTTGGCCCCAAGGGTTGACAATGGCAGTTCCGTTGGCATACATCAGAGGGAAATGGCCTCTTTGCCAAAAAGGAGTGCTGAACTTGTTATACACCACTTGCAGCAATCGACCGTTGAGGTACGTGTACAGGTACTTCTCACTCCATTCAAGACCATATGTGTGGAATCCCTCCGAGAATGTTGAGTGCAGAGCGTTCTGTTTCCTGTATGTCCTCCACCAAGCATCGTTGGAAGCATCAGGACCCCAGTGCAGGGACGAGGACATAATGTCGTTTCCACCGGTAGGGTATGTCCAGTTGTTCCCACGAGACTCTGCAATATCGATTTCTCCACTCCGAGGCCATGTACCATAGGCCGAATCTTTGGGCAGCATCCAGATAGCAGGCCAGATCCAGTCGCCCTGGGGCATTTTCGCTTCGACTTCTACCCGTCCATACTTGATATTGGCGCCCTTCTTGGTGTGGATGCGCCCGGACTTAACCGGATTGATTATCGTGCCATTTGTGCTGTTGGTCGTGGCAACACAATCGTACCACTTGTCACTGGTACACGTCCCTAGTCTGGTAAGGTTGAGAGTGTGGTTACCGGTCAGGAGGGTGACGTCCTGAAGCGTGGGTTTGATTTGAAGCAGGTTATCCTTCACGAAGACGTTCTCGTCGGTCCCGGTTGTCTCCTCAAATTGACCGTTGCCAAACCCTCCGACTTGGACGTCCTTGGTCCAGATCCGAGGATCCAAACTTCCGGACGTGAAAGCATCTTCATACACCATGCAATACTTATGCATTGGCACGTTGTGAATGCCAAGGAAGATATATGCTCCTGCGATCCCGAATCCCAGGAGAATTCCGATGAGGGGAATGATGGTTAGCCATTTTTGACGAGGATCTTTCTGTTGCCTCAGCCAGGCATGGTCGGTATCGCGGTCTTTGATACGACGAGACCGGAAATATACCCCAGCCTGAGGAACGACTTTTTCGTGGACCGATACCGAGGATTGTATTTTGTTGACTGGATCTCCCAAGGGGTCTTCTGCTATTGAAGCGTGACGACCGAATTTTCCGTACGGGAATGCTTCCGCAGTCCTAAAAGCTGGCGTCCAAGCGACAGGGTTCTTGAATAAATAGTGGGCAGGAGCAGGAGCTGAATGTATCCTCTCCAGCGACGGCTGGGTGCTGTTTGCAGCCACCGACGCATTTTCTGATGGGACAGTGCCTGATTTGTTCCCCGAGGATCGCCTCCGCCCTTTCTCGGGGCCGGTATTTGGCCTGATATATTCGGATATCGACGCGCGTTGATCCCAGCGGTTCTTGTTCAGGCTCTCTGGGTGACGATACAATCCCTCCTGGTGGCTGAGCCCCTTTGTCAGATTGTTGGAGAACGAACCAGCTCGGCTCCCAGCTTGACTGGCAGATCTGCTGGATGGTGCCTTGTTTACGGCGCTACTTCGCCTGGACGACTGCAACCTGTCCCCAACTTCCTGTCCCGGATTGTCTTGACCTACTACAACATTTGATGACTGTGCTACGTTGGAGCCATTTCTGGCTTTCGCAAAAGTGCCTATTCGACCTGGATCTGAGGGGGCCCGCGGCTTGATGTAAGAACCGGCAAAGGATCTTGATCTCGTCCATAGATTTTGTGATGGACGCCTGGAGCTGGGCTGGCTCGAGTCTTGCGCAGAGCTTGAGGTCTTTCGGCTTGACGGCTGAGTCCGAGTCGCGACTTCATCAAAGGCTTCTGTGTCGACGGCGGACGGGAAGTAGGCTGCCGGTTCGACAGGATATTGACCGTCATTATAGCCCGTCGCCCACCGTATTGGTTGATGGCCAACTTCCGAATTCGTGGAAACGGCTGTGATCGGTACGGTGCCTGTTGGAGAAGGGTGTTCGGTAATAGCACTGTCCTGGGATTCTTCTCTGACCGTCTCCTTAATGACGGCGCTGTTGATTGCACCCGATCGGTATGGCATTATGGCGGAGATGAGGGAACTACGTGATGGACAAGTCGAGGATGGTGAGCAACGGAAATATGGCAGAGCCCGATACGAAGCCTATCGGCCGCCTTGTTCTTCTGTGGCAGGCATACTCGTTCTCGAGTCTGCGAAACGTCCCAGTGATTGCGACGGCCATCCAGACCCAGGATTGAGTTCAGTAGTAGAGGCAGTGCAGGTCGATAGTCGGGAGACATCCGACGAGGGACCAAGAGAATCAGCACGGATCAGCAAAAAGGACACGTGCCGAGCGATAGCCGAAAGAAACAAATCTTCTGGATCCGGCCTGATGGTGTCGATTTCCACATCATCTTGGGCATCTTGTCGTGCCCTGGAGATCTAGATACGATCTGGCATGGGACAAGCCGCTCGGGCCACCGACAGGTCATTGCGTGCTGGTCTTTCACCACAATATTGATCTCACTCAAATGTCCCGGCATCAGCAGGCGCACAATCTTTCTCAAAAGAGGTCGACAGTTTTGGAATCGTCGACGCCACACGAACTCACGCCCAGTCCTTCCACCCCAAAGACTGCTTCTGCCAACCGTTCAGCGTGCAGCTGCCAGGCTAGGCAACGCCTACCAGGCTGGATCACTACAATGATGTCAAATCGGCTGCAAGCGGTTGCCCCAGTGAAGAATCTTCTCCTGCTTCATGACGCTGCTTGTCGTCGAGAGTCCACCCACTGCAGCTTATTCCATGGCGGCGGAGAGTAGGTTTGCAGCCGGCACAAATCTGGGGCCAATGGAGGCATTTTCTGGTCCTGCAGACTGGGCGGTGGGGAGATGCAGCACTGTACAAATTGTACAGGGCGTCATGGACTTTCTGCATCGGCCTCAATTCACAACTGACTGGCGATACTGCTCGTCTTCGCTAGCCTGGCACTGCCATGCTGGTACCACAACAGCCCATATCGTGGCCATCACGTCGATCCAAGGCAGTCACAAAGGCAAAGGCTCCCGCCGTGGAAACAATTCCCCAGGAAACAGACAGTGGCAGCTCATCGAGCAGTGAGCAGAGAGATGTTCCCGAGGTGCAGGTGCCGAGTCCGCGGGCGGGGCGCAAAGTCCACCACAGTAGCAATGTCAAGTTTGAAGTCATGCTACTATATCTGCGGCAGCAGCAGCTGGAGAAAAGGTGGGCGGATGACAACTCTACCGAGGGCGTCATCTTGAAACGGGGTAAGGACGACTTCATCTGTCAACCCGCAGATCTGCCCAGACATGTCAATGGGTTCTTCGACGAGACCAAAAAATTGAACGTCAAAGTATGTTCTCTGGCGCAAATCTTGGTATCACGACCTCCGCTTCAAGTGTATTGACAACGTTTCAGGTTGCCATGACCGTGAGAACGAGCGCCATCAGAATGTTTCTCGAGGAGTATCAACACCCCTTTGTGCCCTTCAGCCACGGGCAACAGCTCCATATCATTGACAACATCAGCGCGCTGTCCTTTTGCAAAAGGCATCATTATGCCGCGTTTGTGCGAAGTCAAGGCATGCTTGTTGTTTGGGACGAAGACCCGACTGAAGTCGTTAGCCGCGCAGAACGGATCGAGAGACTCCTTGTAAATATGCTGTGGAGCATGGATAGCTCGGATGACGAATTGGACCCGATCGATGTCGAAAAGAAGGCCCTTGATCCCTCCAGGGGGACCGGGGCACCAGACAGGTTGACGGATGCCAGCGAAACCGACGAGGAAGAAGTCTGGGACAAGCCTCGCAAGACAGTCATCTACCAGGCCTTCCTCGTCGCATGCGTGTCCATCATAACGATCTTCTGTCTTGCTATCGGCTGGAGGCAAATCGCTACCGAGATCAAGATCGACAAAAGCTATTCTAGACTGGCTATCCTAGTCCCGGCGCCTTTGCAGTTGTGGTTGGGCTGGTTTTTCTTCACGACCTTGGTCAACGGCGTCTCTCAGATAATCGGCCCTGTCAAACAGTTGACGGAGAATTCACGATTCTATTCGGCAATGCCGCCGGTACGTTTGACAGGTGTGGGCGCCACTCTACCCCACGTTACGATTCAGTGCCCGGTGTACAAGGAGGGGTTGGACACTGTCATTCACCCGACGGTGGTGTCTCTCAACAAAGCCATATCGACCTATGAATTGCAAGGCGGCAGTGCCAACATCTTCGTCAACGACGATGGCATGCAAATCATTTCTGAGGACGACGCGCGCAGGCGGATTCAGTATTATGAAGACAACAGCATCGGCTGGGTTGCCCGGCCAAAACACGCACCCAAGGGCGACGCGGACGGCAAAAACGTCTTCATCCGAGCCGGCAAGTTCAAGAAAGCTTCCAATATGAATTTCTGCCTAGCCGTGAGCAATCGGATCGAGGACAAGATGGCGGAAGTCGTACGGGCCCCGACCTGGAACCAAGAGGACGAATACCGCCTGTACCATTCGTGCTTCGACCAAGTCCTCGCCGAAGACAGCGGCCGCACCTGGGCCGGTGGTGACATCCGGGTCGGAGACTACATCCTCCTCGTGGATTCCGATACCCGCGTACCGCAGGATTGTCTACTAGATGCTGTTTCCGAGATGGAATCGGCGCCCGAGGTGGCCATTATCCAGTTCTCCTCGGGCGTGCTGAACGTGACTACGAGCTTTTTCGAGCGCGCCATCACCTTTTTCACCAACTTGGTCTATACAGCGATCCGGTTCGCCGTGGCCAATGGGGACGTGGCCGCTTTTGTCGGGCACAACGCAATGTTGCGATGGTCTGCAGTGCAAGATGTCGGGTATATTGACGATAAGGACGGCATCGAGAAGTTCTGGTCGGAAAACACGGTCTCGGAAGACTTCGATATGGCTCTCCGGCTGCAAGCCATGGGCTATATCATGCGCTTTTGCACCTACTACGGCGACGGCTTCAAGGAGGGTGTGTCGCTGACGGTCTACGACGAGTTGTCCCGCTGGGAGAAGTACTCGTACGGCTGTGCCGAGCTGCTATTCAATCCGTTCCGCTACTGGGTCACACGGGGCCCCATCACACCGCTGTTCCGCCGCTTTATAACCAGCCGGATGAGCCTGATGGCGAAACTGACCATCCTGGCCTACGTGGGCACCTATTTCGCCATCGCCTCCGCCTGGCCGTTGACCTTGATGAACTATTTCCTCATCGGCTGGTTTAACGGCTATTTGGATCACGCGTACGTCACGTCGTTCGAGATCTATTTCGGCATCGTCGTTGTCTTTCAGGGCCTCGGCACCGTCAGTCTGGCCGTGCTGCGGTACCGCGTGGAGAATCGCTCACTGGTCGGCTCGTTACTGGAAAACTTCACCTGGCTGCTCCTGCTCACCGTCTATCTCGGCGGGATCTCTATGCATATCTCCCAGGCTATCCTCTGCTACCTCTTCAGCATCAACATGACCTGGGGCGCCACGGCCAAAGAGGCCGAGAGGACGTCCTTCTTCCGGGAGGTCCCTGTTATCCTCAAAAAGTTCAAGTTCACCTTTTGTTATTGTATCGTCATGATCATCGTCATGATTGTTATGGCTGGAGTCGGCCCGTTAGGAGCCCTCGTGCCGCACGATTGGAGGATCACCACGTTTACGGCCATTTTCCCACTCGCAATCTTGGTGGCGTTTCATTTTTTGCTGCCGCTCGTGTTGAATCCGGGTTTGATGCAATTTACTTTCTAGCTGGGGTTCGCAATCAGTGCGCGGACATGGGCACCTTTCTGCTGGGGTATAATACAGGATGGTTTAGCAAGCGGGCGTGAGGCATCTAACTTTGGGAAGGCAAGAGAAGACTTTTGGAACATGTCATTCATGGATTTGCTCAATACTCGCTTTGAGACTACCTAATGAAACGCTGCCGTAGCTCCGTTGAGCTTGATTGATCACCTCATGCACATCATAACTAATGAATGCCGGCCATGTCGCGGGGCCGCGTCGTTCAAACGCTTCCGGCTGGCAACTGTTGCCCGCTGGCTTGAGCAGCTTCCTTGACTTCGCTAGTTGCGGAGTCGCTGCTCTTTGCGCAATTGGCACATGCACAGTGGCCAGGCGGACAACCACATGTTCCCTCAGATCCACCACATTTGCAGACTGTCTTGTCGGTGCCCTGGACAGATTCTGGCTGATTGGCATCCGTGTCACTCTTTGCGCAATTGGCACAGTTGCAGTGGCCAGGAGCACAGCCACAGGCGCCCTCGGAGCCACCGCACTTGCACACCGTCTTGTCGCTACCCGGGACCTGCTCTGGCTCACTGGTCTTGCCAGCCTTGAGATCTGCAAGTCTTCTGGCTTCCGAATGCACGTCTCTGACCTGCTTGTCCGTCTGCTTGTAGAACTCTCGGACCTTATTGCCAGTAGGAGTGCCCAAGGCTTTTTCGAAGTATGAGTTCAGACCAGCCCAAGCACTCATAGCCTTATCCGTAACACCGTATTTGTTGTCTACCGACTTTGCGGTGTCGGTCGCTTTGTATTTGTCGTCGAACTTGTGGAGGGCCTCGGTGAATCGGGAGCTGAAGCCATGTTTATTGTCCATGTCTATAGCCTTCTTGATGACATTGTCGGAGAGTACGTAGCCGTGAGCGAGATATTCGGCAACGATTCTCGATCGAGGCTTGTCTTCCTGTGCAATGTGGTCGTCTCCAACTGACGATGACACGGCCGCACCGGCTTTGGAGGCAACGTCATCAATGGTACTCGCGGTGGTAACGTTCACTTGTGATTTTCCGAGTTGGGTATTGTCAAGAAGGAGCGCGGTCTTAGCGGCACTGTGAGATTGTTAGAATTATGGCTTCAGGAGGAGTTCTGGTTGCGGGGTTCTAGCTTACCTTTCCTTCTCGAAAGTTACGGTGGCTGACTTGGGTGCATCGGGGGCGGAGGACTCAGGAGTAACAGAGATCGAAGTGATCTTGCCGCTGAGAAAATGTTAGCTTGACTCATCGAAAAAGCGAGTGAACTGTTATATCGTGCTTACCAGAAGCTGAAGAAGTCCTTGACCTCCTTTTCGCTGGTCTCCGGCGAGATGTTCTTGACGTGGACAGTGGTCGACATGTTGAAACTTGTGCTTGAAATGTGAGTTGGGAATGTGTAGGATGGTGTGTAGAAGTCTTGAGACTATACTGAGATGAGTTGCTTGTCTTTGGTATTTTATAACAAGGAGGAAGGCAATGCAATTTTGGCCCAAATCAAGGGACGCAGCAGGAACGACGCAGGTGATGAGGGAGGCGACGAATACGTCACCTGTTTTGCTTGGAATTTCCCCCACCTCAAGTTTCACGAAAACCCTCGAAGCTGCCTGCGCCACTTGGCACTGCGCCACACTGCACCGAGTACGCGCCATACGTGTGCGGCTCGCGTATGCAGTAGTATACGAGATACGAATGCGCGCGTACTGCGCATGTTCCGCCCGACCTCAAGGCTGCGGCCTCCCTGACGACCACCATAAGCCGGATACTGGTACCGCCGCTTCGCTCTCCAGGTACAACATCTTTGCTGCTGTTGACGCATGTCGCCGGTGTTGACGAGATACCGTACTAGCCCGACACTTGGCGATGCTGCTTACCTCTGAACTCCTCGACAACGCAGGCAACAGCAATACGCTCTTGGAAGCGACGGCTGCTCTCCAGTTATCTACCATTTCCGCGTTATCTAGGGGGGTCTCGTTATATGAATGAAGAAGTCCACAGCGCGCTTCCACCATCAGGGACCCTGCCGATGGCAAACTGATATCGAAGGTACTCCAGAATAGACACCGACGATACCGTTATCTCGGGCGTGGAAAGAAAATCCATTTCAGGACAAGCCTCAACAAGCTTTCGATGGCTATGACCAACCAATGAAACATGAGCGGATAAGCGGGAGGCGCCAAGCGACGCGGCTGGGCGAAAAAGCTTTTATTGAGGGCGGTGATTGGATGTCTGTGAACGACGGCCGCACGAAATCCTCCTCTGTATCCAGTGTCATCACTAAACTCCCGCCGTCTCACTGTCTTGTGGTCCTCCGCTCCCAATGGTCGCGGTCCAAACAGGTTCCTCCCATCTCTGACCCCATATCATGGGGTTCGTACCTAGGTAGGTTACTAGGCACCAGAATGGAACAAGGGTCAGTCAAGGAAAGCTATTGCCAATCCCCCGTATCATGGCTCATCCTCAATCTCGCCCAAGCCCCACCCACCCTTGATTCTTACTTGTACAATGTACCACACAGTGCACATTTCCTATCGCTCTCTTCTACGTCAGCTTTATCAGGGACGTCTGAAGAGGACTTTGTGTCCCCCTTGGGTTAGAATCTTTCGGATCCGAAATCATAGCCTTGGGATCTGGTATCTGGCAGACGACTACTTGCATTCTGTTGCTTCTCCTTTGGAACTTAGTATCAGCAATTCGAGGCTCTGCACTCTCTTCTACGTCAGCTTTATCAGGGAGATCTGAAGAGGACTCGGTGTCCCCCTTGGGTTAGAATCGTTCGGATCCGAAATCTGAGCCTTGGGATATGATATCTGGCAGAGGATTACCTGGACTTTGTTGAATTCTTCTTTTGAATTCACCATCTGCAATTTGAGGCTCTGCACTCGCTGTCAGCTCATTTTGCCCACGACAGTACTCAACGATCACCTTTTCCGCCACTGCACGGCTTGTGCAGCGCCCAGAAGCGCCCAACATGTCTGTCGCCATCCAAGACACCGATAGCAACACGTTGGCCCTGTTGGGCAAAAAGCAAGTCCTCAAGCGACGATTCGGCTTCTGGTCCCTGTTTGGATTCGCCGTGTGTGAATTGATCACCTGGGAAACTGTTCTGGCCTTGTTCAGCCAGGGCTTCGACAATGGCGGTCCGGCAGGCTTGGTATATGGCTTCATCATAGCCTGGTCGTCCACTTTCTCCGTGTACTCGGTCATCTCGGAGCTGGCGTCTATGGCTCCTATCGCCGGAGGCCAGTACTACTGGGTCTACATGCTTGCTCCACAGCGATACAAAGTGTTCTGCAGCTACATCATTGGTTGGCTCACAACTCTTGCATGGGTAGCGACTGTTGCAACCGAAACCATCTTCGCCGGGTCCATGCTTCAGGGTCTCATCATTATGGATCACCCCGACTACGACGCAAAGGCATGGCAGGGGACGCTGTTTGCCTGGCTGGTGATTGCGGTGGCTATCTTCATCAACATTGTCATCCCGGGCATGCTTCCCAAATTCGAGATCTTCATCATCGTCCTCCACATTGCTGGGTTCATCACGATTCTGACACTCCTTTGGGTCTATGCTCCCCACAATTCGGCCTCGTTCGTCTTCACCACCTCTCTTAACGAGGGCGGCTGGCCGACTCAAGGCTTGTCTTACTGCGTCGGCTTCCTTGGTAAATGCCTCTTCGAACTCCAATACTAGCTATATGTATATCGTTGCTGACATGATTTGGGGAAAAAGGCAATGTCGCCACGTTCGTCGGCGCAGATGCTTCTGTCCATATGGCCGAAGAAGTGGCGCACGCCGCTAAGAACATCCCACGCGCCATCTGTGGCAGCATGATCATCAACGGCATAGTAGGCTTCGCCATGATGTTGACCGTGCTATTCTGCCTCGGCGACGTCGACACCGTGCTGGACTCGGCCACTGGATATCCGTTTATGCAGGTCTTCTACGGTAAGTCTCTCTACCAGCTCCAGGACATTATTTCAACCCAAATTATGCATTCGCCTTCGTATACAGATTGTCACGCAAAACGCTGACATGACCTAGATAGCGTCCAATCTGTTGCAGGTGCCACAGTGATGGCTGCCCTCGTGCTCGTACTGACATGGGCTTGCGCCACGGGCATCATCACGACCGCCAGCCGGATGGCGTGGTCCTTCGCACGCGACCGCGGCACGCCTTTCGGCAAAACCATCAGCTATGTTTCGCCGCGGCGCAAGATTCCCATCGTCGGGGTCTTCGTCGTCACCGGTCTGGCTGCGCTTCTCACCCTGATCTACATCGGCTCACCCACCGCCTTCAACGACGTCATATCCCTCACCATCACGGGCTTCTACTGCTCGTATTTCCTGCCCGCAGCTTTCCTGCTCTACCATCGAATCAAGGGCCACGTGCTCCCCCACCAGCAGGACACCCCCGGAATCCCGATCGGCGACGACACTGTCGACGCCGCCTCCGGGCCGTTCGAGAAAAGCGACGTGCCCAAGGACGATCCGGGCGCCAAGTCGACATCGCTCGCGGACAGGGACGTGGAGCTTCCCGCGATAGAGCCTCCCCTGGAACAGAGCCGCCACCACTCGGTGGTGCAGGCCCAACTGATTTGGGGCCCATGGCATATCCCGGGGATTTTCGGCATCATCAACAACGCCTATGCCTGCGTGTACATGATCTTTGTGATTTTCTGGAGCGTGTGGCCACCTTCGACGCCCGTGGACTACCAGACCATGAACTATTCCATCGTCGTGACTGGAGGAGTGGTCATCTTCAGCATCATCTGGTACTTTGTTCGTGGGCGGAAGGAGTACAAAGGACCGTTGATCGATGACGAGGTCGCCGCCGTGTTGAGGCTGGGTAGCGTTGTTCATGTCTGAGCGTCTCCTTGACAGCGACATGACCATGAAGTAGCCGTGTCTCTTGTTGAGGAGTTAGATAAAAGAAAACAAAGGATCGTGTGACACAACAGAGTTATGGCAATCCGGGATGTACCACTATCCACATGAAGCAAACTCTACCACCCTTTGGGCGTCTAGCTGCTAGGCTTTCTTCCGAGGTCTAAACTCTGGTTCACAGCAATATGTACATATTGAGGAGGAGACCCGCTCCAGGTGCGGGTCAGCAGGACTCAAAAAGTATGAAAACGTGTACAATCAACTACCACATGAACCGTTGCACGCTCCCCGGCTCCTGTGGCCATTCGAAGCCTCTATACAAGAACACGTAGCAGGTGACGAGATTGATCATGGCGTACCATGTCAATTCGATAGCATTCGAGTACGAGGCCGCGACTCGTAAGATGGCCTGCAGGCTGGTTGGGGAGCGAGGCGCTAGAGGACCATGGCCAGAAGAGCTTTTCTTCTCTGACACAGCTTTGCTTTCCTCGTTGGACGATTGGGGGATATATTCCGGCACGGCCATGCGCCATGTGAGCCAGGGAATAAGAAAATATCGAGGCTCGACAAGCGGGGCGCTGACCAGCGACAACGACGTAGTAACAAACCAGACCAGCACCCAACTCACCCGCACGGTTTCGTCTCCATACAAGACGCGACTTGGTGATTGATGTGGCCGTCGTGGTTCCGTCGTAGGTCCACCAAGAGCTCCAAGGACCAGACAAGCGCAGACATAATAGACAGGCACGGCGACGTATTTCAGAAGCCAGTGTTGTCGCAGGATCCGGAAGACGTAGAACGTGTAGTGTCTATTATCAGCGAGAGTGAATGGGTGAATGATGGTGTTTAAGTTGACGGTGACGAGCATAAGGGTGAGAATGACCAGAGTCGTGCTCAATCTAGGCAGACGCTGGCGGAAGGTCGGAAGGTGAACAAATTGCGGGAGCAAGACAGGCCAGGAGAAGAAGACGATCAACGGCCAGATGTAGAGCATTTGAGGGAGGTGCAGCGTTGCGATGTGGTTGTCTTTGTCACCGAGGACGACTCCGCCATTCCAGGCGACGAAACCCGCGAACGCGCCGAGAAGGGACAGTTGCGGCCATAAGTCCAGAAGCAGTCGCGGGACCAGTATGAATGCGGACTGACCTAGGGAGATACTCGTGGTAGGGACATCTGCAGACAACTGTTAGAGAGCCCAAAGAAAATTAGAAAGGAAAAGCCGCTGTTAGATCACGGGTCGGCGGAGAGATTGCTCATTCTAACCTTCAAAGTATGCTTCAGACACAGGAGGATCATGGAGCTTTTCGACTCCAATCTCTCGTCTGACGCTTTCAAGCACCTGTAGTCCTCCCAGGTAGACCGCGACCCAGAAGATATTGGTCTGCCTGGTCGCAAGGCTCACCAGGCCAGCAGCCAGATGAAGTGCTTGGTACAGAAACTTGCTGCTTCCTTTTGCGGAGGTGCCAGCAGACCAGAAGATTTGAGCCAGAACGACCGTGAAGACGCTGAACAGGTCGGTGTAATACAGAGCAGAGAAGAAGAAGATCAAGGGAAACAGAATGATGCTGAACTCGCGCTGTAGGATGCTTTCGTGGCTGACTGTCTTCCTTTCCACGGCCGTAAGAATGTACAGTGCGACAAGTAACATGTAGAGCAGCAGGACGTTGGTGGATCTCCATTCGTTCAGGGATGGTTTGAAATCGAGGGAGACGAAGTCTCGCACGGAGTTGACCATGTAGGAGAAGATGTAGAGGCCGGGCGGAGTGGTGATTTTCGGATCCCATTGTGTCCACTTGCCTAGCCAGTAGGCCTGGGCTTGAGGCACATGGAAGAACTCATCCAGGTAGGGAACCGGGACGAGTTGGTTGACGAGCCGTCGCCATGTCATGTGTAGACTGGTGATCAGGCCGAGAACGAGGACTCGGAGGAACTCTGGGCTGGTGAAATATGACATTGGCGTAGGAGTAGGGACAGAAGGGACATTAGCCAGAGGCGCGCAGCAGTAATGTAGTCCTTTTTCCGATTGCCTATCTCCGCATAAGAGTAGTGGTTGAAGAGTGGTTGGGAATACACTAAGAACAAGCGAGAGAATGCCCAGAAGTGGTCTGGTTGAATGTTGCCACGGAAGTGTTCTATATTGCCGATTCCATTGTGGTGTCCAGTCAGCCAAGCATTGATGCTGTAATTGACATCGAAGGAGAGACGCAGATATACTGTGATACTGTTTTCAGGTACATCATGAAACTCGTGACGAGGCTCCGGAGAATTGTTTGTCTTGAAGACACATATCTCGCTCCTCAGCCTTGTCGGGGCCGCCGTACTAAAGCGGCATGACACTCTGCTCGGCGCGTCACGTCTCGTTAAAGTGCAACACGCCGAATTGGGGTTCTGGCTCTGGCTCTACCTCTGGCAATGACCTCTGGATACGATAGATGCCACTGCGTGTTTGCTCATGACTGAGTCCGCGCTCCCGTACAGAGCAGCCAGGCATACGGAGCAATAACAGCTGTGACCATGGCCTTCTCGAACCCTCCAGGCCTCCTCCCCACCGAAGTGGCATTTCTCTGCGAAATGGAACAAGTGACCATTGTCCCGCGCCAGCGGCTTGAGCGCCTCGACTTACTGGGCGTAAGTCTAGTCCAATTCCACGCCTACGACCTCTGCAACACATAGAGGTGCGGATGCAACCTCCCCTGCCATAGCCCCGGTCCCAATCAGTTCCCCGCTGCAGTTGCGAGAACAAAATAAAGAGAAGAACTAACGTCTGAATGGCTTGCTTGATTGCACAGGGTACCACACGACCCCTTATACCTCCACAACGAACAAATTTACCCTTATGGCTTGCCATTCTGTTGAAGCGCCAACGTCGAGCGAATATCGTGCCTCCTCCATGGCTGTACGTGGAAAGTCTCGAAGAGATCCTGGAACTAGAGACCAAGCATTTCCAAACCTCGTTCTCCTTGCCTCCCGCGCCCTCCTCGGTGGCCAGACAAACCGACTTCACGGGCAAGTCCTTCTACGCATCGACTCCGTTCGTGGAATCCTGCACGGCGTCCGCCGTCCCGAACGCGCTGCCATATCACTGGTTCGAAATGTCAGAGATGTTGCTGGACGCCGCGAGTGACGATATTTCCGATCCCGACAGGGTACGGCAACTGCTGAGAGATGTGAGGGAAGTCAGACTGGCCAAGATGCGCAAAGAGGTGGAACTGTTGTCGGGCGACGGCGAAGGCACGCGCCTAGACGGCGTGGGGGCCATGGAATTGGCCGAGTCCCGAGGCTTCCTTACTGGGGTGATAGATGGGCTTCGTAAGATCGATGCTAGCCGAGAACAGGCGAGACGGGATCGGGAGGATGAGGAAAGAGAAAACCGAAGGTATAACGACGAAGATGATGACGACGAGGAGGACAACGAAATGACATGAGATGACCATTCATAAACACGTTCAAAAAATGGGTTATGTTCGTTAAGAGCAGCATCATGCATGGACCACACTCCTCCATCACCTTGCTTCCCAAATACGGCTGTTCGTGATTCACACTCCAGAGAAGACCTCGGTCACGAGGTGGATGGAGGAGCAGTGGCAGGAGTCCCGGCTGCATCTTTCTCCTCCAGTTTCCGCCTGGCGGCCAATATCATCTCCTCTCTGCGTCGCTGGAGCATCCTTTGCCGTGCTTCTTTGCTGCTGGCCCACCCCGGAGGCGGCGTCTCTTCCTCTCTTTCCTTGCCTTTCGAGTTCACTTTGGACTGTAGGTTATATCGCGTGATAAGATCTGGAGGCGACGGTTTGGATGCCGCCAAGGTAAGAGGGGAGGATGGCAGGGACGATGTCGTCGTGGTCATGAATGAGATCGGAGGCTGAAAAGAGGGCGGCGCCTAGATACAAAGGACCCGAAAGTCATTAGCGTCTGTCTCTCTTCCAATTCCAACTTGATCCATTCTCGACCTGCTGCTTGCGACGGTGGACTTACCGGATCCAACCCTCGTCCCATAAGCACACGTTCCGTAGTGGCTTGCACACTCCCTCTGTTCCGATGTAGGTCCCACATGATATCGCGCCGGTTTAGTTGCGGAAACATCTGCGCTATCTGGTCGACTTGCGCCGGCGTGAAACGCAGGCCTGCGCTGCGCGAGGAGAAGGTCTGGCTGCCATCGGTGCCGGACCCGGGACTTGACGAGAAGAAGTATCGATAGATGAAATATCCCAGAACGGCCACGAAGGCAAGGCTGGGGATAGAGATGCTGGCTTCTTCGTCCAGGGCAGAAGACATGATCTGGTGAGATTGCGTGGTCGGGGCCGAACCCTGCGAAGGCGGCGGGAGTGAATGGCCGTACAGCAGTCCTGATGCGGTAATGGTAGTCGATGAATCGTCAGGAGGACTGTCGAAAGTCTGTCAATGATGTAGATAACGTAGTAGGCCTCTTACGTCCAAGATTAATGGCGTCCTCGACAAGTAATTGTCGTCACACACTTATATAGGTAGATGGCGGCGGCGGCGGCGGCGGGAGTCAAACGATGGATATAGCGGCGCCCGCCAAGTGGCTGCCGCGGCACTGCTGCTATGTGGAAGTCATGCCGCCCTAAGCACGGGGTGTCTTTTTGCAGCCTCGTCTACGATCGCTCTCAACCCTCAGCCTTCATCGATCGAGACGCTTAACTCGACGCCTACTATCAGTATCCAAAGTTCTAGAGGTGTGTTCAACAGCTGTGTCCAGACCTATACAGCCCCTATCGCCGGTTTAGGTGCTGCGTACTAGTTTGTCAGCTACTCTTCATTCACCCACATGGGATGGCCATATCGAGGAGATTGCACTTTAACACGTCTACACAACCTTCCGAAAACGATGTACTTGCATGGCACGCCAGACAGTGTGAGGATCTCTTCCAGGGCAGTAGCTCCATTCGGGCACTCTAGGGGAAATGTATCGTGCTCTTTGTCTTCTTGAAGCATGCTGCTCCCATACCCATTGGGGAAGGATATCAGAAATAACCAGGACCTGTGCATCACGACTTGCCGCTATCCCAACCAACCCAAGTCCTGGGCATTACTCTCCAGACCATCACCTCCCCACTCCTCAAGTCTCCAACCTTGAAGCTCTCCTCCCTGACCTTGGATCGCTTTCCCTTCTCCAAATCCCGGCCTTGTTCCCACGCCCGGATCTTCTTCTTCGTCCCGTCCCAGTCAATCACCACAGCAACATGTTCCGGTTTGCCCACGTCAACGCTATACTTGGCGTGCAGGCCCCCTTTATGCCCAGAGAACCTTGCATTCCGGAAAGTCACAATGTCACCAGGTCGAATTTCATCGTATTGCTGCGTCGAGGCGTTGCCCAAGTTGGCATATACGAGAGCGCCATAAGCTCTTGTGCCAACTGGCAGTAGGGCTGTAGGATGTGGTCGGAGCAGTTCAAGGACCAGAGATCGAGGGGAACCGTCGCCAACGGTGGCACCAAGGCGGGCCCCTGCGGCCCTAGCTATCTGCGCGCCATACTGGCTCGATGCCGCTTCGAGCTGGTCGCGCCGTGGCGGCTGCGGTGGCCGCTCGTGATTTTGCTCCAGTGTAGCGTGGGATGGATCTGCCGCATCGAAACTAGCGTTGATGGTTGTCTGGGAATAGTCCATGTACAAGACGTAGATGTCTCGCGAAATGGTCGTTCTACCACCACGCTTGGATGAAGAAGTAGTCTCCATCTCATACAGAATGTCGGATCTACCCTGCAAAGACGGTGGAGGGATGTTCTCTTGGGCCCACCACATCGAATCCCTTCCTAAGTCAATATCATGAGCGATGAAGCCTTGCTCAATACTGGCCCTCGACTGGTCCACCGAACGGCGAGAGCCGGGGGCAGATCTTTTCGCATCTAAAGATTGGCGTGGTGATATTGCCGGCGGTGGAGGCGCAGCCTGGGGCATAGTCGACAAATAATCACCTCTTTCGGCTGGCGGCGGTGGTGGAGGAGGAGGGTTTCTATCGGCCGGTGGAGGCGGTATGGAACTTTGCACAGGTGTAGCACCATACATGTCGTCCTCTTCAAGCTCCTCTTTCGGCGATTGCAGCAATGGTGTGTACTGACCCTTGCTATGGGTAGATGGAGGGGCGTGTTGAGGTGCAGAATATCTGTACGGGTCGTAGTCATCGTCATCGTCCCCTCTCGGGCCAGGGATTGGTGGAGGGGCGGAGCGAGGAGCGTCAAGGGACTTTTTCGCTTTTGGGGCGGGCTGAGGAGGGGGTGGAGGAGGAACATCGCGGTGTGCAGCAACCGGAGGCAATGGAGGCGCGGCCCGGACGGGCGGGCTCTTTGGTGGTTTTGTCGCATCGTCCGTAAGCATTCCCTCATCCAGACTCGACTCTCTGTTATGAGATTTCAAGGCATCCTTGTGTTTTGCGCTTGAAGCAATGTCGGTGTCATAATCTCCGTCATACTCCGTAACCTCGTCCTCGTCACTGGCATCGGCGCTCTGTGGCTGAACTGTTGTAAATGGTCGTGAGTCGCTTGTTGATCGGCGGCCAGGAGGTAGTCCCGGTGGCGGAGGTGGAGGAGCTCTAGATAGAGGAGATGCGTTTGTTGGGCTTATTGGGATCGGAGGCGGAGGGCGACTGGTTCGCTTCTCACCTGCGGGATGATTGGCGGATTCACCAATCTCCAGTCTGGGAGGCTCTGGTACCCTCGTTGGCGGAGGAGGCGGAAGACCGGAAGGGCTGGTCGGGGGTTCAGGACCGGTAGACTTTTCTGGAACACTGTCCACGGTAGTGCCTTGGCCATCCTCATCTTCGCCATCGGATGACTCCCCTGGGGCTGACAGCCCTCCTGTAGGGATCGGCGGCGGTGGTCGGGCTGGTAAAATCAGTCAAATGCTCGATGAGAACTTCGAATGCTACATACACGTGGGCGATTGAGGTGATGGAGGCACAGCTCTTGGGCCAGGTGGTGGAGGTGGTGGTGCAGCACCTGTGTCGCGCGGCGGCGCAGGAGGAGGCGCTCGGTCTGTACATGCTCAGTATGTCTTTCTCACCCGGGTGTTAAGTTACCGACGTACCTTGAGGTAGTGGTGGCGGAGCAGCGCGTTCCGTGGAACGCCGCTGCGGTGGTCGGGAAACATAGTCGTCTGCTTCCGATTGAGGCCCAATTCCTTGAGGTGTGGGCTCCGCGGTCTCGTCCTCCTCACTGTCGTCCGCCGCGGCAGGCTCTTCAGGCCGCTTTGGTCCAACGCTTGACAGACCTGGTAATGCCATCATGCGCACCGGTGCAGCTCTCTCTTGGGGGTCTTCCTGGTCATGCGGGTCCGTGGTTTGCCTGTTGGAGTCTGCCGGCTTGGGTTTCCTGCCGGCTCCTGGATGCCCCATGGGACCTGGACTCCCAAACATGCCCATCATCCCCATACCTCCGCTCATCTTGGCCATGCGGTCTCTGAGTTCACGTCTGCGGCGGATCTCGGGATCTTCATCCTCATCCGCATCGTCTTCCCCTTCATCTTCGTTTGCAGCCTCAGGTTCATCCAGGACGGAGTCATGCTGGGCGACCTCTGATGGAGGTTGACCAGCGCCCTGGGATCTTGGTCTTTCTTCTTCAGTAGAGGTCTCCGGAGCATCTTCCTCATCTGCAGCTCCTGAATCATCGGCATCGTTGGTATCACTCACCAACTCACGCAACGGCTGGGGTTGCGGTGTGAGGCTGGCCAGATTAGATGGACGGCGAGGCGGAGGTTCATGTGTCAAGTCTTGATGCTGCTCTTCAAAATCCGCAGATGAGCGTCCGACCGTCTCGTTGGTCTCAGTTTTCAAGAGGGCTGCTTCTGCTTGTGGGGTTTGTTCGGCAGACTCTGTGGGTTCCACCCGTCTTTTCAGCGGCTTCTTTGGCTTCTCCTTCTTTTCAGCATTCCGGGCAGCTTGTTCAAGTTGCTGCTTTTGTAGTAGAGCTATCCTGTCTTTCAGGCTTTGCGGCTTGGGTTGATCGTCCGCCTGGGTATCTTGTTGAGGACTGGGAACATCGAGGGCCTCCCTCTGTTCCGCCTCAGCATGACTCGGATCCTCCTCACGCTGGGTTGATTTTGAGACAGGAGCATCCCTCGGCGGAGGAACATAGGCATTTCTGCTAGGCGGAGGAGCAACGAAGGGCTTCTTGATAAACCCGGAAGGCGAACTCCCGGCTGGCTTGTATGGGGTTATTGGCGCAGCAGCGGGCTTGTTGAATGCAGCGATCCGATCTCTGAACGAACTCGACACTGGCTTCTCTGCAACGGGAGGGGGAGCCTTGGAGCCTGATGCTGGGGAATGAGGCGCCGCGCTCTCGGGTTCTGCCTGTCTGCTCACAGCTGCCACCGCGCCCCCGTCCTCTCTAGAGAGCGTCTCTTTCTCCTTGTTCGTCTCTGTTCCCTCTTGACTGTGGCCTTCCGTAGACTCGGCGGGCTGAGGACCTTCAGTGTGCTCGTTGAGCGGAGGGGCAGGCTGCGACACTGGAAGCTCTTGGGCCTGATCGGAGGCTTCTGGAACAACCGGCGCACGTCTCGGTGCTCGCGCTGGCCGTGAAGGAATGGCCGGTTCGTATTTCTCGACGAAATTCTTCGGAAATATGCCTTCCAGTTTCTCCCCAGCGGCATTCACGTATTCCCCGGCGTACCACTCCGCATCTTCCTCGGCCGTCACAGTGATTATCTGGCCATTCTCGAAGTTCAGATCATCCGGCTCCTCGGACTTGTATTCGAAGACCGCCTTGACCTTGAAGGGTGGTGTAGGCATGTTGGTTGACGACAAAACTTCGATCGCTAGGGAGATCTATGCGGTGTGGTACTGGCAAGTTGAAGGTCAATTGATCTTACTCAACCCAGCGGTGACGCAGTATCTGCGCCACCTTACGCGGAAGACTGTGCCAAGGTGAGCGTAATACCGCAAAAAGAGGGCCCTTAGGTAGCAAGTAATCGTAAGCCTCCAGGAAACCCGAATCTATAAGAGGAGGTTTCCTTGAATGAAAGAGTGAAGAGAGAGGGACAGAGTTGGGCGGAGCTGGCTACGGTGCCGCGGGCGTTAGGGGTGTTGTAGTAGTAGTAGCATTGACGGCGCGCAGTCGACGTGGGGCAGCACAGTGGCAGTTTATCTGTCACTTGCTACAAAATAGTATTTCTCTCGCCTTCGGTCCCGAAATCGATCGCAACTCGAAGCTGGCAAGATTTGACTGACGGTTACTCTACTCGCAACTGCCTCCCTTTCTACCACGGCGGTGAGATTCCTCACAACGAGAGCCTTGCGAATGGCAGGTGATGGCAGACAAGACGCCGAAGGATGACGCCGAAAGCCGCATTCGTGCCACAGCCCTCACACATGCCTTGGATATCGAGGCAAGAAAGAAACTACAAGCTCGAATCGCAGACCTCGTAGTCGAGGCTTTTGACTTGCCATCGAAGCCAGATGCTGACCCGGCACGCCCGCAAGCCTCTGATGCATCGTTATTTAAAGAATGCCTGGGTCTTTTTCAAGCTTCAGATCTCGACGATCTGATCTATGAACGAAATGTAGACAATCGCTGCGGCTATGCTTTGTGTCCGAAGCCAAACCAGAAGTTGGCACATAACGGCCAGAAGGTCTGGAACAGAAAGGGAGGAAAGGAGTTTGCTCTTGTCGATAAGGCCGAGTTGGAAAAATGGTGCTCGAGATCTTGTCGGGACAGGACAATGTTTATTCGAGGTCAGCTGGGAACAGAGCCAGCCTGGCTTCGAGAAATCAAAGCCGTTGATATCAGATTGCTAGAGGAGTTCAATCCAGAAAGTCTGTCCGACTCATTCCATGTAAGTATTGCCACCTAAGGGTTGTCCGGCATCACGCAAGATCCCTCTTCCCAGCACATCGTCCATCCTGTTTTGTGGCGTGAGTCTACCACGACACAGCTGACGTCTGCAGGCCCTCTCCCTTTCCAAGAGCGCCGACGAAGGCCTGGCTAGTAAAATGCAAGAACTCGCGCTCGAACGCGGTGAGCACAATGTTGCCGGAGATCCCGAACCGGTTGCCATTGTCGAAAAGTTCAGCGACGCCATTCCGAAAGCTCCGAGGCCTCAGTCGCAGGACGATACAGTTGAAGGACACCACCCACGGAATATCCGTCCTTCCAAGCCTTCAATGACTGGATCTCGAGCACCGAACAAGAGCTAGGACGGCGAAGAAGTCGTAACCCGTCCAACGGCTAATTTCTGCCTTGGTTCCCTCCATGCGGGCAACTCTTGGAGGCAATGATGGCACGATGAGCACCAGTTATCCTGATATGTCTCTATTGAAATTAAGATGGACAGATGCAGACGGCTGGTAATTGGGAAGTTTGGAATCTATCCCATATCATTGACCAAATGCAAAATATGCTCTTTCCAGAGGCTGTCTCTCATATTCCCAAGCCAACCAGTCACTTCTCGTTGTCGGCAATAAGCCCATGCTGTTCACTTTGTAGACACCCAGACCAAGTAGGAGGCATTGCATCAGTATGTAAGCTGCCTTGATTCCCAGCATTTGCGAACGAGTGCCTGGGCTTTCGAACCTGGAAAAGGCCATGTTGGTCTGCGAGATAGCTTGGATGGGATTCTTGAAACTGCTTTTAGTCAGTACTGGAGGTGCACAGGGCTTCAGACCAGGCGACTCACAGCATGAAGACCATCATGATGGAGAATATTTGGAGCGAATTGCCAGACATATATGCCATGATAGCCTGCATCGGCACCTGCTTCGCAGGCGCAAGGGCAACCTCCCACGCTTTCTTGAGTTTCAAGGTCTCGGTCTCTTCTGTAGTTGGCACTTTCCTGCCTGCGACTTGTGATTTCTTTGTCTGGTCAGTACACGTCGTCCTCAGACTATGGGTATGACCAACCTGTTTCCCCGTAATCGACTTCGCGGCAGAAAGACCGGGCGGGTCGGGGATGCTGCTTGCATTTTTCGGTTTGGCGGGGAGACCATTGTTCAGTTCAGCAACCCATTTTGGCGATGGAGCGACCATCTTGTTGTAAAGTATCGTTGGGATGATGGAGTGACGATTCGTTGATTGTCCGTCTCTCGTATCTAGAGAGTAGAAACACCTCGCTGGAGTTACACCGCAGTCCACGATCACTAGTACGATAGGTACAATAGAGGTGGTTGGGTGGTGACTTCGGGGACGGAACATCATACACCCGGGCCATAGTACCTTAGTCAGCAGATACAACTCCTATTCCGACCTACAATTTGCGATGTTGTCGCGGCCTGCTTCATACTTGTTTCCGCCATAAGAGATACACCTCTTGACATATTCATTTGCTACCTCTTGAACACCCGTGGATGTCTTTGATCCTGTCAGAGCGATCAGGATGAATCCAACACTGCCAACGTTGTTGAACAACCTGTGACTGAGTGTCGAGTCCTCTCCATCCGACAACCCCGGCCATCGCCACGAGCCCACTACGACCCAGGATACATATTGTTGTTGACTTGACTCAACACATCCCCGAACATGTCTTCCGGGCATGGAGACGCAAAACTTTTCGCTCGGGTAAGTTCCATGTGTTATGTTATCATCCTTTTCCTCGATTCGGGTACCTCTACAGTCTTTCATCTCCCGGGCCTGAACCACCTTCCCCTTGCTCTTACACGAGAGCTCTTCGGGACAACGCCGTATCTCAAGAAGTGGCTTCTCAAGCGGGGCGGCACAATCTTAGACCAGAATCATGCCCATAATAGATACCCGTTGGTCACTGCTGATGACTGTTCTAAATGCTTTGGACTCCATGCTTACATCGATGAACAGGGGAAAGTGGCCGAATTGCGGCAAGAACTGACCAACCCGGGAAAGAAAGACAAGAACCATGCGGCGAAGAAGAACGCTCTGAAAAAGATTGTCGCCAACATGACGATGAGCAACAACGATATGGTTGCACTGTTCCCCGACATTATAGCCTGTATGCAGATTCCAGTGCTCGAGATCAAGAAAATGTACGTCAGGAGCTCAATCTAGTTGATGTCTGCCACTGAACAACGTCTAGGTGCTTCCTTTACCTTCAGCACTACGCCCGCTTAAAGCCCGATATTGCGCTCCGAGCCTTGCCTGTCTTGCAGGAGGTGAGAAATCCTCTTCTTCGTGCTCTGAGGATTCACTAATTCTGTAGGATATGCAAGATTCAAACCCTTTGATTCGTGCACTCGCATTACGGACATTGTCATATATTCATGTCCGAGAGTTCGTCGAGGGCACCATCGAACCGTTGAAGAGGTTGATGGTAGATCAAGATCCATACGTGAGGAAGACGGCCGCGTTCACGGTCGCCAAAGTCTACGACCATGATAAACGTCTGATTGAAGTGTCAGATCTCATTGATAGGCTCAACAGGATGCTGAAGGACGACAATCCGACGGTGGTTGCAAGTGCACTCGCATCGTTGCAAGATATCTGGGAGAGAAACGAAAACATCAAATTGACAATCGACTATGCGAGCGCGTCCAAGATCGTCTCCATTCTCCCGGACTGCAATGAGTGGTCACAGACATATGTCCTTGAAGCTCTGACCTCCTACGTCCCTCAAGATTCAGGAGAAGCACTTTTGTTGGCGGAGCGCATAGCCTCCCGACTTGCGCATTCCAACTCCGCCGTCGTGCTGACCTGCATCCGCGTCATGATGTATTTGATGAACTACATCTCGGATCAAAGGAAGGTGGAGGAACTGTCGCGGAAGTTGTCGCCGCCACTGATCACGCTTCTGTCCAAGCCACCGGAGATTCAATATCTCGCTTTAAGAAATGCCATTCTAATCCTGCAGCAGCGCCCCGAGGCTCTCCAGAACGACATCCGGGTTTTTTTCTGCAAATACAACGACCCCATATATGTGAAAGTCACGAAACTCGAGCTGATTTTCATGCTGGCGAACAAGAGCAATATCGCGGTGGTGCTCAACGAGCTACGAGAATATGCGACCGAGATCGACGTCCAATTTGTGCGGAAAGCTGTCCGTGCGATCGGAAAACTGGCGATCAAGATCGAGTCGGCAGCTCGGCAATGCATCGACACGCTCCTCGAGCTTGTGAATGCGAAGATTCCGTACATCGTGCAAGAAGCGACTGTGGTCATCAAGAACATTTTCCGGAAATATCCCAACCAATACGAATCCATCATCTCCACCGTCATCGGGCAGATCGACGAGCTCGACGAGCCAGAAGCGAAAGCAGCCATCATCTGGATCATTGGAGAATACGCAGATCGGATTGATAATGCCGATGCCCTGCTTCAGGACTACCTCTCCACATTTCACGAGGAGCCGATCGAGGTCCAACTGGCCCTGTTGACCGCCACGGTCAAGCTCTTCCTGCACCGGCCCACTAAAGGCTCGTCCATCGTGCCTGGAGTCCTCAAATGGTGCACCGAAGAGACGGACGACCCAGACCTCCGCGATCGAGGATTCATGTACTGGCGCCTCTTGTCCACCGACCCGGTGACGGCTAAGAAGGTTGTCATGGGCCCCAAGCCACCTATCACAGCGGAGAGCGAGAAGCTTGACCCCGTGACACTGGAAGAACTCTGTCTCGGCATTGGCACGCTCGCGACCATCTATTTGAAGCCCGTGCAGCAGGTGTTCCGCGCCGCGCGGCCTCGTCGACTGCAAGACTCGCCTGCGCTGCAGCGCAAGAAAGAGGATCTCAACCGTGCACTCGGGTCTCCTGGCATGAACCTGGCGTATCCGTCGCTGATGAATGCGGTCACGACGCCAGGTGGCACGCCGGTCGCAGGCCATCAGTCTGCAATCGAGGCAGCAGATGAATACTTCAAGAATTTGAGCCTGAGCGACAACAGCGGTGGCGACATTCTCACCAGTCCTACTGCGGGTGGCGTGGCTGGTAATGCGTATGTGGTCAGCCAGAGTGCGCCGCAGCAGATTTACCATCCTCAAGCAGGCGTGGCCGGCAATGGAGACCTCTTATTGTAGGTCGCCAGTTTAGGGTATCTGCCTCTTCAGCGTGGGCGTCTGGTACGTGCCCGAACAGCAGATCCATAGGACATCTATTCCAAATTGAACACTGGGCACGAGAGACGAGCTGGTCGCGCAGTGTCCGGCCGCCTTTCCTGTACATGTTTCTCCTACACAACCAGTCTGGTCCCGTCAGTGCTAAGGTTGTAGAATGTCCATTGTTGTTTCTTCCCTTAGGTACCTTCCCGGGCGCGTAAATGTACGTACAAGTCAATTTACCGAGTCAGATGGTATGGATTTGTTCGACGGTTTCAGTAGAATCCCGCACGACATGTAGAGCGACTTCATCCATCAAGAATCTCACTGTAGAGCCTCAGTCAGGTATGTATTAATATTGCAGTGCTGTGAGCAGTCAGTAACACTTTACCATCGAGTCAGCTCGAAGCACTGTGACGTCATTACTGACTCACACAAAGTACATGCAAGGTCAAAAGTGTGACAACTGCCCTCACTGCGTTTTGCAGCGGTTTTTGTGTTCAGCGGCCTGCAGTGCGTAGTAGGTCCTCAACTCGAGGCCAGAACAACATACCTTATATCTTGAACCCCTTTGACTGAACGGCCTACTATTCTCTATCTTACCACTTGCAACAGAAGAAACAACCTCCATGATCTTCTCGTTGTCGACACCCTCCAGAGTTTCCTCGCCATCATGGTCTCCCTCCTCGTCACCGTCTTCATCATCCAGCTATTCTGCCACCTCGTCTTGACAATCGGATCCAAACCCATCAACGACCTGGTACGTCTTTGTTTGCCACTGCATTGCAGCGCATCGCAGCGCAGCACCTATGGAGGAATCCCTGTGTTTCAGCCCCTCCTTTTTCGTTCTTGTTCTGGTTTGCTAACGTTGTCTCGTGTATTTCGTAACGAAAAGTTATGGCAAATCTACTGCAGCCTACCGTTCGGATCGTCGCGTGCCATCCAAGAACAGATCCGCCTGCGCCGTGAAGTGGTGCGCCTGAAGAGAGAGATGAACGCAGTCAGTGCGCAGGACGAGTTCTCGAAATGGGCGAAACTGCGGAGGCAGCATGACAAAGCTCTGGAACTGTATGATAAACAAGGTAAGAAGAGGAAAGAGAGAGACAGAGGAGCAAAGCTTGCGACTCAGACAGCAGAGACTAGTCTTCCTATATGGCAAAACACAAGTGAGCAGCAGAAACTGACATACAATTATTTCCATTTAGCGGCCGCCGTGTCATCATCTCGAGCGTCCTTCGATACCAAAGCCACGGCGATCCGGTGGACATGTACGAGCGGGCTGCGGTTCGCGTTGCAGTTCTGGCATGCGAAGACGCCGGTCTTTACTTATCCGCGCGGCTGGTTCCCTTGGTATATTGAATGGGTGCTCGGGTTTCCCAGGTGTCCGTACGGCGGGGTCAGCATCAATGTCTGGAGCGTCGCTTGCGGAACGGTCATCGCTTTGGTCTGGGAGGTGGCGGTCTACATGGTACAATACGTGCGTGGGACGAAAATGGGCGCGGGCGTGGAGAAACAAAAGGCCAGAGTGCCAGTGCCAGTGCCGGCGGAGGAAAAGAATAGATGAAGACGAGAGAGCTGGAAAACAGAACGATAATCATATGGTCATGATGAGAAGCGACATGGCATAGCTCCTGTGTGCACACTCTTCATATTCTTCACCAAAAGGTAGACTCCCTCGACAACAGCAAGAAGGAGGGCTTGTGTCTGCTTCATCAGAGATATGCAATCATTTCTCGTCACTGACCAGCCATGCTCATTTCGAGGTCATGGAGGTCTAAGTGCTTGACTCTATTGATTGGAATGTCATCACTTGAAACCACAACGCCCTCGATCTTGTTCTCTGTTGCGCTTCTCCCCAAAATGCTTCTTCTGGACGATGCTGGTATGCATGCCCGTCTTCTTTTCTTGTTTCTTTTTTCTTGGGGGTTTCCATATTGAGCTCCTCACCATAGACGGGGTCTAGTCCCTTCGAAAGGACATCTGCAAGCCTAGCTCCCTGGAGAGTTCAGCCGCCGCTTTGCCATAAGCTACAGACCCAAAAAGAATGTAGTGGTGCTCCGCGCCTCAAGAATAAGCCCCGTCGAGTTACTCGGCAGCAGCAGCAGCAGCTTCTCCTTCCCCACCGAAGCAAGGAAGCAGAAAGTGCGCGGGCGCGAGCAATCGCATAACTATGTGCATGTGACGAATTGCGCAACCTCCAGATAGATTCGACTCTTGGACCCTCCAAGACGCACTACCCTGAACCCGACTCCCAGTGTCAAAACCCTCACCCTCTCTTCCGGCAGATCGCCACGACCAAGTCCCAGCCATCCACGTCAGAGCGTCTAGCCGAAACCCGAGGGACGGACTCGTATCTTCATCCATCCAGACGCCCATCGGCTTTCGAGCATGGGACAACAGATCGGGGACCTGCACGGAGTACAGGCGACGATGAGGTCGGAGTGCGGCAGGATAGGGTCTGTGGAGGAGAGCGGGAGGCAGAGAAAAGAATTGAGAGCCGCAGTGAAAATGCTTTTATGGCGGCGCCTTTCGGCAGGTCCTAACGTTCCTCGAGACTCTCGTCTCAAGGGTAGGGTGGTCCGGGGACTTTCTCCCAAAGCTGGCTTTCTCTCCATCAGAGAAGAGAAAGCATCGAGGGTGTGCAGAAGACAGAAGCTGTCCTCTGATGTGCGTAAGCTTTGAAATGCGATCCTTTGAACGCGGAGACCTTGTAGGAAAAGGGAAAGAAGAGAAGAGAGAAAAGGAAAACGTCTTGGAGGTGTTAGACATGAACTTTTCGTGACAGGCAGACTAATTCACTAACAGACACAGCGCTAAGGAGTTAAGACGAACACAGTTAGTCGCTGTCTAACTTGCACCTCCAACTTGATCCGCGCATGTCTCCGACCTCGCGGCCCAGTCTCCGTCTTGCTCGCGCTACTATCATTCAACTACACCTGATTTTCCGCTGCTTGTAGACAGAAATTCCAGATACCAAAGAATCTTGACGGCATCGAATTGGGTCTTCGTCACAAAACCAGACTGTTGTGAATGCCCTGGGTTTGTCAAAGGCTGTGTGGAGGAGGATAACTAAAGCGAAGCAATCCCACCCGGTCAAGATCAAGGTCGAGATCCGGAAATCTGTTTGTTTATATCAGGGAAGTCGACCATCTGAGTCATTCGAGTTGCCATGCCTCCATATCGAGGCTTTAGGCCGCTACTGGCAGTGAGCTCTCGAGCATGCAAAGCTACCTCGTGCGCACCAAGAAGAGAATTGAGCAGTCTCATTAATTCTGCGGCACAAGCACCCCAAAGTTCACGTCTGTCGACACAGCAGCGATATGCCCAGCCACAGCACCAATGTCGCTCAACACCCTTGTCAGGTCTGGTGAGATGCTCGGGACAATCGACAACCGTCTCTCCACGTCGAGCTGCCTCGTCGTCCACTTCGGCATCTGAGAAAGAACTCAAGCGCACGCCGCTGTACGACTTGCACACGTCGCTCGGCGCGAAAATGGTGCCGTTTGCCAACTACGCCATGCCACTGGAATATCCCGACCTATCGCACCGGGAATCGCACCTGTGGACGCGGACGAACGCATCCATCTTCGATGTGTCGCACATGGTCCAGCACAGACTGTCCGGCGAACTGGCCGAGGAATTCCTGATGACCATCACGCCCAGCGCGATCGACGAAATCGAGAAGCACCACTCGACCCTGTCGTGCCTGCTGAACAAGAACGGCGGCATCGTCGACGACACCGTCATCACGCGGATCGGCAAGGACAGCTTCTACTTCGTGACCAACGCCGGCTGTCGCGAGGGAGACCTGGCCTTCATTGAATCCGAGATGGACGAGTTCCTGAAATCAAAGGGCAACCCCATGGACAAGATCAACTGGCACATTCTGGACCATCACGCGCTGGTCGCCCTGCAAGGGCCCGCGGCCGCGTCGGTGCTTCAATCTTTGGTCTACAACGACACCGAGGACGAGAACTACGACACCTCGCTCGACACGCTCTACTTTGGCACCAATCGCTGGTTGCAGTTGACGCTGCCCGAGTCAGGCATGAACACCCCGTCCCTGCTCATCAGCCGCACGGGCTACACGGGCGAGGACGGGTTCGAGATCTCGATCCCACCCGAGAATGGCGACGCCACGGAACTGGCCACTTCAATCGCAAAGGCCCTCACCGCCGATTCTTCCAAGGTTCGCTGGGCGGGTCTGGGCGCCCGCGATTCCCTCCGCTTGGAGGCCGGCATGTGTCTCTACGGCCACGATCTCAATGACACAATCACTCCGCCCGTGGCCTCCCTGGGCTGGCTGGTGGGCAAGTCCCGCCGAGTCGAGAACCCCACGCCGCCGTTCAATGGCCATGAAATCATTAATAAGCAACTGGCGTCCCCCAAAACCATGCCTGAGCGCCGTGTCGGGTTTCTCGTGGAGAAGGGCCCGGCGGCACGGGAGGGGGCAGAAATCGTTGATCTCGAACATGACAACGAGGTGATCGGGCACGTTACCTCGGGTCTCCCTAGTCCCAGCATGGACGGGCAGAACATTGCCATGGGTTACGTGAAGAATGGCTTCCACAAGAAGGGTACAAAGGTTGGAATCAAGGTCAGGAAGAACGTGAGGAAGGCTGAGGTGGCCAAGATGCCGTTTGTGGAGTCCAAGTTCTATCGACCGTGAATTCAGTGCAGAATGCTTGAAGCCGAGGTCAATCCAGCTTGGTCAGCTACGACCTAGGAGCGAGGGGTGGCAGAGGCTTGCATATCAATAATGGAGGAATGGTGCTGGTTTGTAGTTGGTCGGCCCTCTGGTCGAAAGATGACAACTGGGAAAAAAGGTCTACAGGACCAGTGGAATCAAACCTGGCATTACTCTTTCACTCAGTTGCCAAGAGCACTTTTGTTGTGGTGGTGATGGTTCAGCACCGCTAGGGATCTTCGTTTGTTGAGCTCAACGCATCATATGAAGATTCCAATAAGCAAAAACATCAGCATGAGGGGGCCGGGTTGGATTGTGAGAAGGCAGATCGCCTTCACCAGGCTGACAGCCCCGACTGCAACGGACCAGGTGGCGTTTGATCAGTTGCACGCTCTCCAATGCAGCCATCATGTCCGAGGTGCAGCTTCGGTTCCTGAAAGTTGTCCAAATATCAAGTACGGAAATAATATCGAGGCGTTAACAAACATGTACCACTTAACTTGGCCAGTGAGCGAATCTCTTCTCGCTCATGAGAGGATACACGCTTCAGCTACGCCCTGGCGTCGAGAGTGGATTCTGTTGTATTCCCATCGGTCAACTAAGGCCAGATCCCGGCATTGAGTCGCTGAATTTGGCTGCTGCTCGATGAGACGGCTGGATCGTCGTGGCAGGTAAAGACTGCGTTCCGAAAATGCAAGCAAGGAGTTCGATTAACTTTTGACATGCGTGTCGCCAGGCCAGTGATGCGCAGATTGAGTTCGCTCGGCCCCTGCAGCCCTAATCCCTGGGATGGTTGGGGGCAGGTCGAGCTCAAATGCCTGCCATGGTAACAGGCTTCGTCAAACAAGAGAGGCGATCCGATGTTTCTACCGCTTCCGCAGTTGCGGACTGACTGGAGACCACCACTTCTCCAAGACTTGGGAACGGGTACTGCCGTTGGTGAGGATGATGTCTGGGTGTGGTTATCCGGATTTCGATAGCCTGTTGTCCTCGATTCCCTCGGCAGAGGCCCAGAGCACCGTCATGTTAGGCTTTGAAATGGCACCATTCAGCGGCAGACTAGGAGAGGCTTGCCAAACAGTAGTTGAAGATTCGAGGACGGAAAAGCTGCTTCTCGAGGACAAGAAGCCGGAAAAGCACCGATAATGGACAATCCTCAGCCCCCAGACCCACAGAGCGTGCTGCACTCTGGGGCGGCCGGTATCTGGTAGATCGGGATAGTAGACTGACTGTCACTGACAGACGATCATTTTAGTTCTTGAACCTTGATCCATCGACAGTCCTTTGTGACAATGTGCAATCTATAGTGTGACTTACCACCATGCCAATGGCCGGCATTCTGGCCAGCATCTCCTGCAGCAGGTCCCAATACTGTGCAGATTGTCGGCTGCTGTGCGTCACCTGGTAAGGCAAGCCATATTCGCACCAATGCCGGTCACGACAGTACGTTGAGCATCCTCTGTGTTCCTAGTGTGCAGCGGTGACGTTGTGGATTAATCCTCCTCCTCCTCCTCCTCCTCCTCCTCCTCCTCCTCCTCTTCCCATGAGTCTCTCTTCTTCCGCTTGTCAGTCAGGCTGTCTGTGTTTCTTTTCAGCCGTCTATGAGGGGCTTGACGTGTCTCGACCTGGTACGGAAGGAAGACTTGGTGGCTTTGGTCGTGACGTCGACGGGCGTTCCGCCCCTGTTTGAAGATTGGAAAGGTTAGGAGGACATTGGTCGCCGGTTCGCGAACGAGCAAATGAGGAACGTATATCAAAGTGCCGATGTCATCTGATTGTGACTGAAGCGTGGTCACGACCCGCGTTTTCCCTAGCCATGGCTAGCCGAAGAGACACACGTTGGAGGCTGGCTCGAAAGACGGCGGACATCTGACAAGGGTGGTTGGCAGGCAGGCTATCTGTCTCCCTGGCATTAGCAGAGGAAGGCAAGCAGGCATGGTACTTTGTCAGTCCACCTCCTCCTTACAGGTGCGATCTTCTTGCTAACGCTGACTTGCAGCTCACCTCGGTCTTTTCGTTCTCACGCCCTGTCATGGAGCTATGTCTTGACCGAGGATGATTTTCTATTGTCGTCATTTGTGTCCAGGGCCGGTGGCTATGCACACCCTCTCTCTCTCTCTTCTGGACGAAGGGTGGACAGCGTGCCTTGTTTCCATGGTGTGCTGCGAGTAGTTGCGAGGAATAGTCCAGGTGACCGTGTCTCCTCCTATACATCTTCTATTGTTCCTAAGTCGCCGCTTGTACCCGAGACACACACGCGAGCCCTCTCTTTTCAACGTGTGCAGAACGGTAGGTCGAGGCACCTATCAGAGGATCAGCAAGAGACGCGACTGCGGTCGGTTCGAGGTTATTGTTCGGGCAGCAACCTTCGAGGGCGCCTCAGGTACACTAGTAGTAGTAGTAGTAGGAGGAGGAGAATGCAGTGACCCAGACAGCACACGCCAATGTTCCCCAAGGCATGGCGGAAAGAAAGTACGTTCGTGCATGCCTCGGAAAGGAAATTGTCAGAAGGGGGCCTCGTAGGGAGGAGGATATGGTGAAGGCCCTGACCAAGGCACAACGAATGTGATGGGCCCCCGGTGGCTTGCTAGAACTACCTGAAAATATGAGAAGGGAAAGGCAAAGTCCATGTCCATGTCCATGTCCATATCCACGGTTCCCCATTGCACTGAATCCTCCTTCCATCTTCCGTGCCCTGGCAAGCCTCGTCTAAGGCGAGCAGGCTTCACGACGCGGCCTCTCTCCTCTCGATGATCCCCCATCCATGCCTCCCCTCTTCAATCCGTAGGAGTCATGACCGTGGCCTTTGTCCGAGGGCCTCCATACAAGTAATACCATGCAAAAGAACGAAGTGTCGGTTATGTCCCTGTCATATCATCGTGTCGTACCATCTTTGGCTTGTGTCCTTCTCCCTTTCAACCGAATGCACTCCCTGCGTGTGCTGTGCACATGCGTTGCCCTGTAACCTTCCATGATGTGCTCCGATCGGCTCCTGTTAGACCCTGTCCGATTGATGCCTGACAGCGACCGCTTTGCTCGTAACGCCCCCCTGGTGATATCCTGGTGACATTCTTCCCCTGTTGATGTCTTGCCACGTACGTAGTCCAGTAACGCCATCCTGCACATGCTTGTGAGTGGTTCTCAAATGAACGAAACCCGTCATTTTCCGTCTTCCTGTCCAAACCCCGGTCGTTGCGCCTTGCACCATCTCTGAAACGGAATGGGGGTATCTCTAGATCTTATGCTCCTTCTTGTCTCGATCAATGCAGTTACTTTCGCCTCGTATAGAATGCTTCCGGAAATGTTAACAAAGGAAATCACCGACACGAAACTGGAAGGTCAGCAACCATGAACAGAAAGCTAGTTTGTGTCAGCGGGGTTGGCCCCTTGCCGGATGCTGTTGCGTGTCCCGTCATCTGCGTCATGAGGCACACAGAAGTTTCGAGTATGGCATTGTGGAGAAGTCATTCAGTGACGAAACATTGTCCGTGAATGGGGCTGGCACATTGAAGCGGAAGTGTTCATCGGCATCATCATCATCCTCATGGGTCCTCTTCCGTGTCATGTTGTAGTGCTGTCGGTCGAAATCGAACACCAGGTCCTCGGTAGCTCCCGACATTGGACTCGATACAGACTGCTCCGACGAGAAAGTGCAGGACGACTTTTTCGAGAGTATATCGGAAACATTGATTTCCATCTCCATTGGCGTACCGGTCAAGGTGCTTGATGAAGCAATGCTTGCTGGCGATGATCCAGCTTTCAGCGCCTGCCGATAGGTGGACCCACCAAAATGGTTGCTATGCCGATGGGTGGTCATCCAGTCCATCGAAGGGTGGCCGTAGCTACCTGGAGGAAGTGAGCCCGCCGGCCCATCTCCCCCCTGGCCAGCTCCTCGATCGGGATCCATGCTTGTCTGACTGTCGCGTCGTCCATTGTCCTTGTAATGTCCAGGAGATCTCCCCCGGACCACCATTGGGTCGGATTCTTTGGTAGCGATCACAACCCAGTTCTCATCACCAGGGCTGCGAGCTATATTGGCGGACAGCTCGACCACCACCAAGAAGTACTGTTGTTGCGCTCGGCGTTTGCCATTATTGGCAGTGGCCTTCTGGAACTGAATCCTCTCGAAAGTATGTGTTGTTGGAATCGAATTTGTGCCAGGGTTTTCGAAAGCGCCATAACCTCCCATCATGGAGGGTGGCAAATGCTGCGAACCACCGTATAAAGAGCCCGCGCCCAGAAATACGCCGTTTGGGCCCATGGCCTGGTTCGGGGTTGGTGAAATCAAATGCCGTCCAGGCACAGACTCCGTTGCCTTGTCTCTCTTGGGGGTATGCTGAACCAAACCACGGCTTTCGCTTTCGCCACTTCCGGTCAGCGCCGTTTTGGCGGAAATGGAAACCGCAAATTGCTGGATCTGTTCTTCGTGACCATTCCTTTGGAGATAGAATGGCCCATCAGTCCCGTGGTTTTTGAATGCGAAGGAGCAGGAAACTGCAAAATAATTCCTTCGATAACATGTCCACTTGCGGTCCACCTGAAAGAAGCCCTTCTGTATGCTGGCCGAGATCTCGGGGATCAATTGCTGCGTGCGCACGGTGAGTACAGGGTAGAGGACAACCGTGTCGCCGAAAGGCGGACCGTCTTGTTTAGCAGGGCCTGAGCTCTCATGTATAGAAGCTGACATGTTTTGTCCGGAGTAGAGTCCGTCAGGGATGTAAGAGTGGCCGATACTGTTGCGATGGTAAGTGCCAGGTGGATACCTGGGCCCCGGGTGTTGGAATAAACCTGGACTTATTGAGGAATGTCCATTGGGTTGATAGGTGGGCGCCAGCCTGTCCACCATAGGTCTATTGCTCAGCAGCGCAGTCCCAATGCCGTTTGCCGCGTTGTAGTTCAAGGGAGGTGACAAAGGCGGAGGGCTGTACCACGCAACTCAGCACCAATCAAGATGATACAGAGTAGAAGGGCTTGGAAGATGGGAATGAAGGCTTACAACCGAGGACGGTCCATGACCGTCATTGAGGATCCAGTCCAGTTGGACGAGAGAACCGAAGGAGGTGCACTCGAATAATGGTCTGTTGAGCCTGCATGGCTAGGAAACGGCTTGGGGAGTGTGGTGAAGACGAGAGAGGAACTTGTTGAATTGCCGCTGGCACTGGCCGTGCCAGTGGTGGAGTCAGGCGGACTCAGCAGCAGATGTGAATTTGAGTGATACCTGCGAAAGCCACCTCAAGTATCAGTAAGACGAAGAAATCGACGGCGCTCGCAATCGGGTTATATGTGAAACCTTGCAAGTGCTACCATTAAGGGCGAAAGACGAGGAAAGCCAGCACATTTCCAAGGGAAAGCCGGTCTTTCCACGACCTTGTCTTTTGGCCGCCTCCAAGATTTCCGGAGTGGACAAAGTTGCCTGCCGATGCCCAATCTCCATTGCTCTCAGACCTCCTTTCAGCTGGTCTAGAGCAAATCATTGGACCACAGCATGATGCATGAACCAGCGGGGAAAGTATTGCATTCGGATACTCACGGTGTATCGTTCAGTAGCGAGCTAGCATTGAAGTCGAGACTGGAACTCGAGGACAGCGCCACTCCGGGCCCAGGAGCACCATTCGTCAGGGCACCCTGGGGCCTCCGGCTGGAAAACGCAAAGTCATTGGTAGAGTAGGAGGGATTTGAGAAGGGACGCTCCTGGCCGAGATATTTGGATTCGGAAGAGATTGGAAAGTCGAACGGCGAAGAGTGCTGAAGCAATGCTGGAAAGCAAGGTAATTAGCCAGAAGTGATGAAAGTGCGTTCGAGGGTAGGATTTGATAAAAGCACAGAGCCTGGCACAAAAGCCATGCATTTCGGCTGGGCTGAGAGAGGGGGCCATCGTAAAAAATTGCCAAACGGGCGCCAATTTGGCAAGCAACGTAGGACGAGCGGGGCATCCTGGTTAAGCCAACGTATGTGGCAATCACGGCACGAGGCGAATGCACTGCGACCGCGAGAGGTTGGCAGCCTGACGTGGACACAGCATACCAATGCCAGATTGCCGAAGTGCTGTGCGGTGCGGTATGTTGCTCTGATTTGAGCCATTTGGGATCAGAGCCAGAACAGGAACGAAGAAGCAAGGCGGGTAGATGTACATGCTCGACAAAGTACGTACTCGGGTCCATGCTGTCACCCACTGCTCGTAGTTGAGCAAATGACAAGGCTGAATCAGCACGGGGGTGGATGTGTTTTAGAGTTGGCTTAAGCCACACGGTTCAGAACGGATCTGAAGCTTGTCCTTGTCGACGGTCGGCGGTACTGCGGGCGCCGTGGCTCTACCCAGATGTAGGCTGGTCCGCTGGTCAACGAGCTCTTCAACGTGATTGATAGGCTTGGAGCGGTGTGGATTCGTGTTGCTGGGCCCTGGTCCTGCAAAGACTTGCGATTTGCAGGGGATACTTGCCAATAGCAAGGCCGCCGAGTATGGGCAGGGGAATCCGCGAATTCAGTTGGGATGTCACACCTGTTGAAGACAGTCAGTCAGCACCAAAGAGGCTGTGAGCTGGCACGGCTCGATATTCTTCGAGCACAAGGGCATTCAAGTTCCTGCGAAAAGAATCAACGCGGCAGTGTGGTAAACTTACCGAAGAGAAAAACACTGCTGCTTCCATATAGGGGGCTTCTCTCAATGGATTCGCGCTGTAATGCAGATAGTGTGAGTCTTTGGATATTCCAACAACACGGCGGAAAAGACACTCACCGTGATCTGTCAAATCACCAAGCGTATATATCCTGACTCCTTCCGCTTGATCTCTTGTCGGGCACAATGTGGGTACAGCTGGTTATCGGGGGATTCCTTCGCCGCCCGTTTGGTCAGGCCGCTAGACTGTGTCAGTGCTATATGCGCCACGAAACGGAGAGCGGATGGTCACCGTCGATGGCTCTCTGGAGCACCGCCCACATATCTCTGCACTCTTCAATACCGGTCGCAAAAATGGGCGCACTGACACCGTGCGGTATTATAGTCGTGGGTAAAGCGACTTGGGAGTGAGTGGAAGACTTAAGATTGCGTCGAAGTAGGACTTGCTTCTCGCAGGAAACAAAAGTGCCTTCAGACTGATGAGCAACGTTCTGAGCGTTCGGAGGGTTGAAGAAGTCTTCAGATGTGCGCGCGTCCAGCAGTTAACATCAGGGATTTTGGGGGGGTCCCGCACCATCCTTAGACCTTTTCCTGGCCCGGTTTCCCAGGTTAGCATCGCAAGTCCGAATGTCCTCCTTGACTGTAGAAGACACTAGCTCAGCCATCGGGGCGGTCTCAAAGATCTGACACTTGACTGCCAGTATTCGGTGAGGATTGTGGATTAACCAGACGTTGTTGGCAAGGGCCATTCAAAGGAAGCCTGCATATCCAAAAGCCAATGAATGTGCAAGACCTAGCCTCTGAGCCTTGAGACCGCCCGACTGTGACTGCAGGCGGCCTTCTTGATATGCCCCGGCTTGGGACTAAAAATTGCCACATCATGGACTTGGCCATCGTATCGTTGCCCAGCGCTCGAGAGTAAAGAAGATTTGGAAGACACGAATCATATCGGAGGGCCGGATGCAGGAACAAAGAATGCATTCAAGCACCGGCCTTACGAAAGCGCTGTTTCAGCTGAGGCCCACCACAATCCGAAATAACTGTCCAGAGCTCATACTTGAGGTTTCTCATTCGCACGTGGGTAGACGGAGAGGCCGACTGCCAGCAACGACGGTAGGAGGATGCCTCCGGCATACAGTCCAGCCTAGAGAGCCTTTGTTTGCAACATCAGATCAGCCCTGGGCGAGAGCCATGTGGCGTTGCCGAGCACACCCATAATGCTCGGGATGAAGCGAAGTTGAGCCGGGTTCAGCACCTCGTAGGCCTAGCCATCACTGAGACAACCATAAGGCACTGGATTCGACAATAGAAACCCAGCCACGCTGGGTGTCTGAGCCAGAGAAGACCGAAAGAGAGAGTCGAGCGCGAGAAGCCGTCTGCTGGCGGACTGGTCATCGGCCGACTTGCGAATCAACCAATGGCTACAGATCAAAGGCCAGGATCATGCTGGTCAGGGTTCTGGAGCTTCCTCTCCCTTCGATCCACGGAAACGCTTCAAGCGAGAAAGGCAAAGCGCCGACTGGTAAGGCATTTGACAAGGGTCCGGAGATTGGGGCTAGGAGACTGTGGCTTTGGCAAGAGATCTGTTCGGTCCAAGCAGAAGAGGAAGAGAGATGCCGCTTTGTTGTCTCATTGACCTTCTTCTTCTCAGGGCAATCATTCTCTCAGCCATCCAAGGCTCAAGCGGGCCGGAATATGTCAGAGCCACCAATCATATTTGAGCAGACCAACGGCGACATCTGCAGGCTGTTGCCGACAAGACGAAACGAGTCCCCGATTTGATCTGACCACAATAGGAAGAATGTAGCAGCAATCGACCAGCGATTGGGTCCTGGGACGATATGCCCAGACTAGGCAGCGGGCCGCATCCTTCTGTCACCTGCAAGTATGTCGTGCACACTTGCGGGAGAGGCGGCGAGAGCGTTTTGAATCGAGTAGGTAGCAGGGTCTGGGGACGGAGCCGCGTGGTCCAAGGCCAGCGAAAACAGGGTTATACTGGCGCCGATTACCAGGGATTGCTGCTGGATGGCGGTCACTTGATGAGAATGAGGAGGAGGAGGCGGTGGTGGTGGTGATTATGCTGGTGGTGTGATGTCGTTAGAGGTTGCAAATAGTGAGTGTTGTCGGAACCTCCAGGAGGAAGAGGTGTTGGAGAGGGAGTCTAACACAAGGTCACCGTCAATGTCAATGTCGACATCAACGTCAGTCCTCACGACACTCCCGACCTTGTACTTGCGGTTGCGCGAGAGCAATGTCACTCTCTTCGAAGACAGCATCTACTATGTGACCCTCAGGCGGTGAACACACAGGCTCGACTTGCCCCTCAAAACACCCACCACCCATTCATGCCAGCATGTCAATACTCTCCTCTGGACTACTAGTAGTACCAAGGTACACAACCACCTTTCGATCGAGGATCCTTACTACATGTCTACCTAAGTATCTTAGGTGCCTACTCATGTTCCCAACATCTGACTTTCCTCGAGAGCGCAGACGAACTTAGGCCTCTTACCGCGTCCCTTCTTCGACGGCCATTTCCTACCACTGAGGCTCTCCACTGCAGCTGCGTCCAACACCCTCCGCATCCCTTCCGGAGTTTAACTGCCTTATTGCTTCATTATCACCTGTCCACGGTCTCCTCGGCTGTTGATGTCCTCCTGACAGGACCCATGCTGTGGTCGAAGGCTGTCGCACGTCAAGCGTACGAATGCTATCCTCCAGGACGCCTCTGCCACCCTCCTAACCGCCTCCTAAAGCCTGATCCTCGGATCCAATTCCATACGCCCATTCCAGTCAGCCACCGCCAATTGCTAGACTTCTGCGGAAGCCCAAGACAGGTATCGTAGTGATGCGCAACAGGAAGGCTGCTGGGGCATTGCAGTCGGTGCAGAAAATATCCCGACCCTCAGATTCCAGGACAGGGGCTTTCTCACAACCCGCTCTGTGACCTGGCATTCATGGCGTGCAAGCGGTCTGGGGTTGAGAATGTTGTTGGCCTGACAAATCCTGCGACCTTGACATGTTGCACCGTGACCGCCCGTTATTCCACAACTTGGACCACCGGTTCATCTCTGATCTTGACACCGGTGCAACCAAGTTGCTAGTGGCTGTTACGCTTCCGCCAACGGCGTTGACAATGATCCGGAAGACAACCACGCTCCTGCGATCACTATTCTTCGTCCAGCGGATTTCCTACGACATATTCGATTTGGAATTGTTCTAGACGCAGGGATGAAGTCTTGCTTCTGGTTCTTGCATATTGACTTACATTGTGATCTCTGAGACACCTCGCCGAGCAAGGCCGGGTATCGCCATCATGCACCGCCAGAGCGATCGTTCCATTGCTTCTGCGCCGCAGAAACAGTTTCCGACGGCTTGTGTTTCCCCGACGCAGGTCCAAAGACACGACTGGGATCTTGCAAAATCTTTGGCCCCTGATGACGAGGACGGCCGCCTTGGTCATGACTCTCTGGGCGCCAGCAGTACTGGATTCCTTTTCCCATTCTGGCGATTTTGAATCCGCCTGCTATGTTTACCTATGGCAGACATGGTCGCCACAATCCCCTAGACGTCAGGCCTCGTCGCTCGCGGCTCCGCTGAGCGTCAGACCTGTCAGGCTCCTAGACTTGAACCGTTCACAAAGTCGACTTGCACTGGCAACCTGTGCCGGAATGCAAACCTGACACGTCGGTGCAGCCTTCCCATGCTGCAACTCTTATCTCACGTCCAGTCGTCCAGCGCGCTCCCGTATCATTCCCTTCTTCCAGAGCTCTTATTGGCGTTGTTTCGAGCTCCCAGGCCACTTCTTGCTTCCCTTCTTCGCAATCAACAGGGTCTACTTTGCAGACCTTGATCGCTCAATCACTGAGTGCGTGGATAGGCCTGACCGGTCTGCTCATGACCGCCATTGTTGGTTGTGCGGGCGGATCCTCCGGCCATTATACTGCCACCTCGCCTTCGTCACTTGGAGGGGCCTCAGACCCAAGATTTTGTTCGAAGCAGCAGACGATCCATCCTACCAAAGCATGACTAGGAGCATCACATCATTGTGGACGATTGGGCTTTTTCCGTCACGCTCAAGAACCCGTCCCATGACAGCGCTATGGCTGCACCATGAGCAGCAGTATTGAGACTATGTTTCAGACGGAGACCAAAGCAATCGGGTCCGCTACGGGACCCTGTTCGGTTCTTCGCGACACGGATACGCTCGTCTAAGCTCTCTGACGTGGCAGCGAGCGGGTTCCGACTAAACAGCAAAAATAGGTAAGAGAACATGGCCTTGCATTCGTATTGAAGCACGCGAGATTTTTCCACATAATGTACCATTTGTCTCGGGGGTTAGAGACCGACTGAGACCTCTACTAAACGCCATAAAATGCATTGTGTCCTCATCGACACTGTGTCCGGCGTTTTAAAGGTCATACAGAGGGCATAGGAAATTCATCAGGCCAGCCCACTCCTGCATTTGTTCTTCGTGCCAATTGGCCCGTCGCTGTAGCAGCAACAGACATGATTGAGAAGCCTTCTCACTCCGCTCCATAGTGGTCGCTTCAAGTCCGCTTTGCGAACTCGACCCTTAGAATCAAATGCCTATAACCGAAGCCGTCCATCTTCTCGCATGCTCTGGCAGCATCAGCCCTGTCGACGAACGAAATGAAAGCGAAACCCTTGGCCCGCCCAGTGTCTCTATCTTTGGCAAGGAAGACACGAGTGACGCGGCCAAAGCGCTCAAAGAGGTCACGGAGCTCGTTCTCTTCAGCCATTTCCGACACCTGTGCGGAAGAAAAGAAACAGTCAGCCAACGATGATCACAACAGACGTAAAAGCGAACTTTGCGAGCCTCGACCTGCAAGGCAGAGGCATTCTTTGGGAAAGTAAGACTCACATTCGTGACGCGCAGTGTAGCCAGATCGTCTCTCTCGTATTTGCCACCCATTCTCTCGCCAGCGCCAGCGCCGGTGGCGCCCTTTCTGAGATGCGGCGGGACATAGCTAGAGCCACCGATCCCGAGGCCACCAGGGGCCTTGGACTCGTCGTCGTCGGCCAGGGGGTCCGCGACAGGACCTGCGCCCTCGTCCGCCGGGGCCATGGTGTCCTTGAAGGGACACCTGGCTGTGAAATGTTCGCCCGAGCAGATCCGGCACTTGACCTTCTTGTCGCGCAGCTGTTCCTTGAGACTCTTCTCCTCGGCCTTGCCGCCGCCGGTCTTTGCTTCTTCGGCTTGCACGTTTTTCCAGTCCCTGCTGGGTCGGAAGATGATGTTTTCGCCCACCGACGTCGTGTCCGACTGCGGTCCTTTGGGCTTGCCCTTCTCGAGACCGAATTTCGTCCACTCCCTGCGCTCCGCCACCACCGGGTTCACTCGTTCCTTGTGCACAGTGGTCCGGGTCTTGCGGGTCACCTTGACCTTGCGGCCCTGGTCGTCGAGGCGGTATAATATCGTCGTTTTCGTCCCGTCCTTGTTCACCGTCGTCACTGGCGGTGGCAGCGCCGTGGGATCGTTGATTTGCTCGGAATCCGAGACATCGTCGGCCCAGTCGGGGCGGCTGTGAATTGAGACAGTCCCCAGTCAGCGAAATGGCTTCCTCGTTTTGAGCGCTCACAGATCAGAGACTGTGCGTGCGGAAAAGGTAACATACCTTGCTGTTTTGGACATAATGTGCTGTTTTTCTGCAATCTCTTCTGGTGACGGTTTCTTCAGTCTCGCAGACGAGCCTCACAAACTATGGTAGATGGACGGTGTTGATAGAATGAAGGGAATCAGACGGCAAAGTCGTGCCATGGTCCGCAGCAATTCGCACATTTCGAGTTCGCCATGGCCGTCCCAAAATGGTTTAGCCTCACTCGCTGCCAAGAAGGCTCCAGCACTTCTTACTAAGCACCCCTGGCAGGCAGCAAGGCTGCCCCCTTAATATCCTACCGTATAGTCCATGAAGCAACTTGACTACTACTGCTCAAACACGCCTAGATACTGAGAACTGCACATCCTACTCCATCCACACCCAGGAACGAGTGAATTATACCACAGCATCGCCTGCTACGGACCTCGAATCAGTGACGAGGAGCAAAATGAGCGAATAGAACTAATCAGTGGCATGTCATGCAATTCGGATCAAAGGTCAGCTAAGCTCGCTTGCTGCGGCTAGGTTCATCCTATATGACGCCTATAGCTTGCTCTGCGAGATCACCATGGCATTCCCCTTTTGCAGGCACTCGACGGCCTGGTTGACGAATTCGTCGACAATCTCCCGAGCGGATTTCCTTTCGTTGACAACAGCAGCAGCTTTGCCCATGAGGAACGGGCGAGCGTTCTCCATGTCTTCGTCAGTCAGATCATCGCCTTTCTCTTCGAAGTCGTGCTCCACCTGCAGATATAACGTGGTTAGCTCGCGAACATTGAGACGCTCCCATAAGAGTTAAGGGACACTACGTACTGGGATGACACCCTTGTCTGTCAGCGCCTTAATCTCCGATTGTCGGTTTTCTTCCCAGTTACGGATGTATTCGTTGTTACGAACACGGAGTGGGCGCCCTGTGAAAATAATGGTGCGGACATTGTCGTCGAAACCTGCAGTCTGCACCGCCTCTTGGTGTGCCTTAGGTGCACCGGCTTCCTCGGAAAGGACAAACCGAGTGCCAACCCAGACTGCGGAGGCACCCAGCATGAGCGCGGCGGCGAGAGATTGTCCGTTGAACATTCCCCCGGCCGCGATGAGCTGGACAGGCTTGCCGGTAAGTTTCGAGGGTGGAGCATCCGCCAAAACTTTGGCCACGGCAGGAATAAGAATACTCGTTGGAATGTCACCCTGTTGAGATGTAAGCTAGGTGGAAGAGCGGACTGGTCGGGAGGTTGAACACGTACGGTATGGCCACCACCTTCGCCACCTTGGGCACATATCATATCGACATCGAGGTCGAGGCACTTCCGCACATGTTTGACATGGCCGATCATGTTCTAGATTTGATCCGGGTCAGCTCAATCACCCATGGCAAATTCCAGACACAAGCAACGAAGCCGGAATCACTCGTGCAATGAAGGCCTCGGGCCTCCGTTTGCCCCAGACGATGTTCAATATCACCGGAATAGTGGAACGCTAAAGGTATTGAGTGTCTTACCATATAGAGTATGCCATGTTTGTGCAGTTTATCAACCACAGCCCGCGGGGGTACACCGACAGCAGACACTGTAGTAAGGCAATTAGTTAGTATCTCGGTAATGAATTGGGTTTCGCAAGGAGGCTCACCGAAGAGTCTCGCGCCGGAGTCGATAATGATGTCGACCAACTCGTTGAGTTTGCCCTTGGTGTAATCATAGCTGGAGTAGCGTGTTAGGGAGGGACGTCGACATGCGGATTGGGTTCAGAATCTCACTTGGTCTTCCTCGCGCTGCCTCCGACCTGCGGAAGGAGGAGATCCACCCCGAAAGGGGCGCTCTTGTCATTCAGATAACTCTTGAGTTCGGCGATCTGTTCTCTGAGCATGTCTGGAGTATAGCCGACCTTTTCACAGATCAGAATATGATCGGAATATATGTATATCTTTTCAAGATCCTTACACCTCCAATAACACCCAACCCTCCGGCATTGGTGACAGCGGCAGCCAATCTGGGACCGGCCGCCACATTCATACCAGCAAGAAGCACCGGGTGCTTGATATGGAGAAGGTCGGTAGCGGTCGTCTTGAGTTTCTGAGGAGACGACATCTTGTTTAGGTATTTGGGTGTAGGTGGATTGGAAAGCCGACAAGTTCGAGCGGTATCAGGCGGCTGTCAGTAAGCAATGTAGAAGCATCAAAGAACTTGAATGCGGTGGGAAGGGAAGGTCTTATGGAACTGCGAAAGATGGTCAGAAAGAATCAGCAGAGTCCGAGGAGTCCGGGGACGCGAGTTGTCAGACTTTGGACTGAAAGACGGGGATGGCAGGTGAGGAGAGTCTGGCCTCCTGTTGTTTTGGCAAAGTACCGAGGCATCTCAGACTGGCGGACCCCATGTCGAGACAAATCTGGGGAATGCCACATGAACGCGGGCCGCGGATACCAGACGGCAGACATGCTAAATTTGTCCATCATGGGTGAGAATTCTTCCCCACTGCCTGCATAGCCTGATGTACATGTCTCAGTCATTGTTGAAATACAGCAGTCTGCGCTCCCGCAACCATCACGGTTGTAGAGAGTATCGCTTGTTAATAGAGTATATCTGCTCTAAAGATCTTCTCGGCTAAAATTCTGAGTTGGTTAATGTGGAACAAACAGGACGAAAGCAGTTAGACTAGACTTTGTTCGCTAATGAACGATGCAAGCGATTTCTTTTCGCTTGCACTGGAGCACTCTTTATTGCATTGCGGTCTTGGTTTTTCGTGTAACGAATCCTTAGTGTCGGGGCTTCATATTTCATTCTATACTTTCTGCTGTTGATGTACTAGCCAGGAGTCAAAGAAAACGCTGGAGGCTGGAGCTTGAGGCGCGTTCAAGACAGCTTGATGACTTTTCCCCGGCTGGTTCGAAGCATTCGCACTCAGCCAACAGCGGCTTCGAGTCCTCGTCTAATCGTCAATCACAGAGTCTGGATCCAGCATCTTCCGCGCCAATGGGTAGGGGTCCGATTCATCCATAGCCCCCGATCTGGGCTCTTCTTGTACACAGGTCGGAAGGGGGCTGGAGCCCGACCAAGGGACCTAAGGAACATGGCCTCTTCAGCAAGATCTTTTCATCAATCATCCCTGGAATTGGAGATTTCTGGTCAGGCTCCAAATGGGGTTAATAAAGTGGCCGTGGCGTTCGGTAGCAACATGGGGGACAGAGTGGGCACCATTGAAGCCGCGTTGACCAGAATGCAACAGGAAGGGCTCAAGCTCCTCAAGTTAAGCCATCTATATGAGACGAAGCCGATGTATTACGACGACCAAGATGCCTTTTTGAACGGCGCTTGCCAGATCGAGACGACTTTGGAACCACTCCCGCTCCTGGACCTGTTGCAAGCCATTGAAAATGACCTTGGCCGAAAGCGTGTAGTTGACAAAGGGCCGAGGACCATCGACCTGGATATTATACTCTTCAATCAGGAGCACATCAAACACCCTCGGCTCGAGGTACCTCACAGACTGATGCTGGAGCGAGAATTTGTGCTGAGACCTCTTGCCGAGTAAGCCGCCGCCGCCCCTTGCAGCCTGTCCTGTGTGCTGACTGACTTTGTCCAGTATACTCCCTGATGCTCACCTACCCTCCAGCTTCTCTCCTGCAGCTTCTAGTCGCCCAATTCGACACTTTCTACAGGCCATTTCCGAACAGGACACCAGCATGTCCCCCGTGTTCGTCTTGCATCCTCAGTCACCGCTGATCCGCACGCGAGACGCAACACGCAAGACTCACGTGATGGCCATCATGAACCTCACCCCAGACTCCTTCTCGGATGGAGGGCTCCATGCCGCCAAGGATATCGAGACGCTTAAATCCACTGTGCGGAGCTTTGTTGCTTCAGGCGCCACCATTCTTGACATCGGCGGACAGAGCACACGCCCGAGAGCGGAATTCCTTGGTCCAGAAGAGGAGCTTAAGCGGATTTTGCCCATTGTCCGCGCCATCCGCGAAGTGAAAGAGGCCGACGGGATCGCAATCAGCATTGACACCTTCCACTCCGACGTTGCTCGGGAGACCATTCTTGCCGGAGCTGATATCATTAACGACGTTTCTGCCGGGCTTCTAGACGAGCGAATGCTGCCCACTGTTGCTAGTCTGGGGAAGTCAATTGTCCTCATGCACATGAGGGGCGATTTTCATACAATGACAAAGCTGACCGACTACCCCGAGGGTGTCATCAAAGGTGTGGCCCACGAGCTCAGTGGACGCGTTGAAGTCGCCCTGGCCGCCGGAATTCCTCCATGGCGCATCATCCTGGATCCAGGGCTGGGTTTTGCCAAAGATCAAGAGCAGAATCTCGAGGTTCTACGGAGCGTGGCAGAGCTTCGAGATTATCCGGACGTACCAGTTCCCTTGAAGGACTTCCCATGGCTGATGGGACCAAGCCGGAAGGGGTTTGTTGGCAAGATTACCGGTGTCAAAGAACCGTCTGACCGAAGCTACGGCACTGCTGCAGCAGTGACAGCCAGCATTGAAGGTGGAGCTGAGATTATACGGATTCATGATGTGGAAGAAATGGTGCAGGTCACAAAGATGGCCGATGCCATCTATCGTCGGCCTCGATTGTGTTGAAAATCGCCTCCGACCTCTGTACAGTACGTGTTCCGTGGGAAATGGTAGATGTTGTGCATCCATTTGCCAATGGTCCTGGCTGGGTTGGCAGTTTCCAAGGGCCATTTCAACGTTGGCGTTGTGAAATGTGATATTATACCATGTTTGTTCGACGAGGCTGCGCAAGGCTGCGCAAGGCTGCGCAAGGCTGTGCGAGGCTGTGACCCGATGAGGTCATGATGCAATATTTATATATTTTCTCAATGCAGATTCGACGCAACAACACCTTTCAACATCATACTGATATTGATATTGATATTGGCAAACCACCTTTTCAAGTACTTCTACTACGAATTAAGGGGGATTATTATCATTAGTCTCATCAGTATCTCTGTCTGCTCCTGTTTCATTGAATTGTTGACTCGTTCGTTCCCAATCGGACACCAATCCATTCGCTTCCCTCCATGGACTACTAGTACAAGGTATAGCCCAGCAAACATCATGTCCTACCACAAGCCTCCCACAGGCCTACGATGGCGGGCCAACACATTATTCATCCTGACCACCGTCGCGGTCGGTATGTTCACCGACCTATTCCTCTACGGCCTCGTCGTGCCCGTACTGCCATTCATGCTCAAAGAGCGCATGGATCTGCCCGAGGACAAAGTGCAATCGTACGTGTCTGGTCTTCTCGCCGCCTACGCCGGTGCTAGTGTCATCTTCTCCATCCCGATTGGCATCATTGCCGACAAGACCAATGCGCGGCGGACGCCGTTCCTCTGTGGCCTGACTGCACTGCTGGCGGCGACTTTGATGCTAGCCTTTGGGCGGAATCTGGCTATGCTCATCGTGGCACGGGTGCTCCAGGGGACCAGCGCCGCCGTGGTTTGGACCGTGGGATTGGCTATGGTGCTTGACACTGTCGGGCCAAGCCATCTTGGGAAAGTCATCGGATCGGTAAGTACAAGGTACAACCAACCCACGATGTCCCTTTTCCTTTCCATTTCCATTTTCTACAGCCACACCCCGACGAGGCTGACAAAGATCCAAAGATCTTCTCCTTTATCTCGGTTGGTGAACTGGCAGCACCCGTGCTGGGTGGAGTGCTCTATCGCAAAACAGGCTACGCGGGAGTCTTCGGCTTGGGCGCAGCATTGCTCGCCGTCGACTTCATTCTCCGAGTCCTGGTGATCGAGAAGAAGGTGGCACTCAAGTATGACAAGGACAAGTCGTTGGCCTTGGCTCAAGAGGCCAGCAACCCACGTGAACATGGAGGCCGAGGACAACACGAGACCATTCGAGTTGACTCGCGATCCGACGGACACGAAAACGGAAACGGAAACGGAAACGGCGGCGAACAAGAACGTCTGTTGCCCAAGAACGAGGACGACTACCATCGCATTCCCGAGGGCCGAAACAGACTATTCCGAACGCTGCCTATCCTTTATTGCCTGTGCAATCCACGCCTCCTCGTGGCCTTGCTGCTGGCCTTTGTGCAAGCATTCCTGCTGGCGACTTTCGACGCGACCATCCCGACCGAGGCGCAGAGTCTGTTCGACTTTGATTCGCTGCAAGCCGGGCTCCTCTTCATCGCTCTTGACATTCCATACCTCCTCCTCGGACCACTGGCCGGGTGGGCGGTCGACAAATACGGCACGAAACCCGCCGCTGTTCTCGGCTTCGGCTATCTGGTACCTGCGCTCATTCTGCTCCGCCTCCCCACGCAGCACGTCGCATCCAGCCAGACCGGGAACATTGTCCTGTACTGTGCCTTGCTGGCACTGAACGGCGTCGGTCTCGCGGTCATTGGATCTCCCAGCATCGTCGAGGCCAGTGATGTGGTGCAGAAATACGACAAGGCCAACCCCGGCCTCTTCGGCGAGGATGGCCCGTACGCTCAACTCTACGGATTCAATTCTCTGGTCTTCAGCGCCGGTTTGACTGTAGGTCCCGTCATCACTGGGGCTTTGAGGGACTCCGTCGGTTATGCCAATATGAACATTGTCGTTGCCGCCATCTCCGCCCTCACAGCACTGTTGTCTTTCCTGTTTGTGGGAGGACCACCCAGATGGACTAGGATGACCGGATAGGGTCTGGTCAGTGTGGACGCCAAAGAGCCAAAGCTGAACATGGTCTGTCTTGACTAGCCCGACTGTCCGCATAGAGAAGCATGTTCCCCCCGCTGTGATAGACCCAGTCGCCTTAGATGAATCTTATTCTTCGATAAAATCTGCGGCTAACTTCATTCCTCATAATAGCGTCCCAAATAGCCCTGAGAACTTGTCCCCGCTAGATGGCTTCTCGTCCTCAAGTCTTCTTTTTGAGCTGCGTCTACAAAAAGAATAAGGAGCCAGAAAGCCGAAGAGACCAGTCCAAATAAAACCGCCAATCAACACAGGTATTGGTCGCACAGCACCGCTTCGTGACTGACCCTCCGAAACATGGGCAGTGGCAGCACCACCAACCACATTTGAGGCTCAACTTAGTGGCAGGAAGTATGCCGAGGCATGACTCCGAGGTCTCTGTCAGTAAGAGACCTGGGCAAAATCCAACAACATATTCAGACAGCCTGGCAAAAATTCGATGGTGAACCCTGTCTGGAAAGGAAAACAACCACTCCAGCAATGTTGCTGGAAAGCTAGTGCTGACACTAGGTAAGATTGTTGCGAGAATGAGAAAATCCAGAAAGGCGATCGGGGCCCCATTCCTCCTCGGCTCCATATGGCCACCACCAGGGCGTTTCGGGAGGTGGCTTATCCTTCTCGCCAGTTTCCACATACCATGGCCGGTCGCGCTCCCAGTCGAGGCGAGACCTCATATAATCCATCAATTCTTCGGCATGATCCTCTCGCCCTGTTGCACAGAACAGTTCGTAAAGGCTTTGTGCGGTGGACCACGTTGCCCCGGCATCCATACCGCATATCTCTGTCCGATCTTGAAGGACTTTCCAGAACTGCATTTCTGTCGTCTGGTATTCACCTGTCTCGAGATTCAATTCTCCCAACCTATGCAGCATCACGAGACGAAATTGTTTGAGATCCTGGCGTTGATCGTCGAGTCGCGTCATGGCAATTTCGAGACAATTTCTGGCCCAGACATGATTGCGTATTTCCGCGTGAGCACGAGATGTTATAACGAGACAGTTGATGGTCACCAGACTAGACGGGCCCATAACACGCTCACAGATTGGTAGACAGCGTCTCAGCAGAGGGATAGCTATATGGTAGTCGCGGTTGTGCATGGCGTGCCATGCGCAGAAGTTGGCATTGACCAGGAAATTGGGATGATCTTCACCCCATATCTGTCGCACCTCCACCATTGATCGTGTCAGATGTGCCCCATATTCCCTCATGCGATCGAGGTTGTTTTCAGAGAAGGCCAGTGCATAACGAAACGGTGCGTCGTACGTGAAGCTTCCTCGTAGGCCAGGGCAAGAATCGATGACAGTACAGCTGTCAGACAAGAACTCGGTCAGCTCTGATGTCCGTTGATTTGAGCCAAAGATCATCACAATCTCAGCCAGGGCTGGGAAGATATATTGATTGTCTTGCTTGAGAATGGACTCCAAGACCTGCATTGCCCGACGTCTGTGGCGCTCAAACGCGGCTTTACTGACAGGACCTTCAAAACATCGTTTATAATAAGGCTCGATCCATCTGTTTGCATTCAGTTTATGCTGCCTATGGCTGGAACGCTGCCGAGGACCGAGCCCGCATGAAGCCAGCCTCGCCTGGTGATCTGCAGAGTCGACCGGGAGACAAGTGGCCAGATCAGTAGCAGCAGTGTCCGAGTTCGAGTGTGCTTGAGAGCAAGTGTAGTTCGAGGCGGTAGTCCCCGTCACGTCCAGGTTGGTGGTCTGCGGAGAAGACTCTTGACTGACCGAAATCGGCTGCCGGAAGCGCCGAGCGATATCTGGGCCGGATGTTCTCCTCCACCTGATATCCGCCTCAGACAAGATATTTTCGGCCTCTTCCAGAGTTCTGGGATCGGATAGGGTTCCATCTCCATCACGCTTCTTCCTAATGCGGTCACATTCTTTTCTGATCTTCCGGGTGGTGTAGTCTTCCCTTCCGTCGCGCTTGGGCACATTAAAAATGACATCGTAACCTTCGGCAGCGAAAGAGTCGGCCACATACAGCATGGCCAGATATTGTTCTGCCCGCGTCTTCTTGCGCTCAAACTCCCATTCACTCAGCTTGTTCTTGATCTGGCGCGTGTTCACGTGGAAGTGATGTTGTTCGAGATATTCTTGAACTTGGGCACATGTGCAATTCTTGCGTAAGTACATTTCACGGATGACCGCCTTCTTCTCTTCCCACGCCTCTTTTGAGGGGTGGTGGGCCCGAGGGCCAGCCATTAGACACGCCCGAAAGAAACCCAGTCGTTGCTATAAGGCAAATCTTGTTGAGCGGATTTCTGTACCACGATCTCTGGCATAACGAAACAATTAGTAGACGATAAGGCACGTGCCCAGACTGTAAAGCGCGGTCGGCTTCCAAGAGCGTGCAGAAAACAGCGATGTATAGCGTTCAAAGCCCCTTTTGTGAGATCGCATGATTTGTTCCATATCAACGAGACAGACCTCTTATCCAAGCCGGACTCAAGATGGGCTGAAGCCGAGCATGATTTGATCACGTCGGTATTGTCCGAGCAAACGTGGAACGAGAAAGGGTTGTAGGGCGGAGGAGAGACAGGGACAGGAATGGTGCAAAAAAAACCCCCCCTCGTTGTTGTATCTCGGATATTGATGGTAGAGTGACCTGTCAGACGGTGGATACCGGAGGAAGCACGGGTTGTTGATAGCATACAACGAAGCAGGAGAAGTCTACGAGCTGGGGTGGAGGTCAAACCAGCATCGTGCTTCTTTCTCATGACTGCATGACATCCGGCATTTGGGGCTTGGATCAAGACAGGAAGGCTGAAAGAATGGAGAAAAGGACGGCGAAGATAGCGACACGTTTGTGTAACAACAAATGTGACGGTGACAGAGCAGCGTAGAGCTGTAGTGGGCATGAGCTGTGGGCTGACGCCCAGGGATATAATGTGATATGTCTGGTTTGTGACGGGGGCAAGGGATTGTGACAACGGGGAATACCTCCTCGACCTGTACCTAGGCGAAAGGAGATAGGATCAGTCGAGCAGTCAACAGGGGGCGGGTACAGGAGTTGAGTCGTCAATCGTCAGTCGTCAGTCGTCAGTCCTCTGGTCTGGTCTGGTCTGATCGTGTTGAGGCCCGCGGCGTAGCGAAGGAGACGCAGTAGTAGTAGAAGGGATCATGAAGCTGGAAGGAAAGTTAAAAGGTGACTGGCGGTGATGTGATGCCTGCAGTAGTAGTAAACTGCGCCCGTTGCTGCCCCGCTCTCAAACTGCGCTGCGCCGTCACCGCAATACTGGTGCTCATAATCCAGCAACTACACACCCTGTTCCATCATTGTTATCATCATCATTCGCTCGTATCCTTCTATCTCAATATCAATATCGACCAGGACTCTCTCATGCGTGTTCAGTCAAGATGCCTCTTCTCGACTTCCTAGGCAATTGTGAATCTGAACTGCGGACCCTTCAGGCCCTCTCGACCCTGTGCCGCCCCGGACTCCCAGCCATCCTGTTGAAGCTCACGGTTGTGCACCATTTTTCCTCCGAATACCATGTCTCTGTATCCAGCCCCAGTCTTGTCTCGTGGCGCTCTGTGCTTGGTGGACGCTCTGCAAGACTAGACGCACCCTCGGAAGCTCGAAAGGGCCGGACCTAGGACCAAGACAGGGGTTGGACATCTCAACCATGGACACGGTCACACCCTGTTCTACTCATGGACACAAGCCCCTAGCCACTTGCCCTGCATGCCCACCTGAAAAACACCAAATGGCCATCACCAACGATAATCTGACAATCTGTCAGGGCAAAGAACAGCACCCTGGTCGTTCTGTGCCCTTAGTGAGCGAATCATTTCTCCCGTAGGCATGCCCCCGGACTTTGCCCGCGTAGACTGGCCATCCACCCAGGATATCCTTCTGTCTGGTGCCTTGATGCCTTGGACATGGAGAATGGAACAGGGTGATCGATTTCGCAGCCTGAAGCAGACCAAGGCCTTTACTGTGCCAATGACTGACCGCCTTCTGACCTCCACGTCGCATTTTGAGCATGGGGAAGATGGCGTCTCAAAATCCTTATGACGTCGTCAGATGAGAATACTACCTACCTTACCTAGTATAGGTAAAGTCTCAGAAGTGCCATTGACAAGGCTTCTGGCGTACGCGATATCCACCTACTGACAGGCTTCACAACGAGACAACTATTGTTTAGTATCAGGTCCTCGATGTCGTAGATTCAGAGCATGGAGGGACTCTTTCGCTGAGGATGATTCTATCATATCGTTCCAGGCAACCCTGCGACTGAGACTTGGAGAGACCAGACACTAAGACATGTTGCCTTGACGAGTTAACATCCAAGGTAAGCTCGGGATGGACTGCACATCTTGTTTCACCCGTGTATAGTGGAATGCAATGTCCCTCTTTCTCCAAGCCCAGAAGTGATGCACGAATGTTATGGCGCTGACTTTCCGATTGATCTGCCGATCCATGCCGATAGGCGAAGAGATGTCGAAAGCAGTATCCGAGCGGGCAATCATCTCCAGAGCGCGAAAAGGATCGGCACGCAGAGGCAGCTTATCGACATTGCCGGGCGAACCTCATGATACTCCTGGTAATGGTGGCGGTTCTTGAGGCTTTGGTGGCCGAGGGGGTGGAGGCTTGCCGTTACCTTTGCATTTGCCCTTCCAAGATTGCCCATGATAGAGGGAAGATGGTGCAGATGAAGGTCGTCGTTGGTGACGCTGTCCATATGCCACTATCAATTCACAATCTGCTTCGCATTAGAAACCATTGCATATAGCAAAAGGGGCCAAAGCTCAGCGCATACCGGCAACCGAAGAAAGCGAGCTGTAGCTGCCAGTAGCAGGCGAGACCATGGATGTAGTCGAGCTTCCGGTCACTAAAAAAGATGGTCAGAGAGTCTATGTGGTACAACTAAAGCAGCAAAGACCAAAAGGTCCTGTGCATGGATCTGGTTGCACAAACCTGTGGCCATGATTAGCCGAAAACTGTATTTCACGGTGGAAACACTTTTGAGTTGGGTCACGCTCGAAGTCTCCTTCGTCGTCGCAGCTTGGAATCTCTATATGTGACTTGTTCGAGCGCAGAGACACAGTTCAATGTCCTCAACAGATAGAGACCGGAGTTGGAACCGCAGCTTTGGAAATGGGGATGGGAGGCTTTAAGAGCACATTCTGGCCGTCCAAGTCAGCTCCCACAATCCTCGCCGAACAAGCCATAGCCAGTCCAGCTGCTAGCTTTTCATGATTGAGCGTGAAGACACGGTAGTAAGCATCACACTCCGTTTCGTGGCTTGCTTGAAGGCGCCTCGACAGCAAATCCTTAGTTGACAAGGTGAAGTTTTGGCGAGTCTTGGAGGATTGAGAACCCTGACTATTGTACCAGTGGTTTTGCATGTCCTTAAGGGCCTCTGGATTGGCCGGGGCAAGCGGAAGGGAGTCGGGCTTTCTGTGATGATGCACCGATTCGCATCTTCTTCAATAACTCAGCGCAGATATGGGTACCAGGGGACACCACACTCCTAATCATTGGCTGATTGCAGTGCATTGACACCATGTGGACCACGCATGGTTCGAGGCATTTTGATCACAGTAATGACATGTTATCCAGCGACAGATCTTCATGCAGATGAGGGACGTCCAGCTGTCACAGTCGACAACCAGATGCGGCTCTGCGGTGGCCTAATCACCCAGGTGTGTGTGTTTTGGTGTTGTTGACACGAACAACGGTGATGCGATGGGGAAGCTCGACAGTCATCTCTGGGCCATGTCAACGACTTTGGATATCCTGTTGGTAGTCGTTGCCCCTTGATCTCCAGCATGACAGGAAGCTTGCCTGGTCCCGTCTGCAGCCCAACACCACAGATTCTGGGAAAGTGTGTGCATGGTCTGGCAGCCAAGTGCAAAGCAACCGAGCTTTCCGAGAACAACATGAAGACCGCCCTTCTGCATTTTTGCCAGAGTACATTTGGTTTAAAGCAGAGTTTGGAACCCGGCTGGTTGATGTTGTCCCAAATTCTTGAGTATCCGATGAACAAACCTTGTGGCCAGACCATGCAACTTGCTCAGACGGGACCATTCAGCACTGGCATACCCGGATATACCTCAGGACAACCCGGCTGCCGTCGTGGTCATGGCATCTCAACGCATTGATTTGTGTGCATCATTAGCGGACTGACGGAGTCCTCGCATGGGCTTATCATGTGAAATTCTTGCCGTCGGCGTGATACCGATATCCGAGACTTCTCGTTGAGATCGAAGGGAGCAAAATGGCCAAAAACGGCCGCAGGCTCGTTACAAGTCTTTTGGAACAACGAAACGGAAGGGACAACAAGAAGGAGTCCAAGTCAGATGAAGCCAGAATAAAGTTGAACGCAGGTTGAAGCTAAAGCGGCACCAGCACGGAACGGCACCAAGGGAAAGAGCAAGTTGGTGAAACTCAAATCGACGGCCAACGGAAGGCAGTTGCCTTCTTGGAATGGCAGGACCATCCTTGCAGTCAGTCGGTCCAGTTCGCATTGTCCAACTGCGACACCACTGCCTTACCACTGCCACTGGCAGTTGGCTACAGATCCTGATCTGTTGGGCCCGGTCTACAAGCCTCTGCAAAGAATGGACTGCTGCCAACGGTGCTAGCTGATACTCTGCAGCTAGGTGACCTTTTCATGAGAGCGAGATCAGCTCTTTTGATTACCCTGCCCTTTCTCCACAGCGTACGCATAATGTCGCACGAAGCAACACCCTACCCGCCTTTGCCACAAGCATCCTGGAGACATTTAGCGCGAGCGGTCGGTCACGGACTTTACCTCCTACATCCTACAGAACTTAGTGATTGCGAGAAACTCTACTCCAGCAATCCGAGAACGCACGAACCCGACCGGACCATGATACTCCGACATCTGCCTCATCACATGGAACACTCTGGCCTTGACGCCAAAAGCGCCCCTCATTGACGAGTTGTGTGTCTGAGGGACGGCAAGAGACTAGTTTAGGCATGCATGGAGCACGAGTCACGCTCCCTGCGTGACACGGGCGATGCGTTGTACAACAAGAACACTATTGGCCTCCCTCCCCGTGGTCGCTGCCGCCCTCCATGCTATAGCGTCCTTGTGACCTTGTTTCCCTGGCATACCATTGTCGGCTATAATACACACGCAAGCAGGATCGCATGCTTGTGCAGCGCCAAAGCCGAGCTCATTTACGTACTTGTGATTCAAAGGTGAAGCACTGGTCTCGCTCAGGTCCACTTGGCAATGGAGCAATTTGCACATGGACTGTTGTCTTGAAGGATACGCCTCGCAGCAGCCACGTTCCCTGCTTCAAGCAAAAATACTGGTTGTAGATAGGAAAGTTAGCCCGACTCCCTCGCAACCGACTGCGGCCAGATGTGATCTTATCGTGCTACCAAGTCTACAGATACTTACACCGTGCAACTACAGGTTTGATGAGCCATCACATGAATATCTCGGTCTGCCACGAGTCAGAGCACACCTCAATGTTGCTGCCGTCCAGGTGACCTGAACCAGTTCCTTCGAGCATGTAAGTCGGTCACTATGTACGGACATTGCTCTCTTTCGAACGCCTGGACGGGGTTCTCTGCACAGTCGAGAAACGTGCAAGTACAGCTTGCACTTGGTCTCATTTCGACACAAGTTCTGCTCGCATCACCACACGGGGTTAGGCTAGAGAGGTGGCCCAGAGTTGATGGCGATGATATCGCTAGACCTACATAAGACCAAACTTTCAGTCGCCCGACTCCTTGGGACTAATATTTTGTCTGCGCCTAACTGGCTTGTGATCGACTTTGTGTCAGGTCACAGCAGAAGTGAGGAGTCCATGAGAGCAATTCATCCCTCCGGAGCTCCTCGCGTGGCTGGCTGTTTTACAAAGGCCTGCTTTTACATTTCTTTGCACCACTTTTCCAGCACTTCTCCAATGCCTACGTTTCCCAGTTTTTCTTTGACAGCCCATGCGACCTCGTCAAGCGTGACATCGACTCGGAACATCCTGGCTGCAACTCCATCACCGCCCAAACCTTCATCGCCCAATCTGCCACCCGGAACCCCACCGCTCAGACCAGAGAGCGGGACGAGGAGTTCCCACTGAATCAGCTCCTCCCAGGCCGCACGCACAGTGTCCTTGCCCCAGGACCTATGAGCGGCGCCAGTGACGGCACCACCCTTCGTCAGCGAAGACAAGACGGAGCGATGCATCCTCGATCGCGCGAGAAGCTCGGCGTAGTGGGAGTGAACGAGGGCGAAGTTCAGCGCCGAGAGTTCATGGATGGTCTCAAGACGAGCGGCGCAGATAAGCAGGGTGAGATGCAGTGTAGGTAAGTGCGGCAGCAGTTCCAATAATGACGTCGGAGAGGACAATGATGATATGTCCTTGATGAAGCCCGGAACTGGGATATTCGAAGTCTGCTGATCGCTGACTTGGGGTTCTTCGCTCTCGGATACGGTGAGCATTGCGATGGGGATATACAGAGCTGCAAGGACGTCCGGAATGGATTTGGTGCTGTAGAAGGTCTTCTTCAGCAAAGCCTGGTATATCGGCGCATGGATGAGACGATTCTACAATGTCCTCCGTCAGCATGATTTCAATGAGTTCCAACATGACGTTACTGCCAGCGAGAAGTCAAGCCTCATGACTTACCTTGATGGCTTGGTTCCACCTTGTCCTCCACTCGAGCTGGACCCCTGGCAGGCCGACAGCCTCTTTCCCCTCGACAGGGAGAGACAGAATGCTTGCAACGGTGTCTTCGAACGCACCAAAACTCTTCGCAGTTGGGATATGAAGCCAGCGATGGCTGAAGCGGCTTTTGACACGTTTTTCCAGACAGTCGACGACGTCCATACGACAAGAGCTTCCGATGACCGCGATGGGGGCTTTCTTAGCCTGGGCAATATCGAATAAGTTGTACAGCAGCGTCTGGCGCGGATGTGTGGTGAAGAGGTCAAACTCGTCAAGGATGAAAATAACACTTGTAGCTGTTCTGTTCCCTAGCTGCCCGCGACCATTGACTGTGGAAGTGGTAGTGTCGTTGTTGTCGTCTACATCAAGCATCATGGTGTCGGGATCGGCAAACTCTTCCGGGTGCGAGAGGAGACTCAGCAGACTTGCCATGGTGTCGGCGTAGCTGGAGACTTCGCCCGTCTCGGCTTCAGGCACAGCCATCTCGCGACCCAGTTGCCGCCAGATCTCGCGGAGAGCCAATTTATCGTCGGTCTGAAAGAAGCCATTCAGCCGGACGACGTGAAACTCTTCGTGGTGGGATCTTCTCAAGTCGCCAATGGCGTGCGAAATGAGCAGGGATTTTCCGCTGCCTCGGGAGCCGAGCAGGAGAAGAGAATTGGATTCGCCGGCAGTGACTGTTGCGCTGAGTAGCGAGTGCAGAGTGCTGTATTGTGACTGTAGATGTGATATGGGGCAGAGGGTGTGGTTGTTCATTCGTTGCAAGATGTCCATCTTGATGTTGGCGACATTGATATTGTCGAGTTGCTCGAACGATTTTTGCGTGTCCACGTCTAATTGAATCGCTGAGCCTGTAGGGGGAGCAAGAACTTCAGTCACGTCTGGCTCCGTGTCGAACGTCGTCTCATCGTAATCCTCTTCGGCATCGCCTTCCCCTTTGCTGCCTTCTTCTTCTTGGTTGTCGAGGTCTCTGTTGTCGCCGTCCTCAACCTCGTGTCCTGCTGCGATACCTCGTGATGCAGCGTCTGATCCTTCGCCCTTTCCTGGTCTGTCAGATAGCATCTGTTTCGCGACGGATGTAGCCTTGCCTTTCCTCGTCGGCTTTGTCGAGCTGTCAATGTCCTTGAATCCGAATTGTTCCCCGATGCGCCTCTCGTCTTGTTCAAATGCCACGGATTTGCGAGGCCCAGTCCTCTTGTCGCGCCCACGTCTCGAGGGTGTAAGGATTCCCTTAGGCTGAGGCGAGCCAACGTCACCTCCGACATTGTCCACTCCAGAGGCTGCAATGGGCTTGGCTTTCGCTCGCACACTCTGTGACGATTGCTTCCTGGACCCCGAGACTTCCTTGGACGCTTGCGGAGATGAGAATCGTTGAGGAGGTCGTCTTGCGCGTCCGCTGGAACGAGGTTGGCCTTCGCTTTCGGCGTCCACTATTCCTTTCGTGGGTGTTTCATCCTCCATCTCACCGACCCCGTCCTTGTCTTCGACTTCAGCAAGATCGGAGGTCCGTCCCAGGTGTTGGGTTGCACCGACATATGTTTCCGGCGCACTGCGCCTCTTCCGAGTGTTTGCTGTACTCTTGGATAGTCCACCATTGTTCACATCATGCGGTGGACGATCCGATGTTCTTATTTTTCTTGATATCCGTCGAGATGGGATACTGTTGGTCGAATCGTCCGCTTCCTGATTTTCTAGCACTGGTAGTTGCGGTTCAACAGACGTTTCGAGGCCTCCGCTGCCATCGTTCTCATTGCGTCCCTCCGTGGTGGCAGTCGGAGCGACCAGTGTATCATTCTCTCCTTCATGTTCTTGATTCTGAGTAGTCCTCGTCGAGTCCTCGGTCTGGTCCGCTGGGATTGAGTTCAATGTCGTCCGTCTAGTTGCATAGGTTCCTGTCCGTCTACGTTTGGACGCACGAGGGGAGGGGTCTAAGGAATCCATATCGCGTTAGGCGAGCATGATTGTGCGTTCCAAGTAACACATAACTGCCAGGATGTTGTAATGGTGTTCAAGAAAAGTGCTGTCAATGCAAACACTTAACGCGCGACGCGGGTAGAACGCGTCGGCAGACTTGCCGGTTCTGGGTGTGATACCTAGATACGGGAGCCTTGCCAGTACTAGTACTACGGAACTAGAGCCTTGGGTGCTCGTATTCGGATCGCAGAGGTCAAGCTGATCGCAGCGATGCAGAACTTTGGGATCTGCCATATAAAGTGTTTCATGATCCCCCTACGAGGTTGGGCAGCGTGTACCTTGCGTTCCCGCACATTATAATGGCGGGTGGAGTCATCTTGACTGCTATGGCGCTGGTGAGTAGTTCTGCTGTGGTCTACACCATCTATCTTCATCAGACTCTTTCTCGCAAGATCAGTCATCGCAGCGGGATTGGACTGCCCACAGCGGACGATGACAGCGAGACAAAAATCGCGTCTCTACCTCCTGATCTCGACGATCCCTCCAAATACCATGTTATCCACGATATCGCTTCCAAACGTGTCCCCTCCGCAAAGCTCCCGACCTTTACCGATCCCAACCTGCTGTTGACAAAGTATTTGCGGAGAAACATGACTTGCTTTTTCCAGGACCCCAACGGCGTGGCTGTTACGGCTCGTCTTCAAAAGCCCTCAAGCGAGGAGGACATTTGACGCTTCGTTTATACAGGGCCTCGAATTCGTCCCGGGAGATGATGTGTGTGGGGCTTACCGGGTTGAAGTTCGGACAGCCAACAAGGTTGAATTTGCGATGGTGTCCCTGGAAGGACTGCCTCCCATTGACGGCAGATTGGTGACCAGCTTTCAGCAGCAAGGTGATCAGACGCTCTTCGTCACGCAGACATTGCAGTGGAAGCGGCAGGGCGTGCAAGTCATGCTGCCACTCGAAAGGAGGGCGATCAAGTGGTTGCATGAATATGTGAGTTGGTGGCTGCTGGAAACTGGGACTTGCTGGTTATGTGATTTGGAGTCGCAGTCTTGAGCTCCAGTCTGTGGCGACATGTTGGCAAAACGGAGGCAAAAGATATCGGAGGAGGAAACATCGTGGCTAATTCTAGAAAGGGGGGAGCCGTGGAAGCCTCTTGGACAAGGGGCTCCTTAGGCTCCTCGAACATGGTGTCGCCCAGGTTAGGCCACTCTAGATGACGGCTCAGACGAGGATGGAGGCTTTATCCGCCTACTCGTGGCCGACTGGGCCGAATGGGCCTGGACCGGGTATCGGATATCGGGATACAGAGGGTATCTGGCAGTGTGGGCAGGAGGAGTGGACCATCGCTATCGGCGGTTCAGACGTGCAGGGGATGGATGGATGATAGCGGAGGTGGATGTCAGGATGATACTAGCAGTGCCAGATGGTGGTTCCATTTATGATACCAAGCGGGGATGAAGGTGGTGCCCATACTAATTAGATAGTAAGGTATCTATCGCATATGGTCATACTCCACAAGAAGCTAAGTTAGAGGAATCGCGCATCGCAGTGGAGAGCAGTAGGACTCTCCAGTCTCCGGCCTGTCTACTGGGAACAGATGGAGACAATAGATTATGGGACCTGGCATTATTCTGGGATTCTGGGATTCTGGGATTCCGGGGTAGAAATAGAGATAACGCTTACTACTAGTAGTAGTAAGTAGTAAATAGTACCCACTGCCCACCTACAGCCTACAGGGGCTACTCTAAGCTGCCATGCCTGGGAGAGCCCCTGGGAAGTCACTACCTTTCCCCCGCACCTTCGCCTAAACTGGGAGAATAAGCCTCCCTAGCCCTGGAACCCGTCCTAAGGTCAGCTGGGGTTCGTCAGGGTCTTGCACCAGCTCAAGTAAATCCCGTCGACAAACCTCTGATCCTCCATCTCCTCCTCCCTCTTCTGACTCTCAGCTCCATGCTTCTGTACAATCGGGCCGATCTGTCTGCCATCTGACCCCAGCATGATGATCCTTCTTGGGCCATTTGAGATCTCCCGTTCCCTAGCTTTTCGGTCATCGATATACTGCACAATTGGTCCAACTCCTCAAACAGACGCCGTCGACTCGTCTCAGCTGAACGGCCCTCATAGCATACCAGACACGAGATCCCAACTGTCTGCCGCCTGCTATCCGGGTCCCTCCCATCGTCCCGTCCTCTCGGCTGCTTGTCAATGTGCACCTTCTGACCATGACGCCATGTCATTGCTTCTATTCCCTCGCTGTCCCCGGTTGACCATCAGGTCCCTCAGAGAAAGAGGAACCAAATGAACAGACAGCAATCTTGAAGCTCTTCATGTCCCCAAAGTACCAGCACCGGCCTCGGCCATGAATGATGCAAGCAGCGCCAGCCGCGAGCCAAGAGGCGCTGAAAGATCGCGACCCTCAGTGGACAAACCCCATCCTTCTGAATTCCTCGAATTTGTCAACGCTGCCGACCCCATTCCAACTCGGCTGGAGCCTCTAAGGATACATCCTGAGGTCAGTGTCGCGAAAGATCCCAATGAAAGTCGAATCAATATCACTCGGTCCAACGATGACCTCTTCCACGGCCTCTCCGCTGCCATTCCAGGCCTGCGGCGCTTGTCTGTCGAGGCTCGAGCCGCCACAAAAGCCGAACATGCCATGACCTTTGTAAAAGCTTGCAAGTTATATCCGAAAGCCATGGCTTGGTCTGCGCTGTTGAGTATGACCATCGTCATGGAAGGCTACGATACCACCTTGATCAATAGCTTCTATGCCTTTCCCATCTTCCGCCGCTCTTATGGTGTACCATTGAAGCCCGAGGCTCCTCCAGGCCAAAAGGATTTCCAGATATCACCGGCATGGCAAACGGGGCTCACAAATGCAGCGGTGGCTGGCGAGATCCTTGGTCTCATGCTGAACGGCTTCCTAACGGACCGCTTCGGATACCACAAGACGATGGTGGGCACTCTGCTTTGGATGTCCTTGTTCGTGTTCCTGGCGTTCTTCGCGGTCAACATCAAGATGCTCGCTGCTGCCCAGGTTCTCTGCGGCTTGCCGTGGTAAGCCGCCTTTACCAACGGTGTGACAAGAGGCTTAACAAGAGTTGCTTGTAGGGGCGTGTTTCAAACCCTCAGCACTACCTACGCTGCGGAAGTCATGCCAATGGCTTTACGAGCCTATCTGACCAGCAACGTGAACATGTGCTGGCTTATCGGCCAGCTATGCGGCGTAGGCGTCATCCGAGGTCTGATCCACAACAACTCCGAATGGTCGTACCGAATCCCATTTGGTCTGCAATGGGCGTTCAGTGTACCCATCCTCATCGGGGTACTGTTTGCCCCAGAGAGCCCCTGGTGGCTAGTTCGACATGAGAAGATCAGTGACGCGAAAAGATCATTGTTGCGGCTGACCACCGAACGCGCAGATCCCGACTTCAACGCTGACGAGACAGTCGCGATGATGCAGCATACCAACGAAGTGGAGAAGTACCTGAACGGCGGCGGCGTCTCATATCTAGACTGCCTCAAAGGGAACGACCTCCGTCGCACCGAGATTTGCTGCATGGTATGGTGCACGCAAGCATTATGCGGCAATGCCATGACCGGGTACGCCGCCTATTTCTACGAACAGGCCGGCTTCAACACTGCCAACAGCTTCAACCTCGCGGTCGGCATGTACGCCGGAGCAATCTGCGCGGGCGTCCTGGCTTGGGTGGGCATGCGCAAGATCGGCCGCCGGACGCTATACCTGGGAGGCCTGTCGGTTTCTCTGCTTCTGCTGATCGTGACCGGCAGCGTCGGCATACCGAAAGCGACCGCCGGCACTTCTTGGGCCTCGGGGTCGCTGTTGATCGTCTTGACCGCCGTCTACGACTTCACCGTAGGTCCTGTCTGCTACGTGCTCGTGGCCGAGATCCCGTCCTCGCGCCTGCGAGTCAAGACCGTCGTCCTCGCCAGGGTCGCGTACAATCTCGTCAGCATCGTCACCAACGTCGTCACGCCGCGCATGTTGAATCCCTCCGCCTGGGACTGGAAGGGGAAATCGTGTTTCCTGTTCGCCGCCACAACCCTGGTCTGTCTGGTCTGGTGCTGGTTCCGCCTGCCCGACCCGTTTGGCTTGACTTACATGGAGCTGGACATCCTGTTCGAGAAGAAGGCAAAAGCCACCAAGTTCAGGCAGTTCCAGGTCAACCTGGCAAGCACCGGCTACTTTAGTCTCACCCCTGCCAGGTCCGACAGTATGTGGAGAGGATATCGATAGCGCACCTTTGGTCTTGGCCGCCGCCGCTGTATCGGAGGTACCGGTACGGACTTGGTAGAAGTCGTATACAATCCATATCCCGGCACCTTGTTTCCAAACGAGTCAACATTAGATGAGCCTACTGCAGACGCGTGAAGGACGATGCTACTGACGCGAAACAAGCAATGCTCAAGACTGTACAGAGTAAGAATGTGGTAAAGTGGTAAGGTTCTTCATTCATTGCGTTCGCGTTTTCCCTTCTATCTATGTGCTTGAAAAGTGACAAAACTCCGGTCTTTTTTGGTTCTTTTTTCCTCCATTTTTTTCTTCCATTTTCTCCGGTGCTGTTCTTGGTTTCCTTGCCGCTTGATGACGGTAGGTGTCCCGCGGCCTGACCTTCTCGTGTCCTAGGTCTTGATTGACGGGGATTTGCAACACAAGATCCAGCTTCAACCTGGTCGAAACAGTCCATACCACATGTTAAAACCTCCATGCTTCCAGCCCTGAACGTCGATTTTGTCCATGGGAAAAGAGTGTGCCTCCGGTGCTTCGATGCTAAATGCAGTGGTGAAAAGCAACAACCGGCAATGCGAAAAGAAAAAGCCATTCAAGCCATAACGTGGCGCAGAACCAAAGTTGACCCCCAGTGGAAGCCATCGCAAACGCCCATGTACAAACCATAAAACACAACATTCCTCTGCCATCCCGTCGAAGCCATCCGAACATTCCCTCGCCTGTTGAAAAAGAGCCTGTGGCTTCTTCAAAAGTCCATTATCGATGGATAATCTTGCCCCTTTGATTGGCAATTGCCGCCATACGAGTCGTTCCATTTGCCGTCCTTGGCCAAGAGCACCGACAGGAAGGGGGCCCAATGTCTGTGAAACCGAGCATTTGTGACCAAACCAACCATCTATATGCTTGTGCGTCCAGACCAGGTAATCAGGAATACAAAGATGATGCAACCGATCCCTCCTCGCTCGAGAAATGCAAATCAACCGCGCCGTTCCATGCAAAAATGGGGGAAATTTGGCCCATATGTCTATCGCCGATTGGTCGCAAAAATCGAGGCTTTGCAATCCATATCAAGCATTCAAACCACAAACCGTCTATGTGCATTGCTTTTTCGTATTGAAATAGTTGAAAGGACGCCACCGATGTTCATGCCATCTTCATGTCCATGCGCATGGTTACAGCCCACGGCCCCAACCCGCTGCTCAGCAGAGGCCGGAATAGGATCGTAGAAAGTTTATTGTCCCTGTCGGTGCTAGGACGCTAGGACGGACGAATCGGAGTTGTCAGGAATCGCTTGCAGAGGACGGAAAAGCTTCCTCATGTCCAGCTCCAGGGCGGTAGAAGCATAATCATCGTCAATGTAGGCCACACTGCCGGGTTCTTCGCCTCGGCGGGCCGAATCAGTGCTGCTCCATTCTCGTGCCTTTTTCAGTCCATGGAGGACTTGTCGGAGCCGTTCGTCAGCAGGCAACTGCCAATCAAGCATCCGGTTGGTTTGCATCAAAGCACGGGCAAGCCAGTAGAACAGAACGCCATCTCGACAAAAGCCAAGACGCTTTGGCATGGAGTGGTGACCGTTGTCTGGTGGGTACTGTAAAGCATAGTCTTGATCCCAGGCTTGTTTCCATCGAGCGAGAGCAAGGTCGACCGAGTTGTACATGCTGTTGGTCTCGTCAAACGTGGAATCGCCAGCACCAGCACGTTCGGTAGAAGCCGACGGACTGGCAAAAGATCTTTGACGCTGAATTTGCCATATCTCCACATGAAGTGCATGGATCAGGATGAACTTCGAGTAGACATTGGTGGTGCGTGGCTGCATGAGTACCGACGTGCTATGGAGTGCACTCATTGCATGATGCATCTCCAGCTGTTTGAGTCTGAGTGAGCCGCTGGTATTGATCCTCGACTGGGCCGCCGGACCTCGTAGCCCCAGTGCTTGCGCACAAGTCTCGGCGTCCGGAGCTTCCCATGCCGCATCATCGCAAGGAAGTGGCAATTTGATCTCGGCCGAGGAGAACTGGGGTGGCATATTGAAGTAGATGCACATGGCTGCATCCCACAGATAGACCATGAACATCAGTCTCGATCGTTTTTCTTGTTCCACCCAGGAGCGCCATTCCCACAAAGACGGATCGGCTTCCTCGCCTGGTTGAAGGCTGTGGAGATAGCTGTAGGCAAAAGGATCGCCCGGGCCGGCCAAAGTCAACATGTTGAACTGGCGGACCAAGTACAACACTCGCCGACTTTCCGCACGCGCCAGAGCTCGCTCTTCCGGACCCCCATGCCATACAAACAAGGTCTGTAGAATCTGCAGCGCAAGAAGTTCTTCGAACTCCACTCCTGATGGGGAGAACTGGGTCTGAGCAGATCCCAGTTCGAGGACTTTGAGGACTTGTGAGTTGCGTTCGATGGCGCGCTTCACCAACTGCATGAGAGCTCGCACCACAGTTTGAGAGACGCGGTCAGAGTAAACCGCCCCACTACAAATCATCACAAGAACGAGGCCGTCATGGGCGGTCAAGAGATTGAAGGTCGGCAGATGAAGCCAAGGGAAATGGCCTTGATAGTTCGGGAACAGTTCGAGGAAATGTTGGATGGCATCGACGGTCAGGCAGGATTGAATGTTGAGGTTATTTTGTTGCTCTTGGAGCGATTCCTGTAGTCCACCAGGGAAAACAAACGTTAACAGTGAGTTCACCTTGGCTTGGAACAAGTCTTGCTGAGATGCATGCAGATTCCAGAGAGGGGGTCCAAGCGTACCATCAGCTCCAAGGCTCGTAGAGGGAATGTAATAGCCATTCGATCCACCTTCATGAGTCTCAAACTCCTTCTTCACATCGTTCTGGGATTGGTCATAACCTCCAAACATGGGGTTCATGTATCCTTCGGATCCGCCAGGCTGGAACATGTGGTTCCATTCATCCCCCATATGATGAGGCTGAGGCATGACATTGCGCTTGTCTTCCCCCCCGCCGGGCTGCATGCCGTAGTGGTCTGGAGGAGTCGAAGTCGAATGGTACATCAACTGACTGTTTCTTGGGTTGTGCATCGACCAAGAGTTGTTAGCGTTGGGATCCATGGACCCCGGGCCTGAACCTGGTTGCATCGACTGAGCTTGGCGTTGCATGTCTGCCTGGCTGTTGGATTGCATGGCGTAGCCCATTCCCGGCGCCGGGGCACTCGTGGTAGGTGCGGACGTGCTGCTCATGGGGGCAGAGGTGTATGGGGGATTGGTCATGACCGCGCTGGACGGCGTGTTCGCGCTGGCGGGGGACGCCGTGGCTGCTTTAGCAGCGGCTTGCTGGGATTTCTTGATGTGAGCTGCCGGGTTTGACAAATGGCTCGCTCCTGTTGGGTTGCCACGTCGAACCGAGCATTTCTGAAAGTGACGCTTCAGGATATCACTCCTGGAGAACGTATCGTTACAAAGCACACACATGTACGGTCGATCACCGGTGTCTGTACCACAGGTTAGCTCGTCACCACACAACGGGGAAGTCAGGCATACGTCTCAACATGTGTCGCTTCAGATGTTTTGCATGGAGATAGGTCTTTGTGCAATTCGGGCAAGGAAATTTGCCGTCGGCATCCTTCTGCGGCACGGCGCTCTTCGGGGATCCGTTAACACCATTGGCCATGACAGGAGGACGTCCTGGCGCACTGGGCAAGATGCCTCTTCTTCCTTGCGATCCCACGACATGTGTTCTCGTGGGGTCTCGACCAACATCAGTGGCCATGCCGGGCATGGATTCGGCGCCGGACCATGCCTGCTGGCGGTTGTCGGGTTGACCGTATGCAGGACCGAGAGAGTCGAGGTTGGGACGAGGAGGTGCAGGAGCAAGAGGTTGCGGGTATGATTGACGCGCTTGTGGTTGTCCCTGATAACCCTGGTGCTGAGGCGGCTGGTGCTGCTGCTGCTGTTGTTGTGGCTGCTGCGCCTGCGCCTGTTGAGATTGAGGTTGCGGTAGCACAGAAGAAGGAGGCAGCCCGCCCATGGGACCCTGCGGATTCATGTGGGAATGGTATCTGCTGTCCGGAGCAGGTGAAGCAACGGGCGCAGTGTTCGGGGCAGACGTGTAACGCGGCAGGTCATTGCGGTACTGCTGTTGCATGTAGCCCTGGTTTGCAGGGGGCAGCTGAGAGTAGTTGATCGGCGGAAGATGGGTGTTGTTCTGGTATGGAGGCATAGCGTACGCAGAAGCCATCGTGTTCGCTTGGTAGGTGTTCTGAGGTGTTCCAACGTTGGACGACGTTGTCCTCGATAGTGATTGTCTAGGGTCCATCACCGGAATGAAAGATGCAGGTGGAGAGTGAGGAACTCAATCGACCATTGGACGACGGAGTCGAGATTCAGTGATGATGGATATGAGGACAATACTGCGTGATGGAGACTCGAGTATCGATGAGAAGCGGGTCGATCTGGTAGTTGCGGTGGTGGTGGTGGTGTTGTCAGTAAGGACAGGACAGGTTGAAAATTTTCGAGGAATAATGGTGAATGACGAGCACACAATAATGTCTGCAAGGTACGTCGAGACAGCGCAGTCGACACAGGCCCTGGTCTGGTAGAGTATCTCAACGGGGTCGTTACGGTGCTTCTCCTTGAGTGTCCCGGACGCGCGACAGGGAGTGTGCAGGTGAGGGATGTTGTGATGGAGGCTTTCGCAGGGTTCGCAGGCAGGGTGCGGTGCAGTCAAGAGTGGAGGGGAAGGGGCGTAATGTTGTTATTGTGTGCGACGCGCGAAGAGGAGGACGAGCGAGTATAGATGAGGGTCGCTGGGTCCCTTGATCTAGCTTCTCGGGTAGGATGATTGACTCGCAGGAGGATGGCTGCTTTGCTGGGTCTGGCGCGGCGGGCGTGGGAGGGAGGTGGGAAGCTTTTGTCTTGGGTTGGGTTGGATTGAGTTGGGGGTGGATGATTTTAGGCCTCAAGGATTTGTGCTGCCGGAGCCGCGGTGGATATGCCTGTGCGGTGCGGTTGTGCGCTGGATCGGTTGCCGAAAACGAGGATTGGCGTGGCGTCCAGGATGTTTTCCCGAGACGAACGATAATAGCACTAGGTAGGAGGCGGAAGATAATGGAGGACGAGGAAAGTGGTCAGTGATCAGTGATCAGAGATTGGAAGAGAAATGGGATGGATGTAGTTGGGTGGGAGAGGCGAAGAGAGGTTGATGGTGGTGGTGGTCAGGTGGGAAAAAAATGTGAGAGATTATTCTTTCGGGGAGTTAAGAGCGAGCGCGAACAAAAATTATGCAGCGCCGTTCAGTTTGGGCAATACTAGTACGTAGTAGAGCAGCAGTACCTAGGTACGTACCTAAGGTACCTTACTGTCCAGTGTCCGTCCAGCGGTTTACGCTAGAATTAGATCGATTCTAGTTCAGGAGGCCCGGATGAGGGACACGGTGCTGCTACGTACTAATTTGCTCATGGTGAGACTCATCTTCCACTGACAACCTCCCTAGGTACATAGGCTCTGGTAATGCATTGATTAATTGATTCATCGTCGGTGGTCAGCAGGCGAGGAATTAATCTGATCGGGATTTCCCTACGTCGCAGCAGCACCAACACCAGCAAAGCATGGGCAGCGTTCGGCAATAGCGCCTTAGTGGTGTCAGTGCACAGCCTAAGGAGCCGCCGCTGCGACGGTGGATTCACCCTCTCTACTGCCATTTCTCTGCCACTCTCTGCCACCCCCCGTTCCCATTTTGCCCGACCACCCAATTACTCTATCCTCTTCCGCCGGTCCACTCTCTGCAGATCGGGAACAGCTCCCAGCAGGGAGTCTTGGTGGCGGCATCAGGGGTCAAGGTCCGACCGACGACCAAGCCTTCACTCGATAGCGTGGATGAACACGTACCCTGCGGTCCAAACGAGCCCTTCGTTACGCAACCACCCTCCAACCCCTGCCCGTAAAACGGGTCACCACCTTCCCACCATGACCCGGCCTGTTGGAAGGGTTGTTACCTAGACTGCTATGCTCTGTTATGGTGTGGGTTTCCACGCACTGGAAATACAGGGTGGGATCCCAGAGTGTGGACTGCCATAACACAGAACTGGAGACACCACCACCACCAAAAAAGGACTTCTGTGCAAGAATACCCAGTACACTATTTCGACGTCCATATGGCATCCGTGGGGGAAAGTCAGGCGTCAAGACCGGCAAACGGCCATGTAGGTATGCAAGAAGTCTGAGTTCGGCTATGGACCCCGAGTGCCAGTTGTTGCTATCCTAGCCTATTCTTTCATCCAGACAAATCAGCATCATTGCAGGTAATTACGGACGAACCCGATGGAGCAATCCCTGAGCATAGCAGTAAGAGAATTACGCTATGGTTCATTGGGAGGATTTTATATTATCAAACTTGTCAGGAGTGACGGCGAGCGAGTGAAAACTCTGCAGCGTTGAGAGAATCATCCCGAGGAAATCGCGTCTGAAACATAGGGTTTACTTGGACAACAATAATCTCATATACTACCACTAGTAGTATAACAATAATAAAGCTACTAGTTAGGTGGCGGAGTAGCGCGACCAGAACGCAGCCTTCTCGGAGCTCATACCGCGTAGTATGCGGCAGCCACGACTCGAATTCTCGGTATCTCTCGAGTCAGGCCGGTGAAGCCGGCGAACGACAGGAGACAAGTCGGGCACACGTCCTGTGTGTACACAGTTCTAGGTGGCCGCACAGAGCAAGTTCCAAGGTCGTGTGAGATCCGCGGCACGTACACGCTTTTGACAGGAGGTTGGCTGTCTCCCTCGCTACCTGACCTAAGGCTACGTAGCACCTTGGGCAGGTAGGTAGGTATGAGATGTCTAGACAACGCTCTTTACTGGCTGCAAGCCCACAATCCGGATGGATACAACAATGGTGTTCAGTTACCAGCCTTCCTGACTACCTGAATAGTGGTTGTAATAAGGGATCTGCCACCAGAGATCCTCCCCCTTCGTTGAAGAGAAGATGCAACGTCGGTATTCCCTGTAGGACTCGAACGAGTGATCTGACTGTCCGGCATCGGTTGCTCATTTAGGCAATTAGGACAGTCGACCAAAGCGACTGTAATGCTGATTCGCCTGATCGTTTTAAAGTTGGAATTGGGCGTCGTGTCGGGCTTGGAGAAGGGTTCGCTGCGGTGTGTCTAGGATACGACGCTGGAAGGCTGCACAAGCGCCACGCGGCGCCCTTGTCCGGCCGATGGAGAATTGTTGTCAATTCAAGTGAATAATGACGGCCAAATACTACTGAATGTGTTGATTGTGGGCCGCCATCAACAGCAATTAAACAATAAATAATGGTACAGATGGAAGTTACCGTAGGTAGCGGAGGTGGTTATATGACTTCAAATTGTAGTGAACGAATGCAAAGAGAACGTCTTTTGAGCCTGCAGGAGCCTTTCAAGATCCAAACAGAGAAGGAACGCAGTTGCTATCGTGCTTCTTGCATGACAGAGGCTTTCTCTCTTCCTTGCTTCTCTCTGCAGCCACTACCACACCATCCTGTCTTGCTTCATTCGTCCATACCAACCTCAGTTTCTGTCTAGCCTTTGCCGTGATCTGCTTTGGTTGCATCGCTGTCAGACACCAACCTTGTCTTCTCGTCAGACTTACAAAACTGATGCAACCTCGATAGACTGCGCGTAGCCTATTATGAAGGTGCGCTGACATGGGCCCAAGTGCCGTGTTTCAACATCTACACTCACTGTATGTACACAGTACATACTCTGCTAATTTCAACACGGCGCTTCTGAACAGTCAACATGTGGACGCACTCCTCAAGAGGAGATCATCCGTACGATCGTCGCAACTTGGTTCATCCCTCCTCCAAGCGAGATTCGGCTACACAGTGACACGACCTCTTGAGTTTGAGCCTTCCACCTTCACCGTCCAATCAGCAGTCGTACTTCCTGTCTCAAAACCAGCCTTGATCGTCTTGGTCTATGGTTCAATAATAACACATATTGTGATCTACTATCTGAAGCTATTTCCTGGCCGCAAGGGCTAGAGAACCATATGCCGAGCCCGGCGGTAATATCGCGAGGGTCGAGCTGAGCCTTGAGGTTGTTGCCCTGCCGTGTCTCGGAAGCTCTCGGGTATACCTAGACATGCTGGACTTTGACATCATCATCATCATCCAAAAAGTGCTGTTAAATAATGTTGTGGCGTTCCACGCATTTAACAACCCTTTTTGGCTTCTTGAGATGGCTTCTTGCCACGCCGACGCGAGACCCTGGGCACGGTTGAGCTCGACCATCCCCAACTAATTGGTCACCCGAATGTGTGATTAAGAATCAATACTACAAAATTATCGTCCGTGATTCTGACTGAACATATGGTCACCTGCTGCACCGAAATGAAACCGCGAATAATGATGATCATTATTCGGGGGTCAGGCCATATTTCGAACCAGACCACCCGACAGGGGTGTCGGCGTCGGGCGTTCTCAGCTGCAATGCAGCATTCGAGACTTCCCGCCGGGTAGAAGGCGCAGGATATCAGTTCCCAGCCAAGAGTCGGTGATCTGCCGACCACCAAAATTGACCCCTTTAGACTTCTTAGACCTGGCGCTTCGAGTTCTTGCAGGCCTTGCTCAAGCCACGTCGCCCAGAGACGTTGATGCTCGATCGATGCCTTTGCGCCCCCAGTCATAAGTTACAGGTAGGAACGAAACTGGGCTTCTTTGTGTGACCCTTGCCGCACATCCACCAGGCTTTGGAAGCTCCGCTATCCACGTGTTAGAGGCGCACACAACTGCAAGGCAATGGGTGGCTTCTGCCATCTGGGTGTCAGACCCGCCATGACGTCGCCAGAGAATACGAGGCGGAATCATGGTGCAGAGTTTAGATTTGTCTCCAATTTCGACAGTACAGTCGTGTGGATGGCTGTGTGGATGTTCAGATGGCGCCATCCTCGAATCAAGCTTCAGGTATTCAAGTTCACGACCGTGCCCGAATCGAGGGCCAACCACCAACTTGAAGCCGGCCGATGAGAGACTTCTGCGCTTGTCCTGCACGGCGAGATTGATCAGTTCGAATGAGCAAGCAGAGAGCCGGCATGAACCACGTCATTTTTATTGAAGAGAACAACCGTGCATGTTAAGCATGTACAATCCATGTCGCCGGAAATGCGGATAGTCGGCTTGCTTCCGAGGCAGACAGAGTTGGCCTCGAGTGAAAATCTCATCAGCGATGCAATAATTGAGAACACACAGACAAATACGCTGAGTGAAAAAGCATGCCGAGGTGGGTGTGCGCCTACTATGTCCTGAAGTGGTATCTACTATATTGGCGGGACCGCACGCTGGGGCGTGTCGACGTCGACGACGTCGTCAAACTACTGTAACTCTCTCGCGGAGGACTGCCGATATCCTACCCCTGTTTTCTCTTTTGATGATGGACCCAGGACTCGGCTGGTTCCGGTTCAGAAACTGCGGACCAAACACAGTCAAGATGCCAGGAAAGAAACCATAATCGGCGAACCACTTTGGAAGTTTACTGTGTCCCTCAGTTACTACCTCTAAATAAAAGGCACTTAGCGAAGCAAGTACAGATTAACCCCTAACGGCAATTCTGATCTCCTGTGCGCTTCTGGCTTGCTGTTCGTGCTCTGTATGCAGCAGTTGTGGGCCAGTAATTCACTGGTTCAACGCATCCTTAGAAGATGCTACCGCCGGTCAAGGTTCCGGACAGGTGCGAATGAGGAATATCTCCCGTCATACCACCAAGCCGTCTGTCTCATCAAAACTCTTCTGCTAAACGGCTCGCTCACTAACATGGAACTTATCTACAAGACATGACAACTAATCTCCGAAGTCGGGTCACGACTGTTTGTTCAGGATTCTTGTCTCCTGAGTTTTGATTGTGCGTCCTTCAAATTGTTATCATCAACCTGACAACATCAGCCTCGAGAGTCCCCTTGCTCTCCTCGGCCAGATAACCCGCGACCCCTCTGTCCAAGGTTCCCACTCGCGGAAGCGGCAGTTGAGCCACTTTTTCAATAACCCGAAGCTACGGAGAGATTTCCATCAAGGGTCAAGTGGCACCGCACTACTGTAACCGAGTTCGCTCGGACACTTTTGATGGTTTGACCCATCGATTTGGACCCATTTTGTTTTCCAGAAGTGCGCTTCTTGGTCGGCCTCAAACCAGAAGCACACAAGAGTGGATGGGGGGATACCCTTCACGCTGGTCGTGACCCTCAGCGCATGCATGCCTGCCCACCTGTTGCTTTCCGATTGATCTATCCATTGTGTCGGATTTGCTCGTTTGTAAGCGTCGGTTCGTCAGAGGAGACTTCTCTCATGCTTGCTCTGCCGTGTGCATGCTCCTCTCTCTTAAGGCCCGCTGTGCTACGTCGTAGTCCACCCGCCAGCCGAGGAGGCCGGGTGCCTAGGTAAGCGTCGAAGTGCCTACGAGATGCTAGTTCTTGGTATAGTGTTGTATAGGAGCAGTGTGCTAGACGACCGCTTCGAGCATGCGTGCAATGTGATCGTACTTGGCTGTTGGGTGAGACCTGTACATGCACAGCGGTACTATCAGGGGACCACTCGCAAGAAGAATGTATCAGAGGACAATGCACCAGTATACCTACCTACATACCCGTAGTATTGTTCACGATGTGAGCCAAGTAGGACGTGATATGAGCTCCTGGGTCGGCCTAAACCACGTATCAATAACCAGGTAGACTCTTTGGACAGGCCGTGCTGCTGTTAACCACAGTCAGTACCAACGAAGTTACGGCAACATTGTCAACGCAAGTCAATAGGTGACATGTCTGCCAGCCTGACTCTTCTCCCACTTTCTTCAACTGGCAGTTTGTGTTCTTTCTCTCTCAGGCTGCGTCTTGGCAGGGCACGCCCCTTAGTACTAGTATTTGCTGTCATCGACGTCATGACTTCAAGCCCATCACGCATCACATCAACAACAACGACAGACGGAGATCGAGGCAACGGCAGATCAACTCCCAGAGACCATCATTTCGAGCAAGATCTTGCCCGTGCTCTATTGACGATCCAATCCCCCCTGCATCCCAGGATTCTGTCATTAATGTAAGCAAATGGTAGGTTAGAGAGGTATGTGGCTTCCGAGAACAGCTGCCTTCAAGTATCAATGGGCCATCACCCCAGCCCTGCCTCGTTTTCATTCCTTTTTCACAAATAGCCATTGTCCACCCTTGGAATCTGAACACCACCTAATCACCAGGAACAAAATGTCCAAAAGAAAGGAGCCTTCACACCCTGAGCTCCACCATCCAAGCACCAAACGAGCCAAAGATGTCGATGCCCACACTCCCTATGACCAACTTGCCACTTGTCTGGCCTCACAGCAATCGCCTGGAGAAACCAGGAATATTCTCCATTGGTTCCGTAGCAAAGACCTTCGCATCCATGACAACCGGGGGCTGAACGCTGCAGCAACCTTCGCCAAAGAATCCCACGCCCCTTTGCTCTGTGCCTATCTGAATTGTCCTGCCGAATTTCGAAACCACGGCACCTCACCTGCCCGAACGGACTTCATCTGTGAGAACTTAGGGCTGACGAAATCCGAACTGGAGGATCTTGATATTCCACTGGTGTTCCTCGAGGCAAGCGAACGGGCCGACCTGGTGCCAACCATCGTCAAATTTATCCGTGGAAACAACATTTCCCACGTATTTGCGAACTATGAATACGAGGTCGACGAGCTTCGCCGTGACATCAGAATCTTGGAGGAAGTCAACAACGCCAGCTCCGACTCCGACTCCCATTGTGCTGGCTTCCATGTCTCTCTTCATCATGATCAGACAGTCATGGAACCTGGCACCATGCTCACAGGTGCTGGAAAACCCATGAAAATATTTACCCCCTATCACAAGGCCTGGCTGGCCGAGGTGAAGGCCAATCCTGGTCTGCTCGACACTGTGCCACCTCCTTCCAAGAATTCACCCAAGGCTAAGAAGGCGCTGCAATCCTTCTTCGGTAGTCAGGTCCCAACTCCACCGGAGGAGACACAATTTTCCTGTGAACAAGAGAGATCTCAGATTCGTAAACTCTGGCCTCCAGGCCACCACGCGGCGATTCAGCGTCTGAACGAGTTCTTAAACGACAAGCTTGCTGACTACGCCGTGACGCGCTCCAACCCGGCCAAGAACTCAACGTCACGTCTGTCCGCATATCTCAGCGCCGGAGTGATATCTGTACGGGAGGTGTTGAGTGAAGTGCGAAAGCACAACTCGGGATCGGCGGACTTTTCGTCGAGGGGTGCCGACGCCGGGCTATCCGGCTGGGTGCGCGAACTGGTGTTTCGGGAACTCTATCGGCAAACGACAATGACCACACCACACACAGCCATGAATCTGCCGCAGAACTTGAAGTTCGACTTTGTCCAATGGGAGAACGACGAAGAAGGCTACGACCGATGGGAAAACGGGACGTTGGGCGTCCCCTTTGTCGACGCTGGCATGCGCCAGATCAAAGCCGAGGCATATATGCATAATCGGTTGCGCATGAATGTATCGTCTTATCTCTATTGCAACCTGTTGGTTGACTATCGCCGTGGCGAGCGGTATTTTGCAGAGACGCTCATCGACTGGGACTTGAACAATAACACCCAGGGCTGGGAGCCCAGTTATACCGTCTTCAACCCCGTTAGTCAGGCCGAAAAGAACGATCCTGGCGGCGAATACATTCGCCAATGGATCCCAGAGCTGAGGAACGTCAAGGGTAAGGCTGTTTTCGACCCATACCATCGTTTGGACAAAAAAGAGTTCGACAAGCTGGGGTACCCCGAGCCTTATGTCGATTGGCACGAGACAAAACAGCGAGCTTTGGAGAGATTCAAGAGCAATATGAAGGATGCCGAGCCTTGAACTGGAGTCCGGTCCCAGGCGCACCCCTTGTATCCCATGGGTTGTCCCTTCTCGTTGCTCTGGCCCCTTCCTTGCTCAAGCTTGTTCGTCTGAGCTTGTGGTTGAGAGTTGCGTCTTTACTAGGTGATCACCTAGTAAAACCATGTTGAGAACTTTCGAAGCATCAAGACGACAAACACCGTTGAATTTGGAGAGTGCCATGTGGATCTGAGGGCACCACTCTTGCTTTCCAACATACGGCTGAAGTCATGTCTGTCTTCATTCCCTCTTCCTCCTGGAGGTCCCTGACTTTATCGCCTATCATGGGTGTTTCGCCTTCGGGCTCACACGAATTGCCGTTGAGTATACCAATCTGCCCACCTGGTGGCCGAAATCCGGGATCCTGATGATTTCTGGATAGGTCTGGTAGGCTTCGTTGACAGAATCATGTCAACAGCAGTCAGGATCGACAACCTCACTTTTGACTCGCAGAACAATCCAAACACTCATATTGCCGAAACCTACCTGGTAACGGGGGCCATCACAACTATACCTTGATGTCAATCCTTCCTGGCTCTCAAAGTCACCGTTCGGGCTTCGGGTCCATCAAACTGGCATCAAGGCGTCGGGTTCGCGCCTCAATGTTGATACCACCACTACCTTGGCCTGGATCACCGCATGAAGAGCACGCCAGAGAACTGGTAGTATGTCGTTGAGCGGGCAAAACCATGAGGTAGACCCTTGATATCACTCACGCCGCAGTCAATATGAGCACAGTTGAGATGATGCCTTCCTGTGATGAAAAGACAGTCTTTAAACCAGCCAAGGGGAGCTGCCTTTCTCATTTTTCTTCTCTTTCTTTCTCTGCTTCACCATGCTCGCACCACCTTCCTCCGCCTCATGCTCTTAGAACTGTTCAGAGGTTAACAGCTCGAGGCTATTCACTGCAACTTCGCTTGACCTACCCTCTCTGTCTGATGTTGTCCTGCTTTTCTTTTTGGTTTAGCGGCCTTTTCATTCACGTCTCTTGTCGTTTTTGTTATTGAGATGTCGTCAGTTTCAATCTCAGGTTCATTTGAACCTCAACTTCGTCTTTCTCTTCCTGCTCCTCTTCTCTCAACACAACAACAACCACCCATCCTCAACACAGAGGACCTTCGCCAACAACTCAAGACCCTCGACTCAGAGTCCCAGAACCTCCGAGCCAACCAAGCGCAACTCGAAGCGCAACTTGAGTCCCTTCGCACCAGAATCGCCGCCAACGACAGCGTGGTTCAAGTCATGATGGAGCAACTTGACCAACAAGTTCTCGAGGACCAGCGCGCCGAGCGCCAATCTGCCTTCCGGGGCACTGTCCTTGGTACCGACAACGTCATCGAGGCCCTTCGTCACAAGGCGAGAGAAGATGGCGAGTTGAAGAGCGCGCTCCTGGCAATTGTCACCAACCGCGCCACAGCTGATGACAACAACAAGGTCGGGGCGGCCCTGTTGACCGAAATGTCTGGAGACGTCTTGCCCTTCCTGCACGACGTGGCCGCTCGTATTCTGGAGTGCGACAATGACAACGACCCTGCCTTGATGGAAGTCCAAACCGTCGACGAAGACGAGTTTGACATGCCTGCGCCAGCCGAAGAGCCCGATCAGCTGCCCACCATGCCTCCCATGCGATCGCCCAGCGTCAAGTCTGAAGCCAGCTCAGTCCAGGCCGTTCCCAGTATCACTCGTCCCTTTTCAACCATGATCAACGCCTCTGCAGCACGTGCATCGCTAGAACGCATATCCCGAACCCAACCTTACTCTCATCTTGCCTCCAGCGTCGAACCACTCGCGCGTCCACTTCTTCAGGCTCAGCGTCGTCCAGCAGCACCAGCACGCCCAAGTCAATCGCAGGAACCGGACCCTGCAGGCTTGACTCGTCTCGAAAAGAACTTTCCTGGTCTTTTGGACTCCCTGCGCGTGGGTCAAGAGCTGCTCAATCCCAAGAATACCCCAGCTGCCAAGACGAAACGTGCTCGTGAGTCTGTGGAAAGCGATGCCAGCGGCACTGCCACTGCAACCGGCACCCATGGAACCCATGGCAAGCAAGTCAAGAAGCCGAAGCTTGAGAAAGAGCCAGGTAAGCAAGAGATACTTCCAATTTCTCTTCCTCTTGCCCTTCTTCTTCCACATCACCCACACCATCCATCAAAACATCCACCTCTTTGTACCTTTACCCACCAAATCTTCCTCTCCCCTCTCTTACTGCTCGATATACACTCTCCCCAAGAAGCTCACGAGACAGCTTGTGCTAATCATTACATATTCTTCCATAACAGCATACACCCCCAACTTCGCAACCTTCATCAAACGTCTCGAATCCATCCATCGACAAGGCGGCAGCATCGCCAGTCTGATCCGATGCCCGCGCTGCCAACACATCAAGTCCAAATGCCGCATCCTCAGCTGTCTCCATCTGTACTGCCACAAATGTGTCCTGGCCCTACGAACCGAAGCCGAAAAGGGCAACGCAGTCACGGGCTTCCGCGCCTTCTGCGTCAAACCCGACTGCGACGCCGAAGTCAGTGGAAAGACGTCGGTTGTCGAGAGCGAAGCAATGTCCTTCTTGAAATGGTACGACGACCAGCCCGCCTGCCTGACCTCCACTGCGGCACAGTTGCATATCCTGAACGGCGCGCTTGAAGATTTCCCGGACGAACATGAGATCCAGCGCAAGTTGAGCGTCGTGCAGGCCCAGGCCAAACACCTGAAGCGTACAAACCAGGCAGATGCGCCCGCGGATTTGCTGCAGCTGGTCAAGTTGGCCAGAAAGCCGTACTAGCCTGCCTTGCCGATCAGAGGTGTCAGTCAGTGATGGTGGGACAAGGGCCAGATGCCGCTGAGGAGGGTTGACTCTGTGCCCACACTGAATAAGATGATACCCGAGCATGGATTGAACGGAGACGCATGGTGATGACTGATGGGATGCAGTGGGTGACGAGTGGTCTTTCAGAGAGAGCAGAGAATTGAGCTGCACAGAGATCTCACAAAAAGGGGTCAGAGATTGCTTGCTTTTTCCTGTTGTGAGTTATTCAGTGAGAGTCAGAGAGAAGGTTTTGCTACGGCCATCCTTGATTTTCTGCAGAAAAGCGACCAAAGGACAGTCTTGATGGTTTGTTACAGAGAAAAGGAGACCATCAGCGAACATCGAGCGTTCTCAGGCACACAATAGCGTTCATGTACTACGAGTTCTAGTCCTAGTGAATAAAATTTCAGATGGCATAAATATCTTCCTTTCCTTGTCTTTGCGTTGACTATTGAAGTTGCCTGGTGATGTCGACAATACTAATAGTATCCATGTAAGCGGAAGCTTCAGCTTCAGACAAAGAGACGATCCGACTTGCACCTGTGATTTACACTGGCATCATAGAGACACTTCAGTCAATGGACCTGAGCACCTGAAGCTGGGCCTAATGCTTGAGTTCGACGTCTCAGGTAGTGACGATACTTCATTGCTAGTCCTACATGTATATACACTTCTGACAACGGGAAGACCAACACAAGTCTTTTTCCTCTCTCGATATCTTGTTCAAGACAGACGTAGCCTCTATACTTTGCATGCCTCCCAAAGCACTGCCACCTGATGTGAAACATGAGATCTCACCCTTGTACAGCACCACGGTTGACTGATGATGATCCGTTGAACGAAAGATCTTCTGGACCTTCCGTCCACCAGACTGACACTCAGTCAGCCACGCATCCAGCATCGATCCGATCTTATCCTGTTGAATAGATTTCTTTTCCTACCAGCCCTGCTTCCTCATTCGCCGAACTCTCCCACACTCAGCAATGAACCCCTCCAGAAACAATTTCCTCCACCTGACGCGCCTGATGTCCTTTCTAGCCTGGCCCCTCCGGACATGAAACAACTGTTTCCTCGCATCCTGCTTGATCCTGTTATCGGAGCATTTGCGCTCCAGAAGCCGAAACCCCTTGGAAGGGTCGCCGTTGAGGCCATCGATCGTCCTCCCCAGCGAGGGTTTCAGGCGCAGCGAGATCGACGACGTCTCGTGCAGCTCCTGGCTCAGCTCGTCTAGCATTTTGTTCTGGTCGATTCCTCTTCCCGCAGCTGCAGTGCCGCGGCCCATGATGTCGCTGAAATTCGCTCGTCCACCACCTCCTCCTCTCTTAGTGCCCATCAGGGCGTCCATGCGCTCGCTCACACTTTGGTCGCTCCGGGGCTCCTCGCGCGCTCGGAGGTCGCGGAGCAGGTCTTTGATCGACGGCCGTTGTGGCGGCGTTGGCGTGCTTGCTTGAGCTGCGGGCTTGGAAGGAGCCGGAGATGGAGATGGAGATGGAGCGTCACTGCCCTGTCTGCGGCTCGAGGATGACGAGAATTGGCGGGTTGCTGCGAATGCTGTGTTTCGTGGGCGTAGTGGTAGTCGTAGAGATGGGATGGTAGAGGTAGAGGTAGAGGTAGACGTCGAGGTGAGGATGCGTCTTGAGGATTGGGAAAGCAGAGACCGCGCGCATCTCTGTATCGATGGAGCGGTGTCCATGGTTGGCGGTGGGAGGATGTATCCGGAGATACAGTGCCTGGATTTGTGCGCTCTGCCGGGCACGACAGGCGAGAAGTGACCAGGTTGGTGGTGGTGGTGGTTGTGAAGAAGGAGTGGTGATCGAAGTTGATGTATAGGTATTTGTGGTGTCGTCGAGGTCCAATTCAATTGCTCTGCTGTGGATGTCACAGAGTAATTCTCGAGCTCGGCGGTGACTGATTTCCACCAATCAGGAGTCTTGTAGTACAACAGTACAAACAGCTTGTTGTACTACGTACTACTACTACCACCAGGAAGTACGCACTGCAGTAAGGTAGTAACTACAGTACAGTGTTTACATCTGTGCTGAAGTCATTGCGATTATCCTACCTCCTCTGGAATTCTAATCGTCGTGTCCAGAGTATCATCGGGTCGAGGTTGGAGGTTGATGCGCGCTCCAAGTAGTCCGGCCCTGATATTTCGCCAGTTCGGACAGCAAACCCAGCCCCTTCGTCCTGCGGCCTCATCGTACTACGCATCGGCATCTCGAATTAGGAGAATGGCTACCGATTCTACCCCGATTACCCTTTCCTCCCTGACGTTTCTGCATCCGAACAAGCTAGCTCCTCTTCTCCTTGGCTCCGCAGAACGATCCAAGATTGCTGTCATCGACGTCCGAGACTCAGATCACATTGGCGGCAATATCAAACACAGTACTTGGGTCCCGTTGCACCAGCTGGATGCGCGCATGCCTGAACTGGTCAGGACCCTGAAAGACAAAGAAAAGGTCGTCTTTCACTGCATGTTGAGTCAGCAGAGGGGGCCCAAAGCTGCGTTGATGTATGCCCGGGCAAAGCAGCGGGCTGAAGCGGAAGAGCAGAGATCCCGGAATAAGGAATCGGAAGCTCAAACTGATGGAAATGAATCGGTCGCTGCACAGGAAATATATGTTCTCGAGGGAGGCTTTGGTTCGTGGCAGGCGCTCTATGGTGAGGATCCGCGATTGACGGCCGATTATCAGCCGGATCTATGGGTGTGAAAATGTGCCTGAGAGAATCAGTATTGTTGTTTATACTACGGCAGACATCAACAGGGGCTGTCGGATTGCTTGTTTATCGAGTCCCACCAAAGACTCCAAAGGCTCCAGGGGCTCGAAAGCTGAAGGCTTGATCAGGCCTCTATATGTGTCTACATGGCATTGCTGCAAAAGATACCGGCCCCTGACTCTACAAGAACTCAACGAACGATGCATTGATGGCTGTCTCATATGACCTGAGGAAGTGATCGTCAGCAAGCAGCACCGAGGCAGACTCAACGCTCTGAAGACGGGCCCTCGGCAGGATTGGGTCCAACAATCCCTCATGCCGCCCACAACGTCGATGTGGTTGAAGAACTGTCCGGGCGATGCTTTGCTTGCCAGGATCGACAGTCCTTCTCCCAGTCACTGAGCTAGCAGAGGCGGGTGGGCAGCACAGTCAGAATAATTATGAGTCAGGTGGCCCTCTTCTCATGAATGAATTACTGGACAGACTTGCACAGAAATCAGACAGTCAATCATGGTCTGGGCTGGTGGGCGTGGGCATGTGCATGGAGGGCCATGGCAGCACTGTAACATCTTACAAGCACATAGACAGGCTATAAGATGAACACTCTGTCAACCTTGCTTGGACAAGCATTACTGAGCTCTTTTTTCCTGCCTCTGGTCCTGTTCACGCCGGACTGTCTACACCGGGCCGACAAGGCTGAGTTTTCAGGGTCTCTCCGGACGTCGGCAAACCTGCCATAACAACAACCAGAACATTTGCTAAGTTAACAAGTACTAATGTGTGAATGCACCTCACCTAGCTCACCCCAATGAAGCCTGCCTTCGATCAGGTTCCAAAATAACTCTCCTTCCATTTGTCCCTTTAAAAAGGTCGCTCTCTTCTCTCTCTTGATATCGTGAAAAACTGCAAGACTGTGAACACCGGACTATATCATCAAGATGACAACAAAGAAGACTTTCCCAATTTGTGGCGTGACATATGTGAGCCAGATCGAGCACGAGTATCTCCACAGCAAGAAGCTTTCGGTGTGTGCAAACTGCTTGGCTTTAGGATTTCAGAAGCCCCTGAGACGATGCAATGGCTGCTTGCTAGTTGACTACTGCTCGAAGGAGTATGTTCAGCTTTCCATTCTCCACTGCTTACCTCCATGCTGACGGGAGACAGGTGCCAGAAAGCTCACTGGTCCAAGCATAAACCCTTCTGCAACCTTGCACAGGGCAAAGGCTCTCCGGACGCATATCTCTCATCCAAGGAGCATGATGAAGTGCTTCGAATCATCATTGATGCTTACCGTCTGAGAGTGGAGACTGACCATGCGTCCCGGGATGAGGATCATGGCATATATTACCCAGGAAACCCCATCGACGGGTTGGTCTGGGTCAAAGGCGATGGTGAGTCTTCCCAAGCTGTATCCTTGACTTATGTATGACCGGTCTTCCGGTACATCCCATACTGATCACCGTGGAACCATAGCCATTGATGACTTCCAGCGATTCCTTGATCTCATCGAAGGCACCGAGATCTTGCCCAAGTGGTGGAAATTTGAAGATCGAATGGAGTGCCTAATGATGGCCATTGACAAGGACAGTCCCGAGTCAATCTTCAAACCAATCAATCAATCAGAGATTCCCACACGGTATGGTGGGGATACGTCCATCCGTGTTGCACTCGCCACCATTGCTGAGATGGTTGTGGGCTATGACGGTAAAGGTCCGGCCAAGGATGATACCTGGTTCCGAGAATTCCAAGAGTTTCTGGATCTCCATCCAGAAGAGAGAGCTCGTTTGATCAAACCGAGTGTCGACATGGCAGAGCAGATCATGAAGGAGTATGGAGATGACTTCCAAGCTACTTCCACCGAGGCTCCCAATTGATCGGCTGCTCAACAGCTCGACAATTTTCTGCTTCACACGGGACGAACATACCCTGGGAGACTGTGGGCTGCTGCTGGGACGGAGAATGTTCAGCAGGCCTTTTCCCGGCCCATGTCCTTGTGACCTTGAAGTGTGGGAACCGCATGACAGACGACAAGCATGCTGCTGCGATGCTCACTCTTTGATGCCGACATCCCGTTCGCTCCCTTTCTCGATCCCTCCCACCAGAGTACAGTATCAGCATCAACCGAATAAGTCTCATTATTCAGACCGAGGGAACCAGCAAGTCAAAGCTGGTGCGAGTCTGTACAGTGGGGAGCTTATGTCGTTCCATGACACGAGCTTGGTTGAGTGTGTTTTGTCTCACAGCTCCCGACCGTCGAAGCATTCTGTGCTATCTTTCGGAGGAAACATATCCAGAATGAAGATTGATTGCAAAGGATAAGAAACACATATCGAATACATTTGGTGTGCTCATCACTAGATCTTGTGGTTGCAAATTCGTCTGCCTGTGGCAAGGGTGAACAGCGATGGCTGCAAACAACAGGACCCTGGAAGCGAACCGGTGATGACCAAAGAGAAATGCAGGGGCCTTAAGGATTGGGAACCCGCTATGTGGAGTTGGGCAATGTGAGGATCTCAGAATATACGATTTGGTCAACAAGAAACTCGACTGAGCTGCCCTACTGCGCTGCTTGATATTGTGTGCCGGGAGACATTTATCTGCTGTCATGGAGTCTTCCTCGAGACGGAAGACACAAAACGCGAGCTAGTATCTCGCATCTACTGCCGTTTTGGTCGACGGACTCAACACACGAGGCAGTTCAACTGTGCTGGACACACGTATGAAGATCAAGTCAGCCGCCTCGCTTGCGAATTCCTCTCCTCGTTCTCGCACGTCCTTCCCGCAAATTCTGTCAGATTCGTTCATCAAGCCTCCCTGTGCTCCCATCACGACGGACTCCCTTTGCAAAGTACCGAGAGATACAATGGACAATTCGCGTGCCTTGTGAGTCTACTGCTGCTAACCATGCGGCGTCCAATCTAACGGGACCTCCACAGGACCATCCCCTCAAAAGCCAAAGCGGCACTCCCGTTGCAACAAGGCGAGCCTAAACCTGGACAAGGAGGTCTGGTGACCATTACGGTCTCCGAGTACGAGTTCCTGGTAAAATTCTACATCCTGGAGTCTTTTGCTCATATCGTTCTGATGACAAACGTAGCTCCAATCGCACAGAGAGCTCCTTTCCCTTCGGCGCACCGTTGCCAACCATGGCCTCAACGTTGACTCGCTGGATCACGTCGGCGACAGCAATGTCGCTCGGTTCCTTGCGGCGAGAGCATTGAGCCCGATGGGCCGGTTCGAGGCAAGCTGCACAGCGGCGAAGGAGCCCCCCCAGGAGCCGCCTGTCAAGCGGTCACGACTCTGGGACTGGCTACAGAAGTCGACAGAGGCCGTTGGCGATGGCCGCGAAGTGCTCTCTCCTGCTGCAGAGAATGCAGCAACAGTCGAGGGCCCAGTTGCGGCGGACACCGACTTCATGGACAACGAGGAGACAGGAGAAGCACTAGAAGACGGCTTTGGTGAGGAAGAAGCTCCTGCCACTGGTGCTGAAGAGAGTCGCTCGCTCAAGCTGGGCGGACTGGCACCGTCCACAACCCTTCTTGACATCACGAGGGTTGTCCGTGGAGGCATAATCCTCCAGATGTTCGTGCGGCCCTGGAATGGGACGGCTCATGTCTCGTTTGTCGAACCCGTTGCGGCCAAGAAGTTCTTCGAGCACGCAAAGATGACTGGCCTTTCTATCAAGAACCGATCGGTATGACGGAGCTGATGTTTCACCATCGAATGTACATTCAGAGTGCTAACTCAATGACAGGCCACTGTGGAGTGGGAGCTTCAACAAGCCTACCTCAACAACGATCTTGCCTTTCGCATTGACAAGTTTGGCGCAACTCGAAACTTGGTCATTCGCTCCGTCCGACCAGAGATGACAGCCGAGGCTATCAAGCTTGACTTGGAGCATATCTTCAACCTGTGGATTGTCGACATAACATTCAAGGACGGTGACGCCTACCTGTCACTGAACAGAACCATCCTCGCTCTCACTGCCAGAAACTGTATGCGGTCTCGTCGCAGGTACAGGAAGATGACAATTTAATTTTATCCTGATGAGTGCGCCCAGCGTTTGCCGACTGTCACCACAAATGCGGGATTGAAGAAGTATCTGCCTGGCCAGCCGGCCAAAGTCGTGTCACACAATCGTTTCGACATCCTCTCCGGTGACATGGACGAGAGTGACTTGTGAAGTTTGGTTTCGGGAGAATGTTGTCGTTTCGAAAATCCTCCAGTGGGCTGGCAGTTCCGACAAACGCCGGTGAAAAGTTGTGAGGATAGTAACTGATGACTGAATTGTCAGATCCCCAATGAACTGCCTGATATCAAAGAAAGAGATGTTCTTTCTTAAGCTTGCTGGTTTAGAGGCAATTCAAGACAAGAAGCAGACCTCACTAGGGTTGCAACACTACTAAGAGACGCGGTCATAGCGAATGTGTATGTGATTCCACAGCAATACAGAACTTGCCTCATGATTTTATCGGTGATTTTTCCCTCCTATTGTACAAGTACATCCGTTATGCTTTTTGGTACCTGATATACAGCCTCTTTATATGCACCCGGCGACGCGATATTGTTTCCGAATCCTCGTGTAACCGCCACATCAGTGATTGACCTACTTCTCAAGATTGTACCCATAATGCCAGTCCTTCCTCGCTAGATCCTCTCTGATCTTGTAATTCTCCTCCGCAACATCCACAGTCCTCATATCGACTTCGACGATCTTCATCCCCGGTTGGGCATCCTCAAAACCGCCCTCGACGTTGCCCACCAAGGGCAGAACCACCCGACTCAATCCGGAGTATCCTTCCTCCGCCGGGCCTCCAACGTTACAGAAGATAATGGCGCACGTATTCTCAAAGGCACGGGTAATAAGCGCCGACTTTAAGAAAGTGATATCCACATCCGGACCGTACTTGCGCGCCTCTGAACTCAGATCATCCGTCGTCCAGAAGGTGGGGACGATGATCAGCCGTGCGCCCTGTCGGACTAGTGTGCGGAAAGCTTCAGGGAATGCGATGTCCCAGCAGATGACAATGCCGACAGGACCCAGGGGTGTCTCAATCACCGAATGCGGTGGCGGTGGCCCTTCGCCGGAGACCGGGGCGGGCGCATGATCGTGGCTCTTGTCATCGCCATTCTGGCTTGCCGCCGCTCTTCTAGAGTCGGGTCCTGAGATCAAGACGGCGCGCTCGGGAAGCCACAGGTTGGCTTTCGAGTAGCTGCCCAGGATCTCGCCCGTGTAGGCGATGAAATAGGCAATGTTGTGAAGAAGAGCAGGAGACTCTGAGCTAGCTGTCTTCTTCGAGTTTGGATCGACCGTCACAATGGTGCCAGGAACGATGTTGATTTTCAGTTCTTTGGCCAGATCCTGGTATTTGCCTACATATTGGTATGCGGTCTGGGCTATGACGTTGAATTGAGGGTCTTCTGGGGCCCAGCCGAAAAGATGGTACTCGGGCAAGACGGCCAGAGAGGCCCCTTGGGCTGCTGCGTCGCGGATATGCGCTGCTGCCGTGGAGAAATTGTGCTCCGGGTCCAGAGGCTGTGTAGGCATACATGTTAGTCAAGCGATGACGAGGGGAAAGACAAAACAAATGGAAAGGGAGACATGGAATTGAGGTCCTAAAGGAAGCAGCAGAGGTGAAAGGGTGACCAGGAAAAAAAATGGGAGAAGGAGAACATAGGGGATGTCGTCCCTTGGGATGGAGCTGGATCAGAGCGACTTTGAATGTCTGTGAGGAGGTTTTGTAGGACGTTGCCATGATGTACCACTGCAGTACGTTACAATACAGATAGATAGACTATGTTGATTTCGATAGCGACAACGAAGGGTACAGAGTGCTTGGATACTATATATACAGAGTAGAATTTTTACCTCGTCGTGGGATGCCGTCGGCGGTGTTTTCGGACTTGGTTCAATTGACGGATATGGAGTCTGGGAGAGCTCTGGAGGAGCCCGGGAGGGTGGTTTCCCACTTATTCTTATCTATAGAGTGGGGCAAGGCTGAGGGCGACGAGGCTGAAGGATTCGCAGATGGCATTTGGCAACGACTCTGTATACCACGCCCACACCTGATGGTGAGCTGCAGATGACCTGTATGAGCTTCACTGTACTCATCAGAGGTGGTATAGCTCCACCCACAGCGCGACTGACTCTTTGTAGGACATAGGAGTACGAGAATCAAGAGAGCCTCGTGCAAACCAGCCGCAGCCTTGTCCGTCGGAGGGTAAGAGGCGCCAAGCCCACAATCGTGGCACGTGATCACGATGAAAATGCAAGTGGTGGGCGAGGAAGGTTGGCCGAGCGAGGCCGAAAAAGAACCACCTCTACGACTGTCTATTATTCTCCTGGTGATGCGGAAACTGCGCGAGTCGACAACCACGCTGTTGCACCCTCTTTCCTCCTCCTCCTGATACGGTACCTGTGCCAGTGGCCCATTGAAGTGTCCCCGTTCCTTCTCAGCCGATCGCAATCATGGATGACCTCGTGGACGAGGAAGAGCTTGTGGCGGACTACCAAGAACAAGTTGCGGAGGATGGAGCAGATCTTGACAGGATTGATACACTCAGTGGCCCCGGGGACTTGAAAGGCCAGCTCGAGGCTGCTGCCCAGCCGCTGGAGTACCAAGCGAGCATCGAAGCCAAAATCGCGAGTTACGACAACTACTGCAGTCTCTTCCACTACATCCTGAACTCCGACGGTCCGGTCGACGTTGACCAGCCCGGCCTGGGATTCTGTTGGGATTTGATCGATGAATTCATCTACCAGTTTGAATCGTTCTGCAGATACAGAAACCGGGTGGCCCGAACCGCGCCCAATGAAGAGGAGGCCACAGTGCTGCGGGAGAACCCGAACGTCTGGGGCTGCTATTCGGTGTTGAACGTGCTGTACTCGCTCATCCAACGCTCGCAGATCAACGAGCAACTGGCGGCCACCAAGAGAGGCGAAGACGCCAACGCCGTCGCCGGCGAATATGGCTCTCGCCCCTTGTACCGCATGCTCGGCTACTTCTCCATCATCGGCCTGCTGCGCGTGCACTGCCTGTTGGGGGATTTCAGCCTGGCGCTCAAGACGCTGGACGACATTGAGATGAACAAGAAAGCCATGTTTGCCCGCGTCATGGCCGCCCACCTCAACACCTACTACTACGTCGGCTTCTCGTACATGATGCTCCGCCGCTATGCCGACGCCGTGCGCATGTTCAGCCACATCCTGGTCTACGTGTCGCGGACCAAGAACTTCCAGAAGGGCAACCAGCAGTTCGACGCCATCGCCAAGAAGACCGAACAGATGTATGCCTTGATTGCCATCTGCGTGTCTTTCGCACCCACCCGTCTGGACGACACCATCCACACTGCCCTGCGCGAGAAGTACGGCGAGAAGTTCGCCCGCCTGCAGCGCGGCGGCCCCGAGTCGCTGCCTGTCTACAAGGAGCTCTTCCAGTCTGCCTGCCCGAAATTCATTAACCCGACCCCACCGGACTTTGACAACCCGGCCCTCAACATCGACCCGGTCGAACACCACACCGACATCTTCATGGACGAGGTCAAGAACACCCTCTACAACCCTACGGTCAAGTCATACTTGAAGCTCTACACCACGATGGATCTGAAGAAGCTGTCCAGCTTCCTCGACGTCGAGCCTGAGAAACTGCGCAGTTGGCTGCTCGTCAACAAACAGCGCAGCAGGCAGATCCGGTGGTCGGAAGGCGGCCTGTTGGAGGGCGAGACTGTCAATAGCAGCGAACTCGACTACGCCATCGAAGGCGACCTGATCCACATCAGCGAGGCCAAGCAGGGACGGAGACTGGTAGATTGGTACCTGAGGAATCTGGCCAGAGCTTACTGATCCATTCAACGAAGACGCAATGGAGGAGGCTGGGATGCTGAGCGGAGGCCCAAATGTAAACGGTGCTAGGAGTTACAAGCGCTGGGGAGACTTTATCTCGCCATCAAGCGTTGTGCAGCAGAAAATCAGGACTCGTGGGTCTCGCCAAAATGGCATATTTCACGATACGAACTCGAACTTTGCTCTAGCATTGCACGTGGGAGAAAGTGGACGGTCACGCCGAAGAAGGAAATCTTCCCATGAATCAATCCATAGGTAGAGAGATTACATCTCGAAGGAGACCAAGATTATGCATGGACTTGACCTTGTCCAAGTTTTCAGTATCGACTTTTTTGTGAGCATGCAATCCTTTGCCCTCCGGGAGCACCCCAAAGTAAACCCAAGTCTTTTTTTAATCAGAAACACGCTTAATGCCGGCCAGCACCCGAGCTAGAATGGAATGGTGATAGTCAAGGCTAATCGTCTCGCATCCCATCATCATCATCTTCTTGATCGTGCTCCGCCTCGCCTCGGACATCGTTGCCATTGTTGCCATCGACCGGCGGTGTATTTTGATCCTCGTCTCGATCCTTATGTGCCGCTCCGTTCATAGCCACATCGGCCTCCTCGCCATCCGCGACCTCTTGCATAGAAACATCCTGCGCGCCCTGGTGCAGCTCACCCTGCTCCTCCAAGATCTCCTGCGCGCGCTGCTCCTCCTGCTCCGCCTCGGCGGCGCGCATGATCTCCTGGAACTCGTCGGCAAAAGCATCGTCGTACTCGCCGCGGAACTGGAAGCGGGACTGCTTCTCGGTGGCGGCAGCGTCTCGGAACAGCACCATCAATTGATCGGGAATGTTGGCGGCGGCATCGTCCTCGGCGGCGGGGCCGTTGCGAACCTGCTGGCCTTTGCTGAGGTTGCCTCGGTCGGCCTTCATACGCACGCGCTCGAGGATCGGGTAGAAGTAGGCGGCGGAGCCTTGTTTGCGGAACCGAGATTCGGCAGGCAGCTTGTCGGCGTCGACGAGCGAAAGACCCATGACGCGGCGCGGGTCGACGGCGATCTGCGTGGCGGATTGGTAGACACGGACCCGCTCGAAGGGCAGGCGTTGAGATCCGTCGGCAGATTCCTCGAGCAGTGGAGCGTACAACGCCGGGTCGTCTTTGTGAGGGTCTGAATCGTTGAAGATCTTGCGGAGCCGCGGAACCGAGTCGACTTGCTTGGGCACCAGGAGCGACCAGACGTAAGGCTCGGGACCAGGGTCTTCATACAGTTGAGGATGCTCTTCAAACGCCTTTTTCTTGGCTTGGTATCGGGCCATCTCGGCCGCATTTTCCGACGCCATCATCAGACCCACGTCGATGCGTTCATCTCTTCTGCCGTGGTGCGGCGGCAGAGGCGGCTTTTCGAATTTCAGCGCTTGCCAGTTCCCAGCCATGTCAGTGACTGCGTCAAGGTCTGGGAGAACGGGATAGAACTCGACCGGTTGGAGCCGTGGGTTGTCAGGGTGCACGGGGTTTCTCCAAGCATCGCGCTCTTGCGGAGTGATTGGGTTCGCTCTAGCTTCGGGAGGATTGAAGGGGACACTGTCTGGATAAGCAAGGTCGAAGCCTTTCTGGATGTGTCTCTTGATGTTTTCCGGGTCGTCGCGAGACACAGGCGGAGGGACCATTTTGTTGGTTTCCGATATCTTTCGCGCTTTCGGGGTCGCTCGCACGAATGGGTCGGTGGTTGCCCGCGCCATCTGCGTCGATGTCATGTACTGTGTTTTGCGCAAGAATGAGACGTTGCTCTTAGCACCCTGACTCTTCAATTGCTCCACAGTCATCATGAGGGCGTGGTCCGCTGGGTCGAGCACCGGTTGCACCTCAGGGGCCATGATCGCGCTCTCGTCGCCGAGAAAGTATCCAGGTACACCGATCATGTCGATGGGCATTCCTCCCTCCGCATCCACTTCGATGTTCGGCTCTTCACGCTTCGCCAATCCAGACGCATAGCTCGTCGTCAGGTATTGCGCCAAACCGCCGGTGTCGATGTCAAGGAGCTTGGGGGGCATTGGTGGTGGAGGCAGGTCATTTCGATATCGTATCGACACCACCATGTCCTGCTTGAACCCTTTTGCATCGCCGGGGGCGGCCATCCTGGCCAGTGATCGTTTCAAGACGATATGTAGTTTTAAAAGGGTCTGTCAGCTTGCTGTGAATCAAGTCGAGCGCAGGGGAAGGTGGCCGATGCGAGTGTGGACAGTGTGGACGACAGCCGCGTGGACTAACGACGACAGAACGACATTTCTGTCGGCAAGAGGAGAGAGCTTCGTTGTGTCGTTCAGCAAAACACCGAGTGTCGGCCCTCTAAGTCCACAGCATGAGATGTTCGTCGTTGTTGTCGTCGAGCATTAACAGACGCCTGTCACTGCACGCTGTAGTAGTTCAGGATCGCGAACTTTTGGAGAGTGTGTTTTGGGAAAGTTAAGCGAGCGAGGCAGAAACTTGAATGCGACTAACGACTTGAAATGACCGCAGGCGGAGCGGAGCAAAAAGTCTAGATAGTGATTGCCGGCTGCAGGCGATCGATCACTTCACCCCATCCGTCAGCCATCCATCTGCTTCTTGCCTCCGACTTTACTTCCCATCACTACCACCCTTCACAGCTCGTCCTTTTTCTTAAACCACTCTCCATTCTGTGACCAACAATCATGGGTTGGTTCTGGGCAGACCAACCGAAACCCAGTGCGCCACTGGTTGCGCCGCATCCAATACCACATCCTGCGGCCACTCCTCCGGTAACCCTCTCCTCGTCATGAAAGTTGTTGTTCGATCCGACGATGTCTAACAGTCCTATGTAGGCAGCATGTCCCATGCACAAGCCAGACTCAAAAGTGACCAGTACACCATTCCTTCCACGCGCGGATCAATCCTCATGCCCTGTAAAATCCCCCAACTACCCGCTTCTCCATCAACCCGTATCCGATAAGTCACAATCCTCAGAACCACAAAAGGGAAACGAGCAACCGTCCCGGACATCTCTCACACTTGCGAAACTGAATCCGTTGAACTACATGCCCTCGCTATCGAATGCCCGCCCATCCGACTCGCCGCAAGAAATAACTCTGCCACTGGAGCGAGAAGTCTCGTCCATCCCGCGTGGCGACGCCGACGCGAACTGGGAATACCCGTCTCCGCAGCAGATGTACAATGCGATGCTGCGCAAAGGATACACCGACACTCCCGCGGACGCCGTCGAGTCCATGGTCGCCGTACACAACTTCCTCAATGAAGGCGCCTGGAGGGAGATCGAGGAGTGGGAGCAAGTCTTTGGCAAGGGCCTCCTGAATGCCTGGCAGATATGCAGTCGCGGCGAACGCGGCATTGCGATGGAACGCGCAAAGCGTGAATATCTCGCCCAGCACAGGGAGGCGCTGGGGCTGCCCGACCCGGAGGAGGAGTCTCGTCCCAAACTTGTTCGGTTCATGGGCCGTCCGGGCGAACCGACGCCCAAAGCCCGCATTCTCTCGGCTTTGGGGTACGTGATGCCCGAGAAGTTCGGCGGCGAGCCTCCCTTTGATCGTCATGATTGGTATGTTGCGCGCAAAATGCCCGATGGCTCTGTCAAGCAGGTCCGCTATGTGATCGACTATTACAGTGGCGGTGTCCAGGACACCGGCGAGCCTGTCTTCTACTTGGACATCAGACCCGCTCTGGACACGCCGACGGCCGCAGTCGAGCGGGCGATGAGATGGGGCGGCGACCTCTGGCATCGGGCAAGCGGCGGTGTTGCTAGGGAGGAAGGCGCCCGGAGGAAGGGTTCGAACGGGAACGCCAGCTCATAGAATTGTGGTTTCTGCATTGCAGCGTGGAGAATACACGAGACCAAGTTTTTAGTTGTGTGTTCTCGGTGTTGAGCGTACTGGGTGCATCCAAGGTTTCGGTGGAGGCGCAGCAGGGAGATCAAGTCCCATGGATACCTTTGCGTGAAATGGCTGTACTGTATAGTGATATTGCATCAAGGTTGATCTTTTTGATCATTCTGAATTCGGCCTGTCTCTCCTCTACGAATCATGTGTGGACTATATATGTATGTTCTGATGCGTTCCCGCATGCTCAATCCGTGTCTAACAACAGAACATCCTTTTATTGGGGGCCCCGGTCTCCTGTCTAGAAGGAACCATGCCATCTTCGGAGATCTAGTTGATTTGTCTCTTCACAACTGTCAGATGTCGGGCGGTCAGCGGCCGCGTTGGATTCGGGCTTGAGAGCTGGCCATCCAGATAGCCTGCCAAATAGACGATTGGAGGCTCGGGACGTAGAGATACCCGCAGACGGTGTTTTCGATGTCTTGCCAACTGAGTAACCGTAACTCGTGAGTATACTGTAATAGGAGGTCACTGAAGAAGCCTTCCTCTGGCTGGTTCAATGCATTTTGTGTGAACATGAAGAGTGCCCAAGTGACGGCTTTCATTTCCGAGACACCACAGTTGGTATTTGTCTCCCGAAGCCATTGTTGGATTGCGCGTTTCTGGTGATGAGTGAGAGCTCTGCCCAATCCCGTGGAGGGCATAACGGTGTGCGGAGCGATAGAAGAAGATCCTAGTGCTGCCAGCCGGACAACCGCCTCGAGGGCCGGCAGTTGCGGCTCGGCTGAGTGCTCAAGATAGAAGTCCTCCGTTTCATATGGGTAGGCTAGCAAGTCGAACTCAAGCTCAGTTGCCTTCTGCCGAAGAGTGGCATTCTCCGCGGAAGACAGCCCTTGGGGATTTGCGACAACCAACTCACAAAAGTTGCAAACATCTCGGCCGGCTTCTACCAGGTCCTTCAACGGCTTGCTGAGCTCGTCCAGCTGTTCGAAGCCGGACCCTAACCGTGCCATGCCAGAGCTAGGAGATGGCGAAATCCGCTGCAGTATCTCATGCGATATTGGCTGTCGAGACCAAGGGAGTTGTAAAAGCGGCCGGGATAACAATCCCACCGACACTTTGACGTTTGCGAGCGGAAGCCATAGCATGGAATCTTGGGACACGCCAACCACCGACATCAACTGCGCAACCCCTTTCAAATGCAGCCTCGCTTCTTCGAAATTGCCCACGACGGTGGCAGCGGAAATGAGGCCGAAGCATGCATCGACCATGAATTGGTCAATCGTTTCGGGCTGCTCAACTTTTCTACGAACGGCCACGAGCGCTTCATGTTTGACTTTTTTGTAGTCACAGTCAGTGATTAGATCATCATGATTCTCACTAGAGGGCGCCAGGTCTTTGTGACGGCCATGGAAGATGGCCCTATGAGCGGCGGCCGTGGCCATGAATCCCAAGAAGGTGGGAGGACTAGAGATCTTGCTCTGTAGAACCACACCTAGTCGAGCAAGTCGATCGCGAGGGTTGATTTCCGCAGTAAACGTCAACGGGAGAAGGACATCAAAGCCTGCGCCGACAGTCAATGCCTCGTCCTGCACGGGTAGTCCAGGTACGTACAGTGTTCCAGCAGCCTCTGCAAAGGCTTATGCGAGAGTGAAGTACATGGCAAGGTGTCCAAAGGGTCGAACTCATGGACGCCAGGCGTGTAGGTCATGGCCGTGGTCGCACAAGGCGTCCCGAGAGTGTGGGAATTTCTGCTCTGGTTGTCACATTCCAATCCATGGGACTGGGGCTGGGGTTTCTGGAGCCCTTCTTCAATGGTGACGGATGATGGCAAAGGCGAAGTATTCTTGTGAGAATAATCAGAATCGCTAGATGTGCCCTGCGACTTGTCTGAGTCGGTTCTCTTGGAACGGGCCCGACCTATGGTCCTTTTCTTGCCTCTTGCCAGCTCCTCCTGACGGACGCTTTTCATCACATGGGACCGAATGACATGGCGCTGCTGCTGATTGGTGATCTTCCGTGTGGTCAGAGAATCCAAATCTTCGGCCTGATTCACAAAGGTAAAATTGACAGCGGGGGAAGCGGCAGCAGCTGGGCTTGCGCCTGGAGGCTTAGAGTCATGAGTCGTGTCTGCGTGAGGTAGTTTGATTGTAAGTCCTCCGAAGACCATGAAGAGTATCAGAAGGAGTCTCGCACCTGGATCACGGGGATTGCGGCGCATCTTCCCATTCCATCACTACTGAAGGACGAGAACCTGCGCTTGATATCTCTTTCAAATGTACTCGATCGGGGTAGCAGCGGTTGGTGATTCCTCTAGCCAAGAAACGAAGTAAAGAGTGACTTAGTGCATGGTGCCTTTCTCATGACCAGATTATATGTCAGGTTCCTCCTGATGTGCTCCCTAGAGAAGACTTTTTGTTTTGAGCCAACAACCCATGCCTGTGGGGGAGCGTTCTGACGATCCACGGCCATGCAGGAGGCCTTCAATAAGCGGTAAGAGGCGAGGAGGCGAGGAGGCAAGTAAAGCTAGCACAGGTCTGTCAACAAGGGTCAACCTGGGATTGGGGTTGACTCTAGCGAGCACAGACGAGATCATGACATTGTGAGATGCTGGGGATCGACTTTGGCTTTTCGCGGGAGGAGGGAGTTAGTCTGAGGTAGGAGGAATATGCGCCTTGCAGCATGACGAGATGGTCGCCTGGACGAATTGTCTGTCGTTCATGGTGCTGGCCGACCAAGGCAATGATGCCAATTGGGAGGCGTCAACTGAATGTTGCCAGTAGTTAGAGGAATGGCCACCGCATCATGTCGTTATCGCTATCTCGCTCCCCGGCGGTCGATCACCAGCAGGGACGCCTACAGAGGAAAGCGAGAAACCGAAATTCATTCATCCATTACCGGAATCCTCCCTGGTCCTTCAAGTCTGGGTACGGTGGTGACTGCGGCAGGCATCTGACCCCTGTTGTTGTTCTACCTCCACACAGTAGACGGTAGAAGTCGGTTGTAGGCACCGAGCCTGCCTGGCTGCAGCCGTGCACCCTCATACCCACGTCCCCGGTGTAGGGCCTAGGGTGCCTCAGGCTCGTTAAGCCTGGGCGACTGGGTCCCAGTGTCCCACAGGCCTAGAGGCCCCCGAGGCCCCCGAAGCCCCCGCCTCCCTAGCCCCTTGTAGAAGCCAAATGCACAAGCAGAGTACGACTACTACAGAAGGGACCTAGTACTGCTCCGCTGAGCATATTATTTCGGTTTCCATTACTACGACGATCTTTGTCAGATACCCGTCAATGTACTTTGTACATACTACACAGAGCGTAGTAGCGTGCATAGTCTCGTGGTCTTACAGCTCCACGAGTGGATGCCGCATGGCCAGACCGTCTAAACTCGAGTCCTTCCCAATAACTCGGGTGCTGTTTCGACTTCTAGTTGGAATCTACTGGAATGGCTCGGGGAGAGCTCTTATTGTGAATAAGCTTGTGTATTGAGAATTCCCTAACTAGGTAGGTAACCCATTGTATTGACAAATCCATGGGCAGTGTACCTTAATCTGAAGTTCACCGCTGGGATACCACATCATAAGCGTGCGTATCTCTAGACTTTTGCATCTGAACCACTAGACGCCATCTTCCTCGCCGAACACCCTTGCCACCATGAAATACACGGCCAGGCAACCGGCTACTAACCAGAGTTTGTTCCGCCAAACCCAACCTTGTCCTGCGGTCCGCGCAGCCTGTCCTCCTGAAACCACCGCTCCAACACCTGTAGTACTGCCTCCCAATATTCGACGCAACGCTTTAGTTTCCGGGGCACAGTTGACATTCTCGCCCTCTGCGTCGGGAGCCATCCGTCCGGTTGCAGGATCAATATGGTGCTGCGCCATCCATGCCCAATTTTCTCGGTCCTCATCTGGCCATTCTGCCCTGAATTTGACGCCTCCGTCTCCGGCCTTTATGTTTCCTACTCCTTTGGTAGTGGCCTGCACCCCCGGGACCGGCCTGGAAGCTGATCCGCCGCCTGTAGAATTCCACCATCTCGACCTCGCAGCGTACCACTTCCGCTCCGCAGGTGTTCCCCCAATGCTCCCGGCTGTCATCTCTTCGCTGTTCATGAATGACATCAGGCCAATCAAGATGGTGGACACCGACCATGCCGGATTGAAGGACTTGGGGTGGAAGTCACTGATGCTCAAACATAGTCTACTCGAAGGTTGGAATCGTCCACTCGGGGTATGCATCCGGATTGCGGGTGGTGCGAAAGGGTAATCTGGTGGGAACACCAGCGACCCCCAATATTGGCCGCCTTCATATGGAGTGTTAGGAGGGCCGGTGAGGATGTAGTGCCATTCTAGGATATTCGCCTCGGAAGGATGTGCCACAATGTACGGGGGAGGGTTCGCCTGGATATTCTGATATTCTCTTGTCAACCGCTTGTGCGCTGCCTTGGTGGCCATGGACGCTCCGCGCCCAGAAGGCAAGCCGCAGTGAGGACTGTCCCTTTCTGGAGGGGACTGAAGTAGATCGGTCAAGAGGCCGGGTGTTTGGAAGAGCAAGCGGATGACGTGACGAGATTGGGATGAAAGTGGTGCACGCGATATGTTGCTAGGTCGTTCTTTGATCCCGATGTCGCCTCCAGGGTAATTAGGTAGTAGGATACAATATGGAAAGAGGTTATTAGTAACAACACTGCGATCTCACGCACTGGCACTGCAATAGTATGAACGACTAGCACAGCTAGTAACTCCGTACATCACTTACAACCGTCTGCCACTGCACTGCAGGCTGCGGTGATAAAGCGACGGAGCTTGGCGGCGGAAAGGAAGACCCCCGTCACGTGCCAGAAGGAAGGATTCAACTAACCTGCATTATAGCTGCGCAGGCGATAACTGGATTCTGTATGTCGTTGAACTTGCAAACGACAATCGAGCACCTCCCCAACCCTCTGCCACTGCATGCACCACATGATGAACCTTGCATGATCATTTAGCTATCACAGCTATCTAGATATGAATATCATCATATCGCGGCACTAGCAGCAGGCCCCCTTGGACGTCAATTCTACGATCGTCTCTGCCAAAGGACGGACTGAGCAACGATCGATGAGATCGTGCCATCATACGATGAGGCGTCCAGGGTAGCAGAACGAACCGAGAGGTCGGCCTCTTTTGCGCCATGCTTCGCTCCCTTCTCAATCACACCCGTCGAGGGTCTAAAGTGCAGCGAACTCGGACCGGTACCGGAGGATAATAGCCTTGTGCATCATTATGCTCCTTGTGGTAGACGATGCGATGATCGATCATCTACCAGTCGACTACCAGTTGACTATGATCGAGAATCATATACAACTACAGAGTACAAAGTACGATGCCACGGTAGAGCCACGATGTACACAGTGCGCACATGATAGGATCGAAATTGCGAGCAAGTTTGGCTACTATACTACTACTGATGAGTGCCGAAGCCGGTTGCTTGGCCCTGGACACAGCGTTTGACGCCGTTGGAGGAATCAATCCTAGCGGGCTCTTGAACCCCATCTACAGAGTATCAACCACCATCGGCACCATCTTGCAGACCACACACTCCACAGGGACAGTACAGACCCGGGACCTACTCTGTACACCAGACCACAACGGTGCCCCATTGCGTATGCCTGGCATCCACCGCCACGCCAAAAGCCACTAGTTCGGGTCAATCTAATCAGATACTATGACACCCTGGCAAAATTCCGATCTAATCAGATGCGACACTGGCTATCCATAGCGGGCCTACCAGAGAATTTTCTTGCTCGTCGCGGTGTCACATCTCGCTACTCCCAAGGCAAGCATTGTCGTGGTGAGCTTCTTTCCAAGAAGCCGGCGCGGAACCAAAGCCATGAAGCTTATAAAGAAAGGTCCTCGCCCTCCATGTGGCTGTCTCAATTCTTCTTTCCGTATACACCAAGGCTCCCCTATACAGCCAGGGCTCCTAGTTTGTTTGGCACTTATTAGCCGTATCTCTTATCGGTCCGGCATACATCCTCCCTCTCCTCCAACATGAGCTTCTTTGCTAAGTTCAAAGGGCTCCCAACCCATCCCATAGTCCGCAGGGCTTCCGAGTCGGCTGTACAAGACAAAAATGCCGGCGCGGAAACCGGCGCGCAAATTGACACCGATTCAGACCTGGACCCAGCAGCGCAGAACGAGAAAGAGATCCAGCTGCACCCCGACCAGATCACTGCCGACGCTCAGGATGGTGTCAAGAAGGTCGAGGCGGTGGCTCTGGTCTGGTCTAAGACCGCTGTCTACGCGACCTACTTCTGGATCTGGGTCAGCTTCTTCATGCTTGCTCTCCAGCAAGGAACAACTTCGATCTTCAACGCTGCTGCATATGCCGAGTTTGTGACTGCCCCCCAAATCACCACGGCGAACGTTCTTGCCAGCATCATCGGTGGTGTGATCAAACTTCCTATTGCAAAGGTGCTCAACATCTGGGGACGTGCAGAGGGCTTCTTTGTCTTTGTGTGTGTCTATCTTATCGGCATGATCGTCCTAGCAGCATCCAATGGTCCGAGTTCATACGCAGCTGGATACGTCCTCTACTGGATCGGTTATGATGCAATTTATTTGATCTTGGACGTCTTTGTGGCAGATACTTCTGGCCTCCGGAACCGAGCGTTCGCTTTTGCATTCGTTGGCACTCCCTTCATCTGCACCGCTTTTACCGCGTCGAGGTTAGGCCAGGCGTTTCTGTCAGCGACGACTTGGAGATGGGGTTATGGTTAGTTACCCCTTGTCCTGATTCCCGCCTCCCTGATCAGGCTGTGAGGCATTCCCCACGTGAAGAGCAGTCACTGACCACAAAATAGGTGCCTTCATCATCATCATGTTCTTCATCTTCATGCCGCTGGTGGTCGTCTTCAAATTCTATCAACTCAAAGCGGAAAAGCTGGGTGTCCTTCAGAAACGGGCTGCCAGTGGACGCAACACCTTCGGATCGCTTGTCCATTATTTCCACGAATTCGACATCATCGGGGCTTGCCTGCTCATCGCCGCATTTGTTCTCTTCCTGCTGCCTTTCACGCTGAAGAGCTATGGCAAAACCCAGTATGACTCTGCCAGCTTCATCGCCATGGTTGTCATAGGCGTCCTTCTCTTCCCAGCCTTCGCTGTATGGGAGAAATGGTTTGCCCGCACTCATTTCATTCGATGGGAGTTGTTCAGGCAACGAACTGTTCTCGGTGCCTGCAGCTTGTCAGCGATCCTCTATTTCTCCTTCTACTCATGGGATCTGTACTACTACAACTTCGTCCTGGTTGTGTACAACCTCAGCATCAGCAATGCGGGCTACATGACTCAAATCTACAACGTTGGTTCAACTTTCTGGGGAGTGGTTTTCGGCGTCTACATCCGCGCCACTAAAAGGTTCAAATACGCCTGCCTGTTCTTCGGCCTCCCTCTCATGATGCTGGGTGCGGGCCTTATGATCTACTTCCGAGGATCGGACCATGGCATAGGCTATCTGATCATGTGCCAGATCTTCATTGCATTCTCTGGCGGTACTCTGGTCATTGGCGAAGACATGGCCGTCATGGCTTCGGCCGATCGTGATGGTGTGCCCATGATGCTGTCCCTCATCGGCCTGATGTCCAGCGTCGGTGGTGCCATTGGTCAGGCAGTGGCGTCGGCCATCTACGACAACACCTTCCCCCAGACCTTGCGGGACAATTTACCCGACGACGCCAAGGGTGACTGGATGGCCATCTACAATGGTGGTTACGTGACCCAGATGACATACCCGCCCGGCAGTCCGGTCAGAAACGCGATTAACCATGCTTGGGGAGAAAGTCAGAAGTACGGCGCCATCTCCGCCACCTGCATCCTCGTTCTGGCCATCCCGGCAATCGCCATCTGGAAGAACCACAATGTCGACAAGAAGCAGAACAAGGGTAACATTCTTTGAAAGGGGCACCTTTGCCTCTTGTGGGGTTGCAGGTCGGCCACCGAAGCCAATATTATGGCATCAAGGGCCCCAGTTGGGTTCATGGAAACTTTGACCGGGGCGATCCATGTTGGACGAACGTGTAGATGGAGGTCCGAAGTCAGTGTGCTTATAGTGAATATTGCAATTTGAACATTGCAGTGTAGTAATAATAAGAGAATATGGACACGTGAACCATTGTTTTGGCTCTGATATACCCAGACGTACCCTTGGTTGACAATTTTAATACGTCCTTTCGTTCCTGTGGTTGCTCGTTCCTGTGGTTGCTATACACTTTACTGAGTACCTAATACAGACAAGAGTAGAGAAACACAGGGCGGCGGCAGCATTCTCCCAATCGGGGTTCTGACCCGGAGGGCAGTTTTCCTGTTCGCCGACAACCAGCCGGGGCTGCTGAACAGTGCAGCTTCAGCCAAACTGCTTTGACAACCTGAGAGCTTGACCACCTTTACCCACTTGTACACCTTTGTACAGCTTGCGCGACTGCACTGGCCTCAATGGCCGACTCGGGCGTCGACTCCGAGGAGACCATCTTCCAACTGCTTAAAAAGGCGGACCCAAAAGAGCTTGAGCAACGCCAACAAGCTATCAACGAGAGAAGACACAAGACCTTCCAGCTGACCCAGCAGCGGCTCGCCGAAATCATCGACCAGAATTCGACACTCCCGACCACTGTTTCCTCAGTCACTGTCCTAGGTGCCCCTTACACACGGGATGGTTTCTTAAAGCGGGTGGTCGATCCCTTGTTGAGTGCCAACCGCGACCGGCCGTATACGCAATCAGAGTTGATACATGAAGTATCCCGAGCAGCGCAGAAGCTTAGGAGATTTGGTATGTTCCTCGGCTGAACTCAGCATGTATCTTGGTCTCATCGGTGTGCAGGGATCTTTCACGAACCCGTTTCGGTGTACCTCGACAAGTCTGCAAAGACCGACCCAACAACGACCCCGACGGACGTTGCTGTCTACTACTCAGTAAAGGAAAGAAGTCGGATATTTGCAAAGACTGGGACAGACCTCGGCAATGCGGAGGGTTCAGCCTATGCCAACGTGCAATGGAGGAACCTGTTCGGCGGCGCGGAGACTCTCGACGTGAACGCATCTATTGGAACACGGACACGGTCATCATATCAAGCTCTGTTCGATACGCCCGTGCTCAGCAACCCTGACATACACCTCCAATTTGCCGGAGTTCAAAGTGCAACTCAAAAGGCTTTTGCCAGCCATGAAGAAGTGCTTAAGGGCGGGTGGAGCAAACTCCGCTGGGCGACATCAACCGGTTCATCTCACGAGGTAGGATACGATGGCTTGTGGCGGCAAGTTACAGGACTTGCTCAGAACGCTTCCACGACAGTCAAGAACGAGGCGGGCGATTCTTTCAAGAGCAGTATATCACATACGTGGATGGCCGATCGAAGAGACAACCCCATGCTTCCCTCGCGAGGATACTATGCCAAAACGACGTCCGAGTTGGCTGGATGGGGCCCGCTCCGAGGAGATGTTGCATTTTTCAAAGGCGAAGTCGAGACCCAGTCAGCCCTACCAGTGCCTCTCCCAGGCGTGAAAGGCGACAGCGGGATCAGTCTGACGACCGGACTCCGTGCAGGGCTGCTCTACCCCTTGGCTTTGGGCTCGAACCCCTATCCCGAGATGTCCCGTATCAACGATCGATTCCAGCTCGGTGGACCGAATGACGTTCGAGGTTTCCGGCTGTCAGGCCTTGGACCTCATGACGGTCCAGATGCCGTGGGCGGTGATCTTTATGCCGCGGGCAGTGCAAATCTCCTGCTACCACTCCCAAGGGTTGGAAAGGATAAGCCACTCCGGTTTCAGGCCTTTGTCAATGGTGGAAGATTACTGTCAGTACGAAATCCGGAGAAAGAGGGCCCTATGACAGGCGAGGAAGTCAAGCAGAGTGTAGCCGATGCCATCAGCGACCTCGCCAATGGTCTGCCCACCATGTCGGCCGGTGTTGGCCTGGTCTATGCTCACCCTGTGGCACGCTTTGAACTCAATTTCTCCTTACCTCTCGTGGTTCGGAAGCATGAAGAGGCCCGGAAAGGAGTGTCCTTTGGCATCGGGATCAATTTCCTGTAGTGATGGCGATAGACGGCTGAAGACTTGTAAATAGTAGCTACAGGCCCGGAAAACGTTTGTTACGGCTGCCAAAAAAGTGCCATGTTAACTGATGGCAAAATTCGCTTCTAACTTTCACCGTAAAGGTCAAATGGACCGCAATGAAAGATATACTACCTTAGGTACCTGCCTTTGTAGTACCTTAGTATTCCAAGATCAAGGTGACCTGTCAAAACGCCCTCCGCATCCGCATCCGTATCCGCAGCCACACGACAGTTGGAGAAACAATCGACTCCTGACACTTCGCCAGGCACAAGTCTGTAAGGTTCACGACACTTCAGCATCTTCTCACAACAGCTTACGGTACGACAACTCCGACATCGACATTCCTCGGCTAGACTGTGATCAACCTCCACGAAACTACTGCTTAGCTGCTCCCAACGTGCCTAACCTCAGCATCTTCTGAGAACGAAAGCGAACTCGACGCCGTTCGAAACCTGTGCACAACATAACTGCGCGGCCGCTCACGGCCTTTGTTTCTATAGAAAATGTCCTACTACAACCAGCCATACGGGCAGAGCAACAATGCGCCGGCCTCGTCTAACCTACAATTCTACCCTTCCTCCTACACAAACGTCTCGGGCCACACGACACCATCTCAAGCATCGTTTGGCGGCTATGGCGCAGGCAGCACGGCGCCCGCATATCCTGGGTACGGTGCAAGCGCGTCCGGCGGCTTCAGTGCAGGAGCGGGAATTTCAGGAGTCAGTGGCCGCATGGGAGACTCTGGAGGGTTAAGGACTGGCTGGCTGGCTGCCTTCGGGACAGAAGGGTACGAAGGAGAACCAGGATTGATGGAGGAGCTTGGGGTGAACTTTTCACATATCAAGACCAAGGTGAGTGCTGTTTCTGGGGGCGCCATCCATGCAAGACACACGACGATACAGAAAGGCGTTGTTGTTCAAGGGATTGAAAGAAAAAAAGCTTGTAAGAAAGTTGACTGACATACCCTGGCGGAGTCTACAGACACTCACAGTACTCAATCCATTGACCCGGCCGTCGCCGCATATCATGGACGACAGCGATCTATATGGAGGTCTTCTCTTCCTCATCCTGTACGGCACGTTTCTCGCCCTGTCCGGCAAGTTCTTCTACGGATACATCTACGGCATCGCGTTGTTCGGGTCGATCGCGCTGCACTGGATGTTTGCGCTGATGACGCCACCTATGGACCCCAACGACACGGACCAGATGTCGCAGGCGCAACGGGACCATGGACAGGACAGTTCGGGACACGGTGGCGGTCACTTCTCGAGCACGCTGACTTACTCGCGCAGCGCGAGCGTGCTTGGGTACTGTTTCCTACCGCTGGTCTTTACGGCTCTGTTTGGTGTGTTGCTGCCCATGGACACCGCGATGGGGTATGTCTTGACCGCCGCGGCGGTGGGGTGGTGCACTTACAGCAGCTCGGGAATGTTTGTTAGCGTGGGCAGGATGAAGGGCATGCGCGGCTTGGTCGCCTATCCTCTGGCATTGTTCTATGTTGGCTTTGGCATCATGGGCATCTTCTCGTCTAGGGGGAGCGGTATGCTGGAAGGCAAGGTCATGTGAGCGCAAGATGCCTGCCGGACCAGTCAAAATATGAAGAAAACGACCAGGGCTGGGCTTTCTACGAACCCAGCCCGTTAGGCTGCTCAGGTTCATGGCTAATGGCACCTAGAGCAGTCGTCCAGGCGGAGCACTCACTTTCGAGCACGGGATAAGCAGGGAAGGCAAAAAAGGAGACATGCTCGTCGTGAGGAAAATATACCTATGAAAAGACCGACTTCGGGGGAATCCTCCTCGGTTCTTGCAAAGCCGGTCAATCGCCGTGAAGGCCATCTGGGATGATGAGAAGCGGAAGGGGGATTCGTAGCTGCTAAGATGAATAGTTGTCGTGAGGTACGTAGTAACGAAGATCTGTAAAGTCAGCTAGCTATCTCTCCTCTCCTTAACCTACCATTGTGAAGACCACGCTGGTGCCTCTATTAAGCCTTATTTTGTCTGCTGGACGTCTCCAGTTCATGTCATCTGCCTGCTGTTGAATTCGAGCTGAACTTCCGTCACCATCGCCAGGGGCTTCGAAGGTGCACAATTGAGGTCTCTTGGGCAATAAATAGTACCATTTCCACAACTATATCCGACTCTGATACCCTTCGAGGCTGATCCGGGGCCTACCACAGTCCACATTCTCCTTCAATTCCTCTTGTGAATATGTCTTCCAGATTACGATCAGGGGGATGATGATATCGAAGGGGGGAAGAGTGAGATAGACATATATACATAGGTAGTAGTTATATGTCCTTTAGCACCAGATCCTTGCCAAGCTATACGCCAATCCGCTACCAGCCACCGCCAGTACATATAGTATCGCCCATCACTTAACTACGAGGTCTACCTGTGCACCAAGAGCCAAGTGTACCTTGGTGCACAGATAAAGTTTTGTGTCCAGTCTTCGACAATGGAGTTCTACGGCATGACGGGTGAAAAGCTGGGGACGATAGGACAGGTAGGAACGATGACGGAGCTGCCTCGATGGAAGAAGGCATTCCTGGAAAAGCCTTCGATATCAATACGCAAAGGGATCGCTTGGGTGAGTCAAATCCATACATTATCTGGTGTTTAGCCTACCTATCTTCAACGGTGATGTGTCTGAACGGGACAAGGGCTGTTTGCCCACCATGACTACGACTGAAGCTCTACTACGTTGGAACCGAGGTGAGGATCACTCCTTCTGACCATTTTGGTGCTATATGTACAGGGCTACTCTCCTCCATACGAAGACACATCTACCCTGGTTCTCACATCTCCCAACGCCGTCTTCATCGACGTCAGATTCCCGCTTCAGCCGACGGATCCTTCCAAACCGGTGACCTCGGACCCTGCATTCTGGGCCTTCTCAGGCACGTCCAGCACCACATTTCATCCCGAGTCCTCGGCCGAGGTCTCTATGCCCTACTCGGCCCATTCCGCGTGGAAACACGAGATCGATTCGAAAGGGCCGGGCATCAGCGACGAAGGGGACATGTTTCTCCTCCCTAATGACGACTGTATCGAGGTCGGCATGATGGAGAGTCCGCAGACGAAACGGGTCGAAATGTACAAGGAATACTGGACCGCGCCGGCCGCGGAACTGGGGTCTGGAAGTGTTATCCCCCGGACGCCTTGCGTTGTGGCGCAGACGGTAGAGAGTAAGGGAGGTCACGGAGGGGCAAAAGGAACTGGGAACGGGAAAGGGGTTGTCATTCGTATCGGTGACTACTGTCAAGGTATAGTTGAGCAATGTGGCGAGGATGGATCGTTTCGAGGAGTGCTGGTTGAGCGGTGGCAGAAAGTGCCGGTGGAGCGAAATCCCCTTCTCTCTTCTGACACCCTGGGCGCCCGGGATAGCACTGCAAACCACACAGACTGGGTTAAGGACCAGCGCAGCAACACTCCAGAAGGGGAGACGTTAATGCCCTGTCTATGGATCTGCGAGCACAACAGGAGGCTTGGAGACGAAGTCGTGATACACGGTATTGCTTGGAGGGTTGTGGAAATGGTACTATGACTATAAGGTCGTATCTGAAACGGAATGGAAGCTGGGGCAGGCCTTCTCCTTTCAAACATCATGATACTGGGTTCTGGTGGTTTCAGGGTACAGGACACAGAGTAATGTAAGGTACTGGTACGGAGACCTTCAAGCAGCGAGATATAAATCAGAATTCGGATTTGCCGGGGCTGCGTTAAATGAGCGGTAGTGTCCCGATATTTAGCCGGAAATCGAATCAAAGGTGAAGCTCGGTTCTCGGCTAAAAGCGGCCCATGATGCCCCATGCTCCCATTGGACACCTCTCAACGTCCATCATGATCATGATCCCGGATCTTCCTCCATTTTGCTCTCTCAGTCTATCAACAATCATGCGGTGTGTCGAGGTTGCAGGAGCATGATCAGTAGTAGTCAAGAAATGGATTGTTTGATGTTATCTGCCCTCTCCAAAATCCGTTCGTTCCGCCTAGCCTCAACATCGACCTTACAGGTCGGCATGATACGGGGTTGAAAATGCCTGCCGAATGTGATCGAGAGAGTGGGTCACATGCCAGTACTGACCTTGTCATATCCCGGATGCTCTTGCGCGTCGGCTGCCAATCGCCACTTCTGCTTCTGCAACCAAAGATGCTAACCCAATGTTTCTCACAGTCCTAGTAGTATACTACTACTAGTAACCATCATCTTCATCTCTCCCAGTGGGGATGTCCCGAGGTTCTCCCAGCTATCCGTCCCCTTGAATATTCCCAGACGATCAGCAAATGTATACCGTCCTCTATATCATCTCGAATCCCTCCTCATATTGGAGCTTGGTTCTGTAACTACTGTTTATCATAACATCCATTTTCTAGGCTATTTACATTTCGCTTACACTTCATTCTCTTCTCTCACTGCCGGGAGTCCTGTGATCTACTTTCCGTCATGGGGTCTATGCCTATGCAGAAACAGGCCAGCCTGGATGTTGAAGACGTTCTTTCCAAGCTCAACATTGACGAGAAAATCTCCTTACTGTCCGGTATCGACTTTTGGCACACGGCTCCGGTTCACAGACTCGCTATCCCATCCATACGGTTGTCTGATGGGCCCAATGGTGTCCGAGGAACTCGCTTCTTCAATGGTGTCCCGGCTGCCTGCCTTCCTTGTGGTGAGTTTTTGAGAATTCTACATGTATGAGCCGAAATGTCTCTTTCTGACACGAGGCAGGAACGGCTCTCGCGGCAACCTGGGATACCGACCTCATCAAGAGAGGAGGTACCTTGCAAGGAACTGAAGCCATTGCCAAAGGTGCTTCGGTAATTCTAGGGCCCACCACGAACATGCAAAGATCCCCTCTGGGTGGTCGCGGATTCGAGAGCTTCAGCGAGGACCCGTATCTCGCCGGGGCTATGAGCGCAGCCACCATTAATGGCATCCAGTCCACCGGCGTTGGCGCCACTATCAAGCATTACGTCTGCAATGATCAGGAGGATCAGAGACAATCAGTCGACAGCATCCTGACGGAACGAGCACTACGCGAAATTTACCTCATGCCGTTCATGATTGCCCAGCGAGATTCCAGACCTTGGTGCTTCATGACCTCTTACAATAAAGTCAATGGAACGCATGCCAGCGAGGATCCCAGGCTTATCAGGGATATCCTTCGTGGCGAATGGGGCTTTGATGGTCTGGTAATGAGCGACTGGTATGTCATATCATGACTGCTCTAGTGATGACTACTGACAAGACCAGGTTCGGTACTTACTCGACGAGCGAGTCGATCAAAGCAGGCCTGGACCTGGAAATGCCTGGCCCTTCGTACATCCGCGGCAAACTTGTCGGCATGGCCCTAGGATGTGGTAAGCTAGGCGAACATGAGGTAGATGACAGAGCCAGGGAAGTTCTTAAGCTCGTCAAGAAAGCCGAGCCCCTTGGTATTCCGGAGAACGCCCCCGAAGGCACCGTTGACACCCCCGAGACCTCGGCTCTGCTTCGAGAGTTGTCGTCCAGTGGTATCGTCTTGATGAAGAATGATGGCAGCATCCTGCCGTTCAGCAAGGAGAAGACGACTGCCGTGATTGGGCCCAACGCCGCGTATGCTGCCTACTGTGGCGGCGGTTCTGCCTCACTTTTACCGTACTATGCCGTGAGTCCACTGGATGGTATTCGGGCTCAGGTTCCGCACGCCAAATACGCCCTCGGGGCTCCTGGATGGAAGGCTCTTCCACTCATGTCTCGCTTGACGAAGACATCAGACAACAAGAACGGGTTGACCATGAAGGTCTTTTTGGATCCCCCTTCCGTGGGCGATCGAAAGCCCATCGATGAGATCCACGTGCCCTACTCTGATATCGCACTTATTGACTACAAACATCCGCTCATCAAGACCAATCTCTACTGGCTTGAGCTGGATGGAAGTTTCACCCCTGAGGAGTCGAGCGAGTACGACTTCAGCCTCTCCTGTGCAGGAACCGCCAAGGTTTTTGTCAATGGCGAATGCGTGGTCGACAATGAGACGCATCAACGACCGGGTAACTCTTTCTTCGGTGCCGGCACTGCGGAGGAGCGTGGAACTCTGAAATTGGACAAAGGTGTCACTTATGATATCAAGGTCACCTTTGGCACTTTCCCAACCATGAAATTTACAACCCCGGGCGTCACTAGCTTTGGGGGCGGTGGACTCACAATTGGACTTGAGCGCAAAGTATCGATCGAGACGGAGATCGAGAGAGCTGTCAAGCTTGCCAAAGAGGTGGATCAAGTCGTCCTCTGCGCCGGTCTTAACAAGGACTGGGAGTCGGAAGGATACGATCGTGGCCACATGGATCTTCCACCCGGAAGCGATGCCTTGATCAAAGCTGTTCTCGCAGCCAACCCAAACACCGCTATCGTCATCCAATCTGGAACTCCTGTCACTATGCCCTGGGCCAAAGAAGCACCCGCCGTACTACAAGCATGGTATGGCGGCAACGAAACCGGAAATGCCATTGCAGATGTCGTCTTCGGTGATGCGAACCCGAGCGGAAAATTACCGTTGAGTTTTCCTGTCAGGAATGAGGACAATCCGGCGTTTTTGAACTACAGGTCAGAGCGGAATCGGGCCCTTTATGGAGAAGACGTGTATATCGGGTATCGGTTCTATGAAAAGACTAACAAAGAGGTTACCTTCCCTTTCGGCCATGGCCTTAGTTACACTTCTTTCGACATCAAAGACCTTTCGGTCACCGACAAGGGTAACGACATCGTGGTATCTGCGACGGTGTCAAACACTGGCAATGTCGATGGCGCGCAGGTCGTTCAAGTCTACGTCTCGCAACACCATCCAAGCATCAATCGGCCCAAGAAGGAATTGAAGGGTTTCTCCAAAGTGTTTGTCAAAGCTGGCAGCACGGAGAAGGTCGAGATGGTCATTTCCAAGAAGTACGCTGCCAGTTTCTGGGACGAGGCCAGGGATTCTTGGATCATGGAGAAGGACGTTTACGATGTCTTGGTTGGTAATTCGAGTGCTTCGACGCCGTTGAAGGCCAAGTTCCACGTGCAAACGACTTCATGGTGGAAAGGGTTGTGAGTGCAACCTACCTAGGACCCACGATGCCACGGGCGACTCTGCCTTCCGCAGTGTTTCTGAAGGTCTCTTGAGTTGCTTCCAACAAGCTGTCAAGGCACTGGTGAGGACGCTATGGTCAATGAATAACCCTGAGGTTGCAGTATCTGTATCTGATAGGAAGGTGGGACTCGATGTTGCTCTTGGCCGTTGACCATAACAAGAACCTCAAGAGAAGTGGACCACGGAGTATGTTTCGTCTCGACTAGGTTGACCAATATAGCACCTCTGAGGAAGAGAGAGATCAATATTAGACCAATCTATTCGAGAATCTTCATGATGGATCTCAATGACTTTTGCCGTTCACTGAGTACCCAGGTAGGTATAGATCTTGTACAATAGTATACCCACCCCCCGAATATGTTTCGTCTCGACTAGGTTGACCAATATAGTATTTCAGAGGCAGAGAGAGAGACTATTGTTCGACCAATCCATATGAAAATAGGCATGATGTATCTCAGATGTATGGGTACGAAACCTGACTGGCTGGCCATCACGATTCTCTTCGGCAACGGACATTCTTTTTCTTTCTGCGTTGGCCACTTGAATTCGTCTCTTGGAACTGTGTCCTCTGTGTGATGGATTTGTATACCTACCTACCTACATCTGTGCAAACAACTAGTACTGCGGTCCGGTCGCCCATTGTTATATCGAGGGAGGTGGCCATGTATGTATATCCATCCGTAAACCCATGAATGACTTTTGCTTTGCCGCATACAGAGTACTCCCTAGGTACCCAAGGTATGGATCTTTAGGTACATACATGTATGCAATAGGATAGGATACCCACCCCCCTGCTTTGGCTCATCAGACTGTGTGATTGATTGGGTCTGAGGTATTTGGTTCTCTCTCCCCTGTGAATACGCACGTAGTACCCAAATCGGTATATCAAGGCTGAACTTGACCATATCCGGTGGTATGTCTGTTTGACTGTGGTTAGCGCCATAAAGTACCTACATTTCTTGGTTGGACTTGGTGTACTAACCAAGGTAAGTAGTACGTACCTAAGTATTTCGCGACCTCTCGCGCATCTCTCTCTAACTGAGGTACAGAGTCACAGAGTCACAGTGTTACACTGCAGAGTTAGCAGAAACAGCTTACCTAAGGTACCAAGTTATGTACCTATGTACCTTACACGCTTAGGTTAGGTAAACAACCATTGCCAAGAGCAGAGAGTGGACAGGACAGTACGGTGGAGTAGAGGGGCAAGTGCAGCCAGTATAACAAACCACTGCATGTCATTCGTAAAGCCCAGCATTTCTCGTTCAAGTTGTCGACAATGAACGACAATTGAAGCCTTTAGTTCTATTTATTTGTGGACTACATCTACTCTGGGTGTGACTGGACTGGACTGGACTGTACGGTGCGGCAACGGCCGCGTATTTACTCTGGAGTTCCGTCACTCCGCTTGATTTGGGTTCAAGAATTGGATTCATATGACAGCAACGCAGTCTCCATTCACCTATGGAAACCAACATGGAGGAGAAGGCGAAAAACACAGAATCCCGTTCGAAGGGACTAGTGGACGGGAGAGAAGCGTCGAATGACGTGTCTCATCCCTCATCCGTCGATATGCCGGTTGTCTACGCCTTCGGATCGAATGGATCGGGACAGTTGGGTATAGGTCATACAGAAGATACTGCGAGGCCGGAAAAATGTGTTTTCCAACCGTCCTCTACAAGGCAAGTCGACGACGACCAGCACGCCACCGAGGCCGCCGTGACAATGGCTCAAAGGTATGCAAATGTAAATGTGAACAAGATGGTCGCCGGGGGAAATCATACTCTTCTCCTGACGAACGACGGTCGACTTTTCAGTGCAGGGAAATTCGGATGCAGACTGGGCGACAAGGAGTCGACTTCTATTTTTGTGCAGCGCCGTTTTGGTTCCGCTCAGTTAGGGACGACTAGCGTTCAAGCGGTCCCGCCTTCAGCTTCAACACCGTCGACTCCTCAGTCTGTACGAACAGAAGACACCCAATTCCCCACTGGTGTTGGAAGGATCACAGACATCGCAGCGACATGGGATGCGTCTTTCATCGTTGTCGACCACAGAACTGTGTTTGTCTGTGGAACTGGCTCGAAGGGCGAACTGGGACTCGGTGAAGGTGTTGAGCGCGCAGAGTCCATGACCAAACTATTCGATGTCGCCGACTTCCAGCCAGAGCCCGGTCGTGACGCTACGGCCGGCGTAGCCGATGATGATGGGAAAGGTGATAAAAAGGGGCATGTGTGTGGCGGCGAAACTCCAATCCAAATCCTCGCCATTGCAGCGTGTATGGCTCACGCCGTGCTGCTCTTGTCGAATGGCCATGTCGTTGGTTGGGGAAATTGTCGCAAGGGACAACTAGGGGAGCGCGTCAAGGACCGAAAAGCACTGTGGACGCCCACGACGATTGCGCCGGGGTACGGCACACCCATCGTGCCCCTCGAAAGCTGTCTAGCACACACGGCCGTTGACCAGGACGCCCATGGCACTGAGCGCTTGCCATGGAACCCAGAGAGCGTGGTGATGGGTCGGGATTACACCGTTTTCCTAAAGACAGGCGAAAAGCCAGTCATCTGGGGAGACATGAAGTTCATTGACCAAGGATCAAAGTTGCTGAGACGACCACTCGGGGTCGGTGATCAATTGTTCTCTGCCTGGTCTTCAATTCACCTCTATTCGCCGCAGCAAGGATCGGTGCAAAGTACCGGCAGAAACGACCGCGGTCAATTGGTGCCCGCTGGACTCCCTGCTATCCAAGCGCTGGCTGCAGGTAGTGAACACTGCGTCGCGCTGACGGCAAACAATCAAGTCATCGCCTGGGGATGGGGCGAGCACGGTAATTGCGGTGAAGAGCTGGACGAGAAGGGCAATGTCGCCGAGCGGTGGAATGCCATACAGATGCCGCGACTCGACGACGAGAGATTGATGGCGAAAGGTGTAGCGGCGGGCTGTGCCACGAGTTTCGTGATTTGCGGCATCAAGGACGGATAATGCCCACACCCACGGGATACTCCCGATTCCAAGTCAATCAAAGATTCCACGAACCTGAGACAGACGCTGCGTCGGCGCGATCTCATGTGGGAACCTCGACCTCGTCAGCGGAGCACGCTGCTCTCTCTCATGCACTGAAGCAAAAGAGTGCAGTGCCGAATCGCGGATGCGTCGTGTAGAGCTCGATGCAGACACCTCGTCGGTGGTGTTATCCCATGTTACAATGTCAGGCTCTTCCTCGAAGTTGGGGGCGTCCCACTGCTGGTCGTCATCGTCAGCCGGGATAAAGAGGCTGTTTGGATTGATGCTTCCGGAAGGGGCCAATGTGGAGTCTCCGGAGTTGGACTGCGCAAGCGCTGGGGCAACGGAATCGCGGTCGCGCAGGGTGGTTCTGGCGGGAGGAGGCATTGTCGCATCCTGCGCTGAAGGTGCGGCCGTCGCGGAAGCAGAGTCTGCTCCTCCTGCCATTGCGCTAGCTTCGCTCTCGGGCGGGCGGGACACAGGACGCATGGAAAGATCCCGTGCGGGCGTGCTCGCATTGAAAGTGGTGGGGACATTCGCGCTTCCTCTAGTCATCAGGGTGAATTCCGCCAGCAGTCCATTCTCTTCGTAAGTGATCTGTAGAGGCCGATTGCCTCGCGAGTATCTTGCCGTGACGTGGACCCGCATGGCTTCCGCGTGGGCTACAATGGCCCGAAAGTCCTTGACCATGGTGCCGATATGTAGGCCTTCCTGGACATTGAAGTCGTCGAAATCTTTTCTCTCCAAGGCCACAGAGGTGTGCATTGGCTGCTTGAGGATCTCTGAGCCAAATCATCAACTTGGCTTGCACAATGTAGGGACAGTGAAGGGCGCATCTACTACTAGAACTTACCTCGTCCGCTTTGGATCTTCTCCGTATAGCTTGTAAAGGTGACCTTGCCGTTCTGGAAATACCAGTCCAGCTGGTCAGTCTTGGGACCAAAGTACTCCACGACATCCCGCAAGGTGCGTGACGACACCGTCCAGTAATTGGTCGAGCCGACACGGTCGAATGCCGCGTGGAGGATGTCCGCAGACTCGTAGAATAGACGATACGTCTTGACCACGCCCTGACGGCAGTTGAGTCGGAATATCAGTCGACATTCAGCCTGGTCTGGATTCGCCTGGAGCTCGCAGTCGCATGACTCGAGGCCGGTGTCTCGGTCTCGCTGGTCGCCTAGCCTCCGCTTGAAAATGGCCAGTAAAGCCTGTGAATGTCAGAAACATGGGACATACGATCAGCCGGTCAAACCAGATAAGACAGAGATCTAATGTGGTGGTTACGGACCCGATTCTGGATCTTGCAGGCCCAAATCTTCGGCTGAGGCGGGCCAGATATAGATGTGTTCCTTGGTCCAGGGGAGAAATGGTATTTGTTGAAGAACGACGTGGAGTCGAGCGTGAAGGCGGCATGGGCAGTCTTGGAGATATTCAGACTAGAGATGCGAAGCTGGGTTGGTGAGCAGATGTCTATGCTGCAGCCTACGGTCACCACACTTACAGATTGAGGTGTTGCTTCGAGGGAGACGTCTTCGTCGAATTTGGCCAGACACGTCAACAGGTCGTGGATGGCGGAGACTCCAGGAGGGCCGACAGTGAATAGCAGAGTCGGCATTGTACTGTTAACATTATGAAGTAGTGATGTTCGACGGTCTCGTCTCAATGGCGGTGTGTTTTGTGCTGGACTGCGGTGTCTTCAAGTTGTTGCTGTGCAGTGCTGGAAGAGTTCTTGTCATTCTGTCATTTCTGTCTTTCGTGGACGCGCTCGACGCGTAAAGTGGAATGATGTCATTGGTCGGTTCGGAGACGCAGCAAAGACACGAACATGAACATGAACATTAATGAACTCGACATTTGAGTTGCAAGTCAAGTCGACGACGACAACGACATCGGGCGCGTTCGGTGGCTCTGACAGACTTGGCCTCTGACATCCATCTGATCTGCATCGTTGAGATAGTCGTTCATATCCAATTGGGCCTATCAATCCCCATTTGTGTTGAGCGGACATTGGCTCTTGTTGCAGCCTCGACGTGCCGCTGACCACTTTTCCCTCGCTCGTTGCCATATCAGGCCTACCAGGGATCAAAGATGTCGTCTTCATATCATGGCGCGACTCTTCCCGAAGAGATATTGTCCCTGATCTGTCAGGAGCTTGGAAAGGATGGAGAGTTTGGATCTCTTTACCGATGCGCGCTGAGCTCCAGATCATTCGCGGATCCGGCATTACGGACAATGTACCAGTCAGTAATGCCACCGAGGAGCCCTACGTTGACATTGCATCACTAACGTATCCCAGGCTGCACCAACATTCGCCGGTCTTTGAGCAGAGAGACGAAGTGGACGTCCGCCAACGACCCATGAACTACGCCACCAAAGCTGCCGAACAGGCTCAATTTTACCGGAAATGGACCCTGTTATGGCGGTCCATCGTCTTGTCGAGTCTCGATAATGGGAATACCTACAAGCCGTACTGTCGCTACATCAAGACTCTGGACTTCCGCAACCTCTCGGCCATGTTGGAAGACCCCAAGTTCACCGGCAATGTACGCAAGGCCTTCTTCGCCGACGGACTGCAAGAATTCCACTTCCCAAAGAGGGAATATAACAGGCAAGGTATCGATGTCGTGGCCACCGTCAATGCCATTGGAGAAGCAGTCACGGCGAAGACGACGTTACTGGAAGAAATCGATGGGCATATCAGCCCAGGTTTCTTGCCTAGATGGATTGCTCGATCGCCAAAACTCGAGACAATGGTGCTTTGGAAGGGCGATGCTCTGGCGAACGGTGCCGGGGCCACGATCGCAGAGCACTGCGAGAAATTCCAGAATCTGACCATCCATGAGTGGCTGTCTCCCGACGCCGACGAAGCTTTTGCAACATTCCTGGACCAATTGAAACCACATACACTCAGCTATTTCGAGATGATCAGCTACAACAACCTGGGCAAACGCTCGTTTGAAGCTTTGGGCCGTCACAAGACGTTGCGACAGCTCGATCTAGGCAATCTGAACCAAGAGGCCATGCAGAACTTGAACGCGCTCAAGGACTGTACTGAGATCCACACGCTTAAATTGGATGACAACTTTGGCACGGTGCAACTGGAGACGCTTAACAACGATGTCTTTCTCGAGGTGGTGGAATGGTTGAGTTCCTGTACGAACCTCCGCGATCTCAGTCTAAAGAAGTTTGTCGACGGACCGGCCATCCTCTCGCGGGTCTTGTACTCGCCCAAGGTCAAGTTGACGAAGCTATTTCTCGAAGGTTACACGGTGCGACATACCAGCGCGCAGTTGTTTCACAGCTCACTGGCCGAGCAAAAGGCGTTGGAGTCGGTCTGGCTGAAAGGAAACGGCGAAGACACCACTCCAGACGACCTCCAGATCATGGTGGAAGGACTGTGCAACCTGACGAATCTGAAAGAGCTTGTACTGAAAGATGTGTCGGACGAATTCTCTGAGGACCACATTGTCGCGCTTGCGCTGAATCTTCCGCTACTCGAAGATTTCTGGACGAGCGGTGGGGAGGTGTCGGCCCAGATACTGCCCGCTCTTGCGAACTTGAAACATCTCAAGAATCTGACGCTGTATGCGATGACGCAATTCACCTCGGATGAAATCTTGGACTTCTTGACGAGCCTTGATCCTGACACTCAGAAAGGATTCAACTTGTCTCTGATGGCAGCAGATCCTGAGTATGACCTCGGCGAGACGGAGCAGGAGATAATCCGTGAATATATCCGGACCAACCTTGACGGACGTTTTGATTTTGTGTTGTGGCGAGAAGCCGACCCGAGCGACAGCGAAGACGATTGAAAAATGTCGTCTTGAGAGCACATGAATCAGGGCTTCAGCCGGTCAGAGGCCTTGTCTAAGGCAACCTCCAAAACCTGGCAGAAGTGGAAAACTTCTGCAAAGGTGTTGTACAACGGTGCTGGCGCCACCCTGATAACATCGGGCTTTCTCTCATCCACCACCACACCCTCCTGCTCGAGATGTTCCAATACATGGTCAAGCAGGCCTGGTGACAAGCGAACGCTCAGCTGTGCTCCTCGCTCTGCGGAGTTTCTTGGGGTGATGATATCGAAGACCCCAGGCTTTCTCAATGCCATTGCATCCAACAGCTGCTCCAGATAAGTGGTTATCCTCAAAGACTTCTCTCGTAACTGCTCCATCGACGTCTCATTGAAGATTTGTAGTGAGGCCACAACTGCGGCAAGGTCCAGCGCACTGGGATTGGAAAGCTGGTAACCGGCCGCTCCGGGTCTAGGGACGAATTCTGGTACAGTCAGTATGGAGGACAGCAAAGCATGACGGCACACATACTATTCGTCATCTGGAATCTGCTCGACTTGTCATCTCCCCACCAGCCAGACAAGCGAGGCCAGAATTTCTGTGTGGGATTTTCCATGTCGACCGTCCCAAACCTTTGGTTAACAAAGATGCCGGCCATTGCTCCTGGTCCAGCGTTGAGATATTTGTAACTACACCAAGTAGCAAAGTCGACATCCCAGTCATGGAGTTTGAGGTCTACATTCCCGACAGCATGGGCACAGTCCCAACCAATTAGGACTCCCTTCGCATGAGCATGAGCCGTGATGGTTTGAATGTCGAAGTATTGGCCCGTGTAGAACTGTACGCCAGGAAGGAGAATCAAAGCAAGTTCTGATGCATGCTCGTCGATGGTCTTGATGATCTGTTCGGTAAACAAGATTGGAAATCGGGGATTCGCTGGTTCCAGCAGGACCATGGCCTCCGCAGGATCCAGCCCATGTAGAATGATTTGCGACTCTACTGCATACTGTGCTCGAGTCAGTCACAATCGTTCAATACGGAAACCGACTGCTGAAAGAGATCCTTACGTGATCGCTTGGGAAAGCCTTGCCCTCGAGAAGGATCTTCCATCGGCCTCCTCCCGTCTTAGATGGACGGTAGAAGCTCGACAGCAGCACATGCAAGTTCGCGGTCAAGGAACCCATGACGGCAACTTCGTCTTCCCGTGCCCCCACGACCGGAGCCATCAGCTTTGCCGCATGGTCGTCGATATGCAGAAACGGGACTAGCGGAGAGTCGACATGCTCGACGAAGTGGCCGGTCACGGCTTTGGTGCGCCATTGGGTCAAAAACGCTTGGATGAAGTCTGCTGTTCGGATGGGCTGCAGGCCGAGAGAATTCCCGCACAGATATGTGCTTGGTGGTGAAGGTTCTTCTTCAGGAAACTTGGCCAGCGTCGGTCTCTTTAGGTCTGCTAGGGTTGGAATATAAAAGTTGGATCGGAAATGTGACAACGGATCGGTGGCGTCTAGCGAGGTTGCATAGTCTTTGCTGAAAGGATCAAGGGTTTTGTCTGCTGGTATACCATTGGACGCCGCAACTTCTTGTGCCATTGTGCCTGGTTCACCTATGCAATCTTGTTCTAGTAGGACAGACGGTCTGAGTATACAGATAGGGATATCAGGATCTCTGTGATTCGACAAGGAAGACACAAGTTCCCTGCTTTGGCAATTTTTGGCTCGAAGCTGCAGAGCCGACGAGGCCGATATTCGGCACAACAGAATAAAATAGAGACAAGTGGACGAGAGATTCGGAGTTGGAAGGGCGTATAGTGTTGCCTGTGCTTCGTCTGCAGCGCTCACAGGTTCTTCGGTGACCGCTCTGGTGATTTGTCTCGGTACAGACCAGGGTACGATATACTGGATTCAACCTGGTGGCAGAATTGGAAGAGCCTCTGTAGTAGTTGAGGATGATTAATGAATGAATGAATGATTCACAATTGAACCTGTGAAATGATGTCGATTGCAATTGTCAGCGACTGACAGAATCTCCACCGAACTGAATTGCCTCCAACTGCGTCTCCATCTCCATCTCCATCTTCTTCCGCCGCTTCGACCTTCGTGCCACCAAGAACTTGATTCATTACGTTCTATTAACTCTCAGTGCGTTCCAAAGAGACAGTCACCTACATTGCTATATTACAACTGAAAAAGCCATGTCTCAGAGTCCCCTCCGCCTCGCATTCCGAGCTGCGCGACCGCTGCAGCTGCACCACGACCCGCGATCGTATTTCCAAGCATGTCGAACCATCTCATGCGCTCCGATCCCGCGGACGAAGCGACAGCCATTCGTCGCATCCGAATCATACTCAAGGAGGCCCTCCACGAGACTGTCTACGAGACAATTCTCCACCAGCACCGTCCGGCAGGCAACTGTTGCTGTACAAAATCCCCGAACAGACGATGACGGGAATGATATGAGCATTGAGATCTCCGAGCGAGCAGCCAAGGTACGTAAACTACTGACAATGAATGACAATCTGTTATACCCATTTATCTGCCTCCTGTCTGTTTGCGTGTCCGTCCGTCCGTTCGTACAAAAACAGGAGATCACCTCCCTTTCAATGATACCAGCTAGCTGAGACCGGGCTAACCATGACTCTGTCTCTTCTACAGCGCCTGAAACAAATCACCAGCGCGCCTCCTCAAAAGAACACTCTAGTGTCGTCTTCCTCGTCATCATCGTCGAATTCTCAACAAGATTCCCATCTCAGAGTCACCGTGACTTCCGGCGGATGTCATGGCTTCCAATATCTGATGGCGCTGGAAGATGGGTCCAAGATCGATCCGGAGGAAGATACAGTGTTTGCTGTAAAGGGGGAGGACGAGACGGCGACGGACTCCGGTCAGCCTGGACAGGCCAAGGTCGTCATGGATCAGGCGTCGTTGGAATTGTTGAAGGGGAGTACCGTCGACTTCACGACTGAGTTGATCGGTAGTCAGTTCAAGATTGTGGGCAATCCTCGCGCCACGAGTAGTTGTGGGTGTGGCACGAGTTTCGATATTGAGTGATGACCCTGACCCTGTGTGACTGGTGTGATGGGAGAGTCTGAGGTTCTCTATACTACTACTATATGACTCCATGTCGAACAAGTATCACTTATATGGGTTGGCAATTATACGACGAACCCCTTCTCCTCAGTCATGGATTCTCCTGCTGAAGGCACTTCCTTTCCGTCTTCCTCATAGAACGGAAATCTCGGAGTCGCTGGGCGCCATGGCGTGTGCATTCTGTTCAAGGTAGCTAACGGTGTGCATGCCTTTGTCCTGTTGTGCAGGTTGTTGTGGCAATAGAGTACGCCATTCTCTCTCGTATTTGATCCCATGTCACTCGGGATATCATGGTTGAGATTTGGAGAAGGGGCTGACCATCCATAGCACAAATTGTCCTGAAGCCCGATCTTAACTTTCCCGGGTGCTATTTCAGATGTCATTGAGCACATAGCCGCAGAGCCACTTGTCAAGGTTGTAGTGATGGAGACCATACGCTTGACAGAAATGCCTACCTAGTACCTACCAGCCCTCACCTTGACTGAGGTGGGTAGCAAGTATCATTTGTACATTCGGGCAAACAAAACAGGAGTATCTCTCGCTCAAATTCGCGAAAGTGAACAAGGACGCCCATAGTTACCCTTACATTGAGCATGATCCAGCTTTTCCGTCAACAAATTTGGACGATCAACCGCTCAGCCATCAACCTTGCTCCTCCCGGCTCGGCTCATTGGACCCCAGTTCTCCCTTGGGTTCATTTGATATCGGACCAGCTTGCCACGATGTTTCTCTTTGCCCAGTTTCTCGTCAAAGACAATGTTGAGCTCACTCGGCACTGGGGCGGGAGGACTTTGCGAGCGTGATTGGCGACGTTGTTGCTGTGGTGGATTTGATTTGTCGGCATCAGATTTGTTCTCTCCATTGACACCGCCGTTAGCACCAACCTCGTCCTTGCCTTCTTTCGGTTGATCAGTTGATGTTGACGACTGCGCCGCTGTGGTTTCTTTGGCCTGCGAGTCAACGGTCGACGCCTTCTCATTCTCCAATCTCCACAACATCCCCTGCAATACAGTCTTCATATCATCTTTGGTCTCACACCTCAGAAATTGGTCTTTGGCACTATCCTTCAGTTCCGAGACCTGCGCTCTTTCTGTGCCCCTGACCCGTGCGAGAATATTCCACCCAGCCGATCCTTTCTTCACTGCACCTTCTTTGATGGGCGCCTTGGTGCGCATGAATTCTCGGATGATTTCCCAAAGCACGCTCCACGGCGCATTCGTCTTGATACTGCCGGGCTTACAGTGTGAGCGGGACACGCGGTAACCGAGGCCGAGCAGAGCACCACGGAACATGTCTTCCGAGGGTGTGGCACAGTGAATGGTCCTGGCTAGTTGGGTGGGCATTATGAAGAATGGACTGCTGTCGATGGTCTTGGGTGGGAGACGTGGGATGATTCGGGGGTCTGGGCCTGATACATCTTTGTCCTTGTCGGCTTGCTTGTCGCTGTTCTTGTCCTTGCCCTTCTCCGTATCTTTGGTCTCCAATGGTGTCGAGGGCTCAGATGGCCAACTCTGGAGCGTGAGATCCTCTTCGAGAGCGAGCGTGAGCATCCCTTGAATCCGATCTGTTGTGCCGTAGATCTTCTTATCCAGAGACGGCACCCTATCCAGCATCCTCTGTACAAAGTACGGATTATGCAGAGGCCCCGCCCACATCGGCCCGCAAAGGTGCTGTCTCGAGCCGCAGTGTTCACAATTCGGCGTTGTCACCGGCGCCTGGGCAAAAGAGAATTTGAAGAAAGTTTCACCACTCCTCGAGACTTGTGGCTGGTTCCGCAACAATGGTTGCGTCTTCCACGCCCCACAGCCATGTCCGCAGTTGTACAACGTCATGGTTGTTCCAGCCAGAAGTTTGACATCTTGTGGTTTCCGATGAACCCGGATAAACAGTCGAGCGTAGTAGTCAATGTACAGAGACAACAGCGGTTCAATGGCAAGACCGTACTTGGCGGCGGAAAGAGCGACAGCGTTGAGAATCAATCTCAATCCACCTTCATGCGAATGCGGGCCCTTGACAGGCATGCCTCCATACAGTGCGTACGTCTTTTCGGGATAGCCTGTAGAAGCAAACACGCCTGCGTCGGTACAGGTGACGCATAACAATCCTCCATCCTGGAGGGCCTGCACGCTGGCATCTAAGAATGGTGCAGCGGTGCCGTAAGGGTCGAGGTCGATCACGTCGAATCGATGGACATAATCGGGTCCCTGTTTGGGCTTTTCGTTGCCGACTTTACTGTACATGAACATTCTAGCGTCGGCGAGATTGGAGTGCACTTTGTCCTTGACTTCGTTGTGCTGGATGTTGAGGTTGATGTTCTGGACAGAATCCGCCGAGAGGTCATTTGCGACAATATTTGTACTGAAGGGTATCTCTTTGGCGTATCGCAGTGCTCGAAGGCCGGTCGCAGATAGTGCATCTAGGATGGTGAAGGGCAGTTGTTTCTTCGCAGTGGTCGCTGGATCTGTCGTCTGGGCTTCTTGCGCATTGCTGTCTGTCATTCCGTTGGTTGAGACTGTTTCGTGTTTACTGTTTTCACCAACGGCAGGGTCTGCACTTAGTTCCATAACGACTACATCCTCATCCTCGTCCAGAAGCCCGTCAGTTGTCTTTGGTTTTTTGGCAGCGGTAGAGGCGGTCTCGCTGGGGTCTGCATTCGAACCATCTTGCTCCAAGTCGTCGGCTTTACGTTTGAGCGCGTTGACCTGTTCCGGGGTGCTGCTCTCGATTGCCGTGACCGAAGACTTTTGCTGTCGCGTACTACCTTTATGGTGTCTGGCCTTTCCATGCTGGTTCTTCAGGCGGAACCGTTTCTCTTTCTCCAAGACGGCGCCTTCACCATAGACTGTGATGGCAAGAACACTTAGATCTCGGTTGAATTGTTGGATGGGATTGTAAAAAACGACCTGATTGCCCTCTGCGTTGTTTCGGACGTGTTTTCCAGTTGCCGGTTTGTCGTCGGCATATGGCGCGAGAATTGTAGCTAGGCCTTCTCGAACATGGCGGTACTTCCTCCCATCAATGACAAGGGCTTCTGAAGGTCCTCGAGAAGCCATATTTGACCGAGATATGGTTGTGGAAAACCCTCGCCGGGGAATGAATGCAAATCCGGCTGGGTTCGTTGAGATACCGGTGACCGTGAAGCCGCACACTTTCGGGATTACATGGAAAGAACACAACAACCTCATCCCCTTCCCCTGCGCCTCCTCGAATATCAAGACAAGATTACACGAGTTGAAAGAGCTTCACTTCATCACATCTGGACGGACCTTCAGGTTCAGTTCAAATGATGTATCGGGCGCCAAGACCGGGGAAAAACTGCTCCGTGACGCACCCAGATTAGGCGATGGCTACTGCCGCTTTATCAATGAGTACCCTCAATGTACCAGTCAGGCACCAAGTGGCACTGCAGTTCAGTTCCAGGAGCCGCAATCATCAAAAACAGGGAATTTGAAGGGCCGCCCAAAACGTCACATCCGGCGGCCCCAATAATGGTGCACGCGTGTAGGAAGTTCTGCCGAAACAACCAAGCAGTACAGAGGGATCACCATCACTACTAGTTGTCGCTCGTGTACTAGTCGACCCGATGGCAATCATCGCAACTCATACTACAAGATATCAATTGTCCAGGTGAATTATAAGATGAGAAGAAGTCGACTCCAAGAAGGGAATCCTATGATCGAGCCACGCGCCCGAAGCCTCTCCTTGTCCCTGTCCCTGTCCTTTCGACAACCACAGTCATGCTCCTTCATCGAGCTCCATTCGTCCTCCTCCCTTTCGGATTGGTGACTTGTGCCCTGCTTACCTGGTACCTTTTGGTGCATGCCACGCCCTTCTCGCACTCGGCACAAGGCTTTGGTGCGGGCAAGGGTAGATTTGATGGAACATGGCATTACAACAGAGATGCCAACAACCTGATGCTTGATTCGCAACAATGCGACCAAGCTTTCCCAGGGCTGTTTGAGGAAGTGCAAAGACCCGTGAATGCCAGGTTGCATGGTCCACGTATCACTCTCGACGACATCGATTCAATCCCGAGGCGGAATGGCTATGTGCGTGCAATGATTTACGATCAACAGGTATGTCTGTGGAATGGAAACAACCCAATTTTAACGTCCAACACCGATTTCTGGAACAAATTGCCGCTAGCTGCCCTGTTCCTGTACGTCTGTGTCTTGATAGATGGCTAACATATATTGTCTGTTCGATCTTATAGCTCTATGTCATCGCAACAGAAGGCCGAATCTATTCCCGCGAATTGGCTACACTCCACGCTCTACACCGAGCTATTCTCAGCTCTCCCGAACCTATTCCAAACATTGAATTCGCTTTCAACACCGATGATCGCATTCCATCGGTCCCATTGTGGGGTTACGCGCGACGTGCTGAGGATACCGACATCTGGCTCATCCCTGATTTCGGCTTCTGGTCATGGCCAGAAACCAAAGTCGGGACTATGCGAGAAGTCCAGATGAAAGCCGAATTAACTGAACAGCAAGCCGACCACGGAGGGTGGTCGTGGTCGAAGAAGATACCCAAGCTTCTCTGGCGAGGCGCGACCATGGGGTTGGAGTTGCGAGAGAAACTCCTCGAGATCACCGCAGATCAACCTTGGGCAGATGTAAAGGCTCTGACGTGGAAGGACAGCGACTCCATGACCAAGGATCTCAAATCCATGTCTGAGCATTGCCAGTACAAATATTTGGCTCACACGGAAGGAAACTCGTACTCGGGACGACTGAAATACCTCCAGAGCTGCAAGTCAGTCGTGGTCGCGCACAAAATGGACTGGATCCAGCATCACCACCCTCTGATGAAGTCCAGCGGGCCCCAGCAGAACTTTGTCGAAGTGGAGCGCAGCTACGACGACCTTGCGGAGAAGATCTCGTGGCTTCAAAGTCATGACAGGGACGCGGAACGCATCGCTTCAAACAGCGTCAAGCTGTTCCGTGAGCGATACCTGACTCCCGCGGCTGAAGTATGTTATTGGCGAAAATTGTTTCATGGTTGGTCCCAGGTCAGCTTTGAACCAGAGTTCTTTGAGGTGGTGGACGGCCAGAAGGTCTGGAGGGGATTGCCAGTAGAGTCGTTCTTGTTGGAGCGAAGACTTGAATGGGACCCTTATTGAGTTCTTGAAGGCCCTGCTGGATATGCATTTGAAAAGGGAGTGCTCTGCAAGGACCACAGTACGTCCGCCAGACGTAGCAGCGGCAGAGAAAGTACGACATGCAGCATCGACCGCCAGAATCAAGAGGCACACATTGTCATATGCCGCATCGAAGCTGCCGCCGCAAGCCTCCCATGTGAAGATTCTGCGGCCGGTTGCCAGCGGAGCACTCGTCCAAATCAGCCAGTTTGGTCTGGCAGCTGCGCATTTGAGTTTCCCCACGAAAACAGGCCCTGCACCGTTGAACTATGGCCAGTAGTGGGCTGCAGGGCCAAGTGGCGTTCGCTCGCCACATCAACTGCGCCGGGGCGATCTCACACAGTCTGGTGGTGCGGGTGAACGATCTGGCATGCGGATAGACTTCTGCGGGCCACAGGGGCCAGAGAGGTTTGTTGTCGCTGGTAGTCTCATGGCTCTGAGATCTGTGTAGTGGTCGAGTGTTCATCAATCAACAGAGAAGGTTGGCCTCGTGTCTGATCAAGCTCCAGCCGCAACATAGCTCCCGCAGCCCGGCATACATCCAGTCGGTCTGCGTGGATCGTAATAATCATCTTCATCAGTCATATCGCTGTCCTGGTCGTCCACTTTCTCTTCCTCCTTCTTCTCGAGAGTAGTCCCATCACCGTCATCCTTCCTTTCAGCCTTGACAGCGACTTCGCCCTCGACCGGTGCGAAAGCATTCTTGAAACCGCCCTTTTTGAAGCCGCCGCCACCTCCCGCCGCCGCCGTTGCACTCTTCGTACCAGTGCCCAACTTGATCTGCATGAGGGGCCCCTTCTCTTCTTTCTTCGGTTGTACCTGTCTCTGCATTTCTTTCATCTCCTTCAATCTCTTCTTGTGCTGGTGGTCATAGGACGACTCATGGGCCTCGAACTCGTTCATGCGGCTGTAGCCTTTTTGACATAGCGAGCAGAAGAACGCACTACGGGCCTGCTTGGCAGATTGGGTGTTTGCGGGAGGAAGCGTGAATCCTCGCTGCAGAAGATAAGGGACTAAGTCAATAATGCTCATACAGGGAATAGAAGCAGGTCGCGGCGAGACTCGAACAAGACGTGTATTGTTTCGCGGCGAACTCGCTCTTGAGTGCCAGTTATGACTTACCGGGGCCATGATGGAAGAGCGAACTGCTAGATGCAGGAGTTTGTTGGAAGATGTGAGTTGGTCAAGTGTCCGGCGACTCTGTGCCTTACGACGATTCAACCCACCTACTAGTATAGTGGAAGGCTCGTAGAAGCCAGGGACTGGAGAGGGCGTCAGGCGTTGCGGTGAGAATGTTTGGTATGGGACAGGAAGACGCTTTGTGATCTACCGAAGAGTTTGTACGGTCGAGCAAATATGCTTTATGTCAAATTCATTATCTACTCGTTGGACAGTTCCGCCAACAAAGCCGAATCAGCCCCTCCAGCTCCAGCCTCGGATTTCGAGTCACTCGCTTGAAGGATTGAGGCTGGTCCCAATGTTTATGCGCCGGTGTGTAGGTATGATGCGTCGCCAACTGTAGTTGAGCGGAAGGCATGTCTCCAAAGTGAGGTGCATATATATTGTCCTCGCTGAGTTGCGTCTCGCATCTCAACAGTGGCCGCCGCATTGACCAAGCTCACAAGGCTGCGGGCTAGCTGCCAAAAGCCTGACTGCCTATCCAACGCTGCGAAGGGTCAGGATATATCTCATGTTGCTCATGATTGCGCGCCACGGTCGCCATGCGTCTGATCAACGTACGCACCATGCAATTGGAGGAGTTCCACAGCGGCCACATCCCCAACTATGCAATCCTATCACACAGATGGGAACTGGAAGAAGTTTCATTTCAGGAAATGGGGGCGCCGAAGATCTTTGGGAAGAAGGGCTACGGCAAAATCCAATCGGCATGCTGGATGACGCGGAATAAAGGGCTATCATATCTCTGGGTTGACACCTGTTGCATCGATAAGACCAGCTCTTCCGAGTTGACCGAAGCCATCAATTCCATGTACCGATGGTACAAAGACGCCGAGATATGCTTTGCATTTCTCAGCGACATTGAGATCCACAAACAAGATATTGCAGCCAGTGTGTGGTTCACCAGGGGTTGGACACTGCAAGAACTTATCGCTCCCAAACATGTCAGTTTTCATGACCGGAACTGGGTGTTCCTGGGGACCAAAGACAAACTAGCAACCTACCTTTCCAGGGTCACTGGCATCGATACCGATGTCCTGGTTGGCCGCCGTGGCCCGGCAGGTTGTTCTGTCGCTCAACGTATGTCGTGGGCTGCGAAGCGAGTAACACAACGTGTCGAAGATCGGGCCTACAGTCTGTTGGGTCTTTTCGACGTCAGCATGCCGATGTTGTACGGAGAAGGCGAGAGATCGTTCATCCGGCTGCAAGAAGAAATCATCAAACATTCGGATGATCATTCGATCTTTGCTTGGGATCGGGGCCACAAGGGTTACTTCGGTGGCCACAGTGGTCTGTTAGCTACCTCGCCTTCTCAATTCGTCATGTGTCAAAACGTTGTCCGCTCGACAAAGACACTCCTCAGTACCGGGGGGTTCTCCATCACCAACGTCGGCCTGTCTATTCTGTTGACCACCATCCCCTGGGGCATGGAGACTTATCTTGCCATTCTCAACTGTAGCCTGAGGGATTATCCAGACAGTAGGCTCGGCATTTTTCTCGAGCGGCTATCTTCAGCTCGAGTTGAGGAACAGTTCGCCCGAGTCCAGTATGTCGGAGCCACCGTTCAGCCCGTGGAGATCAAGGAGGTCATGAAGGACTCTATGCGTCGGACACGGTCGGTACACGTTCGACAGATCATCATTGATGCTCCGCTTCGTCGGTGGCCTGGGTTTCGATTTCATGACTTGGACCTGCCCGGGTACGATGTAGAAGAACTTCTCCAGGTCAGATACCATTTCAGAGATGGGTTGCGTGCTACCACACGGTATAGCTCGGATGAAGTGCGCTTTGCGATTGACTACGCTCAACACGGCGTGTCAGACCTGCCTCGCAAGCCGATATTTTCTTCAATACCTCAAGGTCGTGGAACGGTAGCAGTAATTTATATCCCGCCGCAGAAACAGGACAAGCACGGAGAGCGAATCTGCTGGATGAAGTTCGGGTTTGACGAAGAATTCGCTCCGATGTGCATCTTCGGCAGGCGACGCTCGCTCTGGGGCGGGACATCTGCACACCTTGCTGTTGATGCCGAGTCATTTTTGGCGGCCGAGTATGATTACGGAGAGCATGCGCTGCTTTTTCGGAATGATTGGATTGTACAGAACGATGACTGTATCGATGCAGTGGACATGGCCGCGCTTTGGCAACAGCGTAATTTCTGCATCCTCCGCGGTCACCGGGACAGAGGGTTAGAGGCCAGAATATCGTTTCTGAGACTTCACATCTCAATACGTCTGCATTCGGTCCCGGAATGGTATGCTCCGTACGGCAAGCCGGCCACCCTGTTGCCTGGTATGAATATCTGGACCATCAATGTGAGCTCGTGGAAGGATCGCAAGCAGAATGAAGCCATGAAATCGGCATTTGGCGGCGCGGAGTTTCTACTCAAGTCTTTGGATATGTTGGACGAATGATGCGATATAGCGAGATCTCGTGAAAAGTGGCGTTTCCCCGTTTGTCGATGCTCATCTTTCTGAAGGTTGATTCAAAAATGAGATGATGATTACAGACTCAGTCCTTTCCAGAGAGACAATTCAAAGTAAATGTCGTTTATACAGATTACTTATGACGCAATCATTCCCCGGATTCCACCCGGTAATCAGCTCGATCCCCATTGGTCGCTCGGGCACGTTGCTCTCCATATCGTCCTGTTCATGTTCCTGGTCTCAACTCAACGCGACTCTACGCAGTTGCAGTTGCAGTCACGGTCACGAACTTGTACTTTCACACTTCGGACAAGCCAGAGCGGCCACTCCTCCCTTATACCCATCGCCCGAAGAATCCCTCCCTCACGCGCAAAGATGCTTCGATAACCTCAAAGACCTGATCACTCCACTAGCGAGTCAATCCTCCTCCGAGTTCCTCTTCTACCTTCCAGTCCTCCATTTCCATATCTCAAGATGTCAGGTCCGACACCAGACCTCCCGCCCTTAACCACCAGTGACACGAGAAGCTCGATCTCCGCGATCCCGCTACACGAAGTCGAGCCAAGCCCAGTCGAAGACGACGAGGACTACAACAACGGCGACTCTTACCCATGGGGCTCCAACGGCACCAACAAGTCCAGCGATCACAATGGCATCTCACCACCCGACTACCCAACCAACCCATCCGACATTGACATTGAGAAACTCTCGGCCTCAGCACGAAGAAGCACGAATTTCCTCGGCCTGACGCCCGCTCGAACACTCCACATCCTCTCCGCCGTGCAGAAATATGCAACATTTCCTCCGACCCTCTTTCTCGCCATGCACTACACCAACACGGCCCTGATCCCACTGGTGACACGCAACGTGCGCGAAGCCGACACCTACCTCCTGCTCACACGACCCTATTACCAGTCCTTCCCGCTCGAGCCGCTGATGGTCTTCGCGCCGGTCGCCCTGCATGTTGCAACGGGGATTGCGCTCCGCATCCATCGGCGGCGGGTCGTAGCGAAACGGCACGGCGCCGAAACCCACGCCCAGCGCAAATCTATACCGTGGCCTAAAGTCTCGCTGACTTCGGCGCTGGGTTATATCATGTATCCGCTGCTGGTGGGTCATGTGCTGGTGATGCGCATCACGCCGAAAGAAGTCGAGGGCAGTTCGGCGGGCGTCGGGTTGCGGTATTTCGCCCATGGGATCGCACATAACCCCCTGATAGGCCATCTGGGGTATGCGACGTTCGTGACGATCGCGAGCTGGCATTTCGTCACGGGCGCGGCCAAGTACCTGAAGCTCTCGCGCGAGTATATCACCGAAGGAGGCCTCTCCGGCAGTCTGAGAAGGAAGTGGAGGTCGCGGATCATCAATGGTGTCGCGGCATCTGTCGCGGCTGTCTGGATTGCTGGTGGGCTCGGTGTGGTTGGGCGTGCTGGAATGGCGACCGGGTGGGAAGCGAAGAGTTGGGACAAGATCTACGGTGCTGTGCCGCTTATTGGCGCAATGTTCAGATCATAGACTGTTCTGTCTCGAGGTCGGACAGTGATCACTTTTATGGCTTGGAGCCTGAATACGGGTTTTACCGGAATACGGAGATGGCTGGGGAGGAAGACTGGCCTCTTGACACTACATAGATTGCCTCGTGCGAGTACGAACAAGAGACAGGCGTTCTATTGATTCGGGCGTTTTGAGGTCGGTGCCAGCTCTACTCAATGCTTGGAACAGTATAACTGATGGAATAATGATTAGAGATTGTTCATACTGCATGTCAAGTGTCCTCGGTCCCGTAAGCGAGGTCGTCTCCGTTGATGAGAACACCAAAACATGTACAATGGTGATACCATCATGGTTGACGCAAGGTGTCAAGCATTTGAAGCTGTAACTAGTATATATGCTGGTGACCATGTGGCAGCCATTCGTAAACCCCCAATTCACCGGATCCAGTCCCCAGATTCGAAGAAACGCTGGCGCTAATACACGTACAGAATGCTTTTTGGGCAGCCTAGTCTTTCTTTCCTCCTACACTCTCAGTAGCTTCGCTGCGTAGTTGGTGATGGTTTCCACTTGAGGGAAGGCCATCTCTTCCAGCTTCGCGGCGTACGGTGTGGGCACCTCAGCACCAGTCACACGCGCGGGAGGAGCCTGGAAATAGTCGAAAGCATATTCGCAACCCAAGGCAAGAATCTCTGACGAGACCCCGAAGGATGGGAATCCCGACTCCACCGCCAGGAGATGACCGGTCTTCTTGACTGACTTGATGATGGCCTCCACGTCCATGGGCTTGATCGAGCGCAGATTGATCACCTCGGCCTCCACGCCGTATTTCTTTTTCAGCTGTTCGGCAGCATCGAGCGACAGACCGACACAGCGAGAGAGTGTGACGATGGTCAAATCCTTTCCTGGTCGTTCAATCTTGGCCTTGCCGAAGGGAATGACGAAATCGTTCCTCTGCGCCTCCGCACTCATGGGGAATGCTTGGCCATAAAGCAGCCTGTCCAGGTTAGCTGTATTCACCTGAGTCCCGGGATATAAACGTACTCATTCTCCAATACCACCACCGGGTTGGGGTCGCGAATAGCAGCTTTCAGGAGACCTTTGGCGTCCTCCGCGCTGTAGGGCGCGACCACCTTCAAGCCTGGGATACTTCCGTACCAGGCTGAGTAGTCTTGCGAGTGCTGGGCTGCAACACCGGCAGCGAAACCGTTGGGACCTCGGAAGACGATTGGGCATGGCTGAATACCGCCAGACATATAATGTGTTTTTGCTGCCGAGTTGATGATTTGATCGATTGCCTGCATAGCAAAGTTCCACGTCATAAACCTAACAGCGGTGGTCAGCAATGCTGCGAAATGTTGGATGCACAAGGTCTGTGACCCGGCACAATCAAGGCATGCTGCACTTACTCGCAAACAGGATTCAGACCAGCCAATGCCGCACCGACGGCCAACCCGCAGAAGCCTGACTCGGTGATAGGGGTATCAATCACTCTCTTGGGTCCGAAACGATCCAGAAGTCCCTTCGTGACCTTGTATGCGCCTGTGGAAGCAGGGTTTAATGTATGTTTCAAACCTCCTCACGATCAGGAGCACCCACCATTGTATTGAGCAACCTCTTCTCCCAAGATGAACACCTTCTCGTTGGCTTCAAGCTCTTCGGAGAGAGCCTCGTGCAGAGCATCTCGAACCGTGAACGTTTGCTTCGCCTCCGAAGCATATCCTCTGATCACAGGTACAGAGACTGGCGCGACTCGGCGGAGAGATGGGCGTATTGAGGACGGAATTGCTGAGCGCTGCGACAGAAGCCTCGAGGCAGGTCTGATCAATCGAGAGACCGACATGGCGACAGAGTGTTTGACTTGATTCACGGGATTGGAAAGAGTCGAGCTGAGCGAGCAATCGGAAAACGAGCTGGCTCAATAAAATCACAACTCTGCTTGCACCACTGGAGGTCCGAGGAGGGAAGGCCGATCGTGGATCTGTCGAGTCTTTGCAGTCCCGTTGGGAAGCTGATTTCGCGCTAATAAAGTAATCCTATCCGAGTCTACCTATCAGAACTCTAACCGGATTGGGAGCATTGGTGCCACTCTAACCGTACGAAGTGGACGATAAGGAGATTGCTAGCGCGAGGGCTTGGAAACGGCGGCATATAAACTCCGACGCAGTCCTTGGCATGTTTGCTGTGTTGGCGTTTTGCCAGATGCGTCAGGACCAAAGCACCGTCATGGGACGACGGCAGGCAGATGCTACTACGAGGTCGTCGCTTGGGCCATCACAAGCGGGCATTGTGTTGTAGGTGGAAATGGGCTTCACATTTCCGATGCTATCTCCGGTGCAGTCTTTACGTCTCTGAGGTCACTTTCACGTATCATGTTCTCAACAACATGGCTAGCTTTTGCGCTGCTGGCATCGCAAGGCTTCGCGGCCCAGCCGAACGCCGCCGAACCACTCGAGGCACCTTTGCGGGATCTGAAGTTCGGCCAGGTCAACTTCCTACACACCACTGACACACATGGATGGCATGCCGGGCATCTGCTGGAGCCGTCGTTCAGCGCTGACTGGGGCGACTACGTCGACTTCGCCGATCGGTTACGGGAGAAGCTAGAAGGAGAAGGACGAGATCTACTGTTGATTGACACTGGCGACCGTGTGGAAGGCAATGGACTCTACGATGCGTCCGACCCGAAAGGGCTGTTCACCTTCGATATCTTCCGCGAACAACACATGGACATCATCTGCTCAGGCAACCATGAGCTGTACAAAAAGAACTCGTCCGATAACGAATACCTGATCACCGCCCCGGCCTACGCAGACAGCTACGTGTCTTCGAATATCGATATCGTCGACCCTACCACTGGAGAGGTGGTGCCACTGGCACCCAGGTACAAGAAATTTACCACCAAAAAGCAAGGAGTGCGAATAATGGCATTCGGGTTCCTATACAACTTCAACCGAAACGACAACAACACGATTGTGCAGAGGGTGGAGCAGACCATCAAAGAGGAATGGTTCCAACAGGCCATCCGCGACCGGGAGGTTGACTTGTTCGTGGTCATCGGACATGCCGCAGTGCGTTCCGAAGAGTTTGACATGATCTTTAGAGCCATCCGCTCGGTCCAATGGGACACACCTATCCAGTTCTTCGGCGGCCACTACCATATTCGTGACTACCGCAAGTTTGACAGGAAATCATACGGTCTGGCAAGCGGTCGCTTCATGGAAACGATTGGCTTCCAGTCCATCGATGGCCTTTCCTCGAAAAGCAGCGCCAAAGCCTCGCCGACTTTCTTTCGGCGATATATCGACAACAACCTCTATTCCCTGTATCATCACTCAGATCAAAATGCTTCGACCTTTCATTCCGCACGGGGACAAAACATCACAAAAGCCATCGAGGAGGCCCGCAACGCGTTGGACCTCGACGAAACATTCGGATGCGCGCAGAGAGATCTGTGGATGAACCGCGCCAAATACCCCAGCAAGAACAGCATCTTCAGCTGGCTTGAAGAGCAAGTATTCCCCGGCATCGTCAACGATACCCACCGTGGCGATCGACCTAGACTGGTCATTTCCAACACTGGAGCCATCCGCTTCGACATTTTCAAGGGCCCCTTTACCAAGGATTCCACGTTTATCGTGTGTCCGTTCACCAGTGGCTTCCACTATTTGAAAGACGTGCCATACAATCAGGCGAAGAAACTCCTCCCTCTCTTGAACAGCGGCGGCGAGATCTTTGAGACCTTTGACCCCTCGCTGGCAGTCTGGAAGATGTCTCCTCCCGACCAGTTGGGAATTCCAGAAGACATCGTTGTCTTGGAGGAGCGAATGTCGGAGCATCTATTCAACCACGAGCAAACTCCCATATCAGAATCTACCGACAGGCCTTTGATTCCAGGCTACACCACGGTCGACGATACGGGCGATGACGGGGACGACACCGTTCATTCGCCGATCTCCTTCTACCGTGTTCCAAACTGCATCCAGTCAGTGATCAACCCGGGAAACGTCGACTTGGAGGACGAGGTCGTGGATGTCGTATTCAACGAGTTCATTCAGCCCTGGGTTCTTCTAGGCTTGAAGTTTCTCGGTCTTGATTATTCCGATGAAGACGTGGACAAATACATGCCCGACGATACAATGACAACCATTATAGCGAAGTGGGTGAGCATGAATTGGGCGGACAATTGCTGATAGCTCCGGTACGCTCTTGCTACATAACCTCAGTCTCTCTAGATTCTCCGCCAGCATTCGTGGTCAATCCACCCCAATATAATATAATATGTCCCTCTTCCATCAATTCAGATGGTCATCATACATCATAGCCCAAGTCTTGACTCCTTCACCACCCTCCTGCGGCCAACCCTTAGCATTCACCCTTCCTCGACCAATGACCACTTCTTCACATACTCTGAAGCCCATATCCTCATATTCCCTCTTCGAGGCTTGACTAGCCGTCTCCAACCACACCGGCACGTCGTCTTGCTTCGCTTTCTTCAAGAACGGCTCCATGCAGGCCTTGATCACCTCCAATCCCTTGTCCGTCTCGGCGTCGGGGTCTCTGGCGAGCATGGCAAGATGGTAGAACGGACGTGTCTCAAAGTCCACATCTTTATTGAAATCCGCCGGGTAGGGGTCTTCAGAGGGTGCCCCTGACGACTGGCTCGGCGCTGCAGGCTGGTCGTAGCTTCGAGGCCCCTGGTCTGGCACAGAGAGGTACTTGGCCTTCAACTTTCGCGCGCTACTTCTGAATTCCTGCAAGATGGGGCCTGGGTTCCGCCGCGCCTGAGCCGGGGGGATCCCGCAGAAATCAGGTGGTTCCCAGAGCGCCGCGGCTGTGAAGTTGCCCGCTTCGATCAGCACGACGTTGCTTTGCGCAGCGGCCGTGATGCCTAGTGAGAAATGCTTCTTCAGGCGCTCGGGGGTAACCACCTCGGCTGGGTTGGCTGTAGGAGGGGTCTGGTCGATTTCGGTGATGAAGGCGGTGGTCAGTGGGGTGGCGAGATAGGATCGTGAGAGGAGGGAGATGAAGGTGTCCAGGAAGGCCTTGTCAGGCGCCGTCGTGGTCGTGGTCGTTGGAGCAGACATGATGGACGGAGGACGGTTTCAGCTGACTTGGCTTAGGTGTCAAGAGATGAGCGCAGAAGGAGGTCACGTCGCCTAGGCGGAGAGGTATCGGTATATCCTGGCAGACTATGCAAGAGGCTGCCTTCTCGGGAGATGGACCCAGGCTACGATGTGTGACGAGCAGAATGGGGGGAGGGGGAGCAGTGAAATGTAGTAGCAGTTCTCAATTGACAAAAGATCAGGTCTATCTGGTGATATGCCGCAAAACAAAGCACGATGGGATCTTGTGTCAGATGGAGGGCAGCGGCTGAAGTCGAGGAGACAAGGCACGCCGTACTTATCGGTTCATTCGTTCATCAAGGTTATAGGCCTGCAGTGGCATCAACCGCGGCGCAGTCAGTCGTGTCATCCCATCATCCAATCCATTGATCAGCGAGCAGGTGAGATGCCAGTGCTGCGTCACTGGTCGATGAGAACGAAGTTCCTGTTGGTTCCCCGTCGAAGGAGTCGGAGGTTCGGTGTCTACAGACTAACGTTCCTGTTGATCATTGTTCTTTACAGGCGATGACAGGCGGGGCAGAAATGCAGTAGTGCAGTCAGTGTTGCCTGCGTTGGAATTGATGGCCGCCGCTTTAACATGTCAGCATATCGCAGTTCGTACTCCATCCTGCATCCATCCCGTTATCTTGGTGTAGCGTGTAAGAGCTCTCCAGCTCCGTCGTCACAAGAGTCCTGAGACAGCTTTGATTCTGCTCTGGTTCCCTGCAGCTTCACAAACCGGTCTGCCGTTGGCCAGACAGACGAATACGAGAGTCATTCCACATCGACGGCGTCGCCGGCAGAAGTCTTCCTGTCCCTACTTCGTTTCGTCCTTGTCCTGTCCTCAACCCGAACATGACGACGACCGACGAAAAGAAAACAGTCCTGATCACAGGCTGTGCTCCCGGCGGAATTGGCCATGCCCTCTGTCTTGCCTTCCACGCAAAGGGACTGCGCGTCTTCGCCACCGCCCGCTCAACAGAGCAACTTATCAGTTTGTCGGAGAAGGGCATCGAGACTTTACCCTTGGTAGTTGACGACGACAAGTCAATCCTGTCCTGTGCAGCCAGCATTGAGCAACTGACCGGTGGGCGTGGCCTCGATTATCTGGGTAAGTCACAGATCAGAAAAGGAAGTCTTGTTCCTCTGCTGACAGCCGACCACCTAGTCAACAACGCGGGCGTCTCCTATGTCATGCCAGCCATTGACATCAACCTGGACGATGCCAAAAAGATCTTCGACGTCAACTTCTTCGCCGTGATGCGGATTTGTCAAGTCTTCTCTCCTCTTCTGATCCAAGCAAAGGGAACGATTGTCATGATCGGCAGCTTATCTGCTGTGATTCCGTACGTCTTTGGGAGCGTGTACAATGCTTCCAAGGCCGCGCTGCATGCGTATGCGAACACGCTGCGAGTCGAGATGGCTCCGCTGGGCGTCAAGGTCATCACCATCGTCACGGGTGGTGTGCAATCCAGGATCGCAGCACACGTGACCCGCGTCTTACCTGAAAACAGCATCTATAGTGCTGCGGAACAGAGCTACCTCCGACGCCAGACCCATTCCCAGGAGGGCGCGATGTCGAATGAGGCGTACGCCCAGAGCGTCGTCAAGCAGGTCCTCCCAGGCGCGGGTCCGTGGCCGTGGAGGTGGCTGTTGAGAGATGCTAGGAAGAAGTGGATCTGGGAAGGCAATAAGAGCTGGCTGGTCTATTTCCTGGCTGGCGGCTATACCTGGTCCGGCGTCTTCGATTGGTATTTCACACGAGTTTTCCAACTGTGGAGGATTAAGGCCAAAGAAAAGACGACCTGAGATGTCTATCTGCAGATGAACTTTACTGCGAGTTGCGGGATGCGAGTTGCGGGATGCTACTCCCAATTCGCCAAGACACGGTATTCACTGATGAGCCGGGAAATTGCAAAAAGTGGTCTGCAGTTTCCAAATTCTGGTCAACAATCCTCGCAGGCTCTGGTCAAACTGACACCGGGTCAGAAGGCGTGACTGTGACGATTGTCGCCAACAACCCGACGACAAATCACCGCGACCGATCGCTCCTCTCTGCTCGAAGAGATTCCTACCATTGCGAGCCCGATCGCTTCCTCCTTTCTCTGCTCGAAGAGATTCCTACGATGGCGAGACCAATCGTTTATCCTCTCTCTGCTCGAAGAGAACCCATCCACGAAGGCCAATGACACGACACGAAAAAACACCCGCAAGGGAAGTTTCACTTACTCACAACGCCAGGTTTGAACCGGCCTTGTGAGCAAAGTTTTTGCACTTTTTGGTCCATAATCGGAGTTGAATCTGGCTGCGTGGAAATTCACCGCATGTGATATGGCCCGCCGAGTCGGGTGCAGCCTCATACTAGAAGCGGTCGCCGTGGAGACGCTCTCCTCACCCGTATCTGCGGTGACACAACTACTTCTCTTCTTCATTCCGCCCTCGCTGCTACAACGGTCTTCACCTCCTCTTCCAGTCCTAGAGTCGTTTGCGTCGCTGGCAGATGGCAGCCGGGACTTATTATACCGAATCATGACGGTCTGCATGTCTTACTGGCTAGGAGTGCAACCAAGTGAGTGGCCGGGGTGCCCCTTGAGGTCAGCTACATTGCAAGTGACGCGCGCGAATTAGGCATGGGCTTGTTGTGTTGTCTTGATCGTGCAATCATTGGGAACGCCCACGAGGAGTCATAGGCTGGCTAGCTGTTTGGTAGGTGTAACTCATGCGTTTTCCTAAGCCAACTAGATGTGTCGTGATATCATTTTTCAAGTGTCTAGCTCTATACAAATATATACAGTACAGGTATATCAATACCAAGTCCATGATTGACGAGCTGGCCCAGGCACGTCTGGATGCAGATAGACCACACCTCATACCGCGGCTGCAGTCGTGCGCGGTTCTGGCTCATCGTCAGCGTCCTCGTCCAACTCGTTGACGAGCGACACCGCACCGCCATGTGATTCCAGAGTGTTCGAACGCTCTTCGATGCCGTCATCAACAGGGTCGTTGGACTTCATTCGATTCATCTCTTCAACGTACTTGGCCTCGGCTTCGAGGTTTTCGACCCGCTTTCTGTCTCGGAACGCCTTCCAAAAGGCATCATCTTCTTCGAGGATCTTGACGACCGAGTCAACCATGACCTTCCGCAGCTCGTCGCTGAGCAGAGGTCGATCGCGACGTCGTGATCGATCAATCTCCTTGGCCGAGCGACTACTACTCGGCCTTCTGTCTCCAGACAGGTCGAGCATGCCGAGCTCCTCCCACGCGGAGCCGACGAAGCGATCAACGGTTTTTCGGAGCTCCATTAGGATCCGCGCCGTCTGCTCCGCCAGGACCGGCGGGGTCTCCTCTTCAGCGATGAGTCGCAGTCGAGGCCAATCATTGATCTTGACCATTCGCGGACTCCTCAACGAGACGCGCCGGCTGAAGAGCACGACCATCAGGGGCGTCACCATGGACGTCTGGTCCAGCCAGACGGCCTTTGGATTCGAGTCCGGGATATCGTGTTTCCACGAATAGGCCAGCAAGCGGCCGTCGGAGCGGTATTTGCGGGAAAACACATATTTTCTTTTCGTCGGCTTTTCGTTCACGCTGTCTCGCGAGATTATACCGGTTGCGTTCGCGTCGTCTAGACTCCAGCTTTTCTTGAGAGGGCGTTTCTCCCGCCATGCGGCTAGTTCCGGAGTAATAGTGTTCACACCCAGTGCTTTCACGAGAACCTTATTGTCGCGGTTCGCATTCATAGTGGACGGTAGGATTTCAAAAACGCTGCGTCCTGGTTCGGCGGCGGGCAGGAAACCAACGTCGGTCAGGATGTCATGAATGGCGGTGCTTGCGAGCATCATGTCCACATAGACATGGTGTCTGATAGGTCTTCTTTCCCGTAATTCCTTCACCAGATCCATGTTGCCTGCGCGATGGGCTGCATGGTATTCTCGGAAGGCTTCAATCACTGCTACCAGATCGCTTTCATTCTCCGTTGCGTACTGCTGCTTCATCTCCGAAAGCTGTCTGGAAGTCAGTTCGGGATGCGAAATCAACGAGTCGGTGGAGTTATGGCACGCCAGGATGAGCATTGGTTCGAGACACCCAAAGAGGGCCCCTAACAAGATGCCCTTCGCCGCTGCCGGATGGAGAGCAAATCGAGAGAGGAGCCGACCTAGACTGGTGATTTCTTGGGTTTCGGTCAATGCGTGCAGACTCTGCAAGTCCTTGATCGCACTCTCGATGGCTTGGGCGGGCGGCGGTTCGATGGTCTCGCGCAGGAATTCCTTGACGTCAACTCGCTGGGGATGGGCTTTGAGTTGCAGAACGACGTTCACCAGGTCGGCCACAGCAATCTCAGGACGACGCATGGCTATGAGTGAGTCATGCCGTTGTTTCGTGAAGAGCGCGTAGTAATGGCCGTTGCGAACACGGCCGGCGCGGCCCCGTCTTTGGATCAAGCTCGTCTTGCTGATCCAGTCGTAGGGCAAGCTCCTCATGCGCGTGAAAGGATCGAAAGCGTTACTCCGTAGCAGTCCGCTATCCACAACGTACACCACTTCTGGCAGTGTCACCGAAGTTTCGGCGATGTTCGTTGCGAGAATGATCCGTCTGCATCCTGGAGCCACCGGCTTGAATACTTCGTCGTTCGAGTCCCGTAACTGAGAATGCAGCTTGAACAGCTTGAACTTGGCCTTGTCATTGAAGTCCACGCCAAGTGGTCTGAGTTCGATCAGATGGTTGAATATCTCGTCGATATCTGCCTTTCCAGGTAGGAAGACCAGTATATCGCCTTCGGGTTTACGCTGTGCCAGATGAGCTATCACAGCCGTTGCCAGCCCGATGTACCCACGGTCTACAGCTTGGGCAGCTGAGTCCGCCGCGTCGTTCTCCGTCAATTGCACCGTCTGATCACTGCTGTGCGGCTGAAGACTCCGAGAGTATTTCGTAGCAAAATGCATCTCGTTCCGGATATAGTTCGCGCTGGATATATCAGTATTCTTCCCCTGCAGGAGGGTGTACATTGTGTGGTGTGACGCTTTGTCTTTTGTGAGGTCCGACAGAATTTCCGGCAGATAATGTGTTTCGATATGGTGTGGAGATCCCTCGACTTCGAAGCTCTCCGCCAGAAGCGATATCCCCGTGTTCGCGGGCTGCCTGAAATACTCGAGGAACATGCTCGGATCAATGGTGGCACTCATGAGAATTATTTTGGGAAACTTCTGGCCCGCAGCCTTCCTGGTTTGGGCGGCTCTTCGAAGGATTGCCAGTACCAGATCGATTTGTACATTCCTCTCGTGAACTTCATCGATGATGATGTGTGAGTGTGACTGCAGTGTGCCCGCCTCGTCCGCAACCAGACGATTCAGAAGAATCCCCGTGGTACAATAGGTTATGCTCGCCTGTTGTCGTGCAGACCACTTGTCGTTGCGAATGTGGTAGCCGACAGAATCCTGCAGGGTTTCGCCTCGCTCATAGGCTACCCTTCTGGCGGTGGAAGTGGCTGCAATTCGACGGGGTTGTGTGCAGAGAATGCTCGTTGACGGTCCAAGCCCATCCATGACCCTTTTGTCAAGGATTATTTGGGGAATTTGAGTCGTCTTTCCGGAACCCGTCTTGGACAAGATTATGGTCACATCGCAGTTATTGATGAGCTCCAACAATTTGGGTCGAATTGTACCGGACATCAAAGGCAATTTGTGCCTGGCGGCTAGTATGTCTGGCATTCGTCCTTTCCGTCTGCTGTCTTCCAGATTTGATTTCATCTTTGCTGCAAGAATTCGATTGTTGCGCAAGATATCCCCCATCCACCCACGTGCAGATTCCTTAGCATAAGGTGTTGGTACAACTTCCTCGTCTGTTAGCCCATGTTGGCGAGCCAGTTTGATTGTGTCGATGGCAGTGAGCAGGTTTACTGCAGGCACAGTGACGTCAAATGGTTTTCGCCTTTTGGTAGGTGATGTAGCTGATGTGCTGCCGTCTTCATCGGGGGCCTGGGTTTCAGATGCAGTGCTCCCAGCTTCCTGCTTCGAGTCCTCATCACCAAGGTGGGAGTTCGATCCATCCCCTGCTGCAGGGACATTGTGTGAATAGGCAAGGTTGGCCTTGGGCGCATTCAACCCGCTGGGCGAGGAGTCAATCTCTTTCCGTGAATGTATATTCCCATCCCGTGAGGCGTTATAGAATATAGCACACTTAGAGTGTAAAGGCCGGGTGCAGGGAGAAGTTTGCACTTGTCCACGCAGACGGAGATGTCGTGCCACTCTGCTGCTTTCACACGAAATTGGGCTGTTGAGACGACCACACTGAAGAATAGGGGACCATGGATGGTGCGGTAGTCTCTATAATTGCGAACTATGGTCAGCGATCTTGTTTGGTTTGAACAGAGACCCAAACATACTTGTGTGAAAGACCGGGCCCGCATGCTGGACGGTTGAGCCATTCATCTTCGCAACATATGCGGCTTGTAAAACTGAAAATTACCAGTGCCTCGAATATAACAATACACGTAGCGACAGTGAACGAACGACGGCGACGTAAATCCAATGGGGTGACAATGCAAAGGTGCTCGTCTTCTACTCGAGTGAGGCCGCCGAACAAAAAAGTTGCAACTCTATTGACGCAGTTGGAGAATCATCTGCATTTTCTGGGGAAGTTCATTCGGGGCCAATCACAGCCACGAAGACTACGACACGTGATCACAGCCTTGCATACAGCAAGGCTGCCGGCGAAGACTGGGCAAAAGGCCGCAATAGTATTACATATCTAGGTACTTTGCATGTTTGGAGTACGTCTGATCGAGGCAGTAGCTAGGGATGTCATCTCTACAGCGACAGGTAGCTCTTCAAGTATGCTCCTTGAAGCGGTCGTGTGAAGGTCATGACACCGTCTGGGCGAGACAACTTCACCCCAAGGGCCGCGCCAGCAATGTGCTCACCAAGCCCACATCAGTTTATGCGCAAGGACGCGATCTCCCAGCCTCTCATACAAGAAGCCATTGACCCAGCTGTCATTCGTCCGACTCATTCGCCCAAATACTGCCCCGCCTTTCCACACCACGACCTGCGGATCAAGCTCTCTTGGTGGACGTCCGATCATGATGTCTTTGCTGTAGCCAGGTAGGATACCCTTGAGCGACTCTTCAAGATGTGACGCTAACCCGGGAATAATGCTTGTGCCACCTGTCAGCATGATGCCTCCAAGAAGATCACTTGTTCTCTGGGCGGAGCCACGCGCCGCATGTGTTATGGACGTCACGACGGCATTGGGAAGTGGGTATATTGGCAGCAAGTCGTCACGTCTCTCAATGCTGACAGGTTCTTCTTCCTCCTCTTCAACTTTTGGTTTCTCGTCCCGCTGACGAGCGACGTCAGGATCGTCGGGTTGCGGCGTCCCGTCGAGGTTGCGGGCCGGAGAGCTCGCGATTGACGGCTGCGGCGTAGCATCCATTTCTTTGATATTACTGAATGAGGGGCGGCGTGAGCCACTGAATGGCTCCTCTTTCGTACCGTTGGTGGTGCCGTTGGTGACCCCGTTGGCTTTGGCGCTGGATTTGATGGTGGAAGACAGCACCTCCTCAGGCGCAATGGAGGTCAAGATCTCTGCTTGTGCAGATGAGCTTGGGTCGTTCGGCTTGCCGTCATAAATGTCGTAAGATTTGTCAACCAACTTGCGGCGTCCGTCCAATTTACCCGTGTCGTCGAAAATGTGAGGTTTGAACAGTCCCATCGGAGCAAGGATCACCTCGTCGTAGATCTTGAATGTGTACTTTCTGGTGTCCTGATCGGGTGCTCGGAGGTAAAAGTCATACAACTGCACAGATATGTCGGACTCGTTCATGGTACAGAACTTTTGCTTCAACTCTTCTGCGAGCTGGAAATCGTAGCGGCGATTTAGGTTGATCTCCGAATAAGGAAAATGATTATAGATAATCATCTTCACAAACGCTTCGGTGATGTCCCTGCCTCCATACTTCAAGTTGACCCGCGAATTGTCTAGGACCATCCCATCCTCGACGCAGGAGATCGAGGTCTTCTGTGCGCCAATGTCGATAATGCAACACGTGGTGAAGCCTGCTCCAAACGAAGCAGCCAGACTTTCTTGGATGAAACAAACACGTGCGAAACCAAAGTCTGATATCGCCATGTCAAGCAGACTCGAGACGTAGGTCCTTTCGTAATAGTCTGGGATGACGATGACACAGCTATATTGACCCCAGTCGGCGCGCGTGCGGACCTTGAGCTCGAGCTGGGTTTTGATGGCATCTTCGACAATGATCCGGATATCCTCCCACAGCAAGCGTTTCGAGTCGTAGTCGCGCTCATTGACCCATCCCAAGCGAATGGGCCAGAACAATTTGTACCGAGGTGTCGAGTGATCGGGGATGCGAAGAGCAGCCTTACCGGTGATGTAGTCTGGTGCACCTTTTCCGTCACCAGCCGTGTCCGTCCAGTCGATGCGCATGGTGTCGTTATGTTCTGTGATGGTCTCATAGGTGCTTCTTCGATTGTAACTGGTCACCATATCCCTCGACTGTGGCAACACCTTCCTCTTGTTCATTCTCATCCTTACTTTTAGGTCATGAGACATGCCGGAGAACTTTTTCGCGAAGTCCTCCCCAAAGCGCTTTTCTGGTTCTGGTGGAGGCAATCCATTGTCCAGCTTCGCCCGTTTCGGAGCCGGTTCACCGTCTCCTTCTTCGCTTTCCGACTTTGGGGCGCGCCGTGCTATGACCATTGGGACTGTCTTTGGAAGAGCATCGCTGGCAAGGCCAACCCGCAGGTTTTGCGATCCGATATGAATGACAATGGTCTTAGCGCCGCTGGCCCCTTCATCTTCCGCCTCTTCCTCGTCTTCCTCCATTTCAATGTCCCCGTCTGGACCGACAGTCTTGCCCTGCGCCAATGCTCTGTCCCTGTCCTTGGCCTGTTTGATCATTTTGAGGCGGGCCTCCTCCTGCTGGGATCGGAAAGCCAGAATCTGCTCATCTCTTTTGAGATATTCTAGGGATGCGTTAGCCTAGCCACTGCGCCTGAATACTGTCATCACACCTGTGTAATAATTCTTCTGGTTTATAGCCGTGATCTGGGGCCAGGATGTCAACTCCATGTTGTTGTCGGTTCTCTCTAGGCCCTCCTCCCTGAGGAGAGCCTTTCCACTCTTCTTTCCGACCATTCTGCTGGCCTCGTTTGTTCAGGACTGTCTGTCCAGTCGGGAGGAGTCGAGTACGAAATGCGAAGGAGGGCCGTGGACCAGTCGTCTCATCAGGCGGCGGTTGAAAGGTGACGTTAGGTGACAGGCTGCGAGCGCAGCAATACTCTCCGGCAATATCCAGCTGTCTGCCTGTGAAATATGAACTCAAAGACACCTCAGCTCGTCACTTGCGGAACGCGCGAAGAGTTGGAGTTGAACTCGCGACGTCGGCGCGTTAAAGCGGCGGCAAATATCGGGGATTTCAACGTTGCGTGGCCATGTCTTCAACATCGCTCATAACAAATACTGTGTCTTTCTTTTATGAGTTGATGAATACTGGCAGTCGGATCAGATCGGACATACCGCGCGCTCGGAACCCGATTGTACAAGTCACAAGAAGAAGGGCAACCTCAAGAGTTGGCGGCATGATTTGCTGACCGTTTTGTTTTTAACTGATCTTTCTTCTCTCTCATCGACTTTAACCAGCCGAAATGGGCGGCTCTGTATCGAAATATCTCTCCAGCCTGATCTGGGGCAAGAAGGATATCCGAATTTTGATTCTAGGCCTCGTATGTTTTCCCGCATATCACGCCTAAGCCATGGTGGACTGACGATACATGCAGGACAATGCTGGCAAAACAACACTCCTATACAGATTGAAGGTAGGCCGACATCAACAACGGAGGTAATGCCATTCTGATCAATGCAGATTGGCGAAGTGGTAACAACAATACCGACCATCGGATTCAACGTCGAGTGAGTCTTCCTAGTTCATCCACCGAAGCAAGGCTAATGGAACACTTGAAGATCTGTCCAATATGGCAATCTCAACTTCGACGTCTGGGACCTCGGTGGACAGACGTCTATACGACCGTACTGGCGGTCATACTATGCCAACACAGCAGCTGTTATATTCGTCATCGATTCGACTGATATTGAACGATTAGAGATCGCTGCCGATGAGTTGCGGTCTATGTTGAACGAGGACGAGCTGAAAGACGCGGCTTTGTTAGTCTTTGCCAACAAACAAGATCAGGTAAGGCCGGTCACAGTGCTCATCGTCTTCCTGGCTGACCGAGGGTGAACAGCCAGGGGCACAAGGTGCAGGGGAGATCTCGGAAGCCTTGAAATTGGGTGAGCTAAGAGATCGAAATTGGAGCATTGTCGCCTGCTCGGTGATTGATGGTAAAGGCATCAACGAAGGCATGGATTGGCTTTCGTGAGTCTATTGGTGATCATGCACCGGTGACATCGGCTAATGAGCAATAGACAAACGGTTCAATCGGAATCATGAAGTCCGCTATGATTATACAATGCATCTATTCGACCTCCATCGAGCAAGTAATCCCACTGCACACCTCGTGTGCTTATTGGGTGCATCCATTCATCTGGACCAATTCGGCATCCAAGCTTGTCGTCGTCTGCCTGGGAGCTCAGGTATCGGCTTTTCGCCAAATATACCACGGGCGTGCTCCGTGCCCATCTCGCCGTACTTGGTCTGACTTGTCCACGTCTCATGTGCACATTTGAGATGCCAGAAGACGGCAAGGATACGCGCGGATATTTGCCACTACCTCCAAGATTCGTGGTAGATATCGTTCTGTCAGAGCACCGTCGGGACTGTCATCTGGTGTCGAGCCCATACGCCGGAGCTGGCTGAGCGCATGATCAGGCACGGTTTAGGCAGAGCTTGCCGGCAAGAAGCCGGAGTGGCCAGCGACTGGGATAGCTTTGGCTCCATGTCGTTCTCAGAGAACCGACGAGGTTGTGTATGCTGTCTTGGGGTCCTATCATATAGAAACAATGTCAGAGGTTTCCCCCTTGGGCAGCCCTTTCTCTTGTCAGGCTTCCCGGTTCGAGACACCAACGTATGAGACGATCCGGCATTACAATCAGCGAAAGCCCAGCACTCCTTGTTCTGGTGCCTCTCGTCACCGGATCAGCTGAATAGATTGGTTGAAGCGCAGAAAGTTCCCAAACTCGTGAATTGTAGAGAGAGAGTATCTTCAGGCGTTCGGGACTGCAATATGGTCTCAGTCGAGGTGATCATGCGCGATCGTGATCTGCGCGGAGTTCGCTATGGTGGACACATCAAGCTGAACGAGAGACTGGGAACAGAATTTCGGAGGGCAGTGGTGCAGGGACGGCGAGGGCGTGCTATATGACTTGAAGCGGCAGTGTGTGGTGTACTCTGTATAATGTATATTGCTTAATAGTGGATGTTCGCCTCTCTGATTGGAAACAAACCCTCAACAACCACAGACGCAGTTGAAACAACGTTCATATCCCCGTCAACAACTCTCACATCTTCTATCTGCTTGAACTCGGTCATTGACCTCTACGCAGCTACGTTCGTTCATGCCTTGAAGTGACATCCCCGTCAGCTCTGTCATCCTGGCTCGCCCAAAATCCCTCCTCGTCCTCCTCTCCTCCGCCGCCCTCTTCTCCGTCGTGTGCCTCGTCATTCTGGCTCCGTTCCGAGCTTCTAGCCGGTTAGGCTCCATCCTGAACCAGATCCGACCTTTCAAGCCGGCGACTTCATCCATCAGCTCCTTCAGACCGGTGACCACTTCAAGCATGGCGCCTGGACACTTTCGCAAGCCTCCCCAGGCCCCGCCGAGTTTCACGGCCACCCCCGACTCGGTAGTGGAAGATACCAAGAAGTTGCTCGCCAGTTCGAAGAAGATCACAGACGATATCGTCGCGTCCATACGGGCGAAGGATGCCAATTTCCATAACGTGCTCCTGCCCATGGCGCACGATGAGAACCAGCAGTCACTGAAGACACATATCCTTGGCTTCTATCAATCTGTGTCTACGGACCAAGCATTGCGCGATGCATCGACCGAGGCTGAAAAGCTGATGGATGATTTCAGCATCGAGGCTGCCATGCGGGAAGATGTCTTCCAACTGGTGGATGCTGCGCTGAAGAGAGGAGACAAGCTGGACGCCGAATCGCAGCGGCTGCTCGAGAAGGAACACAAGAGCTATGTGCGGAACGGCCTGAATATTCCTGCAGGGCCAAAGCGAGACCGGTTCAAGGAAATCAAGAAGAGACTCAGTCAACTCAGCATTGCGTTTTCCAAAAACCTGAACGAAGAGAAGGGTGGTTTGTGGTTTACCGCTGAAGAATTGGACGGCGTCCCCGAAGATGTCATCTCCTTACTGAAGAAGGAAGACGGCAAGTACTGGCTGACATTCAAGTACCCCGATCTCTTTCCTACTCTCAAGTACGCCACCAACACTGCCACTCGGCAGAAGGTTTTTGTCGCAAACGAAAACAAGTGCAACCAGAATGTCCCGCTCTTCAGGGAAGCCATTCTTTTGCGAGATGAAGCCGCTCGCTTGTTGGGATATCCAAATCACGCCGCCTTCAGGATCGAAGACAAGATGGCCAAAACGCCCAAGACTGTGGACGACTTCCTCGGAGACTTGCGCAGCAGACTCAGCCAGGGCGGCTTGGACGAGATTGAGACGCTGAAGGCGCTGAAACAGGCAGACGTGGAGTCTCGGGGTGAGAAGTTCGATGGGCACTACTTCCTGTGGGACCATCGTTTCTATGATCGAATGATGGAGGAAAAGGACTATCAGCTCGACCAGCAGTTGATCTCCGAGTACTTCCCTCTGCAGACGACAATCCAAGGGATGCTTGAGATCTTTGAACAATTGTTTGGGCTGGCATTTGTCGAGATCGTGGGTGCGGACCGTGACGCCATCGCCAGCTCAGGGAAGGGTTCGGATATTGTATGGCACGAGGAGGTCCAAGTATTCAGTGTCTGGGACGACGAGGGCGAAGGTGCCGGCTTTGTGGGATACCTGTATCTTGACCTGTTCCCCCGGACCGGCAAGTACGGACACGCCGCCAACTTCAATCTTCAACCTGGATTCATCACCGAGAACGGCACGAGAAGATATCCTGCCACAGCACTTGTGTGCAACTTTTCCAAGCCAACGGCTAAGAAGCCGAGTTTGTTAAAACACGACGAGGTCACTACACTCTTCCACGAACTGGGCCATGGTATCCACGATCTGGTGTCACGAACGACATACTCCCGCTTCCACGGCACCAACACCGTCCGGGACTTTGTGGAGGCACCAAGTCAAATGCTCGAGAATTGGTGTTGGACTCCATCCCAATTGAAAGCATTGAGCAAACACTACTCGACGTTGTCGTCGGACTACTATGCCGCCTGGAAAGAAGCGGCGGGCGCGGAGGGGAAACCTGAGGAGCGCATCCCAGACGATCTCATTGAGAAGTTGATCAAGACCAAGAACCTGAACGGCGCACTGTTCAACCTTCGCCAGCTACACTTTGGTATTTTCGACATGGCCATCCACGAGCCCAAGGACCACGACAGCCTCGAGGCCATGAACATTTCCGAGACGTACAATTTCCTAAGGAAGGATATTAGCAAGATCGAGGGTCCTGAGGTGCTCGGAGAAGGGCACGGCTGGGGCAACGGACAAGCCACTTTTGGTCATCTGATGGGTGGTTACGATGCCGGTAAGTTCCAGTGCAGCTTGCAGCTTTGCCCATTCTGACAGGACCCCTTTTACTGCAACTGTAATATCATGGTGTTTAGGCAAGGCAAGGCTAATATGACTTTTTTCTTTTTCGTTGGCAGGCTACTACGGCTACCTCAGCTCTCAAGTCTACTCCACCGACATGTTCTACTCGGTTTTCAAGAAGAACCCCATGGATCCCAAGGAAGGCCGACGATACCGCCACACAGTGCTCGAAAAGGGAGGCAGCCAGGACGAAATGACCACGCTGATCGATTTCCTCGGCCGAGAGCCCAAGACCGATGCCTTTTACGAGGAACTTGGCATTACCAAAGGAACTCAGTAGGCGCTACCACCACTTAGATGCGAGACCGGTCATTGAATCCAGGGACCGCAGACAGTCATTGGAACAAGAGTCGACAGCTTTGCACAGAGCGGGCTGCATCTATAGACTTGGCCGGCGAGTAGACTGGGATGTCTACGCGGCTGTATCTCTGGGGCACAGCAATACCGGACAGACACCACAGTGTATAGGTATCATCCTTTTGATGGAGAATGGCTTCTTCTGGCCCTAGAAAAAAGCGCATTGACGATGGTGCAAGTGCCCTTGGATCATGTCTGTTAGGCAAAAAATAGTAATAAAAGAACGAATAGTGTATGTTAGAACACGAACAAAGATCCGCTCCAGATGGCCTTCCTTTCAGGAGTGGCATCTCCAAACGTGATATACGTACGTGGTCTCCTGCAATGAGAACCTCCCTAGATACTTACCCAGACATCTTCAGCTACCAACAAGGACCCAGGAAACACAAGTGCCACGATGCCCAAGTTCAATCCCATGCCCGGGTACCTAGCTAGCTCTTATGCCATCCTCTTTAACTATATCTGTTTGCAGAGAATGGAGAAATCCAGTGAGGTCTGCTTCGTGTATCATGCTGCGCTGTTCTGTGGTATAGTAAGTGTAGTCTATATTTTTTGCATCCCATATGTCTTGTATGCATAGCACAGCCAAGCAAAGCTCGAGAGGACTGAGCGAGAGTTGTACAGAAAAGTGAACCAGTCCTTAAGGCAACGGGTAAGATCGGATACTAATCTGTATATATTTCCCATGTGTCTGACTCTGTCTCCGTCTCTCTATACCCATCAATTAATGCGCAAAGCGGAAGGTGAGTAATTTGTTCCCTTTATCTTTAGTGGTGGCTAGATACGTCCGCTGCTGATCTGGAGTCATTGAGTTCCATTTTCGGTCGCGCACCCTAAATACCAAGACGGAAGAGGAGAGAGTTAGCTTTGATTGCTAGACAGCCAGAAAGGAAGAGAAGTGGTCCTAAGCCTTTGGGAAAGGAGGAGGAGTAGTAGTAGCAGGGGCGGATAGATCGAATAGTTGAGTGGAAGTCAGGACATAGAGGTGTAGTTAAATCCATAAGGAAAGATTGATGCCGAAGGTATCGGTACAAGCACAGAGCAAGAGAGAACAAGTATCGACGTACCTGTTTCGCCATACGTAGAACCATTTGGCGAATATAAATAGGAGGATGTTGTAGGCGCAGATGGCGATTAGGACTTTGTAGCCTGTTCTGTAGAGTGGTTTGTCGTCGGTTCGAAAGATCTATAGCAGAAAGACATCGGAAGGTTAGTATAGATCATTTTGACGCTGGTGTAGAGGATGACTGCATGATTGCATGACGAAGTTTGGGGCGACAGCATACCGCCCCCTTGAAGATCAGGTGTGGCGAGGAAGTAATAAAGCAGGGTCTGCTCTTCCAAATATAGAGCAAAACAAGGATGTCACTCACATTTGATCCGATGATATTGCTCGCTTGCACAAACATGTTATACAATGCCGACGCAACAGTCCGAGTGCGAACCGAACCAGCATTGCGACTCGTGATAGCGACATGGATCGCATGTACGTAGGGCGTCCCGACAAGCAGAGTCGCCAGAGTATATTTGACCCATCTGGACGCATGGCCGGGAAGATATTCCGAAGCAATGAGCAAGGGCATGGCCCAGATCTGACTGACCAGGCCGGTGAGGAAGCGCTGGTTCGTCTTCTCCGAGACCCAGGTGAAGAAGAGCAGGTTGATGATGAACAGCACATACGACGGGATGGACAGCATGTTGACCTCGAAGCGGCCGAACGATTCCTTCAGGATCAACGTCAGATACTGCGTGATCGGGTAGTTGGGGATGAGGAACGACAGGCCGATCAGGTAGATGGGCCACATCTCCCAATCGCACAGGGCGTAATACAGCAGTTTCGGCGTGACGGCCTGTCGGTTGTGCATGTCGCCCTTGGACGGGTCGTCGCGCAGGATCCGGTTCACCATGATCTTCTCCTGCCGTTCGCTGAACCAGCCGTTCTTGCCGCGGAACCGTGATGCCGTCTGCGTTGGGCTCGGGGGCATGTAGAAGTACGTGGCGACGCCGATGAGGCCGGTCACCGTGCCCTCCAGGGCGAACAGCCATTGCCAGCCTGCCATGCCGTTGATTCCGCGCATGGTCAGGATGGCGGCCGCCAGAAACGCACCGACGATGCTGGTCGCTTGGTAGGATGTCCAGAACCAGGCCAGCCGCGCGGGTAGTTCTTTTCCCTTGTACCAGTATGAGAGGTAGAGAATGGTGTCGGGAATGAACTGGTGTTTGCACGTCAGTTGACGACCGCCATATGGCACGTGAAAGCAGCGAGACGAGAGGATAGTACGAAGAGGGATATCGGTATGGAATGGTGGCGATGGAATAGAAAAATGGAGTCCTGTCAAACTTACGCCGCCTTCAATCAGCCCTAGCAGGGCTCGACACGTATAGAACGAAGACCTTCCGTTCAGGAGAGCCTGGAAGCTGGCCACGAGGCTCCAGCAGATCATTTGGATCGGGATCCATCGGTCGGGGCCCAGTTTCTTGGATATCAGCTGCGACGGCAGCTCGGCCGCCAAGAAACAGAGATAGAATATCGTCTGCCCGTAGTTGTAGTCGTTGGTGGTCAGGCCGAGATCCTCCAACATGTCATCGGTCAAGGCTTGCACGATGTTCGCCCTGTCGAGCTGCAGGGCGAAGAAGGTCAAGCACACCCACGAACAGATCCGGAGGTCTATCTTTCGAACGAGCTGTTTCTCTTCCACCGGGTCCCATTGGAACTGGGGGTCCCAGCGGTGTCGCCCTTCGTACTTGTCGATGGGCACGTAGTTGTCTTCGCCAGGAACTTTCAAGAACGTCTCGTCCTCGGCGACGATGGAGCTGGCGTTGCTGCTGCCGGACGCGAGTCCATCCTCAGATCTCACTAGCAGCGCACCGTCTCCGGTTCCTTTGAGATCAAGCTCTAGCTCCCGCGAGCTTCCCGATGACTTGGTTACGGCCTTCATCGCCTTAGTTCAGGAACGGTGCCAAAGCGATGGCTGAATGCAGTGTGGCTTGCGTCAAAGTCGAGGGGCAATAATGTCTTCACTTCCTCACCTTCGACCCTACCTTTCCATTTTATATTGTACCCCCTCGCACCTGGGCTTTTGTTCGCGAATACCTTTTGCCAGGGCCATGGTATGTCGTGATGACGTGCTCCGTCGACGTTGCAGTCGAGACAGAGGCAGCATGTGCATTGCAATGCATTCATTCATGGCGCGCTGTCGCTCGAGCCAGGGACGAGAAGCGAGGCAAAGGGACAGCATGCAGATCTGCCAGGGGAGGGTGGTGAGTTTCAACGGTATTGCCCAATGATCGACCAGCCGCCAATGTTCGCAATACTGCTGTATTCTGTAGGACCAGCTCATTCGTCTGCTTGAGATAGCACGTTACCTGATCATCAAGTGTTGTAGTAGGAATGAATCCCCTTATGGAAATAAGTCGAGTTGATCCCATATGGGTCGAGACCAGCCAAGCGACATCAGATAGATCAAGACTTCGGATTGTTATTGGCACACATGCTTATCAGATGGCCTGTCCACCATCCATTCTCCAGAGCGTGATGAGACGAGGCTATGGCGCGATCCAGGTCGAGGAGGCGGTTCCACCGGCGACAGCGAGTAGTGGTACACACCTACCATCTTGGGCTGATCACGCAATCCCGAGCCAGAAGACGTGCGCTGTGGCCGTTGTCAATGGCCACCCCCAGCTCCCTCTCATCCAGACTGGCTCTGTGCTATCCGTTCCCTGGTTAGGATCCTGCTGCTGCTGTACTGTGTATGGGGTGTATGGGGTTTGCGTGATATGAGATCGAGTTGCGCAAGCATCGATGATGGTGATGGCAGCATGGACAACTGGCTGCTAAATCAGGGGAGACATCTCACTCAGTTCGTGCCGTACATCCATCCGCGCAGTATATATTGTAACCAGCCAAAGAGCCGTTCATTCTTTCCTGAGGAGATTCCCGGTCGTTATTTACCTTGCCATACGTGTACGTGATTTCTGTAACCATGGCTGCCCTCTCTTCAACCACTACCCCGTCCGTTCCACCCCCAGCGCCCGGGGGCGGCGTGGGCCCTTATAAGGAGCTGAACACGACTGGCTATTTGCTCGAGAACGAATTGAAGGGCACCGACAAGTTCGCTGCAGCGACATACCCTCAGTAAGCGTGCAAACCAAGACTGTTGGTGGCGCATTTATTGACGATTCGGTAGTTATCTGCCAGTGTGGGACAACGAGAAGGGTGAAGTGTGAGTTCAACCTCCTCTGTGACATTCAGCCACTGCATATGATGGCCCTGCCACTGGCTTGGCCTCGTATACTCTGTCCAGCATTTGCTGACGTCCAATCGTGGTCTCCAGTTACCCTCCTCTCGAACCCTTTGAGCACTACGAGCACGGAAAAGATGCCGACCCTTCCTTTAAAAACCTGTTGAAGGAGGGAAGCCATATTGAGCACATCACCGCGTCGATTGGTGCCGAGGTCACTGGTATCCAACTTTCCCAATTAGACGACAAGGGCAAGGATGAGTTGGCTCTGTTGGTGGCGCAGAGAAAGGTCGTCGCCTTCAGAGACCAGGACTTCGCTTCCCTCCCCATCGAGAAAGCGTTGGACTTCGCACGATACTTTGGCAGACTGCACATTCACCCCATCAGGTAAACACGCCATCCGTTCACGCTGGGCGCGTAGCCATGCTGACTCGCTCCAGTGGAGCACCAGCGGGATATCCTGAAGTCCACCTTGTCCATCGAGGCGCAGACGACCGATCCTTCTTGGAATTCTTGAACAGCCGAACCAACTCTGTCGCCTGGCACAGCGATGTCACCTACGAGAATCAACCTCCCGGGACCACATTTCTGTACGCCCTCGACGTGCCGGGTGCTGGTGGCGACACGCTGTTCGTCAACCAGGCAAAGGCATATGAGAGACTTTCTCCCGCTTTCCGCGAGCGTTTAGCTGGTCTTCAGGCGGTTCATTCGGGATACGAACAAGCGACCAGCGCCCGGAACAGGGGCAGCATTGTGCGACGAAACCCCGTCTCGTAAGTCTTCACGGTCAGGGCCGAGTGTTGAGGTGCGGGTGACTGACTTGGAGCAGATCCATCCATCCTCTCGTGAGAACTCACCCAGCCACCGGAGAGAAGGCTTTGTTTGTCAACCCCCAGTTCACCCGATACATTGTCGGCTATAAACAAGAAGAGAGCGACTACCTCCTCAAGTTCTTATATGACCATATCGCCATGAGTCAAGATTTGCAATGCCGAGTTAAATGGCAGCCCAACACTGTTGTCGTCTGGGACAACCGGGTTACAGGTGAGTCTCCAAAGCCGTTCCCAGAATGAAACTTCTGCTGACCTGTGGACAGCACACTCTGCCCTGATCGACTGGGAGGACGGCCAGCGACGTCACATTGCCCGCATCACACCACAGGCCGAGCGCCCCAGGGAGTAGAGTGCTCCCAGTTATGCTTGAGACTGCCACGATCGGGGACGAAGTCAAGTGAGCGGCGAGCTGTGTGTTGAATGACGCTCCGTTGTCGCAATCAAAATTAGACCTACGCCGCATCAGTAGCATATAAAACGATAAATCCGCAAGAGAAATGGTTGTTGGCACTGTGTCAGATTGGTCCATTTTTCTTTCTGAAACTCAAAAGCCTGCCCTTCGAAGCAGATGCCCTTTGTCGCGCCTCGACTCCGTTACCATGCTTGTGCCTTGAACCATATTGCCAACAGACTGCTGCTCGTATTGTTTAATCGCCTTCGAGTCTCGCAACCACAGTGCTCATCTGCTCATCGCTGTAGATTTGAAAACCCTTTTCTTTAGTGACGCTTGCTAACTGGACATTCTTCGAGTCCAGTTTCTCTTCCATGACCTGCTTCAGCGTCTTCAAAACCAAAGTCTCGGCTTCTTCGAGTGTCAGAGATCTGTGGTATTCTGACTGTAGTTCGGCTTGTGCGCCTTCGCTGCCGGACCCGATCGCTTTTGCATCGTAGCGGTAGAAAGTGCCGGAGGGTTCAGCATGATACCTATAGGAATCAGTGGAAGTCCATGCTTTGCCACGGAAGAGCTCACAGTTGTGGACCATTGTCCTCATCCCAGCCAGCTATCAGTAAGGCAACACCAAAAGGTCGACTCATTATTGACTCCTCTCCTTGAGCTCCCTCGCCGAATCTCAGCGCCAGATCGCAAATGGCTTGCGTGCAGCTCTCGACTTTCAGTCTCTCGTTGAAGTTGAAGGCATGATTTTGTGATTCCACTCGAGCGTGCTCAATCATACTCCGTGCATCTGCTTGAAGACCGGACATGGCGCAGCCAATATGTCTGTCAATCTCGACTATCTTCTCGATGCTGGATGAGACCAGTAGCGGCGAGGTGACACGCTTCTCGACTCCGAGCAGAACGCCATGAGACGTAGCGACCTGGCAAGTGTGAATAAGTGCTCTTCCTGAACGAGGCAGGTGAGGTCTCATACCCCGATTGCTGTGGAACCAAGTTTGATGGCTTCTAGCGAGTACTCAACCTGGAAGAGACGGCCTTCGGGCGAGAAAGTGCTATGGCATATCAGTATGATACAATACCGCAATAAAGATACACTCTGGCTCACTTGATCCCTCGATCATACTCGCTCCGAGCGATGAACATCTTGAAAGCGGATGTGGTAAAGTCACTTGAAAGGATCAAATGTATTGCAGGAGAATTGTGTTTATTTTGTAACGTCGAAGCTCTGGCAGGTTACGACGATGCTCAGCACGTCGTGGTCTGAAACAACTGAACCAGGCACCGCAGGATACGCAACACGGATTCAAGTTGCATCCTCACGCCGTAGCACGCAGCCTGCCAAGCCTTGCCGCTTTGACAGCCTTGCGCTACTCAATGCCTTAGGCACTAGCACCTCGCCCGCACCTTAATGATAGTGACCTGCATCTACAGAGGCATTCTTCTCTCATCACAGCAAGGCAAGAGTCCTTTGAGAGGAGAGACGAGATGTATTCATATTCATAAATCACTTAGGTGTCAATATCCTTGGAAATATTCAAGCAGCGTGGCTTAAATATACGGATCGGAAAAAAATATCATGCCGCTTCTATATCGATCGTGCCTCTAACTCAAAATACCGAAGTCTAAAGTCGCGTTAATCGCTGACGCGCCTCGTCCGCACTGCTGTGTACCTAGGGACCTACGTATCTACTGTGCAGTATAACAATCATAGATGCGCCCACCCATACTACCAGCAGCCCCGGTCGACGTCCAGTAAACACACAACAGACACATTGCACACGACTTCAGCCGCTCTCCAGGCCGCGGGAACGATGAGGCCTTGCAACCATGGCGTCCCTACATTACAGGAGTGCATCAGCCACTGAACGACGAAGCACTCACCACCCCGACGGTACATCTCGCGTGAACTCGACTCGGACCCAGAACTACGAACGACCATTTGCTCGCGACGCAGATTCTCCAATATACCCTACCGCCTATAGCGAGGTCGGCGAGGGCACACACAAGCATTCCAAGAGCGAAAATAGGTTCAGCGGACTGGAAAGGCGGCGGGAGAAGTCGACTGTGACCACAACTGAGACGCTGTTGACGCGGAGGAGTCCAAGGAAGGAGACTTCGAATGCTGAGAGTAGGAAGAACAATGCTGATCGGAGACGGAGTGCTGGTAGTCCAGTTCCCAAAAGAGCCTCCAACAACGAGAACATAGGTTTGTGAATCTGTTTTGGAGGACCGGGATAAGGACTGAACATCTCTTTAGGACCATGGGCTCCTTCTGTGTCAATAATCCCACATTCTTCTGCGCCTTTAGCCACCAGAGTGACGGCACCACCATTATCGCGCAATGCGCCCTCGAGTCTGGATCCGGTTGCGCTAGAGACCATGTCCATGCAAGAGCAAGAACGAGCAATCTTGGACGACCTGCTTTATGTCTTTCTGGGATTTGAGGGACAGTATATCCGCTTTCGGGACAGTTACAATCCGGCCGACGAGAAAGAGCGTCTGAATGGACCTCCATTCGAGCCATTACCGGGCTTGGACCCGAGCCTGAAGGACCTGACGAGCTCAATGCTGTCCATGGCAACCCATCATTGTGCCTTGGAGGCCTTTGTCGAGGTCCAGAGCAGAGAAGAGTTTGGTTCTGTCAACCATGCGCTCTGCGCAGCCATTCGCAATCTCCTAAAGGACTTTCTCATCCTCGTTGCTCAGTTGGAAATGAAGGTGCTGAACGATCCAACCTTCACGTTACACCAAATGCACATCGCAGTCATTCCGACGATGCAATGTCTGGCACAGTTATACTCGTTGGCGCAAGAACTGCTCAAGAAGAACTCCCTTCTGGATGAAGATATTGATGATTCTATTGATGACTTCGACCCGGACAACATCATTGAGCGGCTGAAGGAGGGTGGCGATCTATTACCCGGGAGTCTCAGCCATAAAAAGTGCATTGGTGGTAACGTCTTGGGCCTGTTAACGCATCGACTGTCGACCTTCTCTGGGGACCCCGCTGCCCGACGAATACTAGAGATGTTATTGCGAGAATCTAGCAGACCGTACATGGTCATGCTCAACGAATGGCTCCACCATGGTGGCATTAATGACCCGCACTCGGAATTCCTGGTTGGGGAGAGGGCGAGTATCAAGCGAGAGCGGCTGGACGAGGACTACACCGACGAATATTGGGAGAAACGCTATTACATGCGTGAGAAGGAGATCCCTCCGCAGCTTGAAGCGGTCAAAGACAAGGTTCTGCTGGCCGGGAAATATCTCAACGTCGTCCGGGAGTGTGGCGGTGTCAATGTCTCCAGCAAGATAGTCGACACTCCCGCAACCTTTGACGATCCCCGTTTTCTCGACAATGTCAACAACGCTTACTCATTCGCAAACAAGGAGTTGCTCCATCTCCTTCTTACGAAGAACTCGCTTCGCAGTCGCCTACGATCCATGAAGCATTACTTTTTCCAAGATCGCGCCGAATTCTTCTTGTATTTCCTTGAACTGAGCGAATCAGAGCTTCGGAAAAAGCACAAGGATGTGAACATCGGCAAACTGCAATCGCTGCTTGATTTAGTGCTCCATCAGCCCGGGAGTATAGCAGTTGCGGATCCATTCAAAGAAGATGTCAAGGTCAAAATGAACTCTGTGGGGTTGACGCAGTGGCTGATCAAGGTTGTCAACGTGCAAGGAATGGACCAGGACAATCCAGAATCCATGATGGATCAGTACAAGACGCCGGCAGCTGCGCAGGCTGCGTCGGCGGAAAAGAATCGAAGGGACAAAAAAGAAGACGAAGAGAAAGAAATCATCGGATTCGATGCCCTTGAACTCGACTATACCGTTCCGTTCCCGTTGTCATTGATCATAAGTCGGAAGACGGTGATGCGATACCAGCTCATCTTCCGATACACGCTGGCCTTGCGTCACCTCGAGACTCAACTTGTCGGATGCTGGTCTATCCACGCGAAAGAGAAGGCCTGGATCCACAAGTCCTCGGACAGGAGATTCGAGCTATGGAAACGGCGAGTGTGGACGCTGCGCTCGCGCATGCTCGTCTTTGTCCAGCAAATGCTCTTCTTCGCCACGGCCGAGGTGATTGAGCCAAATTGGCAAAAGCTCATGCTTCACGTCGACGACGCAGAGCGCGACGAAGAGACGGAAGAAGAGTCGAATACCGGCGGCCTCCGGCCCAAGTCAAAGCCCACCGTGGATGAGTTGATGCAGGATCATGTCGACATGCTGGACTCGTGCATGAAAGACCTCGGCCTCACTCAAGCCAAGTTGCTGCGATTGCACGCCAAGCTGATGACGGGCTGTGGAATGTTTGCCTCTTACGTCGAGCACATCACGAAAACCCTGTATGAGGCAGACACCAGCCTCCAGGCCCAAGGGACAACAGGAAAATCTGCGGGGACGGCGCCTCCACAACTGCCGCCTCCTACCGACCCGGCCCGGATGAAGAGGATCGAAGAGTCGATTCGGAAGTATGAGGAGCATTTCAATCGGCATCTGAAGATCTTGATTGATGCGCTCAACTGGTTCGCGACTACGGAGACCGTGTCTTTGCTCAGTCTCTGCGGCCGCTTGACTTATGCGGAAGTCCAGAGGCGGGACGATCTGTTTCTTTGACGTTTGATATGTATGGGGCTTTGCGCATGGTGTTGGAGGGCGTGATGTCCACCGTGAAGGAGATGAAGCGCAGTTGGCTAGGGGCTTCATGATGTTGATGAATTGTATGAAAAGATGACGGTGACCGAAATGATACCCAGACCCAATGCATGGATATGCCTCTCTCCTATTCACACGTGACAGTTACGTGTCTGAAGAGTCTTGCTTCTGTCAGGCCGAGATTATAAGCTCTCCAGTGGCTTGGTCGTTTCTAGCAGGATTAAGCGTTGCGAATACGAGTAGAGGCTAGTCAGAGCTGTCGACAGGAGCCGACAGCCTCGTGATTAGGGGAAAAGAACTAGCACTAGCACCTCAATCAAATTGGTGTCGATGGCGTGTTTTCCATTCCGATATGATGTTCTTATCTAGTCTTATACACGCAAGGCTTCAAGACTTTGGCCTCCTCTTCAGGCGACACATCGTCGTCATTGTCCACAGCCTTCTTTCCGCCTTGGCCACTGATGAATCTCATCTTGCCATCGTGGACTTTGACATAGTCTCGCCCATTCCACTTCAGCCATTTATACTTGCCAGCACTCGGCACGCCAGCCTTGACAAACACCATACTCACAAACATTTTGTTGCTTTTGTCGACCGACTCTTCACGCAGGACAAAGCCACGGCGCGAGAACACCTTGACGAAGGCGCTGATGTCTGTCTCATCTGTAGCGGCCGACTCGGAGTCCTCCACAAAGACCTCCTCTCCCACCAAGCGATCATCGTCCGCGTCGTCGGGCTTCCCATTTTGTTTAGGCTTCTTGCGTCTCTTGCCGACACTGTTCTCCACGACATGGCCCGGGCCCTTTTTGGGCCGTCCAAAGCGAGACTTGACTTCGGAGACCCACACTTCGCCTTTCCCGTCTCCGCGGAGGATGCGCCATGCTTCCTCGACGAAGGCCAGCCAGTTGGTGCCCATCAGGCTCAAGCAGAAGACGGCCACATCGACTTCGCCGTCGCGCAGCGGCAGGTTCGCAATGTCGGCCTTCGTGACGTGAGTGTTGGGCGCGTGCAGGTCGAAATTGTGGAATTTGAGCTTCAGATTCTTGATCTGCGATTGGCAGCCTCGTGCGAGTGGTGCGTCTCCGCATCCTAGGTCGGCAATGGTGCAGATCCCCGTCTTACGGCGTGGCAGTGGTGTCAGTCCTGGCTTTGCGGTGTTGGGTTGCAGGTCAAGTTGTCCTCGGCTTTTTATCGTGGAGATGTACTGGTTGACTGGATTTTGTGGCCATGAATCTTTCACTTGCTGGGAGAAGCCGGCGTGATATTCGGCGAAGAGGTCCGGTGAGCTGGTGAACAGGTCCATCGCCGCGGAAGAGGAGGTCGTGTACAATGTCTCGTTAAGATGACGGAATCGCGCAGAGGTCAGTTTGCTGCGCATTTTCGCTTGCAGTGGTGTCAACTTCGCCGGCGTCGGTACGGGAGGGAGGGCTTCGATGATGGCCTTGGACGAGGCAGCCGGAGATGTTGGCGTTTTGCCATCATTTCCGCCGTTGCGGTCGGCCTTGCTCGGCTTCTGCGTGTCATTGTTTTGAGCGTGGTAGGACTGCTTGGCCTGTTCTTTCCTCTCCGACTTTTCGTTATGCTGCTTTTTCTCTTTTTTGGTCTTGACCGCAGCGTCTGGTTTCTCGTGCTCGCCCTCGCCACTACCCCGGCCTGCGCCAGGCTCTTTCTGTTTGGGTTTCAAGGACTCATTGTTGGGCCGTCCGCGCTTTTGGCCGCTGCCGTCGGACGCCTTAGAGCCATTGTGTTGATTCCATAACTTCTCGAGCTCGCTTCCCGTGATCTTGGAAGCGTCTTCGTCATTTGTATGTGTGATTTTTCTCCTCTTCGTTCCATCTGAGGCGGACTTCGACGAAGACCGCTTGCCGGTATCCGATGACCGTGATTCCTGTACTAGGGAGGCCGGCGAGACTGCCCAACCTGGAACGGCGAACATGCCAGTTGCCGAGAGACAAGAAGAAGAGAGCAGTCGTGGGAACACCAGACGTGGTTAGGCAGTATTGGTCCGGTATGCAGGTTTTAACTAGTCCCGACCTTTCAACAGAAGCAAGGTTCAAAATGGCGGAGCTGACAGATTGGTAACATGTAGATTGCAGCTGAATACTCTGCTCTGTGCGTCCAGACAGTCTGTGCTATTGTGCAACTCGTGTGTACTGTGTAGTGGTGGTGGCAGGATGTACGTAAAGAGTCAATCCGAAATTCTCTCCCAAGGATTTTAGTTGCGGGCCGATGTCTGGCCAGGACTAGTTTAGTGTAGTAGTGCAGTGTGGTGATGGGGGGTAAATTAGGGAGAGCTAAGAGGCTAAAGAGACTAAAGAGCCACCCTGATATGCTAGTTGGGTCCAGACTCCTAGGGAACCCCCCTAAGGACCCTCGGAAGTAGGATTCCTTAGGTCTCTGGTTGCCCGTGAGGAACCTTTGACAGCTGTCTAAGCAGTCGATCTAGGTATCTTCAGGGACTTCTCCTTATCCCTAGATCCCAACTACAGTGATAGATATGCCACCTGTCGGGTTTGAGGTCCTTTGACCAATTTTGTTGACACCTGAGTACTACTAGTAGTATGACGACAAGCCTGGGGACAAAATTAGTAGTTGGGCTTGTCACCTGATTGCGGGGGGTTTGGCAGGTTCCCTGTTCACGCTTGTCCTGACGTTTGTTGCGCTTTCAAGCTCCCTCCAATGACCGAGTTATTTCGCCGGTGATGGCTTCACTCGCCAGCCTCCTAAACCCTCTCTCCATCTTTCAATCCCTCGCACTACTGTGTTACTACAACGCACCAACAACATGATGTCCTCAACCTGGCTTTGTTCTGTTCCTGTCGGCGTCTTCCTGGCAGCCAACCACCATCCTTAGCACTACTACTTACAGTAGTGTACTGACTCGGCCGTTGCAGTCGGCAGCACCTGCTGCTTCCCCGAGCTGCCGCCATAGCGTTGCTCTCTGATCAGCCCGTGCTGGATGGACCTGGTTTCCTACCTAGACAAGGTTGGTAGCCATATGGATTCTGCAGTATGTAGCTAACTGCATCGGGTCCATTAGCGGTGTGAACGGCAAATGACACCAACCCTCCCGACACCATGCGTGGTAACAGACTCGAGCTGCTGGGGGCAAGCAACCCGACGTTGGACCGCTTCAAGAAGAGGAGACTGTGTACCAGTGCATAAGACCGATGTTTCTTTTGGCAGTTTCCAATGTTGCCCGAAGGTCCGACCAGGTAGGTACTCGGTACCTGTAGAATAAAAACGTTCACATCTTGCGCCGACTGATCACAGATTGTATGATCAACAGAAGATCAACAGAAGATCATGCAAGATATGCTACATCAGTGGCCATGTGTCGTCCGGGATCACGCCCGAAAGAAGAGCGTTGTCTCAAGGACCATCCACTTACATTGACCCTCAGATGCCTCTAGCGCATGTATTGCCAGTCCACCAAAGCACTGTTACACACCCAAAATACCTTCCGGTCACCGCCTGTCACAGGATCGCCCGTCCCCATTTTCTCAAGAGTGACACCCCCGAAGCCTCGTACCGTGGATCCGGCTGGAATACGGCGGGGCTGCTGGAGACCCATGTTTGTGGTGTGGGCGCCACATATGACACGGGCTCCTTGGGAGGTTACGGTGCGCGAATCTTCAGATTAACGAGTTCCTTCCCAGGCATTCAGTATTCCTTCCAACAACCGGCGATGATACCTCATCCCTCGCGCAATCCAACGTACCTCAATGTAACCTCGGTGAAGTTCATGCTGCCATGACAAAAGAATCGTAACGTTGGACGTGGTCAGATCGATGAGGAACACCAAGTCGGTACTTTCAGAGTGCCAAAACCGTGCCTTGTGCCTCTATTACCTCCGTCGAAACACCTCGGGCGTTCAATAAACCTCATACCAGAAAGGGCAAGGTCAACGCCCCACGGCGATCCAACAGGTCTCCTCCTGTTTAGCCCCCGAAGCCAACACACAGGACGAATGACCTACGTGTTACCCTTCCGCTACGCCGAAGCCCACCGTCTGGCCTCGACGCTCGAAGCAGCTGTGGGTAGAGTCAGCCCTACTGAAAGCTGGCATGCTTGTCGTTTACACGGCCCTGAAGCCACTACTAGCACTTCCTTTTGACAGCCGCCAACTCCTGGCTTTCTGGGAGTTGTCAATTACACTTGGGCACCTCCGCTCTTTTTTTGCTTCTTCTGCTTTGTGGATCCACAAGTGCTACTAAGCGCCATATGGCATATCCAGCGAGGATATGGCCGGCACCTATGTAAGGTTCTATTGCGCTATCCCATTACCACTACTGAGCAGCTTGAGGGGCCTGGTCTGTCTATAACAGAGCCGCCAATCACCACCAGCAACTGCATCACTCTGCATATGCGGCTACAAAAAGCCAGTCTCACAAGTCCTTGCTTAAGAAGAGCAGAAGTCGTCTTACCACCGAGTAAGTATCCCACTGAGGCACGCAGCCCCTCGGCAACAGTTTAGGGTGAACTCCTGGTCAGCCTCCTCCTCCTCTCCTCGGATAGTAATCGGAATCGCGGCAGACAAGGGTGGTTCGATCTTATGCACTGTTCCGAAAACATGCACGGGCTTCGTTGATAGCAACCAGTACATCGGCTTTCATATCCTCGACAGGTGCCAGCAGTGTTGTCAACCCAGATCTCTTTCAAGGGGCTCTTGTCTTTCCACACTGTGCCTCTCTTAATTCAATCGACATTCGCACCTGTCCGAGAAACACAGCCGTCTTATGATGAGTTACGGATTCACCCACAGTTCAAATAGCGCGACAGGGCCCCAGCTTTGATGAGCGGTCCCCGATGCCTGGAGGCTAGTATTCAATGTCTCCAACACCTGAAGAGGGGGATCCCGTCGTTGTAAAGGATTCAAGCATCAAGGCGGAGGATACTCCCGCTTCCGAAGCAAGCAAGAGGCAGGCTGCTAAGAGGAGGACCAAGACTGGCTGTCTAAGTAAGTCTTACCATTCACCGCGCGAGGCAATCCGCTCGGGTCGATCCTGACAGTAGTATTTCAGCATGTCGCAAAAGGCGAATAAAATGTGGCGAGGAGAAGCCGGTGAGTCTGAACTGTTGGACACATCCTTCAATCTCTAGCCAATTCTTATTACTTTCCCTAGGTGTGCAAGAACTGCGTCAAAGCAAAACGCGAATGCGCCGGTTATGTGCAACCACTCATCTATAAACAACAAGCCCAAGCTCCCCTGACCGCGTTTCCTATCCCTACAGAGCGCTTTCTGTCGCTTCAGGGCGAAGGCATCCCACCCAGCGGTTTCCTGAATCTACGCCTGCCATCCGAGCAGCAGTATCTGGGAGGCTATCACAGCCTCAACCCTTCGGTCCCGCCTCCTTCCCAATCACGACCTTTCGATGCCAGTTATCATGCGCTGCCTCAGCTACCCTCTAGCGTCGTGCCTTATCCGGATCCTCAGGCGGAAGCAGTTGATGCATGGCGACACTCTGTCGGGCCAATGTACCATGGGACATCTGAATCAATGGGACAGAGTGTATCTGGACCACCTGCGGCATATGGTCATGAAATAGCATTCCCGACTTCTTCCTTTCCAACTGATCCCCAGTCAGTGGGCCAAGTGGCAATTCCAGGCTCTCAGGGGTTTCCAGTACCATATCAGAGATTGCCTTCTGCTTTCCCTGCCTACCCGAGATTTGCGCAGGGACACCAGACTCCAGTTCTTTTCCACCAACCACCTCCGCCGCATGTACAAGCTGTTACTCATGGAAGTATAGATGGTATGTAGGGAATAACGGAGCTAATTCAATGAGGCATTTGTCCGCTGCTAAGACCTCGATAGATAACGTGGCTAGGCAATACAGTGTTCATGGCTTTATCCAGCATCCATATTCTGTACGATCAATACTGCCTCCAACTTCTATGACAGCTGCAGACACCGAGCTTGCAACGGTTGATGATGACCTCAACGACCCCGACGACCCTTTCGACGTGGAGATGGACGAAAGTGAGATGTCTTTCCAAGATGCTACGGACAACCTTACACAGATACTTGATCAGTCCGGACAGCATAGTTGGTGGAACCAGAGGCCAGGAACCTCACGAAGAGTGCAATCCGGGACTCTGGCAGAATCGCGCCCTGCGATGACCATGTCACCGTTGCGGGATGAGAAAAACGAGCGCACTTTCCGGCATTTTGTCGAGATTACAAGTCAATGCGTTTCCATATACGAGAGGCATCACTTCAGCCCTATAGCCGCCCCGGCAAGGACTCTCTGGAATTTCACGATCCCAGCCATGGCCTTGTCGCATGCTGCACTTGCACACGCAATTCTGGCGACGGGTGGACTGCATCTGGCCAAGTTATCCAATTCATCTGAAGACCCAGCCGTCAAACACTTCACGTACGCAGTTCGAAGAGTAGGAAAGCTTCTTAGTCTTCCCAGGCGACGTCATGAGATTGCGACACTGGCGACGATTCTCGTGCTCGGCTTCTATGAGGTTCTGAGCGGAGACCACTCGCGTTGGAACTTGCATTTGTCCGGTGCCACTAAGCTAGTGTTGGAACATGATTATGCTGGTATGATCCGTCAGGCAAGGCGCATGCGACAGGGAGCGAAAGCAAGAGTGAATCAGTGGACTGCTAAATTCTCCTTGACACAGGAGAACTATGGACGGGTGGCGGCGATACCTCTTGCGCTTCTGGACGACATCGACTGGGAGGTCGATGCCACTTTAATCAGTCGGTTGACAGGGTTTACTGTGGACTATGATCATCAGGCCCAGCCAAACTTCGAATCAGGAACGTGCCTAGTTGATCTCTCTGAGAAGGATGTCGAAGACCTCAAGACGAAAATGGATCTGAGGTGGTGGTACTGTAAGCAAGACGTGTTTCAAAGTTTGGTCAGTGGTGATCCGCTCTTGATGCCATATGAACACTGGAGATACTGCCCTCCGAGAGGTCAGATTGGGAGGGCCGACAATCCCTACGCCACCTTTGATCATTTGCTTCTGGTCATGGCCCGGCTGGCCGACTTTGGAGGCAAAGATCGATCCCGCAAGCAACGCGCAGTTGCCGCTCGAGGAGGCCAATGGACACCACCCAAGTGGTTATTCGGGCCGTCGGGGGCTCCGGGTGCCCCTGGAGCCCCCGTGGGCAAAGGTAAAGCGAAATCTGGGTCAAGCCACAAGTCCTCTGGCCCAGACTCTGGGATGAGTGGTGCTTCAGTGAAGTTCGCCGGCCAAACCGCTACGAAGCCCTCGCCAGCTCCCAGTGCTAATGAGGGCAGAGTCAGACAAACTAGGCCAGGTCCAAGCCAGGGGCCGGGCGCCGGGCCGACAAGCAGTCCGCCTATGTTTGGTATGATGCCTCCGCCCAGCGAGCCTGTCCAGATGAATTCCGCATTGCGAGCCATGCAGGCCAGCATTCGGGATCCAGCTTATGCAGTGAGCCAAGAGCCAAAAGGGGCGTCGCCGCCACGAGATCTCGAAGACGAGACTTCTAAAGCGTTTGCTGAACATGCTGAAATCGCTAAAGCATTCGAGATCTTCAAAAGGACTCTAGGTCCTGAATTCGATCCCTTGCCAGCTCCTGAGTCACCCATAGCAACACCATTCGGGCCGGCTCTGGTATACAGGAATGCAGCAATAGCTTGCACAATGGCGTTCTACAACGTTGGGCGCATTTTATTGCAGCGTTTGCATCCAGAAATGCATCCTGCCGCGATGATATCGGCTGGCGTCACGGCACATCTTACGCGCGACTATGCTCAGAACGTGGGCAAGATCTGTGCAGGGCTCTATTCAACACAAAGATATGGTCAAAGCGGAGCCCTGGACCCTGCCTTCGGCGGTGAATTGATGGAGAGTACATTTCCACTTCTCTTTGCTGGTGTGCAATACACCGATGCTGGCCAGCGTGGGTGGACCATCAGCAAGCTCCAAGACGTTGCAACGAGGTGCGGCTGGCGAACGTCCGCTGCCATTGCCGCTGCTTGCGAGATAGCCTGGGAAAAGATGGGTCAGGCGGGAAAGGCTCCTCCTTACCATCGTACGCTCAGTAGACATGACAAAGACGCCCGCGTCAACGGTGCAAGGTTGAGAGGGGCTCCCGCTGCAGGCCAAGATGATGGTGGACAGCAGAAGTCGGCTGCTGAGGCCGCACATGAGTCCGAATTTGTCCATCACGATCGCAGCTTGATCGACCGATCCGGTTCCACCAGAGTGCACTGGGCACTAGGCTTACTCTCTGTCGAGGAAGATATCAAGAGAATGAATCTGGAAAATGGATGATTGAACAATTTGGTCGTCACTATGGACGATCGGTTTGAACTTGGACGGTCTAAGTTACCGCTCAAACAAGTATCTCGTTCGTCGCTGCACCTCGACAACTATCAGGAGGCCGAGATGGCTGCTGGCATCAACAATGGTGTCACTCTTGCCCCGATCAATCCAAGATTTGCTGTTCAACGCCAGCGGTCGCTCCTGCACAAGCTCAAAACAATGTCGCAAATATCGCCGTCCTGTGACAGGGCGTCTACCATCCTACCACGTCGAAGGAGCATCAATATCACCTTATATGTGATGCTCACGGTCACACAGATAGTGCTGACAGAAATATTGAACGCATCTCATCATGCAAGGGTTTGTCCAAGATGGGCCATCTTACTTTGACTACACCCCTCGAAGACATGCATCTTCTGAGGCTGAGACGCCCCCGTCAGATCATATTAGTCCGGGAAGTCCTCGCAGAGCATCACCGGGGCCCAGGCCTCGACGTGGATTTGTACGGTCTCATTCGGATTATGAGGCAATGCATAGAAGAATCCAGGTTCAGGCTGTCCTGGAGGTCCAAGTCAGCCACTCGATGACTGCCCAAGGCCTGGGTTTGCTCCCGGAGAGCGAGCTTGGCCCACATGTGGCCATAGGCAGATATCGAACTCAGCAGTCTCCTCGGGTTGCCGAGGCCTCACTTGCCGAATCTGCTGCGAGTGCCCCTATCAGTCCTGGCAAGGTTGTTCCAACCAGCGGCTCAAATACCAAAGGGGAGAACCCTTCCCGCACCCCGAGTCGTCCAACTATGGGCCATGGATGGGCAAGGTCGACTTCAGGAAGTGTCTGGTTCCAAATGAAAAAGTCATCTAGCGACGTTGGGGGTGTGCCATCGATTAGTCGATCAGTGCTGAGTCAACGCGACTCGGAAATTCTTGTCATCCGTACAGATCAGACGCCACTCAGCCCACCGCCCGCGTTGAAGAGCGACGCGGATATTGGTCCTTCCACGGCAAGTTCTATCAAGGTTGAGACGGACTTCGCGGCTACCAATGCAAAGCAGCACACGCCAAAGGGTCGGAAGAACTCTTTTAACCCTCTACATCTCTTTTCAGCTCCTCTCCTACTGATGCAGCGAGCAAGTGCTTCGAGGAAGCAGAGCAAAACAAGAACCGAGGAAGCAAAGGATATTCTTCCGGGACTCAAAGATCAGCTTCTCGAGGACCATCGTACATTACTCAAGAGGAACCACACCGCTGAAGCCCTTAGTCGCGTCAGCGCGATACTGCAAGAGATGAAGCAGTCACCGCAGAGCTCCTTGCGGACGACGACGGGAGTCATACAGTCACTGAAGTGGAGGACCTTTTCCGACAAGTGGGGTGCGAAGCGAGCGGACAAGGACCATCTTGTCGTGCCAGGGGGCAATGATCTGTTCATGCCACCGCCGAAAAAGAGCCTTGATCAACTCTCCGGCGCCCGATCGTACACGTCGAGTGTAAGGAATCTGTTGATGGGGCAGCAGCCGAGCAATAGCCCTGCTGAACAAGCAACATACAAGGTAAAGAGAAGTGCCAGTGCCGAGACCGAGGAGTTCCTCAAGGTAGACATCAGTATACGAGGAGGGACCAGCTATCTGCCGAGCGAGGCACGTCGAATTCACACTCCACCACTGCCTGAAGAAGGTGCAGATGGAAAGTGGCGAGGATTCTTCTTCGACTACAACGCCCCCAAACGGCTCAGCAACATAGCTCTAGCAAGCGGCAGTACGAGCCCTGAGAGTGTCGTCAGTGAATCACAGAGCACTTCGACTCCTCTGGCCAAGGTCAAGAGTGGAGGATACTGCAAGAGCAAAAAGACCAGAAGGATTGGGGGAGGCGACTGGTACGATGTCAAACTGGCCGAACTGGGCCTGGGAAGTGCCTCGGATTGGAGTCAGACTGTCTGTGCCAAAGAAGGTGAGAAACGAGTCAACATGGACACGTTGGAAGTTTTGTCCAAAGGCGGATGGAGAAGGCAAGAGGACCACTTTGATCTGACCATACCGGAGCATCTGCCGAGCAGTCCATTGTGTCCCAGAAATCCTAGATATTGGCGAGTGGTCAAGGGAAGGGGTAGTCAATTCAGGGGCTGTTGGATGCATGGAGTCGGCGTGCATAATGAGCATGGTAATGATAAGGCTAAGGGCAAGAAGGAGGAGGACGAAGAGAAGAGGGAGGTGGAGCAGAAAGACGACGAAGACAAAGAAGAGGGCTCTTGAGAAGACATAATGCATTGCATTGACTTGCTTGAAGGGAGTCCATTCAAGGGGGCAGCCTGGGGTGGCTGGTGACAGACTGTAACGAGGCTCCGGAAGATACAAGGTATTCTTAACATTGTTTCGCTTCTTCTTTTAAGATGAATTGTATGACCGGAAACCCTGTGGAGTTTGTTCTCCTTTCTCCTTTGTCATCTCTCTCTCCAATGTCTGTTTGTTCATTCAACCGGGGTGCCCTCCGACACAGTCTCTGGCTTCCTGCTAATCCAATCCGCCATTTTTCTCGTTTTGGGACATTGACAGGGAACCGCTCAATGATTGATGGCCACCAGCCGAGCTCTCCCTATATCCATACTCCATAATTTGAGGGATGGAGAGGGAGAGGGCAATTCTTCCCCCCTTTTTGACTGCTTCGCTCCCTCTCGACCAATATCGCTTTGCAGAGGCTGGCCACAACCCTTCTTTCGGACACACTCTTGCCCATTGTAACTCGTTCGAATACCGCAATGCGCCGAACGCGTCGTCATCTTATCATGTGTTTCGCCTAGCTTTGCCACTGTCCGGCACACTCTTATCTTTTTTCATCCATTCCCGTCGTCATCGCATAGCACATTGGTCTTCGTTTTTCTGTTATTCCTCATCCCCACCCCACCACGGTACTCCTTATACAGTGTATACAGGGTACACTACTCTGTCTCTCTTTTTTGGTCTTTCCTGTTTTTTGAGTCTGGCTTTGGGGCTGGGTTTGGACTGGTGTGACTTTTCAGTTGTCCTTATCAATGGGTTTCTTTTTACAATTCCCCAAACTTCTCCTCATACTTTGTAATATGAGCGACCTTCTCGGCACTCGAGCTCTGCTCGTCGAAGCGCAACTCGACCCACTCGTCGACCAGCTTCTTGGCCAATTCGAGCCCGATCACGCGCTGGCCGAAACACAGCACCTGGGCGTTATTCGACAGCACGCTGCGCTCGACGCTGTATGGGTCGTGGGCGGTCACGGCGCGGATGCCTTCGACTTTGTTGGCGGAGATGGCGACGCCGAGACCTGTGCCGCAGATGAGGAGGGCGCGATCCGCCTGAAAGATGTTGAAAGTCAGTAAAGGAATGTAGTAGTAGAAGTATCAGGGGATGGTGATTAGATTGGGAGAGTGGTAGATTGTGGTAGATTTCTGGATTTGTTGGCGTTGAGTGTTAAGTGAGGAGGGAGGTTATAGACTGAACTGTTACTGAGTGATCGGGCTGGGGGAGGAAATCTCATGACAATGACAATAGCAATGGCTGGACTTCTGACGACGACAAAAAGAGTAACGAAGGATGAATTATGACATATGAGCAACAGGGTTCTTCTGTTGTGTTTCGTGTTTCGAGTTTCGTGTGTGTTGTTCGCTGCCTTCGCTTCAAAGTAGAGCGTTGGCTTCATCTTACCTCTCCAGACTTGATCTTCTTGCAAGCGTCGACCGCGAGGTGCGGGTACGCAGTGCCATCGTCGGCGTCCACCACACCGACATCCAGGACGTGGGTGACGCCCCTGTGTTTCTTGAGCGTCTCTTTCAAGGCCGTCTTGTAGGCGTGTCCGGCGTTGTCGCTGCCCACGACGATGCGGAGAGGCGCGTTGGCTGTGCCGTTGGTAGTCATTTTTGGTACGGGTTGCTGTGGTCCTAATGGAAAACGTAGAGATGGAATAGAAGGGAAGAGAGTGCTGTGATTTGAAGGGATATTTGTTGTCTCTCAAACAAAACCAGCGGGGATATGGCTATGGTCAGGTGAAAGGGAAGGGAACGGTGAAAAGGTATCCAGGTCCTAGTCTCTCGCCGCCCATGATGACGGTTTCCATCTCTAGGGAGCAGATGGGACGACCCTGGTCTGTACCTACAAGGTACCCCGGCAAGGAAGGTACTTGGTAAGTACCTTAAGTTGGGGACGGCGTTGACGGCGATCAAGCCGTGACCCTCAGAGGGCTGGGGGCGTATTGGATCGACAGGTGTCAGTGCGACTGGAGTCCATCTTTCTCCAGTCTCCGCAACAAGGATCTGGACAAGAGACACTGGAGTCGATAGAGACCAACTCGCCGATGCTCCTCGGTGAAACGCCGAGGGTTGCGGATTGCTTGATCCAGGCATTCCGCTCCTTGTGGCTTGTTGTGATCACAGGCTTGAATTGGGGGTCTGCTCAAGAATGAGGAGATTTGACGGAGAGTGAGGAAAAAGAGGGCGCTGGCGGGGAGAGTAGGGGACTGCGGGGAAAATGTGGCAGCGTGAAAACAGAGCAAACATACCAAACACACCAAATATCGTACCACTACTACTACACGTTGCTACCTGGTAAGGGATACTGATATTCTACCAAGTACACACACCAACAACAACGAGGCGGACGACAGATACACTGACTTCTCAACACCAACTTCGAATCTCCCTCGCACCATGTCGAGTTCATCACCCATCACGTATCCCACTCTCCCACCCAAACTCATCCTCACCTCGACCAAAGCCTACTTCCCGCCCTCCCGGACCATCAGCTACCTCGGCTCGATCCTCGACACGAAGAACAACATCCTGCCTCTCCTGACCTCCCATCGTGACCAAGTTTGTTTCGTCCTCATCCCAGATTTCCTCACCATCTATCCTTGCGCGCAGACGTTGACTGCAAGGTTTCCACCCTCATCAACAGCAACCCCAACCCCAACCACAGCCACAACCCTAACCCCAGAAGACCCAACTGCAGCAATTAAACCAGGACAACCCTTTCCCTCCTCCTCTGCATCTTCCACAACCCCTAGCAACAATCTCACCTCTCCGAATCCCTCGTCGTGGCCCATCCATCTCGGCGCCCAGAATGCATTCCAGTCATCCACCTACGGCGCCTACACGGGCGAGATCGTGCCTGCCGCACTCAAAGAACTCGGCTGTACCGTCGTCGAGCTGAACCACGCCGAGCGGCGCCGTCTGCTAGGCGAGTCCGACGAGTCTGCCGCCGCCAAAGCCGCCGCGGTCTGCGCCCTGGGAATGATTCCCTTGGTCTGTATCGGCGAGCTTGACAAGCCGAAGAACACCCACGGACCCCTGAGCCAGGCTGTCGGTCTGGCCATGAGCCAGTTGACGCCGCAGATCGAGGCTGTGCTGCGTGCCGTGCCGCCCGATGCGCCGGTCATCTTCGCATATGAACCTGTCTGGGCTATCGGCGCCGCCGAGCCCGCGGGCGTTGACTATGTCGGTCCTGTGGTCCAGGCGATCCGGGAGGTCGCTGGACGTGCGCGTGCTGGAACGAGCAAAGCCGCAGAGGTGAAAGTCGTCTATGGTGGGAGCGCGGGGCCCGGGTTGTGGAGCGGGAAGACGAACGGTGGGAATGGGCTTGGGAAGTGGGTGGATGGGTTGTTCCTGGGCCGGTTTGCGCATGAGATCTCGGGCATCAGAGCTGTTGTGGAGGAAGTCGTGGAGAGTTTGGACAAGAGCTGAAAAGTGGATTCGGTACGTGTGGGCGAAGGACATACATGCCACTACCCATCAACAACGACATTGCTTTGGACCATGTACCCGGAGCCAATGTCTACTGTCTACTGTCTACCGAACCTGAGAACCCAATCCACAGGCCCGTTATTGGAGTCATCTCTAAGAAGGAAAACATCATCTGATGAGCTTGGATGGACACTGTACGCCGTCCAAGAGCGCTGGCTACCTGACATGGAGATGATACCAACGCCATATCGGGACAATTAACACCATAAACATGCTCGTCAAGTCATGCACTCATCCAATTCACATTGCCACCTGCCCAAATGCCACCGATGCAGATATCCACAAGGACCAGAAACGCCATGCAGCAGTTCACAAATACTTAAATCCCATGCTTAGCCTCACTCACCCCTTCAGCTCTCCCGGAGTCATGACCGAAACCATACTCGTGCCTTCACTAAACCTGGTCCTGAACACCCGGTTGGCATTCTGGAACATACCGTCCTTGAGACTGACGACGATGAACTGTGACCCCTGGAACCGAGCCTTGATGATCCGGCCAATGTTTTGCGTATGAGAAAGATCCAAGGCCGCATCCACCTCGTCCAGGATATACATGGGGGCAGGCTTGAATTGCAGCAGAGCGAGAATGAGGGATAACGCGATCAGCGATCTATCAGACGAGCCAGTTAGTCGTTGTGGATCTCTCAAGACAACAAGAAAAAGAACCACAGAGGGGAGACAAAAGAAGAAGGTTGCTGCAACATGTGTATGTAACATACCTTTGACCACCCGAAAGCTCGGTGAGACTCTGTTTCCACACTTTCCCCAAACACACTTTGACCTCCAATCCCTCTTGGATCCGGTCGAGATTGTCGTCCAACGGCACCAGCTTGGCCGTGTTGTTGCCAGGCAAGAGGTCGGAGAAGATATTGCCAAAGTCTTCGGTGACCTTGCGCCATGTTTTGAGCAGGGCCTCCTTCTTATACTCGTCCAGCGTGCTGATGGTCTCCTCGATCTTCTTCTTGTCTCGCACCACCGTCCGCAGCATGTTCTTCAGGCTGGCCTCTTTCTTCTCGACACTATCGATCATGGGCATCACCTTGGGGTTGATCTTCTTCTTCATGCCTTGGAATCTCTCCGTCACATTCTTCAGCGTCGCCCGGCTCTCCGCCAAATTCTTGCCTTGGAAGTCGTACGGCGTGCCGGGACGGCCGAATTGGTCCTTGTTGTCTTCGATCCAGTCGTGTTCCTTTTCCAAAGCGGCCACCATCTGTGCCGCGGCTTGCGCGTCCTTCTGCGCTTTCTCCACGGCGTGCCCGAGTTTTTGCACCTCCAGTGCCTCTTCGGCCACTTGTTTGGATTTCTTCGACTTGGCTTGTTCCAGTTCGCGGAGCTCGTCATCGAAGCCCGTCAGCTTGGCTTGCTCGTCCGCCAACTCGGCCTGAGCAATGTCGTGTTTGCTCTTGACCGAAGCTTCCTCCTGTCGAAGCGTCTGCAGTTCCTCTTTTTGACTTTCGATGCCATTGCCGGTTTCCGCGAGTTGTTCTTGAGCGGTGCTGAGATCACCTTCCGCCTGTTCACAATCGATCCGCGCATCTTGCAATTCCTTCTGAAGGGATTTGATGGCCGCCGAGGTCTTGCTCAGAGATTTTTTCAGCTCGGCCAAAGACTTCTCCAGCTCCTTGAGCTTGCTGTCCTTATTCTTGCTGAAGTCTTCCATGTCCTTCTCGATCCGCTTGACGTCTTTGGCGGCCTCTGCTTGTCTGGTCTTTGCATCTGACATATCTTGCTTCAGTTGCACAATCGATGCCTTCATTTCTTCAATCGCCTGGATGATGGATGACGATGAATTTCCAGAGATTTGTTCTTCGGAGAGTTTGATCTCGTGCGTTTTGAGATCTAGCTCCTGTTTCACGGCCTTGATGTTGGCAAGTTTGTTCTGCTCCTTCTTCATCGTCTGTTGTAGCTCTTGAAGGTCGGTTTGGTTTTTCTGGAGTTCTCTTGTTACTCCGTTGAGTTTCTGGAGGATGATAAGAACGCCACTTGAGTTGGGAGAACTGCCCCCCGACAGCGTGCCCGATGGATCGTATACATCTCCTTCGAGAGTCACACTCTTCAGCCGCACAGCCGGATCGAAGGTCACTCTTTTCGCTGTCTCTGCATCGTCACAGATCAACGTGGTTCCAAAAACATAGTCCATTGCCGCAGAGACTTCGTGATCGTACCCAATGAGTGATAGTGCAAGATCGACCTTTCCAGGCGCTATTCGTTGGGCTGCTCCAACCTTTTCCGCCGATGCTTTGAAGGCCGAGATCTTGTTCAAAGGAATGATTGTCACCCTCTTCTTCAGTTTGCCATTCTGTAGCAACTGAGTACCGGTCTCGGCCGTATCCACGACAACGTTGTATAGTCGGCCTCCAGCACATATCTCCAGAGCCGTACCTGCAATAGATTTGTCCTTGTCAAGCGTGAAGAGTTGAGCAACCAGTCCTTTGACTTTCGACCGGTCGAAGCTGGGCGAAGGGTCACTGAAGTGAAAATCAACGTTGGCCACTTTCCGCTTGAGTTCATCGGCCTCCTTCGTCAAAACTCGAATATTCTTCTGAAGGGCTACTTCCTGCTCCCGCATCCTCTCTTCACGGCCCGGCTCGAACCCGAGTTTCTGTAAATTGTCCTCCAGTTTCTGTGCTTGCTTTCGAAGCTGTTCGAGACCTTGCAAGAGGTCGGCGTTCTGTTCGCGAGCCTTTTTGGCGCGTGGTGCATCTTCTTTGATGCGTTGTTCCAAATGCGATATTTTCAGCTTGGCTTGTTCTTGTTCGGTGCCGGCCGTGGTGAGCTGGGCACGCGCCTCCTGTAGCTGTCCCTGGTAACCACTCTCTTGCCCTTCTCGTGAGGCCACACCTGTCTGCAGCGTCGACAGCAGTTCTTCTTTCTTCTCCACTTCCGCTGTCTGGGCGTCAAGCTCCGATTTCGCACTGTCCCAGCGTGACTGCAGCTTCTCAAGGCTAGCCTTTTTGTCACTGACTTGTTTTTCGAGTCCTTTGACGGTTTTGGCGATCTCCTTCTTCCTCTGCTCTTCTTCCGCAACACTGGATTGCTTCAGGTCGAGTACGGTAGCCAGTCGCACAAGCTCGTGGCTGAGCTCTTTAACTTGCGCCTCGATTCCTTGATGTCGCCCACCTTTGCGCAGTTCCTTCTCTCGAACCGCGCGGACTCTCTGGGCGTCTTCGCTTAGATTTTCTATCTCGCGTTTCAGCTTGACAGCGTTGTCCTCCAAATGCTGGACTTTGGCACGTTTGGCCTCGTGCTCTTCTGAGGACGTTCGCATCTTCTCTCCTGCTCGAACGTAGTCCGCTGCTACCACGACCCTCGTCAGTCGCTCCAGCTCACTTTGGGTCTTTTGGTAGTCAAGCCACGCTCTCTTCTCGCCACGTAGTTTGTCCAGCTTAGGCTCGATTTCCTCTCTCAGCAGGCCTTCGATTTCCACCACTTTCGTTTCTTTCTTGGCCATGGTTTTGGTCGCCTTTTCTTTTCTATCCTCAAACATGCGCGTTCCGGCGGCTTCTTCGATCATGGCCAGAATTTCGGCAGGCTTCATGTTGAGCACTTTAGTGATCCGGCCTTGCATGATGATGAAGTTGGGGTTGTTGATGTTTAGGCCAACGCTCTGGAACAAATTCTGAACTGTCGTTTGTTGCGCTCGGTGGCCGTTAATGAGGTATTTGCTTGTCCCACCCATGACGATCTGTCGCGTGATGCTGATCTGATCATACTCTTCAAATCCTATCGGGCTCGTGCTTTTGTCGCTGTTGTCGAAAACTATCGTCACGCTTGCTTTGGTTACGCCGGCTTGACCACGTTTGTATATCAGATCTTGCAGGTTTTGTGCTCGCACTGTGGACATGTTCGTGATGCCCAGAACAAAGCATATCGAATCGAGGATGTTGGACTTCCCGGATCCATTGAGACCAGTAACCGCGTTGAAACTCTGGTCCCAGCCGGATATGACGGTCCTCTGGCTGTAGGACTTGAACCTACGAGTGTGTCAGTCGCGCAATCTCATGCTGGGCTGGTGATTCGACGCTTACCCATCGATAACCAGTTCTATAATCTTCATTGTGCCGGCGGAGCGCTGCTAGTTAACTTGGACAATTGCCCCTCATGTACAAGCTGGCCTCAATTGATCGTATGCGTCGAGGTGGATGGTCCTGCGCTGCTCGAAGTGGAAGTTGTTTATCCTTCTCAATGTGGTTAGACGAAATCAACACTTACTCGAGATAGGAAAGTGCGGCGAGGCATTTCCCTCTAAATGCTCCTCCGCAGGCTTGGCGCGTGTTCCAAAACTTCAGGGTCACTCCAAGAGCTCCACGACCATCACTGAACACCCTTGCGCTATAGTCTATCTGCTTCATCTGCGGGTGGTGTAGGCCTCCAGGTACTACAGCTCAAGATGGCGTCGCTAGCACGAATATTCGCCCCTTCCTCAGCCCCTACAAGCGTTTCTCTATTTCTCGCTCCAGCTTTCGCACGATGTCAGCCGGTTACCGTTGTGGCCTCCCAGTCACGAAATTATGCGGCGCGATTGAATCGAAGACCGAAGAGGGACAAGAACAAGCAGAGAGGAGTGTCGGCCATCCGTCGAACCGGCCCGAGGTCGACCCGAGGTTTATGGCAATATCCCCTCCCGGTACCTGTCGCTAGAGACCACAGGACAACTGCGGCGGAATATGCAGGCTCCGAGGACCATGGACTCTGGGGATTTTTCAACCAGAAGAGACAAGCGATGATGCCGCCAGATGAGGAGTCGAGCCATGGTATGATTCACGCCCAGTCTAAATTCAATACGTGGAGATGAACCGTAGCTAACGTCGACACAGGCAGGGCTTGGACATATCAGGAACTTTCTGTGAAATCATTCGATGACCTACACAAGCTTTACTGGGTGTGTGTGAAAGAACAAAACCAGGCTCTGACGAGAGAGAAGGAAAGAAAGCGTGTCAGAGCGGGTTACGGTGCCCTGGAAAGTGAGGAGAGAGTGGAAGCGGTAAGTTTATTATGATTATGTTCATGTTGCTTTTGAGCTCGGAGTACATCCTACAGCGCCTGTATTCCTCTCTGGGATGACTCAGGCGTTGCAGCGCCGGATGGGTCTATCGGAGAGTCTATTATGGTTTCTTTGGGCCATGCTGATTAAGCTTCTGCCAGATTCGAGAGACCATGACACTGATCCGGGAAGTTCTTGCTGATCGACAACTCTCGTACGACCAAGCCCAGTTACTCATCCGGCAGCGACCAGTGAAGGAGATATTGGAAGAGGGGGACAGCCACGAAGGAGATTCATCTGATTTTGAACAACTTCCGCCCTCTGAGGCAGGACAAAGCTCTCAGTCGCCGCCCACAACTGTTGCATAGGGTTAGCGAACCCAACACTGCCTCGAGCGCCGCGATGTCTAGGCTTATATTCTTTGACCACAATACGTGCCGACCTTTTTCAGGCGCCTTCCTGTACACCACAATCATATGCGACTCAGTCCTGCCAAAGATACGAGCTCTATTGCATAGACTTCTCGGCGGTTACAGACCTAAACAGCTGCCACTGAGCGGACATTGAGCCCTGTGCAACGTAAGCGAGGCTCGCAAGGGGGTTTCCTGTTTTGCACAACGACACACAACACGACTATATCATACATTTTACAAAGGTGGCGGCAACCTTGAAGGCTAGAATTTCTCGGCAAAGGCGTCGAGAACAAAGCTGTCTGTCACCGCACCATCTCCCCAGCCTTCGATATGGGGAAGACCTTCATCAACCGGCCCGAACAATGACGGATCGATGGTCGTTGAAGTCACCGAGACGGCATCTGCCGCATCTTCGGAGCCAAACAACTCGTATCTCCCTGGTGTCAGCACGGAGCTTTCTCTAGCCGCGAGCTCATCCCTCAGCTTCTGCAACGGCTGCCACAAGTTATCGTTTACGGCGAGAAAGTCAACGGACGGTCGATTCCGAAACAGACGCTCAATACGGTACCTTGCGGCCCGAGCTTCGAGGCTGTTACTCAATGCTTCATGGCGTAGCACCATAGACAGCAAGGTCGCAACGGAGTGCCAGGAGAAGGCTCGTACAATGACCCAGTCAAGGCTGTGCGGTGTATAAAATTCCGTGAGATGGTTCGACATCTTGCAATAGTCGATGGCGAGTTGATATAGCCTGGTTTGGGGTGATAGTGAGTACTGGTGTCCATAGCTTATACGGTCTCTTTTTACAACACAATGGACTGCTCCAGCCACACGACAGGAAAGAAAAGAAAAGGAAATGCTTGCTTACTTACTTTGCCTCGAGTCCGACCCTCTCCCGTTCGTCCAGGCCTTTCGCACTCATAATGGGCGCCAGCTGCATCAACGCTATCCGTCTGAAAGCATGGTCGTGAAGATCTCGCGTCAATCTCTGGAGAATATTTCCCTCGTCCAGAGTGCGCAGGTATGCGATCTCCAGCCGCTGCCTCGCCTGCCGCACCACCTCGGACTGCAGGTCTAGGTAGTCTCGAACAGAGGTTGCCGGTGTATACGGGTGGGCGAGCACGAATGTCGCCAGGGCTGACAACTCATACTGCACGAGCGCCGGCGTCATCTCGGTAAACGCTCCAGCCTGGACATCCGGCCGGCTCGAGGCGAACTCGGACGTATCCCAGGAAGAATCGTTGCAGTTCAGTGGCAGACACACGTCCGACTCGCCTGAGTGGATTGTCGGTTGTAAGCCGTGGTTCTCGACACACCATGCATCGAGCAGCACGAGGTGGTGCCACAGCCTTCGACGGAGTTCCGTCTGCCAATGCGAAATGGGGAAGTGCGTGCCGTCGCGGTTGAAGCCCATGCGTCGGGCTATGGTGAATGCGACAGCCAAGAGGGTGCTCACGTGAAGCATCTCGCCTGTCCAGAACAATAGAGTCTAAGAAAGGAACCAGACGCATGGTACTGTTAGCTGCTGTGTGGTTGTTTGTGCGTTGAATAGGCTTAAGATTGACCATGTAGGTAGGTAGGTAGGTAGGTAGGTCCGTTTGAGACATGGGAGGAGAGGAGAGGAGAGGAGAGGAGAGCAGAATATAACAGAAAGCCATAACTTACAATATACAACACAAACGTCCTCAGCGTAGACAATGACTGCGTGGTAGTCAGGTTCAACCGACTCAGCCCGTGCTCCACGTAGCTGCGATACTTGGATAACAAGGCCGCTTTGGGTTCGTGGAGCCGGTACTCAACCACGGTCGAACACAGTGGGAGCAGTGCCAGCGCGTAGACGGCGAAGAGACCGCACTCGAATTCGTGCGCGTCAGGGAGGATGCCGCGGCGGAAATGGTTTAGATCGCGAAGCAGCGTCGGCTTATGGAGGATGCGGACAAAAGGGTCGACTTTGTCAATGTAGGTCTGGATTAGGAAGTCGCCTTCTAAGATGGGCGGATGGGCTCGACTGAGCGTGCGGTCGTGGTCGATGTTGGGAAAGAGGAAGAAATCTTTGGATAGTCGTGGTTCGGATTCGAGAGTGTATTTCAGGTCTCCGATCTTGATTTTATTCGGTCAGGGACAGGTCACAGAACTCAAGCTTGGATGTAAGGCCATGGAAGTGGGGATAGATTGATACGACCCATGAATGAAACTCGACTGGGAGGTGATGGAGGAGTCAGGACCAAGAAAAAGGAGTAGGGATATGAAGGGGTTGGGACCCTTTCTGTTCTTGCCGTCTTACCTCGTCGTACATGGCGGCCCAGAATCCTTCTTGCAGGTATCGTGATCTGTCTCGGTCGAAGACGAGTTTACCTTGGGTTTGCGCTTCTGTTTGCCTCGGTTGCGGGTGTGATGTTTTGCGAGCTTGAATCTGCGCCTGAGGGACATCCATCCCTTTCTGAACGAGGATATTCTGGGTCATGTTCTCCATCGGGTTGCCTGGTCGGTCTCGGTCAGTCATTGAATCTTTTCATGGAAACGGTCTTCTATTTTTTCTCCTTTTGCAGAGTAACGGCGCAACGCTGCATCATTTGTGTTCTTGCTCTGCTTTGGGTCTCTATCTCGATGCATTCCTCACCTTGACTTGGCCGCTGACTCAGGTTTCGCACAAGTTCTTCAAGTTCAGCTACCCTCTTCGCGAGATGCTCCGTCGGCTTCGGCGTGCGTCGGTTCACGAGACGGCTGGGCCCTTCGTAAGTGCACTCAAAGCCGGACCGGACACAGTTGGTACAGGGTTCGGTCTTGGAACATCGCACTTTTCGTTTCCTGCATACTCCACACGGTAGATCTTGGGTAGGTGACGGGATCTGCTGCGGTGAATGTGAATCGTTATGGCTCGGGGTGTTGTTGTTGTTGAGGGCGCCCATTGTAGCATGTCACTTCGCGAGTCACGCGACAACAATTGAGTGTCGCCGGGGTCTGTATGCTTCGATTGAAGAAAGACCCTTAGTCGTTCATCATGGACCTTGGAAAGGCAAGTCTGATAAAAGGCGTGGAGATATATCTATGGAGACTTCAACTCTGCTTTCGGCAACTGCTGCAGTATCTTCATTGGGTGAAATGAGGGAACTGATCCATATTTGTCTGAGTTGACTAAGCGCTGGTCCCATACGGAATGGGGAGAACCCTCGTTGACCTCGTTAACCTCGTTGACATCTCTCGCTGTTTTTCAAGGTCTGAGCTTAGCTTATCAATGCTGCCGGCTAATGAGTAGGTACCTAAGGTAACAAGGTCCTGTCCCGAGTTCAAGTTGTCGCTGTTGGCATGATACTAGTCCAAGCGACCCCATCGACCAAAAATAACTTGTCCCACTGTCCTACTACTAGCATTGACCCGGGTTATCCGTCCCCCGATCTCATGATACTGTCAGGGACTCAGGGCCGCCGGCTGTGGACTAGAAAGAGTTACTTCAGCTCACCAAGGGTCCCGCTTACATATATTGCGATGCCGTCAGTTCCTATTGCGCCGCTTTGAATGGGGTATGGTAGGTCTGTCTGGGTCAATTGTCACAAAAAAGTCCCTCTAGACGCTGCCACTGTGTTAAGCTAGCCAGAATATACATCTCAGAAAGTATGATTTCCAAGATCCTCTTGCAACGCAATCAGTATTGACGGTTGTATTGCCTTGAATCCCAGCCTTGCCGCCCTGTCTCCCTTGACAAGCATGTTCGCGCCAAACAACTTCCCAACCTCACCCTGACCAGCCTGCTCAAACGGCACACTCTTCGGCTCTGGAGACGACACCACTCCTTTGGCATACAAGGTCTTTGCCAGAACAGTGGTCAAGTCCTTCCATGCGACCCTTTCGCCGTGGAGGATATAGTATCTGGAGTAAGCGCTGCCTGTCGGCTCCTCTGTTCCAGCGACGCCGACAATTTTGGTAATGAAGGGCACGGCATCTGCAACGTGGATCTGTTTGTCAACATTAGCTGCAGATTCCCCCTGGGGTGTCAACAAAAGAGAGGCCTACCATGCTGGCCACGGCGGTCCCGTCACCCACATACGGGACAAAGCCATGTTGTTTGGCGTTGTAGGTGAGAATGGTATACGCGATACCCAGACTTGAAGATGGCCCGGTGTTTGGGCCATATGTCATTCCGATACAGACAACGTAGGTGATGATTTTGCCTCTTTCTCCCGCTTCCAGGATCCTGGGTTTCCAGAATTGTCAGTTTCACCGGGTTGGACACGAAAAATAAAGTCGGAGAGCTTACGGTGTATCTGTCGGTCCGTTGAACATGTTGCGGTTGACGAGTTTGATGTCTTCTTCGTTGTCGTCCTGTGGTGATTGTCAGTTCCGTTACCTCTGTCTCGGTCTCGACCAAGGAAGGGCTGGGATGATAGTGGAAAACTGACATTCCAGACTTTGCTCTCAGGGTTGAAGTTGCCCGAAGTCCCATGGTCGATGAAGTTGCCTGTGCCGCTGACATGGATGAGGGTGCCCTTCGAGTGTTCTGGCCTCTCCTCCATTCCGGAAATGACTAGATTGACAAAGTCGCCGTCGAAGGAGGTCGCCGCGTTGATGACAATGTCGTGCTCCTTGCTCAGGGACCGCACCAGGTCGGCATCGGTAGAGGAGCCATGGACGAGCTTGTCCGCACCGGCAGACTTGAAATAGTCATCCGCATTGTTGTTGCGTAGGAAGACGGTCAGCGGCCATTGCGGATGTGCTGTCTTGATATCAATGGCCAAACGAGCTTGGAGAAGTAGTCAGTCTCTCTCCCAGTATTCGTCTCACAGTGGGACATACATCCGATCAGACCTGTAGCACCGTAGAGGAGGACTGAAGGCATTGTGTCTGGTATCTAAGGTTTCTTGCTTCTCTTGCTAGGGTGTTGTTATGCTTCAGAACTGGTTCGATGGAGGTGAGAGCTACCATAGCGGAACCTGTCCAATATATATAGCACATCAGTAAATACTAGCACCTCAAGCAACAGCCGGCCTCGCTGCTGTTAGCCATTGTTGTCATTATTCAGCTTGCTCGTCAAGAAGCTGAACAGTATGGCGGGTCTAAGCCTGGCGAAGGTTGTATAGCGAGAACAGGATCAATACTCGAGACAACAACGCGCAGACGGGAAAGGTGGATGCCCCCATGACGTGTGGTGCTCTCTTTCGATGGGAACCGTCTGCTGTCATAGCGAAACACGCTCAATTCCCGGCGTGTTGCTGTTCTGAATGAACTATGGAGTTGGATATATAATACATAGCACTGTCAGCATCGCTCGCCGAGCTGGGTGTTCGCCGAGCGAGCGAGCCAATCAAAGTGGTCCAAGAGAGTGGATCTGGCCATCGGGGACTCTCTCCTCCTCTATGAGAACCACCCGTCAGTGTATTGGCTTCTCTTCTTGTCTCTTCACTTCCTATCGGGCATCTGCAACATCTGTCAGCAGGGTCCACATGGGGAAGCGTAGAGATCAACGTCGCTGCTCTTTCACGTCGCATCCGCTTTCAAATTCGACAGAAGACATCTTAGCGATCAGAAACATGACATGTCGGCTTTTGTCAGCCATGGACGTTGGATCCAAGCCTGGTCATAGTTTGATTGGGAACCAGATGATATAAAGGAGTCCTCCTGCCATGAGTTTTGGCAGAACATCATCAACGCAAGCATTCCACATCTCGAGCACCTCACCTACAAACACTTGGAAGAAGGCCACTTCACCTTCAAAGGACAATCCAGAAGATATACACACCACAGCCATGTCTCAGCAGTATCTCAAGGGCAAGACGGCGATCGTGACCGGTGCCGGAAAGTTGAACGGTATAGGTGCAGCAACGGCCATTGCGCTCGCCGAACAGGGCGCCAATGTGAGTCCAGACGTATCTTCCACTCTCATCTCCGCGCACCACTGACCAAGACCAGGTTTTGATCCAATACAACAGCTCAGCAGCCGCGGCAGAGGAGGTCGTGTGTAGGCTCAACAGTCTTGGTGTTCATGCTGTTGCTGCCCAAGCCAACGCTGCTGCGGAGGACTTTGGGAAGGTCCTGGTGGATGCTGCCTTGAAAACATTCAACACCGACACCATCGACATCATTGTCAACAATGCCGGAACCGCGACTGTTCAACCGGAAGGCATTGCCTCTGCCGCTTTCGAGGATTGGGATAATGTCTTCCACGTCAACGTTCGCGCACCGTACATGCTCATTCAAGCTGCCCTTCCATACATGAAGGCGGGCGGACGCATCGTCAACATTTCTAGCATCATCGCCCGCCTCGGTTCCAAGATGCTGCTTGTGTACGGCGCTTCCAAGGGAGCATTGAACTCCCTGACTGTGGCCATGTCCGAAGAACTGGGGCCCAAGGGAATCACCATCAACGTCGTAGCGCCGGGACCGATCTCCACCGACCTGAGCATGCAAGGGTCGCCCATTGCAACCAGGCTGAGCAACAATCAGGCTATCAAGAGAGAAGGAACACCCAGAGAGGTTGCCGAGACTGTTTTGTTCATGGCAAGTCCTGGCAGCAGCTACATCACCGGTCAGGTCATTGGTGTGGATGGTGGCATCGGGTTCCCTTGATTGCAGCAGTGCTAGACAGTCAGGTTGATGAAGATTGGGGGGATGAGCGGAAAACATATATTTCTTCCACTCAGGGTCTCGTCTCGTTCCATTTTTGATGTATGCCCCCCATTGAGTATAATCCGCTATTGTCGGTCTGAATCGATCTGATCTGACAGACGCTTATCGACGCGTACAGTGCCGAGAGACGCGGACCGAGGCAAGTGAGGCTAGCCTGTAAGTATGGTGACATGTCATCCGTGGATAACCGACCACATTTATCACCCGTCGCTCTGTGTGACGTTGCCTCGTCGTTGTTTCCTTCTTAGGCCGTAAATATTCCGAGTACTTACAGCAAGTAAGTATCTGTTGGCCAATTTATCATCACAACAGCCTGAGTGTCTGTTCTGCCTTTGCCAATAGTCAGGTCATAGACTCGTGGATCAAGAGGCTTCACCGAGCATCTTAAAACCCCAGAATTTCCAAGCAACAATGTCACCAGCAACGCTGCCCTTGGGTCAATACCTCTTCAGACGGATCCGGCAATTAGGAACCGAACACATTCTTGGGGTTCCGGGCGATTTCCAGCGTGAGTGATAGTCGTCTGCCCGAAGGACTTTGTCTTGTCTCATTGAGATCGTTGACTTACTCTCCTCCTTCCAGTCACTCTTCTTGATGAGATCTACAACACCCCCGGTCTCAAATGGGTGGGCTGCTGCAATGAGCTCAACGGTGCCTACGCCGCTGATGGCTATACCCGCATAAAAGGGTCGCCGGCGGTGCTTGTGACAACTTATGCCGTGGGAGAACTGTCTGCCATGAACGGGGTTGCAGGTGCCTATGCCGAGCATGCTGGAATGATTCACATTGTGGGCATGCCGGCAAGAACCCGTAAGTCAGATCGCATCAGCCTGACCATACCTCTGACGAGCTGTACCATGGCTGAGACCTTCCTTTCGCCCTTTAGTGCAAAAAAGCCGCGCCATGCTGCATCATACTTTCGAGCCAAATATGGATCCTGCTGTTTATATTCAGATGGCTGGACCCATCCGCAAGACCCATGCCTACTTGATGGACGACGAGACCATGGCAGAAGAAATCGATCGCGTCATTGTCGCCTGCGTCCGGAGCAGACTCCCCGTCTACATATACGTACCAGTTGATGTTGTCTCTGTGCCGCTGGATGCGTCGCGGTTGGAAACTCCTCTCGACACTGCAATTCGCAACGCGGATAGCGAGATCGAAGATCGCATCGTCCACTCCGTTCTCTCAGAGATCGAAAAGGCCTCGGACCCTGTGATACTGGCTGATGTCCTGGCCATCCGTCACGGTGGACGAGATTTGACGAGAAAGCTGGCAGAGATCACCCAGTTCCCAAGTTACACCACGCCACTGTCCAAAGGGATCATTGACGAGAATGCCCCATACTTCAATGGAGTGTACAATGGGAAAGGTGGGACTCCAATGTATATCCCGCTCTCTGGCTCTGGCTGACCGATCGAAGTGTCGTTTCCAGGAGTCGCCGAACGAGTCGAAGGTTCAGATCTAGTCTTGAATCTCGGTCCTCTCCTGTCAGACTCAAACACTGGAGGATTCTCGAGAACGATCAAAGACGACAACCTGATCCATCTTGGTCATGATTTCTGTCAAGTCAAGGGGGAAAAGTTCGATGGTGTCCATTTCCTACCCGTCTTGCAACGGCTTGTCGGCGAGCTGGAATCCCAGCCTCGGAAATACAAGTTGCCCCGGCCGCAGGAAAAGCCCCGACTTGAACCTCCTGTGCTGAATAACGCTAGTTCGGGCGAGATCAAGCAGTCATATGTTTGGCAACGTCTCGGCCGGTTTTACAAGGAGAACGACATCATCCTCACAGAATCTGGAACGGCGCAGTTCGGGACGCCGGACGCCACATTTCCACCGAACGCAAAGTACGTCACTCAAATCTTCTGGTCATCGATTGGTTACACCGTCGGATCCTGTCTGGGAGTACTCGTTGCTGCAAAAGAGCTCAACCATTCCGGACGTGTAGTATTGATTGTGGGCGAAGGAAGTCTGCAAATGACAGTCCAGGAGATCGGCACTTATATTCGCTACGGCTTCAAACCTATCATCTTTGTGATCAACAACAAGGGCTATTCGATTGAAAGGGCCATCCACGGGCCGCAGCAGGAGTACAATGATGTGAGCTTGTTGTGGGATTATCAGAAGATGCTCGAATTCTTTGGCGCAAGGGAAGAGAATGGAATCAAAGCCAAGAGCCGAGCTGTGAAGACAGTGGAGGAGCTGGAAGCGGTGTTGGGCGATGATGATTTCGCAAGTGGCGACAGTATCCAGGTCAGTCATGACAAGCGGCTCAGCGTCATCTGTGACAAGCTAACCTCGTTTGCAGCTCTGCGAAATCCACATGGACAAGTTCGACTACCCTTGGAGACTGGCGAAGCAAGTTGAGCTTATTGGTGAACGTATGAAGAAGGCCGCCTCTTCATAAGCCGTGGGCAAGTCGAAAGAGTCTTGTTGCCAGCAGAACCCAGTGAAATGGAACTCCAACATGGATCACCCATATGCACTCATTCGGATCACCCTCCGGCAAGGATACAGCACTCTCTGTTTAACATTGGTGCCATCATCACAGAGCCTGTGCAGCTAGAGTATCCCAATGGCCCCTCTCAAGGTCTGCAGGAGTGACATGCTGTAGAGATGATATAAAACACGATTCATGACTCATGAATGCTCCAGCTGCAACTCGTCAATTGTCTCCCATGGGCAGCTTGTATGAAGTTAGGTAGCTATTCCTGGTTAGCTTCGACTGCGAACTTGCAGCTGGGTGTCCCTAAATCATTAGTATGGTGCAGTTCAAGTAGATTGACTACACTCACCTCTATTCATTGTGAGATCCAATCTCACGAGGCTGAACAAGGCTGTATATCTGCTACGGTGGACTACAAACTCCAACTATGCAACGCTTGGCGTCCCATGACCTCATTGCGGTGAGTTGAGTGACCACTGCAGCGCAGCGCAGTGCAGCACTGACACCAACACCGCTTCCGACAACTGATTGATACGATAACTTGACAACGTCCTCCTGCGCGACCGTTTTAGTGCAGACACCAGTCAGTCAGTCAAGTCAAGTCAGTCCGTGTTCACGACCCTTGACTCTCCTGTACTGTCGCGCCATCTACACATACATCCCTCTTCTTGTTCTCCCCTCCTTTGTCTACTACCGCGTAAGGGCCCGACATCAACATCCCCCTCGAGACTTAATCGCAATGGAAGAAATCGCCTCCGAATACGATGTCATCGTCCTCGGCACAGGTATGCGCAACTCTGCCCGCCGCGAAGTCGTCCCCATCTCTCTCTTTACCCCACAGACTGACTCGAAACAACCGATCTATAGGGTTGACGGAATGTGTCTTGTCTGGGTATGTTCACCACCACCGTCCCGAAGAAACTGTTTTGAGTTGTCGTGTCCTATTGCTAACCAGAATCCGGGATAAAGGGTGCTTTCTGTCAAGGGAAAGAAAGTCCTCCATATCGACCGAAATGATCACTACGGCGGGTACGAGACCCGATAATCACCCCTAAGCCAGAGGAAGAAGATATACTGATTGGCAATGATCATGAAAACAGAGAGGCAGCGTCGTTGAATATTGAGGCTGTGAGTAGGACAATACTCCATTATACAATGTCGCAAATACGACCACGCAAGAGCAGAACCATATCTAACAACTTTTGTCACGTCAGTTATACAAGCAATACGGCAACTTCCGACAAGGAGAAGAACCGTGGAAGAAATATGGACGCGTCAACGACTGGAACATCGACCTGGTGCCCAAATTCCTCATGGCAAATGGAGAACTCACAAACATCCTCGTCTCCACCGATGTCACTCGATACCTCGAATTCAAACAGATCGCAGGCAGCTTTGTACAACAAGGTTCAGGTCCGCGAGCCACGGTCGCCAAAGTCCCCTCTACCGCTGGCGAAGCCTTGAGCTCACCATTGATGGGCTTGTTTGAAAAGAGGAGAGCAAAGAAGTTCTTGGAATGGGTTGGCACTTTTGAAGACAGCAATCCGTCCACACACAATGGTGCGTAGCCTGACACACTCATATCGACTGAACGCTGACCCGACATATTTGAGTAGGATTCAATCTGAACAGATGCACGATGAGAGAGGTCTACGACAAATTCGGCCTCGAAGCAACGACCCGAGATTTCATCGGCCATGCCATGGCTCTGTTCCCGACCGACGAGTACATCAATACCCCCGGTATGGCGAAGGAAACCGTGGAGAGAATCCGACTGTACGTCAACTCGATGGCACGCTACGGCAAATCTCCGTACATCTACCCTCTGTACGGCCTCGGCGAGCTTCCTCAAGGTTTTGCTCGATTGTCAGCCATCTACGGCGGTACATACATGCTCAACACCTCGGTTGACGAGTTCCTCTACGAAGGCGGTAAGATCAGTGGCATCAAAGCGACAATGCGAGAGCGTGGTGAGGAAGGAGAAGGCATGAAATTCAGCACAAAGACCAAGATGATTCTGGGCGATCCCACATACTTTCCTGGCAAAGTCCAAGTGGTCGGCCACCTGCTCAAAGCCATCTGCATCCTCAACCACCCGCTCGAGAAGACCAACGACTCTGATTCTCTACAGCTGATCATCCCTCAATCGCAGGTCGGACGGAAACATGACATCTACATCGCCATGGTCTCGTCTGCCCACAACGTCTGCCCCAAGGGGTACTACATTGCGATCGTCACCACCATCGCCGAGACCTCGTCCAACCACCACCTCGAGCTTCAACCTGGATTGGAGAGATTGGGTCGTATTGAAGAGAAGTTCATGGGCCCGCCTATCCCACTGTACCAGCCTTTGGAGAGTGGCGTTAACGACCGCATCTTCATCTCCAACAGCTTCGATGCGTCGACTCACTTTGAGACAGTGACCGAGAACGTGAGGGACATTTATCGTCGCGCAATGGGTGAAGAGTTGAAGGTGGAGGGGTTAAGGGAAGGGCAGACTCTGGCCGAAGAATGAGGAGTGATTGAAGGCTAGGCATTTTTTGTTCTGCAGGGCGCATTGTGTTGGAATGTAGACCAACAATCGAGTCTGTCGCTGAGCAACAATCTCTGGTGATGCCCGGAGAGAGCGCGGGGAGGGAGGGAGAGCAAGAAAGATCTCTCCTGATGAAACACGAGTAGTTCATAGGATACCTAAGATGAAGAAGACAGGAGACGTAGCGTATCCCTAATCTCATGCACGGCGTCAAGGAGTTGCAGCCGCAAAGCAAAGTTCAGGTCAAGACAGAGTTGTGAGTGTAATATTTTCCGATCGTCTCGTTTCGTTGACTACAGGCCAGTTCATTCCAGCCCTGGATGGTCAGTTCGTGGGTTTGGTCCGATCTGAGGGGTGTGCTCTCTCTGGATACTTATGACATTCTCCTGTCTTTCATGCTTCCATTTCTTGTATCCCTATGTACCTCTCACCCACGGGTCGCCGTCGCCGTCGCTCTTGGAAGGCTTGACTCTTGAAGCTAAGCTCTCTTCCCTTTGTTGGTCGCAGCCTTGATGGAGTTCGAGTTCAAGTCAAGGTTCGCGTTTGTATTCGTACCCAAAATCTGTCGCTTGACTCTGCAGAAGGCATCGGCGCCCATGATACAGGCTAGATCCAAGGCGGGAAAAGGGGGCTTTGTTAGGACATGCATGCAGTAGACATCAAGATAGGTATGCGAGAAGTGTGGGAATACATTGGGATCAGAGGTCTGCCAATGCCAGTATAGTGCTGGCAATGCCGTGATGGGGGATTCAACAAAAAAGCGACGAGGAAGAGGACAAGGATATTGGTAATGACGAGGAAGAAGACAAAGAGACAGAAGAAGCAGAAACAAAACACTTCTCCTATAACTTACCAACAACCAAATACGGGACATACAACGCATATAAATCGTTGCGTTGCAGGACAGTGTACCCTTCCCAAGCGCCGACGTCGACAACGCAAGTCAATGTCGTGACGGCCGTCTCTGCAGCGAAGAGAAGGAGATTGAGAGGGACGAGGATATGGTCTGTTTGTCATGGAGAAGGATTGGTCGAGTCAGCATTGCAATTTGATTTTGGTGGCTTCAATAGATTTTGGACCATCTCTTGGTCCGGGAGTAGACCACCTGAATAACATCGCCTTGGTCCTGGAGGAGACTTCATAAAGAAAAACAACGTAGATCAGGAACAGATGGGATCCAATAATCGGCGATTGAGGTGGTTTGAAAGGTCAACAGGGGTAGAACAACACGTGGGGGATTGGCATAATCTAGCCTGGCTATGCCCGATGGACTGTCTGTCTGTTCAAATAGTTTGGTGTTGAACGGAAATAGAAGTAGAACAGTAGGCGTGGGATACAGTATAAAGATGCAGAGGAGGAAATCATGACGGCAAGCCCATACCATACAGGAACCTCGTATTGATGGACCGGGGAAAGGTGCCAGAAAGAACCTCGATTTATCGGGACACACCACGTTGGTGTCCGTGGAAGCAAAGCAAGGCAAAACCCACACCAAAGGCGTTCGTGGGCGTGGGTAGACCTTGATGCCAGAACGTAGGCTGTAGGAGGTAGAACGCAGAACGCAGAACGTAGAGCTCGAGGTATCATACCTTTCGGAATATTCCATACCATCCACAAACTCAATGGTAAATGATACACTGCCTCAAGGTACATATAAGCCGTGAACCAGGCGGGCGGGGCCTCGAAGTATCGATCCCGGTAGCGCTCGAGGTAGTATTCGCGCAGGGTATATGAGATTCGAGGACGGAGGAAGGTTGGCTGCAGAGGAGCGAGGTCGATTACTGTGTGAGGATAGACGAGTGGTTAGTTAGATATCAGAAGTCAAGCAGGGGAACTGGATGGGGATTTATGATCATGACAGATTGGCAGGAAGTAAAATGGAAAGGAAGGAAAGGAAAGGACAAGGAATAAATGTTATGTACGCCAACGTAGAGTAACGTAGGACAAAGGACATAGGACATAACAGCGCAGAATATGGTATCATTGGCATGAGAAGCTTTCAGACAGGAGTAGAGCAGGATGAGAGCAGGTCTTGACAATATACCGCAATACCGGGGTCTGAGGTATTGTGGTATTGTGGTATTGTGGTAATGAATCTGTGATGGATGCAACAACAACCGGGAAGGGGGCCTTTCGACGATCAGGTGTAGGTGTAACATATCTCTCTCTCACTCTCTCTCTGTGCTCGTCGAGAAAATGAGACTGAAGAACTGCGTTTCGAAGCGTAGACCTGGAGTGAAGTTTAATGTGGGATCGATGTTCCCTCATCAACGTTCCGTTCCGCACCGCATTGACGGAGGAACAATCACTTCACTGTTCAGTTCAGGTCCTCAATGGAAGCAACCCTGCTCTTCAACGGTTCTTGCTAGCTGGCTGGGTGGATAGTTGAATAGTTGGATAGCTGACTAGTTGGATAGCCATCGTCTAGACACAGACCATAGCCAAAAAGGATGGAACGATGTGTCCGCCAACAATACACTCACCTACTGTCTCTTAGACCAACCTACCTACCAGCCAACCAGCCAGTATCCTCGCGCGATTGGAGACAGTGTCAACACATGAGCCAGCGATATCATACAGATAAAGCTCAGAAATCCAAATCACGCGTTGTCTGTCAGGCCACACCTCAGTGAATGATGGCTATGCGAATATAGCCGAGGCAGAGCCAGAGCCAGAGCCAGAGCCAGAGCCAGAGCCAGAGCCAAAGCCAAAGGAACAGATAATCCTCAAAGGCTCGGAAGAAACAAAACATTGCAAGACTGGACAAAACAGATATAACAAAAGTAGACCCAGACTTACACAGCATAACAGGAACATGGACGATGAAGAAGATGAGATAGACGATATCAAGCTTCCTAGTCGACAGAGGACGCCGTAGAGCTTGACGTTGTGAGTTGACACTATGCTGGTGAGACGCCATTTCGATCCGATCGAGTAACGAACCCTTGGACCTGAGTCAGGCGTGAAGATGAGCGAGTGTGAGGCCTTGTGTCGGATGTTGGGTTGAGAAGAGGCGGAAGTTGGAGAAGAGCCAGATGTCTGTCTGAGATAGATGTTGAATGGATGGAGAATTAAAGCAATCCATATACAGATAGATATATATACCAACAACCCCACGGTATTTGTTATACTCATTCTATCACTTTTTGATCATACTTCGGCAACACTTCCACTTCCACTTCCATTTCCATTTCCACGTCTCTCAACATCAATGCTTGCACCCGCAATACGCCAGTTTGTTCCAGTACCCATACGTCCAGATATATTACCATGTCGTAAGGAGATGTTCCATAACAATCAATGTCAACACGGCAAACTACTCATCGTCTTCAACTTGAAACTGACATTGCGGAAGCTGAAGCTTATACAACAGACTTCCCTAGTTGGAACTAACAGTCTGAGAATGAAGGATGATCATTTCTAAGTCTAAGAGAGCTACAGATCTGTTCTTGTAGCCCTCTGGAGATGTTCTAGAACTATCTCCATATATCAAAGAAACAACCCACGAACAAAGGAGAGCAAACACCCTTTTGTGAGTGAGGTGGCCGCCTGCATTATGCCCTTGAATCCGACTCCTCCATCCAGTATCCGGTCAGTAAGTGGTCTCATTGATCTTTGGGTATCAGGATCAGTATCACTCTCAACTACCTACCTAGTATTCTACACAAGACCACGAGACTGCTCGCTTTTGCTCTCTCTCATTCGTATTGGTATTTCCAAAGGCCAAATGCCCCAAACCACGAATCCTCGCCGGACGTGGTTGATTTCGCTCCCCTGCTCCTACGACTCTTGCTTGACCTTTACAAGACAACCCATGTGTGCATGCCCTTCCTCCTACTCATTCAAAGCTATCAGATGAACGGGACCGCTCGGCTTTTCCAGACCACTCCCTGACCTAACTTGTGACCGTCAAGATTGATCAGGTTGTTTTGTGTGTGAATCGGCCTTCCATTCGCTAAATGCAGCAATGCCAGCAACGATATGCCTAGCACAGAACAGAACAGCACATCACCGCACGCCTAACTGGCTTCACACTCGGTCTCCTTTCTAGTCTGCAGTTTTTTCTCTTTTCTCCTTCCACCCAAATCCAACCAACCCAACCAATTCAACTCAAAAGTTGGCCTATCTTCTCAACAACGGCACGACAAACCTGCACCATCTCATCGTCTAATCCCGCCGGCTTACTCTGCTGTAGAAGAGCTTGAATGGTCTCGTCGACGCGCGCCGCTCCAGCTTCACTGCCAAAGATGACTGTCCCGGCTCTCATGGAGTCATGGAACCATTTGCCGACCACATACACCAGCTCGGAAGCAATGTATTTTCGGTTCGAGCCGATGAACGGCGCGTCGCCAGAGAAAAACATCGTCTCCAAAACCTCAAAAAGCCGCTCATAAGAAACCTCCAGGTCCAGGAAGATGTCCACCACCCAATGGTCGGGGGCGACGGTGCGTTGATGCTCGAACGAATATTTCTCAAGGATCGGGAGCAGGATATGCACGGGAAACGTGGTCTCCGAAGTGCGGAGCTTACTTCCCAAACTTCTGACCTCTTCGGCGATAGCTTCGAACGGTTGGATCTGGCCGTCCTCCGTCGTCTTGTCATGCACCGATTGCAGCAGCTGTTGCCACGTCTGTTTGATTTGCGAGGCATCCCGATGGTCGGCGACCTGATAGATCATCAAGCAGAGATCGTAGTAGCCGGCGTTATCGGCGTAGTTGTTGAATAGAGTGTTGATGTCCAGAATTGCCCCGTTGACCTGGTCAAGCACCTCTTTCCGGCGTTCCGCTCCCAGTCGCGGGTCGTCTCGGAGACGTTGGAGGATCTCGTCTTGGATGGTGGCAATATCCAGCAGATCCGAAATCTCCTGCAGCAACTGCTGCTTGGTCTTGCGGTTGCCCCCTTGGCTATATGTCGATGCGTTGGCTCTAGCTCTGCTCAGGTACTCGATTCTCTTCTCCAATGTCAAGGGAAACGGACTGCGAGCAAGTTGCAGCTGGATCTTGGCTGCCTCGGAGAATTGGCTTGTCTGCCCATAATACTTCCACAACAGGTCCGCATACGTGATGTCCTCGGATGATTTTCGTTGCAGATAAGTCACGATGAATGCAGACTCGGTCGCCAGAAGCCGGTCATACCATCCTTGCTGGACATACCAGTCATACAGATTTGTCAGGAATGCCTCGTCTTTTGACCGGCTAATCACGTCGTAAGCTTCATTCCTTCGCGTGACAGCAACGGTAGGGCGACCGTCAATGAAACCAGGACTCTGTTCGGTGCTTCGATCGACGGCAGCGATCACGCCATGGATGAGATCGTAGCATTGACTCCGAACGTCGAATTTTCTTTTTCGGGCATCTGGTTCAGGTCGTCCGTCGGCCATCCAAGACAGAGCCTCGTTAGCCTTGTCTTTCTCGTGAGCCACCTTGAGAGCCAGTTGAATGGCGCCAGCAAAGAACTGCAGCTCTGTGTATTGCTTCACCGCTGACTCCAGGTAGTCACTCGGGAGATTGTCGGCCACTTGCTCAAACAACCTTAAACTCTCATTCAGCAAGTTGCGCGACAACTCAGCATTGGCTCCAGCTTCTGCGGCTCGCTTCAATTGCTCTTGTGCTTTGAAGATGACCACATCTTCAGCACTGCAGAAGCTGCCGCATTTCCGTCGCAGAGCCTCGGCCACCGTCTCGACATTGGAGCCCTTAGCAATATTGCGATTAACAATGGCCTTGACCAGCTCCTTGGCGAGTTCATAACCTTTTCTCGTGGTGAAGAGTTCCTCAAAAGTCAGCTGCAACATCTGAGGCCGAGATGCCTCTGGAAGAAGCGGGATGATCTCAGCCACCTTTTCCTCGAAAAGCACCAGGATGAAAGAGAGACCTTCGATCGTGTCTGAGGTAAACTTGACCAGGGAGTGAAGAGCTCGGTGCTCCCCCTTAAGGGCAATCTCATCATCCTTGGTGCTGGTGCTTGACAGGTCATCGGGACCACTGAGCCCCTTGATGAAACTTTTGTTGGTCTTGAAAAACCGTTGCAGTGCGGACAAAGACTCTTGGACGTCCCTCAATTTCTGTATCGGTACCGCAGGACTGATCTGGTATCCCGTAGGAGTGGTTAACCCAACGGCGATCACATTCCTCCACGTCGATCTCAGCAGACGTGAGAGGTACAGCGCAATGGCTGCATGTCGAGGAGATGGACGCACTGCGTCAATCAAGGGCACAGATTTATCCGTAATGGAATTCTGGTTGATGCTTGGTTTTCCACCATATTCGATGAATGTCTTTCGAGCAAGCTCGAGAACCTCGGGATCATTCACCCGCATTGCATGCGCATCTTTGGTCACCTCAACCCCCTGGCCGCAGGCAACCGCCAACGCGGTTGCAAGAGTCTCGGTTCTTCCATAAGCGCGGATCAGGTTGTTTACTTCGGTCTGAAAGCCTTCCGTGCCACCACCTTGACGACTGAGCGCGGCGAAAATGTCAACCAACCGACGCCGCTTCAGGATATGGACCCCGGTATTCGTCAGGATTGCGATTTCTGGAATCGGCTTGTCAAATTGCACAGCCAGGTCGTTACCAAAGCCAGCGGGTGTTGAAGTTGGGCCAGAGTAAGGAACAGCCAGACCAATATCTTCGGCGCGACTGCCCAATGATAACCACATGGCGGATTCGCTGGTACGACTGGGTTGGCCGGGCTCGGCAGGTCTCGACAGTCTTCCAGCATCAGGCGCCGAGATGAACAGCTGATCCGTAGGCAAACTGGCATCTCGCGCGGTGAAGCAAAGGAAGAAACCCGGCGGATATCTTGCGGCGAGCCGAGTCATCGTTAGGGTTCGGATAGGTTGATGAACGTTGGAGGTCGGCTCCGACCCCTGGGATATGGAAGACGTGCCGCCGGTCGCGTTCATCGGAGGAACCTTGACGTGTTGAGCCTGCATGCTGATCGGGGCACCCGACTTGGTCGTCGACCAGTAACCAGAGCTGGTTGCACTGAGATATATTCGATATCCCGTGGCCGTCGTTGCCATAAGATGATACCTTGACGCCTCTGAGGCGGGTATGGCTGATATGGATACAATCTTGACCCGAACATTGAGGGACTCACTTTGTGTGATGATATGGCCAATGTTGGCATAGATCTCAGTTGCTGGCTTGGTAATAAGTAGCGGCAATCCACCACCTGGCTTGACGTGGAAGACACGGATGTTGGAAGAAGATGACAGCGTGTATAACAGATCTCGGCTGTCGTCCACTACAATCTGCTCCACGTACTCTTTGGGGCCACCAGCCAAGCTGCTGAAAGTCAGAGCCAACGATTTTGCCGGTCCACTGGTGTGGCAGATCTTCGAACAGCGACTTGAGAACCATCGATCTTCTTGCTGGTAAGTGAGTTCATAGATTTCGTTCTCTGTCCGCCCACCGAAGAAGATCCTCCCCGTCTTTTCTGAGCAGGCTATGACACTGATATCAAGACCCTTGACCGAAACAGACATGCCGGTCTGAAACAGACACAAGGCACCAGACGCGCCCGGACTGGGGTCTATCCCCAAGCCCAGAAGAGAGATGTCCGTAGTCGTCGCCAGAACAATTATGTGCTTGATGTTGGGAAGGAAGACACCTGGCCGTGGCACTCCCAATTTGACCGCAAGGATACAGTGAGGCTGTCCTTCGAATCCAAGTAGCTCAGGTTTTGACGAAGTGTAATCCCACATATACAATGCGTTGTCAATCGCTATCCAAGCATGCCTCAGTTCTGCAAACAGTCCCATGCTCGTGGAAAGCTGCGCGTTGTTGTACTGCTCGAATATCTCGTCTGGAATCTTGTGAACCCCTGCCTTCTGAAAAGGTGCCCATGTTGCAGAGGACTGTATGTCGTAGTCGGCCGAATAGCCCTGCGAGAGATAACCGTCGACATCTGGGAATCGAGTCTCGTTCACCAGAGCCTCGTTTATTGTGCGCGATGCTCTTTCCAAAGGTTCCAGAGATTCAGGCCTTCGAACAGAGGTTTGTGCCTGAGTGTCGTTTGGTCTGGGGGTAGTCATGCTATTCGAAAGGGAGGATTGAGGGACCAAGGCAGCCCTGTGTAATGGAGTTCTTGGAGATTGAAACGAAGGAGCTGGTATCCCAGGCCGTGTCGCAGGAGTTTGAGGCCATATTCCCGGTACAGGCCGTGCTGGCGTCTGTTGAACAGCAGAGGAGGCCATGTCGCGTTGCAGCGCCGGGTGAAACTAGTAGGAAAACCACATCAACGACGGTAACCGCTGAAAGCGGCGACAGGAGGATCTTGCAGTCTACCGGTGGGTGAGAGAGGACAAGTATTGATTGGCAGACAATCTGAATTGAGGGTAGAGGGCGTCCTTTTTGTTTTTGAGCGTGCAAATGAACTGGTCTGTTCTTCAACACCAAAGTGAAGTAAATGCAACGAGCTCCGCACAACGCGCTCTACAATTCAAGTTACTACTAACCACTGCAGTTAGTACCTAGTGAGGTATGTACTACTACCATTTACGTTAGTTGCAATGCACTACGCGCCAAGTTGTGCTATTATTGGTCAGAGCTTGACCACGATCTAAAGCGGCATCAAGTACTAGTAAGTACTATGATGAGCGCAGCCATTTTAGACCAGGAACATCTCGCATTATAGACTCAAAAGATCTCCAACTTGAACCCCGTGAATCCTGAATACCAAACTTTTTGTCTTCTTTTGCTTGTTTGACTGTCTTTTGCTCGCCGGGTTCTCCACTCGTTGTCACGGTAAGATGGCAACAGCACCAATGGCCAGGACACTTTTCGTCGGCGAGCGAAACATCTGCGCCCGATGTCTGCGTAGAGGTGCAGCTCAAGGCTTAAGGTGGAATTCATCCTCATCTACGGCTCCCTCTGCTCTCTTTTCGAAAATAAAGGGGGACCTTAAAGCCGCCATGCGCGCAAAAGACACTGCTCGGTAAGTGACAGATCAGTTACAGCGCGGAACTCTCCCGGGCATAACGGTGCTGAGTGATGGGCAGTTTGAGCGTCCTGCGCGGCACGATATCCGAGATCAATCAAGCGGCCAGTGGTACCAACCCTATAAAGACCGACATGCAAATCCTCGCTCTGCTACGGAAGCGTAAAGCGGCGTCAGAGGCAGCCGCCAAAGAGGCACAGGAAGCTGGCAGACCTGAGTTGGTGGAGAAACAAGAGAAGGAAGTGGCGGTGGTTGATGAGCTGGTGGGCGCGGTGAATATAATGGGCGCCTCGGAGATGAGGACTATCGTGAGATCTACCATCCAGGCGCTAAAGGGGACAGCACCAGGGGAGTTGAAGCTCGGCGTGGTCCTCAAGGAATTGCTGAAGCCGGACGGGCAATTGGCGGACCAGCTGCTAGACAAGAAAGTCCTGGCGGAACTGGTAAAAGAAGAACTCACAAGCAAACAGGACCGTCCTTGACCCTTGGATTCGATCATGCCTTCATATGGACAGCTCACGATCCCTGGGTCTTGCTGTTTTATTATTTTGTATCAACATGGGTTGAGATGGGTGTATAAAAGGGGTCTGGTCCACTCCAACATGATAAAAGTGTCTTGCGCTGGGCCATTATGGTTCCTGTGGTATTCAAACCGACTTTACTGCCACTGTCGCTTCACTGTTCGAGGTGCGCCGAGCCCATGCGCAACGCGCTCGGCCTTCTACGCCTCTCCTGCCGACAGAACGCAGATCCATCTCGGCCTTGACGATCGACCAGCTTCGGTAACCCGACGAACTTGTTGATCCAGTTGATGACGACGAGATGCCAGACAAGACTGTTTTCAGGTTTCAACACCCAATGGTTCTCGTCCGGGAAGCTGAGGAAGCGACTTTCTATGTTCTTCATCTGCAGGACATTGAACGCGGACAAGCCCTCGGCAATGGTCAGTCGGTAGTCGAGTTCATTGTGGATCACCAGCATAGGAGTCTCCCAGTACTTGGTGAAGCGACTTGGATCCCACTTGTCGTAGATTTCCTGTCTCTCCCAGAGTGGTCCGCCTAGGTCATGAACCGGAAAGTATTGTTCTTCCGAGGCCAGTTGCCCGGTCATGCTGAAGACGCCATCATGGCAGACAAGGGCTTTGAACTTGCGGCCTAACTCATGTCCTTGGAACCAGTTCATCATGTAGCCGCCGTAGCTCGCACCCAGGGCAACAGCCCGAGACGTATCCACGAACTCGAGCTGCGATTCGATGAAGGCGAACCCTTTGACGAGGTCCTCGTACGGCAGACCACCCCACTGGTTGCGGATTCCGTCAGTGAAGCTTTGCCCATATCCAGTCGACCCAGTCGGATTGGGGCAAATCACCACGTATCCTTGCTCGGCGAAGACGGCAGGATTCCAACGAGTCGACCACTGGTCATTCCAGGCGCCCTGAGGACCTCCATGGATCAGATAAGCGAGAGGATATTTGTGATCGGCTCGAAAGAATGAGGGCTTCATCATCCAAGCATGGACCGGGTGCTCATTGGCCCCTTCCCACCACACTGTCGAAACCTGCTCTGGTGAAAGACCAAACATCGAGCCATTACGGCTGAGGGATGAGATCACCGCAGTCTCCGCCACACCCGAAGGATCGACGATTGTATAGACACTGTTGTCGACAAGACTGTTGCTCGAGACAAGGAGAAGGTTGGGCTTGGTCGGCAATGGCGCCACATCGATGATATATCCACTCTTGGTCAACTGGCGAGGGCGCCAGTCTGGTCCAGGAGCCTCCAGTTCTAGATCGAGGGCGAAGAGGCATCCCCTCCCCACATCTTCGGCTTCGATAAGCAGAACCGTTCCATCGGCAGACCACTTCAAAGCGGAAGGGGATCTGTCCCAGCCACCTTTGGTATCACTGGACCGCATCAGCTCCCTTGCTGAGGGCTCGGCCTGATCAAGAGCATGAACAAGGACAATCCGATTCTTGTCGCTTTCATAGCCGTCGGTCATCATATGAAGATATGCCAAAGATTCGCCACCGGGGGAGAAAACGGGGGATGAGGCAGCGCCGAGGAGTCCCGGGATGCGGATCCTGCGGAAGATGGGTGGGCTCATGTCCAAAATGTCTTTTTGGGGGATGAAATAGCAGTGACATCTGGTATGCGTGGCAGGATCGAGGTCTGGATCCTTGGCCACAATAGTCAGTCCAGTCGGTCCAATATCGAAGTGGTCGGTCCCTCCAAAAGGTGGGATCGGGCACTCCAGCTTGGTCTCTCGTAGAGCATTCTTGAAGCCAAGCAGACTATATCGCCCCTGTCGCGAAGTGACCATAGGCTGAGCTTTTTGCAACAATGCTGTGAACACGCTGTTGCGCTGGTCAGTGACATACGTGTCCCAATGTCGAACGAAGAGGGAATCGTATAGGCGCGCGGAGCTGTGCGGCTTCTGGACGTCTTTGGGATTATAAAGGCTTCCATCTGGATTGACCCGTCCGGCAACAGCAATCGCCACCTTGCCAGGTTCGATGACGAAGAGCTTGAGGTTTGAGACTGTGCCTGCCACGGTGCCGGCGGTGTAGCACTTCCCTGGAAGAGTGGCATCGCTAATGACGAAGCTCGTGTTTCCATTTTCACATTCCTTCAGCCAGACTACCTCATGACCGGAACCAGTCCATCGCGGCTCCGTGGCTTTGGCGTCTTTGCTGATTGTGACTGACTGGCCCGTAGCCAGATCTATGACACATATTTCACTGGCTCGGGAGTGTGTGTCGAAAGAATAGGACGACTGCGTGTATAGCGCGAGCTTTCCATCAGGACTGGGAAGAGCTGCAGACCTCCTCGGAGCACTTAAGAGGACCCTGCCAGGGTGAACTCGTGTCAATATCAACAAGATGAGCGGTGGGCTTACTCTGGGGCATAATTCTTCCGAACGGTCATGACTGGAATGGGAGAGACGACTTCGAGCTGAGTGAGATTCAGCGCGCAAGTATCGACGCTCCTCTGCTGCACACCCAGAATGCCAGTGAAGAAGTCCCACCTGGTTTTATGATCATCAAAGAGCCAGCAGAATGTGATTGAGTCTGACTCAAGGCTCCGGGGGGCGAAGGCTACATTCAATAAGGACGCGGGGGAAAATACCTACAGGCGTCTAGACCAATTATGAGCTCGTGCTCTGGCACGTGATATGCCTTTGTAGAACACTGCCAGAGCTCTGCTTTGTCGACGAGAATCTGGAAAATTGTTGAAAGCCAGGTGGCAAGCAACTCGACTCACAAGGCTCTGATCGCGAAATGTTCACGGGAGAGCGAATTGTGGCAGAAGAGACACAGCGGGTGAAATAGGAATCTTCGGGTCTGAATCCCAGCAGATCCGAAAATGTGTTCGTCCGGCATATTCGAGGGTCACGGGACTGACGAACATGTACTCGATGTATAGGGAGAATACAAACACAAACACAAACACTACAGACACACTCGAAAAGACATGAGTACAACATCCAGCGTAGTATCATCATATCGTACATCATACATTGGTCTCAAGGTCTCCTTGTCATGCAACCATATCATCCATGAGACTGAGCTCATCAGGTATAACTCTATGAGGTATCATCACTGACCATCCCAAACACCCGCTTGACAATATAACAGCCCCCGTCAATGTCACAACGCCCGCAACCAAAGCCACTTTTCCTTGTGCCGTCTCGGATCATACCACTTGAACTCCAAACTTCCAAACTTGATGCACCGACAAGTCTCCATCCGGCGCTTCATCAAGGATCACAAGATCCGCATCCATGCCGACCTCAAGTCTTCCTTTGCTCTTTTCGACATCCTTGCCCAACATCTTCGCTGGCGTGCTCGTCACGCATTCCAGTGCCTTGGCCAACCCACAGCCTGTGAACCGCATGAAGTTGTTGACGCAGTCGATCAGATCGACGACACTGCCGGCAATGCGTCCGTTGCTTTCCAGCTTCAGAACCTTGCCCTCTTTGACGAAACGGTCCTCTCCCCGCCAATCATACACCCCGTCGGGGCATCCGGCAAACTTTTGGGCATCTGTCACCAGGATAGCGCCCTGCGGATGAGCCGAGTAAGCAATTTTCAACGCTTGTGGAGATAGATGTACGCCATCAGCAATGAGCCCGTAGAAAGGCTGCACACATCGAGCCTCCTTCTCCAGGTCTGCGGCAGATGTGCTGATGCTCAAGCTAGAGCGGGGTGTGGACCGTCTCGAAGACCTGGGCGAGCCCCGAGGGGAGGTCGATGCGCTGCCCGGGCGACTATGCTTCGGTGTCGCGACAGGCGTAGATGGAGCCGATTGACCTAGCAGCCCAAAGATACCGGGCTCTCTGTGCCCAAAGGGACGCATGGCATTGAACAAATGTGTAACCATCGAGGCTCCGGCAGCGATAGCAGATTGTGCCTGCTCAAATGTGGCATCCGAGTGACCTATGGACACAACTATGCCTCGGGACACAAATTCGGGAATTAGAGACATCATTTTGCCAACCTCGGGTGCAGCTGTGATGTAGCGGATGTTCCGGAGATTCGAGGCACCGTAGCACTCTTCAATATCGGACCATGAATGAGCCTCACGTAAAACGTCAGGGTTGTGAATTCCATTCCGTACTGGCGAGAGGAAAGGTCCTTCAACATGCGCACCCAGACTCTCGCATCCTTTGCCAGGATCTCGATCCTTCCCAGAGGGACCCAGATGAGGCAATACAGAATGATATGATTCTGGCCTGGTGCTGATCACGGTGGCAACATAAGAGGTAAGTCCGGTCTTTATCATTTGCCGATGTGTATGTGCCAACTTTGGTGCGTATTCTGCGTCAGGCATAGAGAAGTCGAAGTTGTAACAGCCATTTATCTGCACATCGATGAACCCTGGAGATATTATCCTTCCGTCGAGATCAACAACCTTGTCTGGAGTTAGGTGAGAGGAGTAAAAAGCCGACTGTGGACTGATGATTTGTCCTGTTTCGGAGGAGATCCAAAGATCTCCGGGGACGATTTGACCATTCTTCAGCAGGTAACCGTTGGTAAATTTGGTCACCAACTTTCCTGGCGAAGCCATGTTGACCCGAGCTTATCAACCAGGCTGGATGATAATAAGACCTGAAGGAAATATGAAGAACGACTGCTTGTAGGTTAGCCCTACAAGAATGGAGGAAATGATCCGATAAAGAGAGAAGCTATGAATGATATGATAAGAGAAAGTTGTAGACCAACAAGATTGTCACGTCATTTGCTTTGGGATTGTAGGGCGCTTTCACAGATTCTACTGGCCATCGAGGTCCGAAAAAGGCTCTTGACGGAATTGGGCGCGGTAGTAGAGATGAAGGCCTGGCTGAGGGCTGAGGCAACGTTGAATGACAGCTGCGAATCGGATAATAGCGCGACACACTCATGTTGCACGGTGGCAGCACGTTCTGCCTTCGACCGCGATAACATGAGGTGGGTTTGTGGAGGTTTCAGGCATCTTTCTCAGGACATGATGAGATGCTGCTACTCAAGAGCTTCCTGGACCAGATGTCCACGTTAAGTCGAAGCACTCACCGAGGCGAGAGGCACGTACAGAGCTCGAGAGGTTCAGTGATGGCGGCCGAGGATGTGGATGTCGGTGGATGTGGATGCAACGATAGCAGACAGAAAGATCAGGACTGGGTGTCATTCCTAGTCGTCGTAGATGATTGCTTGTTCGGTCAATGCAGTGAGTGAGTGAGATGAGATGAGACGTTGTTCAAGTTGCAGATGAGAAGTTGAGGTGGTACTCTGTATAGTATGCAAGGCGCAGGTGGCAGTTTGTGTGGTGGCAGAGATTGTACTCTGTCTGTAGCTGGTTGTAGGGTCGCAGTGATGAAGCCTCCAGTGTGAGAATCGCATGTAACCCTGAGGCGGAGAAAATACTACTCTCTTATCAGGTCACGTGTCGCTGCCTGCGCTCCATCTGCCAACTCCAACGCCGAATGCAAGATGCGAATCACCGTTTGTATGGTTGCACACTTGCTATCTTCAATAGTACCATGCTTCACTTCATCCAACCACCCTCTCACTCCACACTGGACACTTCCACCCTGTCTTCTTGTCCCCGGCCCTGCAGTCAACCTCCGGACATGGCCAAACATACAGCGAGATCCTATCCGGATCCCTGAACGAACCCAAAGGGGACATCAACTTCTGTCCTTGAACCACAGTCACTCTCTCTCTCTCGACTCCCTCCACCACCGCCCAGAGTACTACTCTCTAATCAACGTCTGGTCCAGAGGCTTTGGAGTATCAGCCGTGCAGCCGACCAAACAGGGCTGTAACATAGTGGTTGGATTGTCAAGTGTGTCGCCGCTATCAAACCCCCTTCTCAATCAAATGCTGCTGTCGCTGTATCGGTATGCTACGATGTCACTGCTGTATCTCTTGTCTCGCAACCATCTGCTGATACTGATGGTAACCATTGACTAGCCCGACACGACGCGACTTGAGTTGTCTATCACCAGGCCTCTGAGTCCATCCTACCTTCTGCGTGACCACAAAGTACTTCAATATCTTCCCTCCCCGTCCTTCATCCTCCAGTTGCTCCAGAGCGCACACGACATTCGAGGCTCCGCGACCACAGTCACACCAAACCCTACTAGGACTTTGCCCCGAGGTAGACCCCCGGGCTCCAAAGTATCTCCACCCGTCACCGCTTCACCAAACAAACCCCGAGCCTTACTGCGACTCCAACCTCTCGCCGGAGACTGGACTCACTGTTTCCTGTTCACCTTCATCTTCTTCACAGCTTAACTCCTTTTCTCCCTCCCACTTTGGCCTTGCAAGATGTCTGAGGGCATAGACGAGAAGATGGCGGCTACATCTGCTGGCTCGGCACATACCGACACAGCGCCAGGAGAGGTGGCTCGAGAAGATGTCATGCCTCTGGGCAAACCTTGGATGTACAAGTCGTTCAAACTTGGCTTCATCAAGATTCCTCCATATGCCAGCCCCGAGTTCCAGATCGTCTTCGTCGCGCTGGTGTGCTTCTTATGCCCGGGTATGTTCAACGCGGTCAATGGTCTCGGAGCCGGTGGATTGGTCGACGCCCATGATATCAATAACGCCAACACTGCTCTCTACTCGACCTTCGCAGGAGTCGGGTTCTTCGCTGGCAGTATCGCCAACAGAATCGGTCTCCGCCTGACTCTAGGTTTCGGAGGGTTTGGATACTGTCTCTACATTGCCTCGATCCTGTCATACAACCACAATCAAAATGCCGGCTTTCTCATCTTCGCAGGTGCTCTGCTCGGTGTTTGCGCCGGTCTGCTGTGGACCGCGCAAGGCGCCATTATGTTGTCTTACCCTCCGGAAAGGTCCAAGGGTCGATACATCGCCGTCTTCTGGATGATCTTCAACCTCGGAGCCGTTATTGGCGGCTTGGTGCCTCTCGGACAGAACATCCACTCCACGAGCAATTCGGTCACTGATGGTACTTACATTGCCTTCATCGTCCTCATGGCTGTTGGATTTGTCCTGGCAGGGTTCTTGTGCAACCCGCTCCTTGTCAAGCGATCAGATGGATCCCGCATCATCTTGATGAAAAACCCAACTTGGAAGTCTGAGCTTACGGGTCTTTTTCAGACCTTCATTACCGACTGGTACATTGTGTTCCTGTTCCCCATGTTCTTCGCCAGCAATTGGTTCTACACCTACCACTTTCAAGACGTCAACCTGGCCAGGTTCAACATCCGCACCCGTGCCCTCAACAGTGTGTTGTACTACCTTTGCCAGATCGTCGGAGCCTGGATTTTCGGCTATGCTCTGGATACTACGTACTTCCGTCGAAGCACACGCGCCAAGATGGCGGTGGGGGCCTTGTTTGTGCTCACCTTTGTCATCTGGGGCGGTGGTTACGACTTCCAGACACAGTACACCCGTGAGATGGTTTCCGCTCCCGACTATGTCAAGATGGACTGGACCGATTCGGGTTATATTGGACCGATGTTCCTCTACATGTTCTACGGAATGTATGATTCGGTCTGGCAGACCACTTCTTATTGGTAAGCAGCCGTGTCTTTGACCACCGTGCTTTCGGACCCCTACTAACTCCTACTTAGGCTCATGGGCTCCTTGACGAACAACGGGCGCAAACTCGCCAACTTCAGCGGCTTCTACAAAAGTATCCAATCTGCTGGTGGCGCCATCGCCCCGGTCCTGGACTCGAACCACGTCGCCTACATGACCCAATTTGCTGTTAACTGGGGCCTGCTTGCGGGCTCTCTTGTCATCGCTTCACCTGTCATTTGGCTCAAGGTGAAAGACACGACTGATGTCGAGCACGACTTGAAATTCAGTGACGAGACCTTGGCCGATATTGCCCCTCAAGGTGCAATTGTCGGTGCCGAAGGAATGATGAGCGAGAAGGTCGAGGCCGGGGTCGTTCGCTAGATGTGGTGGAGAACAGTCGGGAACACGATGGCTTGTGGACATAAACTTGGTCTTGTGTGGGAGTTGCTGTCGCCCGTTTCCATTTCCGGCACTGCTCGGACGCCGGGAACGGTGATGGGTTGATCAGGTCTTGACCGATGGAGCCGGGATATCGGTGGCAGGCGCATTGCGAGATACGACACTTGTCTGCCGTCTCGAGCGTGCGATGTGGATAGAATTGATGCTGTTTCTCTCCTTGACCAGATCCGAATCTATCTCTCCCTGTCCCGATCACCCTTCAGGCTCCGTCTTCCATCCGCCCTAGATAATCAGGCTACGTTGTGATAGGGTCGACATCCCGCCAATCCCCGTAAAGCTTGAGCCTCGTTTCCACAGGCACACCTGTCTTTCAGGGAATGAGCGGTGCACTCCGAGTCCACCACAAAGTTGAAGTTGAAGGGTGTCACGTGCCTGGCCTAGCCCCCTTATAAGACGGCACAAGGCTGACATATCAGGGGGTGGAAAGTATACGACGCGGTGTGGGGACTCAAAGTAGTACTTCAACCACCACTTACTACTATGACTCTCCGCATTTTTCTAGGGACGGAAAAGTGACTGCACAGAAATGACCGAGGGATTTTTTCGATTCATGATGAAAATGAGTTGTTCTTCTGGAAGCTTTGCCTGCTCCACGATATCGACTCCTGGGTCCTATCACACCTGGCCAAGGACTCTGAGTGGCGCATTGTTTGTGTCTTCGGGCTTGGGAACGGCGATTTTGGCGGTTTCCACGATTTGGAAGAGTGTCTCGTGATCAGTGGTGATGATGAGATCTTCGTCGGATTGAAGAGACATTGTGACGGTGAGTGGTTGTTGAATTGCGCTTCTTAGAGCCTTTTGTCTATCAGCAAATAGAGATCGAAGGTGCAGGCGATGAAGGACTTACTTGTTGCACGACGGGTCTTCACGGCAAAGGATCTTGTGGCTTTCAGTGATGGATCCTTCTTAGGAGAAGTAGAATACACGATGAAGAATAGCCTGATAGGTAGGGAAGGTAAGGAGGAACTTGATACGAATCTTCGCGTTGAGGCTGAGGTGAAAGTAAGTGGTGAAAACAACGGACTTCGTTAAGTGATGATCTGCCGCACTTTCATGTGCGACTATTAACACAAAGGTCAGGCAGAATGACTGAAGTGTTATTGAAGCACTCCTAGGTGGATGGGTTGTTATTTATAACGTGAACTTGGACAGTATCAAGCTTGTTCTCACCTGGAGACCGCCCTGGCAGCAGCGACAACATTGGACATGTACAGAGTCCTCCATGCTTTTACATACTTCATTGGCATGGTCGTCACCTCTTGGACGTTTGTCAATCATCGAAATCTTTCTTCGCTTCGCCCAGCTTGACAACAAGGGCCGTGGCCAAAGCCTTGAAGTTGTATCCTCCCACTGATACTCTGACCGTACTTGAAAGCCGCTCAGCATGCGAAAGCTACTCCCCCACTGACCAGCAATAAGACGGACTGGTCACACTGAATCTGGGTAGAGGCTAGGCTGGCTAGGCTGGCGCAGAAGACACAACGCAAAGCCCACAATGTAGTGGTAGAAACTATCATGGAAGGAGACGAAAAGCTGTAAGCAAGATCACCAAGGGGCAACCAAATTGTTGCGAAACACGGGAATATGATGAAGTGGATTTGAAAAAGACGCCTCATGCATAACGCGGATCGGTGGAGGGAAAGAATCCTTATAGGGATGGTATAGATGCCTCGGGAAGTAACGGACAAACATCTCTCAAATGACCCTTGCCGTTGACAAACACCAGAACCTGTGGACAGACAGTCGTAGGACCAGGTACCTAGGGGAACCTGTTGTTTGGCATCTCACAATCCATGTGGCAATGATGATGTATGATAGGAGTCTTACACGGGCGACGGTGTCATCGCCCGTCACTCCTCGAATGCTCCAGGTCCCAGGTCAACAAGGGCTCAGGAACGAACATAACGAACAGGCCCTTGTCGTTTCACCGCATACATCGTTTTATGAGGCTGCACCAGGCTTGTCCATTGCTCTCATGGCTCAATTCGCAGGTCGTGTAGATAGAACGTACAGCCCTGTAGTCGAAGTAAGCTCTCGGCCACCAAATCAGACATCTATTATGGAACCGAACTCACCATAGTCTTGCTCGGGTGTCCTCCATCCCTTGAGTTCGGCGAGGTCTGCACCTTGCCACAACTGTCGTCGCTCTTCGCTGTCGTATTTATGGCTGGAAACCACAAAGATCTTCTCCCCTGCCTTCAAGTAACGACCTTGGAACTCAACATCTCTCCTTGGGACAAGATACTGTTCGTGTCTGCCGAAGTTGTCGTTCCACTCTCCACGCCTCTCCCATTCCTCCTGACGAAATATATCCTTGCCGAGAATGCGATTTGCAGAATCTAGTACATTTCTGATGAATTGGTCGTTTCGATTTCCTGAGTCGTTGTATGCATGCCATACCTTGTCGCCATTCTTACAACCATCCAAGCCGATGATGAGCACAGGCTCGCTTCTGGATGTCCCATGGTTCAGAGCATCGACAAAACCGGTCAGGAAGTCGGCGGCTTCGGGGCGGGTAAAGCTTCCAAGAGTCGAGCCCAATGAGAGGACAGCTCTGGGCCTGGAAGCGTTTTCTGGCCTCTGTAACCACTTCAATCCGTCGTCATATGTGCCGAGGAGGCCGTGCCATTTTACATGTTTGAAAGTGCCTGGACATACAGATTGAAGTGTTCGCTCCAGTTCTGAACGGGAAAGATCCAGGGCGTAATAGTCAACAGGCTTGTTGAGGTCGTCCAGCGCCTGGAGCAGGATCTTGATCTTTCGAAGACATCCACTGCCCAATTCAACAATGACAGAGTTGGCTTCGATCTTCTGTGCTATTTCGTGACTGTGCTGCTGAAGAAGCTCGATTTCGCAATTGGTAGGGTAGTACTCGTCTATATATGTGATGGCTTCGAAGCGTTTCAATCCCTGTTCATCCCAGAGCAGGAGGGAGGAGAAGCTGGGGGGCTGTGCTTTCAACGACTCCTCCGTGTCTTTGGACAATGATGTCTTCTCGGCGTCTGATTGGATGTCAATAACATCGACCGCTGGCAGCTCGCCCCTTTCGTCATATGAGCCCATGATATCTAGAAGAGTAGGTGAGAGGGGGAGCGATGTTGTGAGAAGATGTTGCGAGGGCACGTGAATGGATGCGACTCGTAAGCTAATATCTATCAATCCGAGGTATCTGATACTTACGCTGCGATTGGGGAAATGAAGATGATATACTTCTGGAAGAACTTCAGGGAAGATTTGTACAACCCAGGTTCGGGCGACTGTGGAAGACGCCATACTTGTCGTGGTTCCTGTGTAACCATATTGCCCTAGCCACCTACCTATAGGCAAGTGGCTTGCGATCACGACCTTCCGGGACGACCAGTCGGTGCAAGGGAAGTCGGTCCGTCCAACCACAGCACAATGTGACCCTGGATTCTTCATATTTGCAGGCCAGGCTGGCCCGGGCGCGGAAATTCCTCCCGCAAGGCTTCACATCTGCCGGACAATAATGCTTCCAATGTCAGGGGCACGGCTACCTACCTGAAGTAGGCGCTGACATGACGACATGGTTTCAATTCGGATTACGGTGTTTTTAGCTGTAATTGATCAATAATGTAGTAGGGCAGGGCGGGATCAGCTTCTTATGTGAATCATCAGTGAAAACGAAGGATATTGTGCCCCGATAGGTGCCTGAGCCTTATGAAGCCGCTTCAACTATTAAACAGGGATGAAGACGAGAAGGACGAGGGCGACAAATAACGTGGAAGAGATGGCACGTCTGGGGAAAAGCGGCAGTCAGGGGAAATTGAGTGCAAACGGGGAAGTGGGGCCGGAGGTGAGGTCACGTGGGCGCCAGGCACCAGCGCCTGCCAAGATCGATGACGTGCAGTCTCAACTTGAACGCCTGTCCACCCCAGACATTTCAAGTTGTGCTCTTCTCTCTCGCCTACCACCAACCACCATCTACTTGAGTGAGATCCTAGTCCAATGCTTCTAGTCAGGAACTGGATATTGACGTGTCACGACTACAGCACGCTACCTAGTGATGCAGCATATGTTTGATATACCGAGGTGAGTTCACGACTTCAAGCTGTACGACTGTTTGTCCACGAGCCATTGGGACTGGCCGTATCTAGCGGACAGCCACAGCATCAAGAAATGGGCCCGTCCACGGAGCAAGGACCCGACGGCTGTTTGCATAACAGAGATGAGATCATGCATTTTGGTGACCCTGTCATCCAGAGACATCATCACAAAGATCATGACCCCCGAAAATGGCAAGCGACCTGGCATTGGACTCAATCCGGGCACGAACCCAGGTACATTCTAGCTCAGACAAGTTAAACCCACAACAGATCGTGGTGCCTTCAGATCCCAATCCTTATTATTGATCTAGATGCCCAGGGTCTTCACCACAAACCATCTGTCCGAGGGTTAAGAACTATCATAAGTACAAGCCTTATTATTAAGCCGCCGGTTGGTGGAGAGACGCCCGGTTTCACTTGCTGACACCAGATATGCGAGTCTCTTCATCAATCTAGTGACGTGCACAAGCCTCAAATCCCCAGTCACCAATAACTCAGAAGCTCAAAAGGCGTAGTTCAAGCTACATGCACCATTCCAGGAAGACCGTCGAAACTCTGCAGTACTCGACACCGATCACGCCCTATCCTAGTCTGCCCAGAGACAAGACTCTGAGTACATTCAAAGGTATTCCTCAGGACAATTATGGAAGGCAAAACATCCTATAGTGACTTGGTCATTATTGGGGCTGGTCCTGCCGGCCTGATGGCAGCCGCCTGGGCGAGTCGGCAAGGTATCAACGCACGAATCATAGACGACAATGCTGAGAGGGTCCAAAAAGGCCGGGCTGACGGGTTGCATGTTCGGACAATGGAAATCCTGGACAGCTTTGGTTTGGCAACTTCGATCGAGGAGAAAGCCTATACCCTGCGAGAGATTTGTGCCTGGGTAATGACATCTCCTCGCCTAGCAGGAGTCTTCAACTGACAATTTGCGAGAACCCTGACGCTGAAAATGATGATAGGATTCGACGCACTCAGCGTGTCTTATCCCGAGAAGAAGAACTAGGTCGTTACCATCAACTAGGGATACATCAAGGGTTTATAGAGCAGAAGTTCAACGACTTACTGGAAGCTGAAGGTCGGCTTTCCGTCGAGCGGAACATAAAGACAGTATCCCTGGATCTAGACAAGGCCAGCTCGACCAACCAGAATGCATATCCAGCCACTCTTCGCATTCGCCGTCCAGACGAGGCTTGCAATAGAGAAACACCAAATGGGAATGGTACGAATCTTTCCAACTCGCTTGAATCTCAGCTAAAAGGATCAGCCAACATCTGGCACGAAGAAATCATCAAAGCCAAGTACCTTCTCGGTACGGACGGCGCTCACAGCTGGACCAGACGACAGGTTGGACTGAGCATGACCGGCGACAGAACTGAGAAGCATTTCGGAGTCATTGACATCATTCCCCTTTCAGACTTCCGTAAGGCTGAGACCACCATCTGTCGCGGTGCAGAGATGCTGACGACTGACAGCTGATATACGAATTTCATGTTCTATACATTCAGCGAACCATGGCAGCGTCATGACATTCCCTAGAGAAGGTCGACTCGTGAGATTCTACGTCCAACTAGCCGAAACCGAAGGAGAAGAGTTCGACAAGACGAAGATCACTCCCGACATGATTGTGCAAAGAGCGTCACAAATCCTCAGCCCATACAAGCTTGATTACGACTACTGCGACTGGTGGTCGGTATACATGGTCGGGCAGCAATACGCGTCCACCTTCGACAAACATAACCGAATCTTCCTGGCGGGAGACGCTGTCCATACGCATTCGCCTTCAATGGGCGCCGGCATGAACGTGTCGATGCAAGACACATACAACCTGGGATGGAAACTGGGTCAAGTCATTAAGGGCATTGCACAACCACACATCCTGGGCACATATACTGCCGAAAGACGCGCCGTGGCGGCTGAATTGATGGAGATGGATCAGAGGATGAGCAAGTTCTACTGTGAAGGACCGACATCAGATGCACACGACTACAGCAAATTCCGCGATGAATTCCGCACCTTTCTCAGCGGTGTTGGTGTGGAATACGGTCCCAACATCTTGGTTCCGCCAGTCCGTGATGACAAGGAGGGTGCGATCGCCGAACCGAGAAATGGCTCCTACGAGACAGACCAGTCCAAGCTGTACTCGGAACAGTCACTAGCCACCAAGATCATTGTCGGCCAGCGTCTGCCATCGCACCAGGTGATGAATCATGCCGAAGCCAACATTGTGCACGTGCATTCTGTGCTCAAGTCCGACGGCCGTTGGCGGGTCCTGCTTCTGGCGGGAGATATCGGCCAGCCGCACCAAATGGCTCGCTTGAAAACCGTCTGTGATTATCTGGCCAGTCCGTCGTCTTTTGTGCACATCTACACACCCGACGGCGGGAAGATTGATTCTGTTATTGAAGTATTGACCATCCACGCCGCGTCTCGTCCGGAGGTCGAGTTCTCAAGCCTACCCGAGATCCTGAGGCCTTTTGATCCCAAGCTCGGGTATGACTATTGGAAGTGTTTTGCCAACAACAATCACGGTGAGGAAGGACGGTTCAGTGACGCATATGAAGAATGGGGTGTGGATAAAAACAGAGGGTGCATCGTTGTCGTCAGACCAGATCAGCACGTCTCTTACCTCTGCGAACTTGAGGAGATTGAGCAGGTCACCCAGTATTTCAGCCAGATTTTGGTGCGGCAGAAACTGGACAATTAGCCAGTCTGTCTATCGAGGCTCCTTGGAAAACTGGTTGAAGGCCTGATTGGGAGTGTGCTCAACTCCCTCCCGTGCGATTGACGCCTGATAATAAGGCTGAGATGATGCCTCTGCCTGCGAAATACCTGCAGACTGGTGTGTTCTCCACCAGAAGCCGAACTTCTCAGGTGTCGTATCATACAAAACAAGACAAACACCTTCCACCCATTTGGCTGAGTAAGGAAACTATATGACGTCCTGGTAGGCGTTGAACAAGAGTGAAACATGTTCGGGAGATACTACATAGTAGTATAGGTCGGTCAGCACACGGCTAGTGGTCGTAGACACCGACAAAGGGACTCGGGAGCAATGCAGGTAGGGATTGGGTCAAGACTACAGAGCAGTTTCAGATTCCTATCTCTCAAGAGGGGATCAGGAAGTCAGCTAGAATGCTTGCCTGGGGTTCCCAGTTTGGTCGCTTCAAGCAATAAGCCCATCATCCATCAGTAGTCAAGGACTCAAGGCTGTGTCAAGCAAGGCGGGCAAGTCATACATTTCTCCAGAGTCCATACAATTCTCCCTCTGCCCAGGTAATGTGTCCACACGCATGACATTGAGAGTGCCAGTTGCTGGTCACCGATTCTGTCTCTGGCTTTGCTAACGCGCAAGGATGCAACTTCCAGTGTGGTCACTAGTGAGAAAAACAAGACAAAACCAGTACTTCTTCATATCAATCAAGACTCCATCAGCCAGCTCAAAACTCCATCAACGAAAAATTTCAGTTCGCCATGCCACCGGTTGCAGTATTCGGTGGTCGGTGTCCGGTGTTCACTGCTCCAGCGCATGCACGTATCCCCTATCAGCACTGACCATGCTTGAAAGCCCTGTCTCGAATCCCACATCTGAAAATGAGCATCTTCTCGAACATCGAACCGCCGCACCCAAGCTTCGTGTCTGTTCATCTTGAAGTCCTGGTTGTGGTGCGGTGCAATTCAATTACTGGTCGGACCCTTCGTTTCATCAAAATCTCGAACGGAATGAGTCGATGCACTCGCACTTCGCGGCTTCCTTGGCTTGCTTTGTCACAGCAGCTGCGTAGGCCTTATCATCCTCCAGAAGCTTTTGATAAGTCTTCTTCAGATTCTGAGGACCCTGGGTTTCCAAGTCGTCTTCGACGGGTACGGGGGCCCAGTAATCAACCCATGAGTTTAAATTGGCGCGTTCGTTCTTGACTCGACCTATACGATAACCTGATATAGTCGCGCCGGGATGAGCATTGACATGAGCATTGGCATGGGCAGTGGCATTGGCAGTGTTGGTCGCAAGGTTCGTCTTGTTGTCCGTGTCGCTCTCGATCTTGTGTTGTCCGTGTCCCTGGCCCCAGGCCCGTACATGGTCGTTTCCAGCACTACCAGTAGTATCGTCTGCCGTAGCTTTGAAGCGCTTGCTCAGTCTCTCGACAACCTCAACCTGCTCGCAGAAGGCATGACTAGCCAGACGTTTTCGCGTCAATACAGCATCAGCATATCCGAGTCCGCCGGCAGGTCCTCCAGCCATGACATCAGCATCGGTATCGATATAGACACCATGATTATGATGGGGAAGATGAAAAGATCGTTCAGGGTCGAAGTCATGATCGTTGCCTAAGACCTCCGCTTCCTCGGCGTCTTCTGCTTCCTTGAGCACGTCTTCTGCCTCTTCAACTGCTTCGAGATTGACCAACGCTTTGGTGATCGCCCGCTTCATCTCCTCGAGCTGTAGCTTGCGCTCTCGTTGGCGGTGTAACCGAGTCATCTTTGCTTCATGTTCTTCACGGGCAGTGACGAGGCTGGGGTGGCCAATAACAATGTGGACTGCTACAGCGTTGGAGCGAATTAATCTCTCTACATCAGGAGCTGTGACGGTAGCTTTGAGAATCTCGGAGATGTCGCTGAGCAAGGTGTTGACTGTGTCACGGGTTTCCGGGTCGTTCCATGGGTGAGTTTCGGACAGTAGAGCTCCAAAGAGGTTCTCGACCAGCTCATTGGGGGTATCTTGAAGAATTCGTTCGTTGTTGGTGAAATTCGTGGTTGGGTTTGCGTTGGGGCTTGCGTTGGACACTGTGAGGCTGCGTGAGTCGCGGGATCTGTTGCTCGACACGGGTTAGCTGTAAGCCAGGCAAGGATGTAGAGTAGAATGACGAAGTAAGCAGGGTGATGTAGAAAGGGTGGAGGCATTCAGTAGGCGAGGTGGGTGTGTCGACAAATAAATGGAAGTGGTAGAGGTTGACGACAATAGGTAAGCCACCAACTGCGGTGAGCAAAACAATCAAACGGAAAGACTGACCTCTTGACCTCGTTCGCCTTGTTATCCTTGCGTATGAACATGTTGTTATTCGCGCTCGCCATCTTGACACTTGGTAATGTCGGAATTGTCTTTTGTTTGGTTCAGTGTCGATCCTGATGTCACTTTTGCGCGACGTCCAAACTTGAATTGTCTCTGCGTTCGATGTCGCAGGCCTTGTCTTCGTGGACGGTCAGAATAGAAAGAATGAGGGTGCTAGACAAGGCAAGCCAAGGGAAGATTCGATGACGAGTGGAGTCTGGAGAACTGAACCTGAAAATTCGAGGATCAAGCAGCTATGAGAGCCTGTTCTGGTGCAGACTTGTTGAATTCTGGATGAGAAGACAAGTCAGCAATATCCAAGTCAATAAAAACTAGTCGCGTCGCACCCTGCTATTCTTTGTATGAGTCTGGCTCCTAGTTTGCAGACAATCAGATCACCTCAGTCTTTGCGAATGTAGGTCAAGACAACGTAGTCGTAGTCGTCAAGAAGAAGAGCAGAAGATGATATGGCGGGATCAGATGAGGATGAAGCCGTCGAAAAAGAAACAGTCGTATGTTTTTTTTTCTGTTTGGCGAAGGGAAAGGATGACGATGAAGGAAGAGAGAGACGCGCGCGCAGTACAGTCTAGGTAGGTAAGGAAGTGAAGTAGTATTGACTTGGATGAGGTAATGTAACTTTGCGAGTGCTGTGTTAAGGCTTTGACTGTGATTGTGACCATGGAAGAGAGGAGGCTGCAGGCTGTGCTCGGTGGGCAGTAGGCAGTAGGCAGTGGTTACAGTCTTGTGCGATTGTGCGTGAAGTAAAAGTGCGGCAGAACTCTCGTTGCCATAGCGTTAATGTGCAGAGCGCAGTATCGCAGTTGGCAGTTTGCAGTTCACAGTTGGCGGAAGGCAGAAGACTCATACTCCAGGCTTTCCCTCACCTCAGGTATCGACCTACCTATTAGCACCGTAGTGATTGTGTCCGTGCTATCTTGCTGTCCTTGCTGTCTTGCTAGTCTTGCTAGTCTTGCTGTCTTGCTGTCTGTTCACCCATTATCCTGTTGGCTTTGTTGTCCGGTTTTTTTTTCGTTTGAGGAAGTGCCCAAGCCAATGCAGTTCTCTTGGTGAATCATGTATAATGCGGTGTCATCCGTGACGGATGTTCACCGGTCTCGAAACACGATATCGGCGACGCTGACGCTGGTGCTAGTGCCACTGTCACTTGTCGTTTCAAGATGGCACCAGGTCAAGGTAGGATTCGGGAAGGCTTCACAGTTGATATAGAGGGCCATGAATCTGACAGCGATGCCCTCCAGCGTATCATCGGGCTGTAAGTATTCGTCAGAGACTGTGTCCTTTTATCAACAATTTGAATAAATATAATGAGGGAAACACTTCAGATGTTGTTGTTCGATTAAGAAATCGAGTCGTGTACGGCCAAGCAAAACAATGCCAAGTGCCTTATTATAAGGTAAGGTACGTCTTGGGAAAAGGGGATTCAGCCTTGCCATCTACAGATATAGCATACCTTAGTATCTGTTGTACTCTATTAGTGTATAACTATCACGGAGCAAACGACGTGAGCTGTACAAACGTAGCGTGCAAATATGATATGAATTCTAAGACATAGGATTTATCAACAAGAGAGAGGAGGCGCGCGCGCAGGATATTCCATATCAGCACGTTACGTCTATACAGAGTTTCTCGTCGCTTGCTCCGTGATAATAACAAAACAGCCAGCACAATAGAACTAGAAGAGTAGGCCTGACAAGCTTTGGTATTTGCACTTTACAACCATGCGAAGCAACATTATCTCTATTACCTTAGTCCACCCTGGCATCTAGATATGCATTCCAAGGTTGTATATCACATATCACAATGTCCAATTGAAGCCAAGGGCTCAGAGTTCCAAACTCCCTCCATACTGTACTGAAAGGCGATAGTATGTAATGTTCACCTCGGTGGCATCGACCTCGTGTCTCTATCCTATCCAGACCCTTCCTGCTGATCATCCCTTTGGTGGTCCTTGCTTTGCGCCAACGCAACTTGTTCAACGATGCCTACACTGCCACGTCCTTCACTCCCAACACTTCCATGATTCGTACTGCCTCCAGCCGTCTCACGGTGCATCCTGTCTTCCACCTTGTCGGCCAATGCCAAGCCAATTCCCTTCCCTGGCGTACTGCTTGACGCGGCCGATCCCGGCTGCAAGTCTTCCTCGGATCGCTGTACCTGGTGTGGCGTACTGCTCTCCGACGAATGCGACAGAGCCTCCAGTTCAGCCGGCTCATCTGTCAGCGGCGCGTCCGGCTCCACAACCAGGTTTCCTTCTTGATCATTGTGCTGCGGGTTTTCGGCTGCCTCCTTGGCCGGGACGAGCCCCGTACTCTGAGGGCTGGAGGTCAAGGCGGACGCCACTTTCGGCTCCAACTCTTCGCCCGCGTCATAGTCATCGTTCAATTTGTCCCGCTCGGCCCGGCCTCGAGCTTTCCTTATCTCATTGACAAGAACGGAATCGTCGTCTCCATCATCTTCACCATCATCACTACCCTCGAAAAAGCGATCGCTCCATCTGGCGCTGTCCTGCCTAGCCAGCCGCGATAGAGCAGCTTTGCCCGAGTTCATGCCGTCGTAGCTGCTCTCGCCGCCAACACTGATTTTGGACACAAGCTCGGATATGTCATCACGAGATTCGCGTGTCTCAGACTCAGTGCGAACCAAGCGCTGGCGCACCTCCCATTTGGTGTGTAGCCTTTGCAAATCTTGAGCACCATGCTCATGTTCCCTTGGGCTGGCAGCTGTCACAATGACCTCCTCGGAACCTCGCCGTCGGTTCGCATCTTGTTCTTTGCTTCCCTCCTTGCGATGGGTCCCTCCGTCTTCCTCGGCCGGCAAATCCGTTTGCCCTTCAACCTGCTCTCCATCCTCTTTCATTGCTGAGCCTGTCGACTTCGCTCGTTCCACGTTTGGCTCGTCTTCATCGCGGGTCTTCGCCGCCGCAGTATACGCAAAGTGGGTATCACACACATGCTTGACAACGGGCCATCCGTAGGCATTGGCAAACATACGGCGCACGATGATGTTGTTGTGAGCATCCGGCTCCAGTCGCACAAGGACTTTGCGCCATGAGAGATCCTTGTGGTATGCCCGTGCTATCTTCTCTTCGATTTTCATTGCTCCAACCGCCTGGTTCGACCCGGTTGACTGATTTGAATCTGGTATAACAGAGTCGCTAGAAGACTCGGAGGATTTGTTCGTGTCATCCCGCGAACCCGTTCGTATCATCATAAATGTTCGCTGACGTTTGGCTGGTGGAGGTGGAATGTCGTCAGGATGGTAGACACGGTCATGCCAGATCGTCCTAGGCCGGGCGCCCGGATCAAGGATGAACTCTCGCGTCGGCAATGGCGGGTTGAGAAGATCCCCGGCGGATTCAAAGAAAGATGTTCTTGGGGGAGCTTCGACTTCGCCATTCTCCGAATTGTCGGTGTACACAGACGATCCTCGGACCAAGCCTTTCCTGTCGCCATTCCCTTCATTGCCCGAGCCCTCCTCCTGAGTTTCTTGAGAAGGGTCACCCGAGCTTTGCTCGTAGGCGTCATCATCGTGATGCGTTGTCTGGCCGCGTCGATAGATCTTTTGCACCTTTCGAGGACCTTTTGGCTCAGGCTTCTGATGACCGGCTTGAGGCTTGAACAAATTCAACAAACCAGTCCACAAGTTCGGCCCTGAGGTCGCCGTAGCACTCCCATTTCCTTCCTGAGCGGTATCCTGCCCAGACTGCTTTCCCAGAAATTGGCTCGGTTTCGGTTCAGCTCTCTGATCGTCGTCAAGCCCTTGACTTGCCTCTGCTTGGGGAACACTTGACTCCGGATCTGATGGGGATTTGTCATGATTGCTCTCGTCGCCACTGTCACTGTACAAATCATTCCAAGTTGATGCCTTCCGAGGAGATGCGGCATTTTGGCCGGTCATTTCTGCCCAACCCCAGCTGACCATCGTGCCCACCAAGCCATTCTCTCGTCTGGCTTTCTCGACTCGTCCTAGCCCTCTCCAGTCGAGGAAAAGAAGGCAAGACGTCCTTAGGGGCACTATCCCATCATTGACGACATTCGAATAGACTGTTCGATTTCGGAATTTCTTGAGAGCCACGTGTGCCGGACCCGTCGGAAGCACGCGCAGCAAAGGCTTCGCTCCAGGGTCGGGCTCTTTATGCGCCTTTTGTGCTTCACTGGTCAAGCCACTTATCACGGCGCCCCAACCACTTTTCGCCAGGGTGGGTGCGCGCCATGTCAGACCCAGATCTTGCCCAGTCCTCCCGACAAGTCCAAAATCGAGTGCAAACTTGACATAGACCGGATTCTCGTTGCTCAACCCCAGGAAAGGAGTGGCCAGTGCAATGAAGCTGATGGGTTTGATCAGGTCAAAGAAATCCGGCGAATGCTTTTGAATGTACGCAACGGCATATGTCTGTACAAGTCCGCCCAGTGAGTGAGCAACGAAGCTGATGCTGGTGATTCGGTACGGTAGATGGTGGTCACGGTGGTTCTCGTCCTTGATGATACTGCTGTGCTTGTGTGCTGGTTCTGTTCCACTCTGTGGTGTCAGCTTCGATCCTGTCCAAGACTTTGTCAGATCCTTCCCCTTCGCGCTCTTAGCTGGTAGGTAAGGTTGATCTGGATACGTGACTGAAAGCACGTATTTTGCAAGGCGTTTGCCGAGATATTGGATTCCACGTTCCGTCCTGACTGTATTGCCGTTGAAGCCACGGACGAGCACTTGTTCCTCATCCTCCTCGTCATCTGTGGTCACTTCCGCATCATCGTCAGCCGATGTCTCCGCATTTTGTGGTGGTGATCTTGCACTTTCATCGCGTTGGTGTTGTTTGAGTTGACTTGAATCAGTCGCTCGCATCCTCCTCCTTTCCGCCCGTCGATGCTTGCTATCCTCTCTAGCCTGCTTGGCTGCTGTATCGATGCTTTCTTTCAAGTAGAGCATATCCGCGCCCAGGTTGCTGTGAAGGCCGTGCGTGAGCAGAACGAGATGGATCTTCTTCTGTTTCCGCTGCTTGTTCCCGCTCTTGGCCGCCGCGTCCCGCTTATCTCCATGCTGAGGGCCTTCCTCTACTCTGACATCGCCATTGTCTTCCCACTCCGGGAACGGCGGGGTATTCCAAAGACTCTCGGTGTCGTCAACCGCCAACCTAACTGCTTTGGAGAACACGCCCTTAGGTTGCGCAGCATGCGTGGGTTTGCCTTGTCGGTGATCTTTTAGTATTCCTGGTGACCCCTGACCCGATGCGATGACTCCCTGGAAGCCGAGTTCGATCGACTTCTCGTCACGCCCGACCAGGACTTCAAACGGCACTGAGGCTGTTCGGGAGAAGATGATTTGCGAAGTCACTTCGATAATCCATGTGAAGCTCTTTCGCTCTGACCTGCTTGCCTCGCTCCGGCCGGCGCCAGGAGGATGGACGTCATTCCGTACTTCCTCCGGGACGGTTAATCTTGCATACCAATGCCCCCCGGCTTTCAACTGTGGTTCGAAGTCCGGAGCCCCCTCTTCCTTGACTCTGTCATGCTTTTTGTAAGGATTGAACGTCGAAGGATAGCAGGCAACGTAGAGAGTATAAGGGCCATGGAGGTATGCGGCGCGCAGGGGGATCGCAGCCGTGTTCTTGATCTTGACATACAGATGTGCCGGAGGGGGAAGGATGCGGTCATGGCTAGGAGTGTAGGTCAATGTATATCTAGCGCAAGTCTCATCAGCAAGAAAGTCCAGGTTATAAGCGCGTCTATCGCTTCCTACCTGACGACTTCGCCGACCTTGACAGATCCTGTTTGGTGCAGGAGGAGCATTGTGTTGATCTTCGCGCGTGAACAGGCTAACAGCCCACTGACATGCTCCTCGCACCGGTAGCGACCGCAATTCTAGAGAAGGGCAGAGAAGTGGTGACAAAACAGCCCATTGTGTCCAGCAGACCTCTATGCAAACAGTAAATGGCCGTCGAGGGCTTCTCACATGGAAGACAGACAAGAACGAGCGAGGAGTAGGGCGATCACCATTGATTGATATTGTGGAGAGGCCGAGTTCATGAGTCGTGAGAGTATGACATACTACCAGCAGTAACTTCCGGTGCATGTCACAACTCACTCACTTACTCACTCACTCAGCCTCGTCAGACCAACCGTCGGATGTTGGGCACCCGGAAATATGGCCCACGCACCCTTTATGCTAGCCAGCCATTTCTCTTTCGAATTATGGGTTTCCTTGGTTGTGTCTCTACAAGTTGACTCAAACTGAGTACTAGAGACTTAGAGAGAGGTTAATGACGACTCAGCGGCCACGCTCAATTCCTCAATTCACACAAGATTATGCCTGGCACAAAGGCTTGAGACTTGTAGTCTACCGAGGGCTCTAGATCGCAAGCTAATCTCGTTCTTGGTCGTTGTAGTGACGTGAAAACCCAAGTATACATTAGTCCATCCAGCACATATCCTCCAGGAATTGCTATCCAGTCCTCAAGAAGCCCGCCACTAAAACAACCCGCGGGAGGTGCAGAGACAATCAGACGACTTTCCCACATATGCAGTGCCTTTGCTTTTCCCGAGGGCTGTGCACAAGCGCTGCCAACTTCAACCCAACCCACACCCCCACCGAGGATTCAAGAACGGCCAGGACTGTCGCCAGGTCAATCAAGAGACCTTTGCCGACCGACAGATGCACCCCACCGCTCTCCCTGGCCAACAGGCCCCCCGGAATGGAGAAGAACAGTGTGGGCGTCAGCACGATGATGACCCGGTTATTCGTCCAAGACCCGTAATTCTGTGCGAGGAGGCCTGCAAAGAAAGAGGCGACCATCAACAGTGCCGGGCTGCTCAGCCCAACCTTGAGATTGAGCCAGAACGAAATCAGGACGAAAGCGACAGCCACCAGCACCATGCCGGGAATCTGCTTCCAACGAGCTTGGAGGACGATTGCGTTGCTGAGAGTGAAGATGGCTATGGCCAGAGCATTCAGGAGCCCAGTGCGTGTTTCGGTGAGCTGGAACAACGGGCTCTATCCATCGGAGCAGCTCAGGGGCGGAGGTGGAGGATACGAGGCGAGGATGTCGTATATCAATCTACCACAACCCATCCCCAAGCTCAACATCATGGTATAGAAGATTGTCTTAGCAAGCCGAGCGGTTCCGCAAACGGATCGGTTGGACAGAACCTCTGAGGTTGCGACAAGCATGGTGTACGCCGGCAAGATGATGGCGACTGTCCCTTCGGCGATAGCAGTCCAGCAAAAGAGCGGAACTCCATGATGATGAATGGAGCCCAACCCAAGAGAGACGACGGTCAGCAGAGCTGCCGCCAGGAAAGGGAACAGGTCGGAGAAACCCCTCGACCTGGGAGTGAGGAACAGCTGCATCCATGCCAGGAGGCAGCCGAGGACAAAGATAGGGAAGAGGTCTTTGGGTTGAGCGTCGAAGGCGTATAAGCCGATCGCAACGCAGGCGATCCCGTATGCTATGATTCGAGTCGGCGTCGAGTAGAGCTCCTTCCTCGCCTCCACGGCCCTCAAACGATGGAGGCCAAGGTCGTGTCCCATTCGCCCTTCCGTCACATCGCGGTGGATGTCGTCTATGTCCTGCATCTTGTCGAACTCGATTCCTTCTTGCGCAGCCTCGCACTGGTGAATTGTGAAATCATCTCCACAGCACTCGACCAGCGGAGCACCGAGCTTCAAAGCCAGTGTCAGGTGCTTCAGGTGATACTCTTCTTCGCCCTGGACGACGGACTGGTATTTTTTCGTCAATGTAGTGGTGTTGAGGCTGAAGGAGGACAGACTGAACGTGGTCAGGGTCGCAGTGCTGCTGGTGGTCGCGGTGGGAGTGCTTCGGTCAATGTCTGGAGATCTACGTGGGGTGTTTGGGTTGGTATTCAGGATAGCCGACATCTTCATGAGGCACCGGCATCGTTGAAGGCCTAGAATGTTGGCTTGAACATCTGCTGTGTGAGCGGGTAGGTCTCGAGGACTTGGTATACGGACAAAGGCTGAGGGTTGAGTAGAGTTCGGTGGTTACCTCAGCGACGCAGGACGCAGGAAGACTCCTTCCATGAGTCCTCAGAGTGTCCTCCCAAAGGTACAACATCAGTCTTTGTATAACCGTTTCGCCTAACGAGCCTGCAGAGAACACGACCTTCACATTTATACATGTATCGGTAGTAATCCTGTATGTATCTAGGTACATAGTCTGCAGTCTGAGCCAGTGAACTCCAAGTCCAACGCCACATTGTGGGAAACCCTCCTCCTCATTCTTCAATCATAAACGCGATTTCAACATGTCGTGTGGCGTAATCAGCGGGTCGTATGCTCGAATCCCGAGCGTGTCTTGAGGCACGGTTGCAGTGTGGGCTTTCAGTCCCGCGGTGTCGACCATATCGGGTGTCAAATCCTCCACTTTGGAAGCTCCAATGAGTCGCATATTCATGACCATTTCGTCCTTCAGAAGCTGCATTGCCCTATCCACCCCAGGAAGGCCGTACGCAGACATAGCGAACAAGAAAGGCCGCCCGATGCCCACGCCCTTGGCCCCCAAACATAGAGCTTTGATGATATCTGTCGCCCGTCGCACGCCGCCATCGATGAATACCTCAATCTTGTCTTGAAGGCCGCGTTCGCGGAGGATAGGCATCACCTCGGCCAGAACCTCAATACCGGATCGAGCAAAATCCAACTGGCGGCCTCCGTGATTGGAGAGCACGACACCGTGAGCTCCTACTTCGATGGCCTTCAGGACATCCTCAACTCGTTGCACGCCCTTGAGGATGATGGGCATTTTTGTAATACTCAAGAACCATGGGATATCCTTCCAGCTGAGGCTGGGGTCGATGAAGCTGGAGATGGCTCTTGCGGCGCCCTGTGACCGGTCGACGTTCGACCCGCTGGTGTTTTGTACGTTGGAACCGACATCTTCGAATTTACTCCGCATATCCTTCTCTCGTCGGCCTAGCTGAGGAGCATCCACCGTGATGAAGAGACCCTTGCAGCCTCGGGCTTCGGCGTGCTGAACAATTTTCTTGGTAATCGCCCGGTCTTTGTTGACGTAGAGCTGCAACCACTGGCATTGATCGCCTTCTTTCGCATCACAGATTTCGTCGAAGCTGCATGAGGCCAATGTCGGAATCATCTGGATGACATTGTGCTTCTTTGCACCTCTTGTTAATACCACTTCTCCCTCCGGATGGCCTAACTTGCCCAGCGCGGTGGCGGTAACGTAGAAAGGAATATCGCACTTCGTCCCCAGCATGGTGGTACTGATGTCGACATGTTCCACATCGACGAGTATTCTCGGTCGGAACCATATCTTGTGAAAGGCAGAATGGTTTTCTCTCATGGTAATCTCATCGTCGGCTCCGGAGCTGTAGTACGCCCAGGCGGGTTTCTTCATGACCTCCCTGGCCACGGATTCAAAATCCATCAGATTATAGCAAGCCTCCAGTGGCGGCATGTTCTTGATACGCTCTTGTCTGGCCTTTTCTTCCGGAGACTCTTCTTTCACTTCCGTCGCGACCGTTTCCATGTTCACCGGTCCGAGATGTTTTTCCTTGGGCAGGAATTTGTCCAAAGTGTCAGGCGGATGGATCGGGTCGAACTCTTCAGTCGCATCTTTGCCGGCATACTTGAGGATAATCTTGGGTCCTCCTGGGTGCTCTGTCCATGCTGGTCAACGAAGATACAGATAGCTGGTTCGCACACGATACGCACCTGGCAAGAATTCCGTCACATCATATGCTTTGCCGTGTACAATCACCCAGCAAGACTCTCGGGAGTTGTGTTTCGCGACATCGTCGCCCGTAAGAGTGCCAACGTCTGGTCGTTCACCTTCATCTCTATTCATCTTGACGATAGTAGTTGACCTCACTCAATTGTGGGGCAGAAGGGCTTGTCTCTCGGGATCTGGCTCTGGCTCTGGCTCTGCGGTCCTCGTTCGGGGCAAAGGAGAGGCGAAGAATGCGAGGTAAAAGGCGAGGACTATGAGGACACAGAAGAGAATGAGCAGGGCAAGGCCGACTCTATTAAACAGAGCATCCCCAGGGACGGCAACTATATGGGGTGTGTAGTAATGTAGATCCATAGGCTGCCGATTGGATTCGCCGAGAACCCGATGTTCAAGTTGGAGGCGGTCGATTTGGACTCTGGAGGCGCGGGGACAAGATCGATGGAGTTCGCACCGGCACCCACTGCTGGTGCTTTGCCGTCCCTCGGCACGATGAAACTACTACCAGAGTCTTATATGGTTGGACTTCAAGGAATGAGATCCCCAAGACTCCAAACACCATCTCCGCTTGTACGGGGGTATCGTAGACTGGGGTGCCACCAATCGGTCTTTCAGGCCGACGGCGGCGTTGAATCCTAGAGTCTGAAGGAGGGTCTCTGGTCAAGGATTTGGTTCAATAGGTCAGGTAGGTAGATACTGCATTAAAGGCAGACCAGGCAGGTCTTGGACTGTCCAGTGCAGACCGCAGGATCCCACTCATGCCAGTGCCAGTGGTGCAGCTTCTGGGGCACACAGGCGGAGAGATGCCGGTGCCTAAGATACATGTACCTTAAAGGAACACAATAGCACGATCAAAAGTCCCCTATCCTTTTAGTGCATCTCATTCCGATCCCTGCTGACGGGTACGAGTCTCCAAGTCGTCGATGCATAGAATAAACAGCCTCGCTTCAGGTGATCCGCTCACAGAGAAATCATCCGTACAAAGAGAGGCAATAAAGATTAAGGTCAGCCTGCAGCCTGCAACCTGCAACTCGCTGCTCGGTGACTCTCGGGATCGCGTCCTCTCCAGGCGCGCCCCTGACAACATACACGGGGGAGTGTCCTCGTGATATGCATTTGTTGTGTATGTTTCCTTTTGTGATCAATCACTCTAGGTGTGGAAATTGCACGGACGGCGGGGTACAAGATTTCTCCTTCACGGGCGCAGGAGAAGGAAACCACTGGCACTTGACTTCGAGACCAAACCGCTGCACCTTTCCATCCAGACATTTGCAAACCTACCTAACTTTACCTTCTCGTCGAGCCCGTCGTTAATTCGGGACGCTTTCCCAGTGTCTTGTTTCGTCGTTTCTTTTTATTTTATTTTCATTTCGTTCTCGCTGTTGTCATTTTGTCCTTAAGGATTGACTCACTTTCAAGTCGTTGGCAGACAGACTCCTTCCGCGCCTGCTGATCTTTCCTACTACTACTAGTACTTGCTCGACGTGACTCAACACTACTTCTATTAGGAAGCCGCGGGCATCACAGACCAGAACCTGACTCTGCCGCTCATGCTGCGCCGCATTTCTGCCAGCATGAAGTAGTGGTTTGCATTCCGAACATATTCCAACCTTTTTGATCGCTTCTTCATTTGGTTCCCTTCGAGATTAGACACAATGAACGCCGCTCCTCCGTTGATCACAACCACTGGTCCACAGCCCGTTCCTGCAACCTCGATCGAGGCCAAACTCGTTGTGCTTGGGGCACAGGGCGTGGGCAAAACTTCGCTCGTTTCACGTTTCATAAACCCGGGTGCACAGTTGGCCAAGAATGTACAGTCGACCATTGGAGCATCCTTTGTAACCAAACGAATCACCGACCCCGATTCCTCAACCACCGTCCGATTGCAAATTTGGGACACTGCGGGACAAGAGAGGTTTCGCAGCATATCTCGGCTGTATTATCGAGGGGCAAATGCGGGCCTCCTCTGTTACGACATCACGAACGAGAGGAGCTGGGAAGAAATGAAGACATGGCTGGCCGAAATGAAAGAAAACTGTGAAGATGGCGAGGCAATGCCCATCATCCATGTGGTGGGGACTAAGAGCGACATCGTGGCGGATGATCCCTCCAGCAGAGAGGTCACCTTTGAGAGGACGATTGCCTACATGGCCGAACAACTCGGAGGCGTCACTGCTGCCCAGAGTACGGCCTCAACGCCTCCTCTGACCATGAAGCATGGCAGTCTCACCATTCAGAGCCCAGACTCAAAGCGCAGCTCGGGGTTTTGGAACCAGGATGTTGGCTGGGACAGCTGCCATGAAGTGAGTGCTAAGGACGGAGAAGGAATCGAGGAGGTGTTCCGGGTTATTGCCCGGAAATTAATCGAGCAGAAGCATCAGAGGGACGCCGCCGAGTTGTCACGGTTACAACAGACATCAGGCTATCGCAACGAGCACGGTGAGGACTATTTCGCCGCCAACCATGGCCATTCCGGAAGTTTCAGAGTTGGATACGGTGACAAACGACGAAGCTGGCTCGGGTTACCAAGTGTTGGACTTGGCGAGTCGGAAGGCGGAGGATCAGGCATTGGAACGCGAGACCCTGAAGAGGCACGACGGAAAGGAAGATGTTGCTGATTTGCAAGTGTGATGATTTGGTTTTGTTAGGCGTCTGGGTTGGAATGAGGAATGACGATTTGGCATGGCATTGATGAAAGCAGGCATTCCACACAAGAAGCATCAGGGCAGGCGTCTGGTTTCCTTGACTGCCCGAATTTGCCGGGTACATGGGAGGAAATGAGTGTCTAGCTCCTCATCAGACTTTATGATTGCTGTGATCGGTGTTCAGGTTTGCTTTTGCGACTGGGAATGGGCATGCATGCATCGATGGATTTGAAGCGGCTTGTTTGATATGATGCTCGGTATGTGACGATTGGGCGGGTGCAACTCTTAATACTGCGTGCGTTTGGTATCAATTTCAACATGACGGCGTTTAGCTGGTGGGCAATAACGTCTTTCAATCGTACGGATGTTTTCGACCTGGTGCTTAGATTTGTCGTCTTGAAGTCTGGTATCTGGTGCATATCTCTCTCCTTTCCTTTCTTCTGCTATAGCATCAAGATCATGGAAGTACACGGCATCGTCGGGGTTATTGATGCCATGGCCAGCTTCGTCTAGTATACCTATGTAGGTAGGAGACAAGGGTCTGGAGCAGGTCCACACATCTTATCGTAGCTCAGCTTGATCTTGATTGTGATCTCCGCTAGTACTATTGACTGGAGAATCTTGATAAAGCTGAAGCACGCTCCAGTCGATCCACCTCGACGTACATTCGTCTCTACCACTCATGATGTACCCTGTGTATTGAAGCCGCTGTCTCTTTCCAGTGCTGCGCAGAAGGCATGGTCTCGCTTCGAAGGCTCGGACGCAAGGGAAGTACAAGGTGGGTTCGGAGGAGTGATAAGGAGGTCGGTCGACGGCATACACCATGTCGACAGTAAGAGACGTCCCCGGGCCTCTCTGGACCGTCCGACCTGCTATCTGCCATCTCATTAGCCAGCTGGACTGAATGCCGAGAAGAAGTCTGAAATGCTTCTCTAGAGCTTACGAACGTTGACAAGTCCATTTACGTAACCTGGGGACAGCGAAGACCTGACAAGCATGTCGCCACCATCAAGCCAAGTCTTGGAGGGAGGGTGATGGCGCAATGCATTTGAAAGATCCACGCATCCACCACTGGGGGGACGATGTCTGAAATGTGTTATCCTGAGATGATGGTTGGCTTTTGAGGACGACGACCTTGGCCGCTCTCTGCCAAGTCGCCCTCGTGTTCCCTCCAAGCTCTCCTTCTTCTTCTTCTTCTTCTTCTTCTCCTCCTCCTCCCCCACAGACTGCAACCCCGGGGGAATTGGCTTGGGGTTCAAGTTCTCCAGGATCATGATAACCAAACAAGGTTCCCTCCCTCCATCTTCCAAGAACGCCTCGCTAACGATGGAGGAATCTCATGATCTGGGTTCTGTTGGCGCAGGTGCCTCTTGCATTCCCTCTGCCAGTGTGGACGAACGCTGTGTCTACAAGTATCGTCTGTCTCTCCACCCCGCTGTCCGACCCCTGTGTGCTTTCTACTTCTGTGCGACCTTTCTATTTCGAGTACAGGACAGCCTTAGGACTGGCCTCAGATAAGTAGACAGGTACTTGCCCTTGCTCGTCCCTGCCACCCTTTGGCTTCTACGCTTTCATTCCTCCATTTTCCATTCTCGTTGTCCCGCCCAACATGGCGCATCCAGACGAGGGAAAGAACATCACGCCTGACGAAGGCTCTCCGCATGGAGTCTCTCGAGATGTCGATCCTGAGAAGCTCCAAGACCCGAAGATGCAGAAGCTGGCGGGCGAGATCACGTACACAGATGAGGAAGATCCGATCAACAGGCAACATAACCCGCTGGCGCAAAAGCTGCGATCCCGTCATATGCAAATGATAGCGATCGGTAAGCATTTCTGGCTTGCGGGAGAGCTGTAAAAGATGGACCGTGTCTCTACAGCATTTGCTCACATTTCCTACAGGCGGCTCCATCGGCGCAGGTCTATTTGTCGGTTCAGGCGGTGCCTTGCGAACTGGTGGACCGGCCAGCGTTTTGCTCGGCTTCATGATCGTTGGCTTCATGTTGCTGTGCACTATGCAGGCCCTGGGTGAACTCACGGTCCTGTTTCCGGTGAACGGCGCCTTCTATACCTACATCGTCCGTTTCGTCGATCCGGCCCTCGGATTCGCCGTGGGCTGGGACTACGCAATCGGCTGGCTGACGGTCCTGCCGTTCGAACTTACAGCTGCCTCCATCACGATTGAATATTGGCGAACAGACATTCACGTCAGTGTCTGGATCACCATTTTCCTGGTCTTCCTCTGCATCGTTCAGATATTCGGTGTTCTAGGATATGGCGAGGTGGAGTTCGTGCTAGCCATGATCAAGATTGTGGCCTGCGCTGGCTTCATCATCTTCGGCATTGTCGTGGACTGTGGTGGTGTGTCATCCGACAATCGTGGTTATATCGGGGCCCGATACTGGCATGACCCGGGAGCCTTCCAGAACGGATTTCACGGCTTCTGCAGGTACGTTGAAACACCACATGTCTCCCGTTCAAGCATGCTAATGAACACCTGTTTTCTAAAGTGTCTTCGTCACAGCTGCATTCGCTTTTGGCGGGACTGAGCTTGTCGGGCTCGCAGCCGCAGAGGCAGAAGACCCGCACCGTTCGCTGCCCAAAGCTACTCGCCAAGTGTTCTGGCGGATTGCCACCTTCTACGTGCTGTCGCTGTTCATTGTCGGTCTGATCGTTCCATCAGATAGCCCAGACCTGCTCGGTGCGAGCGGCGCCAACACCAAAGCCTCGCCTTTCGTCCTGGCCATCCGGTATGCCGGAGTCAAGGGTCTGCCATCTGTCTTCAACGCAGTCATCACCATTTCGGTCATCTCTGTCGCCAACAGCTGCACGTATGGTTCGTCTCGAACGATGCAAGCTCTCGCGGCGCGCGGCATGGGCCCCAAGTTCTTGATGTATGTCGACAAGAAAGGACGCCCGCTATGGTGTATCCTGGTGCAACTTCTGTTTGGCTGCCTCGCGTACATCGGCGAAGCTCACGCTTCCGGCACCATTTTCACCTGGTTGTTGGCCTTGTCAGGTCTGAGCTTCTTCTTCTTATGGCTCAGCATCAACCTCTCACATATCCGTAAGTCTTAGGGTTAGCTCTTCCATCTGATACTGAACCAGATTGACTGACTGTACTCCCAAGGATTTCGTCATGGCTGGTACAATCCCGATTTCCCTGGCTCTGGCCCGTCAGATTCCATCGCTAATTTTGTTTCAGGTACGCCCATGGATTCACGAAGCAGCAGCTCCCTTACCGAGCGGCCTTCGGCATCTGGGGTTCCTACATAGGAGTCACGCTGAATGCTCTCGCGATCATCGCCACGTTTTATACTTCATTGTACCCCGTCGGTTCGGATCCAGATGCAGAAGTCTTCTTCGAGAACTTTCTGGCCGCTCCTATCGTCATAGCCCTGTATATCTTCTGGAAACTCTACTCTCGGGATTGGAAGCTGTTCGTCCGCGCCAGTGAGATGGACGTGACTACTGGTGTCAGGAGGGGAAGTCTGGAGATTGCCGCGGAGAGAGGTCGTGACGGATGGAAGAAGGCACTCCGAGTGTTCTTCTAAGAACATTTCGTTCCGGATGGGGCAGTGTACCTGATATAGGCCAAGGTCCGACTGCTGGGGTTTCTGGCTTCCTGGTCGACCGAGTCAGGCAATACAGCTGATATCAGGCATCTAGGTACTTCGACAAGGATCCAGGGGGTCAGCCCTCCTTGCTATGAAGTGATGGGAGCTGGTACATGTAAGCCTTAAGAAGTATAGGTGAAGAGGCTGAGAACGCATAAATACCTTACAGTCACAGATCATTAGTTACCTGTATTTACTCTCCCTTGCCTTTTTGTCAAGATACTAGTGACCAAATAGCAAATGCCCGTCAAGCTTCCATTATCTGTTAATCAAACCTCAAGTGGCTATTGACTCCAAGCAATTGTGGTTGATGATCAATGAGTTCCTAATACATAAATATATATATATATATATACCCTGACCAGAAGAAACAATTATGTTTTTGTATCCACTGCAAGGTGTATATGTATACTCATAGGTGATAAGGTAAGGTATGTACTATGATATATACCAGTAATCAAGAACGAGAACAAACCAAGAGGAAGGAAAAGAACCAAAGGCCGTGCTGTTTTTCTTCTGCTCAGTCTCAGCTTAGGAGAATTATTATCCCATATATATATATATATATATATACACAACCCCAACCTCAATCCCAACCCCAGACCTGGACGACTCAATATAAATCCAATCCAATCCCCGACTCGATTTTCCACTCCAATCCCTCGCTCCCTCCCTTCCTCCCTTCCTCCCCAAGTAGTCGGCCAGCCAGCCAAGCCAGAAGGAACACAAAAAAGGGGTCGGTCCCAATCCATCTCCCTGCCCATCCCCATCAATCCAATCAATCCAATCCAATTCGAACGGAACAGAACAGAACGGCCTAAGGCCATCTTAACCAGGTCTCCTGCCCAAGTCCAGACCCGAACCTTGGAGCCCAGACCCAAAACACGAAGCCTGGAACCAAGCCAACCGAGTTTCCAAATAACCCAAGGAGGGCGCTTCATATTAGAAATATTATAATTTTCATCCATCCCTACAAAATTTTCATTCGGTTCGACTTCGTATCCTTTCCTTCATGAGTGGGTTGAGTGGGTTGAGTGGGTTGAGTGCCAGTGGATTGTGGAGGCTTGGGGAGGCTTGGGGGTGAGAACAACCAGAACCAGAAGTGAAGAGAAGAGATGACGGGAAAGAGTGGAGGTGAAGAGACCAGCCAAAAGTCACAAGTCACAAGTCACAATATCATAGACAGATGGACAACTGGACATTGGCTTCTCTCCTCTCTTCCGGCGATCTGGATTGGGACACAACAGTGTCGTCGAAGAAGGTGGATCCGTAGACATGTCTTGCTTCGCTTGGCTCGATTCGACTGAAGGTCCATGACAATGACACTCCAGGCTCAGGCGGTTTTGCATCTCTGTTGACTGTATTTGTTCCTTGTTGCCTTGTTCTTCGTATTTGTGTTTGTGTTTGTATACGTCTTCATGGCCGTGCTCGCACTCGTACTCTCACCCGCAGCACCTTCCTGGCACTCTCACTCACACTCGCTCTCGCACTCGTGCTTTGTCACTAGAAAGCGTCTTCGAGCGGACAATCGACCGAGTCATGCCCGTCCCGCTCGCACAAGGCACACCATTTCTCCGGATCGATCACGCCCGAAGTGCGGCCTGCCAGCATGCCTGCTTGGGCGCCTGTGCCTTCGATCAATGTCGTCACCGGTGCAGAAGGCGGTGGGGGTCGAGGAGGCGCTGCCCCCGCATTTATTTTCTTGGGCGACGGCGATAACGGTGAAGCCGTATCCTCGAGGACAGGAGGTGATGGAAGGTCCGAGGTAGGCGGCGGATGCGAGGGTGTGGAGACAGCAGAAACGGCAGAAACGGCGCTGTTGGCGGTGTTTTTGCGACTCATCAGGGAAGCTGGTCTGTCGAACTCCTCGACTCTGCCTGCTGACCGGGCGCCAGATCCAGCTATGTCGTGGATCTGTTGTTCATCGTAGTCGCCACTACGTTTGAGACCTTCGCGGACGACTTCCTTGCCGCTTCTTTTCCCCGATCTCGATCCCAAACTGGCATTGGCTGGATGTTGCTGTGTGTGTCCTTGCACTTTACCTTCGGTGCCGAACATATTGGTGCAACTCAAAATGTCGTGGCCGCCTTCTTCGCAGATCTCGCACCACAGAGCGGCGTTCGCGCTGGCGGAAGAAACGTCAGTGACCCCGTCGTCAGATCGCGCCCGGTCGCCGTCCGTGTCGATGTATTGGTGGTGTTTGACCGGGGGCACGGTAGAGTTGTGGTGGTGGTGGTTGTGCCACTCCTGCGGTTGTGTTTGGGGAAGTGCTGGGTGGCTTTGCTTTCTCTCGTGCTTAGCAGCGGGAACGCCTCCCTTTGACATACCACCAGCCCCGACAACAACGGTCCTTTGGCTGCCCGTCGTGCCTGTGCTCAAATGCTTGCGGTCCAATTCCTCGCTGTTCCCGCGCGAGTGTCCCCCGGACGACCTGATGCCGGTGTGGATGCCAAAAGCAGATCCGGGCAGAGGAAATTTGGACAGCGCGACACTGTTCCGCAGCTGTTTGACTTCGTTCGACAACTCTTCCTCATGCGCGTTCTTTTGTTGCAGGAGGGCTTCCAGGTTGCGGATCTGCTGTTCTAGGGTATATCGGCCATCGTCGTCATTGCCGGCGGCTGCAGACACAGTGCTTTTGTTTCGAATGTGTCCATTGCCGTTTGCCTGTGCACTGCCAGGGCCGTTCCTCTTGGAATCGTCCTTGTCGTGTGACTCGCTGAGGCTTTGGATGATCGCTTTCAGGCCTCGGATCTCATCGTCTTTGGCGCTCAATTGGGCTTCGAGATCTTGCAGAGTCGCCGGCGAAAAGCCGTTCAACTGTTCCTCTGTCCTCAGGCGTTCCTTTTCCCTACGCAGCTCGGACCTGGACCTCTCCACTTCGCCCCTCAGAAACTCAACTTCACTGCGCGCTTCAGCCTCGCCTCGTCGAGCGTCTTCCAAGCCTTCTTCAAGCTCTTGGACCAGGTCTTCCAACTGCTTAAGTTGTTGGGCGACGCTCTCGACGTCTTCGCTGCGATCTTGCAGCGTCCGAAGCTCTTCCAGCAGCTCGTCCACCCTCTTCTCATACACTCTTTCGGTTTCCGTGCTCGCCATTTCCAGCGTGTCGATTGTGGAGCGGAAATCCGCTCGATGCGCGTCGAACTCGGCAGTCAGGAGCTTGATCTTCTCATTCTTTTCCCGCACAATGTCGCGAAGAGAGGCGACGTCTCGTGGAAGATCTTCCTCGTCCTCTTCGCGAGCTCGTGTTCCAGCTTGGCCCTCCTCCAATGCTGGCAGTAGTTTTTGAAGCTCGTTGAAGTTGCGTTCCATTTCTCCGATGTTTCCATTCTGTTCACGTATTTGGCGTCTCGCCTCGTTGAGCTCTTCATTCAGTTCTCGTATCTTGGCCTCGTACTTGGTGACATGATTCTCCGCATGTCGATTGACACTAGGTGTCGGTGTCGGCGTAGAGTCAGCCTCGTGCTCTTGAGTTTCGTCGAAACTCGAATCCGGCCCTAACGAGGGACTTGCGCCCGAATTGCTCGGTGTAGATGAGCTCTGTCGCAGACTCCGGCTGAAGTTGTTGGTCGGCCGTTGTCCTGGCCTATATGGCCCTGTGGCTCCATTTGTACTTTTCGCGAAGCCGATACCACTGGCTCGGGTTTTAGGCGTTGCCAATGTCTTCGGAGTAGGTGTATGGACCTTGCGCAGCGGGCTCGAAGGTCGAGGGAGAGATTCTCGTCTCATAGATGGTTTGAGGGCCGGGCTCGCTGCGCCTGACCTCACGCCTGGCCCGATGGACTGACTGAAATTGGGTTTCGCGATGCCTGGCGTTCTGCCTCCTTGATTGAAACTGCTCAACCTCGTCGGCGTGCCTGGGCCAGGGCTTGCTCTGACGCCCAATCCGGACCTCTTGACCGCCTTTTCCAGTGGGAGGAAAATGCCGGAGCCTGGTATAGTCGTTCTGAAATAGTGTCTCCCATCGACTTCGCCAGAGTTTTTCCCTCTCGGAGCATACTCGGGCGCAAGCTGCACACCTGCAAATGTTCCTTTCTTTCCTGCGACGGGTCCAATAAATTTCACGACACCGTGCATATCCCCGGGGACCGTGACGGTGTCCCCAATATGTATCGTGGTCATGATGTCCGCAGGGTTTTGTCGCGGTACTTCTTATAACTCGGTTTGTATTCGAGGATGCGCTCGATCAGAGGTGGACGATGTAGAGGAGTAAGGGTGCGACAATTACGCAGAGGGCACAAACAGCCAGAAGAAAGGATCTGGCTTGTTGGCGAGTCTTCGATGGATTGCGCTCGCTGATGCGCACAGCCGGCTGGCGCAAACGGGATGGAGGAGGATTTGTAGTGGGCGGCCGTCGTTGAACCAGCCGCAGGGTCACGTCGAGCGAGATAGGGGCATCAGCCGTGTGCGTGTGCGTGTGCGTGTGTGATGAAGGTGGCCTGGTTGCTGGTTGCACAAGAGAGAAGAGGTAAACAAAAGACGTAACTCGATCATGGCTTATTATTGGAGGCGTTCGGAAAGCCGCAACCCACGAGGCCGTCAGCGGTTGAAGGGTCGATGAGCTGTGGATGAGCAACTCAGTTGATGCTCGAATGAAACAATCAGTGCAGTATGGAGGGTGTCGACAGGGGTCTGATCCTACTCTTAAGATGAGATCAGGCTATATTGCAGTTCAAGAGACGTCTACAGAGTATCTCTGTCAATCCATCTGATTACACTCGCTTCGTCGTTACAGAATGTCCAGGGGTATCCAGCCTCGCTGGTGATGGTCGGCCCTAGGAATGCATCAGGAGTGAGTCTATATCTATATCTATATCTACATTACTTCCACTTCAGATATCATCCAAGGATGCGACACAGCTTTTATTTATCCTTTCCAGGCTTTGTGCCGTTTCTATATTCCAGTTCATTATGTATCCAAATCCCCGGTTCCTCCCCCGATCACAACTGCAACCGATACGTGGCGACCTCAAATGGTCGCAGCTCAATGTCGATAGTGATCTTGTTCTTTCCAGACATGGCCAACTCTTCGAGATCATCCTCCAATATGTTGGTCTTGAAGACCTTTTTGACCGGCAAGCTGGTCTCAATTGTGCCCCTACTCTTCCCTCCCAAAGATTCATAGATTCTCAGGATCACGCTTTGGCCAGGCCGTGGTGTCAATTCTCCACGGGAAACATCCTCATCGTCTTCTCCACGCTTGACACAATCCAGTACAAGTGATTTGGCTCCGGTGAGGTATACGGCATTCAAGAGCTCTTTAGCAGGTTTGTCGTCCACCAACGACGCCAGTTGGAGCGGGTGGTTGAAATTGTATGCAGCTCGAACTGTACTGCTGCTCAGCGCGCCCTGATGTGGCATGATCGCCCATTTGATGCGATGTCGTCCCATGTCGGCATGTGCGTCTGGAGCCTTGGGAGCGCGCAACAAGGACAACCGCATCAGGTTGCCACATGTCGCGAATCCGTACTTGGAGTCATTCAGGATGGAAACGCCGTAGTCAGCCTCGGACAGATCAGCAAACTTGTGGCAGCACACTTCGAATTTCGCCATGTCCCAGCTAGAAATGTCAGCCTCGAGACCTTTGGGGAAGTGGAAAGACAACACTTACCTGGTATTGTAATGAGTGGGACGTCGAATCACCCCGTATTGCGTCTCATAGCTTGCCTCAGTGTTGACCACGTCGACGGGAAATTCCACCTTCAAGAATTTCATGCTCTCTCGCCATTCGACTTCGGCTTCGACTGTCACATAACCAAAGTCATTCTGGCCGGCCGAGGCCTCGAGACTAATTGTCGTTTTCACCCAGCTGTCCTGGCTGATTTGGGTCTTTGTTGCCACACTCACCCGGTACGGCCCATCTTCGACGATTTCAGAGGGTTCCGATCTCAGCTCCTTTCTCGATTCCAGATGGAAGACTTCCACATCCCAAGCTTGCCAGTAAAGGGGCTTGTCGTCGAATATAACCAGCTGGTTGCCTTTGCCACCGTTGGCGATGACTTCACGGTTGGCCTTCAAGTCAATCAGCGACGTAATGCAACCTGCCTCGACTTCGACGTGGTACAGGCTGTTCTTGAGCACAAACACGCCCTTGCTGGTCTCCTCCACGGAGGCTGTCGATTGAACTGCTGAAGCTGCGTGGGTCTTCACCACGCCTGGACCTCCGGAGACAAAGGTGTACTTTTGTTGCTGTGACTTCGCCTGAACCTTCGGGATCGGAACCAGCTCGGATCGCTTCCAAGGAGCCGTATTCACGGCCACAAGTTCGGCGTTGACCTTGATGTGTCCCGAGACGCCAAGCACGTTGAGTGCCTCCTCTTTCACCTTTTCTCCCAATTTCGCATTGTGTGCATAGAGAGCACCGGAGTCATCGTAGCACATCTCAATCGAGCTGCCGGGAAGGCAATCATGGAATTGACATAGCAGCACGTTCTCCCAAATCTCATCGATTTCCTTCTTGGGGTACTTGTAGCTCTTGCTTTTCAAGCTGGCCAATGTGGCCAGATACTCGATATCATGCAGCATAACCTCCTGCTTCCGGTTGTTGAGCTTGTTGTTTGCTTGGGTCGTGTATGTGCCTCGGTGGAGCTCGAAGTAGAGTTCTCCGTACCAGGTGACGAATTTGGTGCCTTCGGCGGCCTTTTTCTCCAGGTTGGCGAAGAAATCGTCCACCGAGTTGCCCATCTTGACTCGTGGCAGTAACCCGACAGTATCAGCCAGCCCACGGCATCTCCTCAGCTTTTCCAGCATATCTCTTGTGGGGCCTCCACCACCGTCGCCTTTGCCGAATACAAGCAGAGAGGTGTTGTCCTGGTCCATGCTCTTATGTTGGGACACGCTCCTCCGGACATCTCCAAAATGGGCATCCGCCGTGTATGTCTCGCTCGGGGCCATATGGCAGATGACTTGACTTCCGTCCAGGCTGACCCAATTGAACGTGGTATGTGGGAAATTATTGATGTTGTTCCAACTGAGTTTCTGGGTGAAGAAACGAGTCATTCCAGCCAACCGACAGATTTGCGGCAGCTGACCGGAGTATCCAAAAGTATCCGGAAGCCAAAAGGTCTGGCACCTCTCCCCAAAATTGCTTTCAAAGAACCGTTGGCCATAGAGGAACTGTCTGACTAGAGATTCGCCACTCGGCATGTTGGTGTCGTGCTCGACCCAGCTTCCGCCGATTGGTTGAAATCTGCCTTCCTTGATCTTCGACTTGACCCGGTCAAAAACGTAGGGATAGTACATCTTCAGCCATTTGTACTGTTGTGCTTGACTGCATGCAAACCGATGTTCCGGATATCGGTCCATCAGGTCACACTGGTTTGACCAGCTCCTTGCCACTTTGCGTTTTGTTTCGGCCCAAGGCCAAAGCCAGCAGGTATCGATGTGGCAGTGCCCGATGGCGTATACTATACTCTTTCCCTCGGAGTCATAGACCTTTGAAGAGTCAACATTTTTACCAATGTATTTCTGTGCGATCTCGCGGCCCTTTTTGATGGAGTCAAGGGATCCATTCTCCGCGATGAATGTGTCCATGATTTGATTGCAGACCTGTAGGGCTTCATGTCTCTGCCAGCTGTCCCCTGGGAACTCTCTGGCTGCGTCTCCGATGATCCAAAAATCAACATACAGCTGCCGGGCAGCGAGATTGACATCCACAATCTGTGCCTTCCACAGGGTAAAGTATTTATTTGGATCTGGAGGCTGAATGCTGTCACCTCCAGGAGCATTGCCAAACATCCCGTTGCAAGCCATCTCGATATAGAAAGTGTGCTCTTTTCCGTCACGCCAGGCCGTGGGGAGGATCCATTCTGTACGATCGCCGCCGCCGGTCAAGCCCTGCAGAGGATTTCCATCTTGTGTCCACACCATACCCTCGTTGTTGGCATCCCAGTGGAACTCCAGGTGCTCGCCATCCCGCATGGACTCGGGGATCGTAAGCTGTATCTTGAACCAATGAGTAGACCATGAGGGACCGAAGGACTCGCCGCGATGAGTTGGTCTGAAGCTATGCGAGGTCGCGTCGTCAAAGGTCGGCCGGGTGAGATTTGGTGGGGAGTAGACCGAGAGCTTCACATGCTCCTCATCGTCGCAGATATTGTGGTAGAGCTTACTAGATGAATCAGGTCAACGAAGCCCAAACAACTCCGAACAAAGACGGTCGGCTTACGCGAGGAGGTTCTGCTTCTCGTACTGCCCACCTGAGGTGAACTGGCGTAGCCGATCGGTATAGATGCTCTCAATTTGCTTTCCAACGGGTCCAGTAGAGACCAATTTGGGATAGGACGACATGATGCGAGAGGATGTCTCGCCCCCCATGATTGCGGCTCAATGCGTAGCGAACCACCGATACGTTGAGCAGTTTGAAGATTAGCAATGGGGGCAGTCCAAGGTGTCCTAGGGGGTGATGAAGCCTAGCTCGAGAGAGTATGGAAGACTGCGGAGGTTGGACGTAATATACCTAGGTAGTAGTAGACGACGGATGTTTCATACAACAGCCGCTCGAACGTTGGAATCATCCATAAGGGGGTGCGGGGTGAGTTTACACTGCCCTCCTCAGGTACCTGGTACTTGTACTTTACCTGCTCGTAACCTTCCAGCCTCCGTCATTTACCCGCAATTTGGGGAACGTGAAGGTTGTCTTTACACCTGCGGAGTACTCCGTACTCAGCCTCGTCATCATCTGTAGTCACGTGTGACAAGGCTGAGCTGCATCCACTGCAAAGAGTAAAAGAAGAGAAAGAGGTGAACCCCAACTTGAAGGGGACATCCAATGTCCATATCATTAACTTATCAGGTATACTAGGCATAAATAGAATGGTTCCCCAGTTTCTGAGTCCAATATCATCTCTTATCGTGTGCCCATATGCTCCAATCCAACAGCAACGTACTCTTTGTGCCCAGCATCGCCGTCAAATCCAAGGAGTGTCATTGTCTTGTGCCGAGCGTTCCAATGCGTTCGCGCTCGCCTGTGCAGCTGGCGGACCAACAAAGATGATACTCTGCTTGAGCTTCCTTCGTCTTTTTTGTGACGTTTTCCGGCCGAGCTTCCGCTTGGCTCCCTCCAACACCCCGACAAACTGGCTTTGGCCGCTCTGGTAAGCGGACAGAAGGTCAAGAGGTTTCCCCCGCTCGTGGTCGCGTTGTGCCTCCCGTTGCTTCTTCTTGATCTTTTTAGACCATATCTCGGCACCATAGACCTGATACGGGGTTGCTGGAACGGCCAGTTGCCTCTCACGAGGTGGCGCTTCTTGATTGTTTCCTTGTTTGCCGTCGGCACGGTTAGAATGGGAGAGAGTTCTCAGCAAATTGCTGACTCCCTGTTGGAAACTGGATCTGGTGCTGCTGCGCTGCGATCTTATCATGTCGTAAGAACTCTTCCTCATGCCTGGATACTTCGCTTCTGCATAGGAGAGGATGCGCTCTTGCTCCTTTTCCGTCAAGGGATCCCCAATCTTGGAGCTGCTCCTTGCATCATGTCTACTTGGCTCTGATATAGGACCGTGGTTCACAAAGTCGACATGCAACCAATTCTCGGACCAGCTTCCACCAACAGCAGGGTGCGAGATCTGCTCTTGACTCTGATCGGCGATACTGGACGGACAGTGCATACTGGAGCTACTTTCCCAGTCATTCACCAGCGGGCTCGGTGGGCTTGAACAGCCTAGCCTCAATGGAGGTGGAAGAAGGTCTGAGTCATCAATGTCTGATATGGTCCCGGACATGGCATCGGGAAGTGGCGGAGTCTGCGAGACAGATATCGATTGTTCGACAGAAGAGATTTGTGGAGAAGGGGGCGCCAACTGGTCGTATGCTGCCTGTCGATGGTAGTCAGACGGTGCACTCGACGATGGCGACAAGAGCTCGTTCCGGCGGTCCTGAAGAGCGCGGGAGAATTCGAGAAAGCTGGGGGCTGCCTTGTTGCCGAGTGTGGGTGTACTGGTCTGAAGAGTTGCAGAGTTGAGGGAGATGCTGGACACTGTCTCTCGGGCATCGAGAATCTGGATTGCCTGCGGTGAAGAAGACGGACCGATACTGAGACGCTTGATGAGCAACGGGACCACTGTATCCCGGTAGGCCTGTGGATGGTGAAGCGCAGTAACTGGCGGAGAATCATCCAGCTCCTGGTAGCCGCCATACATGTAGATGATGTTGCTTATAGTGGTATCTGTGCTATACACACTGGAACTCCGTCTCTTTTCGAAAGGCTCCAGGGGCAATGGCTTGTCTCGGTCCGATGGGGTAGGGCTCGGAGAGGCATGGCTCCTGGTGACTTGCTGTGTATTCCGTGATGGCGAAAGGCCGAGTTCCAATCCTTGTTTTTGAAGGTTCAGAAGAGCTCTCGAGGGTGGGGGCGATGTCATTCGCATCCGGTGAGAAGAGCTGGGACGAGAGCTCATTTTTCAGCAAACATCCTCCACTTGACATCGAGTGACTCGAACCGCAGCCTTGGGACATGCTAAACAGCAGATAAGCCAAGTCCAAACGAACACATCTCCCACTGAGCGTCCTGTAAGGCACAACATACACTCCCGGAGGCAGCATGTTCGACAATGAACAAAGGATGCCGTATTCGGGCACCAGGTACCTGACATTGACCATTTCATTGAGACCCATTGTCGCTGACCGCCGCCAACAGTAAGTTATCATCGAAGGTGTCGACAAAGCCGAAGACGGAACAGGGGTCATTCAAGGATGGCATCCGTCCGAAGGGGCTGGGTGGTAGCAGTGTGAAGCAAATAAAGCCCGCATTCCACAGACATTCCAGGCCAAAAAGGTCTCATTGCCCCCTGAAACCTGCATCTCATCAGAGCTTCGCAGCCCTCATCAAGTCTTCTTTAGTCAGCTCATCACCAGGGCGGCGTATTTCCCCCAGTCGTCCAGCCTTGCGCAAGCGGACGATCATGTCCTCATCCCCAAAGTGGCTATTATGCTCGAACTCGGGTTCCTGGTCGTAGGCGTAGCGAGCGGCATCGACAAGGATTCTAGCGGTCATACCAAAGACTCGGTACCTTTCGTACTGATCCAGATGGCTTGCGGCGGCCTTCTGTCCCTCGCTCTTCTTCGGCTTAGAAACGATCTGATTGGTGACTGGGACAAAGAAATTGTGCATTCGCCATCGGCTCTGGTGCCAGTCTGTCCAAGCTCCTTTGTACCAATCGCTTGGTATCCCTGGGAGATTGGCCTGTCCAGGTAGATCTTCTCGGTACAAGAAGTTCTTAAAAGGTGCCGAAAAGACAGCCGCAACTTCGTTTGCATCCAGCCTGGGCAGCAGTTTTTCTGCTACACTGGCATCCAATCCTGTCTTGGGGTCATACGAGTGTAACAGAGCAATGCAAGGGCGGACAACGAGTTCAGTTTTCGCCAGATTCGTAGGCATCTCACACAAGTGTTCGACTCTGAAGGGCGGTGGCAAAGCCCCCTCGCGTCGTGGGAGGCCAATCTCTTCAGATGCTTCTCGTCTCGCAGCTTCAAACGCGGTCTCGCCGGGCTCGGCTTTGCCTCCTGGCAGCGCTGCGTGGCCTGAATAAGAACTCAGTGTGCTCGCACGCATGGTAATCACCACTCTCAAGTCGCCCTGTTCACCCGCAAACAGTACAATCAAAACGGCGGCTTTTCGTGACAGCGGCATCGATGCCCATGCGCTCTCTGGCGGACGATATGCCCTTAATCTCTCGATCGCTTTCTGCTCGAGGTTCAGGATCGATATGTCCATGAGTGGTACTAGCACCTACCAGCGACTCCGCGGATAGAGGTGCCATCTTGTCCCCGTTACTCCGCGACGCGATGCTTCGACAGGTCGGAACTACAGAGTGCGATGCGCGCCGGCTCCAAACTGGAAGAGTCCTGCGAAGCATTGATCCGTAGACAGAATAGAGATTGGGTTCTGCGAGAGATGGCGATGACGGGAGGAATGGTTGTTCATTTGACCCGGAGAGCGTGATGACCCCAGGCTACAAAAGTGGAAAACAGCCTCGGCAACAGGTTCCATGGTAGTAAGTACATAGTAATAAGCACCAACGGCGAACAGTTTATCACACCGGATAGACTTGCTCCTACGAATATGAAATACGTTATAGGGTTGAAGGTTGACCTTCTAACACTGAAGCTTGTAATGGAATCTATCAACCTGCCTCTACCTGGCAGGTGGACTGCTTCGAACGTCTCTCGTTTTCAGTACAGTCCCTAGCGCTCCTCGCCGCCACTAGGGTCTCGATTTCCTGGCACTTAGGACCATGTCGAAGAGACTTGTCCTTTCCACCTTCAGAGTCTGGATGGACACAAATGGCAAGGGGGCATGGGGACATGGGACACTGTTGGCTGGCCAATTCGCGACCTCTGGGGGGAAATGGTGATAGGTCTTCGACAGAGGAATACTCCTAGCTAGGTTGTGCCCGAGTTCACATAGGATTTCGGACCCGGAAGACCCGTGTTTCTTTCAAAGAGACCCAGTCGCAGCCTTCAAGCGGCGAGTGTTCTCCAGCATGTATTGGGGAGAAAGCCAGACTCCCAAATCACAGCTGCACGGCCCCGACATGTCCAGATGCTTTGAGCCATCTACTCAATAGTGATGTTCATGGTGGTAACAACTCACAATGCAGTGTTCGCCCTCCAGTATATGGCGCATCTCCTTTCTGACATGGACGGACGAAGTATGGCCGGACGCGCCACGAGGAGAGGAGCAGCCGTCTTCCCGTTTTGAGGAGGGATCTCATCCTGGAGCAGCCAAATCCAGTGCGGCCCTGTAGATAAGGTCTTTCAAGACCAGCCCAGATATGGGCTTAAGGCAAACCGTGACGTCTAACCGATGAGTCGTCTTCAACCATCGTGAGCTTTCCTCGCGCTTCCAAAAGAGATTTTTTGGCGCTTGTTTGCTCTTCCTTCGGTTTCGTCATCATGGGCTGTAGTGCTCTTCTTTTTCTTCTTGTCCGCTCCTCGCTCGGTTGTGAAACTGCCGGTTGGCGTTCCCGCATGATTAGGCGTACTGGTGGCACTGCTTGGTGAATCGGAGTCTCTCAGATAGGATACTGAACTCCGGGAGAATATGCGATCGGAATCGTTGACAACAGCTTTTCGCCGCCCTGCTCCAGCCCCGCCACCAACCGCGCTTCCAGAAACTGTGCCTCCTGCGGAACTTGCTGAGGCCGAAACCGCGGACGCTTTGATGTAGTTGTCGAACCCCTTTACAATATTTCCTGCGATGGAGGTTTCTTCAAGGTATGCAGTCTCCTGCCGGTAGATCTGATCTTCTATAGCAGCCTGGAAATCATGAGCAAAACGCGTTGCTTCAAAATCTTGCTTGGCTTACCAGGTTGCGATCAAGCAGACGCTTCTTCTGGATTGTATCGCGCAGGTCCCGCCTCAGCTTCTCATAGTATGGAAGTCCGGGTCGGTCGGCAATCGCTGACCCCTTGGGCGCAGTGCCCGGTGGGACATTTTCGGCCATAGTGAGCGACGTGCTCGCAACAGTGGTTGATGCCTTGAGCAGACGAAGGAAGATGGAATTGGTCCAGTTTGCAGACTTGGGGACTGGCGGCGGGGATCGCGGAGATTGTTTGCTGCGTTTGCACCTTCTAATGACGCGAGAGCGTGAGCGTGAGATCCAGACTGCGTTTCCGAACTGCGGTCAAGTCTCGAGTCACGCAACACGACTGACCATCTCCTTGGATTCGTCGCATTTCAAGTTGTCTTCTGTGCTTTAAGCCTCGTGCACAAGATGGATCATTCACACATGGATCACGGCGGCATGAATCACGGTGACATGGATATGGGGGAAGGGCAATGCTCCATGAACGCAAGTCTATGATAAGCGCGCTCGATTGATGCTGGTTGACTAATGGCAGCAGATGCTCTTCACTTGGTCGTCCAAGAACCTATGCATTGTTTTCCGCCAGTGGAGAGTCACAGGCACCTTCTCGCTCATATTGTCCTTGATCGCCATCGTCCTCCTGACCGCAGGCTATGAAGGCATACGTGAACTCAGCAGGAGATATGAGCAGAGTCAGAGCGCGCGCATGGCTGCTTATAGCACCGGCGCTTCGAGTATGTTTCCCATGTCAAATCCCCCTCGCAGTTGTCACTGAGACTGTCAAGGCGAACCTGCACAACTGAACGAATCAAGCTCATCGCTAGTCGTAGGGAGAGATTCAAAGGCGGCGGCTGAACGACAAGGGACAATCATAAGAGCTGCGTTATATGCTGTACAAGTCTTCTACAGCTTCTTTATCATGTATGATGACTCGAACGGATGTGAGGTTGCGACTGATGTTATACAGGCTTTTGTTCATGACCTATAACGGCTGGGTCATGTTGGCGGTGGCAGTAGGCGCATTCGCGGGTTACCTTGCTTTTGGCCGCGACCTCTCATCAAGCAAATCGGTAGCTTGTCATTGAGATCTTCCAGAAGAGGGCAATCCTCACTGCTCAGACTTCAACATCAATATCACTGTCAAACCCGAAGCTGAAACCTTGCTGGTTTCCACCAGTCTCTCGATTAGAGACCACCTCCTCCCATTTCCTCTTCTTGTTGTTACAGTCATCAAGGGACGCCGCTAGATCTGGATCCACCTGCTGTAGCCGTTCCGTAAACAGCGCACAAGGATCTTTGACACTGTCCCTGAAGCCGGAGACCTGGTCGGCCTTGTGTTTGAGAAATCTGTACGTCGCTCCAATATGTGATCTGGGCACAAAGTTTTGGGTTATTGCGATCGCAGGGTCGAGATTTACGACCAGATGCCACCAGCCAGAGGGCACGTGCAAGACCTCGCCCTCATGACAGATGCCTTCTAGACAACCAGGGGTCCGCCTTGCTTCGGCATGAAAGGATATCAGCCACTCCGCAATGCTCAAGGGGGACGTCACTTCACTCTGGTCCTCACTCATGTAAACGCCAGGTGGTATGATAGAAGCAGGAAACATGATCCAATATTTCGATCCTCGAATGACGGCGTTCCAAGCACTTGTTGCGTTCGGATCCTTGTGGAATGTACTTCCACTCCGTTCTGGACCAATGATCAACCACCTATGATCTGGTCTCTGATCGCCCAAAAGCGCAAACATGTCCTCTTGGAATGCTTGTGGTGGCTCGTATGCGCCGAGCTTACCGACTTCCAGATGCATCTTTTCCACAAAACCGCTGTCGAAAAGATACAGCGGGCTCTCATCGTTTGTGTTGTTCATGTACTCAATGTACGTCGTGAGCGGCCAATCGACCGATTCAGCGCGGAATAAAACGTCTCCATAGCTGCTCAAGAGATCTTTGACACTCCATTTGTTGAAGACTTCCCATCTTTTCACAGGATTTGTCAGGATGAACGGTCTGTCGACCCAGGCTTCGTCGAACTCGGTAGGTGACAAGTCTTCCAAGCGCGGAATTTCATTCTGCACAGGGATGTTGGAGACATACGGTGAGAGGGAGACCTGAGAACATAGGAAGGGCCGATGCAGGGCATCAGAGAAGAGATACCTGCAATCCACTGTCGCGGGGCTAGCGGAGGGTAATCGTCTCATGGAAGCGCGCCAACTCCCACGCCATGAGAAGTCTTTGGTCATGTGATTGACCGCAATATCCCTCCATAATTGATCGAACGAACAATAGGCGTACAGACCTCGACAGGTGCTTCCCAAGCTGGCCAGGCTCGGCTGCTCGAGGAATTCCAACAGTGTCAGCAACAGCGCGTCTGGCAAATTGGCGAAAAGTCCCATAGAATCCTGCGCATTTTCCTGCGAGGTGAGAGCATTCCCAGCGGGTCGGACACCTAAAGGATGTTGGTCTGTCTGAGTCTCGGTGGCGTTCTGCCCTTCACCAACCCTTTGGCCTTCGGTCAGGAGATCTGGGGAACCCTGGTCCACATAGATCGGTATCTCGGGCAGTCGACCAGTGTGTGTGGCAGTGATTGAGCTCATTTGTCCGACAAGGACCTCTGTATCATCAAGAGAGAACAAGCCTAGAACAACACCAAAGGCAAAGAAATGCTGGCACGTGACCAGGTCTCGGGATCTGATTTTGAACTGAGGAGATCATCCGAGAGATATCTAGAACAAAATAGGCTTGATTTACGAGCAAAACGAGTGAGGAAGAGGACTTTTGATGAGGATTGCGCCACCATGGAAAAGAATGGACAAGGCTGGACTGGCAAAAGGACGATTCAAGATGGGATTTTGTAATTTTGTAGGGGACTATTATTACAAAGCCTGGAAAAGGGAAGCGAGAAAAGGGCCAAACAGGCCAAACAAGGCAAAAACATGGAGTGAAGGCAAAACTTCTCTAGCGCCTCCGCCAAGACTTCTGCGAAAGTCAAGTACTTGTAGTCGTCGCCGCCAGTTCAAAGCATCCCAAAATTTTTGATCCTTCATTCTTACCACCTACAAACAACAAGAATACCACATCAACTTCTCTAGATCACTTGGATTCTCACTGCAGAGGATCCTTTGTCTAGACTTCACACAACAACCGCGACTTCAGCAGACTTAGACGCACGCAACGCGCCTAGGTCACATACACGCCACTTTCACCCCCCGCTCTCAAATCACCGGCGAGATCGCCAGTGATACCCAGTTCTTCTTTCGCAATCATGGCGGACAAAGGTCTTGAAGAGGTCCCTGAAGGTATGTTGAAACTCCCACGGCGCTGCTGCCTCGATCCTGTCGACTGCGCAGACAGATCGGACCGCAGCCTGACCAAACACCATGAAATTTGCTGACTTTCGAATCAACAGGCCAAATCGAGTCAAACTACGATGAAGTCATTGACTCCTTCGATGCGATGAACCTGAAGCCTGAGCTTCTGCGAGGTATGTACAAAAATAAAAAATCGCCAAATGCAAGACATTTTCTGACATTTTTGTAGGTGTCTATGCCTATGGTTTCGAACGACCATCTGCAATTCAGCAGCGCGCTATCATGCCGGTCATCAAAGGTATGTTTTTCAGTCTCGAAGAAAAAATTTCGCAACAATCGCTAATATCTCGAAGGAAACGATGTTATCGCTCAAGCCCAGTCTGGTACCGGAAAGACCGCCACCTTCTCCATCTCTGCCCTCCAGAAGATCGACCCCAACCTCAAGGCGTGCCAGGCCCTTATCCTCGCCCCTACTCGTGAGCTTGCTCAACAGATCCAGAAGGTCGTTGTTGCCATCGGCGACTTCATGAACGTCGAATGCCACGCTTGTATTGGTGGCACCAACGTTCGGGATGACATGAAGGCACTCCAGGAAGGACCACAAGTCGTCGTTGGCACTCCAGGACGAGTTCAGGACATGATCCAGCGCCGCGTTTTGAAGACCGACAACATCAAGATGTTCATTCTGGATGAGGCCGATGAGATGCTCTCGCGCGGTTTCACCGAACAAATCTACGACATTTTCCAACTCCTCCCGCAATCGACTCAAGTCGTCCTTCTCTCCGCCACCATGCCTCAAGACGTCCTCGAAGTCACCACCAAATTCATGCGTGACCCTGTCCGCATTCTCGTCAAGAAGGCTGAGTTGACCCTTGAAGGTATCAAGCAGTTCTACATTGCCGTCGAGAAGGAGGAATGGAAATTGGACACTCTCTCGGATCTCTACGAGACCGTCACCATTACACAGGCTGTCATCTTCTGCAACACCCGGAGAAAGGTTGACTGGCTCACTGACAAACTCACTGCGCGTGACTTCACTGTTTCGGCCATGCACGGTGATATGGAGCAGGCTCAGCGCGATGTTATCATGAAGGAGTTCCGATCTGGATCTTCTCGTGTGCTCATCGCCACCGACCTGTTGGCCCGTGGTATTGATGTCCAGCAAGTCTCGCTGGTTATCAACTACGATCTGCCTGCCAACCGCGAGAACTACATTCATCGTATCGGTCGTGGTGGTCGTTTCGGACGAAAGGGTGTTGCCATCAACTTCGTCACCGCTGACGACGTCCGTATGATGAGAGAAATCGAACAATTCTACAGCACTCAAATCGAGGAGATGCCAATGAACGTTGCTGGTAAGCCCTCCCATCTCCCTTGAACTCCAGGAAACTTTTGCTAACAAATTGCTAGATCTCATCTAAACGATCAGCCCACTTCAGCAACGAACCCAGTCCTTTTCCAAATTCGGCATGTGGATGGCGTTGGTTGCACAACTTGTACGTGGCTGCCTGAGAAAAGTGGGATGAAGCTCGTCTCCGACTGCTTGGCTCAGAACCGCCGCCGCACAAAAAGTCATGTATTTCAAGTTTCACTCTTGTTACTATTGTCTCTTCCACGAGGATACGAGCGCGGTGATTCTACACTGGGCGACCTATTGATCGTCATCGTGTGGCAGAGTTTGCGGGCGTCATTGCGCATTCATGCTAGCTAGCAATTGTTGGCTATCATTCTCTCAGACTGCACAAAGGAATCACAAAGCATTCTCACGTGATATGAAGGATGAGGACCATTTGCTTCTTGCAATAGACAGGTAGAAAATTGATTCAGACTGAGAATCCGGTTTCCACGTTTTGATGTTTTGTTTTCGCTGGGGTTTCTTGAAAGAGTTCTTAAGTTGTTCAGCGCTTGTCGGTGTGCTCAGTGTAGATGTGTTTCCACTTGTCCCTCGCGGTACAGGCGTCTCTTTCATACCTGGCAACTATTGTGGCATCTGGTTCAGTCCTAGGTGATAGGCTGCTAGTCTTCGTTTTTGCCTGACCATTTTCCTCAGGCACTTTGCTTCCTACCGTTCGCCCCCCAATGCTTTCCGAGCGGAAAGGCACGGTCAACTACGCGATTGACCTGCTTCGGGCCCACCAGCTACGCCGCGAGAACCTATTCCTGCATGAAGAGTTGAAGCGATGTTGTAAAGAGATTGCTGGCCTGCGGGAGGAGGTCAAGGGCGCCACAGCGGCTGTCCAAGCCAGCCATGACGCCTCTGAGCAGACACGCTGTATTGTTGAAGATCACAATACACGATTGAGCGATCAAGGGCGTACCGTCGAGACTCTCCAGCAAGCATGCAGGATAGCTCAAAGCGAAGTCTCACGCTTTCAAGCCGTGTATGATCAAACACGCGAAGAGACGCAGGCACGATTGGAGCTCCTGAATAGGGATATTGATGCTGCAAGGGCTGATTGTGTTCGACTCGCCGACATCCAACAGAAACAGGAAGAAGAAGTCCTAGCTGCTCTTGGGAAATTGCAACGCAATGTCGATGGCAAAGCAGACGTCTCCACTGTTGATGCCCTGGCAGTTCGAATCGACGAGCTTTCTGTTCTGCCACCAGCAACAGGACACTCCTTACCTTCTGTCAGTCGTGTGCAGGATAGCTTTGAACATAGGCAATGTGCGGAAGGTACCTTGTCCAGAAAGGGGTCTCAGGATATCCGACATAGCTGACATCATCCAGCAGGAGACATTGCAGTCCAAGTCCGAGATTCCCAAAACCGCCAACGTCCACAACGGGAAGAAGTACCTCGAGAGCAACACCAGCGACCGCCTCAGCAGCAGGGAAGAGAAGAGACCTTGCCGGATGACCTCGATCTCGACGAGAACGCCAACAGCTTCAGCTATGCTGGCCACCGAGTAACTGTGCCTGAAGAGACTGAAACGCTGCGATTGCTGAGACCACCGGATGTGCAGGCCTCTCAGCTTGCCCGGGTCAATCTGCTTCGACAAAGAAAAAATGATGATTGGCAGAGCTATTACTCTGAGGGTCTGGCGCTTGTCAAGGCTCTCCCGCATGCCTTCGAGGAGACGATCGTACGAAACTTTGCCAATGGGATATTCCACGATGTGCAGAGAAGGCAATGTCAACACTGGCTGGATGAAAAGGGGTGGACATGGGACAACATAGCACTGTTCGGGGAGTTGTGTTCCCAACTAGCCACCAGTACTGAAACAGCGGAGATGCTGGACCTCGATGATGCGATCAGGGCCTCGAAAAAGCTGAAAGAGACTCTATGTGCTGTCGGGAGGCTGAAAGCACAGTCGAAGGCAACGAAGTCCCAGAAGACCAAGGCTTCAGGAAGTAAGGCTAGGACTTGCGCCGGACCATTACGTCGCAGTCAGCGTCAGGTTGAAGAGGAGAACCCGAGTCAGACACAACCGACGCAACTCCCGGCTGACCCTGGGCCTCCAGTGGCTCCTGGACCAAGAATTCGCAAACCTAGGGGGGCAACGTCTGCAGCGAAGCCAGAGATAGGATCTGAGCTTGTCCAAGACCAACGCATAGTGCAGCAAGATAGTCCATCGGGCCTTCCTGATCCGCTGCAGCTGGCACCCAGATGTGCAGAAGGTCGGCTCGAGGGAGGCCTCGCTGGCGCCAGGCAGGTCACGAACCGGGAGCTCGCACAAAGGCTGAACATGACTCCAGAGGCAGATTGCGATACCCGCGAAGAGGTACCTCCATCGCCCATCATTGTCAGAGGGATACCATTGAAGCCAGTAGCCTCCGAGCTGCGGCCACGGATGGAAACTTCTGTGCCACCGATACCACAGATGGTGCCACATAAAAGGCGTATTGTCGAGGCCACGGAAGACAGCAGCAACGATGAAGGCTTCCTTCGGGAACTTGAACCCCGGAGATCCAAACACCCTGTCCACAGAACCAGCGATGGGAAGCAGAAGAAGCACAAACGACGTCGTCTTCCACTACCGCCGCCTCCTGAGATTCCTATTCTTTCTACCACAAGCGAAGAATAGAGAGCACATACCGCAGGTCAAGACCACATGAGGAACAAGGCGATTCGCGGGTTTTGGCGAAAGACCGCTGGACATTTTTCATTTCCAATAGTCTAGTATGTGCGTGCTGTCGATGGCACCGCCTGGCCATAGCCCCGTAGATAGAATATGACAACTCTTCCACGAGAGGTCTAGTTTTTCTTTTCTCTTTTCGGCTCTGGACTGCTCATGTCTCTTTGAATTCATAAGCGCCTTCTGTCTGATCGTCCACGACTTCCACTTCAATTCTAGCCTCGACCACTTCCCTACCATCGGCCTCCAGACCGCATTCGACGAGGTCTCCGCCCTTCAGCGGTCCCACGCCCTTGGGGGTGCCCGTCAGGATGATATCTCCCTCTTCCAGAGTCATGACCTTGCTGATATCACTCAGGATCCTGGGTATTCTGAACAGCATCAGATTTGTGTTATCTTTCTGTTTGATCTGGCCATTGACGCTCAACCATAACAAAACGTTGTGAGGATCCGGAAGACGGTCGAAGGGGATCTCATGGCTGATGGGCAAGAACGTATCAAAGCCCTTTGCAATCGACCATGGGAGACCTTTCTTCTTTGCCTCGTCTTGGACATTCCGCGCCGTCAGGTCAATGCCCAGAAAGTAGCTCCGGATATAGTCGAGCATCTTGGGGTCGGACTCTTGCAGGTTCTTCAACGGCTTTGGGGTCTCGCCAATGATCAGTCCGAGCTCGACCTCATGGTGCATAGTCACGCCTTTCGGTCGGACGATTGGGCCGTCCTTCGGTAGCAGGATGGAGGAAGGAGGCTTCAGGAAGAAGAAAGGTTGGGCTGGCCGGGCGGAAGACAGCTCAGCTATGTGGTCACTACATCGTCACAAGGTCAGTCAGTCAAGGTGTCCTTGTCCTTTTGCGCCCATTCTTCGGGTGGAAGGGAGAGGGAGGCACACGCATAGTTCCGCCCAATGCAAACGACCTTGCGACATTTCGACTTGATGGCTGCCATGACTGCGAGGAGAGACCTCTTTCCCTTTTTCCCGCGTGCGGCGCTTTTGCTGGTAATTAGTCAACGGCGGCCTACGTCTGGGGTGCTCGCTGGCGAAGGATGACACCAAGTTTTGGTGTGGATGGCGATGTTCGTTGGCAGCTGGGGATCGTTCAAACTGGTGGGTCGTTCCGTTCTGTCGTTCGCCCTCTCAAGTTCGGCGCATGTTCGGAATATCGTGAGAGCAGCAACAACGTTCGTTCCATCCAACATGAACGACACCGACGATTCCTCGTTGCTCTCTTCAAACGTTCACCCGCCCAGTACTACGATGTGCCGCCGTTCACCGTCGCCCTGTTCTATATTCGTCTCATATGAGAACAATGCAGTGTCGTTGCAGCAAACTAGACAGCTGCCATGATGTATTTCAAATTCACTGCGCTAATACTCGAGAACAGCAGCACCGCATCAACTCGTAACCCTTTTCCGCCCACCGTCTGTCGGCTTCGGTGCATAGACACTTGCACACGCCGGCTTCCCCTCAAGCCAGAGCAAGCACTTGAAGCAGTCTAAGAACAGATTCATGGCTGGACGTCCCGAATGGAGACGCAAGTGAGGAACACAGACAAGAGCAGACTCCTAGTCTATATTTCGATAGATTTGTCTTCGGCGAGCGTTCGGATACTCTCCGATTGCCTCAATCTAGAAGTGAAGCACAAACTCGATGCTAATGAATACTAGTTCTCTGATCAATCAATATCTATGGCGTGTCATGTGTAAGGCACAAGTATCATCAATGCCGGCATTTCTTGGGTTGACGATATGAACGCTGCCCCTCTTCGATCTTGCCAGAAGCCAGCGGCAAGCACTGATCTCGACCAATCTACGAGGCGATTGGTGGCTTCCAAACATGATTTCAGTCCAGGCAAGGGGCATTAGTGATTCCATGATTGGCATCATTGGTTGGCCACGATTCTCGAATTTGCAATCCATGTTGGCATTTTCAGGACCTAAGGAGCGATCGCGTTGCCAAACACGGAAGATATCAAATCGGCAATCGTGACGCTTCCCGTCGATACGTCATAAAGCGAGCTTACGCCGCAGATATGCGAGCAAGACCGACAGAGAGTCACTGTTGGAGCTCTTCGGCTGAATGATTAGGTATCAAGAAGATGAAAGAAGACGCCTTTCACTTGGCTCAATATCTCCTAGGGCAGACTACTTGGATCAATGTCGTCGCGGTCTCAAATCATCCCAATCGACCAGATTAGCCTCATGCGCTGCAGCATCTCCTACGATGAAGCTTCGAGCCTTACCCCTGAGTAAGCAGTAGCTGGCACTAACGGTCGAGGACAATTCTCTCTCTCTCACGAATCCGATCGGAAGTCCACATAGCCCATCATGGGCCGGTCCTTGGCCTTCCATCTACAATGGTCACAGCCCTGGCTTGCGGTGTTCGTTCGGTGGTGTCTCGAAAGCGAGAGGAGAGTGAATATGTATGTCCTCATGTCTGTTGATATATAGGTGAGTGAGTAGCATGGTGTTTCCTCGGTAAAAAACGAACCGCGATAATCACCATACAATGTCATCCCGGCGTGGAAGTGGAAGAGGAAGAAGAGCTGACAGCAGCAACCCAGACTTTCTCTGGATCAACCGCACTGCCGACTCGGAGAGACTACACCCCAGTCGAGACCAGCGAGACGAGCTACGAACCATCACCAGCCATGCCAGAAATTGGCGTGCCTCCTTGAGACGTCAGCAGAGGCTATACACCGCGCAGACCGAAGCTAGTCATGTCCAAAGCCTCGTGGGCTGGGGCCGACCCAGACACAGCATCGTTGTCTCAGACAGCAGTTCCGTCGAAACATCGGCCTCCCCATCCCCGATAATGCCAACAGCCCAGACGACAGGCGACCGGCCAGAATCGATTTCGGTCGCGTACTTGGAAACGCCGGCTGACGCCAGGTGGTCCCGGACTGCTTTCCGGTATGCTACGCAGGTCTGGCTTCCTTTTGTGTTTGACCATGTGGACGTCCTGGACGAAACACTCGGAGTGTCCGGGTCTACACAGGCCACGATGGACTACATTATCCAAGGCTGCATGGCGGACCGCATGCACATGTATTCGCTACTTGCAGCAAGCATGGCTTTCCAGAAATATGTCATACGACTCCAACTTGATGAACACGGCATCCCGGAATACTGTATGGGCAAGGCTCTCCAATCTCTACGATATCACTTGGCGAGCAACCCCCAAGTGGACGAACATCTCGTCTTCGACCTTGAAGCACTTGCAACGTTCGAGAGATACGTGCATAACTTCGAAGGAGCACGGGCCCATCTCGTCATGGTCCAGCATCTGGTAGAATCGATGGGCGGTCTGTCCATGCTCCGTCCACCCATGCGCCCGCTGTGCTGGCTAGCAGACCTGGCTGTGGCCGGCGGTCTCGGAGAATCTCCTCTGCTGCCTCTGATATGGGAATCAGATCCAGGCACCCTCCCGCGCGAGCAGATGACGGATGAAATCCTCTCGGATTTGCAACGAGGCGGATGCATCCCAGGGGGCTCAGCCTTGCTTCATTACGCGAGCATGGTTCATCCGACACTCTCCCGACTCATCGTCGATACAGTTCAATGGTTCCACGTCCAGCAGCACTTACATCTACACAACTATACTCAACCAGCGATGCAAACATGGGCGACACGACAAGCCTATATCCTAGTTCATCGTCTCCTGTCTTGGTCAGCAGACACGCGCGCCACGACAGAGCATGAGATCCTACAACGGCTTCTTTCAGAGGGTATCAAACAAGCTATTCTGCTTGTGGTCTCCGACATCTTTCAGAAGACGAATCGTATTGCCACGGCGAATCCAGAACCTTTGCGAGATCCAACAATGCATGCATGGTCAACTGTCTCACGGCTTCGATCCCAACTGATGCGGATCGCCAATCACCATCCAACAATGGCAGAAGCCGAACAGTATGAGGAACTGGTCCTGTGGATGACATGCTTGGGTCTACAGCAAGCCACACTACCAGAAGAAATAGAGACCCAACACGACCGTGGCCGAGACCGAGATCCCGACCGAGATTGGTTCGCGAGTCTCGCCGCTCGCCTAGCACAGAGACAACATGTCACGACCACAGACGAGTTGCTCCAATTTCTGGTTCGGTACCTGCATCGGTGCGACTCTACGGGACGACCTGATAGAAGGGAACTAGAAATCATTCTGGAGACATGATCGATTATACATACTAGACATCGAACAACGAACGATTCGACTTTTGGGAGCTAGGCAGGGATGACGAAGACACGAGTCATGAGACATATCGAATGCATCAATATCCGACTGTCGGTTTCTTTGTTTGTTTCACGCCTGTTCCCCTTAGGATCTACCCAGATATCCTAGGAAGCTACGTAAAGTCTAGACTGTATTGGTTTCGGTTGGACCAATGTTTTGTAAATCCGGATTTGATTCGCCTCAAAATGTGCCAACCTTTGAAGAAATAGAGAGGGAAGAGCGAGAGACGACCTGTATGTGCATATGGGGACTTGCATCATGGCTAGATCATGAACCAGGCGGTAGTATAGGAAGGAATAGGTACACAGGTTATGCAGGAGGTAGAGAAAGGGCGTGTGACGGATCACCCAGCACAGATGTTTATTCCTTGGGTAACCATGGTATCTACTTGTCCCTTCGATAAGCTTCTCCCCAGTCAGCTAGGTCTCAAACTCCGCCCCAGTTCGAGTTCGAGGCTGGTTTGTAGTGGTGACTGTGAGACCATGTGCAAGAGATAGTTCCAATCATTGGAGTACGTTGTGTAGCACACAATGTTGCTGATTGAGTTAAGTTGCTTCCCGTCCCAAGGACAGGGAATTCCGGATTCAGGTTATGACTATTTGTTGGTATGGTCTTGAAAGTCACGTTGGATCATTGGATTGTGGTCGCCGGTCACAAAGAGGTCGCGGCCCTCGAAGAAGAGAAAGATTGTTCTCAACCTTTGTTTGTCTGTCAATAGAGCGCTAGTGTGGTGAGTACTATGCTCACGACTAGGCCTGTATCTGACTTGTATATCGGGACACCTTCAGTGAAGGGAATGGACGGTGAAGTGTTGCCTGAAAGGAGTATGAATCTCCCAACAGATATACCCATTGACCTGATCCCGGCATATATCGAGACAATGGCTGAGTATCATCTCTGGCAATCTTGCCCATGGCGAAAGATGTGCGGCAAGCTGTTCGCCGCAGGGTTGAGCAGGGTCGATTAGGATCGACTGTCTTGCATACGCATGTATGACGAAATGGTAAGCACTACCGCTTGAAGAAGCTTTCGTGATGCGGAGTAGGGCCATGTTTCATCAACAACAGGCATCCTGCCTCTGAACGGTGGTACCAGATTTGGCTGCGTCCAACCAGTAAAGGCTGCTCTAAGCCCTTCCGAATGTGAAATATGGCGATTCTCCATTTTCATAACTTTTGGCTCAAGGAACATCTGCTAGGGCCACAGCAACAGCAGCACCGAGGATGGCTGCCTCATCAGTTGCCTGTAGGACAATCTTTGGTGAAGCAAAGACTCGGGTCAGAGAGCCAGTCTTGCTCATACGCTGGAGGAATCCTTCACACCTATCTTTGAAGCCGGGATATTTGAGAATGACGCTTCCGTTGCATGCAATAGACGTTTTTGATTTGCCCCTTGACGCCGCTGGGTTGATATCGGCATCGCGTTGAAGCGCCCAGAGTGCATGAACAGCCACGGCAATGTACGCTGAGGCGCGGTAAGAGATGGATTCGGCTGCAGTTCGGAGGAACGAGATCTCCCGGAGCGTAGGTGGCACTTTAAGTGCAAAGGCTTGTTGAATCACAGACACAGACACAGAGTCTGTCATATTCCTAGACTTGTCCTCTTCGAGTCTGGCTAATATTTCGGTGTCAAGCGAGTAGCGTTCCAATAGAGGTTCAGGCATGACACCGTGAAACAACTCTCCCATCTCCACTGCCTCGACAATGATCAGTCTTAGCAACTCGCCGAGATAACGTCCAGTGGTCATATATTCAAGTGGTTGGAAGTCCGGTAGTTGATGTTGCAAGTTCAGTAACTCGTCCCATCGCGTCTCAGGTAGTATCGATTTCCCAAACATGGATAATTCGGTGTTGGTGATGACTTTCTCCGCGCCTTCAAACCATGCAGGGTCTCGCGTTCCAAATTTGGACTTTCCCATGCAGGAAGTTGGTAGATATGCAGCGACGTTCGTTCCGGTCCCGAGGATCAAGCCCATCGAAGTGGCGGGATCGAGGTAAGCCTGAGAAAGAAGGGTGGCAGAAGAATCGTTCACAATGGCTTCGACCCGAATGTTCAATTGTCTCCCGGCACAGGCTTTTTCGACCAAAGTACCCAAGTCCATGCCGATAGTGTCTTGATGACATGAGAACCCTTTTCCCATCCCTTGCATTCTACCTCCACGACGGCTCGTCTGCTCAATGGGAAAGCTCCACGCCAGCCCCAGTGGGAGAGGTTCGTTGGATATCAATGGCGTCTCCTCCTGCTCCAGCATATCCTGTATCCTACCAGCCATCCAATCGAAAAACTGTGCTGAAGGCAACTTGCGTATCCTTTCATCAATTTTGGAGGAAGTCATCCGTTTGATGACCATGGGATGTGGTCGTGTATCTCTCCCGAGAAGTTCTACCAACGCGACTCTGAATGTAGAACCACCAACATCCAGCGAGATGTATGTTCCTTTCTCTTGACCAGTAGGCATGGTGTGACAATAGGAAGGCAACATACACGCCTCGCTTTCTTGAAGTTTCGCTTTGTATTGAATACGGAGGGCTGAAGACATGGATAGCATTCGACGCATGGTGCAAGGATATCTGAACAGTCGCATGACCTCCTCCTTGAGAGTGTCCAACGAAGCCATGTCATCCGTCGTCTTCACCACCGTGACCTCGGCATTGGAGGTCTTAGGCGAGACGCCCAAGTGCTTGAGAGTGGAAGGGAAGATGAGCATTGCGGCCAAATGGCGCAGGATGCTGCGAAAGAAGTCGAGCAGGGTCATGGCTGTTGGCCGATGCTTGCTCTCGGTGTTAATAGGGTCGCCCGGCTCGAGGTTCGTGTAGATGATTCAGTCGAGGAGGACAAGGAGGGCATGTCTCAGTAGCATCATGGGCTAGAGGAATGTTTTGTTTGTGCCAGTGCCCATGAGGAACATGAAATGTCATGGGCAGAAAATGGAATGAAAGGATCGTGGTGACATGGCAGTCAGTCACTCAGTCAGCCAGAGTGGTGAGTAGCGGAAGGAGGAGTAACAGATGTTGAAGAGGTTGTAGTAGCAGCATAGCATTCCTCATGGAGAATTCCTCAACCACAGAAATCCTGCTGTGGGCATCTGAGGCCGTGGGACATTGGATCTTTGAAGTGAGTGCAACTTGGAGATGGCAGGCAACAACGAGAGTGGTCCGGGGGGAATTGTTCTGGATTCGCCGAGGGGGATAGCGGTAGGGGTTCGGTTTGAGGATGGCAGTACGTAGTAGTGGATGACTGATGGATGGATGGATGGATGGATGGATGGATGGATGGATGGGTACAAATGGTGGACTATGGTGACAGCCGATAAACAACAAAGATGATTGATGGAGTGGAAGGGTGATTGCAGCAAGATGTGAGGGTTCGAGGGTGTTTGATGGGCAGTCAGTCAGTCAGTCAGTCAATCATCTGTCGGAAGACAGGGCGCAGGCGCAGGCGGGGAGGGGAAGACGACGACTGAGGACCGCAGGTACAACTACTACTAGGTATCACCACTGCACCGTTACTATCATTGCCACGCATTTGCTGGAGTAGCAAGTAAGGTACCTTTATTAGGTACCTACAGACCTACTACCTTAGGTGGGTAGGTAGTAATACCAAGGTAGGTATGTAACATGATGGTGTGTTGCCGGTGGTGAGTGTCACTGTAGAGTTGCCTCCTGCTAGTACGCCATCCAGGCGTCCATCCCTCCATCGCCCAAGTCACAGGCGTGGTAACATTCTCTGCGCCGTCCAGAGTTACATCCTCTCTTTGCTCAACCGAACCAATTGCTCACCCTCTCACCCTCTCACCACTCAACCCATACTTACTACCTATGGTACTTACAAGATACCTGTATGCTGTTGCCATATCGCAGTTGATGCCACTCTTCAGATCCATCCCACAGATCCGAGATTGTGACCAGGTCACCTGCTTGGTCTTCCCCCATCGTCAGCTCGATTCCTGCGCGCTGCGCCCTGCCACCCTCCAACCGAACCTCATAAGACAGATCTGGTGCCTGGGCAAGTTTCAAGATAGGAGATACCATATAGGTACAGCCTGCAAGTCACTCTCCTATGGGAAAATGTGGCACTTTGACACCAGTTGATCTGCTGATGTAGGTGCTGAGAAGAGTCGGCTACGCCCATTCTTAACCGAACGTTGAGCGTTTGGCCTGGGCTTCACGAGACTGTGGTTGTACATGCTCCAGTAGAATCGGGCGTTGCAATGACAGGAGATCTATCCCCTGGCCGCCACCATCATTCCGCTTATCCACGTAGCGGATGAAAACATCAGACATGTTCTTTTGGTGTGAACTGACTGATCCGTTTTCAGATGCTCGATTTTCTGACACCCGCGGATGTCTAGCATGCAGCCAAGCACATGCAGATCCGATCCTGCCCTAAACATCCTTTAAAGAGCAGCAGCCAGGGTCAGTCGCAAAGTAGTCGGGCACTTGGGTTGGTGGAAAGGTGTAGGGACAGTGGCCGCAGTAAGATCCCTGTTGTGTAGAGAGACGCGACCACTCTGTGTATCAACTGAAAATACTTCGTATCCTAAGAAGAAGTTTGCGAGTGAAAATCTTCCGCTGACGACAAAACTATACTGCTCCTAGAGAACACCGCGAGCTGGGAGGTCGATGATAATCTCACACGGGTACGCACATCTCGAGGCCCTCAAAAGTCGTCACTACTGGTAAGTTGAGGATCCAACCTTTTGGAATACTGTCACGCTCGACGATGACAGAGCCGACTCCTTTCGAGTTAACCGGGGATGGAAGTCGGTCTCGTTTTGATAAAGCATGGTGTTCGAAGGTACGAGATACACAAGGTGTCTGCAGAAACAACAGCGGCTCCCGTGTCAATTGCAACGTGACACAATGGGCCGTGCCGAACAGTGGCTTCAGCTACGACATGTGGCTTGGACTCATTTCATTACTGATGAGCGAGAATTGATGCCGTCTCACTTGCACAGCAAACAAAACGCACCCTGTATATCAAAGTTGTGCTGATCTCGTTATCTTTAGGCTACTGATGTTCTGGGATCCCCTGGGCGCTCCTGAGACCACAATCGGTGGCTGGGCCCTGACACGGGTTGGTTATGAACAAGACCAGATGTAGTCCAACGTCGAGATGTAGGGAAGCGACAAGGCCCGCAACCCGTTGCACAATGAAGCCTGACCGCCAGTCTGTTGACCTGTTGGATTTGACGATTACCATCTCTTCAAGCTTCTATCAAGGCTGCGTGCAGAATGCTATTTTGGAATACTCGGCGACAGTTCGTCGATGCTGAGAGATCTGGTCAACCAGAAGGTATGTGAGACTCGTACACACAACAAATAACAGAAATACATGCAGCCAAAACCTTTAGCCTTGCTGCTCTGGTTATGGCATTACGGCTGTACAAGGCTCCAAAAACTCTCTGACAAACAGTGAGACAAGACTGTGGTTCAGCTGCATGTACACAAATGAGAACGGATCCTTCAGCCCGCCCTGATGGGCCTGGGGCGTTTCGGCAGTTGAGCGTGATCCCTGTACTTCCGGGATCTTGGGCTGGAGATGCTTCGTCAGCCGCTCCTCGAGAAGGAAAACCAGGCACTCTTCAGACCATGGCTTCAGCGATTGTCCCGTTAGCAACGCCTCCATTCGCTTTCTCTATTCGCCTAAAATTAGACGGTTCCTGTCTCGGCTGATGTGGACAGGCCATGACACTACTGAGCATCACGTCAGTTTCCTGGATCCTGGAACCGGATCTTCAGAAAGAGCGACCAAACCCACATGGGCTTGTGGACACCGGACAACGTGCTTTGTCTCAGGCAGTGTTCCTGCTGCCGGGAATTTTTCATTGCTGTTTCTTGTGTGTCGCAGACCAGCTGTTGTGCTTTGGCCTGACAGTGATAACATCCATATTGCAAACTCCATATATGCCTGTCATTCACACACAACGTGGGGAAGCAGCAGGCTGATCATATACTTCATTCAGCCTTCGGCTCAGAGAAGTTCAAACGCGCTCGAGGCTCGCTATCCCTGCAAGCTGTTGTTGTTTGTTGTGGACGAGGGGAGTAGTAGAGACATCTGGTCGTCCAGGGTGCCACAGTCGTCCCATCTGCGAGCCGTGTGTTTACCGGCAGCTTCATGGAACCTCTGAAGCTCTCCTCCAGTCAAGAAGTCAGCCCATTGACTGCGGAGGTGAAGTAATGACACTTCCGCTTGCCCCAGGGCTATCGTGGGTCGACCTCCAGAACCAACCACCGGCTTTCATGCATCTTTGGCCCTTTTCATTATACTTTATTGGGCCCCAGATCCCTGCTCCATCTCACAGTCTATTCCCTGGCTTTTGTTCAACGAAAAACGCCTCTTTTTGCGCAACTTCCAGCATCATCCTTGCCCTCAGTCATATCACAAGAGATTTGCTACCGTTCGTGCAGCTTCTTCTTCTCTGCGAAACCGACCCCTTCACTCTCTTCGCGTCTGTGGCCTGTTTCTCATATTCTCGACCAGAAGATTGTGAACTTGACATACCACACTCGTTATACCAACCACATCTGAGCTCACCTATGCCAGCTTTCAGTACCACCATAGCACGCTCCTTATAAGCACGTCAGACTCCCGTTGACGTTCCCGCTTGCCACGGGAATCCCGCCCGTGCACGCGCTGGATTGTTGGAGTCAATGCGCAAGGAACTCTTTGTACATGTGCAGCTGAGGTCCCAAGATGGAATCTCGACTACGCAAGCTCCTTTCGCCTCGAAGGGCTCATGCTCAGCAGGCGAACGACGTCGCCGAGCTGGATTTGCACAGTGTGCCATATACTACAGCCCCGTCCCAAGGCCGGCTGCCTGTGTTCGTCAAACATCCGCTGGGGAAGCCTTCTACCATCCAGGTCCAACCTGTTGAGGCGCCTGATCTTCACTCTCTTTCTTATGAATCTACAGTGCCAGGCAGGCCGCCTCAGCTCGGTGATAGACCACAACGTGGCAATGGCCCTGTCAAGCTTCAAACCAGTCGCCGCCTGAGTTCGGGGGAACTGCTTGTGACCCAACAGGACTATGATCGCACTTTGGATGATATCCGCCAGGGCGACTATATTCTGGGGGGCAAAGATCGGAGGACATCTCAAGCTACAACTCAATCAAAACCGGCTCATCAACCTTCGGATTCAAGGGTGTGGTCCAATAGCCCAAATGCTTCGCGAACACAACCAACCTTCTCAAGCCCCCTGTGGGCGCCTCCTTCTTCTATGAGCGATGATGCCGTTTTCGGGGCTTCTGCGGAAGGACATTACTTCGGAGACTCCGGCGACCACGTGTACTACTCCGGTTCAAGATCTTCCACAACCGGGCTCGGGATCACGACGCCAGCTCAGCAATTATATCCTCGGCACGCGGCTTCCATAAGTTCTCTTCTCGAGCCACACGAAGAGAAATCCCCTACGATCCAGGCTCTATGGAAGGCCGAATATAGCCGCCTCGTTTCTATCTACGGACAAGCAGGGGTAGATCAAAACATCAACCAGCTCAACCAAGAGTATCTGAACAAGCCATTGCCCGACATTGATCCCAGAATCGCTTCAACCCGTCACCCCGGTCATTTATCTTCGACGCATTCTCTCCCGCCTCCAGTTGAACCTGCTCGGCGAGGCCTAGAAATCAGAAACATCACACCGGTGCCCCACCTCGAGCTGGCGTACCGTGATGACCATTCCGAACAATCTTCCAATCAAAGACACTCCCTTCTTTCGTCCAGTGGTACTTCGTCCTCATTCACCACGACGCGTACGAGTATGGCAGAGGAACCCGTCACAAGCAGAGACGACATCCGCAAAATCGTGGACGACATGCGACTGACCTATCTTCAAGCCATCGAGGCCCAGACTCCCCCGCCTCCGTCTCTGAGTGAACCTGCAGTCCGAAAGCCTCGGTCGAAAAAGCAGACTCGTTCGCTGACTTCTCCGGCCTCGGTCGAAAGCGGGCTCGGATCTTCCAGCCGACGGTCCAAAAACTCTCGTTCCAAATCATGGCAATCGTCGTCATCATCGCCACAGACATCCGTCAATCCTTCATCGCTCAAGTCTTCGAACTGGCGGACAAGTTCGGCGCCAGGTCGACGGACGTCCAACCTCTTAGTGCCGAGTCTGCCTGCCATCCAAGCGAGTCCAGCCCGAGCCGGACCGGGGCTGAAACAGCCTGAAGCCGATGCTGAGAACGACGAGCATCATCATGATATCGGCTTGAAACGAGCCGACTCCACGACTTTGGGCTCAATGGCGGCCAATCTCACGATAGTCGACGATGAAAGATTGACCCCGTCTCCGTCTCCCAAAAACATCTCGACCTCTTCGCCGACATTCTACAACTCCTCGGAATCGGAGTCTGAGTCCGGGCCTGACACATCTGCACACACTCCTTCTTTTTCTCTGTCTCCATCTTCCAGACCATCTCCCGTCCAAACACCTCCCACTTCGGTCCAACATACTAGTACTCCTGCGAACCACAAACCATCTGCACATTCTCATGATACAGCAGACCGGAAATCTTCATGGCAGGAGGAGGCCGATCGTCTATTCGCCGAGTCGGAGCTCGATCTCTCATTAGAGATTGAGGACTTCGAAAGTCTATGTGACGATCTCTTCAACACGCCTGGTCTCGGAAGGCAATCGCCTGGCATACTTCGAGCATGGGACGCCGACGAAGGTCGTGCATATAGCGGCAAGGCAAACCCCGAAAGCATATCCACGGGCAGTCCCTCTCGGCCGACTAGGAACGAGCGTGTGGTGCTACAGTCAGACCCAGGCCGTCTTGGAAATCCATGATCAATATGACCTTTGGTCCTCGCGCCGTCAATTGTCACTATTACCCGATCACCACCGACGACGACGTCTGCTTCCACCTCCCGAAGCACGCTTGTCACTTGTCATTACACCGGTCTTCAATCTCCTACTGGTGCCATTTTGTCATGTGTCTAGTTGACTGCTTCTTATGTCTAATGTGCTACGTTCATATTGTGTTACGCTATTCATTGTCACGAACTTGATGTCTCCTCGGAACATGGCATCGTCTTCAAGAATGGCGACCAAAAAGAAACGGTGAAAGAAAAGGGAATGCTGGACCCCCCATCGGTCTCGGGAACGAGCCATCCACGCGGATGCGAAATGACTTTTCGTGGATTTTGTCATGTCAGCGGCGATGGCTATAACGATGTCACGTTTACTGTTTTGACCCTTCTCGGGTTTATATATTTATGTCGTTCCACCAAGCAACTACTATGCCGTGCCGAATTCATGATGATGTTATGTGTTTGCTTCCGGTGACGATCTGCGGATGGTGTTACAGGCGGCAAGTCAAGAAGCATCGGCTCGAGGGAATTTAGAAACATAAGATGAATCTGACCTTTTGATAACATGCGGCTTGTTATATGCTCCTCGCCGTGATTTGAGGCAAACACGTTCTAGAAAGCCCTTGTTCTACCCTATGGCCTGCCCACAAGGGCTCTGGGAGGTCAAGATTGGCATCATGATACCACCATTTCTGTACATGCAAAAGAATCGCACTTTTTGAAGAGACGCTGTCAGACATTGCAAGGAGGTTGGACTGGCTGAATACTCGGCGTCAGCTGAACAAAGTCGCAGGGACCAGCGCGGTTGGAAGTAACCAATGCTGAACATTGCTTGTTCACGATGAAGTTCGCCATAGACTGTTCAAAGGAGATCTTTATCCACCTGTTGCATTTTGAAATCCGTCAGGGACCCCGGGAATTAGTCTTTTTCAGGTTGACGACACTGGGCTCTCGTAAGCTCGAGATGGACAACAGTAAACCACGCGGCTTCTGGATTCAATGTATCAGCTTGTAGACTGTTCTGCTCAGACTCATGCTTTTATTGCCTGAAGTCGAGGAATTTGGCGTCTTCACAGATGCCCTGTATCATGCCATCAGGCAAGGCTGACTTCACATGGTTGGTTGATGGCCTCCAGTGGGTCAGACACATCCTTCTGCAGCGCAAGCAGAGGAGGGTATGGATGTAGGTCAATAAGAGGAAAAACAACAGTGCTCGTGTGGTGAGGATCGTTGCAGAGCCGTAGTAAAAAGATCATGGACTGCCGCTTTTAACAGTACAGGTAACTGCAGAAAGGAGACTTTCGCAATATTGCAAAGTGTCGATCGTGTAGAGTATTGGTGGAATACATTTCACCGGTGTCGTATTCTCACACCGTACGAAAGTCGGACAGCTCAATCCTGGTCCAGGGGATTGGATACTGACGACAGTTCAGGGGTGCCCGAGCGGCGGGCGTGTGCCGTGATATTGTCCTAGACTGCAAACTTCAATCCAGAAGTTGAGGCAGATATTGGGCTCAATCTTTGGATCCGTACTTGTCACGGTACACCTTCATCTGCTCCAACTGTTCCGGGCCAGCTCCCTCGACTTGACCGTCCTCGATGGCTTTGACCAAGTCATCGAACTTCAGTACGGCCCTGACTGGGATGCCAAGGTCGTCTTCCGCGACCTTCATTGCACTTCTGGGTTCAGTGTCGCTCACTCTCTCTTGTCGGGTCAGCAGGAGTACCACACCAACCACAATCCCGCCTTGCGCCTTGATAATCGCAATTGCCTCTCGCAGAGCAGTCCCGGCAGTCATGACATCGTCGATGACTACAACACGCTTGCCTTTGAGCGGTGCACCCACTATGATGCCACCCTCTCCATGGTCCTTGGCTTCTTTCCGATTGAATGCATAGGATACATTTTCGAAGTTTTTCCCGCTGAACTCCAATTCTCTAACCACAATTGCGCTCAGGGGAATGCCCTTGTATGCCGGCCCAAAGAGGATGTCGAAGTGAGGAGAAAGGGAGCCATCGGCTTCTGAGCCAGCTTCCTCTGTCCCTAGAGGCAGCGAGAAGGGAGGAGCGGTCAAGACTGAGGCATAGGCGCGCGCCACTGCGCCCAGGAGTTTTGAGGTGTGCAGAAGAGAAGAGGTGACAAAGTAGGGCGAGGTCCGTCCAGACTTCAGCGTGTATGAGCCAAAGGACAATACAGAACTCTTCAAGAGCGACTGGAGAAGAGTCTGTTTGGGTGAATCGACGGGCGCCATGTTCGTGAAGTGGACTGCTCTGCTCTGCTCTGCTCTGCTCTGCTCTGCTCTGCTCTGGCCCGAGGAAGAGGATAACGGTTGACTGTTTCCTACTACAATCGCAACCTCGCAGCGAGCGTCGTCTAGAAGAGAATGAATCCGCGGCTGTAGTGGCAGAGAATTGAAGCCTCCAGAAGCATTTTGGTAGCAGAGGGAAAATCAATCAATCAATTGTTCCTGCCAAGCCGCAGCCAAAATCGGCCTCCAACTTCAACCCCAAAATCGAAAAATCCCACCAATGTGAAAGTTGAAGCGAGAAAAGAAGCGTGTTGTCCGTGCGTCATGCATTTTGCAATTGATCGCTTCCAGATGCGCCTAAAGTGCTAGTTGCTGTCCTCATCTATATTTGTTTCCCTTGACCGACTCGTCCAAAAATCTTCCCTGAAGGTACCGCGAGGTAGAGAAGGACCGGATATCAACAACATACCTGGGAGAGGTTCGGTTCTCGCCATGTTCTCTTTCTAAATTGTGCTTACAGTGTTGCCCAGAATCTACCTGATCTGCCTCAACCTTCCCTACCCAATGCAGCGAGAGCAGGCCGATCGGTGGGCTCGCAAGCGATACTTTGGTTGATTTGAAGGAGGCCAACACAAGCCAAACCAAATAGTTACACCGAGACGCAGCAGGGGTGTTTCTATAGGCAAACAGAGGCTGGGGTGAACAGTCGCGCGTCTTACCTCCTCCGCTCTCTTCTATATCCGAATCGATCGCTACCTACCTAATAACCACTATTACTCTGTACCCGCTTCGTCTTCGACGCATCCAAGATGCATATCTCACAAAAACTTGCCCTGGCGCACGAGAACAAGAAGCCGACCTTCTCGTTCGAGTTCTTCCCGCCCAAGACTGCCCAGGGCGTTCAAAACCTTTACGATCGCATGGACCGCATGCATGACCTGGGGCCAGCATTCATCGACATCACTTGGGGCGCAGGAGGGAGACATTCACAACTCACCTGCGAAATGGTCAACGCGGCGCAGAGTCATTATGGCTTGGAGACTTGCATGCATTTGACTTGCACAGACATGGAACGGACACAAGTGGATGAAGCTCTTCGGCTGGCCTACAAGGCAGGGTGCACGAATATTTTGGCTCTTCGTGGTGATCCACCTCGGGATCAAGAGAAATGGGAGGCCAAAGACGCCGGGTTTCGTTATGCAAAAGACCTGGTCAGATATATCAAGGCCAGGTATGGTGATCACTTTGACATCGGCGTCGCTGGTTATCCAGAAGGTTGTGACGATCACCGGGATGTTGACTTACTGATCGAGCATCTCAAGGAGAAAGTCGATGCCGGAGCAACCTTTGTGGTCACGCAGATGTTTTATGATGTGGACATCTTCTTGGATTGGGTGCAGAAATGTCGGGATCGTGGAATCAAGGTTCCGATTATCCCGGGGATCATGCCAATCTCGACCTACGCGGCCTTCATGAGGAGAGCAAGTTGGACCAAGTGCCATGTCCCTCCCGAATGGTATGAGGCTCTGGAGCCCGTGAAGAACGACGATGCTGCTGTTCGAGACATTGGCAAAGACCTCATTGCGCAGATGTGTCGACGCATCCTCGATGCTGGCATTCTCCACCTGCACTTCTATACCATGAACCTGGCACAAGCCACTCGTATGATACTGGACGAACTCGCTTTGACCCCAGAAACCTCTGGAAGGCGCTTGGAGAAACCTTTGCCATGGCGACAGTCTCTTGGATTCAACAGAAGAGACGAAACAGTCCGGCCTATTTTCTGGCGCAACCGCAACACTTCTTACGTTGCAAGGACCGCCGATTGGGATGAATTTCCCAATGGCCGGTGGGGAGACAGCAGGAGTCCTGCTTTCGGCGAGCTTGACGCCTATGGTATCGGGCTCAAAGGAACAAATGAGGCCAACATCAAGCTGTGGGGAAAGCCAAAATCTCTTCGTGAGATTACAACTCTCTTTGTGCACTTCCTCCACGGGGATCTGGACAGATTGCCATGGAGTGAAGGCAGTATCTCGGCAGAGGCTGACAGCATCAAATCGGACCTCGTGGCCCTGAATCAACGGGGCCTGCTGACCATCAACTCGCAGCCAGCAATTGATGGTGCGCCATCGTCCCACCCGATCTACGGATGGGGTCCTCCTGGTGGCTGGGTTTACCAAAAAGCATATCTCGAGTTGCTCGTCTTTCCATCCATCTTCAACACGGTCTTGGAAAGACTCAATGCAAACGAGAACCTAACCTACTATGCTGTCAACCGAAAAGGCGAACTTCACACAAATACCAAGGATGAAGGCCCAAATGCCGTCACTTGGGGCATCTTCCCGAACCGAGAAATTGTGCAGCCCACCATCGTCGAGACGGTCTCATTCTTGGCTTGGAAAGATGAAGCCTTCAGACTTGGACAGGACTGGGCCAAATGCTATCCGGCCGGATCTGGACCTCGAAAGTTGATTGAAAAGATGATGGACGAATGCTATCTGGTCAACATCGTCAACAATGATTTCCACCAGACGCATGAAATCTTCCGGGTGTTTGATGGTCTCGAGGTCCAAGATCTCGACATGACGTTCGAGGACACACCAGCTGAGCATCAGACAAATGGCACCCGAGATGTTCTCAAAGGTGATGCCCCTGTCACTGAAGTCGAGAAGAGTATCGTGAGCGAGAATCAACAGAAAGTGCCCTTCCAGACGAACGGGCATGTCCTGTCAAACTGAGGAGCGGTGCTGCTATTTTCAACAAAATAAGTTAGGTGTTTGGAGTTCCTCTTTCAACAAATACTCCATTCAGAAAAGTAATGGGTGAGGATCGGAATGGCATTGGAGAAAAAGTATCTTACTTCAACATGATACCCCCTGGCATGGAAAAAGGAATTATGAGAAATGACGTTTATGAACCTTTCAACATGGTCAATGTCAAGTTTTGGCTACCTACGCATATCTGCCATCAATGATTTTGTCACCTGGTGATATGTTAGACGGGAATGAGAAGACAACCTTCACTCTTCGCTTTCTCAATGCAACAAGTCTACCAAATGATGTTGTTCTCGGTGATTGATGATTGAGCATTCAATGGTTTGAAGGGAGGCTTCGCCAGTCATTCTTGTGCGTGCTTTAACCTGCCCGTTTTCACGGTCACACAGTCATCAGCTATCCTAAACGGCCTCCTGCATTCTCCCTGCTAACCATATAGACATGCTTGGGGGACTTGCTGCAACGAACCCAGTCCTTAGAGAGGCCTCGACCCAGTGGGTTATGGCTGTGCCTTGTTCATTTAGCCGCCGTCAGGGCCCCTTTTCCTCGTCACGTGTTCACCCCTTCCCTGCAGCCTTACTCTACGATGTGGGTTCCAAAGACCTTGCTTACTCGTCTGGCTCTGCGGGCTATGAAAGCATAGACTCGACCGGAGCTATACATATACAATTCGTGGAGGTGAAGCAGATCTATTCTGTCGATCCTGTTATGTGAGGAGCTGAACATGCTTAGGAGCTGAACTTGGTATAACCATGGATATGCTGACCTAGGAAACCGGTCAGAGAAGCGGTGAAACCATGACGGAGACTGCAGAGTCTGGTCAGCAGAGCCGCAGCGTTCAGCTTCTGGGTGTTGCATTCAGCTGGCTTTGGTCTGCTCCAATCTGTGACGACTGCAGGTAACTACATCAAGATGAGGCAAATCAGGAGCAGCAAGAAGAAATTATATATGCGGCTATGATTCCAACAGCATTGCGAGGATCAGGTCGCGTGCTCCTGGCCTTCTCAATTCATCTAGAAGCCATCCAACAGGGTCTACCAGTCAAGGACAGCATTCACACAAGACAACATCCCACCACTTGATCGGAATACGTACTCTCGGTTTGGTTGAAGAAGCCCGGCGAGGATGAAGCTGCAAATTTCCACTCTTCTTCCCTCCTTCACTCTGGCCAGATTAGGCAGTGCTGGAATTGTCATGAATCCCGCATCTTCATCAGTCACGTCGGTAGAACATACCTTCTACGGCTTCCCGGACAACGACCCTCCCGGGGCAGCGACAGCATACAATTGCGGCGGACGCAACTTCATCGCCGGCGGCAAGGGCACCCACGACAGCCCGCTCTCCATGGCCAGCGCGCCGGGCGAGTTCAACCTGTGCGAAGTCATCTACGTGCCTTACCTGAAGAAGTACGTGCGCTTGGAAGACACGTGTGCGCAGTGCATCGACGACTGGAAATCCGGGAAAGGACATATCGACATGTGGACCGGTAGCAGCACGCAGAACGGCGGGCAGCAGCAGATCGAGTGCGAGAATGCATTGACGCCGGACAAGGCGCAGACGATCATCAGGGACCCGGATCCCAATCTTGAAGTCGATGGTGAGTGCTTGAGATGAACCCCCCTTTCTGGAGTTTGCGCTTGCGAGAGATGTTCCTGTACACCGACAAAACAGTCGAGCAATTGAAGTCTGACTCTGCGTATAGCCGCCGCATTGTATGATCCTGGCACGGGTGCTTGTGGGACTAGCCACACTTATGGTGCTCGTGAGTCGTCTCACCGCTTCGAAGTGCAGGGGTTCGAATTGTAGGTTGGCTGGTATGATCGTTGCAGGACAGCTGGCGTTGGCTATCGATCGGCGGGATCGGACAGGTGGTGATGCGGCTGAGCGCAACTTATACTGCGCTCGGTTTGACTGTTCCGTTCAACTGGAAGGAAATGGTGAAGAGTTGAGCAGTCCTCGTTGTTGAGTGGAAGCCTGTGGAACAAGAAGATCGGACACTCTTTGAAGACTGGAAAAAGTCAACTTGAACCTCGTGCTTGAGGTCGCCTTACTGGCCACCGGATTCTCAGCACCGTAGCTAGAACAATTGAACCATGTATCTCATAGTCTGCTGATAGCCCTATGATCAAAGAAATCAATCCATGCAAGTGAGCAGTTGATGGTTTTTAAAGATGATATATTTGTCCCACACAATTCCTTTCGCAATCGACCATAGGATCAAGAAAGCAGCGCTTCCCGTTCGCTCAGCGGTACTTAAGCTTGATACCGGTTAGTTAGTACTAGAGTGGGTGACCATCTGGGAATCCTGACTGTTGATTGTTTTTGCGTTTTTGCATTTTTGCATTTTTGCATCCGAGCTTTACCTGTGTATACAACCGGTTCATATATCAAATTGTCCTTTTGAGGGAATTCACTAGGCTCTGGATCCCTGTCGAGCATGTTCGTTTCATTGGTGTGGCCGATCGTGGCGCTCTGCGACCAGGTGGCCGCCTTTTACCTTTTAAGCGTCTCGGATATTCGCCTCGGGCTTCTCGCGAGATACCTACCTACACAAAGCCGCGGGATGGAGAATATCGGCTCTCGCTGTTGCCAGATAGGCAAGACGTTTGAGCTTGATGTGTCGCTTTGGTCCTGCTCATGTTGAAGGTATAAGGAAGGAAGGTATCGTCCGCTGCCGCTGGTGGCTGTTTATGAGTTCCCAAAGATACAGAAGACAAGTCTGCCCCGCGCCGCTCCCTCAGCTCATCAGCCACGACATCCAGTCATGTCCTTGCTCTTTATCGCAGGGATTCGATACGCCGTTGACGCAGATGCAGACCATCTAGTTTCGCTGAGTCAGTCCACGGCAAGCCCCCTTACCCTTTGCGTCGAGCTCAACGAGGAGAGTGAGATACGAGATGACTTTGTCTTTGGCTGCTGGCCAAAGAGTCTTCATCTTCTTCTCCCATTTTGTACATTTGCTGTCCCTGTTTACAGTGTTTTTACAGTGTTTCGCCGGAGAAGTAATGACCGAAGACCCTAATCGAGGAAAAGACGATTGTCAAGATGCCCATTGTCGCTGAAGATTTCCCCGAGTCCATCACGATACCTTCTGCTACTCTGCGGAAGTTCACGGGCGCACGAGTAGATCCCTACACCCGCTACGTGGCTTATGTTCTGTTTCGCGACCTCAACATTTCAGTCCATGGCCAAAGAAACATCAACAATGCCCTGAGCAACCTACCGGTCTATCAGTCGACCGCACCGGACAACAGATTATCGTTTGGGTGGGGGTTGACGAGTGTCATCCGAGACAAGGCTGTCCACGAAGGGTCGTACGAGCATCTCGCCATGATGATCGCGCTTGGGGAGAGTTTTCGCGAGAGCTATGGAGCAAAGGTTCTGACCGAATTGGCTTCTGCTGCCGCAAGTCCGGAGGATGTCACTCCTCACTTCTCGCAATGGAAGGCCGCGATTCACGCGTGCAATGGAGGGTTTGCTACGACAGACTTTGGGCTGCTAGTAGAAGAGTACCTCCGAATTGATCCCTACCCTATTCGCAACGTGCAGAGCGTGGAGTCCCTGCTGCCGCCAAAACTGGTTGCCGACGCACTCCAGGCTTTGATGCGTGTCACAGCAGGGCACGAAAGGGCCGTCACCTTGACCGGAAGCGCCGTCATCTCCTGGTTTGGGGCAGTGGCAGAATGGCTGTGCGGGCTTCGCATCGCCGTCTACCAAGCTAACGGAGTACAGCTTCACATCACTCACCCTGAACAGGACGCTCAACTGACACTTGTGTACGTCCAAGAGCCAGGAATACAATTTTCCTTTAAGCCCTTTGCGCCGCATGAAGTGACCGTGGCCAAGTTGACCCTGGTTGATCAAACATACTCTTCTGCTGTTCACGCAACACCGTTTGGAGGCCGTGTCGCATGGCAATCGCTCTTACCCCGAGTTTTCGGTAAAAGCTTCCATTACCTAGATCACGAGGAATCCAAGGCCTTCGGGCTCATGATCGGAAGTGCGGCGAGAATGTTTGAGGGCTTGGCTCTTGGTAAGGGCGACGAAGAGCACAACGCCTTGGTTTCCACCCAAAATCGAAGCAATACGGCATCATATGGCGCTGGACTGGTCGAAACAATCACTAACTGGTTGCCAGAGCTGAGGCGCTTCCAAGGGCGAATGGAAAGACCATTGAAGATGTCCTACCAAGATGCTGCAGCCTCGTACGTGGAGCATCTGGGTCAGATCAGAAAGGCATGCCACTGTGGTATCTGTACGTCGCGGGAGGAGCTCGAGAAAGACCAAGAGGGCATCCCGCCGCCTCACGGCTACTGTCTTGCCGTTCTGGTGGAAACCATCATCTCACTGGGGTTGTGCCTCTCGAGAATGACCGTCTCAGCACAGTTATATCCAGCACGATCGGGGATCCTGAGTTTCTATGTGAGCCAAGTGTCGAAGAGGCTAGAAGCCCGGGGCTTGCATTGGAACGAGCACTTCAAGATCGTGTATGGCAACGAGTGGAACGCTCTGGATGCTCGTCGGCTGCTCAATGCTGTGCAAATATTCGCAGGCTCAAGGCCGGACCGAGACGTGCCTGACAACCTGGTCGGTCTTTCCCATGAGGGGACTTGTGCTTACTTCGTGGCGCTGGAAAAGTCGTCCAAGCCAGGCCCAGAGCAGCAGCAGGTCCAGCTGATTCGAGTCGTGAGCGGAGCCATGAACGTCCACGAGAAGGTGTTTGATCGTGCGTGTCTTGGACCTGTGGAGGACGCCGACCCGGATGATCCATGGGAGGAGATTTCATATGAACACTTAGCGACAACATTGTATTGTAAATGATAGGGAAGCTCTCGGGGGGTTCAGGCCGGCCCTCGGCCTTCAAGATTTTAACGAGCTATCCCGGGGAGTCCTATGACATCGGGAGCGCAGCGCGGGAACTGATGGATATCGCGGAAGCTGCCATTGTGGCTCTGGTGTGTTACATCAGGCCACTTGCTTTGACTTGATCCTGAGCACGGTCTCTCCAGACCACAAGTCGGGGTCTCCAGGCAAGGGAACGATCGAGAAAACTCCGATCGTGGAGCTGCGTGTCAAGGGCAGGCTGTGAACCTCTTCTGTACTCTGTAGAGCGTCGAAACCAACGACAGACACCCACACTCCGTAACCTCCGTCAGTGACAATTGGAACAACATACTAGTAGCACATAGCCGGGGGACCCGGAGATGACTCGGGGCTCCAAGGTCAGGAGAGCTGGAGATATAATATACTGGGGGGAACTGGACCTGCGAAGTGCTCACCATTGGCCCCCATAGGGACTTGAAGCCCATCTTATCCACCCCAAAAGCTCACTAAGCGACCATTGAGATGCCACAGTCAGTGGTCCTGGTTATGCTGGTGGGCGTTGATTCGAGCTGGTCAGCTTAGGAGGCCCTAAGGCTTCCTTGCTTCTCCCGACGCGTCCGAGGAGGGTAGAGAGGGGCTCTTTAGGCTCAGGATGCCCCTTGTACAGCCAATTACCTTGTGAATGACAGACAGCAGCCAACGTCTCATCAGCCTAGGCTTTGGGTGGCCGGTCTGAGCTCCCCGGAGGGTGAAGGATGAGCTAGACTCGTTTCTGGTTGTCGTCAATTCCAATCATCCAAGTCTACCAACCCGTTCTGTGGTAGATAAACCAAATCAGGTGGATAGCTTTGCTTTCTCACAGGCAGGTCAAGTCTGAAGTCTGTCTGTTGCGAGACCTTCTGAGCGCTGGCTGCAAGCTGTGATAGTTACCTGGCAGTTAGTTGTCTCTCAGCCGCTGCAGTGTCGCTGTCGCTCGCCTCTCCTGACTTGTTCTTGTTTTCCCGTCGTCCCTTGAACTGAATTGCAACGATGGCTGCGTCCGCGCTGCTCAAGAGCCGGTGCCGGCGACCCAGCTATCTCAACAAGCTCGCCAAGGCCGAGGATCTCATCGATCTGTTCCCTCACGGCTCGTACATTGGCTGGTCGGGCTTTACGGGTGTAGGATATCCAAAGTAACCAAACCACCTTCTATCTTGGACACAGACAACCGATGGCTGATCGGCTGGCAGGAAAGTGCCGACCGCTCTGGCTGACCACGTCGAGAAGAACGGGCTACAGGGGAAGCTCAAGTACAATCTCTTCGTGGGAGCGTCGTCGGGCGCCGAAACCGAGAACCGATGGGCTCGACTGAACATGATCGAGCGCCGGGCGCCTCACCAGGTCGGCAAGGAGATCGCAAAGGGCATCAACAATGGCAACATCAAGTTCTTCGACAAGCATCTCAGCATGTTCCCCGTCGACCTGATGTACGGCTTCTACACCATGCACAAGGCCAACAACCGGCTGGACGTGGCCATCGTCGAGGCCTCCGCCATTACTGAAGACGGAGGCATCATCCCCGGTGCCAGTGTGGGAGCCTCGCCGGAAATCATCCAGATGGCCGACAAGGTGTGCTTGACAGACCCCACAGACTCTTTTCTTCTTCTACAAAGCTGCCTGGACCGATCTGACCGCCTTCCCTAGATCATCATCGAGGTGAACACTGCCGCCCCGAGCTTCGAGGGTCTGCACGATATCACCATGACAGAACTACCCCCACGAAGAAAGGTGAGTGTTTGATTTCCCTGTGGTCCGCTCCGGTGTCGAGATATCCTCTTCTTGACACACTCTTGACTCTTTCTGCTTGACTGACTCTTTCTGTCCAAGCCATACCTGATCATGGCGCCCGAGGACCGTATCGGTACACCACACATCCCCGTCGACCCAGAACGGGTGGTGGCGATTGTCGAGTCCGACTATCCCGACCAGACGACCGAGAACGCGCCCGAAGATGAGAAGTCGCAAGCGATCGCCAGCAACCTGATCGAGTTCTTGCAGCACGAAGTCAAGCACGACCGCCTGCCTAAGAACCTGCTACCGATCCAGTCGGGGATTGGAAACATTGCCAACGCCGTCATCGGCGGTCTAGCTGTAAGCATCTGAGAGACCCCTTTACTTTGGGTTGTCCCGGATCGGTCTAACCAACCTGTGGCACACATCAGAAAGGCGGCGCCGACTTCAAGAACCTGAAAGTCTGGACTGAAGTGTTACAAGACTCGTTCCTCGACCTGTTCGACAGCGGCAACCTGGACTTCGCGACCGCCACGTCCATCAGATTCTCGCCCGGCGGGTTCCAGCGTTTCTACGACGGGGTAAGTCTGGCCACTCGTTTCAAAATGGCCTCCCAACTGATCCATCTCTGTGTCTAGTGGGAGAACTACCACTCCAAGCTGCTACTGCGGTCGCAACAAGTCTCCAACTCGCCCGAGATCATCCGCCGGCTGGGCGTGATTGGCATGAACACGCCCGTCGAAGTCGACATCTACGCCCACGCCAACAGCACCTGTGTCATGGGCTCGCGCATGCTCAACGGTCTCGGCGGCTCGGCCGACTTCCTCCGTAATGCCAAGTACTCGATCATGCATACCCCCAGCACGCGACCGTCCAAGACCGACCCTACGGGCGTGAGCTGCATCGTGCCCATGTGCACGCACGTCGACCAGACCGAACATGATTTGGATGTTGTGGTGACTGAGATTGTATGTGGCTTTCTTTTTCTTGTCGTTTCTTTTCTCCCCTTTGGCCTTCAAATTCCGCGAAATATGTCTGTCTCAAAACAAAAACTGACAAGAACAGGGTCTTGCTGATGTTCGTGGAATGTGTCCGCGCGAACGGGCGCGCGAGATCATCAAGAAATGCGCCCACCCAGACTACAGACCCATTCTGCAGGAATACTTCGACAAGGCCGAGTATGAGTGTCTGAAGAAGGGTATGGGCCATGAGCCGCATTTGCTGTTCCAGGCCTTCGACATGCACAGGAACCTGGCTGAGAACGGAACGATGAAGATCAAGGGCTGGAAATAGATCCTTACGCCCGTAGATTGTATCTTATCCTTTGAAAATATATCATGTCGATTGCTATATTGAAGCTCCAGAGGTACGCTGCGATCGAAAGGCCTCAGTCACCTTGGGAAGAGACCAGACTGCTGCCACGACGTCCGTCCGTCTGCTCGAGTCGACAGGCAAGGCTGTATCAACATCGTCTGTCACCCTCCGCTTCAAGTTCTCGAATACGGAGCATCCCTTGTTCTCTCGATTCTCGATATGCGTGACGAAGAGTCTCTCTTCGGGCAGACGTCCAAGTTAGATAAGGTACTTTACTTACCATAAGAGCCTTTTTGTATCCCCTTTCCCTCAATCTCCATCTCCTCTCTTCTCCGCCTCCACGTCCCACAATGTTGGAGTATCAAAGACTAAAGTCTCCATCAACGAAATTGATCCTGTCGACGATTGGGCCCGAAGATCTTCAAGGTCCTCCTGACGACTTCCCATTCCACAGAAAGATTTCTGACCCTGCCTTACATGCTGTCTCCCGCCTTGCAAACCCATGTCACGCAATATCAACGGTATCTACACACCAGGGTAGGGGTGCTCACGCCTAGTTGTGCTTTCCAAGAAAGGAAACAATAATATGCGGGCATCTACTAACAATACCACGTCTCCACCGAGTAGGGTGTCTTTGGGAAGATCCTAGTCGGCCAAACCCTTCTCAATCAGATGGGAGAGCCGTCTCCTGAAGATCGAGAAACTATGATCTCGGTTTATAATCTAGCATCCTTTCTCCATTTGCTGTATGATGTATCTAGAGTGACGAGTGCACTGTGCTGCCATCTCGAGGGTTTCCTGGTTCTCAGGATTCTCCTACTGTCTACACCAACGAGGCATCCTTCTCACTCGACTCCATCATCCCCTTGTCCGCACGCAGATTGATATCAATGACTTCCGGCTCCGATCCAATGATTGTGCTATCCGCCTCCGCCTGGACCTCGTGAAAGTGCTCTCCCATTTTCGAGCAGACGGGCGGATGGAGCTTGTTCAGCGCCCAGTACGTGCCAAAACTCAATGCCAGACCCATCGGGTAGGCAAAGTAGTACATCCTTGTGGCGGGTAGAGTGATGGAAACTCCAAAGACACCCAGGAAACCGTAGAAGTTGGGCGCAATGCCGACCACGTAAGCAATATAGCTGCGAAAGATCAGAAAAGATCAGAAAAACGAGAAAGGAGAGAAGACATACGCTCGATAGTTCCAGCCACGACTGTAGTAGTATAGACTGTCGTGGCTGGGGATGAACAGATCCGAGACCTTGAAATACCCACGGGACACGACAAAGTAGTGGCACAGCATGACACCGGTGATCGAGGACAGAAATATCCTAGTAGTAGAAGGCGTGTTAGTGACTAGCCCCAACTCCCAAGTTCAAGTTGAAGCGCGAACCCAGGGGAAACTGAGCAGAGGGGAAAGAGGGCTCGTGCGTACTGATATGAGGACAGCCAAGAAACAAAGCTCGACGCAGACCCTAGAATATACCAGGGGCACATTGCATAGGAGATCAATGAGGCAATGTAGAAGCCCCGTCGGACGGTGATGAACCTAGGCCACAGCGCGGCAAGGTCATTGCCGGCAGGAATGAAGTTTTCGAATATAGACGAGATGACGGAGGCGTAGAGGAAGCCGAGAGAGAGGAAGAAAATGCCGGCCCGGGTGGCCGAGTTGTAGTGCCTTTGTAGTAGTGCGTCCATGAAATTAATGGGATTCCAGATCAACTAATTGACAAGGGCGTTAGAATAGTAGTTAATGTATGAGCATTTGATGCTCACCTCTCCGAAAGTAATGGTAGAGCTCGAAACGATCAGGTTCCCGATGATGCCCACCACGAAGGTCGAAAGGGGATAGCCTATCAGTTGTGGCCAGAACGCGTCCTTGGGCTTCTTTGCATATCTGGCAAGTTGTGTCAGCAAGTTGGAATAAGAAATAGGGAACACGGTGTTTGAATATGAACAGCCACCGGACTCTCCCTGAAGATTACTCGTCACTTACCTCAGAAAGTCGGCGGCATTGGTTGCGTATGTCGCTCCGTTGGCACAGTAGATGAAGACATATCTAGCGACTGTCCAAGATTTGGTCGAACCATGGATTGTCGAGCCTTGTCGGGCCACGGGTCCAATTCCTCCAGCCTCGGCAAGAGCCCAGCCGAGTAGACATATCGAGCAGATGAAGAAAATGATCAGCTTCGTGTACATATAGGGCCTCAGGCTGGGGATTTTGATATGTAGAAGACTCGTGGTCAAAACCCTGCATCAGGTCAGTCAGTGCGGTCTACATCAGATGGAATCCCTACTCACCAGAAAACGAAGAAGCCAATCATACCACCTGAGTTCAAGGCCGACGCGCCCGATGGGAAGACGTCCGGAATCCTAGCAATCGAAGGGAAGATGGAGTGTAGTAACACATAGGCGCATTCACCTCCTTGGACTGCATTCACGCCCGTCCAAACCAGCGTCATGACCACCCGGTTGACAATAGGCCAGTAGGAGCCCCAAATGCCGAATGAGGCTCGCACAATGGTCGGATATGGGATATGGTATACCGCGCCAGCTCTTCCGTTGAAGACAAACACCACTGCAATCATGACTGCGAATATTGATCAGGGCAGTGATACATCACAAATGGACATGAGACTCACTTTGCCCGCCTAGCTGACAGGCAAGCGCTTCCCAGACGCTCAATCCTGCCGTGAGGGCGGCCGAGACACCGTAGAATGATGCTGGCGTTGCATTGGCGGACAACCAGAACCAGAAGTACGATTTCCAACCAAACGTACGGTCTGCGTAAGGGACTGGTCGCAAGTCATTGTTGTCAAGCCACTGGTGACGCTCCTCCGATCCTGCAGTGCGATACTCCTTGGTCTCGATGCGTTTTACGAGCCGATGGAGGAGTGATGTCGAGCCCATGCTGGGAGTGTGGTTTCGAAAGCAGGCCGACCTGTGTACTTCCCGGTTCTGAAGAGCATCATGAGATGCAGGTGGCAACCGACCCCCTTATACAACGGTATACCATGCCTCTCGTTCGAGGTGTTTCTGAGGGAGAAGAAACTTCGACCGGTCGAGCCATGCCTTATCTTGATGGTGGAGTCCTACCTCAATCGGCTGTCCGGCGGTTTTCCGGACGGTTCAGCCGACCACAAGGCTGTGAGTGGATACATTTTTGTGATACCGTATCTCAAAATCATCGTCGACATGATAACAGCAAGCACGGTGTTGAGCAGCAGCAGGGTGGGACGGATTTCCGACGGTCTCTAGATGGATATCTCCTTTCTGAGCGATCTGGAACCCCTGCCCGGCGAGGCCCGCCTCGTTCGCTCACTTTTTTGCCTTTCTTGATATATGCTCGGCTTGCCAGTTTGAATGGGAGCGTTAGGCCAGGAACTTATATCTCTCTTGCCGACTCTTACTCGACCGTGTCTCGCCAAAAGCAACAGCTGCCCATATTTCAGCCATGTCCTCTACTACACTGCAGGAGATTTCACCGGCCGAACCCGAAGGCTGGACGACCCTCCAGCTCACGAGTGCCCATGGCCCGGTATTCCGTCCGGTCAAGACCGCGCCTCCTCGCGATGCAACTCGAGAAGAGATTCCTGTCATCGACGTTGGCGGAATCTTCAGCGACAAGCTTGAGGACCGAAAAGCTGTTGCGGCTCAGATTCGCGAGGCCGCCACCACCATTGGGTTTTTCTACATGAAGAACCATGGCATCCCCGAAGACACGATCGCTTCGGCACTGAAGTCTTCGAAACGCTTTTTCCATCAGCCACAGCAGGTCAAGGAACGGGTCAGCGTCTCGGGGTCCAAGTGGCACAATGGATGGAACGGTCCCAAGTCACACCGTGCCAACCATGTCGAAAGCATCGATTACCGGGAGAGTTTCGGTATGCGATACGATCCCCAGTACGATCCATCCGTCGAAGATGTCGAAGCAATTCCTCAAAATATCAAGGATGGCTTCCGCGCAGAAGAGTACTGCTGGGCTGAGACCACCAACGTGCCCGGTTTCAAGGATGACGTGCTCCGATACTGGCGTGCATGCCTTGCCACAGCCCGAAAGCTTGTGAGAGCTTTTGCCCTTGCCCTTGACTTGCCCGAGGACCACTTTGACAACATGACCTCACACCCAGATGCTGCGGTCGCACTCAACTATTACCCTCCAATCCCAGCGACGGCCTTGAAGGAGAAGGAAGAGGCAGTGAGCATTGGATCGCATACCGATCTTCAGTTCTTCACCATGCTCTGGCAGGACCAGAATGGTGGACTCCAGGTCCTCAACCGCGATGGTCAATGGCTCAACGCGACTCCCATCGAGGGCACGTTCGTGGTTAACATCGGTGACTATCTGATGCGCATTACCAACGACCGTTTTGTATCAACTGTCCATCGTGCAAAGAACTTCAACACCAATGAGCGCTTTTCGATGCCATTCTTCTTCGGTAAGCACCTAAAGAACACTTTTTTCCCGCAGCCCGGGCACTAATGTGTTGTGATAGGCTTCAATTTCAACGAAACCTGTGGAGTACTTCCAAGTTGCATCGATGAAGATCATCCTGCAAAGTATGAGCCGGTCTCGTGTCAGGAATGGGTTCACTTGCGGTTTAAGGCAACCAATATATAATAGTCTCAGACGGCCATTATGCATTAAAAGCTGTTTGTCATGTTGTCCCGGGTCCGTATAGCAATAATCCTAGATTCGGAAACTTCAAAAGTAGGGAGAGCTAGGGAATCGTACTCCGGGTGTCTCATGAAGTCGTGCGTCAATGTTCAAGGACCATCCATAGGGAAATTCATGTCTTCCAGATGAGTGAGATCAAGGTTTGTCCAATCCACCGTTGTCAACATCTGCCAGGTTAACCCGTCTTCGGTGGCAGGGAGCTGTGCTGCCATGAATGCTTGCTCGTTTTCGGCACTGTTCGACAGCGACACGCCTGCTTTGGCCGCTGCCCGCCGGAGCTCACCAATAATGGCACCAAACCGGTGAGCAATATGTTCGTCATTGGGAGCAAGCTCTGTGAGATATTCTTGTGTGGAAGCAATCAGATGATGGCCGACTGCAAATTTGCACAAGTTGAGAGTGGCATATATCACGATGAAGAAGAAAAAGTCGGGCATTTCCAACGCGGTTGAAAAATCCACAACGAGAAATCGTTTCAGGATTTCACTAGCCGTCCGGGTAATGGCTGATTCAACAGCAGCGGCGTCAGACTGAGCTTTTAACGCCGTCCGATATAGAAGGAGGTAGCAGAAGTCGTAACTAAAATCTAGCGTCGAGTTCCGCGATGAGGCTGTCATGGTCAGCCAAGTTTCTCAAGCCCAAAAGAATCACATACAAGTCCCGAGAACGTGATTCCAGGATGCGTGCCAATCTTCAAGCTCTCTGTATACGGGAATGCCGTCCTTCTGACTCGGGATCGGAGAATCATTGAGCATTTTCTCCGTCTCGCTATACAGTAACACCCCTGCGAATAAAGCTGCGTCGTCCATGGTGGATGACTGGAAGTCCAATATGCCGGCGCAATAGTCCACAAATCGCTGAGAGATCACGCTTGGTCGAGCATTCCCCACAGAAAATCTACATATGTCAACATACAGCTCGCACAATCATGTGAGGAGGCTTACTGGATGTGTGTCAAACACAAGACATTCCAGATGCGAAGTTGTCGAAGTCGCGTGTCTTCATCCTCTTCCTCTGGAGTCGGATTTGCCAAGTTGAACGATAGTACGGCATGGTTAACACTTGTTCCGCTCAACATCCAGCTATCCATGGGCATGGCGGTTTGAATTGTCGGGCTGAACATGCTGAGCAGCAGGAGAGCTTGGATAGACTCATGGCTCAAACTAGGAGTCTTGAGAACAGTACTTGCAGTCAGGCGCCGGACCAGAACATCCACTTGCTGTATAGTGTCCTTGCTCACGTTAGGGACGTGTGGCGATGCGAGAAGACAGGCGGTACTGAACAGCAAGGGATGGTTTTGCTCAAGGTCATCTGGTAGGTCGGCTTCCGAGTAGACGGCGATCCATTTTCCCAGTCGTTGAACGAATCTGGAAAGCTCAGCTTTCTCCTCCCAGGCCTTGTTCGCATACACTTACACCTTTGTGAGATAGTTGGCCAGAGACGCCCCTATAATACCCGCCGAGACCACGTTCCCTATTGCCAGGACTTCATCCCCAAACTCGCGCTTGGGTCCGAAGAGTTGTAATTGTAGATTTTTGAGCAACGGTACAGGCCTTGTAACCCCATTGTGATATGATGATGTAGGCCGTAAAGGCTGCAATGTCGGGTTGGTGTCAGGTATACTCGAAAACCCCGACCTGCGCCGGCTGTCATCATACTTGGCCGATGAAGTTAGGGTCCTTAGAAGTGTCGAAATCCCTTGGATGCTATCTTCGATACGCTCCAAACGAGCCCCGATACTCAGGGACGAAGAGGAGTCCGAGAGTAGAGCATCCTGTTCCAGTGTCGGCAGGTCGCATCTAAGCCTATCTCGTCATTTAATATAAATCGTTGCACAACAAATGCCAGTGGGTTGGATCACATACCGCAAGGCTGCACACCGTCTGCAGCTATCTCGAGAAGCGATCTCACATTTCGTTTTCAGCCTTCGACACGTGGTACAAGCAGTAAACGGCCGGTTCAATCGCTTTCTTTTGGGTTGCCTCTGCTCAACCTCCCCATCATAAGGCGTGTCGGCCTCCAGAGAAGCCTCTCGACTCGAGTCCATGAGTAGCTTCAGGGCAGAGCCTCGACTTTGAAGATTGCTAGGGCCAGGCCATGAGAAATCAAAACCGTAAACTTCACCGACGTAAGAAGTATACCTGGCGTAACAACGGCGGCTACCTTATCACCCACCTAATTATAATCTAGGGTTCGCCGGCCTCCGACGGACCACCGGTGCAATTAAGCTCACAGACATATTTGCCCGTTTTCCCTGTTTGATAGTGTCCCACCTTTTCTTTCCTTGGAGTATCGCTATGTCTTCATGAACGATTACAGCGTTAGCATTCTGTATTGCATTTATTGGAAAGTAGAGCTAGACATAACTGCACCAATTGTCTTTCGCCAAGTCTCTTTTGTAAGGTAGCTCTACCAAGGACGGGCGTTGAGTTCACTTGATACTCAGCTATATGGGTTTGTCTTGCAACTCTACGACTCCGTCCTAAACATGCTTCCTTTGTTCCTCACTCAGCCAATCAAACCCTTCGCCTGGTGGTCGGATCCACTGAATGGTGGGATTGACTGTAGTCAACAACTCTTAAAAGTTCTGCAGACATGTTCAAGTCCCATTGCAACGCGCCCACGGTTAAGCTGGCAAATTGCGCAGACTCAAAAGTGATGGTCTAGGATCTTCGGGGGAAATGCATTCATTATTCAGCCATCTGCCAATACTGGGGGATCCAAGGCGACCATCCCGTGCGGAAGGAACCAGGGTATATTCCTTCGCTCCAACGCCGTTCTTTTCGAGACCACGTATATATCCCATTGTCACATAAGGTCTCACTGGCCCGGGCGGAAGGCAGCACTCGAAAGTGCGAACATTTCGTGTACCAGCCCAAAACATGGATCCCGACATTCATAACTGCAAGCGCGGTTAGGACCAACATTGTCAGATGGGGTCAACGCAATCATCCCACATCTTGCTTGGACAGCACGAGGAAAGCCGGGGTGAACGGGCTCTTGCACTGAGTCCAACCGGCCGTTGCCAATTTCGACGCTTGGCGTGCATCACTGGAATATACATATGCACATCTCTTACCATGAGGTCTCCATTTCTGGCCAAAGCGCCGGTCGACATCTTGTGATCCGTAGCATCATTTTCAACAGTTTTGTGTTCTGCATCAAGAGGATTGGGTCTAACATTCCGCTCCTAGAAGGGCCAGTCCAACAACAATGCGAGGGAGTTCACGACCGAGAACACTAGTGCGCTCAACGCATTCCGGTCTGCCTCTACGCACTGCAGTATCGGAATGACAACAGTATCTGAAGGAAAGGTACAGGTTCAACTAGAGCATCGAGGCTGGACGTTATGGAGAGGAAGGAGGCTCAACGCGAGGGATAAGACCGTCGAAGGGATGGTTCGGAGGCAGCGGGATTGCTCGATAGTTGAGTGAAAGAACTGGAAATGGTCAGCATCAGAGGCAGCGAAAGGGATGACACCCTGGGCAGTCCTCCCAGTTTCAACTGTAAGGCATGGATTGCTGGCACTGGTTTGGGAGTAATAGGACCAAGTGAACATAGGAAGTGGGAAGATTGAGTCAGGACTAGCGGCGTAGAATCCACGTAGGAGGCCTACGTAGGCCTTCTTCGTATATCGTATCGTATCGAATTAAGATCAAAGACAGACGAGAGGAAGTTGAAGTGAAGGCGATGAAGAGCCTGCATGCCAAACCGAAGAGTGAATTGTTGAGGTTCTTGCATGTCTCAACCCCGCTCGGTGCGACAGCTCTCTAATCTCATCCCGTTCACACGAGATCCAGGCAGCCGCCGCCGGTGCCTGCGGGTGGGCATCGGATCCCATCTTCAAGAACCCACCGGTTCGAGGCGACCTTCATGTTCGAGAGACTGTCGTATGATTGACCACCATAAAAGACGAAAGTACATCAGCATGATGAGAAGGAGAGAAGGTTTGTTTGTACGAGCAAGAGAGAAAGGAATGCGGAAGAAGACGATGGGCGTGGCCTGTGCGCAGGCAACAGCGGCGAGGGAAATGATGATGGATTTGTGGCGGGCTTGATTAGACTTGGGGGGAGAGCAATAAACCACCAGTAGTAGCACGCTATATGACAGAGTACAGGCATACCCAGGATCGAAGTTTAGGGCCCACGGCTATGCTGGTATGAGGCACCTCAGAAGGCTAGGGAGGTATATCAGTCTCTACACTGCAGAGGACTAGGTAACGCACTCACTGGCAAAGCCTGCGAACGGGCATCCTGGCGCTCGGGGCTGGTAGTGGCACTTTTGATGGAGGAACAATGGCCCCTTACTGGCTGTTCAAGGACTCGAGTGGCCTTAGGCTCCTACTAGTGACAGAAACCTTTCTCTTCCCAGCCTAGCGACCCGGATTGCCCATTTCCCTCTCAGCAGCAGTCGATGTCAAAATGCTCTTTTTCCGGCCTGTTCACTAGTACGCAGCTAAAACCTCGCTCTTTTGCCCCCCAGCCTGTTGCTTATTCGTCCTTTGTCCGTGCTCTGTTCACCCCTTCTGCCAGGCCGCCCACTGGCCAGCAGCCGCCATTCTGCGGTTGGCTGCCAGTGCTGCAGTCCCCGTTCACCTGTTCACAGAGCCAGTCCCTGTCCTGTCCTGTCCAGTCCTGCGCTGTTGTTGCGTCTTTGCTGCTTGGGTGCGTTCTGTCTTTCGGGGGCTTAGGGTGGCAGCAACTGCCACTGCACCGCTTGGGTGCTCGAAATCTGTCGATTCCTCTTGTCCATCCATCGTCTGCGTCCCTCCATCTTTGTGTCTCTTTCTTGCCATTGTCATTCGCATCCGTTTTGCTCTTCAACGATTACATCTCTTGCCGTTCCGGCTTCGAACTCCTACACCTGCGCCTGGCGGTTACTTTCTGTTACTCGTTATCTCCCGTGATCCATTTCGCGCCGCCTGTCCTCGATCCTCCATCGAAAACTTTCGCCGGCGCCTCCTTCTACATATCCAGACAACGAATCTCGAGATCGAAAAACCTCCTTTGAATCCCCTCAAGAAGGCTGTAATTGGTCTCAAAAGGCGCGTGGCATTTTCTACAGACCTCCGAGGGTGTTGCTGTCTCTTTGCGACACCTCTTTGGCCTTGACGCTCGAAGGGCCGTCTTATCGACCTTCCACGTCACCTCCTTAACCCGACCCTTTACGTGCTGGGAAGAATCCTTGATACGCCTTCGAAGAGTCGTCGAGACCATACATCTCATTCCTAGTCTCACGCGATCCTAGTGGACGTGCTTGGAACGTTCTCACCGCCACTGCAGACTTCTCTGCTCCAGCGATGCGCGACATGCGACCGACACTTCAATGAGCTTACTGGACACAATATCCCTCTAACTCGGTCGATGAGGAGGTACTCTGTCAGATTATGACAGAGTCCTCCCTCTTAACCACGTATCCCTTACCGAACCACTATCCGGTTACCGCGGCTCCCTCTTTGGCCTCTCCCCTACCGAACGGTTCGCTTTCAGATACAAATCTTCAAGAAGAGGAGGAATACACCATCAAATGCATATGCATCTACACAGACGATGATGGCAACACCGTGTACTGTCCAAAGTGTGATACTTGGCAGCACATTGAATGCTACTATCATGGGAAAAAAGTGCCCGAGGAGCATTTCTGTGCAGATTGTTTCCCCCGAGATCTTGATGCGAAGAAAGCGACTGATCGGCAGAGGAGGCATCGAGAGGCTCTCGATGGCGGTGACCGGAAGGTCAAGAGACCAAGTTCGAAGAGTCAGAAGAAGAAGCACAAAGAGAATGGCGCAACCGTCGACCAGGTCAACGGCTGGCATCCATTTGATCGTCCCGAGTCTGTGGCCAGCGCAAGAGATGGACCTCCTGCAAAGAAACCCAAAACCAATCATCGCGCGTCTGGGTCTATCGTGTCGATGAATGGGGACTCGAGGAAACGGGCACCTTCTACCGCTCAGTCCTACCCTAGCCCTTCCAAATCACCTCAAGACCTTTTCCGTTTCCCGGCCATTCCTACCTACACCCCCGAATTCCTCGAGCTGTACGATCGCGATCAAGGCAACACGAATGCCAAGGACAACGAACAAACGATTCAAGCTGCCAATGCGTTGTCTGCCTGGAGAACCGATCCGACTTTGGTCGTTGCTGGCTCTGGGCAACAACCCACAGCCAAATCGCCCTTTGTGCACTCTGATCAGCCGCTTGACCCGAATACCTGGCCGGATGTCTCGATTGAGACTCTGACCAAGACAGACATCGAATATGACGGGAAATTCCCTACCTGGCGCTTCCTGCGACTACAGTCTCCTGTCAAGAAGGACGAGATCGTGGGCGAAGTTCGAGGCCAGGTAGGCATGCTGGAGGAATACTGTCAGCAAAAATCTTCCTCAAACAGGTGGCAAGAGCTTAGGCATCCGGACCCTTTCGTGTTCTTTCACCCACACATGGACATCTACATTGACAGCAGAAAATCTGGCACACGGTTTCGTTACCTGCGAAGGTCATGCCGACCCAACGTGACCCTCAAGACTTTTGTTTCGGACGACGACGAAACTCACCACTGCTTTGTTGCCAGCAAAGACATCCCAGCCGGATCTGAACTCACGACCACATGGTTTCTGGATTCAGGAATGTTTTCCGTGGACGCTGTGCGGGATGATTCCGAACAAGCCCAGAATCGACGCCTGGACTGGGTCAGTCGAGTTCTCGCCAATTTTGGAGATTGTGCCTGCGATGCTGGGTCGGCTTGTCTGCTTGCTGGGTTTGATCGAAGATTTTCGCCCAGATCTGTGGAGGCACTACAAAAGGAGAAAGCAGTGAAAAAGAAGAAAAGTAAGAACAAACCTGCCATCTCGCCCCTGAGCACAGGACACGCCACCAACAGTCGAGCAGGAAGCGAACCGAAGTTGCTTGAAGACGACGATCACTTCGACCGACGATCCACTTCTGGGTCCTCTCGCAGCGGTGGACAGAGCCGAGACATCACTCCAGTCAATGTGGCGGCTCTAGACGCTGATCCAGTACTGGGTGCTGGCCTTACCGCCCGCGAATTGCGCAAAATACAGATGGCTGAGAGGGCTTTTGCGCAGCGAGAACAAGAAAAGAAAGATCACAAGGACCCAGGCCCTCCAAGGAAGAAGAAACGCACAAGCGGCGGGTCGGCATTGAACACTCCGAGCGCGAGTGCATCGAAGCAATTGGGCCACCCAGTCCCTTCACAGCCGACCACACCGAGTGCGAGGCAGACCAAGTCGGCTGATCCGTCCTTGGAGTCTCCTCCACCTCCGCCGAGAGGATCCTTGAGTCGAGCCAAGTCTACAGACGCGCCGAACCAGTCTGATGCTCGAAGTAGACGGCCTGTCTATGTCAGCGTCGCGGTTCAGACGGAGCCAGAAGAGTCCGAGTTGCCTATGCCACCAGTCAAGAGGAGGAAGTTCTGTACACCAACCCAGAGATTGCTCAGAAGGCTGTTGGAAGATAGGGCAAGACATGAACAAGAGCGCCAAAACCAGTCGTCTGCGCAGGATCATGCGGGAGATGTGACAGGCTCAGCCGCGGCCGTTGATGATGTTAAGATGAAAGATGTGGACTCGGAGACATCCGAGCGACAGCCTCTGGGTTCATCCACAGGGGCTGTTGCAACTGGCAGCAGTCCACTCAATGTCGGCTCAACGACCTATCCTTTGCCTTCGCAAGCAGCCCATACACTGCCATCCTTTACGCCGCCGGCTGCACCTCGTCTGCAATTGTCGACCTTGCCGCCCGTACCTGCATTCCCTGGGTCATCGTCGGCCGGCGCTGTGACAACTCCCGGTCCAGCCGCTTCGACTACCACACACTCGCCTGTGCCGACCAGTGCAGCGTCCAGCTCCTTCCCGCTACCTACGCCTTCCGTAGTGACGCCAAGTCCAGCGAGAAAGAAACTCAGCTTGGGCGACTATATGAGTCGACGTGCCGCGTCCACACCTTCAATCGAGAAGACTCAAACGCAACTTGGGATGGACAGCGGAGACTCAGATCGGGCGAAAGACTCAGAAGAGGGCCAATCTTCGCCTATTGTACCTCTCGAAGCTCCTGTCCAGGACGTGCGACATGAAGATGTGGACCGGCAGGCATCGAGTCCAGGAGAACCCACCGGTGCCGCAGTTGAGGACCCTGCCGCTCAGGATGCAGAACCCGAGTACCAGCCCCCTCCTGCAATATCAAATGATGGGCAAGCCGATCCGCCGCCTGTCTCATCAAGCGAGAACGTTGCATCATCAACAGATGGGGCATCCAGCGTACCCTCTGCAGTGTCCAATGTTCTTGCGCAGCTTGCGCAATTACAAGGCAAATGAAAGCAGCATCTAATAGACGAGCCAATTCGAAACTGGACGTGCATGATGATCGAATCGACGGAGCTGTTGCGGCTTTGCTTTTCTCACAACAATAGAGGACTGTTTTGGACCTTTCGCGGGTCTTGGACATGCAGTGATGACGAGGCTTCTCTCGATGGGCGGAATCACGATGGGACAAAATCTGGGAGGGAAAAGGGCGGCGCGGCGTTACAGGATGGACTTGTGAGGTATTGCAGCCTGGCGAACAGGTTTTACGGGACAGGTTTTCTATGTGTAAATATTAGCTTTGAGCCGCAATGGCTATCTCACCGCCCCCAGATGGCATTATGCTATGCTGACGAAGAGTGGTGTGGAGGGAGGAGTGGGTTGATCGCGGATATGGCTATGCTGAGGATATCAAGCCGGTCCTGAGTCACCGTTCGGCAACTACGCCAGGGTTGAAGCAGCAGTCGTACTGTCGACGACGACGACGACGACGATTAGTGAGCTGAACAAAGACTGCACTTCAACAATATTCACTTGCACCCATTGGCATGGTCGTAATAGGTGGCCACGTGACGATCAGAGCTGCCCGCGTAGCCTGTAGAATGTGTGAGATTTGCCCTTTGCCCTTTGCCCCTCCAACTTCGCCCTCACACAGTCCAACTGCGCCTTTTCCCCCACCACCGCATGCTGTTCGCCGGGCAGCGAATTTGCAGTGGCTCTATGGTTTCTTCTCCCACCGCAGTTCCCATATTTCCATCCACCCAGATGTTCCATACATCCAATAAAGGGACAACTTCAACACCAAAGTTCAACATCCATTACTGTTGCTCCACGTCGATCTACAAGTCTCAGATGACATAGCCGTGTAGCTCGACTTTCTTCCGCCGTGTCCCTGCGCCGGAGACGTGACGGTATTCTCCTTTCTCATCACTTGTCGTCCGTCGCATGGAGGTGATCTCTCAGTCTTTCCCAACCTCTATCTACCCTTCTCTTTATTAGTCTGACTTCTGAACTCGGGCGTGGCTTTGACCTGGTGCATCCGTATAATCTCTCGTTCCCTATCACAATGGCTTCCATGCCCTTTCGACCCGGTCCTGCCAGCGGCGTGCGCAGCGGCGTGCGCACGCCTGTCCGCCAGAACTCGGTGGACTCCCGAAATGAAGTCCACGTAATGATGGACCACTACATTGGAATTGATGTAGGCACCGGTAGTGCACGAGCATGTATCATTAACCAGGCTGGTGACATTGTTGGCCTGGCCTCGGAAAACATTGGTCTGTGGCAGCCTCAGACAGGATACTATGTATGTTGAACATGCCGTCTATTCCTGCGAGACCAGACATCCGCGGCGGTTGAACTCTTCACTAACGACTTCGCCTCGTTTGCGCCAGGAACAATCTACAACCGACATCTGGCGGTGCATCTGTATATCCGTCCAGCGCGCCATTACCCAGAACAATATAGATCCTCATTCGATCCGCGGCATTGGCTTTGATGCTACCTGTTCTCTGGCAGTCTTCACCCATGATACCGACGAACCAGTGTCTGTGACAGGCCCAAGTTTCGATGGATCCGGGAACGATCACAACGTCGTTCTGTGGCTGGACCATCGGCCCGTGGAGGAGACGAAGAAGGTCAATGACACAAAACACAATCTGCTCCGCTATGTCGGCGGTACGATGAGCATTGAAATGGAAATCCCAAAGGTGCTATGGCTCAAGAACAACATGCCGAAGGAGCTCTTTGATCGCTGCAAATTTTATGATCTAACGGATGCCCTTGAACACTTGGCCACGGGCAATGAAAAGAGGAGTTTCTGCTCGGTCGTCTGCAAGCAGGGCTACGTCCCCGTGGGTGTGGATGGCAGCGTCAAAGGCTGGCAGGAGGACTTTCTCGCCGAGATTGGACTCGAAGACCTCGCCGAGGACAATTTCAAGCGCATGGGCGGCGTCAACGGGGTGGTGAGCCTGATTCCCTGCCTAGGTTGACAGTGACTGACCTTCCCCTTACAGAATGGCGAGTACCTGTCCGCCGGTGAATTGGCAGGCTACCTCTGCGAGCGAGCGGCGGCGGAGCTCGGCCTGCCGCCTGGCATTGCTGTGGGCAGTGGTGTGATTGATGCATATGCCGGTTGGATTGGCACAGTAGGAGCCAAAGTGAATCTGTCGGCGGACGAGCTTGACTCGTCCATGGCCGCCAATGACCAGTCTCAGGCTTTCACCCGTTTGGCCGCCGTGGCAGGTACATCAACATGTCATCTGGTCATGTCCAAGGACCCGGTCTTCGTCCCCGGAGTTTGGGGCCCTTACCGGGATAGCATTATCCCTGGTTATTGGATGACTGAGGGAGGCCAGTCCGCGACCGGCGAGCTTTTGAAACACGTACTCGAAACTCACCCTGCGTACAACCAAGCCTTGTCCATGTCACAGTCGAGTTCGAGCAACATCTACGACTTTCTGAATCAGCATTTGGAGGATATGAAGTACAAGGCCAATGCGCCCAGCATCAGCCATCTGGCGCGCCACTTCTTCTTCTATGGCGACCTGTTCGGTAACCGTTCGCCGATTGCCGACCCGACCATGTCTGGCTCAGTCGTGGGGCTGTCGTCCGACAAGTCGCTTGATGGCATGGCGATCTACTACTACGGCACCATGGAGTTCATTGCATTGCAAACGCACCAGATCATCACGACGATGAACAACGCCGGACACAAGATCTCATCCATCTTCATGTCCGGCTCGCAGTGCCAGAATGAGATTTTGATGTCCCTGATTGCCACTGCGTGCGACATGCCGGTCCTGATCCCGCGGTACGTTCACGCTGCCGTCTGTCATGGCGCCGCCATGTTGGGCGCCAAAGCCGCCAGCGCCGATCCATCCGGCAAGACCGAGGATCTGTGGAGCATCATGGACCGCATGAGCAAGCCGGGCAAGCTCGTCCGGCCGACAAAGAACAAAGCTGTCAAGGCACTTTTGGATGTGAAGTACAAAGTCTTCCTCGAGCAGTGTGAACGGCAAAGGGTGTTTAGAAGGATGGTCGACGAGGTCGTTGATGCCTCCTCGTGAGGTCTATCCTTTTGGAACAGCAGTCGCCTGGCTACGTACTAGTAGGAGTTTGACAGGCCCAAAAGTTCATTGCACACAGCCTTGTTTACACCGCTGAGGGAATCACAAACAATGGAGTTCGGACCACGAGCGTCCCTTGGAACCGATTTATGTGACGTTAGCCTCGTGCAGCTGTGGCCCGGTGGAGGTACAGACTAGGCACACCAGGAAAAGAGACTGATCGCTCGACAGTGGTCAATCAATCTGGTAAGCTGGTATATTTCCAACTCTGAAAAGGTAGTGGAACCTTGCACTGGAGTCATGTCTACCTCTGAGGCACTAGTGATAGACTTGATAGTAGGAACCCTCTTAGTTTGGGTACCAAGTCCATATAATGGAAGAATGGAAGAATTCGAAAATTCGAAAATTGTCGTCGGGCAGGCTTATCAACTCTGTCGAACGGTCTCCATGCCTGACGTTGCCATATGCCGGAGCTCCTCTGGGCATTGCACCGATCGGCCATTTCGAACGGGTATGAGAGCATGATATCTGCAGTCTAGTGTGGAGGAATCGAGGTCCATCCAGGCAAGATCAAGCTCAAGCTCAAGCTCAAGCTCAAGTTCCAGCGCAGGCTCAAGCGGAAGTTCGTCCTCGAGCATGAACTCGCGGGCGAGACGATACCAATGGGGGTTGGGATCAATTGTAGTCTCTGCGCGGTGCGTGCCTGTTCGCCAGGCTAGGGTCCATGCATGTGATATCGAGAGCCATGCCCCTTTTCTCTGTGCACTGCACAGGCGGATGATAATATCCTCGGGCGTGTGAGTCTTTCGTATGCAAAACGGGTGATTCTTCAACCTTGGCCGCAAATCGCGCCAAGTGTAGTACCTGGTACCCTGAGGCTCAATTCAATGATTAAAATGCCCATAAATCACCCGTTTCTTGGAGGTTCGTCACTAGCATCATGGGAACTGACAGGCTGGAGGGCAGGTTGTGGCGTGGCTTCGTCGGGGCCGGCCGTACTGACAGATCCTTGCACTAGTATAGTTCTCTGGCCTTGTTCTGGTTCAGATCCCTGTTCCAGCTCGGCAGCCTCGCCCCGTTCCAGATCAGCATCCTGAACCTTCACCGGGTTCTTCTTCAAGCCCAATATGTCGAATTTGCAGAGCGGACAGTCGTGATGGCCTCTCTCGACCCACAAGTTTAAACAATTGGTGTGGTAGACGTGGCCGCACTGTAATTCGCGGACCAGGTCTTTCTCTTCTATCAAGTCGAGACAAATAGCAGTGCTGTGGATGTTAGTTTGGGTTCTTTTTTTCTTTTTTCTTTTTCTCTTTTTCTCTTTTTATGGGGGTGGGTTCAGTCGTCGTGTCGGGGGGTTGATCGAAAAAATCAATGGAAGGGTTGGGCTGGGTTGGGCTGGGTTGGACTTATCAAATCAGTTTACTCGACACGCTGGCAAACGTCTGTACATGCATGGTGGTCTTCTCGGAGCGCCAGTCGTGCAGTGACTTGGAGGGGGCGACGTGGTCGAGTTTCCTCAGTCGCTTGCGGTGTCGTTTGGCCACGTCCTCGCCGGTCACAAAATCGGTCCCGTCGACGTGCCATGCCGACGGTGCTGAAGCGGATGATATGGACGATGTTTCGGACTGGTCGACTCTGCCAATGCATCTTTTGTATAGTGAAAAACTTTTTGGCCTCGTCAGTATTGGACGTGGTTGACGACGTGGTTCTTCATGTATTGCATTCGGGCAGGCCCTGGGTTAATTAGGGTACTTGGTGCATGCTTACCCGAAAATCAAAACGAAAAGGCACAGACACGTCACAGTCACGGAGATGAATGTTGTCGACGCAATCACCGGGCCTGAATCGTGGGTGGTGACAGTTTCATTTGTGGGCACCGCTGCACGGCTGAAATGGCGATACAGTGCTGACGCCGCGATGCCTGGGAAGCTGTCAGCCGGAGGAGGAGGAAGAGGAGACGACCTCGCCGGCGAAGGCGTCTGTAAGGATATTTGTTCTTTTGGGATGTACATGGTGCCGATGGGAAGAATGATGGATGACAAGGTCAAGGTGTATAGATAGATGTGTATCAATGTGAATGAGAGGCAGTAACATCCCCCTGCTAGAACATGGAGATCATTTTTGGATGTTTGGAGTTGGAGAGAGAGGGAGAAGTCTGCACTTGGTCTGATTTGGACGTTCAATGCTGGAGAGAGCCTCCACATCCACAACTGGAACTTCCACGATAGGAGACATGGATGTATATTTCATTGCCTTGACCAGGCCGGCGGTGCATCTTTCTTGGTCACAAGCATAGTGTACTGTGCATTTCGGTACACTACAGAGACCATGTCTTCCAAGAGGTGGTCTAGAAAAAGGGCCGTGGTACCAGGTCTTGGAAGACACCGGATCACCAGCAATTGACATGATATTTCGGTTCGGATCACGAAATGGGATACGAGGCGTGCCATGTGATAGACGGGGCACCCCGGCACGGATGGGCATGGAACGAGCAAGGAGAAAGAGCAAACAGGATGACCTACAGAGGAGAGGGTATGATGACCGCAGACGTCTAAGTCTAACGGGTGGACTGCATGCCTAGTCGCCTAGACTCTCATCGAGAAGAGGAGTGAGTGGTTGAGTGGTTCAGTGGTGTGAGGCGTGCAGGAAGAAGAGTGAGAGAGAGAGAGAACAAGAACAGGGAAGAAGTCATACAGAGTACTGATTAGGTAGTTACGTAGGACCAATCATGATGGACGTCTCCGGAATTTACCGGCACCGAGTTTCTGACGGTCGGCAGGAAGAATGTTTCGCCGGTTCCGAAACACTTTCTTCCAACTACGTATGTACGTCCGTACTTACCACGGTTCTGTCACCTCCTACTACTGAGAAGTGTCTTCTACAGACTGCATCAAGAAAGATGCCTTTTGGGGTTTGTTGCCATTCACCGGGTGTCAGACTGGATTCTGGGCGAGTGGTTTTCTGGGTATACAGCCAGCGAGAAACGTGAACGATGAGGAACTCTCAAGAGACATGCTTTGAATCGTGATATTGTTTTGCTTTCGCCCTTTTCAAGAGGCCCAGATGGAACTACCTCTGGTGGACTGCTGAACTATGCATTTCATGACGCCCATTATAATGGTACAAGGTTGGTAATGCGTTTCGGTATGAGCTTAAGCAGCCCGAATCCTCACGGCCGCCTCTGCCAACCTCACCGACTCCATCTCCTGTCCTCTCAGCACACTGACCAGATAGTTCTCGCCATTTTGACCGACGGCATGCACCACGACGTTCTCGCCAAATCCGCAATCTTTCTCATCTGGACCGGCTTCGTCATATTCTTCGAAAGATTCTTTTGTCACGCCGTCCTCCGGGGCCAAGAGAACTTGAGACGCGTATTTCCTGGCCTCTTCGTACGTGGTGAAGGTGCCCTCGACGTTCGTCTCCCGAGCTGCACCGGTGTCGTCTTCCGTATACAGCACATTCGTCTGGACCACATGGTACAGGTCCTGGTGGATCTTGTGGTCATCCTTGCCGCCCTTCAGGTTCAGGGAGTTCGGGGTTGTGGCCACACTGACGCGGAAGACGGTACCGTCGGCTGACTTGGCCAGCACGCAAAGGCCGGTCCGTCTCTTGACGTGGTGGCGGATGAATTGTTCCTGGCTGGTTTCATATTCGTCGAACATTTCCTTCTCGTAGCCGGCTTCGAACAGCGTTCGGTGGGCTGCTGCTTTGGCAGCCGGCAGGGTCGTGTATGTGCCGCAGACTCGGACCCTTTCGACCTCGCCGTTGACATCTTTGGAGATATGCGATGTGGTGAAGACGACGTGGTAGAGGTTTTCGCCCTCGGGCAGGCCGTTACCGCTTAGTGCCGACATTGCTGTATGTTGGTGGTGATGATTGATTATTGGATGTTGTGCTTAGAAGCAGCTAGCTGTGATCGTTGTCTTTTAGTTTGGTATGTTTTGTCTACTCGTGACTTGGACGGTCAATTGTAGGACACAGCCTGCTTCTTATGAGTCTGCAACTGTGGGAGCTGGACCCGACGCATCCGCACAGACGTTACGAGATTGATCTTTCCTGCTCGCCCGGGATCTTCAAGCATCTTGCCCAAGCTCGCCAAAGGCGGTCTAGTCTGTCGTATGATGGGGTGGAGAGCATCAACCGAGCCAGCATACGGTCCGGCCAGACCACGGAAGGATATGGAATGGGGGATTTACAGGACTAACATGCCTACCTAGAGACCAGAACAAACCAGACATATCCTGCTCGCCGGAGAGAAGGAAGCATCGAGAGACATGAAGTAGAAGGACTGGACAAATGGCTCATTTGGCGTCGTGAATGCGCCATTTAGTACGAGGGCTGGCCGAGCATGGAGATGGAGGTTCGTGAAGAGGCTTGAAGTCACTAACCGGGGACAGGAGAGGTCAGAGGGAGCTTCTATGGGGAAAGAGAACAAGATCGTGCAGTGCTGTGGGTCAAATGACAGTCTGAAAACCGGTATTGAGAGCGTGACCGGCTGCCAACGGCTGACATAACCCGGCAGATACCGTAATGTGGTAACACAGTAATGATGTTCTGAGCGTTTTACAAAGTAGTATCTTACAGAGTACCTCACAGACGGCATGGTGTGATCTTTACATAAGCGAGCCATCAAGATCATGGATATTCAGAATTGGCCGGGTTCAGGGATGCTACATGCTGCATGCTCTGTCTTCCCCGGATTCTTCTCAGTCCACGCAAATTCGCCTCCTTCGGTTCGAAGGTGCTTGTCCTCCGGGTTTCAATTTGGGCCTGGACAGCTTGACATTTCTGGGCAGAAGAAGGGGGGGTGGTACGATGAAGTAGGCGTAACGTTGTCTCTCCACGTAACCGAAGCAGCTCTTGTCAACCAACCCTTTTCTGCCGGTGCTGGGAAAATGGAGTGCTGAATCAAGTATTGTTAGGAGGCTCTGGGATTGGCTGGTTGAAGCATTGAAGCATTGGAGCATCCTGACCAGGGTAGGAGGAGTCTTTGTTTACCTCTTACATCTTCTAGGCAAAAGACAGTCGAGCCTTGAGGAGAGTGAGTACATCAAATATGCAGGAACAAGTTCCAGGGTATAAACGTTGTTAACGGATGTATCCATTTATTCTGCCGTCTATCGGGCGGCAGGTGTCGAGAATCGGTACATCAAATGTGTCCAGATATTCACTAAGACAGACAAACAAACAGCTTCCAGCAGCTGTATCCTTCTATAGAAGGGTCGGGATAACACCCCTGGGAGGTCCATAGACCATCTACCATCGGACGTCCCACTATTAGCGGGTGTTGTTGTGTACAATCTTCCCAAAATCCGGGTCGGGCTTGTTGTCTAATATATGCCTGCCCATTTCCCCCAAAAGCTCATATGCAGATGCAAAAAAAGGCTGAATCATGAGGTCGTGTCACAACTTGCTTGCGGAGAGTCACTTTGATTGCTGTGTCTCAGCAGCTGCTCTCTGGGAAGCCGCTTGCTCCAAGTCGTTGAGATGGCTTTCGACCTCGTCAAGCTGTTTCCGCTGAATGGCCAGCTTTTCTCTCATTTTCTTGAGGCTAGAAAAAGGTCACAGGAGTCAGTATTGGATTCGGATTGAATGGCGTTTGTCGAAATCAGCTTACTTTTCAATCTCGTGTTGCTTGAAGTACATGTTCTCCAAGGCTTGCTCGCGGCGATTGAATGTGTCACTAGAAAACACTGGTCAGCCATTTGTATTTTGATCACTGGGGTACGGCTCTGATTCCTTACCTGGTGGCAGCACCGCCTGGCCGGATGGCGCCTGTATCTCCTTCACCCCACATTGGTCGTGAAGTGACGAAGGATTGACAGAATGCTGGGGTTCGGATTCTGCTCATGCAGACTCTTGGGATTGTGGTTCGCATCATTTTTGGCGGTGGTGGTGGTGAAGATACTACAAATGTAGTGGTAGATGTAGCGGTTGATGAGGTGGATTGAGTCTCTTGAAGAGCTCTTCGATGTGTTTGTCAATTATGTCTTTGGTTGCCTGGAGGAGGGAAAGAAAAGTGTCGTCTGTTGAGGGTGTATCACAACTACATTTATACTGGATAGGAACATAGCAAGAGGAAGCTCTGCTATAGCTGCAAACGAGGCTGGCACCGGCTCCCCCGAGGTTCCCTAGTACTGCTACAGTGGTACCTGATCTGCCAGTGGAATGACGCCCCGAACGTCGACCTACTAGATACGCAGCCCCATTATTGAGCGACTATTGCTGGGGGCTTCCAGGGGCCGAGGCCTAGGAAAGCTTCGCTTAAGGGCGTGGGAATAGTACAGAGTAGAGCAACGAGACTCGGGAGGCCCCGTAAAATGTGGCTCAGGTAAGTCCTCTAGGTCATTCAGAGCCTGGAGCCGGCACTTGATATCCGGAACATCCTCTGAACAGAGAGAGCGTTAGGCGATGCCCCAGCCAGCCGAGGTCGCCTAGGGAGCCCAGCCCTTTAGCCCCTGTCGGGCTAGCCTTGTCTGTGACAATCCACACTGCACGGTATTGAAAATTACCCGTTCAAATATCACTCCACGATCAACCTACCTCTCCTCTCCTCTCACACACCCTCGAGACCCTCTAGTCCACCACCGCGACCGCTCCCGCTCCACGGCGCCTGCCGAGCGTCATGTCCACGCCATTACCAAAGTATCGAGATGGCATGATTTGCAGATGACCAAACGACCCCGTGACCATATGTTCTGACGAGTCTCGCCGCTTCTGGCGTCAACAAACACGACCAGGGCCACGCGACAGACCTCGTTTTGGCGACAATAGCCATGGCGGCCATGGCTGCCCGACTCAGCTGCTCGCCTCGAGTCGACATTGTCTTGGAAGCAGAGAAAAGGTGCAAGACAAATATGAAGGTCTCTCTTCGAGTCTGCGATTGAGCTTCTCAAAGCAAAACCACCACACTGAAAGACAATAGCAACATTCAAAACACTCGGCAAGCACTACAGTACCATACATCGGTACCAATGGCATTCCTCTACTCATACCCAGAGGTCGAGCCATACCCCACAACCTATGTGACGCACACATACCCCGAAAAGGGGCAGCATTTGCACCACATCCCTCTGCCCTTTCTGGCACACAAGGCGGCGCACCGGCTGCTGCACGACAGAGAACATGAGGTCCACATCCCCAAGGCCGACCTGAGAGAGACCATGTCCAACTTCTACATCGAGGTCGAGTTGCCGGGTATCTCGGACAAGTCGCAGCTCCATCTGCGCTGGACGTCCATGCGCACTCTGCTCGTCACCAGCAAGATCGGCCGGCCCGACATCCCAGAGTCGGAGCTGTTTGATGTCCCCGTCGTCGCTGCCGCGCCTGAACCACCGAAAGAAGACGCCGACCAGCAGCAACAACAAGAGCCGTTGGCGACGTCGACTGAAACGGGTGTGACCGCGACTGCGACGACGATGAAGAAAGAGCCTCATCTCACCGTGCACGAAAGACTAATCGGCGAAATGATGCGCGCGTTCAACTTCCCTGTTGACGTGGATCGAGACAACACCCATGCCAAACTCGAGGCCGGCTTGTTGAGGATCGTGGTGCCCAAGCTCAAGCATGATCACGCCGAGCCCCTGCATGTCAACGTCAAGGATTGAAGCGAAAATGACGCTAGGCTTTGGAAGGAAGCAGGACTACGGATTGAGTAGTAGGTCACTTTACTCGGCGGGCCGAGGTCGAGCAGTCTTATGATATGGTTGAACGGAACGGTTAGGAGATGGGACATCTCATTATGATACGCATCTCATTATGATACGCATTTCATTTGCGTGACCAGGGCCTGGACCATTGTTTGCTCGCCCTGAATGCCGCGATCTCATTTAACGGTATTAGGTGATGGAGGATCATCAAAATTAATCATTTCTCTGGGAATATAGCCATCTGTCGGAAAACCGAGCAGAACACACAAAACCATGCTGTTGGCCGTGCCGTGACCACCAGCCATTGAATAAAAGCAGCTCCCAGCAATGCAATGTCTTCGTGGGTGATCTCGTGCTCAGGTGTAAACCCCCTTCCGAGGCTCCAGACCGACGTCAAGAAGTGTATTCTAACATATTTCGTCGGTCTAAGGATGGAACTGCTCACAAGACGAATATCGTAGTCCTAAGACAGGTACGTCGGGATCGTCAAGGTACGAGTTAGAATTTCAGGTGGCAAAGAATGGGTCAAGACCTTTGTCTTTGGTGAGCATTTTTATTTTTCAGATCGTAGCCCCTGACAAGGCTGAGCCTCCAATCAAGGCTGATGGGAATATATGATACACCACAGGTTTGCAACGCCGGCGGATTCCCATTGCCGATCCATCCCTCCCAATATCCAAATGTGCTGGTCGAACAGGACCAGTCGTCGTGGATATTATAAGGGTCGTCGTAAATTCGTTAAAGCCGTCCTCAAAACCATGAAAGATTTCCCCCCCCCCCCCCCCTTCTGGGTAATTGTCGACAAGTCATTATAAATCGTAGAAAGAGTCGGTCCACATTTCCATTTCCATAATCTCCTCCTCCTCGTCGGCCGAGCCGCAATCTCGCTCCTCCCATCGAAGCTGGGCCGTGGTTTCATCCTCGGGCCACCAGCTCATCGGCACATGCGACTCGGAAGAATGTCGCCGGCGCATCTGACGACCACCGTTCTTCTGCGCGGCTTCATGCTCGTCATACAGCTTGGGCGTCGACACTTCGATGAAACTGGGTCTCCGCTCGACAGCTCTAGCCTTGCTGGCGGCTCCTTGTTGCTGTTGTGGAGCGGTCTTCTTCAAGGCGGCGGATCTGTCTCCCACTGCACCGGCCGCTGGAGGAGGCGTTGTGCTTGCGGTGTTGGATGTCTGTTCTGAAGGCCGGACTCTGGCGTGCGAGTGAGCCTGTCGGTCATCCTCGGGCTCGAGGGGCAAAAAGCCCGACTCGAACGCGGGTTGTTTGTACAGCAATTCGCTGATGTCGTAGTCGTTGTAGAAGGCCACGAACGCGTTGTCTTTGATGCTGGACGGGGCTTGCTGGCTTGTCGGGTGGGTCGCAGTCTGCCAGTGCGCGGGAAGCAACAATTGTCAGCAAATGGGAACAGAACGGAGAACGCCCTTAAGAGGGGGGGATGGAGGCAAGACTCGGGGAACTTACAGGTGCTGTTTGGGACATCATCTTGACTGTAGCTAGTACTCTGTAGTGCTAGATGTGTTTGATTGGATGTTGGATCGCACGTAGATATAGTGGGTTGGGTTGTTGGACGTTGTCCTTTACAATGGAGTGTAATGGGAGAACCTCCATCTGGTGTTTCCTTCATCCCTTTTTATGTAGGTCGTGAAAGGTAAGGCCACGACCCCTAGGACATGTGTGTGTATGTGTCATGGTCTCCTCCGTTTTCGTTCCGTTCTCGTTCTCCTTCTCGTTTTCGTTTTCGTGATCGTTATGGTTTTGAGCTCACCACTGACCCCTGTGGCTGGGCTGGTGGGATGCGCACGATACGCCCAGATCACGCATCGACAACAACCAAGCCATGAGGGAGGTGTCTTCTCGGTGTACTAGTATGGCATGTGTGTGTCTCGGGTGTTGTCGTAGACTCAGAGTCGCAGGTGGCATGATTCTCTCGATGAAATTTCGCGCTTGCTGCAGTGCTGCTGCAGTGCCACTTGTCTTTTGACCACTTGACAGACCAGCCTGGCCGCCAATATCGGACCGGGTGACTGTCAGACAGGCGTATTCACCCGTATTGAGTGATATTCGCTTGGGTTCACCGTACGGTATTGTCATCCGCAGTCATGCCACACTTGCATTTCTCCAAACTTTGAATCCACTTCACCTTTGCATCTCGACCGTCCCTTTTCCCTTTTCCACACCCGCACTCCAATCATTCTTCGTGTCTTGCGCTATTTTCCCTGTCACTGTTCACTGATCCATCATCCACAGGGTCCCTGGTTACCCCAGGTTTTGCGGTGGAACATGAGCCAGGTCCCTCCTTCGTTCCACCGGCGCAGTCCAGCAGGCCGATTCGTGCTCGCCTCGATTCACCCATCATCTGATGCACAGATGATAGTTCCCACTGTTATCTAGTCTGGCCATCTCTCAGAAATGAGATTGGGTCTCTATGGGTGACGAATCCGTTCGAATTCCGGCCTGTCTCGATGTCCGCCGTCCCGGGTGCTCTTCTCTCATAGGTGCCGGATCCTCGTGAGCCATGGACTGGATGAATTATGCATTGTTGATTGAAGACATGCTGTGTCCCCCAGTCCATTATGCCACAAGGTACGTCTTACATAAAACTTTCGAGGTCGGTCGCGTGCACATGTCTCTCTCTCTCTTTGTGTGTGCCTCAATCCTGTTTCCCCCATCGGCCCGACCAGCCTAGCAGTATCCATATCCTTCCGTTTGGAGGCGGGCCCATTACCGAGAATCGAGCAACATCTCCACCTTCTACACAGCCTCTTATGAGGTGTATGACCCATCTCTCAACCGTATAAATAATACATATGCTCATGGGTGGCAGCCACTAAGCTTTCCCATTCCCCGGATTGACAGACACAAGTCACATCTACAAAGCTACATCCTACTTTACTACCCTACAATACCAGTAACAGGAAACACTACACTACAAAATCACACAAAACACTACAACTACAACCCATCCATGGTCGAAATTCCAATCTTAGTGAGCACCCCAGGGCAACACACCGTCGAACTAGCTCAGCCAGCCGAATATCCCTTCGCGCAGTCATCACAGACCACAGGCCAGCAAGCAGATCAACAACCGTCTGTCGCAACAAACGTGTTTGTTGCAGCAGAAGCGACCTCACCAGCAATGGTTTCCGACACCACCCAGACGAACCCGGAAGAGGAGGGTTCAAGACACACTTCCCCCAAACGACAATCGCCGGCTCATTCCCGGTCCCAGTCGCGCGCCCGGACATCACCTCGCACCTGGGCCGAAGCCATCCGCCAACGCCTAGCAAGCCCTCACTCGCATTTCCACTCTCCTGTGTCGGTGGACGCGTCAGGTCGGACTTTGCTTTCTCCAGGAAATGAGCCGGTTCTACGGTCCACCACCCCAGCGGCAGACCTCTACAAAGGCCAAGACGAGTCGAATTTCGGAATGACATTCGATCATCACCACTCGGTCAACCATTTCCTGAAGGCGTCCAAGCCCCAGACATGCGCGTACAGTTATGAAGATCAGAAACACCGCATGTTGATGGATTGGGTGGAGAGGAGAAGATAGGACTGACTAGAACCACTATCATGTTGTTTGCACAAAACCACTCAAAGTCAATCGCTCAAGATGCCTTGTATGCGTATTCGTAGGCGTCTAACTCACACTTTTGGCGCAGAAGCGAAGGACCGGCGGCGACACCCGGGGGCAGAAATGATCTTGGGTAATCAATTGGCGTTGATGAATAGCCTTGGAAGGCGAGGCGTTTTTCTTACTCTTTCCATATTCCTTGGATTTCATCTACGACGGGCGAAGAAACGCAAAGCCCATGAACAAACCACAAACAAACAAACAAACAAATATATCGTGTCGATATGTCACTTAACACTCACTGCAGAAGCAGTTTTGAGTCCCAAATTGGCCATTGCGATTTAATCGAGAGACTCTGAAGGGACGCTGGAACGAGTCCTCCTGGTTTCTTTCACCTTGCATCAGGCTTTGAAGGGTCATGTCACCTTATTCGCCTACCTGTCCTACCACCATCTGTCTGTCTCGATCGCCTGGAGTGGTCTGCAGTGGGCAGATAGATCGTCTGACCAAATCCCAAGTGGTATCATACCCACCTAATCAGACAGCGCCACCTACCTTATGCAAGTCTTGTCTTTCCTTGCACATGCATACCTAGTATGCAATCATAATACCTCGATATCCACGTCGGTCAGCTATTTCATTATCGCAATTTCCAAGGGCGCGACCACGACTATTATATTCCACTTTCAAATCTTCTCTATCGATACCGGTTGCAAGGGAAGTGTTAACCTGAGACGTTTGAACATCCGACATCAGAATGACATTGGCATGGCTTGCCATTGCTCATTTGGGTTCTTTATAAAGTGACATGAAATGCAATACAATGCAATGCAATGCAATGATGGTCCATTTATTCTTCCTTCCGGAGGCTGATTCCCTATTTCCAAGGCCTTGAAGAGCTGCCGCATATGACGCCGTAGAATCAATTCGATACAATCACAAAACACTGTGTAGTAATAGGTATCATCCAATACAGACGTGGTCTGGTTGGGGCGTGCCGGGTATGGTTACTTGGTCTTTCCCTTGAATTTGAGGCCTGTATCGGTTCTATACTGACTTGGCGGGTATTCGTACGAAATGCGTCAAAAAATAACCACCTGCAGTTACCTCGTCAGCCTTGCCATTTGTTTGTTCACCTGGGGAGGTCTTCAGAATGTATTCTGCATATGTATAATACTAGTATATGCCGATGAAGGCTTGCATGACTTTCAATTTCGACCTCGGCGAATACTGACGCTTTCAATCACTGGTAGGGTTCGAGACCTTCTGTTCGTCCAGATATCACTGTCCCTGAGCTGGGCGAGAAGTTGTACGACCCTAGCCATAGAAACCTTGGGTGAGCTTGAGCTTGAGCTTGGTTGAATGGCAGACAGACAGGCCAGCTCTCTTCTTCTACTCCCATTTCTTTTTTTTTTAGATCTCATTCCCACCCCCACCCCGAGCCCGTTCCAGTGCTGTGCCACAACTGGCATCTTCTTCCTCCCACATCTTCTCCTCTCCCTGCCATTTCCCTGCCATTTCCCGTGTGTTCTCTTTTCTCTGCCACCCTCCCTTGTGTTCTCTCTTCTCTTCAAAAGATAGCCACTCCATTAACCGGACTCGCGACGCCGCCAGGGACATAACACGGCACACTAGCGACGAAGAACGACCAGCGATTCTGGCGAACACACTCGTTGCTCAAGGCCTCGAGGTCCAACAACTCGCCAATGTTGCAGCCCCAGCCGGCCAGCAGGACCTCGTGCATACTCCAGTCGAGCGGGCTCGGCCAGCGCTCGAACGAAGGATGATCGGCGGCGACGGCGCTGAAGTGGTCCCAGATCCAAGCGAGCACCTCGTCGGACTGTTCGACGCCGCCCAGACCAGGGGGTTGTTGTTTGGCCAGCCGCTCCAGTTCGGCCGGATTGGAGTCGACCAAGTCGCGGTACGACTTGAACCAGCCGGAGCGGACGATCAAGATATCGCCGAACCGCGGGGTCGTGTTGCCCTGCCAGGCCAGAGTTTGGAGGATCCAGTCGAATTTGATGGCCGAGGTGTGGAAATTGTCGAAGAAGGTATCGTCACCGATGTGTTTGTTCACAATTTCCCTACCAGGCCCTTCATCCATCCACCGGCGGAAATCAACCAAGATCCCCCTCCCCATAATCCCGCCATGCTTCACGGCATTGTGGATCCCCAACATATTCGGCTCTTTCTGGCCCTTGTCGCTCGTGCCCGCGATATCTTCCAAAGTGGTGTCATTGTAGAACCGCTGGGCCGCCTGGTAGCCGAAGTGCCGCAGCCCGTCCCACTGCGTGGCGCTCTGCGTGTTGAAACTCCATGTGTCGTCGTGCACGATCCGCGGGGCCTTCTGGTACACTTGTTTCTCGAACACCTGGCGGCCGAACAGCGGCTTCTGGCCCTGGAAGTCGAGCGGTGCGTCCAGGGCCACTCGCACCCCGGTGCGGATCTCGGACGCCGCCGCCGCCGCGATCGTCGTTGGGGTTTGCCGGTTGAGGAAGCCGAGTTCGTCCGTCGGGCCGTAGGCGCCCCAGGCGTTGAGGCGGGCTGAGGTGGGCGATTTGCTGAGAGGGAGGGAGCTGAATGAGACGGGAGGACCTGACATTTTCGGGGTAGTCACTCTGGAGGGTTTGTAAAGGTACTTCTGAGGCTCGTATAGATAATAGCTGGTCTAGATGCTGCTAAGGAGGGAGGAGCAGCAGGTCAGAGGTCGAGGTCGGAATCCAGAGTAGTTCTCTGAGCCGTTGAAGTCCTTGTAGAGACCAAAGGGGTTGCTGTTGTCAGCAACCAAGTGCGCAGAGAGAGGTAGACAGACAAGGACGCGACTCGGACGCTGCAAGAGGAAGAAGACAAGGAACCTACCTCGGAACGTTCAAGTTGGACATGATATTTGACTAGTCGTCGTCTGAACGGTACATCTAGCAACCTAGAGTCAGGGACATATCATACTACGTACCTGGTTGTAGGATAAGAGCTCGGCTCCTGTGCCGAGGGGCAGACGATCGGTATCGCATAACAACATTGCGTATCTCCAAAATGATGATGAGCGGGGATTTCCTGGGTAGTCGATATCGATGTCGCTGTGGTCGCCGAGTCCCACGGAATCAGCCGACGGGAGACGGGAGACAGTAAAGGAATGCCGGACGACAAGGGAATCGATGGAGTCTTCGATTGTTCCCTCTCTCCAGCATCGTGATTCACTACATTCTGATCAATTATCGTTACTTGTGCCTGCTGTGATCGTGATCGCATCTCTGCACTTATCCCTCTCATCTTTATACCTGCCTTCGCACTCACCCTTACTCACCCTCGCGCACATACTTCCTATCCTACAACTCTAGGCCTAATTTTCAGACGGCGGTAGGATTACCTCTCTAACTCTACCCCAACACGGAATTCGATACCTTTATTTCTATATACCATGGCTGTTGAGTCTACAGATAATGATAACAAAGCAAGACCTGCTGCCAGAAACACTTGCCCTCATACTAGCCCTTGATAGCCCGTTATTATGGCTCACGATCTGGCTTACGACTGTATATGCCAAAAGTCTTTGTCCGTAAGTATTGGCCCGTTACGGCCTGTTATCGTGGCTTACCCCTATCTGGCTTACCACGGTATATACCAAAAGTTTGCGTCCGTAAGTATAAGCCATCAATGGCCCGTCATTGTAGCTTAGCCGCATTGATAAGCAGTTATACGCCTACCTAGTACCTACTAATAAGGTATATAACGAGCAAGCATTTCTTGCTCGCGACCGAACGTGTTATTAGTATCTACTACTAAGTACCTAACCCTTCTTTCTCCCCAGACGATCCCCCGCACTACTAGTAACCTGTACCTACCACCCCACACTCAAACTCGGAAAGAAAAGAAACATCATATGCCTTCTCCCGTCATCCTCATCCTCGGCGCAGGCCCAAACATCGGCCACCATGTCGCGAAGACGTTCGCCGCGGCCGGCTACAAAGTGGCCGTCGCCGCGCGATCAGTAAAGGAGGCAGAGAGCACCGACAGCCAGTTGAACATCCCCAGCGACTTCACCAAATCCGACGACGTGGTCAACGCCTTCTCCAAAGTCAACAAAGTCTTCGGCATCCCTAGTGTAGTCGTTTACAACGGTAAGCCCCCGTGCAGCTCTGCCCTGCCCAGCCCTACCTTCGTTCCCAGTACCAGTACTAATCAATTCCCGCAGTCAGCGCCTCGACGCGGCCGCCCCCCGACGACCCGTTCTCCCTCCCCTTGGCCGATTTCAGCAAAGATCTCAGCATCAATGTCACGAGTCTGTACGTCGCCGCGCAACAGGCTGTCGCCGGCTTCGCGCAGCTGCCTGCGGGCGCGGCCCGGACGTTCATCATGACGGGCAATATCCTGAACGTGGACATCATCCCGGGCTTTATCTCGCAGGGCGCGGGCAAATCCGCGGGCGCACACATGATGTGGGCTGCTGCGGATGCGTATAAATCCAAGGGATACAAGTGAGTCAAGGCCAAACCATGCATGTTGATGATCAGTGGAGTGGAGTGAGTTAATGAATAGATGAATGAATGGGAAGACTAACCGGTTTGTGTGATTGATAGGTTTTACTATGCGGATGAGCGCAAGGCGAACGGCTCGGCCAAGTTCATGGTCGATGGAGATGCGCATGCGAAGCTGTTCAAGGGTCTTGCCGAGGAGAAGACGCAGGGGCCGTGGCATCAGACGTTTGTGGCGGGTAAGGGATACCAGAAGTTTGCTTCCAGCTTGTAAGGCACATGAGCAACTTGACAATGTGCTGTGGCCAGGCAGCTTGTCGATACTAGGGCATGTGCAACAGCAGCATAGTGTAGGATATCTCTCGCCTGCTGCAACGGCTCGGCAGAAGTCGCATGTGTCTCCTCCAGCTTCTGGCCCCCCCTACTTACATATACATCAACTTTGCTTGGGCCTCTCGTGGGCCAGTAATCCTTGACCGAGAAAGCATTCGAGAGCGATGCTTCTTGAGCCTCGAAAGATGAAGACGACTGGACAGGCTAGGACAAAGTGCGTTACTCACGGCTCTGTGTCATTCTTCATGTTCAGGTATGTGAACTCCGCAGTTCGGATTGGTCTGGCATCTGGAGGCTTCGGAGGATCTTTATGCAATATCAATCTGCAGTGTGAGAGCTGTAGAAGCAGGACTCGAGGAATGACTCTGGCCTGGCTTCCGTGCCCGATAGCGTGGGATTTCAATGAACGTCAATCTGTAGCGCTTCGTCCTCGAAGAATGATCGGGGCAAATTTAACATGTCTTGGCCGTCTGGAGAAACGACGTCATGGGAATTAACACTCCCCGGAATATTGTACGGTCGAGCAATTCTCATGGATACGCATTTCGCCCCTGACGTCCTGCTTGATCATGGACAGTTTCGGGTTGGAAGATAGGTACACAAGGCCCCAGTAGTCAGGTAACAGAGCATACTGCATGCGGGCTGGTACCGTTGAGAGGCTGTGCGGAAGTAAAGAAGATAAAATGTTCGAGGTGGGCCGCCAAAGCCCATTTCACACCACAACCGAGGACCACAGCGCCCAAAAGGGCAGAAAATGGAAGCCATAACGACAATTCTTGCTGTTTATAGACAACAGGCATAACAGGAGCCCATAGACAAGAAAGCTCGAATGTTACAGCCCGGATACAACTCTGTTATCAGGAGCGCACTTTTCAGGCTTGCAGATTCAAAGACTATGCGATAACGCCGGACGGAGTATACTGGTTGACAAGCCTGAACGAAAAATATCCAACCCAGTCAAAGGGAACCACAAATACTCTTGTACGCCTATTCGAATTCCTCTGGAGAGGCTGGTGGGATGGCACATGCCAACCTGTCCCATCGCCGGACCCATAATCTCCTTCTGATCTCCAAGCTGTTAAACCAGCGGGACCATGCCTCACCACTGACGCTGGTCCTCGACACGCTCGAGCAGCCCGCAAAGCCTCTGTTGCGCGAGTATTTGCGCAGAGCCCGGCTTTCACGAACGACAACGATACTCTTGGCCTTCGAGACCTTTGTGAAGCCGCGGGATGTCGATTTCTTCCTTGAGTGCCACGACTCAACCAAAGTCCTGGATACGGTTGCAAGGAAAGTGTCAGAAGTGATGCGGAAAAGTGGAAACAAGAGTACGTGTTGAGCTTATGCTTCAGGGAGGCCAGACCCTTTACTAACCCTGATCACAGGGTGTTTGATTTTGATTGACTCACTAGCGACGTTGGTGTCGATGTCGACGAGTCCAACGTCGAATCTGAACCTGACGGCGTTTCTCTCATCACTACTCCAGCCGCCACCACAGGCCGGACAGGCTGAACAAGGACAGACACCTCAAATCTCGGTGGTTGCAGTCTACCACACTGATATCCCACTCCCCGCCCCATCAGCATCGCCTGGTTCTGCATACCCATACTCTCCTTCGCCTTTCGCGCTACTCTCATACCTCGCCACCACCATCATTACAGTGCACTCGCTATACGTCCTGTATTCGGAAACGTTGGCTCAAGCAAAGTCGCGGGTGGCGCCTGTATTCGGCCTGGGCGAAGAAATCGAGGGGGTCGTCATCGGACTGAAGCCGAAAGGAGTTGCCGTGAAGCCTGAAGAGCAAGGCATAGTCCTAGAGTTGGAGCATCGGCGCAAAAGTGGAAGAGGCGTGCTCGAATGGATTTTCTTGCCCACGGCAGTGGATAGGCACCAGAGTGGCGCGCAGGCGGTCCGGGAGATCGCCACTTTGCTGGACGACCATCCTCTGTTCCGCAAATCCAAGGAGGAGGAAACCCCGGAGCAGGCCTTGTCGGGCATGACGTTCGAGCTGGGCTTGACAGATCGACAGAGACTAGAGCGTGAGGGAGTCGTGCTGCCGTACTTCGACGCCCAAAAAGCAGGCGGCGGAGAAGGTGGGAGGATTTTGTACGATATGGGGGTCGAGGACGATTTCGACGAGGAGGAAGACGAGATATGAACATGCTTTTGTAATCAGTCATTTTAGCCAGACTGATTCGAGTCTCGTCCCTAGCAAAGTATTATCGGCCTCTAGACCCGGCCCAAGGTAGAGGGGTATCATACGCAAGCCGAGTGCGCTTTTAGGCCATCATCACCCATTTGGAAATGCTGCAATCGACACATTAAAAGAACCTCCACCACAGGAAGAAGATCATAATCAACCCCAGACCTGCAAAGGGTCCATACTGTGACCACTGTTAGATCTGCGATCCGTCCAGAATGTAATCTCACGTACCTGCTTCAACATCAACTCCCAGTTTATCCGTACAGCAGCTCTTCTGTATTTCTTGCTGTCTTCTCGCAGTCGGCCGCTCATCTCGCCCATGCGCTCCAAGCTGTCTCCGCGGTACAGAAGATCCTCAATGTTTTTGGTCATGACTTTCGTGACATCTTTCAACTCATCATTCAATTTATCCAGGTTGGCGCTCGCCCGGCTATCCTGGTAGGTCTTCTTCGTCCGCTGAATGAACGTGTCAAACTCGACAAATGCGTAGGGTCGTAGAGTTGCAGACAGGTACTGCTGCGAGGGGTAGACTGTAGTAAACTCCTGGGCCAGGTCGGAGAGGTAGGTAAAGGCCAATTTCCGAGGATAGGATCGATCGCATATGCAGAGAAAGCATACCGAGTCTTTGATGATGTAGCTATAGATCCAGAGTCAGGACCTACTCCAAGTGGTCAACAACGGTGTAAGATCTCGCTCACTGTAAGGTGTATTGGCCGGACTCGATGCTTGCTTGCTGCTCTGAATTGCGGTTCAATCGTCGAAAGATCATTTTGGCTTGCGATTTGACCTCGGCGAGCTCTGTCTCTACCTAGGCGAGCCCCAAGTCAGTCCCTGATCCCTCGTATCGATCTCACCAAGTCTGAGAGAGCCTCGGGTCATACCTGTTCATCGTCCACCGAAGCCGCCAGCATCAGGCCTGTCCAGTACCGTAGTGATTAGCGGATCTGGTCCATTGTCTCGTAAGGCACAATTAACTGATTCCATACCGTCCAGCCTGGCTATTTGGGTTGATTTCACCATTGTCTCAGTGCCTCTACTGAGGAGCGTGTCCCATCCCAGCGTCTGTACTGAGGAGCGTGTCTTGTCGCGTGTCTAGATTCCCGCACTTCGTGGTCTATACGGTGTCCAATAGTGGTGGAGCTAAGCTACTTTGGGCACGCGACAGACGCGGCAAAGCTTGGCTTCTGACAGGCTACTTAAGCGAAAAATTGACGCCACAAGCGCTGCTTCACTTTTCTCCTCAGCACCGCCACATCCTCCACTTCCACCAACAACAACAGCCAAGTCACGTGAGATGGCCGGCCCCGCCCCGTAAGTGTCCCTCTCTTGTGATTTGTCCCTTTACCACTTCATTCATCCATCGTCCATCATCCATCACGATGTCTCTGAAGCGTTCCGCACTGCACATCGACAGCATCCCCTTTTATGTGATATCGTTGTCATTACCGTTGTTGTACCTTGGACGTTCACTGTTGTTTCATTGTTGTTTCACCTCCGACATGTCTTGATCGTACTCCCCTTTCATCGTTACCCATCTTTTGATTCTGCATATCTAGGAGGCGGAGTACGCTGTCTCTATGGCATACTACCAACTTCTTTGAACTACGAACGTTCAAAAAGCAAAGCACCCTATCTCTATTATACCTGGTTCGCACTTGATCTCTACCATGGTAGAGACGACGTGTATGGCTCACGGAACGTTCCACTTCCTTCCTTATTGTTGCTTTGATTGAAGCGGAGAACGACCACGAGTCAACAACAGGTGTTCATATTTTGCTGTCGATGTGACGGATGGACGCTCCAAGACCATGAGTGTCTGACAGGATTGGTCCTTGACGTGCATCAGCATCTCCAACACCTGCCTTCGACTGATACGGTGCACGCTTCATTTTCAGATCCATGCCACATGTGACGCCCTTTTCTTGCACCTCACATCCCTACTTTTCTCCCTTTCTACATCTTTTTCTACATCTTCTCCCGTCAACTGATCTATTGATTTCTCGCAAGAATGCTTCCTTCAAACCTCAGACGATATTGTCATCCACTCAGCCATGTGCTGCATCTCCTCTGCCTCCCAAAACAAGCGCAGCTGCGCTCCAATGCATCATCCTTTTCCAAATCACTGAATTGTTCGTTCGCTGTCTTCCACAACCCTCTTGCCACTGTTGTTCATTTTCGAATCAAACGCTAACAACTTGGGCTCACAGCAACCCGAACAAGTTCAAGTTCTACGTGCTGGTGCAGGGGCCACTCTCCCTCTGGCAGCCAGGGGACGAGTTGAGGTACTGGCTCGGAGCGGGGCAGGAGAGGCTCAGGCTCGTCTACGTCGGTGGCGAGCCTTCTCGAGGCCCTGCTCGGGAGTCATTCCTTTGGGATGTTCTCGATCCGACCGGTTGGGTTCGGCTGGGGGCCGCCACAGGGCCCGGCCAGCTCGAACAATTGCTTCGAGCTCGTCGGGCCCCCCAGCCTCAGCTATCCCAGCGTGACTGCTGGAGTAGATTTGAGGTGTGGCGCAACGGGCTGCGTCTGAGCTCCCTCAACGCCATGAGGGACCAGTACGCAGTCGCCTACCGCCTGGCCAACCCACCGCCTCCTGCCTTGCTCCCTGCCGCTCCCCCCGCTCCTCTTCTGGCTGCCCCGGGTGCTGTGGTCCCTCCCGGCGCTGGTCTTGTTCTTGGTGGTCCTGCTCTGGCTCCTCTTGGCCCGCCTCCTGCCGCTGCTGGTCCGCCTCCGGCGCCTGTCCCGGCTCCTGCTGTCGTTGCTCCTCTGCCGCCTCCTGTCCTGGCTCCTGTCGTCGTTGCTCCTCTGCCGCCTCCTCCTGCCGCTGCTGCTCCGGCTGCTGTCCCGCCTCCGCCTCCGCCTCCAGCTCCAGCTCCAGCGCCTGCGCCAGCTCCTGCCGCTGCTGCCAATCCGGCTCCTCCGGCTCCGACAAACAATCCTTGAAACGACGGAGAGTCTGGGGCCTCGGGGTCTCATTTCCTCGTGTCAAGAGCCCAATGGGCGTCCGGCCACGGCCGTGACAATACGACATCGAGCATGGAGAAGGGTGTTGTCGGTTTTCTCGGGTTGGGTCTTGCTGGGTTTTCTCGGGCTTGGGTGGTGTTTCTCTCTTCGGTCGGCTGGGTTTCTCTTCTCTTCGGCTGGTTCGGGCTTTTCGTCTCTTCGGTGGGCTGGTTTCTCTCTTCGGCTGGTTTGGGCTGTGTCTTCTCTTCCGCTGGTTCGGGCTGTGTCTCTCATCTCGGCTGGTTTGTGGTCGTCTCTTCTCCTGGGCTTGCCCTTGCGGCCTGGTCTGCTTAGTTTAGTTTTTTCTCGATGATCATCGCACACACACTCTCTCTCTTTCTCTCTTTTCTTCTCCCTTCCGTTTCTCCTTTCCTCGCGCATTGGCACCCACGAGAGCCAACCTAGTTGGGCCGTGGTTCGTCATCCTCGTGTATCTCACAATATACTACAAAGACGAGTGCAAAGAGCAAAAGCGAGCACCAGACGAGACGATATCGAACTGCTCTCGTTTACAAAGCTGTCGCAACTGGCACCTTAACACCAACCAAACTGCTTTACAGGCATTACAGACTATGGGATGACACGGAATTGCTCTCTTGGGTGTCGCGAACTTGCCACAAGCTTATTGCGGCCATCAACTTAATTACCTGCAGTCAGTTTTGAACCAGGAGGAGTACAAGCCGCAGACTGACTAGGAAGACTACAGAGATGGTTGTCAACATTGGAAAGGCATGGCACGACATGGCATGGCATGGATTTCCACCTTCGAGGAATCATCTCAAGCTTACGACCAGAGCATAAGCTATCTCCTCGCCGAACCGAACACGGCCATATGCAGGAGCGTCGCTATCAAGTCAATTCTCCGTTCTTCTTTGAAATATGACCTGTCAATTTCTCGACCCCGGTCTGCTCGCTATCTCACACCAGATAGGGACACCAGCAAGGGTTTGCTACAGGACAGGACAGGGTGAAGCAGGGGAGGACAGAACCATGCATCGCCTAGCCTCGCGGTAGCCGAACCACAGCGCTTACAGATGCAGATGATGCTTGACAGGCTCCGGCACCGGACCCGGATAGGCTCGCAGCTCGCTCGTGTCGCGGCTTATGAGCATGATGATTGATGCTCGAGGGGAATATGCTGTGCAACGAAACGGTGTCAAAGGCGCAGGCAAGAGTGGTGGTCTATTCCGCATCGAATTCCGAGCAAAGAAAGAATGACAGCTGTATGAATACCTATGGAGCAGTGGTATAACATCGTGCGTAGGATGTTGTGTGATTCTGAACATACTGGCGCCTCCGGCAGGAGAATACAAGCTATCTCGGATTCTTCTTACCTCTCACAGACACACATGCACCCACATCCATCCATCCATGCATTGCTGCGAAGGGGGCGATTCTTATGTATGCATGCCTGCCTTTCTTGTTCCATCATTTCGCTGGCACCATACAGACCCTTCCTGAACAGGCCTGCTACCTGCCATCTGCAAGGTTCGTATCAAAGGCAAGCGAAACCGGAGACACAATCACTAGTGCCAGTGGCATGGGTTCTCGGCAGCATCCAGCATCCAGCATCCAGCATCATCCTTTTTTTCTGGCAGACAACTCAGTGTTCCCGTGGTGTGACCACTGAGCAGCCATGAGCCACTGACACCCCCTGCCTTGGCTAGCAACTCGCAGACTGCATGCCTAGTTGGAACCCTCGTGTAACCGGAGCGGACGGGACGAAGAGTACCGTAGTCGAGCGCGACGCCAACTGTGCCCGGGGTCGATGGCGGGTATGAGAGAGATCGAGGATCGAGGAGGTGCATACGTGATAGACCTACACACTAAGGCAATCTGGACGGGTGTTGGATAGAAAGAAGATGACAAGATGAAAAGATTGGACGTTAGGAATCCTCAGCTACCTTGTACCAAGTACCAAGTGCTCGGGATGTGCTGGATTGGAGTCAAGTTCACTTTTATCTGCTCGTTAGACAAAGAAGTTCGAACTCACCGAGTCCACCAGCTTCGAGTTCGGGAGAGCATGCAACCTCAGAATTGGGCGGATGGTGAAGACTGGCAACGGCCAGGCCGGGTCAGAATTGAGTCTTGACATGTGTTGAATGGACAATCGGAGAAAAAGAAGAAGATCAAGAGCATGGCGACGGTACTTACATGCATGCATGGTTCTTTCGTATGCATAAGATGCATACACATACTAGGTACACATACGCATACACGCCTCTGGTCTCGACGGGTTGTTGCACTATTGCCTTGATTCCTTGTCATCACACCCGTCACACAGCATTGACACTAGGCTGTAGCTGAGCACTGCAGGTATCAAGGATCCAGGAATCCTATACTGCAATTGGCCTCACAATCCATGGCCCTGGATCCCTGTCCTGTCATTTCTGTCTACCCGCGATGCTAGAACTGATAGCAAGTACATTGCCGTGATGGGAACTCAAATCACACCGGCCATCGACTACGAGTGACGTGAAATGCTCGCGGCCTTCAAAATTCCATCTCTCTGTCCATCGTTAGAGCAAAGTCGTCATTCACGAACATTATATTCATGACAAGTCGAGGTTCCATCTCCAAACGTCAAGGTCAAGTCCAAGTCGGCGACAGCAGCATTTGCCAGAGAACAGCAGGTGTTCAGAAGCCGATTGTATGATTAGGGGTATATATCTCGGCACCAGCGACCATCGCCTGTATGGTTTTGCCACGGTATGAGGTCGGGCTCGCATCGTATAAAGGAAAATTCATCACTATATGCCACTCTCCGATTGACATAAAAGGTCGTCATAACAGTTTGATCATGTCTAGAGTCCCATAGTAGTGGCCAAACCCAAAAGGGGCTTCCGTCGCTCAAATTCAATGTTCCACGTCTCTTTCTTTGGGATCGTAACCGGGCGCCCAGTACGCGCGCCCAGGGTAGCTCGAGTTGAAGCTACCATCTGATCACTTTTTGTGGGAAATATTCATCGATCAAGTCCATGTAGTAGGGCTGTGAACACGTCAGCAATGCAGATCAACAAGAGGAGTGTAGTTAGGGGTCACATACCTTGAGTTTCTCGACAGATGGCTTCTCATCGCTCTTGCTGTAGAGATCATATGGGTTGAATTTCTTGACAGCTTGGAGCATCTTCTCGTCGTGCTCGTTCATCAGCTCACGATAGGCGCCTTGTTGATGCCAGGGGTAGAAGCTGTGGTATCGAATCATGGCCAGCGCTTCATCAGGCAGAGTGCTCTGCCGCTTTACCACGTGGTAGAGATACTCGTCGTGACCCCAGGAGAGCATGACATTTTCCAGACCGCACCCGGGGGTGTAGATACCGAACTTGGTGCTGTAGATCGGATCGTTGAAGTCCGGGTTGGCCGCGAAAGACTTGTTGCCGTAAATAATACGGTCGTCAAAGGCACAGCCCACGGGAAAGGTGTCACCGACGACATCCCACTGACCCTCGGCGTCAAAGAAGAACAGGAGCTTTCCGAGGTCGTGGATCAAACCGGTCAGTTGCATCCACCGAGGACGACCGTCACGACGCATGGCTTCGGCAGACTGCAACAGATGCTCGATCTGGCTGAGCTCGGTGTCCGGATCCGATTCGTCGATAAGTGTATTGAGACGTTCCATGGCCTCCCAGATGGTCATTTCGGCTCGTGTTTTGGACTTGAAATCATTGCGAGCTTTCAAGTTGTAGGCTACAGTCTGTTTGGTGTGTTGCTCGAGGTAGAAGTTCTTGACTCTATCGCTGGCTGTCTCGTATTGGCGAAACTGCGATTTGTCTTTGTCTGCGTCAAACTTGGATGGGCCGTCGTCATCTTCCCGTTCAATCTTCTTTTGTTTCACAGCTTGGTCGGCAATAATATCTGCGCGTTCGATCTCGTCACACAGCTCTTCAAAGGCCAGACCGTCCCGGTCAGTGCGGAATGCAGGGCCGTGGGAGGGTTGTTCGAGCAGAATGCCAACCATCTTGAGGAGAATGTGGACAATTGCTCCGATAGTACTGGGTGTTGTCAAGCGAATGGAGTGAGGAAGAGCTTGCTTGGGAATAGCAGAACGTCGTCTGCTCTGGATGTCAAGGGCCGGGTAGATGTAATTGAAAGCTCAAGTAAACAAGTGATATTTAATATATTGCAACAGGCGTGTGAAGTTGAGTTTGGTGAAGGCAGTGACAATAATGAAGGAGCCCACTGCGTCGCAGGGCAGGGGTTAATATACAGGCACTCCCACTACATTCATTGTCTGTGGATGCAAACACTGTCGTTTGGCACTGCCCTTGTACATACCTGCTTTCTGTTCACAACTTACTAGGAAAGTCCTGAGGTCCGCAAAAATCAAACCGATGGATCTTGAAGCATGGGACACTCTCCACAACTCGCTGGACCCTGCACCGCTGGTGTCCTTTCAACGTCACCTCGTTCCCTGAATAGATGGGACCCTAGAAAGCCGCGATGGATGAAAAGTTACTGGATTCGGAATTGGTCTTGTGGAGGGACAAGAGTCTTGCTGGAACCATGATGGGACGCTAAGCTGATCTTCGACACCGGCCCGCGCATCGACAGCATTGATTGTTGTTTTGTCCCTGCGGCACCCAGGGCCAGATCCTGCTACTGTGGTATCAACTGTGCGATATTGTGCGCCCATTTTTGTGTAGCCTCCCTCCATCATCACCGCGGCCCCGTCGGCGGTCAGGCTTCGAGCGAATAGGGGGATTATGCGCCGCAGCTTGAACGGTGGTTGGTCAGCAAAGTCGGTGAGAGAAAAAGGATCCTAAGGAATGTCCCATTGCTATTGCTTTTATGTCTTGAATTGAGGTCACACAAGGCCTGATGCAAGACGGAGAACTAGAATCCCTGTGACAACCCCGGGGGTTGTTGAAGCGGCAGTAGTTTTCCATGCTGTGTAACAGACGAACGCATTACGAAACAAGGGTCTTCTCGACAGAACGAAGTGTACAGGGATCGATCCCACCATGCATTCGGGCTTGCAGCTGATTTGCGTGGCGACCTCGAGACTGTGTGGCCTGCGGTTGCGGTGGTTTTCGAGAACACAAAGTATGGAGCAGAGACCGATGCTCGAGATGGAGATTTCGGACTCGCAAGGCAATAGAGATTCGAGTGGCACCGGCGAGAATTACCCTTTAGAGCCAGTATGGAAGGGCAGAGCTGGAAAAACTGGGGAAAGAGAGGATAAGAGAAGAGGAAAAGGGAAAAAATCAGAGAGTCGAGATGGGGCGCCGGTGGAGGAGGAAATGGAGCTTAGAATTTGGAAGGGGAGAAATGTCACACTAACGGAACACAGGCACAACGGGTGCCACTGTGGCTGGCAGATATTCCCATCTCGGGCACTGTTCACCCGAAGAAAAGGCGAGAAAGCCTAGGGAGCCATGACCGTGGGGTCTGCCAGCAGCCAGCAGCTGCCACAGATGCTATACTGTAGGTACCAATAATAATGTGCCCCAGGGGATTGAAACAGCCTTAGGTGCCTTTAAGGACCTATCGCCCTCTACTAACACAGTCCAGTCATCGTGATCGTTATAGGGGTTAGAGCAACACTACAGTTATTGTGACGATAGACCTAGGGAGCCCTAATCCCCTAGAGTGTCTTTCCGTACCACTTTATTAGCCCTGAGCCCCCCGCACTCGACCTTAGTATTGCTACTAGTAGCAGTGACCTCACTACCCGCTTCCAAAGACACTCATCGAAGTTTCTTTGCCCGTTCCAATTCTTGCTCGGAATTTATTCGTAGAGATCCCATTCCAGCAAAGATACACAGGCAAGAAAGCCCTCCATACTCCTACACTGCGGCACTGCTCTGCGAATCTCGCTTGACGATGACGGATATCCTTTTCAAGCTTAACACCGGCGCAAGCATCCCCGCCTTGGGCTTGGGTAGGTTCTAATACATTCTATTCAGTCGACCACCTGTCTGACTGTTCGTTAGGAACCTGGCAGAGTCCAGAAGGTCAAGTCCGCGCCGCCGTTGCGCATGCCATTAAATCTGGCTACCGGCACATCGACTGCGCCTATGTTTACGGTAACGAGAAAGAAGTCGGAGAAGGAATCAAAGAAGGTCTGGCGGCTGCGGGAATATCCCGAAGCGATCTCTTCATCACCACCAAATTATGGTGCAGCTATCACACCCGCGTCGAACAGAACCTCGACATCAGCTTGGGCCTGTTGGGTCTCGATCATGTTGACCTCTACCTCATGCACTGGCCCGTGGCAATGAATCCAAATGGCAACCACGAAAAATTTCCTAAACTGCCCGATGGATCGAGAGATTTGCTACGAGACAGATCCCACATCGACACATACAAGGACATGCAGAAGCTGCTCAAGACCGGCAAGGTCAAGGCCATTGGCGTGTGCAATTACTCCAAGAAATTCCTTGAAGAGCTGTTGCCTCATGTCGACATCGTCCCCGCGGTCAATCAGATCGAGAACCACCCGCTACTCCCACAACAAGAGATCGTCGATTTGTGCAAAGAGAAGGGAATACACGTTACCGCATACAGTCCACTCGGCAGCACAGGTTCGCCCTTGATGCAGGATCCCCATGTCGTCAAGCTGGCCGAACAGAAGGGGGTGAGTCCAGGTTCGATCTTGCTAAGCTACCACATCGCCCGAGGCAATTCGGTGCTCGCCAAATCTGTCACTCCTTCTCGCATCGATGAAAACAAGAAGATCGTTTCTCTGTCCTCGGATGACTTGGCTTCACTCGCGGAAATCTCCAAGAAGGGTGTCAAACGATTTGTCTATCCCGAGTTTGGGTTCGATTTTGGGTTCCCGGACAGGTCATGATATTTGACCTGTTTCACCGAGCAAAGAAAGTCCCTCAGCATCTACAGTTGACTAATCGTCAGGTGTTGGCCCAATTATGGTTAGGAAAAGTTCTAGATTGGTAGACGGTACACGATGCATGAGACGTAGACATGATACCACAGTAAATAACATGAAACACGATGACAAGGACTTCTTGCATTCCCATCCTGTTCTGCAGCTGCCTAGTCGGACAGCCGTAAATGGGCAATGACGACCCTGGGTTAGTGCACAGGCTCCTGCTGTCCCATCAAACCTTGAGAAATCCATAAGTTCTTTCTGCACCTCGGATTTCTAGAACCTTTGAGACCATCATGCACCTTTCCATCAATCAATGACCTGGTTGCTGCCAAAGCCGAGAAATATGATACTTGCTATTTCTGACTTCGGCCTCGGAAAAAAGAGCTTGCCATTCATCTTCCACGTCCGTCTGACTCCGTCGGTCGCTGCTGATCTCGATCCACCGGCAATGAACGGCTGTTTTGGTGCTTCAACATCCACCGCGACCTCCAGTGTCCTTCTTAGCCTACCACCGCTGAGAAATGTCAGCGAGTCGGACACCTCGAGCAATGCGGAGATGCAACCCACGTGCGAGACGCAAACCCACCTCTACACTGACCGATGATCTGCCTTCAAGAGATGTTTATTCACACCGACCCCAACGGAGAACTCCAAAGAAAAAGCTGTGCTACACCGGGCTCAACAGTTGGGGGCCCTGCCCCATGTCCGCAGCACCTATGCTGTGATCACCAATGGCGAGGAGAGGGTAAAGATGCGCGATTATGTCCATGCCTACTACTCCGCGACCGTCTCTACACTCCAGTCATGATATATCAGAGGGACACCTACTTACTGTACATGTCGTCTTGAGACCAGTCCTCTCGCAAGCTACAGTACCGCATCTATCTCCATACAGATCCATCGCAGCTCCCTTGAGAGAGAGTTTGAAGCGTACCAAGCTTCGTCTCCGTCTGCTATCAATGACAGGGCCTTCAAGGTAGCTCCGAGTCCACGAAGTACTGGTGGCACAGTCATCCCGCTTGGCCGTACATCGGTCTCAACCAACTTCATCCTTGTCCAGTCGGAGTCTCTCCCGGTAATCAGTCTACTACCGGGTCTTCACTGCATCCAGGATTGTAGCACGATGGGCGATACCAACATCGGTGAAAATGTGGGAACAGGCACCAAGGTCCTCAATATAGCAGTTGCTGGCCTGGGCCGCATGGTACGTGAAGTCTTCATATCTTACTCAGTCAGATAGCAAGACAGCAACGGTTGCATGATATGTCAGCCATGCCAGTGCAAGATCGGAGGACTTTGAAGCCAGAACTCGTGCTCGCCTTACCAGATGAGCACCGCTCAGAGTCCGCCAGACTGACAAAGGGTGATGACAGGGAAAACGACATGTCTCCATACTCCTAGGTCGAGTCCTCAGAGCCAATGTCGTCGCAGTATGCAGTGTTGCGCCGCACGAAGTCGAAAGGGCTCGCAAGAATCCGGACTATATCGACTTCAACGTATCAGTCTACGACAACTATGAAAACATGTTAGACCACCCAGGTCTGCAAGCGGTTTGGATCTCCACCAGCACAGACGTCCATGCTGTCCAGACCATCAAGGCTATTGAGAAAGGGCTGCATGTTCTTTGCGAGAAGCCGTTAAGCATCAACCTGGATGAGGTGAGTCAGTCGTTGGCGAGTTTCATGTCCAGGGTAAACCCTGTTGACCACCTGTTGCTGCACAGGTCTCGGCGGCGATCCAAGCAGCTGAATCCCGTCCGGATCTGAAAGTGATGGCCGGATTCTCACGACGTTTCGATGCCTCATATCGCGACGCCCACAAGAAGGTCATGGACAAGGCCATTGGTGAACCGTTCTTGATCCGCAGCAACACATGCGACCTGCTGGATGACACGGGGTTCTTCGTCCAGTATGCGAAGCGCAACGGCGGCATCTTCGTCGACTGCACAATCCACGACATCGACCTGGCTTTGTGGTTCCTAGGCAATCCCAAGCCCAAATCATGCTTTGCCGTCGGCACGTTGAGACACCATCCTGAACTGGCCGAGTCACAGGACGTCGACAATGGCGTGGCTGTGGTGGAGTTCTACGGCGGCAAGATCGGCTACTTCTATGCCAGTCGTACCCAGTCTCATGGCCACGACGTTTGCACCGAGGTTACCGGTACTCAGGGGAAGGTCATGGTCAATGTCATCCCCAGAGTTAACAACGTCGTCCTTGCTGACAAGATGGGTATGCGCCACGAAGTCCAGCCTGAGTACTGGCAAAGATTCGAGGAAGCCTTTGTGACGGAGGCCAACGAGTTTGTCGATAGTGTGCTCTATGACAAGCCTGTTCCCGTACCACTGGATGCTGGCTTCATGGTCATGAAAATTGGACGCGCGTTGCAGGAAAGTCTAACCATGGGGCGCGTCGTGAAATTTGATGAACAAGGAAACCAGATGACGGATTGAATGTCTCAAGAGAGAACTGAAGTTAGAGACTCCTATTATAGGGCATACTACTACTAGTAGGTAGTAGCTTTTCTGAAGCCATCCTCGTAGTGATTCTTGAGCATGTATGAGAACTAGATTAGAGCTAGATTAGATATAGGTACCTAGATTATTAGAGCTGGAAGTAAGTACTACCTAGTACCTAGGTATCTAGGTACCTTACCGACTTAGCACGCGTACTAGTAATTATTAGGTAGAGCTAGGTGTGTACATTAGTACTAGGTACCTACTACTAGGTAGGTAGTAGTACTACTTACTAGTAGTAGCTTTATGCTAGTACTTATAAAGGGGCTAGTAAATTAAGCTTACTTACTTAGTAGTAGGTAATACTGGTAGTTCTAATATAGATATTTAGTAGGTATCGTAGTTTTCATACTACTTATACCTTAATTTTTATATAGTACCTGGTAGTTTCGATATAGCTTTGATACGGCTTTAGTACGGTTTCGACACGGTTTCGACACGGTTTCGACACTGTTTCGATACAGGTTCGATACGGGTTCGATACGGGTTCGATAGAGTTTCGACACAGTTTTTATAACGCCTACTACTAGGTACCTAGTAGGTCAGTTAAGTACTAGTACCTACTACTACTATGAGGTCCGAGCCAACTCATCGCGAGAGCTGGGAAAGATGTGGATAGTACGCTTTCGTTTCCCTTGAGAGCAAGAGGACTGGGAGGTTTTCTGGGAGGAAGAGGAGAGACCCGGCCGTACTTTAGGAGGACCTGGGAGCTATTTCAAGGGACGGATAGAGGAGAGAGAAGATGGGAGGGAGACATTAAAATGTTAGATACTAATAAGTAAGTAAGTAGGTAGGTAAGCCCACCCACAAGGTATGAAACAACAGGAAGGAGGCAAGGACAAGTAAGCGAGTGATTGTTGTCTACAGAACACTAGCACTGAGGGCACCCCTTAGTGCTCCGATGCTATGCCAGTCCAGGTTGGTTTCGTATGCGATTCGTGCGTTGGGGATATCGGTCTGACTCCCATGGAGAACATCATCCGCGCTTATTCAGTCATTGCTGAAGCAAATGCTCAAACAGGTCGCCAATCTCACAGCAACAAATTCAGGATACCTAGTATCCTGCTGGTACTTAGGTACCACCAGGTAGGTACCTAGGAAGTACTTATACGCGACTGTATATGGGAAGGAACCTTACCTGTAGACGGCTTCAACCATGCTAGGTTGGTACTACTAGGTAACTTAGGGGCCTAATATGGGGGTCATCGTCCTCACTTTGCCTCTTCTCCAAACCGAGTCATTACTGCCCAGTGGTGTGCACCGAGTAACCTTGAAGTTAGGGACGTTCGTCGTGAAGCCCGCGTCGAATGAGCCAATTTCGAAATTGATGATTGGGTCGGGGCGTCCATGCCGGGATGCTCATGTTGAAATTGGCCTGGGCGCCGTGGGAAAAGACGCGCTCCACCCGCGACGACCATGTTCAGGCCGTCATGGCACCGTCGCTCCAGCCCAGCACGGCGACCCGGCATAGCTCGAGAAGCGCGATGGCGTCGCAGGCGAAGTCGTCGTAGTGGAATTCTTCGGATCCTTGGTAAGGATCGGATCCGACCTTGACCGCAGGTACTATGAGTGCGGGTCAGGAACGGGGACTTTTCTAGTATCTCTCCGGGAAATAACAACTTTCACTCTTGGAGAATGACCTCTCTGCTCAAAGCGACGCGGTTTGCCTGGTTACCGGTAAATTTGAATGCTGTTCCCCGTTCCGCCGTGCAATATAAGAACCGGGGTCTTTTCGGACGGTTGGCCAAATCGTGTATGCCAGAGATCGATCCCCGAAGATTTTAGGAGTATCGGTCGCCGCTTGAGAAAGGTCCACCGACCGGCATCCATTACCATCGAAGTAGGTAGGAATGGATCGTAATCATGGACCGGGAGATGCTTGTTATGTTTTGTCCACTCGAGGCAGGAACGACAGAAGCCACAACAAGGCGGAGTCCCAGATATGGAGGACGCCATAAGTCAATACAAAGTAGGTGGGGATATAGTATTTGAGAGGTCGTGGTTATAATCTGCAGTGTATATTTTGCTAGAGGTGGGGAAGACACCATATATCAATATATTAAGGGTATCAGTTTGAAACTTAAGCGACTACCATTCTAGTCTGGGTTTCACCCTAATAGACGTAGGGAAGACACCATATCACAACTTATAAAGTATAGAATCCTCGTCTCGGGGAGGCAACCAGTATAGTCTACTTTCTACTTTAATACAAGTAGGGAGGACGCTATAGACCAAGCTATAAAAGCTATAATTTCAGTAACGGGGAGGTCACCATTACAGTATATAGTATACTCTGATATAAGCAGGGAGGACATCATAGACCAAGCTATAAATGCCACAATTTCAGTATCGGGGAGGTCACTATTGCAGTTCATAATATACATTGATCCACGTAGGGAGGACGCTATAGACCAAGCCATAAAAGCCATAATTTCAGTGTCGGGGAGGTCACTATTGCAATTCATGGTATGCTCTGAAGCAAGCAGGGAGGACATCCTAGGTTTATGAGAACGAGGCTGAGTCATACAATTGTTATTGTGGGGTATACACGAGTCATGCAGCCTTGCTGCCTAATCTAAACAAACTGCCCAATCAGGCCGCCCCACCGCCCCATCGCCCCACCGCCCAAAACGGCAACCACACCACCACATCTACTCCTCTTCCGCCACGACATCGTCGTCTCCCTCCTCCTCTCCACCATCTTCCTCCTCCACGACATCGTCGTCTTCCTCTTCCTCCTCCGCATCTCGAGCCTCCTGCTCCCTCTTCAGCCGCCTCTCGTTCGGCGTCTCCTTGTACACGTTGTCCATGTACCCGGCGTCGTTTGTCTTCATGCCCGCGTCCATTCGACGGCGAGCATTCACCTGTTTCCTATCATTGCCATGATAGGCGACGTCGAGGCCCTGGTTGCGGTAGTAGGAGAGCGGCCGCACCACTGCGTACCGCGGATCGTCCTCCAGGGTCTTCTTGGTGAGCCGCAGCTCCGGATGCTTCTCCAAGAGATGCGTCTTGACAGACCCCGGGGCGCAGCAGCAGTGGTAGCAGACCGGGCAGGCGAACGGGTCTGGGTGGTCCAGGATACTGGGGATCCGTCGCTGGAAACCCGCAGCGGCCGGTGCTGGAGGGATTGGGGCATTTTGGCGCCGAGGAGCACCAGAACCGCGAGAAGAGCCGGCACCACGAGCGCCAGGGCCACGAGTGCCCGAACGACGAGCAACAACAGGACCAGAGCCAGGAGCGAAAAGACCAGGACCAGGACCAGGACCGGGAGCGACAGGACCGGAAGCGACAGAACCAGCGGCGACAGAGCCGGGACCCACAGCAGGAGACGGGAACGCGCCGGCAGGAATTGCCAGCCCACTTGGGTATCGTGGGATACCGGAAGCGGAACCGACACCAGAAGCGGAAGAACCAGCAGCAGGAACGGCAGCAGGGACAGCGTAAGTGCCAGGATTGGCGGCAACGGGAGCGAGAACACCGGCAAGCCCACTTTGACCCACAGGCGCAGAGAATGGAACACTGTCTTGGCCAGCAAGAGAAGAAGCACCAGCGACGAAGCCAGTCGGATTGGCATAGGTGTAAGTGTTCGAGGCTGAAGTGTTTGTTGCTCCTCCATCCACTCTTCCATACATGTATTCTTGGTATTCATCGCTCGCCATGAGACGAGCAGCCATGTTGTTATCTTCTCTTCTCAGAATTTCATAAATCTGGTCCTCCATGCTCGTTGCTGCATTGTTGGACAGAGAAGGCGGAGACTGGGTATTGACAGGCATAGCAGGATCATTGCCAGTGGAAGCTGGAAGAACAGGCTCTTCATTGTCAGGTTGAACAGATCCAGAGACGGCAGGTGTGGTATCAGAAGGCTCAGCCTCGACAGTGGTGGCAGCATTGACAGTCTGGAAGATATTAGTGGCTTGAAACAGAGGAACTGGGACAGTATCGCAGGTTGGCCACTTACCTGAGTTTGATTGGCGTCATCAGCATAGTTCAGGGCGAGAAGAGCAGGGTCAATGGTGCCATTGGAAGCCATCTTGTCTGAATGATTCTGGATGGATGAAAGAAGAGGGTCTCTTTGACAAGGCTGGATGAAGAAAGTTCCGCTTTCGAAGTTGAGATCCGCTTTTGAACGGGGCAGTGCAGCTCGGCGACAACGAGGTGGTGGGTTCAGCCTTGTCGTGGTTGATGAGAACGGTATCAGAGCCTTCAACTATGTTGGAAAGAAGCGTTCAAGACGATACGGGACGATACTATTGATTGTGAGTGATAATTTGAGAATTGTATTTGTGGGAAGGGTGCAGGACGGGGAGAAGGGTGCAGGTGTCTGCTGTGTTGATGCTATTAACTGTGCAGGACTACACGCTAGGCGAGGCGACGTGTTGTGAGGCAGTGGTCAACTGCACCATTCGATTCCATTGTCTTTCTACGACAATTCACACTGCTACTGGCCTGCATTGTTGACTCTGATCAAGTGCTGGCTTCAATAGAGCCCTTGATGAGCAATGCCGATCTTGGACTGTGGTAAGCAGCTATGGGAGATCTCTTACATTCATGGCTGAAAAGCTGGCTGCAGACCTCTAGATCGACAGAACTGCAATGGCCATCTGTGCCTCAAGCCTTTGGTAGGAGATCCAGCCCAGAATCTCTTTGATAGCGAGCGAGACTAAAAGAATTGAATGAATATCTAGCAAAAGAACCTCCATCACTCCAGCTTCTGTACTGAGTTACTCAGCCTTGTCCTATCACGAAGAGGGAATGTCTCTACACACATCCAGGTATATCAGCGTTGCCAGCAAGTCCTGTCCTTCCACCAAGAGATATTCAGAAAGAGGTGGATTCATGACAAAAGAACAAATGGTGCAGCCCAGAGACAGCTTATCATGTCAACACTGTCAATGCTGTGGGTTTCCGACGCCTAGAAATGCTATGACCTCCAGAGAAACCTTTGGTAATCTCTCTACAAGCTAGAAGCAGTGGCAAGAATGACTATGGGAAAGAATTGTTCAGAGACAACTGCTTCACAACCCTCATCATACGTGACCAGTGCAATCCTTGTCTTGCAAGGTCCTTGGCCTTGTTGACTGTAATATACGTCTATTCTCCTGCCAGAGAAGACCCAGAAGGGTTTCTTATGCTCCCTATATCTGACCAGATAATGCAGGAAAGAAAGGAAACAAGAAAGGCAAGACGGTCTAAAGCCAGGCGTTTCCTACCACCCTCAAGAAGTCATGCATCATGTCCAGATATTGAGCACAGGCCCGTCTCAATCCCTGTCTGTCGGCCCGGTCCGAACCACTGACAGACACTGCAAGGCTTTAAAACTGTGATACCCATATTTTTCAGCCTCACCGTCGAGCCTGACCTAGGGTGTCCACAGCTAGCTGACAGGACGGTAACCAAGGAATAGCGGTTCACGCTTCCTTGACCTCTACATCAACAGTTTACAGGGCCAGACTCTGTGAATCTTATAGAGACTGATTCTCTTCAAGCTAAGACAGACTCTGGAGAAAACGCCGAGGAACTCAGCCTTGCGCTATCTATAGTGATCTGGGCTTATACTAGTCAGGCGGAGATATATCCACGCAGTCTCCGCTAACAGTGGAGTAAGATATCATTGGCTTTTGCTGCTAGACATGGCATGGAAACATATCTTCCTCGCCTGCGGAAGGATGTACAAGTCTAGAATGGTCACTTGCTAAGCACTGATGGATGCTTTATCTTCTGAAGGCTGGCTTGAAAATCATGTACAGATTTGAGAGACTGTGTACAGTTCCCTTGATCGCTGAATGAGAGGAAGGCCATTTTGTGCCTCAAGTCTCCCTTCCCAACCGTGGTCATGCTCAGCACCATGCCAATCAACTCCTGTCCAATAATCTGAAGATGATGACCAGAAATTACCCAATCCAGGCTCCTCCTTGGTTCCATAACTGTTCAGAGACCAGGTCTGCAGATGCTCACCAACCTGACCTAGATCAGGCTCTGCTGCTGCGTCCCATTGCTCGGGCTCAATGTTAACAAAGCATATGTGGTTTGCTTCGTCTGCGGAGTGAATATGGCGTTCTCTTTCGATCATGTCGGACCATTGTATTCCATTTCCACTGAGTGCCTCGATCAATATTGGTAGGCTGCTGTGTATGACACCATCCGCAGGATTGTGGAAGGGCAAGTATGGTATTGCGTTCTGTATCTGTGCAACAGCAACTGGATCTGGTGTAGCTGAGAGCTCTGCTGGGTCAAGTGTGACTGTAGCCTGGAACGACGATGTTGACGATGAGCTGGTCGTTTGGGACAGAGGAGGTGTGTTGTTGTGATTACCTCGATCATGATCATCCAAAAAGTCCCTTGAAATGAATGAGGACGATGAAATGAGTATGCTGGCTGGCCGAGGACGAATGGGGACAGGCATTTTGATGTCAAGCGGCTTTCTAGCTTGGGTGTTTTTGCCAGAGCTTGATATGGTCTCTGCTGCTAGAATATACTGTCGGAGGGCATGTTGCTCGAGTACTCCGGTTGGAGGAGCGTTGGAAATTCTCATCGTGAGGGCTAGGGAAGAGGTGGGCCGGAGAGGTTCAGCTGATGAGAGGAAGTCGCCGAGAACAGTACAACGTCTGCTAGTAGTAGACTGATTTCACAGATCAGCACAGGAATGTGAAATGGCAGCGGAACGTCTTTTAAATGAATGATAAAGTGATAAAATGTCAAGGCTCAGGATGCGAACTGTAGAGTGGTTGCTTTGCCTCGAGTTGGGCTTGAATGCTGTGTCGCAGTCAAGTGAAGGAAAAGTCTTCACCCAACTTTGGCAGTTACGACTACGCAGCATAACAAAGGAAGGCAGTGAGAAGTCTGCAGAGAGCATTCACGAGGTCTACGTCAAGACTACAAAGGCATAACACAGTTTGGCTACGGCATGGAAGGATGTCGACCAGCTAGACCTTGTCGTCTGATCAACGTTAAGGAAGCAGACCATGTTCTGAAGCAGCTTTATTGGGGTATGTTGTCTCTCATCTCTCAAAGACACAGCAAGAAAGGGAAGCAGTTCATGTCATGCCCGAAGGCATAGCAGACCGGTGCCTCCAGAAAACCCTTATCGGTCCTATTCTCTCTGTCCTTCCTTTGCAGCAATCACATTCCCTTGTGACACCTCTCTCTCTGATACCCATCCCAATGTTTGCAAGTCACTAGCAGAGTGCTTCAGCAGGCAGTCTCAAGAAATCATTGGCTTATTTCTTGATCTGCTCCTGCAGGCGTTCAAACTCCTTGTCGAAGTCACTCCAATCCCACATGACACTTTTACAGCCGGCCATAGCGAGCTCTAGTATCGCCGCGTGCTTTTCTTCATCGGTTGCACAACCGCCAACGTAGCCCATGACGGGAATTCTTGCTCGAACCGCAGCGGAGGCACCAACAACAGTGTCTTGTATGACCATGCATTCATGGGGCTTTGCGTCGTACTTATCCAGGATGTGACGGTAGATCGCCGAGTCCGGCTTGGTCACTGGGGTGGTTGTTGCGATAGACAATGCCGAGAATCGGTCTTTCGCAAGGAAGAATTGGTCGAGGCCAGAGTTTGACAGAGCGGCTTCAAGGCAGGCCTTTGAAGACGAACACGAGACGGCCGCGAGTGTGTACTCGTCTTCCTCGTGGAGCTTGGCCAGGACTTCCAAGACACCCGGGCAAGGCTCTGCACCCTCCTTCAACTTGGCGATCACCTGGTCCTCCACATCGGCAGCCACGTCTCGCAGCTCATACTTTCTCAGTCGAAAGCGAAAACGCATCATCATCTTCACAGCCATGCCTCGTGCTGTCAAGTCTCGATGCTGCTCTTTCAGCTCCTCAGGCGTGTAGCGGTGGTCGATCCCATTCAATGCCAGTTGTGCATTGAGAGTAGTTGCTATGGCTTTGAGGATCACATTCTCTGATTGAACAAGAGTGTTGTCGCAGTCGAACAAGATCCATTTGATCTACAGAGAGCGTCAGTCAGCATAGAATGTCAGGGATAAAAACCTGGGAGACATACCACCATCTTGTCTTTTGTCTTACTAGATCGGCTATGTCTGTTGTGGCAGAGACACGGGCTCTCCAAACCGGTGGCGAGATAGAGCGAGTTGGAGTGAGAGACTGGGAGAAGAAAAGAGTCTGGGATTGAGGGACTAGAGTAACTCTTTGGAAGGAAGACTTGGTAGGATGTGAGAAAGGAAAAGAGAACCACAAAAGAGAAGATTCTTCTTTGCACAGATCGGTGAGGAGCGCAGGCAGTCAGCAGTAAGGCGGGAGTTTGGTAGCCTCTGGTGCACTGCTGGAATGAACGAGTCCCTGGAGGTGCCAAGCCAGCAATAGAACAGCGTCTCGGTCAGTCACGTTACTGTATCAGCACTGGAGAAGGCAGTGCAGGACCAACAGGCTTGTGTTATCTTTGGGATGGTGCAGTATAGGAGTGTTGTGAATTGAGTGGACAAGGCTGGACAAGGCTGGACAGCAACTCATCCAAGGTTTAAAGACTCATCCATGTATCCGGCAGTGTCAAAGCTCCAAATCAGATCTGTCAGCCACAGACCCGCTTGTTTTTGAACAGTTTGCTTATGTCCAGACATCTCAGCCCCAAGACAATGATAACGAGCCTGACCAAGAACCACTGTTTGGTTCATCTCAGATTCTCAGAGTTGGCCTCAGGTGTATGGTTGGACATCTTCAGGCTTTCCAATTTCTTGTGGAAGAGGCACCTTCTCAGTGTAAGGCTGTTGGGTATTGATGAGCTTCTCCATCAGATCGATGACCATATTACTCGCTTGATTGTCTGCTCGCTCTTTCCTCCATGACCAGTAGATATTCCACCACCATTGGTGAGTCTCACCGTCCCTTCCCAGATGCCCGGCTATGCCTCTTGGACCAATTTTTCGCTCCCAAGGTTTGTCCACAATGTAATGCAACACAACCAGCTTCTCATCCGACCAGATTTGGGGATGCCAGTATCTCATTGTTTTCAAAGCGTTGTATTTCCACGATAAAGGCTTCCATTTGTCGCGGAAGAAGTCAGCCAAAAAGTCTTGATCGGGGAATTGATAGGTCTTTAACCGATCGGAAGTGTTGAAGTAGTCGAGCATGCTGTTCCAAAGGCTTTCACTGGGGTGGAACAAGAGCATCCCACCATTGAGAAGTCGGTAGGTCGGTCGCGATTGTGGTGTGATTTCTGGCGCCACATCGTCTGGACCCTTCAACGGTGTGTACGCACAGTTGCCCTTGATCCAATCTGGAGGTGCCCAGCTATCATGATCGAGGTTACATACGCAGGCATGATTGGCACCAAGCCAGTCGCGGCTGGGGAGCTTGCAGTCAAATATCTCGTCCGGATTCTGGAAGGCTGCCATGTCGGCATCAAGAAAGACGGCCTTAGTGTAGCCCAATTTGTATACCTCGAATGCACGTAGCTTGGTGAAGGTATCCCTGAAACGCTGGGCAACACTGGCAGTGTTTTCCTGATCCTTCCGTGGCAACAGAAGGTCGAGCTGCTGTAGTTGGATACGACGATAGTTTCGCCCTTCCTGTTCCAAGGCATGCACAGCTTCGTGTCCTAGCGAGGCGGTGTACTGTACAAGAAGTGGATAGTTGGATTCGTGCTGGTCTAAAGTGTGAGCGAGGATTATGGCGCCAGGCACATAGGACGGTTTAGTGACCAAGGTCACCCAGCAAGAACTTTCTGGACAGCCCACTGTAGCCTCCATATCCCTTCGAAGTCAGATGGGCTAATGTCAACGCTTTGGTGCGTGTGGCACACAAGGCGATGGAGCCATAGAGAGTGTATAAAGTATTTCCTACCTACCTCTCCATCCGTCAACGTTGTTGGGTTCGTAAACCTACAGATAGCTGCATGTAGTTAAATCAAAGTCATGGCGTCATTGCCGATGAAACCGCATCGACGGCGCTGCTCAGTGCCACAGCAGCTGCCAGGTTCCCCTAATAGCAGGGTTCTTGAGGAGGAACAATGGAGATTTATGTATGCACGGCGCTAGAAGGAAGAACAGTAGCCCTGTAACCTGTTCCAGCTAACAACTTCGAGAAAGTTGAAAGGGGGGGAGTTGAGATGCTCTCTTGGACGAAGGATGTGAGGAGCGAACCAATCGTAGGTGCTCACAGCCCTTGACCCAAACGAGCCTTCCCATTGGCCGAGTAGCCCGGTTTCTCTGCCGACGGCGGGCCGGGGTCCGACTGTTGATATAATCTGCCCGCCCTACTGTGATTGGTCGTTGCGGTACTAATGTCCGTTCCACGGGGAATGTTAGCCGAACATGCTGCTGTGCTCCCTCGTAGTCCCCGATTTCAAGACCACCATCTGTGCACGACAATCAACCCCCCTCAGACATCACACTCAAGCTGGAATTAATCGTTATCTCACGGACACTCCCTCGGCTTCCTCTTCTACCGCATCAGACTGACACTCGGGCCTCTCTATCCTCCTACACGTGTCAACTGCTAGACTGGGGTCTGTTTTGCACCCCAATTGTATCCAGCATTTGGTCCACTCGGTATTGATAGCTCTGTTTACCCACATCCGATTCCTGCAACAAGCGACAACTGTCCATCCAAGGCTTTGTCTGACATGCAGACATGGTACTGTTGGAGAAGCAATGGGTGAATGTTCAAGAGAAAACATTTACAAAATGGTAATGCACCATCACGGCCTGCTTCTGCGCTGCCAGCCCTCTGACAGACTATTCGCAGGTTGAACAATAAGATCGCCCCTCGCGAAGTCTCGGTTAAGTCTCTTGTGACCGACCTCTCCGATGGAATCATTCTCATCCACCTTCTCGAGGTTCTTAGCAATGAATCACTCGGACGATATGCGTCAAATCCCAGGCTGCGGGTGCAGAGGTTCGAGAATGTTAACAAGTCACTGGAGTTCATCAAGAGCCGGGGTATTCAGATGACGAATATTGGCGCCGAAGATGTAGTCGACGGGAACAGAAAGATCATTCTGGGTCTGATATGGACACTCATTCTCAGGTTTACAATCTCCGACATCAACGAGGAGGGCATGACGGCCAAGGAGGGTCTTCTCCTATGGTGCCAGCGAAAGACTGCTTGCTACGAAGGTGTCGAAGTGCGTGACTTTTCTACTTCTTGGAACGACGGCCTGGCTTTCTGCGCTCTCCTGGACATCCACCGGCCTGACCTCATTGACTTCGACACTTTGGATAAATCAGACCACAAAGGGAATATGCAACTTGCATTTGACATTGCCAGCAAAGAGATTGGGATACCCGATCTGCTCGACGTTGAAGATGTAGCCGACGTCCCCAGACCTGACGAGCGGTCGCTTATGACATACATCGCTTACTGGTTCCACGCATTTAGTGCAATGGAGAGAGTGGAGAATGCTGGGAGGCGAGTAGAAAAGTTCGTGAGCAACATGCAAGGTGCATGGGAGATGGAGTCGGCTTACGAGAAGCGCATGCGTGCTCTGCTCCAACAAATTCGCCAACAACGACAAACATGGCATAACTCTACGTTTGAAGGGACATATGCCGATGCAAAGGCGCAGGCCAATGAACTTTCCAGCTATAAACGAAATCAGAAGAGGAAGTGGGTGGCAGAGAAATCAGATCTCGCAGCTCTTCTCGGCAACATCAAGACCAAACTGTCAACCTACCGGTTGCGACCCTATGAGCCCCCGGCAGAGCTTCGACTCGAAGTGCTGGATCAAGAATGGGCCGCTTTGGGTACCGATGAGCACGCACGAAGCAGACTCATTAATGAAACCATCCGGGACATCAAGAATGCGCTGAGACGAAGTTTTGCCGACAAAGCCAATGACTTTGCCTTGACTCTCAACACGCTTTCTCTAGCAGTGTCAGGACTGGAAGGAGATGTGGAAGATCAACTACAACACGCTCAGAGACTATCCGCCAACTTGGCCCCCCTCGAACAATATTTGGAAGGAATAGCTTTCCTCGATGAGAAGTGCCAGGAGGCGAACATCGATGAGAATGATTTCACCACTTACACATATGACGAACTAATGTATGAGCTGAGCTTGGTCAAGGCCAGCGTGCAGAAAAAGTTGACCTTTCTCGAGAACCAAATGGTGGCGAGAAGTATGACCAACCTCACTCCGATCCAACTCGAAGAGTTCGAGTCAGTCTTCCGACACTTTGATCGGGACGGCACCAACACCCTTCACGAATTGGAGTTCAGTGCAGCATTGGCCAGTCTTGGTTTGGTCTACGATGAACAAGAAATGCACGAGAGGTTCCTGGAGGTCTGCCATAGTGGGCTCGATCCGACCATGTCACCTGTCTCCCGGCGTCAGAGGGAGAGCCGTGGAGTTGGCTTCGAGCAGTTCATCCGGTTTATGGTATCTGTCACTGAAGACCAAAACAGCGCTGAACAGGTATTCCAGTCCTTCCGAGAGGTGGCAGATGGGAAGCCGTACGTCACAGAGATGGACCTGAGACACTCCTTGATACCCGACGACCTGATTGAAGATCTGCTGAGCAGTATGCCGGAGCATAAGGGGCCGGATCTCGAGGTGGACAGAGATGTCCCTAAATATGATTATATTTCCTTCATGCAGGGCATGGTTGGAGACGGTGGCGACGATGATGACGACGACTCAAGCGTGAAAAGAGACGAGAGAGGTCGGGTGAATGGCGATAAGACGCCCACTACTCCCCGACGGTAGGGTATTCCTTTCAGCCTCGTTTTTGCTTTTGCAGAATACCGTTTGGATTTGTACATTGCACTGCAGCGGGTGTTGGATTGAGCGAGCTTCGGTCGATTGGGTATGCTACTTACTGTATGGAGCAGTTGTCATTCCAGCATTTGTGGCCCGCCGGCTACAATGAAAATAGCGAACGGCTGAATACACATACATTAATGGCCACCGACTATCTAATCTGCCATCTAACCCTGCAATGCCGGCATATTGCATCCTGGAGTTGTCTACTGACGCTGACATCTGAACCGAGGCAAGGCTTGACCAGTTACACCAATCACTCTTTCGCCTCGGTAGCAGCGCCGCCTTTCGGTTGTATCTTCGCGCTTCTCCTCTTCATTGGACATTCGACGTCCCAAGGTGGGATGAGGTGGTACAAGAAAGCAACGGCCCCTGAAAGCAGCAACATGATTCAAAGTTTGACTGTGAAATGGCACGTATCCCTGGCCACTGATTCTCCTGAATTGCTTCCATAAGTGGACGCCACGATGCCGCGAAAGACTGTTTATCTGCCCACGAAGGACTATGAACTTCCAAGCCTCGACCTGCTGACGCTGATCTATGGTGAGGAGGAGAATGGGGTTGTCTCATCGAGGCGAATCGGACTGACGTGTCATATAGAGTCTCCAGAGGCTTGGAGCAAAGAGTCGACTATTGTCCACGCTGAAGCGGCTCTGCCCTCCAACAATGTTACGAAAGCCCAGGCACGGGACTATACCAAGAGAATCGCCTATCACTTCAGACATACGTACGGAATAGGCGCCGACGGACCCGGTAAGGATGTGGTGGTTTGCATCTCGTCAGGTCAGATCCTCCTCTCCGACATCTTCTATGGCGTCATTGCAGCTGGAGGCGTCTACTCGGCAGCAAGCTCGAGCTTCACTCCCCTGGAGCTGGCGAGACAAATCAAGCAGGGCAAAAGTCTATTGATCGTGGCCAGTCCGGACTGCACAAATGTCGCGGTCAAGGCGGCACAGAAGTGCGGAGTTCCTCTAGATAGAGTCCTGGTGCTGGATAGCATGGGCGGTAACAGGAGCATCCAGGATGTCCTGGGCAAGGGCCAGAATCTCATCGAAGGCGACGGCAAGCTGAACGAAAGGTTGGATTGGGAAGTCATCACGGACAAGGAAGTCTTGTCGAACAGGGTGATCTGTCTACTCTACAGCAGTGGCACCACCGGTGCCCCGAAAGGTATGTGTATTGTCAGTCCAGCTCCGAAAGGGTCTTGGAGGTGGGCTACTGACCCGTGGAACAATCATAGGAGTCAATCTGTCACACCAGAATCTTGTGTCTGAAGGCCTGATCCCGCAATATATGGTGCGAGAATTCTTCAATCGCCAACGCCGTCGTGACCCAACATACCAATTCGAGTACCGAACCCTGGCCCATCTCCCTGCCGCGCATATCGCAGGCTGCCAGGGCTATCTTGTCAATCCAGCCATCGCGGGCGGGACGGTGTACTGGATGCCCCGATTCGACTTCGCCAAGTTCCTCGAGTACAACAAAACGTTCCAGATCACGACATTCTTCACCGTGCCGCCGATCTACCTGCTGATCGCAAAGAGTCCGCTCGTGACCGACCAATTCCGCACACTGACCCACGCGATCACGGGCGCGGCACCGATGGGGCCGGAGCTGATGGCACTCGCTGAACAGAAGCTCGGCTGCAGCATCAGCCAGACATGGGGCCTGAGCGAGACGACGGGCAGTGTGACGGCGATGCCGTGGGACCGGCACGACAAGACGGGATCGGTGTCGCCCCTGTTGCCGAACACGAGGATGCGTGTCGTCGATGACGATGAGGTGGACGTCGAGGAAGGCACGGAAGGCGAGTTCATCATGCAAGGACCTATGGTCACCAAGGGGTATTGGGACAATGAGATGGCGACCCGTGACAGTTTCACCAGGGACGGGTTGTGGTTCAAGGCAGGCGATGTCGGCGTTGTCAGAGACGGCATGTTCTACGTCGTCGATCGGAAGAAGGTAAACAAGATTGGTCTTCCATTCTACCGCTAACCGTTACTGATTCGTGCCGGCTTCTCTAGGAACTCATAAAATACAAAGGCCTACAAGTGGCTCCCGCAGAGCTCGAGGCTCTGCTACTCTCCCACGATCTGATCCTCGACGCGGCCGTCATCGGCGTCTCTGACCCGTCCGGGTCCGGCAATGAATTACCCCGTGCCTATGTCGTGGCCGACCGCTCCAAGATATCGGCCGAGCAGATCAAAGACCATGTCAAGCAAAACTTGGCGCAGCATAAACAGTTGCGTGGCGGTGTCGTGTTTCTTGACGCCATTCCCAAGTCGCCGTCAGGCAAGATCTTGAGGAGAGAACTCAGGGAGCTGGCCAGCAAAGAGAGACACGCAAGGCAGGGGGCCAGGCTGTGAAGCTACAGGCTGAATCTTAGCACGCGGACTTGGAAAGACCGACTGAATGAGAGCTCGTACGTTCACTATTTGCTTGTGGAGCGCTTGTTACATAGCAGAATACCATACATTATCTTACAAACAAGGCTTCCTTTCAGCCCTATTCCGGCGACAATATAGTTTTGAAGAGGGCGGTGCTGGTAGTCAAGCCAGGGCCAGAGACAGGGTCCAATGAAATGCCCTCGAATTATTATATCTTCCAGACCTTGACATTGTGCGGATTTTGCGAGATCGCATGAGCAATAATCCTGCTGACGGTGCCTTGCTCCTCCCGACCATTCCTCCATTCTTTAGGACCAGCAAGGTATGCAATAAAGCCTGGGGGCCCTGAGATAAGAATCTGACGCTGCTCTGGAGAGGTGGCGAACCCGGTAAAAAAGTCCTTGTCGTCGAACCGCGACAGAGCTCGGAAAACAGCGTCTTCGTCAATCCATGTATCTTCCGCATTGACAAAGTATTCGACGGTGACTTGGCCTGGATACTTCTTCTTGAGCGCTTCCAGTTCCTTCACCATGAGACCCTGTTCCTGGGACACCGCAGGCGGAGGCTTGACCTTGGGTTTCGTGAAGAATCCGGACCAGGTCGGCTTCGGGGGCACAGCTTCGGCGGGCGGAGCATCACTGACGCCGCCCATGCAGTCTTCCCGAAGTCTGTTGGCCCAGAGAATGTGTATCTTCTTGTTCTTGTTTGCCTGCTCCTCGCCTGTGCCCTTGTTGCCTTCGAAGAGAGCGTAAGCGGCCTGGAGAGCCGGAGCAATCCCAGTCCCTCCGGCAAGGAACACAATCTGGCGAACATCTGGGGTCAACTTGTACTCGATGTTGGGACCCCTCAGTTCGATCTCCGCACCGATAGGCAGTCTGTGCAGGTAACTCGAGACTTCGCCATGAGGGTCATTCCTGATCAAGAACCTCAACTCCCGCTCGCCCTCGTTGTTATCGACGCCCACAGGTGGCAGAGGGGTGTAGGCTCTCACAATCTGCAGTTGCGGTTGTATGAAATGGACGTTCCATATACCCCTCTTCCAGGCGTCTGTGTACCGCTCGAGGCCTTGCAAATCTCCTTTAGGCTTCAGATGGAAGATGCTGGCCGTCGACGATACTCGTTCTCTGGAGGCTAGGGAATACATGGCGAAAGACTTGTCCTTGCTGTACAGATTATACAGCTGCCAGGCTGCTATGACCCCGGCGCCAGAACATATTGCTAGGACGAGCCGACGCGAGGTGGCCTTCGATCGAGAGGAGGGTTTAGCATCGGGAGACTCCCGGGTCCCCTCAGAGGCGGAGGAATTGTGGCGAGTAGGGTACCCTGGACGAGGCCATTTCGGGACACGCTTCACGTTGCGCGATGCTCCAATTGAGCACCTCGCAAACATCGAACGCTCCCTCAAAGTAATCGCCGGACAGATGTGTTGCAGTTGCCGCCAAAATCCGAATATTGCAGTTGAAATTGGGGAAGAGGTTAGAGTAGGAGACAACTCGCCGCTTTGAGCGAGGCTACGCATGTTACCTAATATGGAAATAAATCTTGCTTCTTTAACTGCCTCAACTCAACGTCAGGCTTTGATTGTGATGCTTCATCTTGACCTCAACTTCTTTAGAATTGCAGCATTGCCTGCCCGCACCCGATCTTTTCAACAAGCAGAAACGGGGAGGGATGTGCAAGGAGACATTGTATTATGCCGCTTCTCTGATCCTAGGTAACGTTTCCGGCGGAAGCCCAAAAATCTCTTTGTTATTCTCTATGCAGACGTACTTTTCAGGGGCACCTAGCAACGTGCTTTTCCAAGGTAGCCCCTGATTGATAGCGTCATAACGCAGCAAACTCTCACGAACCACGCGCTTCAAGGTTCTGGAATCCCATTATTCGCCGAATTTTGGGGGCGCTTGCGAGGATCTCACTCCCATTCTTCTGGCATCGTCCTGCTCATCTGTTGCTTCACCAAAAGACCTTTGACACTTCCACGACCAGTACTTCGATTGGGCGTACCACCGATAATTTTCGGCATTTTGGATGGCCTGATAGACGCCCAAATTCTTTACCAGTCTGGTGTTCAATGGCCCCCTAGAGATACTTCAGGTCAGCGCATCCGCTACATAGGACTTGAAGACTATAGTATCTGCACATGGGGGCTGCGTGCCTACCCACCCTTCAAAGCTTCCGGGATTTCACTTGGACACTCCGGAGAGTGAAAGAGGAAAGCGCACGTTGTGACCTTGAATAAAAAATGAAAGAAATCAACTCACGATCCGTCGGAAGGGTTTGGCCCGTCAAAATCCCCGATTTGGTGATCTCCCATTTCATTCATCTCTATCAGGTCATGGTAGTTGGGGATATCTTCCAGGAGATAGATCCAATGCAGCAGCTCGTGCAGAAGTACGCCACCAGGGCTCGACATCCAGTCGGTATCATGATCACCGAGACCATCGCAGGTGTATCCTGGTAAGGGGCGTCCTTCCGCGTCGCGTACATGGTCAGGTGGATTCTCTATCTCTTGTAGCGAAGGGTACTGGAATGTCTCCTCGCACAAGGAGATCAATGCTACATCACCAAGTGCACTTGGATCGAGGTATGTGAAAGCAAAGACTGTTCCTCCCTCCGACTGTGTTCCGCAAAGATTCTTTTCCTCGGGCAGTGCGGGATGATTTCCAATGGCGATTTCCAGCTTTGCGAATTTTGGCTGCAACTCCGAGGCCACACTGGCGCTGGAAAGGATCTCAATGACCGTCTCTTCGTCTATCTGATGATCCAGAGGGAAGTTGGCAATTGTTTCGAACACATCTTGGACAAATGTTGCCTCTAGAGCTCTGAAATATCGAAGGAAACTTGCATCACAAGCGCTGAATGTTGTTGCTGTTACTCTAGCCAGTATTAAGGCGTCCATGAATGATTCTTGCAACTTTTGATCCGCCTGTTCCAGAGTGACGTCCTCTGCGATGGAGAATTCAGGGAGACTGGCGTTGCAGAGATTACTGCCCAGGAAAAAGACAAGCAGGAAGAACAGCGATTGACTTAGTGATAGGGATCCCATGTTGTGTTGCCGGTATGTGATATCAATGCTGAAGTATGGCGCTAACGATCTCAACAACGGCGGCGTGCAATCTCAATGTGGTGGATTTCAGCACTCCTGAAAGCAGAAATGATTGATTTCGAAAGATCCGACTGCAGCTAATCTGAGTGTCACTATGTGCTGGTTGTACTTCACTCCCACTGACATGACTAAGTGTTGCCATTCACAGCATCAAACACGAGGCAGTACCCAACTCCATGGTAAATAGTGGCGGTATGGTCGGGGTTCGAGCAGGCTGCAATGTGAGCCGTTCACTTCTGCATCTGCTTCACTTCTCGGACATCAATGTGTACACTTCACTTCTGGTAGGAAAGCTCGCCACAGCGTGGCGCAAGCATTTAAATAGAATCTGGCCTACGATTGCGAGGATGCTTCCATGCAGGAGGGCGCCGGTTTCTCGTCCCTCAGAGCTCGCTCCTACGAAAAAGTCTTTCTCAGTATCGACGACCCATTGAGCCAAACCATCATCATCCAGCTTAACATCCTCTCACGCTCCTGGGAAAGCGAAATTGACAGTCCCCACTTCCGCTTTGATACCCCGTCGTCTTGCTTCAGCCAGAGTGAACCCAACTGTAGCCACGTGCGGGTTATTTACCACGACCTGAGAATTGGCTCCACTGTCGGCTGTGGCTGTGAGCTTGCTCCAAGGTTGGGAGGAGGCAATGTAGCCACCCTGGCTCTGGAAATGATTGCGGCAGCCGCACAATTGCCCTGATACTCGCCCTCGGTGGTTCCAGTCAAAGGTATGGTCACAGTCAAACCACTACTCAACATCGCTTCTGAATGTCCAGGACGGGACCAGCCTTGCCTCCAGAGGTCCATCGCGGAAAAGGATAAGGTACCGCTGATATTCGAGGACAAACCTTCACTATCGGATGATCCACTTTGGTGCTAATGTTTCTGCCACATCAACCATCCTCTCCGCAGAAATCATAACGGGAAGACCGCCCAGGCGACCATTATACTATAGGAGCTGAGATGATACTCTTGGTTGGCCTTGCGTGTACTGTGATGCGTCTCAAACCAACCACCCAGGAGAATCATTCGCTGGCAGGAAGAGTCTGCGGGCAATCGCCATTGGTTCATTGTGAGCCGTGATACCAGGTCCCGAGAAGTCACGTCACAAGCGATAGTGCCAATGGTCTTCCAATCTGACATCCTGAGACTTTGTATATCAAGATTCCGATGAAGATCTGGGGTCGAAAAGGAGAAGCCAATAATGACTAAGAACGTAGTCAGCAGAATGGCTAGAAGCAAAGCGGCGACTGCTTTCACTGCCAATCACAGGTCGTCTATCTTGATTGCTGTACTAGCGCAACTTCTCTAAACATCTAACATCTGTAGCCCCTTGGCAACTGTCAATGTCTCCATGTTCGACTATTCAATCGCGCCCCGTCAATCGCATACAGTGCGTGAGAACAGCTGGCCAAAGTTTTGAATTGTCAATGTTCCAAAACACGGCTTCGATCCTTGCAGCTATGTCTGCCAGTGACTGAGAATGCCATCTCGTGTGATAACCCGCGGAATGACAGTCGTCTCCTAAATCTCGACGGCTCCCCTCTTCCTCCTCCTGAACAACCATGCCGCCTCCGTCTGGCTTCACGGAAATCCAGAGGCCTTCACACCTTTCCGGGCGGGATTCCCTCGAATTGGCGTCGCTCGCTGACTCCGAGCCCGATGAACTCCCTGATTCCGAGGTGTCTTCCCGCTCCGGGATCTCGTCGTCTCGCCGCATCTCCTTTGAGAACGAGGACCCCCTAGACGCCGCCAACCCAGCATCCCGCGACCGTCTCCATGGCAGGTCCTACTCAGTGTCGTCCGCCTTTGATTTCACGCCAACCCTCTTCCCCCTCTCCTCGACCGGCGGGGGATACACTGCGCTTGGAAACCCGTCCACTGTCTCCCTGGATAGACGTGCGGCGCTGCAGAGTCTGGAGAAGAACAAGACATTGACATACATGAACGGCCTGTCGTTGGTGGTGGGACTGATTATCGGATCGGGGATCTTCTCATCTCCAGCACAAGTAAACTCCCAGGTCGGATCCCCTGGAGCGTCATTGATCGTATGGACAATATCAGGAGTACTGGCATGGACTGGTGCGGCATCGTACGCCGAGTTGGGCGGTGCAATCCCCCTGAACGGGGGTGCTCAGGTGTACTTGGCCAAAATCTTCGGCGAAATGGCCGGCTTCCTCTTCACCTGGTGCGCCATTCTTGTCATGAAACCCGGGTCCGCAGCCATCATTGCCATCATCTTTGGAGAATATGTCGTGCGGGCGGCGATTGGCGCCGAGGTCGAGGATGTCAATCCGTGGATCAACAAGGTCCCGGCGCTCCTCGCGCTGATGCTCGTCACGCTGTTCAATTGCGTGTCGACGCGTTTCGCAGCCCGACTGGGCGATCTGTTCATGTTCTTCAAATTCATCGCGCTGATTGCCGTCACCGTCATCGGCGTCATCGTCGCGGCCACGGGTCTCTCGTACAACAGCCCGGCCAACCGAGACTGGCGAGATCACCATTGGTTCGAAGGCACGTCGACCGACATCTCCAGCTGGGCTGTCGCGTTGTATGCCGGGCTCTGGGCTTACGACGGCTGGGACAACACGAACTACGTGACAGGCGAGTTCAAGAACCCGAGCCGTGATCTCCCCCGCGTCATCCACACCGGCATGCCCGCAGTGATCGTGTGCTACCTGCTGGCCAACGTGTCGTACATTTTCGTCCTGCCGCAGGAGACGATCGACAAGTCTAACACCGTGGCCGTGCAGTTCGGCAGCAAAGTATTCGGCCCCATCGGCGGGCTGGTGCTGGCGCTGATCGTGTCGGCGTCATGCTTTGGCGCCTTGAACGCCACGACTTTCACGTCCGGCCGCCTCGTCTACGTTGCCGGCCGCGAGGGCTATATCCCCGAAGTCTTCGGCAAGATCGGGTTCGGATACTCGTCGGGTCCACAGGAGACGTCTCTGAGCAGCATGCCGCTGAACAAGCTGCGCCGTCGGTCCTGGCTGTCCAAGATGCTGGGCCGCATATTCGGCGACGAGTCCATCGGCTTCGGCTGCACGCCGGTCAACGCCATGTTGCTGAACATGGTCATGTGCATGATCTACATCTGCCTGGGCGAGTTCAAGACCTTGATCACCTTCTACGGCGTCGCAGGCTACTCGTTCTACTTCCTCACCGTCTTGGGCCTGATTGTCCTGCGCATCCGCGAGCCCCATCTCGAGCGCCCTTACCGCACCTGGATCACCACCCCCATCATCTTCTGCTGCGTCAGCCTGTTTCTCGTCAGTCGCGCCGTCGTCGCCCAGCCCTTGCAGACTGTCATCGTCATCGCCTTTGCCGTGAGCGGAATCCCCGTCTATTTCTGGCGCGTGGCCGGCCGGGATCAGTCGACCGGCTCGGGCAGGAGGGAAAGAAAGTTCTGGAGACGCTGGGGGCGGACTTGATGAGATACTTGCTCAAGGGCGAGGCTTCACCCTTACTACGATAGAGGAATCATATATGTATGTTGACGTTGTTTTCACGTATTGCGTATCGCCAGCAATAGGGCAGAAACAGAGATTTATTTATGGCATCTCCCTACATCTCTTGGGTACGCCCCAAGTTGACCGGACCGGATTACCTATCCAGAGTTGGATCGAACACAGGGTATAGTGTAAATCCAGTGCATGGTCCGTCTGTAAAGATCATCACGCCCCAATCCCATGTTTGGGGACATCGTCCATGTTCCTTAAGAACAAGGAAAGGTGGGCAAAGTCGCCTGGGCTGTTGTTCCCCTCTTGTGTTCTGTTTCAACCCGCCATGCCACGCGAATGCTCGTACAGCGTGCATGGCTGTGTTGCATAGACACGCAATAGGTATGCGAGATCGCAAAACGCGTCCCTGTAGCATTCGCGGGTGGCCCAGTATATAGAAGAACCCCAAACGCAGGCCAGGTATGGTACAGGCTATCATTCTATCATTTCGTCGTTGAAAGGATCTGGGCGCCCCATCAAGCAACAGCACAAGACAGCCGACTAACTGCGTGGAAAAGCAGTCCGTTCCCAGTAGTCTCCGGCAGCTCAACCCGCCCACCAACCTCTGCTGCGCCGGGCAGGCCGAGCAGACCGGGATTCGTTCAAGGTCGGAGTGTTCGATCCGCCGGATCCAGTGAGTGTCTCCGATCTCTGTTTCGGATCCTTCGGCACGTCTATATCGGCATCGCGACTCTCTCGCTGGGTAACGACATCCCCGATACCACTAGAGGCTCCGTCGATCACCAAGGTGCCCTGATCGGACGGGGCCGGTGTGGTCGAGTTGAGGCTACGGTAGAAGGTCTCCACCTTGTCAAATCTGGGGTTATGCTCATGCTCATGCTCGGCCGCTGTGGCAGGTTCCTTGGACACGGGCGTGCTGGTGGTAGCACCGGGTGAGACAGAGGGTTGATCTGCAGGAGAAAGGAGCTCTTTGGATTTTCGAGGAGTGGCCTGAGGAGTCTTCCTAGCCGCTCTGCTTCCCACTTTGCCGATCTCTGTAGCTCGGATCCGAAGACGACTCGTAGAGCTCCTGGGGGCAGGGTACGTGGCCGTCACAAGCTTTCCGTCGGTGAGCACCACAGCCTGATCCTCAGGCTGCGGCTCAGATTCAGACTGCAAGGCCGACTCAGTAGGGAGTGGGCCTACCGGCTCCCGACGCCTGAGCATGTCCAGAGTGATGCGATCTTCCCGATGGAGCGGCAGTTCGGCTTTCTCGGCGATCCGGAGTATGGTTGAGGCCGGGTGGCGGATGCCGAAGCTGTTGAGGGTCCGGAGATCCTGGCGGAAGGATGTGAAGAGGAAGTAAGCCTGGAGGCTTGATATCACATCTTCAACAAGCGCTGGTCTCTTCCGTCTCGGCATGCGCTTCAGCTCGTGGAAGTTTGGATTGGTCTCAAAGGCCTTCCGAGCCATGGCGTGAGCAAGCTGTGCCACATAGGCGGCACCTGAATGTCTCAGAGGCGGGGATCGCGCCAAAAGGACCCTGTCTCTAGAGCTCTTCTCTTGTCCTAGCATGTGAAAGTCAACCGGGCCAAATTCGGCGGAGGGAGGCGACGTCTGGGTTACCGCCGAAGGATCGCTCGATAGCATCTCGGCGCAGGAAAGATGATACATTTGCAATGCTGCATAGGCACGCGAAGCAAGATCTAAGGCTCGTCGTCAGTGTTCCGGCTCCAAATGTTAAAAAGTGTCTCTGAATACTTACGGGTGAAGAAAATACAGGGATCCTTGGTACCCAGTTCGCGGATGGCACGGGCCACGTCGAGATGTGGGAGAGCACTGCCAAAGCTCTGGGCCGCCATGAACGAGAGGATAGCGAAGCTGGGATCATTCAGATCGCCACGGCGATGCATTCGGTCGTAGCTTTTATTGATGCCGTGAGTCTCGATTAACTCAATGCCGAAGTGTTCCGCCAGGATATTTTTCTGGAAGCCGATGTTGACTCCAACCTTCAATATAGCAGGGTTACCAAGTGTCTGTCTGAAACACCGAGAATGCAGAACAACGGCTGGGTTCATCAGACCTAACGCAAATATAGCCACTTCGCGATCACTTGACACTATCAGATACTCGACTGGCGATGACCCAGTGGGAATACCCTTCGCCCCTGCCATGGTGATGGTATCAACGCCAAGGACTTTGCACCGGGCAAAGCGTTGCAGGACTAAATATGCTGCCTCCGGAGCGGTCACAAAGTGGACGGGTATCGATGACTCCGGCTTAGAATAGAGCTGAGCGTTCCTCTGCCATGGCGGGCTATAGCCGAGAGCCGCCGGCGGACATTTACCGCTGGGTCGAGGCAAAGCCGAAGCGTCTGGAGGAGGGTCAGCAAACAGCATCAGATGGCTCTTCTCTCGTGGACGGTGAAGGATCCCCAGATACATGTCGGCAGTCCCGCGCCACAACATCGCGAGGTCAAGTAGATTGTAGAGCTCGCGTCGGGCAGCAAACAGCTCGTTGGCCAATGTCGCGAGAGCTTGAGAAGCAGGTGATGACTGGTCCAGAAGGCCGGAAGAGCTGAGCTCATGCGCCAATTCGGCGATTGTCGACATCCTGCTGATGAAGATGGTGACAGGTCTGAAATTCGACAGCTGAGCCTCTTGTAAGGCAAGGTTCGTTCTCATTCCGGTCGCCATCGGAGCAGAAAACGTGTCTTTGAAGAGTTGGTGAGCATCTTGAGAGACCACTTGCGCTTTGAGCGGGAGGAACTGATGTCTCGGGTGGTGTACCAAGTTAGTCCGTCTTGAGAAGGGAGACGCCTGAGAAATCATCAATCGCAAATGGTGATAGTGGGTGTTGATCCGGGTCGAGTTGTTAACTATCTCGACCGAAAGCATGTATAACCTGGTGTGGCGAGCGTTAAAGTCGAACACCTCGGGGACACCGGAGTTCAGAAGGTAGGTTGTTCTGACTTTGCGAAGCAGATGTAGTTCCTGTGCTATGACTGCTGCATTCTGAATAAGTTCGTGACGCACCCACAGGATCCCGATCATCGCACGTCGGACACGGGGAGTCTTCGATCCCCTGAAGAAGTCTGGTATAGTAGTATCTGTAGGTATAGCAGCGTCGGTATTCCATAGTCCTCGCTGCTTCAGGTCCAGCGCGATAGATCGTAGAGTTGACATGGGAAGCACTATAGTGGCGACATCATTCATCTTGTAGCCGGTTTCTCTCAGAATGGGATCCACACTGCCAGCGTTCTTGATAAACTCGAACTGTCGCGCCGTCGACTGGGCTCGTTGCAACAAGTTGTGTCGGAATTCTTGCATTCCACCAAGAAGCTGCGTCAGGCCGTTGTCCACAGCAGACAGCCTGGTGGCCACCTGATTCAATCTTCGCATGATGGGAGCGACAAGCTCCCGCAAATGATCCTTGGTCCACTGTTCCAGGTACTCTTGCCGTGCCGCCATCCGGGCTCGCGACAACTCCAATGCCACTGTCTGCTTGTCATGACGCTCAAGATTGTTGAGTATATGCCATGCGTGTTGAAACTTCTTCACACGCGCCGCTTTTCTTGCCTCCTCTCTGCGTACTATTTCTTGTTGCCTTGAGAGTTCCTGTCGTGCGTATTCTTCCTGCCTGGCAATCTCCTGCAGGGCAAATTCCTGTCGTCTTGCCTCCTCCAACGCAGCTAGCATCTTCTGGCGGTTTAACTCCTCAACTGGACTTCTTGGGAGCTCTTGTTCTGCATCTCGCGAGTTGTCCACACGTCTCTTGTTGCCTGACGGCGGTGCAGGCTTCAGACCAGCGGCATGACCCAACTTCAGAGGCAAGCCTGGCTGCGAGAGCCGGGGTGGATCCGAGGGCATCGTCAACCCCGGCGGTTTCTTTGGGAGATGAGGAGCAGGACCGCAACAAGTCGGAGTTGCGTGAAAAGGTGTCCTCGAGAACGTGTGGAACGAACGTTTGGCCACGACCACACGTCCATTTCGGCGGTATGTTTCGAGGTCTCCATTCGAAGAAGGCAAAAGGGTTCGCTGTGAAGTGGTGTACAACGGCCTAGAGGAAGATATGCAGGACAACTCCCGGAGTTGCCTTCCCCCTGTGTGAGTCTTTCGTGTACTGCAACATGTCGAGATGGGCTCCCGGCTCCGTTCGATGCGTAGAAGTTGGCTAACCGTGAGTTCGTTCTGGCAACATGTCGTGCGGAAGGTCAGGGCACGAGGAATGGTCTGAGAGCCAATCGAGCCATGCAGAATCCGGCTGTGTCCATTTGACATGGACACTATCGCACGCAACAGAAACAAAGGGTCACTGCCGCAGCGGAAAGGCTTTCTATGGCCGTCTGGAATGAGTTGTAGAATTCAAAGCCATCGATGAACTACCGAGGAAATGCCTTCGAAAGGCGAGGTGCAATTTCATGTCCCGATCTGTGCTCCGCAGTATTTTCACTCAGCCTTGTGCATGGCAGCCTTGTGCATGGCAGCCTTGTGCATGGCAGCCTTGCCTTGCGAACCCCGGACCCCTTCTCGCTCAATTGCCAATCATTATTATTGAAGTTGAACAGCGAGCTTGACACATGACTATTATACAGGTGAAATAGTAATGCACATTGTTGTATCTGACAACTAATCGCTCTATACAGTCAAAGTCTTTCCCAGCTTTGAGCTCTCCCGAGCCAGTTCTACAAGCCGAATTACTCCGACGGATTGCTCAGGAGGAACCGGAATTTGCGAGGCATCGCCAGCCAGAGCTGCCGCCAGACGCCGGTAGTACTCTATGTATGTTGGCGGCGTGATGGTCGGGGCGACCTCGCTCACAATCTCGCCACCCTTGACGAGGTTCAATGTGCCGTAGTGCTCTTCCGGCTCGAGACCGTAGCCCTTGTCTCCCGGCTTCAGTCCCAGCTTCCTCAACTGATCCTCTTGAGGATCAAGGTGGAACTTCTTGAATGACCCTTTGACTCCACGGACCCAGAATCGTAATTGATTGACTTCAGGACTGACGACGCCTGCCTTGACGGTGGCCAGCATCTTGATATTGTCGTAGTGGAGTAGAACGGTGCAAGAATCCTCCAACCCGTGAGGATTGACCTCCCTTTGCGATCCAACGAACCCGGTGATACGCTGAGGCATGCCAAAAAGGTACACAACTTGATCGATCAGATGGGTGCCTAGATCGTACACAGCGCCATTGCCAGGGCTGTTGTACGCCTTCCAGTTTTCCGCGGGCGGCTCAGGCCGGTGACGGTCGAAATGAGTCTCGAACTCGGCGATTCTGCCCAGGGTACCGTCTTCGATGTACTTCTTGACAGTCAAGAAGTCAGAGTCCCACCGCCGATTCTGGTAGACGGTGAGAAGAACGCCTTGGGCTTTTGCCAGATCCGTCAGCTCTTTTGCTTCGGCAGCGGTCGGCGTGAAAGGCTTTTCAACAACAACTATAGAATCAGTCAGTAAAGCGTCCGTCGGCAGTTGAAACAAGGAACGTGCCATTTTTCTTCGCGTTCAGCGCTAGTTTGGCTAGGTGTAGATGAGATTCTGGAGCCGTTGAGATGACCACGACATGGACCTGGTCATCCTTGACAAGATCCTCCGCGGAATGGTATAGCTTGATTGAGGGGTGATCTTTGCTTGCATCGTCCCCTGGTTTTGGATGCCGCTGCACAATGGCGTACAGGTTGAACTCCGGAACAGCGGTGATGAAGGGGATATGGAATGTCTTTGCGCTCAAGCCATATCCGATGATGCCGACGTTGTACTTGCCTCCGGCCATGGTGGAATATATGATATAGTAGTATGATATAGTAGTTCTTTGTTAAGGTGTATGTTCAATAAGAGTTTCTGGACGGAATAACCAACCGGACTGGAGTCCTGGGCACAAATGGATGTGTAGAAGGCCTTTATATGACTCGAGATATGGCCCGAGTTCTATGAGGGTTTATTATTACCTACTATTTTGTATGCCCCTGCAGTATTTGAAGTTGTTACTGTCACCGTAGTACCAATATCACGAGGTACTAAAACTGCACGCACACGAGACAAGCATCGAACAAGAGTGGGGAATCGACAACTCTATCGGGAGCGTTTCCTCTTTTTGCAGCATTGCCAGCAAATAGCATCGCAGCCTCCTTCCTTGTTATGTCGGTGGTGGAAATATCCAGAAAGACCGTGTGATTAGTCGGCACTAGTAACTTAGTCGCCGATCACCGTTCGGATACAGTAATACAGAGTATTGGATAGAGAGTCGGTCATGCAGAGAACACTCCCTATTGCATTGTGGCCAGAGCGGATGGTTGCTGTTATGGCAGCTTCATGAATGAACACCACTGCATCACCATCTCTCTCTACCCGCCCACTCTCTGGCGCATCGCTTGTACTCAGAGACCCCTTCCTCAGTCTGTCCCTGAACCGGGAATACTTCTCAGGTCAGGACCAAAGACATCTCCATCCTTTTCGAACCTCTCTTTCTCCAGCTTGCGTTTCTTCAGTGCCTTTTCCGCATCACTGCCTTCTCCCCCTCGCTTCTCTGCAACCTTCGCCTTAGCAACCGCGACAATGTCTGTCTTTTCCGGATTCTGGCATTTAATCAGCTTCTTGCCGATGCGCCCCATCTCCTTACGTTGAGTGGCGTCGTCCTCCGGCGCGCGGTAAGACTCGAGCAGCGAGGCGCAGGCCGAGATGGTGGAGAGAAGCTTTTGCTTGAGTGGGAGCGTGGTTTCGTTAGACGGCAACTCGGCGAGTTTACGGTCGAGATAGACCTGGACCAGTTCTTTATCTGCCACCATTATTGCCGCCAGCCAGATCTGGCTGGGCGTGTAGAGGAAGTAGGCATCAGTCATTTGCGCTGCCGTAGCAAGTAGTCGTTTCGCCTGGTCCGCGGCAATGCCGATTCTCTTCGCCGACCCTGTAGACTTCGAGATGCCTCCCAGTCGGCCTTCATCTGCCATGACATTCATCTCAACGTGCCCGCCGGCGAGACCTTTCATGGGATGTCGTACATCGAGTGTGAACCGAAGCCCTTGTAGAAGCAGGAACTCAGGGGCTTTGACATCGTCCTCGCTCACGTTGTTGAGTTCGGCAACGAACTTGGAGAGAGAGATGTAGAAATGATCTGCTTTCGTGGCGAGGTAAAGAGCACACATCATGATCTGCTTGGGATGATATGTCATGGGCGAGTTGGTGAGGTAGAACCGACGGAGATATTGTATCGCGGTAGCCTGGAATGTAGAGTGAGAACCTGGTAGTAGACCGCGCAAACAATCATCGTTCACTGAACGGTAGAAGGGAGTCATGCCTACCACAATATGCGAAGGTATCCTGGGGTTCATTGCCTCGCCCATGGCCATGATTTTGGAGCAGCCCCATTCCACAATCTTCAGCTCTTCGGCAACTGTGAGAGTTTCAACATTGACTTCGACATCGATGTCCATGGCATCGACATCTCCCCCACTCGCACCATCGTGAGAACCTCCATTCTGTGCAGAGTGCGCAGCGTGTGCTCGATGGAATGCTGCTCTCACTCGCTCAGAGGCGAGGTCGTTGGTATTTTGCCGAATCCTGGCAAGGCTCTCTTTTGTATATGACCAATATCGATACTGCGATGATGCTCTGTAGACGTCGTCTTCAACCATGGTCGTTGTCATTCGGTAGCTTTACCATATGCACTAATCGGCATGGCATGTACAGTAAGAGCTGCAACGATGTGGTTGTCTCCGGTGGTATTAGAAGGGATCAAAGGAGACAGGGCGGCTGATTGTTGATGTGTTGATTGTCAAAGTTCTCTGAGATGTGGTGGACGCCGTCACTCCCGATCTCACAAAGTGAACTTCTGGTTGTATGCAAATTCACAGGTGCACAGCATCGCTAGATTTACGACGTCCAGAATGGACCTATGATCTCTGTTCTACCTAGTCTCTCTGATGCTCGTAGTCTTCATACGAGAAACAAGCCAGCACACATTCATCCGCATGAAATGTCGAAGTGGCTTTTGCAGGTTAGATGGGTTGAGTCTCCCCTCTATGGTCGTGGTTCTCATGATTTACATTCCAACGCCAGATTATGCACTGCTTGTAATCATATCGCTCGTCACTCAGCGCTTCTATGCATAGATGATCCTTGAAAGCAATCTTCTTCACGGCTCGCCCAGTAGCCTGGCGGTGATATCGCCCATATACGCCTCCTCAAGCTCGTAGTCTTGCCCACCATTCCGGTCGATGCCAACATAATTGAACGCTTCCACCACTCTTTCGACGTCGAACCCCATCAGGACAAAGCGGTCTATCAAGTCCTTGTTGTATCCATCATAGACTGCAAGATTGGCAGCCTCTTCTCTCTCTTCACTCTCCTTCTCGGCCTGCTCAATGGTTTGGTCGGTCGAACCACCACTACTCTCTCCGACGTTCGTTTTGGGCGCTCCAGCATATTTGACTGCCCACTCTCTCGCTTGTCTTTCAAACTCCTTCGGGTTCTTGATCAGTTGTTGGGCCACCACAGCATCCTGCGGGTCTTTGGGCTCGGGGGAACTGAGCAATGACTGCAGTGAAATCATGGCAGATTTGATGGTCAACACAGGTGACCACCCCGTGCTCAGGGTATCAAGACAGATCGCACCCTTGACACAGTTAGCTTTCCACGACTTGCAGTGAAGAATTCGCCAAGCTTACTGTCTGACTGGAGATATTGGGGTGCCAGATCTTGGTAATGAACTTCATCACCGGAGGTTTGAAGGGATATTCATTCGGGATGTTGATAGAGACCTCGTAGGTTCCTCCCTCATATGGTGTGCCCTCTGGACCTTTGAAAGAACCACGGAGGTTGGTAATGCTGTCGCCGACTGTTTCCGCAAATATTTGAGACGCGGAATCGGAACGAATGTCTGCAAGGTCCTTGGCTATGCGCCGGGCTTTGTGTCCTGCCATAGTGTGTGTGGTGTGTGGTCGACAATTGCGGACGCTGTCCAACGGCACTTTGACAGAGGAAGGTAGATGGTCCTCGCGCAGAATGGGATCAGGAAACGTCACCAGGGTTGCTGATGTCGACCAAGGTGTAGGTAAGTGTCAGGGAATATGATAACAACAGAGATGGTGTCTAAGGAGTCAAAGAGCGGTTGAAGTCAGCAGTCAAAGACCCCAAGGTGTATGCTTCGCAGCAGAATCACGTCGAAGGAGGATGATGCGCAGTCCGCAGTCGGGTGAGGTTTATTGGTGCCAATAGGCAACCAGATGGTCAACTAATAGATGAACGGTAAGTAGTAGAGTATGTGATATGCTACAATTGATAGCTTTGTCGTGCGTGTCACACAGCCCCTGTGGACGTGTTGCCTACTCTATGGCTCACGAAAGGCAGAGTGCTTGTTTCTGCGCAGCCTCACTACCAGGTATTCTGCGGAGTTGGAGGAGCGGCACTGGCAGGGTTCACCAGCGTCAGTCACGATGCCAGTGGGGGTGAAGTCCTCAGCCGTTCTAGGGAGTGGGAGGTATCTTAAGGATGCCTATGCGGATCTTACTAAGGATACAGGTAAGCTGGACTAGCACCACTGGCACTGCGGGCGATGAGCCTGCGCCAAGGCAACAGAGGCGAGCTGTACTAGTTGTACTACTCGTACTAGAGGTAGTATAGCACTAGGCGTGACCGGGCAGCGTCACCCCAAAGCCTCGCAATCACCGTTACCATCACGCTTTCATTCATCTTCACTGACATCAATTCGTCTTTTCTCACCACAAACATCTCCCTTGATTGATCTATCCCCTTCGATCTCTTCGAGTTTCTGATCATGGTATGATGGAACCGCATCCTCTTCTCTGTATACTCTACTGACAACTTCACAGGGGAATCAACAATCACAATTGGGAGGCGGCCCTCCAGGTCAAGGGGGCAAAGATGATAAAGACAAGAAGGTGCGCGTCATCATCACGATATCATCCTGATATCTACTGACAGCCTCTCCAGAAGGATAAGCCCAAGTACGAACCTCCTCCACAACCGACCACCCGAATCGGACGCAGGAAACGTAAGCAAGCCGGACCGAATGCTGCTGCGAAGCTACCTACAATCTACCCAACCGCGCGATGCAAATTGAGGTACCTGAGAATGCAAAGAGTGCATGACCATTTACTCCTGGAGGAAGAATTTGTCGAGAACCAGGAACGCCTACGAAAGGCGAAAGCCGCCCAGACCCCGGCTGCCGGCGCCGCTGCCGCCGAGGGTGACGCTGCGGATCGCAATGCCGACGAGAGAAGTCGGGTCGACGACATGAGAGGCAGTCCCATGGGTGTCGGGAACCTGGAGGAACTCATCGACGACGACCATGCCATCGTTTCGAGCGCCACCGGCCCCGAATATTACGTCTCCATCATGTCTTTCGTTGACAAAGATCTCCTCGAACCGGGTGCTTCGATTCTTTTGCATCACAAGTCAGTCTCCGTCGTCGGCGTCTTGACGGACGATGCCGATCCGTTGGTGTCGGTCATGAAATTGGACAAAGCACCTACCGAAAGCTACGCTGATATCGGAGGGTTGGAACAACAGATACAAGAAGTCCGTGAAGCGGTAGAGCTGCCATTGCTGCATCCTGAGTTGTATGAAGAGATGGGCATCAAGCCTCCGAAGGGTGTCATTCTATATGGTGCTCCAGGAACAGGAAAGACTCTTTTGGCCAAGGCTGTTGCCAACCAAACGTCCGCAACCTTCTTGCGCATTGTTGGATCCGAGCTCATCCAGAAATACCTTGGTGATGGTCCACGGCTGGTGCGCCAACTCTTCCAGGTTGCTGCCGAGAATGCTCCTAGCATTGTCTTCATCGACGAGATCGATGCCATCGGAACGAAACGGTACGAGTCGACGTCGGGCGGCGAGCGAGAAATCCAGCGAACCATGCTTGAACTGCTGAACCAGCTGGATGGGTTCGACGACAGAGGAGATGTCAAGGTCATCATGGCTACAAACAAGATTGAGACCTTGGATCCGGCCTTGATCCGACCCGGCCGGATCGACCGCAAGATCCTGTTCGAAAACCCCGACACCAACACCAAGAAGAAGATCTTCACCCTCCATACGAGCAAGATGAGTTTGGCCGAGGACGTGGATCTGGACGAGTTCATTGCTCAGAAGGACGATCTCAGCGGCGCAGACATCAAGGCCATCTGCTCCGAGGCTGGACTGAGAGCGCTTCGGGAGAGAAGAATGCGGGTCAACATGGCGGATTTCCGCAGCGCAAAGGAGAGCGTGATGAAGACCAAGAACGAAGGCGAGCCCGAAGGTCTGTACTTGTAGGCATTCCTAGCGGGGACGGAGGGGTCTGAGCTGGTGGTCCTGGTATCCAAACCTTGCCGGTGTACTTTTACATAGAACGGACTACGTACTTTCAGCAGACGAGGATGCAATGGAGAATACTGAGAGCAGAGGTTGGTCCAAATGCATAAGAGACCTCTCGGCCTGTAGAGCGAACGTACGTGTCTTTGACTCTTCCATTATGCATCTGCCATGGCAGGCAACTCGTGTCTATTCTTGTTATATCGATCAATCCAAAATGGATCCGAAGCTGCACGATCGCTCGTGCGCCTGCGCCTGCGCATGTCCCTCCCCACGAAGCGCCAGCTTCCGAGACAGGCCAACGCAGGCTATTCGGAAGCGGTACCCTTGTCACAGCCAATGCGGCCGAGGAGCTCCTTGCGATCGCTGCTAGCCGCGAGCAGATTGACGCTCGACGAGTGGGCTGATTCGTGCTTGTGCTTCCTCCGGCTGCCGTTCGAAGTAGAACGTGTAATGTCCGACCCGGCGCTCCGTTCTGGGGCCGATCCAAAGGAAGCTGGCTTGTGCTTGGGTTTTGACCTCATCGTCGATTTCGACGAGTTGGACAGAGAGAAGTTGGCGTCTGTGCTTAGGACCTCGGTCTCGTGATGTGACTGTGGCTCGACGCAGAGTTGGACGGTGTCGATGTAATTACTTCCTTTGTTTTCAGGGCCCGCCAGATGCATTCTTTCCGTCGAGATATCTTCCTCCTCGTCATCCTCATCATCCGAGCGGACATCATCCGCCCCTTGCCCGGTCAGGACTCTGTAGGCGACTCTGATGATTGCGGCAAACCAGATGAGCAGAACTACCTGCAGTGCGACAAGCGACAGGAGGAAAGCCCATTTGATGCTGTTGTTCCAACACACGAGCCCCACAGGATCCCGGAATGGCTGTATCAGGTGACTCCAGTCATTGGGCGTCGGTGACGGCCCCTTCAGGTCAAGCACGCTTCCTTGGTAACAACCGTATCTGATCTCTTGGGGGATGTGGGCATAAATGCTGTACAAGACCCAGGTGTACAGTACATGCCTTGTGACAAACCAGGTGACCATGAACACGCCAAAAGCGACGTCGCATGCAGTGTTGAAGTGGAGGTACTTGAGGATCTTGGCCGTCGGCAAGATCACGTCCACAATATCCATCAGGGAGAGGATCAGAGTCCCGACCCGATATTGGTGATAGCCATAGGAGGTGAATATGAGGCAACAGGTGATGATGTGGTGCACAAACATCTGCATGTAGTCCTTGCGGCGCTCCTCGATGTTGACCACCACGATTTGCTGCAGGTAAAAGCCGAATTGGACCAGGTAGTACCATTTCGCCAGTCCTTCCATCTCTCGAATCGGCCAATTTCGCCATAATGCCCGCACGTCCAACCAGTAATCCGAGGTATACATGGTGTACATGCCAACACTCCAGGAAATGCTGTAGTAGAGCAAAAGCCACGCTTGTTCTGCGAATCGAACCTTTGGCTTTTTCTTCTTGATGCCCAGGGAGGATGCCAGGGGTCCGAGCAAATAGTCCATGACCGCACAGCGAAGGCCGCTAAAGACGACAATCCAGTAGAAGACGAAGAAAATGTCGTCCCAGCCAAGGGCAAACGTGCCAGTGGCCGGGTTGTAGTAGGAAATGCGGAAGAATTTCTGGGTATGGTGGCGCGCGGGAGGGAAGAATGTGTGTATGAAGAACAGCATCGAGATGAGATTCAGAGATATACCTGAGGTCCTGTTCAGCACGGTATTTGGGGTCATCCTCTCTCTTGTCATGACTTACTGATTTGATGGTCCACGATCCATGTGCCAGCGAGTGCCAGGCTGCTCTTCTCTTTCCCCCTTTTCTGCCATCTAGGCCAAGCGGTCTTTTGTGAGGGTGTATCATTGTGTGGACGTCGGTTGGTCGCCGGTTGAGATATTCTTTCTAGTTTCTCCTGATCCGCCAAATTCCTGCCGTCCATTTTACAGCAACGTCCCTCAAACGTTCGAAAGAATGTCGAGGCGATTCGCAAGAGTAGTGGACCTCAAGACTGATCGCACGCGAAAAGGAAAGTCTATGCCGTCGAGGAGGGAGAAGGTCTAAGGGCGAGCTTCTGCGTGTTGTAATGTAGGCGATGTTGTGTGGGCGCCCAGCGCAGCCAATGTGTGTTGCGGTAGCGACTTGTGACAAGTGAAAGTCGGAAGGAGAGGACAAGCGAATGACAGATCCAGTTGACAGCAGGCCTTGTTGCTAGACCATGATCATAGCAATCGAACGGAGTTTGGGATTCAGTAGTGGAGCGATGCAGAAAGTCAAGAGGTAGTGAGTACGGAGCAGGAAAGAGGACGAGGAGGAGGGGGTGAGTGTTCGTCCGGGGGAGCTCGTTTAGCGAGTAGTAGTAAGTAGTAGTAGTGGTAGTAAATGCGGAATCTGTCGTCCGGGGCTGAGATAGGAAACGAGTCGAGTCGATCCGCGTCGCTTCAATCAGATCACAGATAAATGAAGATAGTGGACAAGGTAAAGACTTGAGATTGAAAGGCGGTGTGGGAAGTTGCCAAGTTCAACAAACTACCTGGTACATACATGTATTTACTGTTTACTATTTTATTTGCTGTGTACGTGTCAGAAACTCCAACGTAGCAAGATACGTACTACGTATTTATTTCCTTAGGCACTGCAGGTACAGAAAGAACTTTACTACTAGCACCGCAGTTCAAGGGCGACGGCGGTTCTCAATTGCAGGTGGAAACATTATTGCAGAAGGACTTGACTGGTTCTACTCTTCCGTTCTCCCCCCAGCTGCTACACACATGTCAAGGAGTCAGGTCTATTTTTTCCCTTCAATCGGGTTGTCCTTGCGAACTCGCCTTGTTCCTTGGACCCTGATGTGGCTTGACTGCTTAGGTACTTAAAAGGGGTCAGTGTGGCCTCATCAACGAGTGCTTGTGCATGTGCCAGGCCTGTTCCGTATCCCTCCTAGGGTTGATCAGGCTGCCGCTCAACAGCTTCCGCTGCCCCAAGCTTCCTCATCCCTGCATCAGACATTTTGTCTCGTGGATGCTGATTGCACGCTCAGATCCAGGTACGCGAGAAGGAGGGAGTTGCAGCACCAATAGCAGGACTTGCACATATCCACCTATGAGCGGCGCCCCTTTATGTCATCCAGACTTCGGTCCGGCGAGCACGTCGTCTCTAACCGTCCTGCCTTATTTGTGTCGTCGATGCCGATGCGTGCGACTAGACTTCCGTCGTCTACTGCGTCAGAGTTCCGCTGCAACGGCTCGCTTACGCTTGAGTTTGAACTTTTGAAGCCCCTCTCGACACTGGTGATGGGTGCCGAAGTAGTAAAGTGATGCCCTTCACTGCAAGTTCAGCGCCACAATCCGTAAGCCTCTTTGCACGCTTTCCAGAGTTTGATGGTTCCGTCTTCGCTTCCAGTGGCATAAAGCTTGCCGTCAGGGGAGAATGCAGTCGTCCAGATAGGGCCATGGTGACCCTTGAGAACCTCTGTCGGTTGCATTAGCACATTTCATGGCTCGTAGAAGGGATTGCCCTACCCAATTCCTTCTCCTGGACGAAATCCCACACTCGCACCCACGTGTCTTTGATTCCACCAGTCACAAATCTGCCACTGGCAGGGTTGATGGCTACGCTTGCAACATCATGATCAAAGTTGACCTGCTTGATCAGTTCCCCAGGTCTTCCAGCGTCGAAAAAGAAGCACGAATGTCCAGCGGCCACACTGAGGATGCCTGGATCACTGTCCTCCGATCTATTGGTGGAGAGTTCGCATGAACCAATATCTCGATCCGTTCTGAAGCTGGCAACAACGCTTTGAGTTCTCAAATCCCACCAGCGTATGGTCTTGTCCTCGCACGCAGTAGTAAGAATGTTGTAGTCAACATTCCAGACGATTGACTTGACACTTCCGCCGTGTTGGCCTGGTCCGATCTCGAGTCCGTCGGAAGTGGTGGATGGGGTGACGAGTGACCCGCCATTTGCCTGAGCAGGAGAAGCAGCACTACCTCCCCGGGTAAGGTCAAATATCTTCAGCTTCTTGTCCTGACCACCGGTCGCTACACATTGTGGGTTATCCTGGATGGGAAAGGCGACAGCTCGCACAATATGGTCGTGGTTGAGGATGTGTAGACATTCTCCCGTCTGAGGATCCCAGATTCTCCTGTTCGCCATTAACATCTAGTCATGCTCACACAAGAAATTGATCGTACGCCGAGAAGTCTGCTGAGCCAGTGGCTGCAATTTTGGCATCTGAAGATAGCCTGGCCGACCACACTGCACCCTTGTGCCCAATGAAGGTTCCTATCCTGGGACAATTTTCAACTGCGTTTTCATGTTTGCAAGCCAACGTACATACCAGTCACCTGTAATGCCATCTCTCAGCATAGGATTGTTGTCTAAAATGAATCAGACCCATATGGTACCACCAAATTCTTACAAAGATTGTACCTTTGCTGGCGGAGATAAGGTAATATTGGTCACCATCCACCATAGAAGAGAAACTTAGGTGAGTTATGGGCCGTGAGTGACCATGACAAGTCAGAGGTACAATTCGTGGAGTATCTATTCCCCGTTAGAGACATAAACGAATGTCGAACGCAACCAGCTGAACACCAGTATCGCGAAGAAGGTTTAGCCTTACCTCCAGACATGATCAGAGTCACGCGAGAGGTTAGATCGAATACACCAGCGTAATGCGCTGTGGGACCACTTCGTTAACACGTTGAGGAAGCAGAGAATTATGTCCGTTGTGATTAGAGCCAGGCCAGAAACGTTGGTGATGGCAGTCGGTTTGATGATTTAGGTGAAAGAATATAAACTGTCTGCCAGGGTCTGCCAGGGTAAACGAGGTACAAGGAAAGGTTGAGAAGGTGAAGCGGACTTGGACTGAAACTCTGCAAAGATCGGTGTCGCGACGTTCAGTGATTGAACTCCATTGTCTCACTCTTCACTTCATCTTCAATCAGCACAGCAGGTCTCGAACATGACTAAGCAGTATACGGTGGAGCACGTCCCAGACAAGCAGGTAAATGCGGGTGGGAACGAATTTGGAAACTCTGGCGAGATCACGTGCCAAAATTTGGCTGGAGGCCATATGGCCGTCAGTAGAAGGCTGGGCTAAGCCCTAAATAGAATAGCTCTTCATACTCTCCTCTCTTCTCCTATCTTCATTGTCTTGTGCTTCGCTGTGACTTGTCTTCCTGCTACCATTGTTGCTACCGCCTCAATGCTGCCACATGCACTGCCTTTGGTCAGGCGGCCAGTCAGAAAGCATGCACTAATGCCGTACTTCTCTACTCTTGTCGACACCAGTCCAGGAGCACAGGCACCTGCTAAGACGTTGCTTTGTTTCCTTTGTTTCCAACTCTCTCCACAGTCTCGGTGGGTGCGTTAGGGGACAAAGAGAGCACTACGCTGCCAACCCTTGTTGCTCTTCACAACCTCTTTGATCGCTGTAGCCTTGTCTCAGAGTTTGGTACAGTTTAGGTATCTTCCGCAGATGCCTTGCTCCGGCGTCGCACCTGGTACATCTGCTATCGCACGTCTTTGGAGCTTATCATGATGGTAGGTTCACGTATAAGGAGGAAACGGAGGGGTTTTCCCTGTTTGGCCGGTCCTGTATCAACCCCAAAAGCCATTGCTTCAAACAAGACTGCTGCACAGCTACGGTATATATTCTCATCCCCTGGGCGGTATGCTCAATCTGCCCGAGACATGGCTTGACAACACCTGAAGGCAGTTTGCACACTGCGCTTCTGCCTGGTGTATCTTGTGAAGGTATCGTTGGGGCGACTGCCACGGCGACCGAAGTCTGAACTGCTTCACCGGCGGGGATCTGATGACTTGAAATATCTGCAGTTACTCTGCTAGATTTGCTCTTCTCTTTTCTTTCTCATCATATACAGTGTCCTGCCGTCCTTCTAGTACATTGACCAGCAAACAATTCAATCAGCAATCCAGGAGAGCAACGAGTCAGACAAACTCTAAAGAGCCAACTGCAACTTCAATCCATTGAACAACTCTTCAGCCTCGCTTTCTTCATCAGGTAAGCAGACTGACTCTCGAGATGGACGTGTCTAAGAATCTCCTCAGTCGTTCCAGGGCGAAGGTGACCTCTGCTTTCAGAAAGGTCAGCGCCACAGCCTCGCACTTACTCCACCGCCAGAACGCGCGAGCTCGCACTGCTACCCCTCGCCCAGGTGTGGTGCAGGACACCGCATCAATAGACAACTCAGGTGCTGACGCCGCCATTCCAATGCCCGAGCCTCGCACAACTGGTCCTCACCCCACCGCCGTCCAACCTTTGAGACAGTCGATCTTGCGATACGTCAGCACAAACTACAGCGACGGCTCAAGCATTGCCGACGTTTCTTCGACTGACTCGGGTGCTTCTTCTCCCTTTGCTCCTAACGGGAACGAGGGTGGCGCCACTTCAGGACCAGGTCTATACTATAGAGAATACACGGTGCTTGGAGAACGACGGGCTGCAGACAACTTTGCGCTATGGCCCATCGACTCCCCACTGACGGCGATGAGTCAACCTCGCCTTCCCGACGCTGAGCCCGCCACGTCGGTGGTCGGTCAATCAGCACGCACTCTCCGATGTCGGTCTATTCACATTGGTTCTTCCCTTCGGCAGGTCTCCAAGCATGAATCCAAACCCAGTGTATCAGACGATGTCAATGCCCAGATCTTTGGACCAGTACAGACAGGCAATGACGACTCGGATCCACCAGCGACTCCTAACCCAGACGTTGCATCTGCACCAAAGCTGTCTTTTTCCAGCGCCGGTGGTAGATCTTCAGCCTCGTGGAGCCATCGTACACCCTCAACTCCGGGGGACAGTTTCGTGGTTGGAGATTCGAGCATCCTACCTGATCCCTTCGTCGAGCGACCAGCTCCAGCACGTGCAGCAGGGAGCCCACAACAAGACGCTCCTGTTGTTGCTAGCGCGAAGCCGTCACCAGCGGGCCGCTGGTCCGACTTTGACTCGGACGAATTTTCTAGCATGGGTAGCAAGCGTCTCGTGCGCGCTACCTCGAAGCAATGGGAGCTCCGACATGAGTCTCAGCGTCGTTGGTCCGACTTCGAGTCTGACGAATTTTCGAGCAGTGACGGCAAACATCTGGTCCAGGTTGGCCCGCAGCAATGGGAGCTTCAGGCTGACAATCGACTGCCTGAAGTACAGCAAGCAACACCGTCACAACTTCAGCCAGAGACCATCATGACAGAGCTTCAGCAGCCTGAAGCCTTCAACATCAATGACCCTGAGGGCTATCAACCGGTGCAACCGGGCGCATTGGCCGGCAACTGGTCTCTGCCCAGCAGCATGACCAGTGAGCAACACCTACGGCATACGGAGCGTGGCTTGTTCGCCGCCCAAAACGCACTCCCAGCGATCCGCGGGTTGCGCTACGCTGTCGACCGTGCGGCCACGGACTTGCAGGCTTTGACCCTGGAGAACAAGGCCTTGGAACGGATCGCGGCAGAGTACCAATTCAAGACAACTCAGGTTCTGGAGCCGGAGCTGTTGAGAGCATGGGAAGCGCTGCGTGAGCGCGACGCGGAGATTGCTCGGTTACGAAGCATCGTTGTCTCAATTCAGGGCGTTCAGGCCCTGGAGAACAATACTGCTGCAGACGCAAACGGTGAGTCTCATTCCTCGAACTCGTTGTTATTGGCGCCTGCCGAGTTCGCCTATCAAGGCCACCATCACTACCATGCCACAGCTGCTGCCTCAGCCGCCAATACTAATCTACCATCCTCGCAGAGTTCCCCAAATCATCAAGCTGTACGGACCCCGCCGAGACAGATCTACGGTGAGCCCCAGCTCGAGTATGACACAACTGCCGAGACTGAATCCGGATATACTTCCGAGTCCGAGACGGATGATATGTACAGCTCTTAGGGGGATGTGTGAAGAGGAGTGTTAGCTGACTGGAGCGGCACACTCTCTACTGGCAACATGTTTGCCTCTTCAATGAGATATCAAGTGAGTCTTGTTAAGTGGGTTTGACTGCCTTGGTTAGGGATACAGCACTATGTATTTTTGTACTCTGGAAAATGCTATTTGATGAACCTGCTCACAGAGCCTTGCTGCAATTGCGTGTTGGATCCTTCACCAGTGATGAACTTCTTGTGTCTGGCTCACACCGACTGTTTACCAGCTCTATTGATATCGATGACACCATGAATCTTGTAGATCGCACAGATGGGCTTGCCCGCTGAGGAGCTTCATCCTTTCAACTATAGGTCTCACCGTCATGCGTTGGCGAATACTGTCGAGTAGCATCTCCTGTCTTGACCATGTAGATAAGTGTTTCAGCTACTATGAAAGCAGCGTAATACAATCAAGAGCTAGTCCCCAAGTGGAGAGATGCCAGTATTATCAGGATATGTAAATATGGCGAAGAAATATATGTGTAGGTAGTTGCAGAGCCTCGGCTGGTTCAAGGGGCATACAAGGCTGAGTTAATCTACAAGTGGAAAAACAGACTAGAGCGCCAAGATATTTATCTCCGTGAACGAAATTTATTATCTCCGAGAGACATTTTCCTGCGTCCGCTTGTGCCTCTCTACTGTTAGACAGTCACTGCGGTCGTACATCCATTGCCATCCAGACATTGCCATATTGCGCAAAGTCACGATGCCGCGTCAGGCTCATGGAAGGCCAGTGCAGGTCGTCAAGCCAAAGAAGCCGTCGAAGAAAAGAGCCTCCAACAACCGCAGGCTCAACGCCCTGGAAATTGCGGAGCAGGAAAATCCAGACGAGTTCAAGATTCCGCAACACCGTCTCGGAACGATCGATGACGATGACGATGACCACCCACGAGGCCATGAGGACGCTGATGATGAACGGTCGTCGAAGAGAAGAAAGATCGAGGAAGATGATTCTGCAGAAGAGGGTTCAGACCCAGATGGGGAACGGTGGCACGTGGGGGTGGACGACGATGACGACGACAGCGACATTGACAGCGAGGAGGCCTTTGGCGAAAGTGACGAAGAGCGGTTTGCAGATTTCACGTTCCGTGGAAGCGCCGATATCCCCGTCGTGACGAAGAAGCATCGAGCTTCAAAGGACCTTGATCTGGATGAGAGCTCCGCCGAGGGGCGTACAGATGATGATGAAGATGAACTTGACGATGATTTCGGGGAGGAAGGTGTTGACTTGGCTACGGCGTGGGACATGGACGACGAGGATGAACAGGAGGCTGCCAAGAAGAAGACAAAGAAGAAGCAGCAGAAACGTCGAAGACCAGGAGGAAGCGATACCGACGAGGATGAGGCTGATGAAGGCTCGAATCCCACCTCCGGTGAGGAGGATATCTCTGAAATCGAAGATGATGCAGAATCGGAATTGTCGATCTCCGACGATGAGGGTGATCATTCGAGACTACAGAATTTTGTCGAAGGGCTTTCCAATAGCCGGGAGGCGAAAACGCGCAGGCGACAGGACTACAAGAGCTTGCCTGACAAGCCGTCTCAGTTCGGTCTGAACTCGACCAAAATCTCAGCGTCCGACCTGCTTCAGTACATCAAAGATCCCCGTCAGCGACAATCTCTCAAGGTCCTACAGAACAATGAAGAGAAAGGGCACGAGGCTTACAAAGGCGGCGTACCAGGGAAACTTGCGCCTCCTTTGGCCAAGAGACAACAAGATCGTCTTGACCGAGAGGCTGCGTACGAAGAGAGCAAAAAGGAGCTAGGTAAATGGATCGAAACGGTGAAGCAAAATCGACGAGCAGAACACCTCTCTTTTCCACTTGTGGACCCTGCTGCGGCCGCCGCACCGGGCCGTAAAAAACTCGGTCCAACAACTCAGGCACAGCCGATGACTTCTCTAGAGTCCACGATTCAGTCCATCATGGTCGAAAGTGGAATGCTGTCCAAGGAGAATCGTTCTCTCGATGACCAAGAGCAAGCTTACGAAGAGCTTCAGGAGAAACAAATTCCATTGGAAGAAGTTCAGGCAAGGAGGGCAGAACTTCGCCGAGCCCGCGAGCTAATGTTCCGGGAGGAGATACGAGCACGACGGATCAAGAAGATCAAGAGCAAGGCATATCGTCGCGTTCACCGTAAGGAACGTGAAAAGGCAACCCTTGAGAACAGGACTCTGCTGGAAGCACAGGGTATGATCGACTCGGACGAAGAACGAGAGCGGAACGATCGTCGTCGAGCGGAAGAGCGCATGGGGGCACGGCACAGAGAGAGCAAATGGGCCAAAAGCATCAAGGCTACAGGAAGGGCTGCATGGGACGAGGGTGCCAGACACGGGGTGACCGATCTTGCCCGGCGAGACGAAGAACTTCGCAGGCGAATCGAGGGCAAAGTCAACGGTGATCCCGATGAGTCAGAGTCGGAGTCAGAGGATTCCGATCAATTCTCAGGGACGGACGATGAAAGGGAGTGGGTACAGAACAAGCTTGACAACGTTGACCGTGATGAGCCTGACACCACCGAGACACGCCTCAACTCAATGGCTTTCATGAAGAAGGCAGAGGCGGCCAGGAAGGCTGCCAATGACGAAGAAGTCAAGAGCCTCAGGCGCAGTCTGCGAGACGAACAGGGCGACTACCTGGAAGAAGGGGAATCTGAGGATGACGAACCCGCGGGGCGTCAAAAGTTTGGTCTGCAAGCAACAAAGGGAGAGCCGGCGCATCAAGTACCCATTCAGAAAAGCGAGTTCGAAGAGCGCGAGTCGGATACTGAGCTCGACATGGTGGATGAGCCTGCTGGAGCCCAACGCTCAGGTGTCGACCACGCACCTCCCAAGGCGACATTTGCCAACAATGAACCGACACAACCACCAAGGCCGAGCACTGACACGCAGGCACAGAATAAGAAACCTCAGTTGAAGGGTCCCAACAAGACAACCTCAGAAACGACCGCTACCACTGCCCCGGGCAAGCTGCCGAAAAGGGGCCCTAGGGTGGTCGAACATGAGCTTCATGATTATACCAGCCCGTCAGAGTCTGAAGACGAGCAAGACACCAAGTCTGCCCTTGCTCGGGCCATCTTCGCCGGTCCCGACGAAGTTGAGAAGGACTTTGCCAAGGAGAAAAAGGAGACTGTGGAGGAAGAGGGTGACCACGTTGTTGACAACAGTCTTCCCGGTTGGGGAAGTTGGGCCGGCGAGGGTGTCAGTAAAAAGGCTCAGAAGAGGGCCAAGGGCCGCTTCTTGACCACGATCAAAGGAGTGGCAGAAGACAAGCGACAAGATGCCAGGTTGGAGCGCGTCATCATCAACGAGAAGAAGGTAAAGAAGAACAGCAAGTATCTGGCCAGCGAGCTGCCTCATCCCTTCGAGACACGGCAGCAGTACGAGAGGTCGCTCCGCCTTCCTCTCGGCCCGGAATGGACCACGAAGAGCACGTTCCAGGATGGAACCAAGCCACGCGTCCTGATGAAACAGGGCATCATCCGGCCCATGGCCCGACCGTTGGTGTAGAATGACAGTATTCCTGTGCTTCACCGAGCACCACTGAGCATGCAGAGTGATGGTCTGGGCGTCGATGGAGTGATATGTGTGCCAGTGGTGGTTTGGTCAACTCACAGCCTTGCCGGTTGACCAATGTTATTACTCATGAGCAAGCTGAGCTGAGCTTGTGAATTGTTTCTCCTCAGTTCTAGATCTCTCAAGCCCCAAACTATCCCTCTTCTTGCGTAACGATCCGAATCTCGCATTGTTTTTTACTATTGCTGGATGCCGCATATTCAACGACGGCGATACAAGCAGGAGGTTTTGCGTGAACGACGGGAGCAGATGGTACGTCAAACTCGCGTGGCGAGAGGTATCGAGGAAAGAGTATAGAGAAGAGATGAGATGAAGTTGACGTGTTGAATCGACGATAGGATTGGTCTCGTAAACAACATTAGTACGTAGTAGTAGTTGGTAGCAAACAGCCACCAACCACACTCCAAGATTATAGATACCTCTCACCTCATCCAACGAACTCATCATCAGATCCATCTTCCTCCAGAACAGAGTAGTTAATTCTCTTCACTCTTTTCCGTCACGCAACGACCGGCACAATCGCCTGCGTGGCCTCAAGGGCCCTTTCGTCGACGAAGTCTGGTTCTTCACGTTGCCAATGCGACGGATTGACGTGGACCGGGTGACAGGCGCAGGGGACACTTGCTGCCACTGCCACTGCCCTCGCCATCGCCATCGCCGGCAGTTCCAGGCGCTACACCACATCTTCTTTCTCGCCAATTGTCGGACCTGCCTACTATGCCAATTGTACCTGGCTGTTCCTTCAATGCAACCACAGAAGATGGAAGCGGCGAAAATGCTCAGGGAGGAAGAGGTAGGGAACTCGTCATCAAGAGAGAAGAAAGCGCATCACAGGGAGGCGCGATGGACGACATGTTCGGGCACATCGACCACAATGTGAATGCCTTCGACTCTCCTGGTTCATTCTCCTTGCTCGATCTCGACACCGAATATCCTTCATCGTCTTCTCCTCTCGCTATCGTTATTCCTCCTGAATGCCATCAGCATCATCCCTAAGCCCCTGAGCTATCCTTTTGGATTCATATTCATAGCCGCGCTCCTCGTGTTTCTCCCATCGTCCCTCTGCCACGCTGCTTTCTTCAAGCTCGAGCCTCCGGCCGACAGACACACGGATCACGCTACTCGCCGTGCATGTTCGCGCCAAAGCCCGCTGGTCTCGCTCTGGTATGGTACTATGCTTGATGATGGCCCTGTTGCAGGCTCCTCTCTGCCCTGCACGCTATCTCGATTTGGAAGTCTGTTGTCGCTTGATACTCTCCAGTATCATCATCAGTCTCCATGAAGTTTGATTCAAAATCTGCCATCAGCAACCTTCAAGCATCGCGGAAGCTCCTCAGGATTGCTACTCCAAAAACATCTCCGTCTCTCTATCCTCCGTCTCTCTATCCTGCTCCTCATACTCTCGATACCTTGATCCTGTGAAAACCACAACCCATTCAAGAATCAACTGCAAGGGGCCCAGCCCAAAGGGATCTTTTCAATCTCATCCCTTGAAACATTCTCCAATCCCCTTCTCTCGTCTGATTGGCTAAGTGCCAATCTACAATTCCTTTCTCATACTTACTATCATGCAGACACGATGGACACCGATCTTGCTAACAGCTTCACAGGCATTCCTCGTCGGAGCTTTACCAGCCCCTCTGAAATACAGTAAGTTTAAACCCCATCTATCCGGATTGCTGAGGGCACAACCAAGGTGGTCCTTCTCACGGCTAGTCACTAACCTCAGTGTTCCTCACTCTAGGCGCTCATGGTTCCGTCTTCACGGACGGACCTCCCTGGTCAACATCGTATCCTGATGGAGATCCTTTCACCAACACTCTGATCAAATGGAACTGGGTGCCGAGGTCGACGGCCCCGACTGCAGGAGCCTCCTCGTCCTTGTCTTATGAGAGCATTGCAACACCCAGCGAAACTCCCACGAGCACTTCGGACGCAAGCAATGGAGTGGCTACGGACAGTACAGACTCCCCAACATACATTTCTACTATCACTTTCGTGGACCCCCATCTGAGTATTCAGACGGTCACTGTGACGCGTTGGTCATCCTCGCAGGACCCGACGGTGACCTCTGCGAGCCAAAGCGAGCCAGACACAACCGGGGTAAGTCATCCTCCGCTAATTGGGAAGCCAATTACTGATAGATTCAGTCACTCATCACTTCGTTGGAGACCGGTGGAAATCCTCCCGTCCAGCCATTCCCAACGAGCGTGCCGACTGTATCCTCGGCGACTTTGCTGCCTCTTGGTAGTACTGTTCCCTTTGGTAACGCAACGGCGACGAGCTCCCGGAGTACTGTGACTGAAACTATAACACTGCCACTGACCACCTGGGAGACGGTGCTCGTAACACACACTATCACCACGGTACCTGTCGCGACGACCGCTGTGGTCACGGCTGTCACGGTGGTCAACACGACCATTTCATCGAATGGAACGGTCTTCACTACTTCGTCTGCCGGGACCACGGTTATGACAACCACGGGAAGTGCGTTGGTCGAAACCACTCTCTCCGGGTCTTTAACCGTCACCTCCACTGCGGCAACAACAATCACTACCGACGGTTCTCTGACGAATCTGCCCACTGCCACCTCCACTTGCCTGCTGAGTATGGGTTGTTATGGTCAAGACATGTTTCAGCCTATCGCACTTGGGCAACCTCCGTCCAATATTGAGCAACGAAGCGGCCATCCAGTGCCCCGGCTAGGTATCAGCAACACCACGGAACCCTTGGAGACCAATAAATTCTACCAGAATTTCGTTTTGGGCACACAAGGGAACCCCAGCTTCGTCATGCCCTATTCCCTAACTTGGAGCAAGGGCAGTGGCAATGCTCAGAGCTGGGGAATGGCTATCGCTCACATTGACGACAGTCAGAAGGTTTTTGGTCCAGCAAATAGCGCCATTCCCAATTCGCCCTACTCGTACTATATCAACCCGCTGGGCATTCAATCACTTATCATGTCTGCGAGCGAGTTTGGATCAAGCACCGTGATGACGTCCGATTCCTTACTGGAATTCTCTGCCAATATCCATCTTCAACCCTCGGCAGGCTCCTCTTCCATGCTCACTATGCCCGTGGTTCAGGGAATGGGCTTTGTTACTGGTCGATACACCAATCTGCAACCCGCGTTGCAGAGCAGTGTCTTCTTCCGGAATGTCGCGGCCGCTGGGGAACCCAAGCCTGGCATTTACAAATACAGGGCCACCCTGGAAGACGGGAAGGTTTGGCTCATATATGCAATCCCAACGACGGGCGGCTCTCCAAACTTCCAGCTCGTGTCCAGCACCCTGCTCCAGGGGATTTCGAACTGGTATGGTGACATTCAAATCGCAAAGCTCCCTGATGCAAGCCTGGAATCAATTTACGACAGTGCGGTTGGCGCCTATCCGACAGCGGGACATATCGCCGGGTACGCACACGGAGCTGCAGCTCAATATAGTCTGTCGTGGAGCAAGGGCGGCGCATACTCCAGCAATGCCACCCTCTTGATGTTCGCTCTGCCTCATCATGTTGACTCATTCGACGCCATCACCCAGGCAGCCATCACAGACCTGCGACTGAGTACCACCACCAAAGGCAATGCCACTGCAGTGGTCGCGGATTACTGGGTATTGGAAGAGGCAGAACTGCCAACCACTCTCGACTTTGCCCCTTGGAGACCTGGCACTTCCACCGAGAATTTGGTCGCGTTGTCTTCAGCAGCCATTTCGGCCATCCAGAGCGTGGCTGCCACAGAAGCCTCTCAAAACATGTCTGCCCAGACCAATCTCGACAGTATGTACTACAGCGGAAAGGCTCTCAGCAAGTTCGCGACGCTTGTGTATACCATGCACGACCTCGCCGGCCAGCAGGACCTGGCCAAATCGGCTCTGCTTGAACTCGAGAGTTGCTTTGAAGTCTTCTCTGCCAACCAGCAAGAATATCCTCTGGTCTACGATACCGACTGGAAAGGCATGGTGTCGTCAGCAAGCTACGTTACGGGAGACTCGGGCGTGGACTTTGGAAACTCGTACTACAACGACCATCATTTCCACTATGGCTACTTCCTGCACGCGGCCGCCATCATCGGTTATCTCGATCCTACCTGGCTCGATGCGCACAAGGATTATGTCAATGCCCTGGCCCGGGATGTGTCCAATCCCAGCTCGCTTGATCAATACTTCCCGGTGTTTCGGTCCTTTGATTGGTATCATGGTCATTCCTGGGCGAAAGGTCTTTTCGAGTCCGGCGACGGCAAGGATGAAGAATCGTCATCTGAAGATGCCATGTTCGCTTATGGTCTCAAGATGTGGGGCAAAACCATTGGCGATGCCTCGATGGAAGCCCGGGGCAATCTGATGCTGTCTGTTCTTGCACGCAGTTTGCAGAGTTATTTCCTGATGACCTCGGACAATGTCAATCAACCAGCCGGTTTCATTGGCAACAAAGTGACGGGGATTCTGTTTGAAAACAAGGCCGATCATACCACTTACTTTGGCACCGATTTCAGCTACATTCAAGGGTTCGTTGACAGCACATTGGATCTCTCTTCAACTACTGACTTTTGCAGCATTCACATGATCCCTATCATGCCTTTCTCGACGTTGACCCGGACACGTAAGTTGATTGCACCGCCGTCTACTAAGGATGGGTTCGGCTAACACATGAACAGAGCAATTCGTGGAGGAAGAGTGGGCGACCTACTTTGCAGATGGTGCGGTGAGACAAGCGTCTGACATTACAGGAGGCTGGAAAGGTAACTCCCCTGCCTGGGAACGATTGTGGGATAGGCACTGACAACTCTCAGGTATTGTATATGCAAATCTGGCGATAGTTAACCCGACAGCAGCATACAACTTCTTCACCCAGTCAGACTTCGACATGAGTTGGATTGATGGAGGAGCTACTCGAACATGGTACATTGCACTGAGTGCCATGCTTGGAGGGGCTTCGTGATCAGCCAACGAATGTGACGACTGACGACTGACGACCTTTGTTTTGATTTCAGCATGGCGACGGACGGTTAGGATTGGCCGGTATTTGACGGCGTGGCCTGGCGCCTGGTTATGGGCATTTACGGGCTCAAGATCACGGGATCAAGGCTCGTTGAAGAAAGAGGAAGGAGTTTGGGCGTGGATTGGATCAATGACAATACCCCTATAGCGTTCACCATCAAGATGAGCAGAGACTCTCAATTTCACAATCAAGACGCATAGCTTGTCGGTCATATTCTGTAGCTGAACGTTGTGGTCCGGTACCGTGGAGAGTTAGCCAAACAGCATGTCAATTTGTTTTTGGCTTGACTCCTTGGGCATGTTGCGCGAGACTTGATCCTGCCAATGCCCATCATCCCACTTGAAGACAATTCCTCTCTTTACCTTCTCCAATTGGGCGATCCTCGCCAAAGGTGTTTGCTTCAGCACGGAGCGTGCTAGGATGCGGCGCAGTAAGCGAATCCTCAACTTATGCGGGCGGCCGTTGACGGCATCCTTGGCCCGAGGCCCCGGTTGAGGGCCGCTGAGAATCAACGTCGATTGTTTCTCGGCCGCCTGTCGCTGTTCCACGTCCGGGGCCACCGAAGCTCTGGGCCGTCGGGGTTTGAGAGCCGGGAATTTGGAGGCGCCCGTCGTCAGATTGTACACCTCCCTGTACTCCGGTTCGGGAAGAGGGGGCAGCACAGCCTTGAGGTTCTGCAGATACCACTCGTGCTTCAGATTCTTGTATCTCCTCTCAGGCAGTGGATTGCCCCAGGTCGTCTTTTCGGGCGGTGAGAAGCGCACCTTGACCTTCAGGTTTGTACCCGCCCGCCCAAACTGATGTTGCTGTTCGGCTTGGCTGGCAAGCAGGGCTTGCATCTGAAGCGGCGGTTCCCATGCTCTTGAGTACTTGGTGACATTGTCGCCGTCGCCGTCGCCGTCGGTGGTGGACGGTGATAAGTCCACGCAGGATGCCTCATTTACACCCTTCAGCGGAGGAGGGGCAGCCAGGAACTTGTTGAGCAATTGATGCCGCCGTGGACCGGTGCGGCCGTAGGTCAGACGCAAGACCTTCTCCAGTGGTCCCAGGTGTCCTTCGTTGGCCCGGTGCAGAGTGGAGAGCGCCTTTCGCCCGCGATGCAGGAGCTGGACTTGCTTCGGGAAGTCAATCTCCCTGCCTGTGTTCGTTCGACCGACCGTGTACTTGGGCAGCCATCGTCGGAAGGACTCGGTGACATAGGACTTCATGAACGAGCGACATCGTGGGAGGGGAAGGTAGGTGCATTCCCTGAGGAGGGCGCGATACAAATGGATAGGGTTTGTGGTCATTCCATGTCCAGCGCCGTGAGTTGCAGAAGAGACGGTGCAGTAGGATGTTGCAGTGTGTGGTATACCTGATACCTAGTGTACACTTGCAGTGTGCTGGTGTATGGGGATTGCACCAAGGGTTGAGATTCACAGGTTCGCAGTCACTTGAAGAACAATTAATTCAGTTTAGTGGTTGAACGTTTCTAGTCGCCTAAATCCGGGCGGGAAACGCGCTAGTGACGAGAATTACTAGTTAAGAGGCAAAGACGCGACAAGGACAGAAGTTAGTGAGTGACTGCGCTGCGGCGTGTCTGTCCTGCGTGTCCTGCCTGCGCCTGCGCCTGCGTCCCCGCTTCTCGCTCTCGCTCTCTGGCTCAACTGGCACGTTCCTCGCTTTCCCACGGCACGACACGACGTGATCAACTAACCATCGAATCAATTTGCACTGTTCCACACCCCTAAGGTACCCTACAAACACTCTGGTCGAGGAGGGCTACTACTATTGTTGAACACCTGCAGGCCATTATCCTTTACCAAACAATACAACGTCTGATCGCATCGCACCGACAGTGTCTTTGTCAAGATCGAGCCAAATCCGCGCCAGAACCCCGGCCAGCCCTATCATTGTCCATCCTCACCTCTGCCGTTCAACTTCCCTAATCAGTTTTGGCGATATCGAACAAACCATCCTCGGCCGTGCACCTCCCTCTCCTAACAGACAACACTTGACGGCATTCACCTCTGGCCGCATTCATTCCGTGTCGCTTTCACAGTGGTCTTATCCTGGAAGATTGTCGCCGCTAAAGAGCTTCGGGCCTGTTGAAATATCGGGAGAAACTACATGGTTTCTTTCCCCTGATCCTCTTCCACACCGATCCGCGCCATTGCGCCTGACCATGTCCTGGCTCGGGATACACTTTCCTTAATCGCACAAACTGGTCGTCTCTACTTTCCTTTCCGTGGACAAATATTCAGAAACCATCATGGCGTCGGGCGGCATAGAGACCGGAGTCTATACACAAGCACCCCCGGCATTTCCACGACATGGCCACTCAAACTCGATAAACGCCTCGTTCTCTCAAGTACCTTCGTCACTAAACACTTACGATGCTCACTCAGTAGCTTCAACTCCTGCGCCGACCCCACCACCTACTCGACATGTTGCGGAGCAGCAACAACAACAACACCAGCAGCACCAGTCGCAGTCGCAGCAGCAATCCATGGCGTACAATATGAACGGTGGCCCACCCATGGCTAACGGAGGCATGATGGCTGCTCCCAGCGGCTTTGTTGGGTATCAAGATCCGAATGCCTATGCACAGCCGAACTTGCCAAACTTTTACGGAAATGGGGCAAAACCGCAGATATACACTGTGAGTTCCTCTGTCTGTGCATCTAACAGAAACAAGCTTGCTAATAGAGTCATAGGCCGTCTACTCTAATGTGTCTGTCTTTGAAATGGAGGTCAACGGAGTTGCCGTCATGCGACGCCGGGCCGACTCGTGGTTGAATGCGACACAGATATTGAAGGTCGCTGGGGTAGACAAGGGCAAGAGAACAAAAGTGCTGGAGAAAGAAATCACCGGAGAACATGAAAAGGTTCAGGGTGGTTATGGCAAGTACCAAGGTACCTGGGTCAACTATCAGCGTGGCCGCGAGTTTGCCAGACAGTACGGGGTAGAGCATCTTCTACTGCCACTGTTTGAGTACGATATCGGCTCTGATGGAATGACCGGTATGAGCCAAGGGATGGAAACGCCCACCAAAGAACAGGCCATGGCCGCCCAACGCAAGAGACTGTACGGCGGTGATGGTCGGCCAGTTGCACAGTCGTCGGGAGGCACGTTCTTCAAGAACATGTCCAGCACAGCCGCCAATGCCATCCACGCCTTGAACAGAACGCGCCTAGATTCACCCAGTCAGATGGACGGGCGACGGTCCATGGGACCACGGCGACAATCTCAGTCCTTCAACTATAGCCAGGATCCCATGTATGGACAAGGAGCCAGCCAACAGAGTATGCACAGCATGACCTCGCAAGATAGTTTCGGGACGAACGGTGGGATCATGAGCCAGGGAGCAAGCTTTGCGGACTTCGGAAACACCGATGTTCAGGAACCTCCACGAAAACGCATTCGACCATCGCCGCAGTCGTCCTTCCTCGGTGGTCCTTACGATGCCCCTATGGAGATGGCACTTCCCGATGGCACTTCCACCGAACCGAACGCTTCGTTCTTCTCCCAGGCAAGCCAATCGATCGCGCCGCCAGATACACTCTTTTATGGACTCGAACCTCTTCCCCACCCTTCAGGACCACTGGAGGAACAGAAGAAGGAACTCTTGCTCGATCTCTTCATCGACCCCAGCCGAACCGACTTTGATGACCACCCAGCATTCCTTCGCCTCAGCGGAGACGAGTTCGAGCTACCCATTGACGGCTCCTGCAACACGGCGTTGCACTGGGCCGCCACGCTGGCACGGATCCCTCTGGTGCGCAAATTGCTGGAGAAAGGCTTCAACATGCGACGGGCCAACAGTGGCGGAGAGACGGCATTGATCGCGGCCTGTCAAGCACGAAACAACCTCGACCACAACAGCTTCCCGGCTCTTCTGCAGCTTCTCGGGCCCAGTATCGAGGTCAGAGACCGACGCGGTCGGACGCTGCTGCACCACATCGCCGTGTCGTCGGCCATGAAAGGAAGAGCAGCCGTGGGCAAGTACTACCTGGAATCACTGCTCGAATATGTCATCCAACAGGGGCCCACGCCGTCTCATGCGGCATCCATGTCGTTTGATGGGGTGAACGGGGTCCACAGCCAGGCACAAAACTATGCCTTGACTTTGGGAAGTTTCATGGACAACATTGTCAATGCCCAGGACAAGGCCGGTGATACGGCCCTCAATCTCGCGGCACGAACCAGCACGACTACCATTATCGATCAACTGATCGAGGTCGGCGCCGACCCTAACATCACGAACCGCGGTGGTCTGGCGCCCGTGGATTTTGGAGTCGGGGTCACCAATGTCAACGGTCAGGTGGCAGATCAAAGCATGCAGATGTTCGATTCCAATGTGACGGCGAACGGGTCGCCTCAAAAATCATTTGAAGAGGCCCAGGAAGGACTGCTGACATGTAAGTATACACTACGGGCTGGTCTGGGATCGAGAATGCTAACTGTGAGGTAGCGATACGTGAAATCTTATCGCAATCCGAGGCCGACTTTGCGGCGGAGATGAAAGAGAAGAACGAGACTCTCGACAAGACCAACGCAGCTTTGAAGGAATCTGGAAACTCATTGGCGGAAGAGCGACGGAAACTCGAAGATGCGCGCGACAAAGTCCGAACCAAAGAAGAACTGGAACAGAAGATTAAGAATCTTCGTCAAACCGTGGCCCAATACCGTACCGAACTCAGCGCGACTAATCCGTCGACGACGGTTCGGGATAACGTGATGGTGGGAGAAGCCGACAAAGGAATTGACCTCGACGGACAACTATCCCTGGTGGGAGAGCTGTTCCCTGACGGCGAGATCGACCCGGGCAACATGGCGTTGTTGACACAGGAGCAACTGAATTTCCTGGGCAGTCTCGAACGAGCCGAAGTGCTGTCCGGGCGAGCGCAAGTCTACCAACGACACAATGGCCAGCTGGAGCAGATGGCCAAGACGCTCAAGGGGCGGAGCGCGGAACTGGAGGAGCGGTACAAGAAGATTGTGAGCCTGTGTACTGGGGCGGACGAAGAGAAGGTGGATGGGTTGATGGACAACCTGGTGCAAGCGGTGATCAGTGAGCAGAAGGAGATGAATGACAACACACAGCTAGTGCGAGTGCGCGAGTTCCTACGAATGGTGCAGGGGACTGGCAATTGAGCTGACTCCCCGAGGGAGGTCTAGGAGGGCTAGGAGGTCGGGGGAATCAGTTCACTCAACTGGCTGGTTAGTGATGGAGTAATCGCGGGACGTGGTCGTCGACGACTGATGGCGATCTGGGAGAGAGCTGTTGTCTATTTGCCGGCTGAGCTGATGACTTCTACGAAGGACGGGACGCCGACTGGTCCCTCTCGACCTCCAAGGGAGCGGGAATAAGGGGTGGATTCACTGGCATAGCGGGATGCAGAGTCCATCCTTATGATTGTATGTCTAGCATTCAATTCCATACTAATGCGAAATGGTTGTGGCTTGCCTCCGGTAACATTGGTGAGCATGTCTTCCGGTCCGCTGCAGTTCCTTCAGCCTCGTCAGGAGACAGATATCTACTAAGTACTACCAAGTACTCTAACGAGACTCGGCCGATATACCGACCGGCGCCTAGGGATATAGCTGATATCTACCGAGTCGATATAGAAATAATCTCCTGAGCAGATTGCGATTGATGCATGGTTGGATAGGAGTGCTTCATTGATTGTTCGACAAAGCGCCGCGGGCCGGGCGGTTGGACAAATACTACATGTGCTAGTTGTAGACCAGGAATGCCTGCATCTAGGCGTTTCAGCTTCTTCGGCCGGGGGGATCGTGGACATCACTGTAGGGCATAATCCATAGGGGCATTGGGGGATAAGGGGAGTTGGCTGGGATAGGTAAAGGACGATGCTTGGGGGTTCCTTAGGTGTCACGTTCTAGGCCACGATAGGCGAAAGGTTCAACCAACTCGCTGCGACTGACTGCGAGAGATGCCCCTAAGCGGCATCCCTAAAGCCTAGAGCCTAGAGCTTAGAGCCTACAGCCTAGAGAGAATAACGTCCGATGACTGGCTGGCTGGTTGCCTTTGACCCATCAAGTTTGACACAATTGACACCTTCATCCACATCCAGCCATTTCTCGACGCCTCCTTTTTTCCGTGTCATGTTTCCTCCCTCTCCCCCTCCCCCTCCCAGCGCGTCAAGCCACCGAGTCCAAAGCAAAGCCATCTACGTCGGCGGAGCTCTCGATACTCTGTAAACCAGTCGGACAAGTCTCTCTCCTCTTCCCCTTGGCTGCCGGTTCGTGTGGAAGTTGTGCCACATGCACGCCAAGTGTCGCGAATCCGTTTCCAATACGACTTCCTCTCCTGCTTCGGTCTGATCGATCATACGACGGGCCTGTACGAAGAGAGCGGAAGAAAGAGGTAGATAGATGCATAGAAGAGATGACCAAGAGATGAGAAGAACCCTGCTGGATGGTCCTGAGTGTTCATCATTCAACCAACCCAGCCACCTTGATCGACACCTGTCGAGCTCTGAAGTCGCGACACCATCCCAGTCTCCTTTCTATCCACCTCAGCCACGGTCGGCGATTCGCTCCCTCTCCACCCCTCGATCTCCTTTTGCTTGCTGGGTCCGACAAACCTGCGACCTTGTCGGCTTGCAGACATCCCACTTGGCTGTTTCGTCGGGTCTGGGTGGAATGTTTCATACACAGTCCATCCCTTGAACTGAAGTCTCTCCGAGTCCAGTCTCCGCGGTCTCGGTTGGTCCGTCAATCCTACAAAACACGTCTGGTGTCGGTGTCGAAACGTTCCTTGGCTACGGAGCTCTGCTACAGTAAGTGTTTTATACCCGGCCTGGGTCGTGCTTTATGGACCACGAGCCTCGAGCAACACTCAGACCACGTTCTTTTGCTTGCACAGGCCTCTCTCTGCCCCCTTCTCTTCTTTCCTACGTACCGAGTACTATCATACTCGGTCTTTTCCGTGCTCGCTGGCAGCTTTTTCGTCACCTTCTCTCCTCTCCTCGTCGAGCTTCACGATCTTAGGCAATCGCTGGCCGTGCCGACATTCCTTTGTGTGCGCAAGCTGTGCTTGTTGGTCTCACCGCCGGTCTTGACGACCTCCGTCGAACATATGAGCCCCAAGAGATCAGACCGTCACTATCGAACAAAATGCTGCTAGCCGCCATCATCGCCTCGACTTTGGTTTTGTTGGCCGAAGTCCCGGTCGTCTCGGCCAAAGCCATCTCACATATGCCCGGCGCATTGAGGAGGAGACATCATCATCTAGAAAACTTTGGGAAGAGCGCTGGTCGGATCCTCCGTCGAGAACCACAATCCAACTCGCTCCTGTCGGTGGCGCCGCCCACCAACACCACCAACCAAACCATTTCTGCCGCCTGCATCGACTCTCTGAGTAAAGTCACCTCGGTCGACAACGATGCCGGCCTGGCAGCATGCTACAATATCCTGCAGTTCGATTCCCAGCAAGGCGCATTCGAGGCCGACCTCCGCCTCTACCAAATGTTCGACCCGTCGGGAGATTTCCAGGGAGTCGCGGTGAACGACATCATGCTCAGCGTCACCTATCCCGCGAGCACCATGTTCCAATCACTGACCAAGCGGAAGAAGAGAGACGTGGGGGAACGACAATCCACCGCGACTGAGGTGCAGCAGTATACTCTGTTCGGCACGTTCCAGAAAAACCTGGATATCAGTAAACTCAACGACACTCAACTCATGTCATTGATGCTTCCTGACGTCAAGCTGAATGCGGTCAATGCGACGCAAGCCCCGATCACTGCCAACGTGACCGCCGCCGACGGAGCTTGGTTCGTGGTAGGCCAGTTCACCGGCGAGTTCAAGGCCGCCCAGGTCAGTCCGACCATTGCAACGGCCGCCATCGCCGCCGCTGCACCATTTGTGCTGCCGGGAGTGACGCTGGGGATTTTCCCCACTGGATTGATCGTCACTTGTGCCTGGACTCTGTTGTTCTTTCTGGCGTATGGCTTTGGCACTCTCGGTCGCATCAAGTATAGAGATGCCTATAGAAAGAGAAAGGCGGCTCAGGCTGGTCGAACTGGGAAGAGAATATGAATCCAGCACGACAACACGAAAAGAACAAAATAAAGATATCTGGAGGATTGATGGATTGGAATATGAGCCCTGAACGCATTGCACGATACCCTCGCTTGAATCGTTGGAGTGTTGGATTTTGGGTTATGATGCTTATGTATGTATAGCGAGCGGCATCAGCGGGTGTTTGTGACCTGAATACCGAATTCGATTGAATACCTTATACTGGATATATTGTGTTGAAGGTGTCTGTTGTCTGTTGTCTGCCTCCTTTTCCCACAGTATCACCGTTGTACAAACCAGATATTCTCGAGTCACGTGACCAGTAGAGAAATTTTTGGAGTGGGAAAACGACGTTGAGTAAAGAGAGAATTTGTATATTACAGACTCACACTTGTATCCGCCGGGCCCTGGTATATGATTGTGATGCTGATTGACTCATCTTGATCTCAGGTGCAGGGCATTTTATGTTCATGTCGTGGCTGGTGATGCGCCCTGAGTGTCTCTGTCTGCCAGGTTTGTACAATACCGTTCAATGACCTGTGGGTGCGAGTATCCCTCGATCCAGGTCTGTTGTCGGTGAGTCTAGGTGTCTCCTGGTTGCTGTCTATTGCACGAGAGAATCTACACATTCATCGTCGAGTATTCATCCTCGAGTGTCTACACCCACCACCGCGACCAAGACCCGAACCCGCCATATATCGCGGCAATGGAACATCTCTTCCCATATCCCAAAATGGGAACGTCCTTCCTCGAGGTCCTCCATGACCCGCTGACGCGAAAGGTCCTTGGGTTCGAGGCTGTCCACGCCGAAAAGACCGCCTTCGTCAGCGGCGTCACATCCAGGCTGAAATTCCTGCTCAATGACGCCGCGAATCATCTCTCCTTTCTCAAGATCGGATATACCGCCCTCGAAGCCTTCCTCCAGGCGAATGTGACCGGTCCTCCACTGAACTTCGATCCGAATGAGGCCATCATCCCCGAGTCCTATCGCAATGAAGACCTCTCTTCCCTCAAAGACGAATTCCTCACATATCTGTCCGTCGATGGCAGCCGACCGTATCTCTTGACTCCGCACATCGAACTGTTCTGGCTCGCCAAGGTCATGCTGTCGAACTCGACCCTCGCCGAGGCCGGGTTCAATGGCTACCGAGCCCGGATGCGAGTCAACTTCTGGCACCAGAAACTGCTGGCCGAGCCGTCGCCGTCGCTGCGTGACACGATCTACTCCGACGCCGACATGCTCGAGCGCCTGCTCGCGTCGCGTGTCGCCGCGAACAGTGCAGAGGCCGAGGACCACTTTGTCGAGTTTCTGGTCGAACGCGCCTCCATCCGCACATATTACGGAGACGATGCTCTCGCTAGAGCAGATCTCGCCAGAGCGGCTACCATGCGCCGGTTCCAGTTCGCTGTGACGGGTGTGCTGGGCAAGAGAACGAAATTCCAGGACCGTGATACCAGTCAGCTGGTGGTTTTGGCGAGGAGCAGTGAACAGCAAGAACGAGAACGAGACTCGTCTAGCGATCACGACAGTGCTGGCATTGAAGCCGGACACGAGAACGGCTCGAGTCAGTCCCACGACAGAGCTGTAGGTGCCTCGAGTCAGCCTAGTAAGCCTTCAGACGGCTCGAACGTCCCAAGCAGGCCCGCGAACGTCCCTCTCAACGACGATACCCTGCTCGAACAAATCCAGTTCACATCAGCATCAGCATCAGCATCAGCTTCTGTATCGACATCGGTATCCGAAGATACCATGACCCATGTGGCCACCGAGTCTGCATTGTCTCATGAACTATCGTCACTCGACCCATCCGACCAACCATTACTCTCGCCAATGGATAGCATCATTTTGCTTGCCACCGCAAGCAGTATCACCAACACATCCCCCGACGACGGCCTCGTGAGAGAAGAGACTCTCCCGTATGCGACTCGAGTACTGGGTGGCGGCTCGTCGAACTGGCAGGTCTACACTCAGGCGCTACTGGTCAGGAGCCGCATCGAAGGCTACCGAGCCCGCACGGCCGAGCGAGGACTGTTGCAACTCCAAGCCCTCGTCGACCAAGTCATTGCTGAGACAACAGACCCGGAAGCGGCACTTCAAACACATGCTTCGCCTCAAGGATCGACTTCCCAACCAGAGTCATCTTCCTCACAAGCCACGCCTCCAACCACATTCCTCCCCAAACCCAAAGCCTCAGAGTCGGCCTCGGTCGCCGAACGCTTGAGATATATCTACCAACTATCTCCTCCTCTGCGATGGGAACTCGAGGCCGAGCTCGCAGCTCGCTGGACGCACATGGGCGGACTGAAAACCGCTCTGGAGATCTACGAGCGGCTGCAGATGCACGCGGAAGTTGCGTTATGTCTTGCAGCGACGGATCGGGAACAGGAGGCCATCAAATTACTCAGAGGGCTGTTATTCGACGATGAAACCACGGCTGAGAAGGCAGAGACAAAAGAAGAGACAAAAGAGACAAAAGAGACAAAAGAAAAAACTGCCTCGTCCTCCTCCTCGACGACATTGAATCTCCGCTCTCCGCCACCCGCCGATACACCTCGACTGCTGTGCATTCTGGGCGACATCACCGGCGTACCGGCGTATTACGCTCTAGCATGGAAAGCCTCGTCGAACAGATACGGCCGGGCGCAACGCTCGCTCGGGCGCCATTTCGCCAAACAGCGCGACTACAAGGCCGCTGCCCAGGCATATACGCTGGCGCTGGGCATCTCCCGCCTCGACCGGTCCAGCTGGTTCGCGCTGGGCTGCCTGCAGCTCGAGATGCAGGAATACCAGAACGCCACCGAGACCTTTACGCGTTGTGTCCAGCTCGAAGACCAGGATGGCGAAGCGTGGTCGAATCTGGCGGTGGCGCTGTTGAAACTGCCTAAGCCGGTGGCAGGAGATGATATCTCTCAAATTCAATCTGAACCAGGGACAGAACCGAAGGGAGGGTCTGACCAAGAGAACGGAAAGAGTGTTGATACGGCTAGGTCTGCGACTACAACAACTTCAGCTTCGACTACGACGGCTACGACTTCAGCAGAAACAAAAGACCAGAATGATGCACTACCAGATGGCGATCGGCAAGGACATATCGCCAGTCCGCCGTCATCTCGCGCCAACGTCGTCGACCCCTACAGACATGTGCGTGAGGCTCTGCGCGCCCTTCGCCGCGCGGCCACGCTGAAACGCGACGACGCCCGCGTCTGGGACAACTATCTCACCGTCGCGGCCAGTATCCCTCCGAGCGCAGGCACGCCGTGGAACGAGGTGATCCAAGCCATGGGCCGGGTGATTGATTTGCGAAGTAAGAAGGAGGGTGAAGGTGCAGTGGACGTGGGTATTCTGAGGGTGTTGACCGAGTACATTACTCGGACGTGGACTTATCCGACGTCTTCCTCCTCTGGGAATGAAGAAGAAGGAGAAGGAGAAGGAGAAGGAGAAGGAAAAGGAGAAGGAAAAGGAAAAGGAAAAGGAAAAGGAAAAGGAAAAGGAAAAGGAAAAGGAAAAGGAGAAGTCGACAATGGCACATCGACATCGACATCGACATCAACATCAACACTCACACCTCCAACCACAATCACAATCACAACATCGTCCTCTTCCGATCCAAATCCAACATCTCAATCTTCTACCGCCAACAACCCCAAACTCCCATATCTCGTCCGCTCATTCCTCACTCTCGTCGACACCCAAATCACCCCTCTCGCGACCTCCTCCCCCGCCCTCTACGACCAATTAAGCACCATCTCCCTATGGCGACACCGCCCGGCGCAAGCCCTGACGTACGCGGAAAAAGCTTGGCGCGTGCACCTGACGTCCATCTCCCCGGCGGAGACGTTCGACCAGGTCAGCGAGGCGCAGTGGGCCAGTGTCGTCGACAAGACGGTCTGGCTGGTCCGGCGGTATCGCGATCTCGGGCCGCAAGAGAGAGAGAGGACCGGTGGAGCGGTCGAGGCGAAGTGGAGGTTCAAGGCGAAGAGTGCGGCGAGGAGGGTGTTGGGCCGCGGGAAGGGGCAGTGGGAGGGGACGGATGCTTGGGGGAGGTTGAAGGAGGAGATGGATGGGATTGATGCATGAAGCAACAAATCAACAGAGAGATCTCCTGCCTCTGTCTCTGTCAGGGCTTGTTGTTCGTCACAGGGATATGATACTACGTACGTACTTGCATTGAGGATATGATATATCTACTTGCATTGAAATAGAATATCATCCGAAATCCCGGCGACAGGATCCCGGCTGGAACTTGGTACCCTGAAGTGCCATGTTCCTTTGGTTTCTATTGTTGTTGATGATCAGGACATGTCTTTCTCTGTCTCGAAGGTCATCATGCAAAGACTCTTGATGAACGTTGATCAAGACGGAACACCGATTTTCTCGCGCTCAGAGATTGAAATGTTGACTGTAATTCGAATTTCGGCATTCGAACCTCCAATATTCCTCCCCAATATGAGCCTTCTCAGGCTTCGTTTCTCAATTCGCGGAGTCGCTGCACTGTTGCCGGAAGCTGGATAGTTGAGGGGCTGGAGGACCAACATCAAGATCAAGACGAAGATTGTGATGCTGTTTTCCATTGTCTGCTGGGTATGGATTCTGCCGACATTGTTGAACCGGTGTCGTTCTCGACGTGGATACGGTATCCTTTTCTCTCGAGAGTCGAGCCAGCCTCCAGGAGTTGAAATTTCCAGGGATACGGCCTTTCAAAAGTCAACATGGTGTGGAGATGCTCTTGTATGCTGTTTATGTTGACTCAATTCGAGGCTGTGGTCTGGTTTCTTGAGATACTTGCAATTGCAGTTCCCAGTTGGATGTGAGACTCTCACTCCCGTGGGCGATCGTAAGGGCGGTTAATAGTCATGTTGTTGTAGTCATCTTTCTCTTCACCCATCCGCAGAAACTTTCGAACAAGACAGAGTCACCGCCTTGGAGATGGCGGATATGTATGTTCGTTGTCAGCTTGTTCGAGACAGCCGGTGGCGATTGGACCTGTGGTTGGGTTCCTGGTGTAGACGTCACCGTGACAGCTACGAGGCTGATGCGCGCGACGAGGGCTGGCTCTTCTTCCTGGTCATCCTTGTCTTCGTCTTCGTCTTCTGAGGCACCATCAACTCCGCCAGAGGGGCGCTGGGAAACACTGTCGTGCACTTCTTCGTCATGGTCCTCGAGTCGATTTTTCGCAAAGTCCTTCACTCCTCCTGTACGTTTGTTTCCTGATTCCCGAGTGTGAGTCTGTTTTGATGTGTTCTGCTGCCCTTCCTGATGCAGTTTCTTCCGTCTGGCCTTGCGACTCCAGACATCACCATGCCGGCTGACGACCATTCCGATATGTCTCTGGGGAAGGTATTTCCAAAGGACATCTAGCCTGGTCATTTCCTGGTTTAACTTGTTCTCGATTCGACCGACGACATTCTTAGTTTCTGTGTCAGCTCCAGTCTCGACCTCGAAATCATACTCTGACGGCGCAGGCAACAATCGCTTCTCTACGCCACTACTGGTAGATACTCCCCTCGCCACACGCACGCCGGGTCTGTATCCCATCCAGCTCCAGGCGACACACCACCTGCGCGTCTTGGCCTTCTGGCCCTGGACGAACTCGGCCACTGCGAAGTTGGTGCATCCGTCAGCTTTGAGCTTGTCCACCACGGCGCTGACGCTGGAGAGCTTGCCGAGCATAGAGCTGAACCATTGAATTCGTGGTTTCGTCTCAGGGCGTGAAGATTCGTCGATAAGACGTGACACGAACGATACTTCGCCGCCCGGGGTGATCATCTCCACGGGTGCGCCGGTACAGGAAGAGTTGGGTGGGCGCGATTTCTGACGAGCCGATTCAAGTAGCGACGCCTCTGAAGGGTAGAATGGAGGGTTTGTCATGACGATGTCGACTCTAGGTTCACCGCCACATTAGTTACCAGTCTGAGGACTCTGAAGAATTGATTGATGGAAATTCCAGCAGCACTATGGAAGCATTGCCACCTTGATAACCGCTTTGGAAACAAGTAGCATGCAAATGTTCCTGACGAACCCAGACAGGGAACGCGTGAGAACAAGTGTTTCTTTGCGGGCTGATCTGGTACCTACCGATCCACACCGAGTTCAGCAATTTCTTGAATGGGAATCAATGTTTCGCCTGTTAGGTCTGTGTCGACGATCTTTATCCGCGACTGGAGATCATTGGCCTCGATGTTCTTGTGTGCATAGCTGCGATTCTTCTGGTCGATTTCGGTTGCGAGGAAACGCCACGAAGGTCGTTGCCGGCACGCAAGAAGAGGATAGATTGCTGACGACCCTGTGCCGCTGTTTGCGAATAGATTTCAGTCAATGTGTTGCCTGATGAGGGAATACCAACAGGTTTTGGGTATGGGTGTCGAAGAAAACAAACGCTCAAACTCAAGGTGTGGATGAAAGGGTGTGACGGCCTCACAATAGGGACTTGTACATACATATCGAGGCCAATTACTTGACGATCGTGATCGTAGCCCTCATGCCAATCAGAAGATGAGTCATCAAGTAGACGTTGTATGAAGAGGATGTAGTTGAATCTAGAAGTTGTGGGAAGATAGCAAGTAAGCAAGGTCTCTTGTTGTAGTTGATGCGCCGAGAGATGCAATCGCCACGGGACCATTGATCCAGGGGCCGTCGTCCGTCACAGAGAGAGAATATCTTACCGATTCGGAACCTGTAGTGAGAAAGATCAGACCAAATGAAAATCCACGGAACCGACCAAAGGCCGGCTTGCCCTCCGAGAATTTAGAAGCATATGTGAAAGCAAACAGACTGAAGATAGTGGACAACGATCTAATAGTAAGGAAGGCCACTTACAGGCGGACACAGTCTGTCCTCTGGCAACTCGATTCTCAAATCAAAGTCTCGGTGTAACAACGACTTTGTCACCTGCCTGTTCAGATCAGCGCCATAGCATTAGCGACGCATCATAGATCAAACCGTGTACTGAGCTGAAAGAAGAAGTCTGGCTCCTCGAGCACACGATAGGATTGATCATGTGGGTATGGTGAAGAGGTCCAATCGTTTCGTACCTGACGCTCTCCGGGTCTGAGAAGTCGAGTTGACCATTAGGTTTTAATCTGTTTGCACGACCTTCAATTAGTCTGACTCCATCTAATAGTCTTGCCGGCATTGATACAACACTCTGGCCGAATGGATTCGAGATTAACGGGGTAAGGGATATGAAGTTCAATCCATGAATCCCATTTGTAAGTCAGACGTTCCAGAGAAAGGGTCTATTCGCGTTTCGGTACCTTAATCGGCGCTAAACAACAACTTCGACACCACAAAGACAGAGAACGACTCGTACACGGCACACACCTTTTAGCGAAGTCGGGATACTGCAGCGCCAGCGTTGTGAAGTCGACATCGTTTTGATAGATGTTGTCCATTTTGTAGGATGGGTTGAAGAAGCAGGAAGTGGCGAGAAACAAGGTCAGTGGTCTCGCAAGCGAGCATAAGCCCTGGATTCCCGACCTCCCTCTCCCAGCAGGCCAAGCGGCAATAAATGATCCTGTACTGCAGTGGTCGACGCTGGAGAGTGAGTCTCGACAAGCTGAGGAGAAAGGACGAGGTTGTGAGGCGACCAATGAGATGAGCATAAACAAGGGCACCTTTCCGTATCGGGACATATGGCTGCCGCTTTAGAAGTTCGACCCCGTTATAGTACGCAGTATACAACGAGACATCGGTGGAGGATATATTACATAGGTAGGTTGGTTGAGATGCTTTTACACTCCACTCCAGTTTGGTACTCGCCTAGACTCGGCGGGCGAAGAAGCAAAGAGTTGATACGACGACGTGTCTCCTGAAAAGCCTGCTGGTGTGACAAGGCTGAGGTCGAGCAGGACATGAGCGTTGGTAGGTTACCTACTAAATTGCAGGCATTGTCGACTTGCCGCACCCACGAACAAACGACCGCCACTTCTGCCCAACATCCCGACTATCTCTTTCCAATGGCCGGCGCGAATCAGCCTGTGGCCAGCGCAATGGACAGTCCCAGGCTTTATCGAAGAGACGCATCGGTGCCTATCCAGCAGCCATGTTGACTGAGGATTGATTGGAATAGGTTCATGGTGGATGCGGCGGCCTTAGAGCTCTAGAATCTCTGTGTTCAAGCTGCATGACGCTCTCCCGGTGGTGAGACTAGTAATGCAAGCCGTTGCTCTGTAAGAACTGGCATGACCGGCGGCAGAGATTGCAATAAGGAGGTTAAAGAGAGGCACAACAATCGGAGCAGAGATGAGACAAAAGATCAAGAGCTTGAACACTAACTTCATTTGTACCTGGACAAGGACCTGACCTATCCATCCACCCGCCACCCAACCTCCATCAATCCCATGCAGGCGCCAGCCGGTAGGCGCTCCAGCAGATCGCGCATTGGGTATAACTCGATCGGAATACAACCCTCTGGAAGTGAATTCGAATGACAAGCAATACCATTCCCAACGCCTTCGATGTCAACGGAAATACTCGTAACTCGTTCAACCCGTTTGTCCCACAACGTGTCAACTTCCGAAGCATTGTGCATCATGATGCGCACAACTTCCCAAAGCAGTATGACGCTTGCAACCAAGTCAACTTCGTGGTCCCTCCCTCTTCTCCCTACCAAGACCATCTATTTTCTCAACACAGCTTCATACAAGCTAACAGCCGCACCAAGACCAGAGCTGATGAGAAGGGCAAACCATCCACCCAGTATGCTCTCGTTAATGGTGGCGATAGTGAAGTGTTGATACAAGCCACCGAAGTTGAAGTGTTGGGCATACACCAAGTAGGCAATCAAGCCCTTGGCCAGACTGAAGATGAAGGGATCAAACTGCAACTGACTGCTGGCTTCAGCAGTGGCTCGGCGCGTCGCGTGCGAGTGGATGGGATGAGCCTTGAGTGGTAGATTGATGAAGTATGAGATCAAGGCCGGAAGGATGAACGACGTAAGCGTCCAGAGAGAGAAGGGAGCCCAAAACTTGGAATCAAGGAGCAAGAACAGATCAGGGACATTGATCGGGGTCTTGGTTGACTTGATGTATGGCACCGGTGGGATTTCCGTCAACAGCTTGTTGGGTAAGATCTGCGCGCGCAAACCATACGCTTCGAGCAGGATGGCCAGGGCAGTGATGGTCAGAGGCGACGAGAGAAGATCGCGTGTGGCATCGGCAAATTCATGGATCTGAGTGCGATCATACGCGTCTGCGATTGAGCTGCGAATGCGACGCGTTTGTTGATCAATAGCGTCTGTCACCACCGCTGGCGACGGCGGCATGGGTATTTGAGATGTCAAGATAGACGAGCGACGTGCGATCTCTTTTGCAGGAGCCTTGACCAAGGCGGAAACAGTGGGTGACTCGTTGTCGGTTCTGCATGATGAATGTTAGCGGGTCACGCCCGTTGTTGTTGTTTTTGTAGGAGAGCAAAAGGGATCCTTACGTGTCTTCCGTAGGAGAGGTCGTCTTGCGCCTGCTCTTCTTGACGGGCGCAGCATCTTCATCTGATTTCACTATGTCCGAGACCTTCTGTGCGAGTTTCTTGACTGGTGACCGGGTGCTACTGGCGATGCGCTTGTAGTATTCGCCCAGAACAGGTTCTTTGCCGTATCGGGTCGAGTTCGCGCGCAGATGTTCGTCCAACGCGACTTCGAGTTCGGCCTTTTTCAGACCAACATAACTGTGGTCGCGCGCGTGTCAGTACGGATGCGGCGACAAATGCAACTCGTGCTTCACGCGTCTGGAGCGCCACCGCGAAGGAGGAGACTCACTCTGGCAACTTGGTGGCTTCGGCGAAGTCGGTAAGATCGCTCTTACGCAATTTCTGTAGGTACGGCAGGCCAGACATGGTGGTTGCGAATGAGAGAATGTGTTTGTCTTGATCGTTGCAATAGGCGACCACCTCAATGGCGATGTCGGTGAATGGAAGAGAAAGATGGAGAATGGAGGGACTGCGACGGCGGAGTGGTGTGGATGGAGAAGCAACAACTTGAATGAGAGAGCGAGCGATCACGGGGGATGATGATGATGTTGTTGTTGTTACTGCCAGTCCAGTGGGGGATGCAACGGTCGAGTAGAAAAGCCGTGGCTGGGGAGTCGAGAACAGTCAAAGGGAGACTCGTTACTCGTTACTCGTTGGCTTGTTGACTAGTTAGGCGCCCGTGGCAGTTGGAGGGGGAAGCTTGAGCCCTACGAGAAGCCAACAAGTAAACAAGTTGCCCCGTCCGTCACTACAGCTACAGGGAGCTTTGAGTCAGTCCCTGATCAGAGGGTAGAGAGGGTACAGTGGGGGCTTATGGGCTTATGGGCTTATGATGCTAATGAGGCTGCCCTAAATATCGAACGGGTGCCTGTGCGAGGAGCTGTGACCGCCTATAGTGTTGCCCAGTACTAGTAGGTGCTGTCTTCGCTATACCGATTGATGAGCGGGTTGACCTGTTGATTGGTCGACAATCCACGCGTGTTGAGGAACATGGAGGAAATGAAATAATAACAATAGAACAATTACGCCAGGGCTGTCAAAGTGTCTCTACTATCGTGTGGATTTGCGGAAAGGTCTTGTTCAGGTCGTGATGATGATGGTGTTGACTGTCTGTAGATTCACGTGTGTGGCTGTTCGGCGTCCTCTGTCTACCTACTTGCTAGGCTTGTTTAGGTACCTAGAATAGTGGCAGTTGGGGTTCCTTAGGTATTGATTCACCAATAACTCCAGTAGGAAATCCCGCTCTCCTGGCACCTCCACGCCTATGACGCCGCCCATGCCACACCTTATCACATATCCTATCCTGTACACAATGTTCTAAGGTGTAATAAAGTACTACTAGTAGTACGCAGAACTCCCTCTTGACCAGAGAATTGTATTATTTCCTCCCAGGCATGCCGGATACCACTTAATGAAAGCGACTCGGACACCAACAACAGGCATCTTGTATATCACTCAATAATGCTGATAAATGCCTCCTGACCCTCGTTGCCCGTCAGTGTCTTTATCGATGATCCGGAGTCGTTCCTCGTCTATGCCAAGCGTCAGCGTGATCACCTGGCCTTCAATTTTTTGCCCTCTACCATTAGGTCTAGAGCGTATGAGGTACGTACCGGAGGTATAATGTCCTCCGGCACTATAAGGCCTACACTACGTAGTATGGTACCTAATAATTATTGTATCCCCCCAATTGAGTGCTTACCAGACGCGTCGACGTCAAGCCTCCTTAGCCACAGCTCGCCGCCCATTTTCCCCACTATCAAGTGCTCTCACTGACTGTACGCCGCATTTTCTGACTGTAGCCTCACCACCACGTATTCATTCTCACAACCATCGCGCTTTCAGAAGTCATTGCTTGTAAATCCCGCTCCTGACCTCTTCTACCTTCTCTCATTGATGGCTCCGCCAGATCTCAACTCTCTTCCTCCATCAAGATCCATGTCGTCCTCACCGATGCAAACCCGTTCGATACAGACCGCGGCCTCGCCGCCCGTTCGACAAGACACTCAGACTCCCTCACCGCGCACTTCCTCCATATCTCTGGCCACTGCTGCAATGACAAATGCGGCGAACGAATCCAGAAGATCTTCCCTGAGTAATCGCGGCTCCCCGAGACTGGGACGAATGCCTTCCGACCGCCGTCGTTCACAAGTTGCTATGGGCCTCAATCTGAATGACCCGACCCTTCCGAGTCCTGGCGAACTCTCCAACAGCGATCCTCGAATCAACCTGGGTCACAGCTTTGTGTCTGCGAGTCCTGCCACCATTGGTGGGCGGTCTGCAATTGCCACAGGCGATCCCCATCACCAGCGACAACCCAGCCTCGGCGACATCCATAACGAATTGGAGCAAGAGCAGGAAGCCCAGGTGAATAGAATGCTGCAAATGATACGAGAACAACAGCTGCAACTGGAAGCCCTGCGGAACAGTCAGTCGGAACAGCAGTCGAACCGCACACCACAACCCACCGCCACCGCCGCTGGTAACAATGGCACCGCTGTCGTTGACGACGACACTCCGCACGGCACTCCTGCATCTGAACGCTCGATTTCCTTCCCACCAGTCCCTGCCTCGATCCCTTCGATTCCACAACCCAGACGCTTCTCTCGCGGTCCGTCCAGCGCGAGTCGCTCTCCAGCCCTGCGACCTATGCAAGGAGGCCATGATTCTAGCCTTGGAGCCAGCGGTGAATGGCCACCATCTCCGGTCGAAACGGCTGCGAGAAGAAACAGTTTCCGTGACGAGAGTGCCTTCTACCAAGCCGAAACCGCCAACCTCACCCGCGAGAACCAAATGCTCCGAATGAGAATCCGAGAGTTGGAGAAGCAACTCAGTGAATTGAGCTCTGTTCCGGCCAACACCCCCTCAACCCCGAGCAATCTGGTCTCAAGCCCGTCTGTGGAAGCTCAAGGAGAGGCATCTGCTGCAGCGGAAGTCGCCAGGATGACAACGGAGACGGATAAGGCTTGAGGCCAAAGAGACCTGATACTGGGCCCATCCGTGGGTTCGGCACCCCTGTAATTGATACGAAAGCATTGAGGCGGCGTTCAACATCGGTTTCGACATCGGTGTTATTGTTTGGTTGTTAAAATTCTAGCCACAATCCGGTCTCATAGGCCATGGAAGCGGGCAGAAGGTATTGAGCGGCGGAGTTTCATCAGGGTTCGGACCGGAAAAAGCGATGGCATATCGGAGCATGGACTGGCGCTCGAAGGACCTGGATCGCGTCTCGTGTGTCTTGTTCATATAATACCGTTCCACGAAATGAGCGGACATTTTCGGGGCGTTCAGACTATGCCAGAGTCTTGTCATTGCCGACAGGAAAACCGAGCGACGAATGGTTTAGCTGGATACAACGTTTTCATCAGACAGATGCCAACGTGCTCAAGGGCTAGCTGCAGGTTCCTGGGCCACATCATACCATCGAACAGCAGCTGGAAACATGAGATCCTTGCTCAACCCTTCCTTTTCTTCAAAATGTGGCAGTGTAGATGTTCTATTCATGACAGTGGTTGCTGCTCTGCAATGACCATGTCTGGTGTATATCTCTATCCCATGCGTCCAAAAGGCTAAATTCAAGTTCTAAATTCGCTTCCATGTGCTCATCCATGCCAAATGCCGAAATACCGTGTCATGGCTCAACCATAATGTTGCAATCGTTCATGCCGCCTGAGACCAACTAGCCACCCTAGGCAATTCTTTCATGGTCACTCCTCTGTCTCTCCTTACCCGTCTTGATCTGGTGCACCTTGAACTCGTGCCAGATGCTCCAGAGACAACAGCCGACCCCGAGCACGCCAGCGCCAAAGGTAACCCAGTATGCCGAACTGTAACAGCGCTTGCCAGCCAAGCATTCCACGTTGCCGTCGTCGTTTTTCACCGAGTGGGCATCGTAGATGCGGCCGTACAGGAGGTTGAAGATGTTCCCCGAGACGACCGGCGCCAGGGTCATCGTTCCCCAGTTCTGACTCATCCCGTGGACGCCAAAGCAATGCGCCACAAGACTGGGGTAGACGCCGAACAGAACGCCATAGGCGAGCCCTGTCGAGCCGGACAGGAGGACCAACAGGTGCGGGTTGGAGATGGCGGTGGCAAGGATTTGGGCGACGCAAAACGTGACGGCGGATGCAAACAGACACCAAAAGCGGGAACGGTCGAACTTCGCCACTAGAACGTCAGAGCCGATGCCAGAAAGGAGACGGCCTGTGAAACTGCAGAACGAGAGGATGGACACATGCACCGCTTGGCGCTTTTCGATGAAGGCCGACGTGACTGATGGATCGTAGTGTTTCCAGAGAGCTTGGGCGTCGTTGCCAATGTTGCTGCCAACGTCAGTAGACTGCTTTGTGGGTTAGAGGAGACAAGCGTACTTGATGGTCATCAAGCCAATCCCGGTCAAGAGTCCAAGCATGCAGAACAGCTGCCAGAATTCGGCCAGTCGCAAGAGAGCAAAGCCCCTGATATCTAGATGCGGCGATTCATGATTTCTGTCAGATTCATGGTGCTTCGAACTCTCCGAGCCTTGGACGTCTTCAGCAGAGGATTTGGATAGAAGGGAAGAGTTTTCGTCGGATGACTCGGGCATTGCTTCGGATTCGTGAGATTCGATGCTGCTTGAGTAGGGGTTCTTGCGGGTATGGCTTGGCGCACCTGGTCCTTGTGGATGAAGAGGATTTGGGCTATTTGGAGACCTGGTCCTGTGGAGGACTTGCTGTTCGTGTTGCGGAAGATGGTGATAGGTCTGCGGCGGTGAGATCCGGAGGAAAGGGAGAGAGATCAGCGGTAATACAACAGTGCCGGTGGCCAGGAGGATGAGGAAATTGTATGTCCCAGGTGGCAGTAGCAATGCGATGGCTGCCCACAACAGTGCACTCAGACCGTACGCCGCCAGTGGAAAGGCTGTTGCCGTCCCTCGCGTTTCGGGGAAGTTCAAGGCGGCTGCCCAGGGTCAATCGACATGTCTTTGACCGGAACGAGGTACTCACCAGCCTTGATTGACGCGGTGAATGCTGAACAACTTCCCGCGCCAGTGAAGAAAGAGAAGACACATATCAACGCCACACTGTAAACCCCGGGCCCGGCCTCATATGCTGTAACCTTGTCAGCGACCTTCCTCAATTTGATATCTCAGGACAATCCGCCGGTACCTTTGGCGATCGGGTAGTAACCTGCTGCAAACAGCATGATGGCCAAGACAACCCCCCATCTTGGACCTCTGGCGTCAACCATAATGCCCAACGGAATGCCAAAGGCATACATTCCCAGGTTGCCCATAGTCCCCTAGGTATCTCATGTATCAGTGGACTGACATTCGTGGTCGTTCGAGGGGTCGATGCAGGGCTTCGTACGATGAGATTGCTGTCTGTCGCGGACAACCTGAGACGTGCGGCGAAGCTGGGTCCCCATACTGAGTATCCGTACTGTGAATGCGGTGGTCAGCGATTGAACTCATGCTCCGGGAAACCCGCGTACATTTGTGCCGCATGCCAGCGAGGTGACGGTACAAGCGATCACAGTAATGATCCTTGTCCTCCGGGGATCAGAGGTGAGCAGCGCCATGTCTTCACACTCCAGAATAGTTCTATGGTCATTCGCTCATCATCAGAAGTATAGGAGGCCGCCCTGCCGGATCAGATGGATGGGAAACGTGAGAGATAAACGCATGGAACGGCTACAAGCGTCAGTCGGCATCGTGTCCGAGTTGTCGCTGCTCGGTCCCTCTGTGGTGGATTGAAGGGAGTTGAATGGGGAGACACTCGACCAATGGGGGAGCTGCCCATCTCTTCTCGGATAAGCTTCCTCCCGCGAGCCTCCGCTAACCATATAGCGTTAGTATGATCAGCTTAACCCGCCACCGCCGTTGCCCTCCTGCCTTAATTGGTTCAGCCGGCTTATCAGGAATGTTCCTTCCGCAGCCTGCAGCGACGCCTCAAGCCTCAACCTCCTCACTGCCGCCTGCGCTTCCACCACGTTCGTCACCATCAATCCTCATTCTGCAACGTTGTATCAAGCACCCGTTAGCGAAACATCTCAACCATCGATCGAGACGTGAGTCAACAATCAATCACCATACTTCAAGCCTTTCGATTACGTCCGATATCTCCATTGTCCTGCCGCCTCACCCGATTCCGACAAGCCTGATCCTCCACCATGGGAGCGGTCCTCGCGATCCCCAGTCTCCTTGTTCCCTCCGTCGCGACTCTCTGGTCGGTGGGTGCATCATGCTGCGGAGCGGCGTCATGTTCCATGCTATGTGGAACATGCGGCATGTCCAAGTTCAGGTCGTCAATCGCTACGAGAATTGCATATGCGATGATTCTGCTGGTGAACAGTATCCTGGCCTGGATCATGCTTACACCATGGGCCATCCGGAAGCTTGAACATCTCACTCTCGACTATATGACCTTCAAATGCGGTTCTTCTCGATGTTACGGTTATTTCGCAGTTCAGCGCATCAATTTCGCCCTTGCTTTATTCCACCTCCTGCTTGCCATCCTCCTCATTGGCGTCAGGAGCACAAGAGATACTCGGGCAGGCCTGCAAAACGGGTTTTGGGGTCCAAAGATTCTGGCTTGGATCGCCTTCATAGTGCTCTCATTCTTCATTCCCGAGGGGTTCTTCCTCTTTTGGGGAAATTATGTTGCCTATGTGGGAGCCATGCTTTTTGTTCTTCTGGGACTTATTCTCCTTGTCGACCTTGCCCATAGTTGGGCTGAACTGTGTCAGGATAAGATTGACGAAGGAGATGGTCCCCATTACAGGCTTTGGCAAGCTCTGCTTATGGGGTCGAGTCTAGGCATGTATCTGGCCGCCCTTGCCATGACAATAGTCATGTACATCTTCTTCGCGAGCACTGGATGCAGCATGAACATCTCGGCTATCACCATCAATCTGGTGTTCATCTTTATCATCACTCTGCTCAGTGTCAACCCCACGATTCAAGATGCGAACCCCAAGGCAGGACTGGCGCAGTCGGCCATGGTCGCGGCTTATTGCACCTACCTCACGCTTTCAGCCGTCTGTATGGAGCCCGACGACAAACATTGCAACCCCCTCATCCGGGCTCGAGGCGCACGAACAACCACGGTCATCCTTGGCGCCGTTGTCACCATGCTAACAATCGCATACACCACGACTCGAGCAGCCACGCAAGGCTTCGCACTTGGAGCGAATGCCGGCAAGAACAAATATGCACAACTCACCCAGGACGAGTATGAACACGGCTTGGTCACTCAACAACCCGCATCTCGTCGGGAGATTATGAGAGCGGCTGTAGAAAGTGGTGCGCTGCCGGCGTCCGCCTTGGATGAAGATTCAGAGGATGAGGACGAGGTGGTTGTGAGTTCCAAGGACGACGAACGGCAGGGCACCCAGTATAACTACAGCCTGTTCCACGTGATCTTCTTGATGGCAACTTGCTGGGTAGCCACCCTTTTGACACAGAAGATGGACCCTGAGAATTCGAGTGACTTTACGCCGGTCGGACGGACGTACTGGGCAAGTTGGATTAAGATTGTGAGCGCTTGGGTGTGCTATGGGATTTACAGTTGGAGTCTTGTTGCGCCGGTGGTGCTTGAAGGCAGGGATTTCTCCTGAGGCAAGGCGCCGGCCACCGAGGATGGGGTCCTCTTCATAACAACTATTCAACATACGCTCTCAAGAAGTATTACAAAGCAAAAGAATGAACTTGATGTCTTCTATCAACTCTTCCATCCTCCTCATCCAAAGAGTTCCGTTCTACATCAGCACCCTTGCCACTGATAGCTTTGTCCGTCATGACCGCTGGACGCGTGAGGAGGGATCATGGTTTGTCAACTTGTGCTCCTTCCGAACGAAGACCAACAAGGCTCCGACCCCTATCCTACTGCCCATTACCTACCACTCGATCATTAATTACTCACTGCTATGTACCAGTACCAGATCCCTGATGCTGTGCACGTGACTGCCCACTATATTTCACCGTCGACTCAAATAAACTCGATATCATGAAGTCTACACCTACTAGGTACCTGTCATTGTAACATCGCAGCACGGACAGATGTCTATCCTAACCTGCTCTTTCTATCTCTCTTCAATGTCCCCGCACATGGGCAATTCCATGAATTGGGGAACGGATTGGTCGGAAGAAGGAAAGGAGCAAAGAGAGAAAGAACAAGTGTCTTCGACGAAGGTTCGCTTCGAGATAGAGAACGAAGGTTTGCATGTTGGCATGTTGATGGCTATTATGGTTTCTTCTCTGCCTTCAGCAAGGGGATGATAGAGGAAAGAAGCTGGCTCAGATCTACCTGATAATCCTAACGATTCTCAAGCCAGCCAGCCAGCCAGTCAAACCGAAAGTGTCCATGTATCTATGTAGTCTAATGCCCATGGAATACAGCCCGTCCAGACTCCGCGTGATGTGGTGTCCTGTGCCTTTGTTGTTCACGCATCAACAGAGACAGCGTAGCACGTTGAACAAGCCGCCCCTTTTGCCGTCTATCCCGAAAAGATCGGTCTAACCCGCGCCACAAGAGGACATCGCAGACGCCCGAAATCAGATCCGAAAGAAGACTCGTATGTTGTCATAACCCATTCAACCACCACAGCAAGGCCGAGAGTGAACAATCGATACTAAAGATGCAGGATGCCGTAAAGCTGTCTGTGAATACCTAGACTCTGAGGTCTAGTGGGCAGCAACAGTTAAGAGCATCATGGCATGGGGACCAGTATCAGCAATATCATTATGGAGCGTAAGGCAGTTAACTGCAAGCTCAGGGTCTTGCAGATTGCCACGGAAGCGCAAGGCTGAGACAAAGAGGCACTGTCGGGAAGTTAGCCCAGGAAGGTGTCGCGGGTTGGCGTGAAGGAGTACTACCTTCTGGTCCGCCGACATCTTAACCCGGCGTCTGTCTCAGACGTAGACCCAAGGTTGTTTCCCTCGGTCTCCGCACCGGCCGTGTAGTGGGCATGGCATCAGCGACCGTAATAGCGAGGCTGGTCCTTGGAGACGGTCCCAGTGGCGTTGCCACTGTACTGCTTGCACATGTTGCACATGAGAAAGCCGCAGTTCTTGCACTGCCAGATCTTGGTGGTGTTGTTGCCGCATTTGCCGCACTTCCAGATCAACGAACAGTGCCCTTCGTTATATTTGCCTTGGTATTCATGGCCGGGACAGTTCTGGTAGTTGTATCGGTAGTTGGGGGCACTGTTGGCCGGCTGGAAGGGAGATAGATGAGCATCTTCGTCTCAAGCAAGGCATAACAGAGTAAGGCAAAGCAGCACTGAGGTCAAAACGTACACCAGCCATACTGAATGGATTTGTAGGTATTGGTATGAAAGTATCCGGATATGTCTGGGTTTCCGGGTGCGTTGTTTTTGAGTTTCGCTTCGATCGTGCAGGCCGAGATCTGGATTCGCTTGAGATGATGTGCAATGTCGATGGTCATTTGAGGCCGAAACAGTCGCAAATCCGCGGTATATAAAGGGCAGAGGCGCAAACGGAACGGAAATGTAAGTGTCACCGCTCCCCATGATCTCTTGTCACGAAGCCAAACGAACCCGTCAAGGCTGCAGCATCTATGACTGTCGTCGAAAGGCTGTCATCCTTGCAAGCACAGTGTGTATTATTGACATGTCTGATGAGGAAGAAACAAACAACCTTTTCCTGGTGAGGAGAGGAGGCCCTAGTGACATCTTGCGTGGGGGATCCTGTAGGATCTCGGGCCGTCGTTGCGCATCTTTGCTGAGAAGCCGTGCCGGATAAGCATCGATGGCTCGAAAGGGATGCCGGAAGACGAGTCTCGGTGGCAGATGCCAACCGCAATTCTTTACAGAAAGCGGTTTAGAAGTTCAGGGACCGTGCGGAAGCCTGTTCCACCCGGCACTCTAAGACGCTCAAACTTTGCTCTTGGTCTTGCACATATGTACCTCCCGCGCGTCGTGATTGATGGAATCCTCGGATCAAGACCGCGCATCGCTTGCTAATTAAGGGTCCTCTTAGCAAGGTATCGAGGTGCGTCTCGTCTCATGTCGTGCGCAAAAAAGTTCCGGCCAGCCCATCTGGCGTGGGGCCAGAGCCGGAGCTGAAGGGTAAGGGAGATCGTGATAGACGACTAACAAGACGTTGATAGATAATATGGTGGGGTCATCACTCGCCCTAGCGGCGTGAGAGACCTCAAGTATGTGCAAGTGATTGCCAGAGAAGGTTGAGACATCTTTCATCGATGCTGGACCCTATGCCGAGAAGGACAGGGGCCTGGCAGCATTTGCAGAACCAAGTCTGAACTACGCGTGATCGTGAGGCGAGACAAATTCCGTGTGTCGATGCATCCCAGGAAAACCGACCCCGGCCGATCGCCGGACGAGGCGCGCTGGGTTGCGGATCGAGCCTACTGAAAGCCAGAACGATACCCTGGGAGTTCCCAAAATGGTCGACATGGGCAGACATCTTAGCGAGGCTGGTCGTCGCAGGAAGCTGATCCGGCAGCCGGGGACCACTAGAGTCAGGAGGCTTCTTCGCATCAGGCGCGGCCGCATGCAAGGCCTTCCAAGGCGTCAGCTGAAGCCTACTAGCCCTAGAGCGTACAGTGTTGCAGGGGTTGGCCATGATAGGATGTATGCGACTTCTGCCTCGCGTATCGACACCGCCTGCATTCCCGTATGGCCATTCCTTTTGAGAAAATGGCTGATAAGACCGTTGATCGCGGCCGGCCTTCCTTTTCCATCTCGAGGTACAAAGCTGCTGTTCGGGACTAGGGCCAATTATCTTCACCTGTTGCCTGCGTCGACGACAACCGGTCGGGACTCGGCACAGAATATGGTAGATCTGACGGTGATCGAGTCGAGGTGGTCATTGCATGCAGTCGGCGGCTGATGCATAGCTTCATTCACAAACACGTCAAGGTCCTATATTGTCCGAACGAACCCTCAACGACGACATTGTGCATCTTGTGTCGCATCAAGGTAGTACCAAACCCGGAAAACAAGGACACCGTTTCTGGGTCGCCCGAAGATCGAGTCCCCGGCTTTTCGGGACAAGGCTGGATATGCTATGCACATCTGCAGGGGTACCGGCGATTGGCAGGTGCATGGGCAGACCAATAGCCTGCTGGAGTTCCCTTCGATCAGCAAGAGATGTTTGCAGCCTCCCAGAGTGCTACTGCGGTCCAAAGAGAATCCAGCAAGATTTTCGTATCCCGGCACGGGCTACACCAAGATTGGAGTCGATGACCACAACAAACTGACCACAGCAAGTGATGTTTTGAGAGTATCCATGGAGTCGCAGGGGGGATCGTACAGGCGGTGAAGCAAACATTGCTGATGATTCAACACTGCTTGCCATCGGCAGTGCTTAATCATTCAGATAAAACAATGGCGACATATCCTCTGTAAGATAGACGTTAGGTGGAATGCACGGCGCAGGCCAGTGGCTTGCACTTACCTCCATGATGATTGCGACGGATAGCTTCAGCTAGGAGATTCGACAGATCGATGACAATCAGCTTCTTGGACGCCCTGAGTCGCTCCGGATTTATTGGGAAGGTATTTGTCACGACGATATGGTCGATGCTATCACAAGCCTCCAGCTCTTCGAGGGAATCGTCGCCGAACAACGCATGGATGGCAATGCAGTACACCTTCTTGGCCCGTCCAATCTTGACGCATGTTTCTGCAGCTGCAATCCAGGACCCAGCTCTATCTAAGATGTCATCCATCAACAAGACGGTCCGACCTCTCACGTTGCCGACTAGAGTAATGGTGTGTTCAAGGTCCGGGTTCTTGATACCATCCTCCTCCTCGTCAGACGTGGCAACGGCGTCGAAGGTTCCGCCAAGGGCATGCTCGGGTTGATACGACGATGCGTTGGAGATAAACGAAGAGGTCATTGGGTCGTAGGCATGGTTGTCATCCTGCAAGTTTCGATCGCTGGGGAGCCCTGAATTCGAAGCAGATATACCGGATAGTGCTGGAGACGGATGATCATCGTTGACCAGATGCCCTTGGACCAGGCGACCTATAATGACTTCACGAGCTCGTTCATCATTATGTGCTTCGCTAGCTTCATATTCAGAAGGACGACGTGCGCTCGGTGTGGTGTCAATACGACTCAACCGAGTTGGAGACGCAGGAGGGGATGATGACTCGACTCTCGTGGTTTGGACCAGGGGGCTGGACACGATGGTGACCGCCTTGGGTCTGCCAGGACGGTTGGCGCCGTTCGCGGTGGAATTTCGGCCGCGGTGAACAAATTCACTCCGGCGCTCGAACTCCTGTAGCTTATCGGATTCAGTATCAGCGTCATGACCGTCATCGACCTCGGCGTCGGCGAGGCGCTCCCGGATGCGGATGGACTGGGGCTCAATGGCGTCGAAGAAGATGACGCTGTCCATCATGTTGTTTGGATGATGGGACGTTCGGGATCGATCTTTGTCCGTCGAGACAAGTGCAAAGCTCAACTTGAGCGCATCGGCAAGAGAGGTGACTCGTTTGGTGCCGCCGACATTCTTGCTCACCACAACCGCCTCCTGCCAGCAGGGGACATTGTTCTTGATCCACCGGGCAATGATCGGCTCGGCGTACAGATTGTCTACCGGCTTGCCAAAGAAGCCTACCATTTGGGAGGCATGTAGATCGACGGTGATGATGTGGTCCACACCCGCGACGACCATGAGGTTGGCTATCATTTTGGCGGTGATGGCGCCTCGGTGGCTCTTCTTCTTAGACTGGCGAGAGTAAGGGAAGTAGGGCATCACCGCGGTAATTGACTTGGCCGAGCCTCCTTTGCACGCCGCGATCATGATGAGCATTTCCATTACGCTGTCGTTGATGTGAGGACTGCCGCTCTGGACGATGAAGACATCCTCGTTCCTGACCGACGTCCCAATCTGAACACTGATCTCGCCATTGGCGAAGTTTCCCAAGTCACATTTGGCGGGCGAGGCACCCAGCCGTTGACAGATGGATTCGACGAGGCTCGGATGAGACCGGCCAGAGAAGACTTGGACGCCTCTCATTTCGAAGCGTTGGACAAAAGAGCTTGCTAAAAAACAGAGGACAGGAAAGTCAGAGGACGGGAACGCACTGTGCAGGGAAGAAGTCGTATTCAGGTCATTGTCGTCTTGAAATGGGCTTAAAGTGGGAAATGATATTTTTTTACTGTTGAGGCTTTGATTGATCAACTGCGGATGGCATCACGTGAGGGCGCAGTTTTGGCCGTTATCTTATCGCGCTCTGGCTAAACCGCCGCCTCTAAATAAAGATATTTGAATCCCTTCTGATCATCATTTTGTCACTGCCCATTCTTCTTCCTTCCGTTGTCTGCCTCATGGATTTTCCTGGCGTTATGCGCCTACCATGTCTACAAAATTCCCCGAGATTCAAGGCGGAGGCTCCCTGATTCTCGCCTGGCAGATCAAGAACAAAGAAGTTCTGGTGGTTGGCGGGGGCGAGGTAGGTTTTTTGCCCACCCTTCGACCATGTTCGCTCTGACGGTTGTGTTAGGTTGCCGCCGGCCGGATTGTCAATCTTCTCAATGCCGATGCGAAGGTGACAGTGGTTTGCCCGCGGGAGGGGCTCAATGAAGAGGTGGCGTATCGAGTAGACCACGGGCAGGTTCGACACATCGACCGAATTTTCCTTCCACTGGACCTCGAACCCGAACGGAAGGTTGCCATGGTCTTGACCGCCGTCGACGACCCGGAGGCGTCCACTCGGATATGGAAGTACTGCAAGGAAATGAAGATTCCTGCCAACATCGCGGACGTGCCCTCAGAGTGCGACTTCTACTTTGGCAGTGTGCACCGAGACGGGCCGCTACAGATCATGGTGTCTACAAACGGCAACGGGCCCAGGTTGGCGGCGGCGATCCGACGGCAGATTGGGAGGATGCTGCCCAAGGGAACAGGAGACAGCATCGAGAAGGTGGGCCAGCTTCGGCGCCGACTTCGCAGGGCAGCCCCGGGTAAGAGCACGCGGGACATCAGCAAGAGAATGGGATGGATGAGCGCCGTGTGTGACCGATGGAGTACGGAGGATTTCAATGCCATGGACGACGAAGATATGGAGACATTGGTGGACTATTATGAGTCGGGCAAGGTCCCCAGTTTTGAGGAGGTACGGCTTGGGAACCGCGGAGACGTGGTCTGGGAGTTTGACGGTTCATTTGGATGGATGTAACACTATCATGGGGAATGGAAAGGAGTGGCTATTTTGCTGTGCTATCAAGGGGTGGTTGTGGCATAGATGTTTCATGATGGTCAACAAGGAATTGAATGATGGTTCAACTAGGACTCGAGATATGTGAGCGCAGTTTGATTGTGGGGTGTATACATATCTGGCCAGGCTCTCTGTAGCATCCCAGGGATAAATCCAACGTATCCAGGCTGCGCTGAAGACCACGATATAGCAATAACTAATGGAGTCTCTTGGTTTCCAGAGTGTGATACTATTCATTATGGCTGGTGTCTTTGGTCTCTGGTGTCTCGTGCCTGGATGCCCAGATGCCTCGAGAGCTGAAATGACGTATAGTACTACCCACTACCACCCACTACCCACCTACTACCTAACCACCTACTGCCGGTAGTAGTATGATGTACAGAGTAGTAGTAGTGTACTGTAGTAAGTAGGTGCGTGCAGTGCCTGCGGCTGAACTGAACTGCGCCTTTGATTCATCAATCTGCTGTCAACGCCCCCGATGCTGAGTTTCGTTCTATCACCAACCAGGTTTAGATGCCCAACACCAACTTGAACTGGATTCAATACTGGATTCAAGTTATTTATTCTTAAATTAGTCGTACCATCCCATCCAGCATGCCAATCAACCCAACCACCGTTGCTATCGTCGCATTCGTTCTCCTCGATCGTCCGTTGTCCATAGTTCCACCACGAGTTCCACCACGAAACCAAGGCAGCACAATCACAGCAATCACAGCAATCACCTCCCGCACTACTACGTGATCCAGCTCCCTGCCGTCTTCTCTTGACACTTGAGAACCGCTACCGCTACTCGGCCCTACTACGTAGTATCTGTCCCTCATCCCCCGCGGGAAATCCAGGTGCTGGCCTGGTATTTTATCATACGCAAGACCATCATCTCACTTACCTTAAACTAAAGGCGAATCTTCAGCGCTCGGCCTCTCGCCATAATTCTGTTTGTTTGCCTGTCCATCGACGCTGCTGTTCAGAGTGAGCTCGGGGTCGGAAGAGGCCAATCTAGGCGGGAGTCAACGAGCCAGGTGGCTGATCTAAGTCAGGATGCATGCACTTCGCGACAAACTCAGAGGTTTGCCTTGCCATCCAAGTCATTTGACCAGATAAATGATACCCGACAGATACCAAGCTGCACGATGCCAAAATCGAAGCTCTTCACTTCAAGAGTAAGTTAGGCAAGCTCAAGAACCTGGTCAACCGAAATCATCGCCATGACGAGGAGCACGAGAAGGCTACCGACCAAAAGAGATCTAACATCTGTGAATCGCATCGTTTTCAATCCTATTTCCCGGAGCGTGACAACAACAAGATTAAATGGTATGTCGACGGCCGCGACTACATGTGGGCTGTGTCGGTTGGCCTGGAGAATGCCAAAGAGACCATCTACATCGAGGACTGGTGGCTTTCTCCCGAATTGTTCTTGCGCCGCCCACCCTTCTTCAACCAGGAATGGCGTCTGGACCAGGTCATTAAACGCGCCGCTGAACGTGGAGTACAAGTCTATGTGATCGTCTACAAGGAAGTCCAGCAAGCCCTGACCTGCAACTCCGCTCACACCAAGCATGCCTTGAGGGCCTTGTGTCCGCCCGGAAGTCCTGGCCATGGCAATATCCATGTAATGCGCCACCCAGACCATAACGTTTTCGAAAACTTTGGCGACATGACCTTCTATTGGGCTCATCATGAGAAGTTCATCGTTGTTGATTATGAGCTTGCTTATATTGGAGGCATAGACCTGTGCTACGGACGATGGGATGTCCGTCAGCATCTTCTTGCCGACGTCCATCCGTCGGGCGTCGTCAACGAAGTCTTTCCCGGCCAGGACTTCAACAACAACAGGTATGATAGCTGGCCTCAGTGGACGTTGAGAATGTGCTGACCGACCTCCAGGATCATGGACTTCCAAACCGTGCAAGATTGGTCGAACAACGAATTGAACAAAACCGACTACGGTAGGATGCCCTGGCATGATGTAGCCATGGCGCTGGTCGGAGAGTCTGTGATAGACATTGCCGAACACTTTGTGCTGAGATGGAATTTCATCAAACGGGACAAATACAAACGTGACCCCAAGATCGACTACCTATGTCTGACTACGAAGGCCCGGGCGGATGGGTCCAATCCCGACGAAGACTTGCTCGCAATCCAGCGGCCCACGCATCCCGTCGGCGAGTACCTTGAGCACCCTCTCAGTCCTCTCGAAAACAAGGGCTTACAGAACGCCGGCTCCGTGCATGCCCAGGTTGTCCGAAGCAGTGATGACTGGAGTAGCGGGATTCTAACCGACCATAGTATTCAGAATGCCTACATTGAAGTCATCGAAAATGCTCAGCACTACGTTTACATTGAGAACCAGTTCTTTATCACTGCGACCGGCGATCAACAGGCGCCAATCCACAATACCATCGGCCGAGCCATTGTCAATGCCTGCGTCCGTGCCGGGAAGGAAGGCCGGAAATTCAGAGTCATTATTGTAATCCCCGCGATCCCTGGGTTCGCAGGCGACTTGCGTCAGGATGCCGCCATCGGCACCAGAGCGATCATGGATTACCAGTACAAGAGCATCAACCGGGGTGAGCACTCGATCATGGGTCAGATCAAGGCAGCCGGCTTGGACCCGAACGAGTACATCTTTGTGTTCAACCTCCGCGCCTATGATCGCATCAGCAAGACTCCGGGGTTGATTCAGCAAGAAAAAGAATCCGGCGTGTCCTATCAGCAGCTGCAACGCGCCGAGGCGGAAGAAATCATGGGGACAGGTATCCACGGCTACAAAGGCGAAAGAACCGAGGAGGAATCTCGCGGCGGAGGCCACTCGGTTAACGAAGACGAACAGCACCGCATCATTGACCGCAAGCGCAAATTCGAGGCTGCACGTAAAGAGCTCGATGTGCAGGACCCAATCACCTCGGCCGAGTCCATTGCAGAAGACGCCATGGCCCGCGGGGGTCTTGTCAGTGAAGAAGTCTGGGAAGGCGATCCAGAAAGTGAGAAAGAGAATTTCGTGCAAGAGGAGCTTTACATTCACGCGAAGCTGCTCATTGTGGACGACAAGACTGCCATCTGTGGCTCCAGCAACCTCAACGACCGTTCGCAGCTGGGCTTGCACGACTCGGAACTCTCCATTGTCATGACCGACACTCGGACACTCGAATCCACCATGGACGGCAAGCCCTATCAGGCGGGCTACCATGCCGCGACACTACGCCGGCACCTGTGGCGCGAGCACCTTGGCATCATAGAAGCGCAACCCGTTGACGCGTCGAAAGATCCTAACGCGCAACCACCGACCGTCTGCATGAATGAAGAATATAGTGGCGAGGAGTGGGAGTCCGTCGCTGACCCGCTGGGCGACGCCGTCTGGGAGAAATGGACCTCCCAGGCGACCATCAACACCGATGTCTACCGATATCTGTTCCGCGCCGACCCGGACAACCACATCAAGACCTGGGAGGACTACGACGCGTTCGCTCCACGCAAGACCATCAAGCAGGGCCACCTCCACGACCCGCACATGCCTGTCGAGACGGTTCGGAAGGAACTTGACAAGATTCGGGGCCACTTGGTCTGGATGCCCTTGGACTTCTTGTCTGAGGAAGAGATGGCGGAGAAAGGTCTCCAGATCAACGCGTATACCGAGGTGAGTTTTAACTGCTTAGCACACCCGCGCCCTGATTCTTCCGCTTGCGCTTCTGGTTTCCAGTCTTGTCCTTCTTGACTAACATCTCCTTTTTACAGAGCATCTACACCTGATCTTTCCATCCAGAAGTCATGCAATATTAGGAGAAGGTTGTGGTCATGAGTCAGGTCTTGATCGTTATTGTCCAGGAAGAGTGGTTTGTTTTCTGGACGGCAGTCGGCGCCCCCTTTTGAAGTGGATAGCACAGGTCACGAAGGGCACGCAGCTGCAGACTCTGGTCTGCGAGGAGTCATGTTGGGATTTGCACAGGTCATGGACAATTCGCTTTAATCATGGGTTTGTGATACGGTCGTTTCAGTCTTTTCGCGCCGCTGCTGAATCTCATGCGGTCGATCGAATTCAAGGGGGAAACAAAAAGAAACAAATGAAAAGGAAGCAGTGCAGTGATCGATCATAGCAGTTTTAATGACAACCTCAACAACCACTTCCATATATATACTGAGCCAGTCTCCTTGCGAGGGAGGAGTAGTAGCAGCGTTGTGGTGAAGAAGCAAATACGTAGCTGTGCTTCACCAACAATCTCCAGGAGTTGACGCCTCTGATGAACAAGGACAACAGAAGTCGCTACAATCAACCACATTCTCGGGCATGGCGCCTCTCATGGCCCAGAGAACCGCAACATAACCCTGTTGCTGCCCAGTGTACCCCATGTCGAGCAAAGTAGATTTGTAGTAAATACAATAGGCGTAAGGGAGTCGAGGTGGGCTGGTATGAATGTCATTTTGGCTGTCTGAGCCAGACACACACACACACATACACACACAGGTTTCATCGCCCCACGATCCAGACACTATTGCCATGTCTGATGAGTCCTCAATACGGATGAACAGTTGAACAGTTGAACAGTTGAAGAGGAACTCGCCGGTACCACGCAACGGTCTTCGATGCGTGTCAGCCAACTCTGGAGGCCGGGCTGTCGGATTTCCCTTTGAGAGCAGGGTTGAACAGTCAAGTCTTACTGTCTCCGTCCTCGATCCGTCTCCGCTAGTTAGGGAGGATCTTGGCGCTTGAAACCGGTTGGGCTGAATAGTCAGGAGCAAAGGCATGGATATCGCCTATACCGCACCGGTTCTGCTGACCCTGCTACCCCTCCTGCTGCTCGCCGCGTACTCGAATCCACGACCAGACTGAGACGTGCCGGGGCTCGTCGGAGTGGCACCGCCGATGCTGCCGTTCCGCGTGGTGGAGCTGACACTATCGTCCCGACCACGCGCCATGATCAACTCGGGCATGTTGAACTTGACCTCGCCGACGCGGCGGAACATGCCCCACAGCGCCGAGCGCAGGTCGGCGTTGACTTCCTTCTCCAGCAGGCCGACGGCCAGCGGGTAGAAGATGTCGACGTGCTTCTCGAAGCTGTCCTTGGGGAAGTTGGTGAGGCCTTCCAGCACGTCGATGACGACGGGCCGCCACGCGATGATGTTGCGCTGTTGCGTCTCCTCGTCGAGCAGGACGAAAGACCGGATGATGTCGGCGCACAGCCTAAACCAAGGAAATTGTCATATTAGCATTCCTTCTCATAGACCCACAAACACGAAAGATGGCAACAGCTTGATGGGCAGTTCGCCAGAGGGAAGAGAGGAAAAAACTTACGGAATCAGTGCACCCTCGGTCTGCTCTCGGCTCGCTCTTCGCTCCTCTCCTTCATCGTGATACATGCGTAACAAGATACTAACATAGGTGTTGGCCGAGCCGGATTCTTGCTTCAGCAGGTTCGGCGGCTGTCGCATAAAGCCTTGTCTCCACAACGCCATGCGGAGGTCCTTGTCGCCGTTGAATTTTTTGGCGAATTGGTACGATTTCTTCAGGAGCGCCATCAGCCGGAGGAGCTCCGAAGAAGGGATCTGGGCATACACCGAGTCGTTGGAGAAGAGTTCGGCCACAGTCTCGATCATAAGGAGCTGTAGGACGCAGTTGGTGATGATCTTGTTGAAGAACCGACGGCGTGCTGCTGTCACCACCGGTGCCGTCACTTGCATGTCCGAATGTGGGCGGTAGTCTTCGAGCTCGGGCGTCGTCTGAGCTGGGAGGATTTCGGGCGCGGCAGCCATCGGGTCTGCGCGTGACTCTGGAGGAGAAGCGAGCGCATGCCCTTCACTTGCGCCGCCGTTCGTTGTTGCAGTGTTCACGATGGTTGTCCCTGAGATGGACAGACCATCGGATCCATCGTGGGTTGGCGTAGGTCGCGCATCGGACATGGTTGCGGCGGCGGAAAACAGCTCATAAGCAGTCGTTCGGTTGAACAGCTCCACAAACGCCATCACAATCCTTGACCAGTGCTCAGGCGTGAATTTCGTGACGTTCTGCAGAATGAGCTGTTGAAGACAGTTGCTGCCGATCCGGGCAATCGTGTCATTTTCCTGGCAGATGCACAGGGTAAGAAGATCCAGGAAGCGATCGAGCATGTGCTCTAGGGACTCGAAGTAGTGCGTGAATAGGGTAATCATGTTTCGAAGGGCTTGGATCATCGTCGTCGACAGCCAGACGGACAGTTCCTCGTGGTTAGGAGCCTTGGACATTTCCGACTTGGACTGCAGAACAACAAAGATCGGATAGAGGAGTTGGCGCCAAAGGACATCCCAAAAATCGATGGGAAAGTCGCCGCCGTATCGGATCAGTGTCTCGAACAGGTAGGTGAGAGCTCGGGAACGCACTTCGAGATCTTCCCCAGTCATCAAAACGTCCTGGTAGGCTATGAGAACCGGGTACCAGAACTGTTCCTCCTCGGTCTGAGAAGTTGGCTGTTTGACCCCAGCGACAATGTCCGAATCTCCTGCCTGGACCCCTTTAATATGCCGCCTTGACAGAGGACATTCGGGTGTCTTCAGCATCTTTGGAACCGTCGACTTGAGGAGCTCGATCGCTTGAAGTGATTTCTTCTGGAATTTGAGGTTCTTCGAGAACTCAGTGAGACAAACGATCATGTCTGGAAAAGAGCCCTGGGATATCACAACGCCAAACCGGGTGTTGTAGATCTGAGTCGTGTAGTCAAATGCAATATTGACAATCGACTCGTATTGTTCGCGGGCAGCAACAGAGAAGACCCCAAACATCGTTTTCCACCCGGATCGGATATTGTCCCCACGAGCTTGGATCATCTGGATCAGGCATCTCAAGATCATGTCCTTCACCGACACGGCGTTGCTGTTCGCCATGACGTGTTCGAAAGGCTTGAGGAAGTCTTTCTGGAATTTGAACCCGGGCAGTTCCTCAATCTCCATGAACCTCATTGATAGCTGCCGCAATGAATCGAGGGCAAAGAAGACCACGGCCGTGTTGTTGTGACAGCCAACTTGATTGAAATGTTCGCCGAGCACTTCCCATATACGCGTCCACTCTATCCTCACCCTCGTCATATTGTAGTAGCTGATCTCAACGAGTTTCTGAAGACTGTAGGTCCGTGGAGAATCACTGTTGCCCGAAGACTGGATCTCTTGCCAGCTGACCTCGCTCAAGGCCCGCACAAAGTCGATAATTGCTTCGGATGACAGTTTCGAGGAGTTGGTGAAGATACGATCGACTCCACGGATCATGTCCGTGGATTTCGTCTCGTCCGCCACTTCTGGTCGAAAGCTGTGAGAAGACCGGGGCCTAGGACGTTTGACAGCTTGCATTGACCGCCGACTTCGGCGTGTGTCTTTGAGGTTAGAAGGCGTGGGTATACTTGCCCGGGTCACATCAGGAATTGCCTCCTCATCGATGCCCGTGGACAGCAGCTGTAATCGATCGAGCTGGCTGATGCACATTAGCACCTCCCGCCACGAGCTCTTCAGCCCGTCGCCCTCAGTCAAGGCCACTTCGATAAGCACTTTCAGCGCTTCCAAGTTCTTGGCCATCATCTCTTTGAGATTGCTTAGATTTGTAAACTTGGCCAGAGCCGTCACGAAGGCAACTCTAGGCGTCTCGAGGTCAAACCTACAGGCAATTCTGATGGCTAGCCTGAAGCCTTCCAAGCACTGCTTGATAAGTTCCAGGTTCTGTGCATCTTGCATCTGACTCGAGAATGCTGAGAGGAATGACATCCAGGTGACATTGAACATGGGGCCCACGTGCTTGACGGAAGTGGCTGGAATGAACCGTGACAGAGCTTCGCGGACCGCAGAGCGTTTCTGCGCCCTGATGAGACTCCGATATAATTGCTCGGTCTTGTTTGCCATTTCCTCAGAAGCTTGTGCGTATTTTTCCTTTTGCAGATCTCTCCCAACGTTGGCAAATACTTGGCCAGCCCTTGAAGCTAATCCAGCAGAAGGCGTTGCGGGAATAATACCCAGCTCGGCAGCGTGCTCGCGTTCAGATGCTAGGACGATCTCATTGGAAGCGATATCCTCGTAAATGCTGGCCAGATACTCTGCAGGCAGGTCGTGACCGTCATTAATTCCCCGATTGTTCTTGATGAAGTCGTCAACGGTCATTCTTCGCCCTTTCATCTTCGTACTGTGCTGGTCGGTGTTCAACATGACAGCCGAGTATGCCAAGACGTATGCAGTGTCGGCGTTGGCGAAAGCATTAGGATTGCCGCTCAGATAGCGCTCCGCGAACTTGAGCATAAAGCGATCAATCTTTTGAGCTTCTCCAGGTAATCGAAAACTTTGCAGAAATTGCCTCAGGGCGTCAACGAACCGTCGTTTTCTGAAGTCCATCATGTCGACAAAGGCATGCATAACGGCGATATTATGTTCGTCGCCTTCTCCAAGATACTCCCCAAGAGTTGTTTTATCCAGCCGTTCATTGCCGTAGAGAAATTTAGCAATATCCTGCGGAGCGTTGCTGCGTATAAATCCCTCGGCTATGAGAGTCTTGATGCCTCGTTTGGGTTTGAAGTTGAATTGCCTGATGGCCTCATTCAACGCCGATTTGCGTTTTCTCACTTTCTCGATCTCGTTTGGATCGTCTTCCGCCACCGGTGTCGAGAACCCTGATTCACTTCCCCCATGAACTCGCGGCGAAGGTGGAGGTCTTTCGCTGTCATCAAGGGATTCTCGGGAGTCTTCAAATGATGCTCTTGAGGTCGGGTACCGTGACCCATCATTATGATCGGGAACAGGATGACTCGACCAGTTGTCTAGAGAACTCAGAGTCTCTACTAAACAACGCAGCGCCTGCTGCTTCAAAGTGTACTCGATTGGCACGGGGGATGGAGGGGGGCTCGGGTGGCTCAAACTGGTCGTGGAGAGTGCAGGCAGTAATGAACCCCTGGAATGCCAGTCTGCTGTTTGCGTTGCCTGTTTCGCCTGTTGCTCTTGATACTGGTGCTGTTGCTGCGGAGTGACAACCACTGGCGTGCTGCAAATGCGGGAAAGGTGCTCAATGATTTCTTGATACATGTTATCCAGAGCGGTCCGATCGCAGTCGTAATTGAGGTAAACCTCAACGAGAGCGCGAGGATCCCCTGCCAGTCGTTCCAGGACGTCTAGAAACATTTGTTTCTGGAACGGAGGAGCACTGCGCCGCTCCAACACGGCAAGGTAGATCTCCTTTAAGAAAACCTCGAGTTCTTTCTTCAAGAGTACCCGCAAATTCTTCAGACAGAGCCAGAAAATCTCGCAGCAGACTTCATAAACTCGTGACACCGCACTGGCGGCGTTGCGGGACAGGCTGAGACACAGATGTGGTTTCGCGACTTGTAAGAAGGGTGTACCTTCATCATTGTTGCTGCTTTTGATTATGGAGAATGAAGACGTGAACACAGTGGTATAATTGTTGAGTACATGATAAATGAGATGGAGAGAGAGTAGCTTCGAGCGCATGTTTTGGCCCCGCAGGTCCTGCTGGTCGTGGTTTAGGACTTTTTGGCTGAGTTTGCATAAGGAGCGAAAGACTAGGAAGGCGTCTTTGATGTAGATGTCATCCTCATCTTCAGGGGAGAGTTCGCTATCTTCATGGTCTTCATGGCGAGACACGGGTCCGGATGAAGAGCGAGTGTTCTTGCGCTCTCTTCTTGCCCGCGTCACCGTCGTTGGTGCACTGTCAGCTACGACAGCATCATCGAGATGTTTGTTGTTCTCGAAGCTCTGCAGAGTCAACTTTTCCTGCGTCTTCGGAGAGCCCTCCGATAGCTGAGGAGGAGTTTCCTGGTCTGGTGTCTCAGCCTGTTCGTTGAGTCCGTTCAGCTCGCCATGCTCAAGCATCGAAGCTTCGCCAGACAGTGCATCGTCTGATTTGGCTCCAGTATGCTCCCGTAGGCGAGCCTCCTTCATGTCCAAACGAACCCTGACTCGTTCGAATACCGTTGCAACCATCTGGAGAAGAGACCCCTGTGCGACTTGTTGGTTCTGACTTGACTTGGAATAGATGAAAATATTGTAGATCTGTCGGACCGCTTTGAGAAGACCAGCACCATGCACGACGATTTTATCATCTAGGACAGCTGCTAGCAATGACTTGATTATCTGTTGTTGAACCTCGACCGGAGTAGCTTCATTTTCGAAGCAGTCACAGATGGCTTCGATGGCCCGCTCGATCAGAGGAGGAGTGTCCGCCACAGCCGGCTGGTTGGTAGCAACGACTGGAAATGCAAAGTATGAATAGCTTATGAGCTTCCCGATACAGTCCAAAGCCGTCACCTGCAGCGGAACGTGGAAGGACCTGGTTGCCATCTGTAACGGTCGGAATATTATCTCAGGATTGACTGCCTGCTCCGAGCTCTTGACATTCGATAAAGCTGCCTGAACAGCGTCTGCGAATTCCTTGTTCTTTCGGACCTCCTTGGCCGCCGCAATAGTTTCCAATGCATTCACCACGAAAACCGTGGAATTGACTGGCGAAGGTCTCGACATGGTTGTAGATCGTGAATCGGATCGTGCTGGACGCGTTGGAGGCGCGCCTTCATGCGATGTTGAAGCTGTAATACCCTCATCCTGTTGCTGATGAGGCAGGTCTCCCTCGACCCCAGCCCCATTTTGGGAAGCCTCTTCCGACCCTTGTGGGGGAGCTGTGTTCAAAGAAGTGTCTTCTGCATCTCCCTGTGGCATGGGAGGTTGGCGAGAGTCCACCTGTGACTCGGTCACGACTGAAGTGCCATCTTGGGAGGCAGCATCAGCAGCATCAGCAGCGTCCTCGTCTGTAGGTGTCCCCTCGCGTGCGGCGTCCGCATCGGCATCCTCAATTGTGATTGTTACTCCATGACTTGTAGGGTCGGCGGGGACAGATAGCTCCTCAGAGTGATCTTGCTGGCCTTCTTCGCGGATGTCTTCTGCTGAGGCATTCCGCGAATGCAACTCGGGGTGCGGACTTGACTGAGTCTCCGGCGATTCGCCTTCGACGCCAGACATTTGGCTGGCAAATGAGAGATTCGAGCGGGAGGTTCAAGGCACAAGCATCATCTGAGCAGGAGTGGGACAGGCGGACTCATCGCAGTAGGTCGCAATCGCGAAGTTCAGGAGGTCTTGACAGCCCGATGAATAGTACAGATCTCCCGTAAGGGTCCCTGTGCGCATTACCGCGGAGGGCATAAGTTTTGTTGGGTGAGGTGTAGACACTCCAGCCGCTGCTGACCGATAGTAGGTTGGAGCATATGCCGGCCGAGCGATGTGTACACCATGTTCAAATGCTCCACAGTGGTGTATGTTGCGGTGATACCCGTAGGTACCTAAAAGCAGCCTGCATAGGTAAGTATCTAATAGGCAGTAAGGCGCCCTATAGGCAGCACACTACTAGTACAAGGTGTATAGCGGAGTTCTGTGCGCTCGGTGATTGTCCCTCAATGGCACCGAGCTTGCCGGACCCAAACTTGCGCTCGCAGCCTCTTACAGGACAGTCTCTCGATTTCGGAAGCCGGAGTGGAGACCAGGTCTGTCGTCCACTGGCACTGCAAGTGTGCAGCATCGCTCCCTCAACTCATTTTCTTAGCTGTAGCCAACAGTCCAACAAACCATACAGCTTTGGTTCAAGGGAAATCTCGCCATCAGGGCCTGTCACATACCTCTTTGTCGCTCCCTTGCCCTGTATCAGGTCTTGACTGCGACTCTCATCTCCCTTCCGGTGGCCCCTGGTCTTCACCATGGCGACCTCAACCCTTCTCTGCCGTTCTGGGTCTCGTCTGTTTCTACAAGCCGCACCCAGCTCCAAAACTAGTCGGAACGCGCTGCAAAGACTACAAAATGTGGCAGCGTACGTTCGCATCACTCCGGGAATTGGCAATGGTGATCAAAGCTAACAGCGTGGTAAAGGTCTCAACGTCTGCCCTGCTTGTCGGTCCTCAGTCGCTACTATGCATCCAAACGTGCGCGCCTCCAAAGCCTGCGCAATCAAGCCTATCAAGACTGACATGAAGTGCTAGCATTCCCTCCCCATACTGTGATTACGATGCCCGCCCTTTCACCTACGATGACCGCTGGCAACGTTGGAACATGGCAGAAGAAGGTCGGAGACAAGGTGGAGCCGGGTGATGTGTTGGTCGAGATCGAAACGGACAAAGCTCAGATGGACTTTGAGTACCAGGAAGAAGGTGTGCTGGCCAAGATTCTGAAGGAAGCGGGAGAAAAGGATATCCCAGTTGGAAATGTAAGATTTGCTCCTTCCTCCCGTCTAACAAACTGACACATTATCAGCCAATTGGTGTGATGGTCGAAGAGGGCACAGACATCGCAGCTTTCGAAGAGTTCACCCTCGAGGACGCTGGTGGTGACAAAGGACCTCCCAAAGAGCAGCCCAAAGAGGAGGCATCCGAGGCCTCCGAAGCGCCAGATTCCGGTTCTGCAACAGCGCCTCCAAGCGAAGCAAAGGAACCGGCATCAGACGCCGTGGAATCCGACTCTAGTGGCGGACGCCTGCAACCTGTGCTCGACAGAGAACCTAACATCAGTTTCGCGGCGAAGAAGCTTGCTCTCGAAAAGGGTGTCCCGATCAAGGATATTAAAGGCACTGGTCCAGGCGGACGTATCACGGTCTCCGATGTCGAGAAATTCAATCCCGCATCTAGCGCTGCAGCCACGACCGGCCCGGCCTATGAAGACATCCCAGCAAGCTCGATGAGAAAGGTGATCGCGACACGACTGCAAGAATCGATGAATCAGAACCCGCACTACTATGTCTCAGCCACCCTCTCGGTGACGAAATTGCTCAAGCTCAGAGAAGCGCTCAATGCGGCTGCTGACGGCAAGTACAAACTCTCGGTCAATGACTTCTTGATTAAAGCATGTGCGATTGCTTGCAAGAAGGTTCCCACTGTGAATTCAAGCTGGAGAGAAAACGGTGGTCAGGTATTCATCCGTCAACACAACACTGTCGACGTCAGTGTCGCCGTCGCTACTCCGGTCGGTCTAATGACCCCCATCGTCAAGAATGCTGACAGCATTGGGCTCTCATCGATTTCATCCGCAGTCAAGGACCTTGGCAAGCGGGCGCGAGATGGCAAGCTCAAGCCTGAAGAGTACCAGGGTGGCACATTTACCATCAGCAACATGGGCATGAACGCGGCCGTTGAGAGGTTCACCGCAGTCATCAATCCTCCTCAAGCAGCTATTCTGGCCGTGGGTACGACCCGCAAGGTCGCCGTGCCAGTCGAGACGGAAGAGGGCATCGTCACTGAATGGGACGACCAGATTGTCGTCACCGGCAGCTTCGACCACAAAGTGGTGGATGGAGCAGTCGGCGCCGAATGGATCCGGGAGCTGAAGAAAGTGATCGAGAATCCTCTGGAGATGATGTTGTAGGTTCTTATCAGGTCTGGCTGGCTTTAGCGAGGCGGTTGCAAGGGGTTGTTGTATGTATAAAAGATCTCGCTTCTGAGGCAAAAGTTTTGCCTGCTCCAAGCTGTCTTCCAACTTCTGGTAATTGAGTACACACGCACTTCTAGCCTTGTGAATTCTGCCTTAGGCTCAGATCATCAAAGAAACTGCATGAAGAACATGGCCGCGGGAGCAGTCCTACCATCCCATGGCCCTGTCAGCCTTATAACACCAGAAGACCTAAAGCTCGTAGGTATTACAGCTGCAGATGCTGGATGACATACCTGTAGATTTCCGCGACGTTTGAGTCAGGCATGAAAATCGTACACGGATACTGGGGACTGCATGCGAGGCTGAGGCGCTGAGACGGTACGTACAACGTGAAGGAGGACAACGTACGTCCCACGTGAGCTCGCACCGGGTTTGGGGAACGCCAAGGCCCGAATCGCCCGATGTAAGGTCCGAGACCGAGCCTTCTGAACTTTTCTACGGTAGGACGATAGTACGAACTGCGATACAGTACATATAGTAGATTGTTCCGCCTGCGGCGCAGCATGAGGCGTGATAGACATTTAAACCTTTGTTTTCCACAGTCTACCTCGCCTTCCCGGACACGTCTGTCCTTCGCCTCGGCTGTCAAGGGCTAGAGGCCCTGCCATGAGCCTAACTTCACGCCTGGCCGCTTTATTTTCCCAGGACGGTTCCGGCAGAGGCTCTTCAGAGGCACAACGCAATGGAGGTTCGGAGCCTAGCCTCGAACCTGAGACCGCACGACAGAGTCAGCGGCTGCGCACAATGGAGGGATTGGCGTCGGAGGAGACCGACATTGAGCTGAAAAGGCCTCCCTACATCCATGTGCGTGCAGAGTCGACTCCCTTGTCCATCATGTTGCAGTTTCGCTAACAAGACGCAGTCAATGCTTGCTGGAGGGATTGGTGGAACGACCGGTGACATCCTTATGCATTCCCTAGACACGGTCAAGACACGACAGCAAGGAGATCCTCACGTTCCGCCCAAGTATACCAGCCTAATGGACTCTTATGTGAAGATCTTCCGCCAAGAGGGGATTAGACGGGGACTCTATGGAGGCTTTACTGCGGCCATGCTGGGATCATTTCCCGGGACTGTCATCTTCTTTGGATCATATGAATACTCCAAGCGACACATGCTCGATCGAGGAATCAACCCTTCCTTGGCATACCTTGCAAGCGGTACGAACCCCTCCAGCCTTCGAGCAGGAGTCTGAATCGTGGCTAATTGCTCCATGCAGGTTTCGTTGCCGATTTCACAGCATCCTTCGTGTACGTGCCCTCCGAGGTCCTCAAGACCCGCCTGCAGTTACAAGGTCGATACAACAATCCCTTCTTCAACTCGGGTTACAACTATCGGTCAACGTGGGATGCCGCCCGGACCATAGTCCGCACGGAAGGCTTCGGCGCTCTCTACTCTGGATATAAAGCCACCATCGTCCGAGACTTGCCATTTTCTGCGCTACAGTTCGCCTTCTATGAACAAGAGAGGAAGTTCGCCCAGAAATGGCGCGGTACTCAAGACATCGGCTTTGGGTTGGAAGTATTCACGGCCGTGTCCGCGGGTGGTCTCGCTGGAGTCATGACTTGCCCATTGGATGTTGTCAAGACGAGGACACAGACTCAGATCACTCCTAGTATGTCGGCGAAACAGAATCAAGCGTCACACTCGGATCCGGCTGCAAGAAGCCACCATCCTTCGGCGCAGACCCATTCGCGGTTGATACATTCAGGGCCCCGAACTGTGCTACCCTCTACCCCGACTCTTGACACCTCCTCCGTCTTGACAGCATTGAAGCTCATTTACAAGACCGAGGGTGTTGCCGGCATGTTCCGCGGAGTGGGCCCTCGTTTTGTATGGACAAGCGTTCAAAGCGGCACGATGCTTGTGCTGTACCAATATCTGCTGAAGCAGATGGAAAGACTTGAGGCAGACGAAGGATCGACTGTGTTTTGAAAGAATTTCTTTGTACAATCCCACCCAAATCGGTGACGCTAGATGATGGATTGGCATTTTCGGCGTTGACATGTATCATCATGACAGGCGGTGCCATGATCAGCATACCCTGGATAGATGTACAGCATCAGTGTTGGTGACTGTGGCGAAGGACCATAGATTGTACTATATTTGTAAAGAACAATTCCTGCTCATCATATTGGTGAAGTACATGCGTAGGTGACGAGGGCATAGCAGTTTATCGAAGACTGATATTCCTCTATGAGTCGCACTTGTCTACATCAAAGATGGGCGCATGGCCCCTAATAGGGCAGTAGGTATTCTTTGGCTTGCTCTCATATTAGTCGATGACACTGCAAGGATAAATAACTGCACGTGGAAAATTGAACGCCGAAAGCCAGCACATCAATCAGTTTAGTGTTTTAGGTTCACGATAATATTAGAGCCCGGCCGGGGAAAGGATCAGGGGTAAAGATGTCGGTAGGGGTTGGAAGATCTTCTGGGCGGATGGAGCGTGGAGCAGCGAGCGTCGCTAGGACCAACACCTTCTACAGAGGAAGCCCAAGCCCTGGTCAATTCCCCGTTAGTTGGCTCCTGGTGCTAATTGTACCTAGCACTTTGCCTGGTAGTGCCTAAGGGTCGGTGGTTCAAGTGGTTTAGGCGCCTTTCTAGGTGGGTTAGGTGCGTCCCAGGCACCGTTGTGTTCCCTAGAGTAGGTTAGTCAACGTTGATCCCACACCCAATCACGATTCCTTCCCTCGTCGGCCTAAACGGACTTGGCGTGTCTCCTTTTTTCCATCCCGTCTGCCACTGCAGTGCATGGGCTTGCAGTGCTGGCCGCCCAAACTGTCCCCGACGTCCACCTCCACGAACGTTGTATCTTTCTACGCGTTGCCCTGAATTCGTTGTTCAGCTCAGTCTTCACTTCATTTCTTGTCGACAGAGAGCGCCTTTACTTCCCTTTGTACGCTCGCTACAGACCAGTCTCTGGACGTCTTGCGAGAGTCCGGACGTTTCACCTTAGTACGTACCTCCTATCCCTCATGCACCATGTTCCCCTCTGGCTGCACCTGTCTCTGCCAACTTCTATCTCAACTGTCGCAGGCAGTTCATGTCCCTATCTTTCTATGAATGTTGTCTTCTATCTTGTCGCGCATGGTGCTGACATACTGATACTGACAGACTTAACCGAGTTGCCGCACTTCCATCATCCTTAGTGCTTCCTCCACGATCCGTGTCTCCTGACAAAATGGGTGAGCCTTGAACCTACAGCCAGCCATGTTCCTGCCTCTACACTGCAACGCGCAATCACCAGGCCACGCCTTCCTCTCCTTCACACTTATCATATCCCTCTTATTGACTTTACGTTTGGGTTTCACCGCGTTACCATTGAGCAAGGGTAGAAGATGGACTCAAGATGCGACATTGACATGAGCGCAGACTTGCACATTCCAGGGAGTTTTACTCCTCAAGATGAACAGTCCTCTCGCCCTGGCCTATTCGCAGCTCAATCCTCAGCCTCATTAAACATGACTAACACGAATCAAACTGCAGCGGCTGTTGCTAACGGCGTTCGGTCCTCTCCTTCTCCTAACATCCCCAATGGAAAACCTGCGTCTCCTTATCTCAAAGAAGCCACACCCGTCGGAACAAGCCCAAGTCCTGCACAGACTGTCAGCTCAAAAGACCCCAAGGCCGCCGCCGCTGCAGCAAATGACATGCGCAATGTGGTGAGACGAAAGTTGACGGGCTATGTTGGCTTTGCCAATCTACCGAACCAATGGCACCGAAAGAGTGTCAGAAAAGGCTTCAACTTCAACGTAATGATTGTCGGTATGTCAAAACGGATCTCCTGTCATTTGATCATTTGCTCACAAGACGCAGGAGAGTCTGGGCTGGGCAAGTCTACACTGGTTAACACCCTGTTCAACACATCGCTCTACCCACCACGCGAACGTAAAGGCCCGAGTCTGGATATCATCCCAAAGACGGTCGCCATCCAGTCGATCAGCGCCGACATTGAAGAGAATGGTGTCCGCCTGCGTTTGACCGTGGTTGATACCCCCGGATTCGGAGATTTCGTCAACAACGACGACTCATGGCGCCCAATCGTGGAGAACATCGAACAACGATATGATGCATATCTAGAGGCGGAGAACAAGGTTAACCGCATGAACATTGTTGACAATAGAGTGCACGCTTGCGTCTATTTCATTCAACCCACCGGCCACTCTCTGAAGCCGTTGGACATAGAAGTCATGCGCCGTCTTCACACCAAGGTCAACCTGATCCCTGTCATCGCGAAGGCCGACACGTTGACAGATGAGGAAGTGGCCTCTTTCAAACAGAGGGTAAGAGAGTACCTCACCATTATCCCCACCTTCATATGCTAATCATCCTAGATTCTTGCCGACATTGCGCATCACTCCATCCAAATCTTCGAAGGCCCTCGGTACGAATTGGACGACGAAGAAACCATCGCCGAGAACCAAGAGATCATGTCAAAGGTGCCATTTGCCGTGGTCGGTGCCAACTACGAGGTGACCAACCCTGAAGGCCGCAAGGTCCGCGGTCGCCGCTATCCGTGGGGTATCATCGAAGTGGACAACGAGGAACACTGTGATTTCGTGAAATTGCGACAAATGCTGATTCGAACACATATGGAAGAGCTGAAGGAGCATACAAACAACATACTGTATGAGAACTACCGCTCCGACAAGCTCATTCAAATGGGAGTTTCACAGGACCCCAGCGTGTTCAAGGAGGTGAACCCGGCCGTGAAGCAAGAAGAAGAGCGCACCCTCCACGAGCAGAAACTCGCCAAGATGGAGGCGGAAATGAAGATGGTGTTCCAGCAGAAGGTCCAGGAGAAGGAGAGCAAACTGCAACAGAGTGAGGAGGAACTCTTCGCCCGTCATCGCGAAATGAAAGAACAACTGGAACGACAGCGAGCAGAGCTGGAGGAGAAGAAGATACGCATTGAACAAGGCAGGCCGGTCGAGAAGGAGGGCAAGAGAAAGGGCTTCTCACTCCGATAAATGTCGACGGCGGCCTGACCTTCCTTGTCGGTCTGTTTCCTTCCTTATCTACTGTTTCCAGTTTCACTCAGCGACGAGACGACGAAGGCGATTTCTACTTCACCCACCCTCCTTACATTTCCTGACCCTTGCTGTTGCTATCGACCGAGCAAGCGACAGACTGGCACTGTTGCCCCGGTCGCTACCTAATTACATCACACACGTTTGTCGCGGGAGAGAAGGGCGTTGAAACGAGGAAGCCTTGGATTGTGCATAAAGCCGAATGAGGCTGGGGTTTTCAGCAATTCCAACCTACGATTCACGTTGTGAGGCACCGGATGGTGGACGATCCTCAGTAAGCTGCAACCCTTTCTGGACTGCTGTGTCTGCTCTGGCGGGGGGAGCTGTGAGTAGCAGCCGTGGGTTGTGGTGTGGCGGAAGTTATGGACCGGAGATATTGTCCCATACGGCTCTTCTCTTCACTCAGTCCGAACACGGATCCTCAGCTGGCATCCTTGAGCGCGTCTCGGCTGCCTTGTGTACTTAAACGATCGTCTAAAAGCGGGAATTGAAGGAGTTGACCACGAACAAACCCGTACTTGACCAATCTCCATTTGCTATCAATATCGTCCCAAGAGGTAGATGCCCAAGGAGCCAAGGAGGTAATATGAGGGGTCGACGGGAATGTCAAACGCGCAAGAAAGCCCGGCAGCCTAGTAATAAGTGAAAGTGGCATGCGGTACTGGTAGCTCGTCAGTCACTGAGACGGCCGCCGTCATGCATGATCAGTAGGTGGTCAGTAGGGATTCAGATGGCGAGTGACACTTTTAACCATTTGGACTTTGAAGTTGAGATGATCAGGGTCATGGTGTGCAGTAAGTGTAAACGCGGCTGTCACCAGGAAGAAAGATGTGGCTTGAATGAGAGTAGTAGGTGGTAAGTAGGTGGTAGTACGTCGTAGTGAGTGTCATTGAGAGAGCGCAGGCCACAACAGGTTGCAGCAGGTTACAGCAGCTGCCACTGTGGCACTGGCAAAGGGGGGGAAAAGGTGGAAGAGGAGTTGACATCATCGCTCTCACAGCAATCAATCATCATCGCCAACACTGCCAGTTCAAGCCACTTTTCAGGCTTCTGCTCTCCTCTTACTTGTCAACCTATTTTACTAGTAGCGGCAGCCAACAGCTGAGCTACTCAGTCTTCCCTCATCACCACCACCACCATCACTCTGCCCTCTGCTCCTGCTACCGCTACCGCTACTTATCTAGCTGCACCACCCTGCTCACTTTTTCCTCTACTTCTCTCCCTCACACATCAATCCCTCCTCTATCAGACACTCTTTCACGTCCTCCCTCTATTTCTCGACCTCAACGGTTACAGGAAGCTGCTCACCCCAGCTTCAGTCCTTGACCGCCCCTCCCTTCCCGGCCTCGTCGACCAGCTTCAAGCAATGGCACCCCCACCTCCAGGCACTGCGCCTTTGGGCGAACGTCTCACGAAGCTTGTCACTACCCTACAATTGTGAGGTTGAGCTCCAATCTTTCTCGTGGCCATGGCTAATTGGTGAGCAGTGCGTGGTTCTGTGGCCATTTCACCCTCCTCCTCGCCGTCTTTCGCTACGCTCTCTCCTACTTGACATTCAACTATTACTCGAAATGGGCCGCATTCACCTACCGACTGGCCTTCCTCTCCGCTGTTGCAACTTACGGCATTGTCGTCTTCAAGGCCTATCGAGCCCGCGTGAGGCCAGGTGCCCCCATCGGCCAAACAGCCTACACCCTGCTCTCAGATGAAAATGTCCAATATCTGCGTACGTACCATGGTTAATTTCCTTCTAGACTGCAAGAAACTAATCGTGGAGGCAGTCATATCCCTGGTCTGGCTATACTCAAGACAGGTGCCCTTGGCCCTCTTGCCGTTCACCGTCTACTCCGTGTTCCATGTTGCTACCTACACACGTACCAACATTATTCCCACAATTCAGCCTGCCCCAGCCGCTCCGGGAAGCACCCCCACATCTCCTGGAGCTGCCAAATCGCAGTCTGCTCTGGCCAACTCGATCGGCAAATTCGTCAAAGAGTACTATGACACTTCGATGTTCTTGGTGGCTGGGCTTGAGATCACCTTGTGGTTCCGCCTCCTTTTGTCCGCCTTGACGTTCAGCAAGAACTCCTGGATCCTTCTCGGCATCTACACCATCTTCCTGAGAGCTCGTTTCCATCAAAGCCAATTCGTGCAGAATGCCTTTAGCCAGGGCGCTGCACACATGGACCAGCGGATCCAGAACCCCAATGTTCCCCCGGTTGTCAGACAAGGGTGGGAGACCACAAAGGGCCTCGGTCGCCAGCTGGTGGAGGTTACGGATGTGCGCAAGTACATGGGAGGCGTCAATGCCCATAAGAAACCACAGTAGACACTGGAGTTTTCCCAAAATGTCGAACGGGTGTTGGCGAGAGGGGCTCTACTTGGCCTGGAAAGGATTGGGCCAAACAGTGACAGCAATGCCCTGGATCGGAACTATTTCACATGCGCCGCAAGGGATGGTCTGAGGAGACTGGCATCTACGGATGAGTTGTCCAACGAAGGCTCCAGGGTCACATCTGTGTGACGTAATGAGCCAGCTTTTTACAAACCCATGTTGCGGGGCCGTGGTGCATCTTGGGGTGAGAGATAGGATGAGCGGTTGAAGGGGACGTGGGAAAAGGTGAGTGAGGGAGAGTCGAGGAGACCAGATCACCCCGTCGTTTCCTCGCGGCGATGTTCTTGGGCGCGATCGTGGGCTGTGAGACTGGATTCTCTGCTAAGGCAAGGAACCACGATAGGCAAGAGAACAGCCGATGTCGAGATGGCGTTCTCCTGATTGATTATTAGAGACTTTAACTGCAATTGATGGCTTTGGCTTGACATTTGATTTCCTCACTGTCCGTGTAATATTGCACTTGGGCATGGCTTTCGACTGGCCATTCTTCATCAGTAAATCCCATGTCAACGGCGGCGGACATTGAAATATGTCTTGCGTAGGGACGTAGCAGGATATACAAAGACTGCTAGATGGTAAATATGATCCAGATGATATCCAGGTGCCAGTGTCCCTGGACCGAGACATCAATGTGCAGAGTGGGATTGAACAGCACAGGTTTTTTTTTTTTGCATCCGCCCTTGAACGAAACAGAAGCATCGCTATTCTTCAGGAATGCAGTGCAGTAGGTGAATGGCTTATTCATAGGTACATACCTACCAGCTGACTGACTTTGGAGTGTGTGATATGTGATATGGGATACGGATATCGCTCGACTTAAGACAGCTACAGGTATGTAGGTAGGTATCGTCCGACGGGCCCACGCAAAACAGACTTGGGACCTTTATATTCTTCTCTCATGATTCCGGAAATCGAACACCACCGGTAAGTCAGTCGGACTCCCTGGATGGTAACGAGGGGGTGGGTGGTGTGGTGTGGTGTGGTGTGGTGTGGTGTGCCAAAAGAAACCAAGTTCTAGCTATGACTTGTGCCAAAGAGACCAAGCTGTAGCTATGAAGAGCTATGACTAGCTAGCTATACTAGGTAGGTAGCTAGGTATCATTTGTTTAGATACAAGATGGTCTGTCTGCGATGGAGGGAGGAAGAAGGCGACGACGACGACGACGATGCCAATGACGACGACGGCACGGCCAAGGAGGGGCATGAATTCCTAGAGAGGGCCGGTTTCTGTTTGTCCCCCTTTTTCCAACGGTGGCTGTCTTGTCGTAAGGCGTTGAAGATAGAGACAACCCACTACTATGTAGAGGAAAGCATACCGAGTGATGCTTGCCTCGAGACGAGGGGACCAGAGCAGAGGTGATGCAGGCTCACACAGAGACAGACATTTATTCAATGAGCGGCGATGAGGTAGACAGACAGACAGATCGGTTTCACCCGTCTTCATCTTCGTCTTCGTCATTGTCTTCATCCTCGTCGGCGTCGGCATCGGCATCAGCGTCAGCATCAGCATTGTCAAGCTCGACTTCGGCCTCGACCTCATCCTCGTCAGCATCTGCGTCCTCTTCATCCTCACTTTCGTCGTCTTCATCGTCATCATCCGGAATCTCGACATCCGGGTCATCGTCATCATCGTCGTCGTCGTCGTCTTCTTCTTCTTCGGCGACAGAAGCCTCTTCATCATCATTGTCGGCGTCTTCTTGGCTGGACGATGAGGCGTCGGACTCTTCTCCTTCTCCTTCCTCTACTCCATTGTCATCTTCGTTTCCATCTGCATCTTCATTTTCGTCAACCTCGGCATCTGCTCCGGCTTCAGCTCCTGCTCCCACTCCGATTTGGGCTTGGTCTTCCCGACGATCCTTGTCATCAGTTGTGCCGTCCAGCCCAGCGGTCTCGACGGTCGCCAGGGCACTTCTCCGCCCTCGTCCGCTACGCCTGACAGGCGTGTCTGGGACCGTGTCGGGCCAAGCGAAAGGACTCGACCGACCGTTTGGCGCACCGCCATTCAGTAAGGCAGCGTTGCGCGGCGAGCTGCGCACCGCGACCGGTGCCGCGGAGGGACCGGCTAGGCCGTTGGGTTTCTGGCTTCCAAACGCAGCGGATTGGTTCCGTTTCTTGGTGTTCTGCCGGCGGAGCATGGCTGGGGGGATGGGCGGGTCGATCTGGAACCGTGCGGGAGGGATCGCATGCGTGCGATATGCAAGTGCGTACCCGGTCAGCGGTTCCGACTCGGACTCTTGGGCAGGGCCGTCGTGTTTGTTGGATGTCGTGACTGCTGTTGGTTTTGGAGTCTCTTCGTCGTCTTTGCTCTCGCCATTGACCAGTCCGTTGGTTTGGATCTCCGGGTGCGCGACATGACTTGAAACAGTACCGTTAAGGGCATCCGTCGGTGGAGGTCCAGGAGCGATGTGGCCATGTTCATCTACGAGAGACGCGTCTTGGACGGTAGTGTCGTTCTGCGCCAGGGAGTCTTGTCGCGGTGGGGCTTTGGAGCGTGACCGCGGGGAGAGAGCGGGCTGTTCGCCTTCGATGTCTGGAGCTTCGTCGAGAGAGTTCGAGTTCGAGTTCGAGTTCGAGTTTCCTGCTTTGGACAAGGCCGCTTCCGCTTGACGGGTCGCCTCGTCCTCTTCTTCTTCTTCGCCCTCCTGCCGCCGCTCTTCTTCCTCCTTTTCGACCTCGTCATCTCGTGGGGCAAGAGAGTGGAGCGGTTGACCATCCAGGGCTGCTTGATCGCTTCTTCCCATGACGTACGGGGTCCAGATGAGGAATTCTGGTTTCAGGACTCGGTGCTTTTTGGATTCATAATCCTCCACGATTCGCTCATACAGCCTCTTGTCGTATCTGACGGCGTATGTTTTGGTCACTGGATCCCGAGTGAACGCATAAAGTCGCTCGAGTGAATGTATCACATCGTCTGCCGTCATGCCCGTTCTAGCCATCAGAGTCTTGGTACTGAAAGGCTTCAGGCCCAGGTCGAGCAAATGCTTCGATATCGTGAGATCCCAGTACGACCGATATGCCGTCAGGCCCATGTCGGAAAGAGGCTTTTCTGGCGATCCTTCTTTGCCCTCTATTCTGGTCAACAAGTACGAGAAGTCGATCAAGAAAGTCGCGTAGCCCTTGCGCTGGTGGATGGGCATGACCAAGATGCAGCTGACGTTGTTTTGGCTCGCCGGGCGCTTTTCTTTGCTGAAGTATCCCACAAAATGATACCCGAACTCGTCGTACTCGGTCAGGATGTAGAAGAGGAATGGCTCGACATCGTAGTACAGGGTTTTGGACCCGAGGAACATCTTGGCCATCAGACATAGACACTGGCAGTACTCGGTCTTCTTGCGACCGTCGACCTCCCACACCGAAATGGTCCCGTCCCGATAGATCTCGTCGCCGGGAGGGTGTTTGGCCGGGCATTTCAGTTTGTGCCGGTACGCGACGAACTCCGAAGGGAGGTACTTGAGGCAGAATTCACAGATGAACAGCCGTGATTCATGCGAGTATTCTTCCGGATATGGAGCCGCGTAGAAGGTGTCGATGACATGCTTTCCGAACTGGATGCATTTGATCTTGCTAGGTGGGCCTGACACTGTCCGGTTGGGCTTCGTTGCAGCCGTGTCTCCGTTGATCTCCGCCTCGGCGGCGGCTGAGGTTCTCCGTCGTTCTTCTTCGGCCTCCTTTCTGGCGATCTCGAAAATCTCGCGGTCCTTGAGTTGCGGGAGCGACCGACTCGTGTCCGCGTCTGCTTCCGAGAGAATGCCACCGTACGGTTTGGCATTCAGTTCAGCCTCGCGGTCAGTGAACGCCGATGGGAAAATGAGATGTTGCGTCGGCAGCGCAGGGAACTTGGGGGCCGGAGTATGGTAAATGGGCGGAGGGATCTTCGGAGGTCGTTTTCTCTCCCTTTTCTCTTTCCGCCGCCCAGGCCGAGGAGGTTTGCTGAGGATCTCTGCAATCTTCGCCTGTTCGAGCCGAAACGCAAGGATGAACTTATGGGGAGGCGCTTTTTCGAAGGGCCGGTGTTGCAACGTCCGCGCCACAGGCCGTGAGATCTTCTGGCTCGATCTTCTGGTCGAATGCGCAATCGCTCTCTCAGCTTCCACTTTGCTGTCCACTTCTATGGTGCTTGCTGCGCTTCCGGACACTCGAGGAGTAGCTCTTCGGCGTCTTTTCTCGACAGTCGCGGGCTCCTGGGTGGGTGATTTTCTCTTCCTCAGCGCACGTCCTCCGTCTTCAGTCTCTGAGATCAACGGTTGGGCGAAGATCGAGTGAGAATTCGGCTTCTGCACGCCCCGCGTCACAGGTAACAGGTCTCTAACCAGTCGAGGTGCGGAGTTCTTGGACCGCGCAGACTGCTCCTTTGGGGATTCTGACGCCGTCGCTTTCTTCAGGCAATCCGGACATTGCCATTGCGTGGCAGTTTCTTCTTTCACCGCCTTGTTTTCTCGGGCACAATGCAGATGCGCTCGGTTGTTGCATTCAGAGCAAGTCAGACCGGGCTTGTCGTCTCCTTCAGCCGCAGTTCCTGCTCGTTTGCAGAATACGCATGGCCCCTTTGCCTCATCTTCATCTGCTTCGCTGGATTCTGATGCTGACGACTTAGCATCAGATTCTGCATCATCGTCTGCATCTGCATCTGCATCTGCGTCTCCTGAGCTGTTTGAGGTATCCTCTTCGGACCCGCCCTCTTGTTCGGACTCTTCCGCGCCTACATCTCCATGTTCTGCTTCTTGTTCGGTGTGGCCATCTTCTTTCTCCACTCCAGAAGTCGCATCAATCATAGAGACGTCTTCCGTCGCATCGGGGTGCGCGACCGAAACGGTTTCTCCTTCCGGGTCGCTCAGGCTTTCCTCAGCTGATCTCTGTAGTTGTTCTCCTAAAGCACTGTCTTCCGGATTCTGCGCATTTGGGGGTGATTCACTCGCATCCGTCATCGTCTCGTCGGGTTTCGTTGCGGTTTCTGTATCTGCAGGCCTGTCGCTAGAACCCTCTGCGTCTCCTTCTGTGGCGACCGCTTGACCCTTAGGGCCCAAATCATCAATATCGGACAGTTCGTCCACGTTCCCCGAGACAAGACGCGGCATGGAGGTCGGTTCGAATCGTAATCTCTGGCGCTATGCTGGGATATTCGACTGTAAAGGCGTGATTGTCGTTGTTGGGTTGGTCATGCCGGTGCGTGTTGTCCAGAAAGTCGCCGTATGCCTTTCTCATGCGACTGACATCCCGATATCTCTAGACATCTCGTCGTCGACAACAACAACAGCAGCCTATTTCGCGACAGAAGGAAACACGTTCGGTTCGGGAGGAGGGTGTAGGTAGATTCGACGCGTGAGGATGTGCGCAACAGCGTTGGCAACCGTAAATTCGGTCGTGATCTGGGCGTGTATACCGCGATTACACGTGAGGATTGTATCTACAACTATGTTGCGCCAGTACAAGACGTTTCTACTGCATGTGAATAGTCGCACCCCAGATTCGAAGCCCACCAGCATCGACGTTGAGGTTGTCGCCACGTGATATCACGTCACGTGATGAAAAGCTCGCCGCACCTTCCGCCTTCACTCCGAAAAGGGGCTAAATCAACAAGGCTTCCTTCGCTCAAGGGGCTCCTGAGGTCTCTTTACAGAGCGTTTCTACCACGCCCAGTCATGAGGCCTTTCATCTTCAAAAAATTCGGGAAGATGGATGTTTGGATGACAGACAGGGGTGTTACTATCAGCAAATACCCCTGCTCCTGGGGTTTCAGCCGGTCTTCCCCCACATGCCAGGTCCGCCGCCCGCCTCCACCTCCACTGTTTGTCCGCCTCGGTCGTGTGGAGATGCGGGCGACTTGTCTCAATGTCTTTTACTTGCGGAGTCGTCGCAGCTACGAAGGCGACCGATATGTCGGTAATAGATAGGACACATTACTTACTAGACAATTTCCACGGAGGTACAGAAGACGATGTCGCCCTGTAGACAAGCCTCAAGCCTCTACCCCCTTGGCCTCAGATACAGCGTACTGAGATACAGGTCTGTGCCACTCAACTCAACTCAATGACTAGACTGTTTATGAAATCCAAATTCCAGACGTACATGCGCATCATTACCTTGGAGTATCCAACTAGCAGCTCCTTTTGGCGTTCATGAACAATCCTTTCTTCTTGTGTACGGACAGTACTAATTCCTCGCTTATCCACATGTCGAGGGAGGAGAAGCACAGCTGTTCAAAGTATTAAGAGAGCAGCGAAACAGGCCCCACACAATCATACCAGGAGACCTCACTGTGCAAGTAGAATGTATTCTGCGAGTGCGTGGTTCGTGTCTCAGAACATGCTCTTCCTCTCACTACACCACACTTACAAAGGCACCTTCCAAGCCTTGCCATCGTAAGTCTTGGGCCAAATGCCATTTTTGCCCGGAGCCAAAACGCCCTTGGGATCTAGGGCATTCTTGATGGTCTCGTTCAACTTCATCTGTGCGTTATTGTTGAAGTTGTACGTGTCGGCGATCTGGTCCATCAGCGCCAGATGGGTGCGGTACTCGCCCCAGCCGCGCTTCGCGGCGTCGTCAATGAGCGTGCGTATCATTTCGTGGGCGTTACGGCGCTGCTTTGGGTCTTTCCGGTCGAAGACGATACAGACGATGTGGTGAATCTCACGCATACCCACCACAAAGTCGCCAATGAAGTCGAACCCATACTCCTCGCATCGCTGCCGCGTGACCTTATACTGGGCCATGGCGTCGTCGCCCGTGACTTTGGCGATCGGGCTGAAGAACAGGTGCGCCCCGTTCGGGAGCCAGTCTACCCATTTGAGCTCGTCCATGCTTGGGATGCCCTGCATGGTGTCGTGCCGGATCTGGAGCACCTTGCTTTCCGGGATGTCTTCCGGGAAGTAGAATTTGGCTCCGGGGATGGCGGAAAACGAGGCCTTGACCACCTGCCACAACGCATCCCGGACGGGCGGCGGTCCGTATAGAGCGCCATAGAAGTTCCACCGGCCCAGATTGAGCTTCTTGGCAATGGCGTCCAGTTCGACGTCGGTCAGTGGCTTGTCGGAGTTGCTGTACGCTTTTTTGTCTCCCTGAACACAACAACAACGGTTCTCCGTTAGCCATTTGGTGGTGAGAGAAGACAGAGACACGGAGAGAGAGATGGGGGGCCTCATCCAAGTTTACGTACCACGACTGCCGCGTCAAGTAGGATATGCCGAATAGTAGGAACATTCTGTAGCACCATGGCGGCCCTTAGTGGTCGGATGATTTCGACCGCTTGATGGAGGTCCTCGTCGCGTGGGATGGTGATAAGGTATGATTGATACCCGCCGGGATTGGGCATCAGCCAGATGCCCATCTTGACCACGATGCCTAGGTACGTTTAGCAATGAGGAACACTCTTAGTGATGGTGAGTTCTGCTGATGGGTGATCGAGCAGGGGCAGTCACTGGCAAAGAACTTACCTAGCGATGACTGAGTGAAGATTCCATCGTTGTAAGGACCAAACCCATAGTTGAAATGCTGCCAACATTTGTTCGCCGGTTGTTGGTCAGCGGGTAAGCTGGGGTCCGCTGACGGATCCGGCAAGGCACCCATGCCGGTTCGAAGCAGAGTGCCGTCTGGGAGGACGACTTCCAGACCACAGTGCATCATCCAGTGATCACCATAGGGCTGATTCGCAAATCGAGACACATCAGCAATGCTGAACGGTCTGGCAGATTTCGTGGAAAGGAGAGAAGAAAGACTCCACGTACCGTATATCCAACACCCCTTTCAATCGTATTTCCCAGGACTGATCCGCCTCCCAGGTCGGGGACGTCGACCCACAGCTTGTCCCGGAGATTGTTCTGGACCAGATAGTCATGCAAGCCGGCGAAGGTGACTCCAGGTTCGACCAGAGCATAGGCACCGTCGACGTTGACCTCGAGGATCTTGTTCATGTTCTTGCCCATGTCCAGCCCGACGCTGCCAGGCACCCGAGGCGCAGCACCACCGTAGCCGACATTCCGCCCAACCGAGAAGGGCCACAAGGGTACCTCGAATTCGTTGGAAAGCCGTAAGATGGTTTGGACATCCTGGACGTTTCGAGGACAGACAACGGCTGAGCTGACGAAATAGTCCTCGTCGGCGATGTAGAACATGTCGTGCACCTTGCTGGGATCAAGGTAGCTCTGCTTGCCCAGTTGTTGCGCATCATTGATCACGGTGACGTTGTCTTCGCCAACGATGTCGATAGCCTTTCCAATGAAATCCTTGAATGACTGTGAGTTGATACCTGGAGGCAATATGAGAGGATCTCCAGCACTCCTTGAGGCCTGTACGTTGGGTCGTCGGAGTGTGTCCGGGGCCACCTTGTCGCCGACGTGGCCTCCGAGCAGTGATAGCCTGGTTGAGGCCTTGAATGCTTCGCTCATCTTGAAAGTGTGTTAAACGAGAAGACGTGATAAGGATGATTCAATCGTGACTTGGGGGAAAAGGGCAGGACACCCTGATATTCATGATTATACGAGGCAACTCGTACGGACTGGGCTCCTATATATCCAGGGTCCAGCATCCTTGCATGACCCCGAACCCCCGCCCCTTACATGTCAAGCCAACGTCGAAAGTGGCGGCGGAGTTTAGTTGTGGGGGCGGGGAGTTCCACTCAATCCAAGTCTTCGCGGCTCCCCGAGGTTGTGGACGGCGCTGTCTGGTACACACCCCGAGCTTCCTCCAACGCTCCTTAACCGAGATTGCGGAGCTCTTTGGTCCAATCGAGAGTACCTTATTCATGCATTCTTAGCGATTGGAAGCTGGTAACCAAGTCGTTCACCTGATCCATGCTAGTCTCATCGAACTTGGACAGAATCGCAGCGACCTCTGTCCCCAGGTAATTTTCACGTCCCAACAGGCTTTCCTCGGCCTCGGTGCTTGGTCGAGAGGACTCCAGCTTTTCCAGTTTCACTCGCGCGAGCAACCAATACTCGAAAGCGTTCCTGTAAAATCCGATCCTCTTCCATGGGATTTCAGGTTCTGTCATACAATGAGGGGTCCAGGAGTCGTGGGTGCCATAGCAGTCCGAGAAGCCAGCTTCAGAGCGTAGATTCCACACGGTCCTCCAGTTGTTTATGGCGATTCTCAGCGTCTCGAACTGTGCTTCCGAGCCAAAGCCTGGGTCAATGTTGAAAAGAAGACTGTGAAAGGACGACACAATCGTCCAAAGATTGAGGACACCGCATTGGCAAAGGTACGCTTTGGTGCCTTCGTCAAGAGTCTCTTGCCGCAAACTGCGGACGGCCGCATGGAAGGGAACGCCCTTCTTATATAGCGGATGAGAAATCCATTGCTGAATTTTATGGAAGCAGTCAACTGCGGCTGACGCTTGAAAGCAAGGTTCGGGGCAAGCCAGGTCATTCGTCATTTCTCGGAGCACCATCCTTGGGGGGGAGTTGTTGAAGATGATGAAAGCTGTGTCGAGTAGGAAGACATACATAATCGACCGAATCACCTCCTCTCTCAACAGGAATTGCTCCCAGGAGAAGCCGTGCAGATCCAAGCGATCCAGTTCGGCATGATTGGCATAACACATCAAATCGCGTGCAACTGAGATTACCATGCTGTATCTCTGCCTCCGGATCCTCCCTTTGGCGGCATTCCGACCGTCCCAATTCTGATACAGGCACACTGCATAAGAGGCCTGGAGGGCACGGAGCCTGGCCTCTAGCCTGTGCGGGGGACAGGGAGTGCAACTCCCCTCCTCGAGGTTGTAGGTTGTTTCGTCGGAAAAGACGATTTTCTCCACGATATCGAACCACATCTTGGCCCGGAAGTTGTCATTGGCATGTGGCGACAGGGTTGCGCCAATCAGGGCCATTGCAGCGAGTAACTGATGAGGGGCGGTTGTGGCATCAAAGGTTGGCTTGTGGATCGTTGGACAGTTCGGATACCAGAGAGTCCAGAAATACTGAAGGAAGCGGTGCAGATTCGCCGGACGGAAGAAGTCCACGCATTCACGCTCGACGAATGGTGACCAATCGTCCGCTCCGGTTCCCTCGAAGCATCCCGCACCCTCGCCACTCAGTGACTTCCTTCTGATCGCTGTGAAAATCTGGTGTGACTTGATTGCCAGGTGGCGATGATTCTGTTCGCAGTCTGTGCCGAATCGCCCCGAATGTGCAGCTTCGGCAGCTGTGGGTCGCATTCCCTGAATGGAAGAATCTTGAAATTCGGAACCATCCACAACACATTGAGGAGTGGGAATGAACTTGGGAGGAAGTTCGGCTGACCAGCCAGGGTTGATGGGGGAGGCAGAGTCCGCTGAATCATCCCAATATGTCTCTGAGAATATTTGCATTCCTTGAGGCCGGTACGGGGTTTTGTAAGGCAATGAACCACCGTATTCTTCCATTTCGCTCAAGCCATCCGAATCCTTTCCAGACAAAGAGGGCTCTGAGAGAGTCTCTCTCAATGACTCGGTGTCGGCTACAAAAGTCCGGCCCAGGCCTTCGCCATTCCTCGTAGCCCGGATGAAGAAGCTGAAGGACTCCACATAGCCATAGTCGATTCCAACACAATCGCTTCCCACAGCAAGAGTTGTGAAGTCGTTGTCTTGGAATGATACATCCGTGGCCGCCCACCACAGGTCCAATCCGTCGGGCGTAAGATTGAGCGAGTCCGGAGACAGGTGAGTTTCCTTTCTGCAGTTCTTTGGAAAAGAGTGTGGTTGTGTTCGTCTCTCAGACCAGGTGGTTTGTAGTGTGCCCGTGTGGGGAGAAGGAACCGAAATCGCCGGTGTGCTACATTCACTTCCGTTTCCTGCTTCCAGCGCATGTTGAGGGCCACTTTTGGGCAGGCCACCCCAGAACCAGGCGTAAGAGCAAAGTTCCTTTTTCGCAGTGCAATTGCTGCAGGGCTGCCTCGAATCGCAAGCTCGCTTCAACCTGGCACACCGGTCGCAAGCGGTCCGATTAGTCCTCGCCCTCGCCGGAGCACTTGTCTGGTCGTCGTCGTTGCCAGCGTGAGCATGACACATGATCGAATGTCGACGCAGGACATCCTTGCGCTTGAATGCTTTATTGCAGGTGTCGCAGACGAAGGTACGCCATGGCACATGGTTTGCCAGGTGTCGATGTAAATGATCCAGGCGACCGTACGTCTTTGGACAAATCGGACACTGGACTCGCGCCCCGGACGACATGTTGATATACGGCAACGGCTTTGAACGGATGACAAGCAGAAAGTGACGAGTGGCCAAGTGTGAGGGTGGGCAGATGCCCGGTTCGTTTAGACAGCACGGGCATGGGGACCCCTCGTTCCCCAGACTAGTGACGCGTTACTCCCCAAGAGCTAATTGCTGCCTGTCAAGTCTCCCCGCAAAGGACTGCCCATGCGTAGCCCATCGGAAAAGGACCATTCTTGTCGTTTGTGGGGGACTTCCGTTGTCAGGAGGGGCGTAGCCCGATGGTCAAATATGGGATTTGTTTTCTTATTGAGTGGTGTAGGCATGGCCGCATTTCCTGTGACGTGCAAGATTGGACCAGCGCCATAATCTGAGAGAATGCGGACAGATAAAGCCTGGGAAAGGTGAGATACAAATAGGTTCTGGATGTCAGTAGACAGATTGCTCCATAGTCACAGAGATACATTCCCATCTCACTGAAGAGCCTCCAATACACTGCATGAAGAGTACGTCCTAGGCCGTCAATCTGGAATGAGGGTCAACGTTGGCAACTCTAAGACCCGCGAGCGTGGCCTTCAAAAGAGCAGGCTCGACTTCCAAACAGGTATTGAAGCTGGATAAGATCCGTGTGCCATTTGTCGTGTAAAACTGGATAGTTCGGCCCATTGGCTGAAGAAAGCAGGAGAGGAATAGGAATAGGAGGAGTAGAAGGAAAAGCAGAGACCTGTTTGCTCACTAGGAACCTCCAATAAAAGTCGTGATATTATTTATACATTGTGTAGATATAGAGTCTCATACTCCGACTCGGGAAATACTTTACCTCTCCTGTATACCTAGTATCTCATCAATAACTCAGGTATCAGGCAGTCGAGAAGCAAGGAGGCGTCCTTCTCTGATCTGGATACAGCGCAGGATACGTGTAACACTTGAGCAAATCATTATTCGGCACATAGCTTCACGTGACATTCATCCTAGCACGTGATTCTCGGACATCCGCACGTGACTGGGGCGATCTAAAAGGCAATCATAGAGCGGCGGGACTTACCCTTGGCGCGATCGCAGCGAGCTTCACCTGGAACTTCTGCAAGCTCGACTGCGCCGGCATACTCCCAACTGCCCGTGAATCGCAGCAGACAATTGCAAGCCAGGACCAACGGGGGAAGGACACGGAGGCCACCCTCCTGCTATCCCACACTGACTTTCACTCTACCATTCATCATTTCCCGAAACTTCGACGTTCCGATCGATCTATCAATCCAAGTTGACCTGTGACCACTTCTCACTATGGGGGTCCCTTTCGAGGCCTTGATCCCTTATGTGATCATGACCGGATTGTTTGGAGTCACAGTAAGTACGCCAGGCTCTTGTACTCTCGTAGCTAATCGGTCTTGTCAGGGTGCCGGCCTTGCATCCCTTCGATACTACACAAACGACTACAAGCGACCAAGAAGACAAACAGATGTTTGGGATAGACAAAGTCAGTGGGAGTCTTTGGGATGAAGGAAGAAATCTGCTTACAGTCGCAGTGATGGACAGAGACTATCGGTTGACGGGAAGCATGAGAGGACAGTCAGATGCTGTGGCAGCCCCCATTGGGTTTGAAGGTTCGCTCGCTACGTTCTTGTCATGACTTGCCGGATGCTAACTTTTGCTCAGTGAACAGCAGATGGAAGGTTGGTCTCTTTGCGATGCGGCAAATATGTGATTTCTCTAACAAATGCTCTAGGCTGAACCACGGATCAGTTAAATTGGCTCCGCTATCGTACCACACACCTCTTGAAGGACAAACTTGTATATATGTGAAACGACAAACAAGAACCACAGAACAGGAGCTGGAATCCATACTGAGCCGGGGTTGTCATATCGAAACAGAAGCAACAGAGCAGTCACAAATACAAACCATCACAACCATGAAGCAACGCAGCGTTCCCTTGAGACCGAACGATGTGCAGCCACCCAACCTCTTGCATTCCATTTGTTCATCACTAAATGATGCGTGCTGTGAAACTTGAAGGATACAACCGCGTTATCCTGAGTAATTGGCCCATCCCTTGGTGTCGTAGACTCGGGAATGTGATGGGTTTGCCTGCATTTGAATCAAACCCAAAGTCAAAACAGTCATCGCAAATAGTCTTCCCAAGGTCTGTTGTATTTGACGTTTATAACATGAGGAGTAGATCCTGTATTTGAAGCGGTTAAAAACGCTCTGGTTGGCGTTGAATACCTTGTTCAAGTTCTGCAACTCTTGACGGCCGCCTTCCAGTCTCGGGTCCGGCGTAAGTTCCGGATTCGGAGACCAGGCCAAGAATGACCACATCCCACTGACTGCATCTCAACATGGACTGCAGTGATACACTCTGTTATCCTCCCCTTCAAGTTCAGCCAAATACTCCGAGAAGTGCAGCAGACAGTACCACCGTCCATAGACCAAACTCTTCTGGTGTCTGATGCTCCATCGTTCCAGTGGCCCCGTTGTCTCCTGTCATCCATCCTGGGTCAAGGCCTCTCCGTCATGGCCACAGACTCCCCTCATTCAGAGACCTTCAAGGAGAAGCTCCGGCAACTGCAGGACTATTCTGCTTGTGATGTGAGGCTTCCTGTCCGCCGGCTCTGTCAGTCTGCTTATAGAATCAGGTGTCAGACGCTCTGCTGAAATTGCAGAAGACGGAGCCAGGAGAGGTTCCTCGGGCTGGGTTCCTCGTAGATATCGGTGAGCCTGCATTTAGCTGCTCTCCAAACGGGTCATTGAGATGAGGAAAGGACCGGTCCCTCTACCACAGCAGCACGCGGAGACAGACCATAAAATCGTCGCTCCGGCCTGCACCTTGAAACTGGTGTCAAAATATTCTCGGGTCGAGGCAGCCCCAGCAGCCGAGAACACGGTGCCAAAGGGGAGTCACTGGGTTGATCTGACTGAGCCTGACACTGTCGTGGTCATCGACCAACCTGAAGCGCAGAAGTGTGCAGCGATTGGAGGCATCATGGCCCAGAGAATGAAGGTCCGGGGAGTCGCAGGCTGCGTCGTCGGAGGACGAGTAAGAGACATGACTGAGCTCAGGAGCTCTGAACTGCCAGTATGTCGTCCCATGTGTACCAGTTCCTCAGGTTCTCTGATTCATGCTTTCTTTTGCGCACTAGTCATGGTTGGATGACATGCTGACTTGCCAGATATTTGCTTTGGGCAAATCCACTGTTGGAACGAATGCAGAGTCGATGGTGTATGCTCGCAACGTGCCAGTATCCATTACTGGTGTGAGCGTATCTCCAGTAGGTTATGCCTGCGGTTTAGTCTGCTGTGAAGCAACAGATTGATGGAAGAGTCGTTGACACTTTCCAGGGTGATATTGTGTTCTGCGATCCTCTTGAAGGAGTGGTAGTCATCCCACAAGACCTGCTTGACCAAACGCTGGCGTTGATGCCAAAGCTTGTCTCAGCCGACGAAAAGGTCAAAGAAGCTGTGGCAAAAGGTGTGTCTGTGGCAGAGGCATTCAAGACTTTCAGAGGTTGACCAGTCCGCACTCTTCTTTATGCCGCACCCTCACAACACATAGTGCGGGAGTTGGGAATCCAGTCCACTGCCTGCGACAACCTCACGACAACCTCACGACCTCGCACAATCTGCCATTTGAGGAGCAACGCTTGACTCTTCAACGCCTTCTCTGCGTCTCCTTCTATCTATCAGAATACGTGCTCATCATCACTCGCGCTACTCCGCGTGGTACTAGCAACGTACATATTAGATATAGCGCGCCCTCCTTGCCTCTGATCATAGGTACGACAGCACCAGATCAGCGCGAAGAAAGCCATACTGAGCCTGACATTGTTAGGTCTTCGACAACAGGGTGATCCCCAAAGGTGCGTTTAAGAGGATCACAGTCTAGCTGTCTACGCGACTCCTATTACTGCTTGAAGGTATGTTTATATCTATATTGCTTGATGCCCTCACCTCCACCTCATTTCAGAAAACAGCGCAGCCAGTTATAGATCCCGAACTTCTATTTCCCTTTTTCAGGCCATCATTTGTGCATTCGCGTGCAAAAAACTGTCATATATCATGCTGATCTATTCAATTGGATGGGTGCAGAACAATCCAGAATGGCAGCGCAAGGCTGCGCGCCACCACCGGCACGTATCCCGCCCACGCCAGCATCGGAAGGTCCTAGCGCAACGCAGGTGGGCTTCATTGGCTCAAGAAGCGGCCACAGAGGTGCTACGTCCATGACTGCTCTTTCGTCTTCTGTCAACGCGATGGGCAGTGTGACCGGAACTAGACAGGTGGTGAATACTGGTGCGGCAAGTCCATCTAGCAACAAAGCCATCCCCTGGAAAGAGCTGGAAGAGAGTGGTGCCCTGCGAAAGATCTTGGAGTATGTCTTCGTCAACGAAGGGGTTGATGCACCGTGCGTGTTGCCATTCTACCGCCAGGGAATGCTTGCCGGAAGCATACGAGTTGGCATGGGCAATGAGGCTCTGTTCGACAACGTCAATCTCCAGGTCCTACGAGTGAGCAAAGCCTTCCGAGCCGTCGGCAGTCAGGCGTACTACGGAAAGCGAGACCGCACGTTCTTCTTCGATGATCCAGTACTCTGCACCTGGTGGACCAAATACATCGGAGCAGTGAACTTCTCCAACATACTCTCCCTCACAGTTGTCATCAAATCGGGCTTCAAGACATTCCTCGACGAGCGCAATGCCACCGATCTGACATACGAGGAAGAGTGGTACGGCTTCTTCGGCTGGTTGAAAACTCGACATCAGCTGAATACGATCCGCATTGAGTTGACCGGCTGGGTCGATATTCACGATATTCGTGCCAAGCGAGGCCGGGCCGGCAAAGAATTGGAACTGCAGACGGCGGAGAAAGCAGAGATCTTGCAATACCGCCGCAAGTTACTGGACACGTTCTCCCAGCTACGCGGACTGCAATACGCCATTGTCACAGACCAGGTCGGGGTCCAACTGTCCTCGAAAGAATCTGATGATCTAGCCGGCCTCATGATGCAAGGAAGAGACACACTCCCAGATCTTCCCACCCAACGCATCTTGCCGCTGTCCGAAGTCCTGGCGCTCGTACGTCTCGACTACGAGCGGGACAGCGCAGCTGGGATCCTGTCGGTCGAGGAAGAAGTGGCGCAGCAGGAAGAGGAGCGACGAAAGCCGGGGTTTGAGCAACGCCGCCAGCGCAACCGAAACAGAACCGAACAATTTCGCAAGCGCCGCTTGAACGAAAAGGAGATGGTAGAGACCAACAAGCGGCAGAAGTCCGAGGACGGCTCAGCACCGACCACTGTGCGCTTGAATATGAATTCAAACTCCAATACCACAGCTCGGGGCTCTCAGCTATCCGGCCCGCCTCCTCCTCCACCACCACCACCACCTCCTCCTCCGCCACCTCCGCCATTCATTCCTGCCGCTGCACTCTCTCCGGCCACGCAGATGCCTGCAAAGAGTGACTCCGACTCCGCCTCGATCTGGGACTTTGGTCGTTCCGATGGCGCGGCGCCAACGGGCAAGAACGCGAACCAGGGAAAGCGGGCAGATCGCGATCCTAATGCGATGCTCGACTGAGTTCCCTGTCTTCAGGCTTACCCTCAACACCGCACGGCAAGGAAAGGGGTTTAGACCCAATGCCAGCCTTTCTCGAATGAATGGTCGGGTCGTGTTCGAAACGATGCGTTCAGGCGATAACTGCTCGGTTCAACTCTATGGACGTTACGCAAGGCCGGTGTGAGGATAACGGTGCGGCTGGATTGCTGAAAGTGGAGATGTTGTTGGATCTCGACCACCGTGTAGACGGCAAGCTTGCGAGAAGCAGGCCGCGCAGGCGGTCTCCGTGGAGGTGCTGAAGCAAAGAGATGCCATGCTCGCTACCAGCTGCGCTTCGGTGAACTAGTGATACAAGTAGTCACAATTCAAGACCTTCACAGCCAAAACTTTGGTGTCATTGAAGTTGACATTCGAGTCTCAAATCTCAGCGCTGACCATAAGCCTTCAAGTCGTCTACAACATCACGCTTGCGTGCTTGCCTTGTTCCCCTAACAATATAAGCTCTAATCTATACCAGCCAACAACCTCTGCCTTACACCGATGGCTTCAACATAGAACTCCCGACGCTTGCAAACCCTAGAGATAAGCAGAATCGACTCGCTCTATCGTACCACCGACCACGGTGTGCCGAGATATGTATTATGTATGACCTGGGGCTCTGACAGCATGCCCGCGCGCAACAGTATAACCCTAGACAGTCTTGAACGCAACGACGCGACTCTTGACAACCTCCTCGTCTTCCTCGATATCCAACTCTCTCAGTTCGCCGGAGCGGACATCATAAATCAGCCCGTGAACTTGCAGACCTCGCTCATGCATGGCGTCGAGGACGACCGGATTAGCGAGCAGCTGTTTGACGCCCTGACGGACATTCAATTCGACCATTTTCAGGCCCTGGTTAAACTCGTCGAGGCTGTTCAGTAGCTGCAAATTCTCCTGGCGAATGGCCCGCAGCGGCATCAGCCAAGTGTCGATCAAGCCGAGCCTCTTGTTGTCGAGAGCGGCGGCAATACCACCGCACATGGTATGGCCGCAGATGATGATGTGCTTGACCTGCAAGTATTGGACGGCATACTGGATGACGGACAGCGAGTTGATGTCGGTGTTGACGAGAATGTTGGCAATGTTGCGGTGGCAGAAGATCTCACCGGGCTTGAGGCCGAGGATGGTGGTCTCCGGGCATCGCGAATCAGCGCATCCGACCCAAAGGATCTGTGGAGACTGGCCTAATTGAGTACCACAAGTATGGTGTCAGTGAGAGTGACCTCGAATGGTTTCGGAGGAGGGCATCATGATCCATCCGTCCTCAGGCGTTCAAGTCCTTTCAGAAGGTACTAAACTACTACTAACCTCTGCTCATGGACTCGAAGAGTGCCGGGTCCGTCTCGGCCAGCGAGCGCCGCCATAAGCTGTTGTTGTTGAACGCTCGCGCGTAAGCATCGTCGGGAGGTAGATTCGCTGCTAGTTGTCAGATCCGCTGGTTAGCCTGGGCCCTTTCGAATAATCGGTCAACGTCCCAGGAGAAAAATGGGCGACAGGTGGGAGCTGATCTCAACCAGTGGCCATCCAAGATCTCGGTTCAAGGCTGGGTGGCTGTCACGTGGCCCCAGTGGAAGTGAAGAGAGCTCTGTTGCATGGCGGTGAACGAACCTGATGGCATCGTGTCTATGTCTGCTGACTGTCTATTGTTTTCTATGTCGGCTGGACTCGAGGACTCGTCTTCGGCAGGTTCACGTTGCGAGGTCAAGGAGTGCTTGGAGCAATAAGGTCGACAGCTTAAGAAGGCAGCAGAAGGTGAGATTGCTAACGATAAAGGTGGTTGTGGTGGGACGAGGATCCTGGCTGGGGACGATCTTTGGTGGTGCAGGCGGGAGATCCGGATCCCTGGCCGCCCAAGTCGTAGAGATGAGGATGATGAGCTTCGAGTTTGAAGGAGAGTTTGTTTCGAACAGATGAGGCTTGAAGGAGTCGGAGTGAGATTCAGATTCAGACGTCGCAGCAACGAGGATGGACAGCGCATGTGTAACGGCGGCGGCATGACGTGCTTATGTCCCTCGAGGGGAAGGGAAAGAGCATCACAGCCTCTATGTATGAGGAAGCCAGGATGGCTGCGTGTGGCCGTGGTGTCGACTCAACAACATTTTTTTCGGCATGGTTGTTTTTTTGGTGATGCAAGATCCGGGATTGGAGCACAGAGAGAGATGATAGCGCAGGATTCACAGATTTCCGCGGCGCAGGCTAAGAGCTAGTCGGTCTTGTGGGTAACGTTTAACCGTGTTAGGCATAGCACCCCGCCCGGAAAGTGTTGGATTGCTGGGCTCCGTAGGCTCCCTAGGCCTTGGGAGACTTGGAAGGTGGCCCATGGGGCGCCAGAGACGTCACCGGTGGGCACCCTTTACTACCTGGGTCCCAGGTATCCATCACCGTCGTTTCTTTTTTGGGGACCTCCTTAGGCTCTTCTAAGCCTAGGGAGCCCCCGTTGCTCTCCATTCTTCTTCGACTCATTGCAAGACAAACACCTAAAATTTCATCCCGTTGGCACCGTTCATTGGTCCTCGTCAACCTCATCTCTGTCCACGTCTACTGTATCATGCAGACGTGGGATCTTCTTCTGCCGGTCCTTACGGGTCCTGCGGAACATCAGGAACATCGCCCTTGATTGCGATCTCGTTGTCTTCTTTATTCTTGACCAGACAGAACATGGCGACGAATTTGAAGTCAAGACGACGGTCCTAGCTACTACGATTGATCCTACTCTACAAATGGCTCCTGAAGCCTCGGTTCGCGGACGCCTCCACCTCCTTCTCACTCCAGTCTAATACGACTGCTTGTAAGCCTGCTGCTGCTGCAAGGATTTATGCCTCTGCTTTCTGGCTCCTGTGTGGAATATGCGTCCGTCCTTCGGATCGTGCATATTCAACCAGCTTCGATGTTACTCCAAACGCAGTCTGGCAACAGGATGGCAGGCAAGGGCAGAGACCTGTGGGTCACCTCGTGGTCACATATCTCATCTCCAAGAGTCTACCGATACAAGAGTAGGTACTATAGGCGACCTGTCATACCCTCCTATCCCGAGTACTCGATGACTACGGACCTGGCCTGTGGCTCAACGGCTGCAATGAAAGCAAGCTTCTTCCTTGGCCAGTACCACGCTCCCATCAAGGAATATGGGAAGGGCCCTTCTTAGCAATAGCTCATACCGATCGAAATGTCTGCGGTCAGTGCTGCACGCGCACACGACGCGTTATCGTCTTCAAAAGCCATGTCGCCACGAGGTCGAGTGCATGATACACCCTGCGCTTGTGGTATCTGCCAAAGAAAGTGTGCATGCGATTATCAGTCCACATCCCAGTATTGGCTTTATGACCGAGGGTACTTAAGTACGTGCCCACGGTCCAGAACAACACGCATGACCTACAGCTCCATGACCTAGGAGAGCAGTGATGCACTGCCCCACCGATACTCTAGTCCATGGTGAGACTAGAGTAAGGTCGTACATGAGGGCAAAGCGCAGAAACATGTTCGAAGAGCCATGCCGAAGGAGGTAGGCTCGTGAGATTCTTCGATCCTGGTAATACTGCTGGCAGGCACTCAGATCTGAGTCAACTCCCGATCAGCCTCCGCCGACCTCTCTTCGTCTGCCCCGATCCCGTTATTGTCAATGACTCCCCACCATTTCTCCCAGAGGCCTTTGGTAACTAGAGTGGTTGGGTCCATTTCCGTCTTACTTTGCAAGTACTCACAGACCGCATTGTCAGCATCCCCCTCCGGGTCATAATATAGTATTCCTGGCACACTTGCAGGAGCACAATACATCTGCCACGACCGGTAAGTGGGAGGCAACAGGTCGCTTGGGTGGACGACGTTTCTGTCCCAGCATTTGACCTCCGGAGCAGAGGCCTTGTTTCTCCTCTCTGCAGCCTCATTCACAGCCATATTGATGGTGCCGGACACGAATGAGGCTTGTTGCTTCACCCAGGCCCGTGGAATCCTTTTTTTCTCGTACAGGTCAGTCGCTTCAGGCAGGCTGATCATACCACGAACGACTTCGCCGATGACGGTGCCGAGGAAAGCGCCGTCTTCCATAGCGGTTGCCGCCCCTTGCGCCTAGAGAGACGTGTCAATGATGTTCATCCAAGTGGCTCACTGGATCATACCATGTGGTTCTGCATACAGTGAGCTGCATCGCCAAGTAGGACGACATTTTTGTGTTCATTCGACCATGTCTTCATCGGAGGTAACACAAGCAACGGCCATTTTTGTGTGTAATTGACCAGCTCGAGGATCTCACGAGCGATAGGGTTCCAGTCCCTGTATAGCTTGCGAAATTCGCCGAGCTCCATGACTTCGGGGACTTTCACAATATGGTCCATCTGGAAAAGTGTTACGACATTTAACTCGGTGCCTGCCGTCAATGGGTACAGCAAGATGTAACCGTTCGGACCGATCCAACCGTCCATGCTGTTTCTCAGGAGTTGCCTTGCCTCTGGTACCTTGGCAAAGACTTCTTCGTAGGAGAGGATTCCACGGAATGCAGCAACTGTCGATGCAGCTTGCGGAACCACACCTGGGAACAATGCATGCCGAATGGTGGACTTGATACCATCAGATCCAACTAGCAGGTCAAATGTATGCTCGACACCTTGGGTTGTTGTGACTGTGACAGAGTCATTGGAGTGCTTAAGTATCTCAACCCGCGACCCGACAATCAACTCGACACCGTGGCGGCGGGCGCATTCGGTGAGTCCTGCATGCAAATGGTCTCTTCGGACGAGCCTGTTACGAGGCGTGAGCGAGATTTCTGCCCCAAGCTCCTTGCGTTTCCCAAGCCCCATATCTTTTGGACGTGTTGCCAGAAAGCCCAGAGTTCAGACCTACCAGTGGGGGAATCCTGCCTGTCTTGCGCCCACTTTTGGATCGAAACGCGCTATCAACTGGTTGTCGGCGCTCCAGGTATTGATCTCATCGACCAGGACGAGGTTCCTCCCAATGAGCTCGTCCACTCCCCACCGGATAAGGAGACGAGAGACGTTCGGAAAGACTTGGATTCCAGCTCCAATCTCACCCAACTCTTTGGCAGCCTCCAGCAAGGTGACTCTTGCTCCTGCTCGGACAATTGCGATGGCCGCAGCCAGGCCACCCATTCCTCCTCCGCATATCCCGACGTGCAATTTTGGAGGCCCCTTCATGCCTTGAATCGGTTCTGCTATAAGTGGCGATGAAGAGGGCCTTTTTGACCAGAATGCACCCAGACAAACAAGAAGACCTTGTAGCCCTCTTGCGTTCGCTGTAACAGACTCTCTGTCTGACCCAGACTGACAACTCATCTTTGAACCACCCAGATGATGGATGATCGGCTTCTCCTTCCAATGATTTCTCTGCACGGCGTCCCCGGGAAGAATGTCGAATGCGGGGAAATGGTGATCGCCTGGGACATCCACAAAGGCTGAAGACAAAAGCCTCGGCTGACTCGCGCCGGTCGAGATGCGGACGTCCAATCTAGGTAGGTTGGGCTACTTAGTAGCCGGATACTTGTTGGACCGTATTCTGCGCGCTCAGTCATGATATCAGTCTTCCACGTCTTCTGGTATGGCCGCGGAGTTGGAATGGACATTGGAGCAACAATCTGACGCCCATCTGCCATAGATCTCTCACTGAACACGCTCTTTCTCTGCCGTCCAAACCACGGTTACCGAGGTCCAAGTGAAGAGACACATTGTTGCCGCCCTGCTCCCAGAGATGTTACGGCATATGGAACACCATCTCATTCTGCTTAATTATTTTGCAATACTGGAAGTCTTAAGGCTGCTGCAAGACGAACTGGCTGGTTGGGTTGGAGTCCATGCACCCTGTGTATTTCTGGTAGACATGTCCAAGGGAGCGTTCTCGTGACGACTTGCCTCGCTGGGCGCATCGAACAAAGGACAAAGCTCGTTCGGTCGACGTCGCTCTTCAGCTTCGTGCTGGGTCGCATATCATCACGTGAAGATAGATTTCAGCCTTGCGCAGCCGATAGCGGACGAGGTGCGACAGATAGATTACTAATCCGATATACCCCATTGTCAATTTTTGCTCCGGATCAATCTTTGACGAATCCCTGATGTGTTCCTTGGGCGCCAGATGACATCGAACCCACGAGCATGAGCATGGGCATGAACATCATGCCTAGGCTCATCCATTCGCGAAGCATTCCGAAAGGGCCCATGAAACGCCTGCCGAGAAACCACCAACAACCACTCGAGCGACGTCCCTGGTCTCGCCGAAGCTTTTGCACTTCTGTCCCCTCCTCCATGGCCGCTAGCGGCAAAGACTGGGACGCGGCGCAGTACCTGAAGTTCGAGCGCGAGCGTACACGGCCCTCATTAGACCTTCTATCGCAAGTGCCGCTCGCGAATCCGAAACGTGTTCTCGACCTGGGCTGTGGACCTGGCAACTCGACGGCGGTGCTCCTCCGCCGGTTCCCAAATGCCCAGATCACGGGCATAGATTCATCACCGGATATGATCGGAAAAGCGAAGAAGACACTTCCCGGGATTGAATTCCGACTGGAGGATCTGACTTCGGTCAAAGACACCGAGGACGCGGACCTGCTCTTTTCAAACGCGGTGTACCAATGGCTGCCGTATGAGAAACGGCTCCAGATCTTCAGCGATCTGATCAAAAGCCAAAAGACAGGCGGTGTCTTTGCTTTCCAGGTCCCAGATAACATGTTGGAGCCTTCGCACGTTGCCATGCGGTCGGTCGCTGAGGAAGGTCCTTGGTCGGAGATGTTCAAGCGACATCCACCAGCACGCAAGCCGTTTCAATCCCCCCAAGAAATCTATGACCGTCTAAAGCCCCTCTGCTCGGACGTCAATATCTGGCATACCTCCTACTACCATATCCTCGACGGGCACGAAGCGATCGTGGAATGGGTCAAGGCGACCGGTCTGAGACCCTTCCTTGACCCTCTCTCGGCCTCCGAAAGGGAGGAGTTTCTTGCAGCCTACCTCAAGCGCATCCAGGAAGTGTATCCTCCGCTGCATGATGGGAAGGTCTGCTTGCGATTTCCGCGTCTTTTCGTCGTCGCTGTTCGAGCGTGAAGCCATTCAAATTTCATCTCAAAACCCCAATGTCTGGGAGTCGCCAATCGAATCTGGACCTTCAGCAGCAATGTTAGCAGGCGAGAGACCCTCGGTGATTTCAAGAGATACGTGTACTGTGACCAAGAGAAAGGAAAGCGCGTCCACAGTCCCAACACAGCAATATCACATGACCATACGTTCCTTGGCGAGGCTGTGAATTCACTGTGTTACTATGCGGTACCTTAAAGGGTTATTGATTATAAGACCGAATTCCTGTCAGCATTGACCAGCCTCGGCCTCTAACTAACCACAAGTCGACACCACCACCGGGGTGGAGTGGTTAGTATAAGCTCTGCACAACTGGTGTCCATGCCTCATCAGAGAGCGGTTGGACTCGAAAACGGGTGCTCGGAAGAACCTTAGCCACAGACCATGGAGGGTAACATCTCTGTACAGGGTGAGGTTTCGCTCCCTTGGACCTCAGTAGCCTGATCAACTGCTGGGCTTTAAGGATAAGTTTTTGCCTTTTTGTTGTTTGCCTATCCCGAATATTGGGTGCCTGAGTCTTGTGCGACTCTCAATGTGGGAGTCATGGTGCGGCATGCCTTGGCATCAGCCGTTCATTCACTGTTGCTGGAGGGTGCCAGCAGAGAGAATCGAATCTACGAGGGCGACTGTCTTCAAGGAGCCTTTTCCCGGCTGAATTCCACCGTGGCTGCGCGCCGTCAGTCGAAAATGATATTGGTGATGGATGGAAATCGAAGGAAGATAGCTTTAGACCAAGTTGGAGACATATACCCGCACCTATTGCTGAGAGACGACCTCTTTGGAACTTGCCGACTGCTCGACCATGACCGTCTATCGGTTTGCGACTGTTCTCAGACTCTACCTAGATACTAATTATAAGAGTGTCCTAGTACTACCTTCCTGCACTCGTCTCAGGCGTAGGAACTAGGAGTGAAGAAACCCTTCCATATCCTGACAAAGTTGCAGGATAGGATACAGGTTAGAATGCAACAGAGTAACGTTTGGGATCTTATGTTTCGCTGCGCTCTTGGGCATTTCCATCATATACCGCACGGGACATCTTCTCCTATACGATATACTGCTTTTACTTCGAAACAACCGATCATACCTGGACCACCGCAACACATTTCCTGAATTCCGATAGATTTGTTTCAGGATTCTTCCCTGGACGGAAGTGATTCGAGGCTGACAACTACCTGTTGACTTAGTAAAAGCAGGAGATTGCGACCCTCTCTTCACGGGAAACGAAAACTACACTCGTCCCCGCCCGCTCCCCCCTCCCACCTTCAGGTGTCCAAGTTGACCACTTTTGAAAGAGCAAAAGAGAACCAGTACCGGGGTGTTGCGGGCAACTTGAAGAGGAAATTGTATCTACAGTAATCCACTTGTGGGGACTATAGTGTCCTTAGCATGGCAACCGGGGGATTCGGTCCGGCCCGTCAACGAGGCTGACTACTATCCGGCTCTGTGACCGTCTTTATTCAGTCTCCATCGTCCTCGGGTTGGACGATACACGGGTTGTGAAGACATTCCTTCGCAACTCTCGACCTGGGGTGTGCAGGGGCATGAACGAGAACGCGAGTACTATGAGGATAATCAACAGACTGCTGGGAAACGGGCACAATCAAGCCTAGGGCATTTTCTTGTGTGAAGTGAGTTCATGTGCTAGTTTCACGAACCGAGCGGCGCCCATGAAAAGTGTCTGCCACTAATGGACTGAACTTAAGATGATGCTCCCCTTGCCGTCCCTATTATAGCCGTGTTTCTCTCTCCACGCTTTTTGGTTGATAGCATAGCTCTTAGCTGGTGGGATGCCGAAGACGAACTGCAGCAAAGCGAAGTTTGGCGACGATTTCAGCGTCATGTTCAAGAGAAGCGTTGTCGCTTCCGTAGCAGCCTTCTTCTGCTCTGTCACCCTCCCCCCAAAGAACTTGTCCCACCATGACAATATTTTCCAGCCGTGCAGCACAATCTCCGTAAAAGACTAAAACGATCCTTGAATGCTCCCTAGGGTGACGGGGAAAGGAGGGGACAGAGATATCCCAGCGCCCAGGGCGGGTCTCCGTGGTCCCTACTCCAGATCAAGTCCCTGAAGCCGCAAAGGGGCGACTCCGGACGAGGATCGACCCTCCAGATCCTCATGATATTGGGATTCCTCGTCAAGGCAGGAAACTCGGTGGTTGCCCACACGCTCTCCGGCCGCCAAATGGTCCCGCCGGGCATGAAAACATACGCATCGGGGTTGACGGCCGCGACGGCAGCGGCCTGGCAGTAACACAGGTGGAGGATTGTGATCGGGTCGTCTGTAGGTCGGAGTGCGGGATTCGCGGCTCTGACCTGGTCGGCGTTTTCGAGGATGTGCTGATCCTGCGCGAGACGCCAGTATGTGTTGACACCGTCGAAGATGGAGTAGCCGCTCACACCGCTGGCTGCTAACATGCCCAGGATCAGACCCGCGGTGTAGTCGCGCTCTGCTACGGTGGCCACAGGCATGTTGTTGTAGAACCACACCGAGTTCTGTGCCGTGGCTCTTCCTCCGTCCAGGGAGTCATGGTACCGATCGACCAGGTCGTACAGGCTGGGAAGGCGGTGGTCGCAGTCCCACTGAAAGGTATGGATGTCCCAGACACATTGGCGTCGCTGTAATCGGACCGTAGAGTTCGGGTTGCCTGACTGTTCTGCCGGGGACGAGGACTCTGGGATGGTAGTGCGCTGGGCTGTGTATATTGACGATATGAGGCTGGTGTTTGGCGCTTCTGTTGAATAGGCAGGCGTAGAAGACGTTAGGAAGAATCTCCGGTCATTGTTCTCTGTTCATAAGTAAAGCGTCAGCAGTGGTGTGGTTCAATCACATCTTTAGATCGATAGTGTGTCCTACCGTACTGGCCATTGTGACGATGGGTGGCAAACGGTTCTCCATGGTCGTCTTGTATGGATTCGCTCTTGGACCGCCGCACTTGAGCAGTCTCACCCAGGTAGAAGAGTAACTGGAGCAGAAAAACGGCCTTTGCGAAAGACGGCATGGTGGAAATGACGATTCACAATGGTAGGTCTTCTGACGAGGTTGGTCTTCTGAACGAGGTAGTCAGTCATCACAATCCTTTTGGAGTGAGCTGGCCATTCTATCATACTATGAGCAGACTTTTGTGGCGAGACGACTGTAAAACATTGGTGAGCACCACATTCAAGGCATTGTGACATGAATCTACCACAAACAGAAGGTGACCGACCCATGGCGGCTGCCGCGTGAACAACTTCAGACAAATAGTAGTGTCAGCCTTGGCCCTTGATACATTTCAACGAGACCTTGAAGAACATGCTAAACATCACCGATGTTCATGGATGGTCCCACTGCACATTGCATTTCCGTCTACTTACAAGAATGCTGCGGTAATGCTTTCATCACCTATGAGCCAATGTTTGTACTCTTGGACAATTACACCTGACGACGATAGTCGTTGCCAGTCACGTATTCAGTAATCTCGTAACATGATACCATCCAAAGTCCGAATAACGATCTGGTTCAACGAGCGTCAAGTTGTCAACGTAATCGCCATTGTGAGGAGGCATTGCTGTACTTGATTCAAGGCCACAAACCAAAGGGATTCAAGGCCACAGACCAAAAGGAATCCAAGCCTGTAGGAACATCGTTTCAGGTACCACAAAATCTTCTTCGATGTGCTGCAGGGCAAAACTTGAACGTCTCTTTTCCCCCGAGGCTTACGGACCCCGTAGCATGAGTGGATGAGACTTGACTGTCACTATAAGCAATCCCCATTCCAACGGTTAACATCGTAGTACCAGGAGCCATCGATTTCAATTATCGCGGATCCAGGTCACGGCAACTTGGGGATCATCCGATACCTGTAGTAAGTAGGCTGTAGCTCTGCCATCAGGCTTCAGGGTGAGGCCGATGTGTCTCCTACCATATCTCCCCATCTCCCCATCGCCCCAGCCAGCCAACATGCAACCTCCTGCGATGAAGTAGTCTGTAGATATGGCAACGAGTCGTCAATCAGTGAGGCTTCAGACGGGCCTGAAATTCCGCAGCTGATTGGTCAAGCGCTTGATATAGAAGGTATTGTTGAAACCTGGCCCAGGCTTCGCTCAGGCATCATGAGATAGGACCACGGTCCCGGTGGTGGGTGGCCCCAGAGACTGAAGTTACATCAAGTCATCAATGTCGCGTAGTGTGGCAATAGATGGTCGTCCGCTCATCTCACCTCATATCTTGTATCTCATATCTCATATCTTGTCCTCTCCGAGTGCAAAGCGATTTGATTGAATGAAAAGGTTTTACTGGCGTGCGAAACAGTGATCCTTCAGAATTGTGGTGATGAATCTCAGCCCATGGCCCCCCGGGAAAAGGTGAGTGGATCTACGTACTTGAGGTGCTATCTCCCGATGCGATGCAGCTTGACCTGATTAGGTGCAATACCCAGCAATGACCCCACATTAGACTCGCCAAGACGGTCGATGCGGGAGTGTCTCATTGGCCAGCCTTGCGCACATCCGTAGTTGTTTTCAACGGTCCCACCTGACTCCTTGGGCTTTTCGCGATTTGCAGCGGCCAGATAGCACTAAACGTCGTGGATGCCTCGATATCAGGAATTGTGCCAGATGTCCATAAAGAAGGGGAGCGGGTGTTGTGTGGCCAATCAATCCTTCTTATCTGGTGTCTGGCGTCGTCCCGTCGCCTGATAAGCCTCGTGAGTCCATCCCCGTCACGTCAAAGGGTTGCTTATCTCCAAAGTGGAAATCGATAAAGGTCACCTCAACAGCAGCACCCTCCTAGTATACTGCATAATAGATGTCATGCCAGTATAGAAAGACTGGTCGAGAGCCACGCCGAAGATCTTGCACTCTCTCCCTTTCTCTCCTGACCTTTACCAATTTCAATCAAAGTCTGGCCTGATTTGACTGGAGGCGTGTCTTTTCCTTCTTCTTTTCCAGCCAGTCAGTCTGTCTGTCATCGGGACCGTCCTGACTCCTGATCGGATAGCAAGCAAACAGCCAAGACGGCGACGACGACGACGACGAAACAAGGCCAAACATTGCCATAATGGCTCAGTTCACCAGCGACCACGATGGAGATGACATCGTCTATGCTCCCGGCACCATCACCTTGGAAGACTGTAAGAACCCATACATGACAGCCATTCCATCCTATTCCCCCTCCATGGTTCTTTGTTTTGTGAGGATATATGTATCACAGATGTTTCGGCTAACCTCTGGGCTGTCTCACAAAGTACAGCGGTCGCGGAACACGGTTATCCTGCACCCGGTTCCGACGAGCGATCCCAACGATCCGCTGAACTGGTCGACGTGGCGGAAGAGCCTCAACTTCACGCTGTGTCGTTCTATGTGCTGATGACGTTCGTCCAGCTGGACGTTGGCTTCACGGCCTAGGAGGCCTACGAGACCGAGTTGGGCTTCTCGGTCGACATCCTCAACGACGCGGCAGCAGTCAACTATGCGGCTCTGGGCGTCGGCTGTATCTTCCTGATTCCGCTGGTCCACAAGTACGGCCGGCGGCCGCTGTACCTGTTCAGCACGGCCTTCCAACTTACCTTGCCGCCTGCATCTGGTCAGCAAAGACCGAAACCCGCGGCGACCTGATCGGGAGCAATTTGATCTCCGGCATCGGCGGCGCCGTCAGCGAGACGATCGTGCAGATCACGATTGCCGACCTATTCTTCGTGCATCACCACGCCGCAATGAACGCCTTGTATGTGCTCGTCACCTCCATCGGCGCCTTCCTCGGACCCGTGGCTGCCGGATACGTGGTCGACAGCCAAGGATGGCGATGGATGTTTTGGTGGTGTGTCATCTTCTTCGCCGTCACTCTGGTCCTGGTCATCTTCTTCTTCGAGGAGTCCAAATACGTCGCCGTTCTGCAAGGGCATGCAACGACAGATCACTCTACCCAGCTGGCATCGACACAACATATCCTAAAAGAAGATGACAAAGCAACAGAAGACAGCCTGACGGAAGACCGGCAAAACTGAAGCCCATAGATGCCAAACAAGCAGAAAGTGCCCATTCGGTCGAGCAGCGGTCTGAGATCCATGTTGACGCCACCATCAAAATGAAGACATACCGTGAGCGTCTGGCCCTCGTCACCACAACAAGAGGCTCCATTCTGCGCGACTTCTACCAGCCTGTGATCCTCCTGTTCAGCTTCCCGGCCATCACTTATGCCGCCATAACGTATGGCAGTCTTCTCGCGGGGTTTGCCCTGATGACTTCGGTCCAAGCAACGTATCTCTTCTATCCGCCCTACAACTTCTCCGCTGCCGGCGTCGGCTTGATGAACGTTGCTCCCTTTGTCGGCACCATTCCCGTAACCTTCTTCGCAGGATATCTGGACGACAAATCAATCATGTGGTTGGCCAGCCGTAACGGTGGGTGTTTAGGGGATGACATTGACGATAAAGATGAGAATTGGCTAGGTGAGAACGCAGCGAGAGGTTCATCACCGGTCGTCGAGGACAGACTTTGATCGTGTTGCCATCCAATCCTAGAAGAGGATGCAATCTCGGTTCTTCGCAACGACAGCCGGTTGCCCGTTGCCAGCCTGGGTTTCCTGCCAGCTTTGATCACCAGGCGATTCGTTCGACACGCGAAACCCAAGCGTGAACATCTCTCACAGCTATCAACATCTTGCGAAGGCCGGACGCACTTCCCCTTGATGCTATGGCATCGATCGCATGGTCTCATCTTCAAAGTTGAACGAGGAGAGACACCCGAACGCCTTGATCGACTCTTGAATATTCGCTCTACCTAGTGTACCATGTACTAGTATCTAGAACGAACATCCCGGCCCTTTCCATGCCAACACCATGGCCTCACCTTGCAGAGGCTCCATCTTCATCAACTTCCCGTAGAACTGGACTCCGCTGTCCCTCGCGTGGCCGATAATACACATAGTCCTGCGCAGATACGGCATGCTATCCTCGACACATTCCTGGACGCAGCTGATGAGCCATTTCCCCAGCCCCTGACCCTGCCATTCAGGCTGGATGTAGACATCGGTCAAGTAGAAGAAGGTGACGCGGTCGGTGACTCCGCGTGCAAAGCCTATCAGAGAGGACTCTGGGTCTGGATCCGGATCCGATCTCGAAGACGACGGCCTGTCATCGGGCCCTTGGTTTTGGCGAGCAGAAGATTCTGTTCTCACAGACGTGGCGATCTCATGCAGCGTCTCGGCCGGGTCGACGATGCCTGAGGTGGAGAAGACGCCCTCTTCTCCTGCTTCGGTGTCCGTCGTGCGACTCCGAGGCGGCAATGGCGTCGGCGAATACAGGCCAAAGCTTAACGAGTTGGCCAGCATTTCTCCCATGGCTTGTTCGGGTAGCGGGCTTGCCCAGTACATCTCCTTCGAGGCGAATGCTTTGTTCAGAGCCGGGATGGGGATGAGTGATGGGTCCGTGGAGATCAGGAAGCCGTCGCGGGTCCAGGTCCATGTTCTGGACTGTGCCGTGGTAGATGCACCCTGTGACATTGCAAGGCTGTAGATGAATTGACTATCAATCGCGCTGGCCTGTAAGACGCGTAGCTGTCTTGTAGATGATCTCTAGTAACCGGACACAGGCACAATTGTAGGATACCTCTTGTTTGGTTATATGGAAGACAGACAGCCGCGAGATACGCCCTACGTCATGCGTCTGTGAGTCACAAACTACCTACCTAAGATATGTGTCAAGATACAGAGGATACCTTGACTCTGTCTGGTATAAAGACCTATTCCATTCGATACGGCATCTAACCGGACACCGCCGCCCCCCCACCACCGTTACAATATACCGGAAGCCATATTGAGCCCGTTGGAGGACTCGGAGTGCGTGGATGGACCCATCCCGGAGTGGCAGTTACTAAACCATCGTACATTCATACACCACCTATTAATCCACCCGAGCGTCTATCAAGGTATAATTTATATAATTTATATAATAAACAAGCAATCTCCAGCTCGCTGGCATTTACAAATCAAGTTTCCCTGAATCAGGGGCCAGTGGCGCCGTCCCTCCAAACTTCTTGCCAGCAGGGCCGAAGTAGGACTTGAACAACTTCATCAGATCCTTGTCCACCAATTGCATATGCTCGCCCGCCAGGGTCAAGAAGTCCAGAGCACCCTTCTCATCCAACTTCTTCAATCCAATCCAGTCTTCCTTGTAGATGGGCCGGTCCCTCAGCTTGGTGACCGAGTTCGATGTCATGTTGACTTCATCGAACCAGCCACTGTCCTTCGGGATGACGGTCCGGTCGTCACCAAACACAATCATGACAAACTTGTCCAGTTTCGCCAGGTTCTCGGCATATGTCGCATTCTTGACCTTGCGCTCGTTGTTGATGTCGGCGAGGAAATTGGAATGCTCCAGATACTTGTCGTATTCGTTCAGGTCGCGATAGTACTGAGCGGGCACGAGTCTCGACTGGATGAAATCCGACCACACGGTGCTGCTCTTCAACAGGGCATTGGCCCCCTGACAGAGCCAATCCGAGGTCCCGCTACACTTCTGGAACTCGGCGATGCCGTTGTGCTGACTTCCGAAGGTGAGCAGAGATCGGATCTTGGGCGCCCAGCTGCCACATCTCTGCACATACCCTCTCAAGAACTGCCCGCCTTGACTGAATCCGATGGCGTCGATCGCCGGCGCCGTGCGCAGGATGTTGTCCTCGGCCAGCAAGTGGCAGACGGTCTCGATCTGCTGGCTGACATTGCCGAAGAAGGACGCTTGTCGATCCGCCGACCCGCGCGTACCAGTCACCGAGATAATGTAGGTATATGTACCAGGATGGACCATGTCCACCAGTTCCGCAATCTCCTGCAGTCCCGCCGCGTCGGCGGAGTCTCCAAGGCCATGCCAGATCACGACTGGTAGAGGCTGATCATCGGCGTCTTCCCCATCCGGCTGTGCTGCATTGGCATGCTTGGGGGCCAACCTTGTAACTTGGACCGTTGGACCCTCCACCACCTCTTCGACAAGATCTGCGAATGGTATATGTTCCGCAGCGACTTCAGCCAAGACTTCGATTTCCCCCAGCGCAGCCTCGTGGCAGATGCAGGGCCTTGAGCCCGCTGATGTGGACGGACCCGTTACTCCATCTCCAACGGCTTCGTCGATCCGTTTGGGGCAAATGATAGAAGAATCTGGAGATTGTGGGGGACTCGCGAAGACGTCGGCTTCGGGAAGGATGACAAAGGAGAGGATGGTGGCTGGAAGCGACAACAGCAGCACAAGTTGGTTCAGCTGCATGGTCGTGGATTTGGAAATGTGAGTACTTTCTGCGAGTACACAACAATTAGATATAATCCCGGTTGATCGAAGGCCAGCTTCGCTGCGAATCAGATACACGCTTAGAACTGGAACTGGAAGGCGACGTGATGCGATCGGATGCCGCCGGCTGGAGTGAGTTGGACAAGTAAGGAGGGCCCCTAGGCCCCCGAGGCCACCGGAGAAAGTCGAACCGAACTCCGAACGCCAAGGCTGCAGTCCCCGGATCTTGGCAGGGACGAGACCCTCGATTTCGTCATTGCCAGTCATTAATTGCAGTGTTCATTAGTATTGCTGCGAGGTAGAGTCCAACTACTAGTATGGCCCTCATATCAGGGGAAGGATACTGTCGCTAGCAGTATAGGAAGGGTGCAAGTAGACAAGAAGAATCTGTTCTTTCTCATAAAACATATTATAAACAATACTACCGGAATTCTCTTCCCCAACGGTCATGGGTATCGCTTGAATCGACCATCTGCCTCCCAGTTTTTCTTATAAACGCCTCATGTCTCATGATGGGTATACCAAAAATCCAGCAGAACACCATCCCTACCCCAGCAGGCCTAGACCATCTTCTTCCGCGACCAGGACGCGCGCCTTCTTCAAATCCTGCGTCCATTTCCTCGTCACATGGAGCCACATTTGTCTTTCATCGGACCGTTTCTCTTCCACGTACTCTTCGAGCGTTGGCTTCGTTTGACAATCCTCCCAAGTCCTTCCATCTTTGACCAACATCTCTTCGGTCAGGTGAGGGTATTCGGCGACAGCGGCCGCCATGGCTGCCTTGTCGGCCTTCACGCGCGCTTCCTCAAGCTGACAGGGAGGACAGGGGTGATCTTGGTGGGGCAGAAAACTCGGCAGATTCATGTAGTGGGGTGTAGGATAGTGCGACGACGACGAGCATGAGAACGAGAATCCCTTTGACATCGATGTCTGTGTCCGGTTGAAATTTCGACCAAAGTCGCCGCACTCGGGAGGTTGGCGCGCAACGCCAGGGAGAGGGGCCATGGCCACCTTCTCCATCCTGGAGACAGGAGAAGGAGGCGTGATGACCGACGAAGTCGAAGAGTTGGAATCTAAACTTCCAGCGGATGAACATGATGGTCCTCTGGGAGGGACCGGTCTTGTCGACGAGCTGACCCGGCTCTGGCAGTTGTAGCATTTATATGGTTGTTGCGGCAATCTCACTCCAGTGGTCTTTATTAGCGGGCACGGGGTGGATTTGCAGATGTCGAAGCCCATGAGCACGCCATGTCCGCAGCAAAATCGAAGAACGTGAGCCTTGCACATTTTGACGTGTACACTGGGTTCCCAACCGTCCCTGCGACAAAGGTGTGGGTAGCAGTGCTATTGCCGTGCGCGATGACCGTAAGACCGAGGATAGAACAAATATGATTCGGAATCCATATGACTATTGCGCCATTTTCGGTGAAGTATAGCGAGACAGCTATAATGCTTCAAAGGTCCCTTTCGCGTGATACTGGCCGACGTGAAACTGGAGGTGGGGCACGGAGGAGGATTGTGCGCCCGGGGTAGCGAGCCAAGGCGCCGTGTTCTGGCAAAGGAAGAAGCGAGCGGTTGCCGTTCCCCAGGCTTCAGAGTAGCGGAGGATGCAAGATTCGTAGGACAGGTGCCGGCGCAGGCTGTCGTGTACAGACGTTGTACCGTGGCTGTTGGAGGAGGGAAGGACAAGAAAGTCGGCGTTCAGGCATCGACGGAGGAGGATCGAGTACTTAGGACATCCAGTTATCGACCGGTGATTGATTAAGGGGTCCACATCGACGAACACTGGTCAGGAACTAAAATGATGCACGGAGAGAGCGAGTGGTCCATCGCTCTCCAACGTGAATGATCGGGCGGATATTAATTCTGAGCAGCGACTACTCTGTAGAGTGGCAAGTTGAGGGCCGCTGAACCAGGAGGACAATGTATCATCACTCGAAACAAGGACACGAAGGAACTCGGCTCGAATGTATACCCCAGGGCAAAGAGACGGAAAAGCGCAGAAACAAGCAATGCGGGTGACGATGGAGAGTGGGCATGATCAAAGGACAAAAGCCATACTGCGTACCACGATACGACGCATTTTTTAGTTTAGTACTAACCTATCTTAGTAACTTAAGTACCAAGTAGTAGGTGCGCGTAGTAGTACCTACCTTAGTGAGGGCGTTGAGTTTGGCGGAGGAGAGAAGTACGCACTGTACTAGTATGGCAGAGTTAAAAAAGGGAAGGACTTGACAAGAGTGGGATGTGGTTGTCGGCCAGTAGCAGAGCACGTCCTACGACTACTAGGACGGTAGTGGTACAGAGTACAAGTCGCTAGTATCCACGGCAGTTTGGAGCCTGAGGCCTGCACCTGCAATCTGCAACCTGCAACCTGCAGTGCCGTTCGTCCCTTGATAAAGTACCTCAATATATTTTTTTTCATTCTGCATCATGATTATTGAGCCTCCCACGAGTTCGTCGCCCTCCTCATCCTTGCAGCCGCCCCGATGTAGTGGTTGCTGCGAACGAGCCCTTCGCCGATAAGCTCGCTTCGTGCTGCGCTCCACTGGAAGCTCAGAGGATCTCCCATTTACCGGTGTCATATCCACATCCTTCCTCCGACTGACTGTTGCCCCTCCGTCATTTCACTCCGCTTCTCCTGGAGTCTGCAATCGTGGGTGGCTGGCAAGCGCAGCAGCAGAACGGAGCCGAGAGCATTGCGAACCGTGCGAGCGAACGATGCGATGCGATGCGAACACCGCCGAACAAAGTCCCTCTACTACTACAGAGTAGCCCTGTCGACCTCGATCCAATCAATCAATCAGTCGGTCGAACTCGTTACCCGTTCAAACTACTAGTACCCTGCGGCACTGTTAATTTCCACGACTTTGCACGCAATCCACTCCGAGGGTAGAGATTGTGTGCTTGTCATCTCATAGTAACATTATTTCCACATCTTGGCTCTTCCAGAAACTGCGGACTCTCTGATCACTACTCGAACGGGCGCCGCTAATTCCCGATTGCTGCAGAGAATGCATTAAACCCCAGAATTGCCATGTCTGGAGTGCCGCCGGACTACAGCATGACGGAAACGAAGCCTACGACCGAGGATGGCTTTGGCCGGCACAAGCGGCCATATCTCGCAAGCTGGATGCGCAAAGAAACGACTTGACACCTTGCCCGGACAAGTCGGCAGCATAACACGGCCATCTCCACCACCGCCACATGCTTTCGGGTGGATATCATCAGCACAACCCGCCAGTTTGGCTCTGATGACCAATTAGAAATGACGGCATGTTCACGAATACGTATAGCCGGTCTCGCCGAGATAAGATCCGGCATGTTTCCGTCGCCAGTCTTACTCACAGTCGCACACAGATACGAGAGTTGAGTAGCCTGGATGGTGCTCCATCTCGCCGAGCATGGTTCTAGCCTCGCAAGACGGTGCGCTTCTCTGTAGTTTCTGCAGTCTGATAACTGATAAGCAAGCACCGCTCCAACGGTTTCTGGCGATCCTTCTGGAAGCCTCATGATACCCGGCGATGAGCAAATAATTGATAAGGGTAGTCTCGTCTATCAGGACCGACTCTTCAATTCACTGTGCTAGACATCGACAAGAATGTCGCCTCAAAGACTCCGGCGACGGATTCGACCAAGGAGCTTGACTAACCGGCAGGCCCTGCTATGGTCTTCTGCCACTATTGCAACCATCGTGGCCATCTTGGTTGGCGCCCTTCTTGGTGTCATCGGGTTTGTCACCCATGTTGTAGTACATGGTGATGCTTTGAATCTGGAGGACGCTGTCCTGGTGAGGAGGGCCGACCGACCAACCTAGTGACACCGGTATCAGCTTCATTTGATCGGCTCAGATAGGTGAATAGAAATGCACCTCTGTCTCCATTTGCCCAGTTGTTCCATACCCAAGGTCCCGGCTGGTTGGGAACGTTCGTGGAGTAGTTCTGTTGCAACTCGCCGTCAACATAGAATGCGGTGTAGGCCGAGGTCCAATCAATGCGATATTCATGCACCTCACCCGTACAATTCGACGGAGCTGGGCCTGTTCCTCGCGTTGTAGGCGCCGTGCTTGGGTCGGCAGCCTGGTTCGAGTACCACAACGGGTTCAGCTTGCCATTGTTCGATAGGGCATTCGGGTCGGTCAGGTATTCGATGTCGATCTCCTGACAGTCGGATTTGTAAAAGAAAAGACCTGACCATTTAACACACCAACAGCAGAAGGGGGGTTCCAGATCGATGTCGTACCGTGACATGTTCCCGGCACTTGGCTGAAGATGGCATTGGTCCGCACACTGGCATAGAGGATGTTTTGTTCAACCGTGGTGACTTCGGCGCAATTCACCGCATTGTCAGGATCGTGATCAGGGTCTTGCTGTCCCGGAACCGTCAAGGTAAGGACCCCGTCCCTGATAGCAACATTGTTGGGGTCGTAGCGCACATTGTACGGGACTGGTGCAGGCCCACTCATCTCTCGATGTCTGCAGATGTAGTTGCTCTTCACCAAGCCGGCAGGTACATCGTCCTGATCAAAGGTGTATATTGCTCGATTATTAAAGCTGCCAACTCCTTCTACTACCCATCTGTCGTCAACTTCCCGCACATCTCTTGCTCCCACCTTCGCTGCATACAGGACGGGTGGAGTGGCTACTTCGCGACACAGGTGAAGGTGGTTTTCATGAGATGACATGTCTTGACTCGACTCGAAGGGCTGGTGCTCTGTACTATATCAGTTCAGACTGTGGCGTTCTTGTCACCAGAGCATGTACTAGTGCACTGCTTGATGCGAGGTAGGGTCAAAAAAGAGTTGGTCGAGATTCTTACCCACAATTGCCCGCATACAATGTTCCGAGTGCATCAAGGGCATAGATTTCGGCAGTTGGAACTACTGTCATACTAGGGTAGACGGTGGTTGGATGAGTATGAGATGAAGTCGTCGTGATGTAGTGTGAGGGCAAGAACGAAATAAGCCATACGCACAGCCGAAGCCCAAATGCGTTCGGTAACAATGCTGACCACTGTTCCATGCGTCTTGCACCACTTCAAGGTGTGGTGCGCAGGAGCGTAAATTTGACGATTGTGGGACAAATAGCCTGGAAATCCGGGCAGGAGACTTGGTGGCGGCTTCCGTCCGAAAGAGAAAGCCAGCAGTTTCCCTTAAGCCTCGAGTTTGGGGGCCTTCAAAGTGCACATTGGCACACTGTCCGAGTCGCAATCGAGTTGGTCTTCGCTGGCAACTTACCAGGTACAGGCAGTTGTAACGGAAAGTGCCATGCTGGGCATCGGCGCCGAGGAGCAACATACCACTGCAGGCACTAACACACAACACTGCAGCTCTCACTGATTTATTTGCCATTTCACCTCATATCCAAAGACTGTCTTTCGAAGTCTTTCGTCCCCAGGGTCGTTCTCAAACATGACCTTGTCCATTGTGCGTTCAAGGATTTTATTCACCACAAAGCCATCAGCACGAGCAATCTCAAAAAAGTTCAAGTCCTTTTCGAACAGCCAAGGCCGATATGGTGTGAAGAATACGAGTGCGACAGCCTCCGCAGACTTCCTCAGGCAATCACGAAGGGTGGCCAGAAGTTTCTGGTGCTCGGAATGGTTGAAGAGGATGTCGGCGAGAATCAGAAGGTCAAAGCCATCCGCCTCCGGGCTGAGATAGGTTTTGAGCGGCTGCGCAGCGCTGCCCCAAAGAAAACCGGCTGCAACAATGTTGGATTTGTCTGCAAGCGCCGAGCAGTGCTCGATGTTGTGGCGGAGGTTCAAGATCAAATCCGGATCAGGATAGTCAGTCACCACCACTTTCTTTGCTCCAAGGATGGCGGCGACAAGGCTGGGAAGCCCAGCACCAGCGCCTAATTCAAGAGCAGTCTTGCCTTGGACGAGTTGCGCATTGTCCTCCAGATATTGCGCGATGACTTGACCAGCATTCCACAGCAGGTGGCCCTTGGGACTTGTTAGCATCGTGCAGACATTCCGGCGATCCACAGTTATAGCACACCCAAAGAGGACTATGGCCTACGAGCCGGAGAGAAAGCACTTGACCACTTTGAAGGGTGTACTTGGTAAAGGTGGCCGGCTTCTCTGGCTGATAGAAATCGGCGGGCTCCTGAAAGAGATCTAGCGAAAGAGGTGTGTCATCCTCATCACTGTGGTCCATCATGTTCTCAACTTGCCCACCAGGTCCGATCAGCCGTCCACCACGCAGTCTATCTCTGCTGGCTTCGATATCTTCCTGGCTGACCGTGAAGATGGAAGCTCTGCGCACTTTGACCTGACTCAAAGACGCGGTCACGGTGTGCACGGCGAGTTGAATTGCTTGGCACAAGGAAATATTGTCTCACGTGATGAGGCGCTGTTCAAACTTTTGAAGATGGTTATTACCGGCCAGCCACAGGTGGGAGATGTTTCTGGTATCGTTAGGCCATTACCTGAACATCAGATCATCCCCATTGCGCATGACTTCAGACACTCTAATGCTGGTGTGGTTGAGGCGATCGTCAGCATCGTCATAGCCCATGTCTGCTGTCTCGATACTTTTTCTGCCGCAGTGCAGATTGTTGTTTGCAGATTGTTGTTAGCAGATTTTATCCCAGTAGGCCGGGGTATTTCCGTGTAACAAATACCACCTGCATCATCCGGGTCAGGCTTGAGAAGTTCCAGATTGTTACTAATCTAAAGGTACCACTAGGCCTTCTAAGCCCTGTGTACAGAGTAGAGTGGGCCAACTCGGTATAATGTCGGCGTACCACCGGCTTTGCAGGTAAAATCTCTCCGCTTTCACCCGTGTTTCGTGGGTACCAAATACCGAGCGGTACATGTCCATACCGATCAACTGCCAACACCTCCCAGCCGACCTCTGTACTGTGGTATCGCCATGATACCTTACCTTCCTTTGTGCCTCCATTTTCCTCGCTTTCGCCGCGCCTCGCCATCTGCTGCGAAGTTTCCAATTTCTTCATCCTTTCTTCCACTACTACTACACTGCTTCTACCTCGTCTATACACCAAGAGATACTCACCATCAAACCACCTTCATCCATCCATCCTTCCTCTCTTTTGTGCAGCAAAAGCCCCAGACGTAGAATACGGGGACCCCGCCGACCGCCTCATCTCATCCCGTCCCCTCGACCCAATCGAATGCGCCCCGCACGCGCCTCCAGGCTTCCATACCACATCTCCCTCTCGCAGGCCCAGGGACTCCCCCACGAATCTTGCAGCCACTGATCCAGTCCTGCTTTGCATCGCCCACCTCTTCCGAAACGTAAAAGCGCTTCTGCTCTTGCAAGCACCTCGGCTTCCTGCTTGGGTGGTCAGACACTGCTCGGAATTCAAAACAACAACCCACAGGTGCTTGGATTTCCCCAAGCCGGCAAGTGGTCAATACTCTCCAACTTTTGCACCATCTGCGCCCCGGCCTTGCTTGCGGCGAGATCTGAAGTCATCCTTCCCTTTGTTTCCGACAGCTCGTATCTCCTACTACTACGCAGTCATTCCCCAGGCAGCGGGCGCCCACAATCATCCTCTCCGCCAGCCTCACCGTGCCATCGCCCTCCTACCGACCATCTTCGTTGCACCCAACGCAGCCATCACTCGCCGCCACCCTCACGCAGTGAAAAGAAACGTTTAGAGGAGCCGCCTTGCTCAGCGGCTGCCTCTTTCATCATACAAATCCCAGTCGCAGAGCACGGGTTACAAAATGAGCAGCTATCCTCGCAGGAGCGCCCGGATATCACATCTTCAACAAGAACAAGTCCAGCATAGCACTGCGACTCATTCGCCTATGTTTGCAAGCAACTTATCTCAATCCTCGAGTGCGTCAACAAGTTCTCATCCGAGTCCCGTTGCCGACGGTCTTCATCCTCCTCCGCCACCGCCGACCCCCCAGCCAGCGCATCCTCACCTTCAACTACCACCGCACCTTATGCCTTATTACCACCAACAGCAGCAGCAGCAGCAGACACAAATCCACGCACCGTTACCTTCACCTTCAGCAGCAGAAACAGAGCCCTTCTTCGGTCGTCCTCTCTCCCAACCTAATCCATACCTTTCGCAACAAATGAATTTCAACTACGCCAACCAGCAACGCCAGCAGCCGCAGCAGCCCTTCGGGAACCAGCAGCAGCCTCAAATGGCACAACAACATCAGTTACATCCTCATACAAACTCCATGTCGCAGGAGCATCCTGCTCACGGCCACTCTGGTATGAATCCGGGCCAATTGCCACCAAATTTTCTAGCCGAGGCTGCAAAACGTGCCCAGATGGCCTGCCTGATGCGAGATCTGGGGGATGTGTCTTTATGATAAAATGACAAGGTCGGAATTGGCAAGGACCATTCGAATGCGAGCAATCATGCCTTTCCTATATCTTCTCAGCAACCTGTCTGCGGGTGTACCTGGATGAATCAGCCGAGGAGAAATGCGTTGACATGTGATCGAGCACGGCAACCTTTACCAGACTTTATTATGCCAGAATCATCCGTCGAAGGCTATCATCCATCAACGAACATATCTGGAGTACCTCTAGCTCATCCACGATGTCCTTTGCCAAGGCAGTCGCCGAGAAGGCCCGATCACATCGCTCCACACCGTACCGAGAACACACCAGAGGTCCTTCACCTCAACGCCTCTTAACGACTCCATCTCTACTTAATATTTCCTTCTCCGGCGACTGTTTTCCACGTCGCTTTCCCGCTCAATTCAGCGTTTTTGTCGTTGTTGGGGCTCGCCCCGTCGCTGATACTTGCTGCTTTTGATCTTTTGCTTGGTTGAGATGCCATGATCCGTTTGTCTGTTTATCTAGAACATGGTTGGACTCATTGTCTAGACTTGGAAAGACCTAGGTTGGATTTAAAATTCGCAGGGTGAAAGCCGTTGTCATTGATTGAACTATGTTTCTGAGGATAATTCGTTGGAGCATTGCAGGTGTTGACTTGGGTTGAAGATGATGAAGCATTTTGTTGTGGAACTGCGCGGGCTTCAAAACTGGGTTGTCAAGGCGAATGCATTGCGTTGTCTCTCTTGATTTCCACATCACGACACGGAGGATTTAACATCAACGAACCAGAGCTTAATTGTTGGAATGGGCCTACATCCGACACTATTTGGCATATAGTGTTCTTGAGTCCATGACCTGTAACGGGTCTGAATGAATTATATGAATTGAATCCTGAGGTCTAACAAGATATGATATTTCGTTCTTGCGCTCGAGTATTCGCCGCAGCCTTGTTCGTAGGGCTTCTTCGATCCGTATCGGGTTCAGGTAGTGTATCTCAACCAGTATGATTCCCCCGTTTTGCTCCGAACAGATGACAAGGTCTCAGAATGATGGCGGGATCACCTTTCCACCTCCAGCTTGTGGTACACTGTCTATATCCTTCAAGGGTCTTGGTTGATCGACAAGCCAGGATCTCGAAAGAGACTGTCCGTACCTGCAAGCACTCTTTGCCGGCTGACCCCTTTCGTATTTCATTAGGCATTCAAGCAATCAAGCAATATAGTTAGTCCGTCAAACATAACACTTGCATTGCCCGGATCACTCCGAATCATTCCACTCGCTGTCCAAGAACTCAATGAAGCCTTCAACCACGGCCCTCCGCCCATGAACGTATCCCTGGCCATGGGCGATCCCTCCGCGCTGGATCTGGGTATATTTCCTCCTCAACCGCTGCAACAGCGGCTGCGACAGCACCAGTCCCGCAGGGACATGCAGCATGGTGTCGAACGTGGCGTCAGGATCGGCATCCGTATCCGCATCCCCCGCCGTCGCGGTCGGGATGGACAGCGAGATGTCTCCGCCGTCGCCTTGGGCAAGGGCCTCGCCCTGTTCGCGCGCTCGGGCGAGCACATGTCTCGCGACGTCCATGGTTGCGCTCTCGAGGATCTGCAGCGCGTCTGAAGCCGTTGCTTTGGGGAGGACTGTTGCGGCGTGGGGTTTGACCACGTAGGCAGTGGCGGCGTCAGATCTGAGGTTGTCTGTTTGGTCGTTCCGACCGACAGCCTTGGAAGAATTGGATGGAGATTGAGTCTGAGATTGTATCTGAGATTTTGGAATTTGAGACAACGCTTTCTTGCTTGTCGGTCGGGCGGGCGGTGGGAAGAGGGCTGTCCAGATCTCCCGTGTCGGCGGAGTCGGGTCGCTCGAGGGGATGGTGAACAGCGGTGTGTCCCAGCGCGAAAAGGGCGAAGGGGGCTCATATCGCATGGCTAGAGAGAGGAGCGTTGCTGGAGAATAGGGCGGTGATGAGGTCGGAGGGGGTGGGGTTAGATGAGCAGAAGGTAGTGGTGGTATTGCTTCTGTTTCTGTGGCTGGTGATGATGGTGGTGGTGATGGTGATAATTGTCCAGAAGAAGTCTGGATCCTTGATCTGGCCGAAACAGGAGTGTCGACGCCCTGCTTGTCGGTGATATACAGCGACTTCAGCGTCATAGTGTCGTCGAGCTTTGGTTTCGACGGCTCGTCTATTTGTGATCCTGGTCCGACTCCCTCTTCTCCTACATCGAGAGACGAAGACCGCGATCGAACCACCCGATCTCCATATATGGCCGTATGACTCTCCGGGACCAACTCGCCGAGCACATCTTTACCCTGTTTCCCCGGCTCTTGCTTCTCGATGGCCCCCGCAATCTTTTCGTCACTGTCACTGTCGTCACCTCTCAGCCGTCCACAGGCTTTCAACCGCTCTCTGTTCCACTGCTTACATTGCTCCTCCAGCGCGGCGACGTGGACGACGCAACACCTCGTCCCCGCGGCCTTGGCTTCACACCATAGCTGATACCGGTAGCCCTTGATATAGTTCAGGCCATCGGCGATCACGATGGTATCCTTCGACAACGCTCTCTTGATGGCGGAGAATTCTTCGGCCCGCGCGGTCTTTTCCTGCGCGGCGCTGCTGTAGATCTGGTCGCGGAGATTCTCTGAGGTTGAACGTCTGACGGAGTCGGGATCGCGGTTGTCGTTGTTGTAGGGTTCGTCGTCCGAGGAGGCGTGGTGCGAGGGCACGATCTGAACGCTTCTTTTCGAACGGGCTGCTGCTGGGTCTGATGCGATGAGGGAGTTCAGGTCGGCGGCGATCTGCTGCGCTCGGAATGTCTTGCCTGAGCTGGGGAGGCCCGTGATGATGATGAGCTACAGTGACAAAAGGACAAGGTCAATATCTGTAATAAAATGTTCTTGGGGTTCTCGGAAGGGCTGGTCTGACTTACTGGCATCACGGGTTCAAGTTGGGCAGGTGAAATACAAGACACTGCAGCCACTGTTGAGGGGGAAATTTGTTGCGGGGAATTCTATATCATGTCATTAATGCTAACTAATCATCACGAAAAGGTATGTAGGAAAAGCCTGCGCTGGCTCCCACGTTCCGACGTTCGGAGAAGCTCTATTTCTCTCCAAGACGGGGTGGTCAACTAGTCAACTGCAGTGGTCGCTAACAAAACTCCAGCTTGCGCCGCTTCGTCGACGCTCCACACAACCGACCCGGCTATCCTGTCCACTGTCCACTGTCAACCAGAATCCACTCAATTCGGGCGATGAAGCCGTGAGATGCTCAGTCGCTCTTCTCTGCTTCCTATCCTTCCGTTTCATCATTCAATAAGGGTCAGCTCTCTTCGAAAGCATCTGGCTGCGCTGCCCTCTGTCGTGAAAAGACATCATCTGCTGAGAGATTCGCCAGCCCCGCCCCCCGACGCAACCACTTTCTCGACCCTCAGCTCCGCTTGTGACAAACACAAATCAACAATCCCCTCGATCATCCTTTTATCGTTGTCGCTATCACGTCGCCTTCTCCGAACCGCAGGGAGCACATTCTCTCAGCAAAGATCGACCGTGTTACAAGCAATAACCGGCGACGCCAGCGCGATGGACGAATACCGCTTTCCGGATAACCGGCTCAAGAAGAAGATGGACGATCCGTCCAAGACGCCGCTTCTCCTTGTAGCCTGCGGTTCCTTCTCTCCCATCACTTTCTTACATCTGCGCATGTTCGTCATGGCGGCCGACTATGTCAAACACAATACAAACTTCGAGATCATCGGAGGTTATCTATCGCCTGTATCTGACGCGTATAAAAAGCAAGGGTTGGCCCCAGCGGAACACAGGTGAGCGCCAGAACTTTGCATCGTGCGCATTTCGCAATGCTAACCCTGCTATTCAGAGTCGCGATGTGTCAATTGGCAATCGACAAAGCATCCAACTGGTTGATGGTCGACAGCTGGGAAGCCGAGAAGAAAGACTATCAGCCCACGGCCAAAGTGCTTGACCACTTTGATAACGAAATAAACACCGTGAGGAAAGGCATCGATGCTGGCGACGGGACGCGAAAGCCGGTCAAGATATCTCTGCTGGCCGGAGCGGATTTGATCCAAACGATGTCAACGCCCGGTGTGTGGAGTGAGAAAGACTTGGACCACATCCTTGGACGCTACGGTGTTTTTATTATTGAACGATCCGGAACCGATATCGATGAGGCTCTGGCCAGCCTACATAACTATCGTGAAAACATTCATGTCATTCAGCAATTAATCCAGAACGACGTCAGCAGCACCAAGATCAGGTTGTTTTTACGAAGGGGCATGAGCGTGCAATATCTCATCCCGGCGCCAGTGGTGGAGTATATCGAGCAGAACCATCTATATCGAGATGAACGTCGCTCGTCCATCACTCCGTCTGTCCACCGCGACAGCGATAAGGGCAAAGAAAAAGAAGTTGCAACACCCGCTTGAGCTGCCGTGTTGCGCCACCGAGACAAATTCATATTGTACCTTGTTTGGCTATTTCTTGGTAGCCCACAATGTTGTCACAGGCAGCTGGCGATGAAGAGGCCCCTTCCCAGCTGCCGAGATTCATCCGTCGTTTCCAGTCAGAGGCATTGGAATGACTTGCCTGAAAACCAACATCAGCACTGCTGTTCTTCTCGGGTGCGGGGCCGCGCTACGAGTGACACCATGACGCTTCTGTTCTGGCGGACTTGTAAACCACTTCGAGACTGCCTTGTCCCTGAAGCAAGGTCAGTTTGACAGTGGTCGGAGTTGTGGGATATTATCTTGGTTTGCGCCCTGCGCAGCCTCGTTTGGCGCTTGGAAGATATGAAAGGAGAGGCGAACTGTGCTTGAATCGCGTCTCGAAAATAGACAAGAGAAGGTTCACGAGATGGAAATTATGCGAGGATCGAGACCCGAGACGTCTCGAATGGATGGAAAAACAGCCCATATGCGACTAGACAGAGGTTGGGCTGTACCGCTGTATCAAGACGTTGGATAACGCAGAAGCCGAGCCGTGGTTCCAGGGTGACTATGGAATACATCCTTCGTGCGGCTCATTTATTCCGGCCGCAACTCGTTTGCTTTCAATGCACGAGTCATCCTTGCGAGAATTGAATCAATCTCTTACATACATGCTGATAAGAAATGCGGTGACATATAAACCAGCGATGGACTCAGGAGATAGCGGTTCCGCATGATACGCAAACTGAGAGTGACCAGTATCTCCGTCAACGTTGTTTTCTGGTCCCTTATCGCCCTGGAAGGAACATTGCATCCAGGAAAGCTTCCTGGCATCTAGAAGCAGTGGCACAAGTTGACTCGCGATCATCGAGATACCTAACCAGCAGCATACGATGCACTACCCGCCATCGCCCAATCCGTTCCGATCCTACCGGCACTTTGGTTACCAGCGACACCAGGACGGTTCCTTGCCCATTCCTGGAGCTCGGCACCATCTTTGCCAGTGTACTTCTTTAGCTCCTCGTCCGAGAGCTGGACACCGGGGCCCTGCTTGGCCTGCTGGAACGAGGCATATTTTTGGCCCAGCCAGGACTTCTTGCGCTGCTCCGCGGCATCGCCGTTATTGGAGTGATGCTTTCCGTGGCCCTGATGCTTAGATTCCTGATTCGACGGGTCCGCAGGATCATTGGACATTGCGAACTCATCTTTCGCAAGCGAGGATGTAGGATCCTGAGTAGTGGGCTGCTTATCATCGACAACACGTGGGCGTGTTTGTGCGGGCCTGGTCGCGCCCGTGTCCCAGTCACCGCCGTCGAACGTCTGGTATGGCTTCAATGTGAGGTCGCCATCCGCATGGGCCCTTGTCGCCTCATGAGGAGAGCCCCCGGGCCGGCCTTGCTGATCGCCATTTGTAGCATTGACAACGGTGTTGCTGTCGCTCGCGGCTGAGTCTGCAGGTAGAAGTCCGTCTCCATCCGCAGGTCCTGGTTCCAGAGGTGACTTATGTCGCCCTGCTGTTGAGTCGTGGCTATTTTTTGGTTTTAATGTTTCGTGAGGCGCATACTCTGTCATCCGCCTGTCGTGCGAATCTTGTTCGTAGTCGATGGTGGAAAAATTGGTGTTCACCCTCTTCGCGGGCTCGAGTGCCGGGTCGACCGGCGCATTGTTCACGCTGGCCACATCTTCGCCCTTTAGACTGGAACATCCACAGCCCATAGTTTGATGAGGAGGAGGAGGAGGAGGAGGAGGAGGAGGAGGATGATGATATTAGGGTTTTATCCAGTCAAATCGTCCTTGGACACCTCGCTCTCAAACCCGTGGATTTGAAATGTCTGTACCAAGCAAGGAAACCATGCAGTCACGAGACAGCTGTCGTTCATCGGGATCTTTGGATGAGATGTTACGAGCCACTTTGCTCCCGGAAGCTGCTCGGCCGTAATTGCTGACTCCAATGAGGATTCTCTCTCTCGGTGGAATGGTTAGTAAATCGTTGTGAGCAGAGATTGAAATCCAACGAAGAAAGTGGTCTCGGTTCGTAGGGAGCCTCCTACCGTATAGTCCTCCAAGAATAGACTCTCCCGAGTCGTTAGCCGGGCACGATATGGGGGTACGTAGTGCAACGGACGATGGTCGCATTGGTGATGGGCTCTGGGGGCCAAATGATGACAGCTGAGGTGGGTGTCCACGACTCCGCGTAGTGGGTGTGGAGTTGGGGCTGGTAGCACTGTTACGCCGAGGCATGCTCTGGGGTTCATAAGAATCCTGAAGCATCGCAGGTCACCCGGCGTATGGGAGAAGACGTCACTGTTCTCGATGTCCTCGACCCACCAGTCAAAGACTGTGGCAGTCTGGAGATGTAGTCAGATGTCAAGACCCGATACGATTAAGCCGATGTGACTGACGAGCACTTCTTGACCCAGGCCCTTGGACAGCCTGTTGAAGAGCTTGGATTTCCCGTTGGCTGGTAGGGCGATGCTCACTTTTCTTGGGATTTTGCTGACCATGATATGGACTTTCACGGCGGCGGATATCGTGCTGAACTGCCCATTCGTGGAGCAAACTCGGAATGAAAGATTCTGATGTGAGGTTGGGGATAGTATTGTACAAGTTACTGGTACATTTTATGGCTGCTAAATTGGCCGTGCAAATGAACCTCACGGCACCCATGGGAGCCTTGTCCCGAACGCTTCAGTCTGTGGGCACTGCGCCATTGCCGTCCACCACCTTGCGGCATATAACGCATTCGGTAGTGGTGTCGAAATGCTCAGCGCAGCCCTGAGTGTTGATTAGCACCCCAGGGTATCCGGTGTAACAGAATTTCGCCAGATTGCAGAGACGGACATGAACACATCCTTGCCGGAACCAACACCCACATCTGGTGAGACTGATGCACAGTGCACCTCTCTCGAAAAGGTCTGGAAACTGCAACGGCTCAACCGGCGCTGCCGTATACCTGTTGAGTGATGCCGCTCTGGATATTTCGGGCGCCGACACTGCAATCACTGGCCGCCTCCACGCTGGCAGAACTGAAACTTGAAGTGATCATTGTACGGCCACCTTCGGTAGCCGCCATGCTGGATGCGGATTAGTCTATATGGGCTTAATACCTCGATGAATGCTGGCGATGCCACCGGTAAGGTTCTCGTATCCTGCTCCTGGAGTGACGAATCCGGCATCTTCAATCATTGCTTTGAACTCTTCCTGCGTTGGAAATCGTTCAATGCTTTCAACGAGGTACTGATAGCTGTCTCGATCTCCTGTAACAAGCTGGCCGATCAACGGAATGGCACCGAAGCTCCACCTTTTGTAAACTGCGTTGAACAAGGCACTGTCAACATGGCTAAATTCGAGGCAGGCAAACACGCCACCGGGCTTCAGAACGCGAAATGCCTCGCGAATGGCTGCGTCTTTGTTCGTAAAGTTGCGGATGCCGAATGCCACGGTATAGAGGTCAAGAGAGTTCGACTCGATCGAGGGCATGGACTCTGCATTGGCTTGCATGAATGAAAGTCTTTTGGAGTTTCCATACGGCGTTTCGAGCGCCCTCCTCCGGCCCTCTGCCAGCATGTCCGGGTTGATGTCGGCGATGGTGACTTTCGTTTTCAGATCCAAGTTGACATTCGTGGCGTGGTCGAGCATCCCGAAAGCGATGTCCCCAGTGCCTCCGGCCACATCTAGGATATTCCAGCCTTTTTCACTATTACGGCTGCCCGGGTTCAGACTGCGGACGAAATAGTCCTTCCAAAGCCGGTGAATCCCTAGGGACATCAAATCGTTCATGGTATCATAGGATGAGGCTACTGATGAAAACACCGCGCCAACTATAGCTTTGTTAGCTTCTGAAGGACAGGCAGAGACATCCATGTTTACCCTTGGCCTCCTTTTGTGCAGCTGGGACCGTCGAGAACCCAAAATGCGTGGTCTGCTCATCTTCGCCAGGTAGTTGCTGTGGTCTCAAGGTGCTCGTTGTAAATGCTTTCTGTGCGGTTTTCGTGGCGCCCTTGCAATGGCGCAAGGCCAACGGACGCCATACTAGCGATCGAAGCATAGTTGTCACGGACGAACTGAAGAGCAACACTCGTCGCCCACTGCACGATGTCGAACAATGCGGCGCCGATGGACATTTTGCACCTCCACGGCGATGTCCCTAAAGAGTTTAGCTCTTGAAGATCCCGGCTTCATTGTGGCCGAGGATAACCGCGCCTCCTGTAGAAGGGATACTAGTACTGCTCTTAACTCGCGCCTCTCTGCCTTCCCTCATCTCTCATTCCTTCATTAGAATGCATGTTTTGTGAAGCCCGCTGGTTTCAAGGCTAGACTGCTTCTTTTGCTCCCATTATGAACAGTCGAAGGGCGTTCAGGCCGTTGGTAGCAACATGCAGATATACACCCGGGGTGCCGTTACGGAGGACTGGGATACGATGGGCAAGCGATATTTGGGCCTCTGGACCTGCACAAAAGGCTGGATCAGACTCGTGAGTTCCACTGATCTTGTCAAAGGTCTTTTGATGCTGATATCAACCCCGTTAGCGTTCACTTCCCAGGCGCACTGAAAAGTAGATTCACCGCTACGATGAAGTTTCAGAATCCAGCCGAGGAGAATGCTATGCCTACGTACAGGATTATGGATGCCGATGGAAATGTCGTGGATCAAACGAGAGACGTTGAATCAATTCCTGACGCAGAAATCATTCAGTGGTACCGAAACATGCTGACCGTCAGCATTATGGATCTGATCATGTTTGATGCTCAACGGCAGGGTCGGACCAGCTTCTACATGGTATCTGCAGGCGAGGAAGGGATTGCTGTGGGATCCGCGTCCGCCTTATCCCTGGATGATGTGTGTTTTCTACAATATCGGGAGCAAGGTGTTCTGGTGCAACGAGGATTTACTTTGAAGCAAATGATGAGCCAGCTTTTCGCAAATAGAGACGACTACGGCAAGGGACGCAACATGCCGGTGCATTACGGCAGTGGCAAGCTCAATGTGCACACCATTTCAAGCCCTCTGGCGACGCAAATTCCCCAAGCGTCTGGAGCTGCATACGCCTTGAAGATGCAACGGTTGATCAATCCTAACGTGCCACCCAGGATCGTGGCCTGCTATTTCGGCGAAGGGGCCGCAAGTGAGGGAGACTTCCATGCGGCATTGAACATGGCGGCAACAAAGTCGTGTCCAATTGTGTTCGTATGTCGCAACAATGGCTTTGCCATTTCCACGGCAAGTATTGAACAGTACAAAGGCGACGGGATTGCCAGTCGCGGCTTGGGGTATGGTATTGATACCATCCGAGTAGATGGAAACGACATCTTTGCTGTTCGTGCGGTCATGCAAGAGGCAAAGAGACGAGCTCTGGAGGGAGACTGCAAGCCCATCCTCGTTGAAGCCATGAGCTATCGAGTCAGTCACCATAGCACCAGCGATGACAGCTTTGCCTATCGAGCTAAACGGGAGGTGGAAGAATGGAAACGAAGAGATAATCCTATTACACGTCTACGGAAGTGGATGGAGAAGAAAGGAATCTGGGACGACGACAAGGAGAAGGAAGCCAGAGCATCCATCCGAAAAGAAGTTCTCCGAGAGTTCTCTGCCGCCGAGAAGGTCAAGAAGCCGCCTCTGCGGTCTCTCTTCGAAGACGTTTATGAAGATATTACGCCTGAAGCTCGTGCACACATGAGGCAGTTGAAGGAGCTGATTGAGAAGTACCCGAACGAGTACGACGTGTCCCAATTTGAGGGCGGCGTAAAGAGCTTGGAATGAGATGCAGATGGCCGTACTGTGCCATGACGTTCCTTTGCATATCAAGCAGAAGCCTGAATCAGGCAAGGAGACCTGATGTACTAATATGAGACCAAATGCTCCCATTGGATCCCTACACTAGTGGACCTACTCCATGGTTGAATTCAGCTGCCACTGCGGGAATGCCACAGCACTAGCTCTTTGAGACAGTAACATGTGTAAGGGCCTTATAGACAGAGCCCGTCTGGCAGTTGTTTGAATGAAGACGCTGAAGACACGAGAGGTGTAGTTCGAAAGCGGACAGTTGACTGACTGATCGTCAACTAGTAACAGCCACAGTAGCCATAGTAGCCACAGCCACAAACAGCCATAACTTCTACTACTAGTACCTACTAGTACTAGGGCTAGACTGTTGCCCAGCCACTGCATGGATCCAGAGCCACTGCAGGGCTCTGGATCGCTCTGAATGGATCAGCAGCTGTGGCTTAGTGCTCCTAGCGCCGTACCAGCCACCCAGATCAAGTCAGTGACTTCCAGCTCTGTACTGAGTCCAACTCACAACTGACGTCCAGCCTCCGGCATTTCATCCAATATCCTTCTAGAATTGAAAGACTTTGTTTGAAGAGGGTGATCTCCTGGTCTTCATCACCAATAGCCCCTGTTTCATCACCTAAACTATTCCTTGCTCGTTCATTTTGGGATCTTGCGATCCATGGCTTTGTGCCCATGCGCTGACGTTGCGTTTGTTTACCAGCCTCCTCCGTACCGTACTCACCACGACTACATGTACTTTTCAGCCGTGACGCTCGAGTTGTCTGTTGCATCACTCCTCCATACCTGCTCGTCGAACTCGTCAATATCAGTCTCGGTCGTTGTGTTATTGCGGTTGATGCACAATTGGTCTTCTGCCAGCTGGTATTTATCATCGATTCTTGCCGTCCGCAGTCCTGCATTTTCCGGAGTTTGAAGCCTTTCGTCCTGTATCAAACATGTATTCCCTCTTCGCAGAATCACTATTGAAAGTAGTGATCCTCTCATCACTCCTGGGTACGGCTACGGCACAGACTTACTCAACATGCAACCCACTACTCCAAAGTAAGCCTCTGCGCCCATGACTTACGATGTATAGTTCACTGACCTTCCCTAGGTGGTTGTCCGGCGGACCCTGCTTTGAGCAAAAGTGTGGCCGTTGATTTTACATCTGGTCCTTCAAGTGATTTTTCAGCATACGGTGCTCCAACCTACGACTCCAACGGCGCAGCGTTCACTGTCGCTAAGCCGGGCGACTCTCCCTCCATCTCCTCCAAGTGGTACATAATGTTCGGCCATGTCGATTACGTGGTAAAGGCTGCTCCCGGCACCGGCATTGTCAGCGCGGCTACTCTCCAGTCAGACTGCTTGGATGAAATCGACTGGGAATGGTTGGGTGGTGACGATACCCAAGCTCAGAGCAATTACTTTGGAAAAGGGATCACGGTGACCGGCTACAATCGAGGAGGTTTCCACGGCGCAGAAAACAACCACGATGTTTTCCGCACATACAGCATTGACTGGACCGCTGATCAGATTGTATGGTCGATTGATGGAACCACTGTGCGAGTCTTGACCCAGGATCAAGCAGCATCCGGCCAGTATCCTCAGACCCCGATGTATGTCAAGCTAGGTGCTTGGGCTGGGGGAGACCCCTCCAACGCTCAAGGTACGATTGAGTGGGCCGGCGGTGTGACGGACTATTCAGCTGGCCCCTTCACCATGTACGTCAAATCGGTCCACGCCACCGACTACTCGACCGGATCCCAGTATTCGTACTCGGGTACAAGTGGCACATGGGAGTCGATCGTATCCGATGGCGGTCACATCAATTCGAATGGTAACGGTACACCTGTGTCGTCTGTCCAAGCACCGGCAGTGACCTCGCACGTCTCCAGCAGCGCTCCACTGGCCTTTGGCAACGATGACAACACCGAGTCCGTTACTGCAACTCGAACAGGTTGGCCATGGTCGGGAACGGCGAGTGCCACGGCTTCTACTGTGGTAAGCGCCTCAATCTCTGAGCTGACAAGTCAGTTCTCTCTGCTCCAGCTCAGTCATGTCTTGTCCTTGACTAACTTTTTCACAGTCCCAACCCCCTTTCTTGTCATCTGCGCAAGTGTCATCGTCGCTCTCGGACTCGACTTCTCTTGATGTGGTCACCTCTTACGATGGCCGAGGCTCTCCAACGCTTGTCACGATTAGCCCGGCAGCGACTTCAGGAAGCTATGATAGCCAAGGCTTCCCCATCACCAGCACACAGTCTGCAGCGTCTCTTGTTTCACCATCAATTACGCAGTCCGCAACGTCCATTGGTTCTGCAGGTGGCGGATCTGCCAACATGACACTGATCTCACATACGAACTCAACCGGGGGATATGCAAGTCCAACCCTGACGACTCCATTAACTTCACAGGGTTCAGCCTCAGGTACATCAACCACCTTGACCAGAAGCACTAATACTGTGTTGTTCTCCGGACAGAGCACAACTCTGAGGATTTCGAGCAGCCCTAGCAGAGTGCAAAGCCAGTTGCCTTCTGCATCAGGGGGAACACCGCCAGCGGTGAATCGTGCGAACGGGGACCGCGGCTTCAGCCTTTTGGGGGTTACTCTGGGAATAGTGGTCGGGCTGCTCTTTATTTGACCCGATTCGACCGATAGCATTTGTCAGCATTGTTTTCAGGCGGAACGGGTGGCGTTGAGTGGCATTTAAATGGCAGAGGCTCAGGTTGAGTCTGGGGACGAGGCTGTGACAAGCCGATAATGATTATTGATGACCGTGATACCCCAATAGAGTGAGAGGCCTTTGTATACCTAGTCTCGGAATGACAATTTCTTACACTTAATAAAGCGTTGCACATGCGCCTGTTCCGACCATTTCTGTCTGTTGAGCTCCGTTGAATGGAATTGTGTTTTACTACTTCATTTGAAGGCCATGGTAGCAGATCAAGCATTTTCATTGTGAGCCCAGAAGAAAGGACTTGTAAACTGAATGCCTCCTATTGGAACTTATTATTAGGACTAGGCCCTGAATCCGATCCGATACGAGATTCGGACCCTGCTGATCATCCCAGGCTTGATCCTTGCACAGATTGGCCGCCTGGCAGCTTGGTGGAGCTTGAAAAAGTCGACAGACGATTCAACGTCACTACCTACTAGTAAAGTACTACCACTACGTACCTACTTAGTACGCTCTGTCACTTTGCGAGCCTTTAAGCCTTTAAGCCTTCGCAAAAAGTGTGTGCTCCGGCCTTCGTTACCCGTGAATAGCGCCACACCCGCACCTTCAAACACTGTCCATCCCACTCCCAGAGTTGTGCAGTTGTGCCCACCAAAATCACCGACTACGACTGCTCGTTCCTCTCCTTTGTTCCCCTTCTCACTCTCCATCCTCCGTCTCTCTACACCGTCTCCTACTGAGAGACCTCACCATGGCGACCGTTGCTTCCGATGACATCGCGCAGACTCATCCTTACACCTGCAATTCTTGCGCAGTCGCCTTCCGCAACAGCGATGCCCAACGGGCTCATATGCGAAGTGATTGGCATAGATACAATTTGAAACGAAGACTGGCCGAACTACCTGCAGTATCCTCAGAAGACTACAACGAGAAGGTCCTTGCCGCACAAGCAACAAACAAAGCCGCCGCCGCTCAGGCAGCCTTTGCCAAATCATGTTCGACTTGCCAGAAGACGTACTATAGCGAAAATGCGTATCAGAACCATCTTGCTAGCAAATCGCACAGAGCAAAAGAATCGGCGGGCAACAGAAGCTCAAGAGGGGACGCACACTCAACGGTCGGCTCGACAGCGTCTGGTGTTGAGACCGGTGCAGGTTTACAATCACGAGATCCAGAAGCCGAAGCCGAATTCGACCAGGTGGTTGCCGGAATGAAGGAGGCGTCGATCCAAGAATACCCTGCGATTCCGCGAAGACCGTCTGCACCTCCGCCAGATGTAGAACCACGAGAAGATCATCCTATGTCCCCCGAAAAGCCTGTCGAGGTCGCTTTGCCTTTGTCAAGATGTCTTTTCTGCAACTACGACTCCCCTAGCGTGAAACTCAGCGTCGCACACATGACAAAAATCCATGGCCTTTTTATTCCGGAGCAGAATTACCTAGTCGATGCGGAGGGTCTGTTGAGATATATGCAAGCAAAAATTCATGAAAACTTCGAGTGTCTGTATTGCCACAAACTGCGAGGGAGTGCCGAAGGCGTGCAAACTCACATGCGAGACAAAGGCCATTGCAAGATTGCCTTTGAAGCCGAAGAGGAGATGATCGAAGTTGGCCAGTTTTACGACTTTTCAAGCACATATTCCGATGATGGCGCAGACGAGTCGGACGAAAGATCCAAGCCGACACGAAACGGCGGTGTTCAACTGAATGGTGACATAGAGGGCGGGGCGGAAGATGGATGGGAGACCGATTCATCATTTTCGTCACTTGACACCGAGGACCTCGCCTCTGTTCCGAACGATGACCGCACATCATCATACCAGCGTCTGCCGATGAACCGACACCATTCAAACACCGATCCTAGACCACACCGAAACACTGACGGCTTTCATTCTCACGCGCATCAGCACAACCACGCAGTCTTCTACGACGAGCACGAAATATATCTACCCAGTGGTCGTGTGGCTGGCCACCGCAGTCTACGGAAGTATTACAGACAGAACTTGCATTCATATCCCAGCGCAGCACAGAGAATGGAACGGGCTCAAAGATTGATCGAGGAGGGAAGTTCGGATGCAGAGATGGAAGACGTGGAAGTTCCTCCGGCGACGCCGCCTCGAAATAGTCTGATGAGACGCAGCGAGGCTGGAATGCTCGGTGCGACCAGCCAACAGCGCAAAGATGTGCGGTCCCAGGAGGTCCGAGGTCGAACGCAAGCCCAACGCGCTCAAAACCGCTATCAAGCCAAGTTGGAGAAGCAAAACAATTTCCAGAAGCATTTCAGGGTAAGTCCCCAACAAACAGATGTGGTGTCTGACCACTTTTTGCTGACTTTATTCCAGGATCCCTTGCTGCAGTGATTGCGTTGAGCAAGCTCGCTTTCTCCTTCGCACCGGGTGGGCAACCCTGGCGTTTTGCACGGGTACACTATCGTTCGCGCTCTTCGAAGCCATCTTTGTATTGGCGTCTGACTTGCTGCATAGCGTGCATCCTGAGGCTTATTAGACAAAAAACGATAGGCAGTTGGCCAGGAGGAACAGATTGACTGGCGTGCGGGCTGCTACAGGGCACGGCACAGACGGCAATTAGTCGAGTCAGCAAGCCGATTTCATGGGTCGGGGCTGCAGCACTGGTTTGTACCTACCTTCCTACGGTTGAGTCGGTGAGGACCGTTATCATAGGCTTATCAATAACGATATGTTCACTTGGTTCAGACTGACCCGACCACCTGATGTCTGGCTGCATCATTTTCCTTCCTCCTTCCGTCTTCATCATGTCTCCGAGATCGATAGGGTTGACCGAAACTTGAACCGGATGGCCATCTCCCAACGGTGATTGATTACTACATGTAGTATGTCGTACTGAACCAGGCTCGACGGCGTCCCTACGGAGCAGTAACTACCTTAAGACTCATGCGCTTGACGTGTTGCTGTGTGCCTCTTGAGTTGATATTCCCGTTCGATTTATGGTCAAGGGTTAGACTACAATAACAATAGGTAAGAGGTACAAAATGTAAATCAGAATTGAGTAAAGTATCTACCTCAAGGACGCATCGCAAGGGGGTAACCACGTACCCAGTACAGCGGACTCAGCTGCGATGACCCCGATATCAATTCTTGGCGCCAAGCTCCTTTCCTCGACTGCACTGCAGAGCTTCGGCTTCCGACGAGCGGACTGCGACAATCCAGTTCCTTCGCTGATCGTTGCTAAAAAGCTGCAGCTATCCTGCTTGTCATCTGTACACCCAGCAAGGACTTCCTGGGCCAGCACTCACAGCTTCTGTTCCCTCCCTACCGACGTCGGTCTTAACACCTCCAGCTCAAACCTTCGCGTTCTCTTCAAAGGCCCCCGGCCTCGAGTCTAGTTGTATTCTGCCGAGTTGCCATCAAGCATCGAGCACAAGCGAAAAGATACTCACGGCTTTGGGTGCTCAGTCTATCCGGTCAGGCGAGTGGCCCTGCAAGCGTTCGGAGGATTGAGTTGGCTTGATATCCTGTCCGTTTCATTTCTTTCTTGGGCTACCATTCCCATGGCGAAAAAAGGTACGCAGAACACCTCATACAAGACAGCGCAGTAGACACCCAGTGTCGACGATCACACAGACCTCTTCACCTACGTCCTCATTATAAAACCCGCATCCATATCGTCCAGATTCACGACTGAGCCCGAGCGTGAACATGCATCTGAAACTTGCTTCAAAGTCCGCTTCTCTTCACTTTCATCTATATTTCATTTCTTTCTGTTTGGAAAATGATTGACAGCCAACTAACATGGTTATCTTCGTTGCAGCAAAATCACGAACCATCGCCGTCCGGCTCCTCAGCATGGCAATGACGGGCTACTACCGCACGCTGGTACGCCCTCGCGCATCACGACCCTTGAGCATGATGAAGTATGATCCCGTCGTCAAGAGACAGGTCTTGTTCCTGGAACAGAAGAGGGGTGGAAAATAAAATTCCAGGTGAACAAAAGAACAACAGCGCAAAGCGCACCAAGGACAGCCCACGACAAGTTAGGAAGCCCCCGGTAACTCGATGGTGCGCGCGAATGCATATTCACCAATATGGGTTTGGGAACGAGTCGCATTCCGCCGTCCCGCAAGTCTACGGATATATGGTCGAAAACCATCCAGATTCACGCGTCCGGGAGCAGAAAGAAGAGGAGTGCGAGCAGGAGACTTGAACTGCACTGGACGCAAGAACCATTCTCTAGGAGACAGCCCACACGAATATTCTGGTTGGACGAGACAATACGCCAGCACGGGATCATGCGCAATATCGTACTGGTGTTCCGGCCTCTGGCAATCGAACTACCGAATTCTGGAAGTGCACCGCCCAAGTCAAACCAAACCAGCGGAGCGTGAGCTGGTTCGATTGTTTGACTGCTGGCAAAGTTACCAGAGCGTGAGTCAGTTTATACTACGTTGCTATCGACATAAGATGGCGGGAATGGTCTGAGATATAGCTGTTGGACAGCAGGGTACCATTTGTATGGATTACAATTCCTATGAATTCAGCAGGCCTTGAAATGTTCATTTGAAATATACGTGCTGTTGAAGTGGACCGTGCGAATGATTGTCTATCGGATGGACGAATCCAATTTAATCTTTCCTGTGGAAGGGAGCTGGACGTTCTCTTCTTTGACTTGACATCCAAAGATCATCGGTAACGGGGCCTGAAGCAAAGAGGTCGGGGCCCGGATCACTGCGCACAATCGGTTCGTGACGGTCTGCCGTTGCGTGAAACCAAAGGCAGTCCGACCCGGGATCCCGCTTCAGGCCGATGCTGATGCTAGGCATCCTCAGGCCGAGGATCTTCCGTTTAATGGGCCTCTAATCGTGTTCTTCAGGAAGGGTGCTTCTCTCTGAAGCCGCAAACTGCTTTTGGGCTCTTGTTCAATCTAGAAAACCGCGAGGTCTGGTTCTATTCTACGCTCTAGAAACACAATGCACCGCCATCGACCATCAAATCAGCTCCGGTAATATACCTCCCCGCCCTCTTACTGCTCAAGAGCACTACCGGCCCTGTGATCTCTTCAATATGTCCCATTCGCCCCATCGGACACCGACTCGCCCAAATATCGCGGACAGGCTTCAGATTATCTCCCGCATTGAGCACCGTATCCATATATCCCGGCGAGACAGAGTTCACACGGATACCATGGACAGCCCATTCCGCAGCCAAGTTGCGTGTCAGATGCGCCACGCCCGCCTTGCTCACATTGTATGCAGCCTGCGGTTGCGGGTAGTTTGTCGAATGAGCGGAGATGGAGGCCGTGAACAGGATAGAGCCGCCGCTCTTCGCTTCGGCCATGTGCCTTGCAGCGGCTTGGGCGCAGAGAAACGAACCGGTCAAATTCACGTCGACGACTCTGCGGAACTGGTTCGCCGTTGCGGACAGAGAATGCACACAGCCGACAATGCCGGCGAAACAGCATAGGATGTCGATGCTACCCATCAGGTCCCGGGCCTGGTTGAAGGCGACGTCCACCTCGCTCTCTGAAGTGACGTCCACAGGGACTGTGTGGATGCCCACTTGAGGGAACTCGGCTCGTAGAGTGGCAATCTCGGATTTCGAACTCTCAATGGTAGACGGTAGATCCATGAGAGTTAGACCTGAGATGCCGTGTTCAAGTAATGCGCGGGCTGATGCTAGTGCCAAAGTCCCTGCGCCGCCGGTTAGGATGGCACTTCCTTCCGTGCGAAATCGAGCAGCGGCGCGTTCGGCCGGGGATGTCGATGATACAGGCGGGAGCGGCGCCGTGAGAGGATTCTCGGCTGTAGAGAGACTCATTGTAGGAATTGTTCTTGATGCGAGCGCTGCTCGTTCGTCCTCAGAGGCCATAGGAGCCGCTGGGAGAGAGGTCGCGTCGCCCATTGTGGTGGATGCGGTCTGATCAACGTTGGTTTTATGTCTGAGAAGTGCCGCCGGCGTCCTCTTCTATCCTTCCTTGTCTTTATCTGGTGAGTTTACTCCTGTTACAGGAAGACTCACTCGGGGGTGATGCCATGACAGTCTTTTATCAACGGAAGAAAAGTGGAACTTGGAATGAATGTGATCAGCACCCGAACAACCTTGAGCAACGGGGGACGTGGGAGGCTGGCCGACGCTCAAGAGTCGATCGGGCCATGTCGAAGCCAAAGACGACGGGAACGTTCAAGGTTCAAGTTGTCACTGCGGGCTCGAGTCGCCCCTTGTCATGACTCTAGCGTACATAGAGTACCAGGCCACTCACTGCATGGATCGCGGTGATTTTACCTTCCGCGTCCTGCCACCAAACAACTTGAAGTGGTATTCTTTTTCCAATTACACCATCTCTTTGCCAATTTACCAATTTACCAATTTACCAATTTACCAAGGTGTTATCCTGATTGTTCTCTATGTAGGTAGTTGTACCTGAACCTATTCCGGCAGGGACTGTACTACCAATGGCGAGATCGCAGAAGTCTGCAGAAGTCTGGGCGTCCGACCGGAGGTGCAGTGGCCCATAACATCCAATTGTTACACCGTTGAGTCAGGTGGCTCTGGCGTCTCAGCGTCTCACTACGCCTTCTCGAAGGGTTTCCTCGCTTTTCTCGTGAACCATCTTCCCAACAGTTCACCTGAATTGCCTCTGTTTGTGAGCCATGAGCAACCAAGATTGCCAGCCGAACTTGTCGCCGCAAGCCATCCGACAGACTTTGAGGGAGAAACGTAAAGGCAGGAAATTACGACCCTGCTTCCCGTGTCGTCAACGGAAGGTCAAATGTGACGACTCACGACCTTGCAAAAAATGCATCGAGCGTTCGCATGAAGATCTCTGCTTATACGAGCCTCCCCGACACGCTGAGACAGACTCAAAACCCAGACCAAAATCAAATGTTCAGAGTATTGAATCCGAGGATAAACACCGACCCTCCCCTACACTAGCATCTGAAGGGGCCACCGAGGATGAAGAAGCCAGGGTCTATCTCGGAGAACAATCAATCCCTTCATTTGTCCAAGAGCAAGTACAGGATGAAAGCCATGCAGCAGATCCTCGGACCGCTGATTTGGGGAGTGATGTATTGCCCATGCTTGGATTGCAGGCGTCACCCCAGGAGCTCCTTCCGGACTGGCAATCTCAGTCAGGTGGCCAGCCCACATTGGGACAGTTTGACATACTTCCAGGAAGGGATGAGATCCTATCGTTAGTTCTGCACCCTTTCCTGTTTCCTCTGTCTATGGCACTGCGTTCAATCCTCAGAAGCAACATGGGCTGCTGCTTTGAAGGGAGCTAGTCTCATCGTGATGAGAGCAGGCTGAACGTAGTGGCCATGTGGTTTCCTGGACTGACAAGCTTCTAGGATTTTCTCTGATTACCGGCACATAGTCTATCCGTTGTACCCACATCTGACATACATCGATGATTTTGAGATGCAGCTGTGCAGTTTCTTACAGAGTGAGCCACCTCTGGCGACTCCTGTGAGCGCAGAGCCAGGATTAGTCAAGGACCTTGCTTGGCGGTCTTTGTTACTTGCAATTCTGGCCTCTGGGACTCAATTTTCCGGGAAACCTGCAAGCGAACGGCGACGATGTTGCAGGCAATACAGTACGTCCACCCCGGTCGTCACAATATGTCTTCCGTGGCTTCCGCTGACCACTCTATCAGTTTCAGCATCACTGTGGTTTCTGAATCTGACACAAGGATTCATTAGACCAAGCTTACAGAGCATTCAAACACTTATAATCATTGTCAATGTCTTGCAAAATGAGCTACTAACGGAGGCGGCGTGGACACTTCTTGGGCTGTTGAGCCGCCAGGCTCAAGCTTTGGGCCTCCACAGAGCCTCCGATAATTCTTCCCAATCTGGCAACCTACAACTTTCCAAATGTCGTTTATGGTACGTGAAGACGGTTTCTGCTTGCGAAAGGATTCTGACCTTGATGTTCAATAGGTGGACAATTGTGTGGCAGGACTCACTGCTGTCTGCTTGTTTCGACAGAGCACCCGTCACCGCCATCAAGTCAGTGGCTCCTCTTTCAATTCTTGGTGCCGATAACAAAAGCTTCAAATATGAAGAAGCCATGTACGCACTCGGCCATCTCTTACTAAAACTTTGTGCTCGCAACCACACCATAGAGCCACAGACGCCAACACAGGAAGGCATCTTATCGGATTTGAACGAAGCACAACATATTATCTCCAATCTTTGCGAGAATATACGGGTTCGAGAAAAATGTGACACGTTGCAACACCTAGTGCAACATCACTGCTTCAAGCTGCATTCATCCTTTACGATTGGGACTCTATTACGCCCTTCATTGAGCCCACGCAGATGGGGGCACCTTGCCGCAGATCAAAAGCAAGTATTTGCCTCGCAATGTATTGAGTCATACATCAGCTCTCTGGAGGCGTTTCTAGACCTCCATGCTGTGAGTATTGCTGCCAGTCGATCATGGGCCATGCTCCACAACGGCCTGACATCGGCACTTGTCCTCGCCATCACCGGGCAAACAAGGCGAAGGCCATCTGTGGCAAGACTGAACTCACGATTGTTTGAGACCCTGACCCGCTATTCTGCGGAGGATGAGCAAGGAGGTCATTTTTGGGGACCTCACTCTCGGGCTATAAGCGCCCTGAAAAAGATCGATTTGCGTCGCAACGCAGAAACAACACAGGAATACCGTCCGGCTGATGATATTTCAAATGTGGTACCGACCTCCTTGAAATCTGGCCAACACTTGGATTTGGAAAGACAAGAAACTAATCTACCTGGCCCCATGGCTGGTTCTACCTCTGGAATTTCTCCGCAAGACCAGGGGTATGACAACTATGCATTTGACCCGGAAATTTTCAACGATCTGTCCGCCTATCTCCCTGCCTCCGAGCCCGGGAATGACCTCGTTCTCGATGATATTTTTGACTCTGTGCTTTGGGGCGATTACGCCAGCTTGTAACGAGAGACTAGTCTCGGTCAGGCAGCAGTTGCCATGCACCATCTGAGACCAGCATCGGGATTCAGAGGCTCCTTTTCAGAGATCAATGCGCAGATGAAAGAATCAAGAACTTTTTCTTCAACTTTCCCTTCTTTCGACCGTAAAATCGTACAATAGGCTATAAAGGCTGTAATGGTCTACATGTGTTTTGAATGGGTGGGCTTTCTGAAACCATCCCATCTCTCGAAGTTGCCGGCATCGATCCCTATGAGGTCCAGCATTCGGCCAACGCTCTGGTTGACGAGGTCATCGACCGAGCTGGGCCTGATGTAGAAAGCCGGAACAGGGGGAAAGATAATGCCACCGTTATTCGTCACTCTTAGCATATTTTCCAGGTGAATCCCAGTCAAAGGTGTCTCCCGCGCCACCACGATCAGCCTCCGCCTTTCTTTGAGCGTCACGTCACAGGCGCGAGAGATAAGGTCGTCCCCGTACCCCGAGGCAATACTGCTGAGCGTCTTCATGCTGCAAGGGACGACGAACATTCCGTCGATACGGAAGGATCCGCTCGAGATAGGGGCGCTGACATCTTGGCTGGAGTACGCCTTGGTGGCGAGCGCCCGCACCTGCGGAATTTTGAAGTCTGTCTCGTACGTGATGGTCGCTTCGGCCCATTTGCTCATGACCAGATGTGTCTCGACGTCGAGCTGTCGCAGTTGTTCAAGCAGCCGGATGCCGAGGATTGCACCTGTGGCTCCGGTCATCGCCACAATGACGCGTTTCCTGCGAGGTCGCGGAGTGACGGGAATTGCCTCAGCAGTCCTTTCGGAAGCAGAATTCGTTGTTTGCTCGTCTATTTTCGAGCTGTTGCTTTGGGAGCCTTCCTTCTCGGAGTAATCGTTTGCACCCTCATTTAACGAAGGTGCTCTCCCCGGACGTTTCTGCGCATGTGAGACTGTGGGTAGGAACTGCAACCATTTGTTCATGACGGACGAGCCGAGCATCGCGATCAGATAACCGCATAATGAGGCTGTGACACAGTACACAACAATCATACTTGTTGAGAGTAATGGGAGGGAATCCGTCTGCGGGACAATGAAAGATCTTGGAAGTCAATGATTTGTAAACACTTGAAGATACAGGTCGCAACTGACCTTGGAGCAAACGACGGAATGTACTCGTATATAACATTGCTCGTTTGAGGCATAATCTCACTTCCAGACAAAGGCTGCTACGGGAATCTCGCAAATCTCGGCGTTCTCGGAAATTCGCCAGTCTCCTTTTTTTGGCGGGCTCAATGGTGGATTGTCCAATCAGCTAGGTCCGAGCAGGCCGAATCGGGAAGTTCGGTTTCATATGCTGAGGTATTTCCTTTGGTGACGATGGGTTGAGGTATGCGCGCTTGATACATATATAAGCAGCTCGGTCACTCAGATGGTGCTGATCTCATTGTTGCATGAGAGTCAACTTGGAAAGCCAGAATCTCAGACATCGATATTGCACACTTCTACAACCATGCCCAGCCCAGACCAGATTGCGTTGGAGTTCCGCACATTTGTGCAAGCCCTCAAGGAGGACAATGACCTGGTCGAAATAAACGAGGAGATTGATCCAAACTTGGAAGTTGGTGCCATCATCAGGAGGGTCTGCGAGACCAACGACAAAGCACCATTGTTCAACAACCTCAAAGGCAACGTCAATGGCTTCTGGAGAATCCTCGGTGCTCCAGCCTCGCTTCGGAGCGATCCGAAGCAGACGTATGGTAGAATCGCTCGGCACCTTGGGCTCCCGGTGACTGCAAGCATGAAAGACGTGGTGGACAAGGTCTTATCTGCCAAAACGAAGTCGGCCATCCCCCCTCGAATTGTCAAGACTGGGCCATGCAAGGAGCACATCTTGTCCCCAGGCGAATTCGATTTGACCAAACTCCCGGCGCCATTTCTGCACCAGTCTGACGGCGGCAAGTACATCCAGACGTATGGCATGCACATTGTGCAGTCCCCGGATGGAAAATGGACCAACTGGTCCATCGCACGGGCGATGGTGAAAGACGGCAACCACCTCGTCGGTCTGGTCATCGAGCCCCAACACATCTGGCAGATTCACCAGATGTGGAAGAAAGAAGGCAAGGATGTGCCCTGGGCATTGTGCTTTGGCGTCCCACCGGCGGCCATCATGGCGTCCAGCATGCCGCTCCCCGATGGCGTTTCTGAAGGTGGCTACGTGGGCGCCATGACCGGAACAGCCCTGGACGTCGTCAAATGCGAGACGAACGATCTGTACGTTCCGGCCACCTCGGAGATCGTTTTCGAAGGGACATTGTCTATCACCGAGACTGCGCCGGAGGGACCTTTCGGGGAAATGCACGGATATGTGTTTCCAGGAGACACACACCCGTGGCCCGTGTACACGGTCAACAAGATCACGCATCGCACCGATGCCATCATGCCAGTGTCGAACTGTGGGAGAATCACCGACGAAACAGTGAGTTTTGAGCCCCGCCGAGATATTATCATCAGATGTCAGCCCACTAACGCCGTGTGAATCCAGCACACGATGATAGGAACTTTGGCAGCGGCCGAGATCCGTCAACTTTGCCAGGAAAACGGCCTACCGATCAAAGAAGCCTTCGCACCTTTCGAGACGCAGGTGACCTGGGTGGCGCTTCAAGTTGACACCGTCGCCCTGCGACGCGGAAAGTGGACTCCTGCTCAGTTCAGGAAGACCGTCGGCGACTTGGTCTTCAACCACAAAGTCGGATACACCATCCATCGCCTGGTCCTCATCGGGGATGACCTTGACGTTTACAATTTCAAAGATGTCATCTTTGCATTCAGCACCAGGTGCCGCCCCGACACTGATGAGACCTTCTTCCAGGAATGTCGTGGCTTTCCCTTGATCCCGTACATGTCGCATGGATCGGCATCGCCTGTGAAAGGTGGAAAGGTCGTGTCAGACGCTCTACTCCCCGTAGAGTATACTGAGGGCCGTAATTGGGAGCTTGCCGATTTCAAGCACTCGTACCCTGAGGCTTTACAGGAGAAGGTTCTGGGGAAGTGGCAGGCGTACGGATTCTAGAATTCGTGTCAGATGTCACACTGCACGCTAGCAACTCTCTCTCTCAACTTTGGAGGAAGAGCTGGTGAGAAGCTCGAGACATTGCATCCGGATTCTTAAGTACCTCCTCGCTGGCGACATATGGTGAAGACTGTTGTTATTTTGGATGCGAAGCCGACATGTAAACTTCCGCCATATGATTAGCTAGTCACATACCTAAGCCACTTTATATCGTGCACACCAAGCCCAATATGCATTTTCCCAGGGATCTAAATGATCTTACTTTGTTTCTGGGTGTTATTGGCATCCATACTCTGCTTATCTTTGTGGATTCCTGATAATTGACCAACACTCCTAAAGGACTACTAGCGAAAGCATGACCTTGCCTGGTGTCCGACGAAGGTGTTCTACGGAATTTGCTAAGGGGGTTCTAGTCGTCTCCTCATATCGAGATGTGGATTGTTCCGTCTGACGCGATAATTCTCCAGTCGGCGAAATGTGGCCCGATGCGGGGCGGCCTTGACTTTTTTTTAACACTGTCTTCTGTACACCACCGTACTTCTGCAAACAATCATCTACAGACTACCTTACACTGGTCCAGACGTTCTCCTCTGTTACCGTACCACACGCTCCTTGTGTGTGTCAGTGAGAGAGAGAGAGAGAGTCTCGTGACTCGACATGGCCCAAGTCACTGGGTTCGGCGCTCAAGGCGCCGCACAACCACCCCAGCCGATCCCGACCCAACTTTCCTCACAGATCGACCTACTCGTGTCGCTGCACATGTGGTCTTGGCCGGCCTTGACCCTCGCGATCCAGAACGCCTGGGGTGGCTCGGCGGAAATTTCGAAGGACAAGCGCGACTGGTTCGCCGGCGCCGTGTCTGACCTTTTGACGTCGAGTCCTCCGCAGCTCGCAGATGTGGCCGATCTAGAAGAAGTTCTGCTACAAGTGATGCTGGATGAATTCGAGGTGGTGGTGGACGACGGCAGCGCCGAAGAGACGGCGCGGAACATCTGGAGCGGCCTTCCGAAGTTGAAGAGCGGCGATGTGACTGAGCTCCAAGAGATGTACGTCAAGTGGCAGGAGAAGCAGAAGAAAGGAGGCAAAGAAGTCGTGATGATCGTCAGAGGCGAGGACAAAGAGGCAGAGGACACCGATTGGGATGAAGACGATGAGGAAGAGGAAGAATGGAATGGACTACCAGACCGCCGCTCGGACGTCGATATGGACGAAGCACCGCCGCTTGTCGATTCTGGCAGACCTAGGCAGAAGACTGAGCCTGAAGTCGACGAAGATGGGTTTACAAAGGTTGTAAGCAAGAAAAAGAGGTGAAGACAATTTTGGGAGACAAGTCTTGCTCGGTTGAGAGAAACAAAGCCCATATGACAACCCCATGCAAAGTCTACAGGATTCTTTCTGTACGAGATACGGTGCGCAGCCCAACTCGGTGACGGCTTTGCGGCACTCTTAGTGTGCGATGCGATCCGGATCCCAGCCTCAACCGACGGAGATCCTCAGTGTCCCTCAGGATCAACAAGGCCCAGCTTCTCATTCTCTGCCTTGCTTCGTTGGCTCCATTCCGGCGGAACATCGATATCCTCCTCCTCTTCACGGTCGCCCTGCGCCTTGTCCTTATGCACGCTTGTGGGCTTGTGTTCGGCTGGGGAGTAGACGGTATACAAGATGAGCGGCGTGGGCCCGGTGTTGATGAACTGATGCTGCGTGCCAGCCGGGACGATAATGAGGTCGCCTGCCTTGACATCCTGGTCGATGCCTGCGATGGTCGCTTTACCTTGGCCGGATGTGAAGGTCAGGATCTGATCGACAGTGTGCTTCTACGCATGCCGACAAAAACTGGTCAGCAGCAAACCCAGAGAAGTGGCAGCCCCGTAGGCGGGCGAACGCCTTGGAAGTGGGTGTTTTCTTTTTTCGGTCAGGGAGTACGGTCACCCACATACCTCGTCACCAATCTCACCATCAACCGGTACCGTCATCAGAACCAGCTGGCTGTACAACCCCGTCCAGAGGACCCGGCGGAAGTCGCCCGACTCACTTGGTAGCGAAGTGGTCATCTGTGGGAAATAGGCCATCTCATGCTTGGGCGGGTCGAGCGAAGGAGGGGTGAACTTGTTCATTTTGGAAACGGTGAACTGCCGCACGCCAAGTAGGGATGCTTTGGACGACACTCTCACTGCAGACGCTTGCAGTGGTCGGGCGAAGAGACGCGTACTCGGTCGAAGCTGTCGTGTCTGCGAATGTAAAATGCAATGAGCTCGGTGATGTAGTGTCTGGGTAGACATGGGAGAGGGTGAAGCCGGCTTAAGAATAAAGTCTAGGTATGGTCAAATGGGACCCGCGCTGTACTTGTGACGAAATGCAGTGCAGTGCAGTGCCGAAAGTGGTGTTTGTCCTCGGTTCTTATATGCAGTGATGACTTGGCTACTCCCGCAGTGGTGGTTGGTCCTGTTAGCAAGCCACTTCGCGAAGGAGGGGAGGCTCATACGACTACTAGTACGGGGATTGACTGTTCGGACAACTGTTCCAGTCCTGATGAAGCTATGACAATCATGATGTCCGCGCCGGAATGGCGTGGCAATGGGTGGTGCAGTGGTGGCTACAACATTGAATTGCCCTCGATGGACTTGTCAGAGAGTTTTCAAAACGTCATGGTGAGCAATACTAGTACTAGTATGTCCCCGAAGACTCGGAGTCTGCGATGAGCATGATTGCTGCAGCCGCCATCAGCGTCATCAGAGTGCATGTGTGATTTTGACTTGGCGCCAGGGACACGGAGCGCACAAACGTTTCCCCTTGAATCCAATGACTTCGAGTCCGCAGATGGTCTATCCATAATATGATATGCGTTGTGGTAGTATCTTATAGCAGCAACATGGCGCGGTAGCGGTAGTCTATACTATCTCCATAAGTTACTAATATTATTACTAAAAGGGAGTGCAGGGGCGCGTGAGGTAATCATAACTTGCCGCTTTATACTTCATTTGTCTTCACGTACTAGTAGTAGTAGTAGTAGTAGTAGTACTAGAAAGGTAGTTACTAACTTATTAGTACGTAGTAACCTTTGTCAACACCGTGACTGCGTCGCGTGTGCACATGCCCCATCCCTCTTTATAGTGTCTCTACTCTCTATGTCACGATTCATACCACTATTACTTCACGTTGTTGATGACTTTGAATGACTTCTCTCCGTATAGTGCAGCCTACCTGTCACTGGGCCGACAAAATATGAAGTGCTCTCTCTTTGAGCTGTGGTGAGTAACTACCAACAACATCATCACTTCGGGTGTGAAGAGAACGACAACACCAAGGGTGAAAGCTCCCCATCTTCACCCCGACAGTACTTCACATGCTGAACTAAAGCTATATATACCCCCTCTGTCCTCCTTGAAAAATCCTTGTCCTCTAGATACTCTTCATCAACCATGGGTGTGAGCTGACAACAGAGTGCCTGCCGATCTGTCAATACAATGTCCAGTCCTATCCCTCGGAGCATATCAGACAGTGCATTACCAACTTCAAGTGGTCAAGAGATGTTTCTTCTTTGATGAAATCAAATCAGCCTGTTTGCTGGTGGTATGGTATTCTCTTTAATCACCATGGACGACGGAGACCAGAGCTGGGAGGGACGACTGCCATGCCTTTGTCCAGACGCCATATGATCGCAGAGCGGTCGCAAGCACTGACTGCAGTGATTCCCCAACCTGGAACGAAGCTTCGGAGAAGGATGAGAGACATCCCCACCCAGGAAGAAAACGAATTCGGCAGCTGTGCACTGCATTATACAACATTCTTGTTGATGACTGTATCGGCATCTTTGTCGCGACATCTTGCACCACAATTGATGCAGCTTAGGAGACTGCAGGATTCATCCTGGGGTACGCATTATTCATTATTCGGCTACGGCTACTTTTGACTCTACACCAGCTCGATGAGTCGCGTTGCCTTGATCAATACGAATGGCTCTTTCCATTGTTCAAAATGTCGGACCGCTATTCGACCAAGATTATCTGAACCGACAGCCCGAGGTGGCGAGCAGAATCACATTGGGAGTGCTCTCTTGATCCGGCAAGAGATTAATCTGGTCCAAAATGTCTGGGCACTCGGGAGCATCTGAGGCAACACTGCAGGTTACGGCTTCGCAAGACAGTCAGCAGATCGAACGTTGTCATCGAATCTGGCTCATACAATGAGAGCCTACTCTTGTTGGAAGTCCAGGCAAGACATCCTTGTCATACTTCTGGTCGGCCACAGCTCTGTCCTCGACCTCCATCTGACCGATTTTTGAGCCACTGTTATCACGTCCATGAAGACAAGTTCTTGTCTTACAAAAGACCCTACGCCGTACCTGTTCAGACTGCTTCCAATATCATTGATGAGCAGCACCGGCTACCATGATGTCGCGTATCCTCGCCTCAGATCGTTTACAACGAAATCCAACCTTGCGAAAAAGACACAAGCCGAAATTGACACCAGACACTCCAAGCCGGAGACCTCTCTGGTTCAACCTTCAGTGAGACTGCCTTTGTATGATCGGTCTGATGAGCCAAAAGAGCGACAACACTTGCTATTATCAAGGTGCGATGCACCACCGAACCACTGAAGAACAGGGATCCTGTGTCGAGCGAAAAGGACAAAAGAATGGGTGACAACATTCATTGCGACACTCAACATGGTACTTGCATGCACAATCCCGAAACAATACTCTTCTGCTGGAAACATCTTCTACAGCCTCGTCAACACTGGAGCTCGAGCAACAAGTTCCCCACTCACAACATATCAAACACCTCTACCGCTCCCGTTAAAGAGAATAGACACAATCCTTCTTCGAGGAAATGCTCTGTGTCCTCTCTTTCGCCAACAGACTTCCCTCACGATGCTGCCGCCCAGAAACGTTCATCGTTATATATAAATAAATTTAGGCTCCCCCCGACAAAGGTATGTTCATGAGACCACCCCCTGCCACGTCCCTCAATTCATACCCTGAAATTGGCATTGTTAACTAATACAAACGGACAAAAGACCTTCAACATCGCCCTCGCGTGTGCTGTCGCATGCCAATGTATCCAGAGTGGCTGTGGTACAGTCCTCTGGCTCGATGTCTCTTGACCTCCTCCATCATGGTTACTTTCTGCAACCATGAATGCGGTAATGTTAGTACGCCCCCCTGAACTCTCCATCGCATCATTCTACCCACCGCACCACCCTACATCACTTGCTTAGTCGTCGACACTGTTTCTCGCGCCTCATGCTTGGCAAACAGCACGTTTGAATCTATATCTTCATTAAATCAAACTCGCTTGGACCTTTCCTGAACTTCTTCCGTCTAACAAACTTCATCATTCAGCAACTGGAGAGAAGAGAGAAAGAGCAAAGCCAAAGCATTGATCGATCGTCTTTTCGAGCCCTCGTCCTTGTCGTTGTCATCGTCCTCGTCTTCGCCTTCGCCTTCCTCTCCGAATCTTGTGCTTGTTGTACCTTGACAGTACAGATCGGCATCAGGGCAGTCAAAATGCAGAGGTACGCAGAACCCAACAAGTCTCCTGCTATCATAACGTTGCTAACCTGTTCAGATCAACCAACGAGGAGCAAAACGACAACGACCAGCGAGCCATGCCTCCTACCGGGGCCAGACAGCCGCCTGCGTCTTCTGTCGCACCTCCTACTGGCACCAGCCAACCTTCTTCTTCGTCTGCTGTTCCTGTTCCCACTGCCTCCTCTTTCCTGCCTCCACATGGCCAAAGACAGCCGCCAGCCACGGCACAGACTGGCTCTGCCTTGCCGAGTAACCCGCAGCCAAATGGTTGGGTAGGCGAACTTCTACAGACCCCAACGCTACAACGCTTCGTGGAATTCAACCTATGCACGACCACTCTTGATGGCGAAGCGATCCATATGGTTGAACAAGTTCTAGCGGCGATGACTGCCCGCGGAAGCATACAAGAGGCATTGTGGTACCTCGAACATTTTGACTGGGATGTTGGGACAGCTGTGGCGCAATACCATCAAGACGAAGCTGCACGCATGCAAGTGAACAGCGCTCAACATCGTGCCATGAATCAGAATGCGAATGCCGTCACAAGATTGACCTACCATCATGGCAATCTTACATTCCGAGGCACAGAAACCGTTGGCCGCCGCAGTCATGATGTGGAATTTCAATTCCCCCGGAGCGATGGATTCAGCCCAAACAACCCCGACCACCTGCGCGCGCTCAACCAGTGGTTAGGAGACCTTGTGCGACGGTTTAACGGCCCACCATACGCACCCCCGGCCGAAAGCGCAGAGTACACGGTCTTTGAAGAGAACTTTGTCCGCAGCATCTTCGCCGACCGTGACTACGCGAACGGCGAGACTCCCGGATTCCCTCAGATCGTGGCAGAGTTCAACGCGATCTTTCAGGGTCGGTATCTACCAGGCGCGCACACTCCATGTGGCTCTCGGCAGTCAGGCAGCATCACCAACCTCGTCGACCGTAGGTGGCGGCTGGACAAGACCCCTGGTCGTCGAACCAACGACTCGAACCGGCGAGCAGCGGAGACTATCAGACAAACTCGCTTGCAAGAGCAGCAGGCGTACGACAGACTACGTGCCTCCCGCGCCGCGCCGGCTCCTCCCCTTACTGTCGCCCCCGCCCTCGCCTCCGCCGACGACTTTCAGTTCGCGTCGGACCTGTTTGTGCAGCAACACTCTGAGCAGACTGCACCGGGAGGAACTGCCGAGGCCGAAGATCGCCCCGACTTTTCGGATTTTGACATTACCGATCTACAGCGGATGGCGGAGCAGGCCTATGGGCTGGCCATGAGCAGCGAAGAGCCTGGTCCTGGTGAGGAGGAGGAGGAGGAGGAGGAGGATCTGTCCGATGGACAACCGATCCGGAAGCGCCAGAGGAAGGAGTGATAGGCTGAAGAGTGAGCCCTTAAAAAGGTCACATCAAGAGGCCTGCAGAGCTGGTTGTTCCATTTTCGTCTTGTTCCTTGTCTCCTGCCTCGCAGAGAGAAGAGATCCTTTCCACTAGGATACCGACGAACAGCAGAAGCTCTCCTAGGGAGCTGAAATTGCATTAAATACTTTTCAAACACTTTGTAGAGCTGCCTTACCGTATTCAGGTCTATCAAGCTGTGGGATGCCGTAATTTCCACTGCTGATCATCATCGCTTGACCTCTGAAGCTTTTATTGTACTTTGTGCTATGGTCCGTTATAACCTATCTCCGCCAATCTACTATTTCACAATTGGTAGCATCCGATATTCGACACCTCAAAAAAACACGATGTCCAAGTCATTGATTGACTCAATGAACACACATACTTAGAATTGTGTTCTGCGTCTAGTCTCTTGTTACCTACCTGTTGTGACGATGGCCTCAATTCCCGAAGAGGAACGGCTGCATTTTCAGGGGCAAGGCTGGCGCCAAGCCCGGCGTAGAGACCGTGCTTGACATTCCATTCAATTCCATTCATTCCCAACTTGAACCTGAAGACAGACAAAAGTCAATAGGTAGAAGTCAATCGAGTCTGTGAGCAGCATGTTTTGTTTTGCTGTTTGCAGCCGAATGGCCGCTTTGAAGCTATGGTACACCAAGGGTCTAGGTGTAGTGCTTCCTAGTAGTCAACATGGTTTGCCAATCTGACTTTGTTTGCAGTTGTGAGCAGGATCGCTTGTATAGCACGGTCGAATGTGACTGCTACACCTATCTTCTAGCCTCAAAGGCCGGTACAGAGGCTTCCTGAGTGTCTACTGTACCTCAAGCCGGCAGAAATCCCGGTGTCTGGGTGAGGAGATTTTCTAAATATACATGTAACATGAAAAAGCTGAAGACAAGGTTGCGCTCTTTTCGTCTCGATGAGGGCGACGGTTGAGTACCCGACATTGGCGAGAATGCTCTGGCCACTTTCAAACTGTCTATGCTTTTCGCCGCAAACGGAATTCCCTATGCTCGAGGAATGCGGAAGTGGGACGGGCACAATGAGCCGTTGTGACCCCAGCAACATCATCCACGTCTTTGGGAATGTACCGCAAGCGGAATTTCAAATTTTCAATCTCCGAAAGCAGTCTGGCAGGAATCAACCTGTCGTTGCGGGTGCCGTGATACAAAATATTCTTGCGGTGCTTCACTGCGATTCGCTTTGTATATCTTCTTCAACGGTCGACAACCAGGCCTAGCCCGGTATCCTTTCAAAACCTTGAGTGCTACTTGTTGTGTTCTCTCCGTACCAGAGTACACTGGTGATTTTGAGGTTTGGCATCATGTCGAACAATCCGAACAAGAATCCATGGACCAACCGACCTTTGCCGGTAGAAAGGTCTGCTGCTTACCAGCCGAATCAACAAGTGCAGGCCCCTCCTCAAGGCTTAGAAGAGCGACAACAGCGCATGGAAGCCCTTCGCCGGCAGCTACGGTATCCACATGCCCTGGCTGACTCGACTTTGCGATGGCATCTCAATCGCACAGACTGGAACGTCAACTTAGCTGCACGTTCGTTCTGGGAGGATCAACAAAACCCGAATGCCCTTCCAGCAAATCAACCACCGCGTAATGGCGTGCGTCGGGCGCCCACAGTTGGGCGCGAGCGTCGCAACATGGTGCAAGACAGATTGACCGCCGAGACCCATAGAACAGGCGCATTGCCAGCGGAATACATTGAAATGGCCATACTGCACAACGACCATCGCTGGGGTTCTGAACAGGTCGCCGCCGACATTGCTAGACGCAACGGAGATTACACTGACCTGAGGGAGCGCGCCACGGCGTACCGGACACCAGACAATCGGACCGAAGTACAAGATGAGCGACTGGCGTTGTTGATCACAATAACATCAACTGACAGCTGGTACTCTGCCCGGGCGCTCCTCGAAAGGCATGAGTGGGATCTGGAGGCCGCCATTGATGAGTGGATGAGGCTGGGCGATGTGGCCTATGTTGATGTCCCGAAGAAAAGAAAGCGAACAGGCCAGCAGGTTCCCCGATATGAAGACCATGGTATGAGAATCGGCAACCCTGACATGCCGCGACGAGTTCTCGGAGGTCGGTTCGAATTCGAACCACGGCCGACCCTTCCTAGACCAAGAGACTTCACTCGTGCCGCAACGTCACCGCCATTTAGCCATAGGAGTCCAGTGACTGATCAGACTGCCGCATTGCGAAATAGCTCGCGCGCTTCAAATCCAGCGGGAAGCGGTCCTCGTCGAGGAGGTTTGACATCATCTTCAACGAGAACTGACGCCAGGTCTCAACCGCTCGGCAACGCCAGGGGCCAAGCAGCCAATCTGACTGAAACAAGCCGGAGTATCTCCCCGGCACGCACGCTGAGATCAGCAAGAAGTAGCGTTCGTCGCGGGAGTCCAACAACAGCTTCAGCGAGAACGGGCGTCAGGCCCGAGCCTATCAATACCAGCGGGACAGCGGCCGACACAACTCAAACAAGCGGCGCCGGAACCTCAACGCGCACTCTGAGGTCGATGACAGCAGCACCTAAATCTGCACCACTTGGGAACAAGAAGGCCGCGGCCGACAAGACTGATACAAGCCGAAGTCTACCCTCAACACCCGCCGCACCACCAAGGACAGGCGTCCGCCGAGGCTTTCTCATTGATGGCCCAACCTACGAGCAAGCGTACGTGGGCGTGCCCGACGAAAGCAAGCTTCGCTTCGAGTTTATCAGGAAGGGCGAATACCACCATCGACATTTCACGGGCTCCTTCCGCATCGGCAGTAGGAGCGTTCCCTTCCGATGGGACGATACAAGCGACCCGAGCCTCAACACCAGCACGGTCGAGTTCGACTGGTATGATTCTGCGCACGTTTCCAAACTGAACAAGTGGCGGGTGGACGCCTTCCGCACCATCACCGGAGAGGACCTGCGAGGGACGAACACGCCATTCAACAAATACGAGAACCTGTGGCTCCTGGAACAAGAGATCATGCGTAACGAACGGAGATTCTATGAAGCCGCAGGCCTCAGTCCAGGACATACGGGCCCACTTACCCAACAAGAGCGTGCGGCGTTCGATGCCGCCGCCCGCAATTGGGCTCCAGAAACCCACAGGCTTCCAACGCCTCTCACTCAGCAGGAATTGCATGACTTGACTAGAGACTTCAATTACACGTTTGCGGGCACCAGCAGGTATATGAAGCGGAACCTGCGAATGGAGCCCTGGCCCGGGCCTGACGCACTCAGGATCCAGAAGACCAAATACAAGTTTAAGTATATGGGGGCGCCTCGGCCCTGGCGCACTCCCTATGCGATCCAGGCCCAGCGCCGTCGGATTAAGGGTATCGCCAAGCATCTTATGGTCGGGACTGACGAGAACCAGGATGATTTGGAAAGCGATTCGGACTCGGATTTTGAAGAGAAAGACCAGGATTCGGATGACGATAGCCCTGATGATGGCGATGACGGCGATGACGGCGGACGTGGAAGAGGTGGAAAAGGCAGCTCAGGCAAGGGGAAAGGACGTGCGACTTGACAAAAGAACAGAAAACATGATCATGTTGGCCAGATTCTGGCGCCTTCGGGTATCAAAGGCAGTCGCTTTAGTCCATAGTCAGCATATAGTATATCTTTGAGTAATCTTATAAATTGCTGGTCTCTGGTATCCTGATGCCTATCATGTCTCGTGTAGATGGGTAAATGGGTGACTGCGTAGACGGGGCTGTCGAAAAAGGGGCCAGGGGCTTCACTGCCAAGACCCGCAGCCTTGCCAAGACATGTAGTATATTTGGACCTTGATTGACCTTCAAGTTCCCTGGCATTCCTCACTGCACTTTACAATCTCCAGTCGACGTATCAATCGGCTTGCCTACCTATGTTCGATCTCACCTGTACGGTATAGTACGATCGCGATCGAAGCCAAATCCGGCGAATCTAGCCATGATACCCTCTCCGGCGCGTTACAAAGAAATCCACGCCGCTGCAGATGGGAGCCCCTGGGGCATCCACTCGCAGGACACATCCGCCATTCTTGACCGGTTGGCTAGTTTCGACCGGGATGATCTTCAAAGCTGCTACCACAGATAATAGATGGCGGCTACCGAAATACTGAAGATGGATTTCTGGTATCTCAACCCAAGAGCGAAAGGAAAACGAGGGCTTTGGCGAGACTTCAACAATGAGAACATTCGAGGGGACGCAACGAGGGTCGGCCGCTGCAACACAGCCAATCACTTGGAAAATGACCATCTTGCACTGGCACAATGACTGTCCCAAAGCGTCCTGGATTGGCGCTCTCATTGTCTCCTCCGGAAACAGGTCGGTCCAAGGCCACGGCCTGTTGGTCGGGTATTCATTGTTGAAGGGAATTCCATTATGCACACACATGCGGCACTCAAACAGTAGGGTGTATATAGTTCTGCGCATGGCCGCCCTTCAACTCGACTCTCTCCTCTCGACTCAGATCTTCCTGGAGAAGACGCTATTCTCTTCTGGCTACGAGCACAGATATACTGAGTTTTTGGTTCCAGCATCCCATCTCTCACTCCCTCACAACCATTAGCAGTGTCTGGCACACTACTACTGACCAAACGAAGGATAGGTATACCCTTCTCGGTACTCTGAGTGGTCCCCTATATATACATACATCTACACACCATGAGCGGCAGAGGAACAAAACGCCATCGATCTTCATCTGACGATGAAGACAACGGTCGCCGCCCACGTCCTGGTGGCAATATTGGGCCTAGCGCCCCTGCTACCTTGGCTGCCGTTCCCACTAACTCTGCAGCAGCTTCTGCTCCCCCAGCTGACCTTGCAACGGCCAGGACCGCCATGGTTCAAGCCCTGCTTCCCGAGGCGGCGCCGGACCATATGTTGAGTCACTTTCTCAATTGTGCGACTCTGGACGTCACCGCTGCGATTGCCAGCTTCCGTGCTCATCGACAGACGATCTTTGCGCCACCGCCAGCTACTTCTGGTGGTGACAAGGCCAAGGGCAATGGCCAAAGAAAGAGCAAGAGCCCCTCCCCCACCAACAGCAAGAAAGCTTCCAGTTCAGGAGGCGTCGATGGCGGCGCCAAGGACAATGATGGCGGCGCCATAGACGGCAATAACAGTGACGAAGACAAAGACCCAGACGGGAGTGGTAGCGAAGACGACAGCGACAGCGAGAGCGACGATGATAAGCCGGATCACATCCGTCACAGATACAACAACGAAAAACAGCGGCGGAGAGTTGCCACCCAGCTGATGAATGATGTACGGAAAAGCTTCGACGGGGAGACTATAACCCCAACAGAAGCAATCCTTCTCCTTGTCTACTACCAATGGGATAGGAAGATGGTTGTGGACGTAAACGACAAGATTTATCACATGCAATGGCGCCTCTTTCACCGGTATGATCGTATGAGAGCGCCCATTGTTATCAACTCGACCGACACAGAGGACGTGAAAAAATTGAAAGTCAGGGAACAGGACGAGCGTCTCGCGTTGTTGATTGAAGCTACTGGTCGCTCGGATGTACATTCGCTGAGGCACATCCTTAAGACCAGCGCATGGGATCTTGTTGATGCAATCTCCGCTTGGTTTCATGCGGGACTCAAGCCCCTTGACACTACTCAAACCACCACTACTCAAACCAAGGGCAAGGGCAAGGCCAAAGCCATAGCCATAGCTCCAGTTCTGAGAAGAAATGTGAATGCCGATGAGGTCCCAGCGCCTTCGCAGACAGCTTGGAAGGCGCCAAAGCCGGAGAGAGGATGGGGCAAGGACAGCCAAACATTCGAACCGGATCCGAACGACTCGGAGCCTGATTATGGCTCAGATGACGAACATCTGATCAGCAACCCCCCAGTCCACGCCCCTGTCCCCGTGATCAATGAAGACCGCAGCCGGCTGAGAGTGGGTCAGAAGGAGCGGCACAAATTGGTCCTCCAGGGCATCTCGAACGGTCGATACCTATACAGACGCTATCTCGGCCCCTTCAAGTGGCCGGGCTTGAACAAGTCCGTCAAGGGAAGGAAAAGTACAAAAAAGCGCAACGAGGAGTTTGACTGGTTTAACAAGAAGCATATTGGTATGCTGTCTAGATGGCGGCGGCAGGCAATTAATAGGCTCAGCAAGCAAACCAAAGTCGCGGCCAGTCAGCCGTGGTCGGACGAAGAAAACAAGTTCGTGTACGACCTGACAAGGAAAGAGGTGGACAGGTTGATGAAGGAGACGGGCAAGACTCAAAAGGAAGTGGTCCCTCTGGTTGTATCAGACGACCTCAAGAAGAAATGGGCGGATGCTCTAAACAAGAAATTCACCGGCACCAAGCCCGGGGGCGCAAAGGACCCACGAACGGACCGCACGGCGCCCGCCCTGATGACCCAGAGGTGCCGCCTGGAATCGATGATCCAGGATTTCGCTTGCAAGCGGGACAAGACGTTCTTCGCTAAGAAAGCGAAGGCTGACCAGAATAGACGGGCCGCCGCCAAGGCCGCTGCCGCTGCCGGGGTCGCCGCTGATGGTGATGATGAGGAAGAGGAGGAGGAGGAGGAGGAGTAAGAAGGTTCTAATGCGGGAGGCTCTGCTGTACGGACCGATGGTGCTCAAGATGAAGGCGAAGACGAGTCCGACTATGCCGTGCCCATCAACGCATCTGACGAGCACGATCTTTGAACCGAAGGGCCCCCACAAACGGTTATGTTCGCAAGGAGGTTGGTTGCAGTCATTCGGCAACTATTGTTTGTTCAAGACGTCAGACTCGTCCAGTCAGTGTTGTGGCCGAAGAAAGATTCCAACAGGGCGATTGGCGCTGGACGCCATTCAGAAACGGATACTCTGGCAGGGCCCGGTTGGGTCTCATGGAAATATCTAGGTATGCATACAGGTAAGGCGTAGATTGTACAGTATCGTAATAATAGATATGTTTCAGCAAGAAAGGATGTGTTCGACTGGTTTTCTCGTTGCACATTATACTTATCCTTCTGTGTCAATACAGTATGATCAGCCACATACAAGAGCAGCTTTGGGCAGATCACTGGCACCAGAAGCAGATTCTGGGGCATTTGTCCCGGTCTCTGGTATTCGATTGGAGGCCACCTCATCAGTCCTTTGGATCGGATCACTCTTCGTCTCGGCGGCCTCTTTGGCAGCTCTCCTAGCCAATTCTTTCCTGCTTAATTGCAAAGACCCTTTCTGGATGGCTTCCTCGGGCAGCGGCCGGATATGTGGCTGACATACCCACCAGGGCCTCTTGTACTTGGCTTCCGTTTTCTGTTTGGGCGTTAAAGTGGCCTCGGGTATATCTTCTTTCGTCGACGGCGGAGCTATCTGTGTAGACTCGACCGTTGTCTGGTCTGCGGCTGCGGCTGCGGCTACGGTTGTGGTTGCCGCTGCATCTTCGTCAAGACCTTCCCTCACCGCTGCTTCTACCATACTGAGGACCTTCTCGAACCTGTCCATGTCCCCGACCCTGGTCCGCGCAAGGGCGTCTCTAATATGAGTATGTTCGGCCAGCATGGGCCGGAGAAGCTGGAATAAATGGCCTTGCAAGGATTTGATATTCGGATCTTTCCTGTCTTGGCTGTTCAACTTTCTCTTCTTCTTTTTCGGACCTTCGTCTTCCTGCTCCTGCTCGTCGAGGGTGGCTGATTCGAGAAGGGCATCATCGTCGGGCTTGGGATCGCCAGGGATGTACAATGGAGTCCGGACCGGTGGGTCCCTCTCCAGACAGTATTTGTAGATGATGTCCAAATAACGTCGGAACACTGCGTCCAGCCGGTATCCGCTTCTGCCGTCACGCCCGTACCAATACTCCCGCGGACTGTACTCTTTGGGCGGCTTAGCGAAGATGGTGGGATCCGAGAGGTTCCCTTCGGCACTCATGACACCGTCCGCACCGGTGGCGGCTAGACAGGCGTCAATATCGCCGTAGTTGAGGATATTGCCGTTCGCGAAAAGGACGGTTTCGGGCGGCAGGTTGTCCCGTAGATAGCGGATCGTCGACCAATCGGCCAAGCCTGTATTATGGCCCTTCTGCTCGCGCCGTCGCCCATGAACAGTCAAAATGCTCGCGCCGGCCGAGAGAATCATCTTTGCATATTCGAGCGTCTTCTCTCGAGTCTCCAGAATCCTCATCTTCGCCGTCACCGGAACCGACAGCTCCTTGTGTAGTGTGCTTATCAGCTTGTAGATGGTGTCCCAGTCTTCTTGCAGGAATGCACCGTAGTGTCCTGCCCTAGCGATCCCTTGAGGACATCCGAGATTCAAGTCCACCGCGTCGCAGTATGGAGCAACGTACCGGGCTGCTTCGAGCAGCTCTTCGGGCTTATTGGCGCAGAATTGCACGAACAGCGGCCTGTCGATGGCCGGGTTCCCATCTAACCAGGGTGGCGAGGAGGATTTCTCCGTCGACACCAAACTGCTCTTCGTAGGCTGGAAGTGGTCGTCGCGTACTCGTGCAGACTCGCCGAACAGTCTGGCATGGAACATCGGGGTATATGCTAGCAGAGATTTCGACCGCTCTTCATCCAGGTAAGACCGGGTCAGGAGCCTCCATGCCTGGAGAACGAGTCAACATATATATTGTGGGAAAAAGTCGTGGAGGAGGAGGGGGGGTGGGACGGACGAATTCTGAGCGATCGACCATGGGGGCGACGATCATTTTGGGACTGCCTATAATTTCGTAGAAGGCTCTGCCTGTCAGCTTGGGCCGTACAGGTTGGCTTGTGCCATTGACGGCGGAGGCGGCCTCGGCCATGATTCTCGTGGGAAGTATCTGTCGTTGGAGTCGTTCGAGTGTTGTCCCTAGCCAATTGACGATATGCCTGGACATACGTGCAGTAGAACTAGGGTGATTGGGACTTTTTTATTGGACTTCCATTCCTTTTTACTGCTACCGTGCAACGAGGGTATGGGGATAGGATATTCGTAGACTGCGTCAAGGTCGTGAAACGACATATGCGAAATGCGACGAGATGGAAATATTTCTTGAGATTTCGCATCGGGGAATGTATGCTCCGCTGGAAATGTCTTATCGCACGTGATGCTGTTTTATCGCAGTCTTAGTCATCATCGACATTCGACCTCGGCTTATAAATATCTTGAAACCTGTCGTGTTGTCGCGCAGCTTGCTTGTTTGTTACAGCTCCAACAACTCTGGTAAGTGGCTGTCAAGGCCGTGCACCGCTTTGAGACCTTCAATCATGAGTCTGTGCCTGGATATATATGGACAAATCGGCCGCTAAAATCACGAAACGGTGGCCTGCTATCAGCATTCCAAGATTGTTGGTGTCAATCCTCCTCATTTCCTACTGTCGACTTTCCTGTTATGGAGTATCTGTGACCAAGTCAAAGAGGCAAGGGACATGCATATCAGCCTCAACAGTTGGCCGTTCTACTACAAACATAGCTTCCAAACAAATTGTCGATCCCCAATATGGACAAGTCGGTCTTTCCAGGATACGAAAGCTCAACTTGTTTGCCATCTCCCGCTTCCCGGACCGCAAACCGGCATCCATCATCACTAATGCACCTTCAGTGTTGGGTCCGAAGCACCGGCTTATCCGAATTTGTGAGATGCTAGCATACCTGAAAAAAGTGCAGTACGTCCCGGGATCTGGGCCAACCGAACTGATTGAATGATTCTGTCATGCCATGATCGTCAGATGGGAATATGCCAGAGTACTGGAAACTGAGTTCCAGCACTGTCTCGTGCGTTGAGAACACTTACCCATATCCCTGCGAATGTGACACACATATCTGCCGGTGAAAAGTCGTGAGCACAGGGCCCTTGCCAGTTTCTACCCATGCAATAGAACATCTGCAGTCAATGTCAGCCTTCATCGCAACTATTTGGAGATATCCTGGGCAGACACCCACGGTGCATATGTCTCTAGGAAGCTTAGTAGGGTAGAAAGGACTGCCAGTGATCAGAGGAGTTGTGATGACAAGGGTAAGCAATGCCTGGATTTTCACCATTCTCTGAATATCATTCGTTGCCCCAGATATCATGCTGGTCAATGGGGAGAGATATTTGTACGCCTGATCAGAAGGTCTGTTTGTCCTTCTCAGTTTGTGAATCCCCTCTAGAAAGTCCGATGCTAACCCATCGACAACCTCGACTGTCGGAAGTGGGACTTGTCGGCTCCCCTGACAAATTCTGTTGTTGGCGTTCAGTTCAGCAAAAGCCGACGTTAGGTCTTACTGCCAGCAAAGATCTCAATGTGCAAACACGTTGGGCAGCATTGAAAGTGTGATCGGACTAATCGTGTCCTGGAACACCATCAGAATGAGATGGATGCTGTTGTCTATGCATGAGATCATGAAGTCAAGCGCACTCCGCCATCCTCAGATCGGACATCAGCCTCGTCAGCGCTGCCCAATCCGCTGCCAAATATCTTGTCTATCCGCTTTTCGCGATCCCAAACCATCTCCCTTTCACCGTTGTCGAGAGTACGTTTGAAGTATTTGATGCGATGTTGAGGGATCCAGTCTTCTTCGGTAGATTCGGCGATCCAGCTGCTGGCAGGCATTTCCTTGATGCCGTCAAATCTTTCAAGATATCCTATCGTGTATCTCGTCATGTCGTGGTCGCTATCCCATTGCAGACGACTCAAAACATCTGAGCGACTGACATGAGCCTAAGCGAGCTGCCGCAGGATCCCCGGCATACATACCTTGAGCTGACCTCATCTTAGTTGTCGGGGTTGCCGATGATGGCAACAACCTGCTTCCTTTTACTTGTCGGCGTTGTTTTGTGTAGCGCGCTACTTCCTGCAATCTTCTGGACACCTCCACCTCTTCTTGCTGTCTTTGTGCCTCGATCTCCCTGAGATGACTCTCTGCAACGCTCCTCAAGTGACTAAGAACGTTCGACGAGGAATTTAGACCTTGATCTGGCCTGTCACAGGGTTTAGCCATTGCCAGTCTCCAAAGTCTGAACAGATTTTCCTGGCGATATTGAAAGACTGTCCAGATGTGGCTTGACAACATCTGTATATGTATTCACCATGCCATGAAATACATCGTGGCGCAGCTCCTTTGGGCCGCAATGACCCACAGGGTGAGCAAGATGCGCATATATGCATCACCGCGTGTCGACTGGAAGGTCGTATCATACTATAGCACCGCCGGAAGCCTGACAGTCAGGCATGTGAGATCTCGTCGCATTGTTTGCTTCGCAGTTAGCGCCGCCGGGTTGAGTCACCATCCTTCGGAACAGGTCTGGACTTGGACTTGCAGGGGTTCCGTGCATCGAGAGCCTTCTTGCATCATGGGCAGACCCAACATGACGACAGTGGCATATTGCTTGTTGACAATGACACCCTACTCTTGATCTTCTGAGCATGTGCTGCTTGTATACAGTAAGTCACAGGATTGGGGGCAGTCGGTCTGCCCGAAGAAGGTCTCTGCGGAACCGTATCTTTAACCTACAACAAGTAGCACTCCGTCTCCGAGCTTCGTCCGCCGTCTTTCGGTCAGGGATTAGTGTCGCGGAAAAGCAACAACTCTTCTAAGACGACCTAGGGAAGTCGTCTCCGCGTCGATGAGTGTAGCCACCTTGACTGAGAATGTTGCTGTTTCAACCCTCGAGAAGACGATCTGTGCTACCAAGCAACAATGGATCAATACTGAGCCACCTGCGCAGAGGCCTATCTGGTTTTCGAGTTGTCGATCATGTCATACCCGCCCAACATACTCGGCATTGGCCAAGGGGCACGGAAGTGGGCTGTGAGAATAGCTTGAGGCTAGCTGTAAAGCAGTATATACCCAAGACCAACACTGAACCGCGGTCTGGAGACATCACCTTTATTGCCGCCCACGGCAATGGCTTTCCCAAGGTCGGTACCATTTCTGCCCATGATTGCTTTGTCAGATCCTCAAAGTGCATAGGAGATGTACGAACCCTTGTTTGATGACCTCGAGGAGAAGATGCACGGTCTTGGGCGGAGGATCCGTGCCATCTGGATCGCCGACATGGCTCATCAAGGTCAAAGTTTCGTTCTCAATGAAGCTGTCGTGGGAAATGACCGTAGGGATACCGATACCCGGGATTCTCGTGCCCAGCTTACTTACCACAACAGCAAGTTGGTGGGACCATGCTAGGGATCTCCTCTACCTGATCAACCAGAAGCAAAGTGACATGCCTCAGCCTCTTGTGGGCATCGGCCACAGTATGGGTGGAACACAACTGTACAGTCTACGACAAACGAGGAGACTTTGCAACTGATCCTCGGTAGGACGCAACTTTCACTCCTTCATCCTCGATTGCTGCAGGCTCTTATCCTGATTGATCCAGTCATTCAAATCGAGAACCCCAGCAGGACGTACGCCCCAGCCGCAACGTACCGGCGTGACCTTTGGCCATCAAGGCAAGACGCTACCAAACGTTTTGCTGGCAATAAGTTCTATCAAGCCTGGGATCCGCGAGTGCTTAGAAAGTGGATCGAGTATGGTCTGAGAGACTTACCGACAGCACTCTATCCCGAAAGAGGGAGCAACGCAGACCCGCCGGTCACATTGAGTACTCCAAAGGCGCAAGAAGTGTTTTCATACCTGAGGCCGAAATACTATGGAACCTCGGTTAATCCGCCTGAAAAGGGTCGGACCGTATACGGGGACATACATAAGGACGATGTTGAAGACTATCCATTCTATCGACCGGAGCCGGCACAAATGTTTCGGAGACTTCCTGAGTTGAAGCCGCCGGTCTTGTATATATTTGGGAACAAGTCTGAACTTGCAACACCGGAGCTAAGACGAAAAAAGATGGAATTTACGGGTAGTGGAGTTGGAGGTAATGGTGGACAACAGGCAGGACAAGTGAAAGAGATTGTCCTTGACTGTGGTCACCTGGTACCCATGGAAAAGGTGAAGGAGTGTGCAGATGCTGCGGCCGGGTTTACTGTGTCGCAGATAGCTCGTTGGGAAGAGAAGACTCGAGAGTGGCAACGGCGCTGGTTAGAAAGACCTCGACAAGAGAGAGTCGGGATAGATGATGAGTGGAGGGACAAGATTGGACCTAGACAGCCCAGACGGTAGAGTGACATGGATTGTATGCCTTATAATAGCAAAGTCATCACTACGTCGATATCTGATGAGACGTGACCGATGACTGAGAAGGTGGATGTAATAATGGCAGTTCTCAGCCTCGTCGTAATGATACTACTAGTAGTAGTGGCATATCCGGAATAAATTTCCTCCGGTCCGGACTGCGCGCCTTCCCTCCCAAAACAACAATTAGTAACCGGACTAACCCGAAGTAGTAATAGCCGTGCCAAGGTTGCACCTCGCCATCAATCTGCGTGGCTTTACAAAACTCCGTCACAGCATCCTCGAAGCGCGTTTTGTGTACGGTCGAGCAACGCGTCAAGGCATCACAGGCATCATGGTATGGTTCCTCGATGGATGGCATGATCATGGTTACTGACTTGGACAGGTTTACAACTGGGACCCGCACAAAGATGTCTGCTACAAACTCTACATCGAGGAGCGCAAGGTATGTATCTCTCCCCGTCATCTCAGTCGCGCTTCTGCTAACATCGACCAGTCGCTCGAGGAGATCATGCAGTATATGCGAGACACTGCCAACTTCACCCCCTCGAAACGTGCCTTCCAGACCCAGTTTAAGCGCTGGGGATTCCCGTCGAAGCGCAAACCGGCATTCCGGGATGAAGACTTGGTGGATCGCGTGAAAGAGCTCTGGGAAGCCAACTACAGTCAGCGTAACATGCTTGCAATACTTCATGAAGAAGGCCATGACATCAAAGAACGCGAACTCATGAGACTACGGGCCAAGAATCGATGGTTGATGCGTATCCCAAATGGTGCGAAACAAACCCCAGCCGAAGAAGAAGAGGCTCGATTCGAGGCCCAGTTACTGGCCGCCGCGCAGAATGAGGAAAGTCTCGAGGAACAGGCACCACCACCGGCTGTCGAAGAGCCCCCAGAAGAGTTTGTGCAACAACAACGAGAGAGACTCGAACGACTTCAGGCTATCAGTGACGAGAGATGGCGAGCCAAGAAGCGTCGTCGTCGGACCAAGGGTTATGCTGGACTCCCGGCTGACCCTGCTGGACTTCCGCCTCGCTTTCCATCCGAGACCACGCTTGAGGAGAGCCGAGAGATTTTATCTCTCAGCACGAAACAGTATCGTGCGCTCCGAGATCAATTCCAAGCCATCTGTCAAGAAGAGCAGATCATGCAGAAGACTGTCGCCGGTGCAGAAAAGTGGCAAGCCGTCAAGGATCGACTTGTTCAGGAAAACCCTTTGCTACAAGCCGCCTTCTACACTGATCCATCGAACCGGCAGTCCAAAGAGCTTGCATTGGACGTTATTTGCACTGATGTCACCAAGCGCATTCGTACCATGGGTCGTCGGCTCACCATCTTGGAGTCCAAGAATATCCTTGGTCTGAATCCCGAACAGAGCCGCCAGATCCGCAGTGGCTTCTACAACATCCTTGATTCAGAACACTACACTAGCAAGTTGGAGATGGGACCTGACAAGTGGCAGGAGTTCAAGGACCGTTGGATTACAGAAACACCTCTTCTGCAGCAGATCTTAGCTCCGGGCAGTGCAGATCCTGACCATGAGAAGAAAAAGGCGGCGCTGGAGCTTCTCTGCCGCGATGTCATGAAACGTGTCAGGGATGATCGGGCCAAAAAGAAGGGCACCTTTCGCAAGAAGGCCACGGAGAGTCCTGCTCGGACATTGGAGGCAGTCGACACCATCCAGGCGGCTGAGGCAGTTCAGGCAGCTCAGGCCGTCGAGGCGGCTCCGCAAGCACCTCCCAGCAATGCCTACGAGCCGTCGCTGCCAGCCAATCCATTCGGCGACGTCTCAGCTGCAATCCAGAACAATGATTTGTCAGATCTTCAGATCGACCCCAATCTGCTGCAGGTGGCGGACAATCTCGGATCTCACCCAGTGTCGACCATGACGCCGGTGTATGTTCGACCGCATGCCAAGTCGACCATGTACAACAATACCAAGATGTGGCTGGGGTCATTGTCCGGCCGAACTGTGCAAGAGCTACATGCAATGCTCTCGATTAAGTATCCAGATGCCAAGGTGGCTCGCATTGACGGCGTTGAGAAGGATGCTGGAGGGAATGACATCTCATATCTGATCGAGGAGGACGACGAGCTTGATGCCTACCTCGAACATGTCCAGGGACGCAAGGCCACATTTGTTGTCCTGCTGACCAAGGAGTGATACTGCGACATTGGCCGTCTGAGCCGAGGTGAACTTTTCATTCGATGACGACGCGTCCGGGGTTTCTTATGCTTCAGTCTTGTGGAGTTTCGGTGTGGCAGTCATCAGCTAGTAGCTTTGCTTCCGGAATAAGATACCCTTCAGAAACGTGAACACGTCATTGATGGTGCGCTCTCACCACGCTGGTTTCTTTCTTACTGATGTTAGTATCTGCCGCCACGCGGCGGAGTATCTGTATTGACAAATATCGCTATCCGACATCCGCTCCCTTGCAAACAACTACGTGTAAGCGCCAGCCCCGAAGAAGTTGTCATGGACAAGAGACAACCCGATTTCGGCAGACAGAGCCTTGCCGAGTCTACGTTTCCCTCTCCACATGGTGTCGGCTTTGGAACGTTACTCTTGTCACGGAGCTGATGGCTGATCAAGAATGTACCTAAGTATGTACAGTGCTGACACCAGTGGCTTCCGCCGGGCTGACGACAAGTCCACCTTTTCTACATACCAAGAACACCACATTGTCTTATCTAGATATGTTACCGAATTTGCGCTGACAGGGGGTGTCTGACTTGACGCGTGTCTGCTCTCACTCGTCGACTCGTATCGAAGGTCGCAACAAGTACCTATCTTATCTTAGGTAGGTACCTAACAATACCCCAATTTGCAGAGGCAGCATCCGGATCCTCACATGTTCCAAATCATCAGGAACTTGAACGTGGAAGTCTCGTTTCTTCTCCACGTGTACTGACTGTCTCGATCCCTACACGCCGCCAGTCAGTGCCAGCGTTCCCGGGAGACGCCTCCTAGATTTGGTAAGGAAGCGTTCAGAGTAAGTTCCTGTTTCGTCGTACTAGTATGTAAGAGGATAGTCGCTCCTATTAGTAAGCAAATGTAGTTTTCCTATTGGTTCAACTAGGATGACTAAATACATCGAGGAGGCGATAAGGGAGGCGGGAGTCGCCTCCTAACAACGGTCATGGAATCGGAGGCGGAGTTAACGAAGGCGTCTCCCGGGAACGCTGCCAGTCACATATCAGCCGGCTCAGCAACCGCACCGATATCACGCCTTATAGCCGGCAGTTGTTCAATTGTCGACGTAGAGCTTACAACTTACGGCCACCCATCTCGATCGTTATATTCAAATTGTCGCAAGGATTTCCTTAAATGTACGGGGATCTGCGAGGCAAGTAAGCGGCGAGTGGGTTCGTGTCACATCCCACATCTCGGGGATTAGGGGTCGATTCGTTGATTCGCTCATCATCATCTCCTACGGACCACGCTGACCAGGACAATGCAGGGTGGATAGTTGTTCCATGTACTATGTTGGACCTTGATATCAGGTATTGTTACCAGGATGGAGACTGGACCATGGAGTGGTGCATTTGGTACGACTCTGACCCCTGGTTGAGGATGGTTGTCTTCCTCTAAGAGGCCAGAAAGGAGCCGAAGCGGTAGGTAAGCCCAGCAGCAGCAGCAGTGGTCGATTTGATTCAAGTCTGTCGGGTAGATAAAAAGGTGAAGCAAATACTCCTCTCGATCGGTTTCTCTCTGTCTTTCTCATCCTTCTCACTTCTCACTGCTGTGCTCCCTCCACTTGCAGCTTCAAGACTTGGACTTTTGGCCCTAAGAGTATACTGTGTATCTATCCTGTTTCAAGCGTGAGACAAGAGACCAATCAATCAATCAATCAAAGCAAAGCAAAGTAACCCAACAATGGCCCCCTCCAAGCTCGAAACCATCTCGTTCACCACCTTCTCCAACATCATCGACGGCCAGCCTCGCACCTCCAAGACCAAATACCATGGCATCGACCCCACGACCAAACAACCCAACTGGGACGTCCCCGTCGCGAGCCCCGACGACGTCGAAGCCGCCGTGGCCGCGGCCAACAAAGCCTTCGCCGACTGGAAGACGACCAGCTGGGCGTACCGCACCGAGCGGATCGGGCGGTTCAAAGAGGCGCTTGAGGCGTACGAGGACGAAATGATCGAGCTGTTGCTCAAGGAGACGGGGAAGCCCCGCCAGTTCGGCGCCCAGGAAGTCAAGTCGTGCGCGCATTTCCTGGACTGGCATCTAGGAATGAAGGAGCCGCAGGGCGAATCGTACGATTTCCCAGACAAGTCCATCGTCAACAAGTTCGTGCCGTTGGGCGTCGCCGCCGCCATCTGTCCCTGGAACTTTCCGCTGTTGTTGAGCCTGGGGAAGGTGTTGCCGGCAGTGCAGATGGGGAATGCCATCATTGTGAAACCGAGTCCTTTTACCCCGTAAGTGAGATGTGAGGTTGTGGCAAACACCCAGCATCCAACACCTTAGCATCCTCCCTTCCCGACCCGTTGGAGTGTCCTGAAAAAATTGCAATTTGCAATTTGTCAGTGTTGATTGTCAGAAGTCCTTTCTGAGAGTGAAAAGAATCGAAGCTTTGTTGTTTGTGGGAAGAAGACTGATCTGACTGTCTCGTGAACAGATACACGGCGTTGAAAATGGTCGAGATTGCCAACACAGTCTTCCCGCCTGGATTGGTGCAGGCGCTGGGCGGCGACGACAAGCTGGGTCCAGCGCTGGTCGATCATCCAGAAATCCACAAGATCAGTTTTACAGGGTCAATCGCCACAGGCAAGAGAGTCATGGCGGCGGCTGCGAAGACGGTCAAGCGTGTCACGCTGGAGATGGGCGGCAATGATCCGGCCATTGTGCTGCCTGATGCTGACATTGCCAAAGCGGCGCCGATGGTTGCCATGGTACGTTACTACGTTACACCCATCCCTTCAGTCTTCAGACTTCTTGAGTTTTGTGTTTGTTCGTTTGTTGGTGTGAAGCACAACATTCCCTTCCCTTTTGCCAGTCGTTATAAATGAGAGGCCGAAACTCGCGAGAGGTAGAAGGGCCATGGCTAATATCGGCTTTACTTTTGCTCTCTAGGGTGCCTTCTTCAACACCTCCCAAGTCTGTATCGCCTCGAAACGGATCTACGTCCACAGTTCGCAATACGACGCCTTCCTCGAGGCCTTGACCAACGTGGCCAAATCGCTGAAAGTCGGCACGCCCAACGAAGACGGCGTGATGCTCGGCCCGATCCAGAACAGCATGCAATACGAAAAAGTGAAGTCGTTCTTCCGCGACGCGAAATCCCAGGGATACAAATTCGCCCTCGGGTCCAGCGACGTGCCGGAGTCTCAAGGCTTCTTTATCAACCCGACCATCATTGACAACCCGCCGGACGACAGTATGGTCGTGACCGAGGAGCCGTTTGGGCCGATCGTGCCGGTGCAGAAATACGAGGATGTCGAGGAGGTCATTCGCCGCGCGAACAATAGCAAGGCCGGGCTCGGGGCGACTGTGTTTGGAAAGGACCCCAAAATGCTGCAGTATGTGGCGGACAGGCTGGAGGCTGGGAGTGTTTGGGTCAATAGCTATCCGGCGGCGGGACCGCAGGCGCAGTTTGGCGGCGTCAAAGAGTCGGGCATTGGCACCGAGTTTGGGACGATGGGCGTTCTGGCTTATGCTAATGTCAAGGCCATCACGACTTTCAAGGATGTTTGAACTTAAGAGTGTAAAGGAGAAGAGGACGGGAAGCCTTTGGTCGGGAGAGTGAGTATCTGAAAAATCCATGTCATGACATGCAAACATCGAGGAATGGACTGCTGAATGGACTGCTCAGTTCTGTTACAGCTCAAGTATCATCTCTGCTCCCCAACCGGATAGACAACTTTCTCGCGTTTCCGCTACATATGCTATTGTATCCCCTCCTCCTGTCTTCTTGCTCTTCACAGCTTTGAATCCCGTCCCTTGTTCCCCGTGATATTACCCATCTTGTCATCCTCGACCGGGTCCTCGTCAGTCGTTTCAGCCTTGAGGCTTACCGGATCGCCGAGCATCGACCGGTTGCCTTTCTTGGCTTCATTGAGGTCCTCATTTGCGACGTCTTTCAGGCTCTTCTTTCCTGAATCGTTCTGGTCCCTGGTTTCTTTCTTGTTGGGTTGATCGTCCTGGGTGGGCGATGTATCGGACTGCTCGGCCTTGAGGGACACAGGATCGCCTAAGGCTGTCGGGTTTGATTTGGCTGCGCTTGTGAGAGACTTTTTGTCGTTGGCCATTGCAAAGGATGGGTTTGAACGGTAGAACACGCGGTTGTGAGGTCAAGGACGCTGCGGCGAATAATGTATAACTAATGCTCTCAACGTTGACGGGCCGTTCAGATCTTTGGATGAGATGCAGGTGTGGACTTGACAGTGTGACAGGTATGGTAGCAAGCTGACCAGAGCAGATGAACTAGAGCGAGTCCTTGCAGAGCAGGTTATGAATCTGAATCTGCATCCAGGAATCCAGGATGTGGGATGCTTAGAGAATACGGAGCAATCTTTGTAGCATACTATGCATGGCTCACGTACGTACCTATAATGGTGATGTCGATTCCCATGACAGCCGAGGTGTTCATCATGCTGCAACCGTGCAGTTATGGTTCGACAATGATATTCAAGATCCTACTACCATGGTACTACCCAGTATGACATGAGGTGAAGGGAGTCATCCATTGTACTGACGTCGTCCATTTTCTCCAGACTCGGTGGTTTGGGGTAAAATGGTCCATGACTGGGGTACTAGTAGCGAGCGGATGATCTTGCCGGTGCTGGGTCTAGGGGTTCTTTAGGCGACTAGTAGTCTCAGCAAATACCTAAGGGGACCTCGGTGCCTTATAAGGCCTTAACCTAAGGTAGGCAACGCACCTACACTCACCGGCTATTAAGGAGACATCATACTAAATTATGCCTGCATCTCTAAAGCCTTTAAACCCCATCAACCTGTCTGATCATTACCTCCAAGCTATCGATCTGAAAGGGGCCGTCCGTGGAACTCTTGAAGACTGTATGAAGAGACATACACACAAGAGTACCGGCGGCTTTCGCCTTCGCACAGCTCGCATCGAATCAACCACGCAGGCCGGCTCGTCAGCCGTCGAGGTGTCATGCATTCCTATCTAGCTCTTCGTCGTTTCCTCCTCTACGAAGACCATGACGCGAGACTCTCAGATTTGGCAGCATCAATCTATGGGGAACAAGATGCTTTCGGAAGGAGAGATCTAGCCACTACATGCTCAGAGGTCCGGACCAGCCCAACAACCTCCAAGCTGATTTGTTCGCCTTCGGGAGCACGCTATATGGCTTGATGAACACGGATTTTGACGGCTTCAAACCCCAGTGATGACACATGTTTCCACTCCCATTAATGAATGCTACGGCCCTATGAAAAAGGAACGCATGGAATTCCCGACGACTGGGCTACAGAGTACTGTCCAGCTTGATACGACTCCCAATAGGTGGGCACGGGTCAGTCAGAAACTGGGTCTCGGCTTGATGCCTCATGTCACCGAGTCAGACTGGTCTACTCGAGCACCACCGGAGATGCTGGAGCTGATCAACGCCAATGCAGGAAGAACCCCGTCCCAGTGACAATGTCAATGGAGCCTGCTCCACCATGCATATCTCGGCCCACAAGGTACAGTTGCAGAACACATCAGCCCCCTCGCCGCTCCGGCTCTTCTACAGATTCCTTGGCGACTGCAACCCGTAGCCTCGGCGACTTGGATACCACGCTGGTCGTTATCTAAACAATAGGAGTGGTCTTTCTGGTTTCCTCCGGGGATCTGGCGGTACATGGCTGTTCGACCGCCCTACAGCGAATCCTCCCATCGTCCCCTCCGAACCCGGTCTCAACAAAATCAGGCTTCCCTCTACTGACTCAATTCCAGATCCCTTGTCGGGCGAGGCGTAGCAGAAGGCGGATTGAAGTCGGGGGCGGACTGTTTCCGTTCGAATTCCGCTGTCTGGTTGTTCGAGGCCCGCCCACCCACCTTCGGAGCGGAGACTCTCGGCGCAGCACTGGTAGGTAAGAGAAATAGGGAACCACATCACCGGCAACGGGAGGTCGATTACAGTGATCCACTATCCACCATGATATCCATGTCGCAGGCCATCGGTACGGCGACAGCGGAAATCATCCGCGGTCCAGTAAGGATATCTCTGAATTTGTGGTAATAATATTAGCTGTCGTTATAGAGGGGATCTTCTTATCTCCTCATGTACGTACACGGGGACGTCTAGGATGTCTGCCAAGGTCACCACCAAGTCATCGAGGACCCCGGGTAGAGCCGGTTGAACATCGCAGTACAGAGTAAATATGGGTAAGATAGATGGCACCGAGGGAGTCAGTCTGTGAGAACAGGAGATTAGTCGTACCGCCGAGGCGGAGACAAAGACTTGAAGTAGAAGTCTTTCTCCGTTACCAGGGAGCAGGAGATAAGCAGACTCGGACCGTCCGCCGATGCTCTTGGCATGATAAGCATGGAGTTGAGCTTGAAGCCCGTATCACCAGGCTGATATATCACGGGTACTATATATAGCCTTGACATGTTATATGAGGTGGGCGATTGAACAACCGATATTCTCCTGATCACTTCGACAACGTCCACTGGATCTCCTCATCTTACTACCCTTCTAGGGACCGTGGCTAGCTTTACAGATATCCAGGGCTTCAGTTGAGCCGTGAGCAATCAATACACCAAGTGGCCCTACGATATCTGATAAGGACTACTGGACGTTGGTCCTCTAGACACCACCAAGGCCAAAAGCTAGAGCTCGAATCACCTTCAACCGTGCTTTTCGGCTGGCATCATGGGAAGCACCGCACCGCCATCAACATTGCGTATCGCCGCGGCACAGTACGAGCCCGAATGGCTGGATCTACAGGCATCAGTCGCGAAGGCATGTGCCATCATTGACGAAGCGGGCAAGAAGGGCGTGAAGGTCTTGGGGTTTTCAGAGGCCTTCATTCCAGGCTATCCGGCCTGGATATGGTGAGTGCAATGTCCTTTAAAGCAACGGCGGAGCGGCCATGATGGTCTCGAGACGAAAGACAAAGACAGAGGCTACCGCTGTCTATAGAGGGTTGGACAACCACCCAACTAACGAATCCGCGTCCGCCACACAGGCAGCGTCCGCTTGACCCCATCTTGTCCACTCAGTACATCAAAAACTCACTCGCCGTCGATTCGGATGAGATGCGCACGATTCAGAAATGCGCCGCCCAGAACGGCGTCGTCGTGTCTCTAGGTTTCGCGGAGAACGACAACAACTCGGTTTACATCGCCCAGGCCCTGATCGACTCCGACGGCAAGCTGCTGATGACGCGGCGCAAGCTCAAGCCGACGCACATGGAACGCACCATCTTCGGCGACGCCTCGGGCAACAGTCTGATGAATGTGGCGCCAACCCGCGTAGGGAAGCGTGTGGGGTCCCTGGCGTGCTGGGAGCATTGCCAACCACTGCTCAAGTACCACACAGCCACTCAGAGAGAGGACATCCATTGCGCCGGATGGCCTCCGCTGTCCCCTCATGCTGGGCCGGAGCTTTGGTCCCTGTCAGCGGAAGGTGAGTGGTCAAGTCTTGTCTATACCCAAATCTCCTTACGCCCCTGGCTACTGTCAATGTCATGATACTGCCGTGGTTTGGCTGTGCGGTGCGTTTCATCGTGGGCGATGAACCCCCATGTCATGGTCATAATCATGCGAAGCACTCTTCTTCGTTGATCGCCCTCTTTCGGCAATTTGACTGACTGGATATCCCTGTATCCGTTTTCTTTCAGGTTGCCTCAGCCTGTCCCAAACATACGCCATCGAGACCCAAACATTCGTGATCCACGCCACCACAATCATCACCCAGAAAGGAGTCGACGCGATGTCGACCGGCCAGTCGCTGCTCATGAACAAACCCGACGGAGGTTATTCGGCCATCATTGGCCCTGATGGCCGCCGGCTTTCGAAGCCCCTCGATCCCACGACAGAAGGTCTGGTCATTGCAGACGTCGATTTCGACATGGCCATCATGGCGCGCAGTTTCCTAGATATCTGTGGTCACTACAGCCGGCCAGATCTACTGTGGCTGGGCTGTGATGCCAGGGAGCGTAAACACAAGATCAACACGGCGGGTGCTGCGCAGGGGGATAAAGAGAAAGAAGCAAGTGCAGAGGAGGCCAGCGACTAGGGCCGTCAACCACAGCGAGCTGATAAAAGCAATTTATCCAAGCAAGAATACTGATTCTCCCCTTTCATCCCCTTCGTCTACCAGATCAAGCCTTGGAGTTCTCATCGACTGCAAACTGGTCATCACCTTACTTCGCTATCCCGACTGACTCTTACAGATGGTTTCAAATCAGTGGCAGACATTCAGTTCTGCTTTCCACCAATGCCTGATTCTGCCGAGGCTTATGGACTTGTGTACATTAGGTATTGTCCTTTCTTCAAACTTCTCCTGAGGCGGATGTGTGGCAGCAAACCATCCAATCTAAAGTCCCATATCCATCACTCTTTTTCACAAATACATCAACCCCATTGTCGCCACCACACTGAGCCCCAACTCTACCCATCCCGACACCTGCACTTGTCTATTGGTAAGCATGGCGCCCGTGTCCCAAATCAAATGCCTACTTCCATGGATGACATGGAACATAAACGACCACCCGAACACCGCCTTGACCGCGAACCTTGCGCCAGCAGGCAGTGCGCCGAACCACTCCACCATACCAGATGCCACCCCATGAGCGGCGAAACTAGGTACGCCGCCCCGAAGATATACACCGGCGCCGCGATCAGCATGGAGCAATTGCGCATCAGCGCGCCCGAGTACCATGTGATTTGTGGCTCGTAGATCGAGAGATGGGGACTGACGGGTCGATCATGGCGTCGTGAGGCAAGAAGTTCGGTATGCTGAGCTGAGGTGATGGGTTCGATTTGTGGTTTCGGCCTGGGGACTGAGGATGTCGTGGATGGTCTGCTTTTTTGTTAGCCCTAGATCTCAATGGTGGACTCGGGGCGGAGGCGGAGGAGGAGGAGGAGGAGGAGGAACTGGCCTGGAGAGTTGGATGGGTGCTGCTACTTGAGGAGACATGATCGGCTTGAAAGTATGATGGCTGAAGAGGTACCGTCTGAATTGGCGTGTGCAGACTGCCAGACCAGAAGTTAAATAGCGAGACATACAAAGACGAAGCTGGTCTGATGTAGAGATCTCATGCGGTGACTGTCTACACAATGGAGAACGTACTTCCTCCTCGGATGGGTTGACTTGATATCTTTGATGCCATGGTTGCAACGCTTCTGTTATACCTAACCAGGAGGGCTGAGCAGAGTCAAGTATACCTTTATTCACTCAGAATGTCCGATATCATTGGGATACAGAAGATGGAGACTGGGAGAGCAAGAAATACCTCCCCCCGAGGTGGTTGAATAGTGCATTCGTTCTGCTTCAGCCAATCAGAGACATGTGCTTGTGGAGCCACGATTACTGCATTTGGATATCTTCATCTTCCGAAGTTCCGAGCAATGTTTCCCCCCTGATATGATATATCACTGTTGATCTGTTTACTACCGTTGCTACCGGTACTATCGGCACAAGTTGCGCCCCAGCTCCTTAAATCTGCTCCTAGGCAGATGGGTCTGGGATGAGGGGTCGATGTAGGCAGGCATGTGAGGCTTGTCGCGCCAGGAAGTTGCGCTGCCTGCAAGGCACAACATCCGATATCTGCAGACGGTATACAGCCACCACTTTCCTCCTACACACTGCCATGCTGACGGGGCAAGATGTGAAAAATCAGGTCTCAATTGCGTACCGCATCAGGCCCTGAAAAGAAAGGCACCGACTAAAAGGTAGGACAGAAACACCACACAAGTATTACCGAGAGAGCCCACAAACTAAGCCTTGTTACAGGAGCAAAGGATACCGGTTTGTCGACGACGTTGTTGGAGGCGCAGACCCGAACTCAACGAATGGCCAACATCTCTTGACGCCTCAGCCAGGTGAAGCGAGCATCATTGACCCCCGTGGACCGGATACACGACATAGAGCTGGCAACTCGGCCGATCCGATTCGCACCTTTGGTCAGATATTGCTCGATACGCTGCATGTCGAGAACCCTTCTCCCACCAGATGGCCCGCCTTCGAGGAGTTGACCGAGCAGCAATACCTTATAATCCTAGACCACTACAAGTGGCGGCTCATGCAAGCGGTTCCATTTGCATTGCTTCCACCGGACATACAGCCTGGCGATAAGAATCCAATTCTTCTACTGTCGATCCTTCTCACGGCAAGTAGCTCTTTCCGAGACTTCCAGTATCAGGCAGACGAAGTCTTCCGCCATGTCCTCGCTGACCAAGTCATAATCAAGGGTCAACGCAGTCTGGACCTGCTCCAAGGTCTCCTCACGTACCTGACATGGTACCACCACCACTTCGACCCGGAGACCCAGCAGTTCTATCAACTGCTGCAACTGGCCACTGCGATGGCTGCAGATCTGGGTCTTCCGAAGAAGTTCGCCGGAGATGACAATAATGCTCTCCAGACCCCCCCAATCCAAACAGTGGAAGATCCGATTCGCAACGAACTCCGAGCATTCTTACTCTGCTACTACCTCAACTGTGGAGCTGCTGTTCTGGGCTACGACAGACCAGAGAACATGCATTGCATACGCAGCTTGAGACAAGCAGCACAGTTGCTTGCCCAGTCACCAACCGAACCACACGACGTTGAGTCGCCGGCACTCGTGGAATTGTTATACGTCGCGGCACAGCACCGTGTTTCAATCAACAATCTCGAGAACAGCGAAATACCTATATCCCAGATGCAAGTCTGCTGGGACTCAGAAACCGCTCTGAAATCATGGGCAGAAAAGTACTTGCATGAGGGGACGCCTTGTGTGTTGAGATCAAGCTACAATTACATTTCGACTTACAGGATTCTCAAACCGGCCAATATTGGTGTCGGTGGTAGGTTGACTCCTGCGTCACTGGAAGATATTGCGACTTGCATTGCAATCTGTCAAGCGCAGCTATCGAATATATCTCAGCAAGATCCCTCCTATCTCGTCGAGTTCAGTGTCCTTGAGTGGGCGCCTGTCATGACATATCTGTTCATCCTGCCTCGACTGGAGGCCGCGATTGGCTCAACGACAACAACAGCATCAGCAGCATCAGCAGCATCAGGCGTCACCCCATCAGCAGATCGGTACGGGAGCCACAATCGAACGTCCTGTGCCCTAAAGATGGTTGAACAGTTCCGTTCTCAGCTTGCTAAACTCAAGGCCCACGCTGAGACTGATACAATGTTGAACGCGCACAGGTTTTTCGCAGTCTTAGACCAGATCTTGCCTGCGGTGGAACGACGTGCGATTCCGATGGCCTTGCAGAACGGTGCGCCCTCTTTGCAGATTTCGCAAAGCACAGCGGTGGATGGGGGAGGTTCGGCCTATGAGCTAGTCAATTCATATACGGATGATGATGATTACCAGCCTCGCGAAAGGACTGCGAGTTTGGACCGAGTATGGGTGGATTTTATGTCAGATTGGGTCCAATGGTGAACCTGAACCAGACCGGGCCTGGAAGGGTTCTATGGCAAGTACTGGCCTTGCTTATTGGTTAGTCTCTTACACAGCGAGCTTGAGGGTCTTGTCCTCGCGTGATCTGGAAGAGGCGCGCATCATATCAAACTATACACAGTCCTCCTGGGCGGTACGCCTCTGGTACGCCTCTTTGACCCCTGATGCTTTATCACCATCTCTTATCTTATCTCTTATCTCTTATCGCCCCGCCTTCCAGGCCCGCACTAAACAATTAGCGAAACTAGTTTCTGACTGCGCAATCCCCGCGGCTGTGATTGGCCAGCTTTCGACGTCCCCCTCTTGGACGAATTCGGAGTCGCCCGATGATGGTGAAATCACGAAATCACAAATCACGGAATCTCCGCCAAGTGCCAGCCCAGCAACGGCCCGTGGAGCTCCAGAGGCAGGTGATTCTTTTCTTGCTCTCCGCGTCTCAGCATTTCTCTCTGCTACTAGGTAGTCAGTTGTCAGAGACTGGAGGGAGTGAAAGCAAGAGCGCGCAAAGGAATCACCGAAGGAGAACGAGGGGTTACTCGGCTCTAGCTACCGAATACCGAGAGGAGAACCGTCGATGTAGCTGAAGATTGAGCAAAAAAGGAAGAGAGATCAAGCGCGTGAGGAACAGACCAGCACGAGAATATCTGCGCCAACCAGCTCCAGTAATCAATCATCCAAGATTATGGATCAAACGGCACATTTTGCAACAGACACAACAGAGATGGCAGAGCGGCCGTCTTCGAAATGGCAGCATCAGCTCCGTCTTCACCTCCAGTCTGACCGCCTCAAACGTCTCTGGGGCCGCACCTACGGCCATCTATCGCGGGTCCACGCACGGATCCCGTATCTGCGCAAAGTACCGTTATCCGCGATCCTGATCATCGCGCTGCTCATCCTGGTCAACCTGGTAGTGTGGGCGATCTGCGGGCTCATCCTGGCGGGCGAGGCGGACACGCACCTCCTGACGACGGCGGCGCTGGCGTACACGCTGGGGCTCCGGCACGCGCTGGACGCGGACCACATCTCTGCGATCGACCTGATGACACGGCGGCTGATCGCGACCGGCCAGCGGCCCGTCACGGTCGGCACCTTCTTCAGCCTGGGCCATAGCACGATCGTGGTGGTGACGTCGATCGTGGTCGCCGCCACGGCAGCCGGCATCTCCAGCCGCTTCGACAGCTTCGGCACCGTCGGCGGCATCATCGGCACGTCCGTGTCCGCGGCGTTCCTGATCCTGCTGGGCCTGATGAACGCGTACATTTTGTATAAACTGGTCGTGCAGATCCGCAAGATCATCCGCCTGCAGCCGCACCAGGAGGCCGCGGAGGCGTGGAAGATCGAGGGCGGCGGATGTCTGTTTCGTGCGCTAAAGAAGATGTTTCGTCTGATCGACCGGCCCTGGAAAATGTATCCCCTGGGCGTCATGTTCGGGTTGGGCTTCGATACCAGTTCCGAGATCGCCCTGCTGGGAATCAGTAGTATCCAGGGTGCGAGTGGGACCAGTATGTGGCTGATTTTGATTTTCCCCGTCTTGTTCACCGCCGGCATGTGTCTGGTTGACACGACCGATGGGGCGTTGATGATGAGTTTGTATGTCGCGCCTATGGGATTGGGTGGGGGACGCGATGATGATGATGATAAGAAAGAGGATGGTGTTGACGAGGAGGGTATTGATCAGAGGCAGATACAGCATCGAGATGAAGACGGTGAACATGGCCAAGGCCAGGACATGCATCGTGACGAGGACCGACAATTGTTCGACCGGTATGACAACGACAACCAACAACATTCCAACCAGACCAACCGCGAGCAAGGTCTCGCCGCTACTACTAACCCTGTTACCACTACTACCGAACCATCAGTTCTCGACGATATCGAAGGACAGACTCATTCCATGCACTCGACGACACCTCCTGTCGCCACGGCTCCAGTCAAGGACCCATTGACTTTCCTATACTATTCCATCGTGCTGACGACCTTGACTGTGGCCTGCGCCATCGTCATCGGCGTCATTCAACTCCTGACATTGATCCTCAACGTGGCCACCCCGACAGGCAGGTTCTGGGACGGCGTCGAGACCGCCGGCGACTACTACGAGGTCATTGGCGGGTCGATCTGCGCCAGCTTCCTCGTCTTCGGCGGTCTCAGTGTGTTGTGCTACAAGCCGTGGAGGAGATGGGTCGACAAGGAAAGACAGAGGCTGAGAATGACGGAAGAAGAGCGCGGCGGAAGCGAGTTGGATGACGACCCGTGCCCTTACACACTCGCGAGCTCTGGGCCGGGTGTTTCTCGCTCTTCGAGAAGAAAACATGATGTGGAAGATGATGATGACGACGATGATGATGGTGATGACAGGGACGGCGATGTTGGCCCGCGCCATGGAGATGCAGAACTCATTGACTTTGACGGGAAGTCGACCGTACAGAGAATCAGCATCAAGGCGTACGACGATGTGGGTGAGAGTGGGACGGCTAGAGCTGGTGGGAGTCGGTCTGGTGGTCAGGCATAAAGACAGCCTTGTCATGCATGATTTTGATGGCCCAGCTATGATGTGTAAGCCTTTTCTGGTCGCAGATTCAGAGGAGGGTGAACGATGTCAAAAGGAAAGATACAAGGCCCAGCTCCTGGACCATCTTTATGATTGCGGAAATATGTTAGATATGATACATATCCGGAGCCCAGACACCCGGTCTTAGTGTTTAAGACACCCGTGCGTACTGCGCTCAGGGAACTCCGTTGTCTATGCGTTCGAGAGTTGATGGTTGTCCTTCGACCCAAATTGACCGTTACACAACATCATGATATATCAGAAATATGGCTAACACCTCTGTACACCGAATAAACATGGCACAGGGCTGAAAGCTACTTGCAATCACCCGCTAGAACGTATTCTAGCATCCGATCAATCCAAGCCTAATTCCCCAAAAGGACCCAACATCCGTGCAGCCAGTCCTAAAATCCAGAGCCCGATCCAGAAATAGAGACCTTACGCATGCCATTGCTCAGAACACCGTTGATCTCGGCATGAGCGCCAGTCCCGTTGACCTGTTGACCTTTCCGAGCCACAGCGGCAGTAGCATGCTCCAGGAGACCTGCACTCGCCGCCACGAAACCCAAATAAGGAGGACTCGGTTGGAGCACCCGACTCAAGTACTCCGGATGGAACTGGACACCCACGAAGAACGGATGGTCTTTGAGCTCGACAATCTCCATCCGTTCTCCCTTGTCGTCTTTGCCGATAAACGTCATCCCGGCTTCAGAGAGGCGCTCAATGTACTGGGGGTTGACTTCATATCGGTGACGGTGTCGCTCGTTGACACTCGGTGCGTTGTTGTATAATTTCCTCAGCCGTGACCATTCGGTGTCTTCTTGGAAAAGTGTAGGTCGGAGACCCAATCGCATGTTGCCACCCATAGTCGTCTTGTCGATTTCAGGCATGAAGATGACCACAGGGTCCGCGGTACGCGCATCTAGCTCGACTGAATGTGCCTCTTCAAGTCCGCACACATTGCGAGCGTATTCGATCACGGCGATTTGCATGCCCAGGCAAATACCGAGATACGGTTTGGGTTTTGTACGGGCCCAATTCGCAGCAGCAACCATGCCTTCAGTACCACGGTGGCCGAAACCACCGGGAACCAGAACGCCGTCAGCTGTGCAAAGTTGGTGCCACGCCTTGTGATAAGATTCTGGCGACGACTCCATGGTCGCCTTCTCCAGATCACTGGCTTCCACCCACACGAGATCAAGCTTGCGGTGGCAAGCCATGGCACTGTGTTCCAGGGATTTGATGACCGACAAATATGAGTCGTGAAGATTTGTATATTTGCCCACGAGAGCGATGGTGACTGTTTCCGACTCCAGGAATCGGTTCTGAGATGTGGTAAGGGCTTTCCAATCGTGCCATAGCTGTTGGCCTTTCGAAACTAGCGTTGGGTGGATCGGATACGCGTCAAGACGGAAGAACTCTCGAAGCTGCGTGAGCAGGCCTTCTTGTTCAAGAAGGATCGGAACGTGATATGTCGACTCAAGATCATGGACGCCGATGACCTGAGCGGGCTCGACCTGGCAAAACATGGCAATCTTGTTGATGGTTGCATCAATAAGCCGGTCCTTGCAACGGCAGGCAATCTGAATATCTGTTAGTTGCTATGCGCAGGCAAGGCTGGGCAGAGACAATACCAGATCAGGCGCCAGACCAGCTGAGCGAGCATCTCGGATTGCTGCCTGCGTAGGCTTCGTCTTCTGTTCACCACCTATCACGGGCACGAGGGAGACATGGATTTGACAGAAGTTGTCTCGACCCGCTCTCCTTCGAAGTTGCCGCATGGCTTCAATGAAAGGCCCGCTCTCGATGTCGCCAACCGTGCCACCAAGCTCAATGATGCACACGTCCGGCTCTTCATTGGAATCGTCGACGGGAATCCTCGCAACCCTCTCAATCCAGTCCTGGATTGCGTTTGTGAGATGGGGAACCACCTGGACGGTCTTCCCGAGATAGTCTCCTCTTCTTTCCCGTTCGATGACGTGTTGATACACTTTCCCCGTTGTGATGCTGTTCTCTCGGGTCAAAGTGATGTTGAGATATCGTTCGTAATTGCCCAAGTCCAGATCGACTTCTCCGCCATCGTTAAGAACAAAGCACTCGCCATGTCTGGAATAGATTAGACAACAATCCCCGCGGAAACAGACGTCCTGACATACTCGGTCGGGTTCATCAATCCGGCATCGATATTGAGATAGGGATCTATTTTTATGGCGGTGATGTGCTGGGCGAGTCAGTCAGGCAGTAAAAAATTTGGTGCAGTTGACATATCTTCAACCCCAGACTCTTCAGCAACAACCCAGTGGAGGATGCGGTGATGCCCTTCCCGATGCCTGAAATGACACCTCCTGACACAAGAACGTACTTCATGTTTGCAGCCGGGAAGAATGGAGCACAAGGAAAATGTAGGTTGCCGTCGCTGGCTGTCGCCAGGCGGGAAGGAAGAGAAAGTCGAGGGGCGCGATGTTTGCACTGTTTTCTGCTGTCACCGCAGTTTGCAGTTTGCAGTCTTTGCCCCCCAGAAAAAAAGTTTCGCGCCGCCAGACGTCAGGCTTGGCATGTTTGTTATTGCAAGACGCGTAAAGTGGAACGCGTTCGCGAATTAGTGTCTAACAACTAAACAACTAAAATACCTGATTGCAAGTGACAGAGATACTGGTATCAAAGGATGCTTTTGAGTGATGGCAGCCTTGCCTCAACGAAATCAAAGCATTGATGTTACTCTCATTTATCCTTGTTACAATGACACTGTTCGTTCACGATACATAATAGTCTCGCTTCTCTTTTGCTGCTCGGAGTTGGACATTCAGGGGCCGCGTCTGCTGAAGTCCACTAGTGCCGTCTCCTGGTTCACTTCATACTTGTCGAAGACGGTGAGCTCTTACATCTCTCGTGTTGTGAAACTGACGTGATCCATTCAAAAAACACTGTATGGTGACCACAGGTCCAACTCGAATAGGATATCATGGTCACGTGAAGTCACGTGTATGACCTTGAATCTTAAACCCACCTACGGTTGAATCGCTGAGTGCCTGGCTTCTTGCCATGACCTTGTATGTATCTATGCTGGATTACAGGACCGTTGTCGTTATGAGAGGAAAGTCGGGTAAGAACTCGGACACCTGCCTGAGGTACCTAACTGTTGGTAAGTGAACTGACTCTATGAAACACTACTATACAGATTAAGCACAAACCGACTAGCCATGGAGGCCGAACTGCCCCGCCATGTCTCGATGTCGTGATCGCGGGCCGGACCCAAGGCATCGATCGCCGCGTCGCCTCATCTCATTCTACATTAGTGGTACAATTGAGGGAGTGCCGGATTGATTATATTTGTCATCATAGCATTGAGACGACCTCTCCAATGTAATCACGCCGATGACCATCCCAAGATATATACACTCCAACGGTGACATCTCTGCCCATCCCTAGCCATTCCCCTCTGGCCCCCCTCCCTCTCCTTGATCTCAATCAACATTGTCATATCAACCGAGAGTGACAACCCCAAAACCATGTCGGACTCAAAGCAAATGCACCTGACGGCCTTCATGCGGCCAGTCAGTCTGCACACCGGAGCATGGCGGTACCCGGGGTCATATCCCGACGCGAACTTCAACCTGGCGCACCTGAAATCATTCATCCAGAAGCTGGAGCAGGGCAAATTCGACGCCTTCTTCATGGCGGACCACCTGGCGGTGCTGAACATGCCGGTGGAAGCCCTGAAGCGCAGCCAGACAATCACGTCGTTCGAGCCGTTCACCCTTCTATCAGCTTTGTCGCAGGTGACGGAGAAGATCGGGCTCGCGGCGACGGCGTCGACGACGTACGACGAAGCATACCACATCGCCCGCCGCTTCGCGTCGCTGGACCATCTCAGCAACGGCCGGGCGGCATGGAACATCGTGACGACGGGGAACCCGGAGTCGTCCAAGAACTTCAACCGCGACGAACACGTCGAGCATGCCGAGCGGTATAAGCGGGCGCGCGAGTTCTACGACGTGGTGACGGGCCTGTGGGACAGTTTCGCCGACGACGCATTCGTGCGCGACCAGGAGAGCGGGATTTTCTTCGACCCGGAGAAAATGCACGTATTGAACCACGTCGGCGACGAGCTCAAGGTCAAGGGCCCCTTGAACATCGCGCGGCCTGTCCAAGGGTGGCCCGTCATCGTGCAAGCCGGCCAGTCGGAGCCCGGGAGACAGTTGGCCGCCGAGACGGCCGAGGCGGTCTTCTGCTCGCCGCGCAACCTCGAAGCGGCGAAACAGTTGTACGCCGATATCAAGGGCCGCGCCGTTGCTGCTGGGCGCAATCGCGATCATCTCAAGATCCTACCCGCTGCGCTCATCATCGTCGGTGACTCGGTCGAGCAGGCGAAAGCCAAACGACTGAAGCTGGATAGTCTGGTCCACTATGATAGCGCTATTGCTTCGCTGTCGGTCGCGCTGGGCACTGATGCGTCTCAATTCGACCCGGACGGTCCACTGCCGAAAGACATCCCCGACACTAATGCCAGCAAGACGAGTCGCGATTCAGTCATCAGGCTCGCCGAGGAGGAAGGGTTGACTGTGCGCCAGTTGGCAGGGCGGTATGGTGGGTATTCCGGCCTAGCGTTTGTCGGCACGCCTGAGTCCATCGCGGATGAAATGGGTACTTGGCTCAAGGAGGAGGGCGCGGATGGCTTCACGGTCGTGTTTCCCTTCCTGCCGCAAGGCTTGAATGATGTCGTTGACAAGCTGGTGCCGGAATTGCAGCGGCGTGGCATCTTCCGGCGCGACTATGAGGGCACCACGTTGCGGGAACATCTTGGTCTTCCGCGGCCGAAGAACCAGTTCTTCTCGTGACAGATTGGTACTTGGGTTGTTGAAATACTTGTCATCCAAAACATTCCACCTTGCTTTCTCTCCTTCTGAACTTGCTTGCAACCTGCCTCAACCTGCCTCTGTAGTTGCGCAGATGTCCATCCGGGTATAATGCTACACGCAGGCTTTTGTACACTGGAAAAAGAGGGACACTGCAGTGCATGGGAACAGAATAAATAGGAATGTTGTCCAACATTGATTGACGTTACGCATCATCATAAAAGCTCTCGGCTCCTTACTGTGTTGAAGATCCTGAACGTATACAGCCCCCAACCCATCGCCTCTGGAATGGTCATGAGCATCAGATGCCGCACACAGTGGATGAAAATAATACAGCAACCCGTAGCAAACTGACGCCGCCTGCTCATTGAGTCTGGGATTCCACAAAATCAAGCGCATTCTCCTTACTCTCCTCCCGAATCGTGCTGACATTGTTCGCGAAGCGCACGCCAAAGCATTTATCCGCGACCCTCAGCATCTCCGGTCTGAACGTGGTGCAGATGAACTGTCCTCCCTGCGGCCGATCCTCGTCATCCCCAGGATCCTCATCCGCCCTGTTGGCAAGATAGAGGAGATGATCTGCGACGGCGGTTCGGTACTGAGCGTCGAGGTTTGCATCGATTTCGTCAAAGATGTAGAAGGGAGCCGGGTCGGTGGCTTGGATGGCGAAAATCAGGGCAAGACTGCAAAGACCTGTAAACACATCAACAGATTAGTCAAACACTCTTTATTTCCAACCATTGCTATGACGGCTGGTGTCTCTCGACTTACTCTTTTGCCCACCACTCAGTTGCTGGATGCGCTGCTGGTCGTCGTGCTTGCTGTTGAAGCTGACACTGATCCCGACGCCGGTATAGTTCTCCACGCCGCGCTTGTTGGCCGGTTCATGCTCGTCCTCGGATTCAGCATCCTCGGCGGACCGTTTGTCGGTTTTGCGTTGAATGACCAATCTGCCTCGCCCGGCGGGAACGAGTTTCTGGAATATCTCGGCAAACGCTTTGCTGACTTGCTTGAAAGTCCGTTCAATTGCTTCATCTTTTCTCTGGTCGAGCACTTCAATCAGATTCTGGATAGAACCCCGGGCGGCTTCGAGATCTTTCCGCCTCCCCTCTAGTTCTTCTCGCTGTTTTGCCGATTTCCGATAATGTTCAAAGGCGTGCTTGTTGACCGACGTGTATTTCTTCAAGGTTTCCTTCGCTTTTTGAAGCCGCTTCACAATTGCGTTCGAATCCATTGACTGGTACTTCTTGCGCAAATCTTCCGGGATAGCACCCAGCTCGCGAATATTCTCTATCGTCTCCTGTTTGGAAGCGAGCAGTGCGGCCTTTTTCTGGACTGACTTCTCGAGCCGCCGTTGGTGCCGTTCGATCGCTTTGGCCAGCTCTTCCTGTTGCCGCTTCGTCTCGGCCGCTTGTGCCTCGAGCTCCGCGACCTGCGTGGCAGAGGTTTCCAGTCGATCCTCGAGGTCATTTAGGTTCTCTTGGATTGCGTTTAATTCTTTAGTCAATCGACTCAATTCGGCTCGCTTGGCGCGTAATGTGGCAGAGACACTTGCTTCAGTCTCTACTTCATCGGCTTCCAGAGCGACGAGTTGAGGTTTGAGACTGGCGTTCAGTCGCACCTCTAGATCCGCTTTTCTCGTCTCAATCTCCGCTCTAGACGCAGAGAGATCATTATATTCGCGTCTTAAGCTTTGGATAGTTGCTGACAGGGTTTCCAGTTGCGCCTCTTCGGCTGGTGTCAGTGCTTTCTTAAAGTCTGACGCCAGTTCGACCTCGTAGGCCTTTTGCTGATCAGTCAGGATCTTGACGTTGGAAGCAATGGCCGCTTCTTGTTTCTGCTTGGACTCCAGGTCCTCTCTCGTCCGTTGAAGCATGTCCATCTTGTTCTTGATCTCCTGTCTGAGCAGTCTCTGATTGCCTTGGAATTGGTTCTTCCGTTGCTCGAGCTTCTGGACCTCGCCCATGGCTTTTGTGATAGTCTGGTCCATTTTCTCAATCTTCTTTTTGATCTCGTTGCTCTCGGCTTTGACCGCTTCAAACTTCTCTCGAGCGACGAGTACCGCTTTGGTGGCCTTGAGTCTGGAAGCACGCACATCATGATACCCTCCCGTCAATGCGCCCTTCTTGTCGGATCGATCACCTTCAGGCGTAACTGCTGTCAGGCCATGAGTTCTAGCGTATTGAGCCGCAATACTGAGATTCTGAGCAATGATGGCTTTGCCAAATACCTGTTGCACTGCTTTCTCAAACTTGGCGTCATATTTGATCAGCGACATCAGTGGCCGTGCATCTTGAGCGTTGGGGAAATTGGCATTCTTGGGTCTGAGGCGATTCAGCGGCATAAAGGTTATGCGACCAGCTCGTTCTCGGTTTAGGATCTCCATCACTCTGGTGGCTGTGTCATCGTTGTCCACAACATAATGGAATAGAGAATTGCCAGCGGTAACCTCCACAGCGGTATGATGTTGTGGGACATCAATTAGTTCGGCCAGAGTACCGTAGCATCCGTCAAGGTTGTGCTGCTGCTTTATGCGGCGTACTGCATCCAAGCCCCGACTGGTGTTTCCATCCATCATATGCGACAGACTCCGCTCCGCCCTTCGCAGATCGTCTTGTGCCGTTGTGTATTCCGAATCCAGTTGAGCCTCTCTACGCCACAGCAATTTTCGCTCATCCATCAGAGTCTCCTTTTGTTCATTGGCTGCTCGTATTTGCTTGTCCAGGGACTCATCCGAAGCAGTCATTTGCTGGTGCAGGCTCTCAATCTCTTTTTCGAGACTGGCAATCAATTTCTGGTCTTCCTGGATGCCTTCCGTCGTCTGCATACGCGTGGCTTTGAAACGAGATAAGGCTTCAAACGCTTCACCGATCTGCGCCTGGAGCCAGTTGTCTCGGTCTTTCTTCGATTTGAACCGCGCACTTCTCCCTTGCTTTCCATAGATACGTTGCTGTGTGGCGACCGCTTCGTCCAGTCGAGCTTTGACTGATTGCTCTTTCGCTCGCTCTGCTTCGAATTGTGGTACAATGGTGCTCAACTCCTTTTCGATCTCTTCAATTTGTGATCGGACCTGTTTCAGCTCTCGGTCATGAGTCTCCTTGGCCCGGTTTGCGGCCGCTTGCCCGTGCGCCAGGTCTCTCTCCTCCAATTCGACCTGCGCTCGTGCTTTGGCCTTGTCGCGCTTTTCGTCCTCAAGTTGTTTCTTTTCAAGCCGTGCAGCGTGGATCTGTTGGTTGAGTAACTGAATTTGCTGAGTGATCCGGGCCATCTCGTCCTCAACCTCGGCGTAGCGCTCGCGGTTTTCGTCCGCATCGTCAATGCCACCTGCTCTCCTATCCTCCAGGTCTGCAAGGGCCTTGTTGATCTCCTCTTGTTCCCGCTGAAAAAGGGTATATTCCAATGCTCGTTTCTCACGGTCCTTTTCTTGGAAATCCCGCAGTTCCTCTTGTTCTTCTTCCAGTTCGGCAAGACGATCATTGATCTGCTCGAAGGTCTGGTCAATGGCAGCGAGCTTGTTGTTGGTATCACTCATAATCTTGAGCGACTCCTCTTTCTTCGCAACAAACTGTTGAGTCCCAGCCACGCTCTTCAACACGTCCAGACGTTCAGCGTCCTTCATGTTCGTCAGGCGGGTAATGCGACCTTGAGGCACGATGTAGTATGGGTTTGCACGCGAGAAACCGGCGTTCTCGAGCAGTTGCATGACGTCTTGCTTCGTGGCATTCTTCCGGTCCAGAGAGTATTCGTCCTTCTTGAGGCCAATGGTCCGGCGCAAGACCAGCTCATCGTTCCCAGTCGGGAATCGACCGTCTGAGTTGTCGAACACGATCTCGACATATGCAGACATCACCGCCGACCCAGTGCCTTCCTAGTTACTGTCAATTTATGCTGGTCCCAGTTCGCCAATGTGACCCACGTGGATGAGTTGCTGTCTGTCCTCGCGGCCCATCTGTGAATAGGCATCGCTGAGGACGAAGCGAATCGCCGCGAAGAAGTTACTCTTCCCTGATCCATTGCGACCGACAATGACGTTGAGTTTAGGGGAAAAGGGATTGACCACGGTCAGGTTTTTGTAGCTGCCACCAAATTAACGGCCGGTACAGTAGTTTCGGAAGTTCCGCGCCCTCACCTTTTAAAGCCTTGAATGCTTATCTGCTTGATATGCATCTTGCAGTGATTCGGGCGATCACTCACCCACGGACTGAGTAAGACGTGTGCATCAACTCATGGAGTTGGTGGAGCGGCAGTGCGGTGGTGGTATTGAGACTCTCGTCCAAAACACGCGAATCGTCATTAGATGCAGATTCCGCCCGAGACGCGCTCGCGTCGGATTTATGGGTCTTGGCGGGGACTTCACGTGATTTATCAGGATGCTTAAAGCGGCAGGTCATGGAGAAATGAGAAACCCTTGACTTTTTGTCTACTCTGAACGTGGTGCTTTTTAGAAATCGTGGAAGGCGGCCGATTACAGGGCATGTCCAGCATTACTTGCAATACCTACTACTCCCTTGATATCGTGGCACTGGAAATGAAATCGACAGGATATGCGCCTTGAAGGTCTCAATCCGCCGCCGCCCACAGGACGGGCCAAGGCGACTGACTTAATAATTAGGTATCCAGCGGCTGCAGTATAGGGACCTATAGATCGCCTGTGAAGCTGGCCCGATAACACAGTATGGGTCCGCCACGACACTACTCATGAAACCAGCAATTGCTTGATTGTCGAGGCGTCCTCCAGACCACTGTTCTTCTCCGAACATGCACTTTATTGATGGCAGTCTCGGCCGAGCAGACCAGGCAACAGTCGCTTCTTGGATTTTCCGCCCCCAAGAGCGCGATTTAGCGCACCGGAACCGGAGGCTCCGCGGAAGATCTGATCTGATAAGATGTCCTGATTCCCCCTTCCTTCCTGCGGCCCCCTTTCCGTCTTCGTCTTGTGTCACATAGTCCGCCTTTTTTCCCGCCCATCACCCATTCCGTACAAAATGCTCCAACGAGTATATCTCGCCCTCAAACTCGCCGGCCTCGTGCTTTCTCTGAGGTGTCAACAACTAACACACATAATCGCTGCCAAAATCCATCGCCTCACATACAAAGCCGTTGACCACCCCAAGAATGTGGTCGTGGTCGGAGGGTCCTTTGCGGGCTTCTTCCTTGCCAAGCACCTTGCTGAGTCGCTGCCCACAGGCTGGAGAGTGATTTTGATAGAGAAGAAATCGCACTACCATTTCACCTGGAATTTCCCTCGGATCTCTGTTGTGCCTGGTCACGATACCAAAGCCTTTGTCCCCTACCCGAGACAACTTTCAACAGCTCCAGATGGCGTCTATCAGTTCCGGCAGGCCAATGTCATCGCGATTGATCTGCAGAAGGTGACTCTGGCAGACGGAGCAACCATCGACTACGAGTACCTAGCTATCGCGACTGGTTCGCAGGCTAGATATCCGGCGAAGCTCGATGCGAATGAGAAGGGCGAATGTATCCATTTCTTCCAGGACCAACAACGACGAGTTGCAGCCGCCAAGGACATTGTGGTCGTCGGGGGTGGAGCAGCAGGGGTCGAGGTCGCCGGCGACATCAAGACCAAATACCCCGACAAGAATGTCACATTGGTCCATTCTCGGGATCATCTGCTGAACAATTTTGGCCAAGGGCTCCACGATATTGCTAAGAAAGCTCTGGAGGAGATGGGTGTGCATCTTTACCTGGGTGAACGGGTGGTGTCAGGCTTAGATTCCGAGCCACCCACCCAGGTCACTCTACGCAGCGGCAAAGCCCTGCAGTGTGACCACTTGGTGAGCAAGACCATGCTGGCTGAGGCTCAGAACTGACAGTGGCACTTCATCAGATCAAATGCACAGGACAGTCAGCACAGTCCAGCCTCATCAAGCAATTCTCGCCGGCCTCCGTCGCTCCATCTGGCGCAATCCTGATTGAGAAAACGTTGCAGATGAAGAACGCTCCGTCTCCTAGAGTCTTCGCCCTTGGGGACGTTATTGATGTGCCTGGGCCAAAGATGGGCCGTGCTGCCTCTGTCCAGGGATTCCACGTTGCAGACAATATTGTGCGCTCAATCAAGCATAAGCCCTTGAAAGAATACAAGCCCACGCTCATAGACACCTCCATCGATTTGACCTTGGGGTTGGTAAGTTGAACTTCTCCAAACTCGCCAAAGGTGCTGTGCTGACGACCTGTTGCGGCGCAATAGGGAAAGAATGTCATGTATATTGACGACTTCGGTAGAAGGGACACGTCGTTCAATTCGAAGACAACCGAAGAGCTGCATGCGGCCAGAGCTTGGGAAGTCATGGGCATGAAACCGTACCATGATCCAGCGGAGGAGGAGGCGGCGGCCCTGAAGCCCAGTGCTTGACGAGTAGGTGGAGCTACATTCACTTTGGTCACCACCATGGATGATGCCGAGCGGCCAGATGGTCGAGGGAGGAGCCGGGTTCGGCACTGCAAGAATTCGGTGATGCCGCTCTCGATCACTACCATCAACCGCTCAGAGTTCAGACAAGTCTTTCCGAGCGCCAACCAAACCTGAATGCGCTTCCACCCGGTACTTGGACAAGGCCTTGCTGGATCCATAGCAATCAGGGCCCCTTGCTAGTCTGCCAGGCCTGTAATTTGGGCCGGCGCGAAGAAGGAACACTCCTCATGACCAGCCTTCTATCCGTGACGACCTGGTTTCCCCTAGCGCAATCATAGGTTGGGCGCAGAGTGTCACGAACAGGCCCACGTCACCCAGGGGTCCGCCCTGGTAAAAAAAAGACTTGGATTCCAGGCCCTTTATGCCCTAGGAATACTGGGCCTTTGTTTAATATCTTGTTGATAATTGGGCGCCCACCCGATCATGACACAGAGAGTATCGTTGACCTTAGGGAGATTCGGTGCCTAACGACCTCCGGGTCTTCATACTGAGCCATCAACATCGGATCCATGGTGATCTCATATTGCTTCGTATGACTGACCAAGTGGGCCTGAGGGTCTTCGAGGGCTTCTAGAACTGGAAATATGCTTCTTTCTTCTCAGGGATTGCCATAGAAAGCCATTGCTCCACCTGGTGCTCTTTGGCAACGTCACCGATTTTCCATGTCTCCTTTCTCAACGTGGGCAACTTTCTGCCCTTGATCCAGAATGAAAGCACGTCATTGATATGGATGCCCTTTTGACATCGTCGAGGGTACCCGTCTCGAGAAGCTCGGCCTGGGCACAAGGCTGGTATTATGCAGCACTATGCAGCACGGGGAGATTAGTCGACTTCATGGCATCTTTCGAGCACTAGAACAGAGAGTGATTCCAAGCATTGCCAGATTGGTGGCTGTTGTCAACCCTCCTGGACCAACTCCAACCACGATCACTTCGCAATGCTCTGTGGTTAACGAGCCCATTTGGATATCTAGGTCGTCAGGGTGGAAGTGAAGCTCATCTTGATACTTGTTTAGTTAGTGATTCAAAGGCGCATAGAATATGACCCGGTAATGAATGCCTCGGTCGAGCCGCCTTACAAAATTTCAATAGGCGGTATGTACACCGTACCTGGTAGGTAAGCAGTCCGTAAGGTTGATTGAAGAGGCGTTTCTCCTTCAACGTAGGTGTACCTACCGCCTATTGAGCTTTTGAAGGGCGTCCCTACCGAGATCTGGCCGGGGCCAGCTTGCAGTCGAGGTCTGTACCCCATCCAACCCCTTCCCCACATGGCCTCATTCCTTCTCTGCATTAATGCATAAGCGTATGGTCATCGGAGCACATACTGGACTGGTTCATGTGCCGGTGAGTCTTGGGGGAACCCCCTACTCCTCAACCAGCAGACAACTGATCTTCCGATTAGTGGAGGACGTCCTCTACCGACCTTGATGTATCCCAGGCGTTTCGACGGTCATCCTGTGGGGAGTATGACCGAACATGTACCACCAACAGACGCACACACAACGCCATGGTGAGTGAAGCCGAAGTCCATGGAGAGCGGTTTCTCGGTGACCAGCATGACTGCCAACATTCCACCGATCCTCGAGTGAACAAAGAGCTGGCTGCTTCACTCCAAGGTCTGAGCGCGTTCATCCGCCTCAGGTGACCGAGGCAGAGAGCGGAGTGAATGACTGATCTCAGTACTGGAAATGTAGTGGCCATCAACTGATTGAGGAGTCGCTGACTTTCAGATTAGAGGCAGAAGTTGCGCTTCCGTGGCTGTGATCCGTCATATAATAAAAGTACATCAAGGGCATTCAGATCCACCGTAGTCAAAGTCAGCCTTGCACAGCTTGGCAGCTGAGATGACATAATATCAAATAGAAAATCGCAACCAATCACGAGTCTCCCACCAGGAAATGTGGAAACGCCTGGCATCTTACATAATTCAATATCGTTCCATCGAAACTTTTCTGTGGCGACCTCAACGTCTTCAATTTGTCCCTCAAGCCAATTTACACGGTAACAATCTGAATTTGTGGCGTTGGATAGTCTAGGTAATCTGTCCGTCCACACATATCACAAACCACAAATATGGCAGAAGGCACCTCCACATCGAGAGGCATTGCAGACGGACTGGCTCCCTCACATACATATGTTCCCAACCGGGGATACCTGGGAGAGGATCAGCCTAGCAACCAGCGAAGGCCGGACGGTGGACATCTGTTGCAAGAAGACATGGACAAAGACAAAGACGCAGAAGACGAAGAAGACGAAGAATATTCGTCATCATCTTCGTTGGACGACATGGGAGAAGACGACAGCCTCTTCGACCCAGACTACCTCGCCTCATCCAACCCAGCAGACCTGACCAAATCGTACAACCGACAAAAACGACTCAACCAAGTCCGCGCCGACCCCGGCGTGCCGACATGGCAGTATCCCAAAGCCAACCCTCAACGGACACCAGAACCGGTCTCCGACGCATTGGCCCACCACAAGCTGGCCAAGCTCAACATATCAGATTACGACGAATACCAGAGATCCGGACGCGGCGACGACGGCGACGAGCGGCACAAGGACAAGAGCGACCGAGCGACTACCGAGCAGGTGCTTGATCCCAAGACGCGACGGATCCTGTTCCAGATGATCAACGGCGGGATCGTGTCCGAGATCAACGGCACCATCTCCACGGGGAAAGAAGCCAACGTGTACCACGCGCTCCTTGCATCCGAGGAGCCGGACACACCGGACAAGCACGTGGCCATCAAAGTGTACAAGACCAGCATCCTCGTCTTCAAGGACCGCGAGAAGTACGTCACAGGAGAATTCCGGTTCCGGAAGGGCTTCAACAAAGGCGACAACCGGTCGATGGTGAAGCTGTGGGCGGAAAAGGAGATGCGCAATCTCAAACGCATTCACGCCGCCGACATCCCGTCTCCGGAACCGATCTACCTCAAACGCCATGTTCTCGCCATGAGTTTCATCGGCGATAGTAAAGGCAAGGCCGCGCCTCGCCTGAAAGACGTCGAGTTCACGGACGAAGATCCCGTCTCGAGATGGCGCAGTGTCTACGCCGAACTACTGGCCTACATGCGCATGATGCTTCAGATCTGTAAGCTCGTTCATGCAGATTTGAGCGAGTACAACATCCTCTGGCACAGGGACCGGCCGTACATCATCGACGTCAGTCAGAGTGTGGAAGCCGATCACCCGCGAAGTCTGGATTTCCTGCGCATGGATATCAAGAACGTGAACGACTTCTTCAAGAGACAGGGCGTTGCTGTTCTTTCAGACAAGAAGGTGTTTCAGTTTATCACCAGACATGCAGAGGAGGCCGAGGAGGCGCGTCTGGACACGTTACGTGTGGAGATCGAGAGGATGTTGGCCGAGCGGACAGACGAGGAAGAAGACGAGGTCGAGACAGAGGTCTTTCGCAAACAATACATTCCACAGACATTGGATGAAGTGTACGACGCCGAGCTGGATGCCGAGAATCTCAAAGTCACTGGACGCCAGGCGCTGGTGTACAAAGACCTTCTGGCACCACTGAAAGGCGAACAGCAAAGCACCGAACAAATCTCAACCGCAAACGACGCGACGCCTTCTGCCAACGACGAGGAACGGAAGCAGAACCAGACTTCAGACCAAGACCCCGATGGAAACGAAGGTGTGCCATTACCGCAGGATGACTCTGTTGCGTCGGAGGATGGGTCTGACGACGAGAGCGACTATTTCTCCAGCGACGACGGCCCACCACGCGGCAAAAGGTTCCAGGACAAAGACGAGAAACGCGACCACAAACGCAAGGTCAAGGAAGAGAAGCGCGAGAAGCGTGCGACAAAGATCCCCAAGAACGTCAAGAAGAAGCTGGTCAAGGATTCGAGCCGGACGAAACGGTAGACAGCCATCAATGATGACTATGGTGGTTATACAATAATACAAGGTCCATCATGATGGAAGTGCATTGATGCCCCAGGGAGAGGACCGGAATCCGACATGAGCTAATGGGAACGGGATCACGCTGTAGCTCTTTTACTGAGCGGGTTGCTTGACCATATCAATCGACATTGGCGTTGCATTGAAGCATCTTCCGAGACCGAGCTCCATTCCAGATTCCACATTTCGATTCTCAAGTTCCGGCAGTCTTACATTCTGATCTACGCGATCCTGGTGTCGCAGAGGGAGATGTACCAGGTAAGCAGCCCAACCTACCACCTGGTTTCCTCCAATCCATTCCTGCACCACTGCGTTTCCTTAATATGAAGACAATCACCACAATACACTTGAGATGAGACAATCTGGCATGACACGGGAATGATGGTCGTGGTAACACAACCTCTTCGCTTCTACCGGGTGTATGCGCCGTCGTTATGCACTAGCATGTCGATATGGGTCGCAATGATATCCAACTAGTACACTGAACATACGCTGCGTTAGAGCTGCAATCTTACTCTCACAGGTTCGCAGAGCAGATATTCTCGCTAACACGCATTCTATTGTATGTAGATCATGATTAATCTGGTGCAAGATCACCTCCCGCCTTTCAGTCTTCGCAAGGCATCCTCAACAGTCTTCCTCGGCAGGTCGGGCACGCTAGCCACAAACCCTTCCTCATCGGCCCTGTTGATGGCGAACCGGGGCGGCAGAGCATTGACTCCATCCCAGATGTCGCTGGGAAGGTATTCTCCCAAGTCGCTCTTGAAGTCCGACCTCAACTTGCAGTCCTGTTCGTAGAGTTGCTCAAGCTGAGCATGGGCATCGGCGACGACGCGCTCCATCTGCTTCTTGACGGTTCTGCGCCGGGCCACCTCGACTATCAGTCCGTCGTAGGCATGCAAGAAGTTGGCGTAGTAATCGCACAATTCCTCCATGCCACCGATCCCGTCTTCGATTTTGGCCTTTTCCTCGTTCCACCTTGCAGCATGTCGTGCCATCTCGGCCACATAGCCCGACAGGCGTCCGGAGATCTTGTCCAGTAGCTTGAAGGCAGTGGTGACATCTGCGTGTGCATTTTCCTGCCGCTCTCGCCACTGCACGACTTTGTCCAGGTGCGCTTCCATTTCGGCATGGCGGTCCTGGAGTTCCATCACGACTTCGTCCACCTCGGCGGCATCGTTTTCAAGTACTTGTAGCATCTCTACACGTTCCTCTTCGTTCATTGGCTGTGCCGGGGCTTGGAGTTCATCCATTTCCATGCCGACTGCTTCAGGGAGGTCTTCGGCATCTGCTTTCATGTTTTGGACGACTGCTTCGCCGCCACCCTCGGTGTGTTTGATCGCTGTGACGCAGAGGTCGAAATGTCTGACGAGACTTTCGAGCCCTTGGGCCATTTCTCGCGCGTGGATCTCTAACAATGGTAGCAAGTCAGGGATAGTTGGCAGTCGCAGTTCGCTCTCGGTCTCGGACGGTTCTACTCTGTTGTTGAGCACTTCGTTAATCGACTGTAGATCTTCCTCGAGAGTCTGGATGGACTGGTTCATTTCATGTTGGGAGTTTTGCACGTTATCTATGGCCACCTCCATCGCCTGTCGGATATTTTCCACACCCGTGTCGTCGACAAAGTCGTGCAGCGTCTCCTTGCTGTCAGCATTCGCTGAGTCGGCAGTGGACTTGAATGCATCCTCAACCTTGGTCTGCCTCAGCAAGTCGATTGACTGCAGAAGTCTTGCACCGGTCTCGTCCAGCTCTTTGATCACGGCTTGGAATTCCTGTTGTATTCCTTGGGCGGCCGTCTCCAATTCAAATTGAATAGTGCGTAACAGTTTCAGCTGCGAGATCAAGGAGCGACGGAGATAGGTTGTCTTTGCGAGGAGAGCGGTGGTGGCTTCGACAGATGCACGGGCCTCGGAGAGGATCGTTGTGGCTCGATGAACAAGATGGATGCTGCCCAAGGAACGCTTGGATGCGACCAAGTATGACACCAGCGTATCGACCGAAGCAGGAGGGCCAGTAACGTGGAGGGAGTGCGAGGGAGAGGAGCGAGTGGAAGTCTGCTGAGGTAGATAAGGAGATTGCGCCATGGCGGAGACGGATGAGGAGGATGGATATCAATAATGGTCGTAGTTCAGGTTCAATCAAGCAGGACGCGTCAGGCTCATCCGGCCATCTTCTTTGACGCGGACGACAACCTAGATCGCCGCAATCATTGGAAAGACTAGTATGTGTGCCGTGTGCTGGAATTGGTCAGCCTTGCGCGTTGTGTCCCCAAGACATCCCGTCCTGTCAAGGGTATTAATGATAGTCGGCAGTCCAGGTGTCAAAGTATCAAGGTTCGACCCACCACAACGCGGGGTTGGAAGCGACAGCCGGAGGCCGGTGAGCTGTGATGGGCTCCAGGCCGGGAATGCAAACGAGAGGAGTATTTGCAATGATGATAAATGGAGGCAGATGCAGGAACCAGGGTGAAGCTGACGACGTTAGTGGTGATAGTAGTGATAGTGGTGATAGTAGTCTGCGTTGTTGGCTGCTGGTGGCCGTATGTTTGTGTTTGGTACAAGAGGAGAATGATCGAAGAGATGATGGAAATGGCATCATTTCGCACGCCATCGCGCAATAAAGAGTCAACGAGGCCGGGCCACTAAATCCAATCAGCGGTCACGGGCTATGCCGTGGCTAAAACATGCTTAGCAGGGATCAAGCCAACCGTAAGGCTGCCTTTGCACATTGACCCATTTAATCAGCCGCTAGGCAATCCGGAAGTAAGTCCTAGCGTCAGACGTAGATTGCTAGCAGCATCCTAGTTGGACCCAATCCCCACTCGTGCTCCTCTCACGGTCTGGCTACTTTCTTCCCCGTGACCCAAATTACTGGGTGGCTCGTTAGTTACATACGTTGCTCTCTACTAAACTTGAAAGTGACTGCAATTTTGCCATCTTGCGCCATACCATCGCCGCTCTGACTACTCTTCTATCCTGTTGCCATCCTCCCTTTTCTCAACTCTCCCTGCCTGCATAACTCGTACTACCTCATCTCAGTCCTCGATCTCTTCTTCTAGCACCTTGTCTTCCTTCGGCCACTTCCAGCGCTCGCCAAACCTCGCAAAAGGGACGAAAGACCTCGTCGAGACCCCAATCCCGACAGCCGAAGCCCGACAGCCGAACAGAAAAGCACCACTCGACTGGACGAGCACGACATGTAAAACTTCCTCTGTCCTTCCTGAACCTCACAATGTCCTTTACCCTACACGAGAAGCACCAGAGAGGTGACATGGCTGCAAGAGACTGGGAAGAACATGTCCGGAAGAGACTGCGTCTCGATCCACAGGAAGCAGGAGAGCATGATCATTGCGAACAACCACAGCGTTCCCAGCACGCTTCCGACGCCTCCAAGGACAAGAGCATTACGATTGCTTCAACCGCAAAACACGCCCATCGAACAGTAGCCCCTTTCCTGGCCAAACACATCCCCTCTCAGTACGCCCCCCTTGGTAAGGCGGGCCTATCTGCTGGTACCTTCGACGAGACCAAAGATCCCAACTCGAAATTCTGCTACCGCCACAGACCGGACTTGCTGTGTCGCCGACAAGCAGACGAACCGTCCATGGACAAGCTTCAAAAGGGCCTGGAAGCCCTGTCGCAAGAAGACCGACAAGGCATCGTCCAGGTGTGGTCCCTGTTTTCAGCGGCTCCCTCCAAACACCGAAACCTCATGCTGCAAGGCATCCTCGCACAATGTTGCTTTCCCCAGCTATCGTTCCTTTCCGCGAACGTGCGAGAGCTCATACGGATCGACTTCATCTCTGCTCTGCCGCCAGAAGTGGCTTTCCGAATTCTCTGCTTTTTGGACACAACCTCACTGTGCAAGGCTGCTCAAGTGTCGCGCCGATGGAGACAGCTGGCAGACGACGATGTCGTGTGGCATCGAATGTGCGAGCAACACATCGACCGCAAGTGCACCAAATGTGGATGGGGCTTGCCACTGCTCGAAAGGAAGATGCTGCGCGCCTCGAAAAGGCAAATCGAACTTCGAGCCGCCGGTCAACTCAACCGCGACGTCCTCCCCCTACTCGATGCAGTCGACGAACGAGGCGACTACGCATCCGCAAAGAATGACAGTCAACAAGAACAATCCGACATTGAGAAGTCATCCGACGGCCGACTATCACCGGTAGCTGCCAGGAAGTCACCCTCTGTTGCTGGCGACAGTGAATTCTGCAGGAAAACTCGACCCTGGAAGGACGTGTACAAAGACAGATTCAGGGTCGGCACCAACTGGAAGTACGGGCGGTGCAGCATCAAGATCCTCAGAGGCCATTCGAATGGCGTCATGTCGCTACAGTTCTACGACAACATCCTTGCGACCGGCTCGTACGATGCCACCATCAAGATCTGGAATCTCGACACCGGCGAAGAGCTGAGGACGCTAAGAGGCCACGCCATGGGCATTCGTTGTCTACAATTCGACGACAACAAGCTCATCAGCGGAAGTCTTGACAAGACCCTCAAAGTCTGGAACTGGAGGACTGGCGAATGCATTGCGACATACAATGGGCACACCGAAGGCGTGATCGCCCTCCATTTTGACTCGAGCATTCTAGTGTCAGGCTCCATCGACCACACGGCGCGAGTCTGGAATTTCCAAGACCGCTCAGTCTTTACCCTCCGCGGACACACGGACTGGGTCAATTCGGTTAAGATCGACACTGCTTCTCGCACCATCTTCACCGCCTCTGACGACTGCACCGTCAAGCTCTGGGATCTTGACACCAAGAAGTGCATCCACACCTTCGAAGGCCATGTCGGCCAAGTCCAACAGGTCCTCCCACTGCCCGCGGAATTCGAAGCGGAGGAGGAAGAAGACCAGGAAGAGTCCGACCCGGGCAGCCCCAACAGTCACCTGACGGTCGACTCCGAGAATGGCGCGTTTCCCACCTCCTTCCATACCGACCACTCTGGCCTGTTCTGTTCGCAACCCGACCGGCCCCAGCCGCCTCGATACATGCTTACCTCGGCGCTCGACTCCACCATACGCTTGTGGGACGTCCATTCCGGCCGCTGTATTAGGAAGTTCTTCGGCCATGTCGAAGGAGTCTGGGCCATTGCCGCCGACACTCTCCGCATCGTCTCCGGCGCCGAAGATCGCATGGTCAAAGTGTGGGACCCCCGGTCTGGAAAGTGCGAACGTACCTTCACCGGCCATGCCGGCCCTGTCACCTGCATTGGGCTGAGCGATAGCCGCATGTGCAGTGGTGGCGAGGACGGCGAGGTCCGAGTTTACAACTTCACGGCCTGATTTTCTTGTTTCTGTATGATTCTTCTCTTTGCTTTTCGGCTTCCCCCTGCGTCAATGTACTCGCAAAACTCGGGAAATGATGACCTGGCGTACCATCTTTGGGGTTTGCGTCGTGATGATTCGCGACGTTGGTTTAACTAGTATGCAAAAGCGTGGCGCCGGGTGTTTGGGGCCCTGTCAAAATTTGTCACTGTACGGAGAGATCTCTTGATGCTTGTTGGACGGTGTTTGGAGATCCGAGTGGAATGAATCTCGGTCAGAATTGTTTTCCTACCTACCTGTCGTTCCAAGATCGCCAAAATACCATTCCGTTGTATCTGAAACAACCATAATACCTACCACTTTGCGATGACATGGATCGACGTGATCCACCTCTACATCGTTATTTCTATGATTGCGTTCGACTCGATCATATTCATCTCATTGCTATCCTGACCATATATCATCCATCCATCCATCCATCCATCCATCCACCCACTTCAGACTACTAAGTAGTAGTAGGGCGGTTGACCCTGAGGACACGCACACGCAGTTACCCATCCTCAAAACGCCTCATATCGAAACAATCGTGACACCGCATAGTAACCAGAGCCAGAGCCAGCATGACAATCTCCGGTTCTGTGTCTATATATCGTACACGTCTTCAAACACCAGAGATGCGTCTCACGCTACGCCGACCACCCTCACCCGTGACCTGGACTTTGCCTTCCTGCTCCAGAGCGCGCAGAGCGTCCTGGACCTCGGCGCCATCGATCTCGACAGAACTTCCTTCAGCCACGCGGCGGTACAGGTCTGCATATCGAACAGCGTTGCCGGACCTGACCGCACCGTCTTCGTCAATGGCAGCCAGCACGGCGCGCTTGAGATCATCTTTCCTCCGCCTGTCGCTGGCACTGCCTCCTTCGGAAAGGAGCCCCATATCGATGAGCCCGGTGCGTGTGTCTGTCGCGGATGCCTTGATGGCGGATTTAATGAGCCGTACGGCTTCGGCGACATCGGCTTCAGTGACAGTCGTAGATAGACGCATTTTGGCGTGCGCTTCGGCGAGGCGGATCATCGACTCGAGTTGACGGGTTGTCGCCGTGATGCGTCGGTCGGAGGCCTGGATCGACGAGCCTAGCGACCGCATGGCCACGTAGGCCTCCGTTAGGGCTGCCGCGGCCGGTGGCGTCAAGGCTGGGTGGATGTTTGAGCGGGCGTACGAGATGTAGGCGGTCAAGAACTCGATGGGCTAGAGGCGTGGTCAGGATTGTTAGTATTGTGATCCAGAATGGCAGGAAATGTAAGTAGAGGGGGAAGAGCCGAGGGGGGGAAGACGTACCAAGATTTCTTCACGAGATGCGTTCTCCGGGGTATCTTCGAGGTACATCCCGACCAAGTGCTTCGCGAGACGTCTGTCGTTGACTTCGTCGATGCGGTCCAGTACGAGATAGACGAGGTCGAATCTCGACAATAAGGTAGGAGGAAGGTCGATGTTTTGCGGTACCGGCAGGTTGGGGTTGTATTTGCTCCCGATGGGATTTGCAGAGGCGAGGATGCTTGTTCGGGCGTTCAGGGTGGTTATGATGCCTGCTTTGGCGATCGAGACCGTCTGCTGCTCCATGACTTCGTGCAGCACGGAGCGGGTGGATTCGTTCATCTTGTCGAACTCGTCAATGCAACATACGCCGCCGTCCGAGAGGACCAATGCTCCCGACTCGAGCACCAGTTGTTTCGACTCTGGATCACGGGTCACGTACGCTGTCAGACCGACTGCCGAGGAACCCTTTCCTGACGTATAGACACCTCTTGGTGCGATCTTGTGCACATATTGCAGCAACTGAGACTTGGAGGTGGAAGGGTCACCGCAGAGTAAGACGTTGATGTCGCCTCTGTATTTGGGACTGCCACCTTTCTCAAAAGACTTGTTCGTCCCGCCAAAGAGCTGCAGAAGAATCCCCTTCTTGACATCTTCTAGCTCGTAGATACTCGGGGCCAAACTTCTGGCCAGAAGTTCGTAGATGTCATCGCGAGCGGCCGTCTCTTTGATCTTGGCTTCCTCCTCGGCTGAGACTTTTCTCGTCTGCTCGACGTCGCCAGTTACCTGTTCGGACAGTTCTTGCTCGATGGTAGACACATCGATGCCCATCTTTCGCTTGTCGATCTTCTGAACGTGGAGGACATCGACGTAGGTCTTGAAGAGAGATTTAATGGTGCGTTGACGAGGATTGACTCGGACAGGATTGCTTCTAAAAATGCCTGTCACTTCAACCCGATCACCAGCTTTGCAAACGTCAACAAGCTCATCGTATACACAGAGAGACACGTTGTGCGGTGTTTGTCCGTCTGGCACCGAGTCCGGCATTTCTTGCAGCTTGATGACCTGTTTATCCGCGAAGACGCATCGATTGTGGACAATCTGCATACTGTCTTTGGATTTGCAGGCGTTGCGTGGGCATTGTGTCGGTTCCGCAATCTTGCCACGGTCAATTGACACATAGGTGGTATGATTGCACACCGCACATTTGAAGAATGCTTCCTTCATATCTGGAATGACGGGGGTGGCTCGAATGACGAGGCCTTTTACTGCAATCAGCTTGTCGATGTCCTTCGGATCAAGATCACGCAGGTTGACTGTTTGATCAAGTCCGAAAGGCAAGATCTTCCATGGGCGAACTTGCGCCTCTTCAACAAGATCGGGGAGCTCGTCGGCTGCCGGTGCAGGTGTAGCAACTGGCGTCGCTGCGCTTCCTTCATTTCTCGCTCGCGAGGCGACTGCGGCATTGTGAGATCGCTGTAATTCCTGCATTTCTTTCGTTGCCAATTCAACCATCACCTCCTTCACCGTCTGATCCATCAACGGTATGATTTCTTGGGGGTATGCTTGCAGTTGATGCCACAACTTCAAGGTTGCAGGGTATGCCTTGAGGTTACGCGCATCCAGATTGAGCCCATGGACACCAAGCTTACGCATGTTCTGCAACATCTCCAGATATTCCTTCTCGTCGGCAGCAAGACCTAGCTCTCGCGTCTCCTCCTCGCTCGCACCATCGGCCCACATGCGATACTTCCTCGTAAAATTATAGAGAAAGTTCTTGAAGGATGACATAGAGTCTTGGATGGAGATGTTTGTGCCCCAGATGACTCTTGTGGAGTCACCCCCCATGGCATCTGCTTCGGAGGTGTCCGGATTGAGGTTTGAAAAGGTAGCTTCTGAGGCCGGATCTTGACCATCTCGGACTGGCATGCCATCTTCGCCCACATAGATGCGTCGTCGTTGAGCAGGCGAGGAAGCGAACGCGTCAGAATGAATGTCGCCTCTTCGAGTAGAAATGCGAGGATGCCGATCCTGACGAACAAACAGGCCGCTGCTGCTGCTTGGGAAATCAGACTGGACACGGCCGGATGTTCTCCCGGGACTGGAGCTTGGGTCGTATCTGACGGGGGAAGAGTCTGCTAGCCGCTGGTGAGAAGAGTGCCACATGATTGCGAAAGGGGGACAAACCTGCAATGGGACGAGCAGATGCACGAGGAGTAGTTTCCCTGTCTCCAGCATTTGACGAATGTCTTGGAGGGGAGCTGATGATCAAGCCATCGCTTGCTAGCTGTGAAGGAGGTGCAGGAGTCGACCGAACTGGCGAGGATTGGAAAAAGAGTGGTGATGAAGATGCCGCTGCGGCTCCTCCATTCGGCGCCTGCCTGGAACTTCGAGGAGTGGCTTGAGACTGCCGTGCAGGTGTTGAGGATTCTGAATTACGTGAGGAATGACCTCGTCGACGTGAAGAAGGTGTCGACGACATATTGTTGGAGGGTGAATATGACTGCGGTTGTCTACAACTTGAACTGCATCTCAATTCAGGAGAAAGGAGGGGAGAACTTTCGTGTCCGACGCGTCAACGCGTCCCTAACACGACCGCGTAAAGTGGTTTCTTGGCATGTAAAGCCCACGCTGTTTTGACCTTCGACGCCACGATCTCTTGCCGCTACAAAAGGCTCCTTAGGCTTTGTCTATCAACTTGTAGGTCTTTCTATACAGCGTCCACCAGGAGTCGACTTCGTGATAGGAAAATGCCGCCCTGCATGAAGACTACCGACATCATCAGAGCACCTCAATTATGGAGGCATGCTCATAAATATTACCTTGTTTGTGGAATACTCAGCATCCCTCACCTCGTCAGCCCTCTCCCGACGAGGTATACTCATCCGTGGAGAGGTCCAAGATGCAGCACATAACCCCTTCATTGTCTATTCTCCGTTGTCCAGTTTATAGTCAGATTCTGTATGATTTATATCAGGCGTCTCCGTCGTGGATGCTACAAGCACAACAAATGCCACGAATCAAAGAACATCTCTGAGAGTGGGCGGCGAAATTGACTATTTCCTTACCTTTCGACCAGAAAAAGGCCAGTCCTTGTCGTATAGCGGCTGCTGGTGACGAGAAACGGATGGCATCCTCATCTTCATACGCCGTAACCTCAGTTTCCAATTCAACAATCTCTCCGCGCCAACAACGATTGAGGGTAAGCAAAACCCTAACCCAACTCGAAGTACGTACCCCTGTAGTAGGCCAATGGCAGCAAAACGAACGAAGTCGACGTCTCCCCTCCAAGGACGGTGCGGCCACCCTCCACCGTTGCTCTGTTGTCTTTCCGGACGCAATACGGTTGCAGTATCCTCGAACACACCATGTCCATGGAGGTATCGAATTGAAGGGCGCCGGTTAGCAACGATGGAGAGGTCACGCGTCCGCCTTGAGGGCGGTCTGGCCCAACTCTGGGCGAGGTTGACAGCGAACCCTAAGCGGTGTGGACTTGAGATTTGGCAGCACCAGAGCCCACTCCCACGCCTGTATCTCCTTCTTGGTGTCCACATCATGCCGACATCTGCGTTGTTGCTCCAGCAGATTGGTCAAATCGGAGGATCAAGCAGGAGTTGCCAACGGTCTCTTCTTTCATCTTCCATCTTCGCAGGTGCCAGCTTACTGTGTTCATTCACGGGTCTTGACTGACAACTCTTTCAACCATAAAGCCACGTGTCTTTTTGCTGTTGAGCGCCAGGTCAAATGTCTGCACAGAACCAGTGTGTCTCTGGGACAGTGAAGACATGATATGGACTCTCTTATTCTGTAGGCCATTTGCCCAGGAGCATAGAGCACGGTAGAGGCAGTTGAACAAGATGAGTCCAGTCCGGAGGTCTCCTCGGGACACTGGGGACCGGAAAGGCGGCCGATGGTCAAGGTTTCGGCAAGGTCGGGTTCATCAAGATAGAGATGGTATAGCTAGTGGGTAGCAGCCGGACGAGAAATTGCTTTCTGGATGATCACGCGGGCAATTGAAAAGGCGGAGCAGGAGGAGAGACCGGAGAAGACTTGCGGGTAGAAAGCTGGGAGAGATTATTGGCTGACGGCGGCTCCAAGTACCTGCAAGTACCATCTGGGCGTAGTTTAGGCGGGGAGATACGGGGACGATACCCGCATTTCACAGGCTCTTCGGGGTGCGGTCGGTGCCTGACTGGGGCATTCAGGGCTTTGGCCGCCTAATAAAATTGGCGATGCCGGAGAAGCTCCAGATCGTCAGGCACACTCCCTCGGCTCAGAGATGGTGTGTTATTTGTTTAATTTGCCGGTGAAAGTAGAAGAAGGTAAGTAGCATAGAACAGCCACCAGTCCAAAGGATCCTCAAATACTCTGGTCACGCGCAGATGCGGTTGCTGGTCGCTAATAGTAGAGAATGCTATAGTAATATAAGCCAGGGTGCGCCCCCCAAGTTCAAGTCGTCCACGTCTCTCAACACCACTACCCTCACCACCGCCACCACCACTATATTTACAAGGCACCCAATCTCAATCCATCCCTTACTGTGTGAGTCCGCCAACTCCTCTCCTTTTGCCGCTATTAGGATTCAGCACTAAACCTCCCATCCGGCTGGGCAGCAAGGGGCTCACCATCCATGCAATCCAGCGAATTGGGTCTATCTCCATCTCCGAGCATCCCCAAACCCCTGCTCACCCCTGCACGTTCCCGTCTGCCACGTTCAAGTTGGGCAGTGGACACTACTACCAGACTACCAGCTACCAGATGAGTGACTGAGGTACCTGATCCAACTCAGCTTCAGCCCCTGTGTCTGGCGCCAGTCCTGAAGTCGCACAGCTAGCTAGCCTCCCTGTGTTTGATCGCACTCTGGACGCATGAGGACTCAAAATCCCTTTCAAGGATCCTCCTTTGAGACTAATGGCTCTCTTCCTGACTTCCCCGGCCACTGACATGCCCTTCAGTCGTATCCGACCCTCGACCATCATCCGCGATCCGCCCGCCGCCAGGGCATATCCGAGCCGAACTCACCGTCCTCCTTTTTGGAATCCATCGGGCATTCCCATTCCCATTCTCTGGCATCTGGCATCTGGCATCTGGCATCTTGAATGTTGGGCTGCTGGCATCTGCCAACGCAAGATTCTCAGCCCTTACAGTGGGTCCGTGAGAGGGATGGAGGCAGAGAGAGAGACAGAGAGAGGGTCTCAGGTTGGGCCTACTTTTCGCGATCCAGGGTCTACAATCGAGAGTTCCCTCTCAGTACTCTTCATCATGGCCTCGAGCACCAACCCCTTAAACCGACCGATCTCTTTTTCTCTCTCTCTTTTTTCTTACCTTCACCACCTCGTATCCAGCCCATACGACATGCGCAGTGGCTTGGTCTGACCCCGATGACAAAAATGCAGCAGCATGTGGCTCGGCAAGTAGCAGCACGATCCAAGCTGGGGCGCTGCCTTGTCTCGTCCAGCCTCCCTCACTGCGTCGCGCCGCCCCTTTCAGGGGGCCAAGGTATATAACCTCCACGACGACCGCACATCATCCTCGACCTTCCGCATTCACGGCGTTTACGTCCCATCACTCTGCGCTTCGAGGCGATGATGATACCTCCCTTCTTACTAGGATGTTGTGCCCGCGGTCCGCTGCGCACTGAGCTGCGCTTGGACTTGACAAGGCTGCCACCCGCATCGCTCCGTACCGCACTGCGGCTTTCCTCAATCGGGCCATTGGCGACTGGCCTCTCGCACTGCCAGTACAAGATAACAACATCTGCATCAGCGTTGACCTGTCGACCTATTTCGGTCGATCGATATAAACATACCTAACTACCTACCTATGCGCGACAATCCATCTCACTATGGTGAGCGAGATCTTGCCAACATTAGACCTTCGACTACTCTCAACGACTCTTCGCTCGCGCAACCATTGCCCGCTGTCGTCTGCCTCCAAACCTTCCAGCGTGCCCGAGTGCAGGGTCTCCCATATCGCCGCGCATGATATGCCTTACACAGGGGCACCACTTTGTCAATTTTCAAGAGAAAGTCACGCAACATCATCTCCACAGATTACGCTTTTGCATACATCCGGGAATACGACCTTCGAGCGGCCCATATTCGAAGCAACAACAGACTTCAATACCGTCTCGGCCCTCTCAAGGACAACCGCCCATTGCAACAAAGCTACGGGGCCAACTACAAGACCAAGTCAACGAAAAGAGTACCAGCAGTCGATCTATCATCAGTCTTCAATTGCTATCTATGTACTGGTCTCATTCCATCATTCACACACCGACGGAATAATGTAAGGTGAAAAGAATAAGAAGTGGATGGCGGACATGTAAGGTACCCGATCAATCTTCAGACCTTACACCCGTGACCCCCGAACTCAGCCAGAGCCCGATGTCCATACCTGTTCAAACCACTTGGCTTATTGAAGTCTCTGAAACCACCACTCGAACAAGTCTCCCCAAACCGAAGCGAGGGTTGAGTGTTTGTCAACTCCGACTTCTCCGTCGAAACAACTCGAAAGGTCCCAGATTGCAACATGACTCAGCTGCGTAAGTTGTCCGACTCAAACAGCCATCAGTCTTCGCAAAACCAAGTCACAAGAAGAACCTCCATGCCTGTCAAAAACTTTTTTTGGTAGGTCCCATTCGCATGACACCTCCATGACGGATCGTGGCTCGCATTCCCCGATCATAACCATTCAAAGTCGTTCTCCTGGGATTGGCGTTGACCAAGGTCCCTCGCATGGACAGAGCGGTCAAATGACCGCCCTCGAAAAGCGAAGAGGCGCGTCTATTAACAATACGTAAGGAAACGAAGCAAAAAACAAAATCTTCCAGAACACCGCCCAAATGACCCGTCGAAACCTCACAATGCTGAAAGAGGTGGGTGAACAGCATACTAACTTGTCGCAACGCTTTACCAAAGAACAGCAAAAAACCACGATTTCAACGAAACCTGCAGGCGAAAATGTCGTCGGATTCGTCGCAATTCGGAATGTCTCCTGTGTACCATCTTCCGGAGTGGTGCAATAGGAGTGTTGAGAGCACTGTCAGAATGTGAGACTGCCTTCATGATCGTGGCCAACATCTAGGGCTGTTAACTAAGCTGATGCAAGCCTTGGTTGACGGACGAGAGGGATTTTCAGCCTCGAATGGCTGTCGGCGTCGGCGATTCGGACATTAAGGTATGTTGTGCTGACGAATGATAGGGATATCCGAAGGATGAAGGCGACGGAGACCGGGACCCAAAATATGAGGACGACCGTGAAGTCGGCGAAGAGGAGCGAGCATGATAGGGGACCGACGCATTCGCCGATGAAGAGGCCGGGGTTGGAGACACACTTCCAAGAGGGGTTGGAGTGGAGGAACCAGACGAGTTCGTGGAACGAGGACTGCCGCCAGTACTCAAATCCGACGGGTAAGTATTGTCCGCGGCACCATCCACCATGCCCAGAGCAGTTTTCGTCAAAGGCTCAGGCGACCTGACCGTTCCAAACTGCAACAAAAATTAGCACTCAATGTGTCTTGACTTCCTCGCTACTTCCTTGGGCACCTACAAAGCAGTACTTGTCCACTAGTTCCTGGTAGGACTGAGAGGTGAGGGGTGGCTTTTCTGACACCAAAGCAGCGGGCATGAATGTCATGGGAGCAGCGGGAGCGACAGAAGAAGCCCCGGCTGCCGAACCATTGACGCCAACGTCATGTTTGGGAGGAGCAATGGCTACGCTCTTCGCAGGAGTGGCCGCAGGAACTTCGTGGGAAGACTGCTTTGTATCTGCCCTGGAAGGGAAGCCAGATTGATCGCCCAAGACAGCGAAGGCGTTGTTCTTGGCAGCCGTCAGTGACGAATTGAAGTCATATCTGTTGCCAAACGCATTGCCTCCACCTTGTTTGCGGCGAGATGGAGAATCTGACACGAGTTCGGCCTGTGACCTCGGGCTCCTGAGTTTGAGCTTTGGCTCGCCCATCAGGAAGCCGACGGACTGGCCAGAACTTGAAAAGCTCTCAAACCCAGTTGAGAAGTCGTCAAACGAGGTAGGCAATGACTTTGGCCGGCCAGAAGAGGTAGGTGGCGATGGTCGACTACGCGGCAAGGCACTAACGGGCCGCTCGCCAAGTCCCGGCATACTCTTTTTGCTGGGTTGAACCTTTGGCTTCTTTGCAAAGTCCACTTGGTAATTGAAGCTGTCGTTATTGTCCCAATAATCCTGACCATTGACCGTGTAGCGGACACAAAAGAAAAGGGTCTTGTTTTCAAGGTTGGCTTGATCGGCAAGTCTGATGGTGAAGTTGAACCGATCAAGGCCGTCAGGGTTGTTCTTGCGCCGCACATCGTTGTTGTAATCGGCTACGACCTCCGACGTGGTCTTCCAGTAGTCAAAGGTGAATCGAGCAATGACGAGTTTATTGAACGCCAAGTTCTGCACGGCAACAGTGCCGACAAGGTTCTTGTGGTCAGAGGAGAGGAACACCCTCTCCACGAAGACAGGTCGTGATTTTCTGGCTTCCAAGTCTGCAGGGAAGTTTGCGAGTCGCAGCTCCCATTCGAACGGAGAACCACGTGGCCGGGCACTGCCCTCATCGGATCCAAACGGAAACTCGTTTTCACTTTCATAATTCTCCACAGGCGAGGAACCGGCGCTGACGGCCAGCGGTCTATCGACCTGGAGAAAATGTCTGACGTGCTCCAGGTGTGAGTCGAAGTGGACAGCCTTGGAGTACGTGGGCGTCCCTGGCATGCTCGACGGGCGCCTCCGGGAAGATGGTCGTAGAGCTGGGCGAACCAGTTCGCCGGATTTCTTTCGAACCATTGGAGGGCGATCGGTAGGAGGACCATCACTGTCACTTTCATCAAGGACGGGTTGTGCTTCAAGAGGAGCGAGTGTCGGGGCAGCGGGTGGTTCGAAGACGATGCTGGATTCGGTGGATGATCGAGAGTGTGAGATCTTCCTGGCCTCCTGCGACAGAGGAGGCCGCTGCATATCCGAAGCTTGCGGCTGAGCTTGCTGTTCGCTTGCAAAGGTTACCGAGTCGGCCTTCACAGGTGTACGATCGTCGTTGTGGCCTCGATTAGGCGAGCCTTCCTTTCGTTGTTCTATTGATCGGATGGCTGCATGTAACGCTTCGAGGTTTTCCAGTTCCAGATTCCTCGGCCGCCCTCGTTCTGGTTCTTCATCGTCGCTGGAGTTGTGGGAGGATTCGGGAGGAGAGATGGTCATTCCTGCGGGTATCAACGCATTGCTCACAGGCGGAGGCGACTTGCGGAGGCTACCGTGAGGGTCAAAGGTCCCGTTTTCTTGAAAGGCCTCTCCGTTATAAACGATGTCATTCTTGACCTCGTTTAACGAGGGACTCCGACGGTGTTTGGTAAGGTAAGACGATGACCCGCTTGAACGGGGGAGACTTGGTCGACCAGACGAAGCCAGCAGCTCTGGAGAGAGGAATTGGCCCTTGATGTAGGAATGAGACCGGCTCGGGGTAGGACTAGGTTGTTTCGAAGCTGCAGGGGAAAGCTGAGCTGGAGGTGTGTAAGGCATTCGGTCAGTTGTGAGGTCCAAACACCACAACCGGGAGCTGCAGGGTAGAGCACGCTACGAGGCTCATCAAGAGCAGCCCAAGGAGGGCTGAAGAAGATTGCGGGGCGAGGACAGTCTGATATAGAAGAACAAGGTCAGTATGAAGGTCAAAGCATGGTGACAATAAAAATAAGTGTAGTGGTAGGAGCGTTGTAGACGGAGGAACAGGTGTAGGATGCAGTGCATTGTGAGGGCGGAAAGTTGGCAGACTTTCGTCAGAGCGCAGCCACGTTCGATAACGCTACCAGCACCTCTCCAGGCGGGACGAAATTGGACAACGGCCTTGCGTGAGCTGACAAAGACCTGTACAGGAAGGCACTTACCAATGCAGTAATCAAAGCAGGAGCGAGTATAGATCGCGAGTGCGGACAAGGCTTCGTTCGAGCTCGAAGTTCTAGGACGTCAAGCTGTCCGTCGCGATATGGACACAGGAGATCAAATCACACCACGGGACCAGAGATCAACCGTACAGCGTGAACTTCGATATTCCTTTCGCACTGCCAACCGTGACAGTATGCGTAAAAGTCGACAGGGACAAGAGTGCACAGGGATGACAATGCACTTGTTGTAATCCTTCTCGTGGTTTCTTTGTTCAAGTGTGAGGGATTTCCAGGCAGATCCGGGCTGTTTCGCTTATCGGCGACCAACCACACCACCAGGCAACAAGATGATATCCCAATGATTTCCTGCTTTTCGAGTGTTCCCAACTCGTATGTATATCCGGAGGTCGTCGGTTTCGTGGATGTAGGCTCGCACCGGCCTATGGGTAGAGGCGATGGGAGAAGAGGTGGTGAATTTCTAGATGGTGTAAAGGAGGAAGGACGGGTTTGGCGGGTAGATGAGGGTGGGCAGATGAAGAGCAGGCGTGCCGGGCGCCAAAGGTGTTGAGTACTAGTCTCGAGTGGCCCAGGGAGCAATCCGCTCCGGATCTACGGTGAACGACGGGCACCCGAGGAAAATGGGTGAGGGAGGGATCGATGGCCAGTGGGCAAAAGATGGCGAGGGCGCGGCTCGAGCGTAGAGGCGAGGAGTGACAAGAAGCGAGCAGGGATGCGGGATGCTAAGCTGCAGTCTGCACGCAGTCGTGGTGTAGCGCACCTGAAAAGTGGGCAGGTCGGTGGCGCAAGGATCAAGCGTCGAAGCATGCAACAGGACAAGGACTTGTCCAAGCCAATGCTGCACCTAGAAAAATTGGTGCGGGCACTAGCAATGGCGGGTGAACTTGGGGCAGAGGGTTCATGCCAATGGCATGATAGCGGGTACCTCGAGGTAGGCGGGCAGCGGGCAGGCAGGTATGGGATCAAAGAAGTCAAGCCGGGAGGCGGAGTTGTGCAACCTGAAGAGGGCGCGTGGGTGGAGATATCAGGAGTTATCTCGACAAGAGAAATCCTCATGCGTAGGTTGTTGGGGTTTGTTCTGGTCCCAGACTTGGTCCCCAGGCGTGGAGGTACCTCCTGTAGTAGTGAAGAGAGAGGTAGACTGAGAGAGAATCCAAATTAACAAGACAGAGTGCCAACAACACCACTTTTGTGTTCTGTATCTTAAAGGGTATGTCTCGAGTTGGGAGTTGCAGTTGGAATTGTCGCAAGCGAACAGACACAAAATGTGCATATGCCATAAGCAGGTGGATGGAATTCATGTGGCGGGGAGTCGGAGAAATTGGTATCGCACGGTGATGGGACTGATTAGTGCTGGGGGATCGATGATGGCAGTGGCAGCTCAATACTAGGACTAGGACTAGTATAGTAGCAGATACTACCTACTGAATTGGCTCCACTGGAGATGGCCGCATCGGGAGGAACTTGAACTTGGATGAGTTTCCGCTTGCAGTCAATTTCAGCAATCATCAGGTAGCTAGGAATTGGCGCTGATTGAGATTTTCGTCAGAACTCAGCTGTGTGCGAGCACAAGGTATCTTGGGTAAGGCTAGGTACCTGTAGTCATCCTTGCCGGAAACGGGATGCCGGTTGCGGCAGCTCGCGGGAATGTTGGTGCGTGCGTGCGAGGACACTGGGAGCCAGCGAGCGAGCGAGCGAGCGACTTCGGGCTGCAGTGGTTGGAAGACGAAAGCACGATTCCAGGTTTCGTGCCAGCGGTTGCTGGGTGCGGACAAGATTTCCTCGGTGCCAGGTACTAGTCCTTTAGGTGCCTTCGTAGGTGCCATATAACTGGGCGTGGCTTAAACGCACCGCTAGTACATGTACTACCTAGGTCAGCCCCTAATGTGCCTGCCTATCTTACCGACCAGGTAGGTACCAAGGCAGAGGTTGCTTGCTAAGGTACTACTACTATAGTAGTACGTAGTACGTTCTACTGTTATCGCTTCCCTCCGCCTCTACCATCACACTGCACAGCAGAAGAAGAAGAAGATCATTATCATTGTTCTACTGGATATCTGGGTAAATACGTATGTCTACGTAACAGACAGACAACTGGCAGGTCGCCACCCCCATGTGCCGCCCACTGGCACCCCAGTACCACAACATCAGCAAGGCTGTGGACCTGTCCTGTAGCTGCATGGAGTCCACTGTCCAATAACAGTAGTTGGTGTCCGGTGCAGAAGGAGTAAAGACAAGGACGCTCAGGAGTCAACAGGAGCTGCCGTGCTCCCGTCGAATGACCAACACCAACACCGTTCCTGCTGTTACATCCCAGGCCCTCGTGTTTTTTGCCCAAAATACACTGCCATCTGGGATCCTGTCCTGGCAACAGTAATTAAACATTAAACCCCAGGCACAGTCAGCAATAATGCCGTTATTTCAGCCCCCATTCTATGATAGGTATCTTACATCGGTGGTCCTGGTTATAGTTTTCTATCTGTGGCTTTGCGGCCTCCGTGCACAGCGTGCATTCCAATAAGTCATCGTCATAGATTTCCATCCTGGCCCCCCCCGATTCCTCGATCCGTCCGTGCTCTTTCCTTCAAGCTACAAGCAGACAGGAACTTCCCCATATTCCCCATTTGCCGCTTCTCCTTTCCCCCTGCCTGAGGTACGTACCTGAGGTAAGCTTTCCACCGTTTGAATCATCCTGCCAGTGCTGCGACACAAAGTCAAGTCCCCCCACACACTAGGTGTCATCCAGTACTTAGCCCTTCCCCGCCTGCGGCCCCCTGTAACCAATCTCTCAGCACAAGAGAACTCCCTCTCAAGGCAAGCTGGCACTGGGCGCGTATCCTCCCAACAATAACACTGCGTATAGGGATTTTTCTGTATCTACGCGTACTTTTCCTCGGACGGACGAGCCGGATGCCTGGACGCCTGTACCACTCCGCAGTCTCAGTCTCTGACAACGCACTGACGTCCTCGTTCCCCCGCAAACCGAGGGGATATCCACCGCATCTCTGGGAAACCATTACGACTATGGCCTGCTACAAGACTCCTGGCAATCATTCTGTGGGGGAAGCGATGATCTAACTGGGTTTAAGAAGAAAGGCAACACAAAAGGACCATGAAAGTCTATTCGTATGTGAGATGGAGCGCCACTACAAGACCCAACCCTATATTGCAATTAGCACAACAAACTGTTTCGCCCTCTCTCCAGCAGGCTGTTTGGTGCGCGTCGGTCAGAGACTTTAATGGTCTAATGGCTGGTGAAACACCGCTTGCGCCATCGGGCTAGGTTTGTATGAAAACGCGCTTGAACGCTGATCCTTCTACGAAGGCCAGTGACGAATCGCGAAGGAGAGGCCGCGCTTGCTTCTGCGGAGGTTTCTCGAACTACCAGTGGGAGATGGTCAGTTTCAGCTAATGAATTACAGCATAGTACACAACTTCCCAATCGATGACCAGCTCAACAAGTATACGTCAAGCATATAACTTATACGCTACCAACATCCAGGATATCGTCAGAGCTAGTGTATTCATCGAGAGCAGCTCTCCGTACCTCTCAGCTGTAAATCACTATGGTGGGCAATGGCCCACATGGGAGTGGGTTGAATTGCATAACCAATGGCTTGTTCAGCGGCCACGATGGGCAACGCCGCAGGTCGACTTTTATGCGGACTGGGTGCAACGAAAACACGGTTCTCCGTCTTTCCCAGTCATGACAGCTCTCTACAAGATCCAGGTCTGGCTATCAAACCAGTGATTGCCCCGGCTTCCTGCGGACCGTCCTGCTGTCAATCTATTAGGGCGGTGAGGACGCATGGCTCCAATCACGACTCGGGCTTGTAGCTTATCGGAACCCTCTCTGCATACACCAACATCGGACGGCGCGATTAATTTATCAGGTTGTCCACTCCTGGAATTTGTCGGCATGCTTTTCTTTGGTCCCAAGTCTCCCCCAAAGGATCACTCCGCTTGTCGCAGTCCTTATCGCGGCCCATCGGCGATCGGTTCTCGTGGCACGTATATTGTCACGACGAGAATAGAGCCGTTGCAAATATCGCTTTCAATTCTGCCATGGTCAACCAACATGGCGTAGAAAAGCTGCTGCCCTTCTCCCTGCTGCCCGAGCACTTTCTTCGCTGGCAGCACGCTCCCCGTGAGTCATTCAAGTGTTGACTGTTGATAGAGAGTTGCGCTGTTGAGGGACCTGATCGGTATGCAGCAACCCCCACGGCGAGAGAGCGGTCAGGATAGCAGCAGAATCTAATCAATCCGACGCGTGGCAATGGCTGACTACTTCTTAGTAAGACTGTGGCAAAGTTCACGTCTTGCACATCCCGAACCAGCACGCTCCGAATCACAATTCAGTGCGACCGGTCTACTGGGGCGCTCGCTTCGACAGCCTACCTATACGTACCTAAATCGTTGAATGTCTTTGCCTACCTACTACAAGGGCGTATTCGTTCCTATATTTGCCGACATTATGCCTGATCAACGTCCCGGCAGGTGAAAATATGAAAATCTTCAAAACACCAAGAGTCGGTAGCTACTGCGAAAGTGGTCTGATTCTGACCTAATCCGGCAACCCATTCCGATCCATAGAGGTGTAAATCCTCAGACCACAATCGGAGTTCGACCACAATTGCTGCTAAACCTTCTTTCGCCATAGTTGAAGGGTGGATGATCTTTGACGTTTGACCCATCTCCTCGTCGCGTCAAGTCCGGTGGTTCTCGCTTGAAAACCAGGGGCTTGGCTATCCCTTTTTGGCGGGTACCTTTACCCTGAACGATGTTGTTGCTGAGAAAGATTCTTCTGACGAAAGTCAACATTACATTGTTTCGTCCTCCTCCCGGTGTGGGCGCATGCCATCAGATGGTTTCCAGGCTGATGCAAGACTCTATGCCTTTTAGAGCTTGTGCCGGAGCTGGGAAGTTCCTTCATCTCGGTGATCAGTGACCAAGCGCATGGGCCGGCTTTGAAAGAGGAGACTTAACTACTCCCACGCTGGAATAGCAGGCACCACTCCGATGGGTCGGTCATAAGATGTCTAGGAGTAATCACTGCCTGGCTACCCACGTTTTGACACTACGTACGTACTACCGCCGGTCGATATGTTCTCGACCGCATCTATCTTGGATGGCCCTGGTCTTGGGCCTTCGAAGGGCCGCTGACTGGGTAACTCTCCTATCGGAGCCGTGAAAGACAACACTTTGTGTGTTTATGCAACATTATGCACGACATCGGCCTGACGCCTTCTCATGCTTCAACAGGAAGCGTGCATCGATGACCTTCCCAGTGAGAAGTGAGTCATGGCGACTGTCATGTCGAACATGTGGACGTCCCCGCGCGCCGCAAGAAGTCTTGCAGCTGCATTTGGAGCCTAGGGTCCTGGGCCTAGCTGAGTGAACGTAGACCAGCTGCAAGCCTGACCTTTTAGCCGCCACAACATCGTTCTCATGCGATCTGAAGCACACTCACAAACCGACTCCTGTAATTTGCCTTGCGCAAGTTACCTTCAAAATTGGTCATCCATGCCTGGTAGCTACGCAATTGATTCTTGCCTGTTCAGGGTCTACTGATCGACTGTACCTGGGGCAAATCCCTTGCGCCATTGGAAAGGTTATCGCAGACCCTGCGCCGGGAGACTGAAGATGGTGTGACAACCGTGGTCGTTATACGCTTTCCCCCCAGGGTTCAGGGTTCAACCTTGCGTGCAGGCGTTGGCCGTCCGTTCTGCTCGCCTAATCATTTAGAGCTTGTCCATCCATGTTGCGGCTGCAGGTGTCGATACTTTTCGCCTGCAAATCAAGGGTGAGGATACACACGATCGCCGCTTGATTGAAACACCATAGGTACTGATTGTGACTTCTGGCTTAAGCTGGCCAACATAGCAATGCTACATCGTTATCATCAGCAATCCTGACATAGAACCACCTCGCAGTAACAGACTGCAGATGTAATTGGTATCGAGGAGTTACTATCGCAAGTAGATCGCTCACGCATGTCGAGAACGTTTCTGGATGAATCATGTCGCACTGCAATCCACATTATGTAATCTTAGTCATTAAAGCACCGTGTCATATGACTTGCGGAGTAACTAAAACTCCGAGCTCCGCAGGAAGAAACTGCGCAGGCAGCCAAATCATCCACTCTCTGTATTTCAACGGCATCAAGTCTTCCTCACTGCACACTTGAATCCTGGTATGTTCTTCCAGCAATAGCCCGATACGGAAGAGTCTTGTCGCTTGTGGCTTCAAACTCTGAGACACGCGCTGAGGACAATCTCAAGTCCTGCGTGGCGAATTGCATTCTATTACGGCATATCCAATTTTCAATCCCTGGAGACATTCCCAACGTTCTTTTGCCCTGCACTCCATCTTCCTCCTTCCTCCCTACTCCAGTCTCCAGTCTCCAGAATCTTGTACGGACCGCGAACTCTGCTGCAACCCTCACCGCGATGTCTCCACTGAGGCGAGTCTCGACCTCTGTGCCCGATGCAGCCATGATGAAGTCCAAAGAGGCGGTGTAATACTCCGCAAAGTGCGAGGATGTGATGGGAAATGGCAGGCCCCAACAGATGCACATTACAGTGTCTCGTTTACGAGACTCACTAAAACAACCTGGTCTTGAGGCCAAGTGTTTGAACGCTGGAAAGAGTTGGCCCCTGGTTTTACTCCACTTCCAGGGCTTCTGCAAATGCAAGCACCGCGTGCTCCTTGCTTGATAGCAGGGCTCCTTGCACGCCACACTCGCACCATCGCTCGCTCGCTGATACTAATTGATCCGACCACATAACTACCGCCGAACATGCCTCCCTGGGAGCCGGAGAGCCCCGTAAGTTCAAAATCCGAAAATATGCCGCTTGTCGCCGACCTCAGCTGGCCGTGGCCGCAGCTTCCTTCATGCTGCTACTCTTGCATACTGTACGACAAGAGGGGTAAGACGAGACAAACGACCGGTTAAAGGCGCCTTGTCCCTCACAAAAGTGTTGGGACAGGATTCCTTGCTGACCGCTGCGTTCAAGATGGCGGGGTGCAGACGTTGCCCCACGCCGCTGGGCTCCTGGTCGCACTCGAGACTCGTGTCCGGTTCGATGACTGGACACGCGTATATGGCATGTCAGGGTTTGACATGTGAAAGTGTTCTCTGCTGTTCAGCCAGAACAACAACGTCCTCCCTACACCACGACGCGCAGCTCCCAAGCACAACCCTTAACCGCAGCAGGAAACATTATGGAAGTTCGGGGTATATTTGGACCCCAATTGACCACTGCAGACTCCTCAAGACGCTACAGAACCCCATGCTGGGACCCTCCCAACGGTACACAGTATGTTTCAGAGTATCCTTGAACCCAGAACACCCTTCCCTCCCTCCAGGTCCCAACCCCGCGTGATACTTACCCTTGACTCGTTCAGGGGGTACGGACTGGTTCATCCCGTTTGAGGTGATCGGCGCCCTTCCCGTGGCCCATAGGGCTCAGCGTTTGGGGTGCACATAGCGCCGTCAAATCGTGCTCGCCCTTGGTCGTCAAAGAACAGGGTTCAGGCACTCGATCAACAAGAAGATTCTCGATGCATCATACGCCTTAGAAGCCGCGTGTGGCCACATCGGGCACAGTTGCCGTCAAGAAACATGGACCGTTCTCATGGCTCGTCAATGCGGTGATCTGCAATCGTTCACACCTCCAGCAACCTAATGCTCCAATCTTTAACCCAACGTCCATCATCCCTTACAACAGTGGCACCGCAAAAGTGATAGGTGCATACCTGGGAGGTAAGCAGTCCGTGACGTGGTGCAACAGGCGTTCGCGTTCGACGTAAGTGTACTTACCGCCTATTAAAGTTGTGAAGGACGCCCCTATCAAGATCTAATAGTACTTCTTCTTCTATAGGGTGGCTTCCTAGGAGGTAGGTAGTTAATAAGGACGATATAATAGACGTCCTCCTATAATATAAGTATACCTACCGCCGAGTAAAGCTATAGAGGGCACCTCTATTAAGATCTAATAGTACTACTTCTTCTAGAGGGCGGCACACTAGGAGATAAGTGTTAGGGTTCATGCAGAAGCAAGCAGGGCATGAGATCCAACAGGAGCTAAGGGCCAGGAAAGGCAGGGTTGCCGAGGAAGCACGTGAGAACCTTGCAAGGCAAGGCTAGGTTACGTAATATAATTAGTATAATTAGCCTTCATTAGTCGTGATTAGTGACTAAGCACGCTGAGCGTACTAAGTACGACTAAGTACTACGAGTCTCTTATATCTATATAGTCTTCCATTCTATAGCAGTTTATAGTCTCTCGTAGTCAACTTCGTTCACAAGCTAGACGTTACCATCGCGTTGATAGCTTTCGTTCTGACTTACCCTTGTGCCCTGGAATACTGTCCTCCTGCCTTCCCACATATCAGGAAACCCTGATCGATATCGTGACCCCGAGGAACGATTCGTGACATATAAGGTTAATATAAGAGGCGTTCCCCTTCAATATAGGTATACCTAATGTCTATTGAAGTTGTGAAGGGCACCTCTATCAAGATCTGGCGGTGCCACCTATATTGTATGGTAGCCCGCCCGCACTATATTGTCTCTAGCCTGTGATGTCTTCTTTGAGCATGGCGGTCAGCTTTCGAGCATATTCCTTTATTCTATCTATGTCTCAGACTACCCCTGTGAACGTGCGCGATGCCTGCCTTGGATCTCTTGATCCGAGCAGACCGGGACCTTCCCATCCTTCCGCATATTGAAGAGAAACGCCCCATCCAAGTGTGTATACATTCATGCGTGCGTGCGTGCGTGCGTGCAAACGTGCGAGACGATGTAGCCGAACCCCTGGCAATAGAGGCTAGAAAAGAGACACTAAAAGCAAAGAAAAAGCAAAGAAAAAGCACCACAATTCAGTTTCCCGGCCCATAAACCTCGATCCTCCGAACCCAGACCTTGAATTTCTCTTCGACTTTGATGTGCGCGTTCGTCGAATGTGCAGCTCCATTTCCATTTCCATTTCGGCCTTGTCCTCCACATCCACCTCCACCTTGGCCTGCCAGATTGTCTTCCTTCGTGACAACTCGTTCGAAGCTCTCCTCACGGCTCCAGAGACCCCAAGATCCAAGCATCTTCAAAATCTGTTCGACCGCATCTTCTTCGAGACGACGGTAGCCTTCGTTGCGGAAGCCAGGGAGAAAGGTCGCGTGCCATGCCATGTAGATGTCCTTTGCGTGGCGGTTGGCTAGGACTGGGGTTGTGAAGTGCTGGACTTCATGGGGTGAGATCGTACTGATGGTAGTAGTAGGACGAGCTTGAGAGCGAGAATGATCGTGAGAATCGGAGACAACAACATCTCTCATCGGAGAAGAAGATCGAGGAGAAGGAGGATCTTCGCCGAACAAGTCGATGTCAGTTTCGTCCTGTTGATGTTGGTGGTGGTTCCCGAGTCCTGGTAGTGGTAGAGAAGGGACACCAGAGCGCTGCTGCTCGTCGTGGTTGTCATGTTCAGATCCATCACCCACTGCCCCGACAGGTGTGATAGTCTTCTCCCAATAGACGGCATAGAGAAACTTGTGCTGAGCTATCGTTCGTGCTTTGGCAGATCGATAGGCCTTCTTGTCTAGTTCGACAAGTTCCTTTTCGATCCACACCCTCGCCTCGACCGTCACATCCTCGCCGACCATCAGGTGCTGCTCGATCAGGCCATCACGGTATGCCACGTCCAAAGACCAGTGGCCGGCATCGATGCCGCCGGCCGGAGGGAATTGTCGGAGGACGCTTTCAATGATCTTGGCTACCATGGCTTTGGCGCTGGCTGGTTTATATGTCGTTTTGAAGATATATGTGTCGGCATCTTTGTAGATCTCGATGCCAGCGAACGCGCCCATGACTGTGTATTTGAAGACCTGGCGACTGGTTTCGTCGTCTTCGGAGTCGTCATCTGCCTCATCTCCTGACGAGGATACTTCTGATGAGTCCGTGGCAGAGGCTTCGTGGTCTGCCATGTCTTCGACACCGACTGTACCAGTGTTGCTTGACTGCTCTAGACCCGGAGCTGAGGCTGGCTTCTGCGACGCTTGTGCATGCTTGTTCTGCATTCTTTTCAACAGTTCCGGGTCGAAACGCTGGGTGCTGGCCGATGGAGTTGTTGGCTCGGGCGGAGGCTGCCTCTGTTCGGAGCGCTGCAACGCATGTGTTCTGCTCTCAAGCTGTCTTGAATCTTCAAGGCGGTTGATCTCTTCCATGTCCTGGTCGATTTGGACTTCTTGAGTCGATACAGGAAACGACGAAGGTGCCGTGAACCCCGATGTACTTGCTGTTGCCATTTTTGGTGCAGCCATTCCAGCGCCAAAGACATACTGCGCACCGTCATCTTCCTCGCTCTCGCTATCACTATGATAGCGCTGTTGAGGCTGTGAACAACGTGGTGCATCATGCCCGCCGGGCAAATCGATGACCTGGCTGTCCTCTGCCTGCCGAGGGGCAGCGGCATCATCAAAAAGTTGCAGCTTGGCCTCGAGCATGTCTTGAAGCCGGTCTTGGTGGGCATGCTGAGCCTGCCGTCGATTCTGTGTGGGATTCACACTCCGTTGAGAATGTCTGACCTGTCTGATGGACGTGCTGGTGTCGTCTGCATATTGATCTCCCACCACAGACCGGGTTTGCTTGTCGGCTCTGTTCCTCCTCTTGTCCTTCTTTGTTCGTGAATTGTGCCGTTTGGTGGAGTATGAGGTGCGCAATGAGCCAAGTTCATTGATCCGTTCTTCGACTTTGACGAGCTCTTCCTTCACAAAGTCCAGGTCAGACTTTTTGAAGACTCTGTTCGTCCAAGCTGCCACGTCAGCCTCGCTCGGTTCTTCGTATCCGACAGCTCTTCTTCGCATGTTGTCTCTGATGTGTTGGATCCGAGGTCTTTTCATCTTGCCGCACATGCCCTGCTCGATCACGACAGAGAGATACTTCTGGACTTCATCCAGCTCTTTATGGTCGAGATCGGAGAATTCTCCAAGACATCGTAACTGGGCAATGGCTAGAGTGACTCGCTCGATCATCTCCAAGTCTCGCTTTCTTTCCTTTGCGATTTCATGCTCGACAATGGCTTTTTTCTCCTCTTCATCGTATGTGTCAAACTTGATTGGGAGTGTCAGCCCGCTTTTCTGGGTTGACGGTGCTGTTGTCGCGCTTGAAGATCGTTGGGCTGATCTGACAGTTCTGACTTTGTTGTTTTCAGCGGCAATTTGTAGTCTCTGTTTCGCAGAGAGCGTAGTGAGCCCTGGCGCATGTCTTCCCGCGACAGATGATATTGGTGTCTCGCTTGAAGATGGCTGTGGTGAGGTTACAGCTGTCTTCATATCATCGCGCGACTCAACGTTGTCTCTCTGTTTCGCAGAGAGCATCTCAAGGCCGGAAATGCGTCTTGCAGGGGCGGACGATATTGTTGTCGCGTTTAGACATGGTTGCGGTGCTGCTGTAGTCGTCTCGTTGTCTTTGTCTGGTTCGACATCGACCTTCTGTTGAGCGAGGGGCATGTCAAGCTCGGACAAACGGTTGATAGGGGGGACGGATGGTGTTGGTGCGTGTGGATTTGGCCGCGGACATGAGATGGTCATGGTCTTGTCTTTGTCTGGTTCGGTATTCTCTCTTCGCTTCGCAGATAGCATCTCAAGCCCTGAGGCACGATTACCAGATGGGTGTTCATTGACGCCTGATTGATTCACAGTCTGGGGTACTCTCGGTTTTGGCGCTAAATTGACGCGACATGTGGTATCAGGCATTGTTGTTGGTGTTGTCTGTATACCAGTCGGCTCTCTAGACCTCAAGTCATCCCCAGTGAACTGGTTGTCCAATCTTGGGGATCTCACGCTGTTATACATCCCTCTTTTCACACCGTGATCCGTGTTTGTCAATTCACGAAGTCGCGCTTCTCTGTTCTCCTGCGGAACACCATGAGGATTGTGCAATGGCTGCTCCTGCTGGGGCTGAGTGTTCACATGGCGGCTTTGTGTCCGATACTGTTCAGCCGCAATTTGGGAGGCTGGGTTGATGGCATTTGGATCGGACCTGTGACGGTGCATTCTGTTACAGGCCGGTGTTAGCTGAATTCACGTTCTGACTTGACTGATGGACAACATACTTCAATGTGTCTCTCTCTTTGACCCTGGAGGACTGCGAGTTCTGGAAGACGTGTTGCTTCGCAATATCCAATAGCTTTTCCATGTTGGATCCATGTTGTTCACCTTCGGAGTACACGTCGGACAATTTCTCATGAACACCAACGTTGCCATTCAATGCCGGTGGGGCCAACTGCTGCTCTTGTTGCTGCTCCTCCTGACGCTTGTCTGTATTGGCTGTCACAGAGCTGCCTGAGTGATCTTCATACTGTCTTCGTGCCAGGTTTCGTTCCCGAAGCTTCTTACTTCTCTCGGCTGCTTCTTGTTGATCTCTAAGCATCCATTCCCTGGCCTCCTGAAGATCATCGTTCTCATCATCAGAGACCTGGGCAGAGCTGATTGACTCCTCGATTGTCGCAAGAGGTTTTGCCAGAACGATGTTTGATCGCTGGAGTGTGGCCAATGTTTTGACCATTTGTTCTTCCTTCTGGTCTTCTGTGAGATCACTGCCATTGGATGGGGGACTGACGACATAGGAGGCATAGCCTTCATCGAAAAAAAGGCATGATGAGTCTTCGTCATCCTGGAAAAAGCTGAGATTATTTGGTTGTGGGCGGGCAAACCTGGCATCTGTTTGCGTCGATGTAGAAGCTTCAAGTGCGGGTTGTTCTCCCATGTTCACTTTCTGTTCGTCATCAGTCTCTGTCGCCGAGCTGACTTCTTCGGCGATCTGGAGAGCTCGAGGAGTTGGAACTAATCGCCGCTTTTTGTTCACTGATGCCCGAGCTGGAGAAGGAGCACGCTTTGCAACAGGTCGAGGAACAATCTGGGCAGAACCGAAAGACTTTCGAACCGTGGTAGACTCGTAGAGACTGTCAGTTGAGTCTACAAGTCGCCAGGCTTGGACGTTGGCCACCTGAAAGCGCACTGTCTCTCTGCTTTCTACAGGTGGAAGGCGTTGATATCCAATGGAGGGCCCAGGAGGTCGACGTAGACCTTGCTGCCTCAGCCCTGCTTGTTGAGAAATGCCGACGCCATGAGCGTCAGGCTTGGACACGTTTGCACCCATATTTGTATTCTTGAAAATGTAGCTCATAGTCTGTGAACCCGATCCGGAAGAGTGAGGCAAGAGGCGTGGTGATCAAACGGTTGGCATGCAGCCAAGGGGTTTCTTCGAGCAGAATGTAACAGCTCAGGAGAGTGCGACGTGAAGTGTGGTAATAAGATCGGTTGCCTGAGAGACAAGGGGTATTCTCAAAACTGAAGAACCCAGAAAGAGAAAGTCCCAGCAGAGCGTGATGTAGTGTGGAGAGAGACGGGGAGGTGACGCGACGGTGAGGTTTCGTGATAATAAAGTCTCGCGACTATGAAATTTTGTAACCGTAAAGTTTTGAGAATCTGCGGGCTTCAGATCAGACCGATGATCTTATTTCGAGAGCAACAAGGCGGCGAGGTGATGGCGAGAGGCAATACCAGCTGACGGTCTTGATATTTGAAAGGATGATGTCTTAGGTTGTGCCAAAGTGGTTGGCCATCAGCGAAGAGATATTGGAGAAGACGGAGTTGTTGATCGGAAAGTGAACTGCGACAAAAAGAGTCAACATATAAGCAGGGGATATGCCGCTAAGAGTGCAGTGAATTGTCACCCAAGAGTCATGCTAGTGAAGTGTAACGATCTTCAACTGCCATCGACGCAAAAGTGATCATTTGGACAGCAAGAATGAGATGTGAAAGAAATGAATGCCACTTACAGCTTATGCTCACATAGTTGATACCACTTCTAGGCCGGTGGTGGGCTGCGATAGCTTCGAACGAGGGTTTGTCAGTGGCACAGAGTCAACTTATCGAGCAACGATACTTTAGTCGGGTGGTTTGAGGGGAGACAGGAGCAGAGTTGAGGTAAGTAGGTGAAGTGATAAAGATCCTTGAGTACAGTTTCTGTTTGTCAGTCACCATGTTCAACCATGAAAACCACAATCGATGGCTTTGCTTGAATGTACCAGCCGCAGTCCACCTCCATATGATGTCCGTCTTGTTCCCGGAAGGGCCAAGTTGCAGGATATCAAGATGAAAACAGTGTCTTCTGAGCCAGAAGACAAAGCGAACTTCGGTCCAATAGCCCCAATAGGGGTAGCATGCCTGACTTTCGATGCTGTATATTGGACATCAGCAACGATGTTTCCAGACACATTGCTTGTGTGATATATCTCAATTGGATTTCCGTGCCACAGGGTTGGAAATATGGAAGCTGCCAATGGGTTGTGGTAGTGACAAAGTATATTGCATGGGCATCAAAGTCAACATAATGAAGCAAGGCTGAGGACGAAAAGGGGCCAATACGTGAGCCCCAACTGAGCACATCTCCATGGCGGACTCTTGGGGTGGATTCACGGGTCTGGATGGACGTATCGAGTGAGAGACCGTTCGCTGAAACTCCTACAGAGAGCCACACCCAACCACTGGAGACCGAGTCATGTCTCTCTTGAACGTCAGGGAACGGTCGTTTATGGGCTGTAGACAATGTCCTCTCTCACACAGCGGTTGCAGAAGGACGTTCCCTAGATCTTTCGTTTCTTTGATCTCGAGTAGTTGGTCATCGTTCGATTCACATGAGGTGGCAGATAAATCCGGTTGGGAAGTGAGGTAGACTTCTTGTCTGTCAGATATCCAGTCCTCAAGTGGTGAGTCCTGTCGAGGCCAGTACGGTAGTGCCTAAGCAACTTTGCAAGCAGCGAAAACAAGATATCTTAAGCCACATATACTTCCCTACTAATATATATCCCAGAACACTGGCCTTGGCAACCCAAACCACAAGTGAACATGGTTGCGAGCCCGAACACGATCGAACAGCACGGGATCGCAAAAAGGAACCTGGCCATTTCGAGAGGAAGCCTGTTAGACGATGATTAAGCCCCTCCATAGAATGAGATAGCTCGCAGGAGGTAGGGGTCGTTAGGAAGACGGAGGCATCGTGAAGATGAGATCTGCCTAGGTGCACACCAGCATTCAACCTGATGACAATCTCGCGGCCAAGAGGTGTACAGAGTAGACGTCGAGAATGGGCTAAGGAGGCATCGCACAAACCCATTAATACGAATACACCCAACACCACGAGGACAGAAGAGCTGATTGGGTACCACTAGAGTCACCAGATCGATATCAAGTACCCATGAAAGTCAAGTATAGATGTATGGATTGCTAGGAGGTAAGTAAATAATACTAACTCCTTGTATGTCGTTGAAGTTGAAGTTGACGAGGGAGGAATATGGCTCGGCAGACCTTCCAATATTTCTTAGTACCTGATAAGATAACGGTCAATCTGCACGACGCGTTAAGTTGAGAAAGCGCGTCGTCCTTTCAGTTGAGAAGCACAGCGTTAAACACCCATCGCTCGATCCATCCATGCCTCGCAAATAGTCTCAGCTTGGAGCCTGGAGTACTTTACCTTCCAATAACACTTCTAATAAGTGGTTCTCCTGGACCTTCCAGTCCATTACAGAACCATGTCCTCCACCACTTTCGAGCCACAACCTCTCATCGCACCGCTCAACGACCGCGCCTTGGCTGCCCTCGAGAACCTCGCCAGCGGGGACAGCACGCTAGGCACTCACGACAAGAAACTGCGTGACCATCTCCTCGCGGCCGTGGACCAATTGACCGAACTCACGGGGCGACTCAACGACCGAGCATACGAACGCAGAGTCCGGCACGAACGGGAACAGGCGCGGCGGCGACAACAACGACAAGAACAGCAGCAGGATCGAAGAGATGGAAGCGCCACGAAAACAGAGTCGAATGTGGCCGACGATGCAGAGGCCAACGCCGAGGCGGACCAGGCACATCAACAATTCCAGCAGAAAGCCGACACCCTGACTAAAAGAATGGACCTGAGCATCCGCGCGGTCATCGACGATCAGACCTGGCTAGACGATCTTCCAGCAACGATTCAGCAAACAGTGACTGCAGCGCGCAACTCGTCGTCCCAGACCCAACAAACACAAACGCAGCAAACGCTCGGTCCGACGCCCATGCAATCGGCGCGGCGGAGCAGCGGCGACAACGTTGATGGCGATGGCGATGGCGAGGATGACGACAACGACAACGACAACGAAGAACGAGAACAGAAACCAGCCACCCAAGCGGACGCCATGCAAGATGTCGAAACACCACATATACTCCTCGCCGCCGCATTACAAGAGCAGAGCCGGACATGGACATCCAGGACCCTGACTGAAAGGTACGCCCACCACAACGACTACAAGGGCTTCTACCGCGTGCTGTACGACGCCAAACACCCCGGCGAATCTGCGCCCCCGATGCCCGACGAGCGCCTATGGTTCGCAGCCGAAGAAGGACGCGAACTGATCTCGACTCAACGGGCGGCACGCCCCCAACGGCACCACACCTCCAACAGTACCAGCCATGCGCAACGACGACATATTGGAAACGGAAACAGCCAAAACACCGACAATGACGAGGAAGAAGACGATGACGACGACGAGATCGAAATCGCCTCGGAAAGCGTCCGCATCAAATGCCCCATCACATTCCTTCCCTACGTCGACCCCGTGACATCGCTGAAATGCAACCACTCGTACGAGAAATCCGCCATCCTGTCCATGCTCAGCACAGCACACGACCACGCCCCGTACACCCCCGACCAGCTGGCCGAGTTGGACCGGATCGATCGACGCAGCGACCGGGCCCGGCGGGAGCGCGAAATACGTGTTCCACAGGTCAAATGTCCCGAGTGTGACGTCTCCTTGACGGCGGCGGATTTGAAACCCAATCCGGCGCTGAAGAGACGCGTCCAGCGACTTCTGGCGAAGGCGCAACGACGGAAACGGGATGGCGACATTGCCACGACTAGCGATGTTGATATGGATGATGATCAGGATGATCAGGATGATGAGGTGAACGTGGAGGTGGACGTGGAGGAAGACCATGATGCTGAGGACCTTGACGCAGGCTCTGCGGGCGCCGCTACTGCGAGGAAGAATCTGAGGCCCTTGAAGCGTGAGCGGACTGCTTCCGTGATTCCGCAGACTCAGTTGTCTACCTCCGGCATGGCGCAGAGCGCTACGCCGTCACGGACTCGACGGGGAGCGGGTAATGCTTTGTCGGCGGCAGCAGCAAGCTCGAGATCGCGTTCTGATATCCTCGATGTGGAAGAGGATGATCTTAGTTGAACATCATGGGTCTCATAGCGGATATCATGTGTGTCTGTACGGCTAGGAGATTAAGTACAGCCAGGCAAATTCAAAAGCGTCTCTGTGGCGAGTCACCAATAGAGATCGCAATTACGGGCTGGTTTGAGTGGTGAATTGACAACAAGTAGAGTTCGAGGAAAGAACACTGTTTTCTCTGTGGAATGCTAGCTATAAGGCAAACTTCCTGCTTTTGGATCAAGGAACGAGCAAGCTCTTCCCTTTTGTCACTCGTCCGAATCGTAGTCATCGTCTGGCAAGAGACTTCGGTACCGCCGACTGGCCAGGTCTTCCTCGAGACCGCCTTCGCTTTCGGGGTCAATGTAGCCTGTCGCTCCAAAGTCAGTCAACCGTCATCATCAATCACCATGAAGGACAGGTCAAAAACTTACCGTCTCCACCAAAGAAACTCAATGCCACCGGAAGGAAGATCAACGCATGTGTGCTTGCGAGGATCACCAACGCCAACCAGATGCGGAAGTAGTAAATCTCAAAGATTCTGCTCCGGGTGAACGCCAGTACTGCCACACCCAGGAGCTTGGTAATTGTGATGCCGCTGAAGACACTCCCCCCGACGTTGACCAGTGCAGTCCATGCGCGAAGATCCTTGCCCCGGAACTTATGCCTCGCTCGCTCCATGACCGACTTGCTAGGAAACATGAAGGCGCGAGCAATGTGGGCGCAGAACTCCACCCCAATACCCACGCATATCACCAGATTGACCAGAGACACTGCGTTGAGAGATACATTGGCCACCGCCATAACGCCAATGATGTCCACCACAATCATGATAACTGTCACCGCGACGACAGCTCCTGTCATCAATGAGCCGAGTAGCAATGAGCCGAGAATGAAGATGATTGCGACGGCGACACATAGAAGAGTCGCAGTCAAGCGAATGATGCTGCTATACTGATCGAAGAAGATGTAGTGCTTGCTATACGGGAACACATCGATGTTGTGGCGTTTGGAAATATCGTGCGATATTCTTCTGGCCGCAGCATATGACTGGATGAAGTCGTCCTGGCCCTGTAGAGGCGTGTGGAAGGTCCGGAAATGGCTGGCCGGTGTGTTCGTATTGTTTTTGTCAATAACCAAAGCGTTGGAGTATGCGGCTTGTCCACCATTGGGACAATCCTCGTCCGTTGGAGCATGGAGCCACTTTGTGGCATAGTAGACGAATTCTTCTCCTTCCGGCATCCCGTTGAGGGTGATGTTCCATTCGCCCTCGCCAAAGCATGTCTCTCCGTTCTCGTTTTGACAGCAATCGGAGATGGGGTTTAGCCAATAGAAGAAGTCGTCAAGCCAACTGGCAGTCGCTGCATCGATGTAGCTCACGTCGGGTCGCTTCGATTCTTGTTCCAAGATGTAGGACAGCGAATACTCGTCACAAGTGGTGAACCTGCCACAGAGTTGCTGCTGATGCTCTCTTCCGGTCACGTTGACATCGCGTGTGACAAAATAGACTGGCGGACCGGATCCAAAGTAGTCGTACAGGTCATCGAAATATTGAATCATGTACGAGTCGGACGGGATTGCAATTCTTTGGTCAAGGCCAAGCTGAACCTTGGGCATCAAGGCAATGCCTGCGGCGAGGAGAGTGACGAAGAAAGTCATGACGAAGGTCTTGACCTTCTTGTCGAGCAAGCCGGGCGCATACGTCTTGCGAATGAACCGCTGCAGCCAGCCCTCCTCATCGCTGCCGAAGAAATGACCGCCAGGCATACTGACCGAATTGGCTCCCCTGACTGTGACAAATGGGAAACAATCGGCTCGAAGACTCTCGACGCGGCGTTGGTTGAGCGCCAGGACTGAGACAAACATTGTCACCTGCAATATTGCATTAATGAGCACTGCACCTGCAGCATATGCTGCAAAATTCTTGACCGCAGGCATTCCAACAAATGCTCCCATGGCGAAAGCAATCGTCTCGGTCGATGCCGACAAGAGAATGCTGGGGCCCATTCGTCCAAGAGCTTTCGCCACACGCTCGTCGATCTCCTCGTCAGGATGGCTGACGTTGACGCGTTCGAATTCATGAACGATCAGAAAGATGTTGTCGACGCCGACGGCGAGGACCAAGAAAGGAATGACTTCGGCAATAATCAAAGTGACTTTGACTCCAGCGGCCGAGAAAAGCCCAACGGAGCCAGAGACGGACATCAAAACGATCAGGATGCCAGCCACGCCCAGGGTGAACTTGGATTGCACAAAAGCATTCGCAGAGTTGCTCAGGAAAGACGAAATGGAGAGGCTCGCGGAACCTAATGCCAGCGACGCATAGATGAACATGACGACGTAGCTGATCGCCACGATCTTAGCGTCTGTGTTCGTCGATTTGTTCAGCTCCTCTTCCAAACTGATTTCTGTGTTGAAGGACAACCGCAGACCTCGAGCTTGGGCAGCTTCTTGATAGATTAGTAGATCATGCTTGAGAGAGCGCTCCCACTCCTCAGCTCTGGCCTCCGCCTGTGTACCGGGCTGATCATTGTTGATAACCCACGTTGTGATCAATGCTCGTGAGTTGGCGATGTTGTTGACGCTGTCGTAACCGCCCAGAATGCGGCCAGGCGGCAGCGGATCCATGAATTCTGGCAGGCATCTCTGATCTCCCGGGTGGCCAGCGCAAAGCTCAATCTGCTCTTTCCAGTCGCTGGTCAATCCGGCTCCGAACCAACCACTGACGGATTGGACCACACATGCAGTCCCGGTAGGTTCGAAACATACGTCTTTTAGTGTGATCCCATTTTCAGGTGTCATCATTCGTGAGATGCGATCCTCAACGTCGAACCACCAGTCGAGGGTCTCATAGCTCAATACGGTACTGTTCGTCCCAGCGGAGTCATTGACCAAGAAAGCCTGCTCGGTTCTGTAGAAAGGACCAAAGTTTGCATCAAAGAAAGCCTTCTCCTGAGCTGCATCTGAGGTCGGGCTCACCCACAGGCGTACCGGGTCCCTTTCGACCTCGAACCGGAGCCAGCCGAGACTGAGCAGGCCGATGAACACGAGATTCGTGCCAATTGTTAACGCTGGATAGCGAGCGCAGAACCCGCCCAATTTGTTGAATGCCCGATCAAGGATCTGATTCAAGTAGTAGTTTCTTTGTGGTCTTTCCAACAGTCCAGCATCGTGAACTAGATCCCCCTCGTCCTCGCTATCGCTCGGTGCCGCATCCTGCAGTAGCTGGAGTCTTTCGGTCTTCCGTTGTTTGTGCCTGCGATATGCCACATGCCCTGATATCGCCGTGATGAGAAGCAATAAGCATATCGAGTAGATGATGATTATGGAGAACGACAAACACGGCAATTTCCCGACATGGCAGTATTGGGCGGAGCTGACCGGCTCCAGAGTAGGACAAACTTCTGGACAATCAACGCAGCTGCAGCGGAACTGGGGATCGGTGTCGTTGCAGGCGTAGACTCGAAGATCACTCGCCTTCATGCCCTGGCTGTCATCGTACCTGGGCCGTTCCAAGAAATTGATCTGGAATGGACTCCCCAGGAGCTTCTTATCACCCAGAAACTTGAGGAACTCGGTATAATTTTTGGCACCACCCCCAATGAAGGCCATTGCCTTGCCTCCACTGGCTCCGTTCTTGACTTCTTTGCAGCTATCATAGAAGCCGCTTTGGTAGTTCTGCGACCATAGATTGTCCAGTTCCGTGACCACCTCGTTGCCGTTGGAAGCCTTGCCGGTTGCGGTAACATTGACGAACAAGGACTGGTCTGGGGAGCAGGTAAAGGTACAGAATATGTCGAAGAAGTTCTCCTTGCAAGCTGGGCAGGAGGCGATGATCCTCTCGGCAAGCTTCAGGTTCTTGTTCAAGGCATCGACTTGTTCCTCTTCGCAGCACACATCAATGTCCGCCCATTTTGCTCCGCAAAGGCCAACCAACTTCTCGCGAACGACGTCCGAGGGAGTGGTGGCTTTTCCATTGTTAGGACAGGGCAAATCGGAGCCAAAGAACCCTTGTTTGCCGCAATGACCTCGGAGCGCGCATCGACCGGCTTCGTGGAGAGGAGTGGCACCGGACGAGGATGCAAGGGGAATGGAGGAGACAGCAGCCAAGGCCGCAAGGGCTGTCACAGAGAACCGCATCGACCTTGTCGGTGATTGAAGAGCGACGGCGGTAAGGAAGAATCCTGTCGTGAGTGTGTCTAGCCGTACGCTGCAAGTCGTTTATTGCATCTGTTGCATGATGCGCGATGATTTCAGACGGCAAAAGACCGGTTCCAGGTGCGGACTGCTACCGGTGCAGGTCGAGAGATGGAGGGGGAGGGTGGCGAGCGGTAGCGCAGAGAACAACGAGCTTTAAAAGACCGACAGATTGAGAAGAGAGGATAATTTCAGTGGGAAAGTGAGTAAATCAGATTAGTAGGGAGGTAGGTGGTCGATGGGTTTGTTTGCAAAATGCCCAAGCAGGCAAAAGCGAAGCAAGTGGCTGGAGGCGGTTGATGGATGATGGAAGATGGATGGATGAGGTTCATCGATCCTCCCACGTCACCATCTTTACCCCTAGTACGTACTAGTACTACACTATCACGCTATCACGCCTACCATTGTGTTACCATAACACAGTAAGTACTAGGCACCTAAGGTAGGCGCCTAAACTACTCACATGTATGTACCTAAGGCACCTAACCTAGGGAGCTAGCAGAGAGCCTAACCTACCTGATACCCTGTAATAACAAGCTCCTAGTGCCTAGCCGTCTGCCCAACGACCTTGATGGCGTTCCCACATCTCCATCTGCTCATCTCCATGTTCATCTCCATATTCATCCCCGTCAACATCCTACTACTAAGGTTCCCCATACCCCGACCTACCTACCTACCTACCTACCTAGGACGTACTCAGCTGTGCTGATCCGTAGAGTCTATCTACGTACCTTAAGCAGAAGAGTAGGTACCTTGGGCACTGTATCTATTGTATCTGTCTCACACTCGCATATGAACGCCTGACGGTATTCCAGAGGCCGGCGCAAGGGTGCAGGCCAGTGAGCGGACGGGAACAACACTTGAACGCGTATAGCAACAAGCATTCAGCCCCCAAGGTCACTCAGGCTTGTCGTATAGAGATCACGGGCGCAGGAAAAGACGTGGGGAAGCATATCTTGTTACAGTTTTTACTTCAACATATCATTCTTTCCTCTGTCCACCAGCAGGCATGTTTTTTCTTTTCTAGCAAAGGATAAAATACAACAAGGTCGAAGGGAAAAAAGCCTTCGATCCCGGAAGCTCCAACTGTCGCCCATGTCGCAGTTGGGCCTCGGCCTGTTCAACTCCAGCGAAGATAGCCTATTTTGACATCCTATGGCGCCTCCCATAATGCACAAACCATTTCCTGTCGCTGAAATCTTCGCTGTCAAGGTTCAATTGCTCTCCGCAAAATGATGAGCTCAATAGCAAGCTTTTCAACTGTCGCCAGACGTGGCTGCCGGTGTCGACTCGGCGGGCTTGGGCTCACTGGGTTTCGCCTCCGAAGCTGCTTCAGCGGCCTTGTTTGAAAGACCGCCTCGTCCGCCACCGCGTCCACCACGACCACCACGGTCATCACCCCGACCTCGACCACGCCCGCGGAATCCTCCTCGACCTCGTCCACCTTCGCTGTCACTGGCTCCTCCACTTTGGTATCCTCCGCGAGACGCACCGGTGCTTGTAGCTGATGCACCACGTCCGCTCGCCTGCCACGTCCCTGCACCACCATGGCTGTGATTGTCGCGATGGTGGAATGCTGGGCTGCGATCTTCGAACCATGTGATCTTGGGGCCCTTGTTGCCAGGACCCTTGAACTTCTGGATTTCGGTCTGAGCTCGGTTCAAGGCAGCTTGGGCAATGTCGTGGCTGTCGAATTGCACCTTCCAGTTGAGGAATTTGTTGCCCATTCTCGAGACCGACTTGACCTTGTCTCGATCTTCCTCGGCGAGACATTCCTTGACATGCTGTTCGTTGTCCGCGAAGGAGACGTACAGGGCATTGGGGGGTTTGCGGTCGACTGGCGGAGTTCCGGCCTTGGCTTTGGCTGCCTCGTTATCACTCACCTTGTCTGCGCCGGTTCCATTCGTGGCAGGAGCGGCTGCCTTGGCCGATCCGGAGGATGTCGTCGGGACAGCGGCAGAGGGTGGTAGTGAGGTGATTGGCTTCCCTTGCGTTGCCGAGGGCGCCGGTGAGTTGGCAGTAGGGGGAGTTGCAGACTTGGAAGTAGAAGCTGGTCCAGCTTGTGCTGGATATCCAGATCTGGGCGGTTGTTGCGGAGCCTTTTGCTGTTGTGGGAATGGCTGATTAGGTGCTGCAAAAGCTGGAGTGCGGCTCTGAGCGGGCCCAGTCGGTACAGACGCGGGCGCAACAGCTGCTGGAGCGGCCGAAGGCTGAGGATGCGACGGTGACGGACCGGGCTTGCCACGATGGGCGAAGTTGAAGCCTTGTGCACGCATTTCGGTCCCGATGCGGCCACCCTCGATTTCGAGAACGAGATATCCAAAAGCGGCATCCGCAAGATTGAAGTTCCACATGTTCTTGAATGCGCTCTCGTCCACTTGACCAGCAGCCGGCCCGCCGCCAACAGGACCGCCAAAGGGATTTCCTCCGTTGGCAGTACTGGGCATCTTGTCGACAATCTCGAGGGCACTGTGGAGCAGAGCCTTGTGGCTTGCGTTGGATTCAATCGCCTGCTCAACATCCATCTTGACCGTCTCCCAAACATCTTGGAAAGACGCCTTGGAGGCGGCTAGCTTGCCTCGATAGTGGTCCAACGATGGATTGACCGAGAACTCGTTGTACGAACTGCCGTATCGGAAATGTAGACCCGCAGAGATGGAGAAATCCGCTTTCAGTGTCACTGACAGCTGGTTCAGTATGCCGTCCCGTGCCGGTGAAGCGTGCGTCAAGAAGATTCGTGTTTCGGAAGGGTCGTAAACGCGATTTGCTGTGTCAATCAGAGCACCGATCTGCAGCAATGTGGTCCACATCGTCCCTTGACCTCCCGCGATGTACGTCTTGCCCTCGCCGTTGTCGAAGAGCTTGTGAATGACGACCGCACCACCCAATCCCAGTAGTCGCAGCTTCACTCCGCCAATGTCAAGTAACCGCGAGTTGACTTCGTCGATGATGTGCAGATTGTCGACTTTGTATTCGCCTGATCTGAAACGCTCCAAGACTCTGACATCTTCACAAGCTCCCCACACAGTGTAGACTGGGACGTCCAGGGTGATCTGCTTGTTCAAGAGGAGAGGCAGCTCTGACAGAGGAAGTTGATCGGGGGAGAACATCTGTTTGATCGGTCGCGGTGGAGCGGGCTGGGTAATCTGGCGCTTGACATTTTCGTTGAGGAGAGGAGAATACTGGGCGACGTGTTTCAAAGTCCTGAAGCAGAGGTAAGCCATGTGTCGGGTGAATTTGTACTGGATATTTCCTTACTTCTCAGCTATTCTTTCCAACGAAGTGTTGTCGTAGAAACCGAAGTCGCCGGTGTGTAGGATGTAATCGGCCTTTGCAGTTTTGGCGAGCTCATTCAGAGATTTCAGATTGCCTTTGGGTTCATGCGTTAGGTTTGTGGTTCATTTGACCAGGCGCCGTCGGACTCACCTCGAACATCAGCAATACAGAGAACCCGAACAGGGCCTGACTGAATGATGCGGCCATTGTTGGGAAGAAGGGCTTGGGCTCCAGGAGCCGGTGCAGGGGCTGTTCCGTTGGGTAGGTAACCTTGACTGGGAAACTGAGGTCGTGGCTGCTGGTACGTTAGCGGGAGAGTGATCTGTCTCATGGGTACAGAGGCCATTTGTGCGAGCTGCCACGGCTCACGGGTAACAGGCTTTCTGATGAGCATCATGTACGCTGAGACTTACTGAAGCCATGAGTGAGAGAGAACTTCCGCGCGGGTGACGGGACTGATCTTGTGGACAAAGGCGCAGGCAAATACTCGGTTGGCAGGCGCAGGCAAAAGACACAGCAATCCGGGTCGTATTAGTATTAGGGACGGCTTCAGTCAGAGTGGACGATCTGGCGGCGACTCTGAAGAGCAGTGTGAAGCGCAGAGAAACTCTGGCGATAGGGCAGGAAGTTGAGAACGTACAAAAGTCGAAATGGACGGGATGAATTGTCTACACAGTAGTACGTGAATTTCATACACCTTTCACTGGGGGAACTTGAGAGGTGAAAGCAACCTGCTCGCTGCGCCGGCCACCGCCTTTCCCTTTTGGGACTAGCGTGTTTGCCCCTTTCGCTGCCCTCTATTTGGCTGAGAGCTCAATCAACGGCAACGGCTGAGCCTCAGCTGCTGCTACTCGTCTACTCTACTACTACTTCGCGGGTGGTGATGAACTCGAAGTCAGTCAAAGAGCATCTGTCCAAATGATCTGGTGAGTTTCGAGTTATCTGATATATGCTAATTGGCATCCATGGTGGCTCTTTTACACCAGCCCCTGCCCGGAGATCCTTAATGAGCGTCGCCACTCACGCACATACGGAGTGTGAGCGCAGTAAATTGGTACATGGGAAGGAAAAAGACAGAAGATTCAGACGCCCCAGCAAGCCTCTCAACTCCATGTGACCGCCTTCGTAGTCTCGTGGCACGTATCGCCTAGACTTTTGCCCGTCCAATCCATTTTGGTGGTATCATAAAATCTTGGAATGGCCCGGTCTGTAGGCCAACTGAGAACGCATTTCGAGCCATGCATGACCCTGGCCGTGGGCAATCCGTTCACACTGCAACCCCCAGGATTGAGTCAACATCTTTCTTGTCGACCACGGCGCCGCCCTCAGAACACTTCGCCTTCGCACGCAACTCGCTACACAGGTTGTCGATGTCAATCTCGCCATTCCGGAATTTCTCCATCGATTGGAGACGATCCCTAAAGGAAGCAGTGTTAGCCGGTGTCAAGTTGTCTGCAAGTGTCGCCACCAACCAAATCTTATTGCAAGTCATGGGTTGGTCGTTATTGGGCACGACCTCATCCGTGCCATTCATGCTGTTCTCGACCTGTTGCATCAGATCATGCTTGGGCACTTGATCAACCGAGAGATCATTGTAGTTGTGCAATGGACTGCCCAAGTCCGGAAGAGGGTATGCATCATTAAAGAATGAGCCGAAGTCCTGCGACAAGACATTGTCTTGGGTTTCGCGATAATCTCCAAACAGAATCGGATCAAAATTGCCGTTGTTTTGTTGCGCCAACCAGTTGATTCCGTTGACGTCAAAGCCTGGGTCGGCAGCATAGTCTAACGATTTGACGTTAGATATGTTCAGAATCGGAGGTATTGGGTCCTCCGCGCAGCCACAGGCCTGCCCAATTTGTTTGCAAAGGTAGTCCTTACCGCCAAAGGGAAGCTGGCTTTCCTCGCTGATAGGATTGAGGCTGTAGTCGAGGTGCTTATTAGCTGGAGAGTTCAGGCTTGGCTCAGGGGATGTGCCGATTGATGAAATAGCATTATGTGACTCTGTCGACGAACTTGGAGAGTCGGAATTCGAGAAGCTAGAGTTCGAGTAAGCAGCGGGCGCCTGGCTGTGAGCACCCTTGTCGAGATTGCCCGCACTGATTGGGACAGGGGCGTTCTGAGTGCCTGGCGGAAAATATCCGCCCAATGATGCGTGCCGACTGGCCTCCAGGATAGAAGGACTGAACAACGCAGACAAACTATCCACGCTCCCCTGTTGGCTCTTCGGCTGACTTTGAGGCTGAGGAGATGTCGACAACGTGTTAGTCACTGGCGACTGACTCAAGGACCCGAGTCGAGCAGGCTGGTTTTGCGAGCTAGAGGTAGAACTGCGGGCGGGACCGTTTGGAGTTGCAGCAGCGGATTTGGCACCTGGAAGGCTTGCTGCCCTGTTCACATTGGCGCCCGGTTGTGTCTGTGAGGCGGAGGTGCTGATCGGGGTTGTCGCGGACATGGGTTGCAGATCACCAAACTTGGGAAATTCAAATTGGAAGTCACTGTGGTTGTTGACAGCCGAGTTTCGTGGCTGCTGGGGAAGAGTCGGCTGTGGTCCTTTCAGGCCGTTGCTACTGATCCAGGAGAGTCGCTTTCTGTACTCTTTCAGTTCGACTTGCAGGCGCTCGACCTGCGCTCTTAGAAGACCATTTTCATGAGTGGCTGACTCCGAGGCCTTCTCCAAGTCTTCCACCTTCGTTTCAAGATCTCGAAGATGTTTTTCCTTGCGCTCACGGAATGCCCGCTGTGCGGCACGATTCTGAGCCTTGCGTTTCTGATTTGGGTTAGAATGATACATGCAGGGTGCTGGACACTCTTACAGAAGTGGGTTCGGAAGTCAACGGCTTCCTGCCTGGCTTCTTTGCTGTCTTATCTTCGCCTTCTCGTCGCTTCCCTCCTCCTTCATAGTCTTCTTCTTTTCCCTCAACGGACTTCCGCTTCTCGTGTAGTTCGCCAGGGATGTCGCCGATCATGCGGCTGTCCTCATCGTAGTCAAAAGTATCGTCGCCAAGATCAACATCAGGGTCGAAGTCGAGGAACGGGCTGTCATCACTAAAATCAAAATTGCCCGAGCCGGGTGCACTTGACATAGCCGGCGTGGATTCGGGATTGTGAAGGTTTGATTTTCGGGTGGCTGACCCCGATCGCCGAGCGGGAGATTGATTGGAATTGAGCGCCGCCATGAGGAGTTCTTCTTGATCAGGGGAGAGTAATAGACCTTCGGTGGGACGATGCGACATGGAAGGGAATATCTCAAGCGTCAGGAGATCGGTGTGCGATCAGAGAATGATCAAGTCAGCAACAAATTGACCGATCGGAGTTGTATCAGCGCCCAGGCGGGGCTTGATGTGAGGGGTCTCAGTCAATGCCCCCTGCTACTGCGAATTAAAGCAGTGTCAAGAGGCAAGTAAAGGGAGCGTCTGGTCGACCGCTGGTGATGAATTTCTGTGAGAGAGATATGGGATTGAAGATGACAGAGTTTTGATGGTTGGAATGATGCGGATTCGGCGAGGCGGAGCGGTCACAGGTGGACTCCAAAGAGCGCACCCTGAAGGAGACACAGTCTGGACGAAGATGCCGTGCGAGCGGAATCAAGAGCGTGATCGGACAGACAAATCGTCGGCACAATAGGTGGATGGAAGTCAACAGGTCTCGATGCGGTCAGAATTGATGGAAGGAGTAGTAGTAATTGAGTTGAGACGAGTAAAGATGAAATCAATGTGGTGAAATCACGGAAGAAGGGGATGCTCCTACGGGCGCGGTAGTAGTGGTGGTGCTACTGTAGGGCGGCACCACTTTACTGTTCAGGATTATTGTCTGCAGGTGCACTGCCCGCCAAGCGTCACGCTTAAAGGTCCAAGTTCCAGGTGAAAAAAGCACCCTTACTGAGGTTGGCAACCTTAAACTTTGGAGCCCGTGGCCCCTACATTATAGGTAGTGACGCCCATGCCCATGAGCCCAGCTGGCATCTTTCGACCACAGTATCTTTCAAGTTGGTGAGCACTTCAAGAGAGGCCACGCACCTCCAGGCAGCCTGACAATTCGACATTGATGGCTACATGTACCTTAGCTTTACGCAGTAGTACCAATATCATTCTAGCACAGTCCCGCCTTCGTGCCCGCGCAATCTCAATGACTCTTACTCGAAAAGTTGACCTCTGATCGAAGGACCCCTTGATGCCCTATTCTGGAGTTCCAGGCGCTAGATCATCCGGGCCTCTGCCGGACCTGAAATCCTTTCGCCGAAGGAAATCGAAGGACGTCCTGCGACTGCTTTTGCCCTATAGCCTGGCGACCATCTCGCGATGTGAGTGGAGGAAAACCGCTCGCGCCCAGGGGAAGATTGTGGCAGACGCTCCCGCACTGGGTGCGCTGAGCTCTTCTAGCTTTCAGGTTCTTTCAATCTGATTTCTAAGCGATTTGGAGGCGCGACTGGTCCATGCCCGTCCATCGTCTCGGCGGACACCCAATGGGACCTGAGGTGTCTAACCTCAATCAGGCACCCATCCCGCCGTCATCTACTGTGCCTCCAATGAAGATCTCACTTGCAGGACCCAGACGCTGACGGAGAGACGGATTTTGCCAGTTACGGAGGTACCTTTCGCCCTCAGCTTCTGACTCAAAGGTGCTTGGTAGCGTTGACTTTTCATGACGACGTCACCGCATTCTCACCTGCAACTTACCCAAGTATTTTTAATCAGCAAAAAAGAGCGCGGCCCAGGCGGGACACCGCTGACCGTAGCGAGAGCTGTGTTTCAAAGCTCGCGGGGCAATAAGGCACTTGGTCGAGTTCTCGTCCAGGCACAGCTGGGTTACTGGATGTAGAACTTGTTCACCTTTTGTACTACGTACTAGTACTATGCCATTGTAATTCCTCAGTGCACGTGACGCCTTCTGGAAATTGAAGCACTCAGGCTGCACTTCAGGTTACAGTCCTTGGCATCCATGGGTGCATGCGGAGGCGGACTCGGAGGGCTTGACTTCCACTGGCAATAATAACTGAGGTAACCTACAGGCAGTTCCCGATAAGACGATTGTCTGTATTGACAACTTGGACAACATACCTAACATCCATCCTGATTACTAGGTGTTCCTGCTAGACTCTGCGTTCTGGTGATTGACCCGTTCTCATCTCCACGAACTTCCCGCTATCCTCTGCCGCTCTCCTTCTCTTCGCGATGAGCGCTGCCGAATTGACTTCTTTGCAAAATGAAATCAAGGAATACAGGCTACAACTCGAGGCTGTTCAGCTGAGCCTACAAAACGATCCTGACAACAGCGAACTACAGAGTCTCAAATCAGAAGTTGAAGAAGTTATTTCCCTCACCGAAGCTGCCATTGCAGAACTAAAGCCTGCGTCAGTAACAGCATCGACTGCAACGCCATCCTCACCGCCGGAAAGAGCGAAATGGTCGAAAGAGAACCATCCCGCCTATCAAGCGGGCTATCGGAAGCCTGAAGTCGACGCAGAAGAAACCCACACTCCAGCAACCTTCTCGGTTAACGATACCGTATCCGCCAGATGGAAGTCGGGAGATGGCGGGTTCTACACTGCACGCATCACTTCTATTACGGGTTCGTCCAGTGACCCGGTCTACATTGTCACATTCAAAAATTATGGAAACACCGAGACGTTGAAAGCGAAAGATATCAAACCTTTGTCCAATGATGCCAGGAAGCGTAAGGCCGATGGCATGTCTGGGTCGTCCACACCCGTTGCGCCTCCGTCAAATCCTAGTGTGATCTCTGCTGCCGCCAGTGTCGATCCGACTTTGGCGCAGCAAGCCCGGCGAGAGCCGAGCAAGGTCAGCGATGGCCCCGTTCGACCCGCCAAGATTCCGCGGAAAGTGAAGGCCAACAAAGAGCTGGAAGCGGGCAAAGCGAAATGGCAAGACTTCGCATCTAAATCGAAGGTTGCAAAGATGACCAAAAAGGACAGCATGTTCAGGACAGGCGAGGGTGTCAAGGCGAGAGGTAAGCATTTCTTGGATCACTCGTATCTGATGCAGGCGGTCGTATACTGATTCGTCTTTTAGTTGGCTTCACAGGGAGCGGTCATGAGATGCGCAAGGATCCCCACAGAACCCGACATATTTACCAGCAGGATGGTCAGGACGACTAAGGTCCAGGGACCAAGCCACCATTCATCTTCTTTTCTTTTTGCATGTGCTTTTCCTTTTGCATTGGAGTTTGATGGAACCACAAGGCAACGCTGACCGCCTGGGCATTGCAGATCCCGCAACACATCAAAGAACGTGTGCAGCAGCGCAAGAAGCTAGAATTTTGTTCAGACAAGTATCTTCCTAAACTAGTGATGGCGCTCTCTGACACATTGCAATCTCGTCTGCAGGGTTTGTTTCTAGAACTGGACTTGCAAAGTCTGCATCCGATATGTCTCACTACCATTCTGACCGCACCGCTATGGGAGCGCATCCCTGGCGAATGAGTTATGCGCTTCAAACGAAGCTGTAATCCTACTGCTCGCTATAGCTTTTTGGCGCAAGCATCCAACTTCGCAGCAGCGTTCGGCGCGTGTCAGAAATGCGACCGAGCGTTTGGCCCGAGGCGTACAGCCGAGCAAGCTTGCTTTCCGAACACCATGATGTGATCTCCATCAGGGGAGACGCCTAGTAGCTCTCATCTAAATAAGGGTCGACGGAGTGCTTGCTCATTGGGCAACATACCGAGTCATTTCGAGCTGGCCTTGTCAAGCCAGTTTCTCTTTCCACTCCGGCGTATGGGAAGTCAGGGCATTGAGATTCGACCACAGGAGCCTTTGCGAGGCGCTTTAATTTTGCGACGCTGATCTTTCATTCAAAGACCGCCTTGTATCCTGAAACTACTCACCACCAATACCAGCATATTGATGACGCCCCAGAGCAGCGGCGTCCAAGTGCTCATTCTGAAATACCCAGCATTGTAGACTGCCCCTAGAACCAGTCCCACCATACTCCCTGCAAGCAATGCCTCCAAGCCTCCAATCACAATATATGTCACGGGAACCAGCCAAACCCAGCTCAAAGTCTCGCCGAATGGATTTTCTCCCAGCAGTTTTCTATTTTTGGCACTCAGGCGCTTGCCTGCGGGTGTGGAAAGATACTTCCGTCGCTGTGAGGCCGAGTTGAATTGCATGAGAACGGCCCATGCCGCGACACAGGCGTGCGCAGCCACGATAGTGAGCAGTGTCCAGTACAGTGTGTATCGGTAGATGTCGGACAGATAATAGAGGTACTGTGCCTCGCCTGGTTTGGCGCGAACTGGCCAATATAGGGCAGGGAATTTCGGAGTGCGGTAGGAGCGAGGAACGCCGGCGCCGTAGGTTGACATCGTGGGGGGACTCTGTAAGGTCGATTGAGAGCTATTCGGAGTCCAACTGGAATCCTTCAGCAGAGGAGTTCACATCATCGGCGGATAGAGAATCGCGAGAGTGATGAGGAAGCGAGAAAAAGAGGCTCGTGGAGGGTTTCGACAAGATGTTGTATTGACCGCAGTCTAAATCTCTCTTTAGCTAGTAGTACCTACTAATAACGTAGTAGTACATGTGATAAGTAAGGTACGTACTATCTGAATGGTTGGTATTCATGATTGGTCGGTCGTGTTTCCCCAGATTTTACTTCAAAGCTCAACACACGTTCTTCTTACCACACATACAACACACTCCGGAGGCAGAGGGCTGTCGCATTTGATGGCATATAAACTCGCCGATGGCCATTCGCTGGCTTCGAATGTTGATGTCTTCTTGCAGGATGGGTATATCCCTTACAGTGTGACGGAGAGGAAACCCGGTCGCGGTGCCTCATTTCATCATCGCAGCGTCATATGCGATGTGGTTTGTGGTTGGTGACTTCCATTGACGTAAGGACTGCGCGACCGCAGTTCACATCATCAAGTTTGAGAGCTGTGAGTTCCCGTGTTCAAGGTGACGAGGGAGAGTTTCAGCTCAGGAGTATATTAAGTACCCTTCACTTCTCTCGTCTCCCTCTTAGCCGTGCCTCCAAATGCCACCGAAGCTTCCCAGTCAAGTTCGAATAACTAAACCTACTCGCGTCCATCCGCGTACATTAATCACAACAGCCTCAACCCATCCCTTCTCTCGGCCGCAAGTGCCCCCAATCACGGCTCAGGCTCGTCTCTCTGGTCTCCAAAAGCACTTCTCTCTCACACACACCATGTCTGCCAATCCGCACAACGAAGCCTTCAAGATTGACAAGCTGTTCGATGTCTCGGGCAAAGTGGCCCTAATTACCGGTGGCGGTAGCGGTATTGGTCTGATGGCCACACAAGCACTGGCAACGAACGGTGCCAAAGTCTACATCTGCGGCCGTACCGAAGAAAAACTCGAGCGTGTCGCCGAGGTCTACGGCAAGGACATTCCAGGCTCCATTATTCCCATCACGGCCGATGTGAGCAAGAAGGAGGACATCAAGAAACTCGTCGATTATATCTCCGAACGCGAGCAATGCCTGTGCATCCTGATCAACAACGCCGGTATCGCATTGAACACCCAGCAGGTGGAGGCCAAGTCTGCGGAAGAAATGAAGAAGAATCTATTCGATGACCCTAATGAGACTTTCGAAATGTGGACCGACACCTACCGCACCAACGTCCCGCAGCTGTACTTTATGACCACGGCTTTCTTGCCCTTGCTGCATGCCGCTCACAAACACAACGACAACTTCTCCGGCACGGTGATCAACATCTCGAGCATCAGCGGTATCGTCAAGACGTCCCAGCACCATTTCGCCTACAACGCCTCCAAGGCCGCGGCGATTCATCTGACCACGATGCTCGCCAACGAAGTGACTCAGAATGACTTGAGGATCCGTATCAACAGCATCGCGCCCGGTGTTTTCCCGAGTGAAATGACAGCTTCGGAGAGTGACGACAAGCAAAAGTCGCACATTCCGCGAGAGAAGTACGAGTCCAAGGTTCCGGCCAAGCGCCCGGGTGAGGATCGAGACATGGCGAACGCGATTCTCTTCGCAGCCTCGAACATGTACCTTAACGGCGCTACCGTGGCTGTCGATGGTGGTTATATCCTGAGTGCAGGGAGCGGTCCATAAATAATAGCCTGACAGGGATCATGACCTGATAGTCTTGCCAGGTGTAATGAACGTGATGCATGCATAGATGGGCGATGACGATGAACACCGGGTGTTTATGCTCCATCAGAAAGCACTGGCCATGGCAATGTCAGTGGAGCTTGTCACACGACCAAAGTAGTTGAGTAGTTCAAAAAATACAGACACGCGAGGAATAGCTCGCTTCAACCCATTTTCGAAAAATTTGCCCATATCCGTTGATCTGGACGCGCCATCAGAAATCTAGCCAAGGATTTGATAGCTACTGTACATCAAACCATCGAAATGCAATCTGTGTCGAGGCCAACAGAAGTGGAAGAAAACGACGAGCAAGATGAGATCAAACATCCTCGACCCTCTTTCCCTCCGTCGTCGAATGTCGTACCGGACCCTCAACGCCGGCAGACTGCCCAGAGTTGTCTCCCTGTAGCGCTGCAGCCTTTGCAGCGGCTTCCTGCTCGGCAGCGATCTTCCTCAGGTTCTTCCATTCCATAGCCAGACTTCCAATGACAGTGGCGGCACTGACAGCCACGCCGACGTAGAATGCATTGCGCAACGCCTCATTGTACACCACCAACACACTGTGCAGATACTGTTCCGGGACGACGCTTCGCAGGTCCGTGGCGCCGACATTACCCACGACATCGGGGTCGATGCCAGGAATGGACTTCAAGCCTTGAGCCAGCTTGTTGTCGAAGATGTTGTTGGCGACGCTGACGAAGATCGACCCACCCAGCGTCTGGGCGAAGAACATCATCGAAGCGCCGATGGGGACATCTTCCCTTGCGAGCACCGTCTGCGCGGCCACACTGGGCTGCTGGATGCCCAGTCCGAGACCAATGCCCCATACAACCTGATAGCCGATCCACTTCGGATGAGCGGTGGTGGTGGAAAACGTGGATATGAGGCCCGTGCCGATGGGCGTGAGAACGGACGAAGTGTACATCCACAAAGTGAAGTATCCAAACTTGCGCGTGCCAAAGCCGGCGGCCATGCCTGCCAGCGTGATGCCCAGGATGGCAGGGAGGTTCATGATGCCCGAATGCACGGCCGAGGCGCCCTTGATGGCCTGGAACCAGATGGGCAGGAAATAGACCAGCGTCATCATGCCTGCGCCGGACATGAACGCGTAAGTCACGCCGGCGGCTACGCAGCGGTTCATGATGATTCGCGGCGGAATGGTAGCCATTTCCTGCCGCCAGATCTGGATGGCAACAAAGCCCATGAACAGGACACCCGCCAGCACGAGCAGCACGATGATGCGCGCGCTCGACCAGGCGTATTCGGTGCCGGCCCATTGCAGGGCGAGCAGGAGACAGATGACTGCCGGCACGAAGATGGCGGTGCCCAGCGGGTCGAGCTGGAGGAACTGCTGCTTCAGCGGCACTTTTTCTCTCTTGCGATCAGGCAGTTTGAGCACAAATGTGAGAATGATTATAGTCACCCCGCCGACTGGAAGATTGATGTAGAAACACCATCTCCAGCTGACCTTGTCGGTGAAAGCACCGCCTAGGAGCGGGCCTGCCACGGATGCCACAGCAAATACTGCTCCAATCATGCCGGTCCACGCAGGTCGTTGTCGCAGCGGCACCAGGAAGACGATCATGGTGATGGCCCCAGAGAAAATGCCGGCGCTGCCCATGCCGGCAATAGCCCGGCCGATGATCAGCATCGTCGAGTTCGGTGCCACGCCGCAGACTAGTGAGCCGAGCTCGAAGAGGCCCACGCATCCGATATACACCCATTTCGGGTTGTAAAAAGTGTATATTCGGCCCATGAGGAGCTGGAAGGCGGATATTGTCAAGAGGTAGGCTGACGCGTACCAGCCTACATCATCGAGGGAGTTGAAATGGTTCGTGATGGCTGGAATGGCTGTGGCGATGATGGTTCGGTCCTAGGAGTGGTGTTGGTAAGGGATCCTCCTGATATAAAGGGGAAGAGTTGAAAGGAGACGTACCAAAGCAACAAGAAAGGACGCCAATATCAGTGCCATCATTGTAATGTAGACCTTTGCAGGTGGAGGATATTCATCTGCGTCGTCCACAGGGCGGGCTGGCTTAGCAACTGTTTCTTCTGCATCATGGGCGGAGGAGGCGCTGTGGTCAGCAGGCGGATCTGTGTTTTTGCCTGCCATTATTGTTATGGGCATATTTTGGGGCTGAAGAGCAGCGGAATACTTCTTTCAACAAGCTCAGATTTGGACAACAAGGAACAACATGAAAGACTGAAGCGAGGGAGGGCAGCGATGGGCTTTTTCTAGGAGGTTTCAAATGGTACACTTGTGTAGTCAGTCCTACATTTTAACGCGACATCATTCTCAACCGGGCTCCGAGTCGCAATGGGTGGACTCAGACCTCGGGCGCGAGATTGATATAAGGGGCACTCTCTTAAGACCAGCCGCAATCAACATGTTCAAGGCTCCAGACATGACTGGCTTCGCGGTGAACGAGGGACGGTCGTTGGGGAGGTTCAAGTTGGGATCAAATGAGGTTGTAGTTGGCAGCAGTAAGGCTCGGGCCCGAAGTCAGCGCATCCAGTCCGCCCTGGACTCGGAGACCGGGGCCTAAGTGTCTTGGCAGCCACCGCCAGTATTACGGGGGACCAGTATTGTCGCAGCTGTAGCCATGGAGATACTTCTGCACCTCCGTACAATTTACGTCATGAATGTACCTTTCCTATTACGGTTGGTCCTGGTATCCTCCACGCCTGCGCATTGTTCTTCATAGCGAATATCAATCTTGTAGAGGATTTCGTATACCATGCTTAATGAAGCCATGGTCCTCTGCTGTTGTCGAGCTCCGCCTCATGACGACGCTAGAGGTGATACACAACACACGCTCGCCAGCTAGCCTTACATGAATGATGCTGGACCATAATAGCTTTGCCGTCCATCGACCGGAGAGGTGCCCCGTCGCCAATTGTATCGAAAAGCACAAGTGACATCAGTGTCGAGAAGTTATGACGTTCGCTCGTCAACAATTCCAAAGATATTAAGCTGCGCTCTGCATTCGGTCGCCTACTGCTGCGTTGATTCTTCACCTAGATTCATCTTTGCTACCTCTCGTCTTCTCTTGTTATCACTGACCATAGAGAACCCGTTTCCTGACAGATCCCTCCATCATGGAAGACGTCAAGAAAGCCACCGACTACGACTCGCCTTTTCAACAGGGCTTCCAAGTGCCGCCAACCCACCAGGATCCTCCTGGCAAACAAGGTGACCTACCCTTCGAACCTCTCAATGATAAGCTGCCCACGGAAGATGGTGGATGGCAGACGTACAAAGCGGCTGGCAAGCTCGAAGGCAAGAAGGCCCTGATTACGGGTGGTGATAGTGGGATTGGACGAGCCATAGCAGTCCTTTATTCCATGGAGGGCGCCGACAGCTTGATTGCATACCTACCTGAAGAAGAAGAGGATGCGCAAGAGACGAAGCGGTTGGTGGAGAAGAATGGCAGAAAGTGCTATCTCCTGAGCACCGACCTGCGGAAGCCGGACAACTGTCAGAAGGTCATTGATGAAGCTCTGCAGAAGATGGGCAAAATCAACATCCTGGTACGCGAACACGAACGTGGTATTCATTGACCAGGGCAAAAAGACTGACAGGTGGACTCCAGGTGAACAATGCCGGTTATCAGATGATGCAGCAGGACATCACCGACATCTCGATCGATCAATGGCAGAAGACATTCGAGACCAACATCTATTCCTTCTTCTACCTGTCGAAGTTCGCGATCCCGCACATGAAGAGAGGCGACACGATCATCAACTGTGCCTCCATCAACGCATACATCGGCCGACCCGACCTCTTGGACTACACATCTACCAAAGGAGGCAAGTCTCTTTGCAGTCCACATGTCTGTACCTTTTACTGACCTGATGAACAGCCATCGTCTCTTTCACTCGAGGCTTAGCGAACCAACAAATGAGCAAAGGCATCCGTGTCAACGCAGTCTGCCCCGGCCCTGTCTGGACTCCGCTCATCCCTGCTACCATGACGGAGGATGCGCAAAAGCAATTCACCTCTCCTCTCGGACGACCTGCACAGCCAAGTGAGATCGCCACATGCTTTGTGTTCCTGGCGAGTGCAGACAGCAGCATGATCAGTGGGCAGAGTCTCCATCCCAACGGAGGAGTTGTTGTCAACGGCTAGACTTAAGTGGATGAACCTGGTCGACGATTTTCAACGACTCAATGATTTCCCAAAAGGCGAAAGGCTCTGATGTCAATTTACGTGATTCAGATGCATAAGTGGAAACCCATCGGGTCTCACAAATGATACCTGGTAGTTGTCTCAAATAACGGATCCATTATCAAATCAATCTGCCAAGCTGCAGCCTTGCTGACGTCCAGCCTGAGCCTGAGCACCTCTCCAGTAATAATATCACATCCTGCCTAGTATGCATATCATTGTGTTGCAGCCTCGTCCGCAGATCAGTGTTGAGTCCAGCAACTGATAACTCTCCTCGAACCGTCGGAGATGTATACTATGACCATAGAAATGCATTTTTAACGGACAGTCTCTTGAGTCGTCAACTGTATTGTTCAAAGTTGTTGTTTTCAGACCATCGAACAGTGCCAAGACCTGGATCGACTGCTGCCTGAAATTCAGGGAGTGACTCTGAAAGTCCCCCACGACTGCAAATGAATCGGCTCTGCTCTTGTGTGTTGCTGTTGATGGTTGCTCCCAGGTAAGCCCGAGGAAGTATCACCATTTCTTTCATTCTTTTCATTCTTGAGCCGAAAGCCCGGGCTGTCTTCATAAAGAATCACCGAACGCGCCTGCGAACCATTGCAGAATAGCCGGGGACGACCAGCGGAGGACGACCAGCCGCAGACTTCCTAGATGTCGGCGTCGCATCTCATGACAACCAACAGAAAGTGATGATCAATGAAAGACTTCAAGAGAACCTCCTAGCGCGGCAACGATGAGTGTGGCCGGGGACCGGCCTCCCAAGGCTTTCTCCTGCATCAGATGTTTCGAGCGCAAGGTGAAATGCGACAAGCAGAATCCGTGCTCCAACTGTGTCAAATCCAAGGTCGAATGTGTCTTCCGCGTACCACCGGCCCCTCGTCGGAGGAAGAGACGCCCTCCAGAAGAGATACTGCTGGCCCGGCTAAAGAAGTGCGAAGAGCTCCTCCAGACCATGGGCGTCGATGTCGACAGCAGCAGCACTCCAACCATATCGCCCGCTACCACCAATGACGCCCAGACGAGCGCTTCTCAACTTGGTGCAGAACCCACGTACTCGCGTCACGGGCTCTTTACGGCGCCAGGCAGCAATTCCGGCCAGTTGATCGTAGACCGTGGCAAGTCGCGTTTCATCGAAAACAATCTGTGGACAAGCGTGTCTACTGAGGTGAGAGACGCGCCCTCTCTGGATCGCCTATTTGTCCTTCTGGAACACATATAGCTAATTCCTGAGCAACCTACAGTTCCAACCGAAGGAAGCCATCACCGAGTACTCGGAGGATGACGATGAGGTTGGCTCTCCTCTCGAAGAGACGTCCGAGTTCATGCTCGGCTACACCCCGTCTGGCAACTCGATCCAACAACTGCATCCGTCGTCGGATCAGATCTTTTCGCTGTGGCAGATCTTCCTGGATAACATCAACCCATTGACCAAGTTCGTACATCAGCCCACGCTTCAGGAGACGCTCCTTCAAGCAACCAGCAACCTAGACAATCTGCCCCGAGGCCTGGAGGCGCTATTGTTCTCCATCTACAATGCTGCTGTCTTCTCCATGGAGGACGATGAATGCGAAATGAAATTCGGCGAAACTCGAAAGACGCTACTCGCAAGATACCGACATGCCACGCGGAAAGCGCTGGCCAGAGCCAGATTCATGGGCACGTCGGACATCATGGTGCTGCAGGCGTTTGTGCTCTACATCCTGAGCATGCGCGAAGTCTATGACTCGAGGACGACCTGGACGCTGGCGGGCGTGGCGAGCCGTGTCGCACAGGGCATGGGCATTCATCGAGACGGCACCCGCCTCGGAGTATCGCCGTTCGACACCGAGATGCGGCGACGCCTGTGGTGGCAGATCTCGACCCTCGATTTCCGTTCGGCGGAACTCAGTGGATCGGGGCGATTGATTGACTTCAATCTCTCCGACTCTGAGCCACCAAGCAACGTCAACGATGCCGAAATCCACCCAGGCATGACCAACCCCCCTGTGTCGCATACCAGACCTACAGACATGATCGCCTGTCTCCTGCGCTGCGAGTTTGGCCGGGTCTGGAGGGAAAAGCAGCTGAAGAAATCCAGCGGTCCGGCCGGGAGCGCTCCTCTCACGTCACCCTGGGCGACGTCGCTGGAAGAGAAGGACGCCAACATCAACGAGCTGGAACAGCGGCTGGAGGAGAAATTCCTGAGATACTGCGACCCGTCGATCCCCATCCAGTTCATGGCCATCATCATCGGCAGGTCTGCCATCAACAGTATGAGGTTGATGGCCCACCATCCCCGGAACTACCGCAACCCGGAAGACGTGCCCGCCGAGGAGCGCGAGTACATGTTCAATCTGTCCATCAAACTTCTCGAGTCGGACAACCTGTCTCACGCGTCCAAGGGTTTGCGGCGCTTCATGTGGCACACCAACGTCTATTTCGCCTGGCACGCCCTGATCTACCTGCTCGACGCGCTCCGCACGCGCACTCTCGGCGACGAGGTAGACCGGGCATGGCAGCAGGTGGATGAGATCTTCCACCACCACGCCAACTTCGTCACAGACAATAGGAAGCCCCTCCATGTGGCGGTGGGCAGCTTGTGCTTGAAGGCCTACAGTGCAAGAGAGAAGGCGCTCCGCGAATCTACCAACGGCATCTTTCCCAAAGTCATTCCCGAATATATCAAAACACTGCGCGACCAGCGCCGGAATGCAGCTGACCTGGCTCCTACTTCATCAGTGACCTCTTCAACTGACGCGAACCATCCCCCTAACGCTGCCGATGCCGCTGCCGCGGGCTTCGCCGAGCCCACGAAGACCAACCACGCCGGCCCCGTGGACTCTGCAACTTCTACCAACTACAACTTTCACTTCTCCACTCAAGCCACCGGCCCTGGAGCCCAGCTTCCACTTCCGCCGTTTCAGCCAGCACAGCTCCAGAGTCCCCCCGACTATTCCATTTTTGCTTCGGATCCGACGCTCGCCCAGGATCTCGCCATGGCCGATATGCCCCTCGACTGGTCACAATGGGACTACATGATGCAAGACTTTCAAGAAACCAGCTGAAAGCTGAAACTCTTGGTTGATATGAGACATCCTCTATCAGGAGGACTCTATACCAGATGGTCCCAAACCTGGCGCGGCTGTCCACGGAAAGAAGACACTTTGCCATCAAGACGAACATGACCTGTATGGTGATGATTAATGAGGGATCGAATGGTGAAGATGTGATGACATGGGAGGCGAGAAATATATTCTTCTATTCTGTTCGAGAATCTCTGCTCACGCAGCGACGGAACCATCCAAGCCAGGGGTTGCTTTGGCTGACACGAAACACGAGATCGGTCACCCCGGCCATGATCCATGTTTGTACCAACATCCGATTTTCCCATACTACAGGGGAGATTTTAACACCTGGAACTCTCCTCAGTCCCGACTGCTGCTTCTCCTGGCAAATCCCATTTCATCTCACCTGTCATGATATCACCGGCTGAAGGGCATTATTGCGCACAACGACGACGGCGTGGAGCTCTACAACTGGCTGTTATGCTCACTCAGGTCAAACGGATGGAAGGGGGCTAGCTAGACCAAAAGAAGCGCAATGCATCTTACTCAAACAGAGGACACCCGACTCTACTTTTGAGAGAGACATCCACATGGCCATTGAATCGATTGCTGCTTCTCCCTTTCAGAAAGGGTCGCTTTCCAAACATCCATGTAATGTCCGCTGAACACCATACCTGTGCCTTCTGACGTGCAATGACTAGATGTTCGCTACCTTGAGAACACCATCGCCCACACTGAACTCCAGGTCCTTTGCATGCATACAGCAAGAAGTCTATATCGTACACATCATCACTAAGCGCCCCGTCCTGATGCCGGTCTAACGTTCTACCAATGAAAAAGCCCCGAGGATTCACGTTCCCAGAGCACATGTGAGACCTTTGTTGTCTGTTGAACAGCAGCGGCAGGATCTGTAAAAGAAAATCACCAGACCGCACAGCCATGACACTGCGTAATCGACCTCGACGAGCCTAGGACTAATCCCTAACACTGAATATATTTTCACCTATCTATCTATCAATCATTCAATAGGTTTCGGATCCTCAGTGCGATACCACTCGCCATTAAACGCGTTGACCAACCACTTGGTCAACTTGTCGTAGACGATATGGTTGGCATTGTGGAAGTAGATGCTGTGATCGCTATCCGGGAAGAAATGGACGTCGTAGTTGTCGACGCCGGCGAGATCGAACTTGTCCAGCAACGTCAGCGTGTTCTGCATGTGGACATTGTCGTCGGCGACGCCGTGCATGATGAGGAAGCGCACGTTCTGGGCCATGGCCGTGACGTTGGAGACGGCCGCAGCCTCGTAGCCCTGCGGGTTGTGCTGCGGCGTGCGCATGTAGCGCTCCGTGTAGATGGAGTCGTAGAAGCGCCAGTCGGTGACGGGCGCGACGGCCATGCCGTACCGGAACGTCTGGCCGGCGTCGGCCTCGAGGACCTTGAGCGTCATGAAGCCGCCGAACGACCAGCCCCAGATGGCCATGCGCGACGCGTCGACGTACGGTTTTGCCGCCCACATCTTGGCCGCGGCGATCTGGTCCTGCGCCTCGTACTTGCCGAGCTCGTTGCGCACGACCGTGCGCGCCTTGCGCCCCATGAAGCCCGTGCCGCGCCCGTCCACAGTCACGACGATGTAGCCCAGCGAGGAGGCCACGAAGGACTGGAAGTCGACGTGGAACTTGCGGTTGACCATTTGCGACCCGGGCCCGCCGTACAGGTAGAAGAGGACGGGGTATTGCTTCTTCGCGTCGAAGTGGGGCGGACGCCGCTCGACCACCTGCAGCATCTGGCCGTCAACCGTGATGTTCTGGAAGACTTGCTGAGGCAGTTCGTGCGAAGATGCCATTTGCGACAGAGCCTTGTTGTCGGCCAGGACCTGGTCGATTTTCTCGGGGTTGGCCGGCGTCGATGTGACCTTCTGATAGGGGATGCCAGGTCCTTCGTAAAACAGGTTGATGTAGCCTGCTCCGGTCGAGAACTTGGATGACCAGTACCCTGCCTCGGCGGTGGGGACCAGAGACTGTGTTTCCGTGCCGTCCAGCTTGACACTGTACAAATGGCGTTGAGTCGGTGCTTCTTTGGCAGCAATGTAGTAGACCACGTTGTTTTTCATATCAACAGCCGCAGGCCCGCCGTCCACTTCCCAGTCCCCTTTTGTCAGCATGATGGGAATAGAGCTGTTGAGTGGAGAGAAGTAAGCAAGGTGATCGCCGTTGTCCGAAACAACGGTGTCGACATATCCGTCGAAGAGTCGGCCGTTAGCAGGATCGGCCGGGATATACCGGGCATGCTGTGTAGGCTCGATCCATCCTCCGTCGACTTCAGTCAGGTCAACAGTCCTGACGGTTTCGCCCGTCTGCGTGACAACGTCGACAAGAACCACTCTGACACGACTGCTCTCGCGATCTGACTCGGAGACCAAGACCTTGCCGTCATCGGCCCACAACACGTTGAAAATGATGCGGTCTTCATCGGGAAACCCGCCGGCAATGTCGACGCTGAAGACTTGCCCCTTAGCAATGTCATAGAACAGCATATCAACAACAGGATTTGGAGCTCCGGCTTTGGGATACTTGATCTCTCTGACTTCAGGATAATTCTCCAGGCTTTCAATAGGCTTCTTTCCACTGGGTCTGGAAAGAAAGTACTGGACTGGATATTCGGGGACGACAGTTTCGTTTGTGCGTAAGAAAGCCAGATATTGACCATCTTTTGCCCACCACGTTGCAGAATTGGTGCCGAAGACTTCCTCCTCATATGCCCAGTCTGGGATGCCGTAGAAGTATTCTGGACCTCCATCGTCCGTCACAGCAGTGACCTTTCCTGAAGACAAGGACCTCAGATACAAGTTGTTGTCCCTGGTAAACACCACAGTATCACTCTGTGGGGACCATTTGGCCAATTGAATCCGTTTGTTGGGGAAAGCAGGATCCAATGGCTGAATGGCTTGAGACTCGACGTCGAGAATGAAGTAAAGCCCGACGAAGGAATGCCGGAATACCTTTTCCCTCTTCGCCATGAGAAGGACATGTTTCATGTCCGGACTGACCCAGAAGTCATCCGTCCACATCTGCTGTCCATTGAACTGAATCCAGCCACTCTTGATCAAAGTTCTGTTCTTGAAGTCACTCGATGCTGACGACGTGCGACTGCGTATGTCCTCCACCACCAGATAGTCCTTCCCAGGTTGGTTGATCTCCAACAACAGACCATCCTCGCCTTGGGGGCCAGCTGTCCACGCGACAGAGGCGAACTTAGGCTGCCATTGTCCGGACTGGACTTGTTCGAGGGTGATCTTCTTCCCCGAACTCTTCATTGGCGCTTCATGGTTATAGTCCAATGTAGAAGCATGCCTGTACCGTCCACCTGCCAGAAATATGAAGAGCGCAAATGCCCAACCGACGATGGCGACGATCGATACAATCCATAGGCTGCGCCGCAACCCTTTTGACATGCGTTGCCCGCTGATTGTGTAGTTCTTGTCGTTGAATCTTGGTAGCTCCGGATCACTGTCGTCATCTCGATATTGCAAGGGTTTCAGAGGCTGGTTCACGGATTGCATTGTGTTCAGGTTCTCGAGGACTAGAGACGTGGAGGACGCGCTCGAGGCACTTTCCAGGGAAGGTTTCGAATGTGGAGTGGCGGAAGACGACTCCCTTTCTTTTATAAACGTCTCCCTCTCTTCAGCGGAGACGTCGCTCACCCTAGCCATGATGGCTTGGCGGGGTATCTGCCAGGGACTTTCCCTGGAGTCGTCGTAGTTGAGGGCGAGCGAGGTTGACCTTGACTGCGACAGAGGTTTGTTATCTGAGCATTTTTGAAGCCTGTTCCCGAGCGGCGAGAGCGCACCGTCGATGCAGCGTACACCGGCAGGGATTCTCCTGCGAGGAGAGAGGAGAGGGAGTTCTTTTGCGCGTAGATCTGTGATTATGGTCAGAGGCGGGCTGTGAGATGCTGCTGTTGACGCTGCCGGACCAGTTGAAGGCGGAGTCGACGTCGCGTTCTCCATATTGCCCAATGAGGACTAGTCACTATGGGTAAGCTGTCACGTGTTGATTATGTCAGACGTGCCGCCGCTCTAACAGACACAGCCTTGTGGTTGTCTCACCACAACACATTACAGACTATCAAAACGAGCCTTTACATCTGTTGTCTTCCTAGTCTTTCTTTATGTCACACTCCTTATCGTCATGCGCAAACGAAACAAAGAACCGAAACAAGTAGACTTGATGCGCTTGGTTTGTCGGTCCCAGTTCGCATGCTCTCTTTCCGCTTTGGGAGAGAAACTAAACATCGTCCGTTTCCGGCCATAGATAAACTTATTAGCAACAAGAGGATCTATGGGTCTATAATGCATTGATATTCAGGGGCTCATATTTACGCAAGCGTATTCTTCATATGTAGGCCATCTCATGCTGTTGAGTGGCGTCGAATCTGGCCCGACGTTGATTTAGCGCTCCAAGTCATACCCCTAGACGCCATGTAATGCAACATTACAACGCATACTGTGAAGTCCAAACATGGACTGTATGCTGAAGGTGAAACGGTGCATGCTTCTAGTCCTCTGATCCATGTACGGATGGGTCAACTTCAGAGGTCTTTCCGTCTTCTGACAATCTCGAATCCTTTTTGTTTTTGCGCAATCATCACATTTTTATTCTGCGAGGCTTCCGTATGGCTTCCTCATTCAGGATCCATGCAAACAAATTCTTGTCCGGCCTGCTTCGGAGACGCTTCGTTTATGCATGGAAAGTCCAAGAGCCTCAATTGGCGACTCCTCGATGATTTGGCGAATGTTCCAAGGCCTTGACATATCTGACAAATGCCTTTTTATGCACCATGCCTCTGTACTCGCCCTCGTTCAAGACACATATATATCTCAATCCGAGTTTCACGAAACACTGATACACCAAGTTCATGGGCGAATGCATGTCCAAGGCCACAGGCGCAGGGTCGATATAGGGGGTGAGTTCTACCGGATTTGCTGTGGAGGGTTCCTCGCCATCTGACTCACGTCCTGAATCGTACCCGGCTTCTTCGAACGCATCCCAACACCGGTTGTGCGTATTGTAGATGTGGTTGGAGGTGGAAAGCAGGCACAACGTGCTGTCCTCGTCCTCGATCCTGTCCAGGGCAAATTCCAGGTCCGGAGCTGGAATGAGACCCACCAGAACCTTGTCTCGGATGATAGGCAGACCGCCGTCAAGTTCGCCGAGGTCTTGTGTTCGACGAAGTTTGGTTCGTAGATCACTCGCCTTCACCAGAGGCGACAAGGTGATGTCGATCACTCCGTCCCGTCGAAACCGGGGCGTAATGTCGCCTAGTTCAGAGTCGAACACGGGACTGCCTTTGTTGTCGAGGAAAGGATACGAATTCATGTCTGTCAGAAGGTCGTAGATGCTGAGTGGCTCCACCGCGTCTGCAGTCCATTTGGCGCAGAGAACCCCAAGCGAGAATGGTAGTACATGATCTAGACTCCCCGTCAATTCAAAGAGGATCACCGCCAGCGTCACCGACAGACGTGTTACTCCGCACATGACAGCGCCCGCAGCGACGAGGGCATACACGCCGGGGGTCACGCAAGCCTCCATGTTGTCGGACGCCTGACACCCACTCCACAGAAAAGAGGCAGGATATCTCAGCACAAGATACTGCGTAAAGTGACCGACCATGCGCCCCATCAAGCCACCCACAACCATCGAAGGCACGTAGATGCCTGCGGGAACCTTGAGACCAAAGGTAATTATGGTGAGGATATATTTGACGACGAATGCCCAGCCCAGATAACTGATCACGGACAGGACTTCGTCCTCTTTCGGGCAAAGTCCAGTGCTGGTATCCTGGTTGCAAGGGCTGGCCAGATCGAAGAGAAGCTCGGTCACGGAGAGCCGCGTGTAGCGGTTCCAAAAGCCGACGGCACCGGTGACAAGAGCAACTAGAAGAACCTCCAGCAGAGGATGGCGTTTGATGACGGGTATCCGACGAAACGTGGTGGCCCAAAATCGAGACGCCTTGATGAAAAGCGCTCCGGCAAGACCTCCCACGACGCCGAGAAAAGCAAAATTGAACAGCTCGAAATAATGCCAATCAGAGAAATACCTGACTTCAAAAAGGACGATCTTGTTGGTGCCATACGGATTGAGGAATTTCAAGGACAGTGCCGCCACAATGCAACAGCAGAATGTGCGAAACAAAGTCTTCGGGGGAAAATAGTAGCTGACTTCCTCCAGACTGAAAAGAACTCCGCCCAAGGGTGACCCAAACGCGACCGCAACACCACTTGCGGCACTCGCCGAAAGTACTTCTCTTCTCTTAGCATCATTCAGGTCGTATTTGGAAAACAGACGGCAGGCGATGTTTCCGACGCAGGTTGCAATATGGACATATGGGCCTTCCTTTCCAAGACTCATGCCAGATGCCACGCTCAGAATGAGGCCAACAGTTTTCAGGACGAGTACTCGGAACCCGAGATACCCATGGAGGACAAAGCCACTCAAGATGACTCTCACTTCGGCAACGCCGCTGCCAGCGGCGGCGTAGTAAACGCTGGGAGGGGAAACATCCTGGTCATTCACTGTTTGAACAGAACCGGGCTTGTTCTCATCAGAGCCGTGATTGACGTCCGTCCTGACAGCACCGAGATCTTCATCCAAGGTCGAGGCGATGTTCGACGGCACTATAGTCTTCGAGTACAATGTGATAAAGCAGGACAGCCCTGCTAATGCCATGGACCCGACTATGAACGCGAGATACTCGATTGTCGTATCACCGACGGTCGAAACAGAGATGAGTTCTGACCAGGTCTTCCAATTATCGCAGGTTCGTTTCCCCGAACAGCATCTGTCTCGCCCAAGGTACCAGGTGTCTTGACAAACGCCGCGCTTGATATCGAATATGGCGGACTCGGTCACGTCGACGAGATAGGCTATGCAGGCAGTAGCAACCCCGATGAGAACCATCAGGATCCAGCCTTGAGTGGAATCAAAGAAGCGCCATAAACGACCTCGAAAGCCTTTCAACTTCCTCATTTCCAAGACTCGGTACCCATCAGCAATACTGTCGTGAACCCAATCCGTCGAGGTGAACTGATCATACCATAGCCTGTCGTCTTCTGATAATGATCCCATAATCGACTGGTGTAGTTTCGGCGTTCGGAACCCCGAACTCCTCATCCATACTGGGCTGCTCGCGCCAGACGGCCGTGCATTGTAGTCTTTCCGTCTGCGCAAACTTCCGGTAGAACTGTTCACCCTCGACAACTGTCTCGATCGCGACGACTGGCCCCTGTTCTCAGTGTATCTGCTCGTCGACCCGTCGCCGGCTCCAAGCAATCCAGTTGTCTCCGTAGGTTCGGAAGGCATACTCAAAGGAGGTGGTAATCGGGTCCTCAGTTCACTCGAGGAAAACGAAGGGGACCTGGTTTTACGCAGCGTTTCTGGCGAAGAGGGGGAAGAAGTTGGATAACGCGACAGGCTCTTGGGGCCATCATGCTCGTTAGGGTCGTGGAAAGAGACATAAGACTTGGGCATGGTGGAGGTCGGATCGCGGAGCAGGACAGGGGCCGGCAATAAAGGGAAGAGCGAGGGACAGCAGTAGGGAGGTAGGCGGCAGTCCGGTGCGCCTCTACATGCAGCTGGTGCCTTGAGACCGTATCATCATCGGGGTCATTGATCGAGGAGAATGGCAAGGTTATAGATGGTGTCGCAGACGACGATACCGAAATGACTTCTAGAGGTCAGATGTTAGCAAGGCAAGCGAAATGCCTTCAGGCTCTCGAATGGCCGCAGCTAGGGGTCTGTGGACTGCTCCTGGTGAACTGCACAGGCTGATGAAGTGATAAAAGAAGGGTGTGCCGAACTATGCTCTCACATCGGACGATCAGCTGAGCAGATGATGGCGGTTGTTCCGATACCATATCATCTGACAGCGCCGAGGGGGAGATGGCACGCGTCCAAAAGCGGTGACTGATTGTGAGGGTAGAAAAGACCTTAACCCGCATGAGGGTCAGCCATCACTGGAATGCCTGAAATGCCCCGCCAAAGAAGAACACTTCCGCAAACGATTCCACGCCTGGGACAATGCCTTGTTGTAGCTTCATAGACGATGTGGAGTGGTTGATGGACTATGTTGGAAGAAAGACGAATCTCAGAGCGCAGGCAAGATGTTAGTGATAATGCTTGGCCATCTAAGGTAAGTACATGTATCCATTTGATAATGGAGACGACCTCATAGCAGACAAGTATGGCATGGATACTCTCTACATTCCCGGTGACGATGTCTTGCAGATTTCCAGACGACGGAAACATTTGATGGCAACACCGCATACTATGGCATATGCAGCTAAATAATGAGAGTAGAAGCGAGACCACGAACGATTCGCTCGGTCGGCCGTCGCTCGGTACAGTAACAGCGTACCTCCTTATCCAGCGAATGTCAATAATCACGTACTCTGTCCTGTTTGCTGTGTGCGGTAGAGAGTCGAGACATGTTGGTGGCCGTGCTCTAACTCCCCATCTGTTTGGTAAAGGGGCCCCTGCGCCTATTGAGATATCAACTAAAACACACCCTCTGTTCTTCTACACTATGACCATACAATGTCAGCGAGTACTACTTTGTTCCATCTCGAGGTCCTAACCTAAAGTACGTATATCCAGCGCCGACCACGAGAGACCTCCCTTTCGTTCGACCGAGCCATGTCTCATTCGCCTGACCTCTCGGCCTCTCCTCGCTCAGCGGCGCCTCGTCCCAAGACATATCCCCAATTCGTGTTGTTCGGCGACAGCATCACCCAAGGCGCCAGCCATGTCTTCGGCGCCTCCTTGACGGACTGGTACATGAGGCGGGCGGATGTCCTGAACCGAGGATTCAGTGGATATACAGCCCCTGCCGGCTACGACAATCTCCTGCAATTCTTCACCACCGCGCCCCCCTCGTCCAGCGTCCCTCGAATCCAGCTGATGACCGTCTTCTTCGGCGCGAACGATGCTTGCCTTCCAGGGTGCCCCCAGCACGTCCCGATCGAGAGATACAAGCAGTCTCTGCGAGATATCGTCGATTATGAAGGAGTCAAGCTCCATGACACAAAGATCATCTTGATCGTGCCCGCTCCGGTCGATGAATGGCAGATAGGGGACACCGAGAGAACTGCTGCAACGACAGCCAAGTATGCGGCCGCCTGTCGAGAAGTAGGGCAAGAGTTGGATCTACCGACACTGGATCTCTGGACACTCTTCATGCTCAAGGCGGGTTGGACGGAGGGCTCCGCAGGTCCATTGATCGGAAGCAAGGCCGCAGCAAAGAGCCAGGTCTTGGACGAGTTGTTGTCGGATGGATTACACTTCACGGCGGCTGCATATCAATTGGTCTTCGATGAGCTCGTCAAGCTCATTCGAGAAAAGCTGCCGGATCATGTTCCGGAAAGACTACCTTCTATATTTCCAGATTGGAGGGCAAAGCTGGGTGTCGACAAATAAATGGATCAGAGCGGAAGAAGTCGACGTATACAAGATATTGTCATTTCGAAATCTAGCTACGTGTTTTAGTGGCAGAAAGAACAGACATAGACACGAATTGAAAGGACTGTTTGTGTGTGAGATACCAAGGAAGGAGTGATCAAAACCATTTCAAAGATAACCAGCCGTGCAGGGAGTGGAGTTGAAGTGTCGCGAACGGATTGCAGTTCGGACGCCGGATGAGATCAGATCGCCATAGGACCGAGTCTGAAGAACAGAGCGCACCGTCTATTCCTCATCACTCTCCTCGTCGCTGTCCTCATCGCTCTCGGCTTCGTCGAGCCATTGCAAGAATTTGTCGGCAGCTTGACGGACCTTTCGGCTGGTCGCAATGTCGACATACTTCTTGCTTGCCTTCTGGCCCCAATCTTTGGCCACCTCTTCACTGAGAAGGTCATTCTGATAGTAGCCCATGAGGATGGCAGGGACCTGAGGAATCAGCTCCGGATGATCGTTGCCGATGAAGCGTTCGGTGCCGCCAAGGAACGCTTTCATGTGTTTCTCCGACTCGCCAATCATGGCCCTGAGCATCTCCGCACGGGCGGGAATTTGCTTGACAATGTTTTCGTCGAAGATGGTCTGGGCCAACACAGTGAGTGTCTTGTGCTTGGTCTCAATGCCCAGTTCCTTGGCCTTCTTGTAGATTTCCACGTCGTCAATCTCGCTGACAGATCCTTTGGCCTTGGTTTCGTCGATGATCCAGGTCCCAAGTTGGTCGTAGACACTGATCCCATTGCCCTCACCCTCTTCTTCTTCGTCGAAGGCGAGCGAGCGCTTCAGGTCGGATGGCAACTCCTTAGCACGAGCGGCCACGGCTTCGGCCGAGGTGTCGACCGCCCATTCGTCGTCCTTGACCTCTCCGTTGGTCTTGGCTCCAATGCTCTTTGCCTCCTGGGTGATCTGTTTAGTGAACTCGTCGTCACTGCCAGCGGCCAGTTCGAGGTCGCCCTCGTCGGCATCCCCCTTGTCGGAGTTGGAGTCATGCGGACTGCCACCGTTGGCGGAACCGTTCTCCTGAGTCCCGGCCTTGGCCCTGTCGCGGCGCGTCATCTTTTCTTTCTTGGTTCTTTTCCCACCCTTCGGTTCGTTCTTGAGGATGAAACCGCTCAATTTGTGGCGTATGTCGACGTCAGTACGTTGACCACATGCCTTGCAGTCCAACAAGATCCGACCATCCTTGACGTTGATTGTGGTCTCGGGGTTCTTGCATGACTTGCATAGGACAAACCTAGAGATGAAGCCATCCAAGGAGTCTTGCAGCTTGTTTGCTTCGTGGGCTCCGTTGATGATCCAGCGGTCATCCTTCGGGTTGGTGTTTGTCTGAGCGCCCAGCTCGAAACCGAAGTACTTGATGACATAGGACGGAGGACGGGCCAGGGAGGCTGAGACGCTTGGAAGGTTTGCAACGACGGTCCTGGAGTGACGGTTAGCATACAAACATCATGACATAAAACATTCCCATACTTACTTGATGCCGTTTCCTTTCCCTTCAATCTTGGATTGCAAGCGTTCCATCTTGTAGCGATAGAAGGGATCACTGACATCCCGACGAATGTTGATGGTAGCCATTTTGAGGGATGTTGTTGGAGTTTCCTGAAGACAAGTATCTCACTTTCAAGAACCAATATTTGGCTTAATTTTGGGGGTGCATGCAAAGAAACAAAGAGGCGTAGACAACTCTTTCAAAGCGACCAGACATGCGTGGATATCACCACAAGGTTGTAAGATAGAACATCAAGGATACGGCTGGTATTCGGCGTATCAACCATATGATGACCTTGCAGGACTACACGAGTGTCTGCTGGCCGGATATATGTCCAGCTTTTGCTTGGTTTTGGTTTTGGAGGAGTGAAAGTATGCCCGATACATGAACAATCGAGGCTGCGTCTGATCGAGAACGGTAGGTTCTGTAGGTGGAAAGGAAACCAGCGTTAGGTTGCGCGGGTCTGGAAGAGTGCTGGCAGGCAGTGTACCGCAGTAGGTGGATAGTTGGGGCTTTCAAGTTGGCGGTGATGATAATGACGATGAGAACGCCTGGTGAAACAGGAGAATTCTCGACTCTTCACTGTTGTGAAAGTGATGATGGTGGGAGAAAGAAGAAACGGGAAGGAGGCAAAGACAAAATGTGAAAGGAACAGTAGAGCAAAAGCCAACAACTGCGCTAGGCGGCCGGCCGACTCGCACTGCAGCTTGAGCGCTGTAGCATAAGGCGACCGAGACCGAGTGGCCGAGCGCGGAATGAGCTGCAGTGCAGTCGGGGCTGCAAGAAAATTTCATCGCCTGGCCGCCTGGCGAGGAGCGATGAGGATCGAGCTGATTAAGATTGATGCCTGGGATTTGCTGCCTTTCGCTGTGTTCCAGGCGTGCGGGGGCGGTTGAGGCTTTTTCCCTTTAACTGTACACTGTCAACAGCGGCTTACCCGGACGTCCCACTGCACCTAGGACTCTGTATTATTATTGTGTGCCCCAGTCAGCCTAAGGCCTAAAGGGGCCATGGCAGTCTCCCGTTCCCCTTCGCCAATTCTTTGTAGCAAACTCACCCTATTATTGCTGCTGCATACAACGTTTGTTTACAAGGCCTGACAATGGGCTCACATTATTGATGACTACCTAGTACGGGTTACACAAACAAGGTGTGGACGTGGAATCACTACTCTTTGGTCAGTCAGTCAACTGAGCACTGTATACTGATTGCGAGAGTTGTGCCAGCTCCAGCCTCGTGCGGCCTATCTCCAACGCTTTACCTGTAACAACGATATCCGGTTGATAATGACACAATCGCCTTCTTGTCCTAATTAGGCGCTAAACTCTTCTCCGTCTTCCGTATACGACCAGCTAAGAGGATGTGCAGTCTCAGCGTACTACTGGTCGTTTTTGCCCGCCTTTGAGGTTATTCAAGTTGAAGCAACCGTGCTAGAACTAGGAAGAGGAATTGTACCTGATCCTACCATGGTATTGAAGTGAATGGCACAATTTATTGATTTGACAAAATCAGACAAAGAAGCTCAGTCACAAGATGGCGCAGAAGTCGAGAGCAAGACTACCGGTAGACTGGTCTCTGTACCTGGTGACGGACTCAACGCCAGCAATTCTCGGTGACAAGGACATCGTCGAGGTAGTTGACCAAGCTATAGAAGGCGGGGTCACCATTGTCCAGTATCGCGACAAACACGCCGACACGGGAGTGATGGTTGAGATTGCCTCCAAACTCCATGCCGTCACCCAAAAACACAATGTGCCTCTGCTGATCAACGATCGCCTCGATGTCTGCCAGGCTGTGGGTGCTGAAGGCATCCACATAGGTCAAGACGACATGGGTTGCGTCGAAGCCAGAAAGATTCTGGGACCGGATGCAATCATAGGGGTCACAGCGTCGTCGGTCGAGGAGGCTCAGAAGGCGATTGAAGATGGCGCAGATTACCTAGGCATTGGAACTACGTTTGCGACGCCGACAAAGACAGACACCAAATCCATCATCGGCACCCGAGGTCTCCAGGAGATTCTGGCCGCCTGTGCGACCGGCACGGAGAAAACGGTTCCCTGCGTTGCTATCGGCAGTATCAATGCATCTAATGTCCAGCGCGTCTTACACCAGTCTGCCCACGGCTCCAACCGACTGAATGGCGTCGCTGTAGTCAGTGCCATCATGGCATCAATGGATCCTCAAGCCTCTGCCAGGTCGCTTCTCGACTTGATCAAGACGGCCCCCGAGAAATTCTACGCGGCTGTGCCACCGAACACAGCCCGCATCACGGATTTCGCGAACCTGATCGCGCAGATTCCCTACATTATCAAAGCACATGTCTCATCCTCTGTCCTCTGCCATAACATGACCAACACGGTCGTTCAGAACTTTGCCGCCAATGTCTGTCTAGCAACAGGTTCGTCCCCTATAATGTCCGAAAATGGGCCTGAAGCCCCAGACCTAGCTCGACTAGGCGGCGCGCTCGTCATCAACATGGGCACGGCAACCCCTGATAAGATGAACGCCTTCACCGCCGGATTGAGAGCATACAATGCCGTTGGCGCGCCTGTTCTGTTCGACCCTGTCGGTGGTGGTGCAACGGCCGTCCGTCGTGATGCTGTCAAGACACTTCTCGCCGCTGGATTCTTTAGTGTTATCAAGGGCAACGAGAGCGAGATTGGCGCCGTAGCTGGCACGTCAACGACGCGACAAAGAGGCGTCGATTCTGGTCCTTCCGTCTCCACGGCCGAAGAAAAAGCGAAACTCGTCAAGGCCATTGCCTTGCGCGAGCATTGTGTCGTGCTCATGACCGGAAAGACGGACTACCTGTCGGACGGAGAGCGGACCGTTGCTATCGAGAACGGTTCACAGTATCTCGGCAAGATCACAGGTTCTGGCTGTGCGCTGGGGTCTGTCATTGCAAGTTACGTCGCAGTACATCCACAAGACAAGCTTTTGGCAGCATTGGCAGGCATCTTGCATTACGAAATCGCGGCAGAGAGGGCGGAGGCCCGGCAAGACTGCAGGGGTCCGGGAAGTTTCATCCCGGCTTTCCTCGACGAGTTGTACCTGCTGGGCCAAGAGATCAAAGACGGCCGAGGGATAGGTAGCAACGGTCCGTTTGGAAGGCATGTCAAGGCTCAGATGGCAACAGCTGGTTGAGATCGGACCAAGCGTTTGATTTTGGATAGTTTGGAATTGAAAAGCAAACCTGGGGTATTGCAGAACAAGGTCGAAAAGACGCCTTTTGAACACACATGCCGGTCTGATCACCTTCATGCTGATTTTTGATTCAAGAGCACCGTTTTCCGGCCGTCTATGCAAGACAGCTGCATCTTCCTTCGGCACAGGGCTTAATATCCTCCTCGATGTCCAGTCTCAGCCACCGCTTCCATTGGGATGTGTCATCTGCTATACTGCCGGGCTCCTGTTCTTCGACACCGCGCATCGCTGTGGAGACCATGAAGTCTTCGTCGTAGGCCACCAACTCGATATCGACATCTTCGACTTTCTTCCCGTGCAAAAGGGCCGTCATGCCGCGCTCGGCCTTGTCCGGCGGCGTCCATTTTCTAGCTTCATTCTGGTGCCTTAGTTCTGGCGGATACAGATGTGCATTGTTATTCGCCTGTACGTTTGGCAAGTGCTTGGGGGCCACTGATGATGTACGGGCGGAACTGTGAGTAGGGGTGTGATCGCGGCTCGGATGATGATGGGCAGGCTCGGGCGGTGCCACGACATTGAGGAATTCGAGTTCTCGTAGCCAGTCCGCAAGTAGACCTTCACCGACCATTTTGATATATGCTTCCTTCAGGCTCCAGTAAGCGTAGAAGCGGCGGAGCTTCAGGTTTATCAGCCTTGCATCACGGTCCTGCAAGGGCGTTCCGTTCGCCGTGTCCACCGACGAGCCCTCGCTGTCCCAGCACTCACCCTCTTCACGCTCCACCACGGGGACAGGGATCGGGGCATGTCGCATATTCCAACGCTCACGGTCCGAGAACATCTCGGCGAAGATGTCCACCCATTCATCAAACTTTTCCTGAGTCGTCATATCCTGCGGCGTTCGCTTGTCTTCGTTCGTGCAGGCTATGTCAACGCCCAGTCTGACCTCGTTGGGCGTCAGAGTGGGTGTCCGATGGCCTGTCAAATCCAATTGCTCGTACGAATCACTTGATGCAGACGATCCAGGAGCAACATGCGTATGTGGAGTCGGTAGTTGTGCTGTGGGCGTACTGCAGCCGACGATGGCAATGAGGCCGGCTTGGTGGGAAACATTGAATTCCAGCCCTCCAATTCTAGAGCCGGAGTCTCCCTCCACTGGTGCCTTCCAATCCTCCAAGGGGGTCCAATAGGGCCGGCGATGGGGATGAGGAGTCCTCGAGACTTGTACCCGCGACCAAGGAATTTTGGCTCGTCTGTGGATGAAGGTGTATTTCAGCAGAGCGCTGGCGAGGGACATGAAGCGATCCGCAGGGCGAATGAAGCGGGTGACGGCTTCTTGATCGGAGTATTGCAACGTTGACAGTAACGGGAGAGGCTGCGTTGACTTTGTGTTCGATGGAATTGGGACAAGAGGCCTGGTATCAATATAGTAGCGATCAATGACGGTCGCGTATCTCGGCTGAGATTGTGTAGACATTGTGTTAGGATTTGATCAGCTCAGGTGTAGTGACGCTGAGATTCTGAATAGTAGCGATTTCTACAGGAACGATGATCTGCTGGTAGACAGCGTCTGGTGTTTTGAACCCCTGGAGTAGTGGTTTTGTATTCACCATCAAGCTGTTCATGAGCAGGCGGCCCGCCTTGACACAGGAAGAGTATATTTGGTCAACCCACAAACTTCTAAGCGCATTCAGGCCTGATCTCAATCCAAGAAGGCTGTGGAAAATCTAGGAAAGAGCCATGGTCTCTGTCCGCAGATGAATTGCAAAGACTGGCGCAAGCATAGTACCGAAAGAGGCAGAGGAAAGTGCATAGAATCGAGGCCAGATGCCGATCGATGTGGCTTAATATAGCACGTCTATGGTCCGAAGCGGCCGGAGAGGATCGTAAACCATGTCAGGTTCCACAAGGCTGACGGCGAGGCTTTGCCTGATATGCTGCATCGAGATCTGACTGCAAGTGGATGAACAGTGATTGACTGGGAATATCAAACAACGTGTGGTGGACTGGGAGGAACATTGATTGAGTCATGGAGATCTGTGGAGTATAGTAGTAGTAGTAATAAGGTAGTGGTGTACACTGCAGTATTACTATACTAATAATAAGGTATACTATACAGCTGTGTAGTAGGTACGTATCTGAGAGATTGGCTGCGCTTTTGCAGGCGCAGCGCAGGCGAGGGGCCAACGAGATCGACCAATCAGACATACGGTGAATCAGGCGGTGGCAGAACCTCTTTCTGTGAACTTCGCCCTTTGATCGATGGATGACACAAACCCGCGTATCTGACTTCGATATGAAGACTGGCTGGACGAAATTGCAGAGCGCCTTGCATTACTCCTTTCTCCCCTAGTTCGCTTGTTCGCCTTTCCCGTCGATGACCATCACAGTCGGTGTGTTGGCCCTACAAGGCGCTTTCCTTGAGCATCTAGTCCTGCTAAAGCGAGCGGCGGATTACTTGCATGGGCACGAGGGAGTGACAGAGTCATTCGACTTTATTGAAGTCAGAAATGCAGAGCAGTTGGCTCGTTGTGATGCATTGATTATTCCCGGAGGCGAGAGCACAACTATGTCGTTGGTCGCAGCACAGTCCGGCTTGCTCGAACCTCTGCGAGAATTTGTCAAGTATGCCTTAGCTCTCTCCTCCCGTCGCTGTCTACGAACTGACTGAACCTCCGCAGAGTCTCTCGCAAGCCCACCTGGGGCACGTGTGCCGGACTGATCCTTCTCGCCGAAGCGGCAAATGCCACCAAGAAGGGAGGCCAGGAACTGATCGGAGGTCTGGATGTGCGTGTTCGCCGCAATCACTTTGGCAGACAGATTGAGAGCTTTGAGGCGGACCTGGATCTACCCTTTTTGAGAGCCGGAGGGTCAAGTCCCGCCAAACCCTTTCCTGGAATCTTCATTCGAGCACCCGTTGTTGAGAAGATACTTCCCAACGTCGAGGGTATTCAGAATGCTGAGCAGCAAGCCGGCCAGACCGTAGTGGCGCCCTCCAAATCGGCCAAGGACGAGCAGGCAAAGTTGGCAATGAGCTCCCATGTCGATATCATGGGAAAGCTCCCCGGTCGCCTGAAGAAAGCCCAGGCGATGGGAGCGGAGCTGGATGCTGGAGAAGAGGTCGGCGACATTATCGCAGTCAAGCAAGGCAATGTTTTTGGGACCAGCTTCCACCCCGAATTGACGTCTGACATTCGGATACATGTCTGGTGGTTGAGGCAAGTCCTCGATGCGGTAGGGGATCGAGCTGCAGTGCGGTGATCGTGTATAAAGTGGAGGCACGACGCTGAATAGACCAAGGTCGGGCACGCAGAGCCCCGAATAGAAGGCGTTCCTGGCGCATAGACTGATGAATCATTTCCCTGCTCCGTACTCTTCCTCCTCCTTGCGTCGCTCCGCATCGATGGCTCGTCCATAGCCTCCTCTTCCAGGGTCAAATTCGTCTCGGTATTCGTCGCGAACCTGACCGCCTGATTTGCCACGGCCGTACTGTCTTCCTTCCTGGAAACCGACATCGAGATCAGTCCTGATGACACGCTCATCGAGCTTCGTTCCACCGATGTATTTCATGCAATCGAGGGCGTCCTGGTGAGTGTAGTATTCGACGAAACAAAATCCGCAAGGCGTCTTCTGGAACCGATCCAGGCCCATGACCAGTCTTTTGATCTCGCCGCATCTAAAGCTTGTCAGTAGAGGACAACCGGTCGATGGCGAGGTGTCTTACTTGGAAAACAACTCATGGATTTGTTCTTCAGTCGTATAGAATGACCTATTGACGTTCAGCTGAGGCCAGTCACGTAGCAACGAGGACACAGACAAATTGCCCACGTAGAGGGTTGTCGCATCCTTGAGAGGATCATCTTCTTCTGCTTTGTTGCCAGCACCATCTCTCTCATCCGGCTGGTCTCGCCCGTACTTGCGCTTCTTCTGCAGACACACATCAGCTCAGCTCAGCCCAGCCACAGTAAGGCAAGCTTGAGGACAAACGCACCTTCGCAGTGTAGTAGGTGCTCGGCCTGTCTAGCCGTTCAACTGTAATAGTAGACTGCATTGTAATTGCTGGGGAGTGGATTGGGTGGTTAATAGGTTCAGTACATACGGAGAGAGAAGGAAAATGTGGTTGACTGCGGCGCGCGTCTTTCAGAAACGCGGCTGGCTGCAGACAACTTCAACCCTTGTTGTTTGCGACCTGGCGACCACTACCAATGTACCTTCACTCCACCTCTGGGGTCAATCCTCCGTTCTTCTTCCTCAGACAGAGCATTACATGGTTGTGAGCAATCTCAACATGCCAAAAGTCATTGGTTACACTCCTCCATGGCTATCACGCCCTTCGCCAGGTGCAAAAATATTCTCGGACCCTGCACCTCAATCGCCTGCTTCTCCTTCGAAACGCTCCTCTTATCTTGGTACGCCTTCTTCTACGAAATATCAAGGACCGAGAAGACTTGTCGCCAGCAGAGGGACAGAAGTCTTTACCGTCGTGGGCAATAAGATCCGATGGGCGGACCTTGCAACTGTCAGAGATGAATGGGAGGAGAGCACGCAGGCCAGGAGCAATCGATTTGGTCCTGCAAGGACTGGAGTTGCTCAGGGTGCAGAAGAGGATGTCTACAGGGTAAGCACCTGTAGAGGACGGTGTTTTGAATTCTCTGACGAGCGCAGACTCTTGACGTATCCATCTACTATCAAATTCGACAAATAACTATATCTCCCTCGGGCATATTCCTTGCTGTCTGCACAGAACACACAGTACACATCGCAGTATTGCCCCCGTCCTCACGGCTGAGGGACCATGACCGCTCACCGCTGAAACTCAAAACATACCAACTTGGCCCTACCATCCATGTCATTCCCGAGTCTCCTCTATCCGCCGTTTTGTGGCACCCACTGGCGGCGGCTGGTGCTTCAAACGACTCAATCGTGACTGTTACTGCCTCAGCCGCTGTGCGAGTGTGGGAATTGGATCGGTCCAACAAATGGTCATTTGAACGCCCGTATCTCGCCATTGATCTGCGAAAGCTGGCGGATGGTGTATCATGTGACCAGGACTTTGAGCCGTCAGCCTTTGGGAAGGCTCGTGGCTTTTCAGTGGATGACTTTGACATGGAAGTATCGGCTGCTACCTTTGGCGGTCGAGGTCGGGACGACGAAGATGCGTGGGCAAGCATGACGCTCTGGGTCGCCATGAGGAATGGGGACATATACGCTCTGTGTCCATTGCTACCTTCGAAATGGAAGCCCACAGCGACAACCATTCCTTCTTTATCCACGACCGCCGTTTCTCGCATGGCATCGATAGCGGGAGAAGAGGCGGACATGGATGAGCGACGAGCAGCGGACCAGCAATATGAATGGGTCCAAGAAATTGACAGCGATGAGCCACTGTTGATGGAGTCAACCGATAGCCTCAGTGAATGTGAGATCCGACTACGACCACAGAATCCAAGCGCTATTCCACGCCTGCAAGGCCCGTTCGCCATTCAACCAGAGGATGATGACAAGGACATTGAGATCTCGGACATTTTTGTTATGCCCGCCAAGCTGGACGGAGAGGATCTGATGGGTGGAGAAGATCTCTACGACGACTTCGACCTCGCCGCATACACTGGGGTCCCCTTCACGACAATCTGTGTGGCAACGCCTCAGAACGAACTTTGGTTCGCGATTGATCTTGATGGAGTGTCGGGACAGTGGCTTCCAAAAAAAGGCAAAAGCGCGTTCAGTGTACCCACATCAGATGCAAAAGAATTGACTCTGATTGAGACATTCGCTGTCAATGATTCCACAACCGACTCAGGAACAAACTGGCCAATGTTTACTGGGGACATCGTTCACAACTATAACGTATTCTTGACCACTTCGGCCCAGATCTACTCGATTTTTCTCAATGACTGGGTGACACGACTTGCCGCCGAACTGACCGGGACGGAGCCTATCGATCCGGGTCTGCAGATGCGGCTGGAGACCAGTTGTCAAAGTCAAGTTTGTCAGTTGAACAAAGTGATTGACATCCCAGAACCAACGGAAGTTCTTTCTGCTCCGGCAGTTCTCGATGATATATCCCTGGGGTACTTTCTCCTAACAACGACGCCTTCTTCGGCGTACGCAGTCTTCTTCGATCAGGCACACCTTCGGGCCTCCTTCATCGAACCATCCTCCCTTGAGCTCACGGCGACCTCCCCAACGCGTCTGAACACTCAGGTAGCTAGAGTCAGCGCCGGCGAAGATTCAAACGAACTTGAGACCCTGCCGACTAGGTCACCGTACGTTCCGGCCAAGATCTTCTATGCCAACCACCTCTACCCCCTGGAGTACATGAGACAGCGACTACCAGCCAACCTCAAGCGGGCGATAATCGAAAAGCCGATGCGCCTCAGTCCGGCCATGTTGGAGGTAATGACTAACGCCCATCGCACGATTGGTGCACAATCTGCAGAAATGGAGAAGGCGGCAGCAGAGCTTTTCCGCCGTTGCGATCGCCTCAGAGAGGAACTTGGTGATCAAGTCAAGCAAATGAGCGAACTGGCGCAGAGATTACAGAATCTTCGACCGAGCGGAGATGTAGACGAGGACGGGAATGCCAAGGAGAAAAAGACCCACGACGCCAGACTCCAGGATGCAAAGGACAAACAAGCAAGGTTGATGGCGCGATACGAAGCTCTAAGAAGAAAAGTCGGACGGGCTGGATCTGCCAAGCGAGAGCTGAGTTCGAAAGAAAAGGCTTGGATCGAGGAGGTCGACGTTCTAGGGAAGAACGTCGGCGTCGAAGTCGATGAGCAGGACGTGGAGACACATGAGGAGGAAAACGCTAGACTGGACAAGAGGTTTGAGACTGTAAGTCACATCTGGCCGTCCATCCAAACCACAATCGTTGTGGAGAGACTAACACGGGGTGTCAGGTCAAACAACTTGCCCACGACCTCCTGGAGGAAAGCAAGCGGCTGGAGAAGCAACAGCAGGAAACAGCATCGACCCTCGAGCGTGGCGATTCGGCAGTGACATCCGCAATGTCGGCGTCTACCATGTCCAACGGCTCCATGGCTGGTTCGAGGTATAGCATTTCTGCTTCTGGCTCGGCGCAACCATTCGGTGTCCCAAGCCGACTGCAAAAGGAGCGCATCGCGGATGTCATGGCCATGGTGGAACGCGAGGGCGCTGTCATTGACGCTGTCATGAAGCGGCTCGAGCGGCTCAAGGTCGAGTATTAGATGTATTCGTCCTATCGCTGCCGTCACGTACGGGGGAGGGAGGCGGTCATGGTGATGATGCGATGATCTTGATCTTGATCTTGAAAAGAGTGATCAAAGAGGGCATGCTTGTCTATCCACTGGACACGCAGACTGGGCGTGAGTGTGCAAGTGTGAGCGTGTACAGCGTTGGTCGTTCCGGCCTCAGTTCCGCAAGAATCGAGACTATGAAAAAACGAGGCTTGGATTGTGCAAATGTGGCCCGCCATCCAAGCTGATTCCGAGCTCTGTTTTGCATTCCTACGTGCTCCGGGTACGCCATGCTATATTCCATGTCCCTTTTCTCTTCGGACGACCGCCGGCCTCATTGCCAGACATTAGAACAATCATCATCATCACGAGATCCAAACATGCCGTTCGCTCAACACGCACATATTTTAAATCATCCGTAGCATGACAGTTGCTTTTTAATCAAGCTCCCGTTTTCACCAATGCCATAATCACCGCCCTGGCCTCCTTCTTAGAATATCACCTCCCTGCTCTCCCCCTTCCTACTTTTGACATCATATTCAATCCACCTGCCAACCCCAGCTCCCCTAGCCGCGGCTCGACTCATAGCCAACTCATCGACGACTCTGCCAGGATTCATGACGTGACATCCTTCATAGGTGATTGCGAAAGCGGGTGTTTCCGCGTCCGCCAGCACCAGCGCCGTGGGAAGAGGATACAATGACAGCGGCGAGGCGTGGTCCCAGAAGACAGGGCGGATGGAGTGCGTGAAGGGCGCGAGGTGTGATTGGTCCAGGACGGTTTTGATGAGCTTACGCGCTGCCTGGAGGGTGTATGTGTTTGGTTTTCTCTCGGAGGCGGTAGGGACCGTCACGGCGGAAGGGAGGTGCGAGGTTGCTTCGTGGACACGTTTGTCGAGACCGTCGCTGTCTTTGTCGTCGTCATCGGCGTCGTCGTCGGCGTTCGTGTCCGTTATGGGCGCCGACCCATCATCATCGATTGTTGCTTGTTGTTCCGTATGTCTTTCTTCGTGGTCAACCTCTTCGTCATTTTCATCATCGTCGTCTCCTTCAAGTTTGGCAAAGGTGATGGCATTTCTGCGGAAGCGGCTTGTAATGTCGTCTCTGAATAACACGACTTCTTCCAGTGGTCCGAACATGCTGACTCGAGCGGGATTGGTCGTCCACACCGCTTCTCCTGCTGGGGAGGATGAGGAGGAGTTCTTGTCTTTCTTGCTGTTGTTACTGCTGCTTTCGGCGTTGGCAGTTGCAATGGCCCTGCGGATCCGCGACGTGAATATCTCAGGGACACCCTGGCGTGGAATTGCGCAGGCTGCCCCCGCGGAGAAAGAGCTTGCCCACGGGTCATTGTCCCCTGGCACGAAGACGAGTGTTGTGCTTGATAGAAGAGAAGGGAACTCGGATAGGACAGATGCCAGCGCGTCAAAGTATTCCTTGTACTCGACGCTGCCGCCTCCTTTTGTGGACCCAGCCATGCAGGCTGCGGAGACGAAATTGCCCATCATGACAATCGAGAGAGGTAAGTCCGCGACCTCGTTGCTGGATGAAGTGTACGATGACAGGATGGCTCGAATGGCTTCGAGCGTGCGCGGGCTGTCGAGGTTGCATTCGCCCAGGATGGCGATCTTAGTTCGTATGGGTTGTTCTTGGTCCTCTGCTTCTCCTTCGGCGTTCTCAGTCGTATTGTTGATGTCGTGGAGGACGGAGGGCGAACTAGAGCTGAAGACGCGTTTCTGAATCCTTTGCATTTGCGGTCCAATGCCTTTCTCACTTCCTACTCCTAAAAAGTCGATCCAGCCAAACCCCGCGCCGACACTGGTATGGGAGATGTTCGCGTCCGCTCCGTTGGACGCACCGATGGTCAGCGCCCGCCGTTCGGCTGGTGGGCCGGCCATCGTGTCGACAATAAAATGGCCTTTGATTTGGCCGCCCACTCCTGAAGCCGAGCCTAGGTTTGAATTGTGGGAGCCGTCCTCCTCATACGTTCCCTCAAGAAGCACCATCATGCCTGGACAGAACCATGCCCCATCCTCGGGGATGGGCCGTGCGACTGACATGTCGAGAACAACGCTCCCAGATAGATCTGACACGGCGAGGTCACCGGCTGCTGAGTGGACGAGCATGCCTAGGAGAAGGTGCAATGTTCCAGACCGGCCCAGCAAGTTGGAAATAGGGGTGATCTTGTATGCTTTCTGAAGTGTGGCCACACTGCTGCCAGAGTGCATAAGGCTCGGTGGTCGTGTGATTGTTGAGAATGAAGGTGCTTGGAAAGACTCGTTCCTCAGCAGTCGCTGGTGGACAAGATGGTAACGGTTCCTGAACATGGATACTTTATGTTGTATGGGAGGGAGGAGACTCGGCGGGCCGGCCATCGGCTCGAAACACTTTTTGGAAGTCGAGTACATCATTCTAGGCTGGTCGAAGGCTGAGACGATCTTCAAGTACGAGCGTGGATCGAGTTGTGTTTCGTCGTCGTCTTCCTCGTCCTGGTCACCGTTTTCGCCGGGACGCAAGTCTGGGCCACCCAAACTGGTCTGGCTTTCCTCTCTGCTGGCACCAGGCCGTCCGCTGAAGGATGCTGTTCGGGATAGATTCGGATTGTTGACCGCATTGTTGGTACGTGACAGTTTAGCCATATCGGGCCGTCCACCGGACATGCATGGCTCGAGAATCTTCAAGATATTGGACAGCTTTTTGTCTAGCCCATCTTCGACAATCAGCCCGCCTCCATTTCGCTTCCATAACTTTGCAACTTCGTCCAGAACACGTTCTGCTAGGCCAGCTTCTCGCCAGCCGCTCCCGCAGAACTTGCCCACAAACGTAGATAGGAGACGCAGACCGGACGTGGTTATGGTCAAGTTATGCTTCTTGGTGAGAGTGATGAAGGCGACCCGTCGAAGCGCCTGGGGCGGGAGCAGGATGGGCAGGACTGTCGGCACATTTTCTGTCGTACTATTCGACTTGCTTGCAAATGGCTGCTTGATCCCAGGTGGCCGGTTGACAATTGGATATGCGGGTGTCCCAAATCCTGGCGATGATGAGAGAAGCTGCTCCTTGCTGAATGCAGGATTTGCCTTGAAACTCGGAGCCGATGGTAGCCTTGGAGTCGACAGCGGCTCTTCCATGGTCGTCTATGTTGTTTGTAATCTGATTGCAGAGTTCAAGTGTCTCAAGTGTCTGTATTCGTGGTGGTTGGAAAGCCGCAGAGGCAAAAACACTCAACGCGTGTGAAGACGCGTCGTGGAGACCCGCGTTTTGAGTAGTGCAAAAGTCACGTTGACTGTCAAATGCGCGCAACAAGTATCAAGGTATCTTTCTATCTACTACTAGTAACTCTTTGTCCCAGCAATTATCGCGCAAGGTGTCGGGCACTTAACCTTTCACTCATTCCTCATCTCTTCCTCCATTGTTGCAACTCAGACTATCTGCGCCCTGACAAAACCTTAGTTATCTCGATCTGCACAATTACCACCAAGACATCCATCGACATGTCTGCGACCGAACCTCAAGAGCCAGAGGCATCGACTGCCGCGCCCCAGGCTGAAGACGCCTCGACCCAATCTCCCCAAGAACAATTGGCAGATCTGGTCGCCAAAGCCACCGCCGAATATGCCCTCAAACACTACCAAGAGGCTGCTGAACTGTACTCACAAGCGTCTGAGTTGCAGGCAGAACTCAACGGTGAAATGGCGCTGGAAAATGCAGATCTGTACTACTCCTATGGGAAGTGTCTCTTCTATGTTGCGCAACAGACAAGTAATGTCCTAGGTGGGACAGCGGCCTCAGCACAATTGTCGCACAAGAAGGCCACTAAGAAACGGAAAACAAACGGTGTCGCAAGAGCTACAGAATCTACGGACAGCCCCGCTCCTGCTGAGGGTTCTAACAGCCTGGCGACAGTTCAAGAAGAGCCGGTACCGAATGTCGGCGATGTCATTCCTGAAGGAGATGTGAAGCCAGACCAGCCGAGCTCGGACAAGCCTTTGTTCCAAATCACTGGTGATGATGAGAACTGGGATGAATTGGATGACGACGAAGCAGATCAAGATCCCGAGGCTGAGGAAGAGGAAGACGACGATTTCGCAACAGCGTACGAACTCTTGGATCTCGCGCGCGTGCTGTACCTGAGAAAACTGGACCAGACACAGGAAGCGGTTCTGGAGGAAACAGAAAAAGGAAAGTATGTCGCGTCAATAGATCTCACTCCCGAAGTCAAGGCTCTCAAAACACGTGTGGCCGACATCTACGACCTTCAGGCGGAAGTGTCACTGGAGGGAGAAAAGTATTCGGCTGCGGTGGCAGATCTTAAGGCATGTCTTGCCCTGCGCGAGGAATTGGAGCCCCCAGAGTCAAGTATTCTAGCCGAATGTCATTACAAGCTGAGCTTGGCCCTGGAGTTCGCCTCACAGACGCAGCAACGTGACGCGGAAGGCAACCCTACTGGCGAAGTTCAAGTCGACTGGGATGTCCGGAATGAAGCAATCGCACAACAGGAGAAAGCGATCGACTGCTGCGAGGTGCGTATCCACAAAGAGTCGGCCGCCATGGACACGATGGAAGCAGGACCACAGAAAGATAAGGCCATGGCGCGCATCGAAGATGTCCAGGATATGGTCGGGGAAATGGAGGTTCGGCTCGCAGAGCTTCGCAAACCTCCTGTCAGTGTGAAGGCCGAGACAGAGAGTGAGATGAAGGAGCAGATCTCGGGGGTCCTCGGTAATATATTCGCCAGTGGTGCTTCTGAGGAGGAAAAGAAGGCGAAGCTGGCACAGGTCTCGGAGACTGCCAATGATTTGACCGGGCTGGTGAAGAGAAAAAAGCCCAAGAGTGCGCCACCGAACGCAGGTGACAGCTGGTTGGAATCTGCCGCCTCTACTCCTGCAGCCGTGACAACCGCCGATGCATCAGGTTCGGGTCCGACGACGGGGAACGGCAAGCGCAAGGTGGGATTTGTGGATGAGGCCGAAGACATCGAGACCGGCAAGAAAGCGAAAATCGAGGAGGCTGAAAGCTCCAGTGCTTAATCGTCCTCAACCGTTGACATGGATGTGTTTTGACTATGGGAATGATGTACCACCACGATTAACGTCTTGGAGATGAGGCATGGAAAAGGCTGGCTAGTCACTGGGTTGGTGGATGTAGACTCGAGCCTTGCCAAAGGTATCGGTCTCGTGTAATGCTATTACCTAGTACGTTCATCGACGACTCGTCTCTGCAGAGATCACTCCGATTTCTGTACTGTTGCTCTGGCCTCACCTCGTGGAATAGCAGACTTTATTGCGCGGAATTAATGAGCACAGGCATCAGAGGATGTCATATATATTGGTTGGGAGTATCTGAAGCGAGCAAAGCGAGGCGACAAAGCGAGGCGAGGCTGAGTTTGTCCGGATCGGAAGTACTTTGACCCGCTTTGACCTCCAGCCACGTGACTAGTTGGTAATCTGCGCTTGCGGGGCTCGACCTTCTCCGTACCGCAAATGGCGCTTTCCCGTATTATTGTTACTCATCAGTTCCACCTTCCTCCCCGTCTACAACGACAACGACAACGACAACGACGACTACCATTCTTACTTGAAGCGAGGAGTTGCAAGACACTCGCCTCGACCTGGCACAGTGGCTTCAAGTTCCATCTCCAGTCTTGTCTCTTCCGCAAAATGTACGTCAGCAACAATGGGAGGTCTTCGCACAAATCCCTCTGACGCCCCCTGCGCCGTCGCGTGCCCACCCGCCACTCCCTAACCGGACAGGCGGAAGGAGATTTTTGGAGGGGAAATTGTGGGTGGTAGCATGTGGGGTGGACACACTGGTCACAAGCGACGAACGAGCTCTCGCCGCCCGCAACCGGTCACTTCTCTCAAGCTTGCCACAACCCCCGAGCTCGGTCCCTCGGTGTTTCTCTACCTTTCTTCACTGTCCTGCATCGCTGTGTTATCGTCACTTCGAGCACACCAGTCTCCACCCCCAGGTTTGCCGGTGACGACTATCATAGAGGACAGCGCTACAGCCTCAAATGACACCGTTCCAACCGGTCCAGACTTCTCCAACGGAGGCCTCCGATGACAGAAACTCCTCTGTGTCAGGCAGTGATGTCGAAATTGACAATCCCGATAATGCCCCGGACGCTGGGAATGGTGGCAAGAAGAGGAAGAGGTCTTTAAAAATCTCGTGAGTACTCAATCAAACCCATTTTGCATCTAAAAGGATTTTCCGTTGAGTACGAGTTGTAGCTGTGAGCTGTGCAAGTCAAGAAAGGTGAAATGCGACCGAGTCGAACCGGCCTGTGGCTGGTGTGCGCGCAACAATCGAGTATGTGTGTACAAGGAGAGGCAGAAGCCGGGTCTACGCGTAGGGTATGGCCGCGAACTCGAGGAGAAAATCCTCCGACTTGAGGCTCTTCTACAGGTAATGGGTCGTCGGCTGGAGGATCACATCTCTGAACATGGCGACTACCCTCAACATCGGCCAGGCTCTGTTCGCATGAGCGCCTCTCAACCGCCGCCATTCTCTGCGTATTCCCACAATGATCCTCGTCCGTCAAATGCGAGCATCGTCTCTCAAGATACTCCTGGCTCAGAGGCGAGATGGCCTGGGGGGAATGCCTATGAACGCATGCAGTATCCTCGACCTCAAGATGCCATGTCAATTCGATCTGTTGTGGACAACACCAACCATGACCTTATGTCGCAGAGCGACCGAGGCACCTCAACCGCATGGTATCCAACATCAACTCCGGCGCCATCACTGATACCTGACTCAGAACTCCCTCCGTATGACCTCCTTTACACCTTAGTCGACTTGTTCTTCAAACACGTCAATCCCTGGTCGCCCATCCTCGATCGCAAAGCCACATTCGACGCATTTTTTGGCTCCCAGTCGATGGATGAATCCGACCGGATACTCGTCCATGCCATTGTAGCGACAACTTTGCGGTTCTCCAAGGACCCTCGCTTGACGCCAGAGTCGAGGAATCAGTTCCACGAGATATCGCGACAGAAGATTATGCTGTACGCGCTCGATCATCCCACAGTTCGAGCCATGCAAGCCTTGACCATCCTGGCTGTCGATGTTCTTGGTACATCAAACGGTCAGCAGGGCTGGAATCTGCTGGCTCTGTTGGCGCATAATATCGTCCAACTTGGACTAGACGTGGAGAAAAGCGCATACTTGGAGTCAAGTGCGTATCCGTCAGCGACATTGCTCCAAGCCTCACAGCCGAAATCCTGGATTGAAAACGAAGAGCGACGGCGGCTGTGCTGGATGACATTTGTCCTAGACAGGTACGCCACCGTTGCCACCGCTGAAGCATTTATGTTGGACGAAAGAGAAATGGACAGATGCCTTCCTTGTCGATATGACCTGCTATCACGAAATGAGCCCGTCGAGACGAGATGGCATCGCCGCGGTGCGCCAGCGGAAATGCTTGTGGACAAACCAGAAAATCTAGGAAGCTTCTCCTACCACTGCGAGGTGCTGGGCATCTTGAGCCGCATCCACCGATTTCTCCACGAGCCCCTTGATATCACTCGACACTCGGACATCCAACGATGGCGAGAAACGTACAGAGAACTCGACGGCGAACTCAACAGCTGGCTGCAGAATCTACCAGGCGAATACGGGAAGATATCACAATTATGTCACTCTGATCCTGGCAGCCGGATCTCCAATTGGATCATGCTGCACGCAGCCTTTGTCACGTCCGTCATCCGACTTCATTCGTCAGCGGCATATCCCACCGTCAAGTCGCCTGTTTTCACGCCTTCTTATCATGCTATACAGCGCTGTCTCGGCGCCGTCGAAAGTTTACGCGAGATTGCCCAGGATGTTCTCAACACCGGCATGCTCGCTCTGCTAGGCCATCCTTTTGCGTTCTCACTCTGGGTCTCGGCGCGGCTCCTTCTCGTTCACGCCGCGACTATGGAGTGCGATGTAGACCCGAAAATCAGCTTCTTTATATCCACGTTGGAACAGATGGGCCAGCACTGGCAGGTCGCTAGAGACTACGCTCGTATCCTGAACGATGTTGTGCAGGAAGGGAGGACTGGCTCTGGACGGACTTTTACGGGCATGAGAAGGTAAGTCGATGCTCTCTCGTCCCGAGAAGCCTCTTCCCATCCATCTACGTATCTTGACCAGCCCAATTGACCGGTGAGCTCACCATATCGTGTTTAGACAAGCTTACGAGCTCAACCTGTTGACCTCGCAACGGCCACGCTCCGTTCTCGAACCTCCCACCACGCACAACTCGACGCCAAGCGAGCTCGAATATCTCGAGGTGTTCGACTTCTTCAACTACCCGCGCCTCGATGCCATCGCCGGTATCGGATTTGATCCTGCTTCTGTCATCATTGGCCCTGCCGCCGCCGCAAACCCGATCCATAAAACCACCTCGACCTCGACTTCTACGCCCACTCCGACTCCGACTCCAACCGCGGCTGCGGCCGCGGCAGCTGGCACCACTCCAGCCGGTCCACAAGCATCACAGGCCCCGTCCTACCGAGCCACGCCGGCATTTGTGATTCCAAATCCGGAGTCGGATTGGTTGGTGTTCAAGCCGCCTTATGAGTAGCCGCGGATATAAACATAAATATCCACCTTCACGTCAAACATATACATGTGTATCTCTGTATGTTCGTATATCTACTCGTACGATATGCAACAATGCCCCAGCAGATGCGGTCTCGGTTGAGAGCTCATTTTGAGACATCATTGAGATGCTGCTGCGCGAGAAACCATGCCCTACTTGCAAGCGCGTTTTGCGCGTTTTGGAGGAATGCAGTTCTTTTCTCGTCATCAAAGACAAGACGTACAAAGAGCAACCTGGACAGAGTTCTGTTACTGGATACATACAAAACACAGACGGACCCGGGCTTGTGCAGGACGAATGTTGCGACTGCATGATAGCCTTGGACCTTGCCTGCTATGGCCTCCAATCCCTTTTTTTCAGATGCCTATACAGGCTGGTAAAAATGTACAAAAGCTTTGATACTTCCATATTTTGAAAGCTTCTTTTGCTCAAAGCATATATGCATGACGTATGGTGCCAGCATAGACCCCCGTAACGCCATGCTCCGTGGTCGAAAGGGTATGAAAAATCATGTTGAGCATACTTTTTCTCCCGTTCCCAAATCCAACCCAAGTTGATGCACAGATTCGAAGCGACAGGTGGTGAACAACAACAGCAACGACGACGCGAAGACGCTACTATAGACAACAGTAGTCATCATCACAACAGACGAAACAACCGCCTCGATGTGTCGAAGTCGGTTGAACTTCTTAAGGAAGCGGTGCACGGGGCTCACCCGTGGGCTCGGACGAAGCCGTCAGAGGCTCCACGGTCTTGGAGCTGCCTTGGGCCGGAGCCAGGCCACTCGACTCGATCGAACCCTTCTCGACCTCGGCGCGGGTGATGTTGAGCATGTCCGCGGGCAGACCCATGCTCAGCAGGTACTGGACGGTGGATTTCCATTCGACCTCCCGTCGCTTCGGGCTCCACTTCAGCTCGTCGGCCATGATGTCAATGACCTTGGGCAGGGCGTGCAGCGCAGCGCGGGCGTTGAGGAAGCTCAGTCTCGTGCGGCGGCCGAGCACGTCCACCGCGGTCTGGGCGTACTCGCTGCGCACTGCGTAGCGCACTTCGCCGTCGATGAACGGGTACAGAGACGACAGCCGCTGGCCGCGGAGCGGGAAGTGCTCGCTGTTATCGTTCGGGGCGGCCAGGGCCGCGACATCCCATGCGCGATCGCCGTAGTCGCTGGCTAGGTGCTTGGCGACGTCGACGTCAAGACCGAAGTGCTGGATCAGGTTGATGAAAAGGGTCGTCGAATAGCCGTGCGCGCCAATCAGGCGGATGTGGTGTGTCTGGCAGCTTCCGTCCAACAGGTTGACGGTGGGGTCGATGCCGTTGACGCCGCTGATGTCTGGCACGTAGCTGGTCGGCTTGGTTTGCAGCTTGAACGCTTCGACGGCCTTGTCTACAGCATCCTCGGCCATTTGTCGGTACGTGGTCCATTTGCCGCCAGCGCAGGTCAACAGCCCAGAGTCGGATACGGTAACAAGATGGCTTCGGACCAAGGATTCGGTGTTCTTCGACTTAGGATCGCGCACGAGCGGTCGAATACCTGAAGAATTCAAAGTCAGCTATTTCATGGTCCATTTGGATGCAAGGGATCAACAGATTAAGGAACGTACCTGACCATGCGGCGAGAATGTCGGAACGGCGGACGTCAATATCCGGGGTCAAATATGTCCGGATCTCATCGAGAATCCATTGGATATCTTTCTCGCCAGCCACCGGGTTGTCCTCAATGCTGCAGGGCGAGTCTGTCGTTCCGGCAATGGTGTTACCCTGCCAGGGGAGGAAGAAGATGACTCTGCCGTCGGACGTGGACGGGTCGATCAAACCCATGTTCTGAGGGCTCAGATAACCAGGGAGTACGACGTGGACTCCGTTACTGGGCGCGACGATCTCCTTGATGTCAGGCTGGTCCATTCGCTGAATGGCATCACAGAAAGGACCAGTTGCGTTGATGATACCCTTGGCTTTGACCACAAAGTCCTCGGTGGACTGCCCATCCCTTTCAGGAATGCGATCGCGCACTCGGGCACCGGTAAGTTTGCCATTGGCGTCCTTCTCAAGACTCGTCACTTCAAGGTGGTTGACTGTGGTGGCACCGTATAGAGTGGCTGTCATAGCCAGCGAGACGTTCATTCGAGAATCGTTGTGTTGACCGTCATAGTAGACCAAAGCTCCAACCAGGTTTTCCTTCTTGAGCATAGGGAAAGCGTCCAGAGCCTTACTTCTCGAAAGGAAATAAGAGCTCTCGATTCCTTCAGACCCAGCCAGGAGATCGTAGCACTTGGTTCCGGCCCAGAAGTATGGCAACTGCCACCATTTCTGCACGGGCAGCATAATGGGGAGCCATGAGGACAGATGTGGCGCTGTGTACAAAAAGGTCTTTCGCTCTCTCAAGGCCTCTACTACCAGCTGGTACTGGTTGTAGTCCAAGTTCCAAACCGCCTTTTCCAGGTATCGCACACCACCGTGCACAAGCTTGGTGGACTTGCTACTTGTTCCGCTGCTGAAGTCGTCTCTTTCCACAAGGGCCACTTTCAAGCCTCTGGTGGCTGCATCTACCGCGATACCAGTGCCTGTAGCACCTCCACCGATGATGAGGAGATCGTAGATTTCGGCGGATGGAGCAGATGATTTCTTGAGGTCCGCAATCTGTTCGGCCCGGGATTTGATGTAGGGGAATTTGGGAGGAATGATATCACCGTTGGCGTCTCTTCTCGGTGGTTTCGGAGCGAGTGTGTCTGCGCCCGGCACGTTTCGAGGGCGGTAGATCATGTACATAACGGCGGTACCAGCCACGGCGACACCAGCACCATAAGCCAAAGGCTTAAAGAACCGACGGGAAGTAAATCGTGAAGCCATGGTGGAAGGACAGCAGACGATCAACTAGGTGTTGGTCAGCTCAATGGCCTCGACGGCCAAAGCAATGAGTTTCAGTATAAGTTCAAAGGAATGCTTGGATATGTTATTGAGGTCGAAGCGGGACTGCAGTTGCATTTATCCGAATTGTGAATGTAGCTTCAATGATTCTTTGGGGCAAGAGGAGACGGCGAGCGTCTAGGGGACAACGTGACCGCAGAAGAGATTTGCCATGGATGGATGATGATGTGAATGACACAGCGACGGGTCGGGACATGTAGAGGACCGAGCTCCTGGGCCACGATTCGACAGTCCGGGTCTCATGAGGCTCGAGGTTTTGGCGCATCCCCGGATCTTGCTGGGATCATGCGTTGCCCACTTGCCAGAGTGCCAGAGTGTTGCCGCCTCATCCTGGTGTAGCAGAACGAATCTCCCGCGGTTGCTGGCACCGAGCTGCGGAGAAAGGTGGCTGGACAGCACGCAGGGCGACGAACAGGCGAGCAGACCAGCTGAGGATCCCCGGCAAGCGAAAGGAGATGAAGGGCGGAGATTCTGCATCTCGGGTTGTGCGCACCGAAATGCCAAGACCAAAAATGCTCGGATGTGTCACACCGAGGCGCATGGGTCACGTGGGCACCTATATTGCTCGGTGGAGCCTCGTGCTGCCTGTTTTCTCGCAATTGCCTCCATACAAATGCCGGATTTGGTACATAGACTCCACCGACCCGCCACTAGTATCATACGATCGCAGACGCTAGCAGCGTCGCACTGGCGATGGATATCAGACCCAGGCTGGCAGTGGTCAGAGTCTCGTATTGACGAAACACTGGCGGTAAATTTGACAGCCAGTGGCGACAAGTCTCATGTACTGTGTATACACGACGTCGCCTGGCCTTGGGCTTCGTTCATCAGCCCAGCATCTGCGAATGGTGAAGGGCAGCAACGAGTGAAGCGATTGGAGTGTACATGTTCCCTTGAGGGTCTGCTGGCATTCTTTTGCTGTGGCCAGTATGGTTCACCTACCTGATACTCTCGGTTGTAGGCATTTCGAACCGAGTCCGTAGACAGAGAACAGGGGCGTTCTCTTGTCTGAAGCGAACTCTCCAGGGGCAAACTTCCTTCTAGAAAATCCACAGAGAAGGTTGATCAGCTGCCCTGCTGGGGGAAATTGTGGTCTGAGATGAAAAAAAGAGGTAGAGTGGATGTTGATGTTAAGAGGTGACCCGCTGCTTCTTATAGAGCATTTTCCATGCCCCTTATGACAGCTGCTCTGAGCCCCAAGAGATTTTCACATGTGCTCGCAATCTAGACACCGAAGGTTACGAGTGAGAAAAGAGATCTATGTGGCTCTGAAACCAAATTCCATCGGCAGCCGTGGCACTGTCCTATAGAAGAAAGTGACAGCGCTGTCTATTGACATCCTAGATATACGGAGCCCGCAAGACGAACAGGAGACTGCGTAGACATCATCCCTGTACTCTATCTCGCATAGATTTCTCATCTCGCTTTGTAAACGGCCCACGTAACCCTGCTGAAATGTGTAGCAATCGATCAATACGAGTGCGCTTTCTGCTCAGGCTGACCGTGTATACCACGGTCTATCATATTGTACAACTACCGCCTGTGTAGACAACCGAAACGATCACATCGTAGTGGAACCAACATAACACACTGGCTTGACAGGAACAATAACAGGCTATGGTACCACCACTGAGGAAGAGTCAAAGAGTCGGTTTAGCTAGATGCTCAGCTCAAAAAAGGGATGGGCTTGATGACGGTATGTACAGATAACAAACTCCTCGCTTGAATTGCGCAAGCTATGTAATTCGTCACCACCATGATTCCTGATAGACATGTCAGGCGTGCAGCTTCTTCCAAGGATCCACCCTCGGGTTGCTCGATTTCCCTCAGAACGCCTTCGCTAGCTCTCGCTTGCTACTTAAGTTCTGCGGCCAAGTTCTTTTTCATATTTTTTCTTTTCTTTGCTCGCTCAAACCTGGCTGTCCGCATTGTATGTGTTGGACCAGACGGACCGCTTGGGTTCGAAGAAGCGTTTCAAGCCCATGTAAGGGGTGTTGATCGGGCTCTCTCCAGTGAAGAGGAACATATCGTACAGCCAGCCTCCAAACGTGGCGCCACAGAAAGGAGCGACCATGGGAATCTGTGTTTGAAATTAGCCTCCCGAATCAAAAAACCACGATTTCACGGAGAAAAACTCACCCAAAAGTAGTAACCGCCAGCGGACCAGACCTCATGGCCGTAGCCGATCATGTAAGAGACCAGGCGGGGGCCAAAGTCACGAGCAAGGTTGATGGCATAGCCGGTTTCCCAGCCAAAGCAGGCACCGATGCCAAAAATGACGAAAAACAGGCCAAGAGGGGTCAAAGGACCGGCACCAATGTTTCCGTCGTCCTTGAGTGCGTAGATCAGGAACATCAAGATGGCAGTGGCAATGAATTCCGAGAAGAACATGCCAGTCCTGGTCATGAACTCGGCGGGGTAGGTGCAGAAGATGCCCGCAGTTGCGTGCGGACCACTAACAGTACGGATGTGGGAGCCGCCCTCGAAGACGTCGATTGCGGATTTATAGTTGGCATAGACAATGGCAGAGGCGGTCATGGCGCCTAAGACCTGGGCGAGCATGTAGACGGGGAATTTTCGCCAGGGAAATTTGCGGAAAACGCAGTTCGCAAAGGTCACTGCAGGGTTGAGATGGGCGCCGCTGATACCACTGGAGTACACGCCTAGCATTACACCGAGACTGTAATGGGGATAGTTAGCATGCTGGTTGCAAGGTCGAGAGAAATGGGTGGTGGGAAACTCACCCCCAGCCCCAGGAGATAGACTGATAATCGCCCTTGGTGTCGTTGCTGAGGACCACTTGGGCCACAACACCATCACCGAAGAGAATTAGAATAAAGACACCGAAAAACTCGGAAAAGGGCTCTCGGAGTTTATGTCGGATTCGGCTCCAGGCCAGGTCGGGCTCCTGTTGGACCGCATCGGCCTGGGGGATTTTGTGGTCCACTAGAGGACCATGCTCAGCAAAGGCTGGAACGTCGGCGACCGAAGTCTGCCTCCGATCGGTCAAGGGGATGTCGAGGTGTTCGTTGTGGTCGACTTTGGCCATGTTGTCGGCTTTTCTCTCCAAGTACGCCGATGATGAAGAAGAGGACATGGAACAACAGGTAAGCCCGAGTGGCAAAGAACTGAGGGTATTCAAGTTTGTGTCTGGAGTTGCGGGGATGAAGATGAGAATGAAGGATGCCCACGGGGGACTGACCCAGGTTATATAGGATCCCGGTCCTTGCTTCTCTCCATGTCTCTCCGCTGCTCAGCCCCTTGTTTTTATTATACTCCGGCATATGACTTGAGGGTTAGTGTGTGTGGTCCTGGGGCGGGCTGGCATGACAGCACGTAATCCCCGTTACGGGCTCGCGCGGATTCTAGAACAGCGATACCACTGTGGGCCGAAAGTCAACAACACACGTTTTAGTTGCTTCCAAGTTGTACATCACAAGCGCCTGGTGAGCGGCAGTTCGGCCAGAGACCAATGATGCATATCGGCGAGCCCTAGCGAGAGGACTCTGTATATCCTTTATTCTGGGAATCGAACTTTCGGCCCGACGTGCATCTATAGACAGAGTGCTCGCTGTTAGAGGTTGGCGAGCTGTCATCCCACTATACAAGACAACCTCGGCTGTTCGAAATTGTCTGAATCTCAGCAAATAACAGACCTGTATCGCTATACCACCGTGCCCATCTTTCATGAGCTCTCCCGTCCCCAACTAGGCACAAGCCTGAAGGCAGGCAAGCTACCTCTGTTTGCCCATGATCACATCATTTCATTTGTGCGGCAGGAAGAACTCTGTGCGATGAATGACCGTGTGGACCGAGCGGCATGGGTTGGAACCTTCCAAAGAAAAACAAGGGGACCTGGTGACATCTACCGTGGCTAAGCGTATAGACTATTCTTGTATTAATCAATGTGGCGGACAACTCAAAATTTCCGGAGGATCCGGATTTTGGACACGTGATCCCCGCCTTTCTCCACATTCCGCGCCGGTCGCTGCGTCTCGGGGTCTGCACCCCGACATCGCCCCTCTGTTCCTCCACTCTCCATCCTCTGGCCTCCTCATTCCAGCCGGTCATATGCCCCCCGCAAAAGCCAGACTACTTTGGTGTAAGCCACGTTGTCACCCTCTCGTCTCTTACCAAGCATCCATGGAGGACTTGGGGGACTTGCTGCTGTTAGCGGTTAGTGTAGCCCTTGGACCTCGCTTCCACCAGATTTCCCTCGTGCATTTCCGCCGCCACGATTTCCCCGCCGGAGGACTTCACCCCTGGTCGTTCGGCATGTGCGTGCCGCATCCTCCACATCTCTTCCTTCCCTTTGGCCGAGGTGATACCGGTCCTGTGGTCTCCGGAGTTGTACTTGTGGAGTTCGGGGTTATGTCACTCTCCAGGCTCGGGGAGATTGCTATTCGGGACACCGAGGACCATACCTTGGTACACCGCTGCGATACGACTGGGGTCGCGACCCGCTTACCATAGTACAGTAAAATTGGCTGCACGGTCATGCGACCGCATGCCTTCGCAAGAATATGGACCACATGCTTCGCATGTCCCCCGCGAAGTCTATATATCATCTCCTCCTTCCCCTCCCCAGAATTCCTCCAGTCCCCATCCCTCTCTCTCCAGATTCATTTTCAGAAGTCCGTGAAGTCAAGCCAGATTCCGTGATTTTCGCAGGGTAAATATAAAATCAGCCATGATGGGTAGCCTACAGGAGGTCTTCGTTGGCTCCATTGATCAGGGGACCACCAGTTCCCGTTTCTTGATCTTCAACAAGGCGGGTGAGCCCGTTGCCTCACATCAGATCGAATTCACACAGATCTATCCTCAACCTGGGTAAGTGTGCGCTTTCGCAGATACGGCAGGTCATTTGCTGAGAAGTCCCCTAGCTGGCACGAGCATGATCCGCAGGAGATTGTGACTTCGGTCGAAGAATGCATCAACGAGGCGTGCAAGCAATTTGAGAATCAAGGCCACAGCTTGAGTAGCATCAAGGCTGTTGGCATCACCAACCAGCGCGAGACCACTGTCCTGTGGAACAAAGAGACTGGCGAACCACTATACAACGCCATTGTCTGGACCGATACACGCACGCAAGGATTGGTGCGGAAACTGAAGCATCGTCTCGGCGCCGACAAGCTCATGGAGATCTGCGGTGTACCTCTGTCCACATACCCCTCCGTAGGCAAGCTTCTGTGGCTGCTTGACAACGAACCAAAGGTCCGAGCTGCATATGAAAAGGGAGTTTTGGCGTTTGGTACCGTTGACTCTTGGCTGGTGTTCAAGCTCAATGGAGGTAAGAGACACTGTCCTTCTGTGATTGGCAACGTTCTTCGCTGACTTGTTGCACCACAGGCTTGAAAAGGAACATCTTCGTCACGGATCCCTCCAACGCTTCACGAACTATGTTCATGAATATCCACACACTGAAGTACGATGAGTCGCTGATCGACTTTTTCAGACTCGACACCAGCAAAATCCATCTACCGGAAATTGTCCACTCCTCAGACCGTCATGCATATGGCACCCTGATATCGACTGCTTTGAAAGGAGTTCCTATTACCGGCTGCTTAGGTGATCAGTCCGCAGCTCTCGTGGGCCAGAAAGGGTTTGCTCCTGGTATGGCGAAGAACACGTACGGCACCGGTAGCTTCATTCTCTACAATGTGGGAGACAAGCCAGTTATCTCCACTCACGGTCTCTTGACCACGGTGGCGTACGACTTTGGTGGCAAGAACAAGCCCAAGTATGCCTTGGAAGGTAGCATTGCGGTTGCAGGATCAAGCGTTAAGTTCCTCGTTGATAACTTTGGCTTCATCGAGTCATCCAGCAAGGTCAGCCAACTGGCTGAGACCGTCGACGACAACGGTGGTGTCACATTCGTGACTGCCTTTAGCGGACTTTTTGCTCCGTATTGGATCGACGACGCTCGAGGCACCATCTTCGGTATCACAGCATACACCAAGCGAGGCCACGTTGCCCGGGCCACTTTGGAGGCGACCTGCTTCCAGACCAAGGCTATCCTGGTGGCCATGGAGAAGGACAGTGGACATAAACTGGCCGAATTGGCCGTGGACGGTGGAATGTGTAACTCTGATCTTACCATGCAGATCCAGTCCGACCTCGTCAGCATCCCTGTCAGACGGCCGGCCATGCGCGAAACCACGGCTCTGGGCGCGGCCATCGCTGCCGGTATCGCAGTCGATGTGTGGTCAGGCATCGATGAACTCAGGAAGGTCAACACTGAAGGAAGCACGACTTTCAAGCCCAGCATCAGCAAGGAGGACAGTGCTGCCCGATTCGCTCGCTGGGAGAAAGCTGTTGAAATGAGCAAGGGATGGGCTCAATGAACAATGAACAGTTAACTTGGTCGATGGGACTTTTGTTAGCGCATGGCGTTTAATGGATATGGGAAATATTTTATCGTTCACGAGGCTATGCTCCTTGCTGGATCAACGGCAGGATGCTCAAAGGCGGGGATTGGATCAGATCAAACAGGACATTGTTCCTCGGGCAGAAATGAAAAGTCTGAACAAGTTTTCTTTCCAGTCCGACCACGACATGCCTCAAACCATAAGCACAACTTGCAAACCGCATGTGCTTTGGATGAAGCCGTACAATGATGCCACACGTGACTGCAAGCTGTGGTCACGTGGAACTTGGCAGATGCTCTTCGTATTCGACCGGCGACGACTTCAATTTCACTTGCGCTCCTCACACCTTTCTATAATGCTCGCATCGTCTCCCCAGATACGGCCAATATGTGCCAGTGTGACCTTCCAGTTGACTTCCACACCAAATCAGATTCCTTGGCTATTCTTGCCGCCAGCTTCCCACGCAAATCTTGGCCACGTGCCTGATCTGCCGTCCTGCTCCTCACCCTCGGCCTCAAATTAGGCGGGTACGTAAGAAGCATCGAATCTGCCGACTGTGCCCCGCATGGAGACCCAGATTCCAGGGTGTTGTCTAGACCATGAGCTGGCACGCGGATCGACCTTGCATGCTTAGCCCAATGAACCCCGGAATTTCCCCAGGATTCTTGGATAGCAGCTCTTCCAGAAGAGGCAAGATATTGATGGGGCGGATTGGAGAAGTGGGGAGGCACCTACCAGGTTACCAATATCGTATATCTCCATCTCCTGGCTGGACGGCATGGATGTGTTATCGCAACTAGCATGGCCTGGCGCGTCGGGGAAACAGGACAACCAGGTCGGGAGGTATGGGGAAATCCAGGTTTATGTTGTTCGCGATCAGTCCATCGATCAGCTTTCGAACATTGCTCCTGTCCGTTCACCACGGCCGTCCTCTTGTCTCTCCTGTCACCGGTCCTCCTCTTTCTGTCTGTTATATTGGGCTGCATTCACCATGGTATTCCTTGGGATCCTCGATGATACCAAGCTCCCTCATGTCCCAGGTACGGTCATTCTGGAGGAGACGGCTGCTCACTCCGAGGCGACCACGGGCGGCCTCAAGCATGGGACTGGTCGCAATACCAATATCGTCCTTGTGCCCCAGCCTTCAACGACCCGAACGACCCGCTAAATTGGCCGATGACCAAGAAGCTGACAGCCTTGGGTGTCACTTGCTGGGGCGCCATCTTGTACGCCGCCGTTGTCAGCGCAATGCTGAATGTAGCTTTTGCGGAGATGTCGATCGAGATCAACACCACTATCGCGGACCTTGTTCTCACGACAGGCTATCAGACCCTCGTGGTGGGCGTGACCGGGCCGTTTTTTCTGCACTATCGCGCAAATGGGGCAAAAGACCAATCTTTCTGCTGGCTTCGGTCACTTGTCTGGTGGCTGATATTGTCGGCTCCTGCGTGAACATCTATCAGGGTGTTCTGGCATCTCGAATTCTCCAAGGCCCCGCCATCGCTCCTTACGAGTCATTGATCTTTGCCCTTATCAGTGATCTGTTCTTTGTGCACGAAGATCAGGTCTATGAAGAACACAGCTTAGAGCGGGTCAAAGGTGTCTTGCGTTGGTTCAATGTAACCGAAGCTACCTGTAGAGTTGCAATTATCCTCAGGTTCCAGGTCGCCGCTGGAGGTTTGTCTCTGGTGTCTGGTGTTGTCTCCCTTTCACGCTCAGCCTCGTCATCATTTCACTTGTTGTTACCCAACCTCTCCGAACTGCCACACCCACATTGTGGAGAGGACGCCTTTCCTCCTCCCCTCCACATACTCGTCCGATTGACTACTCGCCCTAATTCGTTTCGGACTTGAGAGGTAGTCGATAATGATGGATCTCTTCTCTAATCCGGAGGTTGGATATGGCTGGCCTGGAGTACAACTGCATAAGCTGGGAATGCCCGAGTCCACCCCCTTGGAGGATGTACAACGGGCTAGCTGTTATGTTCACCGCAAAGCTTGGCGAATGAAGCCCGCCGAAGGACGGCTGGTGGACGGTCACTGTGGATGAAGCAGACCCTGAACTCATGCGAATGCATGTGGCGGCACTTTGCACACAGCAAAGCCCCCGTATTGGAGCACGCTTGATACTAAAAGCCAGCCGTTCACCGGGTCCGCAGCGACCCCCGTCATGAAACTTATGACCGAGCCATCATCGAAGTAGATCAGCTCGGGCGCATAGTCCTTTGTGTGGTCCAGTCGAAGTGCAGCAGCGGGCACCAGGAATTCCTTTCCGAGGGTTCTGACGTTATCACGATATGCTGGAAGATTCTCGAGCGTGGGAAAGACTGCGGCCAGATTAGCATCTGCATGGTTTGTATGGTGGTATGTCGAGATTCATGCTGACCTGCGACTATCGGGTCACCTGTTGTAGGAAGAATGTTGATGTTGTCTGCACCGGCCCCTACATCCTAAAATATCGGTTATTCCAGTCTCTTTCCACCCGCTCGCGTCTGAAACACTCGAGAGAGAAAGAGTCATTGGGAGAGACAAGTATTTACCACAACTTTAAGATTGGTGAGCGTTTTATCCTCCTGAACCTGAAAAATCGTCAAAGTCCCATTGCTGGAGTCGCCCACAAAGAGCTTATCCTGCCAGAGATTGATGCCGTTTGCATTAGGGAACGCGCCTCCAACTTTCTTGCAGAAGACCTCCTTTCTACCTGTGAGCACTGCGCAACGCTAGAATGGCTTCGGTAACAGGGTACATACCTCACCCCGTGCATCACAATGTTGAACATTGCTCGACCATGTAAAGGGACCATACTTCTCCTCCAGCATCCGCACGGGACCTTTGCGGGAATAGTGGTCATTGGTGATGAAAAAGCTCCTGTGCACGTAAGGATATGCTCTCACAATACTTCTAGCTAGTAACTACTATGTGGACTTACAGTGGCCCTGTCGCGACGACCCCATTTGCAGTCTTGATATTGGGATGCTTGACATTCTTGACCAGCCGCAGGACATTGGAACCGAGCTCGTGAACAAATATGGCTATGGAATCACCATCACGGGCATGGTTGACTGCGAAAACATGGACCTGAGGCAACGAGTCAGCTTGAAAATTCACAGGATACCTCCTCATGAGTCAAGTAAGACCTTTGAGGGCTCCTCAGGCACAGGAAGAATATCGATGCCGTGGGTGATCAAATCTCCTTCCATGCCAACCAGTTCCAGAGCCGTGGTCTGGCCGGTCCTCAAATCGTGTTTGAACAGTTGTTCGCGAAATGACGACTCTGCTCGCCGTTCCACCGTGCGTACACCGGCGCAGGGGTACCAATGAGTTCGTTCGATAGGGTTACCACAGCCCAGAAAAGCGGTCTGCGATGGGTAATGGATTTTGACATCTTCGCACGCGTCGGCCGCATGGATCACCTGGCAGTCTTGATTGTTGAGGGCGGTGCTGTTCTCCCAGCGCACGAGTCGTGCTTTGTCGATGTCGACTCGGCTAACCAGTTTCCATAGATATCCTGCCTGGCTGTAGACGGCGAAGGCGATGAGAGGTAGGATCAGCGACAGGGAAGGCTTGAGTTCCATGTTGCCCCCTTTTCTTGATCGAGTAGGTATACAATCAAGTTACTCGCACTTTGCCTAGCAGGCGCCCAGGCGACTTGTGGTTTTACCCAAGAAATAGCAGCAAGACATAAACTTCGAAAATATAGATTGGATCGAGGCTTCGAGACCCCTAGCTCGGCGTGTCTGATCGCCCTCCGGAGAAGAACGCTGTCAAAAGATAAGTACGTACTGTAAGCTCGAAGTGCTAGTAGTATATTTAATCGTTAATAGCTTGTGAATCGATAACTTCGCAGTCTACGGCCTTGTGACGGTTTCCATACCAGCCATCACTAAAGCATAATTAGTAAATGGCGACCGAATGCGTTGAAGCCAGGACTACTGGAACTCAAGAGGTTGTTATACAGCATTATGGTGAACGTAGAAAGAATCAAGTCACCCCTGATTAGTATGTAGGTAGTTAATCGATGGTCTGGCAGACCTTAGTCAGCATATCGACACGTGACTCAAATGCCAAGACTGCGGTTTTCAGTGGCTTCGAGCCTGGCATCAACTTCAACTGCAACTTCAAGTTCAACCTCAACCTCAACTTGAAGTGGCAGTGCGACGCAGACACGACCGACCGAACTGCGACCTTTTATCACTCTGTAGCCGAAGACTTCCAACCTTCAGGGTGGTTCAATTCAAGAGAGAATCATCTCTCAACTTGTCTTTACTCTCCTCCGTTGCGCAGTCATACTGATCGCACATCACGCTTCTCTGCACTGACCTTCCATCCCAGCGCTTGACCCGCTACCACTCCGTTCAGACTGAACCACCACTCGTGACAGCAGCTTGTGGTCGTCGAGGATCTGAGGGAGGAGGACTGCGCTGTTACATCTTTCATCCTTACCAGTGGTGAAAGATGGCGGAACCTGATGAGGTCGAAGAAGATCTCTTCGCCGATCTGTAAGTCGATTCTTTCTCGTGGCCTCAGTTGGCGACACTCGCTGTGGCGCTCGCACCCTGTCGTATTGACATCCTTCTTCTTTCTAGCTACGATGGTGATGAAAATGCTGGTTCGAGTAACAACGCTGCCGCGGCTCCTATCGCAGCCCAACATGCTCCAAGCGACACAGCCGGGCAATCCAACGATGCGCCGGGCTATGGCGAAGAGCCAGAGATTGCTTATGATCCCACATCCTTCGATGCCGAACCCTCCGGTCAAGACCACGCCGTAACCAGTTTCGACGGCACCCAAAGCGATGCTAGAGAGCTGGAGAGACCACACCACGAACATAGTGGCATCAACATGAAAGAAGACGGGTGAGTGAATATATCTGCGATCCTGCTTGCGTAACACCATCCCCCACCCCAGCCCCAAGTAAATCCTTCGACCTGTACACCTTGCCCTCAATCGATCGGACTCGAGCATTGTTGCGAGATTGAAAAGGCAAAGGCGCTTGAAGAAATTCGTGTGGCAGCGCACAATCATCATGCCGGCGACCGTGAGAGCATCCAGTGCGTCAACGTCTCATGCCAGACTTTTGGGGCAGTGGCCTCCCTAGTCGTCCACGATTGATGGCAGTCTTGGAGACACCTTGGTCAGCGATGAACATATGGTCGGATTTCTCTATATGATCCACGAATTGTTGTCTGCCACCGCTTGTCACCGATGCGATGAAATCCGAGGGTATGACTTTGGGTCCAAATGAGGTTGTATGAGGCGTGCTAGTCATGAAGGCAGCATGAGGGAAAACCTTCCCAGTCCTGCATGGGCCGATACCTGGGTTGTCGCTCGAGGCATATCAAGCTGTGAGGCTAGTCAAGAGAATATAAGCCACCACCGGTCACGCCTGGCTGCAAACGCTGGGCACTCTTGTGCATCAAGTCTAGCCGAGTCGAATAATCAGATCGAGAGAATCATTCAGCGAGGCCGAAATAGTTGCTGGGGACTGCTACTTTACAACAAGATACTTTACCATACAAGACCAGAGTAACAGGTCCAGAACAGTCAGGCAGGAGATAGATGCTATGAGTATCTGTTGAAATCTCAGACAAAGCCAACAAAGAAATGTCCTCCATCGCTAGACACGTCAACTCCTTGAAACCGGGGCGAACCAGGGAATCAGGGTGGACAGACAGCCTGTTACCTTGCGTATGAGAAAGCTGTGCGGTCGCCCGACCACGACCAGACCCATACTGGCAGATTCTCGAAACTGCAAATGTCTCCTTGCAGGATCCAGTCGATGTCGGCTTCGAACTGCATCTCTAGCAACCGGCACTTCAACATGGGCTTCAGCTCGACCAGCCGTGGCCACCTAATCCGACCATCAAATACGAAGACCACACCCATAATCCGACCACGCCTATGCCTTTGCAACGAAGAGACCTGGTGGTTGATGATAGCATACCTACTAGACCTGCTTCTAGAGAGCGCCCAGTGCTTGCATGCAGCTTATGGCAGACGTTGTCGACAAAGGCCTATCCATCCCCCGAGGTTACTCTGCAGCGTAAGGCCGCAGTGTGGGACAAGACTGGCCGCTTCAGGGGCGCCGTGGACGGCCATTGCTGACTCTTTTGTGACGCCTTTTCTCCAGTCGTTGTCGTTCATTACTGCTTGCATATGCGCGTTCACATTACTTTATCGGAATGCTTGTGTTTCGTTCCATAGCTGACATAGTGGCTTTTACAGAAAAATGTTTATTGGTGGACTCAACTGGGAAACAACCGATCGTAAGCGCCCCATCTGGCTACACCCAGAGGGCCTTTGGCAACCACGGGCATGTTTACTTTGCCTGAGTCGAAACTGACTCATTGGCAGAATCCCTACATGACTACTTTTCACAGTTTGGCGAAGTTCAAGAATGCACCGTGATGCGGGACAGCGCCACCGGCCGTTCGCGAGGATTCGGATTCCTCACGTTTAAGGACCCCAAAACCGTGAACACCGTGATGGTCAAGGAACATTTCCTGGATGGCAAAATTGTAAGACCTACCCATTTTGAGAGGTGCCCGGCTGGTCAGGAGAGACTCGGTTCCCTTTCCCGTTCCCGTTCCCAAGTCCAAGAAGGGCCCGGCCCAGGAATAGAGTACAAAGGCTTACTGAGTGGTTCCCAGATCGACCCGAAACGAGCAATCCCCCGCGACGAGCAGGAGAAGACGGCCAAGATCTTTGTGGGGGGTGTTAGCCAAGATGCCACGGAGGAAGACTTTGAGAGTTTTTTCGCCCAGTTCGGTCGAGTCATTGACGCCACCCTTATGATGGATAAGGACACTGGCCGACCGAGAGGATTCGGGTTCGTGACTTTCGACAGCGACGCCGCGGTCGAGAAATGTCTTGAGTACCACCCGTTGGAAATCTTGGGCAAGCCCATCGAAGTCAAACGTGCTCAACCCAGAGGCAAGATGGGCGAGGCCGCCGACGACGGCTTCTCTCGCGGTGGCCGAGGCCGTGGTAAATTCGGAGGAGACGATCGCTATGGCGGCGATCACACCCAAGGAGCCCAGAACGGATCCAACCAGGGAGGTAATATGACAGGAGGTAATGGGATGACTCCCCAGATGATGGCGCAGTACTGGCAGCGAATGCAACAATATTTTGCCATGATGCAGCAGCAAATGGCGGCTTCCATGATGGGCGGTATGGGCGGTATGGGCGGTATGGGCGGCATGGGCGGCATGGGAATTGGTCAGATGAATCCCCAGATGATGCAGCAAATGATGCAGATGCAAAAGATGCAGGGAGGCAACAGCCCGAACCCGCAGAACGCCGGGATGGGCGGCATGACGCCTCAGATGATGCAGCAGATGATGCAGATGCAGCAGGGCGGCATGGGAGGAATGAACATGGGTGGCAACCGAACCCCCATGGGCCCGGCGAGCGCGGGAGGAGGAGCACGAGCTGGATCGTTCTCGGCGCAGGATCAAATGGCATTTGAACAGTCAAAGTATGAACAGCAGAATCGTCGCGGGGGCGGTTTCCCGCAGGGGCCTCGAGGGCAAGGCTTCCAAGGTCAGAGTCCAGGCGGCGGGCCGCAGTCCTGGGAAGGCATGTATGATGATGTTCCCCAGCCAGAAGGCAGTATGAGTGGACGAGGATCTGCCGGTCCGGTTCGCAATATGACCCCCAAACCGCCCAAGGGCCCCGGCGGAACGGCTCAACCAAGCGCGGCCCCGGCAAATGCTCCAACCGGGCCGAAGAATGCTGGGAGACCGGGATCCAACTTTCGAGGAGGCAGAGGCGGCCGCTTTCATCCGTATGGAAGATGAGGGCCTGCGGTGGCTCAGAAGTCATGGGGGATGGAATGGTCTTGGAGTCTATCCAGGCTGTGAGGAGGGTCTTTCTATCCTCTATGGCTTGAGGCGTCTTTCACAGCTGCTTGAACCGCGACAGATGATGCATCAATCGGCTCTGGGAGGGGGGAAGGCCTTTCTTGCTGGGTTAGGGAGCGATGGAGCGGATGAGTGAAGGATGTACCATAGTGCGGAAAAAGAGCATTAGGAGAGCATGTTATCCCGACAAGCTCCAACAGACAGGAAGGTTCAATCGAAAAGAAAAGTCTCAACATTCGCTTACATACTCCTTTTTCCCAGCGCGGGTTACCCATGTTCCGAATAGTAGTAGTAGTAGTACTGATGACCCAAGCTGGACGAGTTGACCAGATGTGACAGACACCATGAGGCTGTGCGGCATTAGCTATGGCTTGTTGCTTGTTGCTTGTTGTCGCCTAGTAGGGTACCTATTTATAGGCACCTACCTTACCTAAACAGCCTTTTGGCAGAGACCTACATACCGAGTAGATTCATGTCAAATGCTTTGACTTGTCTGTGACAGTTTTCTTGAAACTCTGCAGCTTGACAGTCGTCGATGAGAACGTAGTGTGCAATTGACTTGTCATCACTGACTTCTGAATTGCTGACCAGGAACATCGTAGCTCCAGGGTAGCAGTATGGGTACGGTGCCCAGTAAATGCAGGTACAATATAGCATGTCAGATGCCTGGCCGACGCCTAAAGGCTTATCTACGTATGCTTTTAGGTGCTTTTAGGTACCTATCTGGGTAATAAACGCAGTCGAGGTGCCTGGACGCGAAGAATTTAGGTGGGGCGCAGTCAAGCGGGCGCCCAGAGTCTTGCAAGCCCCAATCGGCTGCGCTGTAATTGGCCTGCGGTCAGAATGTCTCGCCAGCTTCTTTTCTCCCTGCAACTGCGCCTCAAACAACACCAACAACGTACCTTGTCAATAACATCCGCTATCCATGAACCATGCCTTTCTGGGTGCATTGCTCCATCACTGATTCGCAGCGTGCAAGATTACTGATCGCAACATGGCTCCCTGTCGATCGAAGATCTCGAGGGTTTGAAAGCCATGAGATGTCACTGCGGGCGTGGCAGAGAGAAAACTGACTTGAGCAGCAGGATTTCACCTCTTTCCTTCTGCTCTTCCTAAACTATTGATAGGAACCTTCAGCTTGTGTTCGTGCAGAGACGCTGGAGGTTTCATTGATCTGGTGGTTTGAAACAAAAACCCAGTACGTCTTGCCGTGGGCAAAGTAACATGCTCGGTATGGATGGCGACGCGGCAGACAAAACCACAACCAAGTGCCATCTACGACTCTGACAAGGGCTCCAAGCCACCACCAACAGCACCAACCCATCGTGTACCGCAAATGCAGTGCTCGATTCCCCAAGGGACCAGACCCACGGCGCATCCTCCGCAGTTGAGAGACCCGGCAGGACCCAACGACGGGGCTTGTCAGCGTTTCCCTGACAGGGGTACTGTCTTGACAGCCACTCGCAGGCAGACAAACTTCTTCTCAAGCGCGCCCTGGGCCACGCCACGAGTCTACCACAGGCTCAGCCCAGCTGCTCTCGCCCTGAGATCGACCCACCAGATGCACCATCCCCGTCAACGGCTCGGACGGGCCTTTCATATGCCGTCGTTGGCCTCTGTCCACGTACCCGGTGAAACAGGCCTCTCGAAAGCGGGAATCACGACTGGGGGACATATCATTCGTATCATCTGCTTCGAGGCACAGCCGAAGTCAAAGACTTTCCTTTCTTCTCGCAATGATACCCTTGAACAACACCTGACCATCTAGCCGTTCCTGTTCCTCACATTCGCTTTTGATCTTTTTTCGTTCTGTTGGTTACTCGCTCGAGGCCTGTCGATCGTTTTTACTCCATCGTTACAGCCTTCTCGTTTCCCTTACACGCAATCCTCCTCAATCGAACCATCCTCGCAGTGCAACAACCTTGAAGCCGGAGATCTGCTCGAGATACAGGAGACTCAGGAACACTACGCACATTGGGAGGATCTGTCACCGGTCGATTGTTTGCCTGCCGCTTGACGGTCCCCTACCCCCTCGGAACAGCCCTGCACATACCCCCGCCATGTGGAGGACAGTGGTTGCCCTTACCTCACTGTCTCTTCTTCCGACTGCGCTGGGAGCAGATATCTTGAAGACCAGTGGATTCTCCAATTGTAACAACGGATCATCCACCATTAAAGTCAACAACGTCGACATCTCCTTCGACCGGTCCACCAATAAAATCCAGTTCGATGTTTCAGGTACTAGCACCAAGGAACAAGAAGTTACCGCGGAACTTGTGGTGACGGCTTATGGTGTCCAAGTTTATCAAAAAGAGTTCGATCCCTGTAATGACTCTACCAAAGTCGACCAGCTTTGTCCTGGTATGTCTCGACTGATATCCTCCCTGGGATCATGCTAACCACGCTTTAGTGCCCGAGGGGACATTCGCTGCCAATGGGACTCAGGAAATACCATCAGAATATACAGACCTCATCCCTTCAATCGCATACTCGCTTCCCGACCTCGACGGAAGCGCTCAATTGGTACTCAAAGCAAAAGATGGACAACAATTGGCCTGTATCCAGTCCGGTGTCACAAACGGCAAGACCGTCGAGGTGCCCGCTGTATCATACGTAGCCGCTGCTATCGCAGCTGCTGCTCTGGCAGTATCTCTGGTCGGGGCGGCTGCGACCAGTGGACACCCTGGATCCAGCTCATCAAGTCCTGGTTTTTCGGAGGTCATTTGGTGGTTTCAAGGCATGGCAATGAATGGCATGCATTCGGTGCCATATCCTACCATTTACCGCAGTTTCTCCAAAAATTTTGGGTTCAGCACAGGTCTTGTATCCTGGGCTGGATTACAAAAGTCCATTGACAGCTTTCGATCGCACACCGGTGGCAACTTGACGGACGCCAGCTACGAGTACCTTCGTAACTCCACTCTGGTCTTCTCGGATGGCTCGACAGTTCAGACTACGACGGGGATCGTCAGGCGCACAGTTTCGTTGTTCCTGCGTGATATCGATACCTCGATCAACGGGACCACCCCCGACTCTGACGACGACAATTCCACGGAATCTCATTTGGTGAAAGGTATTCAGGGCTATGTCGAACAATTGACCATTCCGGAGACGAATACGTTCATGACGGTCCTCTTGGTCTTTGCCATTGTCGTTGCTATTATTGTGGTCGGCATCCTCTTGTTCAAAGTCGTCCTCGAGGCATGGTCACTCTTTGGCCAGTTCCCCAAATCGTTAACCACTTTTCGCAAGGAATACTGGCGGGTCATGGCACAGACCATTACGTCTCTGATTATGTTGCTCTATGGTGTCTGGACACTGTATTGCATCTTTCAGCTCATGCACGGAGACTCGTGGGCTGCCAAACTTCTCGCCGGAGTCACCCTCGGCTTATTCACCGCAATCCTAGCCTTTTATACCTGGAAGATCTGGAGCGTGGTGAGAAAGCTGAAAAAGCTGGAGGGCGACGTCAGTGCGCTGTACGAAAACAAGGAGACCTGGAAGAAGTACAAGATCTTCTACGAGAACTACAAGCGTGGATACTGGTGGCTGTTCATTCCCGCTATTATTTACATGTTTGCAAAAGGCTGTGTGCTCGCCGCCGGTGACGGGCATGGCTTGGTGCAGACTATCGGCCAGTTGATCATTGAGGCTCTGATGCTCATACTCCTTCTGTGGAGCCGACCGTACAACCGCAAATCCGGCAACTGGATCAACATCATCATTCAGATCGTCCGTGTCTTGTCGGTGGTTTGCATCTTGGTCTTCGTGGAAGAGCTCGGCATCGCTCAGACAACGAAGACCATCACTGGCGTCGTCTTGATTGCGGTGCAATCGGGGTTGACCGTCATCTTGTTTTTGCTGATCTTCATCAACAGCATCATCACCTGCTGCAAGGAGAATCCACATCGCAAGCGTCGCAAGGCCGCGGAGAAGCATCTGTCCCCGGATTTGGAAGGCGACGCTTTTCTGATGGAACCCGCTCCTTACAAGGGCTCGCCGCCACGGCGCGCTCGACTGAGATCCGATTCTGCACCCAGCTACGAGCCCGTACGAGCGCAAGCTCTGGCACGGTTCGGTCCCCGCTTCAACGATGACAGCCAGGAGGTCCTGGTCAAGGGGGCGGCGGGGATGGGCCGTTCAGGCTACCGCAGCGTCAGTCAGGATAGGAGCGAGGCTGATGGCAGTCCACCTCCTTTGATGCGCGAACCGAAGCTACCTAATCTTGGGTTCGAACAATATCGACATTAGACAAGAGAAGGTTTGCCGTGGGTTCGTCGCAGTCATGTTATTAGTTGTGTTTTGATTTATTACAGCAAGCGTGTGTCCATATTCTGGGATTTAGCATCGAATGGACGGAGACATGGTCATGTGTCCAGGGGCAAGGTTGGGGATACCTTCTGGGCTTTTGTCCTCGAGAGTATTGCAGTGGTGCTTCTGAGCATCGCGTGGTCCGCAGTCATACTGGATTGGTATTGGGGACTGATGATGATGATGAACGCGGACTATACATATCACATCTAATCCAACGACCCTGATTACATATACTGATATGATTCCATGACTTTTGAGGGACGAAGTAGTCGGGCGGATGTATTCAAAGACAATAGGCACGGCATTGGTGTATGATATGGTACTGGGCTCGTCGATTGCGGTTCTGGCAAATAGGAGAACATGAGGTCCTGCGTTGCTTCATTGGAAGGACGCAACAACGATCAGACAGACTGCCTGTATTGCTGGTATATCGACGTACCCAGAGGATTGCTTGAGATCAACGCGCGGAGACTTTGCAGCACCATCTGTCTAGTGTTCATTCCAGCAGACTGTCTATAATGCAAGCTGCGTGTGTCCTCGTCTCTGCCTCTGCAGGTCAGAAATGGCAGGCCATGTCTCCCCATGCCTTTCCCTTTCTATTTCCCTCCGGACCACCCAGCTCCTCCATGCGCTTCCTCTTCTAGAAGCAGAAGACCTGGTCCTCCAACTTACTGACAGGACGAGCCTTTTGATATCCCAGACTCTCCGTGGCCTTCTTCAACGCGCTCACCATAGGCGGCGGACCACAGATGAGAATCTTCATGTCCGGGCTCGGCGGAGGGAGCTTCTCCTTGATCATATCTGCCGTGACGAAGCCGACTCCGCCGTCCCATTTTTCCGGCGGGTTGTTGAGGACGTAGTAGACGTTGAAGTCCGGATCTTCTCGAGCCAGCGCATCGATTTCCTCCTTCAACAGAATATCTTCCGGGTTGACGTTGGCGAAGATCAGATCGACCTTGGTGGTGTCGTTGCCGCCGTTCCTGGGCCGGCCGCGGTTGATGGCGCGGATGATCTGGAGCATGGGCGTGATGCCCGTCCCGCCGGCGATCATGCCGATGCGCGTGCACAGGTTCGGCGTGTAGACCATGGCGCCCTTGGGGCCGCGCACTTTCATGGTGTCGCCGACTTTCAGCGTCGTCAGGTGTGCGCTGATGTTGCCCTGCGGGTACGACTTGACCAGGAGCTCGAAGAAGCCTTTGTCTTCGTCGGACGAGATGGGCGTGTACGATCGCACCACCTCCTTCTCGGCGCCCTTGGGCGTCGCCGCCAGAGAGATGTGCTGGCCGATCGGGAGGCCGAGGATGTCGGTGGGCTGCGGTAGGCCGAAGCGGTAGATGGCCACATTGTGCGACGTCTTTTTGATGTCGGTCAAGGGGAATTCTTGGAATTCATCGGGCTTGAGGACTTTTCGTGTCGATGCTGTGGAAGAACATAGAAATTGTGTCAATCACTTGCTGGTACTGTATAGATAGATAATGTCCACACCCGCGCCATTTTGGATAGGGTACTACTTACGACCCGATGTAAAGATCTTGTAGCCCCCGACAATCGCAGCAAAGGCGGCGGCGTAGGGAATCCATTCTTTCTTGACGATTGCCACTCCGACGATCAGGAGAATAGAGGGAATGTAGACGCCGTTGATATTCGAGGACGAGAACGCGGGATTACTGAGGTGCCTGTGAGCGAGCTGCTTGCTTCGCGGACGACTTTTCTTCCACGATAAATATAGTCAAACTTACCCCATGACTGCGGTCGTTCTGTTTCGTAGAACCCGGCTGTGGCTCTCCTGCTGGCTGTTGTTGCCCCTTGTACCTCAACGCCCACGACTACTAGTCCTCGATTGGAGACGAGGTTCCAGAGGGTACAGGTGTTGTACCGAGAATTCAAGAAAGAGAAGAGGTGTAGCTGTCGGGGTCACTATTACTGTTGGGGGGAGATCGGTGAGGGGTCTTTTGACGCCGCAGAATGCAGCGAGCGACTGTTTCGGTGCGCAGCGAGTTCGGCGAAAAGAGCGTGGGGCTGATGCCTGGGGATATCGATCAGTTAGTTGTTTAGGCTGCGACCGTGGTTCTTCGTGAGTCCTGGTCGCTTGTGTGTGTCCGCAATTATTCCATTACGATGCTGCTTCTTCCTGCAATCAGTAAGGGGTCCTCGGGCCTGAGATCAATTGATTTACTACAACAGGTCATGCTATACAGTGCGGGGGACCGTACCGAGCAACGGAAAAGAGGTCGTCCAGAACACCAAGCCTTGTATACCCGATGCCCCGTTCTGGGTGTCTCTCTTCCATCCCCTTTGTGGGCTCCTTAGGCCTGTGCCGGACGCGCATGCTGACCCTATTAGGTGAACTGTTCCGATCGAGATCCCCCAGATCCCCTCCCGCTTGATTCTCGTGGTGAATTGCTACCCACGATACTCGCCCCAACCGGCCATCCGACTGCCGTCCGTATTTTTGAATTTATTCCTCCCTCCAATCAGGCCAGAGCACACGACGGACAGAAAACAGTCCACAGAAGCCATGCCACCAGATCCTGTCGATACTTCGACCCCGTTTCCATTTCCGTTGACCGATGTTGATCGATCGATCCTGGCGATGACCGATGACCAATTCCATCCACACACATGGGAAGAACTCAAACAGATCATTGGTGTGTGTTGCTGGAGGCTGAACCGCTCGATGTCCTCACTAGACACTGTCCTCTGACTTCGCAACAGCTGAGCACAATCTCAGCGTCCTCAAGAGACGGCCCTCCGACTTGAGGCGCTACATCAAATGGTCCGCGGAGACGAGGGCGACGTATGGGAGTGTCCCCAATTTCGTCATGACAGAAAGACTCAAGTGGACGCCCTTGCCAGCCTCAAGTCCCGAGACTGGGCCTCAGTTCGCCGTTAAAGATCCAGCCCCCTTTGCGCATCCGGACGACTACAAGATCTTGCTTAATGACTGGCCTTATGGGCTTGCCCCGGGCATTAGACATCTCATTATCTGGCTAAAGACCAGGCTAGAGTCGGAGCCAACAAGAGGCGACATGACACCCAAATCCCGACAACAGGTCGAGGACTTTGTCCAGAGAACATTCGTGGATGGAGTCAAAACTCTTCCTGGTGAGCCAGAAAAAGTCATGTGGTTCAAGAACTGGAGGGCCTTGCAGTCCGTCCCAGGGATGGAGCACGTTCATGTTCTTGTCAGGGACGTTCCTGAGGACATCATTCGTGAATGGACCGACGGCGTCCGACCTCTTATTGAGCATGAATCATAGAATCATAGAATCATAAAGTCATAGAGTCATAGAATAGGATACATGGTAGAGCAAGGCGCGTTTCGAGCAGCCAGTTCTGGGTCGGAAGATGTGTCGTAGGAATGGGCATCAGATGGCCATTTGCTTCAGCCTGGCTTATCCCGTAATTCATTCCATATCGCATCCAAATTCTGGAAGACGGCCGTGACGCCTTTCAGCGTGTTCTCATCAATCTCCATAAAGCCGTACCGCTGTTGTACTTTGTCAGGATGCCACCTGACACGCTCGGCCTTGATCGCACTTGCAAAGGGATTTGCAGGTGACTCGCTGTCACCAGAGGCTGCCGTGCCTTTCTTGATGAAGCGCTCAATTTCATCGCGAACCACGTCCTTGCGCTTGCCCGACTCAACAGGCCACGCAATCTTGTTGCGCAGGTAGACCTGTTCAGCGTCCTCTGTGGATTTCTGCCGGGCTTCAGCCATCTTTTGGAGTTCTTCCCAGCGGGCCAGGTAATCCTGCCACAGGCTCTGCCATCGCTTGCGGTCTTTTCTCCTCTCCCCACGCCGCAGGCTGGCTTCGATATGAGTATCAAAGACATCATTGTCGTATTGTGGCTGTCTGGCTGTCCCTCGCCTTCTCTCCTCATCTCGAATCTTTTGTTTCTCTCTTTCTCGCTCTCTTCTTTTCTCTTCCTTTGCGGCCTCGATACCCTCCCAGCTTTTCTCCCACATCTTCCGCCGGACAAACTGCGCATATTCTTCGTCGGTCATGCGTTCCAATTCGCCGGTCTCCGGATCTTCGTAGGTGTTTGGATAGTTGTGTATTGGCTGTCCGTAGATGCCTTCCCAGAACGTTGCGCCTTCGTCATCTCCGAGAGCGTCAAAGAGAGATTCTTGAAAGGCCCTGTCGGGAGATAGGTGGTTTGGTCCGAATCGCTCCTCAGGATGCGAGTGTCGTGGAGATCTCTGCCGCTTTCTGTGCCTGCGAGAAGGATCTTCATCCCGCCGCCGTTTGCGCTTCGACTCCGTGTCGCTACGCCCTGGATCCTCTTTCCTGGTCTTGAAGCGGAAGCGCTTGGATCTGTGCTCATGTTGTTGGTCTTCCCCAACCCCGGGCGATTCTCTGGCATCGCTCATTCGCTCCGCCATCACTCGAGATGTAGTAAATGTTCATCGTTGGGCGGGACGTACAGATGAGATTCAGATGGGTTCGACTCGTACGTAATACAGCACAGAGCGAGGCGCATGAGGCAAGGCTGACGGAGAAATATTGATCCGGTTCCGGATGCCAAGATATCAACTTTTTTGAGCAGAAGATTGGGTGACAAGGGAGACAACGATGAGTCTTCAACGAGAATGTCCTTTTGTTTCTGCTCTTTTCGCCCTCGACTTTCTTTTCACTCCCTGATAGGCCTCAGCAGACTCCCCACTTTCGGCGAAGCAGGAGGGAGCCGTTTCGCAACATCGCCTGTTCAAGGTCAAAGAATCTTGTCATACAACTTTCTTGCGTCGAAATCAACGGACCAATCCAGACATCGCCAGAGTTCGTTTCGCCAGTTTTGTAGCACACCAGCAGTGACTTCCAGTATGGCGGGAGATATTGGTGACAAATTGTCATCTTTGGGCTTACAGGAAGTTGGAAAGGCCAAGAATCCCGTGAGTCCCTACCGACAACACATCGCCGAGAAATTGGCCCCCATCGTCGACCGAAAAGTGGAAGACATTGCTCCTCTGGTATCATGGACGACAAGTCCGGATAAAGGAGACCTCATGCTTCCTGTTGCCGCTTTCCGGATCAAAGGCAAATCACCTCAAGACCTAGCCAAGGAGATAGTCGAGTCGTTTCCAACTGGAGAGGATATACTTGTGACGGCCTCACAAGCGGGCCCGTTTGTGCAGTTCTTTTTCAAGCCCGAACATCTTACACAAGTCGTCATTCCGGAGATCTTGAAGAGCAAGAACGCTTACGGCTCGGATCCTACGCCCGGCTTGAAAGACCCCTCCGACCCGTCCCAGGGTCACAAAAAGGTCATTGTGGAGTTCTCATCGCCGAATATCGCGAAAGAATTTCACGCTGGCCATCTCCGAAGTACAATCATCGGCGGTTTCCTGGCAAAACTTTACGCTAGAACGGGCTGGGATGTCATCAAGATGAATTATCTGGGTGACTGGGGCAAACAGTATGGGCTCCTTGCCAACGGTTTCAAGCAGTTTGGTAGCCAAGAGGAATTGGACAAAAACTCCATTGCCCACCTCTTCCAGGTCTACGTCAAGATCAATCAAATCAAGTCGCAGCAGGACGAACCAATCAATGAATTGAAGAAAGAAATCAAGGAGAAGAAGGCCAAGGGCGAAGATACCACGGAACTAGAGAACAAACTCGCTCCGCTAGTGGAAGCCAGTGAGGACGAAAAGGCTCGGAAATACTTCAAGAGCATGGAAGATGGTGACCCCGAAGCCCTTGCTTTATGGCAGCAGTTCCGAGACATGAGCATCGAGAAATACAAAAAGACGTATGCCCGGTTAAACATTGATTTCGACGTCTACTCTGGCGAGTCCCAGGTCAAGCAAGAGACCATCAAGAAAGTACTCGATGATCTCTTGGCCAAAAAGATCGCAGAGGAGTCCGAAGGCGCCATTCTGATCGACTTCGCAAAGCACGGCGCAAAGAAACTCAACAAAGCTGTCATCGTGCGAAGAGATGGCACCCCACTGTACCTGACTCGAGATCTGGCAGCAATTCTTGAGCGTTACGAAACGTATCATTTTGACAAGATGATCTACGTTATCGCCGATCAACAAAATGAGCATGTTGCGCAGTTGTTCAAAACGACCGAGATCAGCGGCCACAAGGATATCTCGGACAGATGCGAGCACATCTCTTTCGGCATGGTCAAGGGCATGAGCACGCGAAAGGGGACCGTCAAGTTTTTGGATGATGTGATCCAATCGGTCAAGGATGTCATGCTTGACGTGATGCAAAAGAACGCAAAGAAATACGAACAGTTAGAGGATCCCGATGCTGTGGCTGATATCCTGGCCATCACTGCGATTATGGTCCAGGACTTGACGGGCAAGGTTCGCAATGGCTACGAATTCAACATCAATCAGATGACGGCTTTCGAAGGTGATACCGGCCCGTACTTGCAGTATGCCCATGCACGTCTATGCTCGATCGAACGAAAGGCAAACGCAGACCTGAGCACGTTAGATTCGGCCGACCTGTCGCTGCTGAAAGAGCCCCATGCGGTCAATCTGGTGCGAGCGCTGGCGCAATATCCCGATGTGGTTATGAACACGCTCAAAACCCGTGAGCCGTCGACCGTGCTCACTTACCTTTTCAAGATGGCTCATGCGTTGAGCTCGAGTTACGACCATCTGCAAGTTGTGGGGAGCGAACCTGAATTGCAGAAGGCTCGGTTGGCGCTGTACGAGGCTGCTCGACAGGTCCTCTGGAATGGCATGACCTTGCTCGGTCTGACCCCGGTGCAGAGAATGTGATCTGGCGTTATTGGGAGGGGCAAGGCCAGGGCTGAGGTTGTCCGGACAAGGATGTTTCGGCATTTCAGCGGGAGATTTCGGGACGGCAAAAGAGCTGTCCGATGGCTACTGTTCCGTTCGTCGAGTTCTCCCCACGTTGTCTGCTTCTGTTTGAAGGTGGGACCAAGGTCGACAAGGGCAGGGTGATGTGATAATAGGAAACTGGCTGGCAGCTACAAGCCAGCTGCAGGCATGAACCGGGATAGAAAATCAAGGACTATTCATATTGCCGTTGGCTGAAAGATGCGCTCGTCAAACGAGGAAGGCTTCCCTACTCCCCTCAAGGCTGAATCGGTGCCGAAGTTTGCAGGGGTACTCGAAACTACCAACCTATTCACGGCGGAACGACCCAGTGAGCACACGACTGCTCGAGCATCAGCATAGAATTTGACGCATCATGAACACCATCTGGTTCAGCCTCTAAAGAAGGGTTCTGGTCTGTCAAGTGGCAGTCAGGGCACGACAAGTGTTCGTACAGTAGGGGGCCCGGTGGGAGGGGGGTCTGTTGACTATTCACTCGCAGCTAACATACCTCTTCCATCACAATGCGACAGTGTGTTAGATGACGGGAGGCGGCCGATGCCTGCATTTGAAACAACAGCGAAAGCAACAATCTCTTTATTCTGTGTGATTTTCTGCCGTGTATGTAGGCTGCCCGCGGCCTCCGCTCGCTCGCCACGCGGCGACGTTGCTGCTGCTGCTGCTGTAACACCGTATCATCCCCCATCCGAAGATGACTCCAGAGTCTGTGACACTTAGAGCAGGCCGAAAGGCTAAGGCAGGGAATGGGAAGGATGCAGACCGGGATTTGCTGATAGTTGTAAAGCTTTTCACCTGCTGGTCAGCCCGTCCTTCGCATCTAAATTGTGCTTTTCGTCAGCCGGCTCACAGCAGCGACAGCGTGATTCGAAACTCGAGGAGACAGGCAGACGAGGAGCTTTCCAGGGGTGGCAGACGAATGCCGGCACTATCCATCAGAGGGAGAGTGTTTGTCTGTGGTGTCTGGTGCCTCTGGTGTTTGGTGTCTCTGGTGCCTGCGAGGATTCGGTGAGACGGCCAAGTTGGGCATCCTATTGGACTTTATCCTCCATTCACATTGCAACAACATCGACCAGCCCGCACATCACGCAACTCAACCAACCGGCAGGACAGACGTTGCATGTCTCCATGACACCGGTTGGCTCTGTACGGTGCTCTTCAAGGTCAAGTCTGCTTTCTGGCCGCGCCATTTTCGACTCTGCTCCAGTGGCAGCCTCCTAGACGGTGGAAGCGAGGCTCCTTGGGCCTGTCAAGCACCGCTGCCGCCCACACACCGTCGTCACCCGGCTTTTCAGAAACAGGCTCCTGTTGATCAGAGAGAGACCCTTTTAAGGCTCGTTCCTCTCGCTACCCTGCCTTCCCCGCGATGCCACCTAGAGCTGCGAGTGGTCAGATGCCTGAGAATGACTCCTACCGACGCAAATTCAGCATAGAACATCTCCAGCTCTTCTTCATTTTCCTCTCATTGTCCCTTGCCCATACGGTGTGCAGAAAAGTCTCGGTTTCGTCCTCCATGGCTCCCGCAATTCGTTGCGCTCATCCCTCATGCTGACGCGGGTACATTTTGGTCGAGCAAATCAAAACACAACACGACTACGACGTCTATCACATCGTCAATTACCCGCCTGCAAACTCGTTTCGCTGGTCACTCGCAGCCAAAAGACTGTGTTGAATGGGAAGCAGTGTGTTGTGCGACCGGAATTGTGCAGCGTCTCTGTAGATACGCTGGACACGGCATTGAACGTGCAACATCCTCAGAGCAGCACCAGGTTGTGGCAAGAGAGCGGCAGAACATCGAGAACAGACGGAGTGAGCGGTAGGCCGATCAAAAGATATGCCCGTCGGGATGGGTGTCCATGAACAACTTGAAGAGACAGACTGAGATACCCAGCATACAAAGAAGGACAGCGGGATCTGTCAAGAAACCTTCGACTCGGCGCGCGCAAAGAACCTCTCCCACGGATAGATCACCCAGGACTCGATTGTCTCAGGGGGTCTCCAGAGCAGCGAACCTGTCGCCGGGACGAGCCTCCAGCCACGACCCGTGTGCCATTTTCGGGCGTCCAGTGTCCGTCGTCCACTACGCTCCTCAGTGCTCTGCCGCCCACTAGGTTTAGCAGCCTTCTAAGGCCCACCCTCCCGGTCCCCGGTCACTCCACACCCCCAACGACCATCCCTCGCCACGTTCCACCTTCCCTCGTCGCCAAATAAACAAGACAACCCTCATTACATTCCAAATCTCATCGCAACCGCTTCCATGCCCGAGATTGAGCGTCGCCTCCCACGGCCAGCCACATGTGAGGAATGGAATGAAGAAACCCAGACGACACTTCCGGACTCGCGAATCACGGCGAATGCTTCCTTGGGAAGGTCCGCGCAGGAGTTGATATCCAGACAAAAGGATGTCAAATTTCGAAATAATGGCGCCGATTCTGGATACGCGAGTCGAGCGGACACGGTGAGCACCGGGTCTACCAGCACAGGCCGGCGAAAGATGCATGGCCTGAGAGTGGAAACCGGCGCAGTTCCAGAGAGAGAGCCGCAGCCTTATTCGATGTCGCATGTCGGTCCATCGAAGGTATCCACTCGACGCCAGTCCTTGTCGCAGGGCAATGGCTCTGCAGTTGATCCCCGACCGGCTAAGAGCAAACAAAACGTTCACGAGCCTGGCCTCTGCTGGAGCTGTGACCAGTACGGAAAGCATATCGATATGACCAGAGAGATGTCTAGGGCATCGAGCGCGGTGCCTCCACCACCTTCTCCAACCGCAGTTCGTCAGAGTGGGTTGAAGACCGTGAGAGACGATGCCTCTCTGCCTGTCAAAGTCAGGCGACCTTCTTCGGCGCGACCGCCCAGACCCTTGAGTATGGTCTCAGATCATGCATCACCGGCACATTATGTCAACCAGGTCGTCTACGGATCTCCAGCCGGTGCAACCCCCGGCTGGGCAACTCCGATCATGCCGTCCATGCCATACAGTCCAGTTTCTTGGTCATACGGTCCCACGCCAAATGCGAGCTCGTCGTATACACCTTTCCCACCAGTGACGTCCTATTTTGACCCTGCCAGCACTTCGGAACCATACTCGGCCAAACCAAGCCGTCAGTCTAGCCCGGCACGACACCCATCTGGATACGGCGAGCCAGTGATCCGGCAAGGCTACCACGAGCATCCAGTGGCTACTTTAGAAAGAATGACGCTGAGAGATAGTCGACCGGTGATTCCTTCACACAGATCCAGTCACAGCATTGATCACGATCGCGCGATGATGCCTCCTCCAGCAAAGCCAAGGCAACCTGAGGTCGGCATGACGCGCAGACCAAGTACTAGGAGGGCAAGTACATACCATCCCGAGGAAGCGCCACCACGCCAGCGCTTCTCATATGAAGAAGACCGATACGATAGAGGTGACGAAGAGAGCGACTACCGAGAGGCTCGTACACCTCTATCAACCGTACGCGAGCGTCGAGAGTCTCTGACTCACCCTCCAACGTCTTATCGAGCGCCTGCGGTTGTTGAAGCTCGCGGTCGCCCTCCTTTGCCAAGGAAATCGGCTTCATGCTCCACGCCTGCGGGATTGACTAAAGCGGAATCATCGAGACCTCCCACTACTGGTCGTCATACTACGTTGCCGACGATCCCCCTTGAGGACAAGGTGACGGCGGCTGAGGAATATCTTGACAGGAGCAGCAAAACATCGAACGAGTTAACTGCGGAGGCTCTCCGCAACCTCAACCACCGCAATTCAGCTTCCAGGTCCGAGGCAAGTAGCAGCTACAGCCACAAGAGTCGACACTCATCGTCCAAGGAATCGTCTGGGCTGGGGAAGAGTCAAGCAACCACTGCTACGAAGACCAGTATTACTCTGCCAGGCGGGCTCAACATGAGCATACCTTCAGATTATATGAAAAAAGATGGCGGGCCCCTCAGCATCAAGGTTGGCGGATTTGTTGTGTCAGTGGGTGCTGAGGAGGTGGACTCCGTTGAACGACCCAGAGAACATCGCCGCATCGAGCGTGCACCGAGCGTCACAAGTCGCGCTTCGAAGAAAAGTGCTTCGAGTGGTATTTCCAGTCGTGAGAAAGACCGTGATCGAGATGTTCCGCCTCAATCATCCAGGCGTCTATCACAAGTTGAGGAGCGCGGTCCCAGTGCACGCTCAAGTCGCCAGCCCAGTCGAGCTCCAAGTACGACTGAACGCACATACGAATATAGCCGGCGGCAGAGTGTCGACTATAGCAAACCTTTTGAAGAAGTGATGTATGGTGCTTGAAAGCAAGCTCGATGGCGCCTCGAACGGACTACTGTATGCTTCGACCAAAGGCATCTCAACGGCTTTGCTGTTTCCGTTGCTGGCATGTTGGATATGCTTCTTCCCTGTCTTTTGGCCTTGCTTTGGTTTGGTTTGTTGCTTGTCATGTACCTTGACACGACGTCAGATTGGTATTTCGGAATGTCATCCGGCGTTATCTCTTCCTTTCTTTGGGCTCACTGCTCATCTTGCTGTTGCTCCCTTTCTGCTCGAGCTGTCTGGGGAGTTCTGCTTCACAAAGCAAAAGCGAAAACATCAAAAGCTCACCGAAAGAGATCGTGGATCTCTAAGGTAAGGCGAGGCGACAGTCTATTTATTTGTTGCACTTCAGGCAAAGCACCCTGACGGGGCCAAAAGAGCCGGACTTAACTTTTCTTGGTTACTGGTTCCAACCCTGTATGAGGAGGAAGCCGTTGACCTGGAGTCATCAGCAATATGCGAGGGCAGCCGTGAGTGGACCCTTGTTACTTCGGCGGGTCATGCCTCTGGCCCAATATGTCTAGGGAGTCGATTGTTCTGGTTGTATCACCCGATGTTGTCATTGAAGCCGTTGGGATATTCGGTGTTGGATGGACAATGGATATGATACGAAAGAACGATTCTGCAGGCCAGATCACGGTGAATGTGTGCTTCATCGGCTTGGAGCTGGAAGATGTCCCACACTCGGAGGAACTCCTCTCCTTCGACACGAGAGAGCTCTGTCTCGCTGTCCTCCTCAAACGATATGGCGAACGATGTTATGAAATATACACGACAGGGTGTGGAGGCGACTAACCACCTAAGGGGTCCTTGCCCGTACTTCATAAGCCTTGCTTCTGGGTGGCATCGCACTGTTTGGAGGACGATGAGCGGGCCTCATATAGCGCACCTCTCGCAAAGCAGGAATAAGGGGCCAGTTCGACCCCCCATAGGAATTATAAGACAAAGCTATCATGCTTCTACCTTTTATGTCTCTATGGACCGAGGTATCGAATACTTTTCATTTTGGAGGGTATCTTATATCGTAGCCACAATGCGTAGTAGTCGACTCATCAGATTGAGTTATCATAAGAAATCGTTGGACTGGACACTGTAGTACTTTTTCAGGTCGACATTGACCTGTACGTCCACAAACCTCATTCACCCAGCAGTTTCATGCAATTGCCAGAGGCCTTCCCGCCCGACATCATAGCAGATATCATGGCCATCGGGAACATACACTTCCATTGCAGTGCCATCATGAATTGGGAATCTCGACCCTCGACTGATCCTGCCACAACGTCGGGAATCGCATGGTATTCAGTATCAACATCAACGTGGACCTTGCTGAATGGACTTTGGGAAAGGCTCGAGGCGGGCGGTTTCTTCGCATGCCCAGATACATGCTGCCGCCCCTGAGCAGATGTCGAGCCCACCAGAAAGGGACCTGCTGCTGATTGAGGTCCCAAGTTTGTGGAAGGGATGAGGCTCTATCACAACAACCGCCCACGCTTGACCGCTGGCTGTGGGCGTAAGTTATTTTTGAGAGTGGGAGCGGACTGTAGCCTCGTTGTGCAGCCCAGTCAAGGAGCCGCTTAATCCGACCTGTGTCGAGATGGGATGTTCGCAATATCAATGGGAAAGTGCCCAGTCTCGAGTGAGACACTGTCATGATCGAAAATGAATGCCTTCCTGATTGAAGTTCCATAGTAATTTCAGGAAATCACCTTCGTCACACATTCGCGCACGCTTATCCGCAAGCTGTGTCTTGTCTTCAAGAACGGAGCGGACTTTCTCGCGCACCAGTTCTGCGACCTTGCCTTTTCTCTTGCGGCCGGAACCTTTTGCCAATTTCAACAGCGGCGACTGTTGCTGGTCCTTGAAAAAGGCCGGGAGATCGTCTTCATCGGCATCGACATCCATTAAACCTTCCCAGTCGTCGTCTTCGCCATCACCATCAGCACCGACACTCTGGGCGTTCTCGACCTCCATCAAAGTCGAGTCGTCCTCGGCAGGTGGGCCTTCTTCGAGCGGGACATCATTCTGAGCACACCAGGTCCTGTAGTTGGCCTCTAGCATGTTCATGATACTCGTGGTGCCGAGGAAGTTGGCACGCATGGTCTTGTTTTTCCTGACAAAGCATATCCGCAGCAGCCCATCCCATTCTTCATAAGAGATATTAGGCCGGGGGTTCTTGGGCACGAGGCGCACCACGCTGCTCTCCACAGCCGGCGGCGGCTTGAAGTTGTTCTTGCCGACTTTCATGATATGGTCGATCTTGGCCCACATCTGCGCATTCACGCTGAGTCGACTGTAAAGCTTGTCGCCCGGTTTGGCGAACAGGCGCATGGCGAATTCGCGCTGGAACATCAGGATGCATACTCGCGGAGACGGGCTGGTGGCCAGCAGTTTGAACGTCAACGGACTGGAGATCTGGTAGGGAGTGTTGCTGATGCAGACGTCGAAGTAAGGCAGGTCCGTCTTGATCACGTCGCCCAACACCACGTCGAGTCTCTTCCCTTGCGGCGTGCCTTGCACCCGCTTCGTCACTTCCGCCGCCATACGCGGGTCAAGTTCCACCGCGATGCACTTTTTCGCTTTCTCCAGGATCTTGACCGTCAAATTTCCGCTTCCTGGGCCGACTTCTAAAACTATGTCGGATTGCTTCAGATCCGCTTTGTCTACGATCGCTTGCGCCACGCCGGGGTTCTTGAGCACATGCTGTCCAATGTCTGTGTTCATCTTGAAGATTGCGTTCGAGGTCGCGCCGGACGACGATTTGCCGCCCGGGTGCGAGGGTTTGGAGTAGGGCGAAGCCGCCGCCGCAGCGCCGCCGCCGGCACGCTTTTTCGAGTGTAGTTTCGGCATGGTGAGTGGTTTGTCCTGGTTACCCGGTCATCTGGACGTCCGAGAAGGTGGCGAGCTCGATGTCAGCGAGGACGGAGGATGTCGATGTGTATAGATGTACGACCGGCCAGGAGGGAATGGTCGACTAGCAGTGCAAGAGTCGTCGGACTGTGGACTTGAACTTTTGGGAACTTTTTGGGCGGTGAAAGGTGGCAGAATTTTGCGGCGTGGATCGTGGAGAAATATCACTAGCATACTAGGAAGTACGTAGTAGGTGTTGGTTGTGTACAGCCTCATCAGCCTGCCTGATCCCCATTCGCCGCAGGTACTGTACCTTGGTAGCCTTGCCATCCGTTCGAGTTTGTTCGCGACTCGTCCTGCCCGTCTTTCTTTTCCCACACCCGCCTAAAAGATTCTTGACTATTTCGGTGCCGCAGTCCTTCTCTTTCTTGTCTTTTTCCTACGCCCCCGGCCACCCATGGCTTCACGCCGAGACTTCCTGAGCCAGAAAGCACCCGAGAACTATGTCGCCGGTCTCGGTAGAGGTGCGACAGGATTCACCACACGATCAGATCTAGGGCCTGCACGAGACGGCCCAAGCGCGGAACAGATTCAAGAAGCACTTGCGAAGCGAGCGGCACAACTCGGCGCCGCACCTCCAACGGCCTACGGCGCAGTCGACAAAAAGAAACCAGAACAGGAGGAAGATGATGATGAACGGTTTCAGGACCCGGAGAATGAGGTGGGCTTGTTCGCCTATGGACAATATGACCAGGCCGACGACGAGGCCGACCGAATCTACCAAGCGGTGGACGAGAAGATTGAAAGGCGGCGCAAAAGACCAAGGTTAGTGAACTTCCCATTCCCTTTTGCCGACCCCTTTTCGAAAGAAAGTTGTGGTTTATCTTTTCCACTCTGCTATGGACAGATTACCGACCTGAATCCATCGCCGTTATTTAGGGAAGAACGAGAGCGAGAAGAACTGGAAGAATACAACCGGAAGAATCCCAAGATATCGGAAGAGTTTGCCGCCCTGAAAAGAAATCTTGCGACCGTCTCAGACGAAGATTGGGCCAACCTGCCGGAACCTGGCGATCTGACTGGCAAAAATCGGAGGTCCAAACAGAACCTGAGGCAACGCTTTTACCCAGTCCCCGACAGTGTGTTGGCCGGCGCCAGAGATTCCACAGAATTCCAAACCAGTGTCCAAGACGATGAAGTACAAACAAGTGCGGACAACAAGGATGGAACCATGACCAACTTTGCGGACATCGGTGCTGCCAGAGACAAGGTCCTCAAGGCAAGGCTTGATCGAGCAGCGCAGATGGACGCCGGCACGGGATCGGCATCCACGATAGATCCCAAAGGATATCTTACGAGTCTTGCGCAGACCGAGTTGAACTCTATGGGTGCCGACGTCGGCGATATCAACCGGGTGAGGGTCCTCCTGGAGTCCGTCTGCAAGACAAATCCAAAGCATGCGCCAGGCTGGATCGCAATCGCGCGACTGGAGGAATTGGCTGGCAAGATAGTGTCTGCCAGGAAATTGATCGCCCAGGGATGTGAACAATGTCCGAAAAGTGAAGATGTCTGGCTGGAAAACATACGACTGAATGACAACCATAATGCCAAAATCATTGCTGCTAATGCCATCAAGCACAATGATCGGTCAACGCGGTTGTGGATCGAGGCCATGAAGCTGGAGACAGATACCCGCGCGAAGAAACGAGTTCTACGTCAAGCGCTCGATCATATTCCACAGTCGGTCGCGATCTGGAAGGAGGCGGTCAACCTGGAAGAAGATCCGGAAGACGCAAAGCTGTTGCTTGCTAAAGCCACCGAAATCATCCCATTGTCCGTTGAGTTGTGGCTGGCCCTCGCTCGACTAGAGACGCCGGAAAATGCCCAGGCCGTCCTCAACAAGGCGAGAAAAGCGGTACCCACGAGTCACGAGGTGTGGATCGCAGCCGCGCGACTGCAAGAACAAATAGGCAATGCCAATAAAGTCAATATCATGAACCGGGCTATCAAGGCCTTGGTGAAAGAGGGAGCGATGCTCAAGCGTGAAGAATGGATCGCCGAGGCTGAGAAGTGCGAAGAAGAAGGCGCCGTCTTGACGTGCGGAGCCATCATCCGGGAGACCCTGGGATGGTCACTGGATGAAGACGATGACCGGAAAGAAATCTTCAAGGATGACGCCAAAGCCAGCATATCCAGGGGCAAGTACGAAACGGCGAGGGCCATCTACGCGTATGCTTTACGGGTATTTCCTACCAGCAAGTCTCTCTGGCTGGCCGCTGCAGATCTTGAGAGAAATTATGGCACCAAAGACGCGCTTTGGCAAGTTTTGGAGAAGGCCGTCGAGGCCTGTCCTCAGTCCGAAGTGCTGTGGCTCCAACTTGCGAGAGAGAAGTGGGCGGCTGGAGAAGTCGACGACGCTCGTCGCGTGCTGGGTAAGGCTTTCAACCAAAACCCCAACAACGAAGAGATCTGGCTGGCGGCAGTCAAGTTGGAGGCGGACGCCAAACAAGTCGACCAAGCCCGAGAGCTGCTTGCAACTGCAAGACAAGAGGCCCCCACAGAACGAGTCTGGTACAAGAGCGCGGCGTACGAGAGACAGCTGGGCAACATCGATGTCGCGCTTGATCTGGTCCTCCAGGGCCTGACGTCTACCGTGGTGGACAAGAAAGAAACCCGATTCCCGCGGAGTGCGAAGTTGTGGATGATGAAGGGTCAGATCTACGAGGACAAAGGCATGATTACACAGGCCCGGGAGGCTTATTCCCAGGGCACAAGAGCCTGCCCTAAGTCGGTACCCCTTTGGCTGCTGGCGGCTCGGCTGGAAGAGAAGGCTGGCGTTACAATCAAAGCACGCTCCGTCCTCGACCGAGCCCGGTTACAAAACCCGAAGAACCCCGAGCTGTGGGTGGAAAGTGTCAGAGTCGAGCTGCAGACGAAACCACCCAACATTCAACAGGCCAAGATCTTGATGTCCAAGGCGCTACAGGAATGTCCCAAGTCCGGGCTCCTCTGGGCCGAAAACATCTGGAAGCTGCAACCAAGGACCCAGCGAAAGCCGTTAAGTCTGGAGGCGATCAAGAATGTCGACAATGACCCGATCCTGTTCGTCACTGTGGCCCGAATCTTCTGGAGCGAACGGAAACTAGACAAGGCCATGAGTTGGTTTGAGAAGGCCATTGTGCTCGACAGTGACCTGGGAGATACTTGGGCGTGGTATCTGAAATTCCTGATGCAACATGGCACAGATGTAAGTTTATCCCCTTCAAGCCTGTGCTGCCCAACGAACTATGCCGATCGTGCTAACGTGGCGTTTGTACAGGAGAAACGAGAAGATGTCATCGCAAAGTGTGTCGTCAGCGAGCCAAAGCATGGCGAGGTCTGGCAGAGAGTCCGGAAGGACCCTAAGAATGCCTACCTCAGCACCAAAGAGGTGTTGCTGGACGTTATGGATCAACTTGAGGCAAAGGAGGTCATCGCTTGAGCGGTACTGTCGTGCGAGTAGTGTCTCACAGTTTTTGGCATCCGGCAGCCCGGATTGCATAGCCAGTCTCAAGATGAAAGGCTGATGATGATGATGAGTATAAAGAGATTGAGTGGATGTTAGTCCTGTGGTGTGAACTATACACCATACTTTAATGTTGAAGATTGTAGTACTATGCTGATACCCCTAACATGATACCGTTCCTACCACCTCAGGTTCCAGCCTTGCAGAAGACCTAGTCACGTGGAGCGGCGGTGTCACGTGACAAAGCGGACGCTTTTACGGCGGAGTTTTGTGCCACTGCCGCATCTTAATAATAATGGATGCTTCGGGAGTTATAAAGTGGCGCAGCCAACTAATCAGCCTGCAGCTCTTCTCTTTCTTCCAACATCTTCCTCTCTCCTTCTCTTCTTCCTTACTACTGTCGTGCATCACCCACCACCTTCATCAATCACCTTTGTCTCTCGTCTCGTTTCATCTCTCAACTACGACTACGACTGTTTCCTGTCTAATCCTTTGTGGTCGTCGCTCGTATTCAGGCCCCTTTGTATCCGCGGCCCTTCACACCGCAAACGGCAGACTTTTATACGTGGCAGCGTGTTGAAGAGATTTTCGTCTCACTTGACTCTCAGTATCCCAAAACTATCGGTGGCAGACGCTGTCAGCTCGGTGTAACGGTGTTACTTTGGAAAAGAAAGTGCCTGATCAAGAGTTGAATAAATTTCAAGAGGAGTGCCTGTTATTCATCGTTCGTTTGGGTGCGGCAGAATCACACTGGTTTTGGTGCAAGCACGGCTGGTGAATAAGGACGGACTCGCTGCGCAGCGATCAGACTCTCAAGTTGAAATCATTACTTGTCTACTTCTCAATTAATATCTCCCTTTTCCCGCTGGCTACCTTACTTACCTCTGCCTTGACTGTCCCTTGGAACATAACCATACCAAAAAGCTCATCGCCTCTCCAACATTGCGCTTAATTCCAGCTCACCTGTTGCCGGGTGCAAGATCGACTCTCATCGCGTTTGATCGGCGGCTACCGTTTGGCCTCGCAGCCTTGCCGCCATGGCGTCTTATGTGTATTTCAAATTCAAGTCACAGAAAGAACCTCAACGTGTAACCATCGATGGGCCTCACACCGATGTATGGAATCTCAAACGTGAAATCATCAATATTTCTCGCTTAGGAGACGGAACAGATTTTGATCTCAAGATCTACAAGGAGAACAGCAATGAAGGTAAGCATGGTTCTGACTTTAGCTCAACGATCGCCTCTGACTTTCTGGTAGAATACACCGACGACACCGAAATCATCCCCAAAGACTCGACGGTCCTTGCACGAAGGTTACCAGCTTCAGCTCCAGGTAAAGGCCGAGCAGCTCGTTATGTCTCGGGAAAGCCGCCCGTCAGCGCCAAACCCACGACGGCCGCTGCGGCGAGTAAGGCTGTCAAGGCAATAGACATGGACAAGGCCATGACGGAACAAGAAAAACTGAAGGCAATGCTGCAATTCACCGATGCGCAATGGCAACAGAAGCAAGAAGAGATGTCGCATGAAACCCGAGTCCCTATGCAAGGCACCAAGCCTTTCAAAAAGGCCAACGTTCCCGAAGGCGAGCCACCTCACGGCTACATCTGTTACCGCTGTGGCAAGAAAGGTAAGACACTACCCTCGTCAACTTTTGATCTGCTCGTAACTAACACTGTCAAGGTCACTGGATCCAAGCATGTCCTACCAACGACGACATCAACTATGACAACAAGAACCGAATCAAGCGGACGACTGGTATTCCTCGCTCCATGCTGAAAAAGATCGATCAAGCAGACATTGACAAGCTTGACGATGCTCAAAGACAACATCTTATGGTGAATGCAGAAGGAGAGTATGTCTTTGCTCAAGCAGATGAGAAGGCATGGAGAAAACATCTCGAACAGGTCAAGGCTGCGGAAGCGGCGCAGAAGAAAGTACAGATTGGTGACAAGGAGCTGCAAGATCGTGGACTGGAATGCCCCATCGACAAGCGCTTGTTTGTAGACCCAATGAAGACCCCTTGCTGTGGAAAGACGTTCTGCCATGATTGTATTGAAAATGCATTACTCGAAAACGATCTTACATGCCCTGGCTGTGAGACGGAGAATGTCAGTCTTGAGCGGTTGGAACCCGACGAAGACGCGAAGAAGAAAATCAAGGAATATGAAGCCGACAAGGCCAATGAAAGACAGAGATCTAGAAGTCCTACCGTGACAGCGGACTCCCCAAAAGTCAATGGTACCGCGTCGGGATCCAGACCGAGTTCACGAGAGGGCACCTATTCGCCTAGGTCGACCGATGGACAGACGAGAAAACGTGGTGCCAGTGAAGTGGATGGCTCCGACGCAGATCAACAGGCTGCTCCGGCTATGAAGCGGCAGAAATCGGGCGAGTCTGCCTCGTCGTCGACGTCCAAGGTCGAGAACGAGGAGAACAAGAACAAGGACACCACGACAGAGGAAGCAAAGTCTCCTACAAGTAACAACACGAACAACGTACTGCCGGCCGACATGATGCCCCCCGATTTCTCTCAGATGCTACCGGGCAACGGCATGAACTTCCCCATGATGCCTAATTTCAATCCCTTCATGATGAATCCCATGGCGAACCCTATGGCGATGGGAATGGGAATGAATGGGATGAATTTCATGAATCCAAACTTCAATAACATGATGCCTGGCATGAATATGTTCCCGCCAGCGATGGGCAACATGGGCTTTGGGAATCAGACTCCAATGGCCAACTTCAACAACAATAACAACAACATGAATCCGAACCAAGGTCGTAACAATATGGGCATGGGCGCCAACCCCAATGGGTTCAATGGTAACCAACACAACCGGTCGAACCGAAACTCAGCGTTCCAGCAACCCAAGCCACAGCAGCAACCGACCGGCTTGACTGGTGTTCCCACCGGCCCCAAAGCTCTCACGCAGCAACAGAAGCAGCAGCAGAACAACTTCTACCCTCCCACCGGCCCCGCGGGCGGCAAGTTCTCGAATCAACAGCGCCATGTCGGAAATGAGGAGGATAATGCATACATGAGACAGCCGGTCAACCCTCACCGTCATCTGAACCGGAACCGGAGGCTCAGACAGGCCGATTACCGAGAGTTGTGATACTAGTAGTAGTATTCGACAACATACGTGCCAGTCGTCGCTGCAGGGCTGGCAGCTCTTCTCACCCACCGTTCATTGAATCGCCGGACCATCCATTTGCTATGCGACTGGCTCCAAGGCGAGGTGTGCATACCTTATCTGATTCTCCAGTGATACCTTGGAAGTTTCTCTGGAGCGAAATGGGTGGTTGAGGCATGATGGTCTTTCACCTCAAGCTTGGGGGTTCTTCTTTTCTATCAATGATTGCTGCTTTCATGAAAAAAGCAACATGACAGGGCAAGGCAGGTCAGGGCATGACAAGGTTATGGGGGATGAGAACCATCCAAGGGCATTGGGATTTTGCAACCTAGCGTTACGGGCATGAGACAACCTTCATGATCTTGAGACATTGGCTGCCTTCCAAGTGGATGGGTTCCAAGTGGATGGAAGGTCATGCTCGAGGGACACAGTTAGTTCCACATGGCTGGCTAGGAGGGCTATCCATGGATTTGGACGCATTCAAGTGTCAATATTGGCCTTAAAGATCCAGTTTGGCTTGTTTAAACCAAGCCGGGCGAAATGAACATAACTACCCAAGTTGAACCCAAGAGAAATACTGTTTCCTATTTCCCAACCTGGAGGCGCTGGAAGAGCGTCTGATAACCATGTCCTGATTCCTCGGTACCCGTCGATTCCGTGTAGTCTCTCGCTCTCCCTAGTAATGAATGGACTTGAATTCCAGGCACTTGTGCCTGGGATTCCTGGACCTGTAGTTGATATCTGGTTATGATCGGGCGACCACCCGGTTTGTGACATTCGGGGTCTTCTCAGGGTTTGGCAATGAACTGGGCAGGTATACCTAACAGCGTGTACAGCACGAGCGGGAAGAAAGCATGCATGATGGATCAGGAGAGACCATGGTCAATCACCAGATTATTCAATGCTTCCAAGCAGCGCTGGTCTGGTGGTTGAAATGCAGAGAAACTAGAGCCTCCCTTTTTTCCTTTTTGGCTTGCATCCAGCAACCGACGCAAGCCGCCCTGTAGGTAGGGGCTTATGAACTCGAGCGACGCATGCACTGTGTCACATACACGTCGGCTGTGGTTGCTGCATCAGGCATCGTCATCAGCCATCACGCGTGGTAAAGCAGGCTTGACATGCCTTAAGGTAGAGTCTTGAGATACTTCTGTAAGTCGATCTGTGAGTGGGGGGATCTGTCTCCTGATGATCGACGCCACGCCTTGTTGCGCGAGGCTTCAAGATTTCGTCATGCAGTCTGGTGATGTACACATGCTTCTTGACAGTGATGATGATGGTTCAACCTTGACATGTGGCCAAGGCCACACACACCTCGCAACTGCCAAGGAAAGCGGCGGATAGTCAAGACTATTTCGGAGGCGCCGGGGGCGGGAATGGCAGAAGAAGGAATTATGATGTATTCCTGGTTTGTCTGGTTGGTTTGGAGAGAAGCAAGGCGGCAGAGGAGCCGAGTGATGCCAGAGAAGTTCTAGACGATCAGCCCAGCAGTTGTACACATACAGGAGATATAACCCCGTACGGATACGATTTCCTCCTCCACCTGGTGCCAGTCAGTATGTGCAACTTGCGTCGCTGGGGCGGTTGATAACTTCATATCAGTACCTATTGTGATACCAAGTACCTGACCGGTAGACCGTGAACCATGGTAAACAAGATATCATCCACAGTAGCACAGTCTCACAGTATAATCAGACATTCAGGCTCGCTTACCGTCGGTAGAGTGGGTTGAAGTGATCGAAGCAGTAGACAGTGGCGACGGCGACGGCGAAATACAGGGACGCTCAAACGGACAAAAGGTCCGCAATAGGAGCTTCTAGAGGGCTGTTGAAGACGGCAGATGCCGCTGCTGGTGTTGAGTATTCTTGCTTCAACCATCTCAGAGCTCACCCGCGTTCATCCTTCAGGTCTATCGGCTGTCCCGAAACAGCCAAATTGCCCCTGCACTGGCTGGGGACATAGGAGAGCGAGAGACAAGGATCCGTTGTTGTAGTCTGATCGTGAGACTCCGATAATCTCGCGCTGCAGCCAAGTAATTCGTGACTTAGTCGCAGGTGAATTGCAACCTCGGAGGCGAACAGGAGAGGAGAGGAATTGGAAGAGGAATGGTTGTCTCGGGTGATGCCCAACTCGGTGGAACGCCGAAGGATGCAGCTGGCCAACCGGCGACCACAGTCTGTCCTTCTAGAAGCTCACGGCCCGCCTTCGACGCAGCAACTTAAAATGGTATGGAACCATCCATTCGATGGGATCGATGGAGTAAGGCGCAAGTCTTTTCGGGGGGCGGAAACTGTTTTTGGGGGGCACCGTCCGAATTCCGGCTGCCAGCTCCCAGTTCCCAGTAGCGATTGTACCTTAGGTACGGAAGACCACTGAGGGCAGTTCCTGTGCGCTGTACAGGGGCATCAGAAGGCGAATAATGGGCCACTTCAGGGTCAATGGACCGTTCTCTTGTCGTGGCATGATGAGATCAGGTCAGAGACGAGGAAGTGGGAAGAGAGCCGGGGGGGGGAAGAAGAAGCAACGACGCAGCATGCATACAATGTCTCTGCTGCCATGTTTCAGCTGAGGATGGTGAAGCCAAGATTCATCGCCCAGCATGTGAGCAAAAGACAAGAGCTTTGGAGTTGATCTTGGTGTGTATCAAGATTCGATGGTCGCCGCTTGTTGGTTCGCTTGGCACGCTTAGGCGCTTGGCTCACTACCTCAGCGGGTTCAATTTGCCGCAGTCTAGATCATGCCATGCCAGCCTTCTGCCGCCATCTTCTTTCTGTTTGTGAGGATTACTACTCCTACTGTGTGCTGTGTAGAGATAACGAGGATGCAAGATGCATTATGGTCACGTAAGGGCATGAGTCTCCGGGCAAGAGCAGGCATCAAGCCTTGACATCTGTTGAGGTCTATTAGGTACTACTAGTACTAGTACACAGCGGGTACCTAAGTACCACTTAGTAGGTAGATCCTAATTACCTATAACCGTTACGTCTCTACTACCCCACACGCTAGGTGCGTAGGGCCAACAACAGCTGGAACGTCCCTCTGCGCAGGCAGGTAGCAGAAGGTGCAATAGCTGTTGCTACGACTGTTCAAAATACACAGCAGACTCTCAAGTCTGTCTGTTCGTCACAGCTTCAAAAAAACTCTGCGCAGCTTTGTCTCTCATCATCATGATCACCAGCAGCACAGGTGGCGTGAACTTGAATCCAAACACCAACCAACAACCTGCAAGGCTCGGCTCCCTCCCTCCCTCCATTGACTCTGGGGCGTAGTTCCAGATGGCAGAGATAACAGAGTCGCGCTGTGAGTGGAGAGCCCGGCTGTTGATGCTTCATTTGAGTGCCACAAACTGACCATGACAATCAGCATCAACATCGCCATCGTCTTGGCTGCGTACAAGCCAGTTCAACTCGGCCACTGCCTGGCCATCTCCAGATTGTTCCATCCGTCGAATCGAATCCTTCCTCCTAGCTCGCCGCTTTCGCTTTCACAATGGGCTTGCCCCCTGCACGACCTCCCTCTCGCTCTCATCCACATCTGTCAATTCCAGACCAGGTCCTCAATCGATGTTCCTCCTTTCTCCTCCACCATCCGGCCCTTTCAATTGTTGCAAACATCTGACGCCACTCACTGCAGGTGTGTGATGCTTCAACACCTCAACCCAACACCCTGACAATTAACAAACCCCTGCCGGCGTCACTGACCCATCAGCCAGAACGGGCCTCGAGACCCTGGTTGATCTCAACCCACCATCGCCTTTGCTCCTGCTTCCCTCCGCCAGCCCCTTCTCTGCTCGTCGCCTACTCGCCTGACCGATCTCCATGTGGGTCGCAGCGTAGCACTCAATGCCAAGCACCCAGGACACCTCGACCGTTCGTATCGGTGGCTGTTGGGCCAGGCGATCTCCCACTGCATCCCATACCACACAGCTGGCAGCCAGGGTTGCTGTCGCTGTTGCTGTACCATATGGCCCCGGGAGCATACCACGGTCACTCGCAGCCATGTCCCTACATATACAAGCCTCGATCGCCCACCTCGGGCGGTGTGTTCAGGTCCTGTTTCCTCTGGTATCCCACGTAGTCCAGGCATCCGGTCTCTGTCCTCGTCCTGGTCTGTTCCACAGACCGTCGAGTCCTGGTCCACGGACCATCGCTGCCACACGATAGAACCTCCCTCAACACCCTCCTAGCCTTCCCTCACCATGGAGAAGATCCAAGATTTTCATGCGTACTCTGGCTCAGGGTCGCCAGAGACCGCCCCACGAAGCGGCTCTATCGACGCCACCAACAAGGAAGAGGTAAGACACATCACCTTTCCGTATTGTCGTCTTCGGTCCGGAGCTGACATTCTCCTCTCCTAGGCCCGTCGAGGATCCAAGGTCAACGAAGCCACCGACATCTACGGCGATATCGCCACGGCCGAGGAATACGGCTATGTCGCACGAGGTCTCAAATCCCGCCACATCCAGTTCATTGCTCTTGGTGGTACCATTGGTACGGGTCTGTTTTTGGGTATCGGTCGTGCCTTTACCCAAGCAGGCCCTCTGTCGGTTCTGCTCGGTTATACCTTCACCGGTCTCGCCGTCTTCGCCATGATGATGTCGCTGGGTGAGATGGCCACTTGGCTTCCTCTGCCGGGTGCCATCCCCCAGTTTTGCGCCCGTTATGTCGATGATGCCATGGGTTTTGCCGTCGGCTGGAACAATTGGTATTCCTGCTCCATCACCCTTTGCGCCGAAATCTCCGCCGCCTCCACGGTCATTCAATTCTGGCATGGCTCCCGGGACATCAACGTGGCTGCGTGGATCTCCATCATCATCGTCGTCGTTCTCTGTCTCAACATCTTTGCCGTCTCCATCTATGGTGAAGCCGAATTCATCTTCGCCTCCATCAAAATCATCACCATCATCGGTCTCTTGATTCTCGCTCTCATTATTGATTGCGGCGGGGTCTCGGGACAACACCGCCTGGGGTTCCAATACTGGAACAACCCCGGTGCCATGAAGGAGTATATCGGTTCGGGTAGTACGGGTCGATTCCTTGGTCTCTGGTCCACGCTCGTCAACGCCGCTTTCTCCTACGGTGGTGTCGAAATGGTGGCCGTGGCCGCTGGTGAGGCGGAGGATCCGCGCCGCAACATTCCCAAGGCTGTCCGACGTGTCTTCTGGCGTATCCTCTTCTTCTACGTCTTGGGCTCTTTGGCCATCGGAGTCTTGGTGCCGTACAATGACCCCAACCTCCTCAGCGCCCAGGCAAGCGGTGCGGCGGGTGCCGCAGCATCTCCATGGGTCATTGCCATCAGTCGTGCCGGGATCGATGTTCTCCCGTCCATTATCAACGCCGTCATCTTGACCTCCGCCTCCTCTTCCGCTAATGCCTTCCTGTACACCGGCTCTCGGTATCTGTACGCCATTGCTCAGAACCGACAAGCCCCCAGGTTTTTGCTGAGGTGCACTAAGGCGGGCGTTCCCGTTTGGTGTGTCCTGATCACCTGCTCCATCTCTCTCTTGACCTACATGTCCTGTTCTTCGGGTTCCAACCAGGTCTTCACATGGTATGTCTTTCCCTTCACTGGCTACTCACCCTTTTTGGTTTGGGGGTGCACGCGCTAACCTTTTTTAGGTTTCAAAACCTAACCACGATTAGTACGCTCTTCACGTGGGTCAGCATTAACATCGCCTATATCCGCTTCTACTATGCTTGCAAAGCTCAAGGGATCGACCGGAACACCCTGCCTTTCAAGTCTCCCTTCCAACCGTACTTGGGCTACGTTGCCGCAATCTTCTTCAGTTTGATCATCTTCTTCAACGGATTCGACTCCATTGCCGGAGGCTTCGATTATGAGGCCTTCATCACCGACTATATCGGAATTCCCATCTATTTTGGCCTGTACCTTTTCTGGAGAATCTTCAAGCGAACCCATTTCCACAGTTCAAGCGACGCCGATCTGTACACTGGGAAGGCGGCCTTGGATGCGGTTGTGTGGCCTGAGCGTCATCCCAGGAACATGCTGGAGAGAATTTGGTTCTGGATTGCATAAAGAGCTGGATAGGTTGGACTTGGCCTGGGCTGCATCATGCAGGCTCCAGTGATTTGTTGTGTTTACGAAAGATTTTGTTTTGTCCATATTAAAAAGATACCTCTGTGCGCGTTGCTTGCGATGTCGACAGTTTAGTTGTCAAGATCTCAAAAGAGTCTGTGCTAATGTTCATCATGACAAATGAAGATTAATTCTCTGAACATTTGAAGACACTTTCGCCAAAGACATGCAAGATCAAATTCTCTCGTCTTTGCGTTATTTACCTGTTTTCTTATTCCCTGTTGATGTATGGGTCACGGTAGTTATCTCCATTCAACCAACCGTTGTTATTGCCCCCTTTTTCGAATTCGTTGACTTTGTGTGAATGACCTGTTGGTGTTGTCTTCGTGTATGGTTGGGGATCCCTTGGGAAAAGGCGATTCTCTTCTTTGCAATCGAGGCTCCCAGGTTCGTGGGTCGTTCTTCCACTCTGTCTTGAGCAATGAAGCAGCATGGCCTGTGCTAATTGGCATATTTGGTCTCTCTTGACCAAGAGGAGGAGAAGAGAAGGCCCGCGGTGGCCCCGGGGGGAGAATAGATACCGTAGCCAAAGACGAAAGACGAAAGACGAAAGACGAAAGACGAAAGACGAAAGACGTCCATCTAGACTTCTCCTTATGACTCGAACCGCGCCCTTGACTTGTCGACAAATCAAGCACGGCGAATCGTAACTACCTGGACCCCATATATCTTGTTTCGCTGTCCATCTAGCCAGCACAGCACAGCCAGCCATAGTCCTGGATCTGGGAGCGTGGACTCTGCTCGGTCCGATTCTGAGTCAACTTGAACTGCTGAGTCTAAACCTGACGAGCCTGAGGCAAACTATGATCCAGGGAGCCCCGGAGAGGAGGAATCAATGCCATTAAGATAGAGTTCGGATAAGATGAGTCAATATGCTGCGTTGTGTGAGATAAAGAAACAATGTGTGTGACGATGGCAAGCATAAAGTGTAATAGGCAACTAAGAGCCTGGTTTTGATGGTGGTGGTGATGGTGATAATGATAAGAGGTGGACGAACAGCCGTATATGAGATACTAGTACCTTAGATAGAGATGGATTAGAGTGCAGTAGTGGAGAGCAATAGTTGCCTGCTAATGGATCCCCAGCCTCGTCTGCTGCGATTGGTCAATTCGGGAATTTTGGTTTCAATACTAGTGAAGGGCGCGCGAGGAGGGATCTTGTCATTATTACATATTATCGCCGTCGACTTTGACATACTAGTAGTACATAGTACATAGGGATAGTACATAGGGATAGTACATAGGGATAGTACATAGGGATAGTACATAGGGATAGTAATCACGCCCCGTCTGGACATACTGGTCTATTGCAGACATGGCTGATAAATAATGCTATGCTGTGACAACAGGACTTATACTGGAGGCTCTCAAACTCCAGCCGAGTGAATATCTTGGTCTTCAAATTTTGGTCGTTGTTGGCAGGAAATCCTTGGTTTCCGGCATTTTTATGGACATAACACTACACTTTTGGTAATTATACATTCCAGAACGCTCTCTAGCCTGATTCTCAATCAACTTTCAGGGTCGTTCACGAGTAGTCCCGTCCGCTTGTCGAATATGTACCAAGTCTCGTCCTCAGCGTAGTCTTCCAACCCCGTCTGATCGTCCCATTGGTGCTGAATCGCCCATGAAACCTCGAGTGCTTTTTGGATGGAGTTGCTCATGCCCACACCACTCTGCCACCATGGACCGGCAACCTTGAATCTTCCTTCATACTCGGACTGAAGAGCGTGATGGATCGTTGCCATATCATCGCGATATCCAACCGGATACTGGGGAATGCAATTCGGATTCATGTGGGCTTTGGCAACTTCTGGAGCCTGCACAATTCCGAGGTGCCTTCTCAGCAGGTTCTTGGACATTTCAATCGCTTCTTCCTCACTGGGAAGGTCGCTTGGTGCCCATCCCTCCCACCAGTGTCCACCTAACATGACTGTGAGCTTGGTGCCGGGAGCAGTGTCTTGTCCTTCAAGCTGAAGATCGCCCTCGCCCCATACAACCGTGTCTGGAAGTCCGGAAGTCTCGGAGCCAAAGATGACACCCAATGCACGCTCGGGGTTTTGTTCAGTCGGCACGGAACGCGGGATCAGGTACCCGAAGCCCCGGGTGGATTGGGGAAGTAGATCTGGCTCTCTGTAGTAGAGATTCACGACCATGACGTTGACAGAGGCGTTGGTATGGTCGCATGCCTGCGACACATCCGGTGTCAGAGTTGTCTTCCTTCTACTCGCTGAAGATGTCAAGAATTGCTTCGTCATCCCTGGTCCCAGCGTCGAAACCACGTAGTCAAAGGAGTCGGACTTTCCGTCGCTATGGACCGAGACCTGGGATTCTGTCTTGTCGAATATGACGTCCGCGACCGGGGAAGAAGTCCGAATGCTGACATTGGCGTTGTTGCTGAGACGCTCACCCAAGGACGTAGTGATCTCGCGCAACCCGTCTTTGAATGTGTATACACTAGCCTGTTCAAGTTTTGAAACTAGCGCCCTCATGTTGCCTTGTCTGTTGGCACGGCCGATTGAGTCTTGAGCATACAGGCTGTGGAAACGAAGACTGTCGCCACGGACATTGCTCCGGCGTTGGAACATGAAGGGAATCATCTGCAACAAGATTCCCGGTTCATTTTCCCGGTCTCTGCCCTCAAGGAACCACATCGACGGGAGCAGAGCGTGAGCACTGAGCTTGTACAGATCTCCAGCGTAAATCCCATGGAAAAAGGCTGACGCGAGATTATCCGTTAGAGATTTGCCAAACCTGCGCCGGAGGAAATCGCCGACAGATTCGTCCTGGACAGTGGGATCTCGAAGGGCAACATAGGGTTCTACTGCCAACCCTTGCACGACCCCGTCGAATATGGGCTCCGTCCGAAGCTTGAGTAAACGGAGCAACAAATCCAACACCCCTCTACCTGGACCTGGCAGAAGAACCAGGTGGTCGGGGTAATAGACGTAGCGATTGAGGGCGGCGGGACTCTTTTTGGAGATTGCAATGAGACTGTCTGCTAACCCGAGTTGTGCGATCTACCACGAAGAATGAGTATCAGATGGTCCGGGCCAAACATGGAACGTTCTGCCTACCAGTTCCACTGTTGCTATACCCCCGGGCGAGTCCATTGAAGGTCGCAACGTCCGGGGGCCCCATTCGAACAAGACATGACCGTTCTCAACCGGGATTTTTTCGGACTGCACCCATCCTCCAAGCCGGGGGCTCTTTTCATAGATTGTGATCTTCACGTCCGGAATGCGCTGCTGGAGGTTCCAAGCGGCTGCCAGGCCGGTGATACCGCCGCCCAGAATGGCCACATTCTTAGCATTTGGGTTCGGAGAATCTCGAAGCTTCAAGCCGAGGTCGGGAAGCTGAGGAAGTGTCTGGAGGGTGCGTGATTGCAGATGTACCGCCCGGGGCTGCAAAGAGTACTTTACAGCATGACTGAGGAGGGCATTACGGCCACCCAAGCGCATCTCCAGCGGAGCTCACCAGGAGGTGCATGTGCAGAGGGAATACGAAGAAGGATAGAGGCACAAAGCTCAAAGAAGGTGTGTAGCTTGAAGGGAACTCATGAGGTTGAACGTGAAAGTGTAAGTGTATGATGCGCATGGTTCGGGAAAGTTGCCTTGGAGACTTCTATTCTACAGGAAACGTCCCATAGTCGTGTAAAGAACCTATATGTAATGGATGGAATACAGCCGTCGCTGTCGATCAAATGCGATGAGCTCCCAACCCACACAGCATGGCATTCTTTCCCTTTCAAGTCGTCCAAATCCTCCGCTTCCTCCGCTTCCGCCGTTGCATACATAACTGCCTCAGCGACGTCGGTCCACGGTGAGACAGCTTCATTCGGACGACAGACCGAAGGCTAGCCATATCTTGCACGCGTGAGTGTTGCCGCCGTGCCATTCCCTGCAGTGAATGGTAGGTGTATTTGGATGCGGGCTCTGAAAAGCCGGTATAGCTCTGTATTGACCTGGCCAAGGGCTAAATCCAGAGGGCGCCCCCGATCGATCAGGGGGCCAGACTGCAAAGCAGGACCTCTTAGGCATCAAAGGTTCTTATATCACCCAAAGACTACTTTCATGGAATAGTCGTGTCCGTTGTACCGTTCGACATGCCTGTTTCGCTCGCTGCTGCCTGCACTTCCGGCCCATCGTAACCCATCTTTTTCAAGTCGCGCAGAAGTTCGCCTTCTTTGCCAATCTTCATGATCTGATCATGCGACAGCTTCTCTCCTGCAGCCCGTTTTTCTCTCAGTTCTCGAACAGCCTTCAGCTTCTTAAGTTGATTCCGGATCTTTTTCTGCTGGTCGGCTTCTTCCTGGCCTACGCCTGCGGATTCATTGGCCGCCAGTTTGCTAGGACCTCGCCAGTCCCGCTTGGCTTTCTCTGCATCCGATATATTGGCATTCTTCATTGCCATTGTGACTTCATCGTCTGTCGAGCCTTGAGCTGCTGCCTTTTTCCGAGCGGCCTCTCTGCGTTTGGCATTCTTGTTGACGGTACTGGGAGTAGTAGTGGCGTCGTCTTTGGCCGCACTGACTGGCTCCGCCCCGGGTACGCCTCCTTGCCCTCTGTTCTTCCATGCTTCGGCGCTGCGGTTCTTGTAGGTCTCGACGTCCTCGGGTGGTCTATAGCCTGGCCTCACACGGATTTCTTTCCTGGTAGATCCATCCGCGCGCTTGGAAGAGGGAATGTACGAAGCACCATCTGCGGTGGTTTCGATACCGGCCTTGCTTGGCTTAGACATAGTAAAGTTGCTCCACCAGAAGGACTCCAGGAGGCTTCAGGCTCACGGTGGTAGGGAGGATCAGGGACGATTCGACATGGTTGGCATTGGCGTTCGACTATTCGGCACTCGGTTGAGGCGCTATGGCAATGCTCGTAGTTACCAGTCCCAGTCAAAAGGCTACGCTACACAGGTAAGGCCGACAGGAACCAGACTCGCGAGCGCGCCGCATAGTATCCAACTCACTTCGCAATGCGCAGCTGAAGAAACAACCCGGCAGATATCTTGGACCCTGTTTGGCGAAGCAAAATAACACTCCACGCTGCTCTAATACTCCACAGGAAATATGCGTGCCGCTTTAAGGTCTTCAACATCTACAGTTCGATGGATGAGTTCAACAGACATGTTTTTGGACGTCTATTAGCAGTAGGAAAGCTATCTGGCCAATTTAGCTTTCAAGGGAAATCCAAGGCATGTCGTAAGACCCTTGGGCCATGTGTTTCCGTATTCCATCGTTCTCTCCAGGACAAAGAACCGAAGGGTCCACTAGACGGCGCGGTACGGTTAAACATCATCATCAGCCTTCTCGGGACGACACCAGAGGTACCTTTGTATGCTCTTGTGACTTGTCGATCCCTCCACTGGATACCTTAGCCTTATCCATCACGATCTTGACCGTGCCTCGTCTTGATGCCTGGCAGTTCATGGAGGAGTAGTGTATGGCTCATGGCTACCATGGCTCGGTGAGCTGCAAGGGTGTTGGCATAAGGAAAGAGTTGTTGTCGACCGATGTTGAATAGACCCCCGTGTGACAACAGACATCCTCAAGGGTTCACACCGACCTGAGTCGCTGTATCTCCAAGATTCTGGTAAATTCTGGTAAATCCTGGCCGAAGACATGCGCAGATCGAGGCTACAACGCTGGGTCTTGGCTGACAGGATTATTGCCCCTGCGACGTAAGGGGGAGAGTTCCCGACCCTGCAAGCTGCTGTCCTTTTGGGACCATGATGACTGGCTGGTACGACGGTGAAGGTATTTCAATAGATGACTTCATGGTTTCCGTCATTTTCATCAATTTGCCTCCCTAGTCCGACGGCGGATAGACGAGCATTCCTTGAATAGTTGAACCACAAAGTATGCTGGAACCCAAAAAGTGACCAGGCATACCACCAGCAGTATCTGTGCCCATAGCGGCCATTCCAGGTAATTAGCCGCTGACCTCGGAAGGATTGTGTGATGAGCTTCATTGAGATGAATGTCGATCGCCGCCATCAAGTCATGTGACCGCGGGATCCCGTCTCCCCGTCTCCTCAATACAGAGTTTGCTAATGATAGGGTTAATGGCCGCAGTCAACTATGGAACCAGATTAGCTTGACATAGCCGCAACGGGACATAAAATAAAGCGTACCGCAATGTGATGCCAAAGGACGAACTCAAGATAGCAGGCGGCGGTCTGAAGGAAATCAGATTGGGCGCTATGGTAGATTCGGATAGAAGAGACGGCCGCGAGTGGCAATCGTGTCATTCCCTCCAGCAAGGGAGGACATTAACCGAGAAGAGACAGTCATCCCAATCGTTTGTCCTTAGATTGAAGTAGTTCGGTGCCGAAACTCGTCTTCTGTGTTTCGACTGCTTGATATGCTGCTGCAAGCAAGGGACAAACAAAGCACGCACATGCATTGAAAAGCTCAGACCAAGTCACAACCATTTCCGCCCTGCGCCGACCACACGTTGCCGAAAGACAGGGCTTTTGATGGGCTTCCCGATGGTGTAGAACGGGTTCATCAACGTTTTCACCCACAGCTCAAAGACCTCGGTCATGAATTGGCGAATGGCTTCTTCTGTCTGTGGGCTGGTGGGATTCTGTGGCACGGAAGTGGATGAGATTGTGGACGAACGACTCCCGGCGGAGGCGTTCGTGATAGCTGACGGCTGATGAAGGAGCATGAAGCGGACGTTGGTGCCAGTGATAAAGCAGCTGATGTGTGAGTTGGTCGGGGCATAGTTGTCAATGACCTTGAGCCACATGTTCGGGCTCAGCCATTGAACCTCCTCGACCACATCCAGGGCGGCATGGACAATGAATTGGTTCATGTACCGGGCAGTCTCTCCGTTGCGGAATCTGGCGACCCCATCTCCCCCGGCTTTGGAAGTGCCAAAGGTCAATTCGAAGAGTGGGGTGTCTGTAGGCGAGATGATGACAAAGTAGTAGGACATGGTGTTGAAGACTGAGGAGAGTGCAGCAAACGGTCACAACGCCCGGCTCGTGCTTGTGGCCGTGAGGCTTTGCTTGACAGTCCTCTCCTTGTCGGAGCTGCGATGTCACAGCAGTCACCAAGTGAACGTGCTATATCAAGAACAATTCTATTTCAAGTTCAGAGAGTATGCGAGATGTCGTGCAGTGTTTGAGATGGCAGTACGGATTAGCATCTGCAGGCATTTCCGGTTCGGGTACGATTTGTTGCTGTTTTTACCACGTTCTGCACCTACTAGTAGTATACTCTGTAGTAGTAGTACCTAAATACCTTCGGCACCAGGCTGAACTCCCCCCAATAGCCGTCGTACTACTAGTTTTGAATAATACGGCCAAAGATACGGTAGGTATCTACACACCTGGTCAGCACACCCTGCAGACCGGACATGATTCACTATCTATAGAGTGCAGCAAAGAAAATCAACTAAAAGCAGCAGAATACCAATGATCTGCCGTAACTGCTACACTAACTGTCTAACCGTGCACCCTTTTGGTGGTTGCTAACGGACTAGTGCCGCAGGGCCCATGGTTAGTAGCTACGTAGTAGGAGGAAGTTGAGACTGCACAACTACTAGTAGCACTAGTGTAGTGACTAAAGCGACTAAAGCAACCTCACATCTCGCGACCATAGGTACAGCCAATCATCTCTCGCTTCTCCCCAACGGCTCGCCCGATTGCACAGGCCCAAGACTTCAACCAGTATCTCATATTACCAATCGACCTTGCGAGGACGGTCAAAAAGTCAGCAGATGGTTGCGTTCTGAATTAGTAATATACAAGATATGGGGTGCTCCACGGCGCCCCATGCCGGCCACCGACGATACTCAATCCGAGTCTGGCTTCAACATGCATCTCTCGTAAACCTTTCCGGTCGGGAACCGGGCACGTTTTGCGCCGACCCAAGCCAATATAAAACAGCATCTCTCTGCGAAGAGCGTACGATTCTTGTAGAGGCACATCACACGTTTGCTCTCCAACAATGGCACTCAAACTCATTGTCGTGATCGGCGCCACAGGCACCCAAGGGGGCTCGGTAGTCGACACGTTCCTCAACGAACCAGGCTGGACTATCCGTGGCCTCACGCGCAACACTAGCAGCCGGGCATCCCAGGCTCTCACGGCCAAAGGCGTAGAAATGGTATCCGCAAACCTCGACGACGTGCCATCTCTGGTTACAGCCTTTCAAGGAGCCCACGCGATCTTCTCCGTGACCGACTTCTGGAACGGGTTCCGCAATCCTGAAAACAAATCGAAGCTCGCACCCGGTCAGACCATGATGGAATGGGCGCACGACTACGAGCTGCAACAAGGGAAGAACGTCTTCACCGCTGCCGCCCAGACGCACACGCTGGAAAGACTGGTCTTCTCGGCTCTCCCGTATGTCACGAAATGGTCCAAGGGGAAGTATACCCATGTGTACCACTTCGACGCCGAGGGCAGGGCGGTCGAGTACGCGCGGTCAACGTATCCCGAATTGATGCAGAAGACCAGCGTCATCCAGCTCGGCATCTATTTGACAAATATATTGTGGATGCCACATTACCAGCCGCACAAGGTACACGTTGTTCTTGTTCTTGCAGTAGTTCTGGCGCTGATGGGTTGTAGAATGCAGACGGAGTATACGTCTTCAGGACCAAAATGGCCGCCGATCGCAAAATCCCGCTGGTCGCAACCAGGGAGGACACCGGCCCTCTGACAAAGGCACTCGTCAATGTCGACGGCGGGAAAACTCTTCTCGCGTACCGTGAATTGATAACGCTGGACGAATTCGCAGACACTTGGGGTCGCGCACTCGGTGTCAAAACAAAGTATGTACCGACAGGTCCTGGAGAGGTGTGGGTTCCTATTCCAGAGCTGCAGGAGGACATTGAGGAATGCGCGGACTATATCACCGAGTTCGGGTACGAAGGAGGCGATCCCAGCGTCGTTCATCCCAAAGATGTGAGTCGACACCATCCATGAAATATACTGGAGCTGACGATGTAGCTCGGCGTCCCGATCAATCTGGGCACAGTTGAAGAGTGGATCAAGAAGCAAGATTGGAGTGCAGTAATGTAGAAGGTGATGTTCAAAGTCAAGAACTCTGATTGCTGCTTGAACCACTGCAACCCAAGGCGCTCAGTGTCGACCATCTTCAAAGCGGACTGCAACTTTCACAGAGTTGACAAGACGTGAAGTCGTCGCCTCGACATCTTGCGAGCTTTCATCGCTGCAACGTCCTTGGCCAGTTGCACCCTCGAACGGTTGGCGAACAGTCGGAAAATGACCCGAGTATATTCGAATCAGAGAACTTCTTGCCTGGACACACACTTCGAGCTCCATTTCATGCCACAAATGTTCAAGGAATGGCTGGAGAAATAAGCCGAGGTGCAATAAATAGTACGGAGTACAAAGTGCATAGTGCATTCCCCCTTTGGACTGCATGTTGCTGCTTTAGAGGTATTTTCAGCAGAAGTACGTTTGTGTAGTATTTCCCCGGCCTCATGCCGTTGCTGTACTTGTTACCTCTCCTATTCGCCGTGACAAAATAGACCAATCTCATAGCGAGGATCACAACTCTTGAAGGCGTCTGGACATATCTCCGTGACATTGATCCCGCCAATGCAGACCTACCTCAAGCGGCGATATCTCGTCTCTCACGTGACTTTGCTCTTGTCACGTGATTTGACATCTAGCGACCAGACCGTTGGATCGCTCACATGAAATACAAAGTTTCGTTCCGCACTTGCTTCTGCTCTATTTGAACACTTCTCTACAATTGCTTCCTGTATGTGGCAAAGATGCCTGCGCTCGCGTTTGGCCTGAATGCCGCCAAACCTCGGCCAGGCATCGCTAAACCGGCACCGAAGCGCAAAGCGTTCTTCGACGAGGATGAAGACGCTCCGGAAACCAACGATGTGCCACAATATGGCGCAAAGAAGCCCTCGAAGCCACTAAGGCCGCTGAGCGGATTCGGAGACGACGATGAAGATGACGAGCCTCCCCGAAAATCGCCGAAACTGGCACAACCGGGCCTGCAAAGTGCGAAAGCGAAGGGAACGGGGCCGGAGAAATATACAAACCTGTCGGCGCTACGCAGTGCAAAGTTGCAAGACGAGCAAGCATCCAAGATAGACTCGTCGGTCTATGACTACGATGCGGCGTATGAGACGTTCCATGCTCCCAAAGAGAACAAGTCCACCAGTGGAGGGGAACCGTCCGGCCCCAAATATATGGGCTCACTTCTACAGAGTGCAGAGGTTCGAAAGCGGGACCAGCTACGGGCGCGAGAAAAGCTACTTCAACGCGAGAGAGAGGCTGAAGGGGACGAGTTCGCCGACAAAGAAAAGTTCGTGACCGGGGCGTACAAGAAACAACAAGAGGAAATCAAGCGCATGGAGGAGGAAGAAAAGAAGCGAGAACAGGCTGAAGAGGAACGTCGGCGGAAAGGAGGCGGCATGGCCGAGTTTCACAAGAAGGTGCTCGAAAAGGACGAAGAGCGGATGCGACAGATCCAAGAGGCAGAAGAAGAGGCAGCCCGCCGGAAAGCAAGCGGAGTGCAACAGGAAGGGCCGGCGGAAGAGCAGAAGACCGACGCAAAGATTGCGGAAGAACTGATTCAGAAGGGTGCTAAGATTGTGGTCAACGACGAGGGCGAGATCGTCGACAAGAGGCAACTGCTGTCGGCCGGGTTGAACGTGGCGCCCAAAAAGCCCGGAAAGGAGCAACACGCACCTACGAAACAGGAGTCCGTCCGTCCACAGGAACACTGGAAATCATCCAAAGCTCAAGATTCCCGAGAAGCACAACGCGAGAGACAGTCGCGCATGGTCGAGCGCCAGATCGAGGAAATCGCGGATAAACAGAGAGAAGCGGAATTGGCGGAAGAGCGAGCCCTACAGGAGAAGGTCAAGAGCAGACTCACAGAGACGGATAAGATGAGTGCTCGAGAGAGGTATCTGCAGCGCAAGAAGGAGAGGGAAGAAGAAGAAGCGAAGAAGAAAAAGGAAGCCGGTGGGTAGATACAGCTTGGCCGACTTCGATCAGAAGTACCACGATCTATGGGCTTCGCTCTACCTGACTCATTGGATGAACAATCCTCCATCGACGCCGATGACCTTATTGTTCACATAGCCGGTCTTGACCATCCATACGACAGTCTCGGCAATCTCTTCAGGCTTCCCCAGCCTCCCGATCGGGATTTCTGGCGCCTGATCAGCAAACCCATACCACGGACAGAGTGTCAAACACAACAAACACGAAGATGACTTACTGGCAGCTAGCTCCGGAGCGTGAGGCAACATCTTCGTATCTTCGATCAAGGCGGGCGCGATGCCGTTAACAGTGATGCCCTTCTTACTATAGGCATTTGCCAACCAGTGCACCAGACCGTGCATGGCGGATTTGGAGGACCTAGTGCCACAATCTCAGATCAGCCTTCAGCCTTCAGCCCACAACCTTGAATGGGCAAATGAAAAGGTATTACTGGATCGTGAGCAGGATGGTTAGGTCGTCCAGAGGAACAGTATCCAAAACATGCAATCCATGAACAGCAAAGCAAGGGTCCTCGAGAGGATACGACAGCATTCAACACGACCAAAAATCCTTTGGACAAGCTCGGAATAGATACTCACGCATAATGCGGTCCGACCACGCCGCCCGTGAACCCAGCAACACTGGAACAGAAAATGACCCTCCCCCACCCGCTCTCCAGCATCGCAGGCAAACACAACTGAGTGAGCAGGAAAGCCGTGCCGCAGTTCGCTCTCCACGTGGCCTCGAACTCTTCGACACTGACATCGCCAATGTCCTTGACGCCGCTTTTGCCCAGAGTGGTGCCGGCATTGTTGAACAAGATGGTGGGATGGCCTAGGTCGCGCACCACGGCGGCATGCAGCTCGCGTGTCTCGCTGTAGGAACTCAGGTCTGCGCGGAACGCTGCCGCCCGCACGCCCATGGACTGCAGCGTCGACACGAGCGATGACGCCGTCTCGGATGCGCTGTGGTAGTGCACGGCGATGGAGCAGCCGAGGCGGGCCAGGGCTAGGGATGTCGCGTGTCCGATACCTCCTGTGGCGCCGGTGATCAGGGCGAGATGGGATGAGAGGTCGGTGACGAGAGCCATTTCGAGTTACGCAGCCAGGTAGCTCTTCAAATCTTGGGGTTCTTGACTCTTGATGTCTCAGAGATTGCTCCTGTTCCCTTGAATAGTATAGTATGGTGGCTGCGAGCTGCAATATCGATGGCCTGCCTTTCTCTGCTCTGCTCTGCTCGTCCGCTATCGTCTGCGTGCGTATCCTATCGTCCTCAAAAGTGTGACCCTGGACAAGTCCACAGCTGTCTGTTATGCCGGTTGAATATCCTCTTCTCGGAGCTTGGAGCGGCCCGAACCAACGCTGCTGTGCTATCCTGCCCTGTCCTGTATCGTCTTCAACGCCGCGATCTTCGTGATCAGCTAAGTAAGTAGGTAGAGGGCCATCTAGACTGCCGCGGGGCCCACGGGTACGTACCTAGTAAGTCTCTCCCGTTCGATGGTACAGGATGGGTGGTCGACTTGGAAGATGCCCTACCAACACCTGGGTCTGCGATGCATGCCTAGTGGAGAGATCAATCTCTTGCCGCTCAACTTGAACGCCGTGAAGTGCTGTTCCAGAGGTGTAGTTCCGGGAATCGACGGGATTGACTGATACCAGGAGATACGTACGACCTATTCGCCTTTGACATAGTACGCAGTAGCAGTAGTACTATAGGTCGGATGTGACGTTCATGTTGGTGAGGAGGGAACCCTTCTCAGTAATAAATCCGATTATCGCCGATCGAGATCCACGATGTTCAATGTACATGTACCTACTTCCCAACGTACCTTACCTACATAGGCAAGCATTTCGTATCTATACACATACATGTTACTCACGACCGACGCGAACAATGTTCTTCCTCTCTCCCAACACGCCGAAAAAGTAATCGATGAGCGTTTGTCGATGTGGTACAGCAGGAGTAATATCCAGCGGGAATGAATATCTTGTCGCCACGACTGTTGACTGAAGGGCATGTCAGCACTGGAACAACATATCTCTGCAATCAACGAGAGACGAGAGACGAGAGACGAGACCACTTGCTGAGTTCTGAGGAAATGTACCGGTCGCGAATTCGAGAGTCTTCATCTTGGAAGACATACTGGAGCGAGTCCCGGCGGTGCTGAACCACTACCACTGCAGCACGACACGGATATCCGATGAGCCTAGGTCGCACGGCTGAACAGAAACAGGAACACCAATGCTAATGCAAATGCCAACACCGATAACTACAGCAAAGACAAGAACACGGATCGGCTGTCGAACATGTAAACGACATTCCTCCTCTATTCCAAGAGTACCGGATCTCTCTATCACCAGGATCTAACCATGTCGACGCCGCACAAACCCTCTCCGAGCTGTCCATCAGCACTCTCATCCGCCGATTTACAACTCCACTACCTCACCGAGGGCGCCGCCAACATCATCTACAGTGTATCTGTCCTGTCTCCAGCCAAGTTGCAAGACCATTCTCACTGCTGTATTCTGCGACTGCGCAAAGACCTTCCCTCCACCAAACCAGCTGTGGAGGTGCTGAGGGATTTTGAGTCACGTATATATCCCCTGTTTGCCGGCCACGGCTATGGGGATTTCCTGATGAAGCAGGCCCTCTATCAATTGACGCCTGAGATGGTGCACGATGCGAACGTCGAGCTGAGCGAGATGGAAACCGAAACCGAAACCGAAACCGAAACGCAATTGGAGGCCGACAACTCCTCGGACGACCACGACAACGTCACCTCCGCTGCTGAACACAGAGCAAAAGCCACAGTCCGAGTTCGGCACCCCCATAGACGCCACGTATATCTGCCATCGTATGAGACGGAGAAGTATGGGATCCTGATGCAGAATCTGAAAGGACCAGGCATCGACCAGCTGGTCGAGTTCAAACCCAAGTGGTTGGTCCAGAGTCCTAGTGCGCCCTCGGACGCGAGGAATTGTAGGACATGTGCCTTGAATGCGATGCGGAGGGCCGCCGGGCACCACCAGGGCCGCGGTGATTCCGGGTTCTGTCCGTTGGATCTGCTTGCCGGACCGGATGAAGAGGAGGTCCTCGGACGGGCTCTGACCAAGATCTACCAGCCGTCGGTGGAGCGGGGAATGCAGGCATTCATCTCCTCTTTCCGCCAGCGAGTGCAGCCAGCGCTGAGGCACTTGTTGACACTCCAAGAAAAGCACGGCTCGGTGGGACTGGACGATTTCCGTGATCCAGCAGGGAAAGATCTCGACCTGGCCATGGCATTGAGAGATTGCAGTGTCTTTCTGGCCTTGAAGGTGTCATCTAAAGAATCGGCGCCAGAGCGTGTCGAGCTGGTCGATGTCAAGTTCGCCGACCTCGATCTGAAGACGCCGGAAGGAGGAAAGATGCAGAAATGGGCATCCATGGAGCAAGAATTGTTGGACGGTGGCTGGTACCATAACAATTCGGAGGGCATGAATTGTTCGCTGAGCCGGCCGTCATAGAGCGTCGTCACCGTTCTGTTGAATAGAGGTGTGGCTGCAGTGGCTGTGTGGAGTTCTCGTCTTTTTCTTTTTCCGTTACCAATTATGCAGGATGGGAAAGATGAACCAGGCCAGCCTGGAGACCTTACGGTCTTTGATGTTCCTGATCTCCTCTGTGATCTGGTCGACTAGTTCGGGCGACAGGCCTCCCTTTCGTCGAGAGTAGATGTCGACTCCGGCGGGCGTGAACAGTGTGCTTTGGAAGTACGTGACCATCCAGTCGCCCTCTTCCTCGCCCCAGCCTAGCACCTGCCAGTGACTCGACGCGATCCTCAACCATCCCCTGCCGCGCCAGCTGTATGTGGCCACGGTATCTGCGCCAGGAGTATCGACGCCTTCCACCCTCTTGCGCTTGTCCGAGTGCAGGGGCTGGTATTCAACTAGATCGTCCAGGACTTCGGCGTTGTTGTCGAGCGACGTATATGTGATGGTCACGTTGCGATTCGACTTCCACATGGGCAGCGTCGAGTGCGTGACATACCATTGCCCCTGAAGGAACGATACATGAGGGGGATCGAATTCGGCGGAGCGTGCGCCGCGCGCGGTGGAGGGTGGGCGGAAGTTGAGACCCGTCCGTTTCGGTCTGTCCATGATAAGTAATTAGTATCAACCTGGTCACCGAGGCAAAGGCCTTGTAGTCGAAGGGATCTTGGAATCTGAACTTCGAATAAAGGTCTTTGGAGCAGCGGCACCGTTGCCTGCGGTGAGTGCCCGAGACGAGACGAGACGAGAGATAGGAGGGAAATGACGTTGGAGACGACGATAATGACAACAATTTACCCCTTTGGGCGTCGACACGAGGGGCGCGTCTGGTGTTTTGGGATTCAGGAGACTGGGACTGGAGTTAACCCAGAATGTGCTGTTGGTATATTCTACACGGTTGCTCTCTTGGATCTATTCATGCTGTACATTGGCTTGTCTGGACATACATGACTATCTCTTCTTCGTCAGCGTGCCCGAGAGATACGGCAGCGCCGACCATTCGAAATGCGTCTTGAGATCAATTGCCTCCCATTCCCCTGCCTTCTTCAATGCCGTTGCGGTATCCCGGTTCATCTCACAGCCGGCCAGGAAGAACTTCCAGCCCAGAGCATGGTATAACATCTGCATCGCTCTCCCCAGGATACTGCCATTCGTCGTCCACGGATTCCTGATATGCTCGACCACCATCAAGTCCCCGCCCGGATGCAGCAACGAATACAACTCTTGCACCGTCTCGTCGAGGTTCGGTACCGAGCACAGGACGCGTACGCAGACAATGGTATCGAAGCTGCCGCCGCCGTCTGTAGCAGCGCTGACGCCCTCTTTCGCAAGTGCATCTGACAACGCTTTCTTCTCCGCCATGCAGCCGAGAATGTCGTATTTATCTGTCAGTTTGGCTTCATTGATCCGGGCTTGTAGAGGAGCGTGAAGGCCGACACTGGGCTCCGCACCGTACACGCCGCTGATGTTTGCATTGTCGGCGAAACATGAGACGTGGGAGCCTGAACCAGGCCCGATATCGAGAACCACTCCGTGTGCTCGAGATAGCAGAGGCGGCACGAGAGCCGCAGACCCGACTGGAGGCGGAGCAGGTTCGACAGGAGCTGTTGGTATTGCAGATGCTGATCAGAGTCCTCTTTTCCACAAAGAAACCAGTCACGTCGAGAAAGACTAACCGGTGGCTTTGGTCCAGAAGGCGGAGAAAGCATCGTCTCTGACTTTCTGGATATTTGATGACGATGGAAAATGCCGCCGGACGAGAAAGAAGTCGAATGCAGTAATAAGAAAGGCTGGCTTTCAGCGTCAGCAACCAGTGTCTTGCAATGGGTACTCGTCGATTGGTCTGTTGCAGTGGCACTTACAGTAGGCACTGGCACAAAGCAGATATCCTGGATCGAGTAGATTGAAGAGCCGTTCTCTCAGCGGTGGCCACGACATGATCGCTCGTGCCTTTTCAGCACTCACCAAGTAGCAGCGCCAATGGCAAAGAGGGAGAACAGTATGAAAGGAAAGAAATGGAGTGGAGAGACACTTCCAGCTGCTTTCGAATGATCTGCAAGGAGACGTCGACAGTCGAGATGCTGGAAACCTCAGGTCCACAATCTGGGGTTCGGGCCCATCAACCGCTTATTATCGGCAATGATAGAAAAAACCTGTCTACTTGACATTGTTGCTGCACTCCGTCTGATCTCCAGCGTGCTGATCACCAAATGCTCTTTTGCGATCAAGTCTGGCAGTGGGAGTGGTTCTTGTTCTACAAGATGGAGGCATCATGGCAGAAGTGCTTGTTGAAGCGGCCTCCTCAACAATCAGAATAAAACACTTCCCATGCACGGTTGCTATCTTGAATATATATTGACTGGACCCTTGTATCAGGACATTGAAGCATGTTACTCATCTCCACTGGGTATTCCATGCTTCCCACCAATTCCTTGCGGCAGGCTGCTGACTGAGACCCCATCTTTGCAGCTCTTTCTTCTCATCTGCGATGGGTCCTGAGGCTTCTCTCCAAAGCTCGAAATCTATAATCGTACTAGACACCACGATTAGAATCGAGCAAGCTTTTCACCCGATTAAAGCAGCTGACTGGGGGTGGTCGCATACCATCTCTGAGTCTCGGGCTCCCATAAGACATTACGCAGGGCGCAGTCCACAGGCTCTACGCCGAGCGCATATATTGCTCTGTGACAAGGTCAGTAGCGACCTACACAGCTGTCCAGCCCAGGAGTCGAGAGCAGATAGATCCTCATCTGATCTCGAAGAGGTGCATGTCAGGCTGGTGATGGGTGACACAAGCCAAGTTCCGTCCGGATTGTGATGAAGGAAGAGAGCGGAAAGCAATAGTTCCACTCGTCAGGTAGTGCTGGACACTTACCGCAGCGCGACCAGGAACTTTTGCACAATCTCCTCCCTTTCCTCGGCCGGCAGTCCCCAGAAATGCAGGTCATGCAACGACGCCCCAGGCATCTTGGTCATGACAGTGAAGGTGTAGTACCCGCCGGGCAGAGGGCCATCCTGGCCTTGAATTGTTTGCTTATAATCGATCAACGTCGGCGCAAAGGTGCTGTCTGCATCGCGAAAGGCCCGCAAGGCCCTCAGCTCCGCGGATGTCGTTGTACTTGGGTCCCGCGAGGGGCTATAACCGCCGCTAGGAACCCTGTGGTGTCGATGACGGGACATTAGTGTTGTTGTCTAGGCCATTGAAGGTCTCCAGGAGATGGTCCAATCCGTTGTACCTCGCGGCAGACACGACACTCAACGTGACATCTCCAACTTGCTTGCAAGTTGCAACTGACAACATTGGCATGCTTGTTGCCTTCTCGTTCTGCCACTCTCAGATGAGAGCTCCTGGGGTCATGGACTGGGTCTCCATGTAATGGGGGCACTGCTTTCCGGGGAAAGAACCATTGGCATGACATACTGGACTTTGATTTTCATCACAAACTCTGCCTCCCCCTTTGATTCTCCATCGGTCTTGTCAGGAGATGAAGAGGCTAGCCGAGACTTCATCCTCCTGCAAGTGAACACCATGCGAGCCTCGGCTGGCGTGCCGTCATGGCATTGCCTGTATGTTGCAAGTGGCCGTTCTAGGACGTAGGAGACCTTGCTCGTGGGGAACTCCACGACTTTGTCAAGGAAAGGAGGGATGGATGTGGGCATGGATGTCTGAGCATCGCCCATGATGTCTGCCCACGCACACTACGCAAGCATGAGAGCAGAAGCCCGTTTTAGCATTCCGACACCATGCAAGCGGGAAGGTTGATGAGTTGATGTATTCGTTTTCTCGAATCATGAAATCAGATGAAGTCGATACCCGCAAGGACGAGGCCAGACATTGATTGTGAATGCGGCACGATGCATGCATGGATGGAGGCTTAGCTTTCTCAGCTGTCAGCTTACTCACCGAGGTTCGGTTGTGGTATGGCAAGCCCTTTTCGTGAGGGGATGGGTCGAGTAAGAGCTGGTCATATCTCCCCGATTCTCTTCCTGAGTTCAGTGTAGCCTCTTCCCAGTGATGATGACCGGCACGAGCTAACTTATGTAAGGCTGTCAGGGACTTTGCAGTATGTTAACAGGTACGGCAGAACCTAGAAGTTTTATATGATATAATTTCGGTGTTCTCTCATGCCTCTGTTCAGGGGCTCAAGCTTCATTCGTTTCCTTGCAGCGAGACGCAAAGGGCGCGGCTGCTGTACATTTTGCGTCTTAAAAAATGGACATCAAGTCAGTACGACTGGACTTACCCCGAATATCCCCACGGGTTGCTGCAGAGCTCATAGAGTGAAGCAAAAAGAACATTCACTTAGTCGGGCCTTTTTTGTTAAAATGGGCAAAAATATAATTATACGACACAAAAACAGACAAAAAAACATTTGTTGCAATATTGCAATGAACGACCTTCAGGAATATTAGCTTGTCGATACCGGCACGTTTGTTCGAAGGTGCTACGTACCGCGGGAAGATTCGAACTCCCAATCTTTGGTGATCAACTTATGAGCGCCCTAGTCAGGGCTACCGAAAACCAACGCCTTAACCATTAGGCCACGCGGCCTTGAGTTGTGTTGAACCCAGTGAGCCGATGTGGAACTTCACACACTAACTTACTGAAAATTTTGGTACTCCAATTTATATCCTGTATTGTGGGCTAAATGAGATACCTAGGTAGAGAACGGTTATAATACTAAGTCTATTCCGTTCTAGGTATAGTAGTCTATGAAGATAAACTACTAGTAGCACTAGAACGAACTTGAATATAAGCACGCCTTACTACTAAGGGGCACGAACCTCGGCACCAAGTCCGAACAACCGAATTTGGGTTGTAAATCTATCAGATGCCATACCTACAAGTCGTATATTCGTAAGGAACACTGCATTGCTTGAAACACAGGCTGAATGTGAACTGTCGGCACATAAGGAGCCTACAAAACTGAACTTCGTATGTAGTGTCAGCGTAGTACGAACGGTTGGGTGTCGAGATTATTGGCAGCCTAGGTACCTACAGAATAGGCATTCTCGCCGGCAGAGGAGTTCAAGTTGGTGTTCCGATGTGGACGAGCCAACCGAAAATCACAATTCCGCCTATACACAACCCCGAAAGCCCAATCGTCGGAGCTCCTCCGGCTTCTCCCCGCAGTCAACCTCGGCCCCTCTGCGATGCCCTCCACCTTTGGCACAAGCAGGTACGAGCTGGGGCTATATCGGAGGGTAGGACTTGATTCAAGACTTAAACTTGACTCGATCCGACTCGGTTGGTTTTGTGAGATAATCAAATAGGCAACTTGCAGCTCTCATCGGGATATCCCCCACCACTTGCGGCAGGTTATCAGATTCCCAGAAGCAGACCAGGACAAGCCACGTCGTCTTGCCGCTTCTCTTCCCTCATACGAACTTGATTGCTAGGAGCTCAGTACTCGAAACTGCCCGCAGCCATGTCCCTCTCACCCGCTGTCCGAGTCGCAAGGACCGCTACTCAGCGGTCGACGTCCCTGCTCCGTGCGATCCAGTACAATCACCCTCCGAGCTGCCCTTGTCACTCGAATCCCAACCATCACCATGGCCCATCTGTGTTTCGTGAGGCTCGACGACGACTTGCCACACCCATCGACCATGCACGAGAGAAAGAATATGCGTTCGAGCTGGCTGCCAGCTCCATCCGCTTCGGGCCAGGCAGTACGAAAGAGGTGGGCATGGATTTCGCAAACATGGGTGCGAAGCGGGTCTGCGTGGTGACCGACAGCAATGTCGCGAAGCTCGATGCGATGAGGCAGGCGATTGACGGCTTGACCAAAGAAGGTATCGAGTTTACTGTCTACGACAAGTGCCGAGTGGAGCCCAAGGATAGCTCGGTCAAGGATGCCATTGCATTCGCAAAGCCCTACAACCCGGACGCTTTCCTGGCAGTAGGAGGAGGCTCGGTCATTGACACGGCCAAATTGATGAATCTCTACACCTGTTTTCCCGAGGCCGAATTTTTGGACTTCGTCAATGCTCCGCTCGGCAAGGGACTGCCCGTCACCAAACGTCTCAGGCCTCTCGTGGCTGTCCCAACCACGGCAGGGACCGGGTCAGAAACCACGGGGACGGCCATTTTCGACCTGGTTGAGAAGAGGGCTAAGACCGGGATCGCACACCGTAATCTGAAGCCCACCCTGGGAATCTGCGACCCGCTCAACACCCGCACCATGCCTTCTGCCGTCCATGCCTCGTCTGGTCTGGATGTGTTGTGCCACTCCCTCGAGTCCTGGACGGCCATTCCATATTACGAGAGAACCCCACGACCAACAAACCCGATCAATCGACCGGCGTACCAGGGTGCCAACCCCATCTCCGACATTTTCTCTCTGAATGCCCTGAAGGCGACTGTCAAGTATCTGCCTCGTGCAGCGAAGGATCCCGAGGACTTCGAGGCTCAGAGTGAGATGCTTCTCGCGGCCACTTTGGCAGGCGTTGGATTTGGAAATGCCGGCGTCCATCTGTGTCACGGCATGAGTTATCCCATCAGTGGACAAAACCCCGGGTACAAACATGCGGGCTACCAGGTCGAGACGCCCATTATTCCTCACGGTGTCAGTGTGGCGGTCACGGCGCCTGCAGTGTTCAAATTCACCGGGCCTAGCAATCCGGAGCGGCATCTGGCGGCTGCAGAGTGCTTCGGCGTGGATATCTCCAATGTCAAGAAAGAAAGTGCTGGTGAAGTCCTGAGCGAAGCGCTCGCCGAATTCCTGATTAAGCTGGGGGATCAACCCCGAGGCCTGAAGCCGCTGGGATTCTCTCGGGAAAGCATTGATGATTTGGTGGAGGGCACGCTGCCACAGAAGCGAGTACTGATGCTAGCACCCACCCTCAGCGAGGAGCTGAACGAGGAGCGGCAGCAGCTTAAGGCGCTGTTTGAGGAGGCTTTGGAATACTGAAAAGATGGTCTGTGGATGGCGTGGCATGGGTAGAACTGCTGTCACTACGATCGCACTGATTCTACGCTAAGGTGTTTGTTGGCTTGATCGTGTTTGCACTGTTTGCCTCCTTTTTCTGGGGTTGCTGACTCAGTGTCTCTTCCCCCAGAAATGGCGGGGTTTCACTGCGTTGCCCATCCACCTTCTTGTCCTCACCACAGCATTTGCATCTTCCTCTCCATGATCGCCTGCAACTTCGGTCTTCTTCGATCCCCCACATTCCTGAGGCCTCCTAGGACACCCTTGAACACCCTTGCTTCTCCGATGCCCTTCCATTCGCTCGACTGGGTGGTGACGCAGCAACAGGGCCATAACGTATGGCTTTCCAATGTGCCTGGCGCCAGGCCACAACCAAAAGCCCTGTCCCTCAAGACACCTCATTCGCACAACGTGGCTCGATTGGTAGAAGGCCTGGAATCAGAGATCAAAAGCCTGGAAACAATAACAAGTTAGATAAAGTCTGCATTCTGAACACCTTCAATTCTGTGATCCTATTCTATTGTTGGTCTCAGCTTCTCGTTCTCTTACTTATTGACAAGTTGGTGAGATCTAACGAGTACAGAGCCAGCGTGTCCTTTTTGTGCCTTGGAAACTGAATGCCCACCTGAACCATACCGTCCCTGTTCCTAGCGCAGAGCAATCTCAGCTTAGAATACCCAACTATGAACTCATCCAACGGCCATGCGGCTCGGTCTCGAGTTCTTTGTCCCGAAAAGCTCTCGTCTGATGGGTTGTCCTTGCTCCGCAAGACCGTTGATGTTGACGAAAAGGAGGGCTTGACACCTGAGCAACTCATCGCCGTCATTCCCGAGTACGAGGCGTTGTTGGTGCGGTCCGAGACCAAAGTCACGGCTGCCCTGTTGAACGCGGCGCGGAAGCTCAAAGTCGTGGCTCGCGCCGGTGTCGGCGTGGACAATGTCGATGTTCCCACCGCCACGAAGCTGGGCGTGGTCGTTGTCAACTCGCCGAGCGGAAATATCCAGGCGGCCGCCGAGCATACTATTGCCCTCCTCATGAGCATGGCAAGAAATGTTCCGGAGGCCTGTGCGAGTGTGAAGGCTGGCAAGTGGGAGAGAAGCCGTCTGGTGGGCATCGAGGTCAAAGGCAAAACACTGGGCATTGTCGGACTGGGTAAAGGTACGTGCCATGATCTGAATTTGAGCTCTTTCATCGTGGCCAAATTGCTTCTTGCTTCTTTGATCTTGTGGATTGATCTTGGTTCATCCCTTGTCTATCTTCCTATACTCATGCTCATGGTACCAACGCTTGTCAGTCGGCCTCATCGTTGCTCGGATGGCTCGTGGCCTGGGAATGAATGTTGTTGCGGCGGACCCATACGCAGCTCAGTCCGTTGCCGCCGCCGCCAACGTCACTCTTGTCGAATCCTTATCGGAACTTCTACCTCGTGTCGACTTCCTCACCATCCACACTCCCATGCTGGCTTCGACCCGCGGTATGTTATCTACCGCGGAACTCGATCAGATGAAACGTGGAGCCAGGATCCTCAACGTTGCGAGGGGCGGGATTGTGGACGAAGAAGCTCTTCTCATAGCACTCGAGTCTGGGCAGATTGCGGGTGCGGCCATCGACGTGTTCACAAGTGAGCCTCCGACAAAAGACCCAGACTCATCTGCGGCTCGACTCGTGCAGCATCCAAGATGCATCGCTACTCCGCACCTAGGAGCGTCAACAGTCGAAGCACAGGAGAACGTGTCCATGGATGTGTGCGAACAGGTGCTGCAAATCCTTGTGGGCGACTTGCCGCGTAGTGCGGTCAACGCCCCCATTATTCTCCCTGCCGAATACAAGACACTGCAGCCGTTTGTCCGCTTGGTCGAGAAGATGGGCTCCCTGTACACCCAGCACTTCACGTCGCCGCGGCCGCCTGTGCAGAGAAACATGAACACATTCGACCTGATCTACGAAGGCGAGATCGCACAGATGTCCAGCACCAAGCCTCTCTTCGCAGCCTTGATCAAGGGTCTCATGGCGCCCATCTCTGATGCCGAGGGGTTGAACATCAACATGGTCAATGCCGAAATGGTGGCCAGGGAGAGGGGTATCTCCGTCAACGAACAGAAATCCCGTGATCCCAGCACGCAAGCTTACAGCAGTCTCGTCACCCTTGTGGCGCGGGCACCTAGTCGGACACCATCAGTCAGTCGACATGGATCCGAAGTCCTGGTCAGCACGGCGGGACAACACCGGGAAGCGACGATTCAGCATATCATTTCAGGATATTGCAGTGACAACTCACCGTTCATCTCCCGACTGGGTCGATTTGCAACATCGTTCGTGCCGGAAGGCAAGCTACTCATCTGTCACAACTTCGACTCGCCAGGAAAGATTGGCGTTGTCGGCAGTATCTTGGGTCGTGAGGGAGTCAACATCAACTTCATGAGCGTGGCTCCTGCGACCTTCTCTGCTGTTTCGCCAATGGATGCCAATGGTGGTGCCAGCAAAGACGGGCTGGCTTCGTCCTTGGAAACCACCGAGGCCCTTATGATATTGGGTGTTGATAAAGAGGTGGGTGACAATGTCAAGGCTGAGCTTGTCGGTGCCAAAGGAGTTTTGAGCGTGAGCAGCGTTACGCTGTAAATGAGTGAATGTTGCTGCTCGGTGCCTTGTCAAGCTGGCCTGAACTTGTCCGGGAGCACTCGAAGAACAAAGGAAGCCTCGCTTCGGCCGTGCAGGTCAAGACTCAGATCCTCCGGCTACTCTCCCCGTCAGGGACTTGTAGGGCGTCTGCAGTGATGATGATGATGATGCGGACGAATAGATCAGTCAGCAACGGCAGATTTCTGCTCGAAGCATTTACCTAACCCAACATGGCTAATCTGTGCCCACTGACTCGTCATTAGACCGATCAAGATTGTTTGTCCTGCCACTGGGGTCTGGCAGGGTCGCAAAGTCGTAACACAAGTCGGGACAAGGAGACTAACCAGGGGGGAGGTACCTTTCCCATCGGACACGCCTCCCTACACGGGAGTATTCACTTGGTGAAGTAGTGATTGAACCAGCAATGGTCGCCGAGAATATAGGCTTGAAGTACAAGGAGGGGCTTCGTTTGGGTACCCTAGTCATACCACAAGAGGCATTTGATTTCGAGTTGAATCATTTGTTTGTTAGGCGGTCCACCCTATAAGGGGGTTGCAAGGCTGCAAGGCTGCAAGGCTGCGAGGCTGTGAGGCTGTATTTATTACTAGGTACTAGTATTTACATAGCAAACAAGGCCTTATGTAAGCGAGAATCAGGTGTTGGTGTCACATCGTCCGACTTTATTCTCACTTTTGCACATCGGAGTTCGAGTTGCTGACCGACAACTATACAGCCTGCCTGTCTTTCTATCTGTCTAACTACGGACTTTGTTGAAGCTCTTCGGGCTCTCATATGTTAATCGACAGCGTCAGACATAGCGCCCAAAACACCGAAAACCCTTTCTCTTTTTCTCTGCTGTGCCTCCTCTACCAACCAACCAACAACTAGGTACACTACAAGCACCTCCTCATTGAGTGATCGATATCTCAACACCATGGCACAACCATCATCCCATACTGGCACACCAAGCTCGAACTCAAGTTCAAGTGCTTCAAGCTCCTCAATCCTCCCCGCCAACCTACCCATCTACGCCCTCAACCTCCTCTCCAACCCACCATCCCGACCAGACAGTGCGGCCATCGAGACGACCATCTCAAACCTCAACCTCCTGGAACACATTGAAGGTGGCTATTTCGCCGAGACAGACCGGGACCCGTTACTAGTCCCCAACCCGTTCCAACACCTCCCGGCGCTCACGAACCCGACCGCCATCGACGACTCGCCCACCCGCCACGCCAGCACGACCATCTACTACCTAGTCACGCCGCGCAGTCCTGTGGGCCATTTCCACCGTAACCGCGCGCGGACCGTGCACACCCTGCACCGCGGCAGAGGGGTGTATGTTCTGCTGCACATGGAAAGGCGGGACGAGCGGACTGGGAAAGTACCCGTGGAGACGTTTGTCGTGGGTCACGATCTGGCCAAGGGGGAGAGATTGCAGTGGATTGTTGAGGGGGGGATTTTCAAGGCCAGTTTCCTGTTGCCTGATGCGGAGGCAAAGGCAGAAGGCCCCGAGACAGGTAAGCAGGGGGGTTCAGTCTCGGAGGGGCTGCTGATTAGCGAGACTGTCGTGCCGGGATTTGAATTTGCCGATCATGATTTCTTGACGGCGGAAACGATGCGTGATGCCTTGACGCCGGACCAGGTGCGGGAGTTGAGGTGGTTGTTGAAGAGGGATGAGCAGAAAAAGTTGGATGAGGTGTGATGGATTGTGGATTGGAGAGAGAGAGAGAGAGAGAGAGAGAGAGAGAGAGAGATGGTGTATTCGATCTGTGCTTGGAACTGGATCGTAGGTCGAAGAGGAAACACTGCAGAGTACAGTCTCTATCTGTCCATGAAAGATGACGAAGACATTCAGCAAGCCAGGGTCTCAGGGCGGAGTCCTCATGGCCCCCTTCTTTGTCGCCGATGCTGAGACGGAACGGCATAGTAACTGGACCACGATTGGCAATTCAGATCGCAACCATCCATCTGCCTGCGCTGCCCGCTTCAAGCAAAAGATGCATGAACCCGGGGGTTTCAAATAAGAGATAAAAGAGATACATTCGTCCAATGCCATGCAATATCTTTCCACTCCCACTTCGCACACTTCTCATGAAGCATGAAGCTCTCATATATTCATTTCTCACCGTCTGTATCTGCATCGTCCCACGGACTAGTACTAGTATATCAATCATTGGGTTAGACCCGTCATAACAACCCCAACTCCCCCCTTTCCACACCTCTCCTCACATCCCTCCATCTAACGACCCAGACCTCTCCCCTCCTCATCCTCAACTCGACCGTAGCGGGTTCTCCATTCTCGTCGTTTCCCCCTCCACCTCCGCTTTCGGAGCGTTCAACATCGCCTTCATTACTCCACACCCCATCGACAAGACACCTGACCACCACCGCCGCACCCGCATCAGGCGGTTCAACCATGGGAACCCCACCCGTGGAATCATCCAACCGTCTCAACGTAGGCGGGAACGCATTGAGGAAACTCGACCCATACAACTCCGACAGTAAGGACTGATGGGCGCGCAAGAATTGAGATTCCGCCGGACTCAGATACCGCTCCGTTTCCGGCTCCACTCCCACATTACTGTCCTGCAGCTGCCGTCGTTGCAATTGCGCGAGATACCATCCAGCATGTTTCGTGAGTTTCGCCAGTCGCTGGCGCAGGAAACTGCGCACCAAGAACTGTGTGCGAGACAGATCGGTTTGGAGGATTGAAAGAATCAGATTCGCGTTCTGCGTGCCGCTGGGTCCTGGTGGTTTGTGGGGATTCGAGTAACCGTAACCGTAACCGTAACCTTGACCGTAGCCGTGTCCGTTAGATTGCCCAACACCGCCCTCAGGGCCACTGGAGGCGATGTCTTCGATTCGTGAGATTTGGGTCTGCACACGCGCCATTATTCGCTCCATCAGATCGTGAGGGTAGGGTAGTAACTCGGGCGCGCATCGCTCGGAGGTCCATGCTCGTGTGAGCAGTTGGTGGTCGCTATAGGCGTCGGTGTCGGAATATGAATATGAGTTGGAGTGTGATTGTGAAGTTCCACTGTGGTGGTCAGGTCGGGACACTTCTGCGAGAATGTCGGAGATGTCAATGTCTCTGTTGTCCATTGTTGCGACCGGTCCTGCCTGGCTCTGATATGATGGGCAAAATCGGCTCGCTACCCAGTGGCTTGCCCGGGGCACGAAGAGAGTGCCCCTTGAAGAAGAAAAAATGACTCGTCGCTTGGAGATGTCTGCAATGCTAATGTCTAGGATGGCACATGTAGGATGGTAGATGGACAGAACGCGCTGGTTGAGGCGCGAACAAGGGACAATGTAGGTTGACTTTTGCGAGCCCGGTATGGTGGAGTCCTGTGGACAGCTGTGTTATGTGTCCATCTCAGTCCACGGGAATTGTTTTATCTATAATGTGACATTGACAGAGGCTGATTGAATATATGTCTGCGATTAGTACTTCCCCAGATTTCACGCAACTGAAGGTTGAAAGGGGCGCGGGACTCTTGGCATGTCAGCCTTGCTGACATAATCACATCCTGCCATCCGGCGTGACCACCTGCATTTTGGCCACGAACGACTACGGTGGAATGTGTAATACAGACGATACAAAAATAGCTAGGTAATCGATTTGATTTGACTGATTTCATTCATCGCTGGTGTCTGAAGAACACTCGACACATTCGTCCAGCTCAAAGCTCAAAGTGGCTGGCTCGACCAGCCCGGTGTCGTCCTGAATACATGTACAAATGCCCATGATGAACCCCAGTACGCCATGCTGCCGCTTCCGTGGTCTGGCTCATGAACTGATTACGCCTTGCTCACAAGCGCTAAAATGCACCTGTCGTCGAAACCCACCATGTCTTTCATCATGACTTCATCTCATCGCAAATCGCATGATCAAGCAAGGTAGTTGTAGGTTGGCTTGGCCGGATCGGACCCTCTCTCCAGATATTCCCGATCAATCAGCGCCTCAATCTTCTTCTTGATCATGTTCACGTCTGGTTGGAATCGTCCGGACAACTGGTGCAATGTTTCAGTCATCAACTGTGAATGCGATGCGGTCTTGCGTGACTTCATGATTCGAACGATGGCGGCCTCGATAACATGACCACGCTCATCATCCGTCCTCTTCTGGGTGGCTCGTCGTTCTTCACTATTTTCGATCCGGTTCGCCCCACCAGCCACGACACTGACTTTGATCTTGAGAAATTGACTGGAAAAGTCTTCGTTGAAGTAGAACTTATCCGTGGGTTTGATGTCCTTGCTCATCGGTTCTTTCTTGAGCAACCTCCACTTGGAAACCAAGGACAAAGATTGGAGGTTGCGAATAAGGTCGTGTTTTGGAATGTTTGTTTCCGCGGCAATTTGCTCCGTTGTAAGACTCTCTCCAGGGGCGAGATCGTTGAAGAGCATCAAGATCACCATTCCGTACGTAGACACATTCACCTCGTAGCGTCGAGTCTTGCCACCGGTGGTGAACGTCGCCCGCAAGTCCGCATCCCCAAGGCTAGGCATCCAGGTTAGTTTGCGGCCGGTGTGCTTGTCGAGATAGAACTTCTGGAATCTCTGTCGAATCCGCTCCACAGGGGCAGGGAACTTGCATTCTCGTCGAGACTCGTCGTCGTTGTCGGCGCGGAACAAGGTTTCGAAGGGCCAGACCGTTGTAGTCAAGACTCGGCAATCCAAATCAATCCGTCTTGGGTCTGGGTCTCCCAATTTGTTGACATATTCCTTGTATTGTGTACTGAGACTGTCCGACAGCTCGGTGTCTCGGATCAGTCCTTCCAATTTCTGGGTGAATTGATTGCCAATCTTCATCTTCATCTTGGAGAGCATCTGGCGTTCCATTTCACGGCTGACAGACTTCTTCATGAGAAGACGCTTGGCCATATGCTTCTTGTAGTATGTCTCGAATAGATCCTTGTTGGCAAGGTATTGCAGCAAGAGGATGCCGTTGTCGAGCAGAGCGTCCACTTCCGCATCGGTCTTATCTCGTCCGCCACGTTTGAGATATTCGTCAAGGAAAAGTGACAGATGCTCGGGACTTCGGTCGTTGGCATTGATGAAATCCTGGAAGGATATTTCCAGAGCCTTTTCCATCACCCCATCTCTCCGGAATGCCTCGACCCAGACCCTGTCAAACTTGTTCTTCAATTCCAAGATTTGCTCGACCCATGCGATCGCGGCCTGAGTCTGCTGGCTAAGTGTCTTTTCTGGTGCTGCTTTTGCGTCTGCGCCAGTTTTTGCTGCCGTTCTTGGTTGTGGCGGGGCCTCGCTGATAACATTCGCGGACTTGTTGATATCCGTTCCCAGCTCAATGACTCGTTTCTGAACTGCGTCTTTGAGGGCGACCTTCTTCGGGTCCACCCGAGAGATCAAGTCGAAAACATTGGCCAGATCTTCTATCTTGTCGTTGTCCAGCATGTACTTGACTCCGGTTCCCTGCATATTGATGACATCGCGGATGTGGGTAGAGATCAATTCCTCGTCCACCACATGTTTGATTTTCGTTTCCGTGATTTGAGAAATGGTTTGTTGACATCGCTCGGTCTCTTCCAACAATCTCCTACTAGCATGCGTACAGAAGGTACTGGCGTCTGCTTCGGCCAGAAGTGTTTTGCCTTCCTCCTGGTAAAACTGTCGGCTCGCTGCAATAAATTGTGGTTCGAAGGAGGTCAAGTACAATTTGGTCGATTCGTCCTCGGTGAAACTCTCGTATAGACCTTCCAGCATGTAGCAACAGGCCCGTACCAGAGGACGGTCGATGACTTCTCCACTCCGTTCCATTCTGATCATGTCCAGCACAACGGTTTCGAGGAGCAACAGAACATCAAAGCTAGCGTCCTCACTAAGAGGTGTGCGAAGCACGTGTGTCCGGAACAATGCCATCGCAGTTGCGAATATCGAAGGCCGTCTTTGATCTTGGCTGTTGACACGGTCCTTGATCTGTAAGTATCGTATCAGAGTGCCATAATTTGGAATGGAAAACTCACCATATACATCAGAACATCCGTGATCATGCCCATGGATAGTTGATGGTCAGCAAAAGCATCCGTAACAGCTCTGATGAATCGTTCGCCAGCAATTCTGCGTTCGTTCGATTGAGTACCCGTGGCCTGTTCCAGGCTGCCGACGGTCATGGTGGGTGTGATGAACCCCAGAATCCTTGGTCGGACATGATCCCGCAGCCATGACTCTTCTAGTTGGACCACCCGATCATATAGGAAGTCTTGCTTCTTTTTCAGCACCAACTTGTACGCATTCCGAAAGAGCTCTTCGAACGAAAGTCTGGAGGCATTCTTGCTGTGGATTTCCAGAAACGCAGTTGACAGTGTATTCCATACCGAGTCGAAGTCGACATCATCTTTCGTGAGGCCCTGCAACAATGGTGGTTAACCCTGCGGAGACTTTGCAAAGACGAGAGGTGGCATGGCTGAAAGGCAGCCGGCGGTATAGATGTAGAGATCGGCCAGTTGTTCGTGGCGCCCCCTTCTCGACAAGTCTGTGCTATTGTTCACAAGATTCAAGATTTGATGTGCTTACTCTTCTCGGTGCCCTAATCTTCCCACCTCGCCCCTTCGCCAACATTGTGGCTGCAAAGCTTACCTGCAGCGGACAGGCGCTTCGTATCGCTTAGACGTGAGAGATGAGGAGGGCCTGGAGACGGCTGCTGATACTGCCGGTTTGACGCGAGAAGGATATATTCGGAAGCATAGACAGCGCTAGAGACCGCGTCGCAGTCCTGTGCTTTGAAGAAGCAGTCCGAAACAACGGGAAGAAGAGTTGTTCAACATTGTTCTCGTTGCTTCACTGCGTCTTGCGGCGTAGACCACGTTCGGCAAAGCTGCCTTGACCTGTCACTAAAAAGTCACCTGCCAAGCCTGCGTCATACTAGTACTAAATGCTGCTTTCACGAAAGTGACATGATGAAGTTCAAGTTGGAGATGTTCGTCCTCTGAACATAGAACGACAAAAGACGAGACACTTCCCTCAATATAGCACACAGTTACTTTCATCGCAGTTGCATCATCTCTCACACCCTGAAACTATGCAGTCATTCTGTGGCAGGCTGATATCGCGCCGGGCTTTAACAGAAACAATCCGAAATCAGAGTCGCCTGCAGTCTACACTTCCAAGGACACCTTTTGTTGCTCGATCCCGTCACCTCCCGCGAACTGTCTTTGCTCCCTGCCGAAGATACGAGTCATCTCTGACCCTGCCGGAAGGCGCGCCTCAAAAGCCGGTATCGAATGACGTCCCATCCTACCAACTCAGTTTCACCTGCAAACCCTGCCTATATCGATCGACTCACCGAGTAACAAAACATGGTTATCACCACGGGACTGTTCTGATCACATGCCCTTCCTGCAAAGCTCGCCACGTCATTGCGGACCACCTCAAAGTATTTCTGGATTCACGACAAACACTGGAGGACATTTTGAGGGAAAAGGCGGAGAAGGGCGAGGATTTCACCAAGTTGTTGAAAAAGGGCCAACTGGGGATCCGACCCGGCTCACTGATCGGAAATGAAGGAGAAGAAGACATCGAATTTTGGGAAGATGGTACAGAGACCGTCCATACGCCGCTTGAAGGCGCCAAAGCCTAACAGCAGCAATCCGAGAAGAGTTGAACGATGAAGGCGCTTAGAAGAGAAGTCTGCGCATTCACATTGCCACAACTGCGTCGGTTGCGATCACTATCTGCAAGACATCAGTCTGGCTGCTCTTATACTCGTCTGTAGAAGAGAACAAGGTACGCCTTATCAACGTCAGATAAATGTCCCAGGGACATCGCATGCGCCGAAAGCGTTGGTCGTCGAATCCCCACTCAACCTACAGGAATTCTTCGCAAAGTCATGTGAAGCCGGGGATATCATTTGACTCCTGAACGTCGGCTTGATGCAAAGCAGGCCTGGCTCAGATACCTGGAATAGTCAGCCGCCGTGCCATGGACTCGCTTGCGGTTGTTCTGCTGGCGAGGCACAAACTCCAGATGTTCAAGAGGGTGATAGAAAGCAAATCCACATGTTGAACGGAGGAGGGCCTTGGCAAGGCGACGGAAGTGCGCATTTGTATATTATGTATAGATATCTAGCAAGCGAAGGATTCATCTTACCATTTCTGCCTCAGAATTTCCTTCTTTCGAGTTGAATCAGCCAATGTCGCTGTACGCCTGCTAGCCGAGCAGTCGTTGCACTTGAATTTTGGGCGTCATGTGCGACATTGCTCGCTTTGAAACACCTAATCTCGACCACTGAGACCCTCTGCTGCTCCAATCAATGCCCATTCAGAACGCTTTCTCTGATCAAATAGACCCTCGCTTCCCATGGACTAAGGTAGCGCCCGGGATGGTTGACATTGCAGACCAGCAACTCCTGATGCGCGCTTTCCAATCCAGTGGGATAATGCAGAGGTTGTACCTCGTCGGAGAAGCTCAAGAACACGAGGATCTTCTGCGCACCATCGGGATCGGTTTTGGTGAACGTGAAGACGTCCTGGTCGAAATAGTCCCAGACAGTAAAATCCTGGCCAAAAACCATCAGGTCGGCGTGATCACGTCGCAAGCAGATCATCTTCTTCCAGAAGTTCAGGGGCGACTGAGGATCGGCGAGTTGGGCGGCGACATTGACCTGCTCGAAGTCGTCGTGGACTCTAATCCAGGGCTTTCCCGTCGTGAAGCCAGAGTTGGGCGACGAGTCCCATTGCACAGGTAGACGGGCATTATCGCGACCAACGAGCTGTAGACCCTTCATAGCCTTCTTCATCCACAGCGGGTCGCCTTTGTGACGGGTCGCGACGTCGTTGTACGCGTTGAGGGAGTCGATGTCCCGCAGCTCCTCCACGCCCCAGTGCGTTGGGTGGTTGTACATCCCGATCTCCTGGCCCTGGTAGAGGAAGAGTGTGCCGGTCAAGCAGCACATTAGCACAGCCAGCATTTTGGCCGCCTGTTCGCGAAACTGGGGTTTGTCCGTGGCAAATCGTGACAGGCTGCGGCCCTGGTCGTGGTTCTCGAGAAAGACCGTCGTCCAGGCGTCAGTGCCGCGCATCAGGTCCTGCACCTTGCAAATGGCCTCCTTGAACTCCGGTAACGTGTGCCGCGTGGTATGGTGCTTTTTCCCGCCGCCGTGCTTGCTGGTGCCCAGATTCACAACGTCGAAGTCGAACACGCAGCTGAGCTCCCGCGCCTCGGCAGACACGTACTGCAGCACTTTGGCCGCTTCCGTGTCTGGCAGTTCCCCAACCATCAACACGTCGCCGTACTTGTCGAGCACTTGCTGGCGCTGCTCCTTCAGCCATTCGTGCATGCGTGGGCCGTTGGTGAAATATTGAAACGCGGGCTGGCATTCTTCCCCAGGGAGGCGGACTGGGGCATTGGGGAACGAAACATCCTTTGAGTAGAAGTTCGCAGTGTCTACTCTGAAGCCGTCGATGCCTCGATCAAGCCAGAATTCAATGGCGGACTTGTAGATCCCGTGCCGAGTCTCTTCGTTTTCCCAGTTGAGGTCCGGTTGTTCTTTGATGAACAGATGAAGATAATATTGATCGCGTTCTCGACAGTATTCCCACGCACTTCCCCCGAAGATGGCTCTCCAGTTATTCGGTGGGTGGCGCTGTCCATCGATGATCTCTGGATCTCGCCATATATACCAATCGGCGTATTTGTTGGTTCTGTCCTTGCGGGACTCGACGAACCAGGCATGTTGGTCGCTTGTATGGTTCACCACCAGATCCAAAATCAGCTTCATTCCTCGACCCCGACATTCTTTCACCAGTCGATCCACATCGGCGAGGGTGCCATAGGCAGGATAGACGTCTTCATAGTTGGATATGTCGTAGCCCATGTCTAACTGCGGCGAGTCGTACATTGGGGAAAGCCATATAGTCTCGACCCCAAGATCTTTCAAATAGGGAAGCGTGCTAATGATTCCGGGAATGTCTCCAATACCATCGCCGTTGCTGTCTTTGTACGAAGCAGGCCATATCTGGTAGCACGTGCTAGCCTTCCACCAATTCGGCTTCGGCGCAGACATGTTTGGATTGGATTGGAAACGAAAAGAAGTATCACTTAAAGATTTGCCAGGGAAGAAGATGGACCAGTGAATGCATGAAATATCGGCCCTGGATGAGCGCGAGTATTAAGAGGGTCGAAGATAACAGCGAGGCATGGGGGAAAGGCGTCTTCATAACTTGACCTGACCTGTTTGTTCTTCCATCCAAAGCCAGAACTTGGAAAAGATGAAACAGTCAAGCCTCATGGTGCAAGCTGTGCTCAGTGAGCACCATTGGCTATGTTGTGAGAGTACACGGGAAGCAGTCGACCATTTACTCGGAGAAATGATAACAATCGCAAAGACACCGCTCACCTGGGGATGTAAGATGTGACGACTTGTGGCCACTCTGCGTCGCTCTCGCCGTCTTCATGTGAAATGAATGCATGACAGCTTGATGATAAGGGTGGTCTTTGTGGTCTTCGTGGTGATTGTGGCCAGGATCAAGACGACGGTGAATGCGCAATGGGAAAACAGATTCTCCGAAAATATGTCCGGGTGAACGTCTGGATGAACGTCTGGATGAACGATGGTCCTGACCCGAATCCTCTTCGAAGCTGTATCTTCTTCCGATCACGTGAGCGGGCCGAGTCTCACTTTCAGTTCCATATCGCCGGCGGCTCTCAACAGCTTTTCCCCGCAGACGTTTGATGATAACGGTCCGGCTTGTGATGAGTCGAGTGGGTCGGTCGAGTGAGGACGAAGTTCGGCAAAAAGTGAGCTGCGCGAATGCTTTTGCTCTACTTGCTTCAATAGTTCGGTGGCGATCAGCATGCCGGAGTCATGGTGCTTGAGGCATACGTATCAGGTGTGGTCAGGCTGGACAGTCGATCGCTAGTGTCGCCATGCAGCGCGAGAGCGAAAGAGGGCAAGAAGCGAGTTGGCCGAAGATGGCTTGACTGTTATTGATGAAAGCGAGGGATCTGACGTTAGCTGCTTGTGTTGCTCTGAGCCTCCGGACGCTTGAATCAATGGTTTGAGAGACAGTGCGGAGGAGCAGGGGTTTAGCAAGTTTCCGACCTTGGACTATCCAGCTTTGATTCGCTGATGTCCAGGCCCGTCCACCCCCCCAGTTCACCAAACAAGGAAGCCGTGAAACACAGCATCATGACACTACTGTGATGCTATGTGTTAGGCGTTCACTCGCTAAAGCCTGCGCATTAAGCGAAGAACGAGTTCGTACAGTCAGTTCGCCCCAACCGGATACAGCAATGCCTTGACAGCCTTGCTTTGACCTGCCTGTTGCTGAGCTGACCAGAAGCAAGCTCGGAACTTGCCGTCCTACGTTGTATGTCAATTGAGTGCACGGAAATGCTCAAAGATGCTGAAACTTGCAGTGTACTTTCTTACATCACCTGTCCGGTTCTCATAGCCGTCGGAGTCGAGACAACAAAGTTTGACGGTAGGAAGATCTTGGTCCCTGAACTCGCATATTTTCACTCGTTTCAAAGCCCCGAAGGCCCGAGAAAGAAGCAGTTGTGAAGACTGAATCGTGATCTGGTGCAAAAGGACCGGCTTTCGTTGCCGGGCCGCACGAAAGGAACAAGGGGCTGAACCAGGGAAGTCCCCTGATATGGCGATCTCTACCTCTTTTAAGGCGAAATTGGCATTATTAGGTCAGTGCTGAAGAGCTCAGCAACCTGTGATACGACACGCAGTGTCGTGGCAAGCGAATGTCGCCTGCTGGTGCGCTGCCGCTGCCGCAGCAGTTGAAGTGCACACAGCATGAAAATCCATGCTACAATTCAGGACGAGGTTCGCTCAAAGGTGGCTCACGGATCCAGCGGTTGACGATCCATGCCTTTTTCGACCGAGACGATATCGTTATTAAATAGTAGGTGTATTGCTTCCTCCAGCCAGATTCGGGTGGCCCACTGGCAGAGCTACAGAAGGATTCTTCACATGTTCGACTGATTGTTGCACGAACCGATGCTCGTCTTCAACTGGTGCCGGGAGCGGAATCCGCAGCGCAATCTGTGGATTCACCATATAGAAAGAAGTACGTACTTCAGACGCGGTCTTGACCAGTAGCCTCCGAAAACGGTGAGCCCGGAAATATAAAAGACAGTAATCTGTGCGGAAGCTGTAATATAATACGCATCAAGTTCACTGCATAATTGATTGCAGGATCCGTACCTCTGTTGATGTGGTGATAATAGTTTTGGAATGATTTCCAGCCTTGCCACAGAGCCTCCCGCCTGATGATGATGTCGTCTGCATGCTATGCAGAAATGGCAAGCAGGGATGCCGAACGACGGTCGAAGCCTGTTCAGCGGTGGTCCCTTGAGTCGAGGACCAACAAAACCTTACCTTACGGGTTCAACGGATAAGATCAGTCAGGACTTACCAGTCAGTGTGCCATGTACGTGATCATGTGGATAAGAAGGTGGGGACTGCGAGTTAAGACGAATGCCACAGGCTCAAATCTCGCTGTCAGAATCGTTGTTGTGCATTAGCTCATTGCGCGATCCCTAGGCTGGGGGGCCCGTGTAGGAGCCCGGACCACCGTATATAGCCGACTGTCCGAGCAGATTCTTCAGGAATCGAAAACCGACCCCCTGTTATTAGGCTATTGCAGCCTCACGGCGGCCAGGTTTATGTGGAGTTGAGCCGGACTTTGCACTATAACAAAGAAAGTATAGCGCGACTTCAGCGGCTGTCAAATCAAGCCACCCGAAGCCTCGCCCCTGCCCCACATGGTCAAACTCTATTTTGTCTTCAACCTCAGGTCATCTAAAAGTCTTCACTAGCAATTGAACCACTCCACCACTGCCCGAGAGACCGATGGGTCGCCGAGAGACTCCCAGGTGTCTTGTAGGCTCAGATAACGAATCTCAGCTCTCTGTATGCAAGCAACACGCCATGGTAGCACACCGCCAGTGGTGGTATTCTGATAACCGCCATCCATCTTGATCCCCCGCCTTTATCCTCAGAGCGGATGTCAAACTCCACCCCAAGATAGCTGCGATGCCGACGCGTAAACATGTCCTGGCTATCTCGTCACAGCAGGTGAGCCTTGGCCGGACGCATCGGGTCATTGAAACAGCCCTGCACGATTTAGGAAAACCAATGCCTCGTCACGGAAAGCAACAGCAAGATTGCAAAGTCAAACCAGCATTGCCTTCTGCTCCGGCAAAGAAGGCGATTTCGGCTCTGAAGACATTACCACATTATGATTTTGCCAGATTCTGATTTGCCCTTACACTGGGCTTATTACATACATTACAGGGGTTGTGTCCTCGAGCTATCTCGATCCAAGATCTTTGCTCTATTAAGAGCCTAGTTTCTATAGCAAAGTTCAGCTAAGGGCGGGACAGACCTCGACTACCAGCAAACCTAACGTTCGTTGCTCAAAAACTTCGGATCCGATCCGAACTTCTTTGTCCCGCCAACCCCTCGCTTTCCGCCAACAGCGCCTATACTCTACAGCTCCGAGAATTTGTCGCGCACGATATGTTGCACTTGCCAGCAGCATAGTGAAGGAACATCAGCGGCGCGCTACAGTACACACAGACGCATGTATGCATGCACACCATATGTCCATGCAAGGATCGAATGTCCCTGCATTGATCGAATGTGCACGCACTGATCAAATGTGCACGCATTGATCGACTGGCTCGCCACTTGCGACGAAGAGCGCTGAAAGGTGAAGACAAGCGCACCAGAATCATGGTAGCTTAGTACGAGCTTCTGAAGGTCGTCCGAAAGAGTATCCGCATTAAGATGTATCCGTAAAAGGCTACGTACATGCCGGTACCGTGTGTTATCTGCTCCAGGACCTTGCCAGGCGATGACGAGCCGAATTCGATGACACTTATATTCCACGGCTGAAGATTCATAACTGTATCTCATAACCCTGGTTGAAGCTCATCTCTGGGGTGCAGAGGCCGTAGCAGGCTGGGATTTGTTCGGTAGGCAGGGATTGTACACGTCAACAAGGATATCAGATCGGGCAGTTGCTACTGATCTCGATGCCAGCCATCATGGAACTTGCAACTACTTCTCTGGGACGTATTCATGCATCTCACCCAATTCTGGATGAGGGTGGCTTCGTCGGTGGACTACTGCAGACCAACTTGAGTAGTTCGTCGCCTGCAGGACGCAACACCCACAACAACAATCTGGGTGGGCAATTCGAGTGACGTGGACGTGCAGCTGGGAAAAAAAGGAAAAGATAGAGCATGCATGTTGGATGCCGCTAGCTCATGAGATACAGCCCACGGAACATGGCGACGAAGCTGCCCAGTCGATACTGGTCGCGTGCGGATGGTTTTCTTTCCATACATGCTGACCGCAATCTGGGTCGAAGACTGCATGTGGCGCACAAAGACTAGCCGCGGCCCAGGCCTGGTCGCCGAATAACGCCATCATATGACTGTGGGTTGAAGCCGGCCCAGAGCAGTAACCCGAATCTCTCCTCTCCGGGTCTAGTATGAGTTGGACTTCAGCCACCTCGAGCTCTCGACCTACTCCAACGGGAAAACTTGTTAGATCATACCAGGGTCAATCCGAATTTCGGGGTTTGGCCGGGCTATATGGTGACTGTATGCATAATTGACAGCAGCCACCGGCCTAGAAGGTGGTGAGGGTTGGAAATGGTATCGGATAGAGACTTTTCTGGGAGCAGACCGAAGCCTGAGAAGCCTGAAGGGGTTGTTGTTCTGTGTACGGCTGGACCAGGATTCGACTGACTTTGCTCAACGGTACGGCCACAGCCTTCCGTGTAGGCAGAGGGAAGATGATCCACCAGCCACCATCCGAAGAAAACCAGGGACTGAATTGATCAGCCGTATCATTTCCCCAATCGACATCTACGCGTCGACTTAGTGAAGGACCTTGCCGTTGAGGCCGCAATCGTCATTGTGCTGTACGCCGAGTGCTGAGGTATAGCCCGTTGCGATGTACTTGCGCCGAAGATTGCGCCCCTATTCTCCGTCCGTGCCAACTGGCAATTTACCCGCAGCAACCTCCCCCCTCAGCAAAGACCAGACAGTGCTCCTTGAAACTGGCAGGTGCTGTCTGCCGTCGAACTTTGCCAAATTCATGTGGCAGGGGGCTCGAAAACGGGAACGGTGGCATCTGGCCTTGCAGATGCAGGCACAAACATGACGACCTCCACCCTTCCAAGGGCTCCAGATTGAACGACCTAAGGCCCAGTGACCCACCGACCTTAGCGCGAGACCAGTTCGAACGGTCCCTGGCCCTAAACCAGCAATAGGGCGTTTGCTATGTCGACGCGGTTGGTGGGAGAGCCTGGAAGGTGGTGGAGGCCCTACGCCACCGCTCCCTCATCCGAACCGACTCGGCTTCGTCGAACATGCAGGCATTATTGCGACGGTAGGCTGGACAACACAACACTTTTTCACCGTTTCTGTACGTGGTACACCCACCCCGCCTCCATCGATTACTTGTTCCAGTTGTGGTGCTGGAGTGGACGTTGAATCAGGCCTAGTTGCCGATGTCGATTTTGTCATGCGGGCACCGCACCGCCTGGCGTCTCGATCGGTATGACCGAGACGACATGAAAGGCTCCATAGGTAGGGTGCTCGGACTTCTTTTTCGTGTCTCTGTTTTGTCTTTGACAATGCCACTTGCTACTGTCACCGCTCTGTCAACCTCGTCCAACTCTCCCTGTGCCTGCAGTAGTAGTACTCCTGCAGTTGGACAAAGCGTTCCTCCACAGACATTTGGTGATTGGCAGACACACGTCTTCACAACCGAAGGACAGACGTGAGTCGCGCGGATCCGCCACTATCTGGAGTGAATATCTATCTCAGACCTGCCCTCGTCCAAGTCTCTACCCTTCATCTCAATCACTCGCATTTCGTTTGCACAAGAAGAAAATCATTTTATAGAGATGGAGCATTACAACCAAGTAGCGGCCAGGCCTTACCCAGCTCACAACACTCCAGTCCCATCACAGACACGGCTAGACGTCGCCCAGCAGGAGCAGCAGCTACCATCTATTCGCGAAGTATGTACTCGTCTTGAGTGTTGGCTGCATACATCGAACTGACTTGGGCCACCAGGTCATCCCTCCTCCACGCAACGACAACATGGACTCGCACGTACAAGAGGTGCCTTCAAATGGAAGACCCATGATGGTGCCATATCTCAGCTCTCAGCACACGACAAGCATGAATGTGGCCTCTGTCCCAGCTCCCGTACAGCCCAGTTCAAGCCCTATGGCCTATCCTGCAGACGGTGCCAATCATATGCACATGAACGGACTTGCGCCTTCGCATCAACTGCAAACACCGGCTAGGACGCCGGCCGAATACAGCTCGCCTTGGTCCTCGTCATCTACTTACACTGAGGCTCCTGTGCCCATGACCACCCAGCCTGCGCTTCCCACCCAACCTCAACCCTATTCCGCAATGAGCCAGCCAATGGTCCCGTCCGATACCCAGGAAAGCGTTTACTCTTCGACATACTCGATGCGAGCAGCAAACGATAGCCCGGATTCATACTCCCGATGGAGAACTCCTCAAGTCAGCTCTACTCCAAGATACAACCCTTATATCATGTCCGAGCGGGCCTACAATCAACCGGTCGACTATGGACGATATGGCCAGCCATTTGATCAATACCGAGCTCCTATCGGTTACGAGGCTGGTTACCGCTCCTTGGACACCTCTCCCTACCATATGAAATACAGCCAATTGCTGTCGTACCCGATTATGGGATACCCTTCGCATGCCAACGGCCGACGCCGCCGAGGCAACTTGCCGAAACCCATTACGGATATTCTTCGACGCTGGCTGCAAGATCACCTTGACCACCCATATCCAAGTGATGAGCAGAAGCAAATCTTCATCCAACGCACTGGATTGACCATTAGTCAGGTAAGTCGGACAATCTTCCCATTTGAAAAAGCTTCGTATGCTGATTTTTCTTTTTAGATTAGCAACTGGTTCATCAACGCACGCCGTCGACAGCTTCCTGCACTCAAGCTTAAGCGAGCGAAATCGATTCAAAGCCGAGCTTGAGCTGCTTTTCTCTTTTGTCTCTACATGGCGTGCAAAGGAGCGGATGGCCTTTGATATGGGGTATGTTGGGAAATGATTCAAGGAATTTTCATGATGGAATGGGTTTATGATGGACGCAAATCTACTTCTTCGGCGCCTGGCCAGGCTACAATGTACAGGTATACCCCGCAAAGGAAACGGTGTTGGACGAACCAGTGTTATACGCCAGCCTCCGCCAAATGGTCTACAGGAAATTCGATGATGATTGATTGATTGATTTTGCATGAACTCAAAGTATCGATTGATATTTTTGTTCAAAGAGATGGATGCAACAGTACAGCTACAGGAACCATTGACGAGGAGGAAACTGCCAGAAATTCAGGACTGGCTGTGTGCATGAGAAGACATGGATGGGAAACCACTTGTACAACTAGATATACATGAGAAGCTCTCGGAAGTTTTGCGAGATAGCGAGCGAGCAGTGAGAACTACGATCAATCCTACCTGACAACGAACTCGATCCTCCTTGCGCGAACCAGAACGGATCAACAATGATCATCAATCGACAGTACGTACTGAGCGAGCTATCGCAGCCCAAAGGCACGAGTCTACTGCAACTAGACTCCAAGTTGTCGAAATCCCGAATAGGAGGGACCCCTATAGCAATCATGGCAGTACGTATAGCTCTCCACCACCGATAAGTGTCTGTAATAGAGACAGAAAATGGAATTCTTCATGCCAGTCAGTGGATGCACCGCGGGACCAGGTACATGAATAAAGGGCCCCTGTAAGCTGTAAGGCCCCCAAACCCTTGCCACTCGCTTATCGTCCTCGTCAAAAGGTGAACGACGGGCAGGGGGCACGAATCGAGAGGATACATCTCGTCTCTGATGCTGGGGCTGGGGTTCCTGATACAGTTTTACCGGCGCGGTTGTTCAAGACAGTAATGCTGGGTCGACTGGGTCGACTGGGTCGATGGGACGACTGGGTCGCCTACTACCACAGTATACCCATTCTCAATATACCAATCCTAATCCTTCAACCGTGGAGGAAGCTTCGTTCCGCGTTGCCAGATTGGCGAGACGATCGGCGCCACAGGTCCCCCGACTCGAAGCGATAGCTCTAGGACCGGTGCTTGTTCCTTGCTGGTCTTTTCCTCGAAGGGATACTGCCAGTGGACACTATGATGGAGTGACGATGCTATGTCGACATAGCTACCTAACATACCAGGATAGCTACTAGGTACGATTTCACAACCGACATTTAGGGCGAACAAAGGCGTTATTAGCAGCCCCGGAACCGACCCTGGACTCCTGCGAGACCGTTACCCTCGTCCGATATGCAGCACATACATACACACACAAACCGTTCATCCCCCGATCTGGCACCCTGTTAGACTTGCCCTCTTTCTGTCGACTGACATTGGACCGTCTCGCCCAGGGTCTCCGCTGGCTTCCTAGCGCACCAGCAGTTGGCCCGCAAGACAAGACTTGTTAGGAGAAGGCGAGAGGAGAAAAGCTGGATCGCACTAAGACATCAGCTAAGTACGGACACGCTCTTCCTCATAACCTAAAAACTCCGATACACTAGACAGTACACAGTACACGATACACGATACACCCAACTCGTGACTTGACAGCTTAAGGAGCAAGGTGGCAGGGGTGGCAGGACTGGATGTTCTTGACCAGAACTCCTCGGAGTGGAGGAGGCCTAAGGGCCCTCAGTCGAGGCATCCCAGAGGCAGCTGTCAACCAAGGCAAACCCAAACCAACCCGCGACAAGCTGTACAGCTCAGGTTGCTGGACTGGACTCTCTGTGTGGGGTTTCTTTTGACAACCGCTCCAGCACTCTGCAGTGAACTGTGGTGCTCTGTACAGCGCACGACATACGGCCCACACGACTATACTTTCCCACCTGTGATGAGCTACTCATGCGCTCTACCCGAACCCTCCGCCAGGGGCAAATGCCAAAGGCCCCTCCATATGTGTCCCAATCCGCCAACAAGACATCCGCCCAGCACAGCTAAAAGGGAAGATCTCGCGAGGCTCCGCCCCCCGATTTGGGCGAGAACAGCTGTCAAAGACGCGGGGCATTGGATACTCTGAACTGTGATACTGTGCTACTGCTACTTTACGTACTGTGGTGCCCTATACTGTTTCTGTCCGGTGTGAGTGGGCTGCTTTTGTGGAAGACCTCGCCGCGTTCCTGCACGTCAACGTGTCTTGTCTACCGCGGCGGATGCCGCTTTGGAGTGGAATACATTAGTCCGAACTCATACGCTTGTTTGTCGCGTTGAAGAGTCCGAGAGGGGAGAGTTATGAGAGGCAACAACAGACAACAGTGGGCTAGGGAGGCTGACGGATCAGGGTACCTGGAGCTAAGATACGTCGGAAGCAGCGAAGACAGACCTTCACGAAAGATCCGAATTAGGACTGGCTTGACGTGCCTCTGATGTTGATGGGCGGATATAACGCTCCTCGAGCTCTTGTCCCTGCAGCACATCAACATGGAGAGATGTCCAAGCTCCTCCTCTGGATGGCGATACGCTCACCATTCTTCAGGGGGCGATTTTGCCATTTGGCACCTTACCAAGTCCTATCACTGACAGAGGGACGCGACAGGATCGGATCTTTTCTCAACAAAGGTCAAACAAGTCAGTCAATCTTCAAGTCAAAACGCGGCAGTCAAGTCAAACAAGTCACGGCAGTCATCGGTCTCAGCCCATCATCGAGCAGAGGACAGTGGGCAGCCTGGCCTTCTTCGTAGCAGTGGCCACAATTCCCAGTCACCTCACTTCCCTTTCTGACACTCTTTTCCGCCCACCATCATCCGCTCTGTGAGTCCATGCTTCTACCCATCGCCCCCGCCGGCTACCCACACAAGACAACACACCACACCACTCTTCTTCTCTGTCAGCGTGATGATTACACTCTCCCTCGAGCACTAATCGGATAGACAGGAGCAAGCGCGTCCTGTCTCTTGTCACTGTCCGTGTCTGCTGTCTGGATATCGGCTTGCCTGTCTGTCTCGGCCGTCTGTCGAGCGGGAGATTGGACACACGGGTGCATTGATCAACTGAGGCTCCTTCCACAGCAGCAAAAACGCGCTTAAGGGGCTCGGTCCCTCGCGTTTCGGTGCTTCGTGCACACGGGAGGGAAGGCCCTTTGGACGTGAAGGGTGAGCCCTCAGATCCCCTTTCTCCTCCCTTCTTGACTCTTGGCTGTGTGGGCTGAGCAGTGAGTGCGTGTTGGCCTCAGCAAACAACAAGACGTGAGAAGAAGTCAGTGCTTCCCAAGTCAAACAACGCTCCGCCACTGCGGCCTTCCCTCCCGGGCCCCAGCGGCCCAGTCCCAGTCCCAGTCCCAACGGGTGAGTGGCGAATACTGGCTGTCTGCGCGTTGCTTTGACCGCGATTGATTTCTTTCCTCTCCTGAAAGAACCTGGATCCTAACAGCGGATGGGCTCTTGCTGGTCGCCTTTTCCGCCACTGGATCAAACGGTCTCGTCCTGACCAGGCCTTGCCTGCGTGGTCAAGATTGGTGAGCCTACAGGCGAGATTGCAGCAATTTTCGCTCTGGCAAAATAGCTTGTTTGTTTGCTCCGAGATTTGAAGTTTGGCCAAGATCTATGGCCACCATACTGGACCTGATCTTCTGCAGACGTTGGCCCTCTTTTTCTGTTCAGAGCTCGTGCCCTCGAAATGGGAACACAAGTCTGTCGTGATGGACGGATGGACGTGGGACAGCCGTTGGAGTTGGGCCACTAACAACTTGACTTGGACTTGACTTGGACCTGACCTGATTGCTGTACGTGCTGAGATGAAGATTCCTCCCTCAGTGCTGTCTGTCGCCCACTGTGACTGATAACGGCCGTGGAGAGACGGACACTCAACTCCACAGACAGACACAAACACTGTATCCGTTCTCCCACCGTTGCTGTCTCTCTCGCTGTCTGCTGGGTCACTTTTCCAAGTGGCAAGTCAAGGTCACGGGTCGATCACAGATCACAGATCACAGATCACGGGTCACACATCAACACATCACACACAGGTAAGTGTCTGTCTCCAGTCCATGTTGGTCAAGGCAGAGTGATGTGCCTTTCATATCTCACATCAATCCACCAGTCTGTCAGCCTGTTTAGTCAGCCCTCAAGATCTTGACCCGGACCTTGATTTTGGATGGCGGTGTTGTCATGTTGATCTTGATATGTGACGTTGATTTACTAAGTATTCTCCATCCTTCAGCATCACCATCAGATCATAACTTGTCCCTCAACATCTGTGGGGAAGCCTCCTCCTTCCTTCGCTGTCAAGTCTCACACATCACCGCCGAATAGCATCGACGCTACGTACTCGATTTTGATTTCTTCCTCGGCTGTTGCTCGGCCCTCCAGTTTGTTCCATTCGTGTCAATCGACAATTTTGTGATGCATGGCGCAAGACAGAGAAACAGAGGATGCTCAGCAGCTTTCTCTTTCATTGGAGCCTATACTTACGTGCTTGATGGCCGCGCCAACCTGTACAACACCATTGACGTTTAACCAGTGGTGGCAATCCTGATGGTGATGAACGCATGCTTCAGCCTCGTGTTTGAGTGACGACCGGAATGGCTGCCTGCCAGCCTCAATGACAGGTTCCTCGAAAAGCACGAGTTGATCACCTTGCACACCCATCCCCTCGGTCTCGTGCTTGACCTCGTGGTTGACTGACTTGATCCTGACTGACCGACTGCTCCATGACTTGCTTGACTGAAGTCTCACGGTCCTGATCTGCAGTGTCGTTCTTCCCGACTTTCTAGCCTATGCTTTTTATTGCCAATCGTCCTACCTGGTCAACCACCTCCCTCTCGGGGTGATACGAAGAGCAGGCCTACCTCTGATTTGGTGCCCTCAACCACACGTGTCCCCATGTCAACTTTTCAACAAGTCCAAACCTACTAGTAGGAAAGCCATACAAGGTTGAATTCTATAAATGTCCCCTTGTAATATCCTAGATACCTTAGGCGGCCTCTTTTGCCTTGGCGAAGATGTGGCTTTCCGATTCATCAACTACGGACATGCGGGCTCGTAGAGTTGGAAGAAAGAGGCGAGAGGTGTTAGGGGTGATACAGCTTATGCGGACAGAGCTAAGTAAGTACTAGCTAGGTACCTAAGGTTCTTGCCCATGCTACGGAAAAACCTACCAGCCCATGGATGCTTCAGCCAGGCAAGGGACGAGCTGTTCAACGCTCCAATTGATGCGTTTCATTATGGACAAGAAGCGTTCTCCCTTTGTGGATCATTGACAACAAAGTCCAGGAGATAGGCGAAGATACAGAAACGACCTCACCGGTTTTGAGTCTTTCGATCAGAGGGATGTGCATGGTGACGACTCAGGTATATCTAGAGATAACCCCCATAACTTGGCAGGGGTCTAGAGCTCAAGGTACTAGGAACATATACAGTGGTAGATGGCAGTGCGACGGCGCCGGCGCCTCCTGCTGAGGACGGTACATCCATACAATCAAGCTGGGATCAGGAAACAGGATTGAGATTCTTGACGTGGCCATTTTGGTTTGGAGCCTCCTGGGCTATGTGGCTGTCTGTTATCCATCAACCAAATACTTGATGGTCCTTCTAGGCACTCTCCTCGCCATCTCCTTGTTCGTCTTCCAGCGCATATATACACAGCAGAATGGGAAGAGCAATGTGTTGACGGCGCACCAGGCGAAAAGGACGCCGAAGTTCAGGCCGATGCGGCTGTGCGTGTCGAAGAGGATGGTGCGGCTTCCGTTGACGATGTGATATAATGGCCAGGCATAGCCGAATTCGAAAAATGCCGGCGACAGCGGGATGGCGTAGAAGGCGGTCGAGACGTTGGTTATGACCCAGAATATCAGCCAACTGGATGGACGCGGCGAGTGGTTAGCAAAAGGAAAAGGGGTTAATAGGCAAGCGAAAAGAGACACACATGCGGGACGAGGATATATGGTGGATAGGACAAGTAGGAACACCAACGACGGAAAAGAACCATCTCGACAACAGACAACCCCTGATGGAGATAGAATATAGACACAAGCAACTTACAAAGCTGTCCAAGGTTGGCCGATGATCATGGTCACGTTCTCCGAAGCCAGGCCCAGAGCATACATGCCGACCCAGTTCAACATCCAGTAGACGACGAAGGTGCCTTTTCCGTATCCGTCCGGGTTCTGGGCCATGTTGGTATCATTGTGTCGATAGTCGTTGGAAAAGGGGATTTGAAAGGCCAGCGAGACCAGCGAATAGGCCAGCGACATGAGCATATACGCCGCGGTGGTGGCGAAGAGGCGGAAGATGATCAACTGCCAGAAATGCAGGGGCGGGTGGTCCTTAGGGATCAGAAACTTGGTGTAGACAGGGAGGAAGAAGGAGAAGGAGAAGAAGGCAATGATGATCAAATAAATCAGCCCGATCGTCACGGCCGGCGTGGCCTGAGGAGGGTAGAAGGGCCGCAGGTCGAACATGGAGAATGCAATGGCCGGGTTCAACGCCTGAGGAACACGGGCGTACGTTGCAGTGTCGAGAGAGGTGTTGGACAACACGGTCTGGATCCATCTCTCTCCAAACAACGTCGTCACGTCGGTCTGGAACTGGTACAGCTGGGGGATGATGTAGTTGTAGTAGCTGGTTTCGTCGCGCGCCGAGTTGATGATGATCTGGCCGGCGCCGAGGGGCGAGTAGCTCGTATTGCCTGTTGCGACGGCCTCCTGTAGGAGTGCGGAGGCATTCGCATTGACAATGACCGCTGCCCAGACTTTGTAGTCGTAGACGGCCTGTCGCACTGCCAGAGGATCTCCGTTGTACATGTCTGCATCGTGCACTCTGTATCCCAAAACACCTGTCTGAATCATGGCTTGTTCTTGGGCCAGCCGTTCGACGACCGGTCCGACGATAGGGCTGGTCCCTTCATATGGAGATATTCGGCCGTCGAAGCTCACTACCGCCACCGTGAGGGCGGACATGTTCTCCTCGACGTGGAACAGCACGGCCCAGTACAGCGAAAGGATGCACAGGATGAAGCTGAACAGTATCAGGACTGTGGACGCCCATTTGAGCACGACCTCTCTGCGAACCGCTTTCAGGGATGAATCGAGCAGGCCGACAGGAAGCGGCGGGAACTGGGGCGAGTTCTTTTCCTCGTCTTGTCCACCTTGGCTGTTGTTGTTCTGGTGGCTGTCATTGCGCTCGTTCTCACCATCATGTCCTCCATTCCGTGGTGGTACTTCTTTCAAACGAGGCTCTTGTTCTTCTGGTTCCAGAGTATTTTCGGAGCTGCTTCGAGTCATCGCGATAACTCCTGAGAAGGTTCTCACGTCTTCTCGTTCGCAAGCACACTTGCAACTTCTAGACATGAAGATCTCACGGGAAAGGGCTTGAAGGTACAGACAGACCTTACCTTGTACACCGGACTTGGGTGTGAAATGCATGCATTTTCTATGACGCCCATCTACAGACAAACAGGGGCTCATGTCCGCCAACAGATCATCACTTCTCATGCTGATCCGCGTGTGGCTGCGAAAGTCGTGTCCATGTCCATCCAATCGAACATCTCTCTCCATGATGTCATGTCAGGGTCCCAGCTCAAGGGGCATCGTCCACTGGCACATAACGACTGCCGTGCGACTTTCGTAGGTGGTAGTGATCATTGCTCATCATTGCTTGTAGGTGTATCTTCGGATGGCGGACACATTCCTTGTCGATCCTGGCGGACACGGGAGAACTGTCCGTCGTGCCAATGGATTCCTGGTCTCACTGTGGAAACCAAGCAGTCATAGTATTGATGCTGGTAAATAACAGTTGATAGTCAAGCGGCTTGACTACCTCCCAAAAGGGAGCAGAGGCACCCGTCCAACCTTGATCTGCAGACTTTGTAGCCAAACACATAGTGATCATTGGACTGGGCGTGAAACAATCCTCGGTACAAGGCTGTAGTAGCTTTGTAGCTTCTGATTGGCCATCTCTTGAGATAAGGCTGAGCCTCGGCTTGAACTGCGAGGCCCTCGCAACTCCATCGTCTTGAGACGCAGAACGCTCAGTCCTTTCGCAATTGTTTTCATCGCAGGCGAATGTAACAAAGCCCATGGACAGGTCGCTCGCGGCCTTGCTAAGGTCTCTGAAGACCTCACAGAACCCCGAAGATGCCGCAAGGTGAGAGTTCCCCTGTTGTGGACGACATGTTCTGATCATCTCATTAGGTTGTTGCCTACGGCTACGAACCTTCTATCGCGACTGTCGAACCCCTTGAACATCTCGTTATTGTCGTCGCATCTACTGTCGACGGACCTACTATACCCGCAGCCTACTGATTTGGCTCGCTGTCGACAAATATTTAGCGTCTTCTACACCGCAGTCCTCCGACTGATCGAGGACAAAAGGATCCCCTCCCACCAACCTTCGCGCAGTCATTTGTCTGTACAGGCATGGATAAGAGCTGTGGTGCAGGGAGCAGATGAAGAATCGCCCAGATGGAGGCACACATTGCTCCTTGGCGGACTTCTTCTCGCCGTTCAGTCGAGGGAAGTCGAGGAGCTGTCTTCCCATCTGCGCAACAAACTCGAGGCTGCATTGGTGACGGCGTCCAATCTCGCTTTGCAACAGAAGCATTCCGACCCCAATTGTGAGCTGGCTGTTGTGTTCGTCCTGAATTACACTTTCCCTATCCTCTCGGACTATCATCGATCGCAAATTCAATATGACCTCCTGTTACCCGTTCTCATAGACGCCGTATTCTTCTCTCGTGAAGGCCTTGAACAAGGCTATTGGCTGGGAGTCATCGATTACGACGTGCGGCAGTCTTCTGAGCAGAAATTCATGTGGTCGGCGGCCTCCGCTTCGTTTCGAAGGATCACGGAAATCAAATCAAAAAGTCTGGTGTCTGCACTGGGCTCTCTATCACGATTGACCGCCCATGCCATCGACAGTGTACATGACCCATTGTTGATCATTCACACTACAGTTCGAATTTCCACGTTCGCGAGGAACCTGGCAACATCATGGAGGCAGAACAAATTGTCCGAAATTGAACCAATGGAGGAGTCTCAGTATCTTGACCATGACACCACCAACAAGACCCTGCCGGTTCTTCTTCAGCTCCTCAGAGATACGATGTTCGCTGCGATCATCATGCTACGGTCTATCATGGGTAGGCTCCTGTGTGACAAGGTGCTTGCGTCTGATATCAACGCTCCAGGCTTGGCCATTCAGAGCATACACATCTTGCGCGACACTTATTTCATAGCCCACCGTTTTGGACTGACCTCATCGTCACAGTACATTTTCGTCGATTTCACGGCCATTGATGTCCTGAGTCGATATCAGGCACAGTCAGAGAATTTTCTAGAGTCGATACGACCTGTAGAACTAGGACGGATTCCTCCTCATCCCCTCGACCGGTTGCACGATTTGTTCTTTCTCAACACCGCCGAACACTTCACACTCACGCTCTCGCCACGACTGAACCAGGATCTACTGTTCAACGCAGCAGCACCGTACATCGACCCTGAGGGTGATCCGCGACTAGGTGAAATCTACGAGGCTGCGCATAGTCTTATCTTGGCTATTCTTGCCGCTCCTCAGAACGCAGAAGTGGCCGCAAGGAATGTGCCCTTCTACGTGGAGACCTTGCTGCGAAGTTTTCCGAGACCCCTAGCAGCTCGGCAGTTCAGATTGGCGGTGAAGTCTGTTGTCCGCGTGGCAGCACCGCCTTCCTCTATTGCAGTTGGTATGCCTCTCATGCAAGCCATTGTGATGGAGCTACTCAGAGAACGCATGAGTCATGCTTCGGAAGATGTGCTCCCTCCCAGTCCTGATCTTTCAGAGGCAAGCCAGCCTCCTTTGTCGCAAAAGGCAGTCTTTCTTCTTTCTATCATTGACTCCTTGAGCTTCCTGCCGGTTCCATTGCTGGAAGAATGGCTGCCAGTGACTGCCAATTTGCTCCACGATATTGACAATCCCGCTCAAAAGCAACAATGCCTACAACGACTATGGGACACCCTTAGCAACGGCGAAATGGATGTTGAGCGAGCTGCAGCTTGTGTCGCATGGTGGACCTCCAGGGGCGGCCGTGAACTTGTCCTCTTCGGAGAGCATCCGGAAGATCAAGAATACACCATGAGTGGTGCTCTACAGTTCGACAGCAAGCTTTGATGCGGCAAAGCCTCCTAGGTTACAAGGAATTGCCATCTTCTTTGACAGTGTTTTGCCGCGGCGGTCTTTCAACACCTCTCCCGGCTGCATATAATGCCTTGATGTTGAGTTTGCATTGTCAACAAAGCATCACATCAAAAAACCCCCTGATATGCCGGCGAGGCTGCTTACAATGCAGATCTGATTGATTGTCCGGGGAATATATGCAGATGAATCACTAATTGGCACAGTTCATCACTGTCATCCTTCCTTCACAACTCTTCAATCAGCAGTTGTTATCCCCTCTGGCAATCCAGAATCTCTTTTGAGCTCTCGACAACTGCACCAGCACCAGCACCGACCATGGCTTCTTTGCGGCGGACCAAAAACTTTGCCAGTGATGGCCAAACACCCATCTTCTTGTACACGATCCTCAAACAGTTGGATCTCAGATCGATCGACTGGAACCTGGTTGCAAGTAGTCTTGACATCTCCAATGGTCATGCAGCGCGTATGCGATACAGTCGAATGAAACAGCAATTTGAAGGCCAATCCAATCAGCCAAAGCCACCCAAGGCGAAAAAGGAGAAAGATGGTGAGGGCAAATCGACCAAGGAGAAGGGCAAGGGCAAGCGGCTCCTTCTGGAAGAAGAGAATGAGCGGCTTGCCAAACAACGCAACTCGACGCAGAACGATGTCAAAAAGCCCCGGCTTGAACCGTCTGCATACATCGAGCCAGCCTTCACTTCTTCTTCCATCGTGAGCACAGGCCAGCAGTATACCAGTCCGATGTGGAATCAACTAATGGTCAAGATTGAGCCAGCATCTGAATATGCAAGCCTCGCCGGCAGCCACACGTCTTCTGCTCCCGTCATCAAGGAAGAGCCCAACACATCAACATCGGTCATCAATATGCAACGCTCCACCTCTCCCATCGTCAAGCAAGAGCCAACAACCACTCCAATGACCAGTCACGAGATGTCGGCAGCGACTCCTATCACCATCAAGCAGGAAGCTGACACCGCTATGTCATACGGCGCCTTCACTGGCATGAATCCATTGAGCTCCTCCTCTGCCAGAAGCTACCATTTGCCCAACATGCCAGGCCGTTACATGAATGGACTGGAGGCATCTCACTACATGAACTCATATGGACTTCCGATGGGCGCAAGTACCAGCTCCTCTGGGTACACGATGCCACAGTCGGCGCCAGGATACGCCTATCATCCATTCATGTATCAACCCAGCAATCGGTGGCCCCAAGCTGCTGTTGAGCACAGTGTGACCAACTCCATGTCTCCAACAGCCGACAACATCTCCCTCAACCCTCTTGCTAGCTCTTACGAAGAGTTGTTGAACATGCCCCTGTACGTCCGTCACGCCACTCCTGCGGAGGTCCAGATACCAGAGATGAACTACAGTCGCCATGCTCCTGCTCAGCCGATTGATAGCAGGTCAGAGGATGCGCAGCACGCCAGCCGATCTGCCAACGCTTCTGGTCTGGGTACCAAGGATAACAATATCAAAGCTGGCAACGCCAATCCAGGAGTCAATTCAACTCATGCACCGTCGTCGCCTGACAGCGCTCTGGCCAACCTGAACGATGCAACTTCAAGAGCTACCATTGAAACAGATTTTGACGCCGACTGCGAGATTGACACTGCCCATACTGGGATGGCGGACGGGAATGACACTCGAGCGGTGGCTGTGAAGAGAGAGCCTGTGGAGGCGTGGTAATAGGTGAAAGGGGAGAGAAGAGTTTGGCCCTTTTGAGCGAATGAATTCATGAATGACGGCCTGCCCTTTGAGGACTGCAGCTTCACTCAATTGACATGAGATGGGTGGAAGTTCCACGAGAGAACCCCGACCAGATGAAAGATAGGAGGCAGGAAACGGAGGGTTGCTCGTCTGAAAGGGATATTCTGCGGGAGTCATGAACAGGAGCATGTACTGAGCATCGAACCTTGAGCATTGCACGAGAGAGAATTCATTCTCGTTCGGGATATCTGGGACACACGTGTTCAACCTCCATCTTCATATAGCGGTTTCAGCACTTGCCTTGTAGCAGTCAATCGTGCATGTCATCTAGCACGCCGAGAGCAGCAGGCAGTGAGACAGACGTTCAAAGACCCGGATGTGGAGGTGATAGCGAGACACATACTCTGCCGTACATTGCTAGTCTTGTTCATTTGATGCGCCAGACTGTATTATTACATAAGCGCAGGCGGGGATAATAATCATCATCTTTGGCTCCGGGCTTCTGTTCATGTTTCCCCTCCTCGTGTGTCCCGCGACCCCGTGACAGCGCATCCCGACCGAACATCCGCCTGCTCCTTGTATACAATGTATAGGGTATACGGAGTACGTTGGTCAGTGTCTTTGGTACACAAGGATGGTCCAACCTTCGTCCTCTGTCACCTCATCATCATCATTCAAGTCTCGTGGCTGGTCCACGGCATTTAATCCCCCCCAAGCATTCCGTCTGCGTCTTCCTCTCCCGTATCGACATCCCCCGCCTGTCCTCTCAGTCACCGGCCGTCTCCTGTGCATTAAGCCCTGGCCATCTCACATTGTCCGAGCGCAGTTCCAACATCCGCGATTCCGGGCGGTTTGTCTACAGAGTAGACACCCTGCCATGAACGTCGCGCACGGTTATTGAACTCGTGAAATCAATAACGATATCTCCCAAGACATTAAACATTACCCTCCCTCACATTCTATCCCACCGACCATCCTATACTCCGGTTATCGGTTGTCAGTTGTCAGACAAGAATGTCCTTCCTTCGCAAGACCTCCGATGCATATGCCCTCTCCGCTGTCTTCCCTACATACCTAATCCCATCAGTCCCGTTCCGGCGCAAGTCACGACAGTCAAGCACGGACAGCAACAATTCCAGCGATTCCAATACCTCGACCTCCCATGTCTCTGTGTCTCTATCGACGGCGTCATCCTCGTCGAATCCATTCGTGAGATGCCTAACCCCCACCCCCATCCCTGCCTCATCAGCCTCGTCGACCATCCTCCCTCCCGACGACAAGTTCCTGCACGGCCACAGGTCACACATCCAATGCGCCAAGTGCTCGACGGATCTATGTCTCACGTCGCAGATCATAAGCAGGGGGTTCACGGGACGGCATGGTCGAGCGTACCTCGTCCAGGGCACGACGAGCCATATCCGCACCACCACCACGGCCTTGCCAAACACGTTCTTGAACAAACCCATCCCCCGCAACCTGGTGACGGGCCAACATATCGTGAGTGACATCAGCTGCGCCATCTGCGGGAGCAACCTGGGCTGGAAATACGTGCAGGCCAGCGAAGAGAGCCAGAAGTACAAAGTGGGCAAGTTCATCCTGGAGACCAAGAAGATCCGCATGAACGTGTCATGGGAGAACAAGGCTGATGACGATGACGACGGCCGCGACCACCTGGGAGTCGGAGTCGGAGTCCAAATGTACCATGAAGTCCTGCCACTTCCGCCGCGAGACTTGAAGACCCTCGCCCACCCTCCTGCAGGAAGAACAGGTCGTGACGCGTCAAGTTCCGGTGCCGCAGCGACTGCTAGGGGTGGTGGCGTTGATGATCTCGAATTCGACTCGCAGGACGAAGATGAGTGCGAAGATCTCTTCGCCGGCGTGTGGTCGCCCGAACTTGCCGCGGACCGGAGACAGAGGAAGAAAGAGCGTTTGTTTGCCAAGAGGCCTGCCGCCGGCTTGATGAGTCTCGGTGCATCCGACAGCCTTGAAACTTTGTCGTGATGGAAGTCACCGGCCCTCCATTCATTCACAATTCTCGCTCCGCCCGTTCGAGAACCGTTCTCGTGTCAGTCTGCGCACGGCAAGTCATCTGTCTCGAGACGGACAAACATGCATGAAACGAGCGGAATGATCAACAACACCGCGCGGCACTCGGGATTTGCATAATCACGGAGCATGCATGCATGAACTCAACAACCACCCTCCCCTCCATTCTCCCATCCACTGGGGGCAATCTATTCTAATGACCCAACCTCTTCTCCCCGACATGGCCAGATTGGGGGACTCGATTCCATTTTCGATTTCACATCTGGCCGGTCATCACCCTATCCCTCTTCGCCGACATTTGGTATTTGGTTTTCTTCTGGGACTGCACCTACGATCATTGATACCCCCTGACTACTGCACGGCGCTGGATAACAGCGAGCAGGTAATCGCTCACTCGCCGGTTGAGGCATCGCGTTCCTTTCCTTGATTTCGGTTGGCGGACTCGCGTCCAGCAGCATTTGATTTCGAATGATACCCCACTCGCCCCTAATCGATCATTATGACGGACTTGACGTACGAGGGTGCATGGAGCTGATTGTCTGTTTGCTTTGCTTTGCATTGCTCTGCTCTGCTTTTTCTTTTTCTTTTGTGAATCGGATCATAATGGGAGTCAGGGGATAACTTGGGATGAACAACGACAACGATAATACAAGTTATGACACCACGGTGGCGGGACGAAGATTGATGACAGCAAGATGCCTTTGGAGCTGGATCTATCTTCACTAGCTAACTAGTTGCGTCTCGGGATCAGTATCTGGGGCATGCATGATATAGCTGGAGTTGGCAGAGAGAGGAATTACACTTGATACAGATCCTTGTGTTCCGTTTTCGTGAGGCTAGTGGGTTTGTGTGGCTGTTTCCTCCCCTCTAGTCTGGACCGGCGTAGAGTGGAATCCTCACCGTCAACCTGGTTGTTGTGCTTTCAATGTCATTCAAGAGTGATATGCGGCCCTCGACGACTGCAAGGCTCTACGCGGATAGGCAGACATCAGGTGCTCAGCTGATGGCTTCTTCCACCCTAGGCCTGGAGTCGACTTAAGTTAGTTGTTTCGATGTCTACTTTTGACCGCAGTCCAACTTCTGGATCTTTGCTTTGGGGAAGTGACCCTCACATTTCCTCATCTTAATTCTTTGCTATCTATCTCGTCGGCTCTTGAACCCCGAGGTCGTCCACGTCGAACCGGTTCTCCCGTCCCAGGTCCCAGGTCTTAAGTCACAACCCACCAATCAATGACCATGGAAACGTTTCCATCTCTCAGTTCTTCCGCTTCTATCTTCGAACTCTTGTCTCTTCACATAACATATGTCAAGTGGGATCCTGTTTCATGTCTAATTCAAACCTCAGCAGTACCCTTGGTAGCATGGACGTGATGGTGATGATGATGAGCATGCTTGCCGTCAGCGGCGGCATTGACCAGCCCAGCCTTCTTGCCGAATTTGCAACAGGCCTCGTGTCTCCGCAGATTGTCGAGTCGGGGAAATCTCCTCTTACAGCCCACCCCATGGAACTTGCAGAGCATATGTTGATGTTTGGGCCTGTGGGTGGCCATGTGACGTTTGAAATTCGAGCCTTCGCCGTTCAAATATTGGCCGCAGACATGGCAGTACATTTTGTTGCCGTTGTGACAGCTCGCAACGTGCTCGTCGCGCACCTGCTTGTACATGAACGACTTGGGACACCCTGGGTAGGTGCACTTGAATGGTCCGCCTTGGTCCGGACGCGAGGAGGAGTCGCCGGCCTTGTTGTTGGCGTGTGACGACAATGCCGATGTGGCTGCAGCCGCAGTACTGGCAGCAACAGAAGCCGCCAATAGCGGTGCAAGGTGTTTCTTGGAGATGTGGCCAGTCAAGGCGGCTTCCGAGCTGAAATCGGCCGAGTTGCAGCCTTGCCACCTGCATTTCGTCACGCCTTTCATCAGGTGCGCAGCTTTCAGATGTTTCTTGAGATCTGTCGCCGATGCAAACGATGCGCCGCAAACAGTGCCGCATGGCATGAGCCATTGACATGCTTGGGACGTGCTAGGAGCTGAGACGGCGGCCATTAGATCCTTCGTGTCGGCCAACAGACCTTTGCCGGACTGGACTGGTGTCTGGGACGCATAGGGCATTGTGGGCGTGGGCGTGGGCGTGAGCGTGGGCGTGGGCGTGAAGTCCAGTGACCGCGGCATTGTCGTTGGGAATGTCGGTCTCGACGTTTGCATCGGCACTTGCTGATGCGCCGTGGCCGGATGACATCCAAATTCTAGTCCGAATGGGGGGAGGGGATACTGTTGGGTTTGCTGCACCAGACTTGGAATACCGTTGCAGACTTGACTCTGCACAATATTGTTCCAGAGGGACACGGAATTGTCAAAACACTGATGGTGCATGGGCACGTCGAGAGGGGGTACCATTATATCCGGCGACACGTTGGAAAAGTCACGAGACTGGTAATCCAGAACTCCTTTTTCGTCCGCTTGATGCTCGATATCGGCAAAGTCATTGTCGACTCCAAACAACGCATCGTCGCTCAGTAACGGAACCGAGAAGGATAATCCAAGGGATTTGTCGCACTCGAACTCATTCCAGTCAATGCAGTCAAAGCAAGAAAAGTCACACTCATCGCAAGTATCCTTGCATGGCTCCCCTTCGGTGCAGTTTTCGTCCTTGCATTCGTCACAGTCGTTGATGTCGGTGTCAACTTGGTGATTGAATTTGAGGTGCTCTTCTACACAGTCGTCACAGTCATCGACACAGTCCTCACAGTCCATGGGACTTGGGGAGTTGTGGAGAGGCTGCGAGTCCGGGTAGTAGTTGTGGAAGCCATCGTACGGTTGTTGGGAATCAAATCCGCTATCGTACTTGATGTGGCGGTTCAGTGCACTCGAGGCCCGGTAAGGTGGTCCTTCTTCCTCTCCGCAGCAGACGAACTTGTGAGTTGGAGGGTCATCTAGGATCCAGGCCGGACTTCGCGATGCCGTTTGGTTTGTTACCGGATATCGGAACCCGTGAGCACGGCTTGCCAGCCTCGACTTTGCCGGAAGACCGTCGACAGGATTGATATAAGGCTGGTGATGGAAGTCACTGGCCGTCAGACCCTGCGCCGATGACCTGCCCATGACTGTAACACCAGAACACCACCGCTGGAGCAGAGAATTGAGGTATCACGCCTTCTCAGAGCATCCGGATGAGTGACTGCAATGCTCTAAGGCTGGAGAGGGTGACACGCAATGTAATGTGTGTGATAATGATGGGTGATTGCGCAGCGCGGGGAAAACATGTTGCCAGCAGACTCGGACGTGGGAATCCGCGCCAAGCCGTGATAATGGCGCTAGCCAATACTGGCTTAGTTTAATAGTTAAGGAAAGATACCACAACGCCAGTGATTATCTATCTAGGTACTTGATTCAGCCTCGTCGCATTGATCTTATCTATCCGACTGCCTAGAAATAGATTTGCTGCACTTCTTGTACGGTTATGATCTGGAATAGTCGGATAATCTAGCCGAGTCAAGGTTGCGAAAGTGGAAATGGACTTGATACAGTGCTCACAGCCCGGTGAACGAGCGCCAAATGCGCTGGGAGTCACTTAGGTACTCATCACACGTTCTGCCGGTGCGAACCTAGTCTCCATCCTTCTTGCCCTGCACCTCTTCTTTATCATTGAGTTCAACATGCTTTCTCTTCTTCGCATCCATGTCCTTATCCTTCATGCCCTCTTCATACTTGACCAGGACATTCTCGTCATCATCCAGCAGGTCACTCATGTTGTCCAATCCCTTCCATTTCACAATGCCGTCCCCGCGGAACTCGGCCACTCGCTGAGTATAGAACATGTGGCACGTGGGTCGGAACGCTTCCCGGCCCTCCTTTGTGTTGATATTCTTGATCAAGGGCGGGAATAACAGGATCATATTGCGTCCTTCGTCCATAATGGGCGACCGACAATACGCGCAGGAAACCTTGCAAGGCAGATGGTGGGAGGTGTCTTTGTTGGTCGGATCATACCAGCCTAGATCATTTTGGCCGTGGGTGAAGTTGATGTCAGATTTGTGGAAGATAGCGGCCCATTGGAACGGAGCCTGTGCAACGATATCATGTTAGCGGCGATGACCCAGACCCGGTTCGATCAGTCTGTTCTGTGGTACTTACACCGTGCAATCTCTGGCAAGTCGTGCAATGACAATACTTTGCAGCCAAAGGTTTGTCCCTGCTCAATTGATACTGGACTTTTCCGCAGTGGCATTGTCCCTCCCATTTGACCTCGAAGTCATCGGTGTTCTCGTGAATGCGGTATGGATCTCTGTGTTTCCACTCGTCCTTTTCCTTATCTGTGGTGGTCCCCGCCTGATATTGGTGGGCTTCCTGCTTTTCTGGCATTGCGGAGAAGTTCCTCGAAAAGGGGTGTATGGGCCGAGGGTTGATGAGGATTTGAGACGAGGGTTTGCAGGTGCGAGCGGTAGAATAAGTTCGTAGGGCCAAGGAAGGAGTCTGCTTGGATTGTCGTCCAAAGTGTATGAGTCGGCAAAAAGTAGGTGAAGGGGAGGTCATGTGGAGGAAGCTGGTAGGAAATCGATTTTCAGTGCACAGCGGACACGAACTGTTGTCAGAAGCGTGTTAAATGCTCATTGTGGCTCCATATGTATTCATGTCCCAGGTGTGAGTTCGAGTGAGTTCGACGTCACCGCTACAATGGGGGAGAATTCAATGAGCACCACTACTACTTGCAAAGGGGGAATTGAGGATGTGCAGTGGCACGCGAGACAGAGCCTGGTCAAGGAGACGATGTGCCAGTTAGGTAGTGAAGGTGAGGGATGATGATGATGATGATGATGATGATCTCTGGATTCGTTCACGATGACAACATCAATTGTGACTTCAAGTGGACCGTCGTCATGTCCTTTTGGTTGGGAATGACTTGAAGGTAAGGACATGAAAGGGGTCTTGCACCAGTCATCTTCTTTACTACCTGGTACCTTACTCCCTTAGCTATTGCTTTTACTGTGCAATGCGCAGAGACATCAACATGGACATGTCGGTGACATCATCTAGTATGGGTTTTTGTTCCTGACCAATCATAATCTCCCACAGATATGGGGTCCCCCTGAATAACATCAGCACATCATCCAAGGCTGCGACGAGGCTGAGCTCCAATCGCCTCACTCCAGGTATCTACTTATACCTAAGTACCTATCTAGGGTACTAGTACTACGCGGAACGAAGTTGCCATGTACGGGCTAGTGTTCGATTGAAACAATGTTGCTCATTAAGTCGAAGGTCCCAATGAGCCCATTGGGATAGTGCTATTCGAAGTCCGCAGATGCGCCCTCGAGCCTCGGAACAGACTCTGCCAAATAAAAGCCTCACTCAACAGCAGTTCAATGTCCTTCTCCGTCCAATCACGCGTAGGCAGGGCTTGCAGGAACATCAGGATTTCTTGAAAGTTCATCTTCATCAACTGCTCCGACCATTTCACCAGAAACGCCGCACATACATAGAGGTGGAACTGTGAAAATCCATTTTCTTCCGCCTGCGATAACGACCATTAGCAAATGCGATAAGCTTCACGGAGATACCTTTGCTCACCATATATGTGTCCCACATCCGTATCACATTTTTGATACTCAACTCCCGCATCAGCAGGCAGTTCATCCACCGAAAGCTGAATTGCATGTACTCCACATGCTCCTCCTCAAAATGTTTGGCCAATCCCACATCAATCCGTGTGGTGAGGTCTCGCAATGCTGCAACTTGCCGGTGAATACCCGGCTGAGCCACGATGTAGTTGTCCTGAATGCCGTCCAGGAGTTTCGTCAGACACCAGAACGTGTCCGCCTCGACAGCGTCAAGCACGGCCTTGGGCAGTTGCCCCGGGTCCATGCCACTCTCGATGTCCAGGTCCGTAATGTACGTGCCCAAAAATACTTGCCAGAAAGGCGTGGCGAGATCGTTGATCCCTTGCACGTAGCCACTGGCAGGATGCCGGATTGCCCAGACATACAAAATGCGCTCAAGCGACCGTTGCGTGGCTTCGTAACCATAGAGTGGAATGTGAGGATTGGTCCGTGGCACGTCAATGCTAATTTGATGCCAGACAGCCTCGTCCAGACCTCGACCCCGACCGGTCGTGACGGGCGGCTGGGACGCAAGCCCGGCCAGACCGGTATTAGAACCGTTACGGCTCCCCATGGTGCCTGAGCTGAATGATTGGCGAACAGCATCGAGGTACTCTTTGCGTTTCCGTTCTAGAGTAGCAACTCGACGTTCGCTGTTGGTGGGTAAGTGTCCTAACAGTAGTTGCCAGGTCATCGCTCGCACCTCATCAGGCACTCCCGACCATGCTGCAGCTCGTAAGTCCGGCAGAGACACCGATGTCGCTTGCAAGATTCTCTTGAACTTGTTAATTCGGGATATCCTCGTGCTGTGAGCCTCCGCTTCCTTCGGCGTTGCATTAGGTGGCAAAACAGGGTGGCTTATGAGATGCAATGAGTTGGCTGGATCCTTCAGTATGTCCTTATATTGCGGCCTGAGGATCTTCCCGTCTCCCTTCTTTGCGCTCGGATATGACAGAGGATTCCGTTCTTCGGCAATATCGAAGCTACCCGACCTTGCACGGCCTAGCGAAGCCGCAGGGGCAAGTGCAGGAGCAGATGCGGTTTGAGCCAACCTGGGGTATGTCACTGTCTGGGATTGGAGTGGTCTGTTCTTCACACTGCGTTTCCGACGCATGCTTGCGATGCTCGGGAGTCCGAACTCGTCTTCATCTTCTTCGTAGACCAAGTCGTCATCATCTCCGTCGATATCTCCGCCTTCGGATGCATCCCAACTTTCTCCTAATGCAGAGGACGTATAAGTAGAATACGCCTTTCGTTCGGGAGACTGGAAAGTCTTATTTTCGGGAGAAGGGGTATGCGTCGGTCGGCTGGAGGAGCTTGGAGGTGTTCTCGGTCTCGATCCGGATCCCAAAGATCTGCGAAGTCCATTAGTTCAGAGCCTTGTGGTCAGCGAGCATCCTACAGTGTCTCAAACTTGAGCATATCAGCATGCGAATAGGAAGCACCGATCACTTTGGTCGACTTCCCGGGCACCGGCTGAGAGCTTGAAGACCGGCCACGCCAGAACGGTGACGACGGTCGCCTTCATGATTATCAGCATATTCCGCGCGATCGGTTTGACTCTTAAGGCGGTCGTACTCTGAACTATCTTAGGCAGAGTGGAATGTTAGCGAGATGACTTTCAGCGGTTGCGCTAGGCACCATAGAGCGAAAGAGGCACGAACCGACCTGTACCATCTCCTAGAAAAGGGTAAGCAAGTTAAATCTAGACTCTGTGGGTTCGAGGTATTCACCTGCTGCTGAGATCGTTTCCCGCCCATGATGACTGTTTCCAGGAGCCAAAGTCGCCAGATCGATCTGTTACTGTGGCTTTCTCCTGATTGCCTTTGCGTGGAATGGCGAGAACATGCTTAGCGCGTGTCCTAGGCGGTAGAAGAGAGTGTCAACACTGTGTCGAGTCTCATATTGATTTGGTAAGGAGTAGGTAGGGATGGCCGGTTTTGGAATGACATGCAGTGATTCCCGCAGTTGATGCGGATTAGGAAGCCCCCATTATTCCCACCTTGAGTCTGCAGTTGTTGACCCCCAGACTACGGCCACTGATGTCACGTGATTGGTAGTTTGGGATATGGATTCTACGCTGTACTTATAGTTTCATAGTAGTAGGTACCTGTATAAGTACTACTTGGGTACTAGGTCCCTTCGTACGTAGTAGTACGTGATATAACTTTGGAGAATTGATCTGTGATCTGCACAAAGTTCCCCTTGCTTTAACACGTATTGCGTCCCTTCAACGGAGACTCGGGCGCGTCATCTACTCTTGATGTCCCTCAATAAACCTCCAAAATGTTCCTTTTGCTCCTCCGCAAGCTTGCCCTTGGTGTCGCTGATAATGGTCAACACCAAACTGTAGTTGTTGGACAAAAACTTGGCCCTTTTGGACGCATCTCCGGCCCCTTTGGCCAATTTGCCCAGAAGAGTCTCGTACTCGGTTCTCAATCGACCAAGGCTATTGGACACCGGCTCATCATCGCCTGCTTCGGCGCTAAGCACCAGAATACCTTGAAGAAACTGTCCAAATCGTTGCGTAACGGCGTGAGGGGCAGCCGAGGCTTTGGAGGCATCCGACCCGCCGCCCACAAGAGAGAAGGCTGCAGCAGCACCGCGATTGGCGCCGGTAGGGACCTTCTTCAGAGACTCGCAGTGCAAATCCATGACCTTTTGAAAACGGGGCCACAAAAGAATATTGGTGAAGTTGATATACGAATCAGCAACCGGGACTTTCCGCCTCTGCAGCTCAAAGGCAAAATGCTGGTTGAGTCGAACACACAATAGCAAGCCCAAGCAATCGTTTGTGGTCTCCACTAGTTGCTTGGTCAGATTGTGGCCGATGGTGAAGGTATGTTCAAAGATCTCTGTAACTCGGCGAGAAATCTGGTGGTACGAATTCGTGGAAAAGAGTTCGGTAACCACCGAATATTCAGTACACACATTGTCGATGAGTGCCCGATTGAAGTTGCGGAAGGGGACTTCGAGGTAGTGTGCTGCCTTGCTGTCTTCTACGAGATAGGCAGGCAGAGCTGCATCGTTTTTGGATTTTAGTATATCTTCTCTTCGTCCTAGAGAAAATGCATCGTGCTGCGGAGGGGCAGACTTCGACCCTCCAAGAACATTCCTTCTAGCCGTGGACGCTTCCGAACCGAGCAAGTCGTGCTGATCAAAGACGTGGAGCTGCAGCTTTTCGAGGGCATTTTCATATCGAGCAAAGTGACTGCTGTAGTACCAGCGCATGGTGTTGACATACGCTTGACCGATCTCTTCGGCCAAGACAGAATGATTCCTGGCCAGGAAGGCATAGAGATCTTTGTATCTCAGAAACGTCTGTTGTTGAATGACCTGGGCGTTGATGTTGGGCGACCGGAGAGCTTTAATTTGCGCCACAATATAGTCACGAATTCGTTCGATCGCTTTGGCTTTAAGATTTTCCAACAATGGCTTAAGGTCTTGTAATGCCTTGACATTCTCCCCTTTTTTCTCTTTGACTTCAATCAAGGCGGACCTCGTCTCGATTTCGTGGAGTGCTTTGAGGAAATCCTCGTCGATTCCCCCCTCGGCAATTGTTCTCACGGTAAGCGGAGAGAGAGTGACGTCTTCGACCGCAGGTCCCAGGAGCTTCTCAACATTACGACGATTGTCGAGTTTCGCGTTCAATTGTGTTGAGCGTGATTGAAGATTCTCGATTTCGGCCGATACTTGGCCGAGCTCTGCTTTGAAATTGGTCAAATACGATTCCACAGTTCTAAGCACTTGGTCGCATTCCGCAATGGAGTTGTGAAAGTCTTCATATTTTTGCCTATTCCCCTGGGCCGAGACCTCGATGGGAGGGTCTGATGGCTCTGGCTGCAATGGTGTTCCTTTGTTGACAAATTCATTAAGACTGAATCCGCCAAATTCGATTTCCGCGTCTTTAGGTCTGCGCGGTTTGTCTGGACGACTGCTGGCATCTGCGCCGTCTTCGGGTGTTCCCAGTATAGTTCCCAGCACCTTCACAGGGTCTTCGACATCGGGCGGAGGCCGCTGCTCGATTCGCAAGGAGGAGCCATTAGCGACTCTTGGTGCAGAGACCAGAGAAGCAGTGGAGCTGTTTGCACTGAGGTCGAGTGAGGCCGAGGATCTGTTCGCGGACAGACCCAAGGCTGGCCGTTGAGTAGGGGTAAGGTGGGAATTCTTGCGCTGTGCAGGAGAGTATGGCCTCGAGGGGGTCAAGGAACCACTGGGAGATGCGGCGCCCGCAGTCAAGCGGTCAAGCCACATTTTCTTTCGAACATAGACTCAAATGCATTGCTCATGAAGCGATCCAGGATTTAGTGCATCATTGGCCGAGAGAGTGGTTCGTATAGGTGATATCAGTCCATTGTTCCTCAGTAGCCTTGAAGGCCACCTTTCCCCGGTTGCGCTACACCATTTGCCCGTCTCCCATTGCGCGACAGCAGTTGTCATCGACCGAGCAATACGCCAAGGCTGGGGCTTGTTCCAAAATGGCTAGCCTCGTCCTATCGACTAGCGGGAACTTGATGACAGTGTCATTTCAACCCTGCGCTGGGCGCAGGCCAGTCATTCCAGTTATTTGAAAGGCTTTTCTCGCCCCCGCCTCTTAACAACCTGCACTTTTGATATTTTACTTGGGCCTGGCCTGGCATCGATCCTTCTCCAACCAACATCTCTATAAATCCATCCTTCCACCCTTTGCCAGCGTCGCACACCGACTTATCCCTTGCCCATCTTTTCATTCTTTAGCCTCTTGCACCGACATCTTCTTCAACATCTCAAAATGGCGGAAAACAACGACGCGCAGGTAAGCAGACTCGAATCCGGTCTTTATCCCCCGCTTTGCCTCGAGTGTCGGCGCACCTAGATCTCTTGCCATCTTGCCTAGAATGTGTTCTATTGTGATCTCAATCTTGCCTCTGGGCCTGCGAACTGACAGTGTTTTTAATTTAGCATGAGCACACCTTCGAGTCCGCCGACGCCGGTGCCTCGGCCACCTACCCCATGCAATGTTCCGCCTTGAGAAAGAACGGTTTCGTTGTCATCAAGGGTCGTCCATGCAAGATCGTCGAAATGTCCACCTCCAAGACTGGAAAGCACGGTCACGCCAAGGTCCACTTGGTTGCCCTCGACATCTTCACCGGCAAGAAGATGGAAGATCTTTCTCCATCCACCCACAACATGGAGGTTCCCAACGTCACCCGTCGTGAATATCAACTGGTAAGAGAGAGCATAAAATTCTGGCAGCCATGGAGGAGAAAACACTAACAGGTGGATAGCTTGATATCACTGATGACGGTTTCTTGTCCCTCATGTCCGAGGACGGTACCACCAAGGACGATGTCAAGATCCCGGACGGGGAGATTGGTGAAAAGATTGAGAAACTCTTCCGTACCGAAGAGAAGGATACCAGTAAGTGCAATTCGAGAGTCAGGATGTGGCTCGGTGCTGACAGAGTGTTCCAGACGTCATCGTCTTGACTGCCATGGGCGAAGAGACCGCCATTGATGCAAAGGAGGCTCCCAAATAGATGGCTCGACCACACCTGCACATCCGCGGTTCGCTCTGCACGCTTGATGTATTTATGGATGACGACCAACCCATCATGCTTGAAGCGTTTTGGTAACAAAGGCAGCCTGCTATTGCCAAACATCTAGCAGGCGAGGAGTCGATCTGCTAGAGCTACGATGAGCCATAGACCTGTGGAATTGCCTGGAAAAGCAATATTTCAAACAGTGTTGACTCGGTAGCCCTGCGCACCTTTTTGACAATTGGTAGTTAGACAATCAAAGCAATTACCGACCTGGTTACTTTCTTGCTGCTTGCTCTTGATGAGTTGATAGACAAAAGCGTAGACAGCAAACTCGAAATTCTGAAATCCGTAAATACACAAATACCCCAATGTTGATTGGCCGAATCCGACGGGCAGCCTGGTGTGAGATTGATATTCATGTTGCTGAGGTTCAAGGTAGTAAATCTCGGAAGCGCCGAATTATCAACACCAGAGTTCTATGTTTTTCTTGTCTCCTCGGCCTGCGATCAGCTCAGCCTCGTACCAATCCGCCATGTCAAAATTGCAGGGCACGCCGCGGTCCGAAAATGGACGAAGATGATCGCTGCGAGCAGTGTGGCTCTACGGACTTTTTGGTCGAGGACGATGGTCGGACGTATTGCGAAAACGGCCATGACCAGGGCAGAGCGCCGGTCACGGGCGAAGACGAGTTGGATTTTGCGAGACAAGGCAGAGTCCTGAAGAAAAAGGAGGCCAAAGAGAAGCAAAAGGTTTCCGCTGGTAGGACGAGTCTCCCCCGAACGAATATGCTGGGATTGTCCAGAGTTAATCATACCACACAGTCTTACACGGAGCCAAGGCATATCAACTATATCTTCAGTCATGGCAACTTATCTTGCGGAAGCAGTGCTACGCGCTGGTGCATCACAAGGGGTTGCCGCCAGAACTTTGGGTGAGTTGCCAAAAGATCCTGGCGTACCTTATGTGATGAACTGGAACGTCTGCTGACCATGACTTGGCCCATCAGACGATCGTCAAAGACTTATGGATGCTGTGGCTGTCGAGACTTGACCATCGTCTACACGATCCCGCCGAGTCGCAAGGACGCACTGATCCGGCAAGCGAAGCCGATCCAGCTACGACCTCTGCCAACGAGACCGACACAGACACGGATGTCGAGATTGATGAGCGGAGGCGAAGTCGCAAGAAGCGCGACCCCTTACACAGTGGCCCGATGTTGATCGATACCGCTGCCCTGAACTACCTGGGCGTTCTTCTGCTTCGGAGGCCAATCGGGCTCGCAACCATGCTGAAGTAAGTTCCCCTGATACCGAGATCTATCCAGCCTGGAAGCTGCTTTCTGACACACGTCCTTTTCGATAGATGGATCGAGCAGGAAGACATCCCCTTTGTCCGCGCCATTCGGCACGTTCCTGCAGAAATGAAGGGCCGGTTGCCCGGAGAATATCGCCTTTCTCTGGATACCATGAGACTCCTGGAGCGCGACGATTTCCAAGTTGCCGTGTACCGTGTCGCGAAGATGTACAGCATGTCCTTCGGGATGATGATGCCTCCATTGAACCAGCATCTACTTCTGTTCAGCCATGTCCGCTCGCTCGCCCTTCCAATCGAGGTGTACAGTCTAGCTCAGCGGTTGAACGCAATTACAGCCTACCGATTTTGTTATCCCGACACGACGGCCTATCGAACCACGAGACGCCAACCGACCACATACCCCGAGGCGCAACTGATATCGCTTATTGTCGTTGCCACGAAGCTCCTGTTCCCGTTCGACGCGCAGACCGTCAAGCGGTATCCGAAAGATCCCAACGACCCGACGACTTTGCGCATGGACTGGGCTGTATGGCTGAAAGCTAAACAGGGATTCGACAAGGCGACTACGGAATCCATCAACGCCGCAAGCGGTGGCGTGGACCGCCTCAAACCCGGATCAGAGATCCACACCAAAGACAGCGATATTTTGAACATGACCGACCGCCAACTCGACCAATACATGGACTGGTACCAGCGAACCTGGATCGACAATATCAGCCACCAACACACTCAATCCCAATCCAAATCCCAAGAGAACACGCTCGACAAGGAGATCTTGGATATGTTTCCGCTCCACGACCTTCCAGAGCACCCTAGGACACGGGAAGATGACGAGAAGGTAGCAGCCGAGGAGCAGTCCCGTCTGTCGGCCCGGCTTAGGGAAGTCCAAGCCTCGCTTGCCTCGCGCAGAGCAGTTTCCTCAGAGGAAGAAGCTCAGCGAGGCCTTGAGCTTCTCCGTCCGGGCGCCATGTATCTGCAGATCCGGAATCTCGAAGATCTCGCCCACACAGATGAGCCGGTCAAGGTGTTTCACGAGGAAGCGGCGCACACGGCATGTCTGAGCGTCAAGGCATTGTTGAGAGCCGTCAACTATTCTGAAGAACGCATTGATCAGTGGCTCATGGCTCAGAGACGGGAAGAAGTGTGGAGGAAGGACGAGGGCGATGGAGGCGAAGGGGAAGACGAGGACCATGACGACGACAATGACAAGGTTCTGGAAGAACAAGGAAAAGAAGAAACACACCAGCAAATAGCATCGGAAGACGAGGATGCTGAATCTGGGGTGCCAATGGTGCTCGCCACAAGTCCGCCAACGGCCACGGCCACAGCTTCAGCTTCAGGAACTCTCGCTAGAGACTTGAGTGGTCTAGACATCCAATCGTCACCGGTGCCCAACAACGGACCGTCCTCGGACGAGGAGATGGAAATGGAGATGGAAATGCAAACGTAGCTGCGGATGGGGATGGGTTCAATAGGAGGCCAGCTTCCATCCTCAAGAGTACCCATCTTGGTGATTTACCTAATGGACGACAGTATCGTCAATTGGAATGCATTGCCCATTCTATCGCTGGCGCCCAGATGTGTTGTCATCCTTTGAGATCCACCTGAACGCGTCGAGCGGCTTCCAAAAACCATCTTCTACATCCTTCCGATAGGTATACTTCTTTTTTGGGTGACCTCCCTCATCGTCCCTCTCTTCACGCTTCTCTCAAACCCACATCTTTGGACTTTATCTCTCCCCTTGTGGCTTAAAAATACGACGTCTCCACGTCTTCTCCCCAACACAGCAACTTTCCCAACTTTATTCCTCTCCCAAACCAACACCCACCATCTTCTCTTCTTCCGTTTCCCATTTCTCCCGTTCCTCTTGTTCTGTTTCTCACTTCTCCCGTTCCACTTCTCCCCCATTCTTCTCCCACTCGATCCAACTCCCCGGAAACTCCCCAATCTTCCCAGCAAACCCTGCCTGCGCCGCCAACCTCGCGGCCGCCCGACTCCTGACTCCGGCCTTACAGTAGAAAATAGCCTCATCCCCGTCTCCCGGTTTCGCGAATCCATACCGCTCCTCAAACTCTTCCGCCGGCAAGAAGAACGCGTCCGGCGCCGACGTGACGGGCAGGTTGCGACTGCCCGGGATCTTCCCCGTCGACTGTACCTCCCCTGGTTCGCGCACGTCGATTAGGATCCGTTTCGGGTCCGGGTTGGTCGTCAAGGACTGGATTTCTGAGAATCCGTAGACCGTGGACTGAGGCGTCGACGCAGAAGAGGAGTCGTCTTTCCGCGCGACCAGTGTCGTCGTGAAATGCCGTTTGGGCTGGCGGAGACGGGGCATCGACGTCTGGGTTGTGCGTGGGAACGACGGTGGACTGGTGGCTGGTGGGGAATATGAAGAAGCGGCTCTCACTCCTGTCGAGCTGAGTCGTGTTGGCTGTGTGCGGCAGCTCTTACGCAGGGTAAGTGACGAGGCGGCTGCGGCTGCTGTACGAGTAGAGGATGTGGAGATGGAGATGGAAGGGAGATGGTCGAAAGAGCGGGTGAGGATGCGTACGCCGCGCTGGGATGCCATGGTTTATGATGACTGTGTCTTTTGCTTTCTGTCTCTCCAAGGAGCGGGAGCAGCGAAGGTTGAGTTTCACTCTATTTGACTTGATTTCTTGTCTTGTCTTGTCAGTGGAAATGATACTCCAGTAACAAGATACTTTCGGTCGCAGGTGGACGGCGGAGATGACGTTGCCGAGGGTTTTCCGCATTTTGGTACGGTGGGGCATTAATACCATACAGGAAGCAAGGCTCCGACTCTCAGGGTGATATTGTGATAACTGTGATATGACAATATTATATCACCCAACAACGACCAGGCAATAGAAGTGTGGTAGTAGCAATGGGATACAAGAGCCCCATGAAGTAGACTTTTGCATTTGGATCTACACCACTGTCTCTCCTGGGGCAGTATATTCCACCAAAATGCCTGATGTGTTGACTCCATTGTTGTCAGACTGATGATGAGTCTCATGTCCCGAAATCCTAGCATTAACCCCCTTTAACTCCCTACGTCGTTCCATACCCAGTTCAATTGGCACTACTGCATGTCCTGCACTCCGTGTGTTGAAGTCCATCAAATCCCAAATCATATCCATCACTTTACAACCCCTTGAATCTTTCCCAACCAGCAGCACCATTCTTAGTAGGCGAGGCTCGGCCTTCTTCCACGACCTTCCCGCTGACCTCGCGCCGACGGCCCATTCCCAGGCCAAATTCCGAGCCCAGCCCAGCATATCCGGCATTGAGATCATAACCTGTAGAATTCGAGACCTGTCTCGCTCCATTCCACTGAGAGTTGGCCGAGACCTGCTGGATGTTGGCACTCAGCTTCTCATCCTCGCTGTCAGATCCGTAGATTTCGAAGTTCGTACTGTAGTCGCTCTCTGTATGCATTGTCTTTGTGCGTTGATACATGTCCTCAACGTCATGAACGGCAGCTTGTGTGCTTTTCTTGTTACCCTGCGACCCAACGGAGCCGATGGACGATCTCAAATTGCCATAAAATCGACCTTTGCCACCGCTTCCGATAAAGCTCGATGGCCGGGATCCCATATTGGGTCGCGCTTGAGCATTCGCGTCGCCATCGAGCAGGGCAGTCCTACTTTCGTTCTGCAATGGAACCGGGTCCCGCGGGGAGGTATAGATGTTTTCGTCCTGAGATTGGACGCGAGGAGGAGTGGGAGGGTTCATGGCGAGTGGCTCACGACTTCTCCTCTTTGCCTGGAGTTGCGGACTGGGGACTGATAGGTTCGGACTGGAGTCGGTCGTGTTTGCAGTGAGCGGATGCAAACGAGTTTGGCTGCCGTTATGTGGGAGATGAACTTGGCTGTTCCTTGCCGCACCTTGATACCAGTTCTCTCTCTCATGTTGACGTCGATCAACAGAAGCGTCACGGGCCGAAATTGCAGAGACTCGGGACAGTGGTCGGACTTCATGGTCGAGTGCGGCGGTAGCCCCTTCACTCAGGTTGTTGGGCACACCCTCATAGTCCAGATATGACAGCCAAGACGAAGGGCGCGAAGCCTCTTTCGTAAGCCCCGAGGAGCGTTCTGGTCGATGATCCAACCCTGTGCCTGCACCTCGTGAGTTGGGAGAAGGATTGACAGTGGAGTTGGGACGCTCTGGAGATGAATACCGGGACCAGCGCCATGGATCTTTCTCGTTCTCATCCAACTCTTTGCGCAATTCTGCTCTGGAGGTACGAGCATTCTCACTCCCATGGAGAGTGACACTATCTGCCGAGTCGGTCCGCGTATGCATGAAAGGGACCCTTCGAAACCCCGAAGCCTGAGACTCTCTCTTCGCCGCCAATACTGAAGACTTCATGTTCTTCTCCGTGATGAGCTCTGACTTATTCCGCTTATGTCTTGATGTGAGGTTCGGCTCTAGCGGGTTCATGTCTGGTGGCAGTCTCGCGATCTTTTTGAACTTCAAGGCCAGGAACACGTCCAATATGAGAGACACGGCCAGGAGTCCACTCTCAATGGATGAAAGCAGGAAGAAAGCATGTATGATCTTGTAGGAAAGCACCGAGTCGTTGAACAGGGTGCTCCAACCATAAGTGTTGCTTGTATAATCTGCCTGTGCCATCCAAGCGGAGAAGACGAAAAACGGAATCAGCCCGGTGTCGAGCAGGGCTGCGAATATCATGTAGCTGGCTGTAGATGCTGGAGGCCGCCCTGTTGCGCCACGGCAGAAATGGTAGACGGCATATAGTGTATGGCAAAGGGACACGGCTGGAGCAACCCGGATGATCCATCCCACTGTTGACGATGTTTTATTGATGGCAATGACGCAGAACAGGGTGCCCATGGCTCCCAGCAAGGCGCATATCCGCAGCAAGAGCTGGATCTGGCGAGCACGGGTCACCCTACTCTTGGTGTTGGGGTTCATCGGTTTCGCATCGAGATTGCCGTAAGGAACGACTATGTACTGCGGCCAGGTCAGTCTCAATGTTTCTGCGGGCAGTCAAGCCAGAAAGTCATACCGAGTCAGGATGTTTATTGAAATTGATGAGAGGGCCATCTTGCTTGGGCCTTGAGGCTTTCGGGGTCCAAGAAGCCTGTGTAGCAGCTTTGGGATTGAATCCATGCTGGACAGGACCCCCGAAGGTGTAGGTGCTTGGACGGTCATAGATGAAGGGCGGTTCGACACCCATCCTTCCTTGCTGACTGCTGCTTTATCAGATGACAGCGAGAGTCTGGAGCGGAGCACGGATGGAATGTTCGGCAGGCAGAGGGTCAAGGCAGCAAAAAGAGTCATAGCGGAGTGGGAATCGTAGTAGGTAGGTAGACAGACGTCTGGTCCAGAATGACCCCGGACTGTCGATGGCATGTTGACAGTTGTAGAGAGTCCAAGGTTGGCGGAGCAACCACTGCTTATCGATAACAGCCTGCGCCACGACCCTTTTTCTCCTTTATCAGATTCCAGCGCAGCCTTGCACAGTCACAGTCGCACAATATCCATCTTTCGCAGACACGTCTGTGACACTCTGGCTGAGGGCCAGCACAGTATTGGGTAGTGCAGAAAGGCGACGACGACGAACTCCCCATTTGGAACTTCAGCGGCGTGCTCCTTATACCTCTTGTCTGCTATGTGAACCAATGTCCTCAAGGCTCCGCAATATGGTGCTGACGGCCATCATCCCCTTCGACCCCATGGTCGTTGGTGTACGCGACATGTTTAACACTGTACACCTGTGGTCAGCGACACCACGCAGATAGCTAGTTTTACAACCACAGGCAAGAACAACGGTCGCCTGGTCGATAGGACAAACGGAGAGTGTTGTAGTAGGCACACGCTCACACTACAAACGGCTGCAACGAAACTCAATGGATCCAACAATTTCATTGTCTCTACCAAGACCACGCGGATTCAAGTCGGGTCTTCCCCCTATTTGACGCCCAGCAGCTCTAGCGCCCGCACCAGTTCTTCCACAGCCAACTTAGCATTCTGCTCCGCCTCCTCCAATGTCTGCGCTACTGGCTCTATCAGAGACTCGAAAGTCTCTGCCCTCTTGTAACTCCACACTGACCCAGGACGGAGAACGTTTCGACGAGACCATCGCTCCGCGAACGAGTTGACGAGGTCCGTTTTGGCAACCTTTCTGAGGGCGGCGATGTCTTCGAAATCGGAAGGCTCTAGATCGGTCAAGTAGAAGCCAAAGTCTTTCGCGGATCTCATCCGCCTGTCCGGATATGCTGCCCAGAAGATTGAGTCCGTTGGAACGCAAGGCAAACCGAGGGCAGAACAGGCATACTCGTAGACGTACAACCCGTATGTCTGCACGAACGGTTGTAGTGCAAGGATCGCAGCAGAGTTTGGAAAGAGGAGGTGAAGGTGTGCCCAACGGCTGCAAACACTCGCGCAGAGGCAGACAAAATCGGCCAGGGCTTTGACTTCATGGCTACGCGCGCTGGTGAAGTCGCAGAGCGTGGACTGTAGTGCCCTGACCGCCGCATTCAATACAACCACCATTGTCTCAAGGAACTGCTCCATGTGCTGCTGGCATTCAAGGTCGACACGAGTTTCGAGCCTCTGGCACACTTCTGTGGCTATAGCCATCACCATGGGGCCCAAGATAACACTGGGCTTATGGTCGTGCATCACCGACCGATCCATGTAAACCGGAAACACCGCCTTGATAAAACGAAGTTGGGCCGGGATGTCGAGCATGAACCTGCCTTCACCGTCGACATAGTCGGGATCGCTTGCCGACAACGTGTTGGCAACACGTTCAATCAACTCTGCCTTTGTGCCGTGGACTGCAGCCAGTTCGCAGGCAACACGGAAGGTTCGGACAGCGTACTCATCATCGATATGAGCAGGCTCCTCGGCGTGGCGAACAAACAACCATTCCAAATGGAGAGCCTTTTCCTGAAGTTGTCGATCTTCCGGATCTAGAAACCACGGGTCTATCCTGAAGGTCGGGAATGGATATCGGCTGAGCTCGAACACAACCGCATGGATGAAATCTGTCCACGCCTCTCTTGCCGCCCCTTCAGTCCGCGTCCAAGTTTCTTTCATTGCAGCAGCAATGGTCTCGAGCAGACCGTCTGCATGCGCCTTGGTGAGCTCCTCAACACAGGAGAGCTGCTTGTTCGTGGTTTGAAGATAGTAAATACTCCGAATCATATAGCGAACAATTTCCAAGCGATGGGCGATCAAGTCTTCGTCAGTGAGATTGAGATTTGGTGCATCATCCGCAATTTTTCTGCGCAGACCTCCGAGGGCAAGAACGTCGGGGAACGTGTTCACAATCGTATTCGTCAGTAGATGGTCGAAACCGAGTTCATTCTCTGGCACCAAGATCGCCGACAACCAGGTTTTAAGAAATTCATGTATGTGAGACTCCACGAAGGCCCGATGAGAAGCAATCTTGCTGGTCATAAGCACACGATAGTCTCTGGCTGAGTTGGTGATATCACTGAATCGATGGATCGTAAGAACACCCCATCTGGACCAGTAATCATCCCAGCTGTTGTTTCCTCTTTCAATCAAGATGCTCGCGATCGTGTACCAGGTCTCTACCATCGACACTAGCAGCACGTCGTCAAGAGGCAGATAACGGCTCAAGTGCTTGAACAGGATGTCTCGTACTTCACCTCGAAGCTTTTTCAATGTGTCCACTGGGGCGGCTGAGGACTTCCTTAGGTATGCTGTGAGCACGTCGAAGATGCCACTGATCGCTCGGTCATCAATCACCTCCCGTTGGTGACACAAGGAGATCATGTCGGAGAAACGATCGCCTGTCAAGAGGCATTGCGCTTGGGACTCGCTGTAGCAGAGACCAATAGCCTCCATATATGCCTTTGCTATTTTGTTGAACTGCGATATGGCAGTGTCCAGGTTGATCTGATGCACACTGACGTTGTACCAATGGATGTTGTTGTGATCTAGTTTGTCCTTATTACGAAGCGGGATCGTTCTCAGCTTGTCACTGATCTTGAAAATCATGTCTTGAATCCACACAGCCAGCTCATGAAGTTCTGATTCATTTGCGGGTAGCAGAAGGGTGGATCTGACGGTGCTGGACCAACATCGAAGAGAGAGCGTGCGTACAGCGTCATGAGCATTGCCGAATTCGACCAAGTCTCTGACCTTCGATATCTCCGGTTTGACACCGACCGGTGCATAGTGGTAGAGAGTGGAAAATAGAAGATATCGGTTTGCCACCGCTCCAAGGTCTTGAATTGTCAGTGGGTTGGATTCTTCGATCAGCATCGGTTTGTCATCTCCGGCCTCGCGACCGTTATTCGGTAGTAGACTGAACACCAGGGACAATTTGCGCAGTTTGAGTTTCCTCAACTTCTCGCTGTCCTGGGAGCCAACACTGGGCTGTGTGGCAAGCGTGAAAGCCGTGAGCTTGAGGAAAAGGTGAAAGTCTGTATCGCCAGGCTCGGGCACTAGTTCTGAAGCGCCCACCTGGCGGTCAAGAAAGCTAGGTACCTTGATCGTAGTGTGCGAGAAGAAGTCAAGCATGTTGTTGGATTTGTCGGAGTACTGCTTGAACATCTGCTTCAATAGGTTGTTGGCAACGTCTTCCTCCGAACTCCGTGCAAGAACAAGACACCACTGAAACGCAACAAGGCCAAATTGCTTCAACTTTCCCATCCGAGCATCCTTCGTTCTGTTTGACGACCTCCGGACAGTCTCTTGGGCGAAGAACTTGAGGAAATCTGTCATTGCGGTGGGAAGCACAGAAAACCCAGGATGTGCTAAAGTGCCCGAGCCTTCTGAGGCTCCTGCGATCTGCTCGTTGGTGCCAACGACAGAATAAATGCATCCGAGAATGAGAATCGTATATGCAAGCATTTCCGCGGGGTGGGCTTCACCATTTTCACCACCCAAGTGCTTCGACAGCAGATCTTTCAGGTTGGAAATCCACGAATGACCAGGATGAAACTGAAATATAAGGAGGATGGTGTCAATTGCAGCCGTCAGGATGTCAGAATGCATTGCATTGGCGACAAAAGGACGTCGAGATTGTCTCGCGATGTGGGAGAAAAGACAATCAGTGTTTTCCTCCCTCAAGGCTAAAGACCATGCGAGATTTGCCAACATCGAATTGTTTTCTAGCATCTGAGACCTGAAAACGCCTTCAAGTGCGGTACCTTTGATGATGATGGCAATTTGCTGTGAGAGGACCATCAATCGGTTCAGAACGGCCAGCGTTCCTGCAACGTGTCGTTGAGTTTTGGGCGTATCATTAAATTGAATCGCGCGCCGGAGTTCGTCAATTCCATCAAGAATAGAAGCCACGAAGGCATTGAAAGAACGGGCTCCGGTAAACGACACACTCTTGTTGATGTAATCGATGATACTTTCGACTGATTCCGCACATTTGGTCAGAAGAACTGCGTACTCATCTGTATCGATGCTGGTCGCGCCTGCGTCACTGCAAAGGATGAGAGCTGTTTCAACGAAAACTTCGCCAATTATTGAGTCAACATCTTCGGACCAGGCAGAGGCTGGTAGCGTGCGTCCAGATCTGGGAGTTGTGATAGGAGTGCTGCTTCTGGACGTTTCGAAGAGAACAGTGGAGTCCAGCGTCGCCGTCAAGATTTGAAAGCCACCATGTCTGAGTATTGTGCTCTGTAGAGCCTGCCCATTCTGCAGAGGTGCTGTACCCGGTGGATTTCTTATAGCCTGTGACACGATGTCCATTGTGCTATCGAGGTCCAGATCTTCAGGTTCGTCCGCCAGAGGGCTGGGAATAATGTCGCGACGAACCTTATCGTCGGTGCGTAGATCAAGCGCTCTTGGAGCTCTCTTTCTGCTGTACTGTCAGTATCAAAGCCTTCGAACATTGTGCAATAGGCCGCCCTCACCTTGGAGCCCGACGATTTGTCTGCCGATCTGAAGTCGCCGAGATGGTGGGATGCTCTATGAGATGCTTTCCACATGTCTCTCCTCTCACTGAGGGCGGTCGAGGTACGCGTCTCACGAGTGACGGTACCTTGCTCCGTTCGGATTTTCCTGTGGCACTTCCAACTTGTCGATCTGATCGAGTATGGCTGGTTCGTGGTCGTCGAGGCTGAAAATACTCCACGAGATTGGTCGGACGACTTAGAGGCGTCAATTGAAGATCTGGTTGCAAAGATCGAGGCCGAGTCTGCTGAACTTGGATCCGTTGAAGGGTGGCTTCAGTGGTCTGCTTCAGGTGAGCGAGCTCAGGTGAAGTCCCGTTCACAGCAATGTCAATAGAGCCATTGCTTGCGCCATCACTAGGGCGCGGCTGAGATTCTAAGGGGCTGCGCCTTGTGCCTTCTGCGTCCCGGTCATTGACAAGGCCTGTTGTCATCCGGTGATTCCTCCAGCGACCCAACTCTTTGTTCACATCCAAAGTATCCTCTGTCGTAGCCAGTCTTAAAAACTTCTTGGACGGGTCTTGTGCTTTAGTCTGCCCGGAACGTCCTCCTCGCCTTCGTGCAATCCTCAGAAATCGGGGGACATCTTTGTCCTGAAAACCAGGTGCATCCAGTACGGTTATCTTCGGCTTCTGATGCTTCTTCTTCAACCTCTTCTTGGGCCGGGAGACATTCTTGAAAGCGACTCCTGCTGAGGCCCCCAGGCTGTGGTGGGATTTAATTTTCCTTCGCCCAGGCCGAGGAGCGGATGGGTTTCCAGTATCGTCTTTGGCTCCTCGTTGTCTCCCTTTCAATGGAGTCGTCCGAGTCGTCCGAGTCCTCGGAGCAAGCATCGCATCAATGCTGTCATCCTCAACAACATCGTCCTCTAACCACATCTGGACATCACCGTCGAAGTCGTTGCCGGTTAGCGAAACACCCGGTTCATCAGAGTCAGCCTCAGATGCCACGAACATCCTGGTATCCGAATGTGCAGAGCGACCGTTTGAGTCGAGGTTCCTTCTTGTCGTGGAGGATAATACGTGTTGCGCAATACCCTTCTCCAAAGACGACTTCACCGGAGATCGTGCCTGATGGCGGGGTATATGGTTCTTCGCCTTCTGCGTGGAATCGAGCTTTAGCCAGGAGGCCGGTAGGACGCCCTTCATCTTTCTACGGATCTGTTGGATACCCCGAGATCCATCGTCAGAGCTTTCTGTTGCACTTGGACTTGTCGAGGAGTCGTCGCTGATAACAACCTGCTCCGAATCCGAGGAGCTAAGAGCTTCTATATGTGCTCGCTTCATGCCATGCTTGTTAGATGACAGCAATGGGGTTGGAAGAAGTGCCGGGGTCGTGTCACCGCGGAGGAAGTCCTCAAGGTCAGGAAGCACACCATCTGGTGAGGATAAGGTGCCGCGTGAGCGAGGAGGAGAGGGCGGGATCTGAAAGCGCGGACTTTTCTTTCGAAGCAGTTTTCGAGGAACCGGCTCATCTTCGGGGAGGTCATATACACGAGAATCATCCTCAGGTGAGGTCCCATGATATTTCCTTGCCTCCCATAACTTCTTCGTAATGCTGGGCAGGGACTGAGTTACACGACCATTGAGAATGTCCGACAAGTCCGGAAGATCGTCGCCGAACGAGATTCCAGGACCAGCGGTGTGCATGCGCGTCCCACGGATCGGACTTTGCGACTCGTCTTCGTTAACCTGTGATACTGGGCTCGAGGGCCGGCTTTGGGAATCCGAATTCTTCGCTTGACTGCTTCCATACGTGTCGGCCCCTTGAGAATCCTCCCCCGAGACGTTATGCGGCTGGGGAGCAATTTGCTGCAGCAGGACAGGCTTCAGGCCCCTGGCCTTCAGAGTCTGTCGGTATCTAGCGTCTTCGAGCGCGTAAGGGTGCACTTGGATCGGGGCTCGAGGTCGGAAAGATCTTCTCGTAGGCTGCGCGGGTATCTCCACGGCCAATCCAAGGGTACTCGGTTCTGCAGTCCGTTCGGGTCCATCAGTGGTGGCGTTTGACCGAGCGACGAATGCTGTACGAGGAGAGCTTTCGACTGATGAAGGAAGAGACGAAAGCGGGCTGTCAGTATCACCTTCGCCTCCATTGGGAAAGGGACCCAGAATATCCTGGACGGTCTGCAATCCTTTCTGGAGTTCGGCTTCAAGCCTACCAGCTGTCGAGCCCAAAGGGCTGGTAGGCAAGTGCGGCAGCACCGAAGCTTCAGTGGCATCATGGATCCTGGATTCAGCTGGGTTGGAGTCTGAAGGGCCCTTGTGTAAGCCTTGAAGTTGGGAAGGGCCATCCCGGCTGCTCGGCTGACCATTTTTGAATGCTGTATTGTTAATCCCGTTTTCTTGCTTCCCATCACTGACAGAGGCGTTGACAGCTGAAGATTGACCTTTCTCAACCAATCCTCCGGTCTGAGACCGATGGCTGGCCGAACCGGTCTCAAAGGTCAGCGTACTTCCACGATCGAGCACAGCCTGGAAATCCTGCTCTTCGTCTTCCTCCTCCTCATCAGAGTCCGGCACGTAGCCGCGATCTCTCCAGTTGGCCATCGCTGGTGCTTTCCATGGTCTCGTGGCGATCTTTGGAAATGGTTTGATATCAAGTGGCTCTGTCGCGTTGGCGAGACGCGTCGTTCAAGTGGTCCGTTTCTGCCAAGGCGCTAAAACTTTAGAACACATCAAGACGGAAGCTTTTCCGATAGGCCGGAGCGTTGACGACGAAAGAACGACATGCGGCGCTCGAGATATTTTGAGAGGTTGAAGAAGAATGCGAGCAGCCTGGTTTTCCAACCAATACAGAAAGGATGAGTCGACGGCTGATCGGATGGGCTCTGGTGGTGGGCTTTGGTGTATTGAACGGTCAGCTACTTTCCATGAGGTTGGTTCAAGCACACAACTGATGTGTCCGAAGGCTATGTGACTTTCCGGCCTGCCTTCGAGCAACGTGCTCTGGAGAAGCTGAAAGAAGAGTGTGTACTAACCACTCCAGACTTTGCAAGCATATGAACTAATCATGCCGCGCTTTTGACGATAGGGAACTCGCTGCTGCAGACCTCGGCCCAAATCTGATCGAAATTCCACCGCAAACAACAAAACCGCTCAAAGGATCTGCGAATGACGACGCCAACGCTCGCCAGGCTGGTTGAAGCCCTCACAGAAGTCGCTTGGGCGGTCAAGATACCAGTAGAAAGAGCCGGCGGCTGTCGCGAGATGGGTTGATATGGCGGGAACCACTAGACCCTTGGGGCCGGGACACACGCACCTTGATTGCTCCAGGCGCCTTGCAATGAATCATCCTTTTGGAAACGGTCTGCAAGAGTTGGCTCCTTCAAGCGATCAGTCCGGCGCACACATCAACATAGGACGTTCACGGGCCGCAGCTGTGATTTGGCTGACCAACAAGCCATCGAGAGCTTGAGAGGACTGGACATCCCAAGGACTGCTGTTCTGCAACATAGCACACCATGTCGGCATTGCCTCAACCTCACCTGGCATCGGCGACTGAATTCGAGAGCAACCACAGCGCGGACAATGTTACTATGGAGGTTGCCTTCGCGCTTCTACTACGCCTGCCTCCCGGAAATCAGCCAGTGAAGAGGCTACGGTCGAGATTCATCGTCGGACAGGACTTCAAGCCATGAGACCGGCTAGGAGAAGGTCAGGGCGCACGATCGCATGATGTAACGCCGATGTAGAGCTAGGAGATTTAGTTGGACAACGGAAGGAACGGAGCTCTGCTGAAAGGGCGTACACGACCACTTGACGGAAGGTCACAATCCCTTCTGTACTGGAACGAGGAATATTCATGCAGAAGGAGTTTCCTTTTAGGCTATTTCGGTTTCCCGCAAGCCCCTTTTTAAAAGAAGGGGGCAAGGCAGAACCCGCTTTCTGCGTTTCTCCCAAAGAAAATGCAACCCTGTGTGTGCAGTATCTGCGTGATATGCGTACAATCGGCTGGTCAGCGTTTCGAAAGCCCTTGATGCCCAGCCCGTTTTGTGACTAGTCTGCCCGGTCTGGATCGAGTTTTGTGGCCCTGAAAGCTTGCAGGAAGGAATGAACGTGCCCTTCAATCGACTCATTCGATCTCTTGCACGAGTGCGTTGTTGCTCGGTGGCAGCGGTGGTCCGAAAGCACGACCGACTCTCTTGCCCAACCATTCTTCTGGAACTCCAAGTCGTACCCCTTCCTTCGTAGAGACCCATCTCGTGTACAACGGGTTGGCTTTGGGAACGACTTCTTCCTCCTCGTAGGGTGAACCTGCTGCAGCTGCTGCCGCCGCTGCAGCCAGTGTCTCGGGTTTCGGAGCGGCACCTCGAGCTTTAGACACCTGGGGTTTGAGCTGGGGGTTCGATATTAGCAGGAACCACACAGGAGAGCATCCAAGCACATACCAGTCGATTCAACGCAGCCGCCTTTTCCTCTTGTATCTTCCGCTTGGTCAACTCCTTGCGTTTTCTTGCGTGCTCGTCCTTCTTCATTGCTTTCTCCTCGTCGGTAAAGAACTGAACCATAGTCAGCGGCTTGAGCAATGAAGGGCATACAATAAGCTGTTAAATACCTTTCGCTGTTGTGGTGCCATATCCAACGCCAGTAGCGTGCCTTGATCTTCAGGCCTACCTCGCTGTCTCTTGGTCAACCGGCTGATATCCGGAGTTGCTGAGCCTGAAGCCGGAGTCTCGTCGTCGCTGCTATCCAGGTCGTCGTCATCTTCCTCATCCTCTTCAAGCTCATCCTCTTCGCCCTGAGCATCAGCCTCTCCCAGCTCCTTGTTCTCTTGCCCGCGTGCATTTCCGGCGTGGATGTTGATTGTGGTTTCGTCGTCCTCCTCGGAGAGTTCGGACGAGTCGTCGACTTCATCATCGTCTGGATCGACATCCATTTCCTGATCCTCGACTGACTTGACAGGCCCAACGTTTGCAGGAGAGACGACTAGCTTGGGTTTGGCTGCTTGCTTGCTGTCTGGCCGAGCCGCCGGCGGCTTCAAGGTGATCTTCGGAGGTTTGGGTGCAGCCTGGCGTTTCGCAGGAGGGGCGGGCGAGTCTTCCATGTCGACATCCTCATCTTCGGTTCCTCCTTCGGGTTCCGCGCCGAGCTGATCGAAGTCATCAAGCTCCTCATCTTCCTCTTCTTCCTCGTTCTCCTCCTCCTCGTCATCTTCGGCATCATCTTCGATGTCGCTCTCGCCATACTCGGCGTATGTAGGTCTAGGGGCCGCGCGAGCACCAGTCCTCGAAGCTATCGCAGCTCGGCGAGTGCTTCGTGGTCCTTCCAAGACTTGCCCGCCGCCCAGGGTGTCTTGGAGTGACACGATTTCATTTGCACGCATGACCTCACGGAGTTTACTCGGAGCAGCCTTTACTGTCAATTTGAGACTTTGTCGTCGGTCATCTGCAATGCCAGGGCCGCGCTGGACAGAAGCGGAAGAGGTGATTGGGGCTCCTGCGCGTCGTGGCCTGGACGATGCCGGCGTCGAGGCGCCGGATGAGCTGCGCGGTGTGTTAGCTTCTTTCCCCCTCTCGGTAGCACGGTATCTTAGTGTGATAAACGCCATGATGAGAATAGAGTCCCTGTCGCGGCAGTTGCGCTTGCTCACTTTGTGAAGGAGGAAGATAAGCTAGCCGATCTCAATCCTCGCGACAGGGATGATGTTCTATCTGCAGGTAACAGAGGTCTTGGGGGATGCAATTCACACGCGTTGCAGGGCATGGTGAGCCAGCAGTCTGCTTTGTCTGCCTGTCTTCACCACGACTGTGGCTCTGCCAACATGCTCAAGACGGTCACGCTTAGGCTGGCATAGCCGGAGAGAGTTCCGTTCTGCCCGCCGTCTCGTCTGGTGGCCGACATGAACACAACAGTAACTCCAGCGCCTTCCTCAAACAATTTAACCAGAAGGGACAAGAGTTGGAACACTCACTCATATCTGCCTGCTCTGCGCATCGAGTCGGATTGTCTGGGATCGAAGTCTTCGGCGCTATTTGTATCTGACTCGTCTGAAAAGCCATCAGTTGCGTCGCTGATTTGATGTTGCACGCGGCGGCTTCTATCTGTCATTTTCCAGGCTCGGCTAACGGGCGTCCCTTCTTAGGCTGGTTCCCACTATCCTGCGTGCTGTGGCGGTTCGATCCTGGTGAGTTTGCGCGTTCCGCACCCCGTGTTCTCCCTTTCTCGCTTTGTCTTCGCACTTCGGCCGCGCCAAAGACCCCTGCAGCCTGGCAAATGGTGTATAAGGATATATGCAGTGCTGAGATTGTTTCTTGGTCCCAAATCAGCAAATAGGCAGCCTATGTCAACTGAGGAGGACACGTCTTGGATGACTTACAAACTACAATGAACACTGCTATATTTTGTCGTGGCGTTCAAGGTCCATGGTACCGCAATGTGGCTGAACTGTATGTGGCTGATGCCTTCAGCCCTATCACTTTCTCCAGCCCCAATTGGATTGAGCCGAGGCTGGCATATAGGAACTTGAATGACCCAACGCTGCACTTGAATCACTGAAACTCATTCTCATGCTTCTCATTCTAATACTATAAGTCGACAGCATGGCAGATCAGGACTCGAAAAAGGTCCCCTCTATCCCTGAGTGGCAGAAATTCTACCAACCTGCACAAGAAGGGAGCACTGCTCCTGACGGTCAACCTTCCTCCGGCCAAAAACCTCTCCAGTCCAACTCGACAACAACAGAACCGTCTCCGCTCGAGCAAGCGCGAAGATTCCTTGAAGACGATTCAATACGTGACGCCTCAAGAGAGCAAAAGGCTGCTTTCCTCCAACACAAAGGCGTCCATGCCGATGACATCAACACGCTGCTCGGCCCAGAACAACCCTCCTCCTCGTCTCCTTCCTCCGAACTCCCCTCCGAATTGAAGACTGTCCATGACAACAGCGAAGGATTGAATGGAGGAGACTCTGATGGTCCAGCCCATCACATTGCTACATCAGCTACAACCGAAACAAGCCGACCGGCCGAGACTGCGCCCAAGCGAGATATACCCCCGATCATCACGTATCCCGAATTCCTCCTTAAGCCGCAGAAGCCTCCTCCGCTCGTGACATTCGAGCGCCTGGCGAACGCGGCATACGTGTTTGCCGGCATATCTGCGCTGACGTATGGCGCCAGCAAGTACATTGTGGCACCGATGCTCGAGACGTTGACGGAGGCGCGTCATGAACTGGCCGAGACCGCCCGAGCGGACCTAGAAACGCTGAACAAGAAACTCGAATCCACTGTCTCTCATGTCCCATACTTCGCGAGCAGCACGGTATCGCAAAAGAACAAATACCAGGACTACGACGAAGATGTCGAGTCTGTAGACTCCGACCCTACGGAGCTTTTCCACCGAGATATAGCCACCCAGACCTCTCCAGCACGGTCGCGATCGGCATCGCGTTCCTCGCTGCAGGAAGCTCCCGCTCAAGATCCGACGGTGACACAGTCTGCGCGCTTGACATCGCTTCATGGCACTTTGTCGTCTCTGCTGACCTCCACGACAACGCACTTCTCTCACGATCGACTCAAGGACCAGATGTCCCAGCTTCAGGGTATGCTCGTCAAAATGGAGACCAGTTATAATCCGTTCCAGATCGACTATGGCAGCAGTTTTCCGGGCCACAGTGTGGCTGACGACAAGAACAAGCTCAAGAAGCCTGCTTCAGACTCGGAAGCGTCCAAGTTCAAGGCCGAGATCAGGTCGTTCAAAGGCGCGCTTCTCAGCTCACGGAACTTTCCCACGGCCCGACCGGCTGGCCCATACAATTTGTCGACGAGATGAGGCAGTATCAAGGGCTGTTACTGACCGTCGCGACCAGGGGCAGACGGACCCTGTGATATGATGACTGTCAATATACGCAGAATATAATGACTATCACATGACTACTGTGTACCTACATGTTTCCAAAATACGTCGCTTCCTTTCTGCAGTTATGATCTCTCTACTCGTGATTCAATTGTATATCTATTGCTCTGCGGTGTCAAGACTAGGGTAATCTTGTCCACTGCCCTATCGCCAGAATGCTAAGCATCGTCCAATCGAGGCGTCGTGATCTGTCATTCCTTACGGCCATCAATGTCATGCCGTGCCTTCAATCTGTCCGGGCTCTCTTGTCCACGCTGCGGCCTAGTGCAAACAAATGTGCTCGGCACCCATTTAAGGGGTAGCCCTACACATGCCAACCAGTCTCTTCACACCGACCATCCACTGACCACACTCTTCAACCTTGTTCGTGTGTACATCCAATTGAATGTCGCTGGCACGCTGGAAGTCTCTATTTTGCAGCGCCGCCGCCAGTTCACTAATCTGCTGAACAGTGGCCGGCTTCAGGAGATCCTCGTTGTTCAAGTGGTCAAAAAGAATATCAAGACGCTTCTCAGTGTCGATGACCTGCGGCTTGAACGACGCTGGTGCGCGCGCCTTCACACGCGCCATCTCAGCTGAAAGGATCTCGTAGATTGGTTGCGCAGCCGGCGGAATATGGGTTCGGTCGCCCTTAGCTGTAAGAATCTGTCAGCGCATACTCAAGGGTACGATAAAGGACCCAACTTACGATGCTTTCGTGCTGTATGAGCTGTCCGCTTATCAGAGTTCGCAGTGCCAGGCCTTGAAGGGGGCTGTTGCGACGGACCCGTACTCTGTGGCGGACCTGAAATGAACTGCTGTGACGGTGTCGGCAACACAGGTGCAGAAACTTGCTGGGGAGTTTGTGCGGTCGGCGGTGGGCCGTAAGGGTTGGGTCGAGATTGCTGCGGTGACTGAGATGGGGCATAAGGGTTTGTGGGCTGTGGTGCAGTTTGGAAGAAAGACTGCTGTGGAGGTGGCGCAACCGAAGGGCGCGACTGGGGCGCGCTGGTAGGTTGAGTGCCTGGCGCAGGAGCATATCGACTTGGAGCCGAAGGAGCATGCGAAGGTGGCGCGTTGTATGGTGAGGGCCCTCTCGCAATGGGTGGAGACATCATGTTCTGCCCGAGAGGCGGAGATGTCACACTTGGAGGTGGTGCATATGCATTGCTCGATGAACCAGGCCGCTCGATCGGCTGATGTGGGAACCCACTGGCTAGAGGAGAAGTCACCCTGGGAGGGGGGGCTGAACCTTTCGGTGGCGGAGGAACAGGCGAAGCTCTTTGTTTGGGACCAGCTGGGGGTGGCGCGGGAGGAGAGGGCTGTTGAAATGCAGGTGATGGAATGAAGGGATTCTGTACCGCCTGAGGAGGGAGACCCGGGGTGTTCCTTCTCGAAGTTGGAGGTTTGACGAAGCCTTCCGGGATATCATTCCAATTGGACATGCTCTTGTCCTGAGAGGGGGGAGGAACCGCTGGGGACTGATTGTATCTTGGGGGAGGCGGCACTGGGTTTGCCTGAGAGACACCAAACGGATGCGTTGCGCTTGGAGGCGCCCTCATCTGCTGAGGTGGCTGATAGCCGCCAACCGGAGCATAAGGGTTGATAGGAGCGTTGGTCGGTGCTGGCGGTGCATATGGATTCGCAGGCTGAGAAGGAGGACGCCCATACGGGGTAGGAGCAGCAGCAGAAGTTGTAGGAGTAAATGCCGTCGACGGAGGTTGATACGAGGCCATCCCTCCCATTCCTGGGAGCGGCTTGTTCCTGGTGGTGGCCGGCGTGCTCTGAGCAACAGGAGCCGCAACGGGCTTCTTCCTTGCCAATTGTATACGGCTTTTTGCGATGTCGGCTCCGGGATACTTCGCTGGAAGCAGATCAAGATACTTTTGAGCAACGTCGAGTTGGCCAGATCCAGCCACAATGTCCGCATACTCAAGATATTTGTTGTAGAGCGCCTCCAGCTTCCAATCTCCGTCTTTCGACAGCTCATCATCCTGGAAGTTGACCACTTTGCGGAATATGGTGACCTTTTCGATGAAATCTTGTAGACCCCGAGCATGCAAAGAGAAAACTGATGAGGCGTCTGCCTCTGATGCCCCAGCTTCCTCATGCTCTTTCAGTTCTTGAAGCCAGATGGCCACGACCTTTTCCAGCTTTGAACCAGCCAGGTAACATAACGAGGCATCTTTCCGGCCGACGGTGGTGAGGTCAGCGAGCTGCTCTTCGATTCTGTCTCCCAAAGCTTCGCACAGATCCGGGAATTCCTTCTCATCAGCAAATGTGCACAAGGTAGCCAGAACCTCTTTCCAATTTGCCAGGTCTGCGTTGTGGACGATGTCCCAAAGGTTCTTGCCCACCACCGAAGCTAGTAAGCGAAGATAGTTGGGTCCCTCAGATTGTTTGGCGAAGTATGCTTCCTGGGCCTTTTTAATGCAGTTCTCGCCTCCGCAGATAGCAATCATGAATGCGTCCGACATCCTGTCCTCCAGTAGGCATACGTCGAGAGCTCTCTCAAATTGTCCCAGGATCAGAGCTCGTGTAATCTTTTTGTCGCTTTCAGATTCGGCTCCAGTATATATCTGGAATGGATTGTTAGTCCTGGTGGCCTTGGTCGCTGCAAGTTCGGACAGGAAATCTCCATCAGCTGAGCTTGCGAAAATTGACTGGAATCGCTTATGCGACTTAGAGGCACCGTTGACTGCAGGCTTTTCCTCGCCCGCTTTGTCGTCATCCCCCAATTCAAGTTTCTCGACGCCGTTTGCGGTATCCTCAACCGTGTCTTCGAAGCCCAGATACTTCACAAGCTCTGATCTAGGGTTTTGGGAAACCAGAGTCTCGATAACTGTCCAATCGGCTTTCTCGTCTTCTGTCTTTGCTGCGTTGACCCTCTCTTCGCACAAAGATCGCAGGTCTCCAGACTGGACGGCTTTCTCGAAATTTTCTGTGGCACTTCCAACACTGGAGTCGACCTCGAACTTGCTAATACTAATCTTAGAAGCTCTCGATGACCCTGGTTCGGATAGTCGAACACTAATGATGCGTCCTCCAAATCCAAAAGACACAGATGTGGGCCGCTCGAGCCACTTCGGCGCCTTTGGGAGTGAGAATGACGACGTTTGAGGCTGAATTTGGGCTTTCGAGAAGAAATCTTCACCATCGGCAATCTGACTCTGATCGATTTCTGTACTGCTGGGATTGGTGTTCTGGAGGGACTGAATCTGCAGCTTGCCATCGAACGACGCCGTCGCAAAGAAGTTGGGATTATGAGGATTGAATCTTGTTTGGAAAGTCCAGTTGGTCACGACAGGATAGTCTCCGTATGGCTGGCCGGTCTGTGGATTCCACAAGATCGACCTGTTATCTTTGCCACATGACAGCAATAGGTCGTGATCCTGGGGACACCAGGAGATCGAGAGGACTCCGGAGTCATGGCCTCGTAGTATTTTCTCGGGAGCATGGGAGTTCCTGAGATCCCACACCAATATGACAGGCTCTTGTTCCAGCGGCACAGCAGTGATCAGTCGTGTAGGCTTCTCGGGATCCCAGGCAATGGCGCTGGCCGGCTTGCGCTGATAGTGATTGAGCGTCAAGCTCTCTTTTCTTGTCTTCATATCCCACACTGTGACGAATCCTCCGCTACTGCCTGTGACCAGGATATTCGAGACTTTCTTGTTCCAGTCCAGACACTCGATATCATCCGCTCGAGCTGCCGTGCTCCCAAGACGGATGGGGGCGTCGAGGTGGTTCAAATCAGAGATGAACAATTCTCCTTTTGCACCGCCTGTCGCCAGGAAGTTTGGTATCTTTGGATTGAACTGCAGCGCCTTGATGGCTCCGCTATGAAGCTTCTTGCTGAAGATCGATGCTTCCGCCGCGTTCGTCAAGGTCTTGTCCGCGTCCCATAACCCCAATGTTCCATCATCAAACGCTCCGGCAATGATCCCTCTTTTGTGTCCATCTTGCGCAGGTGTCCAGGCGAGGTCATTGAAGCTGCAACTTGTTAACCGAGCCGCAGCACGAGGGGGAGAATACGTACCCTGTCTCGGTGGGCAGTGTCGCGGCAGGCTGCAATTCCTGGCCTTGGTGGGTGTTGTCTAACGCAAGATCCCAAAGTTCCAGGCATGTTTCATTGCTGAAATCGACATCGACAGCTCCTGACTTTGTCCCGGTTGCGATCCAAGGGGCGGTAGCATCAGGAGACCACGCAAAAGCCGCAGTTCGTGGTATTTCCCTAAGACGCACCATGATGAGAGAGGGACGATTGACGCAGGAGGAGAGGTGGGTGGTGGAAACGAGGGAGGCTTAAGAAGGCATGCAGCAGAGAAGATAATGTTGAACGCTCCAACAGAGACTGTAGTGGACAGCAAATGCAATGTTTGGTCAACAACTTGAACTGCTTCGTATCGTGAACGGATACTCAACTTTCTGTTCTGGACACCGTCGTTTCTCCAGAATCCGCAGATGACAGTGGCCTAAGCGTCATCCCTGAGTCCCCTTAGCCAAAATGTCGTAAATCTGCAGGCCGCTCACCCCGTTTCGGGGCGAGGGTAACGCCGCCCTGTGCTCACCCCGGCTCGCGCGAGCCGGGTGAGAAATTACCCGTATCAGCTCGTCGTCGCCTTAGTTGGCTTCGTTTCTTCTATAGTACTGTATCTCTACTCTCCTTCTCTTCGGGGTTGACTGCATATTAGATATAGTAGTTATCGGTTGAAACTACTCTTAGGCTCTAGTATTGTTCGACGTTCTCAGGCCATAGGCAAGATTAATATCTGTCTTAGAGGTGAGCCCCTTCTCTCTCTTTTTCTCTCTGCGAGTCGGCATCATAGCTGGTATGACTGTCACGGTTCAGCTAGTCAGAGCACTCACGTCGGTCGCCGCAGCTCTCGCACAAGTATCCTGCACGAGGCTGACAGAGTATTCACGGCTTATCTATGCATTATGGCTCAATTGCCACTCAACGACCGCACCGCGTCTCGCGAGTCTCGCCACGTTAGCTCGGGGACGAAGATATTTCTCCCCGATCCGCATGGGCTAGTTTTCATGGGGAGCCACAGATAAACCCGGAAGAGTCTGCAGTCTGCAGCAAGTCTCCACAGCTTCGGAGATCGGTCCAAACAATCTCGCACGGATTTCGTCTAATCGTCGAGTCTGATGGTGGCCACAGTTGACCATCTGAAAACACGGAAACGGTTATGCGAGCATCCAGATGCGGACAGGTATACTCATATGTGTACCCAGAGCCACAGTCGTGCCGATGATAAGAGACGTTCATAAAGCCTATAACAAGGCCTACTCACGCCCGCGAAGCAAACTCGATGTTGTATAAGAAGCTGGGCTGCTGTCGGTCAAGTTGTTGATCTTTCGGACACACCACATTGAGCTTTTCCATTCCATCCTCCTATTCCAGTCCACCCAGCAATATGGTCGGTGCTGCTACCGCCTCCCGGTCCGTAGGGGCAACGCTCTCTTCGGTCCTCCCTCAGGATGCCAGACCATGGTACAAGCAGAGACATTTGGTCAAACTGAATCTCTCTATTGCCATGATCTATTTCTGCTGTGAGCGAGATCAATGTTCAGAGCACCACGACTCTGGCTAACAAGAGGTCATAGCAACGACCAACGGGTACGACGGGTCCATCATGAACAATTTCCTGAGTCTTCCCGAATGGAATGTCTTTATGAATCACCCCAAGGGTGCGTGGCTTGGATTTTTCAATGCCTTGTACTGGACTGTTGTTGGCGTCTGGTCTCCCTTCGTTGCGCACTTTGCCAACAAATACGGACGAAAACGCGTCCTCTACTACGGTTACATCCCCCTGGTCATCGCCACGGCGCTGGAGGCTGCTGCACCGAACCCAGCCGTCTTCATCGTATCCCGCGGACTGCTGGGCTTGACAACCGCCACGGTTGGCAACACTGCACCACTGCTGATGGCCGAAACCGCCTTTCCCACCCACCGAGGGGTGGCCACCGCACTCTACAACACGGGCTTCCATGTAGGAGCAGCAGTCGCAGCATGGGCCACGTTTGGAACGAGATCCTACGGGTCCAATTGGTCGTGGAGAGTTCCCGCCATATTGCAAATCATTTGCCCGCTCATCGCCCTCGTGGGAGCCATTACAATTCCCGAAAGTCCTCGTTGGCTGGTGTCGGTCGGTCGCGAAGAAGAAGCACGCCGTATCTTAATAAACACACATGCTGGAGGGGACGAGAACTCACCGTTGGTCGACTACGAATTCCGTGAGATTTCCTCCACCATCAAACTGGAGCGTGAAGCGAACAAACGTGGATACTCGGAGATGTGGCGCACGCCCGGCAACAGACATCGATTGTTCATCACCGTCACCATCGGCCTCTTCGCTGAATGGGTTGGCAACAATGTCGTCTCCTACTACGTCTCGGTTGTGCTGACCGACGTCGGCGTCACCAGCGTGACTCACCAGATTGCCATCACGGGAGGTCTCCAAGTGTGGAACGCCATCATTGCCATCACCGCTGCCTCCAACGTGGACCGCCTGGGTCGTCGGGGCCTTTTCCTCTCCAGTGCGGCGGTCATGTTGGTCAGCTTCATCATCATCACCGCCTGTGCTGCCACGTTCAAGATCTCGGGCAACACCACGGCCGGTTTGGTGGTGGTGCCGTTCTTGTTCATCTTCTACGGAGGATACGATCTGGGTCTGAACCCGATGCTGTACGCTTATCCGGTGGAGATCTGGCCGTACCATCTGCGAAGCCGTGGACTCAGTCTTGCCTGGATCTTCCTCGTTGTCAGCACCGTGTTCAATGTATTTGTGAACCCGATTGCCATGGAAGACATTGGTTGGAAGTACTACATTGTCTTTGATGTCATGATCCTCCTATTCGGGCTGACCGCATACTTCTTCTACCCTGAGACCGGTGGCCGGACGCTGGAACAAGTGGCCGAGATCTTCGATGGCGTGCCGACGCAGGGTATTGAGGCACAAGAAAAAGAGGGCGATGATTTCGGAAGCGATGCAGGTGCTTCCAAGCAGCCGACGACGGAGATGGCAGCGGTTTCGTAACGGTCTCATCTCTCGAAGGAGGTCAGAGGCGAAGACCTAGGTGCGGACGGATCAAACGAGCTTGGCAGTACGTTAAGGCGGGAGCGTCAATTGAGGCGATACCGCTGCTGGGAGATGGTCTAGATGAGTGGTGGAATGAGGTGGCGAATTCTCGTGGGAAACGAAGTCGAGCCCGATAGTCGGTTCCGTTGTTGATGGTTCTGGACTCCGTGCTCACTTTCATCCTGAGTGTATTTTTAACCACAATATCATATCAACGGGCTGGTGATACAATCCAAGCCTTTTAGCCAGTGGCCAGTCAAGTTGTATATGGATATCAACATGGACCCCCCAAGTATCCGCCTTTATCTTCGGTGTACCTAAGGTACCGGTAATTTCTGCGAAGGTTGAAGATGGTCATTTAAAACTATGGTGGATGGATGGAGGTTGGAGACCTAACGTATTGAATACACAGCAAAACGCTGGTCAAGAATCTTCTCCTGGTTCCCTCCACCATCAAACGGCCAATTGTTGTTCGAGTCTGCGCTAATCGTGCTCTCCACATGCTCAAGTGGGCCTGTATGTGATATACAGAACCCTCCCCCACTGCGATAAGTTCGCCTAAATAAGCGGCTCTACGTTGGGCAAGACTCGGTCACTGTCTTGAGTGTCTCAGACGAGGGCAATATCAGGTCTAATGTCGGCACGAGAAAGCAATGACAATGACGCCCCTGCGCCATGGGATCATCATGCTCCGGATCATAACTCAGCGCAGAAAAGAGTTCGCTTGGAAAACGACGATCCACAACAGCGTCCCTCGCGCAAGAAAAGGGCCTTGAGCGCATGTGAGGTTTGCCGGGCACGCAAGACCAAATGCAGCAACGACAGACCGAGATGTAAGTATTGCCAGGACAATGACTTGGAGTGCGTCTATCTATCCCAAAAGGAGAATCCAGAGTAAGTCCGCAACCGTCACCAGCAAGGGGGGCTGAAAGTGAAAGACGACGGGTCTGATCATTTCGTTTTCGGCAGACGCGATCCAAATCTACTCATCCTGAGCAAACTGAACGACATTATCGACCGGCTAGATCGTGCAGGCGTGCCTACACCTGCGTCTATCGGATTAATGGCCAGTCATCGTTCTCACTCCAGAACAGCCTCGAATTCAGCAAGTCCAGCTGTGTTGTCAACGTCCCAACACGAACCGCCGTCAGATTCTTACGATGACGAAGAGCTCCGAATCCCCTCCGCTCGAACATCGGCAGACAATGTCCTCCTCTGGCCCATCTTCGAACAAAGGTACCAGGCCCATTTCTTTGTGAGTGGTCTGTTCACCCGCTCGTTCCATGCCGGTAATGGGAACCAGGGGAGTCAGACATTTCTCAACCCTGGCTTAAGGCTCAACTCTACGACCAATGTCTCCATGGGAATATCTATCGAGGAGAATGTGGTCGAGCATGTCGAGGCTTTTCTGATGCTCGTCTATCCTAAAAACCCCGTGCTCGACCCGGTCAAGCTCAGGCGTTACGCCCAAGCTGTTGAAGAGAACGGAATTGGGTGGAATGATGAATCATGCCTGGTGGTGAGTTCGACCTTTGTCCTTTCTGCCAGGTTTCGGCTTGTGCGAGTCGAGATGCACTCCTGCTCTCTCTTCTATTCGCATAAAGCACCCTTCGGTCAGACCTAGACCTAACAATCCTCCAATGTTTTGCAGCTCCTAGTATGCGCCGTTGGTTCCATGGCCGTACCGTTTTCAGGTTTGCAGGCTCACAACGGTCTTCACTTGAGTGGCGAGATATCCTCACAGGAAGCATTCTCGGAAAAACTCGCAATTGCAAGATATTACTACAAATTGGCGCAAAAGAGAATAGGTCTGTTGAGCGGAGCGATAACGAAAGCACAATGTCATTTTTTGCTGGGAATATATTACTCCTACGTATTCCAACCGGTGGAGGCGTGGCAAAGCTTTGTGCAGGCTTCGCTGGCCCATCATACGTACCTGCAAGGACGGATCATCAGCGGAGATCTAGAGGACGCTGATCCCGACAGCGGAAAGGAGCGAGCAGCGAGGAGGCTGGAGCAATGCTTGTATTGGTCCGCTTTCCGTTCTGAATGGTAGGCCGACGATACCCGTCTGCGACTCTTTGGGTAGGCTCGCCACTGACGAGATCAACAGTGACATGAGGCTCCAGTTGCCAGTCCTTCAAACTACGACAGACTTCAAATACGCCAACATGTTTCCCTCGCCACCAGAGAATCACTCGCTAGAAGACGTGACCACCACTGAACGTGCCACATCCAGCAGCATGGAGTCAAGACCACAGGTGGCCTGTGATGGGGACCAAGGATCTGTCGCCAAAAGGACGGCATTTGATAAACAAAAGTGGGAGCAGAATTGGTTCTTCTACTTCACTGAAATCACCTTGCGGCGAATCGGAAATCGCATCTTGAACGCCCTTTACAAGTATGACAGCTATCCCGGAGCCGGTTTGACCATAACAGAGATGTTCAAGCTAGTGGCCCACTTTGATGAGCAGTTGTCCGAATTGTAAGTGACTCCTCAATGACTGGCGTCGGGAAGAAACCCTGCTGGGACAAGTCACACTTTGCCCGTCTGAATGCTCTCGAGCATCATATTGACAAAATCATGCTGACTTTGACACCCTCGCAGCCACAGAAAGATTCCCGCTCTCCTGTATTTTGAGAAGGACCAACGTGTCGTCCCCACACAAGAACTTCCCATGATCACTCGAGGGCGGTTTTGCGAGATCAGCTCATCGCTGTATCGACCCCTGTTATACTATGCAATCCACCACGATGCAGCTGACACTTACCAGACCTTGATCAAGCCATTCGTAGACAAGTGCATTACATTCGGGTTCTGGTTCATCGATCAAGTGGCACAACTGCATCGCCACCACGGGACCTGGTGGTCCGTCCACCACGGCTCTGGTGTCAGCCTTGCACTCATCGCAGCGTCGAGATGTGGCCACATCGAGATGCCACTGGGATGGGAAACGTCCGTTGAAACCCATATCTCCATCCTCCGATATTGGGAGGCAGAGTGTCCCGAATTCGCCAAAGCCAGGATGGTTATCGAAACAGAATTTGATCAAGCCAGAGCGTACAATGCGCCTACCTGATCAGCCAGCCAGCGCTAGATTCTGCGAGAGAAGCCCATGCGTACTCACACTCATCAACCCGGGCGAGTTTAAAGAATACCCTACCCCGGACTGGGACCAGGGACCCTGTGCAAGAAACCCCGGCCTGCCAGTCGTTGCACAAAATTTATTAACCTCACGATTGATAAACTAATATTTCCTTGCCAAGCATGGCGCCTGTCATCAGTAGGGTACGCCTGGTTGTTTGCTATCCTCTTGAGCGTCCGGGTTGATCGGCCGGAAATGTCAGACGGGGTCCCAGTCCTTATCTTGTGGTGCCTCGGGTGCCTCTCCGATCTCCCCGAGGACATTCTCTTTGCTGGAGCCGGCTTCTGAGCCTCCACAAGTCAATGGTCGGACGTCGGTAGGGATTCCCACCGAATACTGAAAGTTGATTCGATCAGCTCTGATAGTGTTCACTACACGGTGAACCTACAACTACGGTTCTGGCCCAACGGTCATTTTATTGACCCTTCTCTCGAGGTCTCGACTGGCGCGATGAGAACGGGACCATTTATTGTTGTGGAGGTGGGAAAGAATCTTTGAGTAGCTTGGTTGTGACCCTGAAGGAGACAGAGTACAGCATGCTGGCTCCCATGCTCTCATGCATGGTCCGGAACGGGTGTGGAAACAGAGCGCTCATATCTCGTCCCAAAAATTCCCGCCCTCTGTTCTCCCTGCGCTTACACCACTCCCGGGTCGCTCTCACTCTCAGAGAGTGTTTCCCACAGGCGCGTACGTCAAACCTGCGGCCACAGTGATCGTTCTCAACACTCAAGGCTCGCCATGTCCATTCGGCAGTGGAAAGCAGCCGTCTGCCAGACCGAACCCTGCTGGCTTGACAAGACAGCGGGCGTGGCCAAGACGATCCAACTCATACGAGAAGCAAAAGAAAACTGCGCCGCCCTCATCGCCTTCTCCGAGACCTGGCTCCCGGGCTACCCTCTCTTCCTCTGGAGCAATGCCTACATGGACAACCTGTCACTCGTTCAACGCTACATCCAGAACAGCATCACGGCGCAAGGTCCAGAGATGCTGGCCATACGGCGGACGGCCGCTGAATGTCAAATGTACGTCTCGCTGGGCTTTTCGGAGCGGGACGGGGCCTCGTTGTACATCGCGCAGGTGTTGATCGGGCCGGATGGAAACGTGCTGCTACATCGACGCAAACTCAAGCCGACGCACGTGGAACGGACGATTTTCGGGGACGCGACGGGCGACTCGGTCAACAGTGTGGTCGCCACTCCGCTGGGCAAGATTGGCATGCTGAACTGCTGGGAGCACTTACAGCCGCTGCTGAAGTACCACGCCTACAGCCAGGGCGAAGAGGTGCACATCGCCGCCTGGCCCAACAACCGCGTCGAGTGCACGGCCGAGCCGTGGACGCTGTCGATGCAAGCCAGCGTGCTCATGGCCAGCCAATTCTACGCCCTCGAGGGCCAGACGTTCGTGCTGGCCGCCAACTACCCCATTACGCAGGAGGGCCGCGACAAGAATACGCCCGAGACGACCGACAAGACCAAGACGTGGAAGCGCGCTGTCGGTGGCGGCGCCGCCAGCGTCTACGGCCCCGACGGTCGCCGCCTCACCGAGCCCACCGACCACCAGTACGACGGGCTGATCTACTGCGACATCGACCTCGACAAGATCTACGAGGCCAAGACGCTGGCTGACCCCGTCGGTCACTACTCCCGACCGGACCTGCTGCGGTTGTTGGTCGATGACCAGCCCAAGAATCACGTCGTCCGGTTGAACGAAATGGGAACCCCACTGCCGGCGAGGACGCTCCTGTCACAGCACCGGCCTCTGGATGCGTTGCTCGAAGCGAAGGATTCTTGATCCGGTTGATTGGGCTGTGGATGGTGACCTTCTGGACTCGATGCACGTTACGGCGTCGATAGCTTCCCTCGTGACTCTGTAGTTACAATGGGACGCTATTTGAACCAGAGCCATAGCAACTCGCACAAGGCGACGTCACCCTCGGCACCGAATGGGATGAGTCGCGAGCAGTTTTCCCCATGCGTGGTATCAGTCAACCTACCTAATTCCAACCCATAAAGTCCACGAACACCAATCAGAGAAACGTAGTCAACGTGCAAATGCTTACTACGTACTTAATCCATCCCACGAAAGTTGGAGCATTCATTAACCAGGTAGTTCCCATGTTCGAATTGCTCTCTTGTACGAAGAACAATAGTCAGCGCTCAATCCACAGCTCGGGAGACTCCCAAAGAGAATGTCTTGGTCTAACGTCTATGGATGACCACCTCGAATCCATCTTGCCAGACAAACCAGCCTCCTGATACCTTCCATTCCAAGTCCGGAGTCTTCAGAGAGAACTCTATTCATATACCGGGTGAGCCACCAGATACCACGGCGCTATACAATCATGTGTTGTGCTTAGACGTACCTCGTAGTGGCGAAGCAATTGCGGAACCAGTTTTGAGAGCTCCAGCGTAGAGATGTTTTTGCCCAAGCACGCGCGATTGCCAGCGCCATAGGTCTGAGATGGGGGCTCTCAGTGGGAGGCTGCAAGCCGGAAAGCAGTGCACGTGACGTCGAAACTGCGCAACCTGTCGGACCTTCTTGTGGGCTTCAACTTTGCAACCTTGGATTTGCCTGCTACATCTTCTATTCATCTAATTAGAGTCGATTCTAGGAGCAACAAACTGTTCCGCATCTATTTGCGTCTGCGCGATCTATGCAGCCGGGGGCGAGAAAAAGGGCCCTGCGCTGCGCCCTTTATTGACCTCTTCTATCTCGACCTTCGATCTATCTTCCTTTCTCTTTCGTCGTTCACCAACCCCTGTAGCCGGAAGTAACTAATATGAGCACCGGTGTTCGTCGTGCCTACTCTTCCATGACATTCATCTGTGGTGTGAGACTTGACAGTTCTGAACCCTTCCAAATTCTGCCTTTCATGGCTACTGCATCTCAAAGAGGCCTTTGCCCTCCAGCGATCGAAGCTCTGCGTCCAAATCTCAACATCATCACAAGAGCCCATGTATGCCACTATTCCAGCAACTGCCTGAAGCAATGTTGTGTGAAATTTGTAGACTATGGTCTTCTGGATACTCGAAGGAAACTGCCAGCCTTGTCGCGTCGTCAAGTGGCCCCGGCCTCTAAAGGGCCTGTTCGGCGGACCAACTACAAGTGGCCGCCCATAATTGTGTAACACGTGATCTTCAATTTTCGCAACGTGCCTATAATCAGAATACTCTTTGTTTGAACGAACCTTGCAACAGCGGCAGCCAGTATTACAACCAATTGGTAATGGCGGAAGGCACGAATCGGCCCAACAGTACCGTGTACGTCGGCGGGCTGGACACGACGCTCGTGACTGCTGCGACGCTGTCCGAAGCATTCATACCGTTCGGCGAGATCGTCGACATAACTCTACCAAAGCCAGAGGCGCCATCTTCCACCGACCTCCATCGAGGGTTCGGGTACGTGGAATTCGAAGATGAGGCAGATGCCAAAGAAGCCATTGCCAACATGGACCAGAGCGAACTTTACGGACGAGTGATCAAGGTTGCTTTGGCAAAACCAGACAGGAAAGAAACTGGGGAAGCTGGGCTGGGCAGTACCACGGCTATTTGGGCACAGGTAAGGGGAATTATCTTGATTATTATCATGTTGTTTTGGCCTATTTTCGTCTATATTGTCATTGTACTTCAATATTGACTCACTGGTTGCATAGGAGGATTATTTGGCAAAATACGCAGGAGCGGCAACAGAGGATAAAGCTGCCGTGGAGCAATCCAAGAATGAGAGGCTTGAAGACCCCATGGAAGGTCTAGAGGGTCTAGATGTCGCTGGGCCGAAGCCTGAGTGAGAGCACTCACAAGCGCAAACTGAAGCAAACGAGAACACTCGCGCTATTGGGATGTACCAAGTCATTTGATACATATCCATGGCAGGCTATCCTTCAATCCTGGAGTAGTACGCCATCTGCTCAAGCTCGCCGATTGGTCGCTGGTGCTAGGCTGCGCTGGCATGAGTCTTGACGTTGACAATGGATCAACCACCTGAGCATTAGTGTTCTAATGTGGCAGCTCTTCAGGCTTTTGAAGACGACCGTCGGAACCGAAAGGCCATGAACTCGATCTAGCGACCTCGGATGGTACGGGGACATTTGGAAGCAGCAACTGGAAAGGACAGCAGCAGGGAATAAAGCACGGAAGACAGGTCAATGGGGCCACCAAAGGCATCTTCATTCGATATGTACAAGGCCATGCATTGTGGAAATTCTCCAGTCCGGCCGATTTTGAACCCTTCTTTGACCACTCGACTTGCTTATGATTATGCTGGTCTTGTGGACGACCTGATCCGGATGTGATTGTTTCCTTAATGCGCTGGCTTTGGCGGGTTCTTGTGTAGGCGGAGAGTCTTGTCCGTCATAAGCTTCCGGGCCATGGCGAAGGCGCCTGCGAAGAGAGCGACGCTATTGGGGCGTCAGTGTTTCCGGCCTCATCCTTTAGGGTACTGTAACTTGTACTCACAGAAGGACGACACCAAGGGGGAGCAGTTCCGGAGGGATCTTTTTGAGACTGCGAAGTCGCTGGGTAATAGTGTGTGCTGAGGAGCCTTCGTCAATTGCTGTCATAGAGACGTCCTTCGTCAAGGACCCTTACCGCTTTGCTCATCTTGCTGTTGAAAGATATCAGTAGATTGTGCGGAATGTCATAACGATTAACCCACCTTTGTCCTAAACATCACCCTAGAGTTGTGGAACGGTCTGGTCTGTCGCAGGGCAGACTGGCGGAGGGCCGGCTGCTTCAGGGCAGCTGCCCGCAAAGGTTGGAGCCTCAGAAGTCTTGCTGGGTTCATCGCGGCGACGTTGTAGAGAGTGGAGAGTGGGAGTTGAAAGGGCCAAGGTAGTAAAAGCACCCGGAAGCACAAATGATGATAGAGTCGCAGGTTGCTATTGAAGCTCTGGACTGCGAGGTGAGCAAACCGCCAATCAGCGACCAGTTATAAAAGCCTTGGCAGCAACATGGGCCTCCAGCTCCCAACTTCCTCAGGTGATACTTCAACCCTCAATACAACTTGAAGCTTCACATCACCTCGACTGCCAGCCTAACTTCGACGGTCTCCCTCTCCTCCCGACTCTTCATCAGCTTCGGGTCACCACCAGCACCGCCACCATGGTCGAAATCGAGATTCCCGACGCGGAGGAGCTTGGTGGAAACGTCACCAAACCCTTCAAGTTCGTTACTGGTATGCTACCCGCCTAGACTGCAGGGTCAATTCTGTGCGTTCGGATTGCTAATGTCTGCTTTAGCTGGTTACGATGCGCGATTCCCCAACCAGAACCAGTATGTTCTTCAGACCGTGTTCCACGTCCCTCCGAACCCAACCTAACAGGAGTTTTCAGGACCAAGCACTGCTGGCAAAATTATGTGGATTACCACAAGTGTATCCTTGCAAAGGGAGAAGATTTCAAGCCATGCCGACAGGTACAAGGGCTCTCTCCGTGGTACAAAGAGCGGGAATGAAGCTGACAGGTCACAGTTCTACCTTGCATACCGATCACTATGTCCCAGTTCCTGGATCGGTCGATGGGACGATCAGCGAGAAGCCGGAAACTTCCCGGTAGATCTCGAGCACTAGATGGGTATCCGGTAAACATGACCAGCTGGATACCTACGGTGGTATGCCGAGGGCAGGAATTGTACATAGGTAGATCCGAGATCCAGCCAACGCAAGTTCATCTGATACACCACCTGTGAGCTGGATTACTTCTGTCCTACAAATGGCCATATTTGCTCCGATTTATGCCTGCATCTTGAACAAGCGCACTATCGGGACAGTATGGGACTACCGTTTTGGACATGGAAGTATCCACTTATACTTTTCTGGTTGAGGACGACCAGAACTCCATTGTCATTCTCGGGCATGGTGTATTTGGTTTGGATATGCATCAAGCGCATCACGAGTGTCCTTTGACCAGTCTTGGGATAAAGCCCCGGGGAATCCTACATTGTTTCCGCAGGTGACATGTGTCGTAGCTCTTTGGTAGCGTGGGTCGTCTCCAACTGGAACGTAGCCTACATGTACTGAACCATCTAATCTGGATCTTGGATGTTCTATGTCATGCTTCCGCTAAGGCTCTCATTATCGAGGAACCTTTTGCTGGTCCTCGGTCATAGGCCAGAATGGCAGCTAGGTCTAAGTCAAGGTTCATGTAATGCTAATAGAGCAGATGTAGAGTGTTTCTGACTCGGCCTTGGAGTTTCAATTTGCCCTCCATCCTGTACGACCTGGTTTATCCTTTTATTTTTTCACCGAACTCCTTCTCAAAGCCTCCAACAACTCCGGCCGTGAATTCAAAAGCTGGGCCGCTTGGGCATAGGCGTACCACTGTCTAGTTCTCTTGTGTTTCTCGGGCCACTCAGTCCTCTCTTCGGTCACCGTAGCTTCGAAGAAATGGTAACTCGCTTTGGGGGCGTTCTTGGTCACAGCAGTCGTTGGTCTTGTATCAGGAATGTGTCCGAGATCCTTCTCCACCTGGCAGATGATGCCGGCTTCTTCCCAAGCCTCGCGACAAGCAGCCGCCGACGCTGTTGCTTCGTCCAGTTCCCATCCGCCTTTGGGAAGCACCCATCCGTTGCGATGGGTAGACTGAATGAGGAGGACCCGAGTTTTGTCCGCTGACAATGGGACGACTCCGGCCACGAGCCTCTCGCCTTTGGGACCATAACCTGCGATAGGCATCAGCACTTGGTTTCTCACAAAAAGCCCGGTGGACGTACGTTGATTGTCAGATCCGACGCGAGAGGTCATAGACAACTCCTTGGCCATAGCTAAGGCGGGGCAGGCCGGGCAACCGCCACCGGATCTGGAGAAAGGAAAGGGGTTGTCTTGCGTCTTCTAGTTTTATCCGGGTGAAATGTAGGGCTAAAGCGAACGTGCGAAGAGACGGTCAAGGGGCACGTGGGAACACTGTCGAGCTGTTCCGGTGCGGACGGGCAAGGTCGGTCGTCTCCAAGAGAAGCCTAGGAGATCAAAGATGACCCATGTCGTAGGGATTTGGCAGAGAGATTTTGCGTATAGCGCGCGCAAAGGATCAAGAGGCCTTCAGTCCCGTGTAGAACGGGGCTGAGGGAGGAGGTTTGACGTGCAAAGCAGTCTGAGATCCGAAGCAGCCATAATTTGTAGGGTTTGGTGAGTTTAAAATGGGGGTGGACACGAAAGAAAAGTGGTGGTAGCGTAGTTTAGTACGGACTGTATAGGGAGCTTCTTAGTCGCAGTGTAGCATTTGTCGCACTGGCATACTACGGGAGCAGGCAGGCAGCACCGGCAAGGTGCAAGTCCAGACCAGGCAGAACCATTCACCCGTTGCTACCAACTATATCACTCACCGCACTGTCGACGCCGGCTGTCATTACTACTACAGCACTGATATCCTCCAGCTTCGACTTCTGCTTCATGCACTTATCTTCTGTACTTGGAACGAAGTGCGTAGGCATCATTTGCTCTCGCTCATCCTCTCTCCCCTTCGTCGTCCGCGCAGGCCTGCCACTGTGAGAAGACTTAAAAGAAACCCCCCGGCACATCTGGTTCGCTACACGCCCTGCAAGTGGTTCCCTGACCGTTCGTCGCATCCCCTTGCCGGCCCCTCGCTCTATGTCCTTTCGCTCGACCGAACACTCGACGAGACGGCACGTGCCTATCTAGACGTTTGTACTGGTCTAAAACCCGCATACTCATCAACATTCCGCCGTCCCCCGACAGCCTCCTGTTTCTGCCCTCCTGTTGCTCACGCGAGCACTCCTCAATACGACTGTTGGGGTCCTTCCTTGAACAACTGTCCTAGTAATCAAGGTTCGCTACTGCCTGATAGTGCCATAGGTGGGGTGGTCCCCTTGGTCGTGTGCATATCCCACCTCGCATCGCGGTCTGACCTCTGGTGGACATTATAATGCGAACTTGAACATATCTCCGACATAGCAAGATCACCACTGCACGCCAGTCAGGTGACATCATCCCTTGACCCTGGAGGCCTTTCCTGGAGCCTCAGTACCGTAGAGCTTTGGCCTGGCGAGCAGAGCACGGTATATTGGCACGTCTCTGGTCGGTCTCAATAGGGTGAATGGGTTAGATGCCGTCCGGCCAAGATGACAAACGAAGTCTCACTATTGAAGCCTCTCGGTATGTAATGGAGCCTGAATGTGTAGCCTGGTCTGCCGGTGTTTTTGTTACCTCGCTGGCATTGTTTCAGCGCTGCATCACAGCTGACTGACTGTCTGCTAAACGATTGCAGGCTATCAAAGAAAGAACTCCTGTGGGTATTGCAAGAGTTCCACCGGTAGTAAGTCGGCCTCTCTTGCTGTCACTGCATCGCGACACTCTTTTACAAAGACTTACATACTTGCTTAGGCTCTGCTTATTACATGTCAAGTGACAACCTAAGAGTCGATCACTATCAAGAATTGATGGATAGGGGTTGGAGACGATCAGGCTCACTCTACTACAAGCCTGATTTGCTACATTCTTGTTGTCCTCACTATACTATCCGGTACTGAAAGAACCTTCAAAGAGCTCGTATGGCGGATGGTCTGACGTTGATAGTCTCAAAGCGGCAGAATTCAAACCCACGAGAGACCAGCGCCGGGCCATGAACCGGTGGAACGATTTTGTGATTGGGACAGAGTACAAAAGACAGGCTGCAATGCTATGTCCTCAGAGCAGAGAGCAAGTTGGAGCCACATCCATGCAATATATTACATGCTAACTATGTCAGGGAGAAACGGCGAAACAGAGATAAGTTCGACTTGTTGACCACTGTTCATAAGGCGGAATACGGCAGAATCCAGCGCCCCCTCAACAAGAAAACTGGGCAGCCCATCGAACCGGCTCATAAGTTTGAGGTCAACCTTGAGGGCGATAGTTTCACGAAAGAGAAGTAAGTACCATGTTGTACTTAAATCGTCCGCTACTGATGGCGACCAGGTACGATGTCTTTCTCAAGTACCAGTTGCAAATCCACAAAGATCCTGCCTCGCGCTGGAAAGAATCTGCCTTCAAGCGATTCCTCTGCGCTGGTCTTGATCGTAAAATATTGAAGATGAATGGCAAGACGCTCAAACTGGGTTCTTATCATCAGTGCTACCGTTTGGATGGTAGACTGGTCGCGGTTGGAGTTCTCGACCTCCTACCCCATGCCGTCAGCTCTGTCTACCTGTTGTAAGTATTTGCGTCAACAGATCTCGGGAGAGGTGAGCTAACCTCCAAGCTATGATCCCGAGTTCGCGCACTGGGATTTTGGAAAGATAAGTGCGCTTCGCGAGATAGCACTAGCTCTGGAGGGCCACTACGAGTACTATTATATGGGTAGGTTTCCAGTGGTCGACGTTTTGGCACCATCTCATCACTATCAGGCTACTATATCCATTCTTGTATCAAGATGCGGTACAAAGCCCGTTTCGGTCCAAGCTATCTGCTCGGTAAGGTTGATAGCTCCATTGAAAAAGTCTTTCTTAACAAATCCCAGATCCCGAAAGCTTCGAATGGAATCTATTCGATGACAAATATCGCAGCGAACTTGACAAGCGAAAATATGTGTGCCCATCGCATGACCGCAAGTATGGCATTGCTTCAAACGAAACCCATGACTCGGCAACATCGAACACAGCATCATCAGGTCCTGAGTCCAATTATGACAAAGCTCCTTCCTCCACGAGAGAAAGGGCACAAATTTTTGATGATGAGCAAGATCTTGAGTTTGACGAGGCACCCAGCGACGAGGAAGATGCAGAGATCCCCGAAGGATCACTGTTTGATTTCCAGATCCCCGGCGTGCTCTCCAAAGACGAGGTGAAACGTCTCGATCTGGATCACTGGCGTTTGCTCGTGAGAAATGCTCTTATCGAGCTAGAGGTGAAGCTACTTCGACTGCTACTGACATGATCGTGCTGCTGACCTTCTGTAGGATCTCCGCGGTTGGGAGGACTGGAAAATTGATGACCCAGGTTCAATCAAGGGCATTGCTGCAGAACTGATTGCAGCAACAGGCCCCAAGCTGCTTCAAAATTCAGCACTTGCTCTGTTCTGACAGACGGGCTGGAAACGTACATGAAATGTCACACTAATGACGCATGAAGCAAACGTTGATGGTGACCACTCTCAGCATACCAACGGCGAATTGACCAACGCTCAATTGGTATATAATGCATCCCTTCTGGGGGGACTATCCGGGTTTGGAGTTCCTCATCATTCCGAAAAACCACACCACAGATCCAAAGATCACATCCAACCCGAAACTAGTTGAACCAACCCCAACGTTTATATAACGACTTCCTTAGCCAAGATGATTCGCAAGACTTACGACGCGGCGACGTACAAGAGAGAACGGTCCTATGAGAGACATCGACCAAGCTCTGACCAATCCAGCAAGGGCAGGGGTACTGGTGCAGGAAAGGTTGGTCTGCTCCGCTCACATGCTCTGCCTGCCCTTTTGGGATCTGAATACTGACGCGAACATCGAAGACTTCCACATCATCCAGTAGCTCGAATTCTGCGGGCAAGGCTCAGGATGGATCGCGTGGTCGGAGCGGGAACTCAAAGCTGTGATGCATGAAGGTGTCATGCACTCGATCGATTACCAGCATTTGGCTTCTATCATGCACCGAACAGTCTGATGGCAAAGTGCTTCTGGCGGTGGATTTATGGCAAGCTTGACTATTCATGAATGAAGGCAGGGTGCCAGGACTATGACGAGATTTGCTGTGACGTGGGTCGAGTCTGCTAGCAATGAATATCAAGCTCTATCCGCAAACGTGTATGCTCTGTTCTTACCATATTATCACTTTTTTGAGGATGTACCTCACCGTCGAGTCCCAGGCCTCAAGCATCGAAGCTAGGTGAGACTACGTATGAGCAGAGCAAGTTGACCAAGTTGACAAAGCAGACGTGCTTCCTCGTTCGCAGGTCTGACTGGCTTCACTGCGCCGTTTGAGGACCTCGTCAAACAGTTTGAAGAGCATGGGGTGTCACCTTGGTCTTCACATATATGACTCTCGCTCCCTGCCTTCACTCGACTCACTCCTGGTGACGAGCTATGGTGACAGAAGGGACGCCGACTCTAAAGGATATGAATACCTCTTTCCCAGTTCCGAAATCCCTTCTGCTTGGAGATCATCCTATCAATTCGTGATTGACCTGGACTCAGCTCATCATCATGAAGAAGTTTCTCCTTTCGATTACTCTCCTCTTGCTTGGACTTTGCGTTTCTGGCCTAGCAGAGCCTCGGGCAGTTGTTCCACCGGCCTCCCTTCCACGTATACATCATACTAGACTGCACGGTCAAGTCGACACATCAAGTCACGAGCCAGGCCGATATGGCTCCAAGAGCGTCGCCATCCCTCACAAACCTTATCCAACTGGCACCTTCAACCCTCGAAAGTCCTCAATATCCACCGTTGCTCCCAGTCTCCAGGCCTCGCCCAAACCACCTGCACACCATGTAAAGACCCACGACAATGGAGTTCACGCCGCTGATGGGTTGGACTTGCATTCCCCTCCAACTGGATTCCATGGACATGGCCGGCCGTACGTCGCTCCTTCACCACTCCATGTGCCCAAACCACCGAGTGCTCGTGTCCGCGACCGTCAACCCTTGGCACGAGCTCCGGTGCCAGAAGAGTTAACCGACGAGATGACCGAGCTGCATCGACGTGATCACGGTATTGACCCAGAGGCTGCAAGTACTAGCCACCAAACCAGCGCTGCAAGCATGTCTCAACCATTTAAGATCTTCGGTTTCCCGTTCGCATTTGCGAGAAGTATCAAAGCAGCGGTATTGCCAGTCAACAAATATCAGGAGGGGGGTAGCTCTTCAGAGCCTGACTTCAGCACCGACTGTGGCGCTCCTTTTTGCTCCGCAGCATCACACACGATGACGAACCCGCTCAGATACCCTGTCTGGATGCTCGCAAAGATCTGCACTTTCATTGGCAACCGTGGAGTACACGCAATCGAACCGGCAGACGACCAGATCGTTCACGTCCATGGTCTAGTTCCCAAATCAGCAGCTGATTCTTTCTCTTCGGAAAGTTCGGGCTACAATTCAGACCACTTTTCATCGTACGCAAATTGGGAAAAGTCCACAGAAGACGACGATTGGAGTTCTGGAAAGCAGATGGACCAGACCTCTGCAGCGGCTCTTCACCATGGAGGCAGTCAACAGGTATCAACATCTACCAAACATCATGATCATGGACTGACGCCCGATCAGGGGTCCGGTACGAAGCATCACAACCGTAAGCATGAGGATCGGAACGAGGAAATCTCGCCGCAGAGCGCTTCGACTTCCGGACTGCCATCGGGACCAACACCTCACGAACTCGGCCACAGCGAGAAAGTCGGCGGCTACGTTCCGATGAATGGAAGACCTTTCAATTCCTCTGCATCGGATAGTAGGCTTGTTCCATTTGTATCAATCTTCAGAAGTGCGATTCTCCCGATGAGGGCGCTCGGTTGGCCTCTCAAGTCCCACGCTATGGGTTCTCAGCTCAATGAACCAGGAATTGAGCGACGCTGTGGGGATGTCAAGGGGAACGATGCCGAAGTTTTCACAGATGATAGGACTACACTTAACAAGTCCTTGGGATTGGGTAGCGCGTTGGTGAGACTGTGGGAAGGAATGAGAGACTTGGTGGCTCTGGGGAGGGGATGACAGGTAGTGCATGCTCACTGCTGGACGTCCCTCATCCTTCTTGCGTAGCACGGCGCTTGTAAGCCACGTTGAAGTCAGGGGCCCATCTATGAGGGCAGACTGACCAGCAGGGCGTTTTGTCTGGATAGAGTTCTTTCCAAGACATGCATCCCATTATGTATCATTTGCCCCTAAGGCTAACTCACTTGACTGTCGCTGCGACATTGCGAGATTGCAAGGCTGCAAGTGCGACATCATGCTTCTTGACCCTTTTCTCCTCTCTTACACAGAGTAACACTCTGTCGACTTCTAATCCTCCAATGCCCCTTTTGTATACCTTAGTATAGTAGACTATAGGTGATGTTACCACATGCTTCAGATGCTGTGATAGATAAAGCAAGTTTGCCGAAGTGGTTAAGGCGGCGAGACCAAAAATTCGAGCAACTCCAACAGTCGAAGTCCATCGATCATCGGCCGAAGCTTGTCGGTCGTGTGCCGTGAACATTCGCAAACCCACTGGCAGGCAGTACATCATTATTCATTTTCTCTTACCAACATCTAATATCCTCTATCCTCTATCCTGCTCTGCTGTCGTCTGTTCCGGATCTTGCTTCCTGTGATCTCAGATCCTCAAAGATGTTCCAAAGACAGCTGCTGCGCCAGTCTCGCGCAATCTCAGAATCTCTCACTGCCGTTCCCAGAGTGCGACTGTCGCCATTCAGTTCCGCATCCTTTGTCTCACCCCGTCCAGCCACACCTCTGTACCAGTCGACGCGGTTAGGGCGGAGATGGCAATCCACAGAATCCGAAAAGCAATCTGGCGAACAGGCTGCGTCTTCAGGAGAGACGAAACCAGCGGAGGCGAAGGAGGACCCTGTGCAGCAAGAGCTTGAGAAATGTAAAAAGGAAGTGTTAGATTTCAAGGTATGGTTTCCATCTATACATCTATACATCCTTCCCTCGGATGTCTGGACATTCCAAAATCCCATACTTACACTTCACTGCAGGACAAATATCTCCGCTCCGTTGCCGATTACCGCAACCTCCAAGAACGAACCAAACGAGAAATGGAATCGGCAAGACAATTCGCCCTCCAACGCTTCGCCACCGATCTCCTCGATTCGATAGACAACCTTGACCGTGCTCTCTCTTCTGTCCCTCAATCCGCGCTGGGCAACGCCGCCACAACGTCCAACACTTCCTCTTCCGACCCCAACGTCGCCGCGCCGAGCGAATCGACCGGCGCCGCAGAACCGAACAAGGATCTCGTCAATCTTGTCTCCGGCCTCAAGATGACCGAAGAGATCTTGCTGAACACGCTGAAGAAGCATGGTCTGGAGAGATACGACCCTATGGAAGGCGGTGGTCGGAAGTTCGACCCCAACACCGACGAGGCCACTTTCTTCACCAAGGTCGAGGGCAAGGAAGACGGAGAGGTCTTCTTCACCCAGAGCAAAGGCTACAAACTGAACGGCAGGATCCTGAGAGCCGCTAAAGTCGGCGTCGTCAAGAACTCCTAAATCGCCGTGATGTCGACGCACCAATTCCGCCGATTCAGAAGCGGAATCAAATCGACCTGCACATGTCCTGAGAACAGACAAGAACACATGTCTCTCCACTTTTGTACAAATATGGTGATGAAATACCTACCTACCTGAACCCAGCTTTTCTGTCCGTCTTTCATCTAAGGTCGAAGAACGAGACACGGAAGGAAACAGCAATTGCTATTCCAAGACTATGAACTGCAAGGGTTCAGCTTTGGTCTATCATCAACCATAGATCCAAAAACGAAACACATCATGCAGACTACCTTATGTGACGGCTAACATGTTCCGTCTTGGCGTCGTTCTTTTCAGTCATGAATGACTTGGGGACAAAACAAAAGGGACACCTTTGCTGGATGAATAATGGCTTGAGCGAAGGGCATTGCCTACGGGAAGTTGGTTCGGTGAAACCCAACCGACATGGTCTGCAACACATTACAATTGCAGTTGCAGTTGCATACACCCACTCTACCCAGCGTGATATGCTCAACTTCCTTGGTCCTGATTGTTGTCCTGATATCCTCTTCTCTCTTACTACGAAGTAGCTATTTGTAAGAATAATGAGCGGCCGGCAAATGGCCCGCTTGGCTGCGAATCGAACGGGAGAAACATTGGATTCACACGTCAATGTCAAACAAGAGTATATTCTTGGTCCGAAGAGAGAGCTGCCGTAGCGATCAACCGTCCCTAATGTTTGAGTAAATAAAGGCACAAGGAACAAAGCTGCAAGGCTGTACCATCTAACCCGACTTCAGCCTCGTCAGAAACACCAATCACGTGACATGAAAAAGGGGTCTAATATTTAATCATTCATGTATAGTGTTCCAGAGATTCTGCAGCTATTCCAGGCGGGGTGGACGTAGGACTTACATCTCTATCCGTGGAGACTTGTTCCTTGCTGGAGCCCTCTGTAGCGCCCGGTTGTCTCGATGTAAACCGGAAGGCGGACTTCCAGCTTTATTGACACGCAGGCTTTGAAGTCAATCTATGTGGCTATACTAGTTTGGCCTTGAATCAATCGATTATAATTCTGGCGATACATCATTGTGTCAGTCAAAGAAGAGAAATAGTATTATGACAAAGAGACCCAACGGCTTGGATCCAGCCCAAGCCAGTGATCTGGTCAGTTGGGCACGAGGACTTTTTTGTTATACACGGTAGAGGATGGATGGATGAGGATAGCTGGCTTTGACATCCGCTTGTCGGTCACCTCAGCTCGATGTCGAAGAGCGACTTCATCTTTGCCGCCACCTGATTATGCAGGTCATTCACCTCTTCGTTGGTCAGCGTCCGCTCCAGACTTCTATAGTTGATGCGGTAGCACAAGCTTTTGCGACCCGTCCTGGGATGGACGAACTCGTCGACCAGCTGGACGTCCTCGACCAAGCTGCCTGCCACGTCCCGGACAACTTCCATGATATCGTTTTCATGGAACGCCGCAGGCTGGGTTTCCGTGGGAGAAGCCTTCGTGGCATCTCCGCCCGCAGCGGCCGCCACACCCGATGACGACTCCGCGCCAATAGGTGACGCTGCTGCCGGGGAGGAGTTGATCCAGAAGGCAATGTCCTTGTAACACGGCGGGTACTTGCTGAACGGTTCGAATCTCGTCACAGTGCCTTGCTTGAACTGCTGTAAGAAGCGCTTGTCCTCGGACCACAAAAGACGAATGTCGGGAATACCGAACAGAAGCATGGCGATTCTTTCGATCCCTATGCCCCACGCCCATCCAATGCTGTTTCTCAAACCAGCATTGTTGAGGATCGGTTGCTGGACGACACCGCAGCCGAGAAGTTCGAGCCATTCCCCGTTCCAGAGCACTTCCAGTTCAAAACTCGGGCTAGTGAAGGGAAAATATGCCTCAATCCAGCGAGCTTGTAACGGACCCATCTTTTCTTTTTGAGAGGCGGGTATCATCTGTCGTGAAGCTTCAAAGACCCCGTCCACCAGGTACTCCAGGCTTCTCTTGAGGTGAGCGACGACAAGCCTCACCTCTTCTGCATCGTGTTCAAGCTGCGTGGGGTTTGATCCCTTGAGAAATTTCGTGGCCTGGTCCTCCACGACAATCCGCGTCTGGGGTACTTCGTCCACGTCTTTCGCGATGATTTCCTTCCTTCGTAGCTGGGCTTCGTATCTCGAATCGGCGGAAACTGGCAAATCCCAAACCCGTGCTCCTTCCATCTGGTGGAAGACGGGGAAATGGCTCTTGTCGATGCTGTCGCGTCGGTAGACATCAGCACAGATAGTGAATCCCGTCGCTTCGTCATTGACTAGTGACTGGAAAGCTGCATGCTGATGCGCCGATGTGTGTGTCCGCAACAAATGAGTTGAGTTGATGTAGTATGTGTCCGTCCTGGACCGGCCAGGGTGGTCCTTCGGAAAGCCCAGGACGTCGAAGTTCTCGTGTGTGGTCACGACAGGGTCGGCAACTGTGAAATGGTTGTAGGTCGGCTTGGGAAAACACGATTCGACCAACGCACGTGTGATGGCGATAGGGTGGTCAGGAGTACTATAGAGATTGCGGCCGACGAGCCGTAGAATTGAATCGGAGACATTGGTAGTGTTGTCGAAGGTGTATGGCTTGCCCAGAATGTTTACGCCGGAAAGATTCTCATGGACCAGCCTCTTTCCGTGGTTCAGCTCTTTTGACTTTTTCTCGAAGCGTTCCTGCTCTTGCTGGTCCTTCGACTCGGGGGCGGTTTTTGTAGGATCGACTTCTCGTGATATCTCGACCGACTGATCGGGAAACGGATGTTGTGTTTCTGCAGCTGCAGCTGCAGCTGTCTGCGAGCTCGACCATCTTGACTGCGCGAGAGCCGCTCGGACTGGAGCTCTGGAAACCGCGATTCTGGCAGATTGAGCTGCCCGCACAAAGGCGCCCGTCTTGAGAAGCCGCATCGATGCACGCTGGCCGCCTAGAGCAGATCACAACCTTGCAATTGCAGAACGGTCTTTGTTGACCAGTATGGAGAGGCGGAGGGCCAAACTATGGTCTGCGGAGTGCACGAGGTATGAATTCTTTGTGCGCACCTAATGCGGAGTCTCGTACAAGCAGCGATATCGCATCTTGAAATCGCCGACGCCTGAAAGGCTGCTCAGGCCAACCTTAGGACCTCTCCGGCCATAAAACTAACGGCCTAGGGCCCCTGCATTTCTGCTTACAGAACTTGAAGTAGATATGAGTCTTCATTCCTCATCTCACGCCGCAGCACGTTCAGTTGTTGCACACGACGCTCTTTGATCTCTCCTCTCCAGTCCTTTCGTTGTCCTCAGCTGTTCACTTGTGAAGTTTCTCGGCGTCTTCCGCCCAATGGAGTCATGTCGCCAATTGCACCCTCAGTCGCAAAAGATGCAGCCAAAGAGGCGCCAATGCCGCAAAGAAAAACTGCGGCGGTGCGCTATCCTTTCTGGTTCGGAGGAAGCGCAGCCTCGATGGCTGCGATAGTGACACATCCTCTCGACCTGGGTAAATTGACAAAACTCCTCAAGAATTGTCTTTGTCTGGCATTCTGACATCCCATGCAGTCAAAGTGCGCCTGCAGACCAGGCTGCCCGAGGCCCCCAAAACAACACTCAGCACTATCACATTCATCTTGCGCCATGAGGGCGTCCTCGGGATTTACGCCGGCTTGTCCGCCGCCTTGCTGCGACAGATGACCTATTCTACCGTACGATTCGGCGTGTATGAGGACCTGAAGATGCGCTTTGCGCCAAAACCGACCCTGGAGGACCCTACGCCGAGGCAGTCCCTCCTCGGTCTCATCGCCATGTCCAGTGTAGCCGGCTGCCTCGGCGGCGTAGCAGGAAACCCTGGTGACATTTTGAACGTACGCATGCAGTCCGATGCTTCGAAACCGCCCGAGGCACGCCGGAACTACAAGCATGCGCTTGATGGTCTGGTACGCATGATCCGCGAGGAAGGGCCTGCAAGCCTCTTCCGCGGTGTGGAGGCAAACTCGGCGCGAGCAATTCTCATGAATGCTTCGCAGCTGGCCAGTTACGACGCTTTCAAGCAGATATGTCTCCAGACACTGGGTATGAAGGACAATCTCGGGACGCACTTCACGGCCTCGCTTGCGGCTGGGCTTGTGGCCACCACGCTTTGCTCCCCGGTCGATGTGATCAAGACCCGAGTCATGAGTGCGCACCCAAAAGTGTCCATTCTGCATCTCCTGAACGAGGCCAGTCACAAAGAGGGTCTGTTATGGATCTTCCGCGGGTGGGTGCCCAGTTTCATGCGTCTCGGCCCTCAGACTATCTTCACCATGGTCTTTTTTGAACAGCACAAGCACTTGTACAGGAAGTGGAAGGGGATTGAAGAGTGACCAGGTTCAGGCAATCTCATATACTCGGCGTTTGGGCGACGGCATTACCTCACGCCATTGTTGGGCTTTCAGGAAAGAATGTTGTCATCATACAGACTCGATGGGGGCTGCCAGTCACAGAATGTGTCCTGGACAAATCGGCGATGAGCGCCACACGGCAATAAGATCTACCACAGATGCTTGGGCTCAATTATTGAAACTCAGAGGAATGCACTGTACAGATGAATCCTCAAAATGTGAATATCAAGATTCATGCTTCCCGGAAAACATATCTAGACGCCGTTCCATGCCCATTATCTGCAATGCGCCCAATTTATGCCCTCTGAATGCCTCCCAATGCGCGTAGCCCAAACCCCGGCTTTCTCCCGAAAATCCCTCCCATTATGGAGGTCAGTGTTCCATCAATTCGACTGGCGGCCTGGCTGTATGAGCCATGACCTTTTTGTCGGGTTCTTCCAACTCGACTTCCGAATCGTCCTCCGTCTCAAGCATCACCGCGGGAAGTCCCGGGCTGTCGCCGTGAGCCTTGGGATCGTAGATCAAGGTCGAGCTACGGCTGCGGTGCTTATTTGGCGACGACCCTGTGGGAGACACCTCTGCGGAGATCGCGGAGAATGCTTGTGCCCGGGATGTCTTCAGCTTATGTAGCGCCTCGGCAGTGTATTGCATCTTAGACTCGTCATCGGAAGACTCGTCGGCCGGGACTGTCATTTTCCCGCTCAACTTGGCCAGCTTTTCCGCCAGATCCTCTGCATGCACCTCCTTGTTCGGGGGGTCTTCATGTTTCATTTCCCAGCCGATCGGCGGGCTGGGCGGAGGACTGATGAAGAATAACCGGCCGGCATCTGGGCGTTCGAGATACTTTTTCTCGTCTCCTATAGGCGTAGGCTCTCCGAAATAGCATTTTGCGACCGAGTTTCCCATGATGGCGGCGCCATCAAACACCTGCCGCACGTTGATCGCCGAATCTACGTCATAGAAGGAGCAGATGATGCGGTGCATGGACTTGAGCGGCGAGAACGAGTTTAGCGACGCAATGTCGTTGATGTGTTCTTTAATGGTAGCCAGAGAGGCTGGGTGGAAAATCTTGGGGTCATCGAGGCGTGTTATCAGGAGGGTGTTGGATGGCGGTGCTGGCTGCGAAAGTGGCGGCAGTGAGGAAAGATCAAGCGACAACGGTGATCTGGATCGCTTTTTTGACGGAGGCGCCGGAGAGGAGGCGGCCGAGATTGGAGGAGAGGTAGGAGGGATATCTTGGGTCTGGAGGGGAGGAGTAGTCTGTCGCATCATGTCCGCCATATTGCTTTGGCCTGGCTTGCAGGTGAGATACTTCTGAGCCTAGGGTCTGCGACTGGAGAGGGAAGCTGGTGGTGTCGGTATGGTTGAAGAAGAGAGGAGTATAAGGTAGGGAGGAGTCGAGAGATCTTGTAAGAATGCAATATTGCACCGCAACAACGAGGTGTTCTTGGTCAATGGGGCGCAGTCAACTGTGCGTATGCCGGTATGGCTTTGTCTTCGAGGATTCGAGAAGGTCGAGGCCTCAATACTATGGCATGCGGGTGGAGTGGAAAGTCCGGAGTGGCGTTGGGGGCATTTCGTGCCGTCAAACCCGTCAAGGGATTGAGGCTGGGGCACAGAAATGGGTACGGTCTGACAGCCTTGGCGGGAGCGATAACAGATGCAATGACTTGTAAGTGTTTTTGTCAGACAATAATGCCTGGTTTGGCACTAGTGATTATCCTAATTCGTGCTAGCAGGATCTGAGCTTTGCCTGTGGCGGAGTCGGATAAATTGTTTTTCCATGGCTTGATTGAGGCTGAGCCTCGCATGGCAAAAGCGCGGCAAGTCGCCGCAGCCTTGTCGATTTCCCCTTTTTGTTCACCTCCAAGACACCTGGCACCGCACTGCACTGTGTTGGGCCATCGCCGCCACGGGGGCGCCATGGAAGCAGCCAAGACAGCTACGACTCCTGATTCCATCTCCTGACTTTCCTCTGCTGAAGGACGCGTCCGAGTCAGGAGAGGCAGGCAGCTTGCATCGCCATTCTTGCACAGTCCTTCCGACTGAGCCTCGGTTCTCCAACGTCTGCGGAGAGTGGAGTAATTGACACCCTCCGCAGTCTGCCAGCCCAGTGCGATGTCTCCCAAGACGGTCACTTACTTGAGTATGCGGCCTTAGGCCCTTACTACCGGTCCGAGGAGGACATGGATACCTGTCCCTTCACTATGTTTTGGTAAGATATCTGAGGTTTGTGTCTCTCTTCCAAGTCAGTCAATGATCATTATTCTTCACCTGTCGTCCTTCATCGAGGCAATGTCATGACGGAAACCCTGCTCTATGATCACCTCAGAAGCATACGATCAACCAGTTAGTTGCACGCACCACGGGATCTTGATTCTAAGACGTATATTCACCATTTTGAGTCTGCGGCCATGGCTCCTACAGCGATCACCAACGGATATGGTGGCATGTATCTCCCCGCCGATGGAAGCATTGATCCAGAGATCTCTGGGCATGAAGTGCGACCCGAAGTCAATAACTCGTCTCCCGATGATGTGGAAATCTTGGAACAACTATATGGAACTCGCAAGAAAATGCGGATCGCTGTTCTGGGCGCTGGAATGTCTGGCTTGAACTTCTTCAAGTTTGCCGAGGACAGACTCAAGAATGTCGAGATCATCTGCTATGAAAAGAATGCCGATATTGGAGGAACCTGGTATGAGAATCGTTATCCAGGGTGTGCTTGCGGTATGTATGTCCGGTCACACTGGGTCTTGCGCATCTGACACTGCGAAGATATACCCAGTGTGGTGTACCAGTTCCCGTGGCGCCCTGCTTCTTGGTCGAAGTACTACTCCTACACGCCGGAGATCTGGGAGTATCTGAAGAACGTCGAGCAAGAGAATAGTTTCATTGAGAAATATGTCAAGCTTCGGCATCAGATCATGTCCCTTTCTTGGGATGATGGGACGGCTCAGTGGACCATCCGCGTACAGGATCTCGAAACGGGTCGAGAACATGAAGACCATGCGGACATCGTTATCGATGGCGGCGGTGTATTGAACAAATGGAAATGGCCAGACATTCCAGGTCTCCATGATTTCAATGGCACCCTCCTCCATTCTGCCCAATGGAACCAGAACACAGATCTTACCGGCAAACGAGTTGCTCTTGTTGGCGCCGGGAGCAGTGCGGTCCAGATACTACCCAACATCTACGACAAGGTCGGTAAGGTGTACACCTGGGTTCGATCCAAGATCTGGATCACGGCCGGGTTTGCGCAGAACTTTGCTGGGAAGGATGGCGCCAACTTCATCTACAATGATGAACAACGCAAGTTGTTTGATGATCCGGACGAGTTCTTGGCTTACTGCAAGTTCATTGAAGGCGAACTCAATCAGAGATTCGGCTTCATCATCAATGGATCACCGGCTCAGAAGGCAGCGCGTGAGTTCTCCGAGAATGAGATGAAAACACATTTGAAAGACCGACCAGAGCTACTGGAGAAAATCATGCCTACGGACTTTTATGTGGGCTGCCGCCGGCCAACGCCCGGGAATGGATATCTCCAGGCCCTTACTGGAGAGAAGACACAGGCCTACACCTCACAGTTGCAGCGCATCACAGAGAAGGGATTCATCGACCCGGATGGAAACGAACAGGAAGTGGACGTCATAATATGTGCGACAGGTTTTGACACTTCGTACAAACCACGGTTCCCTTTGATCGTCAACGGGTCAGACAAACGGGAGGAATGGAAAGACCACCCACATGTTCCATCATACCTGAGCCTGGCATTGGCGGGAGTGCCGAACTACTTTGTCTATGGAGGCGCCTATTGTCCCTCGGCTCATGGATCATTCTTCCCGCTCATTCAAGGATACTGCAATTATACCATCCAGGTAATTGAAAAGATGCAAATCGAAAAGATCCGCTCCCTGAGACCCAAAGAAAAGGTCATGGAGCATTTTATACGGCACGCCGACTCGTTCCTGAAGCGGACAGCATGGACCGGTCCATGCTCCAGTTGGTTCAAAGGGGGTAAAGTCGACGGCAAACCAGCCATATGGCCAGGTTCTCGGCTCCATTTCCTCCGATTCCTGGAAAAGCCACGGTATGAAGACTTTGATATAGACTACGACGACCCGGATGACATGTTCAGCTTCTTTGGTAACGGCTTCCACGTCTGCGAGAGGAATGGCAGTGATATCACGTGGTACCTGGGTGAGCCTAAGAAGGAGGTGGACATGGAGAAGGTCCAGCGAGTGATGGAAGGGTCGAAAGGGATCGAATTGAAGAGGCCATGGGAGTAGTCCTCTGCCCAGATGATCTGGACTATTTTCTGCGGGTGTCTCCTTTTCTGATCAGCCTTGCCAACACATATGATCAATGTAGACAAGAGTGTGCTAATAAGATGTTGCACCTTGACAACTCTTTGAGAACCCACCGAGTTGCGCTTCTCGACTCCACCATTATTGCCTCTTGTGATCACCCTTCTGTTGGTGGCTAGTTCACCCGTCCATTGTGGTAGCACTGGGGACGTAGAACTGGAAATGTGGGAACGGGAAGGTGCGGAAGGAAACCGACGGTGGTTCAACCAAAGGAGAGGCTTTGCTTGATCGGTTGCTCTGTTTGACTGAGGCGGCCAGTTGTGGTCCTGGCGCAGTCGCAGGGACGAATGGCTGCTTCAAACTCGTCCATAAATCCCCGGCGTGGTGCCCCGCCTGCGCAAACCAAAAAGAAAAAATTCGGTGCATGATAGAGAACGCAGCAAGTCAAAGCAATCAGACTTTCATTCTTTGAAGCACTTACTAGACTCCAAAGACCGAGAAGGGGAGTGGTTCATTTAAATCTGACTGTCATTACTTGCTCCTTCATATCCCTCTTTTAGAAAGTCATTCTGACTTCACTTCTCTCTTCCTTCCGTCATCTTTGTCGCCGGCCGTTGACCACCCCGCCAGGCCTCATTCACTTGCAGTTACACTGTTCACGCAGCTTTACTTCTCGTTCGTTGAACATGTCTGAAATCACGCATCCCACCATCAAAGGTGAGTCTTGATTCCAGTCCCCGCATCGCAGGTGATGTGTCGCTGACCAAAGCCGTGACCGCAGATGGCTGGTTCAGAGAGATTTCCGATATGTGGCCAGGTCAGGCAATGATCCTGAAGGTCAACCAGGTCCTACACCACGAAAAGTCCAAGTACCAAGACGTGCTGGTCTTCGAGAGCAGCGATCACGGCACCGTCCTCGTCCTTGACAATGTGATCCAATGCACAGAGCGGGATGAATTTTCCTACCAAGAGATGATCACACATTTGGCCATGAACTCGCACCCGAACCCCAAGTCAGTCCTCGTCATTGGTGGCGGTGACGGTGGTGTCTTGCGGGAGGTTGTCAAGCACGAGTCGGTTGAGAAGGCTATCCTCTGCGACATCGACGAGGCCGTCATTCGTGTCAGCAAGAAGTACCTCCCAGGAATGTCCATTGGCTTCCAACACCCAGCTGTCCAAGTCCATATTGGTGATGGCTTCAAGTTCCTTGCCGATCGCAAGAATGAATTTGATGTGATCATCACCGACAGCAGCGACCCAGAAGGCCCGGCCGAGTCGCTGTTCCAGAAACCCTATTTTGAGCTTCTGCATGGAGCCCTCAAGGATGGTGGTGTCATTACTACCCAAGGTTGTGCGCACCCATCTCCCTACACGTTTCCTTTTGAGCTCCTCAGGCTCTGTTTCTCTGAAAAGTGTAATATGAACATGCTAACGTTTTCGTTTCCTTAGCCGAGAACCAATGGCTGCACATGCCACTCATCACCAAGCTTAAGAAGGACTGCAAGGAGGTCTTCCCTGTGGCCGAATACGCCTACACCACCATTCCTACGTACCCCTCGGGCCAGATTGGATTCATGGTCTGCTGCAAGGATGCCGACCGCGACGTCAAGGTGCCCCTGCGGTCATGGAGCCCCGAGGAGGAGGAGAAGCTTTGCAGATACTACAACAAGGAGATCCACCAGGCGAGCTTCATCCTGCCTACCTTTGCCCGCAAGGCATTGAAATAGTCGAGCATACGATCGTGCAGATCTCCGACTTGACCCGGGTCTTGCGGAGTATGGTACGAAATGGAATCATTGTTATCGCTTCCTCACGTTTGGGTCTGTACCATGGAATGTATGGCATGGCATGGCATGAGAATATCACTGATGTCTTGGGGGCTTCCCACGGGAATACTCGTTGTTTTCTACCCAGACCCCGCGCAAACCGTCATGTCAAACTTGGGGTATGTGCAAAGCTAGAGACAAGGTCATGCAGGGTACTAGGGAAATAGACAATAATCTGATGAAGACATGAAACGCCTTGCCAGTGTTACAAAGCGGTGGAACGAGCCAGAACGGTCCACGTCTACCTACACACAGTGTACAGAGTTATACAGTAAGTCTCAGGGACCCTAGGACTCGAACGCAAATACGGGATGGCATCAATGATTGGTGTGGAAGTCAAGTTGTGGCATGCATCATGATGTTGATATCAGAATCTGTGGAAAATGACTTCACACCGGCACCACAGTGGAACAGCCATGATGTCATGCTCGTACCCTGCGCATGAAGATGATACTTCGACATACATCACTGCTTACTACGTAGTAGGTGATTTCGATGATATTAACCTCTCCTTTGACCCTTGAATTCTCTGTTTCTTTTCTGTTCAAAGAAAGACCTGGACTACCAAAAAATACCATCACTTCCCTTTCCCAGACCTCCAATATCCGAAACAATACAAACACAAACACAAACAAATCGCCATTATACGAAAACCCCTACCGCCAACATGACGATCTCACTGAACCCTCGTGCACCCAAGCCCGACTACGAGAACGCCCCTCGCGAAGCGACCGGCCCCATCGCCGCCGACTCTCTAGCGGCCGAGTCGTTGAGCTCGAAGGGCGGCTTCTCCGAGAACACAGGAGCAGCCGCGCAGTCGGTGCGAGGCGCGCAATCCACATTCGCCAACACCGACACATCAGGCGCGCACGTGCTCCACCCAGCACCGTCAGGCGCTGTCCGCGAGAAGCAGGACGCCCTGAGCGCCGGCGCCGACGAGAAGGGCACGACGGGCCTCAAGCTCGACGCGGCCGGCAAGCCCAACTTCGACGGCGTGCACAACGCCGACGGCTACTATGGCGGAGCGGGCGACAAGGGCCAACCGCTCAGCCAAGGCAGCGTGCGGGCGGGCGACAGCGACTTTGGCGCGACGACCTTTTCGAGCCGGGACACGGTCAATCCCGAGATCCGCTCGACCGGGAGCGACTTCGACAACGACAACACTTCAGGTGGTGGTTTTTCCTCTAGTACCGGCGTTCGACCCCACGTCGACGCTGCCCCGGGATATGTGTCCAACGTGACAGGCGAAGCGCGGCCCGACGGCACGTATAAGCCCAAGGGCAGCAATCTCGACGACGCAGATGTCTCCGGGTCCATTCCCAAGACGAAGACGTTCACGGGCAACGTCGGCGGCCAGTACGATCCGGGTCGCGTGGCTGAGCGTGAATTCGAAGGCCGCAACACTGGTGTCGAGACAGAGTTGTCTTCCTCCGGTGTAGCGGGTGGAAGACAGAGACAGCAGGGGTCCTCGGGCGCAGTGGGCGAGCAGGGTGGCCAGTACGGTGTGCTTGAAAGCGAGAGAGCATGAAAGGTCATGGTGAGTCAATGTCGTCCATTTGACGCAGTGCATGCTTGAATGCGACCTGCCATTCTGAGGTCTGGATGACTCTGGATGATTACCACGGATGATTGATTGGCAAGACCAAGCGTCAGGTTGTGTTTACGAGCTGTGTGCCAGGCCAGCTCGATCAATGTGTCACAGCCACGAAGCAAGAGCAGCCTCTTGCTTCCGAAGGGATAGGATAGTCATATCTGTACTTTAACTGACAACCATCTGCAACAAAACACCCGCATTACTGCGGAGTGAAATAAGCCTTTGAAAAAAAGGGCAGGAAATGAAATACAATTCCATGACTCTTTCACGATATCTCAAGTTCTTAATGACACCAAAGGGTCTAATCCGATCTGTAAATCAACTCGGTCGTGATTGTACCATGGATCATCCCGTAGAGACCCAATAACAAACTGCCCCTCATCTCCTGGTACAGCCGTCGGTATCGATGAGATCAACACAATCCTTGCCATAAGGTAGTACTTGGTACCGTGGTAACAGTGTCCATCGTAGTTCAATCTTCCGCTCTTTGATTTGGAGCTCGTGTCAGCGACTAAGCCTGGTGGCATGCGATGCAATCTCGACCGACCGCTATCTCTCCCCTGCACAGTTTCCATATGGGGTTGTTCCAGTATGGTTGACCGGGTCCATTCTTAAGGGCATCTAGCATAATATCGCCCAAACGACAGCGAAAAATGCGACAGGCACGCACTGAATCCCGGTATGGCTGGTGCCTCTCTCACATGGGACGGAGTCGAAACTCGGAAATTGCATAGCAGCATTGCAAAGGCGATATGATAATGGTAAACTTGAGACAGCCATTGAATTGATAGCGAAAGGACCCGGCGTCGGTGTGTCAATGTCATTGTAGAGAAAAATGTGGCCTTGATCAGACTTGATGATCAAGAAGAGTGTCTGTTGGCCTCAAGAATGTCTTAGTTTGAGCTTCTCGAGTCTTGATCGCGAAGTGGGCTGGGGCAAGTGTCGTCAACGGCAACATCACACACCTTCGGTTGAGGTAGCCCGGAAGACTGAGTCGTTGCTGAAGTTGTGCCAATCGATGTCATTGATGCTTGTTCCAGCCATGTGGGAGATGTGTCAAGTTCAGCCAGTATCAATCTCCTCGAAGCAGTCGATGGATAATGGGCCTCAGCTTGGACTTTCACCATGTGCTAGGTGAAACAGAAAAGGCTCCGAATCGAGTCGAAGGGACGACGGGGCATTCTGCGTCTGGAGCTGTAGAGGCCGCATGCTGGAGCTGTAGAGGCCGCATGCTGTCAGAGACGTGTTATGTAGCAGTGGCTACTGCCGAACGATTAATCGTAAGCGAAGCCTCCTTCGAAACATCCCTTGTACTGCGCAGTCTGGAGATAGCCACCATGACCGGTGCCGACACAGTGGTGGATATCCATTGCCGAGAAAGCCCTGCAGCCTCGTGTCGAAAGTCGGTATTGCGGGAATGGACGCAGAGTTCCCTCTCAAACAGCAGCCATGGAGCCCGCGTTCGCACCAGCTTCCAAGTTCAAAAACCCGTCCAGACCACTGATCACATCCCGCGCCACACCGTCAACAACCACACTCTTGACCACCGCCTTCAAGATGCTCCTCTTGACACCACCCAGCCTCGGTCTCCAAACTCCAGGAACGTCGACACCTTCTGGCGCCTCGCCGGACTGAGGCACTCCCTTCATGGTATCTCGCGCCGGAGTGTCGATCATGCGCACCGCCAGCACCTTGCAGGGATCACCATCGTCGACCCCAGCCGCGACACTGACGGCGACCACGCCATCCGCAACAGCCAGCTCTTCCCTGCTGGGGTCGAAGATGGCATTCTCGCCCACGACGACCACCAGCAGGATGACAGGAGGCTTCACAACACCGGAGCTGGCTTTCCCCCGTGGATAGAGATACGTGCTCGCCATCCAGTCGTCGTCTGCGACGGGATCTTCCTCGCCTTCGCTCTTGAGCCGCGGAATCCTGGTATCTCGTAAAGCGAGATGGGTGGCCATGCTCAGCAGCGGCAGAGGATAGCTGGCCAGTCCGTTGGGCGAGATCAGGAGCACATCGATGTAGATATGCCAGTGCCAGCGCGAATTGATGACCAAATTATCCTGCAGCGACGTCGTAGACCCCATCTCTGATGGCTTAGTTGAAGTTGAAGTTGACGTTGACGAAGCCACCGCCAGCGGCTCCCGCAGCATCTCTTCCAGAAATGCCAGGTTGGGATCATCGTCTCGTAGACCAGGAAGTGTGAGACTGAGCGTGACCCATTCCTGTTTGCCCTTTGCAGAATGTCTCCCGCCCTGGTACTGGTCTTCTATGTCCACGTCCACGTCCATGTCCACCACGCCGTCCTCTGTTCGGATCGGTCCATGCACACTCTTTTTGCCCGCGGTCTTTTCAACCTCCAGCTTCACCCCGACTATTGCTTCGCGGCCGTCGCTGAAGCCCACGTGGGCACTGCCGTTGACGGCGGGGAGAACGCCAGTTTCGGCGCGTAGCGGACGGAAATCGGTGCCCAGCGACCGCGCATCGGGTCGTAATGGCGGGACTGAGGCTAGGGAGGTATGGAGGTATGCAAGTTCGGCCGGGGAGAACGGTAAAGAACTAGCTAGCGAGGGCATCTTGGACAGTCGGAGGCGCAACTATGAGAGAGAAAACATGCGATATTGGACGGAATCGTGGGTTGGGCGAAGTCGACCCGAAAGGGCATTGGACTTTTCTGGCGAAGAGTAGCAATTTGAGAGCGGCACCACGCTTTCAATGGTTACCGAACTTGGCCTCCGAAGAAAGAGTGTGCGGTCGCTGAACGGGACAACGAAAGGGTTTGAGGCTGAAGACTGAAGATGGAAGACTGAATAGCGAAGAATGCGGTCCAAAAAATAATGTCGACGATGCCCGCCGCCGGAGTTACGAAACCCTCAAAAACAATTATCTCCGTCCAATACTTAAATACAGAAAAGGAGTACCGAGTAGTAGGGAAGGAGGTACTCATGCTATTGAATGACTCTTTCAAGGAATGCTTTACATCTCGGACTGCTAATGATATGATACATGCATCTGCATCTGCATGATTCTCTGCACGTCTTATCCTGGCTTGCGCAGTCTCATCAACTTGCCATATGCCATATTGCCGCCCGCGCGCCGTCACCCATCAAGAGCGATGCCATCCAAGCCACCACTCACTCCTACCAGACGGGTTCGTCCAGCCTTTGCTCCATACACCATTTCCATGAGTTTGCCCTTTTGCTTCTCACGCACACCTCTAAGATAATCATATGTTCCTTCCAACCCCCTAATCTGTTGGTCAACCACACTCGCATTGTCAATGCTGACCGAGTCGTTCCTCCTAACCAACGGGCTGACAAGTTTCCTCCGGAGAGTCTCCAGATTGACCTTGAGGGTCTGCAAGCGGCCGTGATGCTCCATGAGCAGATGCTTGTTGTTGACAGTCCTGGATCGCACGCTCGACAAGAGCTGTTTGTTCTTCTCGTACTTTCTCAGCATCGCCGCATTTGGTCCAATCACTCTGGTCCACAAGGATGAGAGAAGATCATTCTCAAGCCTCTCTTGCGTGTCCGTCTCTCTGACCACCGTCCGCTGGAGGTTCAAGAACTGTCGGTCGATTGACTCGAACAGAGCGAACAATGCCGCCGAATGGGTCAGTTCGCTGTTGATGGACTCCTCCAGCACGTTGACGAATTCATGGAAGGTCCTCGTCAGTGTGGCTCGGGTTTTCTGGGGCGAGCTGGAGCCAAAGATATCTGTGAGTATCCTGCCAAGCGCGGTCGGCCCGGTGTTTGTTTCCAACAGTCCTCCTCGATTCAGTAGGCCGTGTAAGTGGTCGAAAACTACCCCGGAAAATGAAACGCCTTGTATCGACGAGAGCCCTTGCAGCTCTCGCTTGGCCCAATCCATCACAAGGAGGATACTGTCCACGTCTGAATCAACATCCGCGAAGAATCGTGTCAACTCCAAGCCCAGTGACTTCAGGCTATCGGATAATTCATCCAATGACCGCACAATCATGGGTGCCGAAGTCATATTAGCACTTCTCACCGACTCCCCAAGATCCCAGACCGCCACACTTGTTTCTTGCAGCGCCGTGATTTGGGCATATCCATTCTCCGAGTAGAAAATCAATGGTTCGAACGACTTGGCCAGAGTCGACACTTTGACCAGATCGGGGACTGGAGGAGGGACTGGAGGGACCAGAATAATGCGCAAGAGTGATGCAAAGAGGATGGTTGTGAGAACAGAAAATAGCGTGGATGATTTGGTTTTGGTCATGGCATCGAACTTGCGTTGAACAAAGCTGAGGAAAGGCACAAATGGCTCTCGATGTTGCACTTCGGCGCGGAGCTGTAGCCGGATGTCTGTATCCATATCATCAGCGACTGAGCAATATGGGGGCAGAAAGGATTTGTTTACAGTTTATCGGGTTCTCCGCGGGAGGGACAGACTCGTCCTGGTTACGGTCACCTGCCTTCACATTGTGTTCTGATCGCGCCTCTGGGGAGCGCTCCCGTACCGGCGATTCCATACCCGCAGGCAAGGGTGTATTGACTGCCAACGTGATATCTGGGTCTCCCTCTGTGGCATCCTGATAGACCTCTGGACTGGTCTGCCTTGATCGCGCAGGGCTAACCGACGGTCGCAAATCATATTTTCCATAAGGATCATGTCGGAACCATCCATTGGCGTTCCCACTTCGTATCTTGAATCCTGGAGGAGACCATGGCAGGCCCGTACTGGATCTATCGTCGACCTCGCTGTCTCCCTGATCGGATCGGAAGCCGGAGAGGAGGGGTGATCGACGTTCCTGTTCTTCAAAGTCTTCGATCGAGGCTTCTAGCAGCGAATGCGTATCTTCAGAAACCCCTTCTGCGTAGAGATGGTCGAACGGGGCTGCAGCCATCATCGCAGCCATGGCAAGGTACAAGGAAGGAGAAACTGAAGCATCAAGATAAGGCTGCGAGGGTAGGTGAGGCGGGGCAGCAGGTCGACAAAGCGGTCGTCTTCCTGGACGAGCACCCTGCGATCAAACGAAGGTCAACTAGGCAGCGATCGGACAGAATGAAACAAACGGTCAAACTAAGATGCAGCGACTATGTCCAGTGATCAGGATAATGAGGGACTGAAAAATAGCAATATAGGGGAGTTCATGCCTGGAGAATGCGGGATGTAGACCGGCCCAGCCTCTGGTGCAGACGCAGACAATGCACTCATCATGTCAAGGGACGTGCGGGCCCCCTCACTGCGGCGTGAACCCAAACGTAAGTGTCAAGGAACCGGTGCCAGAGACGAGAGCGAGAGCGAGCAAGAGAGAAATGTTGGAGGCTGGGACAGTTGGCAGTTCTGGTGTCGTGGTTTGGGGGGTCGCAGTTCCGCCAATCAAGGGGCCAAATGCCCTCTCGACCAGGATTCCTGATGCAAGGGCGAAGGGATGGCCGCATGTCTAGCTTCTGTCACTGGTGTATCGCCCCGGCATACCATTGGTGATGTCTACGGGATAATGGGCACCAGCAGTATAATAGACTCCATCTGTTGAGCACAAACGCATCTGATCAAAGGCATGGAAGAGCTCACACACCGGTAGAAGAGGCGGTTATTGATAAGATCATACACGCACGGGTGCAAGAGTATCGGAAAGAAGTCTGAAGTTGGATCGGAGCAGAGAAGTTGCTTGATTGTCGGTATTTCGCAGCCATGTCTGCCAATCGCAGGCGAAACGCAGGTACGCTGAGAAGTAACAAGAGGGATTATATACACAGAGCTTTGTCTAGCGGCTTCTCCAGAGTGTCTCTGTCGGGTCTGGTATGCAAGTTCCAACGTTCAAATTAGGTGAATGTGCGCCTCCGCCGTCTTTGGTGATACAGCAACCGATGGTCTCGGTATCGACAAACAATCGAGGTGCCCGAATCCAAAATGATGGTTCCGAGTTTACTTGGTCTCCTCGCGCAACCAACTAGATGGGTGTTAGCAAGCATGACAGGATGGTTGGGACTGTGGGCGACAAACGTGATCAGGTCATTCCTGTCCTTGGCCTTCTTCAGACCGCCAAAGGCCATCTTGGTGCCAGGAATGTACTTCTTGGGGTTCTCGAGGTATTCGAACTATCGACTGTTAGAGCCAGATTCAGAGCGCAGGTTGCGGTGGAGGGCGTACCAGAGTGTCCTCATTCCATGTGATACCCTTCGCCTTGTTGGCATCTGTGTAGGAGAATCCTTCGACTGAACCGGTCTTCCGGCCGAAGAGACCGTGCAGGTTGGGGCCAATCTTGTTGCCTTCCGACTCAACGACAGTGTGGCACTGAGCGCATCTCGTCTTGAAGAGGTTGGCACCCTTCTTCGCGTCACCTGGAGGAGGAGATTGTAAGCTTCTTTCTTTTGTCTTCTGACTTGTGGCCTTGTTCGCAGCAGCTTCTTGTTGTTCTTTGGCCCATATTGACTCGAGTTCGTCCAACTCCTGAGGCAGGTATGGAAGGTATGACCATGCCATGTCTGCAAAGGGTAGAGGTCGAGATCGAGCAGGAGATCGAAGTGGTGGCGTTCAAGATTGTAGGCGACGCTTTATTTTGAGCAGTGCAGATCGATCAATGGTGGTGTCGGAGGCGCATGGCGATGCAGCCAGCTCGAACAAGCATCGCAAGTGTCATATTATGCGAGCACATCACCCTCGAGGTAGTGAAAAAGCATAACGAAGCTGCTGCGAAGCTACAACGGCCGCAGAGGGACCCAATGACTTACCATCCTTGAAGCCATCGTCCTTGGCCATTTTTGCTTTTATTGAATAACGACGGGGTATAAGTGAGAGAGGGTAGTCGTTGGGTAGGGTTGAGAGTGTCTAAAGCAGAGATCGAGCTTGAAAGCAGGTGTAGATAAAGAAGACAGAGTAGGATTGAAGCAAAAAAAGTTCGACAGAAACGGAAACGAAGGGAAAAACGTATGACGGAGGTGCCAGGAGAGAATCAACCTGCTAGCACCGAAGCTGCAGTGCCACGGCTGGGGCTTTGAGCCGGTGAAGCGCCGCCAATAAGCACCCGCCCATTAATGCACTGCACTGCCAGTGCTTCTGGCCTGCAACTGTGGCGCCTGCTCCAAAAGTGGCGCCGCAGCCAAGTCACCCGCCCAATTACCGCCGTTCCATTGTCATACTGAGGCTTTTCGGGCATTCTCGGGCGTTGAAGGGGGAATTGCTGGTCGGCAAAAACATCCACCTGCTCGCTGAAAGACAGGTTCAAGTTGTCAACAACGAATAACATACATACTGTCTGTGTCCATGTATTGTTTGCATCCTCAGCGTCGCCTACGAAATCTGCGTCTACCTGTTCCTTGCCCTTGTTTACCGCATGAGATTCCAGCCAGATTCGGGCGATACGACACGTGACTTACCGGGCCGCGTGTCACCTGATGCAACCAATAATACTGTCACAGCTGTGGTAAATTGTCATGACGTCGACTATTTTCCCCTTGTCGGAACAGGCGGAATATCGATCGAGATTCGATGGATTGCGCACCAATGATTATCCGGGCACTGCATGACAGGTGTGCCCTGTGTATGGAAGTACGTACTATGTACCTCCTACTATGTACACAGTATCGCAGCACAGAGTACTTTGTAGAAACACCTGGTTGATGTCTGGATATCCTACCTAGCGGGTGGTTACCATGACAAGGAACATATTGCCCACCTCGAAGTCAGGCATGGTAGGTTCACTGAGGCTACGGTAGGTGCTCATCTCAACAGGCTTTTCTAGATGCCTTCCCTCTCAATCACAGACTACGACATGCTCGCCCAAAATTCATCGAGCAGTTCATGCCGCTGGACCGCGCTGTCGAAGTCAGGATAGGGCCGACCTTCAGCATACGCCTCGTACAGACGACCGGGATTCTGGCCCTGGGTCGGAAGGTCTGTCCACTTCTTGCCGCCCTCGTCGGTCGTGATCTCCTCGATTTCGCCCTTCTCGGCATTCGAGAAGCGGATACTGGTGGCCTTGGCCATCTGGGGCCCAGCACTGGCGAACTCGACCACCAGCTCGCCCTTGGTCCCGTAGATCCTCCACGTGGAGCCCGGGCCGCCGATGAACCTATCCCCCGCGCGGAGATGGAAGCTGAACACTGCACGAGGGTGCCGGTCCAGCTTGCCCTGAAGCAGGATTTGATCGGGGGTGTCCTTGTCATAGAGCTCTTCCGACAGCGACCCGTCGTCCTTGAGAAGGTGCATCTTGGGTCTCAGGTTGGCCGCCATGGGAGTGTAGCTACCTGGCAACAGCTCCCCCACTGCATAGAAGATGGAGTCGAGGATATGGCCGCCGTATATGGTCAGGAGGTTGGCCCCGACTTTGCGGTCCATGAAATACTGATACCGTTCGCCCGCCGCGTTCTTCTGCCATACGTGAATGGCTCCCTGATAATTGACGCTGTGGATCTCTCCTATGGCTCCCGTGTCGATGAGTTCCTTCACCTTCCTCACACTCGGCGACATGCGGCCTTGGAGACCGACGATGGTCTTGACGTTCTTCTCTTTGGCCAGGGTCGCCATTTCTCTCGCTTGCTCTGTGGTCGCTGCCAGTGGCCATTCCACAAACACGTTGCGTCCGGCCTTCAATGCAGGCATGGCCACCTCATAGTGCGTGTCGGCCCGAGTGGAGACGACATAGAGGTCGACGTCCGGGTCTGCTGCCAGCTGATCGTAGGAATCGTAGGCCTTGGTCGACTCCGGCAGGTGGTGCGCTTTGATGGCCGCCTTGGTCGACTCCAGCGTCGAGTTGCACAGCGCCACGATTTGGTAGTTGGGCGATGTGGCCAGTCGAGGCAGATGCGCCAGCGTCGCCCATGTGCCTGGTTTGCTGGACAATCCTACGATTCCTACTCTGATAGGGGCCATCGTGCTCTATCAAGCCAAACGGAGGACAGCGGTCCCTGGTCTGATACTAAATATGTGGTGTCAAGAACTCAACAACGGACGAGAAGGATAGGGGTGAGATCACTCTGTGCTTTTCCAGCTTGGTTGTTCCCCGGGTTCTCCGTACAATCAAGGATGTTGAGGATCGTTGCAACCGGGTCCTTCGACCTTGATATAACAGTGGCAACTTGACGAAGAGTGGTTCTGATATTAGCCGTGTAACACTGATTGGCTTACCAATCGGGAGCCTATCTGTGTCATGAACACTTGCTCGCTTTATCTCTTTATCATCCAACCAAATGATCCGAGGTATTGAGATCGCTAATCGGTCTGGCGGCCTAAGGTGAGACGGTCCAGGTAGATCTGTCCCCGCGCACGGGTGCGGAGATATCAGAAGCTGAATCGCTAAGCTTCCAAAATGCGGATATTGACGCAAAGGTAAAGGCATGAGAGGGTGAGAGGGTGAGAGGGAGACCAAAGCCATTTCTCGGGTGTAGGGACTGTACTGATTAGGCCTCTCCTGTTGACCAAGTGCCCTCTTAGTTTGACTCGATATATAAAGCTACAAGTCAGCCCGAATTGTTGTCCCTGGCTGCCCCAATGGCAACTGATATCGGTTGCGATGCCAATATAGCTCATAACCAAGATCTGGCTCCCGTGGATTTCCGGGTCCAGGAACTGAGATAGGGATATATCACTGCCAAAAAGGTGTTCTTTGCAAGATGACAGCTCTGGTGGCATTATATATTGCACTGTTCATGACCTTGATACAAAGTCTATGCCTCGATTAGCGTTTCACGACCCTTCCCACCACACACATATCATGATCTCGTATTCGTGCCAGACACCCTGATACCTCGTTGTCCCTAGTCATTCTGCGTTGCTCGTTGTCGTATCCTCGGGCACTGGGATTCATACCTACGCCCGAAAACAAGCATTCATAGCTTCACGATCATTCTCTTGGTGCCATGTATTCAATGGGTACCATTCTCCTTGGCACCATCGCCGATTTCACAGAAGGCGCGGAAAGTGACCATCTCGTCGCTGCTGCTCTCAATCACAAGCTCGGCTGTTGCACCGACGAAGTAGACCCAGCCTTCCTTGATATCTTCGACTTTGGGACCTACACTGATCTTACCCTCGCCGCTGGTGCAGATGACGATGCTGGGGCCGGCAATGCCTTCAAACGTGGCCTTTGCGCCGGGCTTTTTGAGTAAGGTGCGGACGACGCTGAACTCCTCGATCGGCGGGTCATACAGCAGCGACTCGCTATTGGAGCTGTAGGCCTTGTCATTCAGCGTGACGTATGGGTAAGGAACGGGCTGGAGGAGCTGTTTCTCAGGTGGCTCGTGGTCGTAGGTCAGAATGTCCGTCAAGGTGTCGACGTCTTGGAACTTGGGCGTGAAGCCGGCACGGATGACGTTGTCGCTGCTGGCCATGCACTCGATGATGTCGCCGGAGATGTATGCGTGGATATCATCTGCCTTGAGATACATGGCTTGTCCGGGCGAAAGCTTGACGTAGTTCAGGAAGAAGAGCACGAATAACCCAATATCCTCCGGGAACTGGCTGTTGCAGCGCTGGACGAGCTCGCACAATTCTTCGGACGTGTTGACGCTGGGGCCTGGAGTGATGGAGCCGGATTGGGCCAGCTGGACAAGCTCTTTGGATTTGGCAGCCACTTTGTCGCGAGGCGTCTTCATGAGCGAGCTGAAGGCGGCTTTCAGGCGTGCTTTGGCTTCTTCGGGTGTAGCAGACGGGGAGTTGGCAATCTCCTCGAGACCTTTGGCCTCGTTCTCCCCAACTAACTCGCGTAGAGGTGGAATGGTAGACAGGAAATGGGCGATTTCCTTCAAGGGTCGGAATCCGCATAGACCCTCGAACGGGGTGATGGCTAGCGTCATCTCGGGCTTGTGATTGTCGTCCGGATAGTTCTTGGGGTCTTTGGCGTGAAGTTGCTCGGCAAGTTTCTTGTTTGGGTGGGCTTGGATGGAGAGTGCCTTGCTAATCGAGAGAACTTTGAAAAGAAAGGGTAGTTTCTTGTTGTACTTCTCGGTGATGTCAGTTCCCATGAGGGACTGGTTGTCAGAGACCATGTCGAGCAAACTGCGGCCTGTGGTGAGATCCTTGGATGGCAGGGAGGGGTGGGTGCCCATCCATAGCTAAGGAGGACGTCAGCTGGTGTCCAGGCAACAAGAAGAGTTGGACGACATGCATACCTCAGCATACGGCTTGTCCTCTTTGATGGTGAAGTCGTCTGAGGGGGTTGTTGCAGCATATCTTGCTGCAGCCGATTCTTTGCCTTTCTTGCCTTGGAGATGGTCAGTAACCACAGGGAGGTCAAATCCATTCCTGATCCTCACCCCAGTCGTAGCTATTGCAGCCTGTCGTGCGTTAGTCGCGTTATACCATGGTTGAAAGACACGGCCCCTTACCGCATTGGAGACGAAATAGAGGCACCTGCATCTTGATGCTAACTTGAAATTAACGCGATCCTGAAGACCACTTTATGAAACAAATTTCACTTTCTTTCAACCACAATATGAAAAGGAAGAGAGTCAATATAACAAACGTCTTGCAGCTAGAAAATTCTGGCAATGGGACTTCAGGCGGTGAAAAGGGGGAAGAGTGGCTCGACGACACTATGAATCGATGACAGGTCTCAGATGCGGGAAACGTGGTTGATGACTGACCAATGAGGAAGCAGACACCACGGCACTTAACTACGGTGGACTGCATGTTCTCAGCAGCAAATATTAAACCGTGACTTGAATCAGCCTTGAGGGGTTCTGCTACGAATGAGGTCGTTGGCTACATACTTATTGGACACTTCGTCCATCAAGCTGTCAATTCAAGTCATCCACTGTATCAATAATAACCAAGCCGAAGTGTAGCATATGTATTCTGCTTGGTACCAGCAGTGTGTTAGAGGCCATGGTCACCTGACCTCAGCCTCGTGATAAAGTCACATGACCATCATTCACCATTCACTTCTCAACACACTCAACCCCAGGTGATATATATAATAGTCACGGAATTATGTCCAATACTCACGGCGGGGTGGTGTAGTTGGATGTGATCCGGCTACAGCTCACACGCAATATGGTAGGAGCTCTGATAGCCATCTCCCTAATTCCAGAAGTTGATAACCACCAGTAGTGACAGCCAAAAAAGCCTGCAAGTTAGCTAACCAGGGTGATAAATGAGCTTGGTTATGCTGCGGATGCCTCTTCGGAGGATGGGGCCAGTACCCGCAAGGGATGATGAGTGGGCTTTCTCATCTCGATGAGTTTTTGCACTTTTGGTCGAAGAGTTCTAGATAGAAACAGGAAACCGGGGTTTAAGCGTCGTGATTAGTAAGGACCCCAAATGTGATCACGTGGGAGTCACATGACGACTTCTGGACTCTGTGTCGGACCCAATCACGCTGCAGCCTCTCCATCCTCAGCCTCTCTCTTCCTCCTGCTAACACTACTGGCATGCCATATTAGCAACCCAGCCATGGGCTGTTTCTTTCTCTCTCATTCATTCGCGGTAACACTGTCTGCTCGACAATGGCATTAGTGGAGTTTCTTTCACATATCATTCTACAGATATAAGCTCGCCGGTCGGGGCTCGGCGGTATACGACTACGGCGCGTCCACTGTCCTCGTGGTGCCAGACAAGATATCGAGGACAATCCGGTCCTTGATTGGCCTGAGACCGCCCTCCGACACTGAATTACTGCAGACATTATATCCTGGTCGTATACCTCTGTGGAATTTGCCGTGATAAGGTCCCAATACCTCATCATGGGTTCACGTCCTCGTGGCGGGCGAGGCATGGCTGGCCGGGATGGCAAAGAGACAGATCTCGAAAACGACCTTCTCAGTCGAGCAGTCGATAGCCTACGAAAAGCGCAAGGATATAATGATCAATCCAAGAGGATCGGTCTAGAGATCGTGGCTCTCGAAGAAGAGATCAAAACAAATGGCCGTACGTTGCACCTCCTCTGATGTTGTACTTGCACCACCGCAGAGCCCTCATCTGTCAGGGATTCCAGAGTTCGCTGAAGCATTTCGGGTGCGCCCCGATTGGTGTGTCATCTTGTGGATTGACCTGTATTGATGGCATGGATCTTACTAGACTCGACGCCTGAAAACCACCGACGACTAGATGCTCTCTACCGAGAGAATCTCAGATATGCAGAAATGGAGAAGAAAGTCCACGACGACGAGGACATCATCAACAATCTCGCCATTTTGGCAACAATGAAGACCAATGACGATCTTGCACCTCGAAATGGCCAACAGAAGTCCCGCAAACACCAGCGACCTACGGTCGAGTCGGACACTGTGGTGGAGTCTCCCGGCCCCAGTCCAGGGGACGGCCGTCTCGAAATGATGAAACGGGTCAAGGGCACCTCCCAGCGAAGTTCTAGTACGGCCAGTCAGAATCGAGCGGTTTCCAGTGCCAAAGACGACGGAGGTGAAACGCATAGAGGTATCCAGGCCGAGAAGGCGGGCCTACTTGTCGCTGGTACCGAAGTATTCTACAAGTATCCGAAAGACCAGCAGGACAATGAGGAGGGTGTCGGTATTCATGGGATTATCAAGAAAGTGTGGCAGGACAAAAAGCCGTGAGTATGACCGGTTGGTTTTTGGCAGCTGTAGCATGCTGATTACTTCTAGGATTCAATACGACGTTAGAGATCCGGAGGACGATGCTTCGGGGAAATTGACAGTGCGCAAGGCGACCGCCAGGGATCTTGTGCCCATACCGCAGACCGTCGCCAACATCCCCCAGTTTCCCACCGGAGCGAACGTGTATGCCAAATACCCCGACACAGACACTTTCTACCGAGCCAAAGTCAAGAGCTTTCAGAAAGGCATGTACAGCCTGAAATTCGACGAGGATGATAAGGAGATGCTCGTCGACGTGAGGTTTGTGCTGGACTCGAGATTAAAATGAGTTATCGTTATAAATGCGACGACTCTTGATACCGGTGCATTTATTGCCGACGAACAGGAGTCTAGGGGGGACGACATGTATTTTGCAAATGATGCGACGATTTCATAGCTGTTTTACTGCTTAAGCAGACCTTTACTGGCCAGGTATGCGGCACCAGAGTCGGCCCATATCTCGTACACTTTGACCTTGTTTTTCTCATCGAACTCGAGAACATACGTGAAAACCTCATCCCAGCTCTGCCCGGTGCTCGTCCAGTTAAACTTGGCCTCTCCACGGACCGACACCTTGGACACCTGTGGATCGACCACGAAGTTACTGAACAGCATATTCTCATAATTCAGGTTCAAAGACAAGAGCTGGAAATACTCCTGGAGACCCTTCTGACCACGAAACTCTCGGCCCAGAAAGGGCGCCAGTTGCGGCAAGCCGTGCTCGAGAGCGAGGACATCATCCGAGGCGGAAAAATGGCTGAAGATTTCCTCGGGAGGCTTCTGGCCTGCAAAGGCATCGCAGAAGGCCTGGGCAGCGGACAGGAGGTGATCTCGAGTCGCGGCAGGCATTTCTCGAAGGATATAGGGTGAGGACGACTCGTCGTGGTATTCGGGCTGATGGATCGTGAATCGCTCGAAGAGACTTGAAGAGTTGTTTGTGTATGACAAAGCATGCAAATGAAAGAAAGGCAAAATTGTGCGGGAGTTGCGTTGCGTTGCGGTGAGTGGCTCCAGTGGCCGAGGCTGCGATCGCGTCAGCATCTTCAATCATCGGCTGGGCGCCCGCCCTCTACTACTCTCTTCTCCTCTCTCCTCTCTCCTCTCTCCTCCACTCCCGCTTCCATCGCTACCAGTTCCGCTTCTAACGCCGCTTACTACTGGGCCCTCAGCCCCCTCTCTCTTCTTGCTTTTTGCTAATCAATCCCCGAAATTCCATCATTTTCCCAGTTGCTTTGTTCAAGTTGTTGACACTTCCTGTGTGGCCGCTGGTTCTGTCCCATTTCAATCAATCGTCATGCTGTCTCTATGAACATATATCTCCAATAGACTGCTCCGATATCACCACCCATCATGGCTCGCCCCGGCGAAGAACTGCCCTCTCACGCCTCTCCCATGATTTCTCCGCTTCCACGGTCTGCGGCGCCATATCTGAGCAACTGGTCAGACCTCAATGACGAGTCGCCTTCTACGCCGGGGCTCCCGAACAACCTGATCTCACCTGCTTTTACCCCTCCAGCCACCCCCGGAGCAGCGACTCCTTCACGCCATCTCAATGCCGAACCGAAGTCCATTCCCGTCGACACCTCCCTCGACGACCCTGCCACGAAACAACCCCATCTCCTCGAAAAGCTACCGCACGTAGAATGCGTCGTGCGTGCGCGGATCCCAACCACCTCTGGCGCAGAGATGTTTTTACACTTATATCAAAATGATTCCGACAACAAGGAACACTTGGCCATCGTCTTCGGCAACAGCATCCGCAGTCGAAGCCTCGACGCCGAGCGCCCCGGTGAAACCGAGATGGACCGCATGATCCGAGGCGCATACATTGGCAGATTGCGACCGGGTCGCATGAGTTCGAGGTTTGACCCGGATCAGAACAAGAGGCCCCTGAGCCGACGAGCCCGAAGCGGATCCGCATTGAAAAACGTCACAACAGTTTCGGAGGAAGAGGCGGTAGTAGACGGTACGACAGTGACAGCGTCACCTGTCCAGTCTCCAGCTACCACGCAAGATGAACAAACCTCTGAACAGCCCCAAGACAACGGTGCGGGACTCGAAACACTACCCGAAGAGATGCAGTCGGACTCGAACGGAAAACCACCACTCGTCCGGATCCATTCAGAATGCTATACAGGCGAAACTGCCTGGTCCGCCCGTTGTGACTGTGGCGAGCAACTCGACGAAGCAGCACGGCTTATGTCCTTACCCGACTCTGCCGGCGGCGTCATTGTTTATCTGCGACAAGAAGGGCGAGGTATCGGTCTGGCTTCGAAGCTGAAGGCCTACAATCTTCAAGATCTGGGCAATGATACAGTAGAGGCGAATCTCCTCCTTCGACACCCCGCCGATGCCCGAACCTACGGTCTCGCTACGGCCATTCTGCAGGACCTTGGGCTCGGGACCGATAGCGATGAAAACAAACCGGAGGCCGAAAGGGGTATCAGACTCCTAACCAACAACCCAGACAAAGTCAGGGCCGTCGAAGGTCCTAACAAGGAGGTGCGGGTCCGAGAACGGGTTCCCATGATCCCGCTTGCCTGGCGAACAGGAGGTGCCAAAGGCGTCAGGGGCGCCGAAATCGAAAAGTATCTCGAAACAAAAATCGGTCGGATGGGACATATGATTCGCGATGACTAGACAGCCTGAGAACTTGTCCTTTTTGCATTGCATCCTATGCGCCTGCCCTGCGACGTGCGATGCATGTTCCAACCTATAGCCGCGGGGCCCGTTTGGACACCGAACCATTGTGATGAGCCAGTTCCGGAGATTCGGTTGACTGTGCACTTCGCCGGTGTCAATTGCACGCGGCCGAAGCCACATCGACTCGCGGTCGAATTGACTAGGGTCGTGGGGAAGCTGGTCCCATTTCCAATATGACGACGGCTGACTCAAACTAATTGACGGGAACCCTCGACATAGGGAATGCGCAAAACGAGGCAAGAAACGATTCATCCCAATGACCGGCGCCCTGCTGTACAGAGGTCATCAATGACTCTGGGCAAACAATCTTTGGCTCGCTGCAGTGCTTGATGGATGAACTCGACTGGAGGCACCGACCCATCATTGTCACAAAGGCACGCAAAGAGAAGGCGTCTGCGTTCCCTCGCCCACAATCTTCCAACCAACAAGGGTGTAGGAAGAGGCTATATTTTGGCCGAGAGCCACCCTCGATATTCTGGGCGGAAAGATGACGATACATCATTCAATATCCCACAGAGAGATGGAGAGACCCCTCCTTTTTGCATTGATTGTGCTCAGAAAAGGAAAGGGATTATATATATAAACCATCTGAACATAGGTAGTCATAATTGGCGCAATGACGGGACTCTGGAGAATTGACTGCTGAACCCATCCTTCATGTAATTCGCAAGTTTTCGAAGCAGGTTCCCTCCACAATGTAGATTCTGGAGGCGCAACATCCTAAAGGAATTGAAAAGAAGTGGTGTATTTGACTTGACCTGACTTGATTTCAGAGTCATTGATTCCATGTCAATGTCCTTTGGCTTACTGGCATATATATATATATATATATATATACACACCTTTGACTAAGCAATGGCCCAGGATCTCACCAGATCCCCAACCACAACTTCCTCTTCCTTGGAGGCTGCGACTGTTGTTCAGCATCCTGTACAGCTGGAACTGGAGCTGCCGAAGCAGCCTCTCCAGTTTCCGTCTGTTGTTGGTGTTGGTGTTGCTGCCGCTGTTCTTCCTGCACCCTCTTCGCAAACTCCGTGACATCGTCTCCCACGGTGCCTCCCATCTCGATAACATCTCTGCCCGTCAACACGACGTCCCTTCCGCCCCGAGCGCGCTCCTTATTAGTCAGGCCATCGTCCCAGGGCACCAGGCCGCGGACGTCGATGCCCTGCTCCTCCTCGGCGTCGAGGTTCTCCATCCCGTGCGCGCGGCGGTAGAGGCGGCGTTTCTGGGCGTCCAGGATCTTCTGCTGGCGCGACTCGTTGGCCTTTTCGGTGGTGTAGTCGATGTGGAGACGCACGACGGCCAAGGATTCGCGGAAGAACGTGATCGGGTGGAAGGGAAGGGACGAGAGTGGTGGGAGGAGATGGGCGTAGGGGGACGTCTTGACGAACGACTCGGTCATGGTTATGATGGCGAGGAATGTGAGCGTGCCCTAGAAGATTGAACCAAACATTTAGCATATTGAGACCTTGTATGTCCGGGCCGACCATTGGGCATAGTAGTCTCTTCAACTCTCAAGTACGGAAACAACATCAAC